TAGACAGCTTCTCCCCCGTCGGATGGTCCCGATCCGCCCTTCCATTTATTATTGCGGTCAAATTACACAGAGCTTCTTTGGAAGACCACAGAAATAATAATAAAACCATAATCTTCTCCCAAAATTATAGAGAATAATTAAAATTAATTAAAAAATTAAAATAATAAATCCCACCCAGACCCACTCTCTTTTTCCGTCTTGTCCTGATCCAACTGTGATGTTTGCTCCCATCTGCATCCTGCGGCCTTCTGTACAGCTGTAATCGAAATTCCCAAGCTGTGATGCTGAACGGTTGATGGTTTTTGGTTCCCTTTTGGCGCCTGATCACATCGGTCTATAGATGGAGCTATCCACTTCCACTGTCGACACCCGTGATTTTCATATAATAGTTCTCCCCTTTCCCCTCCGTCTTCATGGAATGACTCCCTTTCCTGTTCTCCTTCTTGCTCATTGTCTTGCCTCTGAAACTCAACTTCGCAACACCTCCTTTCATCATCAATCCGCTCTCCCGAGATTCTTCATAGATCCCTTCCCCATTCTTCCTACCGCCCTTTTGGTTCCTTGTCCTCACTGAACCTTGTCTATTCCTCCTCTACACTGAAAAGCTTGCTTCGCGACGATTTCTATTTCTTGGATTGATTTCAATTCATTGAATTGGACAAGCAAATAAAATTACCAAAAATCTCCGAAGATCCCCTCGCGCCCTCCCTATCTGGCGGTGACCTCCTTTCTCTTCTCACACAATCAGAAACCAATCGATCTCTGTGTTGTGTCAAATCTCCCTTGCAGAGGCGTCTCATACTCTGTTTTCACCTGCTGGGCCCCCAGGATCTTCCGCCTTATCGGATTCGCGATAGAAAATTACCCAACCGCAGGGGGAGCAATGCTGAAGCCCTAAAACCACGACACACCCTCCTTGCTCCGATATCATCAGTCTCCACCACACCCAAATTTGCATTCCTCCCTCCCTTTCGAGCCCTGACGCATTAACCTGGGGTAATTTCGCCTCTTTAGGGGGAAATCAAAAGCACCGCTCTTTGGTACTTTTTCCCCCCTCACGAACTATTCTCTTGGAGTGAAAGCGGGGGGTCCTATTCTACTCCCTGGGTTTCGATTGTTCATATACAACAACTTTTTTTTTTGCATTTCTCGCCTTCGGGTGATTTCGATCTATCACACAATGTTTCAACGACCAGCTTGTTTGCAAGGCCGACGACAGCGCAATGGCGCGGCCGAGGATTGGTCTGGATTTCCTACTCGGCAATTGTTCATTCTAGGTGAGTGTGGTACTTTTGTTGCGCGCATCGCGAACTATGCGGCTGCTTGAAGGATGAAAAGAGATGGTGAAGAAAGATGAAAATGAGGCGGGGAAAGAGGCTATACATTTTGGATGCGCCACAGCAAGAGACAGTCGCAGCATGCAGATTTCCAAGCGCATACATCAACTTTGTTTAGAAACTGACCATATCCTCGCAGCGCTTGTTCGCATTTGCGAGCCAATTGCTTTCATGTCGATTTTCCCGTACGTGTACCACATGGTCGAATCATTCCATGTGACCGACAACGACCAAAAAATTGCGCTTTACGCCGGCATGATCACCTCGTCCTTCACCTTTGCTGAATTCTCCGCTGGCATGTTCTGGGGCCGGATGAGTGACCGGATCGGCCGCAAGCCGGTGCTCGTCATGGGTCTGGTGGGCACTGCCATCAGCATGGTGGCCTTTGGATTTGCGCCCAACCTGGCGACGGCAATGATTGCGCGAGCCCTGGGCGGATTGTTGAACGGGAATATCGGAGTGCTGCAAACGACCGTGGCAGAGATCGTGACGGTCAAGGAGCACCAGCCGCGAGCATACTCGATTATGCCGTTCGTGTGGTGCCTGGGCTCGATTATTGGACCGGCTATGGGCGGTGCACTGGCCCAACCCTGCGACAACTACCCGTGGCTATTCTCGCGTAACACGCTCTTCGACCGGTTCCCGTTCCTGCTGCCCAACCTGGTGTGCATTGTCGTGCTGGTGTGCGGCATTGTGGTCGGATTCCTGTTTCTGGAGGAGACGCACCCGGAAAAGAAGCACCGAAGAGATCCCGGCCGTGAGTTGGGCCACTGGCTGATTAGCCAGTGCTGTGGCTCGCGTGTGCAGCTCCCTGACGATTCCGACGTGGGGGTGGAGGAAACCAAGTACTTTGTGTATGGTGATGTTCCGCCTGAATACGAAAGTGCCGAATCATCGCCTTGCCTGCGCCCCGTCAATGTGAGCGTGGGAGGAAGGGTGGACGGTGACGTCGGGGCAGCGGAGGAGTGCGACAGCGACAGCGACATCGAGGGACAGAAACCGGCCGCGCCCAAGGCGTTCACTCGACAGGTCATCTTCACCATTGTTGCTTACGGCATTCTCGCCTAGTGAGTTGGCCCCAATAACCCTCCATCTGCATGCCACTTCTTGCTTCCCTCCTGCAGCCCTGCATAATTGCTGACATTAATCTCCTCCGCAGTCACAGCGTCTCATTCGATCAGCTGATGCCCGTCTTCCTCTCCACGCCCAAGTCCGACGATGCGATCGTCCTGCCTCTCAAGTTCACCGGTGGTCTTGGTCTGCCAACGAAGACGATCGGTTTCATGCTGGCCGTCCAGGGAGTCTATTCCATGATCGCTCAACTGTGGCTGTTCCCATTCGTCGTCAAGCACTTTGGCACTTTGCGCACGTTCCGCTTTGTCCTGCTGGCATGGCCGCCGCTCTACCTGGCTGTGCCCTATCTCATCCTCCTCCCCGCTAAACTACAGATGCCCGCCGTCTACGTCGCCCTGATCAGCAAGATCACTTTCCACGTGATTGCTTTCCCCGCTATCGCCATCTTGCTGGCCAACGCTGCTCCCACGTCAAAGGTCCTCGGTTCCATCAACGGGGCTGCTGCCTCGACAGCCAGTCTCAGCCGTGCCTTTGGGCCGACGGTGACGGGGCTACTGCACACCAGAGGTCTGCTGAGCGGTTACTCCGTGCTGGCATGGTGGGCCTGCGGGCTCGTGTGCGTAGTTGGTGCCATCCAGAGTTTCTGGATGGAGGAGTCGCCCGAGCCTGAGCGCTTCAGAGACCAGGACTCTGAGGTCAGCGAGTCGGAGCTCAAGCATGAGACGATGTCGACTGATTCCTATGCCGGCCGGGATTCCATCTCGGAAGAAGAGCAACGCCTGCTGTCTCTTCGCTCCAGCCTTGACCAGGAATTCGATGTTTCTACCTTGAGCCTGGACCCCATTCATGATTTCTCAACTCCCGCGGAGACCGACTTGTCTTCTACTCGTCTCTAAAAGTTGAGACTGGTATATTTTATCATCAAAACATCCTGCTGTCCATTGTTTGTCCTTCTGGAAGGGCATGGCACTTCTTCCTAGCGCTCTTGCGCTCAACCTTTTTCTAAAGGGTTTTTCCTTCCTTTCCTTCTTCTCTTCCATCCATTTCTAGCCATGATACCTTCTTACTTTGACTCATGATTTTTTTTTTTTTCCCTTTCCTTTTTCTTCGGTCTTTCGTGTGTGCTTCGTTTTCCTTTTTCTTCTCGCTTCATCGAGATCTGGGAATGGCGCAACTGACATAGAGTGGATGCATATGCGACAGAAAAAGCATAAACCTTGGGGTCCTGTCTTCGGGTCTGTTTTCTTTCTTTCTTCCATCGTCAAATGACGATGGCTTTTGTTTTTTGTGTTTTTCTTTTGCCTTTCCTTTTGTCTTGGGAGCATTGAAACGGGATTATATTATGATGATACTCATGCATCTGGGAGGTTATCTGTGATTTTGCGTCGCTCTTGCGATTATTACCTGTTCCTACATCTTGCTTCATGTCAAGACACTACCATTGCGAATCGTCGATAGAGTCTCCTGTCACGGATTTTGAACCCAATGAACGGATTTATCTCATCATCTACACATCATCCTACAGTCCTTTTCTACTTAGACACTCTATTGTAAAACATATTTCTTCAAGGCCCCCACACTAGCGTCTACCGCTGTTGACCCAGGGGCAGTTTCACTTTGAACTGCAGGCCAAGAGGGATATCCACTCAGTATGTCCCTCGTTGCTACCTTGTCTGCAGCAGACAATTCGTTTCCGATCATATGACTTGACAGTGGATTATATACTTCCGTGATCTCCCTTTCGTCCTTTCTATTACTCTCCCCCCAAAAGTTCCCCCTGGCAAGTCACCAAGACTCGATGAGTCTTTGCAACCCCAATGGCCATCGCCTTTCACTACTCCGCGGCTCCGCCAATGGCAGCAGACTATTCCCGGGGAGCTCCACTTGGCACTTGTCGACAGTCGGATACATTCTATGAAGCTATGCGGCATACATGTAGGGCCAATGGATTGACAGAGACCAGCGCTGACACTTGAGTTAGAGGCTAAACCCTCCCCCCATTCTTGGATATATCCACGTCGCTGTGACCTACCCCAGTAGGTCTTTAAACGCCCCAAAAATCCGGGGTACCGAAAGTGCCGAGTTCTCCATTCCCGAGGGCAACTTAAATTTCTCCGTGACTGGGAGTGGCCATTGGCCCGAACTCCACCAGAACCCTATCGTCGTAGCCATGCGACGCAACTTCTCTCCTCTCTCTCCTCAATCTGCAGCTAAGGGTTGATCTTGCAATCCGCCCAGACACGTTGATCATCTGCTCTTCATTGCGCTACCTTCGCGCTATCCAGCGACCCTCATTTCCAACCTCGGAGGATAATCTCCCTCCGTCGCGTGCACTTGCGCCGCGGAGAGCAAGTTTTGGCTCGCCGTCCACTTTTGACGAGTGCGGGCCGCCTCTTTTTCTTTCGTTTTGCTTCACCAGAACCGCTGCCCTGCGCTGAGCCAATTCTGCATCGCCCGTTCCTCGAATTAGGATCATGAATGCTGATCTAACCCGGGGAGTCCAGCCGCTGTTCCCGACCGCCGTCTCCGCAGATCTCCACCGTCAAGAGATGATCGCAGGTCTGCGGCCTTCGCCCCTCGCTCTTCACCATGCCTAACCTCCCCTCCCCGCCCTCGCCCATGTCTTCGGGCAAGAAGAGACCTCATCCATCCGGCGAGACGCCGCCCACCCAATCCGACTCCACGAACGCTACGCGGGACAACCCCTCCACCTCAACCGCCGTGCCCTCCACATCTCCCGCCCTGTCAACCGCACATTCGACCGCTACCGTGGCCTCGACTGCCTCTTCCTCATCCTTCCGTAATGTCTCGGCGTGTAATCGCTGCCGGCTGCGCAAGAATCGCTGCGACCAGCGGCTTCCGCGGTGCCAGTCCTGCGAAAAAGCTGGAGTTCGCTGTGTCGGATACGATCCTATCACCAAGCGGGAAATCCCGCGCAGCTATGTATATTTTCTAGAGACAAGGGTCGCCTATCTGGAAAAACAACTGGCAGATCAAAATATCGAGTTTAAAAAAGCTGTCGCTTTCGACGAAGAGGAAGCTGTCAAGACCGAGACCGATGCCGATACGGCGCAAACTGGTTCGGGCACCGATGGCCCAGGTACCGAGGGCTCAGATAAGACATGGAAAGGCTCAGCGCTCAAGGAGGAGGCTGAAGGAACTGTACAGAGAGCAGAAGGAGATCAGGGTCGAGATACGGATGGGAATCGTGATGCTGCGAATGAAGATAATTGGCGTCTACACAATTTGGTGTCAAATATTGGCATGGTTTCTGTCCAGGGAACCTCCGATCCTCGATATCTCGGCTCAACTTCGGGTATCTCATTTGCCCGAGTTGTCTTTGCTGCAGTACGGAGTTCGCTACCAGGAAATGTACCTGAGCGCGCTCCGATCCGTCCCAGCGAGCGACTGCCACAGACGGCAGCTGGCCCTGCTGGGGGTACCATGCGCGATTCATTCTTCGGGCTCCAGACGAGGCCCATGATGAAGCGCGCTGCTTTCCCGGATCGCGAGCTTGCGGAGCGTCTGGTGGATCTCTACTTCGAACATGCCAACCCTCAAATGCCTATCCTACATCGCGGAGACTTTATGGAGCTTCTCGATCGCACTTATATTTTGGAGGAGAAAAACCGTTCTCCTCGAGCCCTCTATATCCTCAACATTGTGTTTGCTATTGGTGCAGGAATTATTTTTGATGACAAGCCTCAGAGTTCGGATGATGAGGGGCACGCAGGCCGTGACCGAGCTTCATCTACGACGAAGAGGTTACGGTTGTCGAATCACCAGTATCAGCCAGAGGAGTACCATGCTTCTGCGATCGTTCACTTGGAATCTTTCCTCGGTTCCTCATCCAGCGAAGGATTCGGTGGGTTGGAAGAACTTCAGGCAGTGCTCCTGCTGGCCAGCTTTGCCTTGCTTCGTCCGGTCGCTCCCGGCCTGTGGTATATTGTCGGTGTTGCGATGCGTTTGGCTGTTGACCTAGGTCTCCACTATGAGGATGGCGTTGGCTTGGGCACTCCGAAAGACGGGAACCAAGTCCAGCCTCGCATTGATGCCCGCGAGCGAGGACGCCGCGAATGGGTGCGTGATCTACGACGCCGTTTGTGGTGGTGTACGTACAGCTTCGACCGCCTGGTTGCCACATGTGTTGGCCGACCATTCGGCATCAGTGACCAGGCTATCAGCACGGAATTCCCGTCCATGATGGACGACAAGTACATCACCAAATCCGGACTCTTGACGCCTCCCGATGGTGCCCCAACATACAAGCACGTCGCTTTCCACTACTTCAAACTACGCCTCCTCCAATCCGAAATTCACGATGTTCTTCAATACCAGCAAGCCCGTGCCGTACGAAGGCGGGCATCTGAAAGCGCTACTATCCTTCCCCACGCCGAGCTCACATCACCCTTCCTCCAGGGCTTTGATTCGTTCCGTTCATGGCGTCATGACGTACATCGTCGTCTGGTCGAGTGGAATGAGACCGCGCCAACCCGTCCTGATACGGGTGTGCGCTTTTCTATCGAACTTTTGGAGTTGAATTACTGGCAAGCTATCATTCTGTTGTATCAGCAGAGCTTAACGGTACCGGCGGAATTGGCTTCAGAATTGACGCCCGCGGATGACGTGTCCAGTCCGTCTTTCTCTAATCCTGAGGAAGGTGATGACGAGGACCATGTTTACTTGAATGTGGCCGAGGCTGGTCAGAAAGTCATTCGGATTTACCGACAGTTGCACAGAGTGCGCTTAGTGAACTATACTTATCTTGCGACGCATCATATCTTCATGGCCGGTACGACTCTATCCCCGATTTGGTTTTCTCTGGTCTAGCTGCTGATTTTCGTATCTAGGAATATCCTTCTTGTATGCTATCTGGCACTCGCCATTGGTCCGCAGTCGATTGGTAGGCCCCGCCTTACTTCCTTTTATTGCTTACTTGATGCTAATGAGTCTTTGCTTTAGACACTGGATGAGGTTGATTTCACTGTGCTTGCTGCAACCTCTGTTCTTGGTGACTTGATGCACAAGTGTCCTCCTGCGGAAAATTGCCGGGATGCATTTGAGCGGATGAGCAAGGCTACTGTGCAAATGTGTTTGTCGACTACTGGATTTGGGTCACAGGTTGATATGTCTAGAATCCAAGCGGCGGCACACGGCGCGGGTAATCTGTATTCAGGCCGACGCCAGGCAATGAACCAGCGACACCAAGGAGGCCAAGGGCAAGTCCGACGTTCGACTCAATCTCGAACGGCACGACCAGTCCCCAAGTTCGACATGAATCTGGCCGATCTGTTCAGTGACACCAACACGCCTCTGGCTGACAGGTCTCGAACCGACAGCAGACCTCCGGGTACCAACTACGCTGTCCGACCAGAGACTGCAGAAGCCGTTGCACCCGGTCTCACTCGGCCATTCGCGCAGCGCACACCATCCATGGAGTACTACATGAAATACGAAGGTCAAACATCTCCACAGACTCAAGCCCATCCTCAGTTCTACTATGGCAACTCTCCACCACAGAGTGGTTCGCCGGGTAGCGTTGCCCATTCAGCTGGTGGACCCCATGGTCTGCCACCCCCAGACGCAGAGAATCAGCAAGGCATCAGCTTAGATTTCTTGGACTTTGCACCTGGCGATCCCGATAACCACGCCATGGGGCAAGACCCTAATGCCGAGTACAATCTTGCAGGCATGCCCACCCTCGGCCAGAATGTGGGTATTGACCTCGGATTCGGCATGGCCATGGACTTCCAGCATGATTGGAGCGAGAATCCCAACTATGATATTCTCGAGGGATACTTTTTCGGTGGTTCCGGAGCAGGCGCACCTGGCGGTGATGCGTAAGGGTTTCTTCTGCTTTGCCTTTGTTTCTGCTGCCATGATGCCACGGACGTTTCGACTTGCATCTTTTACTTCTTTGTCTGCTTGTTTCATCCTTTGTGCCTACTGCTCTCTGCTGTCGTCCTCCCCTCCCTCCACCTTTTTCTAACACGACCTGCTTGTTTTTTATTGGGACAATATAGTCAAAGAGGATTTCTTAGGTGAAAAAGGACTGGTTTTGGGGGCTAAGGGGTTATGGTCATATTTTTCAACCCCTTGTTACCTTTTTTTTCTTGTGCTTCTTGTCTGTTTTGCGATACCATATACTATACATCATACACATATCAAAAGACAAGATCTAATGAGCAACAAATGGGAGTCGATGTAGCTTTGGAGTAATAGGTAATTATCTAGATTGTATCGCTACCTCCTTGATCGGGTACTAAAGCTTAGGTAGACGAAGGGCTTCATGTCGAGTCGTAGGGGGGTAGCAGTAAGAAACCAATGAAACAATAATAATGCATGGGCGGCCTAAGAACGACGTGGAAATCGGCCAAAAATGGCCCCCCATGAATGCCTTGGGCAGCAACTTCTATCCGCTCCAAAACAAACACCTCAACTTTTTCTCCCCTCGCCAACTCATAACCTTCCAGGCCAACTCGGGGACTGGGCTGACAGCAAAAGTGCTTGGTCGCGTCTCGTTGGTTGCTCTGCCCAGCGATCCGGCGCGATCTGCGCTCAGACCCAAATCTGCCTAACATCAACCTCATCAGGTGCCCAGTGCTCACGATCTGACGATTTGCGATTTCTCCCCGCGACTACAACCGCGACTTGCAACAACCAAGTTCCAAACCCAACTCAGAGCCAGACCTCCCCGTCCTTTCTCCGATCGTCAATCTACACTGCGACCACTGCAGACGCAGTACCATGCCTATTACCCGCGAATACTACTCCAACTGAACACTCGCTTGATCATTCTGCTCAGCCCTGTTGGAGCGTGGGTCCTGCAGGCAACCGACTCCCGCCGACTCTCGTCGCCAGCCTCCACTTCCATTTTGAGACAGAGAAACGACTGCCTAGGCGACTATAGACCGTCCCTGGCTAGATCTTCTGCGGGTCTCACTTCGGTTTCTCTGCCGCCGGCCACGACATCTAGTCCTTTGGGTTGCGCCTCTTGCGACGCCCGTGAACTGGGGAACTCGAACAGAACTTTTTCATGACTGGATATGCCCGACAGCGCCTACGCCCTACAAGACCGTCGATAATGCAATTTGACCACTGTCCGGGCCTTTAATATCGCCTTACGAAAGAGATCAACATGGTGAAAGCGGATGTCCGAAGGGACTACTATGCAGACCTGGGTTTGCAGCCTAGTGCGGAGGCGGAGGACATCAAAAAGCAGTTCAGGAGATTGGGTGAGCGTTCAAAGGATACTTCCAGCTGAAGAATGGAAGCTAATCTGGTCATCTAGCTCTCAAATACCATCCCGATAGAAACCAAGGGCGTGAACAAGAAGTTATCGCCAAGTTCCAGGCCATTCAAGCGGCGCATGAGATCCTCAGTGACTCGCAACAACGGTTGAAATACGATACAGAGCGCCTACGTGCAGGATATGGCAAGGTCTATGGCCCTTCCAAGACTGCCCCGCGCAAGACCCAACCGAGTTACTCCCAGAACTACTCTACGGCTACTCCTCCCAAAACACAAGGTTCGCACCAGCCCGCCTCCAAGAGCCCTTCCCCAAGTTCAACCCCCTTAAACGAATCCTCTCCCTCTACCTTGAATGCCAAGATCCCTAACAACCCCAAAGCTCCGAAACCTTTCCCAACAAGTCGACCGCAAGGGACGTCGAATGGACCCTCAGCCGGCGCTTCACGATACGCGACTCATGCGCGAGCGGGACCACAACAAAGGCAACAGGATGAGTCTCAGACGAGAGCGGATGCATTCAAGGGCTTCCACAACATGAGGGGTCAGAATTGGCGAGGATTTGATCCTACATCAGGTGCTACCCCACGGCAACAGAACACTCCTTTTGGTAATCCGAAGCCCAAATCCGCGTATGAGTACTTCAAAGAAAATGCCCAGGCCAAGAATTCCGCAAATACGAATACCAATTCACCCAAGAAGAGACACGGGTATGCGCCGGGAACCGCTGGTGGAGATGAGCCCATGGCTCCGAATACTAGTGCTTATACCAGCACTCGAAGCGAACGGCCAAGTTCCATGTACTTTGATTCTGCGCCGCCGCCAACAGCCAAGAAATCAACGAGACCCGTGTCTCCAATTTGGCATTCAGAATCAGCAGAGCCCCCGTCTCCGCCATTAGCACAAGAGTTCGAGCGCACTAGCCGGAGTTATGCCACAACAGGAGGTGAGAAGACATTTTTCGGAAACCCTGGTCTAGGCCGATCATCGACCATGCGCACACCCACATCGTCGTACCGTGCATCAAATACCCGCACCAACCCGCCGAGCCCTGACCCTGCTCAACCGGAGAGACATCGCAGCGCCAGCCCCAAGACCAGACGAGACCGATCTTATTCATTTTCTTCAACCACCTCAAGTGACTTCGATGACGAGACTGAAGAAGAAGTGCGTCAACCCAGCGCCTTCAAACCCATGGCTGTACCCAAGAGTCGTCTCCGTCCCAATCAAAAGTTTGCCGATTTCTATCGAACGAGAGAGTCTAGCCCCGGAACTGGTGAGGAAGCCTCTACCCGGCCAGACACCCAAGGCCATCGACATTCGTCAGCTACGCACGGGACCAGGAAGCCTCGAGCGGCCCCAACCTATATTGACTTGACCGCTGACAGCGACGATAATCAAGGCCACAACTCGGACAGCGCTGCATTTGCGAAAGGATCATATCGGCGTGAGCAGCAGGACTCCAATTCCAGGTATGTTAGTTCTGATTAGTTCACATCTCGTATTGTTCATGGCTAATGGATTTTTCCGCAGTACCAATTCCACTCGGGATAAGACAAATCCTGCTGCATCCGCTCGCCATGATGCTAGTAATCTCCATAAAAAGTTCTCTGCGGAAGATTGGCGAGTGCATCTTGATGAATTCGACTTTCTCGGTGCCTCTACGAAAGATCGGGATCCTCTTGGCAAAGCAGCATCAGCGAACCCAATTGCCCGACCACGGGCTAGCACTCGCGTTAGCCCAACACAGTCATCAACCTCGGCGGGCTTCTCTAACCTGAACGCGTTCAACCCTGCTTCTAGGGCGGGTTCTTTTGAACCACAGTCACAGCAAGGGCCCACACCTTTTGCGCAGGCCAAGTTCTCCGCGGATAAGTGGTCCAAAGATCTTCACAATATATCCTGGACGGCTGCGGAGAAGTTGGGACAGCCAGACAGTGCATCTTCATCCCGAAGCCCTAAGAAGCCGCCACGGCCAAGTACTAAGGTCCGCAGCACACCGAAGGCTGCCAAGGTGGCGAGCGAAGCTGAGGAGGCTGTGGATACAGTTGGCGCGGATAGTGTTCATGAGCACAGCTCATCTGTTCCAGTGGGCGAAGAGCCAATGGACATTGACGAGGAATTACCATCCGTACCCATTGGTAGCGCTAGAACTGCCAAATATCCCGATTTATCCGCGCACGGTGCACAAGGGGCTCATACTGTGGGATCACAGAGACCCCAACCGCCTCCACAAAAGGAGCGTATCTCATCTCAAAATGGTGTTCGCTCCCCACTCTTTGATCTCGGTCAATTCGGCAATACAGCACCTTTTACCAGCACCAACAGCGGCGGCATTGAGAATTTGGGAGATGTCTCTGCTACGTTACCGTTCGAGTCAAGAGCAAAATCCCATATCACCACCAAGGACGATATTCGACCCCGGGATCTCCAATTACCAAACCCTCCCAGACGACCCACGGCACCAGCCCCAATCCCCATTGCGCCGGGATCACATAGGACAGTTCTTTCTCGCGATAAATGGAACTGGTATGTATCCGCCATGGGCACCTACATGCACGAGTGGAATACCTTCAACCGCCGCATGCTTCTCCACTTCAATACCCGCCAGGATGCCATCGAGACTGGCCTTGCACCCGGTTGGATCAGTGCCGTTGGTGATACGACACGACTGAAGATGAACGGTGTTGATGACGATGGGAGTGGCGGCCAGAACGGGGCTCGTGACGATCTCGGGTTGACTGAGATCGACGAGTACCTTGTGCCGGGCAGCGGCAAAGGTGGTTTCAGTGCTTATCTGCGTGGCATTGAGGAAGATGCTACGGTGCGTAAACACTGGGAGGTAGCGTGTGAGCTACATCGTGATTGTATCTTGGAGCTTGGGCGGTTACGTGAATGGATTCGCAACGGGGGAAAGGTGGCATGATGGAGGAAATCAGTTCCTTCCAGTTGCTTGGCTCTTTTTTTCCTTCTCTTCTCTTCTCTTCTCTTTTATTTCGATACGAGAAACGATTTACGGACGAAGCTGGCGTTGGATGCGTATTGCATCGGTAGAGAGGAGGTCTTGGGTGGGCGTTCATCTGTTGCTGCTCTCTTTGCTGTCTGCATCAGGGGGTTATGGTGTCTTTTTTTTGGTGAAATACCCTGTAGGTGAAATGCATCTGATAGATATAATCTGGGCTCCATTTCCCCAATTGTTCTACTGTAGATTCACACTTTTGAAGACTTTACTTGGTTCACAGTTGAAAACCCTACCCTAGTAGCCTTAGGCAACAAGGTGTAGACGGAAATACTGCTTAGTAAATCATGGTGCGCACCAATTGGATATCAACAAGTCTGAATTGCTATACTACGTAAAGCCCCTAACTTATCTGGCAATTTATGTGGGCATAATAATGACTAATACATGCGGTCTAATACTATCTCCGTTCTCCGGGATACACTGCTGCTTCTGTTCCGTCAGGTGTTCGGGCAATAAGGCAGTCAGGCATCAAGACCAAAAACCCCGCGGAGGTGCGTACTGCGGATACCAAAATTACACGGTGACATGCGGGAAGAAAAAAAAAAGGTCGGGATTCTTGGTGAGTCACGCAATTAAAAGCAAAGTCAATTCCAAAGAGGCTCTTATTCTCCTTCTCCTAATTATCCCCAGGGATAATTGACAATTGGTATGTTTCAACGCCTTTCGATCGGAAAGTGCCGATTGCGCCAGCCCCCAGGCACACCGAGACAAGACTGACCCGAGCCAGACCTTTGCCCCGCCATCCGAAGCCGGACGTACTTCTCTTTCTTCTCCAAACCTCCGCCACTAGGACCGATTGATTGATCCTCCATTCGATATCGAATCCGACCATTACGATTGCGAATCATACCGACCGTGCGAATTCACCATGGTTTCCATCGTTCTAGGCAGTCAATGGGGAGATGAAGGTGGGCTTTCTTGCCTGGATGTGAACTCGGCAATGGAGGAGAGCGCAGCGCTGATACGGGATGTACAGGGAAGGGAAAGATCACAGATATGCTGTCGCAGCAGGCGACACTTTGCTGCCGTGCAGCTGGTGGCCACAGTACGTGTTTCTAGAGATGATACTTGCTTCTTGAATTGTTGCGAGTCTTCTTCTGCTTTCCAGATTGACTGACTGTTGCCTGCCTTGTGCTCGCGAATTAGATGCCGGCCACACCATTGTTCACGAAAATGTCACTTACGACTTCCACATCCTGCCCTCCGGCCTGGTCTCGCCCTCATGTATCAACCTGATCGGCGCTGGTACCGTCTTCCACGTCCCCAGCTTCTTCAAGGAGCTGAAGGCTATCTCGGAGAAGGGCTTGTCATCTGCCAGCAAGCGCATCTTCGTCTCCGACCGCGCGCACGTCTGCTTCGACCTGCACTCCGTTGTTGATGGCCTGGAGGAGGCCGGTCTGGGTGGCCGCAAGGTCGGCACCACCGGTAAGGGAATTGGCCCCTGCTACAGTGACAAGGCTGCCCGCCGCGGTGTCCGCGTCGGCGAGATCCTCGACGAGGAGACCTTTGAGCGCAAGCTGCGCACCTTGGACATTGCGTATCGCGCGCGTTTCGGCGACATTAACTATGATGTCGAGGAGGAAATTGCCCGCTTCAAGGTAGGTTTTGTGGTGTGGACGAGGAAATTTATTGACGTGCGGAAGAGCTATAGAACTGACCCGCCCGCCCGCTAGGAATACCGCACCATGCTCAAGCCCTACATTGTCGACCAGCTTGAGTTCCTGCAGGAGCACAAGAACTCCCCCAACACCCTTGTCGAGGGCGCCAACGCCCTGATGCTCGACCTCGACCACGGCACATACCCCTTCGTCACCTCTTCATCAACAGGTCTCGGCGGTGCCGTCCAGGCCCTGGCCTTGAACCCCGCCAGCATCAAGTCCGTCATCGGTGTCGTCAAGGCTTACACCACCCGTGTCGGCTCCGGTCCTTTTCCTAGCGAACAGCTCAACGAGGACGGCGACAAGCTCCAGAGCGTCGGCCGCGAGTTTGGTGTTACCACTGGCCGTCGCCGCCGCTGCGGTTGGCTCGACCTGGTCCTGTGCCGCTACTCGCACGCCATCAACCACTACACCGCTCTTAACCTGACCAAGCTCGACGTCCTGGACGACTTCGACGAGATTAAGGTCGGTGTCGCTTACATCCTGCCCTGCGGCAAGCGCACCACCGGCACTTTCCCCGCCGACCCCAACATCATCGAGAAGATCAAGGTTGAGTACGTCACGCTTCCCGGCTGGAAGACCAACACCATGGGCGTCACCCGCTACGAGGACTTGCCCCCCAACGCCCGTGCTTACATTGAGTTCATCGAGCGTGAGATCGGCGGTGTCCCCATCAAGTGGATCGGTACTGGCCCTGCTCGGGAACACATGATTGCCCGCGAGTAAAAAGAGTGTGTTGATGTGTTGATAATTCGGGTTAGTTGATCGTAAGTTTCTATCTAACCCGTTGGTAAATGTTTAGAGATACTTCCCACTTGTTCGGTTGTGCTTTTTCCCTTTCGTATTGCAGTATATTGGGATATTTGATTGAATCATACACGGTTTCGACCTTTATTTGTTTTGATACCATCCATATCCCCTCATGAGTGATTTGTTACTTATTTTCCTCCCAAAAGATTGGTCGTGTGTTTCAAAGATGACTTGCACTGAGACTTGGACTTACATGACCCGAGGCTATGTGGATACTTTTAGATGTTTGGATGTTAGGGGAAATGGCTAACTGGAGATACTGTGCACATAATGCACATATACGAATATCATAATGATTCAAGCTTTGAAGTTGGAAAATGAAACATACGAATCTAGGTAAATTCATGAAAAATGATAGATGAAAACAATAGATTACCAACTTATCAAACAAAAAATCAACACAAAAGTAAATCCACGTAAAGATAGACAATCAACTCATCAAACCGACCATAAACTCAAACTAGCAATAAATTCCACGAAGAAAAATCCAAACAACCCAAGACTAAATAATCTTCTCCGTAACTTGGCAAACCACACGAAAGAGATGTGACCTGCCCACGAGTGACTTCTCCATCGGCATGACAGCTTCAAGCACGGAACACGAGTCGGTGGATACATCCTTGAAAAAAGAGTCTTATACAAGGCAAGCTTCAAGGGGGTGAAACCTACCTCCTCACGCCAAGCCCATGGTATGTATTAGAAGACCTTAATCTTGAGTCGTATCCATCTCATCGCTGTCATCCATGGCCGTGGGTAGTAGTGTTGGCGCTGGAAAATCGTCCCATCGGGGGGCTCGCGCCTGTGTCACATCAACATCAGGCAATCCTTCATACAAGTCATCAAGAGAATCAGCCATATACAAATTACCTGTGTTATCTGGGGCGTTAGCAAAATACATCAAATGCCGGATCCAAATTCCGGAGAGTCTTTCATCATCAAACGACGGGGAGCCGGGCCTAACATAGACTCTGATATCGGTCCACGGGGTTATGTAGTTGCTGCCACCGACTGCTTCGTCGACAATCCGGGCTTGGAGGTGATATGCCGGCATGCAGGTGTTTCCACCGGCCGTTCCGACTATCACGTGTCCAATGACTTGAAGGTTGATGTTGGCTGCTCGTTCCAGTTCTTCGATGTCGCTGGCGAAAATGTTCATGGAACAAGCGCCAGTGTCGTCCACGAAGTCCCAACCGCGGGTCGCGAATGGGTTGCGGACACCTGGGATTTTCAGGCGAATTTTCACCTGGAGTAAATGAACTTGGGTCAATACCTCTCCCTTGAGATGTCCATGAATGGTTAAAGGGGATTTTCAAGCTGGACCTACCATATGCATGGCAGCCTCATTTTGAGGCCCGTACCTCCAGCAACTGTAAAGGGATGCACGTTCAGAATTACACTAAAATACGGGCAGACCATTAGCTAAGTTCATGACTACGGACAGGTCTTGGATAGACTCACCCACCTCTTCGACCCAGAATGACTTGTGGCCCTGGTGCGCTTTGTTGACGTCACTGAAAGTCTTCCAATCGAACTTCCCAGGGCCCCAAACCATCCTGCCATTTGACCAGAATGTGCAAGTGCCCCGTTTCCATTTGAGCTCCCCACTGGTGTAAGCGGCAATAATGGCTTGAACATTGGACATCTGCTCTTGCACATCATTCTTGGCCAAGTCCTCTTCAATAAATCGAAGATCCTTCAGACGTTTGGCGACTTTCCAGGGTAGCCCCGGAGCAGCGGCGAGGATTTCACTACAAATGATGATCAGTACTAAAATCTTGGAGATAGATTGGCCAGAATCTGAACATACTCTTTCTCTGCTTTCCGTTTCATGTATCTTTCCAGGCGCTCCTCGAACAATTTCGGAAGAATATTCTCCTTGATTCTCAGATGGCATCGCGCAATGTTGCCGTCCATATCACTAGCATGGTATTTAGTGACTGAGAAGAGATAGAAGTGAAACACTTTTGAGGGTAACTTACTGCTCATCGAGATCATACTCATTAGGATCCCACTTGTCAGGCAACTTGTCTGGATCGTCAATCCGAGATCCATCATGTGCCCAGTTTACCTCTCTTTCCTCGGCGAGCTTGCGACGGCCGCCAACCATTTTCACTTCCACTTTCTTTTCCCGGCCAGCTTTGGTCTTGGCTCCAGCTTCTTCTTTCATTGCTGGACGAGCCTTGGCCTTGGCTGGAACTTTTCCACGAGCCACACGAGTGGGCTTTCTGCTTTTTGTAACTCCTTGGAGCTTCGCGGCGGGGCTTTTGGCCTTTTTAGCTCTTTTGGTTCTGGTGGCGGCTCTCGTCCGAGCACCAGCGGCGTACTGGATAGAGGGCTGTGTGGAGGGCCCTGGGGAAGGCTCTGGCGAGGCCTCTGTTAAAGCTTCAGGTAAAGCTTCAGGAGACGCCTCAGGAGAATCCACAGGAGACTCTCCAGGAGAAGCCTCCCATTCAACTTCAGGAGAAGCCACAGGAGAAGCTGCCGGAGAAGGCTCTCGAGAGGTCTCTGGCGAAGTTTCTGGAGAGCCGTCTGAATAAGTCACTGGCGTAGGCTTTCGAGCCCGAAAGTTGTAGCGCCTTGGCTGCTCAGGATCCATGATGAAGAAATAGCAGAATATATACTAGAAGAATGGGCTGTGAAAGTGTTTGTTCACGCAGCAAACCGATTGTGCATTGAAAAAGATGTAAGTCTCGGGGGAATTCTGTGCAGGTTATATAGATCAAAGCGAGGCAAAGGATACAGGCACAAAATGAGAATGTTACTATTGAGGATGTACATCTAAGAGGGGGGAAAGTATGATCCCGGAGTTGGAATGAGAGTATTTTCTTTGATACTCGACGGATAGTTCTAAAGATAGCTTTGGAGGTGGGATAGAGGCTGTGCGCATTGAAAGAAAACTGGAGGATTGTGGATTCCGGCCTGGGATTTAGGTTGGAAAATGTATGGAGTACATGTTCTTTGTCTGTTGCAAGTACAACTCACACCAAAGAGAAATAATCATCTTACTGTTATAGGAGGACTCGATTTCAGGTTGGAAAATGCATGGAGTGTATCTTCTTTGTCTGCTGACAACCACACAACTCCCACTAACGAGAAATAATCACATTACTATACAGCTTATAGGAGGACTCCAATTTACTCGAGTCTGAAACAGTGCATGAAATAGTTCTCAATTAAATTCAAATATTTTCCCACGGAGACCAGTATATAACACATGAGGAGAGAAGTTCGAGAATGTCAAGGAGAAAAGGGGAGTATAGTACAAAGATGTCAAGAATTGAAGGACAAAGAACGCCGCCCAATGCAAGGATGGTATAACTCTATCGATTTTCTTCTTTTGTCGTAAATCAGACAAAGACAGACTCAGATGGCCAGCAACTTCCTTTTACTCGGCCCCGCCAGTCCCAAATTGGGACAATCAATAGCGGGGGCGAGCACCAAACACGGCATCGCCGTAGCGGTTTGGCGAGTCACGACGAGACTCGCGAGACTCGCCGAAATGGCCAGATCGACCGTGGCTGGATCGGCCACGGTTAGATGATCGACGGCCTCCAAAGGGAGAGTCGTCGAAGCTGCGGCCACGGCGTCCAGAGTCAAAGGGATCAATGGCGCGGCGGCCAAAGGAGCCACCCTCCTCAAGCTTCAACTCCTTGATGCGATCAAGGCCAAGGTTGCGGGCAATGCTAGCTTTGACAGCTGGGGGCTCGGCCAGACCGTAGCCGTGAATGGCCAGGTTGTTGAGGGCCAGAATGGCATTGCGTTTCTTGGTGAAGCTCTGAGACATTGTTCCCAGCTGGGAGCGGTAGGTGCTCTCCTTCATGATGGGAGAAACCTCGTTCATCGCCTCCTTGATTTGCTCGATGGTCTCAGCCGCCGCCGGTGAGGCTGTCTCCAGATCCCGAGCCATGTTCAGCGAGGCAGTGGAGAGGGTGTTGTCCTCAGTGAGGGGCAGGTCACCCAGCTTATCTTGGTAGAACTCGTATTCACCGTCGTGCAGGAGCAGGTAACCCTCGCCCTCCTTGCCAGCACGACCAGTACGGCCAATACGGTGAATGTAAGTCTCGCGATCACGAGGAGGTCCCACCTGGATGACGTGAGTGACCTCGGGGAAGTCCATACCACGGGCAGTGACATCCGACGAGAAGAGGATGGCCTCCTCAGCACGACGGAAGTTGTTGGCACTGTTGGTACGCGCAGCCTGCGTCAGACGCGAGTGGATCTGGTGCACACGCATGCGGCCAAGGGGAGACCGGCTCCGTCCATCGCCAGGGATGCCGCGGAGGGCCATGAAAGCCTCAGCAGCAAGGTTAACCTCGTTAGTCGAGTTGAAGTAGACAATGGCCTTGAAGGGGCGCAAGTTCTGGTCCTCTGCTTGACGAGCCTGGTAGGTCTTGGCCAGCTCGAGGACGGTTGGCAGAGCGTTCTCATATCCTTGCAGGAAGACGGTCTTCTGGGGCACTCGGACGTGGGTAGGGACCTCGTCATCACGCACAGTCCTGATGAACTTGAAGTCCGGCTTCATAGTGCGCTTGACCATGGTCATTACTTCCTTGGGAACGGTGGCGGAAAGCATGAGGGTCTGACGATCAACCTTGAACGGGTCAGGAAGGAGATTCTTGATTTCATTGATCTCTTGCGAAAAGCCCTGATCTAGGAGACGATCGGCTTCATCCAGGATCAGAGTGTTCAGCTTGGGAGCCGAGACACCGCTGGAGGGGTCTGAGAGGATATCCTTGATGCGGCCAGGAGTGCCGACCAGCAGATGGCAACCATCACGCTGGATGCGCATCAAACCGGATCTCTTGTGCGTGCCACCGACGGCAGTCTGGACAACGAGACCAGTGCCTTGCGCAACCTTGATGGCCTCGGCGGCGATCTGTTCAGCAAGCTCACGGGTGGGAGAAATGATCAGAGCCCGAATGTCAGACGAGCCAGCGCCAGTGGAGCGGTGGCGGCCCTGAGGTTGGGCTCGCTTGAGAGTAGGGTCGCTAAGGATGTTTTGCATGGTAGGGATGAGGAAGGCGAGGGTTTTGCCTGTTCCGGTCTTAGCCTGGGCAAGACTGAAGGTAAGGTATTAGTGAATAGTCTCTAATGAGCAGTTTTAGGAATGATAAAAGTTGGAACGATACTCACACATCAACACCACCAAGCATCTGGTTGATAGTCTGGCTCTGCACCTCGGTCATGGTCGTCAAGGCCATGCGGCCAGGATGAGTGATGTTGCGAATAATCGAGGCATCAATCAATCCCTTGGTCTTGAGATCCGCAAACTCAGTGATGAATTCAGGCTCTTGTGACACATTCTCCAAAGTCTCTGTCACCTGGGCAGAAGCGGCGTTCAGCGCAGGGAATGAGGTGTGAAGGAATTTGGCCAGGACAGGAGCCTGGCTGGTCGGGGCCTGCCACTTGAGCAATTGGGGAGCCCATCGAGCAGACAGGGAGCGCGGGGCGGAAGCCCGCAGGGCCTGGGAGACACCAAATCGGCGAACAGCACCAAGCATGATGAAATAAATGAGTGAGTGAGACGTGATGAAAGAGTCTGGCGTGGCAATCGGCGCGCGACGGGAAAAGGCAAAACGAAAATTTAGGTCACATGACTGTTATCGATAAGATTCGCCCCTGATATTAAGTGCCTGAGGCATCCCGAAATATACTTGACTTTTGAATACGAAGCCACCTGACTTTGTACTTGAGCTCTGGAAAAATATAGTTTGATCTTGGATTGACCAAGACATGCAATGTTGACCAGGAGGCCAACCCCCCCAGTTCCTCCCAATGACACGTCCTATCTTCGACTCTAAACCTATTACTCCGTACAGATGAACACGACCCAATCAGACTGTTGGATGGACTGAGTCAGCGGAACTTCGGGCAGTGGAGACTACGAAGTTCGCGCGAATAAAAAATCAAAATCAACAACGTTGGTACGATTAAGGTTGAAGCACAGGGGATTGCTAATCACTGCTACGATGCACTATGGAGCTGACAAATTAGTACAGGGACAGTTTGCAGTCCATGATTAATCTGCAAACATGGCAATTTTGCTTTGCCAAAATTGGCCTGGCGATCCCTGCAAATATGGAGACCAGACATGAAAATATGCAAGAGTCTAGTCCAGCTTCGTTCCTATAAGATCGGCAGACCCCCCACGCCAAACATGCATTCCAGTCAAGTCACAATTCCCTGCTACTTAAAGCACCTTTTGGTTCAAACACCATGGCATCTGTCAACGTTGTGATTGTGGGGGCTGGAATTGCCGGCCTCGTTATTGCCCACTCTTTGCTTCAAGGGGTTCCCAACGCTAAGATCGTCCTGGTCAACCCTTCCCAGACGTTCTACTGGAACATTGCCTCCCCACGCATTGTCGCCAAACCAAAGGCCTTCAAGCCAGAGCAATACTTGCTTCCAATCAAGGATGCCTTCGCCCAATACTCGAGCGAGAAATTTGAGTTGGTTCTTGGAACTGCAACCGCCATTAATGTCGCTGGAAAAACTGTGACTGTCACCCTCAATGGCAGCGGTGGCTTGAAAGACTTGTCTTATGACCATCTCGTGATCGCATCTGGAAGTACCAACTCGTCCACCACTGGTGCAGTCACTGGAACTTCAATCCCATTCAAGCCATCCAATCGGGACGATATTAAACAAATTGTCGAGGCCGCCCAACAGCAGATCGCCAATGCCAAGGAGATCGTGATCGGTGGTGCTGGACCAGTCGGTGTTGAGTTGGCGGGTGAGCTTGCTGAAGGTCTCGGCAGCAAGGCAACTATCACCTTGATTTCTTCTGCAGACCGCGTGCTTCCCATGATCAAGGCCTCTGCTAGTGCCGTGGGCGAGAAGAAACTAAAGGAGAAGAATGTCAAAATCATCACATCCGCCAAGGTGACCGGTGCCGAGGCCTCAACCGATGGAACCAAATCCTGGACTGTCACTCTGGACAATGGAAAGAAGCTGTCCGCCGACGTGTACATTCCCACGACGGGCGCCATCCCGAACAGCAGCTTCATTCCTGCCGAATTTCTCGACAGCAACGGCTGGGTCAAGGTCGACAAGGAGCTGCGTGTGCAGTCCTCCGGCGGTTCGGCTCTGCCCATCTATGCCGTCGGCGACATCAACACCAACAACATGCGTCTTAGCTTCAAGGCCACCGAACAGGCCAAGATCGCCGTCACCAACATCAAGGCCGACATCGCGGGCTCGGGCGAGCGCAAGTCCTATGATCAGGGTGAGAGTATCATGATGATGGTGCCCGTTGGAGAGACTGGTGGTACTGGTCAGCTATTTGGAGTGACTCCTTTTAGCTTCATGGTCAAGTTCGTCAAAGGCAAGGACTACTTTGTGTCCAAGGCGCCGCAATACCTGGCGGGCAAGGCTTAAACAACCTCGGAGGTGGAAAGAGAGGGATATGTACGAAAGCCGGATGGTGTGAGAATGACCTGTGATTAGCAATAATAGATATTTTTAATGTTTTATACCATTGCGAGCCTAATTTTGAAGCCAAGACCTGACTAATGACTAATATGGATGTGTTAACGTAGTTCCCGGCTTACCTGATAACCCGGTTAACCCGATAACCCCAAAACACCATACTAAATGGGATTTTTCATAATTTCATATTTCAACCCCAAAGGCCAAGAATGTCATCTTAGGGATACCGTAGTGTTTGATATACCATGCTAAGTATATTTATTAGGTCGAGAAATTTTTCCAAGTGGTATAATATTAATATATATATCTACATCACTGGACCGGAGTGTAATTTTGGTAATATAGGTAATTAACCCTTTTCAAAATATTTGAGTCATGCTACACCGTTTTTAGTGCTCAGAATTTATATGACACTATAAATCAAAGAAAGAAATGCTTCTAGTTGTTGATATGCTATGACCTAAAAAATTGCATTTAGTATGGTGTTTTGGGGTTATCGGGTTAACCGGGTTATCAGGTAAGCCGGGAACTACGTTAACTAGTTAACTAGTTAGGCTCCATTCGTTGGCACGGTTGTGGATCTGCATCCCAATAATAATCATCCCGGGCGGGATGAAGTCATCAAAAATTTGCCAGATCGCAGGCATCACGATTCAAGGCGCTATGTATTAATTGAGGCATAAAGCGACATACAGTGTGAAATATGGAGTGATGCCTATGCAAGCTAACTCAGAATATATCAACTGACTCAACAATTAATCCGCGGCTAGGGAGCCAATGACGGTCGCTGACTCGCCTCAAGGGATGGCCAAGGCCAATCGAGATCTATGGAGTATGGACCCTTTCAATCGATGCACCCCGCTGCTGGACCAGCCCTGAATTGGTAAGATTCTCCGTGATGAGAAATCGAGCTGTTGAGTTTCAGATTATTCATTCTGCAGACACTGCAACCTTTCAAACCTTGAAACCAGAGTGGCCTTCTGCCCAACACGGTCCTCTTGCCCAGAATGGCCGACTTCCCGTCGGTCTGGGGCGTCTTGAGTTCATCCGAGCTCCACCGCCACGAAGGTGGACTCTGCTGCAAAAAGTCTCCGTGATGGGTTGCAGAGCTTGCGCAACATCACTGATTCACTATGATTAGTATTGTTCGGACCTCGGTAGGCAAATGAAATGTAGTCGACAAGTTGACGGATCTGAGGGGTATTTCATCAATCTGAATCATAGTCAGACTGTCAGACTGGAGACAAGGTAAGATATGATGTGCAGGAAAGTGGAGCTGTAAGCACTCTGAAAGGTTCAAATTAGGTAGGTGCAGTTAGTGTTTTACTGTGTAATACTTAATAATAGGAGTAACCATAGAAACTCCGACGGAGTCTACCCTAAATTGAAGGTGTAAAGTTAGACTATTGCCGTCTCCAGAAGCTTCTCCGGGCCCCATCGGCAACCGGCAAGTTGCTTTATAATATGACACTATGATCGCAACCAGATCTACAATCCTGCCTCGGTCCCCTTCGCTGCCCCGCTTGACGGTCGTACAGGTTTTCTCTCGTTATAAAAGAGCTGGTCGCCCGGTTTGTGCTTAGGAGTTACTCTGTACAACCGTTCATACCCTCCTGTTCAACTCTCCATCAATTCATTCTCACCAACTTTCCAATTCAAAATCACCTCTTCCTCTTCCCAATCTACATCCTATAATCAATTCACATCATGGCCAACAAGGCGCTCGTCTTCAAGGAGATCCCTCAGGGATACCCCGTCCCCGGTCAGCACTTGACTGTTGAGCCCGCCACCTATGACGCCAACGTTGCCGCTCCCGCCGATGGCGTTGTTCTCCAATCCCTCTACACCAGCTTTGACCCTTACATGCGCGGTCGTATGCGCCCCGCCGAGGTCAAGTCCTACGCCCCTGCTTTCGACTTGAACAAGCCCATCGAGAGTGCCAGTATTGCCAAGGTCATCCGCTCCAACACCGATTCCTACAAGGAGGGTGATCTCGTCATTGGCCATGTCGCAATCCAGGAGTACGTTTCGCTCGATGGTCCCAACTTGGCCCGCATCCGCAAGCTCGAGAACCCTCTAGGCATTGAGGATATCCGTGTCTTCCTCGGTGCCCTCGGTATGCCCGGTCTGACCGCTTACTCCTCCCTGTACGCCATCGGTAAGCCCAAGAAGGGCGAGACCATCTTCGTCTCCGCTGCTAGCGGTGCTGTCGGCCAGATTGTCGGCCAGCTCGCCAAGCACGAGGGTCTGCGCGTTATCGGTTCCGTCGGCTCTGATGAAAAGCTCGATTTCATCATCAAGGAGCTTGGCTTCGACGGTGGCTTCAACTACAAGAACGAGAAGCCCGCCGATGCGCTGGCCCGTCTTGCCCCCGAGGGTATCGATATCTACTACGAGAACGTCGGCGGTGAGCACCTCGAGGCTGCCCTGGACGCCATGAAGAACTTTGGCCGTGTCGTCGTCTGCGGCTTGATCTCCCAGTACAACTCTGCTCCCTACCCCATCAAGAACATCCACAACGTCCTCGTTAAGCGTATCACGATGCGCGGCTTCATCGTTGGTGACCCCGATATGGGCCCTATCTACACCAAGGAGCACCAGGAGCGTGTGCAGAAGTGGATCAAGGAGGGCTCGTTCAAGGTGCTCATCCACGAGACTGAGGGTATTGACAACGCTGCCGAGGGTCTTGTCGGTATCTTCTACGGCAAGAACAAGGGCAAGGCCGTGCTGAAGTTCTAAGGAGTTGCATTATGAATACCATCCCTAGCTTTATATGACTGGGGGGATATGGAAAGATAATAAATACAATGAAATAATGAGATGCCCGCAATGAATACCTGCAATTTAGTTCGCTCGGAAAGGCCTCGGTTATCACGATCTGGGAATGTAACGAACGGTAGATAGCTGTTGATATAATTTGAACAATTGCATCCAAGCACTCAGTCCATCAAAGTAGATATAAAACATGAAAATCCAAGAAAAAAGCAAGTATTGTAGTCGTCAACTCCCCTCCCACAGCTCAATGTAATAGCCGGGCTAAACATTTAAGGTGCCCGCATCGGCCAATTTCGGCTGGGCGGAAAGCCGTCAGCCAATCACCTGACCCGCAATAAGATGACATACCGAGTCGGACTCCCGAGGCTCTTCAACCTCATCCTTGTGCGAGTTGAACCTCTTCGTCCTTCCCTCCATTCAACCCGCAACAATGGCTTCCTTTGCGCGCCCGTCGCTGCTCCGGCAGACTCTTGCGACCACCCGGTCGCCCCTCCTGCGCCAGAATGTCGGCGTCTCGCAGGTGGTCGCTTTCCACGCCTCCGCCCGGAAGCAGATCCTGCCCCCGTTGCCTCGTGAGTAGAGCCTGTGTCTTGGTCGGAAGTGATGGGATTGTAGTTGGGAGGGATATCTGGTGTGATTGTATGGGATATGTGTGCTAATTGCTGTCGAATTTATAGAGTCCATCGAGGGAACCAGTACGTGCTTGAATACCCGAACCTTTTTCCGCGCCTTTGGCCTGGCCCTTTCCTAGCCTCGGATCCGCTTCCATATATACCCTACATGACTCTTTGAGAGTCGATATATTCGGAATTCTAGCTGGAAATCGGGGCAAGTGGTCGGTCATTGGAACCCCTTCTAACCGACTTTGATAGTGAACGACCCCGTTCCCGTTCCTAGCCCTCACCCCATGGAGGGTAGCTATCACTGGACTTTCGAGAGGTGCGACCCGAAACCCTGACCATTCGATCGAAAGCATTCCTAATATTTGTACCAACAGAGCTGTCTGCGTCGGCCTGATCCCCCTCAGCATTGCTCCCTTCGCCGCCGGCTCCCTCAACCCCGTCATGGACGCCATCCTCTGCTCCCTCCTGGTTGCTCACTCCCACATTGGTTTCCAGTAAGCATATTCGCTTTTTCCAGGCTATACTTCCCTACGATGCATATTCTAACATGTTCTATTAGGGCCGCCATCATCGATTACTTCCGCCCCCAGCGTGTGCCCAAGTTCTACTCCCTGTGCAACTGGCTCCTGCGCGCCTTCACCCTGACCACCGCGGTCGGTCTGTACGAGTTTGAAACGAACGACGTGGGTGTCACCGAGGCTCTGCGCCGGATCTGGAACGCATAGAGTGGAGCGGTTGTCTGAAAAGGGTCGTTCTTGGTTGTTTTCTTTTGTTCCAGGTCTAGGCGTTCCGCCTTTGTATATGTCGAAAGCTTCTTTCATTTTTCATTTGTCTTGCCCCGAACATTGGCTCGGTGCTGAATTCTATTGACCACGGTCTTCAGAGTAAGAAAATATAAACTTGTGTACCAGTCGATTGATGTCAAAGGTAAAAGCTGTCTCTTTGGACAAGATCTATACCGAATAACGTAAACTCGTAAAGTATAAGCTCAAACCTATACCTCGCTCTAACATAACAAAGCCCATGCCAATGCTCATAAAAGATACATAATGTATACCCTCCCTCTATGTACTTGATTTAGATCCCACAACAATACACCATTCACTCTTCTCCCTCCTCCTCCTCATCCTCATCCTCCAAAACAGGATCATCCAACAACCGATCCTCATCATCCGCCTTCGCCATAACAGTCTCAATCAACTTCAACGTCGCCTTCAACGGCATCCCAATAACATTATCCGCCGTCCCCTCAATCTTCTCCACCAAAATCGACCCCAACCCCTGCAACCCATACCCTCCCGCCTTATCCGCCCCCTCGCGCGTCCGCACATAAGCCAAAATCAACTCATCCGTAACGTCCCCATCAAACCTCACATTCGTCTCCTCAACAATCGACTCGATCGCATAACCAGGCTGCCTCGCACTCGCCAACGGCGCCATCGCCACAAGAGCCGTAAAAACCTTATGATCCCTTGCATCCCGCAGCGCCCGTAGCATGGTTACATGGTGCGCTTCTGAGCGCGGTTTCTCCAGGATAGTTCCGGATGAGATGTCGACGACGATTGTGTCTGCGGCGAGGATGAGGGCTGGTTCGCCGGCGGTTTCGTTGGAGATTTCTTGTGAGTAGACGGCTTGGGCTTTTTTTGTTGCGGTGCCGAGGACGTATTCGAAGGGGGTTAGGGTCTTGGGTAGGTTCTCGTCTGCGTTGGAGGGGATGATTTCGATGTTGGGGAGGCCTAGGTAGGAGATTATTTGGCGGCGGCGCGGGGATTGGGAGGCGAGGATTACGCGTTTGTTGCGCAGGCTGTTGAGGACTGGGAGGGATAGTGGTGGTGGGCGGGGGAGGGTTCCTCTGGCGGGTTTGGGGGGATCATAGGCTGGTGGGGGGTCGATTGGGTCTTCGTTGCCCAGGAGGTTTGTTTTGGAGTCGGTCATTTTGTTGGTCTGGGGTTTTTTGGTTGTTGGAAAGGACTTTGGGAGGTGGTGGGAGGTAGGAAGTGGAAGATCGTCGGAGTTGGAGCTCGAGGTTTTTGGGCTGCTGCCCGCACGGGTTTATACCAATACGGTCCCCGCTGATCTTATCATTGGTGGGGGGTTTGCAATGGCACCATCATAGGAGTCATGATTTTCTTGAGAATTTCAGGTCATTGAGCTTGACAATATTGAGGGGGTCTAGATAATGTACTACTTAACTCATACCTGTTTTTGACAGTATGCCGGACTGGAGGCTGAATGGATCCAAGTTGAGAGCCCAGGGCAACCAAGGTCATGCCTGGACCAGCCCTCTAATAGTAGAAGATTATGAAACCTCTTATCTTTGTGGTCTAACCTTACAATTGAGATTCCTTCCAATCGTTAATCTTGTTCTTCATTGAAATAATTGACCCTGTCATACATAGCAATGAAGGACTTGAAACGTTATCTTTGGAAGGTACCAACTTTTGACATGGTCGACTCTACGTACCTCGCGAAATATATAGTTTTACATGTAATCGACCGATCGACTTCGATTCTTCCCACAACTGAAAAGGCACATAGAACTGGATTTAAGACATTCTAGCCAAGGTAATATAGTATCTGGAAACACAGCCTTAAGCAAAATATCCCACAGAAACGTCGACATGTCGGTCTGCAGTCTTGGCAGAATCGAGATCGGGACACTTTCACATGCTCGGGAAAAAAACCTGAATATATTTACAACAGTGAAGGCCATGCACATCGTTAGCTGAATAGAGCCTAATTTTTGATGGTCAGCGTAGTGGGAAGTGGGCAAGCTGATCTAATTAGCTCTAGGTATATATTCATACAGAGGATCTCTTACTACATCACAGTGATTTTTCGGTCGATGCTTGTTTAGTGGTTCTCCGCACGTGATTCTACCAAAGACTGGACTTCCCCTGAATGAGTTACGAACGTGGAGTGCTAACGAGGCTTAGAATAATCGAGATGGAATCAGATTTATTCCGGTGGAAGCAACTGGCCAGTCAGTAGTAAATTCAACGCCCCAATAGCTCCATAGTGACAATCCGTAGCATACATTCTGGCCCCCGGGGAAAAAGATGTACAAAGAAGGTAAGAATGCAGCATGTGACAGGCGATATCCTAAAATTCCTGAAACACCAAATTCCCCCAGCATTTAATATTTACAACACCACTCGCTCATGTGGGGGAATCCAGCCGTGGAGACATCGGGACGAGGCACATCGATGGTCGAATGAACTAGACAAAGCAAAAAATAATACCCCGGAAGTGAGAACACGTCAGACGGGAGAAACCGTCAAGGCGAAAACCCGGCCGGCAATCATTCTCATCAAACCGGGCAAGAATGGAATTGAACAGAGAAATGCAAAAGAGACTCGTCGCAAATGCATGATTTCATTTTCGTGTGGGAAGGAGCCCCGTCCGGGACCTCGGTACATCTCCCATAGCCCCCCCTTCCCTCCCCATGGGGTAACCGCAAGCCCATCAGAACAGAAGTTCGGCGCAGGTACAGGGGAGGGATGCAAATGGGCCATGGACCATGCAGAGTGAGTACAGTAGTCGATCGAGCGACAATGCAGCAGTTTTTATGATGGTCGGAAGGAATCATCCACTCGGCCACCCTTGTTCTCAATCTCGGCAATCAGATTTTGCCGCTCCTGGAGCTTCAGGTGGATGAAATCAACGGTCTTTTGTAGGACGATGCTTTCGCTGCGGCCCTGCCCCTCTAGTCCAGGCACCAATTCCGTGAGACGATCGAAGCCCTCCCGAATCGCCGCTCGGCGTTTCTGTTCGGAGGCAATGTGGTTGTTCTTCTTCTCTTGGTCGGTCAGACGAGGTTTCTCCTTTTCTTGTCCAGAGGCAGACTTGGATGTGGCGGTTGGGGTCGAGGAGGACCGATCATCGTCGCCGTCGGGGTTCATCGTGCGCTGGGGATAGAGGCTCTCGGACGAATGGGAGGGGGATGGGAGGTGGTGGAGGCGTGGTAGAGGTCTCGTAAAAGGGAAGATGTCGTTCGCGTTGGTGATATCTTTTAATCTCGGTTCAAATCGCAGGCGTAGTTGTAGAAGTGATCGAGAGCGGCAAGTGCGGAGGTCGAAAAGAAACGATCGGGGAAGACGGTTGGAGAGGAAAGCAACCGATAGGACCGATAAGGGCCAATGCGGAGAAACCGAGTCTCAGTCGGGAACGTGGGCCTTGACTGCTTGGCAGTGTTTAAACGTCATAGAGACTGTTCCGCTCCACAGGCCACAGCTGCACCTTGCCTTTGATTTTTTCGTGCCGTTCTTTCTTTGTCTCATGTCATGCGCAGAGAGGAAAGCTTTAAGCTCTCAGAGTCTTCTCTTCTAATCTCAGCTGCGACTGACCCAGAACTCTCTCATCATTCCAGCTCTCAGCCCTGCCACTAGTGGCGATCTCGTCCCTGCCTAGCAGCTCTGGTCGGGTGTCGTACGGTCGTGTCACCATGGCCCACGAGACTTTGCATGGATCATGCTCGTGTGGTCGTAACGAATACACCATCCAAATTCCCGACGATGTTGCCGACCATGCTAATATCTATTTCGACACTGGCAGAGACAGCCGTGAGTGTATGGTTAAAACTTTAGTTCCGATCAACCGCGCTAACCCGATCTTGTAGGCCAATTTCTCTCATCCTGGCTGCGGGTCCCTCTAGAGTGGTATAAGTCACACACTCTATCCTTCTTCCCAGATGAGACTCACACTTCGATTCGTCGCGTATTCACACCTCTCAATGCGCCCAACACTCGTCGCATCTTTTGTGGTTTCTGCGGGACCCCATTGACCCTCTGGACGGAAGAGCCATCGGAAGAAGCCAATTTCATGTCCGTCTCAATTGGCACTTTGTCTCGTGAACACCAACGTGTCCTGGAAGATCTGGGCTTGCTTCCGGAGGTAATTGGTGAAGAGAAATCCGTTACTGGACTGGCAAAATCGTCGGCTGTGACAGCTGGGTCCGACATTCGGCCCTCCGCGATTGTGGTTCCGTCTCTTCGTGAGGCTGATATCTCTCGAACCTTCCACCACGGCACTGCAGGTGGCATCCCATGGTTCGAGGAGATGGTCGAGGGAAGCCGGCTAGGTCTGTTGATGCGTCAACGACGTGGGATGGGCGTTAGTCGCGACAAATCGACCTCGATCGAATGGGAGATCAGCGAATGGCGTGACGATGGCTCTGGTGGACTCGGACAGGATAGCGATGATTCTAATGGGCAGACTACAGGGAAGAGAAAGCGAGAGCGTCAGGTAGACGTGGAGGCCTCGCCCAAACGGGCGTGATGGACCCGCGTACCTCCTAGGCGCCGCAATCGCTGACTTAGCGAGGGGTAGCTCAAAAATACAAAACGTCTGTTCAATTCGCACTTTTCATTCCCGTATTTCTGTAATTTCTTCATATTCGTGGCGTTGAGGCTCCCGTTCCCGTCCCGTTCCCGCTCCCGAGCCAAGTTATGCTTCGGACCTGCTATATCAACCACATATCCAACATCCAACGACAAAACACCATAGATATGATTATTCCGAGGTTCTTGGGAGAATCCTCTTGTTCAAATTTATGTCAGAGATTGTCCCCTCCAAGCCCATAACACGTAGTTTCAAGCTCGGATGGGCAATAGTCGAGAAAGCCATGTAGGGTCCCTGCTTTCGTATATTGGACTGTATCATAAGATCGAAACCTTCGATAAGGAAGGTTCGAAGGACCATGAGGCAGAATCTCGTGTCTGTCACAGCCGTCTTATCGATATGAAGACACTCTCGCCTGGCGGTAGTGGCAAGTGCGTACTGGACGCGTCCGAATAGCTTCTCCGCCCCAGCTTTCTCTCCTCTCCTCTTCTCCTCTCTTCCACCACACCCCCCACACTCCAACTTCATCAAGCCAAGCTCCCACCATAAATCCCCATCTCGGTAAGCACTCCAGAGGTCCTCCAGCCTTGCCTCATGCCTGCATCATGCCGGGTGACGACGGGGATCCCGTTTTCCTGAGACGTTGCTGACGGTTGAGCTCAGCAACCCTGAACGGCTTGAAGAAGCTGTGGAGTGCCGTCAAGGGCCGTAAGGCCAGCATCTTGCACCCCCTCACAGTGGAGAAGGTGAGTTTTGGTTGCTTTGCTGCAGTTCTGATGTACCTTGCCGTCGATATGTGAAGCTATCTCATGTTGGATGTGACGGCGTGAGCTTTCACCCTTCACGGCAGTTTCTTTGAGAAGTGATACTGATCGGTCTCATATCCGAGAGAAAAAGTCATCTCGGGCATTAAAAATGCCGCCAAGAAAGTGCGCCATCGCCTGCTGGCATGGGTAAGCTAGCTCTATCGCTGATGATCATTGATACAAATGGACTCTATGTACTCACATATTCTTCCAGCTAAAGGGCAAGAAGAAGACCGTGGGTCTGGCCCAGGGATTCAACGACATCTACCCGTATGATACCCCAGAACCACCGCGCGATAGCTCCTCGTTGTCTGGAGTCACAACCTGGGGGGAGGAGAATGACGAAGGGGAGTTGCGCGAGCGCCCATGGGTAGCCCCAGCCCTGACAGCTGGGGACGACGCCGTTGCTCGCTTGCCAGTGCTTGTAGGAATTGACCCTGCAGTGCTGCAAAGCCTCGGCGGCCGTCCTCAGCGCTCGCCAACTCGGCCGATGGAGTCACCATACCCCTTCGGGCTGGTTACTATCCTGGAGGGCTCAGTCTCATAACTAGAGACGGCGATCATCACCGAGCCGCCCAACGGGGAAGTAACCGACCTTGAGCATCCTCCTCCTACCCATTAGGGTCGACAATCGCCCGCGACGAGTCAGCGGGGTAAGTTAGAAGCTTCCCCATGAACACCTCTTTCTCCTGTTTACTCTTCCTTGGCTTTCTCCCCCGCGACGCTTCACTCTCTCCATCAAAAACCCATCACTTACTCGCAGAAGCGTCCCGTCTTGGGACAGAGCACTACTTCGGAGCAAGCCGAAGTAAAAGGTACATCTTGCAATATCTAGTCAGTCTCGACGATTTCGAATCCCAGTGACTGATATCACGATAAGAAGTTGCGTTGTCTCGTGCTCTGGGCCCAGTTGCCAACACCTTCTGCCCTTTTCCCCCCTTCCCCCTCTCCCCTCCCGCGCCGTTTCTTTCTGGACATCGCAAGATGTTCACCCGCCGACGTGTCCTTCGAGACCAGGGGCTCACTTCGGAGCAGACCGAAGTAAAAAGTGAGTAATAATATCTTGACTTTAGATCATTATATCACCTGAACGTTAGTTGACATCTCTATCAGAAGCTGCGATTTCTCAGCCCCTGGTCTCGTCTCAGCCAACCGCCGAGGCTCAGCCTCGTTATGAAGAGTACCATTGCACCCTTTTCGAAATGGTACCGGTTGGAACCCGTTCCAGGTGTCTGCCTCAAATTGACAGTACGTATTCCCAAATGAGATTAGAGATACGAGTGAATATCATCTGACCTGTCTTTTATAGCTCACCCAACGTATGGCACCCTGCCATCTGATACGCCACCATTCGTTCGTCGCCCGCAGCTACCCAAGTCTCGGTTCCCTCGGCCTCAGGGCCAGGTCTTCGTCGAGCCCCCTGAGCTCGGTATCAGCGATGATACTGAGGCCGAAGAGCAGGTGCCGGATGCTCTTCTTCGACGAGCGGTGTTTTCAGGAAACGCCGTCGAGACACGGGGTGCCACACCCGTACAAAATCGCCAGGGAAGTAACGACGGCCGCGCCGGTCCCCAAGCGCCGCCGACCCTTGCTACCTACACCTCAATAGCGGCGATTGACCGACAGCCACGGGAATGCTACGGTCCTGTCCAGCGGAATTCACCGACTGCCGACAGACTCCTCGTGGGCCCGAACGAAGGTGATAAAATTTCCTCGCTGCCTCCGACACCCGGCAGTGCACGTTCACCTGGGATTCGTCGAAAACCTCTCCCGAAATCGGCCCGCCCCGTCAAGATGCTGGATTACTGGAAAGACGTGCCCCATTGCGGCGGCGCGATCCAGCAGTACGCCGATGCTGAGAGATTGGCAAACCCCGCCTGCGTGGACAAGGTACCGCAGCCACGACGACCGCACCGCCTGGTCAAGGGCAAGAGCATGTTCAATTTGGGCTCGCTCTTCCGGGGAAGTCGACCCGAGTCTGGTGCGGCCGGGGTCCGGATTGCTAGCCAAGGGTCCTCAATCACGAAGCCGGCAAAACTGTCAATATCGGACCCTGTGCCAGCCCCCCAACCAGTCCAGCCTGCGATGCCGAAGCTGGCAATGTCTGCGATCAGTGTGCAGGCAGAGACCCTCCCAAGTCCGCCGGTGCATGCCTCAACCGTCAACCAGCCTCCGGCAAACCCAAGTGTGAGTCCCACGGCGATTGCCCTGCCGCAAGGCGGGCAAGGGGCTTCAAACCCCCAGTCGTGGGCCAGGCTCACCCAGTGCGTAAACCGGCTGGGAAAGCGGTTGGTCGAAGAAAACGACCCTGACCAGCGAAAGAAGCTGTACGCAGTAAGTTGATCTCACCTTCGCCTCGCGTATTTGATGAAAAGTGAATCGAGTCTAATTGTTAATGCCTTTGCTTTTGATAGGACTTCGTTCGTCTGATCACCCTCCGCGCCGACGTTGCTTGTCGGGAAGAACTTCGCACCGAGCAAGAGTCTCTTCTCGTGGTGATGCGTGCAGAATCCTCGGGACGCCGTACCCTGGCGTCTCTACGGGCTCTCGCGCTTTACCAAGAGGATGAGACCCTTGGCAACATTACGGTGCCGACAGACCAGATCGTGTCGGAGTGGTAGTCTGCTGGTGTTGTCGTTGGGTTTGCCCCTTGTCGAGAAGAAGCTGGGGGTGAGTCGGGCCCGTGCGGTGTGGCTTGTGCCTGTGGGGGGGGGGGAGGGTTCCAGGCCTTCCAGCTGGTTATGATACCCCGTTTCCATGTTGCTGGCGTTCTTTTTTCTTCTTGGGCTGGAGGCTGGACTCTCTCTCGGATTCGTTCGTTTTTGTTCGTTTCGTCCCGTGCTGTTTCTTTTGGTTCGGGTTCTTTATTTTTTTTTCTCTTCTAGTGTATGAGTATGGTTCCGAGCAATTGTGTGGTTCTCAAATCACACTAATCAAAATCGCCAGTACTCGGGAGCTTGCTGCTGCTTGTCACACATCAGTAGAGTGGATTGTCCATGATATCTTCTTACAATTATAGGAATTCAAATATTTGTGACATTATGTGGGTAAAAATGCCAGTAATCTCAACTTGGAACATTTGTTCTCAGAAAGGGACAGATGATCGAGATAATAGAATCACGTGACTAATACAGCCCTATCTAGATGGGGATATGAGTTTTAGATTCAGTGTAGACATCATGGTATTCATGTATGGAAATTCGATATGAGCTCTGTGGTCAGATCTATTGAATCAGAAAGAGAATCAGACAGAGAAGCAGAAAGGCAAGTATTAGTTAATCTTATTCTGTACCAAAATACCCCATCAATCCCAAACAGGTTTAGTATTAACCCGAAACAAAATCAATTCCAACCTGACGATGGGTCCATCTTTGACTCGGTCCCGAAAAAGAAAGCACGCATATATCGAAAATAAAGAGCTTCGGTGGATCCAATCCCATCACCCTCAAGCGCCAAGTATTGCGACTTGATAATTTCTTTTCGGTCCGATGCTTCCAGCTCGAACCCTCGGGCTTCCGCGCAGCAACTGCATTCTATCGTACAGTGACCCACCCCACGCTGCCTTCCAGGCGTAGGTTCGCGTCTCTGACAGCATCCACATTGGCGACTGGAGCAGCCACCATTGCGTCGCAATCGTCGACGAGATAAAGATGGAGATACCACTTGGGTTTGGATCTCCAGGTATCAGATGCCCTGCGGAATGGACCAGATGGTAGTAAGGATTCCAATGCGCAGAGGTACTGCTTGTCAAGCCGATAGCTCTTGGAACATTTTTTCATTTCATCGAGGTACGTAAGGAGCTGCTTATCATCTCTGTCATCATTTGATTCGATAATTAACGTTTTGCAACTCCATTTCAGGTATTCCTCTCTCTGTGTGGTATATCGAAGTACTAGGTCAAACTCCAGGATTTTCTTGAGAAGCATGTCAAGGTTGAAGTTCTAATTGAGGCTGCTTGAATCATGCTCCAAATAATATTTGGCCACGGAGAGCCGGAACTTTTGCAGAGAATCGAAATCTGCATGCTTTTCAATTTTCTCGTAAAGCGGGATAAGGGAGCAGCTAAACATTTTGAGAATAGAACTCTTGCAGATTATCTTTTAGAAATTTGACAGGACTGAGAGGAAATTGCGAGTCAACTGGAGTATAAGTCAGGGCAACCTGGACACTGATCTATGTGTGACAAGCCAGTTCCGGAATAGGGTGCGGCGAAGCTGTACTAGCCGGGAATGGATCAGTCCCTTACATATTCGAGCAATCCAAAAACTTTCTAATCCAGTAACTGTTCTATAAAGAGAGTCTGGTGCATGACAGAGAATACAGTGTGGCAAAAATCAAGAGATATGTTATCCCTGCAAGGATGTCTCGGAAAATAGATAACTTGCTGAGTCTCCTACTCCCAGCCTCACTTTCTCTGCAAATCATACAACATCAACTGCCTTGCACAACCTTTCTTTTGCCGGCGACCTGCGACCATGGTCAAACTGTCTCCTTGATGGCTGGACTAGACAAAGACCCAGATGGAGCCCTAGGACCCTCGGGACTTAAAAGCCGTGATGGAAACAGTTCGCAGCCTTGGACGGATCGTGAACATCTCGACCATCCAGGCAACCATAGGCCAATGACAGACCAGAAGGAAACGGGGGCGAGGCGGCGCAAATGCACCCTCCAAGTCAAGGATCCGGAGCAACATGGAGAGACGCGGGGATCGCCTACAAAGATAGGCCTGCTCCGGTGCGGATTTGAGGCGTGGGATCGACTCATCGGTACAGGTGGCCATGAAGAAGGCCTCGAAACCCTGGTCTTTGTTGCCGAGCAGCTTTCCGATGAAGCCACTTAGGGTACGGGCTAGGCTAGCCCGAGAGAAGTACATGGATAGTAAGGGCTGAAAGCAGTCACGCACAAATACCGGAGAAGGCCCATATTCAGACGGCCTCCGGTAGATGGATCCCTGCTAGTGCCATCATCGTTACTCTTGTGCAATTCCGAGATGTAGGCCTCATACCCGGTCCGGGTCGAAATCTCCATGCCCATGGGAGTGTCTAGAATGGTGATGAACATGAACATGGCTTGGAAGGCCGATTCCAGAAGTTCTTTGGCGATGCCCTTGATACTGTTCGATGGCCACCACCTGCGGTCCCCTTCGGGTGGACCATGCCTCACTCGCCAGCCAATGCCACTAATTCAATCTATGCTTTGCAGAATTTTGTTGTTCACCAGTGACATACTCCGGTACACCTGATGTTATTATCAAAGAAGGCACCGTTGGATCTCGCGTATACAATTTTCTGGATGATTCCTAAAGAATATGAGGCCAAGGAGTTACTAGCCCAGTACCCGCGTTATCCAGAGGACATTTAGGAAGATCGCTAAAAGTGAGATGAAGAGGAAGCGCCAATATCTGGTCGTTGTCTCCGTCCTGACTTCTAGCTATTCAACAACTACTATTACCGTTCTGGGCGATCGTAATCAGGTAATGGCTTTTTACATCGCCACTGAGATAAATTTGATACTCTACAGCGTCATCGCACTACCCATGCGCTTATGAGAAATGAGTGTAATCTAAACGATATCGAATTCAGATTACTTTCAGACTGCGTACACCCGCCCTTGTTACTCCTAGAACTACACAATGACCCCCAGAGCTGGACCTCCTGCCTTCTTAGTAAAATAGTCTTTTGCGATATCTTTCGAATATTTTTGAGGTAAATCCTTAAATGTGTTCAGGATATTTAAAAACACGCGTGCACAAAGATTAATAAATCATAATAACGACGCTCGAATTTATGCTTTTCAAATATCAAATAGCAAGAAATCAACCTCCAATTAATGATAAGTGACTTGAGAAATATAATAAAACAAAAAGAAAAAGAAAAAAACATGTCTATGTCTCCATCCCGCTATACATCAAAACACAAACGCTTCAAATGCAAAATATCAAGATCTAGGGCTTGCGAGAAGAATGAGACGTCAAATCTTCTCCATCACTCTCTCGAGTCTCCTTGCTTCGAACACGCAGAGTCATACCAACACCAAGACAGATGATAACGACAGCAAACTCCTCAAGTACAGCCATAACCAACTGGACTGTTACGTTGCCATTAAGCAAGCTGAACTTGGAATTGTTCAGGAACCAGACGAAGAACGCGTACAGCACACGCACGAGGATAAACGGGCTCGATAGCGCAACAGCCAAAACGGTGCGCTTCTCGCCACGCTCAATAGAGCCCTTTCGCAGAGCCACGACTGCCAGCATGGCAACCATAACTGCCCAGCTGACGACGTACAAGATCATGCCGATCTTGACTTTGATGTCGGGGTGCTGCAGACCCTCGGCAGACATGTTGGCCGTGAGACCGACAATGCTCAGGACCATTGCGACGGTGGTGAGGATACGGAAGAAGGGGAAGGCAGGACGAGGTAGGGCCGTGCGACCGGTAACCTTTTCAATGGAGAGATCACTGTACCAAGGATCGTTAGTATATTAAGGTTGTGGCTTGGCGGGGTTGGGAACTCACGCTCGGGATAGGAGGCCAGTGCAGGCGAGCATCAAGGGTGACAGGCCAATTGAGCTACAGATTGCGGCTGCAATGTAGAGGCTGACGGAGGAGGAATTGCTGATTGTTGCGAGGTCGCAGCATGCGCCTATGATTCGGGCTAGGGCGAAGGTGGTGAGGAAGAGGAAGCCGCTGTTTGTGCGGAGGCCATGGCGAATGACGAGGAAGATGGAGAGGAAGAGAGAGGGGAAGTAGACGATCAGTTCGAGGATTGAGATGCCGTGGCGGTAGGTAACGGCCATTGTAGGAGGTACTGTATGGCTTTCGTCTGTATAATGTATAAGGAGAGATGTAGAGTGCTGATGGAAATGAGAAAAAGGCTTGCTGGGAACAAGAGAAAGGATATTGAGTTGGTTGATGATGATGAGATATCAAGCTATGTGAGGCTTCAATCTCCTATATAGTATTTTCTTGCCATCTTGCATACCATTTTGGATGCTGAGGCTGTGCCATAGAGAGGCTTGTAACGCGTCGCAGAATCTACTCCACTAAGGATAGAACCAGCGTTCTAGAATGGGGCTTCAGGGACACTAATGAAATTTTAGCCATCGGACCCATTTCATCCAGACAAAATCATCAAAGCATTCATCAGCCCTACCTCTGTCTCGTTAAATTGGCTTATGCTTGACAAGCTTTTTGGTAACTTCGATCGCAATGCATTCCCCATTGGGACTAGCGTCTCACTTATTACCCGATTAGGCACAATCTTTGAGAGGCGGTGCACTCGGGCGCTCGGCAACTTCCGACGTGATGACGCCCCTCTTGGCCATCATTAGGCTCCCCTTTTGTACCTTTTGTACAAGGTCGCAAGGGATTCCCAAGAGAGCAAGTTTTTCAAGCCCTCAAAAGGCCTCTCCTATATCATGGTTTATTGTGGAAAGCCCAGCAAAGGCTGCGGCCAGTGTCGCACCAGAAAGATCCGATGCGATCAAGTCCGCCCAGCTTGTTCCCAATGCATCCGGGCAAAGCGGGACTGCCCTGGATATCGGGACCAGCTATCATTAATGTTTCGCGACGAGAGCAAATCAGTTGTACGCAAAGCCAAGGCGGAGGCGGGCTCCTCTGCTAGTTCGACTTCTTCTGCGTCGTCAGCCCGGTCTAGACAGAAGCGGTCGCCAACGCGATCGTCTCGCATTGTATCCCCAGATGGGAGTGGCACTGGGAGTCTCCCGTCTGAGCGGGACCTGCCCCTGGTGGACCCGGCGTTCGATTTCATCTTTGATATGGGTCCACCGCTGGACTTTGCCATGCTAGATCCCTGGTCTATACCGCTAGAGGTCCAACCCCCACCTGAAGCATCGAAACAAGAGGCTATCTGCTACTTTTTGCGAGGCAATGCTATTCCCGGTAGCTTGTGGATGGAGGACTTTGTCAATCGGTTCTTGGCTGAGCCGGGGGCTGCGTCTAGCCAGAAAGCGATGCAATCTACTATAATTGCCGTGTCGTCGGCTATGCTATGCCGTGTCCGGAAGATGACGTCGCTAAAAGATCTGGCGCAGAGGGAATATGTTGCAGCGTTAAATCATTTGAACACGGCATTGGCTGATGTGGAGGAGGCCAAGACGAACCAAGCATTGGGGGCTGTCGTACTGCTTGCCGTTTATGAAGTAAGTTCTCCCTTCTTGCCCCCTCATTCCAAAGGATGCAAACTGGCTCGGGTTTGACACGCGTCTCAATAGGTTGTCACTTCACGGGCACCGCGGGATATTGACCAGTGGACGAACCATATCACGGGGGCTACAGCTCTCCTAGATTTGCGGGGCCCTGAGCAGTTAAAAACAGAGATCGGCCTTCGTCTGTTCTTGCATCTCCGCTATCAGATTGTGTGTTTTATCTTCTCTATTCATCATGGTGCCAGTACCAGACCCATCCTCTAATACCTTACAGATTATCAGCTGTATCCAACGAGATGCCCGGGTACCGCAGTCTTTACTTGACTGTACAGAGTACGCCATGTTCCTCCGACCAGGCGAAGCTCACGGTAACCGCTTGATCATGATCATCGGTCGTCTATCTAATCTTCGCGTGGATATTCAGGAGAAGATCCTCACCGACAACCGAGAGATCATATCAGTCGCCTCCAGTATCGAGGCTGACCTGATTGCCTGGTTAGCCGCACTGCCGCCAGACTTCACTTACGAAACTCACACCAAGTCCCCTTACGATTTTATGTTCCAAGAGCGCTGTCGTGGGCTGGCTCTATACGACGACAAATTTCACGAGTACCCAAGTCTCTGGGTCTGCAATACGTGGAATCAGTACCGTTGCGCCCGCATTCTAGTCAGCGAGATCATCCTCTCTCATATCAGGAAACTGTCCGAGTCAAACTCCATTCGATTACTGTCCGATGAATTCCGACAACATTGCAAGACTATCTGGGCGAATACCCGACGTCTTGCAGTCGATATCTGCCGCAGCGTGCCATATCACCTGGGCGCACACCTGAAAGATGCCTCGCCCAATTTCCCACCTCCAGAAAGTTACATGGGAGGCTTGATGCTGCTTTGGCCTTTATTTTTGGCAGGCATTGTCGAGAATCCCAATCACGCGCTGCGCCGATGGGTCATTCAATGTCTGAAAATGGTTGGCCATAGTTATGGGTTCGACCAGGCGCTGGCTTTGATGGATATCGTGGCTGTTGACCCGGGTATTCTACGCGAAGCTGCGGCACGAGCTGTGGAAGAAGAGTATGCCTCGCCAGAGGAGAGTGTGAGCCCTGCGGAGGAGCTGCCTGATCTCCACTGGAGTCAGATCCCGTCATCGGCAGAGACCATTGTCTAGCCGATGTTGGGTAATCTTATTTTTTTTTCCCCTCTACATCGTTCATTATGCCTTGAATGACTTGCATAATCGGTACAGTCAATGCGGTCGGGCGTAGGGCTGGAACCCTGGGGTTTGGAACTGGGACTGGGAGTGTAGCGCTCGGACTCTCTATCACGATCATGAATCATGACACCTTATGTACGCGGGGAGGACATAGTTAATTCCGATAGGATCTTTTAAAATGGTTTTCTTTCCTTTCATAACAGGAATGATTTCGATTGGTTATTACCCTTGTAAAACCCTGCATTCTACGGTGTAGGACCTCGTGCGCTCTAGTGTTGGAGCATGGGTCATTATTAGGTGGCTATGCAGCTCCGCCCTGCTAGAATGCGGCTAAGCGCTGCCAAACCATGGGAGTAATACATGCTGCGGCAAGATCAAACAGGCTAGAAGAGGGGAATGTGACCTTCATTTTCCAATTGACAGGGATTTTGTTTGTGTTAGATTAAAGTGCGGGCTATACAAAAACGCCTAACCCAAGGGTAAAAAGGGTTCTCTTTATGTAGTTTTGTTCCAGAAGAGAGAGCCGCATCCCTAGCAGCCTGGAACCTCAGGCATTGTGCCCCACACTGCCCCTCTTCTTAGCCTCTTAGCTTCTTCTGTTCGTGCGTATCGCCAGCCTTATGGGGATCACAGCGTCAATTCTGCCTTGACCCCCATTGTCATTTTGACTCTGGCTGTCATTCGCATACCCCGCCCACTAGTGTCTCGTTATGTGCCTCTGGCCTGTGTTCCTTTGATGGATCTAGCGAACGCCTTGGGCTACGCCTTGTTGTATTAGGTGTCAAACAATGCTCTCTCCAACCCCTGAGACCTGATCCGCTCTTGAGAGTCATGGAGTGCCCGGGTGATGTATAAGATGGGGTCTCTTGCCTGACCATGGTAGTCATTTTCATCAGGCACAAATTCAATCTTCTCTGGATCTAGCAAACTCTCTATCTTGCAAGTAACCACAATCCATTCATCGGATCCAATTGAGACATTGCATATTCTTTGCATCATCTACAAACCACATCATGCCTATGTTCGAACGGACCATACCACCACCCATGTGGTCATCCTTTCCATCCAACAGACTAGATACTCGCCATCGCGGCTCTACCATCTCCATCTCCCCCGACTTCCCAAACACCCTACCAACCCCGATCCCCATAATGGGGCCCAATCACTCCCAACCTCGCAGCAGCCGCTCCTCTCTCATCAACTTCTGTCGCGGCGCATCCTTCCGAAAGAAGAAGGCCTCATCCTGGGATCCCCCCTCCTACGAAGAATCACAATCCCACCCAAAAGTATCCTCAAAGTCACCCCGACCATCCACAGAATCCGACTCCGACTCTCGCTACTCCTTCCTCAAAGATTTTGACACGATCTTCCTCGTCGATGACAGTTCCAGCATGAGCGGGCCTCGCTGGGCCGAAGCCGAAAAAGCCATTTCAGCTATCGCACCTATCTGCACCCAGAACGACGCAGACGGTATTGACATTTACTTCCTCAATCACCGCCGCGCGTCGACAGCGTCTACCACGGGAGTCTACAGCAACATCACCACCGCCGAAGACGTCCGCGAGATCTTTCACAGCGTTCATCCCCGCGGCTCTACACCCGTCGGTCGACGACTCCTGCAAATCCTCACTCCATACCTACACCGCGTGCAGGCCATGCAAGCCGCCCGCACGGCCGACGGATACCTCTCCAACCCTGCGCTCTACGTCAAGCCAGTCAACATCATCACTATCACAGACGGCGAGTTCACCGACGACGCGGAGAGCGTTATCGTCCAGGTTGCTCGGGTCCTTGATAGTGCGGGTTCTGGAGCGTTGCCGTGGCAGGTGGGCATTCAATTTTTCCAGATTGGAGAGGATGAGAGGGTGAGACGGTATTTGCAGGAGTTGGATGATGATTTGGGCAAGTGGTGTCGGGATGAGAAGGTGCGGGATATCGTGGATACGGTGCCGTGGAGGGGGAGGAGTGGGGAGGTGCTGGATGCGGAGGGAATTTTGAAGTGTGTACTGGGGGCGATTAATAAGAAGTATGATCGGAGAGTGGTACAGTAGTTTGATGATGGATTGGTGGTTTGGTTTTAGATTTTACTTCTTGGATGTTTTTTTATACTCGATCTTTTTTAATGATTATCTGCGTTGATCGCTTTATTCTTTGACCTTGCCTATGCCCAGGATAGACGTTTTGTTTAGTATTCTTGTTGAGAGCGTGAGATGGGTTTGGATGGCAGTATCATTATTTTGATGAAGTACTAAGTCTATAAGATTCATGAGATCCACGGGGGTTCGCCCGATAATTATTCAAGCACCAATCAAGTCGATGACTGTTGTTTTGATGGCTTCGATACCCGAGTGTGTTCTTCTTATAGCTGCCTTATACAGTAGTTACTCTTCTCAATAGTTCAATCCCCAGCTGAATATCCAGGGTTGAAATAAGACGTATCACTCCAATTATTCCCATCCTGGCTCTTATTCATCTTGTTTATTCCCTAGCAGGTTAGCACCACTTTAGAACCGCCCAAGTGGAGTCTCATCCTGGCCGAGCTAAATTTCCCAACATCCCCACCCCCAACCAATCAACGCGTCACATTGGCCGATCTCCGTCCCTTTCTTGCGTCAGGGGCCTGAGTCGGCGCGTTCATTCGTAGAAATTGCTGTGATGTGATATCCTGGTTGGAGATCCAATGATAAACCTGTGTTGGGAGGAAAGGGAAGATGACTTGCAGAGTGGGAAATATGATGTGTTTCATGGCGTTGTTGTTCTACAGGGCTTATGGACTGTAGGGATCGGAGGTTTATTGGGGTTGAGTATGAGAGGATAATTGGGATGAAGATGGAGTACAATAGAATTGTACTCGGGATAGAGTCTTGAGATTACTCCAGATTAGGAGAATTAATGAACGGATCAATCAATAGTATACATCGTATTCCCGTACGAACCACACTTTCTAACTGATTTGTACCTTGCAGGAGCGGGGCGAACCACGGTTCCACCGGCAAAGCCACCGAAGATGCTAATTAAATAATTCAATCAGTCAAATCGTTCATTCTCCCTTTCTTTTTCTTCCTTCTCTCGATTCTTTTTCTGGACTCGACCATTAAACCTCGACTGGCTGCTCAATTGCAGATTACAAGTATCATTTACCTTGTTGCCTACTTAGCCTTGATCGTGAATATCCTTGTTTATCCAAGTTCCAACTCAAGCCTGACTCCACTTACCCTGGTTGTTGTCGCGTCGATCGGCATTGAAATTCATCGTCGATTATTCCCCGCAGTGCCGATCGTCTTCGCTACGTAAGAGAAGAAAAAAACCTCTTACCTCCGCTCTTCCGTGTCCCCCTCGCGACATTACCTTAAACAACTCAATTGACGCCTCCTCCTCCTATACAACACACTAAATACAACCAATTCCACCGGTCGCGGTAGCTTCAAACTGCGCGCTCCCTCAGTTCACCCACCAACCACCCCCGGTCCCTCCAAGCGCCCGGGCCCTGACGCAGGTACCAAGTGGCTATAAGTCCACGTCCCGGCGCTTCGCCCGCCCCTCACCCCCGTCATTGGTTGTTCTTGTCGCTCTGCAGTGTGTCTGGAATTTAGCCCGCGGTTCCTGAAGCATCCGCGTCCGACCTGCACACTCGAAACGGTGACAGGCTGGGTTATTCCAGTGTCGGCCACTGTCACACAAACATCTCGAGTCCAATTCTCCACTTGGGGCCATGACATGGTGATTTGTTATTGCACCCTGCTCTAGCCTCCAAGGCTCGTTGCTTTGAACCCGATTGCCCACCTGAAACGCGTCTCGGCGATTTATTCTTAGACCTGTCATTGGCTTGGAACTGGGGCTTGCTTGGGGGCTCCTCCTGAAACAGGTACGGCGTGTGCTGCAGCGCCAGCGCTGTGTGTCGGCTGTAATTATAGAAACAGGTGCTTTTGTTGTTATTGTTGACTGTTGACGGTTAGCTGTCTAGACTGGTCTCTCGGCGGCTCTCATTCTTCTCGTCTTATATTTGATTCTTGCGCCAGCCTCCTCGACTCTCTGTGTTTTCTCTTTGATCGTTGTTCTTTCCTTGTATCAAGCTTGACTCGACTTCTTTTCCTTTCTTTCTTTTTTGTCTTGCATTTACATTCGTTTCTTTTCTGTACTATATTGGGGGTGTTCTACTCTATCCTTTCGTTTCATCTTTCGTTCGACCAGCATTACTCTTGCATCCTGTCCTCTCTTTTGACTGTTGACCGACCTTTCTTTTTATCTCTTTCGCTCTGCATATTTTCCTATACTATTCCTTGCATCTGCCGGTCTGGTGAACCTGGCTCTTTCTTTACAGCGATTCTTGCATTGCGATGACCTCGACCACCCTCATGACTTTCTTATTGTGAGTGCATTGCCTGCGACTTACCTTTGGTCTAATTGTGATCACTAACAACATCCAGGACAACCAACCCCGAGATCCGATCGGTCAAGCTGCTCGGGTCATGGGATAATTTCACAAAGCCTTATCCTATGGAGAGGGACAGGCGGGTTGGACCGGGCCAATGGCGTGGATGTCACACATTTACGGATATTATCGGAGATGGGCCGCCTGGTGACAGGTCCCAATGGCGTACGGGAGGTCTGAAGATGGGCGCCACTTACTGGTACTATGTAAGTCATCATGGTGGTTCTTCTGACAGTATAAAACTGACGAGAATCCACACAGTACTTGCTGGACAATGACGTGGAATACTTCAGTCAGGCCGAGCCTGTCACAACTAAATGTCCTTTCCTGCCAGGGCAGCCTGTGAACGTGCTAAATGTGCCAATCATCCTTCCTGATAGCTCCCACACACGTTCGAGTAGCAGCAGCTCGCAAAAGTCCAACTACCGGACAATGAACCCCGAGGACAAGTTCATGAACCCGCGAAAGCCGCCAAAGCCCAGCTTGGCACGCCTGCAGACCTCCGTGCCTTACCCTCAAAATCTCAATCCGGCCAGTACTTCCCCGGGTTTAGTTCATCGCAGTGCCTCCCAGCCAAATAGTGCCACGCGCAAGTACCATCATGGAAAGGATGCTCGTTCTGTCTCGCCTCCGCGCAACCGGGCTCTCCCGCCCTTCCGAGCTCCTCAGGAGACCAAGAGCCCGAAATGGACCGAGGTGCCATCAAGATCTAACACGGTAGAGGGAAGGATGCAGGAACGCCGCAATGTACCTGGCAATATCATAATTCCCGGGCCCGCTTCTTCATCCGCAAATCACCCTGAACTGCATGCCGCTTCCACACTCCAAACTCGCCGCGCAATGAAGACAAATGGCAGTGAGCCCGGACAGGGCCGGAATCTGCTCACCGTGGAGACGCGCCCTCATTTCCGCAAGCCCAGCGTTTCGAGAGGCGCTGCAGCGGGTCCCACTCTGCGGACCGTTGATGAAACACAAGCTCTGAAGGATGCTCTGACATTGGTGAACTCCAATGATCTAGCAACTCCAAAGGTCCGCGATATCCACGAGAAGCGACTCCCCACACTACCCAACACTCCTTCCTCGGTCATGGATGAGGCAGTGCACGCCTTGGACGAGACCGACAAGGCCATGAACGCTCAAGTCCTCCGCAGCCACTTCTCAAGTCTAACCACCACAACCGCCGAGTCCATCCACTCTCGCTTTATCCCCGAACACAGCCGCTTCTCAGAATGGAGCACAGACACCGAGACCGAAACCGAAGATAACTCACCCGAGTCGATGATCTCCACATCCACATTCAACCAAGAAACCACCGACTCCCCAGCCATCGATGACTGGCACACCCCAGAGCTATCCCAAGCCAACGACACCGCAACAAACACCGACCCCAACACCCCCCCACCTGACCGTACACTCCAAACCGTCCTCCCCCAACTCCGCCTCCGGCGACATCCCCCCCTGGAACATGAATTCCATGGGCATCTCCCTCCCCCAACTCACCGTCTCCCTCTCCTCCCCGGGCTTTGCAACAGGCCTGGGCATCGACCAAATGGACGAAGTGGAAAGCAACCCCAAACGCCACGCTGCCCTCTTCAGTGCCCTCGAGTCCATGGAATCACTTTCGTTATCCCGCAGCCCAGATGGCTCGCCCATTCTCCTACCCGATATCCAGCGCCGCTCAGATGCTGAGCGCAGCGATGTCGATGAGGAAGTGTATCGACGTGTGCTCTCCCGTGCGAGCAGTGCTTCGTTCCGTGGGAATAGCACTATGCAGGAGATTATGGATGAGCTGAGTTATCTTAAGAATATGATTCAGACTGAGATGGATGGGGAGCCGTTTTAGGGTGTGGTTGTTCGGGGAGCTGTACTCTTTTGCTTTTCTTTACGCTCGCTTGTATATTGATTCGTCTGGGTGCTGGTTCGCCCGATGACGTCTGTACTATTTACATATAGAATATTAGTGCCGTATGTGCAATACATCGTTCATTGAAATTATGGAAGATAGCCACCTGCACGTCAGTCACATCTATCCGCTCTATAGGAACTAAGGTTTCATAGAAATAGATTCGCTTCAAAGTTCCAGTTCCTTGAAGATCATATGTGCTATATAAATTGTCTACACAGATATCTGATAGTGAGTCCCTCTCTAAACCCTCCCACGAATCAAATCCGCCGCCCGCTCCGCAACCGCAGCTTACAGGGGCTGAACGTGATTAGAAACAGTAGGAAAATAGATTGTAGCCACGCTCAAATTTAGTGTGATCACGCTTAGTTGTATGCCCTGAGTTGGCGTGATCAATCTCTGTCAGCCAATGAACAGCTGCCTCTTCTTGTAGGAAAGGCCGTCGAGGTCAAAGCGTATACAGCTAGCCTCAACCTATGCAAAAAGTTGCTTGTAGGAGGCTCCTGGCGCGATCGATAAGCTTAGTTAAAAGTGAGCTGCCTTCTGGTCACTAAAAAAAGGCAAGGGGGACTGTGGATAGAAAAAGGTCTCAAGACATATCTGAGGAGTCGAGGGAGACATATAGTTATACACACTTGATGCCTGACAGACCAGGCATGCATGTGTCCGTATCAATCAGTTTTACCTTGTATAATCACCCCATCAGGTAGTCCGAAGTGGAACTGATCGAGAATTCAACGCTACGCACATTTTTGAAAGATTCGTCGCATCCGCTGTCTAGGTTTGGGGTTATGAGAGTGGCGTGACGGGAGTTGATGCTCAACACGGTGTACTAAATTCCCAACATGGCCTAAAATAATAGAGCAGTGACAAAACCATATTGTTTTCAAAATATCTTTTAGCGATACATGCTTGCTTCTCAATTAAAAGGCAGCTATAGTAGTATTTACCATCCTGGCGCATACATAGAACGAGGGAACCAGCGGCAGGCGCACCCACTCAAAACACACCACGCGAAGAGAATCCCGCGACCCACTCACAATCAACACTTCACCGCGAAGAGACCTCCAGCGCTCCAAGAGAGAGAACACTGGCCTGATCTATTCAACATCACCCAAGGATGGGCTAAGTGAGCTCATCCTCGATCACTTATTCACATCATGGAAGAGTACGCCCCGCAACTCACCCCGGTCGGAGAAAAGACCCTTCCGGCGAAATGTAACCCCAGTACCCTGGCGTACTGTCCTTCCATGGACCTGATCGCCCTGGCCACTGATGATGATGAGCTACGTGTATTCCGACTTAATGGCCAACGAGTTTTTGGGGGTTCGTTCAAGGGCGATCCATACCTCGGCGAAGACGAGGAGGACGGAGAAGTGAGGGCGTTAGCGTGGAAGGGAAATGGTAAGTGCGCCGACTCTACTTCCAGTGATAAACAGTGGCAATACTCCGGGAGACTATCCTCGGAGTTATCCAAATTACGTCTTGCATTGTGCTCTTGTGATGGGGAATCTCTGACCACCTCGCTAGGTCGACTCCTCGCGGTCGCCTGCGGAGACGGGTCTGTTCGCATCATTAGTGCATACAGCGGCAAGACTGTCCACCACTACCAGGCCTATGAGGAAAAAAAGGAAGATGACCCTGCTTCTGATCAAAATAACTCTCCGAAGGTGACATGTTTGGGCTGGGGCATCAACTTTACAGACAGCAAAGCCGCCCAGAAGCACCTGGAAGGCGCCGCGGGCCAAATTTCTGTGGACGACCTCCTAACGCCCGGGGTCCATCCATCGAAGGCCGCCGCGATTCTCAAGGCAGACCTCCCACGAGAACTAGCGCTGCTTGATATCGAAAGCTCTCTGCCCAAGCTGAGTACTGTAGCCGCGACGGGTGCCGAGGACGACTTATTTAGCTCACGTGCATCTATCGATGCTATCTTCCATTCATCAGTCAAGGATAATAGCGACTCGGTCGACGTGCTTTTTGTCGGGTTTGACGATGGCAGCGTCCACCTTCGCATTTTTGACTGCTTTGAGATCGGCTCATTTCCAATTGGAGAATCAGCGGGTGTTGCTGGATCGTGCCAAATTATCCGTCATGCGTCACATCCTCTAAGTTCAACACACGCCTTACTCGCATCCCCTGCCAAAGGCCAAACCCGTGAGCCTCTCAATCTCGTTACCTTGGATCTTCGGTTTATCACCAAGTCCGGGCGCTACCTGTCACTACTTGCGTCAAAGACCACACAGCTTCAGAATTTGTTGCGGTATATTGGCCAAGTTCAAAAGCAGATCGAGCTCGAATGGAAAAATGCACAAGAGACACCAGCACGGTTTCTGCGAAGTATCAACCAAGACTTGCAAGAACAGTGTCAATGTGATTTCACCACGGCTATATACCATCTTGTCGTCACTGGTCACTGCTTTGAACCGATGAAGGAGTTCCTGGTGGATATTGTTGGAGAAAGAGTATGTATACAAGTTAGTTACGATGAGAACCGATAACTAACATCTATTCTAGGGGCAAAAGCGATGGGACAAAGCTGTCTCAGCCGGCTACGAAAGCATTCGACGATTGACCCATGAGTGCCTGCTTCCAGCGCTTGAACGGAGTCAAGTCCTTCTCAGCCGGCTTGTTGGACTGTCTAAATTCCACAAGCTCACCGACGTTCTTGGTCTAGATACCTCGAAACTCAATGCCATTGTTGAGACGCTCGACTGTCTGCACCTGCTCGCTCACCGCATTATCAATCACGCCAGTGAGGAGCTAGATCAGTTCTCTGCCTTCTCGCGCTGGCTCCGCCACGAGATCTTGATACTGAGCAGTGAACCCCTGTCGCAAACATGGGATGAGCTCCTCGAGAAACGGGATCTTTTCGACGTCCCTCCAACCGTGAAATACATAACTGGTGCACTGCGCAAGAGTGTCTTGCGTAATTTCATCCGTCAACTTCCCATGATTGGAGTGCCGCACGTGCCTACCCCTGTCACGGACAAGTGGCTGCCAGATGGTCATGATCGATCCTTTTATGACACCTTCAAGGCATTGCTGAAACAGCAGAAGCAGGTCCAGGCAGAGGGCGGTGATGGAACTTCTGTGGATGCGCCAAAACTAAATGACTTGACACGACGACTGGGACTTCAATTTGAGAAAGTGTTCGCGGAGATCGCACTGACGCAGAGACGGGGGATTCTGCATCGGTCTCCGATTAAGCTGCATATGGATTGTGATCAGAATGTCCTGGATCTGAAAATTTGCTACGAGGTAAGCTCTTGTAAAGAGATCCCTCGTTCTCTTTCCTTTTCTATGGAACAGGGCTAACTGCTTTCAAGGACTTGGTAAAGGGACGGCCTTGCACTGTCTACGTGGCTGCGAGATCAGCCAGCACGAAGTCACTAGGTTTGTGACATATTGAGCTTCGTCGTTGTATAGCTTAATCATTAACAGTTGCTACAGTTTACATCTACCGTATCGTTCTTGATTCCGTCAACGGAGTCAGCTCGACTCGGCAGGCGTCTATTGCCGCCCTTTCCTTCAAGGAGGGGGTCATTCGCCAGCTGCAATTTGTCGAGGATGACACTCTCGTGCTTCTCTACGCCGACAGCGAAGCTTCCTATCTTCTGAATCTTCCTTTCCAGCCCGCCTCAGTTCTAGATTTGGCTGACGAGGTCGAACCTCTCGCGGTACCATTGAACTACATTGACAACAACCCTCAACCCACTACAGCGAAGCCAGCCGTTCAGCCCACACCGCTGGACATCGCATCACTCTTGAGAGAGACAGATATCGTCATACATACCTTCGCGCCATCGGGCCCGAAGTCTCACCCAGTGCACATTGACGTCAATGGGCGACAGGGTCGTCGGGCCATCTGCGTGTTGTACGGCGACGCGATGCGGTATGAAGTGTTGGACTTGGATGCGGAGTTGGAAGAGGAGGAAGAACATGAGGAAGAGGAGGAAGAAGATGATGATGATGAGGGTGAAAATCTTGATTATGATTAGGGATCATGGTTCTTGCGTAGGGACGCTGTACCGGAGGTTTTCGGCGTTGGGTGAACTTGACCAATGGCAAGTCCTGGATTGTACTATTATTGTGTTTGTCTTCCTGTGCTTCGTCAACTCCTCAACTGAGGTTCTCGACTATTGCTCATCTACGTGGAGTCATACAATAGAAGCTATTTGCTTGAACTTCCCATGGACATACGAGTTAGATGATTCGGTCTTTGTATAATTTGAGATTTGCTGCCCCTTGCCAAGTTTCCTATTGCTTATCTTATACTCCATCGCAGGCTCTTCTGGGAGATTCCATGCAGGCCCGATTTTGACAGATCAGTTTGTGGTCTCCACAGCAAAAAATAGTTCCTGAGGTAGCGCGAATGTGTGTGTGGCCAGGGCTAAATGGAGCCTGTCGCTGGGGCCACACGCTGAACTGTGTGGGTTTCTTTCTTCAAGAAGGAAAATCAAAACAAGCAAAACGGAGGGGCAAAAAAATAGGGGAGCCCCTCTAACAACGTAAACAAAGAATCACAACGCCACCATTGGGACCATGAAGGGAGGCAAAGAATGAAATGTAGATGGATACAAAGTAAAGTAACTAAGGTATAGAGCTTGTTGAAGGTCTAAACGATAGGCTCCTTGTTTTTAAAAAATGAACACACCAGGAACAGTCTTTTTGTTGACTGAATTTAGCAGAGCTGACCAAAGACATTCCTGCCTGAGGCACCAATTCTCACGTGCAGCCTGAGGCCCCCGCCGCCAATCAGCGCGGCTTCCCAAGTTGAACCTCACCTCGTTCTGTTCTTTCCGGCGTCGAAATCTGCCTTCTATCCATTTCATTACTTGTCAAATAGACACTCGTGGATAATCCGGTGTCCTTTCTTGGAATTTCCCCCTTCTTACACCTTTTGGGCTGCATTCAAGGCATCTTTCTCTCTCTGTGACTCTTCGCGGAAAGACCTGGTGCATGCCTCGTCATATCCACAAAAACACCCCGTCCCTTCCCACCTACCGTCCACTCCAGGGATTCTTCTGCAACCACACCCGCCCTGCCAGTCGACTGTAATTTGCGTGCCTATCGCCTTTTTCAGTCTTTCGTACGGCAACCAAGAGGGATTCGATTCTTTTCTTTTCTACTGCTCTCTTTCCTTTTTTTTTCCTTCTCCCTCTTCCTCCCTCCTTCTCTCCTTCACCCCACATCTTCCATCTTTTTTGCGTTGCTCTGAGACGACAATATGGATGCTCGCCAGGTGTTGCAGAGCACCTTGTCGCCCGGTATGTCTTTCCTCTCCCGTTGATAAGCTCTGGATGAGACCCTCCCACATCTCTCCTGAACCTCGACTTGTGTGGTGGTAGCCCCTCGCTGACCGTCTTTCTTCTTCCCGCAGATGCGGCGGAACGTACCAATGCTGAGCAGCAGCTCGCCCATGCGGCGGAGGTTGACTTCGTATGTGAACCCCCCCCCCCAGCTTCTGATTTCCTCGTTCTGTGAATCTTGCGCTACGATCAAAAATCCTTCTCCTCTAGCCCCCGAGCTAACATCCTTTGTGTGTTTTTCCTAGGCTACCTACCTCGTCACCCTAGGCCAGGAGCTGGCCAGCGAAGAAAGCCCTGCCCACATCCGTGTTGCTGCCGGTATCGCCTTGAAGAACGCTTTTACCTTCCGAGACCAGACCAAGCTCCGTGAAGTGCAGGCCCGATGGATTCAACAAATTACCCCCGAGACCAAGACACAGGTCAAGGAGCTCGCGCTCAAGACCTTGGCATCCGATACCCGAGCTGGGAATGCTGCCGCTGCGCTAATTGTTTCGATCGCCGCGATCGAACTGCCCCGAAATGAGTGGTCCGACCTCATGAACATCCTGGTCCAGAACGTGGCCAGTGGAAACGACAACCTGAAGCAGTCGTCTCTTGCCACTATTGGATTTATTTGCGAGTCCCAAGATGCCGATCTCCGTGCTAGCTTGACTACGCACTCCAATGCGATCCTGACTGCCGTTGTGCAGGGTGCTCGGCGCGAGGAGCCGAACATGGAGGTCCGCTTTGCCGCTATTGCTGCCCTCAGTGACGCCGTTGACTTGTAAGTTGCTCCTTATGGGTAATATTCTTATATCTCTTGCTAACATTCTATAACAGCGTGCGATCCAACATGGAGAATGAGGGCGAGCGCAACTACATTATGCAAGTCGTCTGCGAGGCCACACAGGCTGAGGAGGTTCGCGTTCAGGCTGGTGCGTTCGGCTGTCTGAACCGTATCATGGGCGCATACTACGAGAAGATGCGCTTCTACATGGAGAAGGCTCTCTTTGGCCTCAGCATCATGGGCATGAAGAGCGAGGAGGAGGATGTCGCCAAGCTGGCTATCGAGTTCTGGTGCACTGTTTGCGAGGAGGAGATTGCTATTGAGGATGACAATGCCGAGGTCAGTCCTTTCCGTGCATTAATAAGATTCCATCTTGGAAACGCATGTGCTGACATCCGTCCCTTTACTAGGCTCAACAAGAGGGTGTCGAGGCTCGTCCATTCTACGGCTTTGCTCGCGTGGCTGCTCGTGAGGTCATCCCTGTCCTCCTGCAGGCCATGTGCCGCCAGGATGAGGATGCTGATGATAACGAGTACAATGTGTCGCGTGCCGCTTACCAAGCTCTTCAGCTGTACGCTCAGTGTGTGCAGGGCGATGTGATCCAGCCCGTTGTCAGCTTTGTCGAGGAGAACATTCGCAACGAGGACTGGCGCCGTCGGGATGCTGCCGTGGCTGCCTTTGGTGGTATCATGGAGGGCCCTGAGCCTCGTGTTCTGGAACCTTTGATCAAGCAAGCTCTGCCTGTCCTTCTGGGCATGATGGAGGATGCTTCCGTTCAGGTTCGCGATTCCACTGCCTACGCCCTGGGTCGCGTATGCGACTGCTGCCCCGAGGTTTTGGACCCCGAGGTTCACCTCCAGCCCCTCATCTCTTGCCTTTTCAATGGCCTTGCCAGCAGCCCCAAGATCGCCAGCTCTTGCTGCTGGGCTCTCATGAACGTTGCCGACCGATTCGCCGGAGATGCCGGTTCTCAGACCAACCCTCTCTCCAAGCACTTCGATGAGAGTGTCAAGTCGCTCATGCAGGTGACTGAGAGACAAGATGCGGATAGCCAGCTTCGCACCGCTGGATACGAGGTTCTCAACTCATTCGTCATGAACTCTGCCAACGATAGCCTTCCCACCGTTGCCAGCCTTTCGGACCACATTCTGGGACGTCTTGAGCAAACGATCCCCATGCAGCAGCAGGTTGTCAGCACGGAGGACCGCATCCTCCTTGAGGAGATGCAGACTAGCTTAATCAGTGTCATTCTGGTAAGTACTTTTTGCTTTTCTAACTTCCATAGGCGTGACTAACTTTAACCCCAGGCCATCGTTCAACGTTTCGAGCTCGAGATCAAGCCTCAGGCCGACCGCATCATGCAGGTCATGCTCAGTGTTCTGACCACTGTCGGCGCCAAGTCCAGTGTTCCCGATGTCATCTTCGCCACCGTTGGTGCTGTCGCCAGCGCCCTCGACGAGGACTTCGCCAAGTACATGGAGTCGTTTAGCCCCTTCCTGTACAATGCTCTCGAGCACCAGGAGGAGGCTGGTCTGTGCTCCATGGCCATTGGCCTTGTCAGCGACATTGCCCGCGCCCTGAACGACAAGGTTCAGCCTTTCTGCGACACCTTCATGAACCTGCTCCTCAGCATCCTCCGGGTATGTCCAACAACCCCACTCAATCTGCTAAGTGGTTCTTTTGCTAATTTTCCACAATCAGACTTCCACCAACCAGCTCAAGCCGGCCATCTTGGAGACCTTCGGAGACATTGCTCAGGCCATCGGAACCCCTCACTTCGATAACTACCTGCCCGTCGTCGGCCAGGTTCTTCAGCAGGCCTCCTCCGTTACCACCAGCTCTGATCTTCCTTATGATATGGTGGACTACATTGTCTCCCTGCGTGAGGGTATCATGGATGCTTGGGGTGGCATTCTGCTCTCCTACAAGGGTAGCTCCCAGAGTAAGTTAGCTCTACCCTTTACCCGGTTCTACTCTGCTAACAAACATCCAGTCACTCTGATCCAGCCTTTCGTTGAGTCCATCTTCCAGTTGCTCCACATCATTTCCCAAGAAGGCAACCGGTCTGAGGGCTTGATGCGCTCTGCTATGGGTGTGATTGGGTAAGTTAATCTCCAAGGTTATTTTGTTCTTGCCATCTCGATACTGATACATGTACAGTGATCTCGCGGATGCTTTCCCCAACGGTGAGCTCGCCACCTACTTCCGCCACGACTGGGTCACCACCCTTGTTCGGGAGACTCGCACCACCCGCCAGTACAGTGACCGGACCATCGAGACCGCTCGCTGGACCCGCGAGCAAGTCAAGCGCCAGATCAACATGAGCACCGGCATGGCTTAAATTTTTACCACCTGGTTTCATCCCATCGGTAACAGACCCCCCGCTATCCCCCCACCCGCTCCCGTTCCATTTGGACCTGGTCCAGCTGGAAAGAGCGGAGAGGATACTCTGGGATAGCTAAGGCTTCAGGGACCAGTCTTACATGACGGTACCACCCGGACCTCCCTCATATGGACTTGGGGCCTTGATGGTCGGTAAGTATTCTTGTCTCCATTGCTGGCGGACACCTTCCTGCCATGTGTTTCCATCCCCCATCGCCACCGTCGCCAACACCGGACAATGAGATTCCCGCATTCACCCACCTCTCCCTCCCCCTTGTTGATCATCTTTCACACTCCCCCATACCTCCCATCTATCAGCACTTGCTCCTCCAGGTGCGGCCAATTCCCCTGATGACACCACGCAATGACCCTTTCCCAATCTTGCCCCTCATGTTCCTTGTCCTTGATTCTTGGTACAACCCCATCTTCTTATCATATTTCCCCTTCGGATCCCCTACCTTGTTTTTTAATTAGACCAAGACCCCTCGCATCCTTATAGCATTGCACCTCATGTAGCCCAAAGAATTCATGTATCCTCCTTACCTTGACACAATCTTGTATTCCCAATCATGTATCTCCCAGAACCATGTCTGAACCCTTCACTGAAAAAGAGTCTGCCATGAAAAGCTGTCTTTCTTCCTTTCCCTCTCTCCGTCGTATACTCCAACCTTGACCCTGGCCCGATCCCTATAAGCCCTGCCCATGTCATTGCACTGGACACCCTCCTAAATCCCCTTGTATAGAGATAGCATATCGGCTTGTTTTGGCGCATGGGTGATTTATTAGCATTTGAAGTAGTAGTATTTTGTAAAGAGCAGGAAACTTGGCAGTCACATGGGGAGGGAGATGTGATGCCTGAGGCACCAAGTAAACGGCTGGCTCTATCCTCACGTGACTGTTTGCCGATAAGGGCTGACGGCTATCGAAACCCTAAGGGGCAGCCGCACAGTCAGCACAGTCAGCACAGTCAGCGAAAACCAAACTTCGCCGACCGCCGCAACATTTTCATCTTCGACAACCCGCTACACCGAAGGACCATTCCCTCGAGGTATGTACGCCCTCCCCTCTCACCAGCCTCTCAGCTAGTCTGGGAATGCAATCATCCTGTCGTCTTCCTACGATTTCGAAATTTTCCGCGTGGTCGAAGCAGACGTGCAGGATGATACGCATCTCCCAATCGGCACGGGCTGAAGAACTCCTTTTGCAAGGAAGGGGCACTCTTTGCGCTCGAAGACTAGTGGTGGCTGACTTTAGTTGCAATTGGACACCCCGTCTCGACTAGCAGAGCTTCACATTCACTTGTGAGGCTCGCAGTCGCGGTAGGGGGTTCTGTTGCGTCTCGTCGAACAGATACCTCATATCCTTTTTTCCCGATCGATTTGAGAATCTCGACTCTCCACAACCGCCAAAATGGTCAAGACTTCCGTCCTCAACGATGCCCTTAACGCCATGAACAACGCCGAGAAGGCCGGCAAGCGCCAGGTTCTGATCCGGCCTTCTTCCAAGGTCATCGTCAAGTTCCTCACCGTCATGCAGAAGCACGGTACGTTTCGATTGTCCTCGCTGTCAATACCGCATTGGTTTGTGTCTTGGAAACAATTGTCTCGCCAAGAGGAATTAATGTATTCCTCTTTTGTATTCGGATTGATAACTAGGCGGCCGGTCTCAATCACCTACGACGTCTGCCTTTTAAGTATCCGATAGATTGACCTCTTGGCGAAGATCTTACATGTTTCCAAGCGCTTGCTTATGCTTCCAGTATTTGGCGACTTTTAAATTTTCGCGACATACTGATTTTTTCTTTCTTCAGGCTACATTGGCGAGTTCGAGGAGGTCGATGACCACCGTTCCGGCAAGATCGTCATCCAGCTGAACGGCCGGTGAGTTACCTAGTGCCCTGTTTGTTCACTATGAGTATATGCTAATTCATTACCCTTCCAGTCTCAACAAGTGCGGTGTCATCAACCCCCGCTACCCCGTCCAGCTCCGTGACCTCGAGAAGTGGGCTACCCAGCTCCTTCCCTCCCGTCAGTTCGGCTACGTCGTCCTGACCACCTCCGCTGGTATCATGGACCACGAGGAGGCTCGCCGCAAGCACGTTGCTGGCAAGCTCCTCGGCTTCTTCTACTAGAGGAGTCGCCCTAAAAAGCAATCCGAAAAAAGTTGTTGTTTTGACTGGTTTCGCATGTCACTTGGGCTGGGCCCTGGGAATGTAATCTTACGAGTAACGGAGTAATACCCCGATGTCATAGCCTACAGAGTACAAGGTTCTCATCCAAATGCCAGGCGACTCTAGTCTGCAATTAAATTAAATCATTCCTCGTGTAGCTCATTAGACCACTTAGGGAAAGAGAAAATCATTGTGCCGAGGCTCGATTACACCGCCTTGGTTCCTTCCCCCATTCTGCCCGTATATTTCCCCGCAAGTTGAGAGAGTGTCTTTGCATCTCCACGCTCACCATGCCGCTGGATACGATATATCTTACTCGCCATGGGGTAAGAACTGTCCTGTGTCAATAGTACTCAGACTCTACGTACTTGGGGAAGCCATTTGCTAACCTACCACCAGCATCGGCTCAACTGGACCATTGACGTGCGAACTGGCACCTACAAGTCCCAATTCCCAACTCCGACGGGCAATCCAGCAGATCCGGCATTGACATCTCACGGTGTGCGTCAGTCGCGTGAACTTGCTGTCTATATTTCTGGGCCGGACTTTCACCCGAAGCCCTTTCGAGTCTATTCAAGTCCGTTCTACCGATGTCTTCAGACTATTCAGCCCTCGGTGGAGGCGCTTAAGAAGGAACACGGCAATGCTGCGGATCTAGATGTTAGAATTGAGAATGGTCTAGGGTAGGGGTAACCCTTCTCAAAGTGACTCTAACTAAATCTGTGTATAGTGAATGGTTCGGCCCAACAACCTTCTTCGACCACCCTTCACATCCAACACCAAGCACCATGCATAAACACTTCCCATCCATTGTCTCCCCAGAGACTAACTATACGCCACTTCTGCACCCTTCTACCCGCGGTGAAACCATTGCCCAACTACACAACCGTGTAGCCACCGCTCTGGAAGGTATCATCGCCGACGTGGATGCAGAAATTACCGCTTTAGAGGCTACCTTGCCTGCAAACCAGCGCACAAGCAAATCTATTCTGATCTGCGCACATGCCGCCCCGCTTATTGCCATGGGCCGTGTTTTGACCGGTCGTATGCCCGAGGATAGTTCCGAGGAGGACTTTTACGTGTTCACCGCTGGTATGAGCACTTTCAAGCGCAGAGAATCTCGGGAGAAAGACGCGAGTCGTCCTCGGACTTTGTTAGCTGAGGGGACGAAGTTTGTTCGCGTTCAGGGCGTTCCTGCTTGGGAGGGTGGTCGTGGTGTTGGGGGTGGATGGAATTGTGTGAAGAATGGGGATTGCACTTTCTTGAGTGATGGTGCTGAGCGTGGATGGTGAGTTTCATATGCCTTTCATCCGTTGCATTTTGCTTCCATCTTGATGTGCTGCTGGATCATGCTAATCAAACTTTCTGGGTGGGTAGGCATTTCAATGGCGAAGAGTCTTTCGATACTGGTCCAATGGCTCCGGCTTCCGATCAACCTGCTGTTGCGAACTCGTCTATCTTGGAGACGAGTAGATCTGGTGGAACCAAGTTGTGAGCAGATCCAGCATTCAGTAGATATCGCATCAAATATCTATAGAGATACATCTTTATCAGAATATATTCTATCACATTCAACATCTACCCAAACACCGACTCTCCTTCAATGAATCTCCTTCAGACTTCGAGAACCTTATTAAGCTTTTAGTCAATCTAATCAGATGAGTTATTTTCCTTCGCAGACTAACGATCACCTTCCGAAAAAGGTAGTCCGAGGGTAACCGTAGTCACGTGCACGCCCTGTCTATGACGAGTGGTGGATCTAGAAAACTTGAGCCGGAGAGATCTGCTTAGAAATTGGTTTTCCAAATTGCAGATTAAACAATTTAAACCTTGTCTTCGTCTCCTTACAAGTCTGCATAGTATCCTTGCAGCTACAATATGGCGACTATCACACAGACCCTGCCCACCACGGCAGTTGAACTCCCCACTCTAGGCCAAACCACCAATGAAGAACGACAACGCAATCCTGGAATCAGCTCTTCAGCCCCAGGGTCTATCATCGCCGATGATGTGATGCAGCAATCGCTTATTGCAGATTCGCAAGTCCCCGATGGAGGCTATGGCTGGGTTGTTATTTTTGCGTGTGCTGTCGTGACCTGGTGGTTTGTCGGTGTTTCTTATACTTGGGGTGTTATGCAAGCTGAGCTTGTTAATCGGAAGGGATATTCTTCCTCGACACTGGCTTTTGTGGGGTCGTTGTGTCCGGCTTGTATTTCGCTGCTTGCAGTGCCGAATGCGACTGTTATTCGGAAGATTGGGGCAAGGATTACTGCTCTGCTGGGTATTTTCTTGCTTGGATTGGGAAGTATCTTGAGTGGGTTTGCGACGGATAGTGTTGTTGGACTATTCATGACTTGGGGATTTGTTGGTGGACTTGGTACTAGTCTGTGTTTCATGGTGAGATATGCCTGACAAGATATGCTTGACGAGACATACTTGATTCTTCTCCAACCTTGGACTATTACCTTACTAACACTGGTCACCAGGTCGTCTCTGTGACACCCGCTCAGTACTTCAAAGCTAAGCGCGGCATCGCAAATGGCATCGTCTACGCTGGTGGTGGCCTCGGCGGCACCGTTATCAGCTTCATCCTCGACGCCCTCCTACAAAGAGTCGGCATCGCCTGGACCTTCCGTATCCTCGGCTTCCTAATCATGGGCACCGGTCTTCCAGCGGCCTACCTAATCAAAGAACGGGCCCCTATCAAACCCACCAAAATGGTCGAATGGAGCCTCTTCAAAGACATCCGCTTCGCCGTCCTCTTCGCCGTCGGCGCAATCGGCACATTCCCCCTCTTCGTGCCAGCCTTCTTCTTACCGCTATACACGAACAGTCTCGGTCTTCCCTCCAGCGCGGGTGCAGGTCTAGTCGCAGCATTCAATTTCTCCTCTGCGATTGGCCGGTTATCTTGTGGATTTGCGTGTGATAAGCTTGGTTCATTGAATACGCTTTTCTTGTCGTTGTTGCTTAGTGCATTGAGCATTTTCGTGCTGTGGCCTGTGTCTAGCTCGATTGGACCGCTTATTGCGTTTGTGATTATTAATGGATCGGCAAATGGTGGGTTCTTTTCGACTATGCCGACTGTTGTTGGGAATGTGTTTGGTTCGGCTAGAGTGAGTGTTGCGGTGGGTATGATTGTCAGTGGGTGGCTTGGTGGATATCTTCTGGTGAGTTACTTATTATTCCTTATATCTGGTTTTCCTCACATCTATTCTTTCCTGGTAATTGCTAATATCGATGGTTACTTGTAGGGTGCACCGATTGCAGGTTATATCCTTAATGCGTCTGGTGGACAAGAAGGTGGTGTTGGTGCTTATAGACCAGCTATTTTCTATGCTGGTTCGATGGCGACGGCTGCTACGGTGTTAGCTGCTGTGGTTCGAATTAAGGTCGACCGCAGGATCAAAAAGACGGTGTAATAGATAGCACCGCGAAAAGTACTATGATACAACTATATTGATTAGAAAAGCTACATTAGAATCAACAAGGCTGGTTTACTAGGAACTTTCAACATGTATTCATACATAATTCGTTCATGTAGGGCTGGTAGATTAGGAGCTTTCAACATGTTTTCATACATAACTCATTCACACAAAGCTGTCTTGGTAGATACTATGCCTTTTTAGGCGGGAACAGCTGGCTGTGGCTGTGGCTCTGGGTGTGGCTGTCCAGTAGCTTCGCCGTTGACGGTGGTACCATTTACCCCCGTATGGTCTCCTGCAACATCTGGCTGAGGGTGAGCTTGTGCCTCCTCTTGCTGCTGCTGCTGATCCTGCAGGCGTTGCTGTTCTTCTTGGCGAAGACGCTCGGCTTCCGCCTCAGCCGCGTTGCGTGCCTCCACCTGCCTCTCACCGATACCTGGGATAAGACTTGCAAGAAGGAGCACGATAGCTCGTTCCATGCGGCGAATGCTGCTCCACAATTCGCCCTGAATGGTATCAGGAGCATTACCACCTGCCTGAGCAGTCGCGGCGTTTTGACCTCCAGCACCCTGTGTGGCCTGATCCGCTGGCCCCCCTAGGTGAGCGAGGCCTTCGAGATGGCGCTGGATGGGCGTGATGAGAATTTCTTGGAATCGCCGAGGAATTTCGGTATCAGACAGCAGAGCAATCAGCACCGCACCAGCAACGAGGAAGACACGTGCCCAGGTACCAGAACTGCTGATCATGTAAATGCAAAAGTACAGGCGAATAAAGAGCCAAATCCGGCGCAGATATTGTCCGACGGGAACGTTCTCGACTTCGCGGCGTCGCTGCTGGTTAATTACTGCCTGGCGGACAATGTCCTGTCCGACGCCCGGGTGTTGACCGGCTGGGGCTCCATGATGGACATGGTTGTCTCCGGTGTGGGCTGTGGGGATATTTCCAGCCTGGGGCATGGGAACAGCCAATGGAAAGATGGCTGCATTGGCTGCGGGCATAATCAAGCTCTGACGACCATCTGGTCCGGTGGCCAAGAAGACTTGCGGAATTGACTGGAAGGGACTCGATGGTCCTGGACTGTCGTCACGAGTGGCGGGCAGTTGATCGATGCGCCGATAAAGGGCCATGACACGCTGCATCAGTGCATGGGCAGAGGCATAAAGAGGGTGCCCCTGATATTGGGCCTGCTGATGCAATAATATCTCGGTCCGCACTCGTAGCTGGTACATAAGCTCGTGCTGGGGGACGAAGCCGTGGTCCAGACTGAGCTCTGCGCTTTCAACTTGCCTGTACAAGTCCTCGAAGTAGGTGACATCGGCTGGGCTGGGTATGCCCACAGAATAAGGTGGAGGTGGGCCTGTGCCTTGTGGGGTCCCATTATCCATGGCGTTCCAAATGTGCTGCTGCCCATTTTGTTCATGGGTATTGGCTGGCGGGGGAACGCCACGGAATCGCAGGCTATCTCCGCCATTCTGCTGGACAATACGGGCATCTGCGATGGGTGCTTGAAATTGGCTCGACACTCCAACACGAGTACCGGTCCCGGAGGTAAAGGAGTTGTCATTAGCGGCCGACTCGAGTGGTAAGACCATGTGAACCGCGAACTCATTATCCTAGGTGAGGTTTTAGTCAGATGAGGTTCTAGCAGATATGAAGTGAGTAAGAGCTGCCAGGGCTGAGGGCCTACCTCAACCGGACTCAAGACGCGGAACAGTCTATGACCGTCAACTACCAAAGGCCTTCCTCGATGGATCAATCTCTGGGTCGATGGCCCTGGATGACCCGGGAACGACTGGGCGATGAGCCCTCGCAACTCTCCGACGGTAATCCGAAGTGGCACGCCGTGAAGTGTAAACCGATCCGAGCCTGAGAGAGAAGGAGACAGGATGTGGATTGAGACAGTTCGCTGCGTCCGGTCACCCTCATCACCAGCGGCAGTAGCAGCAGCCGCTGCAGCCGGTGCCTGTTGAGGGGCCATGTGTGCCGTGGCCGGGGTCTAGTTGTGTCGCGCGCGCGGGAGAGGGAAGAGTAGGAGGTGAGAGACAAGAGGGGTGTTGTGATGGATCTCGATCTGGAGAGTATCGAATATCCGATGACACTATCGAAGATTCGACGAGGAACTCGTAGATCCGATGAGGAGATCGTAGATGCGATGAATAATCGAAGATACGATTGGAAGGAAATCGAAGATGCGATGAGGAAATCGAAAATCCGGGGAAATTCGATTGCTGGGTGGAGGTGACGTGGTGAAACGGAAGGTTGGCGGAAACAAGTGGAAAAATCGACGCGGGGCAGGAGGAAAGGAAGGAGAAGAAGGAGGAGAGAAGAATTGGAAGTCGTTTGTTTACCCCGACTGGATTTTACCCCCGCGTAAATCAGTGGACGCGCTTCGGCGCATTGGTTGTGATAGTTGATATGGAGATCTGGCAGGAAGCTACGAGGAGAGCGATAAGAGTAAGCTATTTGCCGATAGCGTGAACAGCCTTGTACAATGCCACCAGAATGATTCAAAACTATGCATCCCGTTATATGGCAAAGCTGAGATCAGTAACAGTCCCGCCTACTCTAAAAAACACAACAACAGACGAAACGAACCAGAACAGGTTGATGCCATTGCGGCAATTGACATCCTGCATCACACGTGCCATTCTGCCATCATTACCCCTAGGCGGTCAATCGGTCCAAACGCATTTCCTGATTCGGGCGAAGACGAAAAAACGTTCTCCTTGGAAGCTCCAACAGAGGTCTAACTCCCCTCGCAACCTAGAGCTCTGATGGAATAAACTGCACGATGGCCAAGTGCCTTCTCAATCACTCCACATTTCTCCACCGTGCTGCTGCCCCTGTGAGTGGGGTTGCTACATCCATGGAGGTCCTCTCGTTCCGGGCCACTGCCCGCCACAAGGCCAGCGTTCGCCATTTTTCGTCCAAATCATGGAGACAATATCACAAAGACAACAATCATGAAGGAAATACAAGGGGAGGGTTTGGATCGAGACTGCGTTTTGCGCTGCGGAACACCAAGGTCGAATGGTACCCGATCCCCGTCGGTCTCGGAATCGGTCTACTAGGGGTCCTACACTTTTACAAGTCCCAGCGTGCTGAACGTGACCGAGATGCACAGAGTGATGCAGGTGATGACTGGGAGAATGGAAAACGCCCACCACGACGCCCGCGAGTTGTGCCGACTGGTCCCTGGCAGGTCCAGGTCATGTCGACTCTGCCCCTGAAGGCCATCTCGCGTTTATGGGGTCGGTTCAACGAGATTGAATTGCCATACTACTTCCGTGTCCCTGGATTCAAACTCTACTCATGGATCTTTGGTGTTAATCTCAGTGAGGTCGCTGAACCCGACCTTCATGTCTATCCCAACCTCGCCGCCTTCTTTTATCGCAAGTTGAAACCCGGTGTCCGACCCCTCGATCCCGACCCACGTGCACTTGTATCCCCCTCCGATGGACGTATCCTGCAGTTTGGTATGATTGAGCGGGGTGAGGTGGAACAAGTCAAGGGCATGACCTACAGTCTGGATGCGCTTTTGGGTGCAGCTACGCCGGTAACTGCCGACCACAGCAACCGCATGTCCGATCCAGCGATCAAGGACACCCACAAGGATGTCGAGAACATGAAGGCCGATCAGGAGTTTGCCAGCGTGAACGGTATCTCCTACACTTTGCCCTCGCTCCTGTCTGGTGAATCGGGCGTTCCCGCGAAGAGACGGGCATCAATTGATGCATCCACCCCCTCGAAAACGACGTCCGAGGTTCAAGTCCAGGAGGAGTTGGCCCGTGGAGAAGGAACTTCATGGTTCGCGCCCAAGGCCGCCGTCAACCACGCATTGTTCTACGTTGTGATCTACTTAGCACCTGGTGACTATCACCGTTTCCACTCGCCTACCGAATGGGTTGTAGAGAGCCGCCGCCACTTTGCGGGTGAACTCTACTCGGTCTCGCCCTATCTGCAGCGAACCCTGCCCGGTCTGTTCACCTTGAACGAGCGTGTGGCGCTACTGGGTCGCTGGCGATGGGGTTTCTTCAGTTACACGCCGGTCGGCGCGACCAATGTGGGCTCGATCAAAATCAACTTTGACTCGGAACTGCGCACCAACAGCTTGCTGACTGACACTGCGGCGGACTTGGCTGCAGCTCGGGCGGCGGAGCGGGGTGAAACTGACCCCGGATTCGTCGAGGCTACCTATGCTCATGCTAGTCGCACACTAGGCGGACACCCGCTGCGGCGCGGTGAGGAGATGGGTGGGTTCCAGCTGGGTAGCACAGTAGTGCTGGTATTCGAGGCTCCTCTCGGCAGTCGAAAATCGTTTGATGCTGGCTGGCCGGACAAAGAGCGACCTGATGGCTGGAACTGGGCCATTGAGAAGGGCCAGCGGATCAAGATGGGTGAGAAGCTGGGCTTTGTTGGGGAAGACTGAGAGATGTTATACAGGCTCTGCTGTGCGTTAATCTAGGTTAATGCTTGCCAAGGTGGCAAGGGGACACGAGGCTGGCGATACAGCAGGGCGTCGTGATTTCTTTTTTTCTTTTGTTTTACTTGAAACTCTTCTTTCATGGGAGGGCCATTTGTTGTAATATACCATTTTGTGAGTTTTGTCGAGGAGGTTGCATGGGTTATCCATGATCCGCATCCAGCCGCATAATAAAAGCATTGCACATTCCTGAGTTGAGATCGCCATGCTTTATCTTGCCCCCATGTGATCTATCAGATAGCCGCAAAGATAAAAGAGAAATAAGATAGAAAGAGATAAGGCACGAACTACTCCATAGTCCACTAGGGAATCGTTCCTTAGTTCAATAGTTCAACCACCAAACTCAGCCCCATTCAATGGCGCAGACCAGTCAACGTGCTCGAATGATCCCCACTGATTTGCTGGCGATAAGCAGCGACGTCACTGCGGATTTCTTGGCAACAAGAAACAAGAGAAAAGTTAAAGGCAGTGCAAAGCCACACATTTATTATGAGTATTATTATTAGTATTATGAGGAAGATGGCAAATAGTACAATCTTGAATGTGGCCGACGATCTAGTCTGATTTGGTGTTGGTCGAGACTGTCATACGTGATCGACGTTATCATGCTATCATCCATTCAGCAGATACCTGGAGTAGCTTATGATGGTTCTCTCTGTATTTGTAGCCAAACATTCATAAACTATTCAATTCATACAGCAATTAATATCCGTTGAACTACTCACTAAAGTCTAATAAGCTCCAAATCAGCCTTGCATCCCCCATCCGACCGGTCTGGGCGTCTGGAAACAAACCTTGGTTGGAGACTCGTCCAAGCGGGTCGCGCAACTTGGGCCAAGGAATGAGGAATCACCAACCTGCTCTCTGCTATCGTTTTTGTTCTTCGCCTCCCCCGCCTCTGGACCAAGTCTTCTCTCGTTCTTCTCTTTCCTTTCTCATCCTCTCCATCGTCCCCCCTCGATGGCCATTTTTACTCTGCCCCGGTCGTTCCAGAGCAATGTCTTCTCTCCCCAGAACCCGATGGCATCCGCCGCCATGAGCGCGACAGGCTCCAGCTCCAGCTCCAGCTGGATCGCCAGCGCTCCATCACAACACCCGCCATTCTTCCATCTTGTGCTCCTGGTCTTTGAGGCTGTATTGGAGGTTATCTGTGTCAGTTTGCCGGGCTACTTTGCTGCTCGACAGGGCATGTTCGATGCAGAGGCGCAGAAGCTGGTGGCGAATCTCAACGTGACGCTGTTTACCCCCTGCCTGAGTATGGATCTCCTTGGAAATGGTGACGATAGATGGGTCCGGTCGCGATAACTAATACTGGGCACAGTTTTCATTAAATTGGGCTCTCAATTGACTGCCGAAACACTCGCCGATTTGGCAATTATCCCCGTGATCTTTGTCGTTCAAACCGGTGTCTCTTATCTTTGCGCTTTTGTGATTGCGCGATGTTTCCGTTTCAAGAAGCGCCAGTCGAACTTTGTCGCGGCGATGGCGGTATGATCAGTCCTTCATCCCTCAAATGAAGTTGCAAAGGATACATGCTAACGGGTTCATCTGTGAATAGGTGTTTGGCAATTCCAATTCCTCCCTATCTCTCTCGTCATGTCGCTCTCTCAAACCCTCAAGGGTCTCCACTGGGATCGCATCCCGAACGATAACGATGATGAGGTCGCCGCGCGTGGTATTCTCTATCTGCTAATCTTCCAGCAGCTCGGGCAACTCGTTCGCTGGAGTTGGGGATATCATATCCTCTTGGCTCCCAAGGATCGATACTTGGAGGATGCAGAGCGGGATATCACCGACCAATCGCGCATCGAGCAAGGTCAAGCTCGATACAGCGATAACCCAGACCAGACGGATCCAGATGAGCCGCTGGTTCGCACACGCAGTTCCGACGATCTCCACCATTCTCCGGGCGGCAGTAGCCGGTTCCACTCCGGGGATCAAACGCCCGTATCAACTCGTGCCTATTCGTACACCAAGGTGTCGTCTGTTCATTCTCACGATGATTTGGATCAAGAAGATGATTCAGATGCTCCGCCATCGGTCTTGGGACCACCTCCGGACGGTCCATTCTTGCCACGTCAAAACACCGGAGTTGATATTCTCTCTTTCCCTGACGTTGAAGCCACTGCGCGCCAATCCCAAGCCGCAGACAAGACCTTCATCCAGCGCTGCAAGTCCTCTCTCTGTAAGCGCCGCGAACGTATCCGTCGCGCCTGGGAGAAGAAGACCGGCGCTGTGTATGGACGTCTGCCCCCCAAGGCCCAAAAGTGCCTCTCAGCCATAACTCGCGGTGTAACCCGCTTCCTCCACGGCGCATGGGACTTCATGAACCCCCCTCTATGGGCAATGCTCGTCTCCGTCATCGTCGCCTCCGTCCCAGCCCTCCAACACGTCTTCTTCGATGAAGGTACCTTCATCCGCAACTCGGTGACCCGTGCCATTGATCAAAACGCCCAAGTCGCGGTTCCCTTGATCCTAGTTGTTCTCGGCGCGAATCTCGCGCGCAACACGCTGTCAGAGGAGAACCTGGCTGACATGGAGCACCCCAGTGCGGAGCGTAAATTGATCATCGCCTCGCTGGTCGCGCGCATGTTCCTGCCGACGCTCATCATGGCGCCACTGCTGGCGCTGATGGCCAAGTTTGTGCCTATCAGTATCCTGGATGACCCGATTTTCATCATCGTGTGTTTCCTGCTTACTGGTGCGCCGTCGGCGTTGCAGTTGGCACAGATCTGCCAGATCAATAATGTTTATGTCGGGGCGATGTCCAAGTTGTTGTTCCAGAGCTATGTTGTCTGGTATGTCTACACTTTTCCACTGATCTCTTTGACTATCGATCATATACTAACTGATTATCTAGGATCCTCCCCTCTACTCTCATTCTGGTTATGTGTGCCCTGGAAGTCCTCGAGTGGGCTGCCTAAGTCACCCATACCTTCTCATTACCTTATGTACACGTATAACCTCAAACCCGGCGAAGCAGGTCTTCTCTTTTCCGTGCTTCATTTTTTTTGAATGTATTTATCCTCACGTTCGAGGACACTTCGGCGTTTTGGGCCCGCGAATATGCTTATCCGGCTGGGCTTGGGCTTTGCATTGGCGATTATGGCGTACGTTGCTTTCTATCATTTCTTTCCAGGATTAGGCTCTACAATCACACCCTCCTTTGTCTATGGAGTGAGTTTCGGAAATTCGATATTTTTACTCCCGGTTTACTTGTGGAGATACGATACATTAGTACTTGGGTTCGACATGTGAAATCTGTCTGCTGTAGATTGGCAGTAAATCCTCGTTACCCAACTCGTAGCCGTAGTTGTATTATTACTCCGTCCCATGCAACCCAGTATCAAAGAAAACTATCCAGCTACTTCAAACCGGACACAGTCCACCCCCACCAGCCATCATAGCCACATCATGCGCAATCCGGCCCGCCGGATCACCCATAACATCAACAAGCATCGCCATGCCCGTCGCAAGATGCCACAAAATATGGCAATGGAAGAGCCACACGCCGGGATTATCAGCGCGGAAACGGAGCACCGCGTACCCACGGCTGGGGATCAGAACTGTGTCGCGGAGCGCTGCGCGGGAGAGATCGTAGGGTTGGAACGAAGGGTCATTTGGGTCTGGTGGTGACGCTTCAGGGGTGTCAGGTTCAAGGCCTGGTGGGTAGGGGTCTGTGAAGGGGTTGTAGGAGCCCCAGCCGTAGGAGGATTCGTGAACGGCTAGGATGTAGAAGTGGTGTCCGTGCTGGAGATTGTTAGGTGATTTGTTTTTGGGGTGATTGATAGAATAGAGAGTGTGGTACTTGTACTCACGAGATGGAAAGGATGAGGCCCCTCGTCTAGGTTGTTCACGACTAGGTCAACCCATGATGCCTCGGGCCCGGTCGAGAAGGCGAATTGATTTGCATCCCAGTGTTCTCGGGGGAGACCGATTAGTGGTACAGGTGGGTCATTTTGGGGTTTCCAGGTAGTCTGGTTAAAATAGCCTTCGGGGATGTTGTGATTACGGGCCATTTTCTGGATCTTGGTATAGACGACTTGTGTTTGTTGGGCCTTTGGTGGTAGGTTTTGTAGGATTGAAGGAGATGAGGGTACATCATCAAGGTTGATGTGATTCCGTACTTCGGGTGTTGTTATTTGGGCCGTGCTGGAGATTGATGCAGAGCGGTAATGGATGGGGAAGGTTTGGTCTGGTGTTAGTGCGGGATTGATGTACTTGAAGCATCTGTTGTCAGTTAGCAACTGATGCATTGATTTGAGAGGAATGAAGAGTCTGACCCTTGGTCTAGTTGCACCATCATGGATGATGGCGATTCTTGGTGAGATGCAGTACGGATAACGAAATCCATGCGTTGGCCAGGGAATAAGATGCCGGCTGAATTGACATTTTCTTGTTCAGCGCGCTTGACGTCGATGCTGTCGACCTGGATGAGATCTATGTTCTCCTGGTCGAATACGAGTGAAAAGCCTGCCAGGGCGCTGTATTGTTCATCAGTAGTTGATATCACAATAGGTCCTGGGTTCTCATACCCAGTGTTCACAACACGGATTCGATAGGCTGTGTCCGGATCAAGATCTAAGAATGAGGTGTTGGCCAATCGCTCAATACAATCGACTGGGCGAGCAGGAACAGCCATAGAGCATTCGAATTGACCGACTCCATTAACCAGCAACGAGTCCGGTACCGGCTAGAATAGAGAACAAATGATCAGAGTCCACTTCCGAGGTACAACCTTTCAACCAGAGTAACTCACCTCGTTCGCAAAGTTTCCAGGGAGCTTGTACCAAGCCAAAACATCCTTTGCCGGCCGATGATACCAATCTCCGATAAGAAGCAGAAGCTCCTTTTCATAATTGAATTTCTGGGCATCGCCGCGAGCACGCGACATTAATCCTCTTACGGTACTCTTGGCGGCAGGGGCATAGATGACCAGTCCGCCGTAGAGACCGTCTCCGCGCGAGACGCCCGAATGAGCATGGTACCAAAAGGTACCGCTCTGATCGGCAGGGATAGTGACATTATAAGTAAATCGCGCGCCGGGCGCGATAGGACATTGTGAAACCCCCGCGGCGCCATCCATGGCATCTGTCAGGGGGTTAACGGTGGGGTTCTATGATTAAAGGATTATTGTGAGTACGGAGATTGGATACATACTGGATACATGGATTCCATGCCAATGGAGGGCAATTGATTCTTCCTCTACCGCATTGGTCACGGTGATGAGGAGGGTATCCCCGGAGCGGGCCTCGATGGTGGGGCTGGGGAAGAGATCTATATGAGACGAGCGGTCAGAGTAATCATGCCAAACGCGAGTGATTTGAGAACAAGATTGGATGCACACCATTAATCAGATAGATCTCTTTCAAGACGCCGTCGGGTCTGCGCTGGCCCGACGTGATGCGCCAATCGAGATGCTGTGTGACTGGCGGGCGATACACATGATCTTCCGGGCGAAGCTCTATGCGGGGGGCGATTTGCCGCGGATAGATCCTGGGAAGAGTGTATCTGGAGCGGCGTGATCGAGTCGGACCAGGGGAGATGGATGGTAGGATGATAGATATAAACTCCCATCATCAACAGACACGCGACGAGCGACCCCATCAGGAACCATGTCCGCACTGACCGGCCCTTCCGATGTGGTGTGACAGGCTCCTTGGAGGCTGGTTCCTGCGTCCGGGGTAGCCTCCGACGCCGACTGTTCTGCCGCTCCATGCTCGCTCACCTAACAGTATCGTGGAGAGATTGTTGTTACCAGCATCTAGAGTGCCTTGAAATGGACTCGAATCCGAGTCGGAGAAAATTGAACGAGGTTTCGGGTCAATATTCTGCAGAGGGAAATGTTGACACCCCAGTCGCACTGACCATCGGCGCCCTTGCCGATAGCAAAGACCAGGTGGAGTAAGGTATGGCAGGAAGGTGTCCGGAGAGTTCCGGTAGGGTGACTTTGAAAGCGGATCAGGAGGAAGATAGTTGCAGGAATGAAGTCGTGAGAGTGAAGAAAGAAAGAGACTAAAGTCTGTAGGGAAGCAGTCACGATGTCGAAGCCCTCCACGTGCTTGGCAACGGAGGGTGGTGGAGTGGATATCCTCACATTAGACCCGTGGACGGCGTTGCAGATCGCTAACCAAGATGAGAATTGGAGTAAGCATCCTGATAGTACTGGAATAGAGAATTGTCAGAGAAAAGAAATCTTTCATAATCCAAGTATATTACATACAGTACTCAATTTGTGTACTGAGGTAGAATGTTGACTCTGGTGGAAGCTCCCGATCTAGATATAGATCTGGTGTCCTAGGACAATTTGCATTTTCATGAATTGCTAAAACGACACTCATTACAAAGAGTGTTTCAGCGCAGTGAATACATATATATTTGTCTACCATCCCAATGTAGTTTGTCGGGGGAATCAGCGTAGAGTCCCTAGTACAAGTAGTAGTGTAGTGATTATCAAGACCTCTTGGACGTGCAATGGTCTTCTGTTCTACCAAAATCCAATAGGTCCATCCACCAGTTGGCGGGGCTAGGTTTCCATTTCAAAAAAGCAATCCACGCCTGTTCGGTGCGGGAGAAGATGAGTGATAAGAGTGAGATTCGAACTCACGCCCCGTAAACGAGATCAGGAATTTATGCTAAGGTGGACCTTAACCTGACGCCTTAGACCAACTCGGCCATCTTACCAACTTCATGCAGTGTAAGTCGGAGAGAAATTTAAACGCAGGGAGGGGGGGATTGATGCAGCAATGTTGATAGTATGAAGAGAATACGTATTTTATTTTGAATACAGGTGTTATGCAAATACGGTATTTGCTGTGATCACTGACAAATCACCTTTAGCGCTCACTGTATTTTTAATGTTGCATAGGGCCAACCTTCTCAAATAGGATTATTGTAAATATTCCATTTAACTACTTCGATAATCTCTTTCATTCTATTCGTCCATTATGATTCGATTCCCCTTCCCGATCCGCTTGGTCCCCTCCGATCATTCCCCCCCCCTCCTTCTCCTCATCTTCCCCCCACTTGACAACTTCTCGGCCAACCGCATCTTCGAAACACCCGTCGTGGAAGTGTCGCAGAACATAAACAAGCTGGCCCTGACCTGAGGTGCTTTTTAAGCTATTCCTAATCCCCACTAGAGCGGTCCAACCCTTAGACTAGACCCGAATCAATCGGCGTCATGAGCATCCAAGGCGCCCTCACGTGGGGCTCCCCGCAGCGCAGATTGGATTCAAGGGGAGCTCCGAGGAATGTAAATCCCTACTCCTATCTTCATCTTCAACTCTCTCCAACCTCACCGCGGGATCTATAGATCTAAGCTAGTCGACTAGTCTCCGGTGCGAAGTGCGAAGATTCCTTCTTCATCTGCAACCCTACCCTTCGCCTAAGTCGGTTCATCCCGATGCGCACCGAACTGGTGAGGTCTTAAAGAAGGAGATTGTTTTCCCTGCTTTCTCGACTTCTTCCCCTCTTCACCACCTCTCTTCCTTTCCTTCCTCCGATCAACAACCTCATCATCAATCACCATGATGTTGCTGCTCGGAACTGCCCTCGCTGTCCTGCTGGGGAGCTCCCCGGTCACTGCGGGGTCCCTTCGCGATATCGAACATGTCGTGATCTTCATGCAGGAGAATCGCGCATGGGATACCGTAAGTCTCACTTCTTTCACACTGATCCCCCACTATGAGTGGTGATGGTGACCAGGGATGCGGTCTAACTTGAGATGCGTGGATAGTACTTCGGCACTATGGCCGGTGTCCGTGGGTTTGATGACCCCAATGTCCAGGTCAACTCCGACGGGCAGTCGGTTTGGAACCAGTAAGTGCTCCAAAATAACATCGAAACATGTTCAGCCTGTCTCTTTATCCAGAAGAATTACCTCTCGGAGCTGACCCGCTTTCTGTATAGGGTCGTTGAGCCAAGCATGTCAACTGCCACCAAGTCCCTTCTCCCCTGGTACCTGGGATACCAGGGAGGTGACTCAAATGAGGCGATCCAATGTATGGCTGCCGGCGACAACGGCTACCACGACAACCAGGCTGCCCTCAACCACGGTCTGAACAACCACTGGGCACGCAACAACACTCCGTGGAGCTGGGGTTATTTCAAGCGCGAGGATATCCCCGTCCAGTTCGCCATTGCTGAGGGATGGACCTCTGGTGACATGTATCAGGTACAGCTTCGCCATTGTTACAGAATCAGGTGATGCATGCTAATCAGACAACAGGAGTCCCAAATCACTTCGACCAATCCTAACCGTGTGACCCTGGTCAGTGGTTCCGTCAACGTGCCTGGCAGCCCTCAAAACCCCAGCCAGGGTGGTGTTTACATTGACAACAACGAGATGCCCGGTATGTCATCCTGATGGTGATCCCTTATTCGTTGCCTATTTCAACTAACCCTGTTCAGGCTGCGACGGCAACGGAATCAACTGCTACCCGCTGAAGTGGAAGACCGTCTACGAGTTCTATGAGGAAGCGGGTGTCTCGTGGCAGCTCTACCAGGATACCAACAACTTCGACGACAACCCCTTGGCCTGGTTCGATCAGTTCCAGAAGGCAAGCCAGAACTCTCCCCTCGCCAAGAAGGGTATGTCCTTCGTGGGTCTTGATGCCTTCTACGCCGCCGCTGCCAATGGCTCTCTCCCCGAAGTCAGCTTCATTGTTGGGCCTACCGAGCTGTCCGAGCACCCGCCCTACCAGCCCAAGGACGGTGGCTGGTTGCAGAAGCAGGTCGTTGATGCTGTTACCAAGAGCCCCAAGTACTCCTCTACCCTCCTGATGATCAGTTTCGATGGTGAGTATAATGAATGCTCGTATGCCCACATTCCAAATGGAGTATGCTAATAAGGAAATACAGAAACTGGTGGTTTCGGTGATCATGTCGCTCCCTTCCACTCGCCCCAGGGTACCCCTGGAGAATGGATGAAGGACCCCACGGGCGTGTTCGGTGACGTCTTTGTGGGACCTGGTATGTCAACAACGGTTCTATTTACACGGTTCTATTTACCCGAGGGGAACCTCTAATTGGCTCGATTGTCTAGGTTTCCGGGTTCCTTTCTACATGATCTCGCCCTGGACTCGCGGCAACCGCGTCTTCACGGAGCGGGCCGATCACAACTCCCAGATCTTGTTCGTGGAGCAGTGGCTCACGGCTCGTGGGTACAAGGGCATCCAGACTGACCAGATGGTCCCGTGGCGACGTGCCCACATGTCCAACCTGGTCAATGCCCTGGATCTGGACAACGTATGTGATGACTGCCTTTCCATATACTTGACACTGAACACTAACTTCTTCTCAGCCCGACCTGTCCATTCCTTACCTGCCCGAGGCCGACACTCCCATCACCAATAGCAAGGGTGACTACGTCGGCTCAGCCCAATGCCAGTCCAAGTTCCGCGAACCGCGTCCCCCTGTTCCCTACGGCCAACAGCAGGCAAACTCCACAAACGCCCTCTGGTTCGAGGACGGCTTCAAGGAGGTCGTTGGCTACCTGACCGAGGGACGATACCTCGTTCTCGAGAAGGGCGGCTCCGCGCTGACCAACTCCGGCAAGCGCGACCACTTGACCGTCACCCCGGCTACCCTGAAGCACGAGGCCAAGTCCCAGCGCTGGGTGATCCACTACACCGCGGATCAAGAGAGTGAGATCTTCACCATTTCTAGTGCCCTCGACGGCCGCTGGCTCGGTGCTCGCGGTGCCCTGCTGGACAGCGACCAGGCCCGGAACGCTGAGCCTGTCCGTATCACCTTCCTTGGCAATGGCCTGGGTTATGCCGTCCAGTACGTCAATGGTAACCAACACATTGACGTGGATCAAGCCGGTGCCCTCAAGATCGCAACCCAGCACCATGTGCCGGACGGGGGTTTCAAGGTCTTCAGCGTTACCTATCACGACAAATGAGAGCGCTTTTTACGATGATGCCTGCATACTTAAGCGCATATGCATATGGGTGGCACACATTACTCTTTTACTCATGACTTTCCCGATATTTCTTCGTTTTATTTGCATGGCTGAGCTAGCTCAAGCAAGGAGCAATATGATGCGCTACTTACATTACGAGAGCCTATGGCTCTGGAGAGATGATCAATCCAATAAAAAAAAAAATTCAGAGCATGTTCAATGATTCTGTCTAGTAGGTAGTACTTGTAAAAATGCCGAACTCATATAGAGAAACTCGCTTAAACCCGTAGGTGACTTGCTGATCGAGTGGTAACGCGACCTCAAATGGAGACAGACAGCTTTGGCTCGCAAATCGTCCACTTCCTTTTGATCTTTGCGAACCACTTCCCTGAGGCGGTTCGGTTGTTCTTTGTTCTTGTCTCGTGGCTTGAGGCTTTTGCGGACGAGTCTTTGCACGATCCCGGACAATTGCCTGAATGTAGAAGTTGTTCTCGATTCCAAGCTCCGCGATCTGACGGATGAGTTTGTTTGTGCTTAGTCTTGATTTCCATTTGACACTTACGTCGACCGCGATAGAAAATATTCTTCTCATCCTTGAATCGAACCCTTAACCTTCTCGTCCCCTATATACATCCTCCATGTTAGTGCATCGCCATCCCAGGACACCGAAAAACATCGCCAGTCCCTAATGCAGCCTGATACAGCCTTTTTCACCCTGCTCACCCCATTAAAAAGGCTTTTAAAGAATTAAACTAGTATTTCGTGACTACCTGAAATAAATCTTATAATTAAAAAATATTGTTGTTACAAAATCTAAAAAAAAGAATGAACCTCCCCCGCCTAGGGGTGTTCCCGGCCGTCCGTGGAGCTCGAAGCGTCAACACTGGCCCAGTACTTTCTTCTTTTATTTGCCCTTTCCTCCAGGGCACACCTATGGTTCACCAATTTATGGTGGATACCAACTAGGCCATCGGAGGTGGGGGGAGTTGATTGTTTGACCTGGAAACCAGTCATAACCTTGAGACGATGAAAAGGAGACAAACAATTTCTATTGCATTTTTCTACACCAGGCAGGCAGGGACGGGGAGTATGGTAATTCTCTTGGCACTTTAATTGATCATTTGACTTATCTCTAGAATTCTCCCTCGTCGGACTGATCAGTTGTGATTCGATTATAACGATATGGGAATAGGATTCGACAACGTGGATGGAACAATGATGCGATTGGACGTTTGCGGGACGGACGTGTGATTTCAAAGACATCCATGTTATGGACCGTGTTGATTGGGCTTCGTGTTGCCATTTAGCTTGATGGGAAAAGCTTCTGATTACACATATTTTGCATACTGTGATATTGCTATACATGGAAGCTTATATCCGTGGAACCGAGCGGGGCGGGATCTTGGATCTTATCGGCGCCCGCAGCGAACTCCGACTCTTCTCCGCGTCAGAGCTTCTTCACCCCAGGAACGCCCCGAGAGCAGTCCTCTCCTGACCTCCTCAGTCCATGAGCTACATCAATTGAACTCTCTTTCACCATGCCCAGCTCAAATCCCATCCACATCATCGGGCTCGGCAGCATCGGTTCATTCCTCGCGCATTCAATCCGCGCCCTCCCTAACCCCCCACCCGTGAACCTCCTCATCCACCGCAAGAACCTATACGACGAATTCGCCTCCAAGGGCTGGACCCTCGGCCTACGCGTCAACGAAGACGGGCCTCTCCAAGAACAAGGCGGGTTCGATGCCGAACTACTCAGCCAATCAACCTCCTCAGAACCAATCCAGAATCTAATCGTCGCTGTTAAAGCCTCCGCAACCGTCTCAGCCCTGCAACCTATTCAGCACCGACTGGGCCCACAATCGACGGTATGTTTATTCCAAAATGGGATGGGTCAGATTGAGGATTTGAATGAGCGGGTTTTCACTGATAAAGCTCGGCGGCCGACGTATATGTTTGGTATTATACGGCATGGAGTATACCTGCGATCGCCGACGGAGGCGATTCTTTCTGGATTGAATGGGCGTGCGGCGATTGGAGTCGTGGATGTTGAGGAGGACATGGATACAAGATCGAGACGAGCGAATCCGCAATTTCTACTTGATACGTTATTGCGATCACCGATTCTGCGCTGCGAGGAATTAGCGTGGAAGGAATTATTGCAGAATCAGCTGTTTAAGTTGGCCGCGAACTGCGTGTTGAATCCGCTTACGGCTATTCTTGATGTGAGGAATGGGGTGATCAAGGAGAATCCTGATTTACAGCCTCTTATACAACGGCTTCTGCAGGAGATATCTTTGGTGTTTCGGAGTTTGCCTGAACTTAAAGATTTGCCGAGTGATGACCGGTTCTCGGTTTCTTCGTTGGAGGCTCTTGTGATAGATACTATTGACAAGACGGCGGAAAACTCGAGTAGTATGCGAGAGGATGTAAGGAAGGGACGTGCGACGGAAATTGAATATATTAATGGTTGGATTTTGAGACGTGCGAGGGAGTTGGGGATTGAGTGTGAGGCGAATGCGGGTTTGATGCAGCTTGTGTTGGCGAAGAGTCGGTTGAGTATGGAACGTCGTGAGTAGTCTACACCAACTTGTATTATGGTCCATGGAGGAGCCAGAGATGCTTCCACGTTACTCCTGCATTTCCCTAGAATTAAAGATAGCTCTGTTTAATCTATACCCAATATAGGATATGATCTCGGTGTATACCTACCGAAAGTAGCCGGATGGGTTGTTATCAACCTCATCGGGGAATCGCGGGGCAATGGGGGGTGGCTTTCCTGTCTAAGGATCGCGCGTAATCGTATCCCTTCGTATCCCACCTGATTAGGTGGGGGGAACCGCAACACCTAGGCTTCCAGAAACATCGCCATGACTAATAAATAGTTGGGGTCACCTGCATTCTCCATTCTTCCCACCGCTTATCAATCACCCTCGAACTTCGGGTCCTCATTGATCTCAATTTCATTCTCTTCAACATCTCCAGCTTCAAGTCCACCATAATCACAATCGCAAACATGTCTATCCCCAAGACCGCCGTCAAGTCGCCCAATGCCCCCCGCCCCTCCCCCATTCCTGTCCCAGGCTATCGTGATGGGCGATTATGTCTTCTGCTCCGGTCAAATTGGCAGTAACCCCGAGACTGGTGCCCTCGTGCAAGGCTCTATTCAAGATCGGACTGTGAGAATATCCCCCCGGCTCAAGCTGCCTGATTCCAGTCCACTCAACCTTTCAAATGACCGTGAACATTTACTGATGCACTGGACAGAGACAAATCATGTCCAACCTCCGCGCTGTTCTGGAATCTGCAGGAACAAGCTTGGATAATGTGGTCAAGTGCAACATTTTCCTCACCAGCATGAGCGACTTTGCTGCTGTCACCGAGGTGTATACAACTTTCTTTTCTGCCCCGATGCCGGTAAGTTTTCTGAGCTCTCCCTGAATGAATTATTTACATGTTTGGCTAATGGCACTCATTAGGCGCGTACATGCGTTTGTGTGGCGGCGTTGCCGATGGGTACTGATGTTGAGATTGAGTGTATCGCTGGTGTGCGAAGCTCTACTAGCGAGAAGCTGTGAGACTACAATGCAAGCCATAAGATGATAGGAAGAATACAATCTTAATGAAGAATCCCGGCAATATGCATCAATTGTTTAGATGACAAGAATATCTTCTAAGCACGTCTGCCATCAGTCTGGATTCCAATCTTTCCCCCTCCTCTGTCATCCATGTCTATCTAAGTAGAGGTAATCGTAAACGGTCCGGCAGCGTTGTACAGAGATGGCATCTAGCGTTCACCAGCATTAGTCTAGTCCAATCCTCGATCTACCCACGCCTTAAAACCACAGCAGCAACAGGAGCAAACCTGCAAAAGAATAAAACTCACCTGAGGAGCCGTCACCAACGCAGTACTCAATCTCAAATACCAGACAGACCCATCTTTCACCTGAGGTAGATTCTTGGGAATCTTAACATCCACCTTCCCAGCAGACTCGGGAATGTCGCCGGCGATCTTGATCTGCGCATCGAAGTGGATGGTGTCCAAGTTGCGCACGGGGTTGTTGTATAGGAAGACTGTGTAGTTGCTGCCGGGGTACTGGGCCAACGGGTCCGAGCAGTGTGTTGTCGGGGCTCGGTTGAAGCGGAGGTGCACGGTTTGTCCGGGGGCCACGGTTGAGTTGTCCGGGATGCCTTGATAGACGTTGACGCAGGCGTAGTCGCGTTTACCCCATGCTAGACATATTGTTGTTAGTGAGTAGGTAGATCCTCGAGCTTGGTGATCCAATATGCGGGTGTGGGGAGATGTACGTTGGTACTTATCGAAGGCAGCAGCGCTAGTAGCGAGTAGCGAGGCAACAATGGCACCGGTGAACTTCATTGTGTGGTATTTTTTGTATCTGGAAATGATGGAGGAAAATAGACTTGATTAAGAGACAGAACTAGAGAGGCAACCTTCTGATTTTTATAGCCGGAGAAGACCGGTGTCACAGATACAACGAAGTCGGACCACTAATTATAGGATCGGCCACGAGACCCTGTTTTTGCAGCACCCGACTGACGATGTCTCAGCGGCAGCTCCACATCGCCGGTCGAGGGTTGCTTGGCACCGGGGATAGTGTATATTGGCGGGGGATCGGCAGGTCCGTTCTTACGAATGTCTCGCAATTGGGAGTGAATGGGGAGAGTGTGCCGAGAGCTGATTCGTATTAATCTGCAGGCAGCCTTCAGCCGGATACGATCTAACATGGGCTGTGTTTATTGGTTGAGTTTTTGATTTTATAGATCTGCAGGTCAGCGGGTGTCTGATTGGTCCCACTACAGAAAGTAGCTACGCGGAGAAATAAGGATTAATTGAATGGTCAGAGATTCACATTGTTTTCATCTATGAATCAGCTTCAACGAAGAAGTACTTGACAAGAATGATGTCCTTCGTCGAATTTTGATGAAACCTGATGGTGCCAACCAGGCAAAATGAAGTTGTATCACGGCCATGATGGCCCTTCAGTCTTCCTCCATGGACAAGGCAGTAACTTCAAGGCTTCTTCTTGGAGCCGGTACCATCCGAAAGTCCAGGCAGTCGCTCGCCCTTTTTGAATCGGAGGCTCTCTGCGACCCCGAAATCGAGGTCTAGCGAGCATGAGGAGGACAGCTTAGACAAATTGCTGGCCACCCAGTCCGGGCTGTTATCGCCAGGAACCAACGGGCCTTGCATCATCTCATCGATCAATCTGATGGCATGACCGAGGTCCCTGTTTGGGATAGATCCGCAATGGATCTTTCCCCACGGAACTAGAAGGGAACCGTTGTAAACATCGCGCCCGAAGAACCGTGGAGGATGGTACACACAGTATTCATATTTGTTCTCCAACATCAGAGTCCAAAGGCTTTGTTGACCAGCCCGAAGAGGCCGGCACACGGCCACAATCACGCTGGTGGCGTTGGGTCGCTGTGAAAAGGATATCAGTGACATGTTTCCTGTTTTTGAAGGTGGCCGGCCTGACTCATGTGGCGAGGATTAGCGACAACGTCGGGGTGGCGCTCGACTCTCATTGTAATGGCTGATGTGGTTGGGCTGTGACGAGGATCTGTTTGTGTGGGATTGCCGTACTCGTAAAATGTGTACGTGGAGTGAATGGTGAGAGTAGGAGGAGAGAGCGGAAGAGAGAGAAAGGCCGTTTAAGTATCGTGAATCTGAGGCCTCAGAGAACCCCCAGGCAGCGCTTCTACAGTTTTACATTCAAGGCTACGCTCATCCGGAAACTTCTTTCTAAATGAAATCTCATGGTGACGATAGACTGAAGCATCAAGCTTCCGTCTAAGATATTGGAACTGACCAGACGTTACTATCAGTCTTTACAGATGAACGTTTACTTTGCCTTGATGTATTGTCGTTCATGTCTCAACATATGGCTCGCGAATCACTTAGCAGTACATCAAGCGCAGCATTCGAGAATCTCTCTACCGATCCTTGCTGATAGAGCATTCTAGACCTGCACATCGCCCCGAGTCCCAATACTCCGATTGCCACACCGCCAATTCCCAATCCAAAGGATTCTATATCCTCGTTTGAGCATTGCAGATTTCTGGCACGAAATAACCATCCTCGAAATCCCCACCGAAGCCGAGTGGGTTTGACCTTGCTCGAGCAACTGCAATGTGATGTCCACCATGAAATTCTTAGGACTGAAGTCTCTGGGGACCAAGGCCACTGCTACATGAGACTGCTACTTCGATTGGGCTCTGGCATATTTGAGAATCGACTTGAAGCATCCGAATCATGGAAAGAACCTTTTGAGGATTTGCTTGTGCTCTTCGACGTTGGAGTATCAAAAGCGGCTCCATTCTGTTAGTTCGCAAGCTAGCCAATGGCCGAGGATCGGGTTTAGTGGCGGACTTAAAGTCTCCCGTCTGGCCCCACACACTTCTCTCCTGGTCCACAAGTCGCGGCTTACGGGCACGCGGTGCATCCTCATCATTGTGGATCAATGGGAGAGTTGCAGCAGTTATTGAGCCTGCTGGTTCTCGAGAATCGTCATGCCTGCCTCCTCTCGGCAATCCGGGCGGATCGGTGGAACCAAGTCTAAAACGGGCTGCCATACCTGCAAGTCCGTAATTGATCGCAAGATTTCTACTGCTTGATGCCCAAGTGAGCATGCATCTGACAATTGCAAACCAGAATCCGCCGAGTGCGCTGTGGGGAAGAAAAACCGCATTGCGTGAGATGCACCAGCACAGGTCGCCAGTGCAGTTACGCGGCAACATCTCGGTCAACACCCACCGAGTTATTCGATGCATCCACTCAGCCTTTGGGTCATCTTCCCACACATGTACCCATCTCATATGCTCCATGGAGGGAGCAGCAGGCAGGATGGCGAGAAAGACGTGCCTTTGAGTTCTACTTTCACCGGGCAAGCCCATTACTGTCCGGCGATCTCGATCTTGCGTTTTGGAGAGGCTGTGTCCTGCAGACTTGTCGCATGGAGCCTGCGGTGTGGGATGCGATCATATCACTCAGTGCACTCTACGAACGTCCACCTCTTCACGAAACACCCCCGTTCTGGCTTATCAATGCCCCAGCGGTGGTACGAAGTCAAACCCACCGCGAGGCACTGGTGTGGTATTCGCGCTCCCTGGCCGTCTTACAGCAGCGGATCAACCAAGGCACTGCAAATTTGGGAGTGTCTTTAATCAGCTGTATTTTGTTCATTGCAATCGAGCTTCTCCAGGGGAATCGAAAAGCGGCTTTGGGGTTATACAAACAGGGAGCCCAGCTCCTGATCAATGCCGACCGTGGGCCCTGGATCACCACTCTTACGCCAATCTTTCGTCGCATAGGCACATGGGTCTTCATCAATGATGGAACTCTCAATGAAAACTGGGACCTCAATATGACTGTTCCCAGTGGGCGCTTTGTGTCTATTGACGAAGCCAGAAACGTCCTCTGTGGGATTGTTGCTGAAATGAAGACCCTGGATAATGCTACAAAGTGTCATTGGAAACAAGCAGCGGCGAGCCGCAAATACCAGGTTCTTGCACTCGAGACTCAACGCGATCATCTAAGACGACAACTTGATCGTTGGCACCGACTTTTCATGTCTTTCAAATCTTCGGATACATCCGACTCCCAAGACGCCATTGGTACCGTCGACGGCGCAAGCGCCCTTCTTCTCATGACCTATACAAGTGTTCTTATCGAAATTGAAACCATCCTCGATACTGATCAAGCCGCATATGATGAACACGAACTTGAGTTCCAAAAAATCCTCGAATATGCGACCACAGCCATTGCAGCGACCCGAAATCCAGACGGCACACAACCACCCTTCATGTTCGAAATGGGAGTCTTTCTCCCGCTCTTTATCACTGCGCTTAAATGCCGCTTTCCTCAACTGCGGCGTCAAGCCATCAGACTTATGATGGAAGAAGCTCCGCCAGCGCAAGGGCTGTTTATGTGTGGACCTGCTGCTCATGTGATCGCAGTTATCGTGGCTCTGGAGGAGAACCCTAGTGTGGCGAGTGAGCAGCCATTGGAAGTCAGCCGGTTTCTCAAGGAACCAGACTGTATCCCTCCATCCCGGAATCGTGTTTGGGAATTCAGTGTCTCGTCTGATATGAATAGCGAAGGGAAGATGCAGAATTGGCTGCATTATAGCATTCGCAACTTTGATGACGACGACGAGGGTCGGATACAATTCACGCAACGCAGTATACTATTCCCAGGACTCAATACCCCTTTATATGAATTATGATAATATTAAATAAGCATACCTGTCTGGCATTTCCTTCATTATCTGTACTAAACTATTATCTCACCTCGCGTATCATGCACCTGCCTACGCTTCACTCTTGCGATGTCGGCCTGAACAATCGGGTGTCCATCCATGTACGTATGGCGTTATCGCCGTAAGGTAAAATGGGCAAGCGCCTCTGCAAGTCCTGCCCCTCGTGCACAGCCTTTTCCATCTCTTTTTTTTCCCCCATCATATTTTCTTCGCCAGCTGAGTCGTCATGAGAGTCTCACAGCTTGACTTGACGACATGTTAACATCCGGGCACTGACATCCAGGAGGGCCTTCCCCAGTTATGTTTCGCTTACAGGCGGCTCCACAGCCCCAATGCCACCCGTACTGGACCGTTCCGCTATCTCCCAATAGACTCTCACCAACCTACTTGATAACACAATCAACCATCCCACACGCGACATACACACAAACCCAAAATCAAAGCCATTGCGACCTGTATCGATACTTCCAGACCTAGATGACGTACTATAACACTCTTGTCCAAGCCCCAGCAACGGGGCTGGACACGACAGATGCATCAACAATGTGGCCCTATCAGCTCTGAAAACAACTGGCTGCAATAGCTCCAATTGCGACCATGGCTGCCCGGGATGTGGAAATGAACCGAGGCCACCCTTATCACGGGTCGTACGTTGTCTTTGAGCCAGGGCCAAGCCTTTTGTGCTTCTCGATTAGGAGACGGCGACCAGTTCAGTCCAGTTAAGACCAGATCTGGCACCGGGAACCTTTTGACTGCCAGATCCACCAGGCCCGTAATGGGGTCACCTGAGCCTCCCGATAAGCGCACTTTTTCGCCACTCTTTTTTTCTAGGCTACTCCCCTTTGCGCATCGAGCTCGCGTGTCCTGAAATAATTCCGTGGACTCATTGCAATCAGTGCTTGTACTGCTTATCGCGGGTTCACACACTTGCGTCTCACCTGTTTGGCTGGGGTTTCGGCTGCATATCCATTATCCAAGGACCGTCGTCCCTGACCGCTGAGAGTCTGGGACGTTTCCGTTCGCTTGCCCAGCGGTTTTTCTGGGGCACCAAAAATCCCCCCGCCTCCACGACCTGTCGCATCAGACCATCTTCTGGCAATTCCATTTCAGCTTTGTTGAGACGCGCTCGTCTGCCCTGATAGACACTCTGGCATCTGGTCTGGTGCTCCATTTCTAACGTCTTGACCACCACTTCGCGTTCGCGGGCTTCGGGACGGTCTCCCTGAAAGCACATGCCGTCTTTCACCGAGGACCACGCTGGTCCCGACACCAAAGTAGCAGGTAGGCTCCGCTCTTCTTCCCTCTGCTTCGTTGATCTTCGATCTCTTGGTGTACACGTAAAAGTTTACTGCTTTGCCTATGCGACCTTCTATTTGTTCTAAACCATCATCATATCTGTATCAATTCCACGTGCCCCTGAGTGGTCCTCCAATTGTCCATATCGGACAGCGGACAGGTTGTGACGTCGCCATCTACCTCTATATGCACCTCGTTCTTCGGTCCTACGCGCTCTATTTCCATTGACTAATCTCCGGTAGAAATTACTCCTATCTCGGGAACTGGTTTGAACATTCCTTCGTTGCGCAAGGCCTTGCACGCAAGTGGACCCGGCCCGGCCTCCCCGCTTGACGGGACATCTCTCAAGCAGTACCGCGCACCCGTGGCCAAAGTAACCGCAAGACCCCCAATCCAGCCACTTTCGTCAATGCCTTCTGCGTTGAGCAGCCAGTCAAGCACCAAGCATGATGCTTCGGTTGCAGATGACTCTGAGCAAACTCCCAAAACAGAGGAAGATCCCCAGATGAGTTTGTTCCACCAGGTGTCAGAGTGGCTGCAACATGAGAAGGTCAGACGCAAGAACCGCAAGGCGCGTCGTGCTGAGGCAGCATCTAGTGCTACAGACGCTGCTCGCGAGTCTGAAGATTCGGTAGATGAAGCACCGCAATGCTCAGAGAGTACCTTTTCGCTCGACAAGCTAGAGAGGATCCTTTTTCAGTATTCGGGTGCGCGTCCCGGGGACGGCCTATCGTCTCTCCAGCCCATTAAGCGAGCAGTGCGCCGGCGTCCTAAGGGCCTGCGTCGTGGATCTGCCTCGGAGTCTGATGTTACCGACATTGAGGCCCCTGTGCCCAGCGTAGAAGCCGTTCTTGACAATTCAAAGACCCTCGCTTATACGGGCGGTGCGGCAGAGGAGGAGAGCATGGAGAGTAGCACCTGCTCAAAACGTCTAAAAGACCAGGAAGCCTGGTTGACATTTAAGACGGAGATTGTGCGTATTGCACACACCATGCAACTCAGGGGCTGGCGTAAAGTGCCAATGGAGGCGGCTGGAGATATTAGAGTCATTCGTCTCAGTGGTGCTCTGACCAATGCGGTCTATGTGGTCGAGCCACCCAAGCAGCTGCCTGCTCATCCAAAGACCAACAACGGATCTGGCCCATTGGTCTCAAGAAGGCCCCCCCCAAAGCTGTTACTGCGCATCTACGGTCCGCAGGTTGATCATTTGATCGATCGCGAGAAGGAGTTGCAGATCTTGCGCCGCTTGGGCCGCAAGAACATTGGACCCCGTGTTTTGGGAACATTCCTCAACGGCCGGTTTGAAGAGTTCTTCGAAGCTCGTCCGCTGACACCGCGAGAACTCCGGCTTCCTGAGACAGCCAAGCAGATTGCTAAGCGGATGCGAGAGCTTCACGATGGCATTGAGCTTCTTGAAGAGGAGCGTGAAGGTGGTCCCGTTATTTTCAAGAATTGGGATAAGTGGGTAGATCGCTGTGAACAAGTGACCACTTGGTTAGACAAGGAGCTTGGGTCTCCGCATAATGAGGAAAAGGCGACCACGGAACCCTGGCGTCGGCGAGGCTATGTTTGTGGTGTGCCATGGGCGATATTCCGCAAGGCTGTGGACAGTTACCGGGTGTGGCTGATTGCCAGCTGTGGTGGTATCAGTGAGATCAAGCGGCAGCTTGTCTTTGCGCACAACGATGTATGATTGCATCCCTACTCGTTCTTAACGTCGGTTTCAGGATGCTAACAATGTTGAATAGACTCAATATGGCAATCTCCTTCGGATGGAACCTGCTACGCAGTCCCCCTCCTTCTGCCTGCCAATGAGCACAAGCAGCTTGTTGTCATTGACTTCGAGTATTCCTCGGCCAACACCCCTGGTCTAGAATTTGCCAATCACTTTGTAAGTATTCGACACAAGATCCTATTGAGTCAAATTGCATTGTCTAATCTTCCCTAGACTGAGTGGTGCTACAATTACCATGACGAGGAAATCCCATGGGCTTGCAACAACCGCCTCTACCCTACACCAGAGGAGCAGCACCGATTTGTAGCCACATATCTGACTCACCGTCCCGCCATTCCGGGCGCTCCCACTTCGCCTTTAGCTACCCCCTCCGCTACCCCGTTCATGCGCGGTGGTCGTTCAACCACCGCTATCACCCCCTTGAACCTTGACGATGGTCCGGAAGGTCCCCCTGGACAGCAGCTCGAGGCTTCTGGCGAGGATGAGCTTGAGTCTCAGGTGAGATACCTCATGCGCCAGACCCGCTTGTGGCGTGTCATCAACTCGGCACAGTGGATCGCGTGGGGGTATCGTGCAGGCTAAAGTGCCGGGTATGGACGAAGGCATTGCTGAGATGGCAGCTGCGTCTGGCAATGGGGAACATACAACAGGCAATGAAGAGCACAAGACGCCGCCTGTTGACCCCGATGTTGATGAGGAGGAGGAAGCTTTTGATTACTTGGCATATGCCCAGGACCGGGCTATGTTCTTCTGGTCTGACCTGCTGGCTCTGGGCCTGGTTAATCCAGATGATCTACCCGCGCCGATGGTTGAGCATATTCGCGCGCGGACTGTGGACTATTGATCTCAGACTTTGAGGATTTGATCTGGTTGCGTTATGATTTGATTGATGCATGAGTGGGAATGTACACGATGATGATATTACGATGTGGATGTCAATTACGCAGTACATAGCTAGCGGTGCGCACAAATACTCTCGGAATTTGAAATGCTTCCGAATGTATCATCACCAAGGGGTATCTCATTCGACAAGACAAGATTTCGTAGTATCCATGTCAAATGCGTATTCATATCCCATGAAAGGGCCAATCCAGCAGGCATGGACATGCAATGTAGATAGCCAACCAGATTACCATCCCCTTTAAAGCCCAAGCCTCCAGATTCCCAGTGTCCCAAAAAAGTAGAGACTTGCGACCTATCGGCGCATCTCTAACTTCTTCCTCGTCGCCTTCTTCGCGGCATCCACCCACTCCTCATACGCTTTCCCACTTGCATCCTGCCCCTCCTTCATTCCAACCACCCCCTTCATCATCTCCCCGATAAACCCAACAAAATTCCACCGCCGCAGGGTATTCTCCCACGCCCACGCAGCCCTCTTCCGCTCCTCACGCTCCAACGTCTCCACATCCCCAATCTCCCGCGCCCTCGGCCGCGGGTCCTGCACAACCGCCATCAAATTGAAATGCGTCTCCTCAGGCGGATACCGCGCAATACGCCGCTGCAAGACCTCAATTACCTTCTCCGGGAATGTAGACGGGTCACACGCGCCATGGCTGATCGGATGCGGCTGCAAGCCATCCAGCTCATACAGCGTCCCATTAACAGGCGTATACGCAATAAAGTGATACACATCCGCAGCATTTTCTTCATCCTGAGGACGGGCCGTCTCATCCGCGAACGGGCTCGCGCGAGCAAAAGTATTGTGTGCGGTGCGAATAGCTTCCGAGTTGGAGAGGGCTTCGCCGCGTAGTTCGGGCGGGAATCCCGTTGTGAAGTCTTTGAAGGATTGGAGCTCGTTTCCTAGGGTGATGGGGGGCAGAGGTTGGGGAGGGTTTTCGTGGTTGAGGATTACGGAGAGGATGGCTTGGGTGCCGCAGGCGTTTTGGATTGTTTGGGCCGCGAAGAAGACGTTGTTTTCTGCGGCGGTGGGATCGTAGCTTCCATCGAGGGGGCTTCGGCGCGGGCGCCGGCTGCTTCACGGGTCCATTTGAAGAGGAAGATTACGCCGTAGACTGAGCTGTGGAGGCGCGGAGTGTTGGTTAGCTAGTGTCCAAAGGGCTGTGTGGAGGTAGACGGTGCCGGAAAGAGAGAGGTCTGTTTACCCTAAAGACCGTATTGTGTCTGCGTCTAGGGAGATGAGCTCTTCGAATTGGACATTCTGTACGCCAAGGTTTTCGATGAGAGAGGTGAAAAGGCCCTGGATGCTGTTAGCTCATTAAGCTCGGCATGCGGAGTATTCCTTTGGAGAAATTACCTCGTCGGACTCGATGGTGCTCCAGCCGCCAGTGTCGGCCATGATTTAATGATTAAGGTCTCCTTGTAGCTTCAAGAAAATGACCTTTAAACCGTTCAGAGACAATCCTGGCGAATATGTGCAGTGATAGCTTGACAACGGTGTGTTGATAAGTTATCGGCATGTGCGACTTATGTCATAGGTCACGTGTTATGGATACAGTAGTCACGTGAGTAGACATGGATCCAATGGTTTCCAAAATAAGTGACATTGCCGTGTTGATCAGTGACAGGAAACATTGCTATTGTACATAATTTCAATATCTTGCATTGGAACAACCCAATCAAGGTTCTATAGTATTTGTGGAGAATGGTACCTACTGTATCCTCATTCTATGTGAACAGCTACCATCGCGATTCGCGGCATGTAATTACAATTAAACAATTAGGCGGAATCCTCAAGTACGTTTTCCGCTAAAATGAAAATAAGGCTAAATTCCAGAAAAAGGGACGCTGTATATTTGATAGCTATTGTAGTAATCTAAGTTCATCTTATTCTGTCTCAATAGCACTGATTGGACATTCTTTCTTTCGAAAACAAGACGAGATGCAGTAACAAACGCTCATCACTCATTTCTTCCACTTGGGGACAAAGCACTGTTGAACGAGGTATGTATCAACGTTATTGGTCGGCACTTCAGACAGAACGTAGGATGTCTGGAAGGCTCCGGCGCTCCACGAGGTCCAACCGAGATAAACATCCGAGTTTGCACTAGATAAGGTCAGTAAAGATGTCCAGGATTTCGCTAGAATCGGTAACTTGGATAGGGACAAGATTGCACTTACTTGAGGGCATCAAGCTGCTGACACATGTTCGTTGCGCAGCTTTGGACATTACCGCCGCCAGTCTCACTAAGAATAGCTTGTCGCTTGTTTGAGCGTAGCCACGTTGCGAGGTTGTTGAATACGCCGACATTGTTGGTTGTGCACTCGGCGTTGGTGCCACTGTTGTCACTGTCGAGGTACTTGTGAACGTCAAATATCAAATTGGTAGTAGACCCATCCGGGTTGACCACCGCTGCAAGCGCAGCACCGGAGCCATTGTCAATGAAGTTTCCAGCACTGGTGTAGTCTGTACCAGGGAGCAAAATCATTTGAGACGTGGCCCCAGCATTTCTGATCGCAGTAACAACCTTCTGTACCGTAGCAGCCCAGGTTTTGATATCGAGATCATGAGGCTCGTTCATAACGCCGAAGATGACCTTGCTCTGGCTCTTGTATTTGGTTGCCAACGCTGTCCAAAGGGCGACGAATTGCGCATCCGTTGGACCACCCTGTCCAATGATGGCACCATTCCAACGGGCGTAGTTGTGAATATCAATGATGCAGTAAGCGCCCAGTGACAGACAGCCTTGCACCAAAGTGTCATACTTGCCAAAGTTGTTCGAGTCCAGAGAGCCACCGAGATTATTAGAAACGAGGAACTGCCATCCCGTCGGCAGGCGGAAAATGTTAAAGGTATCGTCGTTGACAAAGTGCCTCATTTGAGTGACACCGCCGCTTGATATATCATAGACCTGACTCTGGTCCTGAGTACCACTGGTAACCATACCAAAGTCGAAGCCAGCGATGTTGACACCAGCAAATCGGACTTTGCCCGTTGGCACGGAAGAACTTGAAGACGTCGTGGTCGAGGTAGTTCCGGCGGCAGTTGTAGTAGTTTTCAGGGTAGTGGTAGTCCCGCTACCGCCTAATTAAATGCCCATTGTCAATAAAGGTTATCACTCAATAACTCCATTGGTAATCAGTACATGTTGGATCACTCACCCGAACCTGGAATGCACTGCGAGTACCAAGCGTTTTGAGCAGAGCAGTAGTACCCAGACACGCAGGTTGTCTGGCCAGTCCATCCATTGCCACCACCTGAGAAAATACACGTTAGCCTCTCGCTCACAAATTTGGAGTCTATAACCAACATTGTCCCCAAGCAGACTGCTGCCCTAGCGCTGATCCGCTAATGGCAAGGAGTGCGAACAGGCTTTGCTTGTGCTGGTCTCTCATTTTGAAAATGGTTGTCCGATTTCAAGAATTGCAGATGGACATAGCTTGGACCTTTATATCTTCTTCTACAACGTAACCAATGGAGATATTAAACGACAAAACTCCGATACAGAGGCATAATACTCCATGTTCGGTTCGGAATTGCCTCTCTACGACACGGAAGAAACCCCTGACGAAGTCTATTACCCCGGGGAACTAAAGAGTGCATTTTCCGTCACACATCATACCCACTAGGCCGTAAACATCTATTGACGAAGTTTATACCCTTGGAGGCCTATAGGGTGGAATTCAAGGATGGCACTACACCCGTTAGATATGTAACTTTTGTGGCTCAAACAGTGGGGGATGATGGCAAGAGCAGAACTCCATGAAACGTCTTGTTTACTTGATGCTGTTAACGGAATCACGAAACGAAACTTCTTCAACTTGGGGATTTGAGTTCATTTCCCTAATTTTATTTTCTCTCCAGGGCACGGAAATCTGCCCGTTGAAACACATTGCCGGGGTTAATTCCTGCGGAGAACTATACGGCCAAGTGTCCGTCTGGCACTAGAATCCCCGCTAGCCTCCTAACCGTTACATCTCGAACTGCGGGGTACATAGGTTGAGTAAGATTAAGTTTCAAGGGGAAGCTGCAGGGCAAATTCTTCAAGGAACTGCCGAAAGTTGTTGCTCTATTTACTTGGCATCTTTTTTTCTAGACACCTGTTTTCAAATACAGCGTATGCAATGAACGCGTTCTCTGTTTTGTCTATGGTGAATAAGGTAGTTAGTCGATGGCCATTAGTCATTATATATGCGGCATTCCACCAGTCATGGAGGTAGCCTACCCTGGGTAATTTCAGCATCCCTAGGAGTGTAAATTCGAAGCCCACCTGACAGCATCCCTGCGTCGGTTAAGGCACTCAGAGAGCTATTGGGTCTTCGCTAAGTGCATCAACCGGAGAACGGGCCAATCATCCGGAGAACCCCCTGGCTGAAGGAGTTTGCTCATTCGCAGAGACAAAACGACCCCGGACATGCGCGACTCTGACATTTGCCGAGGCGACTTTTTCGCGGGGGGAAGTCACATAAAGCCGGCATCAACTGAATTATCCTGAGAGATTTGCCGGGCACAATAACAACCTTGCTTGCAAACATCGATACTGCCGCAATTAGCCTAAACAGGAGATCAAACAAAACTAGCACTACAGTATTTACTTTCAGCGATTTCATTAAACCACGCAAGAGAAGCAGCGAAGCTCAGATGAAAGATCTTCATCGTATATGCCGGCTTGTTAAATTTGCCTTAAGCTACTGGTTTGCGCGTCATTCAGCCCTATACTCAAAACCACCCACTTTACAGCGCTTTCTAGTGCCACCTGTGACTAGGGATTGCTATATTATGATCATCGACATCAACATAGCAAAGGCATGTAACTCAAGACCAGCTTTCCATGAAATCTATTATAGAAGAAATTGGTGACAGCTCAAGATTCCGATTCTAGATAGCGGAGAAAATGTCCGACTAGGTACACCTTAACGTCTTGTTTCCAAGGGCCTCACTAAAGGTATTTTGAATTGTGCTTCTAGATAAATTATGTCATTCTTTCTCGGTTCTCCTATGTAAAACTGAGATGAACTAGAACGCCTACTACGCCCGAATCTTCTTTTACAGCAACCGAGACCTTCATATCCCAGTCCTGTCATCTCAATAGGATAAAAGTGCCCATGAAGACTGAGAGGAAGTAAAGGAGGAAACACGCCCAAGGTGGGAGCCGTAGTGCGACTTCTATGTCGGGCGACTATAGAAGCATCACAAATCTCCAGCCTACCCTAGCCGGTCAAATATGTCTCTGAAATTTTCGATTCAACGGGGGATCTCTAATGACGATTATATCGGTCCGGTCCCTTGATTTTATATTACTATTTACTCATCTCAACTATCTCAAAACACCCGAGCATGTAAGTGCAATATCGTATAATCTCGTGGGCCGAGAAGTCTCATGTCCATGTCCTTGACTAGTGTAGTGATTTGCCATAGCGATCTGCCAAGGGATTTAGTGACGACATTGTTATAAGTTCATATCCTCTGTCATCTACAGATAGTATCTTCACTTTACCAAGAAACTTCGACTCTGCCATTCACTACATTCATCCATGTATACTACGTCATCGTTAAAAAAGAAATAAACTCTGTAGTAAATTTAGTCTGATCGGCTTCTCCGAGCTACAGAGCTCCTGCAAAGCACATATCCACGCCCTATGATCAACATACCTACTCGATATAGCAGGTAAGCAGGTAAATACCAAATCCAGCATCAGTGCTATCGTAGACGCAAGTAGATCGGTCCACGCAAATAGTTAGTGCACGTTGACCGGACCCCAAACGCCCTACGCAAGATGAAACCCAAAATCCATCTCACATACCGAGATATGGCCCCAGAGAAATTACCCGAACAGGATTCTGCAGAACAGAAAAAAGTAAAGAGCGACGACACATGGAAGGAGGAATGGAGGGGAATGGGAAGGGGCGCGATAAATATAGAAACACGAAAGTGGCGGGTCGATCACTAGCCCTAAGGGTCTTAATCGACTGGCGGGTGTTTGGTGTTTTGAACTTTTGAGTTGGGTTGCGCCGATCTTTAACTAAATCTAATCAACCCAACCCGACCCCCTGCTTAAATGATAACTCTTTTCAGCTGTGAAATTTAACTTCACCACGCGATTCACCACGCGAAGGAGAAAAACAAAATCTAACTGGCGTACAGCATTGTCCTCGGCAAGGGCGATGGGATGAGGTAGCACAGTATAATAATAAACAGTATGCAGGGTTGATACGAGTATGTCCCAAACAAGTAATCGGCCACGATCGATATCCTTGTCACCACCTGAAACGACAAAAAATACAATTAGAATCCCTGCTCCGCCCCCAAAAATCTGTACAGTGTGAATCTATCCCTGCGTGCCACGCGAGGAGCTCCATGCACGCCGTTCAAACTTCGATCGTGGGTCGGGGTGGAAACTGGAGCCAGCCGAATACGAGGTTACCCTTTTCTTTCCGTCCTGTTAATCCAACCACATCGTTCTGTTAAGTTGACCGAGGGAGTCATTGTACCCACCTACTGTAGTTACATACTGTATGTAGTTAAGTTTATTTTCGCTTGAACTATGCTAGAATTGGACGTTTGAAGATGAACTAAACGCACTAATTTGCTGGTGCAGGGATCTTGAACACTATTCCGCCAATGAAGCTCATTTCATCGCTTGATACCTTTGCCTCCCCCGCCTATTGCGCTATTCTTAGTATTGGAGGTCCTTGTTCCTGGCGATCGTTGTTTAAATTTGGTGGTGGACTTTTCTTGGTATGCATGAAAGGAGGAGATAGTAAGTGCTTTCTTCATGAGGGGTGGGGATAGTGACTGGTCAAGATAGCCCGAGCGCAGAGGGGTACTGTAGGAGGTGATGAAAGGGAGGGGATATACTATGTTTAGAATGGAAGTGTGATGAGCTGAAGCTTGAGCTGAACATCACATTGGATGTGATGCAATACTACCCAAGTACTGATGGAAGGTGCCCAGCAATGATCATCGTCACGCCGGCTTTTATTCTGCAGGCTACTGGAGGGAAAGTTGCTCTTATAAAAGTAAAATATTGATTATGATATCAATTTTCAAAATCCAAACACCACCTAAAGTTCTATTCATAACATGATCCTATTGTAAACAAAAACACATTTCAAGGCAAGAAAGAAAATAGCACACAGTCGCTCCAAATCATGCTAACGAAAGGCTTGAACAATATTGTCCGGGTATATATCACTTAGTAGAGTCATTTCCTTCAGTCCGCAAACGCGACGGAATCTGAGTAGCCAACAACGCTCATGCTCAACATCACAAACTCCCCAAGTAGACAGTAAAAGAAAAGAAGGAAAAAAAGGACATCAGTATAGAAACAGAGTCGCGGAGGTAGAAGAAGAAGTGTAGTGAAGCGAAATGAGGAAGGTCTTTTTGTGGCTTGGATGTTCATGTCCAACAAGTCTCCGGTGCCACCATTCCAGGCATATCGAATGCATGCGAATGAGGGTACACATCCATGTTCAGACCCATGGCTCCATCAGTGCGGGGCATATCAGCGCAGAGGACGTCGCCGCCATAAGGTGGCGTGAACGCCGAGGAGTGAGGAATGGAGCTCGAGTGTGTGAGATCGGATAGGCCGAGGTTTGCATCGTGGGCATCGAGGAGTTGTGGCGAAGGCGGGTAGAGGGTGTGGGAGGGAGCAGCGGTAACGTAGCCGTCTGCCAGGGTGAAGGGGGATCCAGCCACTGTGACCGCTGGAGGAGATTGGAGAGGAGGTGTGTAGGCGGCATATGAGGGTGAGGCGGAGGCGGGAGAAGATGATGAAGGAAGAGAGTATTCGTGCAGTCCGTGGTAGGGACTTGATGGGCCGGGGGAGTAATGCTCGACCGAGGGCCGTGGGGACCAGGCCAGACGGCTGCGATATCGTGCAACACAGTGGCGTGGCAAATCCATCAAGGTCATAGCGAGACGGATGTCAGCGTTGAACGGATCTGTAGCGTTGTGTGTGGCGAGGATGCGATATGTTTCCTCGATGGTTCCAACGGAAAGAGCTCCCAAATATGAGCCGCCCATGTCGGGGTAGAAGTGGTCGAGAGCGGTTGCAACGGCGAAGAATTGAGACAAAACCGCGAGGCCGTTGAGTTCGGACTCGCCATTTCGGAGGAGAGATGGGGGCAACCAGAAGAGCCATTGTCGTAAAATCTGGATCCGGTCGAAGGCTTGCTCGGAGGTCTGCGTAGGAAAGTCCTTGCGGAACTGCTGCACAAAGTCGATCAACTCTCCCAACCGTTGGGAGTGCTCTGCGTTGTGTGAGACTCGCTTCTGGGAAACCTGTAGCGCATGGATGGTCTGATCTAGTTGTGCCAGATCTTCATCGAATGAAACGGGGAAATCCGGAGCGCTCAAGGCGCGCTGGTTCTCGACGAATTGAACAATCTCCGACTCCTGCTTCCAAACCGGATACATAGTCTCGAGGATCGAGGAAAGACCTTGCTGCAAGGATACCCAGCTTTGACTGTATGATGTTAGTTGTGTTTTAAAAAAGATCCTACTTTGATCCTTACTATTCGGTTGCTTGCCAGGAAAGCAAGACGTGAGCGGAAACAATGGCCTCCGCGTTATCCTTGGTGGGAACAGTAATGGCGTAGCCGAGCGCAGTTCGAAGACCCTTGAAAGCGGCTGCTTTGTGGTGTAGAGCTAGCTGCTTAGTCTCTGCATCTCGCGTGAGGTAGGCGAGGTGGTAGGCAGAAAGGGAGAGTATGGCGCTCATGACGAAATCGTTTGACAGCGCAATGCCCAGGAAACTAATAAACACTGGGTCAGTCTCACGAGGATAATCCAAAACTTGATGATGAGAACCTACCTAGGCAACATCTGCGCCCAAATTGTGCAACTGCTCAGGCCCCGTCGATGTAGGTCGATGGAAAGCCCGATGAGGTGGTGAACCAAGCGCAAATCTGATCGGGAAAGACCAGACCAGCTGGATGGAGGGCATCCAGCAAGTTCTGGATATGGGGTGAGACCGGTTCTGTGCCAATTCTCAATCTCCATCTCGATCTCTGGAGATATGAGTAGATCTGGACCGCGTCGCGAGGCAGGCGGGCTGCCTCGCGCCGCAGCAACGTCTTGGTAATCACAGCGACAGTTGTGCTTGGTGCAATTGCGGCTAGAGATATCTCTATTAGAGACGCGCTGTGAATCTAAGGAGGTGATTGCAGAACATACCATTGTGGGAAGGTCTCGTCGCAGCGGATGTGTCTTCGCTTGCACGTCTTACATCCATTCCGTGACTTAGTATGGCTTTTGCGGGGAGGGCCACCACCTGGACCAGCCATTGTAACTGTTATTGGAATATGCTGAAGGTAATGTGGAAAGGTGACAAGGTAGTTCGGTCAAAAGGAAGACCGATGATGAAGGTTGAGAGTAGATAAGACAGGAAGATGTCCAGTCACCAACGTAAGCTTCAAGGTGGGGGTGATCGGACAGATGGAATAGATTGTTAGAGAGTAGAATGGTCGTGCAGTACTCGAGTCGATGAGTAGGTTAAGTAATATAGAGGCAAGATTGGAGAGATGAGGCCGCAGAAGTTTATAAGAAACGATCGACCATGGAGACTCCAAAAATAACTTCTGGCGGGTTGAGGAATGATGATTGTCGAGGGAAGTACTCCGGACTGGAGATGATGTAGTCCCGCACGTGGTAAATACGAGTCGGCCGGAGTATAGCCTCTCGCAGCCAAGATTGGGTTTCCGAAAATTAAAATAATAAGAATTCTCCAGGCCGTTAGGAGTTCGGTAGGAGGAGATGTCAAGAAGAAAGAGAAGCAAGGTCGAACTAGGGCGGAATGAGGAAGAAAAGAAGCGTGTTCAGAGTGTTTTAATGAATTGACGAGAGCGAGAGCGAGCTTGGATCGCCGTTGATAAAAAAAAATCGCCCCGGTCCCGACGGTCAGGCGCAAAGAAAGGTAGATTAATCTTACTAGAATAAAAAAGAAATGATAAAAAAAAGGAATATAATTATAAACTAAAATGGAAAGGGGAGAAGAGAAAAAAAAAAAAAAAAGGAAGAGAAAATAAAGGGAATAAGACTCATGAGGAGAGTAAGAATTCGAATAATAATAATATTATTATCATGATTATTATTATTTAATTTTTATTATTATTAGCAGGACCACCTCGAAGAGAGAAAGTCCCTCTTTTTCCCCAGTGACGATCGAGATTTTGAGCCTCTGCAGGGTTGCCTGGAATAGCCCCTTCACTGGAGGGTCAACTCAGACCGATGACTAGGATGATTAGGGGAGGGTCCCGCTAGAGCGGGAGACTGGCTGCCCTTGCAAGGACTGGAGACTACTGGAGACTGAAGCATGGAAAATGGAGTCAAGCGCATGGACCAGGGCCCTGGGCAATCCATCCATGATCCATGTCGAACTAAACCGACCAGGCGGCGAAGACCACATGGCGCCAGTTGGAATGGGCCCGGACCAGAGGCTGGGCAGGCAGGCCGCAGGCGATAGCAGGTCCGTCATAGTCTAATTCGAGGGGGCTTATACAGCTGCCTCCCAAGGCTTAGGCCCAACCAGGGGGAGGACTTCTTGGGAAGTTGCGCCTGTCGTCTGGTGAATGGTGGCTGTTCTGGCCTGCTCCACCGGGCGGCATGTGAGCTCTCTCCGAGTCCATCTGGCCTGGAGGAAAAGGGAAAGGTTAAAAAGGCTTCCGAGTGGATGACGCGGGACGGATGATTATGGTTGGTAATCACCCGTCCCTCATAACAGAGCTTCAGGATTTCTAGGGTATTTGGGGGGATTATCAGACCCTGTGGAACTGGAGCGGCGTGCCGGGGGAACCCAAGGATCTCCGATCAAAAGATCGAAGCTCCAACAACTGCCCCTCTTGGGTGGACGGAGGTGGAGCCCAAGGGAAAAAAACAGCCGATGGTTATCTGGGTCAGCCAAGCCGACGGCGTCGACCACATGGAGGTATAACTTACCTATCGAGAAAGCAGTGCGATGAGGTACCACTACTCAATGCGCCCTTTGCTTGTGAAACGCGGGCGAATCATGGCAGACATGATGCTGGAGAGCTAACCGGCCTGGGACCAGGATACAGTAGTAAGGATGTGCTTGAGTACTCCGTATACATAGGTGATACTAGTTAGGGTACAGTATGCATGTTCAGACCCAGAGGAAAAGAAAGGGGTGGCGGAGGGAATTGGTTGAACAAGACAAAAGAAAAGAAAAAGAGGGGGGAAGCTGATAGCTCCCGTTGCTTTTGCTTCCTGTCTTCCTGTTCTTCCTAGTGTTCTGGTATTTCTTTTTCTTTTCCTGTGTCAGTTTTCCTTTTGGCAGTGGTTCTTGTCTGGGGTAGGTCTCATCCCTGCAATCCAATTCCGTTGGATTGGAGACTTTTGGATGATCATTGTGGGAGGTGAGCTTTTCCCTTCGCCTCTAGCCCAAGATTATGCAGGGGCCACGCCGAAGAAGCAGCCATGCAAACGTGGAAGAGGGGCCAGAAATGAAGCCTGTAGGCCAGAGGGGAAGAACAAGCAAAAAAGCAACGAAGATCCGACGGTGATTGGACATGCAGCAAGGAGAGAATGTGCCACGGATCGGGCTGGAATGACTGCTGATTTGCCCAGCAGGGTTCCCGCGATCTAAGAGGACCCAGATTGTGGATCATAACGTCGAGAGCCAAGAACGACCGTATACCCAGTTGGGTAAAGGGGCATGTCAATCATTCACGCTATCCCAGACTGACTCCGCGGGTCTGGTCGAGGGGTTTTACAACAGGCATGAGTGGCATGGATTGGAAGCAGGCCTGAAGAGGCATAGCAGTAGTGGGACTCAAGGACTAGTGAACCAGGAAAAAAAGAGTCATATGGAGTAAGAGAGGGAACGGCTCAACGGAGGATTGACGCGACCGATGGACTTTGATTTTGCGGGCCCAGAGGTCCAGTCAGAGCTCCGTTTCGGCTTGCAAGCCTTGCAAGCCTTTGCTCAGCCTGCTTGTTTGGCTTGTGAGTGATAGAAATTTTTTAGTTTGGCGGGTGGGCGCCGTTTCTACCCGCACAAACGTGAGACGCGGTAGCCTCAACTCGGTAAAGACAACCGAAGGTGCAGAGTTTCGGGCGTTGCAGAAATGAGGGAGTACCTTGCCAGAAAGTGGAGGAGAGGTGGGACAAGGAAAGCTCTCGATGCTTTTACTGAGAGCAGATGAGAGGTTCGAATGAGATTCCTCTTGAGTCGTTCAGTAATCATCATCATCATCATCGTTGTCAATTAGAGTCGGGATCGCCGTCTCATCTCTCCGTCATGGGTCTAGGGCCTAATGCGATCATGACATTGTAGCCCCGGCGTCCCGGAAACCCATTTCCCATGGGAGCTTACCACAGGGCTGGAACGCAGGGAACTGCCTGGTCCATGCGGAAGATAAAGAGCGGCTGTGAGGAAATGGGGGTGATGGGGTGATGGTGATGGTGATGGTTGGCGGATGAAAATCAAGACAGGGGGGAGGAGAAACGGCGGGAACTCAAACGGGAAAATGCGCAGGGATTCGGGTGATACAGGGATGAGTCAAGGAGAGTTCTGCTTTGATGCACCTTTCAGGGGACTTGGAAACATCCTTCCAATACTTGTTCGAGGGTATGAAGTACTGTATACGTATGGAGGTAGAAAGTACATACAATAAAGATGATCGAGACCACAGTAATACTATGATGGACATTTCAAGACATTATATGCGAGCGCTTTGCCATATCGAGGGCAACAGACGATAACCCTAGTCCAATAGCTCTCTACTGGGAAGTCAATCCTGATAATAATAATTGAAGAATCTTAATGAGATTACAAAACAATTGTATATTAACTCATTATTATACATCATGGATATGGACTTAACTCAACAAGATCGTCACTCTGTGGAATGATCGCGCCTACAGAATTATATACATGATAATCGGACTAGTCTCTAAGTTCACTAGGGCTTCAACTAGGCAGTGAGACAAGATGCCTAGTGTCGTAGGCAATCGAAACTACTACTGTACACTTAATGTCCCCTTTGGTAAGCCACTGACGCCCTGAAGATCCAATCTTCGCCTCATCTTGACCCTCATCCTGCAAGAGGGTTACGCTGCAGGCCTGCAGTGACCGCTCATTGAAACCCTGTTACCACGTTTTCTGGGGATGCGTGCGTGTCAGATGTCGGTGTGTCCTACATGAAGTATACTTACATAGAAGTATCTTACTCTGGGCCCAAGGCGACCGAGTACCTAGATAGGTAGGTGAGAAGAGCTGCATGTCATAGGACAACAGAATACAACGTGGAATAAATGCATCCAAAGAGACCCATCACCCATGGACAGACAGAGCAGCCAATGTGTAGCCTATGAGACAGCCACGAAGTATGTGGCCAAACTTACTCTATACATGCCGCACAGTCTACGCAGTACTCTCTCTTAAGCTGTGTTCTCCTGGCCCTACTTGATCTCTGTCCTCCCTCAACCTCCCTTCCAAAGCTTCCAATACTTCTCCAGCTGGATTCCTGTGTAACGAGAGAGCTTTCTCTGTGGACAAGATGACTGGTCTAGCCCAAGGGGAAACCCTGCTTCCACACGTGGCTCCACGATCCTCTTCCGACAATAATCTGCAGCATGACGATCCTCCTCTCGCATCATCCCACCTGTTTCATCCCTTAGGCTACCCTCAAATGGTCTGCTTACGGAGGGACAAAGTGGTACAGTCCCTTGACACAGAGTACCAAACTCCTAGATAAAACCCGACGACCAGGTTGAAGTACAGTCCCCCCTCCAGACTTAAAACATATTAAACCCTGACCACAGCGCACTCCTAACCGTTTTGAGCATAAGGCGAGTGCCGAATCCGCTGCTTGCCTTTAACGGCGCTAGGGCGGAAAATCCCGTGGAGAACCATGGGCTGTGCGTGTGCGGACTTGTTCGGGTCTCCATCAGGCCCGATAGACCCAAGGAGAGGGTCAAGAGTCCCAAGAGATCCAAAAAGACAAAAAAACTGGCCGCAAGAGTCATCCCGCAAGAGTCAAGGCCGGGAACAAGTCAAAAGTCGAGAGGTGGATCGCCCATCCCTCATCCGCCTCCACCATCTCCACTCTATTTCACCCTATTCCCCCGTGCCGGGAATGCAGGAGGACATCATCGTCTTGAAACAGTTTAGCGGTTTCGCTACTCGCTACATGGAGCCAAAATAAGTTTAGCGCCATCTGCAGAAGCTTTGGCAGCGGTCTGGGGGCTCAGCCGTTCCGACTGTCAACTTTATTCCTGTCGCTTGTGGGATGTTTGGCTCCAGACTGGAGCCTGGGCAAAGAGGAATAGCCCTTCACATCCTTGGCGACCTCAATCCTTGGGGAGTTTTTCCCAGCGATTTGCGAAATGGAGACCCTTCTTCGGCTACCCTGCAAATCGGAGTTCTGTCCTCCCTCGAGTCCCTTCTCCTTTCCAGCTCAAGGTCCTGTCCACCTGCCGAATCTATCAATCTAGTTACCATAGTACCCAGAGCACTAACTACCTTTGGCTCGACTGTCGCGGAGTCATTCTCATCATTATTAACCATCTGTCTGCCTCGTCCGGAGGAATATCTGGCGCCGTTGGAGGTATCCACCAGGATATCTCCCATCCCATGCCCTATCTACGCTAATCTACTGTATTTTCTCGCCTATTCACCCGGCGGGATTGGCAACAGATTCCGCCCTTCCAATATTCTCCGTCCATACAGCAAAAAGTAGGTATGGAGTCACTCTAGTTACACACATAGTACTTGAATGCTTTGCAGCCCACAGGATTAGACGACCCCGCGGGCGCATACCCCAGATCCAAGGCCCATACATTATACATATTTACACTGGATCCAGGGTCTGCAGCGCTTAACAAAGACAATCAAAGAACCATAGTTCATACAGTATATTCAATATCAGCCTGGCCCGCCCTTCAGATGACATCGCCCAGCGTGGGAAAAGGTCTTTCGTCCGCATTGAGCTTAGAGGGAAGAAAAAGCACGGCCCATGGAAGGCAGACCACGCTAGACAACTTTAACCCGCCAAGAGTGTGCCATTGTAGACGCGTGGGGCAGTAGCAGTAGTTAATTAGCCCACGCTTCTTTTGTACTCCCGTCGATCTGCGCCCTGCGATCAGCAACTGGCAATTCGTTAGGGTGTCCGGTCTATCGGGTCCAGACGGTGAATAACATGGACGGGAGTTACTACTGCAAGTAGTTACTATTTTCCTACTACTGGATGTACTACTGTACTTACTCATCGCGGGCCTCGGGTTATTTCGTCGATCGGTTGATTATAATGGACGTACAGCGACTCTAGTTTTGTTTAGATAGCACTAGCGCGACTATGACCGAAGTATTCCGTCGTTCTACAGTAGTCAAAAAGGGGAACCCAAGATATAAAATTTATAAAATTTTGGCGTCACACTTTAGACCTATTTCAACCAAGCGAGATGAAATGGCCAAACACTCTTCTTCCTGCACTGTTTCAAGCGAGACGAAACAAACGCTCGAAATAGATTCCACTAAAAGTATAAACTCCCTTCGCTAGCCTGCAAGCTTCTGCCCTAAAGGCCTTCGCCCCCAAGTTAAATAAATAAAGTCGTTAGCGTCAACCTTCTTTTCCTCACAAGCCACCTGTGCGATCCAATCCGCTTGTCCACGATGGGCGTTTTGCTACAACGCCTGGCTACGAAGACAGCAACGCAACGCTGGATGTGAGGCTGAAAAAGTTTACATTGGGCCGATTCTCTGTCTGACGAATGTGGTCTCTTAAGACTCACAGTGCCATCTCACGTTGCATGAAGTCATGACGACCTGGGGGCACACCAGCGCATCAACTGCGCCGCGACAGAACTAAACTACCTCAACTGTATGGAGAAAGTATAGATCTATAGACCAGACTGTAGTCAAGCTGTCTCAATCCTTCCTAACATTTTTCATCCCAAGGTTTGCCCGGTAGGGCACTTCCAGCGGCCTGGCCCGTTTATCATCATCATGAAGCTAACATGATGCCGAGCCACCGCCTCTATCAAGCTGTTTGGCTGATACCCCCCAGCGGCGTGACCGTCGACAGCATAGCGATGTCATTAGAGGGACAATTTGTCCGACCCAGTCCTAACACTGTACATTGTAATATCTACATGCTAGCTGTTCTTGTCCTTCCTTCTCTTAGTCTCTCTCTCCCGAATACAAGCTATACACTCAGACCGACCCCAGCCTCAGTGTGATCTTGGTTTGTCTCTCTTGCCGAAGTCCGCTTTATGTATCGCGGCTTGCAGTATCCAATTTTGTATGATCTACAGATCGAGAATCTAATCTCCAGCTATAGCGTATAGGGTACAAGACAGAAACAGCCACGATGGGGTTTCACAGGTCGTCCATGAATATTGAGCTCAAGGAGGGCCATATCCTCACTGCATACTGCGCCCGTCCATCCGGGGATGCCTGCTATTCGGAATTGGATTTGAACGAATTCCTCGGGGTCAGGAAGGGTAAGTAGCCGTTATTCAAAGCCCGTTATGATTCGCTCTGCCTTTTGGCCGTTATTCCCCCTGGGCGTTTTGCAGTCTGCCTCGCGGTGGCTGGCAGTAGCTTCCTGCATCTCACGACCGGGGAACGTTGCTGCAGTCTTCAAGCCACTTCACGCGACAGGGAGATTAAGAGGTTCTATCATAATAAGCATGACTAACGCGAATCTCCACCTAAATCCTTACAGGTAAACTCGCATGGGGCTCCTCCGATTTCTCCAAATCCGCGGACAACATCCACCTTGAATGGGAGGGAGACAGCAAGCCCAAGAACCCGATCCTCCGTGCCGAGCTAATGGATGGCAATGAGAACCACGATTCGTGTGTGAATTTGGCGGAATGCATCAAGAACGAGGACGGACGTCTGCGATTCATGGAATGTTTCTAAATATGGACCGGTGCTGGATAGTTAAATTGCTTTCGGTTTAGGGGACTTGTATTCTTTTTCTTTTTTTCGAAAATGTGACAGAAATTGAGGCCATGGGCTACACAAGCCCTTTTTTCACATAGATCATGTTACTATTATTGCAATTATTCTTGTTGTCAAGTGTAAAGGGTACTTTACACAGAGGTACATCTCGTTATCCATCAACCACTTCGTGCGATAACCGAACAGGTAAGTCAAAAACGCACCCACCACTACCTGGCCTGCCGAGGTAAAATCATCAAAGTTGATCGATGAGAATAGAATCGGAGGTGACAGGTAATCAAAGCCCAAATCAGCCAAGGGGAAAGACAAGCCAATCCAACGAAGACGGTCTCACTAACTCCATCCAGCTGAGGCTGAAAATGAAACTTCACATAACCCCTGCTAACCACCCCTGAGAGGATGCAGAGATGCATATTCCCCAGTGCCCAGTAGTGCCCGGTGAAGCGTGAAAGGAGGAGGGGGGGGGGGGGGAACATGCCCAGCTCGTGGATTGCCGCCTTTTAAGGTATAGTGGCGACCCGCCAGCTTGTCACTTTATATTAGGGCACTAGTGTTAGCCGGGGTTGCCCCGAGTAGCCTCAATCTGCACGTCACACAGCGAGGGGCAGGGGTCGCGGAGCAAAGAAAGCAGTATTCTGCGAGATTGATGATGCCGGGGGCCATTAAGGCAGCAAGGATCACAGTGCCAAGGTGTTAATGGACTAGTGGCAACTGTACTCGATCACATCGCGCCTTCTGTTGACATACGCTAACCTCGGCTTAATCCTTGTCATGCTCGTTCTAGTTCACGTTTTCAAGGGTCTGGAGATTAAAGATTAGTGTGGATTTCTTTTATCATTATACTCCGTGCTCCGTACGGACTGCGGAGGAATCGCGATGGATCAAGGGAGACAAAGACCCTGTTCTTCAACGGGGGTATTAACTCCGTGGAAGGAAGACACTTTAAGTGGTGCCAACGGCAAACCAGCAAGTGGAGACCCTCTTTGTCGTGAAAAGCAGCGGTAAAAGGAAAGGCTCGCGTCTTGGTATACCCATCACCAGTTGACCAACCAATCGCCGGTCGGATCGACTTAAGCTCAGACTCCCGAGGCGTCAAATAAGCGAGGTTTGGTGAAGATCTCGTCTGAAACGGCAGAGAGGCGAAAGCTCCACTACTATTATCAGAAAATGGGCAGCGTCCAGCACCTGCATTGAGTAATTGAGATAGACCAGCGATGATCGTGAGTCGTGGAAACAAAGCCAAGGGGATCAGACTCATCCTCTATGCCTTTTTGATCGGCTAAGGGAATCGCTGTATCCAAAAATAATCTTGCGGATAGTGCCGACGTCGCAGTGACAGAGAACGGACCATAGATAGACACACAGAAGGGCTATCCTAGAAAGGGCAGGAGATTGGTGAGGACTCGAGGACCGGTCCATGTCCCCGCCAGTAGGTGTTCGAGAAATTTCATGGAGGTATCTACCTAGGTATCTAATCTATCTATCTAGAAAAAAAGTGTAGTTAAAGCTATGAGGAGTGACGAGTCGCTAAGCAAAAGAAAACTCCCATGAATGGACCGGCCTCGATTGACTTTGGCATGCAGAGCGAGAACAGAACGGGGAGGCAGAGAATAAACCAAAATCATAGATGAACGGAAGATATCAGAAGATATCGATTCCATAGCAGTGATCGGATATCCCGTAGATGAGCAGCCAGATCAATTGTTTCATCCCTCCTTCGGTAAATTCCCCTCCCTCCGTGCTTGTCCTGGCAGAGATGGATAAGTTATGCATCACTAACATATAAAGAAGAGGGGGGGGGGGAGAAAAAGGGGAAGATAGGGAAAATCCAAGAAAGAACAACGCCCAAATATGACGCTCGCAATAAGAGTGACCTAATGCCCATGTACCTACCCGGTTCGCAACAATTCCTCCTCTTTCTAGGTCAAATGAGAACTGTCAAGCAACACCATGACGGAGAGCAACTTGAAAGTGAAACGGAGTATGAATATTGAGAAAAAGGAAAACGCTAGGTTCAGAGAAAACTGGCAACTGAAAGCTTATGGCAGGAGACGGCGTGGTCTCCGTCACAAGCCTTGAAGGGAAACGTGCATTTGTTCAAAAAGGAACAAGGAGGTAGCAGAGGAAAAGAAAATTTTGAGGCCGTCATTCATAACTATGTCAGTCGTTGCACCGTTGCACGCAAGTCTCATGAGGTCTGATGACAGCCAATTCGATGCCAGAAACTTTTAAATCTGGTAGGCCGAACGCAGCTTCTGGGCCACGGGGCCAGGAAGCTGCGAAAGGAATGAATCGAAGTTGGGTATCATGTTCTTGTAGCCTTGCAGGACCTATTTTCGGAGACATGTTAGAAACAAAGCACCTAATTGCGGATATTAAGGGAAGAACGTACCTGCTGGAATGAGCCTTGGATATCATGGTACTCTTCCTGTGACAGTGACTTGGTTGGGAATGACGCAATTGACTGGAAGTAGTCGCCCAGGCAGGACTCCAAAGCCTGGGGGTTCTTCATGACCATGTTGTTGAAGCCCAGGAAAGCAGAGGCCTTTTCACGCGTGAAGTCAATCTTGCTCATCGACTTCAAGAATGGGGAAGCGAAATCATGAAGCTGCGACGCCAGAGAATCGGGGCAGCAGAGTCCAAGTCGGCCCAGGGCTATGGCAGCGTTCTCATTGACAGAGTCAATGATCTCCTCGTTGTTCATGATGGCCAGAAGCCCGCGGTACAGCTTGTCAGCATAAGGAGCAAGCGCAGCCTTCTCGTTGACTGCGATCTCACCACAGGACCAGCAGGCGTTGTTCAGCACGCTGAAACCGGTTGTGCGATCATCATCCCGAATGAGGTCCAGGTCAAGCTGCTTGATGAGAACCGGCATGATAGTGGGGATGTATGGCTCCAGATGCGGGAAGATGCTGATAGCGCAATCACCCAACAAAGCGTATGAAGACTGTCGGACCTCATAGTTGGGGTCCTGCATACAATAGCCAAGGAGGTCGAAGAAGGGAGGCTGAGAGTTTGCAATCAGCTCGCCACTCTTCTGTTGATCAATAGCTTGAATGATCGCGCTAAGAAGATCCAAACTAGTGACCAAGAAGTCCTTGTCAGGTTCATCAATAGCCTCGTTGCTCTGAGAGGCGATGAACTCCTCAAGATTCTGGTAGATGATCTTGGTGCATCGCTGGAAGAGATGGGGAGCGAAAGGAGCAAAGGCATCACCGTACGCGGCAGCAATGTAGCCCAGACATTCGAGCAAGGGGAACAGCTCCTGAGACTGATCGGTAACATGGTTGTATCGCTCAATCATAGCAGGCATGAGGATATCGACCAGCTGCGGCTTGGCCAGTTCAGTCATGACACACTCAGCCAGAGTCTGAATGCAGTCGTAAAGGATGTACATGTTGCGGTCCTTGTACTTGCCGAAGCACTGAACGAATTGGCGGAGGATGGGCTCGCAGTAAGGAGTCAAGTTATCGTCAGACTTCTCTTCCAAGCTGGCAAAGGCCGATGCAGCGGCTTCCTGAACCTTCTTGTTGTTGTCGAGCATACGGGTCAGGATTCCCTCCATCATCGGCTCAAAGAACTGTTGCTTCTGGCTCGGGTCCTCAAGGTGTGATGCCCATTCAGAGTAGCGTCCCAAGCACCAGCAAGTGATCTGGCGCACAACAGGCTGCGCATCGTTCAGCAGGGAGATCAGATATGGCACAAGCTCGGGAAGGTGAGGAGTGACTGCGTCCATGCAGCCATCAGCAACGGCACCCAGGGTGAGGACAGCTGCCTCGCGGTTGGGCCACTCCTCGTGGCGAAGGGTCTCCTTCAGGTACGGCAGGATAATCTCAAAGATCTGATCATGGTAGACATTTGAGAAGACATCCAGTGCAGCAGCTGAGCACTTGCGCAAAGTCCACTCGCCCTCAGGATCATCGCCAAACTCTGAGTCCTCAATCTCGCCCTCACTCAGCTCATCCTCGTCCTCCTCGGGCTGCTGTTGACCGTTGGCCGCCTGTTCACCGGGCTTTGATGTATCCAAGCGAGCACCTTTTGCCTTGGCGAACTGAGGCTTCAGATCTTCAGCACGATCTTCAAGATCGGCATCGTCCTCTTCAGCCATAAGGCGGATAACGTCATCTTCCTCGTAGACCATGTTCCGAAGCAGAACAGGAATGACCTTGTGCATGTACGGAGCCAAAGGTTGGCGCAGGCTCTGCTGCTCACCAGCAACAATCCAGAACTCAGCCGCATCAAGAGCAAGCTCCGGGTCCTCCTGGTTTTGCTGCTGAATGAGAATGTAGGTGACAAGGCCGTCCAGGTGCGGAATCAGCTTTTCTGGTGCGAACTCCACTAACTGCGAGAATGACTGGCACACCATCTTCCGGACCTCGGTGTCTTCATCGCCCGAAAGTTTGAAGAGTTGCGACAGGAAGACGTCCAATGTAGCCACCAGAGCCGGCGGCTGGTGAGGGAGGAAGACATGGATGCTGTTCAAGGCGAGCGAACGAATGCGAGCACTCTCGCGAGTGGTGAACTCGAGCAGCTTCGGGATGATCACGTCAAGCGGGCGTTGTCCAGAGTAGTCCCGGTCCAGGATTTTGCGATTGTCTTCGCAGACCTTGAACAAGGCGGCCATTGCAGCCTCCTGAGTGGCGATGGAGATATCACCCTGGTCATTTCCAACGAGGGACAGCAGCTCCTGTAGGACCTCAGGCCAGGCCAAAAGGCCACCCTTCTGGACCAGCTCAGTAATGATGCTACCGACACCGCGCTGGACTTGGCGGTCATTGTCTCGGAGAGCGATCAAGGCGGCGGAACGGATGAAGTTCAGACTCTGCTGAGGGATTGTCTTGTAGGCCACCGAGAGCTTGGTCTTCATGTTCATGGTAGCGGCGAATCGGACAACACCATAAGTACTGGGGTCAATGCCCGCCGCGGCGACAGCGGGAGGGACCTGCGCCGTGGAGAACATGTAGGTGATGTAGTTGACATAGTCCGGGGACGAAGTGGCTTGCGACAGCATCTAGTATCCCCGTGGGCGAAACGTCAGTATTTGCGATCCTCGTCATAACTGTTGAGTGTGTCTGTCGTTGTTACTCGGGGGTAAAGAGCGGGGAGGGGAAAAGTGCAGAAGATCTTCACCAGGACAAAATAACGGGGAATCAAGTACATTTTCGGCTTGCTTTCGCAGCTGAGGGTTCATGCTGTTCAGGGAGTCCCTGAGACAGCAGGCGAGCTGCCTCAATGGCTCATCTTGCGGTTGCCAGTCCATGTTGGAGCGGTTCAAAGTCGACTTGTCGCAGCGACCGTAGGAGCAAAGATGGTTGTGGCACAAGGAGCCCCGCCAAGAATGTGGGAACGGGCCCGCCTTTGCTGATGCCCCGGGTCGAGGCACAAACCTGCAGCAAAGAACCCTGGTCAAGAGACAAGGTGAGTCTTTCCAATTTAAACTTGGAAATGCTGAGAACAATGTAGGACGGTGAAAAATAAAATTTTTTAGGACCGGTTGGTCTGCCCTATCGAACTTCGAGGAGGTCGGGAGGTGGCCCGGGCAGAAAAACCCGTAGTGGGTAAGGCGGTCAACCACTCAAAGGCGGTCAACCTCAATTAAAAGGCCCGTGCGCTAAAACTTGTCAAAGATGTATGAACCTCGAGGGACGCTAGGCGAGACAAATAGTAATGTCTGGTCAAAATGACATACCCAAAGTAGAAGTGTGGTGGGATATCTCACGGTAATATACCGAAAGTAGAAGCGTGGTGATATATTGGCGGAGAGCGAGGCGGTTTAGAAGGCGGAGAGTTGAAGAGGGAAGAAATTCAAGTTTTTATACCCCATTGATGCCTTGATTCTAAGGCATAAATTTCTACTTAGGTTAGCTCGAGGCAGAATTAGCACATCCTTTTTTCCTTCATACCACCTTCCTTACCAGGACCTCCACTACCTACCAAATCTTCCTCTCTATCTTCGTCCCTCTCCATCTTCTTCCACTATATTTTCCTCTTCTACTCCCTCTTATATAGTTGATGGAGTAGTGACTTCATCATTAAATCATTACTTAACATAACAGTTTTACTATGTAAACAAAAATGGTAACCTAGTTGCAGACATGGTAGAAAGTAGAAAGGTTGGCAGAAAAGTTGGCAGAAAAGTTGGCAGAAAAAGTGGCAGAAAAAGTGGCAGAAAAAAACGGTGTGCCATTACTTAGCAAACAAATGACTACGCTAAACCTGAATAAGTTAATAATTTATGCCTGAAAAATTGGGCTGGAATCCGAGTAACAACTGTAGTGAATGGGGGGCTTTGTTATAGCGTGCGAGTTGCAGCCATATCATGTTCCACGGTTGCGTACTACCTATATACATCGGGTTTAGTATCCGCTAACCGCGGATACTAGTGGTCTTTTGGCCTTGTTGGTTGGTGTTTACGAGGCTTGGTAAAACGGACAGTGATCTAGACACTGCAATCAACTTTGATGAGTTTCATGTTGTGTATGCAGGATCCTGACATGAATATCGTTGTTTATGGTAGATCTTGCGTACGAGGTACTCAACGCATGAGACTATCGACTAAAGGGGTGCCAGAGAAGAGTGAGACACATCCATTTTAGGGTATCAATACCTGTGAATCTCGAATGGAATTGAGTGAACAGTAGGTACAACGCTTCGATATATACTGATACGAGGCGATTGTGTGTGCTCTGAGATAGAGACGATACTAAGACGGCGTAGGCGTATGAAACAATAGTAAACACCGGACCAAGTGCAAAACATGGAATTTTCCATGGGTGAATATATAGAAAACTAGAGGGGAAACAATCATTCTACTACGTGGGCAGAAGCCCGGAAGTTACCAGGTATACACGATTCACGAATTCGTGGACCCGGATACCATGGAAGACGCTGCCGTCAACCCTGATGGAACCGTATCAATTCCCGGTGAATATATAGCCCATGCGTATTTGCAACATTATATACGTATCTATCCACAAGCCCATCAAGCCCAGACCATCTTCTTAATATCATAAACCAAATATTCCAGAATCCCCGTCCTCTTCTTCGCCTCCGCCAACGAGATAATATCAGACTGTTCCACAACGGACGAAGACTCAACATTCTGACCATCCCCAGCCAACAGTGCGCGTTCAATGTCCAGACAAATAGATCTGACCCGGTCAAGTTCCCGCACGTTGACGGCACCAGTCACCGCGCCGAGGCGGGGGTTGGCGAGGGTGTTCTTTGTAGGCACAGACTTGAAGGCAACGAAGCGAGTGGTGGCCCGCTTGCTGCCACGTAGCCACGAGACGAGGTCCCACTCGCCGTTGGAGCTGGATGAGGCTTCTAGCGTGGCTGGGCGAACATTTGACTGCAACGAGCGAGTGTTGACGCGTAGGGCGTTAGCGTCGCCGTCGCGGTAGATGATTACCAGGCCGACGTTGCTGCGCTCGTCTGACTGGCTATCCGTCAGGATGGAGGTGATGTATGTGCCGTAGTGGATGCGGGAGATGGAGCGGAGGTCGATACGTTCGAAGGAGAGGACTTTGTCAGTCTCCCAGTCGAAGCGGCAGCTGTAGACTGCTGCGTCGGTGAGTAGGAGGACGGACTCTTCGAAGGGTAGTGTGCGCAGGGTGTTTGGTTGGCGGGGAGTCAACATCGTCCAGCCACCGAGGAATTCTTCGGAGGGGCTGCTGATGACAATCTTGCAGCTGGTGTCTATGGCATTTTGCCGAATCTTTTCCACAGAGATGCCCGGGTCGGTGGTTTGAAGCTCCAGGGCAAACTCGTCGAAGACATGCGTTGACACATTGCCGAGGAGATAGTCGATACAGGCTTGTGAGAAATAATCGTTGACGATGTTGTTATAGTAGCGCGAGAGGGTGAGGCCAAAGTCGTTTAGGGCACCGCGATAGTCACGTTTCCTCGTGCGAGTATAGTCACCCTTCAGAGCTGCGGTGGATGAGTATTGCTTGGAGATGGCGTCGCCATTATCGGCCCAGAGAGTATTGAACCACTGAGTGGACGAGTCTCCGCCGAGGTCGATGTCAATACCCTCGTTGTGAAGCTGCTGCTCGAGTGCCCACTGACCAAAAGCGCATTGTGCAACGCCCGTTCGGTCAAGACAGTCCATACAGTTGGTTCGTACAATGCCAGTTTGCTTCCGTGCAATAGAACCGTCCTTGACAGCCGTGTATCCGAACTCTTCCAGCGTCTCTTTAACGCGGTCAACCAATCGCGAGACATTTTCAAACTTCATCCCGCGACATTCGCTATGGAAATCGAACCACTCCAATCGCAGTGGCGCCCCATCGATACCACCTGCCTCATTGAAAACATTAGTATACCTGTCATACTGTTCTCCCAGCTTCAACTCTCCAGCGTGCTTGTCAATCAGAGAGACGGCCTGAATCTTGCCATACCGGCGGCTCAATTCTCGGAAGTGTCTACCAAAGGCAAGTTGGTTCGTTTCAGCAGAGTGATGCAGTATTGGCATCGGCTTGAAGGAGTACGGCGACTGCGAGAAGTACAAGGGAATTGACCCTCGCAATTGCAGGTAGGAATACACATTGTGAGACGAGTCCCAGTCAGGTACCGAGAGAATCTGCTCTGTCTCGACGGTATTCGCTGTGTTACCTTCGTCATCCACTCCTCGGCGCAGGTATCGAAGACCCGGTCGATTCACAGATCGCCGTGAAATGAGAGTCAAAAGATAATTGTGCTTGGGTACTTCGGTTTTCATAGCCTGAGTCTCTTGGCTCTCGCCAAGGATCCGACCCTCGACTTGTTGCTCTCCAGCAGCAGATTCGGTCGATGCTGGCTTCTGCTCAGGGGCTGCGACGGTAAACTCGCGCTGTCCAACAAAGCCCTGCAGTAGAGGCAGGACGAAACCATGTGCACCATTATCAATGAATGTATTCATGAGGTATTTGTTCCAGAAATACTGTCCATGGGTTAGCATCCACTAGAGTAACAGCTTGAGTGCTGTCGTAATTCTTGCATAGCAAAACGTACCAATGGATCTACGGCCTTGTGAAGAGGTTGATGCCCGTTCCGCACCTCCTGTGCCTCGAATGACCTCGTCAAATCATAATCATATGCAAAGAAGAAATTGCGCGACGCAAACAGAAGCTTCGTATATCGAATGAGCTTCGGCAACAACTCCGCCGCCTGATCAGAGCTCGGACGACCAACGTCATCCTGGGCTGCAGCTGCAGCAGCCTCAATTTCGGCCTCCCTTGGAACCGCCGCCTCAGCAGCCTCGTCTTTAACCTCAGGAGCATCGACCGACATAAGCGGTGAATCGTCAAACGGCGACTCTGGAGCCTCCTGCTCTAGTGCACCAGGCCGAGGCAAGCCCAAATTCTTACGCGACAGCCAATTCGCCGCAAACCGGCCAAATTGCACGCGCTTCCCAATTACATCCTCGGCGATACTACCAACACTCAGCCCGCGAGCATGGTATGTCTCACGAACAGGCGAGGATGGCGCGCTGCTGATTTCCGTCTCCGCCCCATCAGTCACATTATCCGAGACCTCCTCCTCCTCAGAAGGCGAGTCAAGATCTGGATCACCCTGTGAGACATCCTTCCGGGCCTGTGCAATTGCGCGGGTGGCGTCTGCTTTGGAGGAGATGGGGATTATAGCGACATTAGTCACGGCGTAAACAGGGCGGCCTTGAATTTGGGCGACCTGTTGTCGCTGAGTGATAGAGACTAGGAATGAATAGGATGCGACAGATAAAAGGCCTATAAAGTGGAATTGTGTTAGGGCTGTTCAGGTATCGCGCGCCGCCGCCCTAGCCCCGCAGGTTCGTGAGCTTACCAACGAGTCCGTATGCGTCTAGTACGTCCTGCCCCTCTAGTGACTCGGACGGGGCGGGCAATGCTGTGATCTTGTTCGTTTTGTAATCGATTCGAATGGAGGACGCCTCATTGTTGCTTCCATTATGATTAGGCCGCAGTCCGTTGGCGCCATTTCCGTGCAGAATCAGCCCATCGACCGCGGCGACGATAACCAGTTTGCGCAAGAGGCCTGGCATATCGATTGTGTGCGCCCCAAAAACTAAGAATGCGAGGGAGTGAAACAGTCAAGAACCTGGATTGTCTCTGCGCCGTACAGAGATAGTGATATTCACAGATCCGACTCCATCAGCCGGCTGAGCAGGAATGCTCGTGGGAAACAAGAACTTGCATAACAGCTGACCAGCGAAATACATCATCGGATCGGAGAAGGCCCCACTCCCGAGGCTCCTCCCCGCCAGCCCACGAACTAGTGAATGTGTTATGCTACAAACATGAAATGCTTAGTAGATTGACAGTTCACGGGTAGTCGATCTACTTGCAAATATGGCAAAAGAATCATTCAGGAAAAAAAAGAAATGTTCCAATGACCACACGGTATATACAATGATGCCTCTCTCGCCCCGGTACCAAAATAATCACAAATAGAGAAAATCCAACCATTTAGAGAAACCCAGAAGTCATATCCAATCATTTCATACGGGCATGTCCAGTGCCTGCGTATGAGATTCTGCCCGTCAACCCATCTCGGGCATTTTGGCAGCAACAGTAAAAGTACAAGGAGCTCGGGAGAGACGTAGAGGAAGAAGCCAGATGGGCTGGTAGCTCGGGATGAGGTAGGAAGGTAAGAAAGAAAAAAGGGAGTAGTTTAGAAAGCATGGCGACAGTTGACCTCGTGAAGATGCGGAGAGCTTGATTTTCGGTTCAAGACAACTCGTGAGATATTCAATCGAACTAGACCTGGCTGTTTTGCTTCGTGTGCATCACCGTCCGTTCGAGCTCGTCATTACGAGCGTAGGTAGGCCCTGGCTCTCCGTCGCTCTCTGCCAGATCATCCAGGCCGATTCCATGGTTGTTCTCGACGTCATAGGAGTGAATGAGGCCCTCCCGGTCGCCGTGGCCGTTCATAAAGGCAATACTCGAGGAGCTTCGGCGAGATTGCATGGACCGCCGGGTCTGGAAGCTAGAGATCGCATCGGTGGGCACACCTTCGTCATCGAACTTGGAATTCACCAGGTGCCGGCCGTCGGGGTCATGCCGGGAAAGGTTGAGCAAATATACTCCCGTGAAGATGATGAGGAATCCGCAGAGCAGGGAGATTGTGTTGACTGCATCGGTGGTATTGAAACCTTGGAAGAGAATGAAAGAAGCGCAGAGCGTAGCCGTCGTGAACGTAACGTAGTAGAGGGGGTTGACACTATGGAAAAGATCTTCGTTAGGACTGAAATGCTTGATTTTTCTTGAGGTTTCCAGTCTGTTCCACTTACATCGAGGTCGAAAAGGCGTTCAATGCCTTGTTAATATAATTCATCTGGGTGAGAATGCAGAAGGCGGTAACAATGGCGAAAACATAGGTAGATGCGTGGACGAATTGGTTGTTGCCCCCGAGGGTCAGTTTCACCGCGATACCAAACGCCTTGACAGACATGACAGAGATGGAGCCGACCGTCGAACAAATCGAGATGAAGATCAGAGGATTCTTCTTTCCATGCACCGGGGCAACCCGATAAATCATGACAGTGGAGAAGATTGCAACGACCAAGCAGTAGAGGAGGAATCCTGGAAGTAGGGTTAGTGATCCGAGGAAGGGCGCAGCAAACAGGCTTCCCGCAACTCACCTGGCTTCACGGCATACGCCAAGATCTCATCAATCCGTTCCACGGGCTTGTCCGGAGGCGCATGGAGGACAATGACGACCGAGCCGAGGAGACACATCGCACAACCCAGTTTGCCCAATGTTCCCAATCGTTCCTTCAAGAAATAGGACCCTAGAACCGCACTGCGAGGTGTCAGCCACTGCTGTCGATCGGCCCCATGTAAAAGGATGGCCTTGACTTACCCGATCAGCACACTGAGTGCGCCAAGGGGCGTCACGAGAATCGCAGGCGCAAATGCATAGGCGGCGAAGTTGGCGATCTCTCCAATGGCCACTGTTGCCCATTAGCTCTGCTCAGACATTTCCAGCTCAACGGAAGGTCCATACATGTCACCACACCTCCCCACCAGATCGGACTCTTCAAGTATGAGAAACCTTCTCCTTCAAAGCCATGCTGCCTGTTGGCATGTTGTAAACCCTATGATCATTGCCATCAGCGCCTTGTTTCCACTTGCACCATCTCATGCCAAAATGTAGTGCGATCGCATTCATCGGACCAGGTATCTCGCATCGAGTTCGATCGGTATTCGAGTGCAGACGAACCTTTTTCGTGATCACAAAACTCGTGCCTAGTGAACCGAGTTAGCTGCATGTTCAGGCAAGTTCCTACTGGAATTGATTCGAGGGAGGCGATCGTACCAATGGCCATTGTTGATAGGATGGCTAATATTAGCCCGACGTATCTATTCGTGATGGCGCAAGTTAGAACTTCTGGCCACCTTGTCCACAGGGCATCGGCGCTTTCATGCGCTGAGGATCCGGGGAGCCCACGACGTACTTATCTGGAAGCATCTTGACGTAGTTTTGTTCAGGAGCGAAAAGCCCCTACTGTCGAAAGACCTCCACTGCCAGCAATGGATCTCGGGGGGTAGGAGGGGGTATGAAAGCGAGCGACTCGATTAACGAAGGGAGAGTGGTGGTGGTGAGCTGAGCGGGCGGCGGGCGGCACGGGATCGGGTCAGCTCCACGGGGAGCGAAGGGAGGAGGAGAAAGAGGAGGAGAGCGAAACGAGCGCGCCAGAAAAACGAGCCAGCCCGAGGTTTTCTGTCCTTGAGGATAATGAGGAGGGGCCAGTAGAGAGGAGGAGAAGAGTACAAGGATAATGATGAGTAAGAGGGACAAAGGATGAAGTCGTAGCGCAGACGAGTAGTAGTGGTACGGAGTACAGTATAGAGAGTACGGAGTAACGGTAGAGAGACTAGAGTCACAGAGTGTACGGAGTAAGTAACTGTACTTTACTGTAGCGAGTGTTTGGTGCCTGCGTGCGGTGGGGTTCCGTTTTGAGACTGGGCCGATCGGGACGCGTAAGAGTGAACGGGCTGAGCAAAAACCAAGTAAAAAGTCCAAGAAACCAGGCTCGAACCTGTCGAGAAGAAATTGGGGTATGATGAGATTTTCAGGGGCACTGGATGATAGGAAATTCAATGTCTATTTGTCTATATTAAAGATATTGGAAGAGACCTTGACTATGATGTCCTATGTCGACTTCATGCATACATACTCTATACTCCAGTAGTACATACGTAAGTGGACACACCAGTTTCAACTTTTAACAATGGGCAACAAAGCAGGGGCAAGAAATACTGTAATAATAAAGCAACTGGACCATGCACAAGTTTCAGCTACACAAATTTCTAATACTTGGACCCTGGGTGATCCCAGTGGCGGCGATCGTTGTTTCATATCGATCTGGCCATCCAACCGAATTCAGCGTGTCTATACATAGCGAATGGGTCCACCCCGCCCATACCAGTCCCATACCAGGGCGCGGGTGATTGAGTGCCCGCATCCATGACAATGTATGCAATGTTCATCACTGCAGCTACTACCAAAGTCCAATGTCAAGACTAGAGTCACTATGTATATATCATTGCCCGTCGCCGAGAGGAATCAAACCAATTCCTCAGTAAGTGTACGATGACCATAAAATTTATAGATTCTTGCCATCTCCTTCATTATTAATCTTTTTTTCTTTTGCCGACTTTAGCGTGCCTGGTTTAATCGACAAGACAGACCGCGACAGGATGGGATCTTAGCCCTAATTAAGCACTGGGGCACCAGGCTTTACCGGAAGCTTATTTGGTTGAGTTCGTGGCGTGTCCCGAGCTGTAGGCAGCAATCAATCAGTGATAGGACCTCGAGTTCAGGAGTCCGGTCAGAATCACTCTCACAAAAATTCGAACTGGTACTTATGTTGACCAATTGAATATGTTTACATTTTTCTCAAACAGAACCAATCTCATTTATAGTTAAGAGACTAAATGATAAAAGTACGGCCAACGTGCCGACACAACCAATACGCCGATAGCTATGTTGGGATGCAACTGGGGGGCCATAAAAGATAAAAGATAAAACCAAGTCCAGCCGGACTGCCATCGACGCCAGAAATAACCAATTTTTGGATCGCAAAATGGTATCACGCGAAAGGGGGGTGGGGGGTGGGCGAAGGAAGAAGAGCAAACAGACAATAGAATACACAAACAGGGGGAGGAATGGGAGCTTAATCGAGCCACCAAACTTGATCCCGAGAGGCCTCTCCAAGGTGGATTTGGACGAGGGAAGAGGTGGGACCCTAAGCCGGAGGAAGGAGGGACACAAGACATACCTGGAACTGATAGTAAGATGAAAACCCTGCACCCACGTACCGGTACAGCCTGGAGGATCGGGGTTAGTAGATGTTGATGATGATAGCGAATCGAAAGCGGCCGAGGCACTAAGCCAGTAGCATCCAAGAGTTGTTAGACTGGTTGGCCAATCCAGAGAAGAGTGGGAGTGAGGTGAAAGTCGAATATTGCCAGGATAGCAAGGGGAACAATAGGGTTTACGAAGGGCGGCGACGTTTGAGCTCGGGGGTCGAGGTCTCCTCAAAGTCCCATTCATCCTCCTCCTCACGAGACCGCTTAGAGGGGTTCTCATGGGGTTGGGAGTCAGTATGCTCTACCTCCGCTTCACCCAGCACGATGTGTTCTGAGAACTCAAGAACGCTGTAGGGATCCACCTCATCATAGTCACCGCTGTCGTTGTCGGCTAGATCATCGTCGGCGGTAAGATCGTCGCCTGCGGTGGCATCGGGATAAGCATCCTCAGGTTCATACTCCAGATCTGCGTTCTCAATGTGACCAAGATCGTCCTCATGATCGCTGGCGGGGCCTTCCAAAAGGTCCTCGGCGATTCCAAGCAGGCCGTCCTCGGGTTCTTCATGGTGCGCAGATTCCTCCTTCGGAGCATTCTCCACGGTGGACTCCGACTGGCCATTCGACTGATTATCAATATCATCGTCCAAAATATTGACAGAAGCATCCTGAGCGGCTACGGAATCCAGTTCGTTGGGAGCAGCTTCGTAATGAGGGGAAGCAAAATCGACGGGACGGGTCTCGTCATTAGGCCCAGAGATATAGGTCTCTTCCTCGGCGAGCTCATCTTGATACTCTCCTTGCTCTTGCCCTTCAAATCCATACGGTTCATGCTGGTCGGGTGACTCCTCGTCGTTCACGCCTTCACCGTCGCCCGCAGGGACGGTGCGATCTTGAGCATCATTTTCATCCAAGAGATCTTCGGCAGCGTCAGCTGAGACCGCTTCCGTGGGCTCCTTTTCTTCGACATGATCAGAGGCAGGCATCACGGTAGATGTGGACTCTGTCTTAGGAGCCTCAGAATCATAATGCTCCTCAACATAATCATGAGAATTCTCATCCACATACTGTGGCGCATCCACCTGATCAGTCTCATCTGCTGGCTGTGTTTCGGCAGCCCCGATTTCAGGCTCAGCCTGAGCGCTGTGCTCGCCAGAGACAGAATCGGGAATGGCTTCAATGGGAGCATCCTTATTTACAGTATCGCGAACCTCGGACTCAGCAGTACCACCAGGAACCACCGGCTCCTGGTGACCTTGATCACCAGTTGACTCCGCAACGGGTTGCTCCGCCACTTGAGGATCCTCGTTGTCTTCCCCATCCTCAAACTCGCTCCACGGATGAACTTGAGACAGTCCTTTGCCCTCATTGGCAGCAGCTTCAAGATCGGCTAGCTCAGAATGAACAGCCGGTCTGCTGCTCAAAGTCAGATACAAAGCTTCTGGCTCATTATTGCCATCATTATGACAAAGCCGAAGGTAAATGTTCAAAATCTGATGTAAGGTCACATTGGACGTGTGGGAGCAGTCCTATTAGTCAAGAATTAGCAAAGTTGTTCAATGGAACATGACTAAACAAGAAATGGAGTGGGGGCTTACCTCTGTTATCTGAATACCGAGTGAGTCGATATCAATAACCAGGACCTCATTCTCCGCAACATTATCCAACAGTACCTCACGTAGAGAGTTGAACAGTTTACCAACATTGTCGTATGCGATATCTTCGTCATGAAGGAAGAATGTCTCGGCTGAATCACCTTCCATAGGCGGGAACAAAGAAATCTCGGCTTCCTGGTAAAGAACCTTCACTGGATGGAGGGACTCATCCTCCTCATGGGTTTCCTGACCTTCTTTCTCGTGCGAGACGTTGGCATCAAGATGCTCAACATGTCCATCACCATTTTCATCAACAGTTGACTTGGCCTCCTCGGCAGGCTCAACATTTTCAACATTCTCCGTCGAGGCATCAACATGTTCTTCAGCAGCTGGAGGCTTGCTCCCCGTTGTTCCATTAGTGTCCTGGGGCTCAAGAACTGGGTGGTTGGTCTGAGACTCGGTGTTATTGTCGCCTTCGGTGTGTCCGAGTTGATCAGTCTGGTTTTCGCTGGAGACGGGAGGGGCCTCTTCATCTTGAGTTTGGGGCTCCTGAGGTTCATTCACCACGGGTACAGATTCTGGGACAGCAGATTCTGAGTGAGCGGTCTCCGGGCCATCGTGGGTGGTGGGCTGGAGCTGCACCTCGTCGATTTCCGTAGGGACTCCGCTTGTAGGGTCGCCATGCTCGGTGGTCTCGGTCTGTACCTCAATATTGATGCTGGGAACGGGAGCTACAAGTTCATCGTCTTGGTCACCTTCCAGCATTTCTGCTTCGTAGGTAGTCTCGTCGTACTGAACATCGATATCGGGGTCCTCGTCGACAAGATCAGTGTCAACCATGGATCCTTCGGAAGGCTCATCAGCCATATCGGCATCGTCGTTCGCTTCGGTACCGAAAATTGAAACTTGGGATGTGTTGGGATAGTCATCGGCTCCCATCATATCGCTGTCCATATTCGAGACTTGGTCTTCCATGAGGTCGATGTCGATGTCAAAATCATCAGGCCCTCCGTGATAAGGAGAAGCCATCTCCATCGAGTCTTCTAAAGCTGGGACCTCCATCGTAGCAAATGTCGAAGAGGAAGCGGTGGTCATGGCATGAAACGCGTCGAAAAGGTGTGTACCACGGGGACGTGTTGCAAGGGCCAAAGATGGCGCGCCGGAAGGGTCGAGTCGGCAGGTAAGGTGAGAAGAAAGAATCAAAGGGAAGTAGGGGATTTACGACAGGTTCATGGGGGAATAAAGATCGATCCAGCTCAGGATTCGAAGGGTTGAATAGAAAGAGAAAAAGCTTCTCGCAATAAAAAGCGCGAAGACAGAGAGAGATGAGGTGAGGAGGGAAAAAAGCCGAGTTGGGTTGAAGACTAAGCGAAGGGGGGAACGGGCGTGCACGGGCCAAGACCGAAGAGAACAGAGTAGCGGCCCGCGGGCGACTTGTCCATCAACACCACAAGGGGGCTCTCTCTAGCTGTCGATTCTCCAGAGACCATCCACTACTCGCGATACTGCGAATCTTCTTATCTCTTTCTTTTCATTCTTTACAGTCTCTACTTGTCCGCTGGTCGTCATGGTATGAGCATTCCCGGTCTATATGTTTGTTGTCCAGCTAACCATCTGTCCCATATTATTCAGGTCGTCCTCGCGGCATCCATTTGCACTCGCGGAGGCAAAGCGGTCCTCTCGCGCCAGTTTCGTGATATTCCTCGGTCGCGAATTGAAGCCCTTCTCGCCTCCTTCCCCAAGCTCGCCGATTCGCAAACCCAGCACACCACCGTTGAGCAGGACAACGTGCGATTCGTATACCAGCCATTGAATGAGCTGTACATTGTTCTCATCACCAACCGTCAATCAAACATTCTCCAAGACATCGACAGTCTGCACCTCTTTGCCCAAGTAACCACAAGCATTTGCAAGAGTCTGGATGAGCGAGAGATTCTCCGCAATGCCTTCGAGCTGCTGAGCGCATACGACGAGTTGGTGACGTTGGGTTACCGAGAGAACCTCTCTCTTTCTCAGATCAAGACCTTCCTCGAGATGGAGAGTCATGAGGAGCGCATCCAGGAAATCATTGAGCGGGTATGTTTGGATTTGCGGGATACGGGGTTGTTTCTCAAGCTTACATTTCTCGATAGAACAAAGAATTGGAGGCAAGTGAGGAGCGCAAGCGCAAGGCCAAGCAGTTGGAGATGCAGCGCAAGGAGGCTGCCCGTACAGGCCGTGGCGCGGCTCCTCGGGCACCAAACTACCCTGTCTACACACCTCCATCGCGCCCTGCGGTGCCTGATACCTACGACTCGTATGAGGCGGAGAAGAAGAAGACATTTGCCAAGTACGTTCACGATTACACACGCTGGGAGATTGTGACGATGGATCTTTTGGTCTCTAATAGTGTGATTTTGTCTAGGCCCCTCCCCACTCGCGGCAAGGGTATGCAACTTGGCAAGAAGTCCAAGGCTACCGATATCTACGAGAAGGTTCGTGGCGACCTAGGTCCCGGAATCGAGGAGTCCAGCCCGCTGGTCACTCCCCAAGCGTCTACTCCTGTGCAAGAGCCTGCATCTGCTCGCGAGTCCCTTACGGCTGATCGCGAGTCCATCCACGTCACTATCGCCGAGACAATTTCTGCGACACTTACCCGGGAAGGTGCCCTAAAGTCATTTGAGGTTAAGGGTGACCTTCAGCTCCGCATAACCGATCCGGCCTTCACTAAGCTCCGACTTGATCTCAGGGCAAACCCTACCCAGGGTGCCCAATTCCGCACCCACCCCAATGTCGATAAAGCACTTTTCACAAGCACCTCCGCAATCCAGCTTAAGGATACCACCAAACGCTTCCCTGCCAACAACGCAATTGGTGTTTTGCGGTGGCGTGTGGCAAGCTCGGCCGACAATGCCGAGATCCTGCCCATCACATTCACTGTGTGGGTGAACAAGGGCTCTGACACAACGACCGTCACCGTGGAGTATGAGCTCACTGGCACGGATAGCCTGCGCGATGTTGTTGTTACCATTCCCTATGGCGCATCGGAGCCGGCGGTAGCCAGCTTTGATGCTGTGTACGAAGTTTCAGGGGACAGCCTGGACTGGAACCTGGGTGTTGTGGACGAGTCGAACCCCTCTGGTAGCTTCGAATTCGAGTCCACCGGTGACGGTGACGAGAATGAGTTCTTCCCAATGAGCGTCCGGTTCACAAAGACCCAGCCATTTGTCGACGTCGATGTTCTCGACGCCTCGCTGCTGGAGATGGAGGGTGAGAGTGCCGGGTTCTCCAAGGACATTCGCAGTGTTGCGGAGAACTTCTTGATTGAGTAGTTACGTGCTGGGATTGTATAGAGTTTTCTTTTTCTTCTAATGATGCTTGGATCCTGCTTCTCTGGCACTTATTTTTCTCTGTTTTTGAAATCGTGTTATCAGCCCTTGATTTGATTGCCCTCCTACTACGACCTCAAGGTACCTCCTTCTGAGGCCGTGTCTTAACCTTGACATCCAAAAATTGACACATTATCTAAAATTCAGAAAATTATGGAGCCACACTCTATGAAAGGTGGAATTCAAGATGCCTTACTATCCCAATGCGAGCTGAAAGTTAGAAATATTAGATGCCTTACTACCTCAATGCGAGCTCGCCCGCACCTCGCATGGTCAGTGGTCTGATCGATGTTGTGATGATGAGCGCAATCATGTCGCGGTAATATACGACGTCAGGATTATGGATGATAGACCCATACCGCAGATAATGACTGAGCATTATGAGGGGTCCGTCTGAATAGGGATACCCCTTAATGTTATCCGGCAGAGCTTGAAACTGCCGTCAAGCTTTCGGCACCTCGATGGCTTCCCATGGGCCGTTGTAGTCCGCTCCTCCTCCAGGGTCGAATCAAGTCAACCCGATGCGATTATCAACCAGGGACAACAGCTAAGCAAGTGCCACACTTATCAAACGTCAGATTGAGCTACTCGCGGGGTCTAGACCATCGTCGCCCATCTAAACTAACAATTCAACATGCTGCGCATAGCGAGCTGTTGCTCTATAATCCCAACTCTACTTTTAACCCTGGGAGAAATGGATATTTTATCAAGACAAGCTGTACGAGACCCAAGTCTCGGCCTCTGGAGAAGCTGTCCCTTACACCGATCGTCCAATCTACAACTGAAAAGAGCACTCACCCTTTAGGAAGCGTCGGAGCCCAGAGCCTGTTGGTTCCAACAATCGACAAACAGAAGACTAAACAATGGGTGCTCTGGAGCCCTGATACAATGGCTTAACCAATCTCTAGGGCTCTGAGCCCAGATCTGATGCAAGAGAACCGTCGCCGCTGCCAGTTGATGGCAAATACGATGGTCCATCAGCCATACAGATTGTGCAGATCTACTCAAAAAGACCTCAAAATTGCCTCAGCCAGCATTGCATTGCGATGAGGCAAATATACACGAGGTATGTACTTCGTTGCATGTCCTAATGAGTTGCCACTTTGAGAGCTTACCGCTACAGCTCTGTCAACATCGTCATGACCGTCATGACCAAGTATCTACCAGATGAGCTTTAGAATCTCGCTGGTACCCGGACCCAGAAAACATATCTGTTGCTGGTAGCTGGTACGCAATGTCCCATTTGGATTTAGGTTAAGCCTACCAACGGTTTTATAACTCAATTGATGCCCCCTCCTCTTGTTGTTTTCATGAGTGTCTGATAATTCACACTTCAGACCTTGTTCAGTTTCCCTCAAAACATTCAAGGTGAGACTTTACATGTGGGGAACGATTATCAAAACCAGGATGACTTACTGACTAGCTAGACCTACTTCTGGAATACTGAGTCTAGTTTCCAAAAGGTTCATGATGAGCATCCCTTTCCCATCATGGAATGAACAACAAAGTCTATTCATGCTATCAAGTGTTGATACCGAGACATGCAATCAGCTGAGCTTGGTAAGCCTTTGCACTCCGAGGACCAAAAATTAGATTTCAGAGCTGGCTTCTGATGTTACGAACAGGAAAACCCCCTACCCGCTCTTCATCGGCCCGAGTCGGACGCCGGCTCCAAGAAGATGGCCATTCCACGACTTGGGGATGGAGCAGAGTCAGCCTTTACCTCACCTGGTAGGTTCCACCGTCGACATGTACGTCGAGCATGTGAAAGCTGTCGACAGAGAAAGACCAAATGCACTGGTGACAAGTCTGGGTGTCGCAATTGTCGGGAGGCTGGCATTATTTGCTGCTATACCGATGGTAAAAGAGAGAAGTCGAAACGGTCAGTAAGCCTGTTCTTTACATCTCAACTTGACCATCAGACCCACTTACTCATTTTACTACCCACAGGCAGCTGGCTAGTCTGTCGGCTAAAGTGCAGGCCTATGAAGATGTCATCAGAAAACTGAGCAATCGCTTCGGGGTCTCTGATGAACAGCTTGTCAACATTGCTTTGGTAGCGGTAAGGAGCACGTACCATATTCAGTGCCCATGACATGTCTGAGATAGTATAGGAATCAGCTCCTGATCTGGCACTCAACGCCGAGGCCGGCCTTGCCACTACAGGGGAGCGAAGCCAGGACTCAGGCTCGGAACCACCCCCATATCGATCTTCGTCACCCAGCGCATTGGATGGCGTGGACCACACAGGAGAAGACTTTAACAGAGACGAGACAGCACGAGCAACCGGATTTATTGGTAGAAGCTCGGAGATTTCCTGGCTTCAGAAGCTGAGCAAGGAAGTCAACAATGAGTGCGAGGAGTGGTCTTCGAGCAAATCTAATGAGGATGATGATAACGGTCTACCCTCTCCAACTTTGACCCCGTTACCTGAGAAGCCCAGTGATCCACTTGTGGCTTCATCCAGCTACTATATCGATGACCTGGATGTTCCAAAGAAAGAGCAGGTCGATGCATTCGCCGTACCCTCGCGGGACACGGCAACTAAACTGCTCAATGCCTACCTGACCTCGGTGCATCCATCCCTCCCAATCATTGGAATCTCGACTTTCATTTCGCAGTTCCAAGTCTTCTTCAGTCAGCCCTCTCTCAAACCAGGAAGCAAGTGGCTGGCTATTCTCAATTTGATATTTGCCATTGCGTCAAAGTATGGACAGCTGACCGATGCAGAGTGGAAGGAAGGCGAAGATGATCATCAAATGTACTTTTCTCGGGCGAGAAGTCTGAGCCTGGAAGACCAGCTTTTGCATCATCCTGATTTGCAGCAACTCCAGGTTGAGGGACTTGCTTGCTTCTACTTGATTGCATCTGGTCATATTAATCGGTAAGTCGTTAACCTAATTCTACTTGGAGCCATACTCACTTTTCTTTTTTTTTTTGTCAACGCAGAGCCTGGAAGTTATCCGGAAGTGCCGTCAGAGGAGCACTAGGCCTCGGACTACACTTACAAAACGTGGGTGTATGCACATCTGACACTTCCAAAGAAATCCGATATCGCGTCTGGTGGTCACTTTACAACATTGAACACCTTCTCGGTGTCATGACAGGACGTCCATCCTGCATCATCGACAGCTCTTGTACCACACCACTCCCAGTTCCTTTTGATGAAAGTGACTTCCAAAAAGAAGAAGTTGCCCAGCTCATCGGTGTTGTTGGACGTGGTACATCGAGCTCTCTGGACCGCATGTCATTCAGTAGCAGTACTGCCAATTTGGATTCAACTGCGGACTCGGACGGGAATGACACCCCAGCTGAATGTGACACGAAACGAAGTCAGGCAGAGTACTTCAAGAGTCTCCCTCCGTGCATGTCTCTGTACTTCTTGCAGATGACATCCCTGACTACAATCGCCAAGCGAATGACGACCAAGCTGTACAGCCCCGAGGCACTGCAGTCCCCGTGGGCGAGCATCGAATTTACGATCCAAAGTCTCATGTTAGCAATTGATTCTTGGTTCATGAATCTTCCCTCGGCGTACGACTTTACTTCCACGCAGACTTCTCAATGTCCTGTCGGACAGCGGCTGGGGCTTGCCTTTCTGTTCTACAGCACCAAAATTGGAATTACCCGCCCTTGCCTCTGTCGGCTCGATTCGTCTCCCCCTGAGGATGAAAAGGCGCATGAGTTCTGCAGCAAGACTGCTGCCGAGTGTGTTGAGTCCGCATGCCATATGCTGACGTTATTCCCTGACACACCGGATGCTGCTATGTTGCATCGGATCTCTCCATGGTGGTGCACCTTGCATTATCTGATGCAAGCAACCACGGTCCTTCTACTGGAGCTCGCATTCCACTCCCAGCATGTCCCTGAGAAAGCGAACATGGTTTTGAAGGCTGCCAAAAAGGCTATTGACTGGCTCTCCGCGCTGTCCAAGACAAACATGGCGTCGGAAAGAGCTTGGAAGCTATGCGATGGCTTCTTGTGCCGTCTTGCACCCTACATCGGAATCGATGTCAATGAGATGTCTGATAACGAGGGGTCATCAAGTAACTCTCTCTTTGATGCCCCAGATATCGGCTCCACCGAACTTGGCGATGATCCACTCGTTGATGATCTCTCTTTCGATCAAACATCGACTTTGCCTGCGGCTACAGTAACTACGGCGGAGTCTATTGCTGCAGGAATGGACTCCACTGCTTGCTCGCCAATCAACCCACTTGTCAGTCCTCTTGATATGTCGGCGTCTTACAGTCTTGAAGTACCGGACCTTTTGGATACACTGACCAAGTCAGAGAATTCTCTCTCGGGTCCACTACCGTACGACGAGCTATTCCCCTATGATCCGGCGACTGGTCAGATTACTCGGTCATTCTTCCCATTGGGGCCAAACATGGATCTTGATATGGGGTATTTCTGGGGTGATGCTGTATGTTAATGAAGAGGCTTGTTGGACCGAGGAGAGGAAGAAGCCGGATGCAGTATCTTTAGATCTACCGGATATTGTTTTTTTGTGTTATGGAAATGTGTTATGGAAAGAGGTTTTCTCAGACTGTCACATTGAACTTGTGCTGTTTCTTTCTGCTTGGTGTTAACATTGAACTCACACATAAAAGTGTATCTCATAGACTCAGAACAGACTGGCAAAAGTTCTTGTTTTCTCTGGCAACGCCGACCGGGGCTACTATGCTCCATCTTCATTTGTCATTCAAAATTATCATTCATTGCGCCCCTATATCGTACACAGATCTTGGGTAGTTTACATTTCAGCTATCGTACAAGTCATGTTGAACGAACTTAAGCTGCCTCAGCACCTCAGCTTGCTGGCCCAAGCTTAGTCCCGGCAGGAAATAGAACCATATCTCTCCTGCATGAGCGAGCGATCCAGAACATCCCCCAGACAGAACACCAAGTCTAGACCGGTCTGTCCATTGCAAGTATTCGTCGCTGCGGGAATACCATCATAGCCTTGTCAGGAAACGGAGAGAGCATGTTCAGGGTATGGTAAGCAATAATGACGACACGTTCTGTAATCACCAGACAGGTCTAAAGTGATCAGAACGTGTCTGGCTCCCACTTTCGCTTCTTGGCAGTAAACAATGCCCTTGCATAGTCCTCCTGACTGAGTGACCTAGAGCTGTAAGATCCTCCTTTGGCAGTGGCGGCGGCGCCTTTTGGACCGAATTGGAGGTAAGTTATCTGGTTGAGTATGATACACACTTCCTCGGCAAACAAGGTGTCTGATTTCCACTGCAGCCGTTGACGATTCTCCGGCTGATCCCAGATAGACGGGACAACACCAAGCATACCGCGTGCATCCATCACAAACTTCTCAATGCCATCCAAAATTGGAAGCAAGCGACGTTTCACACCGCAAGCTTGATGATTGAGATCAATCTGATAGTCAGGATGTTTCTTCAGCGAAACGATGAGCGATGAAATATGAAGGCCAGGTGAAGGCTGTTCCTCGTTGTCATCCCCATGTTCGGCGCCAGGTGGACTGAATTCAGGATCAATCAGTGTAGATCCTATGAAAATTGACTTGGCTCGCAGGGCGAAGAAACGTGTCATCTGACCGAGGTGGAATAGATCGCATTGACTTGCGTTACCGAGTCCAGCCCGGCACTGGAAGACACGATGCTGATGGGTGGTGTGATGTGGGACGGCTTTGGAAGTGGTAGGCATGGGCTCGTCGCTTTCCAGTGCGCCGTATTTGCGAAGGAAATATGCTTGTAGGTCGGTGATTGTATTCAAGACGCATTGTCGTCGGTAGTAGAGTTCCTCTAGAGAGTAGTGATCAGTCATGGTATCTTTCTTACCATACACGACATTCATAGTGCGATGAGGTTGTGCCATACCTTCTAGTCCATTGGACAAGTGCTGCCAACGCAGATACGGACCCTCTGGTACCTGCGGGGAGTGAACCCACCGTCTGGAGCCGGCTATCACCAATGCGTGTGTCATAACCTTGGCGATATACTCTTGATTGAGAAAGTTCGCAACAACTATCGTCTGCCGGATCCGATCTTCACTCATCTTCAAGGTACTCTCGCTAAATTTCTGAAGCCGTGATTTGCCCTTGCCGAGTGAGTAATCCAGAAGATGTAAGGCATCCAGTACAGGATATGGAGAGTTGTAATAGTCGGCAATATCAACCAACCTAGCGATCAGGGATAAAGGCTGAGCTTTCAAGTTGAACGAAAACACGGTTTCCAGGCCTTCATCCTCGTCATCATTCTCGTCAGATGCAAGAGATTCCAAACATAAGATCTGCAAGAATAGCTCCAGAGCATCAACCCCATATAGCTCAGTGAATGGAGTTGCAGGAACAACCACGATAGGTAGAAAGCCTGATCCCGAGGATTCTGATAATTGCTGTGCAAAAAATTGTCCCTCGACAAACCTTTTAGTGGGATCAAGAAGCACTCGGAAATATGGACTGTTTTCCTTGAGCATTCGGCTGTCCACTTTCCAGTAGTAGCTATCTCCTGATGATGGCTTGGTGTACTTGAGAATCACATCTCCAGATGGCGAAACAATAATTGGTGAGCTTGGACTGCTTTTGTCACTGGGACGAGATTCTCTCGGTCGGAGAAGAGATGTATTTGGTTTCTCAGGCGGATGAAGACCCGGGAATTCATTAAACTCGGCTGATGTTCTCGCTGAACGTGCTGGAGGTGTCAAGGGCAACGCAGGTTGCGATCCCGATGCCATTGCCGACGAGTGTTCTTGGACGTAGTTGGTACGTTAGATGAATGACAATGTGATGGTGGGATACATATGTATCCGAATGTACAAGCGTGTAGAGATGTTTAAAGACGCGCCAAGTTGTGTCAGAGTCTGGTTTATTATTCTCAGGTCCGTTCGTATGTCGAAATGCGCATGTTGTCTTTGATTGTGAGGGGACCGAGAGGCGTTGTGCTAATACAGAAGACGATGGGTTCGTAGCACTATAACAAACGGTGAAAAAGAGAGGAGTTATGGGAAAATAGAATGAGTGTGGCGAAGTAAGAATGGGAAACAAGGCAACATTTCTTCACTTTGGAGCTGGCAATAGGGGTGGACACTGAATGCTATTACCGTTGACTCCCATCCGCGTTGGGATCGGACTCATACTGCTGGCAAAATGGGGGCAAGATGAAGGCGGCACACTATCAGTCTGACCGCCTGCGGGGGTACTCCGATGAGTGACAAATTGCCCCGCGTCCATGGAATTGGCGGGCTTATCTCGCCTGACCGGTCAGGCCGGGGCTATATGAGGCCTCAAGAAGGGGGGTATGGAGTGGCAAGTTCTCGTGGTAAATGTATATTATAAGATTGCAATCAACAGGGATATGAGTACATATGGTGTTGATGATCTAGGAACAGTTCATCGTACGTAGGGATCAACGGAAATACAGAAATGTCTGTATATAAAAGATATGCAGAAGGGGAAGAGCGAAGGGATGAGAAGGAAGACCTGAATAGGCATGGGCAACAAAGGTCTGAAGACCTGAGACTCCAAGGCCACAAGAGGTCTAAATGGATGTAAGATCTCGGTGTAAGATTAGCAAGTCGGTGGATGCTTTCAAGACAAGACATGAACAAGTAGAGATGGCTTTTGTTCCAACACATCTAGGATGAGGGGGAATGTATCTCAATGCACAAGACATAAACCTATGCAAATCTAGCATGGAATGGGTAAACATGAAAATTCATAATGATGAAGGGCATAGCTGGTCGTGGAGAAATTCAAAATAGAAGGAGCATCTTGATCAGGGGAGGATGACGACTGGGACATGGAAGATGCCAGGGCCAACGGGCATCGATGAAAGTTCTTGATGGTTGCCAAGGTGCTCTTTGCGGTTGGCTTCTCGCATTTTCAAGGCTTGGTCAACCATGTAATGCAACTTAACAACACTCTCAGGCAGGTCCTCGTCAGGCGAGTCCCCGTTCATGCTGCGAATGGGATCTGATTCATAATTATGAATGAGCTCAGCCGGTACAAGAGAGAATAAGGCAAATGAATGCTTATTTTCTAGATATGGGATGGCCTCGAGTATGTCGCGGCCGAGTTGTGGGGTTCCATGGCTGTCTTGGAAGGCCAGGTCGAATAAATAGTCCCCGGTATAGCTGGTGAAAAATGGCTCGCTGGTGAGAAGTCCAACGACAAAATCATGATTTGCACATGCTGCCATTATTGTGCTCTGTCGAAATTCAGACGTGAATGCGGAATCAATGGCGCTTGGCAAGCAAAGAGCCAGGCCTCGCGATAAGAGTGGCGGGGCTGGGACGCCGTCGTCCGGCTCGACATGGGGCTGGAGAGTGACCGACTCGGTGACAGAGATGGTTGATAATTTCCGTAGTGCAGCTCCAAAACTGTCCGAACTAAATTCCGCCCACCCATTGGTAGTAGGCGGGGAAATGGGTGCTTCTACTTCCTCGTGGTGTTCGTCGCCATTGGTAGCAGAGATCTCGGTTTCAATTGTCTTCACAGTCGTTGCAACGGCCTCCCGGGCGGCCTTGCGAAGTGTTGGAATCAACAGGTCCTTCTCCTGTTCATGCAATGGCACACCCGGTGCCCACGAGGTGGCTAGATTTGACCATTGCGCTACCTTTGCAGTTCCATGTGTGTATTTCCGCCTGACCAGATCGGCTAAGACCTTTCTTGTTTGGAAGTTGGCGCTCCCTCGGCCCATGAAATTGACGGTACAATTCAAGACTCGGCTTCCTTCCCACAAGATGAACCCGTGTTTCTTGGCATAGTACGTTAACTGATCAATGGTATCGTCGGACCAATCGTCGATAATATCGGCTTGGACTTGAAGCACCGCGATGTGAGGGCCGACCTCTGCTGTCAATTTCAAGAGGGTTGCTGAGTCTGTGACGGTTTGGGAGACGAGCACGCCCACGGGTTGGCCGTAAGGGAGACCCTTTTTTGCCGAGGTCAGATCCTGGATATACTCCAAGATTCGGTTGTCGGGAACGCGATCCGTCTCCGACATCGTTGTGCGACCGTGCGTGCGGAGGAGTTACTGCTGGAAAGGATTGTGGGAAGGAGGAGAGAAGATTGGGAGAGCGAGAAGGTCTCTTAATGAGGGAGAGCTGGAAGCCCCAGCGGGGCAGCAAGCTCCACTTAGTTGGAGAACTAGCGCGATGCCTAATCCTTGACAATTTCAAATTGCCAGCAGAAGAATAGCCTTGTTTTTCCCCATTCTGAAGATCGTCTTCAAGGCGTTTCCGGACCGGGACGACTGAAGAGGGGTGCGGCCAGCGTATCGAGAGTGAAGGAATGGGCCGGTATGATGCGTGCACTCCTTACCCGGTGGGGGCCTCCAAAAGTATGCGATCCGATCGGGGAAAGAGTCGGGGTACTCGGGCTTGTCGGGCGCAGTCCGCTCTTCCCCGGCGCCTGTTTAATGTTGGCTTAGGACTGGTGTCCCCGTCACGCCTTCTGCATCGGGAACGGGCGAATGAAGGAGCATTCGCAAGAATACTGACACAGTGATAGTCCTCGAAGGATTCACACTACAGTATCGCCAGGGGTTGCTCCAGTGGCACTCTAGGGGGTGATCGTAGGCATTTGGGATTAGGTGCATTATTGGATGGGGGGTTGGTCCCACTGCAGATTCGGTTTAATCGTGCGGATCGTCCCGCGGGGCGGGAAAATGGAACAGTTGAGGGTGAAGGATGTCGCAGGCTCGCAGCATTTTTAGCCCCAAACTAACCTTGAAGGCTTGGGACTAACCTTGGACGGTAGCAATGAAGGATACCAAAGGCACCGGCCACTTGGTTATGCGAATCCTTCGAGGGACTTTTGTCGTTTGGTGTTGAGGAGAATTGGCAAATCGGTGGGCCTCGTTTGAATACCCGATTGGCACGTGAGAGTCAATTGTTCTTCATTTCCACCCATTTCATGCCAGAAAATGCCAGGAAGTCAGGGAAAATGCAAAGAAAAGGGCACTGGTTTCTGAAATCAAAATCTCTTGACTCGATCCGGCCCAGACAACGACCGGAGACTGTGCGATGCATGCGCGAAATGGCCTATCTCACCTGTCTTGAACACTATCGAAGGTTATGGTGGATAATGCTGAACTCGTCTTCCATTCCCCCCCTTCTCGCTCCGGAGGCCATGCCCTTACAGGAAGGTGATTTGATCACCGAGAGTACATATGTAGCAGTAGTACTTTTGAGAGACAGATAGGATCTTCAAGACTGGCCTAGGGTGTTTTCGTGTATGAACTAGTATGTGAAGTACGGAATCATGGTGGTCGAATTATCCGATGAAGAAAAACTGATCTACAGCATCCTAGTAAGCTTTGGCTAGCCGTGGGTTGTTCATGGCCAACAAGCCTTGGTACCACCGAAAGTCAGCCACTTTTGAGTACAATGCCTTGTTTCCTTTTCTCGCGGTACACATTCATCTTGATATCCAAGTCACTTACCTATCACCTGAGACGTAATATGCAATTATTTGAAAATCCCCGATTCGGGACGAGGACGATCCTCTGGCCTGCAGGCTTCATTTGAAATCTGACATGCTCAGAACTTAAAAAGAGACCGAAACGTCGAGCCCATGTAAGGTTTTTATTATGGCCAAGTCCGTGGATTATTGTGGAGTCCAAACTCTCCCTAGACAAGAAGCCTTGTCACAGTATCACAGGAAATATACAATCCCCGGGTCAATAATATGTAAATCGTGATCTATGGATGATCTGCGCATAGTTAAGGTCAAATTCTGGAAAAGCATGGGTAATTGTCTCTGATTATCTTTATCAGACTGGATACAGCACATATCAATGAAAATTGGATTTGATACTTCTGTGGGGCTCTTGATGATTTGTGATCAAACTGATCGTAGATCAAATCACTAGTACAATCTGTCTATGCACATTCTAACTTGGTTAACAATTTAATGGAGAAGGTAGTGATAGCCGCTTGATCTTATAAACATGAGATCTGGCCCCTCCGTATTAGTATAGAGATTTCTCAGCATCGTAGTGGGGATCAATCATTAATTCACTAGCGACCGAGATCCTGTATGAGCGATGAACCCCGAGCTTGCATAAATCTGATTACATCAGTTTGAGAACCTATTCATGATTGGTTGAAATCTGTAATCGCGTTGATTCCTACCTATGTACTTAAATATGTGTGTGGAATAGGAAATATCTGGATCTCTCAACGTGTCCAGGTATCGGACAATTATCTTGGATGGCCTGATCACCCCTGGACTAGTTTTACTGTGGAATAGGTGGAAGGACATTGCCTGACTGGACTCGGACTGATGTTCCTTGGCGGGAAGCATAAAGTTATTCTGCCGGGGCGGAGACGAGGCCCGTCACGCCACGCTCTCCCCTGAAATTAATAATTTAGTACCGCGCTCTTCCGATCAAGATCTGCCCTTACCTTCTTGCATGTCAACAATCTCTTTTTCGTCCCACACCATACACCCCTTTCTGATAGTCGCATCATACACTACAGCTGTTGACTAGATTCTGCACCTCTCAAAGATTTGCAAACATGCCAGGACGGGTCCTGCCGACTTTCACACCTGCCGAGGTTGAATCGCATAACAGCGCTAAATCGTGCTTCATCGCTATCGGTCGCAATGTCTACGATGTCACCGAGTTCGTGGAGGATCACCCCGGTGGTGGTGATCTGATTCTGGACCATGCAGGCAAGGATGTGGCGGAGATCATGAAGGATGAAATTTCTCACGAGCACTCCGAAGCTGCGTACGAAATTTTGATGGACTACCATGTTGGATTTATCTCTTCGGATGCATCCGGAAAGGTCAAGGCGTCTGGCGTCGACAATGAGGAGACCGATTCTCAGCTGGTTTACGAAGGCACCGGCATGTCCCGGGAAGAGGATTTGTCGATCGATACGGACTATTCACAGGACTACAAGACACACAAGTTCCTGGACCTCAACAAGCCATTGTTCGCTCAGCTTTGGTATAGCAACTTCTCCAAGGAGTTCTATCTCGAGCAGATCCACCGGCCTCGGCACTATAAGGGAGGCGCATCTGCCCCGCTCTTTGGCAACTTCCTCGAGCCCCTCAGTAAGACTGCCTGGTATGTGGTGCCTCTGATCTGGCTGCCACCAGTCTTCTATGGGACTATGGTTGGAGCACAGGGTCTGGGAGACCCTACTGTGGCTGCCGCATACTGGATCGGTGGTGTTTGTCTCTGGACTCTGATCGAGTACCTCATGCACCGCTTCCTTTTCCATGTTGATAAGTATGGATCTTCCTTTCTGAAATCGCATTCGTATCTAGTCGCTAACGCATTAATTTATAGTTGGCTCCCGGACAACCGAGTTGGTCTGACCCTGCATTTCCTCCTCCACGGCATTCACCACTACCTGCCCATGGACCGCTATCGACTAGTCATGCCCCCAACACTCTTTGTTATTCTCGCAGCTCCTTTCTGGAAGCTCGCCCATGCCGTCTTCTTCTACAACTGGTTTGCGGCCGTTCAAGTGTTCTGCGGAGGTGTCTTTGGCTACATCTGCTATGATTTGACTCACTATTTCCTCCACCACCGCAAGTGAGTTTTCCATTATCCTGTTTTATATTTCAGCGTGCCATGATTCTAACATATTCTTCTAGCCTTCCTTTGTACTACAAGGAGCTCAAGAAGTACCACCTCCAGCACCACTACGCTGACTTCGAGAACGGATTTGGCGTCACCAGCCGATTCTGGGATCGAGTCTTTGGTACTGAGTTGGAGACGCCAGCCCCAAAGGGAGCGAAAGCTCAGTAAAAGCCTGTCTGTTCGCGTAGAACTTCTACGGCGGCGGTTCGCTTTGGATCTCATGAGTTTACGCTAGAGTCTCGCTTCTGGGTATTCCCACCCTGCACGGAGCTTGTACATTTCTGCTCCTTCATGTCGGCAATTGTGGCGTTACGGATCGATTCTATTTTATGACCCATCCCATGCATAGGCCACCTCCCAGGCTCTAGGTGACGAGCTCAAGAGGATGTCTACTCGCCTGATTGTACTACAAGCATCACTTACCACTTATTAGTGTACATGACATAATCATAATGAAAAATTCCCATGGGATAAATACCTCCTCAAGATCTGATCACTCATCTTGTACTCACCTCGTAATCACCATCTATCGTCGGAGGACCATCTCCCGCAGTACTGAGTCTGGGGCAAAGTGGCGAATCGACACCCCAGGCTCTAAGAAAACTTTTGGGTCACATGACTGGGCACCACCTCACTTGGACGCTTTTGACTCCCCCAGAACCATTGACTGACCACTTTTGCCGACTTCACATTTCAACCGAATCTCCGATCGCGATAGAGAACCAGTACATTGCCTAAGAGAGAACAAAAAAGGGTTCGAAAGTCAAAATCCACGCTGCCTTTCGCTCTCTGACCAAGTCCCAAGTGACTTTCCCCGACCCTTCGCCCATATTTGAATCACAACCAGCGAGCAACACGCGCCCTTTGCAATGTCGGGTCTCGACGTAGAAGCTCTTCTCGAGTCCACTGCCGCTCCTACCGAAACCCCTGTTACCAAATCAGAAGACCAGGAGGACCCTTCTCGTGCGGACCCCTCCGAACGCCGGGATCGCGACCGTTCCCGTGAGAGACGCCGACGCCGTGACCGTAGCCGCGACCGCCGCCGAGATGTTGATGGCGACGAGGAGATGAAGAGCCCGCGCAGCGAACATGGCAGTGCTAACGGAAGCCATAGAAGCCGGAAGAGAAGTCGGAGCCGGGAGAGTGAGCGACGACGCTCGCGTCGCGACCGTGACGGCTACCGCTCCAGCGGTGACTTCTACCGTGGCCCAGGACGTGCCCGCTCTCGCTCGCGCTCGCCATACGATGATCGTCACTACCGCCCCTCTCGTCGAGAGCGTGAAGAAGAGAGACGTCACCGAAGGGATCGTGAGGGTGGCCGTCGCCGCAGCCCTAGCCGCCGTAGTCCAAGCAAATCTCCCGAGGTGAACGAGGACGAGCGGGATAAACGGACTATCTTTGTTCAACAGCTGGCCGCTCGACTAAGGACCAAGGAGTTGATGGCGTTTTTCGAACAGGCCGGCCCTGTCAAGGAAGCTCAGATTGTTAAGGATCGAGTGAGCGGACGGTCCAAAGGGTATGTGTGACTTTGACATGAATTTGCTTCTCAATCATTTCAGCTAACACACTTCTGCTCTAGTGTCGGTTACGTCGAGTTCAAGAGCGAAGATTCCGTGCCGGCTGCGATTCAACTTACCGGCCAGAAGCTTCTAGGCATTCCCATTATTGCGCAGCTTACCGAAGCCGAAAAGAACCGCCAAGCTCGCAACCCCGAGGCTAGCTCGGGCCCGTCGCACTCCGCGCCGTTTCACCGGCTCTATGTGGGTAATGTCCATTTCAGCATTACTGAGAATGACCTCCAGAATGTCTTCGAACCGTTTGGCGAACTCGAGTTTGTTCAATTGCAGAAGGATGAGACTGGCCGAAGCAAAGGTTATGCTTTCGTGCAGTAAGTTATTCTCTGTCTTCCATGGTGGAGTCTTCCCATATTGCGATGAATTGAGCTAACGAAGTGTAGGTTCCGCGACCCTACCCAGGCTCGGGAGGCTTTGGAAAAGATGAATGGATTTGATCTTGCTGGTCGGGCCATTCGAGTGGGCCTTGGCAACGATAAGTTCACCCCCGATTCGAACGCGAATCGTCAGCAGGGCCCATCTGCAAACCAACCGAATTTCCAGGGCTCCTCATTTTCCGGCCATGGTGGCCGTGGTGTACAGGCTGGTGGTACGAGCAACTTTGACCGCGCCGGCGGTGGCCGCGAGAACGATAAGGGCACCGGTGCCAGTGCCCTCGATGATACAGACGTTGCCGGTGTCAACTTCAACAACTACAGTAGGGACGCATTGATGAGGAAGCTTGCACGAACAGATGAACCCGAGCCCTCGGCCGACGAACAGCAGAAGGTGCTTCGACCCAAGACCGAGACCAAGCCTCTGCCTGTCAATGTGAACATGGCTAGTCGCTGTGTGATGCTTCGCAACATGTTTGATCCTAACGAGTGAGTACACCCATACCCTTGCCGCCCTCCTTCCTGTCCGTCCTTTTATAGGCAACGTGAGTCATGATTACTGGAATTCGATTACTGACAAGTCTACAGGGAGACTGGTGAAGCGTGGATCAAAGACTTGGAAGATGACGTCCGCCAGGAGTGCGAAGAAAAATATGGCCACGTTGTTCACATTTCGTTAGATCCCAATTCTCAAGGCGACATTTACCTTAAGTTCGACCGCGTTCAAGGTGGTGAGAACGCCATTAAAGGCTTGAACGGCCGTTTCTTCGGCGGCAGGCGTATCACCGCCCAACCCGTGGTTGACGCTGTTTACAGCAGTCTTTTCACTCGCACCAAGGCCATCTGATCGCTACTGTGCTAGTCTGGTCCTGTTGAATATAATTTCTAACATGGCCAATTTTCTTCCAGGCAGATCCCACTTGGCGTCCCTGTTGTCTCTCTAGGCTCTCCGGATGATTCTGCTCCTGGTAGGTGCCAATTTTCCAACTTGTGTGATTTCACTCCATCTTTGGCCATTGCGACGGCCATGCTACTCGATTTGATTTTGTCTCTAGGAGCGTTCGTTTCTTCCGAACAGTTAAGATAAAGGCGCCGATAAGCGTTAGCAATGAACTCATTTCCTCTTTCAATTCTACTCTCTATCAAAAAGAAGAAATCTTTACTCCGTAGTTCGCTATCTGGATTCCGGCCAGAGAGCGATGAGCCACGTCTCTATCGAATCATTCGTCCTGGGCCTGGGGTTCTTTGAGGCTGCTCTCACCGGTATAATTGGGCTATACTTTTGCCATTGAGTACATATAGTAATTGAGATCACTGACACTTATAGATGAGCTCTGGAGCGTCTAAGCGCGCCAACCCGCTAATCCGCGGAATGGATCTGCCGATGCCGTCACCTTATCTGCCGACGCTCGGGCCAAAGAAATGTGTCCCCCCCCCACGCCGAGTTGTTCTTACACTTCAATCTCCCTCCACCACCCTCGTCACCTTTCAATGGGCCATTCATGATTGTCCCTTCAGCGAGGCGCGTAACAGGCCGGGCCTGGGCCTTGCCCGGTAGTTACGGTACGTGAACCCCCAGAGCTACAATCGGTCTAATCTCCGACTTCCATTGAAGATCCTGTGGCCGACTACCCCGTACTTTCCACTCACTAAACCTTCATGCATCTCTTAAACAGGCTTCACCCGACCTCGAACATTACGGAAATATAGCTCCGAAGTTGCGACGCAGAGCGAGCGACCTGCCATAAAGAAGCGCCCCCAGTTCCACGACTATTTCGTCACACATCTACCGTCATCTTCGCTCCATCCGGACCCTCGGGGGCCAACCTCTCCCTTTCACAAACTCCCTCGTTCAGCCTCTATACCCCATGTCGGAAATACATCGCACTCGCCGACGACGTTTCAGAATCTAGTCGATCGTGAGATGACAGTAGTCCGAATCCCACTTCGCAGCGCTAAGCATCACTTCGGAGCCGTCACTGCCCGCGGCACTCGCCCGAGAAATGAAGATACCTACCAGGCCGGCGTCATCGATGTTCCTGCCTTCGCGAAGCGACCTCCAGCGTCGCTCACTATCAAACGATCCAACAGCCCAAACTCCTCGCGCGAGTCGCGAGCCGCAGACACAGCCAATGGAGATCCGCAGGTGTTTTACTTCGGAATATTTGACGGACATGGCGGATCCGAGTGCAGTACATTCTTGCAGGAGAATCTCCACGAATACATTCAGAATTCCGCCGCGGATTTCGAGCTACAATCGAGTCTCCGTACAAATCAACAACGGGTGAGTTGCGGAGAAGCCGCAGCAACTTCGGTCACAACCAGTACTCTGCCAGTGATGCAGGAGGCCAACCGGAAACGCATCGGGGATCTAGAGAAAAGCCTGGTTCAGAATTGGCGCCAACTAGTTGGAGGCTATTTCAAGAGATTTAAACCGCCTCAGTTCAGCTACTACGGCCCCGATAATTCCACCGAGAACGCCGCATCGAAAGGCTATGTTGCCATCGAGGAAGTCATGGAGTATGCTTTCCTGCGTGCCGACTTGGATTTTGTCAAGGCGCAAGCTGCTAAGCGTGATGACGACCTTGCTCTAGCGGAGAAGCCGTTGAACGAAGATGAGATCCTCCACAGTCCGAGCTTGACCCGAACTCCGAAGATCGGTGGCCGGTCGCGATTCAAGGGTGGCAGTACTGGCAGTATTGCTTTGATCTCAACTCCTAGTCCGACGCCTTTCTGGCACCCCGCCGGTCCCTCGAGTTTGCTGGTAGCCCACGTGGGTGACACTCGAATCTTGCTATGCTCAACACTCACTGGCCAAGCTGTTCCACTCACTTCTAACCACCACCCGTCCTCTCCTATAGAAGCAGGCCGACTTCGCCGCTACGCTGCCACGTTCGTGACCGATTCCTTCGGTGAAGAGCGCATGAGCGGACTAGCCAACACCCGCGCATTCGGCGATGTCCAATCAAAGCGCATTGGCGTTTCCGCCGAGCCCGAGCTCTGTCGTGTTGAGATGGGCCCTGCCGAGTTCTCGTTTATGGTCATGGTCTCCGATGGCATCAGCGGCACTCTGCTAGACCAGGAGATCGTCGACATCGTCAAGGAAGCTCGAACCCCCGAGCAAGGCGCACGCGATGTGGTTAGCTTTGCCACCGAGGTGACCCGAGAAGGCGATAATGCTACTTGCCTAGTGATCCGACTCGGTGGTTGGGAGCGACGACTAGAAGGTGGAGTGGGCAGTCTGGGAACGAAGGAGTCTCGCGAGTGGCGGCGACAGGATGCCACCGATCCGCGCAGGTCACGGACGTGATGTCTCCTTCTTCCCTGTATTGTAGAATTGTTGTCTGTTTGTATATACTTTGGACCTTCGCAACAAGGTCTTCTTGCACATAATATCTCGCTTGATTCGTTGGAAGGATGGGCTTGGGGGTGTTTCTTTCCTATTTCCTGGTCTTATTTTGCAGGAATTTGCATCTACATCATCGTCATGTACATCTTTTCATATTCGCTATTTTAGCATAGTCTACGTCCTCTTACCACTTAAGACATGATCCAATACCTTACTACCAAGCTACGTACCTACTCCTCATCTTCTTAAGATCACAGCGGAATCATGTATACAATCCTTGAGTTACATCCTTGAGTTACAGTAGAGATCAGACCATTTAATCAAATATCAGCCTACCTGACAGGCAGAAGAATAGTTTGTATTAAAACCTGGTAGCCTGACAATTACCTCTCAAAGCCTTGTACAATTGTACAGTATATCCAATATGACGGAGCTTGGCCGGCATCTCAACCAAACAAAAAGCAAAGTGGATTCTCCCGCGTGGGGAAAGCTTCCAAGGTTCCGGGCGACCCGTAAAGAAACAAAATCTCACACCTCACCACCCTCCCGTCTCAGAGATTCCCATCCCTGAGCTTCCGGATCAGTCTCATCCTTATTCAATCCTTCCACTTCCTACTACTCCTCCACTACTCGACCTTGTGTGCCTTGTCTATTCCTACCGTCCAGCTGTGTTCCAGGAGACTCCACCCTGAACAAAGTACGCGACGCGCCATCTTATCATTCTGCCTTATCGCCCTCGGGTCGAATTTTCTCCTTAAAGCCACCCCCCCTATCCTTAACTCTCTTAGCTTTCAACTAAGCTAAGCCCACGATCATTGTATCCCTCTGGCCCAGATTCGGTTCGCTTCTCCTGCCTCTATCGCTTTCCTTATCATCCTTATCTCTCGCAAAGACCACCGACTGTGCTGTGCCCTCGACCGACGGCTGTCACCCTGTCGTGTCATCCTTCGCAACCCAATCAACACAATCAACAATCCATCCCCTCTACCATCCACAATGAGTGCTCGCACACGACGACAAAAGGCCGCCTTGGGCGTACCTGCTGATGATAGCGAGGATTTGTCTACCGGCAATGGCAGTGCGACCCCATCCAAATCCACCAAGCGCACGCCTTCCAAGAAGAGATCACGATCAGCTCTTAGGGAAGAGGAGCCCCAGGAAAACATCTTCCTCTTCGCCCCGAATCTTATCGGTATGATGTCTCCTTGCGCATCTCCAGCGCTGTACGTCCTGCGCTCGGCCATTATTGACATATTGACGCTTTCTTGCAGGGTATTTCCGAGTCGTCCTCGCTTTCGCATCCCTTTACTACATGCCCCTCCACCCTCGGACGTGCTCTCTTCTTTACAGTGTGTCATGTCTGCTTGACGCATTGGATGGATATGCGGCGCGTTATTTTAACCAGTCGACCACCTTCGGTGCCGTGTTGGACATGGTGACGGATCGCTGCACAACCTCTTGCTTGATCGTCTTCCTCAGCTCCGCCTGGCCCCGATGGGCTATCATCTTCCAGGGTCTGATCTGCCTGGACTTGGCTAGTCACTACATGCACATGTATGCCACCCTGAGCATGGGTGGTTCTGACCAGAGCCACAAGAAGGTCGACTCCAGCCGCAGCTGGGTCCTCTACCAGTACTACCACAGCAGGGTAAGGCGTTCCTCCACTGACTATCCCTGAGTGCATGCTCGATACTAATTTTGACTATTCTTTAGGTCGTTCTGTTCATTTGCTGCGCTCTCAATGAGCTGTTCTTCATCGGCCTCTACTTGCTCTCCTTCTCCTCGCCGATCCTCTCGCCCTCCCTTCTCCAGCCTGTTGGCGACGTGGGCCAGCCTTCCTCGGTGCAGCCTGGAAACCCCGCCAACCCCGTGCCCAGCAGCCTCTTCGCTAGCCCGTGGAGTGCTGGTGCCCTCGAGATGGCCCGTGCCAACAAGATCGATAGCTTCTGGCCATGGGTCATCACTGGCATCTCTGCGCCAGTCATGCTGTTCAAGCAGTTTGTCAATATTGTCCAGCTGGTCAATGCCAGCCGCTGGCTCGCAGAGGGCGACCGCCAAACCCGCCGTGCCAACCGCAAGAAGTAATCCGCTGTAGATGTTACTGGAAGTGCGTCGCAGATCACTTCATCTCGCCGGCTTGCGGCCGGCTGGGAGATTCTTCCTTTTCGTCTTTTGCCCGACTTATCCTCGGGTCCTGCATGTCTTTGGAGCTTCGGTCGGTCTGTGGTTTTTATTCAGGGTCTTGCGGGTTGATCAGCGTGAGAAGCTGTCATCTCGATCCTGTCGGAGTGTTTGATTTGGCGGTTCGAGCCCTACTTTGTGGTCAGCGTTTTGGGTAGGATAGGGAAAGGGTCCCTCCTTGGAACGGTCTGAATATCGAGGGACCGTGTATAGTGCACACAGGGTTGTGTCTTCATGCTCTGTTCATTTCCTCTCTTTCTTCTTTCATGCCTGTCTCTTTGATCTTGTCGTTTCCCCATATTGTTCTTTTTCTTCCTGGTCTGACCATTTTTAATGTCACTGTTATACATCATTTAATGCATGTCCCCGAGTCTGAATCATCATGTGTCGTAGATAGGATCCATTATTCCTATAAAATCGAATGACTCAAAGCCAGCCATAGCGGGCCGCTCCAAGCCGCAAAACCCGCCATTCCATGCATATCAAACTTAAAAAAACAAACCGAGGCGATCCTTCAATTGTTAGTCAACTCACCTGGTTCGGAGGTGGGTTTGTTGTTGCATCGGCGGAAGCAAGTTCAAGTGGGTTCGCCGACTTGGCCGATCTCGGAGCTGGCGGGGTCGACTTCACCCGCAATCCCACCTTTTTTAAAGCTTTACTCCCCTGCTTCGATCCAATTGAGTCACCTCCAATTGACAAGTTTCTATTCCGTCTGTTCAATTAGCCCTCACAATGCCTTCCTTCAATGTTGTCGTCTTCGGTGGTGACCACTGTGGTCCCGAGGTATGTTTGCTTGAATGATCTCTCTCCCACCATTCCCCAGCTTCTCTGAGGTGTAGGAAGGGCGCGCGTGCGTTTTGAATCTATAGCTAACGCAATACGAAATAACAGGTTACCGCTGAGGCTATCAAGGTGAGAGAGATGATGGGCTGGTGCAATCGAGCTTGCGGCAGAGAGATTCTAATTTCCTTTCGTGACTAGATTCTCAAGGTGATCGAGAAGAAGCGCGATGTTACCTTCAACCTGCAGGACCATCTGCTCGGCGGTGTGAGTGCACAACAACCAGAGAATCTTCCATGGCTTGTCAATTAATCAAAAATTAGGCTTCCATCGATGCCACCGGCTCTCCCCTCACCGACGAGGCCCTGGAGGCCGCTAAGAGCGCCGACGCTGTCCTCCTGGGCGCCATTGGCGGACCGGTACGTCCGATACCTTCTTCCGAACAAGCAAAAGGAGTACAAAAGAGGAGACATATACTTACACAACCTTGTCCATCTCTAGAAATGGGGTACCGGCGCCGTCCGTCCCGAGCAGGGTATCCTGCGTCTGCGCAAGGAAATGGGTACATTCGGCAACCTGCGTCCCTGCAACTTCGCCGCTCCCTCGCTGGTCGAGAGCTCCCCCTCAAGGCCGACGTCTGCCGCGGCGTCGACTTCAACATCATCCGCGAGCTGACGGGTGGTATCTACTTCGGCGACCGCAAGGAGGACGATGGCTCCGGCTTCGCCATGGACACTGAGCCCTATTCGCGTGCCGAGATCGAGCGCATCATCCGTCTGGCCGCCCACCTGGCTCTGCAGCACAACCCCCCTCTCCCCGTGTGGAGCCTGGACAAGGCCAACGTCCTGGCTACTAGCCGTCTCTGGCGCAAGGTCGTCACGGAGGTTATGGAGAAGGAGTTCCCCCAGGTCCAGATCGGTCACCACCTGATTGACTCTGCTGCTATGCTTATGATTAAGGACCCCCGTAAGCTGAACGGTATCGTCGTTACTAGCAACTTGTTCGGTGATATCATCAGTGATGAGGCTAGTGTTATTCCTGGTTCGCTGGGTCTCCTGCCCAGTGCCAGTCTGAGCGGTATTCCCGATGGCAAGAGCCGTGTCAACGGTATCTACGAGCCTATTCACGGTATGCTTCCTCCCATTCCTATTGACCCGAAAATGAACAGGACTGACTCAACGTACCAGGCTCTGCCCCCGATATCGCCGGCAAGGGAATTGTCAACCCCGTCGCTGCTATCCTCTCCGTCGCCATGATGATGCAGTACTCCTTCGGCATGTTCGACGAGGCCCGCATCATCGAGAAGGCTGTCGAGAACGTCATCGAGGCTGGTGTCCGCACAGGCGACATTGGCGGCGAGGCCACTACCATTGAGGTTGGTAATGCCATCGCTGTCGAGCTCGAGAAGCTGCTCTAGAGAAAAAAGTGGCCAGTTGCGTCTCACTGGCAGACGTTTCTTATATGACATTTAATGACTGTAGAAACCAAAATTGAATACCCTTTCGGATCTGTTTCAACTGTTTTTATTCATCCAAGTGCCTTTTTTAGAGGTGATAACGCTATCACTTCGATGTAAGACCTATCGAGTAGGTAAAAAATGATAGTAAAAGTTTGCTGCGCAAGCCTACAATACAATGAATAGGGTATCTGAAAACCATAACAAACTCCACAAAACAGTGTAAACCAACGCCGTCCCAAATGCTATACCGATACCTTCGCAATTCCCCCCCATCTCACCGAATCACCGGCTCACCCATCCAATCCGGCTCATCCAGCCCAGAAGTCGAAATCAACCTGCCAGTATCAATATCCTCACTACCCGTCCGACCATGCAATGAATCGATCCCTCCACGAACCGACTGTCTAGCACTATGTCGTCTGTGCCGACCATCAGCCGACGCAGACGGCGCAGCCGCAACCCGACGACGAGTGTCATCGCATGCGAAAACCTGGAAACCGCGGACATGCGTATCTTTGCCGTTCTGGTGGTTCTCCATGATGCGCATCTGGATCACCATGGCTTTGAGGACGTTCCCCGCATAGGGATCGTCGGGGGCCTCTGCGATATCACCCTCCTCAACCTGAATGTCATCGTCAATGGCCGAATCGCCATCTTCTTCCCTTTCGGCGTTTTGTCGCGTTTGTCGGCGGGCGCTTTTAGATCGACGCTTGTGCCGGACCATATCCTCGCGTACCCAACCTCCGTTGCGTCCTCCGACGCCTTGGAGGGGTACATCGACCCAGCCACACGGAGTGTCGCCTTCCCAGGTTGCAAACTCGACGAGGTCATTGCCCCCCATGCCGGCGAGGAAGATCATTTTAGTGGGTGTGTAGCTCTCGTCCAGGTCGAAGTCGAGGTAAACGCGGATGCGGACGACGGCAACCAATTTGAAGAAGTGGAGTGTTAATGTATGTGGCTGCGGTCCGTCTGATTGCCAGTATTGTGTGGGGGAATGGTGTCGTAGAGCTGCGACGCCGCAACCGGGTTTGGAGGTGGACACGGTCCATGAAGCGAGGGATGAGATTTCGCGGAGATTAGGGGGAGAGGTGATGGGGATCGGTCTGTATAGAGTGTTAGTCAACGTCCATGTGTGGTGGCAACAGTCTGGCTATCGTGAAGAGGAACGGGTAGTGGTTATTACCTCGATCCTGCATTTCCTCGTCACCGTCTTCGTCACCGTTCTCGTCCTCCTCTCCTTCTTCCTCCTCCTCCTCATCGAATTGATCCTCGAGTATATCATCGGCCTCTTGCCCATCAATCCCTTCCTCAAGATCAAACTGGTCCTCAGGACCCATTCCATCATCATATTCAATCCCCTCCTCATCCTGCGCATTCGGATCGTAGTCATCGTCAAGCTCCTCCTCTTCCTCCACAGTCTCAGGGGGCTGTTGCTCATGGCGCGGTCGCCTGAAGATAGAGAAAGGATTCGTTTGCGACCCCGGATGAGCCATGACCGGCACTGGTGCCAGATCTGGAGTCACTTCCTGCGGGCCTGTGGACGGTGGGTGTCGGTGGGTAGGGTTTGACGGGGTATGTCGCGACGGCGGGGTCTGGAATTGGGTGCGCAGACTGCCGGGCCCGCTGGGGCCTTGATCCCGGTGGTCGTGGGGATTTGGCTGTCGTCGCAGGTGTGGCATGGTAGGAAGACGTGGGGTCGTCGAGCGCAGGCTGTGAATTTCCATGTTTACTTCGGCGCGGGGAGCTCGGTTTCCTTTTCCGGTTAGCGCCATATTGGAGTCTCTACGAAGTATGAGAATTGAGTTACAAGACAAACCATTCTGGAAACATGAATAAAACGCAATATTGAGCTATTAAATGAAATGAATTCCCGTTAGATAACAGGATTGTTTTAGTGATTCGTTGACCAAATCTGCTGCCAATTGATTTTATCTTAAGATCTATGTTCACGGATTTAAAGATTGCTTGTCCAAGAATATGTGAACCAGGGCGATGTTGTTTCATCTGGTAATCTAGGTGACGGTAAAACTGTCGCCTCGGGAAGTGATCGGCTCGCGGAGTTTAGGGTGAGTTATTCGCCCCGCGGCCCTAAGCGGCTCACGAAGCAACCTGATCGCTCGCCCCAATGCTTAGGCTAATCGGCCTACTTGATCTCATCTTGCCTTACTACTCTCTAAGGTACTCCGAGAATAATCGTACTTCTACCTACTTCCAGTGTTCCTAGGAGCGAAGGCCGGGATATAGAGACACTATTAACTTTGCTTTTTGCTCTAGCAGCTAGGACACACTATCCATTACACTACGAAGCAACAAATTTCCGAACCGAAACCAGGCCCTGGTGTCGACCGCAACGCCGTCAATTAAGTCGGCGTTAGGAACATCATTACAGCGTTGTAGTATTATGCTCTCAATGTTTTGCGCAGATGTAATCTGCTCTCGTAGGCGTTGAATCACAGACGGGCTACTTCTGACGTTGTCAACAGCAGCTCCGACATAAACGCCTACCATAGTCACAAAGATACTGATAGTATCGTAACTGGCCGTGACTGAAATGTGAGTTTGGATGTGCTGGAGGATGATGTCAATCTGGATACCACTACCAGGTATGGAACCAGCGGTTGAAGTCATATCGAAATCGACTGAAACGGTCTGTTGCCCGGCTGCAATACACATAGAGGCAGTAGACCTGTCATGGAACCGCCTGTGGGAGATAGCGTGATGACTATGACGACCATGGTTGCCACGTGCAGACTGCTGGTGGCCATTGGAAAGAAGTCAAGGTGCTGACACTACCGTTGCCATTCCCCAATGCTGGAGTGCAAACGAAAAATCTGGTAACATCATTGGATGATTTGAGATCTGCATGTGAAAAAAAATTCAAAAGCATAGGCTTCGGGCAAAAATCGAGACGACTCGTCGATGTATTAGTAGCTCGTAGCTGGGATCGAACCAGTTCTTGGCTAGTACGTTTAGTCTATGCGAGCGCCCAGTACTAGTGATCGTATGGAGTAATTAACGGTTTTTGGCTAGAGTGCTGGTGATCGACAGGGATGGGTGAAACGGTGTCTTGCTCAGAATGGTTCAGGGTAGTAATTTACGAAGATATTGTCTAAGTGGGTGCCTATGGTTCATATGATGGACTTCCTATCTCTGAAGGAGGAGAGATGGATTTGAGTGATCACGAAGGGGTTTCCAGGTCCCTGGCGTGAAAATCGTGGAGACTGAATTGAGGTTTCGGACCCTTTGGTGAAGTATGGGGCTCGCTAAGTCGTCTTTGCCTTGACTGTATCTTAGTATGCTAGCAAAATATGCTAGCAAAGTTGTCAGCTGGTAGGTTACAGTGAAGTATTGTCGTTGCTTTCTAGAGCTTATGAGACTTTTTAGTATAAGGAGATGAGATCAAAATTAGCAGATTTTCCACGGTATCCATTCTACCCACACTCACACATGTATCGCTCAAGCATATATGTGATGAGCGCTACTCTGAAGGGAACAATGATATATTCGTCCTTGGCCTAATGTGTCCGCGCCATACTTTTGTCTCCCATTTTTGAATATAAACTTCAAGATGTATCAAATTCGAGATAGGTTTATTCCCAGCTGGGTGGATTGAATGTGATAGTAGTCGGTCTCAGGGCATCGGATTAGCGCAACCCCGAACTGCATGTCGAGAGTTCTAGCGAGGAACGCGGCGTCCTTGAAGGGACATCGAGACGACTTTTTAAAAAATTGCATACGTATGCTATGTAGTAGGTTATAGCTTTCTGTCTTCAGTTCAAATATTCTGCTCAAAGGAAACCTTCTTACGTTGAATACTGGGTGCCATTAAAAAACTAACGTCACGTTGTGAGGCTCAATTGTACTGTGCAAGCTCAAGACAAGAATTGAGAGCAAAACAAAAGCTTCAGAGAAGCAGAAACAATATCCAGGCCCACAATCCAGGTCAATGTCCTTAAAGCTCGGAGCAAAGTTTCACTTAACTTTGCGTCTGCTCTTTGAGGGTGTGAGCTGAAGATCCTCAATTCTCGAGCACAAGTCCTCGGGATCCACCTCCACCTCCTCAATTCTCGGGCTTTTCGCAATTGATGCGGGAGCATTCAAGTCCAGGGATCGCACAGGTGTGATCTGAGTTTCCTGGCTATCTTCCTTGTTCGTTGAAGATGGGTCTAAAATAACTCGACGGTGGGGTGGTCGCTTGCAGTCGAGGTATTTTTTCAAAGCAGGGCGGGGGAGCCTCGACTTAGCTTCATCTCGCAATAAACCCGACTTGTCGTATGCGGGAAGTTCGACGAAGTTAACCCATTTCTCCAAACTTTTCAGTAGAGTTTTCTTGTCAATGCCAAGCAGCTCTTCGTGACAGCGCTTGCATTTCTGACAGCCAATCTCAAGTTTGTAGTGCTTGTTGGAGAACTCTTCCAGTAGTAGCCGTTCCACACGATAAGCACACTTGGTATACTTAGTCGTGATGATTTCAACCTCGCCGTAACATTCCTTGTGTTCGTGCAAACGACGTTCTTTGGGATGTTCAAAGGTATATCCAACTTTGAATTTTCCAGGAAGGTTAGGAGGGCATATAACGTAGACCCAACCGGCTTGTCCGGCCTTGCCCTCGAGAGGTTGCTTCAAACGCCACGTTACACCTTTGGCCACTTCGTCTTCTCGCATGGTCAATACGCGGCGCATAGTCCCAGGTGACTCTGATGATTGACTCGAAAGGACCGTGATCCCCTCTTCCTTGTCGGATACCATTTCTTCTTTGTCTGGCTCCCTTTCCGCCAAGTCGTATCCATGCACTGCTTTCTCAAGCTCGTCTGCGTTCCCTTCCCTTTCCTCAGTGCGCTTATCACTGCTATCAAGCCCGTGGTATCCCTCCGGTTTAAAACTTCTAGAACTTCCCTTTGCATTGAGATCTTCCAGCCACTGTTCCTCGGCTTTGGAGGCATGCTTGTAGTGCATTGTGCAAACGTAGATTTCGGCGAGAGCCTGCACTACCTTGAACTGGGGCGATCCTTTGGTGTATCCACCTGAAGGTCCAGTGATGAGTTCAAGATGGCTCGCAAACTCTAATCTGGCACGATTGGAACTCTTCTGGCTCATCACGCGCTCACATCGGCGTCCACTCCTTACAAAGTAGGCGCATTTGATAGAAGGAATGTCATCAGGGGCCCAATCAAGCAATTTTGCCAAAGAGCAAAAGAGTGGGTCGGATGAATTCATTCTCAGGGACTGCCTTCCGCAAGGACAGTGTTTCTCTCTCTCTTTCTCTCTCTCTCAGGCTGAATTGGACAAGCTAAATTTGCTTTGAATAGCGAATCCTCTCAAGGCGTACTGAAGCAAGTCAGCAGTTTGTCGGGTAGAAGGGATTGCGATAACCTTTCAGTTCCCTGGCATAGCTTGGGGGTGGGGGGTTTAAATCCATGCCCCCGACCATGACCTTTCGATCGCTTTGAATTCGGAGCACAGCCCCCCTCACCAGACTACGCCGCCTCATGCGCGTTATAATGTATAATGAGGGGCGGGGTGGTCCGCGTGAACACCTTTGCACGTTTAGGACAGGGAATATCAAGTCATGTTACAAATAGTGCCATCCGCATGTGGCAGGTGGCTTAGAAAAGTGGGAATCGCGAGATTGCGAGATCTGTGGTTCGTGGATCAAAGGCTCACTATGATAGCGCTTGTGGGGAAAGGGGGTGATAGGGGAAGACGCATGCATGGTCGTCTCGCGCCTAGACATGGGTTCTCAGCCTCTATAGCAAAGGTACGTTTCACGTATTTCGGGGGCCAAGCCACGCGGAAAGGTTCCATTTCTCCGACGTCTGTACGGAGTAGAGGTGACGAGATTACGCACGACTCGAGTATTATCCTGTAGCCGGTTTAGAGGATACTGATTCCCCGCCAGGATCGGGCTCGGGGTTGCCGCTACTGAAGTCAACGGAGACTTCACGGTGCTGTATGCTAAATTTGCGAGGGAACAGCAACAGCCTCACAGGCTTGCAGTGGCTTCATGTGCAATCTCGTGAAAGAATTTTCCTCTTAGGCTCCGACATCTACTCAGCTGTTTGTCTGAAATCAATTTTTCGACGAGTCCATGTAGACAACAAAGGAAGCACGTCTGATGAGTGTTTTTGGATTGAGTTGGCGATGAGGGACCTTTCTTAGATTCGGTTGTGTCATAGTGATAGCGTGTATACGGAATGAATTCGCTTGAGAGAATGTCATCTAGCTAAGCAGGCCGGCGAAGAAACTTCGTCTCGCGGGCTCTGAACCTTCTGATTAAACTCAATAATTCGATCAGTAGCCTCTATCATGGTGTCCAGCTATTGCTTAGCTTCAGGCCTCGTCATTCTTATCACTTCGCGGATTCTAGGTGTGGCTAGTTAAACTCATGACAATCTGCGAACACTGCTACGTCTGGGCAACGGTTCCTATTGGAATCCTATACGTAGACGGAAAATTACCACAGCTGGGACCAATAACCAAGCCGGGGCTTGCTATTGCTTTCTCCCTATGCGATCGTCAAAGGCAGTCGTGAAGAGCACGGGCCCACCTACTGGCTTTTCATGTAGCGTAGATGCTGCTGGTCTATCACTGTACGTGCTCTACTTCTAATATCTAGAATATAGCGAGAATTTCCAATCTCTCCGCTGTAGGATACCACAGAGCCCCAATATAAACCGAGTTGCTTCAAAGTGTAAACCAAGAGCGTGAATTTTGTCTGGATGAGGAATTTGTAGCCAGGAGCTGGACGTAAGATAACTGTTCGGAAATGTCTCTTGTAGCTGTATCATCGAGACCTTTACTTGATCAACTCATATCGTACTAAGGAATCACTAACCTTACAATGCGCCGCTAATCATTGTATGACCTGATCATTGAACAGAATATTCCGGTTGTCATTCGTATTTCAATTGTCCACGGGTAAAAATCCATGTGACCAACGACAAAAATTCAAGTCTAGTGGAAAGCAACTCGTAAATAGCCAGAAACTTCTAGGAGGCGCTCATGATGACAATGATAACTTTGTTTCAGCGAAGGATCTCGAAATGAGAATGTATAGAGAGTAGGGTTTACGCGCTGAATGCGAGAAAATGTGAGAGGAAACCCGAGTGAAGGAAAGGATCAAGGAAGTGAGAAGAAGCCGCAGAAAGGGTGAGATGTTGTTAATAACCAGAAACAATTATTGTTAAAGACCTCAAGTCTCCAATATCTTGTATGTACATAACCATACTAACGTAGACATCTTGTTGTGTAAAAGCAGTTGTAGATGCGCTGTACAGATAGGTATGGACTAGATTTGTGTAGAAGGAATTGTTGATAGAAGAGATATGATACAACCAGAAAATATTGAAGTCATCTGCGTGGTATGTAATATAAGCTTTAGTCAACGAAGCTACTACCGAGCAGAGCGTTTGCTTCAGCGGTATATTCCAGTTCTACAATAAAATGAAGAGTGCCACGCAGGTAAGTACCCTACTAGACCTGTAGGTGAGATGATACAGGAGAACAGAGAAAGGTACAGAATTCTTGATACTATGTAGATATCTCTGACCTTTGTCTTTTGTATATAGTTACACCGGTAACTCCCTTGATGAAATGGGATGCGATGGAAGTTCAGGCAAAATTTGCCGCTTCATGTTTCCCATGCACTTCAAATATTTTCTGGGCAGGACTGCTTCCTTCAAGTTCCATCTCCATTGGGCCGGCACTTCGTAAATTGGGGGGCTCTTCAGGGACTGGTTTACTCTTTGTCCTTCGATAGAAGATAAAAAGCCCTGCTGCTCCAATAATCCCGGCAACAGAGCAACCGATCCCGATTCCTACTTTCGCATCTCTGCTTAGATCACCACCGTTATTCCTATTGGTGTTTGGGGTGATCGGGATTTCAGTCGCAGTTAAAGTTGTAGTAGCTTCCGAGCTCGAAGGGCTATTTGCTACATGCATCAGAGAGCTGGCTCCTGTACTGGTGGACTCTGTTGTTGTAGGCAGGATTGCGCTACTCGTGAAGGTAGTCGGCTGAACGGGAGAAGTGGTGATACTCGGTGTATTGTTGGCATATGGTGAATGCTCGGAAAGGGGTTAGGTCAAAGTACCCAGACTCATAATCTCTATCGCCGTAGACGATCCGAAGAAAATAGGACTCGGCGAGACTAAAAGTGGTTTCGATTGTGAATTAACCTAGCGTGATATTGAGGTTTTCGTCGGTATGTTTCACAATTTCTTCCATATGGGAGGCTTCCACATATTGAATCAAGAGAGGGAGTAATCTCGAGTCAGAAGAGTTGTAAGTCCAGGTGGTGGCAAGGCCGTTGTAAACATTCACAAAATCACCAGTTTGAGAGTAGGTGATTCGCAATGCTGATGAAAAGCTCAAGTCAGAAACGCGTGTGGGTAAAGAGCTTCTAATATTTATCCAATACTCTTACCATTGCTTTGAAAGACATTCAATGCGATTGCAAGTAGTACAATTGAATTCAACATGTGGGTGTGTAAAAGAGGGGTCTGTCTATCGTGTTTTCTTCGCCTGGCGCAGATGAAAATAGTAAGGGGAAACAGGTTGAACCACCCTCACAAAGCCCTATAATTCTTTAATTTCTCCCTCTTTTTTGTCTGCTTTCTATTCCGCTCCCGTAAACGCTTGATTTCATCCCGCATTAAGATATGCTCATGAACTAGCTTAACCGACATATTGTAAAACTATGAAGATCACGTTTTGTGGGCGAAGAGATCTTATCAGTAGCTGAACTTAGACCAGAATTGAGCCTAGATTGCGTTTTTCTAGCTGCCTAGTCGTCTGAGATATACCAGTAGAGATATTGCTGCCTGATATTGAACCTTGTGAAACTGGTCGATCCGGTAGAGGCGGAGATTGAAGGCGAACATTAAGCTTTAATAGTACCCGATCGGGGTCTGATGGCACTAAACCAGTAGCTGCGAAGGCACTTTGAACGATAGGCTCTTTGAATGAATCGTTACGAGCCGCTGGAAAGATATCAAGGAAGTCATCTTTCTCGATAGAATCGATGCCTAACCGAGTGTATTTCGCAACCCGCGTTCATAAGAGCACTTTAACACAGCAAAACAACCAACATCAAGAGGCTGTAAAAGATGAGAGGTATGCGGAGGCGTACATATTGGTATAATGTTGTTTTCCTGGCAAATCTTATCGAATGTCGCTCTAAGATGACTATCGTGGCCATCAAGGACTAAAAGACAATGTTTCCCTTTCATCTGACTTTTCACATGCGGAATGAAGTGTTTTTGGAGCCAATCAACGCAATTTCATTACTCGTCCAGCCGTTTGGACTAACGTTAAGAGCCCAATGTTTTGGAAGGTCGTCAAACCATCGTACCATAAAGTTTTTGCTTTTGAAGATAACGTATGGTGGGAGTGCTCGCCCGGAGGCGCAAATAGTTTCAATAATAGTCACCCATTCACGATTGCCAGCTTGTAAAACACCCCTCCGACCGGTATAAAATGACTGTGTAATAACCTTCGTCGTTGCACTCTCCCATCGCAAACCCCGTTCGTCAAAGTTGTAGATATCAGCCGAAGTAATACCATATTGAGCAATCGTTTTTTCAACAAGTTTAAACCCCTCAGTAATGGTATTTGGGTGTTCCATTAAGGCGCATTTATAGTCATATCTGCGAGAGAATCGACTAGAAAGCTCGGGATGTCGTTTAATGCATTGTGTTGGCCAATTCTTGCTAACGGTCTGGGGGGTATGATCTCCACGGTTTTTGAGTAGTAAATTATACATCTTGATTTACCTAGGTAGTCCCGGAACCCTGGTTGAGTAAATTCACGAACCCCGTCCCAAAATACGCATCATCCTAGCCACCATTTCCAGAAGAAATCGGGAACAGAACAGGAACCAATTTCTCATGGTCCTGAAGAATCGGCCCAAGCTTAGGCAAAGCTGGTGCCAATCAAAAAGCTCACATCATTGTTGAAGGAATTCGGGTTATCGAAGGTGAGAACACCACCATTGCTAGCAATGTACAGAACATTGTCATAGTGGCGGAAGAAGCGGGTGGGGTAGCTCCAGGACCGAATGCTGTTACCCTGGCCATTGAGACCACTCTGCGGGCAGAACGTGGAATCCTCGAGGAACGACTTCACTCTGTTGTTCGGGGCAATAATGAGACCAAAGTTGCTGTGTTGAATGAAGTTACCAGGAGTATCTTTGGATTCGAACGAGAAGCAATCGCTATTGGCAAAGCCGGGATGAACGATCCAGCTAGCCTGCTGCTTTAGCGCTGTTGGGCTGGACGACGAAACGACCTGGGTATTGACGGTGGTGCCGGTGTGCGCGATGAAGCGTGTGGTGTACCCGGGGGTAGTGACCTGCATCGAGATAGAAGAACCGACAGTGAGCGCCGGGCCGCTTGTCAGCGACGTGACAGCGTATCCGGCGGCTACGATGTTGGCCTGCACGGCGTTCTCTGTGGCATCGCTAGGATAACCAGTGGTCATCACACCTTCGTAGAAAGTGCCCTGGGCACCATTGCTGTTGTCGCCTCCGATACCAAGAATAATCGAACCCTCCTTGCTCATGGGGTTATAGCCCCACACAGTTGGGCGAATGCCGCTGTAGAATGTCGACAGAGGGCCGGACGCAGAATTGCCACCACGGATTGCCCACTGGTTCGGTTCACCTTTGACTGCGGCAGTGACAAACCGCTCGGTGATTGAGGGGTTGGCGGGGTTGTTCCCAGGGCTCTGGCCGGAGAAGAGACCGTTCTCGAGATCGGCCATGACCCAGGGACCGTTGCCAGTGCCAAAGCCCCCGAACTGTGTGTTGTTACCAAAGTAGATGGCTTCCATGTGGCCGTTTCCGGTATCGGTACTGCTGACCTCGGCGTTGCCGTAGTCAAAGCAACATCCATCGTTGTAGTGAGTGCCGTCAAGGACAGCGTACATGCCCTCGGCAGCGTCACCTAGCGCGGTACCGCTGGCGGCATTGTTTCTGTAGCCGGTGCCGGGAGACATGAAAACACCGTACGCTTTCTGGCCGTTCAGCGTGACCGGTGCGCCAATCGCGCTGGCCAGGTTATCAGCGCCATTGACATCCGGTCCCTTCCAATAACCGGCCTGGGCTTGGGTGAGGTGATTTCCATGGCCAGACTGATCATAGATGATCGAGATCAGGCAGGTCGTGCCGGTACAGAACCTATCTTGGGCGGCAGCATTTGCAACACCACCGGCGGACAGCGGTGAGATGTTGGCGCTGGCACCATCGGAGCCACGCGTCACCTGATAGAGGGAGCCGGTGTAGGCATCAAACAGGGCACGAGTGGTGCTGTGTGCGGCGACGCAGGGCGTGTTGCCGGAGGAGTAGATGTCGCAGGGTCCGGCGGCGACAAGGGAGCTCCAGGCAGTAAGCCCTAAGGCAACTACTGCAGCGCGTTCGATACTGGGTCGTGAATGCATGTTTGTTTAGTTCTGATGAGAGAGTGAATGTCTTGTCCATCTACTTAACTCCATCTACTTATACTCTTCTTCTCGTCACGAATGGCCGGTGTTAGATTAATAGTGGCATGCGCTACCAAAGCGTGAGAATTTTCCTCCTATAATTCCAGATGGAGTGCATCCTGTCCTCTTGACAATACGAGCGAGGGTTGCCCCTGAAAGTCTCAAAAATGGTTCGGTTAATTATAGTCGTCAGTCGTCGTTGCCGGGCTATTGAAATTTAAACCAATTAGGTTTCAGCCGAAACCTGTCTTGCCATTTCTATTGGTGAGATCATGTCACATCCATTCCGGGGTTATTTACGTGAGTGGAATGTCCCCCGCACAATTGTATCGCTGTGGCGTTGTGCAAGGCTTAATCCGACACAAGCGTGGCTGCAGGATTTGTGCCACCGGGGATTTTCCTATTCTCCTCGAGAGTTAGCCTACGGCAGCCCCCAGGGATCAAAGGCTCAAAACCAATTCTGTCTATATGGAAGCCTTCACCGCATAATCTACCGCCTTTTCTTACCTCATTAAATATTAACGATTGTCGGAACGTGGTCGTTACAGTACGGACTAGAACGAGCATAGCAATTGAGTACTTAAGAGTGTTTTTTATAGGGTCAGGTTAATGGCACTACATGAACGTTACTCGCACTACATACTAAACCTTTTGGGTTAGTACCCGCCTTGGCAACTTTTCACCACCAAAAAGGTACATCCGACACCTAAAAAAACAACTACGGTCTACCAAGGCTTCTGTCTAGATATTTCTATGAATAATAAGCCCTTTTTTGCGGTCGCTCTTAGGGTCAGTATTTACTTCGAGCACGTCACTATATGTTTACCTATTATTCGATAATTATTATGGCTATTTATCATAAGAACCAGAGGAATATGACTACACATAAAGAGTGATATTTCTGTAGGTCTTAAATGTACCTTTTGGTGGTGGGGCGGACGTTAACCGAAAAGGGCCTAGTTTGTAGTGCGAGTAACGTTCATGTAGTGCCATTAACCTCACCCTTTTTATATACCATAGGAAGTGCAGAATAAATAGAGGATAAGCTTAGTAAGGTCGTTGAGAGCCTTACGATCATCAGGCAGGGGGGGCCTAGTGTGTTGAACATGGACCGGCGGTGCTTGGATAAATAGGCCCGAAATTTTCCCGAAGAAAGTCAAAGAGATAAAGTCAAAGAGATGGTCTCTCATGCATTACCCCACAGGAACAATTCAGCGAAAGTTCGGGGCCGAACGTTGGGCAACTTTAGGCGGGATGATTGAATTCTGAAGGATTGCATTCTGAATTCCCCGGATAAAGCATAAACTTGATCGAATTTGGCTAATTGTAGCTTTACGTACAAATGGAGCGAGTTATTGCTGAGACGGCGGACTTTTAAAACCAGTTCTTCCCCTTGTGTATGGAGGCTCTCAAGAACCTTTCTGCAATCCTGACTTGGCGACTAGGGCGACTAGCTTCCAATATCATGTTGTTCCGCAAGGCTTGTGCCCTTCTGGGGCTTGGCCTGCTCGCCCAAGCTCAAACCTTCAACAATCCGATCATTTATGAAGATTTCCCTGACAATGATATCTTCCTCGGCCCTGATGGAAAGACCTTCTATTGGTCAAGCTCCAACTTTCATTACTCCCCCGGTGCTCCAATCCTCGAGTCTACCGACCTTGTCAATTGGCAGGTGATCGGTCATTCGGTGTCGAGCATCTCCGACTTTGGATCCGATTATAGCATGCAAAACGGTAAAACCGCCTATAATCGCGGGACCTGGGCTTCCACTTTACGCCATCGCAAGAGCAACGGAGAGTGGTATTGGATTGGCTGCATTGACTTTTGGACAACTCATGTCTACACGGCCCCAGATATCACTGGACCTTGGAGCCAGTCATCAAGCTTCCAGCCCTGCTTTTACGATTGTGGTCTCTTGATTGATGATGACGATACTATGTATGTGGCCTATGGAAGCAACAACGTCTCTGTTGCTCAACTTGCTGCGGACGGGTTGAGTGTGGCCAAGACGCAAGTGGTATTCAGCTATCCATCTCCGTGCACAGCGATTGAAGGCAATCGTATGTATAAGATTAATGGATTGTACTACATTCTTGATGATTGCCCTGGGGAAGGAATTACCGTGATCTGGAAGTCCTCCAGCCCCTGGGGCCCATACACACACAAGATACTCAGCAACGCAACTGCATCTCCAGTTCCTGGAACTGGCACAGCGCAACAGGGCAGTCTTATCGAGGCTCCTAATGGGAATTGGTACTTTATGTCTTTTGCTTGGGCCTATCCTCTTGGACGACTACCTATTCTCGCCCCCGTGACCTGGGGGTCAGATGGCTTCCCTGTGCTTCAAACGGTGAACGGTGCTTGGGGTGAATCTTATCCGTTGCCTCTTCCGGAGAGCAGTGTGACATCATGGATTGGCGGAGACCAATTCTGGGGCATTGATCCGGCGTGGGAGTGGAATCACGCTCCTGACACGACTAAATTTTCACTTGCCGAACCTGGACTTATCCTCCAAACAGCCACTGTGACCAATGACCTGTACCACGCGAGAAATACTTTGACTCGCCGACCGAATCAAGCGTTCCCGGTCGGAACACTTCAACTTGACTTCACCAACATGGCAGACGGCGATCAGTGTGGTCTTGCTCTTTTCAGGGACAGCAGCGCATGGATTGGAGTTGTTCGCAATGGCAATAGCTATACTGTGACTGCCGTTCAAGGGCTCACCCAGGATGCTGGTAACAGCTATGCAACAACCAGCACAGGAACTGTTGTTGGAACTGCGCCCATTTCTGCGCGCACAGTCTACCTCCAGGTTCGATTCGATTCACGTACGGTCGGTTCCAACCAAGCGACATTCTATTACAGCACGGATGGGAACAACTTTTCTCAACTCGGTGGCGCGTTCACTCTCGATAATACCTATTACTACTTCATGGGATACAGATATGGTATCTTCAACTTTGCTACAAAGGCTTTGGGTGGTTCTGTCAAGGTTGACGGCTTCGTCAGCTGGTCCAATTGAGACAAACAGCTGTGGTCAGTGAGTGTCGAGCAGATGCAAAGGATTGTTACTCGAGATCGTTACTCGAGATCAGTGTTGAGCCATGACCGCTGTGGCTAGTTAGATTTACTCGATCTTTCCGTTCTTTTTTTCCTTTCATCAGTCTAGTCAATACAAATCTTTACGTGGACCTTTCTGGGTAAATGAATACAAGCGTAGTTCAGGTTACGGCACTTGGACGCCGAGCTCGGGAGTTGTAACACGCGAATCTTCGGACCACTCTTTCCTCGGCACAATAGTCGTTGTGACGGGGCATGTACAGTGACTACGCAATAATTTTAGGATCTTGTTAACGGCACGACAAGAAGGTTCACGGCACGACATACTAAACCACTTTCGGGTTAGCGCGGACCCACCACCAAAAGGTACACTCGACCTCTGCATAAACATACCAAGCTATTTATGTATACATATCTCTATACATAAGAAATTTGGAATGTTCCATATAGTGTCACCTAGACCTTAGCATTGTGCCTACGTAAGAGTCAGTAAATATCATATCCCTTGCTGCCACAACAATCACTACTCTATGGCAACGCTATTTCACCCCTCTCTATATACTGTTACGAACCTCAAAGAGGCGCGGGGGCCGCAGCTAGTTGAGGGGCAACCGAGAACCAATCATTCCCCGGACGCCAGGCACTAGCGTCATCACGTGCGTTTCGGTATACTTGGGCGTGCCTAGAGGAGCCCTAAGGCGGATACTCAGGACAGGAGCCAGAAACGGCCTGCGGCTAACCGTTACAACTAATACCTACTTACCTAACGGGACGGTTAGCGCGACGCAGGGAACGACTACCCTGCACGTGACCTAGGTGGTAGAAAGGTAGACGGGTATACGGGTAGAATATACTAAGGGTCATCTACCACTATACTATCTACTATCCTATCACACATACTATCGAGAGGGACTGGATATATAGGGACACTCATTCAGCATTATGTATTTAGTTCTTCGCGATCAATCTCACATTGTTACTTGGTTACTACCTTTAGTACTTTGCACTTCACAGTTCACCTTTAAGACAACCCAACCTGCAAGTAGGGGATTCACTCAGTGGTAACACTTAGTGATTGACTTACTTAGCGCGCACTTCTGGCACGTTCTGCAAGATACTCAACAGGACCCGAACCCGACGTAAGGCTTCGCATAGCAACGGTACGGTTGCGAGATACTCTTGGAATCCGCAGTTGGAATCATGCAAGTATAACCCGTGGACATTCTAACTCACAGTGACCAGTCGGCCACGCGTAACACTCGCCCTGTTCTTACCCACTCTCACCCGGTTCTCACCTCTATCACCCTAGTCTCCAAACTTCTCACCCATATCACCCACACTCACCCTAAGATCAAAACCAACGCCATTTTAGAGCTCAGGGCGCATTGAGAATTGGCCGCATACTATAATGGGCATATGTGCAGGCAGTAGTTGGGTGGGTGCCGCCTGGGTGAGAATTAGGTGAGCGCTGCTTTAGCGTCGCGCGACTAGGGGTGAGTAGGTGAGTGCACAATAGATGGGGTAAGAAGCAGGGTGAAAGCGGGGGATTCCTAACTTTCTGAATCCCCTTCCCGCCCCTTCTCGTTCATGCACCTCACCCATCTTTCTACTATTCCAGGGCTGCCTTTAAAACATACTTTCGAATGGGGGCGGAAGGCCACAGTCACATGACCACTCGGCATAGGCCAGTCGCTAGGCTTCCGCAACCCCAAAGTCGGGTCCGTCCTACGTCAGGCAGAGGAAGTATGAAGGGGGGACATAGACGGCGAAATGTGCCAGGCACCAGCAAGATCAGACACAAAGTGTTTGCGCTACAGGCATATTCGGGTCGAATCTAGTTGGGGGCCCAACTCGCTAACAACGTCATCACACTGGGGCCCCTTTCCCAGAAAAGCATCAGCATGCACTTTGCCACGCGACCCTTGTCAACGAAACGATGACGGGGACTTGGAGTGATAATAAATAATCCACTGGAAATGTTATTCCATCTCGATAATCCTCTGAAAACAAAGCTAGTCTATCAGCGAATCTAACTTCCGTCTGCCCATCGCCCGTCGCCCATCCCCCACAACGCAGAAATCATCATGGCGAACATGTTTCAAAGACTATTCAAAGAGCCACTACCTCCGCCAACTCACATCAATGTCACTGTTACGGCTTCGTCAAAAACACTTCACAAACACGGGTCTGCCACTCCGTTCACCCTCACTTTCGAGGCGACTCTGGAAGAGTCGCCTGATGGACCCAACGAGCCCCTCACTGTCCTCGCTTTTGACACACTCCTGGATCCGAGCGGTATTGCGCTTTATGAGGACGGGCTTCAGTTCATAGATAGCAATACGGGCGCGCAGGCGAAGCGTCCGGCCATGAACAGGCAATACGACTTTGGCGACAAGTCAAACATCCTCGTCAATCCCCAATTTGAGCGATATTTTGTCACCCTCAAACCCGGCGTGCCGATTCGGGTGACGCATACGATGAGGCCATGTCCCAGATTGCCATCGCAGAATGAGTACACTCCGGAGGAACAGTCAACGTCCAACAGGGAAGGCGAAGCAACTGGTGAAGATGAAGCCATAGTTGCTGCGGCCTTTTCACACGTGACGTACCTCGAAGTAGGGTCGACGTATCACGTCCAGCTTGGTGAAAAACTGAGCCGTATTGACTGGTATCGATATGGATCCAAGGATCAAGTCCTGAAAGAACAAATTACTGGAGACGGTCTTGTGAATAGCTTGGTAGGCTCGAAAGGACGTTCCGAGCGGGTTGGGGACAGTGAAGTACAGGCGGTCCCTCTTGTGATGCAGGGTTCTGCTAGCTTCAGGGTCGAGGAATAAGGCCTCCATATCACGCATAATTGCTCGTACTAGGTATTTTGTACGACCATCTTGATCATCTCCTATTTCTATGTTGAGTCGACTATGCACATAAAGATTGAACATTAGAACGTAATCAAGAAGTCACGTTTATATAACCCCTGGATCTCATTTACACCACGAACATTTCCGATAGTCCTTCAACTATCATCTGCGCTTTCAGGGTATTTCAGGCATACATTGCTCGCAGGGCATATAGTTTACTATCTGAGAACTGCATACTGACGATCAGTATCTAATTCTGTAGGTTCTATATTTTAATCATTTTTCGACCTGGGCCATTTTCAACCCTAAGGCTCTTTCACCCACTAGTGCCGCGGGCCTCAATGTGCCGTGATGGACTAGCCATTCTCTGAACAGACAAGGGCTGAGCGTCGCTCAGCCCTGAAGTGACATCATTAACGTAACGCTTCTTCTGATATACACTGACTTTGAAACTCTCGTCACTGCCACTTGAGGCAAGAAAAATGGTCTGTATGCGTCACGGCCCGCGGCACATCAACATCCCAGGCTGCGCGGATCGGGGGCCTTGTGGGAGCCTCGTTGCCTCTGAGGGCTGTTTGACAGTGATTTGTCGTTCGTTGAGCCCCCGGTCATGATCGTCGCGGGCGTATAGAGGCGGAGATATTCATTAGGATGACCCTTCAGAGTGAGCACATGCACTTATTGTGTCACATCAGTGATCAATAAAAATGATTTTAGTTGGCCCTCAACTCCGTCAGTTCAGGGCGACTCTTCAGCGTCATAACGACGAGGATCTCCAGGAAAGCCTTCTTTGGCTCTGGGGAACATTCCACTAGTACTTTCACCATGACGGCAATGGGGCCAGCGTCGGGGCGGCGGGACATACGCATGAGGCCTCCTTCCTCCAACACACAGGATCCAAAAGCTGGGATGTTGATTAGCTTACTATTATGACATGAATCAGGTGAATACTACATGGGGGCCCGTGGCTATGCCTCACCGGCATTGCGGGAAATGTTTCTCATGGATGGCAAGACTTGTTTCCAGCCCTGGAGGTTATGGACAGAAGCACGAGGTCATGGCTATTCAGAAATATAAAAGACTGGATTGCACTGATTCAACTGCATATCAACATGATCAACCAACAAGATCTTCTGTCTCACAAGAGTCCTAAACTCCAATCTATCCAACGTTCAATTTATTTCGGAAGTACAACCTCCAAGATGCGCAGTCTTTTGATCCTCGCTGGTTATATTACAGCCTCGCTTTTCGTTTCGGCGTTGGCTGTTCCTACCGAGTTTGTTGCTCCTTGCATTTTTCTTATAAGGACGTTATTCTAAAATCTTATCCTTAGTCCCCTGGGGCTTGAGACTAGAAACGACTTAGCCAAGCGCTCTCTACCTAGACTTGTGAATTTCGACAACAACAATGCGGATGATCGAAAGAAAAGCCTTAAGATTCGACAATCCTTCCGAGACAGCCTTGAGCTCATGGACTACGCTATCAAGAGCCTTGACGATACCGTCTTCAGCCACTACTTTGACAAAGGCGATAAAAGCAAGGTCCAAGATGTCTTCAAAAAAGCACTTGGAGGTAACCCTAGTAGGGGTGCAGATGAACTGGGAGACATGTATATCACAAATATTGATGTGAACAGCCAGTGTGGAGACGCTTCTCTGCTGGGTTATACTGGCAAAGATGGAAAGGGGAACCAGATCATTCATTTTTGCGACCGACTCTATAACAAGCCTCTTATCAAGGATGTCAAGTGTGGGGATTTGGAGGACACTGTTGGTGCTAACATGGCTGTGATGGGTGCCACACTGCTTCATGAATTCATGTAAGTCTGTTCGACCCCATTCTCACCAAAAAGATATTTCCAGGATAGAAATCTGACGATTACCAAGGCACGCGGATACAATTGGAAAAGCTGCGTAAGCTATAAGATGGCGTCCATGCCAGCACAAAGTCAATCAAATGAACTAATATTGCGACAGCCTAGGCCAAAGTATCATCGACGTCAAGAATGGCTATGGCCCTCTCGAGACCCGCAGTCTCAAGGCAAGCGATGCGTTAAAGAATGCAGATAGCTACACCTGGATGGCAACAGTATGTCTTTTTGTCTCTAGATCTCCTCGGTTCCATGTGAGTGATTGCTAATGCTTATTAGGAAAATCTATGGACCGTTATCTGCGAAAAGAAATTTTCTGGCCCGCGAGACGCGAGAGATACTGCTGATCCGGATTGCGGCGACAAGACTTGTACTGTGCAGTGAAGTCAGCCTGTATCGCCTTTCCAAGGCATTCGAACAACTTGTTTTGTAGGAACTAAATGGGTGATACTTTGTTCAGTTGTACCTTCCCTGTTTTATCGTTCTTTTTCGAGCACATTCTCTGGAATTATCTCTAGGGTGGCTGAATTGATGCCTGCTACATGCCTGGTGCTATAGATGGGACATCATATGAACTTTTCCATCATCTCTCAATTCCATTATAGGCTGAAGAATCTGCATTCAATAGTAGATTGGACGCCAGCTAATCAATGTCTACCGAGCCCCCGTATAGCGGCCAGAAGTATAATCCAAGAGTTTCCAGAGTATGGTGGATATCCATGGATGTGATGGGCCGGGCCGTCCGTGTGGCCCACTTTAGGAGGAATGCAGAAAAATAAAATTGCCGATTTAAGTCACTTAGTTAGTGTAGTCCACACAATCGTTTACGGGAGAGGTTTAAGGGAGATCTTGGATCAATTTTCTTCATTTTCATTAGGGGACCGTTCGTTCTGAACCTTAGGAGTGGGGTCCGCTGGCAGATCTACTTCCCGGGGTCGGCTTCGAAGCATCAGTTCGGTTTATCAAGAAGCAAGGACTAAAACACTGCGTAAATCCGATAGATTTACGTCCTGAACATCATCCTTGATATACTTCGGTAGAGACCGATAAGTCTCCCGCTCTATCTTAAATAAAGTTTATAAAATTCTGACACGCAGACTTCTATGAAGGCAGAGTTTTCCTTATTATAATAGTCTTTAATGAGAGAATTCAGAAGCTGTGGGGTAGGGTTAGGTTCATTTTTTAAGAAAAAATTAGTATTAGTCGCTTCTTTCTTTACGAGAAAGTCTCTAACTACTAAAATAAGTATCGCGACCTATACCTATCGATAGTATAACTTATAATACTTATTCTTTTGCTATATCCTTATATTTCTTCAAAGTAACTGGAGCGCGCTATTTAAGGCATACAGAGTTATCATTATATTGCCGCCAATTCTAGTATTCAGAGGTAAAGCCATATAACGCAGCACGTGCAATTCTTTCACCAAGTTTCTTTGGACGTCCTTAGGGAAAATCTTCTTCGGATAGATAAGCGCTAAGAAAATAAGAATAGTAGATCATAGATACGCCCTCGGGCTTGTATTTATAGTCCGGAGTCAAGTGAAAGTAGGAAAGTGGGTAATCTGGGAGATCTGGGTGAGATTCCTCGCCCTGTTCTCACCCGCTCTCACCCCGTTCTCACCTCTATCACCCCAGTGTCCAAACTTCTCACCCATATCATCCACACTCACCCTGAGATCAAATCCGACGCCATTTTAGATCTAGGGCGAATTGAGAATTGGTCGCGTTTTATAATGGGCTTAAGTACGGCTGAGCGGACGGGAAGCCCTGTTCTCCACACCCTATGGACGTATGTGCTTTGAACGACACACAAGCGAAATATAACTGTTTCTGGTAAAAAGGACGCTTGAAATGGCTTCACGAGTAGCTGTTTTCGGCGCCAAATTTACCGTTACCTAGCGTTGTGGTGTAATGAAAGATGATACAGTGCCCTTAAGTATCTGAAATATTTTCTAAGGGTTATTGCTCAGAAAATAAGTAGCAGCCACCGGCTCGCCCACTTCCTTAACAATCGGAGCCAGTGTAAAGTTGAAACGAGCATCAGTGGTCTGCGAATAATATGTCCCCTCCAAAGCAGCCTTTGGGAAAACATAATTGCGAGGTTGTTCAAAGAGATAGAGCGTATAGGTGTGGTTGGTACTGTCTCGAGGTCTGGGAGCAGTATATTCAGCGATAGCATCACTAGAGTTGACGAAAAGACCATGCTTCCCAACGGTATAGTTGCCTCCCCACCAGTGAAGCCGAGTTGTCGTATTCACAGCTAACCCAGGGATTAAGCTGCTGTAGTATTCCGAGGTTGTAACATCAGAGTCGGGAATGTTCAAATCCAGCATGAAGATCATATAGGTGCTGTCGGGTTCGGTGTCTAGTTTCTCTCGTGCATAAACGATGGGCTGACTACCGACATCTACACTCCACAATTAGCAGCGCTTGGAGAACGTGAAGATTGGTTCATTCATACCATCTGGGCTGATCCAGACTCCGGGGGTGACTGTCACATTTTCGAAGATTACCCCAAGATTGCTTCTGGTCGGAGGATGGCTCCCAGGTGGGGTTTTGAGCAAGTGCTGCAGCAGCAAAAAGGAGATATAATATGCCGTGCTTCATTTTCGATGTTGATTTGAATTGATTCAATGATCTCCAAGCTGCAAGCTTAAATATAACCATAATAATTGTTCGAAGCGAGCTGTTGTTGCGGGAACCTCGGCGTGGTGATCTACCCCAACCCAATGTAGTATTTAAAGCCGAAAACTTCGAGCCATGACGAATCTTTCATTTCTCCTCGTAGTGAATTAATTCCACTTGCTGAATGATCAGACTTCATAGAAGTATGATTCTTTTGAACCGAAATTAAGGAGCAAGAAGGCCACGTAATCGTCCCGTTGGACAGGATCATTCTAGAAATCACACTCCCGCACTTCTAGTATCTGCCCTCTTGCCCCTGTCTTATGGAAGGAATGCACAATGGAAGTGATCTAGGATATATGTTATACCAATACATAAATGAAAATATGATATTAATATACAAATTGGTATATTAGTATAATTGCACTCCAAATCTTTGACCACGAAAAGTTTGATCTGTGTTACAGACTTGAACATCTCGATCCGCGAGACTCCGCAATAAAGGTTGACTTGACAACCCACAAGGAATAATTGATAAAATACTAGAATACGAAGAATTTTTTTCTTTCAAAGCTAGAAATTTCCGGTCAAACATAAAGTAAGCGCTTGTATCGCACGCCTACCACTCGTTATAGTGCAGACAAATTCCCCCTCCCTCAGCTGTTCCATCCCAAGAGGTCCTGCCTTTGCCCACAAATCACTTCTAAATGCAATGATTATCGGCTGCAACAGCATTTCCTATTGAAACGAGGACAGCCACTACCAGACATATGCGAGAATCCCCAATTCCCGCAGTAGGCCTCGCATCTGCCGCTCCAGAACATACTGCATCGGCTCGCATGGTAACAGCTTTCGGGTAGCTTATCATCGATACCATCCGGACTGTCCTGAACGGGGGTAGCCATGATGCTGGCAGCGAGAGTAGTAAAGAGAAGGATAACGTTGGTCTTCATGATGGTGTGATGGGTGGTAGATATGGTTTGTTTGTTCGAGGGAGAGATTTGAAAGAAGCCTTCAAGTGATCACTGATTTCCAAGACCATGCGCAGACCTCCCGACACATTTATACCCAAAGGGTATTCAAGTCCTACGAACGAAGCATCTCAAGAGACACAAACAAGGTGTGAACGTACCAAAGAGTAGGAAGAGCAGCAAGAGGTTCAAAGGTAATGATCGTATCACTAGTTGCGGAGAGTATTTGGTCAAACGGTATATGCAAGGATTTAGGAGAAAGCTTCCGTCCATGCCATTGACTAGCAGCGAGCTCAGCTTTGAATCTTAATGGCCAATGACTGGCGCGTCGGAACACGGAGTGTAACGGCCCCCGGATTTCCTACGAGGGCATGCAACGATCCTTGGTCTAGAATCAAAATGCCACATCAGTATTCAAAGCATGAAGTGTCTCCAAGTCACACTTATGAACATTGATTGAGGAGACTCAGCAATTATATCCATTCTAAAGTCTCAGCCATATGTTCATAGGAAGCCCAAACTGTCAACAACATTATCCAGACCATGCCAATCACGCAGCCTGTGCGTCCTTAGCGTTGCCGATGACATCTTCCCAGACCGAGTCATCTCGCGAAGGAACACGCAGATCCAAATGGCCCTCTCCATCTCGAGCAAAGTCAATCAAGTCTTCTTCAGTACCCCAGTCACTCATCGCCATAACACCAACAGGCACGCCACTATCCTTGGCATACCCAGCCGGGCAACTGATCGAGGGACAACCCGTGAAATTGGACAGCCAGACATACTCCATGTTTCGCACGGAAGTCTTGCCGTCCGACAAACCGCGAGAAATTTCAACCTCACCACCGTCGATATGCCAGCCCGGAATTGGAGTTGTAGGTGTGAAAATCATCAACCCGGGATGGGTCTTGAAAAGATGCGCGACATGCTTCATGATTAGGTTGCGTAGGCGTTGAGCAGCGAGAAGATCTTGCGCCGTGATCTGCCACATTCCCATCGAGACGAGGACCTTGTTTGGTGCCGAAAGGTGGCGAATCTGGCTCGCATCGACGCCGGAGGCAATCTCTGCCATGATCGTTAAAACATGAGCACGCTGGCCTTCGGGTAAGTATGGAATCGTGATGTCGATGATTTCATAGCCGAGCTGACGATAATGTTCAAGCGCAGAGTCAAACACTGCTCGGACAGGAGCCTCGGCACGATCGATCCAGTCACGGACGATACCGATCTTCTTATTCCTCTTACGGTCAACGGCCAATGGAAGCGCTTTGGGGAACTGTGCGGAGATCGCATCCTGTGAAGCAGGCGCAGGGTTTGCCATAACGCGATACGCAAGAGCGAGGTCATCAACGTTGCTCGCCATAGGCCCGAGGACGCCGACCGATGGCGCGAGACTCAAGGATGGTGCGCCTGACACGCGACCATGAGTGGTTTTCAGACCCCAGATACCACAGAACGACGATGGAATACGGATTGAGCCGCCGCCGTCTGCGCCGAGTGCAATGGGCACCAATCCTGCGCCAACAGCATAACCAGATCCACCCGAAGATCCACCACAGTAGTAGTCCTTGTTGTGGGGATTTCGTGGGGTTCCGAAATTGGGGTTATTGTTAGTGGTGTCTAGAAGAGCGAAGCCAATCGGTTAGCCATCAGATATCAGCGGAGGAAATAGCTCGTGTCAGTTACATACCCAAGCCGAGCTCATGCATGGTAGTCTTTCCAATTACAATAGCACCAGCATCTTGCCATTGTTGCACACACCAGGATGTTGCATCGGTGCCATGTTTGAAATCGAGCTTCGTTCCAAGAGTACGCTTGTAGCCAGTAATGTGCACTTCATCCTTGATCGCGACGGGAACACCGTCGAGCGGTCCCAAGGGCTGACCATTCTTATACCGTTCCGTAGAAGCTTGCGCAGCTGCGCGAATGATATCAACTTGCGATTCCAGGAAAGCAGTAGAGTGCTTTCCCGGGGGCGTAACGTCACGTCGCACGAGAGGAAGCAAGGACTCAACGACGGCAAGTGGGGTCAATTCGCCCGAGGTATACAAGGCATGGTAGTCGGCAGAAGTGTAATAGTAGTTGTCACCCTGTCTCTTCTGCACCATAGGCGTCGGGACGTCACTGGGCACATTATTGTCGACGGGGATCACGGTCGGATCATAACGGCCGGCGTACTCGCTGAGGTGGGAGATTTGGCGAATGACATCAAAGCCAGCATTACGCCAGAAGTGGCTCTGGATGAAACCAATATTATGAATTCTAGTTTGGACACCGATGTATTAGCTATTTTGTGCAGGATCAGCTGCAGTAAGCTCTGTCACATCTTACAGGGTCGCGCCGATCGCTAGCGGAGTACCTCGAAACACCGGAATGACCTGCGTCTCATTCTTGTATGGCACCTTGGGGCCTTCTCGAGGCACTGGGTAGTTGAACTTTGACAGATCTTCTGAACTCATCTTGCTGGAGCTGTTGGAATGTTGATGTGGAGCATTCAACCCAAGCGGAGTTAAGAGCTGTTCCCTGAGTGATCGTCACATGCCGAGGCTCGACCTTGCATATGGGAGGTCAGCTGACTTTCCACTATGTATGATGTATATGACGTATACATAGTCACAGTCTTACAATCTTGCTAAGAAAAAGTTTCAGCTATTGCAAGACCCTGTTAGTGGCCTAAAGGAAGGCAAGATTGACTAGTGTTGACAAGAATTAGGGACGATGTGGTGATCTTAAACTTTTTGGTATAATGTATAAGCTTGAATACTCTAAACTTAAACACAACTACAGACGTAGTTTGAAATTGAACTTGTCCATGACCAGAGCAAGTCCAGTCAAGATACCCGCATATGCGACCAAGATGGCCATCGCCTGCGGGGTGTTCACATCCAAGGTTGGAATACTCAGGTTGACCGCGCCAGTCAGGAGATTGGCAACCAGGAAAATCGCCAGGCCGCCACGATTGAATGCGTGGAGAATTCGGCTGGTCGCAAATGCATTTCGCTCCTCCTCGCCCTCTTTGCCGGTAGCTCGGTGAACAGATGGGAAGAACAGGGTCTCGGCCAGGCAGAATAGCAGGATTTGTGCACTGTTAAAGGCCGCGACCCACAATACGTAAGGCATATTGGCAAGTCGGCGCGAGACTAAGATGTTCGCACCATACCCAAATGCATACGAAGAGTTGAAGAAGAAGATGGTTGACCAGAACATCACCTGGATGGTCAAGCTTACCAGTACAGACTTCCGTGCCTGCTGAGGATTTTTGGAGGCAGATGTGCCCCGAGGGATGATGCGAGTGCCGACACCTCGGCCAGCTAGGAAGATAGCTAGATAACCCAGGAACGAGAAGACACCTTCGCGGTTCTTGGACAGTAGATCGGGGCCGCGGGGAGAGACCAAAATGTAGCTCTTCAGATCGGTGGACTCGAGAGCCACTTGGTAGATAATAGAGATAATCACGGCCAGGGCCTCGTAAGACGGAATCAATGCCGTCAAGGAGTCAAAGATCTCAACAAACGGAGGCAAAAAGCCCAAGGTGAAGAAGAAGTTCCAATGAACACCATACTCAGTCACATGCTCTGCATAGTCTAGACCTTTCACGCTCCAAAGGCGAATGAGACCTAGCAAAAGCAAAGGAATTGAGTGGCGAACGGATTTTATCAGTCGCCCAACGAACGGAGTCTTTTTTGACCGAGAGGCGCGGCTCTTCAAAACTGCACGCGCGGATACCACACCCGCAGAGAATACGAATGAGCCCACGCCCAGATCCATCAACGATGTACCCCAATTCTCTACTTTGGCGAAGCGTCGCGGAAACACTCGGAAATCAACTGCGAGAATGGCGACACAGGTAACAACCATCATAGCGGCCCGGTAGGTCGTGAGGAACGGGTGAACGGGCAGGGACTCTGCCTGGTCCTGGGACCGATCATCGTTGGCGGCTGCCTTGCGAGGAGGTTTCGCCTTGTATTGGGAGCGCTGAGGGGGCTGAGTGAGGTAAAGGAGGACAGCAGGTGTGATAAGGAAAATGTTTAGGAGGACAGGCGCGGACGAGTAGGCGGTTGTCGCGAATAGAATTGCCAGCACGTTGAGGATGAAATCTGTCAACAACGCCGCTGGGCTATATGGTGTGAAGAAGGATAGTCGGGACTGAAGAGCAGACCAGAGAAGGACAGATGCCTAGCGATACAGATTCTAGTCAGGAGACATTCGCATTAAAAGAGTCAATGTTGTGTCGCCTCACCGATGCAACAAATGAGACAGCGTTGATGTCGGCGATGTTGCTTCCCGCTAGGTTCGACACAAAGGCCTCTTTCCGCGCTTTGTAGCTCGGATCCATGTTAGAGAAGGTATATCAGATGTAACAAAATGAGTGAAATTTTTCGAATTCCCATCGAGGGTTTGAATTAGTCCTCTGCAGGAATTCGAGGGCGGGATGTTGAAGAGCGGAGGTATTCCCCAAGCTCCGCGGAACCAACGCGGACACGGTGGCAATCACCTGACGTCCGATCTACTTAAAGATAGAAAGAAAGGTGTCATGTTCAATTACGACAACTAATATTGCCCAAAATCCCGCCAAAATGACATTTCCATTACTTACGTACTTCAAAAATTGGTTTTAAGACAGGGTTCAAATATTCAAGTAGTGGCTAGAAAGATTATTTAGGCTTGGGGTTCATCCTCGATCTTATCTCCATCTTATCGGACCAAGAAGCTGTGTGGAATGTAAATAGCACATCGTTCCACGGAGTCAGGAGTCTGCCATGATAGAAATGTATTAAACTCTAGCTCATTGATCTTGTTCTTCTTTTATAGAGTACCTGACGTATTGATTCCTCGCAAATCAAAAATTTATTCATTGCCCACAAAATCCAATATTATTTCCATGAATATCGTCAAGTCTACTGAACTATGTTTCAGATACATCTCGAGACTATCTCAAAGCTGATAATTATCTCATCCTGCCCGCCATCTACATTTTCATCAGTCTACAGACACAGTACATAACTGTCAGTGTACATAGCTGGAGCCCGGCGCCCATATTCGATGATCCATCGGCTTCAACACGATTGGACTGGGGAGGAACATGCACGGCGATCTACAGAGCACTGCAATGATGAGCAATCAACTGTGAGGTCCCTGACAAGGCTCACTGGCCATGGCAATGACCCCTCATTTTCAATCATCTGCCCTTTAATCTTCGTGCTTGACAAGTGGGCAACGGTCTCCTCGCCCAGCCCCCCAGTAGTCCAACTTACAAAAAGCAACCCTCGCCGTTCGGCCGTTGTAGGTAAAAATAGCCCCCGTGTCGATCAAGAACCTATCGAAAGTTCCCTTCCAAGCTACGGTCCGTGAGCCAAACGGATCCTTCGAGAAGCGAACCCGCCCCAGATTGACACGAGGCTGTGACCTTGACCAGATCGTGATCGATACCCTGGAGCCACGCAATTGGTCCAACGGGACCGGATCTAGGGGTTAGTGCCAGCCGGAACTCACTGGCGACATGATTAACAACCTTAGCTCTGTTTTGGCTGTGCGCAGGTGCAGATTAGCCCTCCGTTAGCTTTTCGTTGAGATGCCGGTGGGGGCAGGCTTTAGGCCCGGGCTAGTGGCCAGTGAGCACGATTGGGTGTCTTAAAGTGACCAGGTCCTCGTGCGGAGTCGCCGGCTGGCATGAATCCATGGGATCAATGATTCCAAATACTGGTTGGCGTCTGCCATTCTCATGTGGCATCCATCCCGCGGAGTCAAAGAATCCGTCTTCGTCTCTTGCCAACTTGAGACGATGCCAGGATCATGAGAACTCTGTGAAAGAAGAGTGGATGTGTACATTGCCGATTCACGCTAATTTCGCGCTGTTGGTACCAACTTCGACCCTGGCTGGTAGGCGCCTAACCAGGATTGTCGAGTGTGGTTAGAGCGGTAGTAGGAGTGCCTCGATCTGCCATGCGCAAGCGCCTGTCTCCCGGCAAAACTGTCCACTCAGAGGCCTTGGTAGCTGAGCCTCTCTGGGAATGTTGGTTTTGTAAAAGAAACCAACGTCCAGAATTTGGTCTATACATTCACTGGCTCAACTACCATGGAGTCATGGACAAGGGTCAAGCAGAATATTCACGGGTAATTCACCAACAAATAATTGACCACGTGGTCACCGTTATTTTAAGGCGAATCGTTTTTCTCGAGGTGTAGAATGCTTGTCGATTTAATTTCGACCTTTTTCTGTTTTTCTGAATTCGTAAAATGCGAGATCTCGGGGTTTGAAATCTGGGGGCCAAAAGCCCCTTCCCCACCCGCCATCTTCCCTCGTCACCGTACATCGCATCGCTGTCAATATAACTTAATCATAGTCTGTATGACACCTCTGAAAGGTTAATGGACTTGGCTTTGCAGGCGGGGACGGAAAGGCACGGTAGTTGAAGCTTCTAGAACTGGAGAAACTCTGAGCCGAGGAATCATGCTCCTTGGAGATAATTTCCCATCATATGCAGATCTCTTGTTTTAGAGCGATGTAATAGAAAGGCTTGCAGGCCAAGCGAGCTAAGAAAAAAGCAGCCTGAGCCGCTAACCATGCACCGGCCAACATACGATGTACCGAAGTATAGCATGTCACCAACAGTTATGCGGGTTGATTTTCGAGGGGCGTTCGTTGTCGGATGTATTGATCAGTCTATAGGTTGCCGGGGTTTACAGTGCACAGATCATATGGCAGACGATCAAGCGCTGGTTTGGACTCGCTCATAGAACAACCCCTGGTGCATCTTCAACGCAACTAGCTCGTCCTGGTAGGACCATCTCCCCAATCTCCCACCCAAAAGAAGCAGAGAACGCGGACCTTTTTCGCCAACGGGGCCGAGCTACAAGCTAGGGGGGACTAAAAGAGCCCAAAAAGACGCCATGCCCATAGCTTGTGAGTACCCACAGGGTTCGTGCGGCAGCCCCCGGTTCATTGGCTGCGTTCGGGCCAGCGCTCAGCCGTTGGGTGCGCACCACCGGGAGATTGCCTGCCCTTGGGGCCTGGCTTTGATGCTAGCGACGATCCGGAGAAGAGCAAATGTAGGTTCTTGCATCTGGTGACAGGCGACCTTAATTAAAGCTTTGCATTCGCCTAATAAATAAACGAGGTCGGCCCATGGGGGAGTGGTGTTTAGTTCTCTTGAATAGAAAATGTCCTCTTTTTCGTTCCTTCAGTAGGTAAACCAAAGGATTTGATTACCCACTATCTTTCCTAGGTGTTCAGCCTTGGAATCCGCTCGAGCTACTCTTTTTTCCCTTCCCTGCCCCTGTTCGGCCCGGCGTACAGGGGGCCGCCGCCCGCAACAAACCAGGAAAAAACGACCCCAAAATCAGTCCTGGCAACACCTCGAGGGGGGAAATCATTTGGGAAGAGTTCCCCTCGGCTCTCCTTGGATGCTCCATTCATTTCATCCGGTGGGGCGTGCTGGATCCATGGTCACCTTTAACGCCCTCCTAGTGCGAGAGAACTGGTTCACGGAGAGCCCGGCTGTCGTTCATTATCAAGGCGCAGGTCGAAGGATCCCCAAATCCAGAAGGATCATGAGTAGTAGCAAGGAAGGGGGACCACCCAAAAGGCGGGAGTCTCGCTCGGGGACGCGAAAGGTCGCCTCGCTCTCTGCCGAACAGTTGGAGCGAAAGCGGGCCAATGATCGAGAGGCTCAACGGTCTATCCGCCAGCGAACAAAGGAGCATATCGAGCAGCTCGAGCAACAAGTCGCCATGCTTCAGGCTCAGGTGAACGAAATGCGGCCGCGGAACGAACAGTTCGATGATCTTGTTCGACAGAATACCGCTCTGCAAGAGGAGATCGCCCGGTTAAAGCACCAACTAGCCAACTATACCAGTCGACAGGGTTTCGCAGGCAGTGGTGAACAGGCTGGTCTGTTTCGCAGTGGATGGCATTTGGGCGAAGGGCCAAGTACTGCAACACCTAATATTCCCACGACAAACACGGTGCTTTCATCAAACTTCCCTGCGCCGACTCATCCCTTGGCGAATGTCCCACGAGCGCCATCCGAATTGTCGGCCTCGAGGCGATCATCCCACCCCCATGAATGGCAGCAGTCATACTCGAGCACACGATCGTCATCGCTGGGCGAGTCGTCGGACCCAGAATATTCCGCTCGCATGGACCCATATGCGATGGAGGGACAATTGCACCAAGTTTCACGGATGGTGGGACCCTCTCTACCTCTGGCAACACCTCAGATGAGCTTTGGAAGCGCTGCCAGCCCGGCTCAATCAGGATCAGCGTCATCATTCTCTCAGATGTATCCCGTGGGACAACATCCACCTTCAGGGCAGCGAGGGGACGGAATGCAGCCCGTTCCCCAGTCATCGATGAATCAACCTGCGGCCGGATACATGCCTAGCCATCGATCAATTTCTATTCCCATGCCTAGCGCCAGTGCTCCAGCTCAGTCGACTCCAGGCCAGCCGTATCAGCCATCGAGTGCCCTATACCAAAACCATCCAGGCCAGCCTCCACAAAGAGATCCGTCGTATCAATACCCATGGAACCCGCCATCATGACCATTTCAGCGACGGAATTTCGATGACAAAGCCTGTGTCCATGGCCAGAGCTGCACAGTATCATACAGGCCGGGAAAAAAAGGGAAAAAAGCACAGTCCATCGCCAGAAGAACCTGCCACGTTTGTGTGGGAGTATTCTGCAAGCGCGATACTCGAGCGCTTAGAAACAATATTGAGGGGTAAATTCGCCGCACTTCAAGACCTTTGTGCTGATCAACATGACTGACTATTTTTCGTTGTTCAAACAGCAAGCGCGATTCTCTTGGTGGAGATGAATTAAGCAAACAAAGTCGATCATGCAGGCCAAGCACCGCTGAAGGAAAATATAGCCGGCGGACGGCCCTCGGATAGATTCGAACTTTGACGCTCCACAGACTATTTTCACCGACTCTTTGGGAGGTTGTCCTCCCGTGTGATGATTCGGGATATTGTTTGACATCGACAGAGGATGTATATAAACTTGACGGACTTTCGCAGGGTGAGGCGGCTATTTTGGTTAGGAGAGCATATCGGTTACTTTTTGTGGGAATTTCCAAACACACGACCGCGGGATAACATGCCACACTACAAGGGGTCGTCCCCAAGTTCTGAAACATGTTACACAAGAATAGCGCAGGCGCTACGAGGTACTCCGTACACACTGATGATACACGAACAAGATACGACATAGAAATGTCCTGATCGATTCCAATCATTGATGCCCTATACTCCCAAAGCTGCGAAAACTGTACAATACATCATTCAATGCGCGCATCAAACCCAAGTTTATCAATATCGCAGAAGAAAATCCCAAATAGTCATGTCTAACTTGGTCGTTAGTTCATGGGTCTAGTTTGTGTACTGCTTCTGCAGCATCTTGGCAATGGTCTGCAGCTGGATGTTGCTGGTTCCCTCGTAGATGGCTCCGATCTTGCTGTCGCGGAACATCTTCTCGGCAATGCCCTCGCGGACGAAGCCCATACCACCCATCCACTCAACTGCGGAGCCGGCCACGCGGCCGGCAACCTGGGAGGCGTAGAGCTTGGCCATGGCAGCGTCCTTGACAAAGTCCTGGCCGGCCTCCTTCTTGCGGGCGGCGTTGTAGACCAGAGCCCGCGCGGCGGCGATCTCGGTGTAGGCCTGCGCGATCTGGTGCTGCATGCCCTGGAACTCGCCGATGAGCTGGCCGAACTGCTTGCGGTCGTTCCAGACGTAGCTATAATTGTTTGATTAGCACGTGGTTGGCAGTACTTTCTGGCAAACTCTTCACTTACCGAGCAGCGTGCTCCCAGGCACCAAGCGCCAGGCCGGTCATCTGAGCAGCGATACCGATACGGCCCTCGTTCAAGATCTCAATGGCAATCTTGTAGCCCTTGCCCTCCTCGCCGAGAATGTTGCTCTTGGGGATGACGACATCGTCAAAGTTGAGCACACAGGTGCTGCTAGCCCGGATACCGAGCTTCTTCTCCTTCTTAGCGATGGAGAAACCGGGGGTACCCTTCTCCACAATGAAGGCGGTGATACCCTTGTATCCGGCGCTGGGGTTGAGGTTGGCGAAGACAATGAAGATGCCCGACTCCATGGCGTTGGTGATCCACATCTTGGAACCGTTGATCTTGTAGCCATCAGCCGTCTTCTCAGCCTTGGTCTGCAGAGCGAAGGCGTCCGATCCGGACACGGGCTCAGACAGACAGAACGAACCGACAGTGCTGGTGCTCAGCTTGGGCAACCAGGTGCGGTGGGCCTGGGCATCGCCATACTTCATGATGGCGGTGTTGACGAGAGTGTTGTGGACATCGACCATGACACTGACGCTGGGGTCGATACGTGCCAACTCCTCGATCGCCACGATAGCAGCGGTGAAGTTCATGCCCGCTCCGCCGAACTCCTCGGGGATTTCAATACCCATGATACCCTGCTCGAAGAGTCCCTCGACGACAGCCGGGTCCATCGTCTCGGCTTCGTCCATATCCCGAACCTTCGGGCCGATCTGTTCGGAGGCAAACTTGGACACCATGTCGGCCATCATGGACTCGGTCTCGGACAAGAGGGAGATTGGTGTCGGGGTCAGCTCGGAGAGGTCGGCCTCCCGCCGGCGGGGGGTAGTGGAGAAGGCATAGGCACTATGGAATGTAGCATGTCAGTTTAGGATTCATTTTCGAAGCCGGGCCGAGTGGTATCTTCGTGTCGGTGTAGGTGTCGGTGTCGGTGGGATTGAGCATACCTCTGGACGGGACGGACGGTAGCTAGCCGCTTGGAGGCCAGACGTGCCGAGGGAGTAGTACGCGACAGGGGTCGCAAGGCGCGGGTGATGGAGGCCATTGCGACAAAAATGAGGGGCTATGGTGTATAGAGGGGTGTGATTCCGTCGTGTGCGAATCAAGGAGGGAAATAAGGGAAGAGAAGGTGAACGTGAAGGAGCAATAAATCACAAGGGAAAAGTGACCAGCCAAACGAGCCTCGGTTATCGGCGGCGCTGGGGATTCGCGGGGAGGCGGTGGGGCTTATGACGGACTAAACCTAGGTTCTGCTACTGTACTGGAATTATTCAGGGCAATCCAGAAGGATGACATGATTGATCTTGAAGAGTAAGAGAAACGGTAATTCTCAGGTGCAATTCAGTAGGAAACATTACATGGTCTTGATAGAGTAGTATGGCGATAAAGGACAATCCTATAGTACAAGTACAATATCTCCACAAAGAAACCACCTACGCCCGAGTTTTTTCGGTAATGCGCATAAAAGAGTTATCTTGCCCAGAATAAAAATATCACATCTTCTACGAGAATAAATCATTCAGACTTCTCACAGGTAGTTATATCTGCCGTTACTCTTGAACCTAGACCCTACCCCTGTTTCCTTGTGTATTCATTTATTCTCGGCTTTCGGCCACCAACCTTTCTCTTCCATCAAAAAGCTTAGCCTCTCATCTCGAACCTCCTTATATCTGACAGATGCTACTTGAAAGTCGACATCGCTTAAAGCCTCTAATGAGGCTGTGATCCCCTGATCCCAAGCGATGCGAAGCCCGGCAGCCACAGACAAGCCCTGTTGGATTACTATCGTCCCTAGTGCGTTCTTAGTGCTAATTTGCTAGTTCCCCGGACATTATCCCGTAGCGAACCTGTATAGATGACTGAAGGGGAATTTGCTTGGACCCCTTCGCTACCAGAGCCTCTGAGGCTCTTCACTTTCGGGGTCTTTTCCCCTGAAGTAGTTATATCTCTGCGCCTTAGCGTGACGCACTAAGGTATACAACTTCAATCACTTGCTAGACGACCATGTCCCTCTATTCGTCTATATAACACAATCAACCGACGGAATTAGCTCTTAACAGCCTCATTGGATTTTAATTCAGATGCATTCACTGATAGAACTACTTGAGTTCCATGACAGCCGGCCCAGGGATCGGATGCTACTCGACTCTCCCAGGCTACAAGATCACCACCGGTTGCCCGCGCATCATTCCAACCGGGGACCTGAAAGCAGTCAACCAAACATTCTGGTACGAGGGACAGACAGTCGTAGGCCCAGTCCTCTCGCTTATGGGTACTGCGCCTATGACACACATCATGTCCACTAGTTGGTAGGCTGTAGAGACTAGCTCCCTCGCAGCATACTCGGTTCTGCCTTTCGTGACGCTTATAAAGCAGCGGACTATCCAGCAACGGCAACGGCGACCGCCGGGGGATCGACGACGTCTAACGCTGCTGTTAGATCGTCTTCTGTAACAGGTTCGTGGGATGTTATGTGTATTCTTCTTTCTGTGACTGTTCTGGGTATGGTCCTTGGTGCTGCGATTATGTTGCCTATTTAAGGATCTTAATGTACATCGGGGTGGGTCATTGAATGAACTCGACGGATATATGGATCTATATCTGAATAACATGGAACCAGGGTCAAGGACCTAGCCCCATCAAGTCGAAGGTCAGTACATCAGAATAGTTGATGACCACTGTTATCAAACTTGGAATACGAAACATTCTCGAACCAATATCTTGAAATGTATGCTCCTCAATTGACGTACTAAAAAGAAAATGCTGAACCCAAAGTAAAACCATCTATCCGCCCAGAATAGCAATTAAACACCGCCGCGCTTTAAACCCACGAAAAAAAAAAAAAAAAAAAAAAACAACCATTCCTCTCCTCCAGCATCCACCTAATTCAAACCCATATACCCTCAGTCGGATTCGGAAGAAAGAATTCACAGCCCAAATGCGCCTCCTGAGCATGTTCCTGAAGTTCCCTCAAAATCTGTTCCCCGGGAGGCGGCCCATCCGTCAAATTCTCCTTAATATGAATAACATACACCGACAGCCCAGTCAACGGCAAGGGATCGGCATCAGCCCAGCTCACAATATTAGGCAGGTCGACATCCTTACTGTCGGTGCCATCATTGAAGCTTTCCGAGAGATCTGGAACGTAAAATTCACCCGAGCGAGGTTCCACTTTTGACTCCTTTTCGATGGACGGGTTAGAGCCCCGCTTTGTTCGTGGACTGACGGGGCTGCCTACGTTATCGCCGAAGCTGGTATTTTGTCGCTTGCGCTTTTTGTCGGGCGCTGGTACCGGGTCGCGAAGGGCCATTACCTTGGCGGCGAGGACGTTTAGCTCGGCTATCATGTGTCGAGGGCACAGGTGGCCGTAGAGATAGGCATCGTCGATGCTATCGCTGAAAGAGCACTCGATGAAAATAGCCCGGAGTGTGCCTGCGTGGACTTTGGGGGCGGCGGCCTCCCAGACGCGTTTGTTGCGTGGTTCGAGGGAGATAGTGTCCGGCTCGAGATCACCGAATACGATAATCTCTTTACCGGTGCGGTGGTCGCGGAGGAAGAATGCAGAGCTTTCAACGGTGGCCATCATAGGCTCTTTTGCATTGGCTGGGAGGAGCCGTGGCGAGCGAGCTGGGGAGTAGAAGCTGGCATGGAGTTAGCAGCTGGATTCCTTATCATTTAAACCATGTATCTCTTGCGACCTGCTTACCTTCCATCGGCATGCTCCATAGAAATAGAAACTGCCCGCGAGGGTAGCATCAACTGATCAGAGGGGAAGACAGCACTGCCGATTCTGTGATGCGCGGCAGACTCGGGATGGTATCGCTGTTTGCAACGACCGTGGCTAACACCGAGACACTTGGTCAAGAGGCCATTGCAGGCACGAACGTAGCCCCTGCTCTCTCCGCTACCAAACCTAGTGTTTCCGCCCTCCACCAAGCGTTGGTATGTGAGCAAGCCAGCGCCACCATCCTCATCTGACAGATTCGGCCAGATAATATCGTTGAACATGTGGTTTTTAATCGCAGAAAGTACCGACGGCAGAGCCGCGACAGGTTTAGGTCCATTTCCCGCTTCCAAGATTGGCGTGTTGATTGCCAACCCCGAAATGTGATCCAGATGAGGATGGGTGATCAAGACGGCGCCAATGATCTCTCGGAAGATATGAGCAGCATTGGCTTCTGCGCTTTGGGCCGGCAGCTGAAGACCCTTGAAGGGGCCGGCCGTCATGACTCCCTCGTCGTCTTTGGAATCCGGTAGGAAGTTTTTCAGTACGCGAATAATCCCCGCAAGCAGAGTTCCCGCATCTACGGCCACTACTGAATCGGGGGACCAGTTCATCGATGTTGATCGCACGAGAAGACCAGTCACACTGTCTTCCCGGGGACCGCCATTGGGGCCCTGTACTGGGTCAGCATATCAAAGCAATCAAGTGGCAGAGACTCGGGGTGCCAAAATCCGAGACCGGCTCCACATCCTTGAGAGAACAAGCAATGGAGGAACAGCGCCTGGATCGCAGATCACCGACACTTGGGTCTAGCACGTGACCCTTGCAGGTGGCAGTGATACAAGATTCACAGACAGAGATCGAGGCAACGACTCACCAAGACAATGATTTGGAACGCGGGCCTTTCCGCTTCTGCCATTGTTTGCTCACGCACGTCGCCGCGTGATTCAGCGCGTGAGACACGGATCGATAAAGATTGGCCCTCCAAATGAAGGGGAACCACGTCGGTAATCTTAATACCTGACTGTTCAATAATGTGTGGGTTTCAAGACAAAGAGCGACTGTCTCACCTTGATGATACCCAATCTACAGCCCGGTGTAGATCGATCGGCCGCTGCTGCTAGGGAAGTTGAGGCGCGGCTAGCTCAGAAGATCGGCCCAGGATCGAGATGCTGCCTAAGCCGAAAGTTGTGATCTGGACTGTTTCCTTGCAAGATAATAAGATAATAATGCAGCTGTTGAGTGAGACTATCAGTGTCGTGCCGGTATGCGCGCAGGAAGGAAAAGAAAGTGTGGTCAGAGACGAAGAACAAGAATCACAACGAGTCTGTCGTAAAGATTCGGGCAAAGAAGTGTGATACCGCAAGCGCAGGCTCGGCAGGTGCACGTTGGTTGCAGATAGAAGTCAGGCGCGCTTATAGCTCGAAAGGTTACGAGACAACAGACTGCGCCCAGTGGGGGAACCTTCCCCAGCTTGTACAACCAGCAACAGAGGCGCACCAAGTGCAGCACAGCACAGGAGGCTACTGCACGTAAAACCCTAGTTGCGGAGCGCCGATTGGACGATGACCAGGTATTGTGTTCACAGGTAGCCACAGCTGCAGCGACAGCAAGCCCTGCGCACAACAATTTACGGCAGCCGCAATATCTCAGGCAATCGGGTACAGATCTAGGCAGCACACGGACACCGTGTTTTGCGGGGGTTTGCGACACAATGCGCAACGGCACCTATAAAGCCTCGGAAAAGGGTTCTGAAATCTGGCACAGCTGGGGCTCTCTCTGGTCAACAGAAGCTCAATTCAAAATTTTCGCTTGAGGTGAGACTCACGGGGTTTGCAGAGGATAAGATTTGCGGAGGATCTGTGACGCGCTCAGAGCTCCGGGGCAACTTGGGGCGGGTCTTGGCGCATTCAACTCCACCTTCGGGGCACTGAGAGAGCCAAGTCAGCTTGGGAATTGCTTATTGTGGAGAATTGAGGAGGTTGCGAGACTTGCAGCTTTTCTTTACATGTTGCACCACTCTTTGTCCATTATTCGGATTGTCCACACCAGCGAGGGAGAAGAGGATTGTTGAGGACAAAGAATAATGCGGAGCTGATAAGCAGGTGGATGATCCGTGGGTACGAGTCTAATCGATAGGCCGATCAATGACGTTTCGCTGCCAAATGGGGCCTCGAAGCCGAACCCCATAGTTCGGTTGTTCTTCAAGCACTGGCCTATGGTAACAAAATCTATACACTCTCATAGTGATACCTTGACTGTGACTCATTTTACTAAAAGCCATACACATCAAGTTACAACATTGTGTTCGTGTCCCCTAAAGAAACTTGGAGGTGGAATGGATACAGTATTCAGCCAGATCAATAATTGCAATATAGATGTTTGAACCACAAGGGTTCTCCCCAGGCATGAGGATGCTAGATGACAAAATGTACAGGCCGGCTGCTGACAACGTGGATATAACAAGAACCAGGTGTAACAATGAGCGAATGATGGAGAGGGGAAAGAAAAAGAGAGCAAAAGACCGCTGGCCCTGTACATGATCGCATTGGTCCAATCAAAACATAAACCCCGATTCATCCCAAGGAAAACAACCCTCCAAAGATTTCCCAGAAAGACAAAAGCATATTCCGTAAACCAGCCCACCTGACTTGCTAAAACGCCATCCGTGGACTCGCTAATTGTAAAAAGAAATGAAACCAAAGAAACCAGACCGTAGTCGAAACCCAAGGGGACCACAAAGACGATAACGAGAGGGTATGTTCGGAAATTGACGTATAATATAAGAAAGAAAGCTCACTGCCGAGCTCGAGGCGCGGCTTTTATTGACGCTCGGTGAAATCCCGATCAACCACGGCTTGATAGCTCGGCAGGTTCTGAGATTCAAGGTCAGTCGCATTGGCATTCGCAGGCCGGCTCGATTCACCAGAGCCTCGGGCATCGAATTCTAAAGAAGCATCGCTGCCTCGACGGCTGCTTCCAGGACTCGAGTACTCTGGAGGTGGAGCCTCGTGATCATCGGGCGCGCCTGATAGTGGATCTGCCACGGGGGTGCTGGTATCTTCTCCATCCACCCCAATACGGCTGGAGCCCTCCCCAGCATCCTCATGAGATGGAATGTGGGCCAGCTGGGCAAGAGAAATATCAGTTGGGGATCGAATTGGGCCGGGGCTGACGGCCTGGGTAATCCCAATGTTCCGAGCATTATAAGATTGGTAGACGCGCTGGGAAATCGAAGCAGCACTTTCCCGGCCGGACTCGAGCAAGATACTGCCTTGCTCGCTACCATAGGGTGGGGGCGGGGCCAGGCTCCCTGTCATGGGGGCCAAGCCCCATTTCTTCACGTTGGCTTCAATGAAAACGAAGCCCATTTGACCAAAATTGACATGAACGGTGCAGGGACCGTTGGCCCCAACTGTTGGAAACAAATTTTGGGCGCGGTAGTTGTGGGCGACATCCTCCAGCTTCTTGCCGTTGCGCGTAAAGAAGATTGTCCCCGAGCGCGGCCGGTAGCCGATGCCGATGACATCGCCTTGGAGAAGCGGAGGGCCATACGGTGTCGGTGTGAATGGCTGGTTGTGTCGGCGGTGACCGGTAGATTGGTAGGCAACAGACGTTTTGTGGAAGCCTAGAGGAAAGTGGCTGGTTAGCGGGACTGCATAGAACTGCCGAGGCGACCCAAAAAGGGAACACAAATAAGTCATACCAGGCATTCGGAAGAGAGGGTACGGTTTAGTCGTCAGGCCGATACCGATCATTGTCGACTCTGGCTTATCGTAGATCTTGGCCTCCCAGTAGTAGACCTCGTTCTGTTTCGGGAGAGGCAAGTTGGTCTGCACGCTGCACTCCGAGTCGAAGAACTCAATTTCCGTACGACCTTCCACAAAACAGTTGGCAATCTCTAATTCTGGTTGGAACTCCCAAGCGGACACGCCCTTTTCTTGAATTGCGAGGAACTGCGACAGCGAAATATCCGTTTGCATAGATTCTGGAGGATTAGCCTGGACGAAAGCTGGATCGACAGTCAGTAAGACTCCCACCTCGTGAAAATTGCCGGCAGGACTTCTGATTTACCTTTCGCTCGTAGGTACTCCGACCGTGTCAAATCATCCATCGTCTCTAGCGCCGCTTCCTCTTCCCGCAGGAAGGCCTGTTCATCGTCATATTCACCCGGACGACCAATGCGATCGAGCATAATCCGCCCGTGACGGGTATATTTGAAGAAGAAAAAGATCGCAAGCACCACGAACGCAATCGCCGCTGATCCAAAGGCTGAGAGAATTCCTATCAAGATGCCTTTGCCGGTTGAGCCGGAGGAGTCGCCACTGGCGGCAACAACGTGATCCGCCGCAGAATCAGACGACGAGGACAGACTGGAGATGACATATTGTAGGCTTTCTTGTATTTGTTTTTGTGAGAGGGTAGCCGCCGTCTGGGTAGCCGTTGTAATGGTCTGTGTCTGGGAGATAATGAGGTCGAGCGGTGACGTCGACGGCGAGGCTATCACCAATTTGAGGGTAGTGGGCAGGCCAGCGAGCGCACCGGGGCCCGATGCCTCAGGGCTCTGCATCGTTCATTGACTGACAGAGAGACGAGAAAGATAAGACGCGGGGCAATGAGATCAGGAAGAACGAGAGATGGAAATGGAGGAAGATGCGAGAGGCTAGAGGCTGCAGTTGGTTGTAGAGTAGGCCCAGTCCAGAGAGAGAGTGGGTGTGTCTAAGCCCAAGTGGAAGTGGGCCGGCGGTCGACTGGGGGGCGGGCAGAAAGAGGAAAAAAGTGGGCAAGATTGGCCGATCAACCAGACAGAGAGATAGAGGTACAGTTACTACTCCGTAGACTGAGAAGATATAGTTGGTAGATCTAGTTGGTCCAAAAACACCAAGCGGTCTACCACTGGGGATTACAGGCAGATAAATGAGAGAAACGAGGTACAAAGTGGGATAATAGGATTGATTAGGGCGGTGGAGTTCTCTTGAGACGTTTCCGGCCGCCTAGAATGGTCCCTCGTATACCTACAGAGGGGGAGAGTCATGCTGATTACGCTGCTCACTGTTGTTTGGTTCTTACCTGCATCTTACTACCATGCTTCTCAAATGCAAGGCAAGCCAAATGGACATTTTCCAACTCTCCTGTACTCCTTATCCAATGTGATCTCTGTGCCTTTTTTCCCCTCTTAAGGGGACTGTGCTTTCTTCCCTTCGAACCTGTCATCTTGGCCCTGGGAGCCTAAGGCGCGGGAGAGAATTGGCGGTATCAGAGAGAACCATCCCTACTCAGGATAAGCCTCCTTCACTCCTCTTTTTCCCCTCTCCACCCTCTCTCTCCTCGTGGCTCCTTGCGTGGCTGGGGTCTCTTAGAATTCCTGGATTAAACGTGACCCCCTTCTTGTCACTTGTCACTCCCCTCCCAAACCTTCTTCCTTGGGGGATCAGACGATGCGTTCAAAGGCTCGCGGTACTCCCCGCGACGCCGCCTTGGCAAATCAGGCCGATGTTATCGTCAACGCCGTCAACTCCTTCCACATCCGTCTTGCCGTATCTGGAACCTCCTGTGATAAATACCCAGGTAAGCCTCGCCTCGCCGTCGCCCTTCCACTATGGGTTCCCTTCGCGCCCTCTTGTAGAACACGGCTCCCTTGGATTCACTGGTTCCCCGATCGGTGATCTTGTCGATATTCCGAGCTAATCGGAACCTCTTTATCGCATAGCCAAACAGCACGCGCGCAATGTTGCCCGCAAACTTGGAGTGTCGCATGGCCTGATTTTCATCGCTGGTCAGCCCACGGTCAATTGGCGCGATTCCGACCAATCGCGCCCATTCCGCCAGCGTCGATACTTCTACTATCTGAGTGGCGTGGACGAGCCCGACTGCACTCTGACATACGATATCGGCCTGGATGTTTTGACCCTCTATGTACCGGACTTCGATCTCCATCGGGCCATTTGGATGGGCCCGACCTTGTCGCGAGAGGATGCTCAGGATCGATACGATGTTGATCGAGTAGTGTACGGGTCGTCGCTCAAGCCTGAGCTTCTCTCTTGGCTGAGTGAACGAGTTCAAAGCAGCTTGCTGTATATGGTTCATGAGTCGGAGACACCGGAGGGACTGCCTGCTGAGCTGCCGCTGGATGCCAAGCAGCTAATGCCAGCTATGGATGCAGCTCGAGGTGTCAAAGACGAGTATGAGATTCGCATGATCCGCCAGGCCAATAAAGTGTCGGGTCTGGCGCATCGCAAAATCCTTGAAAACATCCAAAAGATGACCAACGAGTCCCAAATTGAGGGCTCCTTCCTTGATACCTGCATCTCCAACGGTGCTCCTAATCAAGCATATCAAATCATCGCCGCATCGGGGCCTAACGCGGCAGTCCTCCACTACGACCGAAACAACGAGTCTCTCAAGAACAAGCCTCTCGTGTGTCTCGATGCCGGCGCTGAGTGGCAATGCTATGCTAGCGATGTGACGCGGACCTTCCCACTTTCAGGCGAGTGGCCAAGCAAGTACGCTCGGGACATCTACCGTGTAGTCGAGCGCATGCAAGAGGAATGCATCAAGCGGATCCGCAGAGGAACGCGCTTCCTATCTCTACACGACTTGGCCCATGAAATCGCCATCATCGAACTCCTACATCTCGGCGTCTTCAAGGACGGCAGTCTCTCCGAAATCAGAGCGTCGGGTGCGTCCAAGGTCTTCTTCCCTCACGGTCTGGGCCACCACGTCGGTCTCGAAGTTCACGATGTATCCGACTCGTCGATTATGGCTTTGCATCCGGGCCTTGACCAGGATCAGTATGGCTCAGTCCTGAACCCTGCTATTAGCATGGCACCTTGCACACTATCTGCCCCGTTGCTGGAAGAGGGGATGGTGGTTACCGTGGAACCGGGAATTTACTTCTCGCCGCTTGCTCTTGCGAACGCACGCAAACAATCGTATGCAAAGTACATCGACTTTGACGTTGCTGAGAAATATGTCCATATCGGTGGTGTGCGTATCGAGGATGATATTCTTGTCACTGCCAGTGGCTATGAGAATCTCACTACTGCTCCGAAGGGGGAGGAGATGCTTGCTGTGATTCGGGGGTCTGCATCGTAATGTTGATATAGATCTAGCTAGTATAATGTAAATCATTCTCGAACGAAATGGGTTTCAACTTTCAGCATTTGTGGCATGACTTACCCGGGATCGACCACGCGGCCCACCCCGAATGTGTCAAGTCGATCCTAATTCCCCAGATGAAAATGTTACTGTAGTCCGGCAAGTGTAAAAGCCACTGATGGCCTGACACGATAACCGACTCCGCTATTTCATGCCGTCCACTAAAGTCCATCATCTAGCACTGGGGCCATCAGGACGTGTATCTTCGCATATCGAGTGCGATGCTTCACATCGACGAAACCATCGACAGGCTGACAATCGAGTGCCAACACAGTAACACACAGTATACTGTGCATTCCGATCCCACTATTGTGGGGACGCTGCGCAACCTTAGGTCGTAATTAAGGATGTTGCCGAGCGGGACCATCTCCTGAAGAATGGCCACGTTCTAGCCATTGACGTACGGCGACCCCTCAAGAGTCGAATACCGTCCATCGAAATTTCCCTTGACTGTGTGTGACAGAATTACGGTGGATTGTGTGAACTGGAAACAGTACTCCGTCGCGAATCGCCTGGTGCTGCCAGTTGGATGGAATGAACAGGACAATTCTACCCGGGTTAGCCCTAGGTATTACCTTGAGGCCAGCAGCCGCAGGAGGTCTTGTTGAATTTTCAACCGATTCAATAGCCACCAGATCGGGGTAGCAGGCATCGCTGTGCCTCACACACTGCCTCCATACATCCAGATTCGGAGGAGGGTTCTGCAAGGGAGAGCATCTCGATTCAAGAAGTTTGCCTTTTTCTGACGTGGGCCCACGTGTTGAAATTGACCGCGTTTCAGGACTGGAATGCGTTGGAAAATCATGGTGGATGCAAGGGATAGCGAAAGTTCTGGACAGTCTGGAAGGTCTGGACAGTCCAGATGGCTCATGAATCCGGAACGTTTTCGCAGGGTGGAATGCGTGGTTTTTAAGTCGACCAGTACCGACCACTTTAGGACTACTATTCGACGTATGTCTACCCTAGGGTACCTATGGAGGCCTTTCTTGGAGCCAATCCGAATGCCAATTGCTGAAACATGCAAGCTATAGGCTGAAGCTATTTTTTTTTGTTTTCTGCAAGAGCATTTCATGTAATCGTCAGAATTTTCCAGGTTCTTTTTACCCCTAGCAGCCTAGCTTTTTGCAGCTGAAAAAAAATCATCGTCAGCTCGGAGCCTGACGCCAGTCTCCGAGACAGCCTGGTCTATGCTTTGTGAGTTACCTAAAAAACTGTTTAAGGGGGCTCTCTCCTTTTTTCTAATGCCTCTAGTAAACTATTGAGGGGTTTTATTTTATTTTAAATATAGACTGCTTTGAATTGTGTGTTGTTCACCATACAAAATCTTGAAAAATCCGTGTATCTCCGTTGCCTGATGTGCTTTCCGTTCGGTCCGCACGGCATGATTATTGCTTAGGCATACGAATACTCCGTAGTCCGAAAGCATTGCCTGAAATGGGCACACTGGGCATAACGATTAAGTAAGAAATCCGTTCGCCGTCGATCCGCCCGGCATCGGAGCAACGCAGCTGTCAGGGCCCGACTGGCCGAGAATTGGACACTGGCGTCATTCTTTGGCTCATAGGCAGCGGGTTTTCGACGAATCTCACGCATTCCAGACCACACGCGCATGGTTTCGTAATTTGGTGATTAGGCAATCGGAATAATCTCATAATTCGTGTAGACTCGCACCTCATTATACTCACGACAGATTTAAGATAGATTGATCAAGAGGTACAGTACTATCACGCGATGCAAAATCACGTCAGTCATTTTAGCATGACTCCGGCACGGCATCACGCCTTTTCCCAGCGCTAGTGCAAGGGTTTGGCGCCATTTTTTAAGGCCTGAGGTGATCTGCCGGACGCTGCAGTGGTGGTTCCACCCAGTAATGTGGGTCTTTTGCCTGGTTTTTTTCCTCTAATTTTTGCCCGAAACAACCGGTTTCATGATTTTCATTGGTTGGATTGTTAGTCAGAGCCTCCATACGGAGACGTGAGTCACCCTCCCCGACTCATACCTTGTGAGCCGCTTACCAGGAGCCCCAGGGCTGTATAAAGCTATCCAAACCCCTGCAGTAGATCATCCTTCTTTCCTTTTGATCCTCATCTCATCCTTCCTTTTCAAGGGGGTGATGGTCGCTCCTCTCTGTCCTTAAAACATCAAAAGTTCTTCTTTTCGTGCACATACTTCCACTACCCCGGCTGGGGATCTCTCAATTCAATCTCGCCAACGACTCTCTAGAGAATGGGCCAGAGGCATAACCGACGCCGCACTCGTGCTCGTTCCAGCAAGCGAAGAAACAGTTTCGATCAAGACCCGCCTGCATTGCCCAATTTCGATTCGCCAGGCTCTCCGTTGGCTCTCCCATCAACAATCTGGAGTCCTCATACTCCCGTGCCTCCACCAGCAGCCCTCCACCACACTCCTTCCGCTGCATGCATTTCACCTGGATCGCCGGTCTCAGCAGCCCCTGCCCCGACCTGGCATTATGGGTTTACGGCCTGGCCGATCCGTGATTATGTACCGCAACGGCGGGAAGCAAGCATCGGTCTCGAGGCACGACAGTGTCGATTGTTCGGCGGAGAGCCGGGTGATGATCTAAGCCTTTGTTATCGCATGCTGGAGTATTTCGATGGTCTCGATTATATCGACCCGTGAGTAGCAGCTATCTTCTATCCGTTCTTCGATTCATCTTTCTGACTCATTCGCCGTCAGATCACGAGACAGCACTCTAGGAGATTGAATGCTCTTTCCCGCCGGAATCACCACAAAACTATCAAAAAACCCATACTTTTTTCTTTCTGCCGATTGCGATGATTTATGATCTTCATGCAACATCCAAGAAAAAAAACCCTCTGTTCGATTTGGCCTAGGTTTCGCGTTGAGCGTTCCTTGCCCACTGCAGCGCGCCCTCAGCCATAGTCCTGACTTGACGCAACGAGCATGACCAGAACACCAGATCACATGGACTCCCCGGGTCCCCGACTCGAAGCAATGAAGACACTCCGCTATCAGGAGTGTTGGATTGGTCCCTTTCGACCCGGCCATGTGGATCCTGGTCCGCGATCACGCGAATCCGAGATGAGAATGAGTCACGAGCAGACTTTCTCGCGGGCTCCGCATCGGTCGAGTTCGTGTCCGATCTTTGGGGATTGTTGACGCTTGAACTCCCTTTGTGGATGCTAGCGAGGGAGTCATGGTAGTGGCTTGACCCTCTCCACGCAGATCCGTTCTGTTGAAATGCGAGGTGGCTGTCTATCGGGCTGCCGCATACAGTGAAACATGAATTCGACGGAGCATATTATCGATTCTCTATGATCTATAGGTTGGAATACATTTGCATAGCCTGTATATACTCAGTCGTTAAATGCAAGCACCCTACATCATAGAAAAGGGTCTATCATTTTCAAAACATCCCCATACAAACAAGAGTAATATCAGAAAATAGACATACAGTAGTTCTGTACCAGTTGAAGTTGTAATCAACTTGTTCATTTTAGGAGATCAGCCAAATATTGAATGATCGACAGGGAAAATGCAATGTTGTCCTCAGCTCACCGCCTTCGCCCACAAAGGACCTAACCGCATTCTTTAGGCAGGCGGTAGACGGCTTGAGGACACGGTCATCACCAGATCAGGAAGCGTGAATACTCCCCTTCCACGCTCCTTTGATTCTCGAGGGTCATACTTTTGGCTCCCATTGTTTAGGCTTCTTCTTTTTCTCTTCGATACCCTCTCTTGAGCTATTCTGCTTTGACACCCACAACTCGGCAACCCACGATCCTTAAATTCCGCGGCGGCCACCGCTGTCGCCCTGAATTCGCCGCAGAATGTCGTCAGACTACACTTATGATGAGCAGGTGAGACTTTGTCTACCTCAAGACAATGATACCAAAATGACTGACACGGTTCTACTCTGCGCTACTAGGGTCAATTCTTCCCCTTCTTCATCTTGACCTTGACCGGCCTGGTCACGCTCCCTCTTACCTACAACCTCCTCCGACCAAGCAAAGGTGTGTGGCTCGATCAAGTTGTTCGTTGTGTACATTTGCTAAAAAATTATTTCCGACAGAGCTTGAGAATACGGCTCCCCGAATCACATCCGATTTCAAACCCAAACATGCCGACCTCGTCGAGGCGCAGAAGCGCAAGCGCTTGCGCAAGGAGCGCCGAATCAAGCGCATCATCACAGTGATCGTGGGCTACGTGGTCATGGCTTGGATGGTGTATCTCATTCTCGTGACGGCCCGGACGGTCGCAAAACTATATGACCCATATGAAATTTTGGGCGTCTCAAGGGTACGTTGTGTGGAGTTCTGAGCGCAGCGGGGCTTGCAATTGCAGCGGTTGCCGCGGTCTCCTGGTAAAAGCCAAAGAAATCTCAAACTGACATATACTTGCTTACAGAGTGCCGACGAAAAAGCTATCTCTCGCCACTACAAGCGCCTCTCCCTCATCTACCACCCCGATAAAGTCCGCCCCGATCCCGCCAAGAATGAGACTATGGAGATGCTCAACGATCGCTTCGTAGAGCTCACCAAGGCGTATAAGGCACTTACTGACGAAGAAATCCGCAACAACTATCTCCAATATGGCCATCCCGATGGCAAGCAGAGCTTCAGCATTGGCATCGCTCTTCCCAAGCTTATCGTTATGGACGGTAATGGAAAATACGTACTTTTGGTGTACGGTGCTCTGTTGGGCGTTCTTTTGCCCTATATTGTCGGAAAGTGGTGGTATGGTTCTCAGCGCTACACCAAGGAGCGCGTCCTTGTCGCTAGCGCTGGTAACATCTTCCGCGAGTACAAGGAGGATATCCTGGACGGTGGTATTGTCAATGCTCTGTCTTCTGGTGAAGAGTTCAAGGAGATGCTTAAGGGAGCTCAGGCTGAAGCTGGGCTCGCAAAATTGGAGAAGAAGGTTCTGGTTGAGGAATCGACCTTCCTTTCTGCCAAGGACCGTCAGGCTATCAAGCAAATGGACGACTCTTCCCGACGTAAGGCTTTGGCTTTACTGTGGGCGTATCTCGGCCGTATCGATCTTGGCGATGCGACCCTTGATGCGGAGAAATACGAAGCTGCTCCTATTGCTCTCTCACTAGGCGAGGCCTTTACCGCGATTTCTTTGGCATTTGGCAGCCTTCGCCCGATTCTCGGTGCTTTCCAGGTCTCTCAGAACTTAATTCAGGCTATTGCCCCCGGTTCATCACCACTCTTGCAGCTGCCCAACTTCACCGAGTCAGTCGTCAAGTCCGTGGAAGGCGAGGACGCCAAGGAGCACTGGACGGTTCAGAAGTTCATGAGATTGGCCGAGGATCAGCGTCGCAATCTAACTGTGGGTCCTGGTCTACTGTCCGAGAAGCAATACACAGATGCCGTTACGGTGGCCCGTCAACTACCCGCGCTGGAGGTTTCCAAGGCATTCTTCAAGGTCATGGGTGAGAAAGTCATTACTCCCAGCAGTCTGGTACAGCTGGTTGTGAAGGCACGATTCGTCCCGCCGGGGTGCACACAGGTGCCGCAAATCAACGAGCTCGACTTGGAGGACATTGACCCTGATGAGGATGACCTCGACGCCCTGATGGGCCGGAAGCCGGCCAAGAACCGTGCTACCAAGCTGGTCGATGGCAAGAAGGTTGAGAACAAGATTGAGAACATCCAACCTCCCCTCGCACACGCTCCCTACTTTGCCCGCGATCACTCCCCCCGCTGGCATGTCTTCCTGGCCGACGCCAAACAAGGCAAGATGGCCGTGCCTCCCTTCACATTCACCACCTTTGACAAGCCGATCCTCGACGAGGCTGGAAAGCCCACGTTCAACGTCCAGACCCTCAAGATGCAGTTCCAGGCGCCTCCGCAGGTCGGCGACTTCACCTTCGTCATGCACATGGTCTGCGACAGCTATCTGGGTTTAGACACCAAGATGGAGATTACCCTGCATATTGACGACCCCGCCAAGGCGGCTGCCGTGGAAGAAGAAGACGATATCAGCGAACCGGATGAGGGTAAGTTGTTTCCTCCCGTACTTGTGTCGCGGCATTTGTGCGCGGTTGTTATCAGTTGTGTAGGCCGAATGCTAATGTTTACTGTTTCGCTCCAGATTCCATCGCCGGTCAAATGCAGGCGCTCAAGACTGGTCAGGCTCCTAAGCCTAAGAAGGCCCGGAAACCTTCCGAGTCCTCCACTGAGGAAAGTGACACCGAAGGCGACGCAGGCGATACTAGCGACACCAACACCGAGACGGAGGATGAGGATTGATCGCATTTACCTTGCATTGATTGATGGATTGTACGCGGGACTTGTGCGACATTGTTCTGGTTGATTAGGATCAGTCTCTTTCTGGGTTTCATTTTTTGTTCTAACACTTTTTTTTTGCCATCGAACATGCCCTTTATATTTCCCTTATGCCTTTTCCTCCCACTATGGTCATTGTCCTATTGGGTGTATTCTGCGGGTGTTGTCTCTTTTATTCGTCTTGGTGTTTCCATCCTCGCCTCGAGCTGCATTCCCCCCTCTCCTTCTCTCTATTCCTCTCATCTCTCTGTCTACGTTCGTCCATAACACTACAACAATAACCCCGGTTCACCGCCGAAAATAGACTCTGGGAATACAAAAGATCTGCCTTCTGCCACACCCGCACTACTATAAAGAGATAAAACATATCCAGTAGGCCTCCTCAAACTGCGCGTAGGGTGTAGGGTTCTGCATCTAGCACTATAAAGTTTTACATTTCCATCACCGGGCGTGCAAGGGGGTCATGGCGGTTGGTCTAGGTTTGCGCTGCAGCTCGTCAAACCCGTCTGTCTTTGGTCACTGGTGTAGCTCTTAGCTTGAACTCGTACGAACATAGAGAGTTAGGCGCACTGTTCTCCTTTTGTGTGCCTTTTGTCATGCGTCTGGTGGAGATGGTGTGGTTGGGGGTGGATTCCGGTTCGTGGGGATCTGAATGAAAGGTTGCGTGTAGTATACAGGGCCAGGGCTGGGTTTGGAATTTGGTTGGTTTGATTGTAGAGCATAGTCATGCTTTATATTTCCGAATTTGCTTGGAGAGTAAATGAACGGTTCAACATGATGGAAATAATAGAGGAGTATGGCTTCACGCTAGCTCATTTGTCGTGATAGTTCTTGCCACACACATAATCTCAACATCTTCGATCTAGGAAACTCATCTGATAATAGCAATGACTGACTAGATATAGAAAACACCTAATCTTGCATCGTGCCCGGAAGAAGGGATACAAAATGCTATGAAGAAGGCTAGAAACAGAAGACGATAACCCCGGGAATACTCGCTTTTCCAGAGGAGAGCAGAAGTAGCAAATACGCCAGATATTCCCAATGACATGGGCTCCTTGGTTCCGGTTCTTTGTACACGTAAAACCGATACGCCAGCTCTATGTACTGTAGTAGGTTGAATTCTGACACGATCTCGTTCATTCTCTTTCATGAAGATAGCTGCAACCGGGAAAGGGAGACCACAGGCCGTACCACAAACCTTGAATTGGGATTCCAGTCATAGACCAAGAAAAGAGATATAGAAAGGAAAAGAAGATAATAATGGTTATCAACGATCTTGATATTGCTCGCATCGAGAGCGGATCAAAAAAAAAGATAAGAAACAAAAGCTAAAAGACCTCCTCACACAGAGGGAAAAGACCAACCCGGCGTAAAGCCAGGATAAAGCGAAGGCTCATGTGTCGAGAATTGAAAGTCACTTAGCAAGTCACTCGATAACTCACTCATCGGATGATCCGAATGTGTATCTTGCATAACCCCAGTCTGCAATCGAACAGCAGTCTTAGCCTCGACCGACGACCCAGCCGAAGATGCATTGCAACCCGCATCAAGAAAATACGCAAAAGACTGCTGTTCGTGTGGCTGTGGGTTATGAGCTATCGCCGATGCGGACGGTATATCCACATGAGGCGAGATCTCGCCCGCGTTTAGATCCGCGGATGTAATAGACGGCCGTTGTTGCACGGCCAGCAATCCCTGATGATACCCGTTATCGGGATAGCTATAGCTAGCTTGCTGGACAGACTGCAGATCCCACTGCCAATTTGAATTACTTCGACTTGTCATCGGTGTTAGGAGGGAATTGCAGATGGAGGGTCGAGAAGAGGAGAGAGTCGTTGGCGAGGGTTCCGGGGGTGTAGTTGGTTCTGGAGAAGGTTCTGCCGTGGCGCTGCACTCTGTCGATGTGGAGAGGAGTCGGAGGTAGCGAAGATCTTCCGAGTCCTCGTCTGGCTCATCTGCGTTTTCTTCCGCTTGTTTGATGAGACCTAGACGATCGAGGATTGCGTGGGTGAGTGGGTGGCCGTCTGGGGCTTTGGCGAGGGGTTCGCCTGGGAAGTCTTCTTTGTTGATGCAGAATTTGTATAGTTTTTGGAGGGCTTTGACTACTAGTGAGTGGTGTGATTCGAGCATCTCGACGAATCTAAAGAAGTTTTCATTCACGGTTAGTGTATAATCTCGCTTTCAGGTGATCTACTATTGAGAAAGCTCACCCTCGAGAGTACACTTTCGTTTGAGTCGCTTTCCTCTCGCGGAATAAACATGGGTGATTGTGTACCGAGCAACGATTGCAAGGCTGCTTACCATCACACTGCCAGCAATGGGTTAACATCAGTATTCTAATATCATTGCAAATAGCCTACCTTGGTTTTCTTCACACGACAACGATCACAAGCCTTGAGAACATGCTTCCGCTTAACCCGGAAAACTCGCTGATCACGTTTCTCATCGCCCGTCCTTGATCGATGCTCTAACTCTGACAGTGAGGCCACCGCAAAGTCATCGAGACTATGCGGGAAACCCTTGGGTCGAAGCTTAGGTTGCCAGGTCATGGTTGGTTTATGCCCTTGACGAATTAGGCGCAGGCACCCGAATTAGATACGGGCGAAAAGCGAACAAGAAGAATCGGGTATAGTAAAGAGTATAAAAAATGCAAGTAAAAGATAGGATTCAGAAGAGGGTAGTATGGACGGGCCAGAAATAACAGCCCAAAAGAAACAAGGGCAGAAAGTTATGACCGATAGGTAGGAGGGACAGATTGAGTAGGTGCGGGGTGGGTGAACAGAAGTATGGATCATGGATGATGAAGTATGGGTCTATAGAGGGGTATATGAGAATTATCTGCAGCGCAAAACAGCCTCATTCATATTGCACGCAGGTATCTTGATCATGATGGTTTTCTATGGATGAAAAATGATCAGTTGTGCAGCGCAAGCCGGGGCCAACTCATCTAATTGATCTGAGTGGTTAATTTCGACCCAGCTTGACCACGACTACAAAAAAAAGTATCAAGCACACCCCTCGTCCATCCACCCCCTCCCCTCTCCCTCTGCCCCGCATCAGCACACAACACACAGGTGTACTCCTCGTTCCTAGAGGGAGGGCTGATGTGATCAATACAAAAGGGTGACGTGGAGGGGTCTGTCAGAATATCAACCGGGGGAAGGCCGTTCGAGGGTCTCGCGACATCTTTTGTGGCTGTGGGAGGTACGACGCTGGGATCCCCGTCGACAGGATGAGTGGAACCGAGACAAAGAGACAAGTAGATTGAAATAGGTATAGTGGGTTATAGTTCAAGGGCCTCATAGGTAGCCAGCAGCCACTGGCCACGGGCCACTTGTAAGGTGAAGAGCGAGTGGGACAGACAAATCAGTGGCTGGTCAGTGGTCATCCTGGGAGTGACTGTCATCATGGTCAATAGTTTCCACGTCGTTGTTCAGTGGACACGCACTAGATAGCCAAGTAGAGCCCGGCAACTTCAGCAAGTGGGGAGACATTGCATTGAGATGCATATTTCGCTGCGATTAACTGTGATGACACTTGATGGATACTTGATGGACACGGTCCGAGCCGCCCAGTGGATCCGGGCTTCGGCACACGGACAAGAAGCCATCTTGACTCTTCACCTGTCAACAGTCAACGGATTCATCCTATACAGGCTCTAGGTTAAAGGCTCACTGGCTACACCCATCTCGGTCCTCACATTTTCCCCCCGGTCGTCTAGGCAGCGAGAGACAAGAGTGAGAAAGAGAGCAGGGTCAACGCTCCGCCCCCAGTCACCCAGTACTCACTGATTTAGTCCGTGCCGTCCCCCGAGGCAATCGCAATGAGAATCTCGTCACACGCCCGCTGGAACCCCCCAGGGTCAACACGTGCAATCCTGGTGACTGTAAAGATGAGTAAAAACCAAAGTCACTTTAGTCACTGTAGTCACTCTTGGTCACTCCAGCTTACTGGTGCTGTCTGTGCAAGAGACTCCGCCCACCAAGACCGCTGAATGACAGCCCTGAACCAACCAGACCCCCCTGTCCACTCTGCTTCTGCTGATGATATCTTTCTTTTGGGACTCTGCCAGTCATGCTGCTTGAATCTGATTCGGTCGCAAGCGGTGTACAGTACTTGTTTCTTTGGCCCTATCACCTGATATAATATCCTTGCAGGCCGATGCACCGAAACGTGGTACGAGGTGATATGCCCTTGACCATGGGTGACCCCGGGAGAAAAGGGAGAAAACCATGAAATTGGAGGGTCGCGGAATTGGCATTTGGTCTGCAGGGGAGGAATGGGAGAAGAAGAGAATGAGAAATGGGGTTATTGTCCTGAGGTCAAGCTTGTCAGCCATCCGCCCTTTGCCTTGGTCAGTTGTCAAGGTGAGGTAAATGAAGGATTCGATAGGTAACTGTGTATGTACTGTGTAGTAAGTAGAAATTAGAGAGAGGTCTACTATTGGGCGCGCCTGACGGGCAAAGATGGAGAAGAGAGAAGACCGGAGAGGGTTAAGAAACAGAGCACGACCTAGGTAGGAAGTCTACTACTTAGAACCATATATAGCTCATGTCTCTGCATACTACACCTTAATGTATACATCATGTCCACTCTACAAAATTTATAGATCGCAGCCATTCCATCCCTCAAATATCTACATGATTAACTGTGATATGATCTCCCCCCATCTCACCTTAACCAACACTACTTATAGATCTCCCTACGCAACAATAGAAACACAAAACACAACAACCCGTCCAGATCAGAACCACCTGATCGGCGTTGATCTAAGATCATCTTTTGTGTATCCCACCTAATCCATCACACCCATTTTACCCATCCTACTCACTCTATCACGATAGATCTGTGTGTCTGTTGTGTCTTGCATCATGCTAGTAGTTGTAGCTCCAGCTCTTCCGCAGCACAACCCCAGCCGTTGTGTAATGGCCATGGAGTTCGATCAACTGTACAGCTACTACTACTAACCCAAACCCAAACCCCGGCAAGGCCGACTGGTTACCCCATTTGGAGCTCGAGCTCAGGCTTTGCAGATTAGGAGTGACGGGTTTTGGCCTTGATTGTATTCCTTCCAGTGCAATCAAATATGTTGTTAAATTTATTTTATTTCAGTAATCACTCAATTTAGTTTTTCTCTCAGCTGAATGGCCGGGATGGTGGTTGGGCTGAGATAGTAAAGACAGCGCAGGTGAATAGATAGATTGGAAGGTCAAGTAGCATCGGGGAGACATGATGAAAGACCGCGCTGGTGAGTAGGTGATGTCTATACCTGCAGAGTCCGAGGTATACAGTATGCAAGAACTACACAGATCACGCCCTATGACCTACTAGCTTCGATGGGGAATGTCTGGGCATAGCCCTATAAGCGGGCATGAGCAGCTGTCGTGCTGGGTGACGTTGGTAGATCTGCAGTTGCGAGGTGCAGGACTAGATCCGTATTCGATGTATTTGAGAAAGGTTTCTTGAAGGATTGGATCCAAATTTGTATTCGTGAATAAAAGACTTCTATTGAGTGGGGAGAAACTCCATGTGCCTTGGCACTCTATTTACCGACCAGGTCTAAATCAACCCCTCTCCTATACTGAGGGGCCTAACATAAGTGTTTAAAAGCATTAAAGACATTATAATAGCAGGAATTACCAGACACGTCCTGTGTCTGCCTCATTTTCGAGGCCCAGTCTTGCCAGATTGGACACTAGAACAGAGAGAAAATGGGTAAAAAGGACGTGACAACATGTTCACTCTACATTAAGAACCGCCAAGCAGGCGTCCCATAGGCCAAGGCCACGGGAGGTGCATGTCAGTCCATGTCAGAACAGCGGGACAGTTGATCATTTCTGGCGTTTTTTATTTGTCTTTTCCCTCGATTCTCCTCTGCCAGGTACAGCACAGCTCGGCGAATCTACCCGACCAGTCCACACGGGCCTTGTTTGCTCCTCGCCCTTGACACTCGACAATGAGGTGGTCAATGGATGGCGATTAATCACGCTCCATGGAGCAGAATGCTGGCCTCGCCCTTTGCAAGCACGTCGAAACTCTCCTCGCTTGTCGCCGTGGTTGGTGGACTAGGCGCTGAGTGGTCGGGCGGCAGTTCAGACATGCGATCCTCCTCCAAATGATTTTGAGTCTTCCACCGACGTTCGCCAATCCACTCAAAGCCATCACCAGCGCCGCTAATGTCTACCTTGCGACGTTCGCTCTCACGCTCCACCAGAGGCAACTTTTCTTCATGGTCGGAGGGAGCGGCCACAGGCAAGTTGCGACAATGCCATTCACCCAAGAACATGCCCTCGGGGTCAACTTCTTGCCGCACCTTCAGCCACTCGTCCATGTCACCCTTGTATAACCGATGAAGCTCCGTCGAGTCCAGGGTGCTGAAGTTTTTCGCCCAGTGAGGTCTAGCGCCCATGTCCCGCATGAGCCACTCGAAGGCCTCATAATACCGCTGGCGACAGGGCGGATCTCGGAGATACGGGCGGTACAGAGTGGCGTTCAGGTAGAGCGTGGGCTCGTCGCGACAGGTGGGATCCAGGAAAGGACGCGGGTTGGGATTCTTGCTCGAGTCCGACACGCGTACCTCGACTGGGCAGTGCACCCACAGACCTTTGGGAGAGAAGGGAATGCGCGCGGTCTCCAGGTCCCCGTGCAGCCACGCGGAGAGGCGGATAATGGCCTCGGGACCTTTCTCGAGGGGCAGGGCCCACTCGTTGACAAACTGCGAGTACAGGCAGTTCATCAGCAGACCGGCGCGTGCCGGCTCGACAGCCTCGGAAACGGTTGCTCCGGGGCGGAACCCATATTGCATACCGAAAATGAACCACTCGACCCATGGCAAGATACGGGGGAAGTACGAAGACAGAGCAAGGAGGTTATGGTAAACGTGGTATCCAAACCACTCGCCATAAAAGTTATTGGGCGGCGCGCGGAGGGGCTGGTCTGTGGGATCAGCGTGCCAGACAATCGCGCCCTTCTCATACGGCATCCACCAGACACGGACAAACTCATGCGATGTCCACAGTCCAGTGGACCATTCACTCAACACCTTGGACAGAGAATATCTCTGCTGGCGCCAGGCAATGTTGAACGCGGGCCTTGCCCTGAAGGTCACCTCGACCACAATTCCGAGCGCGCCCAGAGAAACCAACGCGGCACGGAAGAGGTCGGGATTGTTGGTAGCACTGCAGCGCACCAGCTGGCCGTTCGATAGCACCAGACTCAGAGACTCGATACACTCCGAGAGCAGGCCATGGCGCAGAGAGCTACCATGGGTACCGGTGGCAATGACACCCGCTATTGACTGACTGTCAATGCTGCCCAGATTCTCCAGTGTCAACCCTTGTTCCTCCAGCTTCGGCCCCAACTCATACAAGCGAATTCCCGCCTCAACAGTCACCAAGCGGGTCTCGGTATCGATATGCAGAATGCGATTGAAGTCATCGAGGTTGACGAGCCAGGACGAGGTGCAGGTCAAATCGGATGGGGAATGGCCGCTACCGACAGTCACCAGGCGGCGGCGACAGCGACGGGCGAGGGTGACCAGCTGCTGAACTTCCGTAATGGATTGAGGGCGAACATAAAGCTCCGGTCGGGAGAAGAAGGTCTTGGCCCAAGTGTGATGCAGGTGGTCGGTCGAGGCGCGGAACGGGACCGCGGGGTTGAGCTTTGACAGCTCGCGGGAGATGGAAGCGTCCATGGTAGGATGTGTAGTGAATTGATCGGGATGTATCACCACATAGTGTAGGTCTATCACATTGTCTGGAGATTACTTGGGTCCTCTCGGGAGGTAGTGGGGGAGGGATAAAGGGGGGGAAGAAGAGGTGGTGGTGGAAGACAAGAGACTGGCACGGCACGCTAAAACTAAAAAAAGGTGTCGCGATGGCGAAATGCGCGACCATTGGGGATCGGCCCACTACGCCCACTCCTCCACCTCCACCTCCACCTTGAATTGGTGCCTGTTTATATTACTCTCCTTGATCTGATCAATGAATCTGACCCTTTCGTCAGGGCTGCAAATGAATCGAAATGTGCAATGTTGACAATCGCCGATCGATCGATCGCTGATGCGACAGGCCGAGGTCGCTCTCCCGAATGCCCCGATGCTTCCGACTTAATAATGATGACAGCTGCCGTTTTTGGGAAAGGTTATCTCCGAAGAATATAAACCACACTACTGTATATTGAATGATATATACTACCAAATTCCTCACAGTATCTCTTTGTTAATGCTCAGGCTCTACTCGTTTTGGTGGTCATTTTCGGCATTTTCACATATATGTTCATTCTTCTAGCTTCCACGAGACTACTATAAATAGCCACTCAAATATCATGGAAGGATGGAACTTTTTAGAGCATAGCTTTCTCTATCTCGACTATATACCAAGGTGACGGTCAGGTCAGCTGCCTCTATGCACGCTTAATCTTTTTATTAACGCTAATACATACAAGACTTTTCTAGTGTTGGTTGGTTTACTATAAACTTGCATATATAAGATGATGAATACACAGAAGATAGACATGCTTTACAAAGGCAAGTAAGGAATTTTGGGGATATAAGATGCTTGTAAACATACCACTAGTGGTCGTCTCTTTGCCAGTGATACCTCACTACCACTTCACTCGCCGGTCTTTTCTTCACTCACTGGTCACTCATTTATCACCAATCTCATCGTCAATTCTCTCAGGATTCTTCCACCTTCTCAACAATCCCTCTCAGGAAAACCCCTCACCAGCTTTGAATCTCCTCAAGATGTTCTTGGAATTACCAGCATCAATCCGTTAATGGATTTCTATTTGTCCGCTGGTCTGATAACAGACACACACATTGCGTATCTACGCATTGAAGACAGCTCAGTAGATGATACTAAGAAGCATGACGCCGAGTACCGCGTCTGCCGCTAGGTCTATAACGAAGTGGAAGCACTTTTGCTTAACCGGAATACACAGGTCTACGAGGCGATGGAACAAACAAACTATGAGAGCTTGGACACTCTTAGCTAATTTTCCCCTCGTTCTTGCTCCTTGTCGCGAAACATCTACGTTAAGCTCTACGTGAACGAGAATGCGGACGGACCCGAGTTTAACTCCGAAGGATTCCTCACTAAGTGGTAAGCAGCTATCACAAATTTCTTGACCCACGGAACGCTTGAGAAGTTGAGGCTCCATTTGATCTGCGAGATAATGGACCGAGCAAAGCTAGACGTAGTACTCAAGCCTCTGGAAGGGATCGTAGGTCTGCTTTTGGAGCTATAGCTACGTCTACACCTATTATCTGCGGCTTGTGCTCGACTTACAAGTCTTTAAGTTCAACTCCCTGACCCAGTACTTGCAAAGCTATTCCGCCTTTTTGATCTCCCGCCGCAAATTCGATCTCTAATCCTCGGGTTCACGGACCTTAATACTCCCGATGGCAGAGTTTATTAGGATTCTATCACTAAGTTCACAAGAAGCATTGGCCCCCAGAGTCGTGATGAGTCTGTTAGGCCCAACAAGAACGGATATGCACGCCGCTTAGCATCTAGATGTGACGCTTCTTCCCTAGAAGCTGGAGACTTTTTGCATGCGCAGCAGTTTGGGAGCATATTCCACCCAGTGCGAGCGCCATCACCGCCACGGCGCCTTGCCAATACTGCTGACCAGCCGTGCGATGTATCACGAGGCCATGCATATATTCTACATGAACAACCGAATTGTTATTTGGCCCAACACTCAATCCATAGGATGTGTTTTTGCCGCGACAGGACAACTACCATTCCAGCCTTATCGCTTCAGCGAGAATCCTCCAGGGCAACCTCACATCCCGGCTGGCCGTGCTCATCGCAACAATGTCTATCTGGCAAATTTGGCGTGGCATGATGCAACAAAGCTCTTCATTCAGCATGTCAGCTTGACAGGCCCAAGAAACATCCGCAATCTGGAGATCGTCTTTCCGATGATTGGATTGCATGACAGCTTCCTATATGAAACCCCAGCTTACAGGGAATGGTTGAATGCTGTCAACTATCTGGCCCTTGTGCTCGTGCACCCGGATGCCGCGAATTTGAATCTGGTCATTCATATCAGATCCCCACACAGCGCGTTCGATTGGCCATTTGAAGATGCGGTACGAAAGATGGATACGTTGGCACCCTGGCTCCTGAGACCGCTGCAAAAGCTTCCAAGGAATCATCTGTCGAGACTATTCGTCCACCTAGAAAACCTCTATCATTGGGCACCTTCAAGGCTGCCTCGAGGTCTTGAAGCACCCAAACTGCCGGAACCGGAAGCGGAAACCCAAACCCAGGCGCCAGACCACCTGGCATGCCGTTATGCAATGAAAAGCTTGCGGAAATGGAGGTCAATTTGGAGAAGCTAGCCACGGGGGATAGCTACAATAGCTATGCGGTTGGCAAGGGAAAAGAACACCCTAGCCCTTGGCTTCAAGACGAATGGAAGCGGTTCATTTCAGGCCCTTAGAGGAAGGCATTTGGCCGGAGCCAGGCCATCGTAGACGATTTCTTCCTAGCGAAAAGCTTCGCTGGAAGGAAAAGAGAGAGTACAGATACATACCGAGCTAATAATTATTCATATCGTCTAGGTCAACTAGATAGATATATTGAATCAATCAAGGGAACTTCACTTGATTCATGCATTTTACACATAGAATATAAGGACCAGTGAATTCGACGCCGAAAATAACATCCCCTGGCGCCAGAAACGGCCGTCTTTCCATCCGTAATTTCCACCACCTAGCCGCCGCTCGACCGCTCCATCAATAATCTTGACCACCACTAACTAGTTAAATATTCTGCACCCGCTAACTTGGTTGTTAACTAACGTAGTTAGTTAACTAAGCTATGTTAGTCATCATCCTGACTTGTGTAACCTAACCTTGGAACTAACTCACTAGTTAGTTCAGTTGCCACCAAACATTTGAACGCGTCATTTTCCAAACTTTGTTGAATGTCTGAAAAGAAAATATAAAGGAAAGAAAAGTACGCTCGGTTTGATGCTCAAACCAAGAACTTCCAACAGACCAACATCCATATTCCGATCTCTGTACGGGCATTCTTGGAATAAAGGTCAATTTATAAGCATACCCAATCAAAAAGAACGTCATTGTTATTGACTTATACTAAATATGTTGCACAGCACCATATTAGCCCACTGGCGGCATTGTATTACAATAATTAACGTGGATCTGTTTCCTGGTTTTCCATATACTATGTCTGCACCTACAGAGGGCCGCCAGTCTCCTGATCCGGAGCACCAGTCTGGAGCCCAGCTGAAAGATCCCATGTTCTCCGAACATAAAGCTATTGAAACGCGCCCGGCACCAGAGCTCGGTCTCAAAATGGGAGAGACAAACGATCATCCGTTGCTTAGTAACCCTGTTCATCGTTTGGAGAACATCGAGGCAGGTAAATACGGTCCTTCCATCAGAGGTTTCGAAGAAGGACGTATCTTTGGAGCTACGTGACGCTTTCATACAGTCGAACTGTAATCTAGTGCTTTTCACGGTATATCTCATAGTGATTTATTTTAATTTGCTTCAATGTACTGCCTGAAGGATGTGAGGTCGGACTGGCACAGAAATGTCGCCTGCTGCTCTAAATCTACTCCGTAAACATGTTTTCAAAGGCAGGGTTCTCGATAGAAAACTTAGTTTAGCAGTCGCGCCGACCCGAACTCCGATTTTTCCGAGATGAAAAAGGTCAAGACCTCCCTATCGTACGAGTAAGTGACATACTTTCGTTGTCTATCGCAAGGACAGGTTTAAGGTTCTAGCCATCATCCACAATGCTGGAGCGAGCTGTACAATCCTCTAATAGAGTGGCATCCGTAGTACCAGGGAACACCCGCAAAAGGACGGTCCCGTCCTGGGCATGCGCGGCTGATATCGGGTTTCTCTAGTCGCGTTGATGGAATTTTGTCACTTGCAGGGGACCTGTCCGCCTGAACCTAACACGTTTGTCTCATCCAGATTCGTCAGCATATACTTGGTGTTACGATCTGAAATCTTAGACTAGCCTTTGGCAATTATGGCTATTCTAATGCTGGAGGTTGTACCCATAGTCTGAAATAGTTCCAAAGGATTTCATTGAGGCAGAAACCATATTTCTCAGGTAGATGATCGCAGAGGACTCTAATAACTAGGGTCGTAACATAGTTAGACCTGTTCGGATTTGAGAGGCGTGATCGTAGATGCTTCCAAATTATCATAGGTCTCTGCGGATATGGTGATGGTCAGCTCCTGCTATGTGCAATATGGGTATGATAACGGAAGTTGCTTAATCGATCTAGGTCGGAGAATAGCTATTAATGGAAGTTCGCCAACTCAGATTGAAACAATTTGCTCGGGGAATAATTATAAATGAACTGAACCACGCTAAATGAGACCATATATCTTCATAACCTTGAAGTCACTGGTATTGCTTCAGATTGTCCTTAGTACTCTAGGCGCGTCTAGAGACTCTCTTGAGAGCTATCCTTGGTGTGACTTCACATCCGATAGTTACTAACACGTATATCCGTGTGGCGGATCTAGCGAGACACTGGCCGTCCCTATTTATGTTCACAGACTTTTCCTATTCTGCTGTGAGTGGGTAGAATGACAAGCGAGAGGCTTAAAAATTGAAATTTGGAATTATGTGAAGTCACCTCTTCCCTCACTACTTTAGGAGAAGGATCCATTTCGTGGGTAAAATGAAGAGGTGATTCAACAATAATACAGTATCATCATGTGATTCGATATCAGTCCACTATTTAGCAAAGCGTGAATAAACTTTGCAGCCACTTCTCAGTAGAAAATGTCGCTTGATTGGTGGACTTGTTCTATTAGCTCGATCTTTGTGCGATGACAAGCTTGCTGAAACGGAGAATACCCCGGAGAAGCTGGTCATGCGCGATGGCTACGATAGTTTCGCGGTTGGAAAGGGGCAAGAACTCCCGAGCCCTTGGCTCCGGGATGAATGGAAGCGCTTCCCAGTCCGGTAGATATGAGTGTTTGGCAATCATAATGGCTATGGAAATTGAAAAATGCGCTCCTTTATTTTGTACATTCAAATTCTTGAGATTAGAGACAAATGAAGAAAACCCTTCTCGTTGACTCCTTCAACTATATACTTGCAAAGCATAGGGGAATCTGGCCCTGTTGCTGGCTAATCCTCCCTTTTCATGTTTTTTTTTTCAGTATTAGATACGTTTCGCTTTCGAAAGATCTTCCCAGATTTCTTTCCATCTAGTCCAAGGCAATATCACCAGGTCGATTTGTCTTTTCAAGCATGCTTAATGAGATAATCCACTCCACGAAACCGGATACTTGATTTATGCATATACCGAAGATGTCTCAAATGTTAAATGTAGTAGATGTACAACCCAGAATGCTCCCGCGATGCTTCCCTCCTCTAGGGCACAGTGCACCAATGATCAAGATGACAGACATGAAGGTAAAATCAAAAAAAAGACTCCATCCTCCCCTGCCGCAAATGCTCTCTTTACAGACCGAAATATGCACAGAGAAATGAGAAAAAAGAACCGCAGGAAGGTACTAAAACAGGAAAAGCACATGGAAAATGGAGAAAATCACAAAGGCATGCAACAATACATAGCACGAAATTTAGTCTCCTCGCTGGTGCGAGCGGATAGCTTCAATGACCACCTCGAGGGGGAACAGGCAGGGTGCGCTGAGGGAATGAGGGTCCCATTTGCGGAATGCGCTTTGGCATCGGTCTGGGATACCGCCTAGCGCGACGAAACTCTTGGGGATGAAGGGGCGATCTTGGAGAGATGCGGCGAGGATGCCGTACTCGTGGGCGAAGACAATTGCGGAGGCGAAGTCGGCTGATTTCTGGGAGGCTTGTTCACCGACGATGCTGCGATGTCGTTAGTCGTGATTATGGGATGCGATATTGAGTGAATGTTAACTTACACGTAGATCTCGAAGAATGTGTCCAGGACGTAAACATCCTTCTCCGTCAGGTCTTTGTAGCAGAATGGCTCGATCTCCTGAACAGTGTCATTCGGCCGAACAACCGGGGACCCCGAGCCAGGACGGCGCATCCAGAAGCGGGTGGGTTGGGCCAGTTCATGGTCGACACGGAGCAGCCTTGTGCGGAAGTGATCATACTTCGGCTTCAACTGCCAGTAGTCCGAGGTCAAAAGGGAATTGCCTTCACTAGAACCGGCGAAGTCTTCGAAAAAGCATTCTGGTTCTTGGCCCTCATCACACTCTTCAAATTCGCCAGTCAAGCCGAGATCCATGCTGATCAGTCGAGCTGCACCTGTTTCCTCCGGACCGCTGCCTCGACCTTTCCAGAGATACAATTTTCCGAAAGGCGCAGAGATCACGAATGGGAATCCGGAACACAAGTTGCGCAATGAGTAATCGACTTCGTCAAAGGCCATCTGGCCCATATGCTTTCGACCGCAGAGCATGTACAAAGCAGACGAGTTGGAGCGAGAGCTGAATCCACGGCGCGTGATAATAATCCCACCGAGTGCTTGAATGAACCGCACAGGCTCCTTACCCTGTCGAACCACGACCAACTTGCAGCCGTTCTCGCGGCCCACCTTGCGAGCAAATAGCTGGGCATCTTCTAACGCCGCTTCTGGGACATCATCTCCGCACCAAAGATACACTTCGGTGCTGCCGCTACCTTGTGCTTCGAACTGATGAACACATAGATACATGCTTCCCTCGTAAAGAACGTACTCCTGGTTGATAGGGAGTTCTTGTCTCTTTCCATCACCCGTCAGCTCCCAGATGTAGCGCTTGACAGTTCTGATCTTTGTCGCGTCGGGTTTGCCTGTCAACATCAACTGTGGGTCGATGTTCATACGGTCTCGCGGATTGGGGAAGGCTTTGAAGAAACCAGCGATGACTTCGCGGGCTTCAGCTGCCTGCGCGACTAGAGAGGGAGCAGACATTTTGCGTGACAATCGGTGCGAATGATTGGGCTTGTTGAGTGAGATATTAGATTGCCTAGAAGGAGCTGGCGGGGATGGGAGAGCCTTGGATCGAGAGGAAGAGTCGACAGCGCTCATGCCAGGAAGCGGTTTGTGGGATGGCGTGGCCGGTGTATCCATTTGGTTTTCCCTAAAACTCGTCCGTAGAGGTGACGGGGAAGAAGGCGACGCATATCGGGGAGGCTGCGCCCATTGTGGCCTGGCTACGGGAGTTGAAGGCGATGATGATACCGGCGATGGCGACGAGGTTGGCTTTGGTGGGACGGGCGGCCTGGTTGAAAGGGGGCTTGATGGCGGGCTTACATCCCTCGGAGTCTGTTGTTCATGGCTGAAGTTCTCTTTATCGCTAAGACCGCTGGGAGATTGGGCGGCGGTTGCGTCTCGTGTAGAAATGGGCGAGGTTGGTGAAGCGGGTGGCATGGGCGACATTGGCGACATTGGTGATACAGGCGACATGCTACCCAGTCTAAACTGCAGTCCGCTGTTGAGAGCATTCTGGAAGCTGGTTCTTACACCTGGGAGCTGTTTCGTGGTAACGGGGCTCTCTGCTCGAGCGGTTTCAGTATTGGGAACTGGGCTTTCTTTCGGCAGGTTCTCCGAGTGAGACTCTGGAGAGACCTCGGGCTCGGGAATTGTCTGCGAGGATGGGACTTCAGGAGAAGAAATGGCACCAACCTCCGTAATATCCTGTGGGGATGAGACAGCATCTGGGGCAGCTGAAACAGTAGAGCCACCAGGCAGTCTTCTCTTGGGTCCTCGAGCGCGGGCTTTCGTCATGTGTGTAAGCGGTGCCGAGGGAGTCGCAGCTGAGCTCTCGCCAGAAGGCGAAACCACCAAATCTTTCTTGGGACCATCGGCGGCGACTGGAGGGCCACGAGCGAGGATATTTGCAAGTGCAGGGTTGATTCGGCCTGCGAGCTTCCCCTTGGCAGCCGAGTATGGATTCACAGTGGGCGTGGTTGCGGTTGGTCGTCTCGCTGATGGCAAGCCACGAACCGAGCTAGCTGTCTCGTGGGCAGGTTTTGGTTCTGGCGCAACCTCTGTGCTAACAACCTCAGCGATGAATTTGCGGGCTTCCTTGGGGCTCGAGATTGGCTCCGCATCCACGATAATGGTAGGCTCCGGGCTAGGAATTGGCGAGACAACCTCTGGCTCTGCCATGGGAATGATTTTCTCAGCCAGTGGGGCTGGAGAGAGAGGCTGTTCCACTGTAGAATCCGCAGGGGACATTGGGCGGGTCTGCTCATCGTCTCGTTTGATGCTGGTTGTCTTGTTCATGAGCTGACGCTTGGCAATGGCTTCAGGCACAGCAGCAGCAGGCTTCTCAGGAGCATCCTTTTCCCCTAGTGTGTTGCGCCTGATAGATCCCCCGCCGGCCTTCATTTCTTCTTTCCGCTTGAGAATGCTCTCCTTGAGCTCATCGACACGCTGAGTTTTCTTGGGACCACCAGTGATATTGAGGGCAGCCTTTCCGCGGAGGATGTTGCCCTTGAGCTCGTCCGGTGCGACATAGTTGCGAGTCTCGGTCTTTTTAAGTTTGCCAAACACGTTTCTGAATTCGGGCTCGGCTTGGGAACCAGTGTCCTTGGCAACCTCGCGTTTCCGCAGGTTTGCTCGGAAGTCAATGACAGGGGACTGGGGTTTGGGTCTGGGCGAAATAGGGTCTCGAAGGGGAAGAGAGAAATTTGGCTTCATGCTCAGCGCGGGTGGTGGGGATTTGCGAGTTGGTACAGGCTCTGTGGTCTTTCTGGGTTGCGCTTGTACTTGTTCAGAGTGGACTTTGGGGGTGACAGAAGGAGAGACAGGGGTCGACTCTTCCTCCTTTGGCTCTTCCTCTTTCTCCGGTCCTTCGTTTGCATCGAGTTTGAGCTCTTCTTCGACGGGCTCCGCCTTCGTTGGGAGAGGCTCATTTTCTGCTACAGCAGGAACAGGCGGCTCTGGTTCTGACTCTGGCTCCTGGGTTTTGGTTGTACTGAGGGGACCGAAGGCCGGAGGAGCTCCAGAAAGACTTGGCTTCTTGAAGTGGCTACCGGGCGGGGGTGTTCGCATCAAGCCAATGGGGGTGACTTCTTTGAAGTTGTTCACACGGCCAGCATCGACGCTGCCTCGAGATTGTCGGTCACGTACCCATGAGGGTTGTTGGGGTGGCGGCTGCTTCTGAGTCCGAGGAGATTCTGGACGGTTGAGCGCACTCTCAAGCCAGGAGGCTTTGGTTGGACTCCAGCGTCTGGGGTCCATTGTTCGAGACGTGAGGGGGCTTGATGGGGTATCGCCCGTCATGCTGTCAGCAGTCATCGAACTGGTCGATCTGGAGTGGCCGTAATATGCAGGTCGGCCTGGGCTGCCTTCAGGACGCGTCTCGTTCCTGGGACCAGAGGGCGTTGTTGGTCTTTCAGTGGATTCTTGGGGGTGCACGGTTGCTTCACTGTGACTTGAGCTGGGTCGTTGTTGTGAAGGCAGCGGGGAAGTGTCTCTCGCTCGTCGCGTGACACCTGTGGGAGTCATGTCACTGACACTCGCGGTGAGACTTGGCCCTGCCACGCTATTGCGGTTTGACATAATTGAGTTACTTCGGCTTAATCCCTGTGGTAGTTGTGCACTCCACCGCTTCGATACACTATCAGAACGCCGCATCATTGCACTTTGCACGAATCCTCCCATTCCTTTCGTGGGCGACGTTGAACGGGCTCGCTCTGGTGACATTCGGCGCTGAGTTGGAGACGCCGGAATTGGATCTCTCTCCGACTCGTTCTGCGGGGGATCTAGCTTTGGTGCCTCGGATAAGGTCACTGGAGACCCAAGTCCAGTCGCAGGGGACACCGATGACACGCTTGAATATCGGTTGCTAAAGTTACTTTCACCGACAGTAGAGGCGGTTCTTGGCGGAGAAGGCGACCTTGCCTCGACTTCCTCAGCCCTCTCCGGCTCTGCGGTAGAGTCACGACTAAACCCTGGCAGTCGACGCCCTGCACTCATCTCTGTTGGACTATCAGACCGTTCCTCGGGCTTACGGAATGCTGGTGAGCCCAATCCCCGGTCTGGAGTTTGGCGAAACCATGACGGATCCTTGGACGAGAGGGACTGTGCAATCTGAGCACGGGATAGCTCGTTGGCGTCCGAGGCTGTGGAAGCGTTTCTCAAATGGCTGGACCGAGTCGGTGATACCGATCCAGGGGACGTGCTACCAAATCCACGAGAAGACGGGCGCTGTTGCCATGACAAAGTCCCCGCTCGGCTTCGTGACATGGTTGGCATCGCTCGCGAGGGAGAATCCGTCTCAGTGTCCTGGACTGATCCGCGTCTCATATCACTTCCTAGTATGTCTCGCTCTGGACTCGAGTTCGCTCCGCCCGGTGTTTCGGGATCCGGTGTCTGTAGTGTCGGCTCCAGCTGTTCGGGAGGGTCGATGGCCGACGGCTGGCCGATGGAAGAAGCACTCAGCCTAAAGGCATTTAGGGTAGGGGATCCAGCGATGGACCGTGCTCGCTCTATCATGATTCGATCATCAGCAAATCGCTCCAACGTGAGGAGGGGGGATTTTTCAAGGGTCCGACTGTCACGCGGGGTGCGACTTCGGCCCAGCTGAGGCCCTAGCGACTCATTTCGAGAATTTTCGAAGGAGGGAGGGACAGAAAACAATACCGGCTCGGCGGGCCTGTCTCTCTTTGCGGCCTTGTAGAATCTCCTCCTCCAGCTTCTTGGTGCGCTCTTCATCTTCCTTGTCGCGGCGCTCGCCGAGTTCCCGAATGCGCAGTAGGAAGTCATTCACGTCCTCGGCCCCATCGGGGTTTGTGGGGACCGTCATTCTCCTTGTCGTCCCCCAAAAGAACCAGCAAACGCTCCGGGTTGTGATTGAGGTTCCTGGTAGGGACGAGGGGCTCAGATTGGGGGAAAGAAGTGGGAGAGTGGAAGACTTCAAGGGCTGAGTTGTTCTCCGCCCTGCTTAAATTAAATGGGGATGGAAGCGATCATCGCAACTCATTGGCTCCTCCGATCATCATCGCACATCCTCCCGGGAACCCTTTGGCTTTTGTTTCCGAACTTTACGACTGGTCGAGTGGAACATGCCCTCGCGATATTCTCTACATCCACTGCTCTTTTTTTTACTGACTAGTCCAGATTTAAACATCCTTCAAGTGATACAGGAGTCCGTGTTTCCAAGGGTTCGAAGCGGGATGTTTGTTTACCACGATGGTTGGGTGTGGAGCGGATCGCGTCCAGTCAGCCCCGCAGGTTTTTGGGCCGCCCAAAATCCTGGACTAACTGGACCCATGGGTGAGCCGCAAATGACGAATTTTTTCTTGTCCTTTTGCCAGGGGAAAAGGGCAAAGTTGAAATAAAAAACTTAGTCGGATAGACCGAATATACAATCTGGCTATCTTTTCCATATGCGATGCCTCGGAAAGTGATCTATCGTCCTGTACCTTGCAGTATTGCACTTTGGGCACACAGTGAAAGTAGAGCCAATCACGAGTCTTAAATTATCCATTCCTCTTGAGAAGAGAGATAAGCTTACTGTCTCTACCGGGCTGTTTTAGCTATAGCATAGTGGATAGAGACCTCTTGTTGAGTATTGTATGTGCTTGGTAGAGTTAGATCCTTACTGCAGTGGTAACTATAGTTAGGACAAACATTTTCGGAGTTTATGTAGTCTCCCGTGGTCGGAATTCCAACCCGAAGCCGTGCAATGCTCTATGCAGCGAGAAGACAATACAAGGTTGAAAATGACCTGGCGAGAATAACCTTCATTTTGATGGTACGCTGCATAGAATCTTCCTTTATCCCTCCAGATTCAAATTCAACTGGACTGCTGTGCTTAGACAACCAACATTGGCCCGTTGGAAAGGCTGAGCTGCAAAAAGTCCCCCTAGGCCAAGGACAAACAGCGACACTTCTAGCCATATAGGAGGTCAACAGTCTGAGAAGGTCATCATGAAGACCTCAATCGTCTCTAGGCGGGGAAATCTTCTCGATTTAGATGCCCAGATGCCCAACAGCACCAGTTCCCACCAGGAGTCAGCTTGACCCAACAGAGGTCGAAGGCCGGTCGTGCCTAATACAAGAAAAGTCGGTCTTTGGCATCCTGTACCACCCATTCCAATCCTTCTGTTAAATTTTTCCCCGTTATGGCACTGCATGGGAGAATAGTCCATTTGTGTGTTTTAATAAGATCCAAACCAAGGCGCTGTAACATCTGTTGTTAGCCTAGTTCTAGTACCAATGAAAGCCCATCATCGTCAAAAAATATTTTGGCAAGTCTTTACACACCTCTCGCACCTCTTCCTCACCCATACAATGTTCCACATCTGTTTTATTCAAGAAGACGAGGAGGGTCGCTCCCATTAGGCGCTGGTGGCAGCTTAGCTTCAGGATCCCGAGGATTGGGCAATGGCGGTGGGGACTGAGGAACGTACCTCTTCCAAGAGCAGCCCAGCCAGCTCCTGGCGACAGTCGTCCACACGGGGACGATCAGTAGCATCAACTACCCAGATAAGGGTGTCGGTTTTTTCAAAGTAGTTTTTCCAGTATGAGCGTAGCGTCTTTTGTCCGCCAACATCCCCTGTGCAAGGTCAGTCCTGTCGTGGTCTGGATAGCAGGTAGGCTCACAGATGTTGAGTTTGTATCTATGCAAGTCAGAAAACACCCCTTTCCAAAATAGTAATGAGAAACTCACCCCATAAAGTCAATCGTTTTGATAATAAAGCCTAGCGTGGGGCTGACTGTGGTGACATCTTCGTTCATGATCCGTTTAACAATGGTGGTCTTTCCCGCATTATCCAGACCCCTGGTACCTCCACCGTTAGCAGTGCACTTGTATTTTGACTAGGAGTTCGTACAGCATCAATATTCGCATCTCCTTGTCCTTCAGACGGGCTTTTCGTAGTATTGACAACATGGTCTCTGAATCTCCCGGCGTGTTAAATTTTGCTGGGGGGTTGGAGAGGGGCAAAATCTTGGGGGAGCTGCTGCCGGGAATCTGCCCTCTTGCTTGGCTTTATCGATATGCAGCACACCACCAACCAACCTTACTCTAACCACCCTCCTATCAATACGAAGTGATTATCTACAGATGTACCACAAAACACAGGTCATCGATAGAATCTCTTATAACCCTAATTGTAGAAATTCTGGCTGAGTCTATATCTTCGTATGGCAACTACAAGCGTGATGTAGATGTAGCCAAGGTCGGCTGTCAATTGGCATCTGGTAGCTAATAAGAACCATTCACCGCGAAGGTCTTGATGCAATCTCATGCTCCAACGTGGAAATTGGAGCACTACATCATCCGATATAGGCTGAGACGCAGTTCCTGTACGACAAGACAAGCATGCTCGAGCTTGACCAGTCAACGGAAAATTACTTCTTCCCGGCATGATAAGACCAAGTAGAGAATCTCACGAGATCCATTGGCACTTCTTTTCGCTGATATTTGAAATTTTGCCGAAGCGGTATAGGACGTGCCAACGTCTAGAAGACGTCCATTATCGATCGATAAAGGACCGGCTAACACTTTCCACCCCCACGCGCAGTCCAACTTCGTCCCTCATCAGGCATCCTTGACAGCATCTACCCTGATGTGGAACCATCCTGCCCTCGTCTCGCACCGAGATGCATCACCCCATGAGATTGTCAAAATGTAAGTTGGTGTGATTGAAAGGGGGGATATTCGATGTATTTCGCATGTTCAATGGCTAACGAGAGCTCACACAGCCGGAAAGAAGATGGCCGAAGAAAATCGTCATTCCCAGGGTAACCTCCCACAATAGCTCGTCTCCAAAGGGACTCGTGCCTCGCGAACTGCATCGTCGATGACAAAAAGTCTGAGCGAACGACCTCAGCATAAACTCTGTGCTAGCCTCTTCCACGGGTAAAGAGGCGGATTCTGTCAAAGACGGTTCGGAGGACGGCCGGCAGGAAAGTTGTTAAACAGGGAGGCAGAGTTATAGTACATGAGCACCGAGCAAGACAAAAAGGCTGGTAAGCTGCAGTCTCCATGCACCATTCATTTCAACGATTCCCATGCTAACCGTACGCCAGCCTTGTACTGCTCGTGAAGCCTGACCCAACTCCACTCAAAATGACAAGGCACTTGATCGAGCTTTTTTGGATCCGGCTTCTGGTGCTGTCTCTGGCTGATCGCTATTGTCAATTGTCCATCCTGAGGAGACATTGTGCAAAGTGCGCGCAGACAAAGTAGTATGCCTTAAGCCAGCAATTATACTTCAGAACGGGCTTGTCAAGTGTGGTATCGCTGATCTGAACGAATGATCAGTTAATCACCCAGGGAAAAAAAACACAATGAAGCTCTCATATCTGATCTCGACATCCCTGGGACTTAACGGCAGACTGAATCCAAGGGCCCTCAAAGAAAATGATTCGCATAAGCTTGAGCTAGCTGGTGCTGCTGAAGACCATGATTTGACACATCTTCACTAGACCAAGGGGTGAACGCGCCTGAAAGATGGTTTGTTAGCCCATCAAATGTCATTATTCATATGATGAATGAGGAGCTTGGCCCGTGTTTGGAAGATGATAGCCTCACACTCACCTCTTGTCTAAGGGGATGCATATATGGCCACTCCGGTAATGTAGCCACAAGTGGTCAACAAGAAGCTCAGTCGGTTGGCATCAGATCGGAAAGATTCATTATACTCCGCCCATTACCTGAAGTCTTGTCCAGCTTGAGAAGGCACGATCGACGAAGCGTCCCAAATTGGAAAGCAAACGACCTGACCATCGCCTTGTCTGTTATGAACTCTATACAATTTCGTGTCTGCGTTTACATGCGATTGGAGCGGGTCCTGGCTGGTTATCTGGTGGTTGATATCTTTCATCCTGCCTCCTTCTTTCTTTCTTTCTTTCTTCTTCTTCCTCTTTACCAGACGGTTACCTTTCACTCATCTCTTTCACTCATCTCCTACCTGTGCAACATGAGCGACAACGTGAATCCCCTCTACGTGGCAAGGTTCTTCTTGGCCTACTCTCAGAACCCGAGAATCGCCTGGGAAGAGGAACAGCAGAGAGTCCGAATCATGGAAGTCCAAAATGTATCTATTCAGGCAGGACTGGGTAATCTCTCCTTGATCATGAATCCGCTGCGGCGGCCCCCAGGCTACCGGGTGGAATCTATCTATGGTCCTCCTCCTCCTCCTATGTCTGTTCCTCAGTACCCTCGCCGTGGTCCTACTCTCGCTTTTCCTAATCGCCCTCCGCCTGGTTATCCTCCCCTTGGCTGTCCTCTTCCTGACTATTCTCCTCCCAGTTATCCTACTGCTGGTCATCCTACTCCTGTTCATGCTCATGCTCATGCTCATGCTCATGCTCATGCTCATGCTCATGCTCATGCTCATGCTCATGCTTATGCTCATTCTCATGCTCATTCTCATGCTACTCCTGCTCCTACTGCTTATGCTACTCATACTTATCCTACTCCTGCTAATGCTGTTCCTATCCCTGCTCCCTCTGTGACTACGACTGCTCCAGCAACAACTGCTCCCGCTACGACTGCTCCCGCTGTGACTGTTCCTGTTCCTGCTGCTCCTGCTCATCCTCCTCCTGTTCGCCCCTACATACGTCCTGTCATCAAGGCAGATGCAGAGGAGATTGCTGAAATCATCAACTATTACAATTCAAGTTCTCCTTTCGACCCGGAGTACGAGGCGATTGAGCCTAAGCATGTCTGCAATTTCATCAAAACCTGCAAATTGCGCCAACTTCCTTTCCTTGCTCTAGTAAAACCACCAGATCCCTCTCAGACTTCCCAGGGGCCTCCAAAATCGCAGGTTTGCGGCATTTCCTACGTAGATTTGTTCGGAGAGGATACCCGCGAGAGGTCCCATGGCGACCTGCAGGTGTACATCCGCCCGGGCATGACACGCTATGGCTACGGTACCTTACTTATGGACTGCATCCTGTCTCTCTGTGACGAGCACTACCGTCGCAGAACCCAATTTGAGTGGCGGCCAGTCGGGGACGTGCAGCTCCAGGTTACCCGACTGAAAGAGCTGGTTTGTGACATTTCCTATCCCGCTCAGCTGGAGATGAAATATATGTTCATCTGGCAGTGGCTGAAAAACACATTCGGCTTTAAGACCCTTGGCGAAATGAGACAAGACCGAGCCAAGTATGGCTATGAGTAAGTTATTCTTTCTTTCGGTGCCGTTTTAGGATAAGGTCAACTTACTAACATCTTATTAAGGGACAATCACCATTGTGTTCACCTCTTCATTAATGCTGGAAGAAAAGAAAATCCACCACAAGTTCCTAAACGCTACCAGCGGGTGCAAGCTCCTCAACGCGACCAGTGATCGGGTACACATGTTGGTCATGCCAATGAGCGCGAATGAGCTCATGACAATTCTGTCACAAAGGAACAGCTCGCTCTAGACCAATGATTGGAGGAGAACAGTCAAGATGCTTGAACAGAACATCAAAAACCAACAAGCACAAAAAAATCGGAAAAGACAAAATGCACAAAAAAAGGAAAACAAGCAAAAGCTTCTCCTTAACAGGAGGCTTATGTTGGATCTTGGCATGTATCTGGTGTTAGATTATCTTGCCATATTAATGTGAAATTTATTCATGTCGTTAAAAGAACAGAGTCGTGTCATTCAGAATGACTAGTGTAAGAGTAGATATACCGATGTTTAGAACTGGCTGTTGTTAAAGACTAGTTAGGGTCTAGAAATAGAGGCTGTTGATCTCAGCTTGGCGGTGACGGGTGGATTCATTCTTATGTCAGCCATATTTTGCTCTCACCGCCCGGGGAACTTTTTTTTTCTGCTGTTGATTTCTGTTCGGCGGATTGCGCGGGCAGCAGAGTCTGGGGATTTACTGGATTCATTCTCTTTTTCTCTTTTGTGGGAGATTACAGGGGTCATTCAATCCCTACATAGAGATATATCCTCTACCGTCATTTCCACAATGGCTCCCAAGGACGACGACTTCGTCCTCACGCTGTCCGATGACGAGGATATTCCCCGATTCGACGACGACGAAGCTAACGAGCTTGCCGACGAGACCCCAGCTATCGACTCGAAAAAGCGCAAGCGCGAGGCCGAAACTTCCAAGGACAAGAACAAGAAGCAAAAGCAGCAAGCTAAGAATGTGAAGGGCAAGAAGGGCAAGGTCCAGCCTGTGGCTGAGGAGTCTGAAGAAGAGGACGACGAGGAGAATGATGTTCCCGGCGCCGATGACCATGCTTTGAACCCCGATTTTGAGTTCGACGTGGGTGGTGTGGCCAATCACGGTGTCACTGAAGGCTTCGACGGTTGGGGTCTGGAGGATTCCAAGCAGAACGGCGGTGGTGATAAGAAGGCCGTGGACATTGACGACATCATCTCTCGGAGAAGGGAAAAGCAGGAGGCTGCAGCCAAGAAGAAGCAAAAGAAGCAAGCTCAAGAGGAGGAGAGTGCCAGCGACTCGGATGATGAAGATTCCGAGGCCGATGGCGGTATGGAGGTCGACTTTGAAGACGACGAGCTCGTCGCCGAGGATGCTTTCGGTATGGGCGCTGACGGCGAGGATGAGAGCGAGGCTGAGGGCCCTGAAGTTGGCTCTGGACCCGAAGACAGCGAAGACGAAGACGAGCAAGACGACGATGATGACGATGCTGCGTCCGACAACGACTCGATTGCTACTCCCGTTGGTCACCCCGACGATATTGGTTCTGGCCAAGAATCCGACATTGAGAGCGAGGTGGACGCAGAGGAAGCCGAGAAGCGCAAAGCCTTTTTCGCTCCTGAAGAGAAGGTCAACGACAAGGCCGCCATGGCGAACAGCACGTTCCAAGATTTCAACCTTTCTCGTCCCATTCTGCGAGGTTTGGCCTCTGTTGGATTCACCGACCCTACCCCTATTCAGCGCAAGGCTATCCCAGTGGCTCTTCTCGGCAAAGATGTCGTCGGTAGTGCCGTTACTGGTTCAGGAAAGACTGGTGCTTTCATCGTACCCATCCTGGAGCGTCTGCTCTTCCGTCCTCGCAAGACGCCTACCAGCCGCGTTGCTATCCTAATGCCCACTCGTGAGTTGGCGGTGCAGTGTTACAATGTTGCCGTCAAACTGGCTACGTTCACCGACGTCACCTTCTGTCAGCTTATTGGTGGTTTCAGTCTTCGCGAACAAGAGAATGTGCTCAAGAAGCGCCCGGATGTGATTATCGCTACCCCCGGCCGTTTCATTGATCACATGCGCAACTCGCCCAGCTTCACCGTGGATACTCTGGAGATTCTGGTTCTCGATGAAGCCGATCGTATGCTTGAGGATGGCTTCGCCGACGAATTGAACGAGATTTTGACTACAATCCCCAAGTCTCGCCAGACCATGCTGTTCTCTGCTACTATGACCGATACTGTCGACAAGCTGATCCGCGTTGGTCTGAACCGTCCCGTCCGTCTTATGGTGGACGCAAAGAAGAAGACTGCCGTCACGCTGACCCAGGAGTTTGTCCGTCTACGCCCTGGTCGCGAGGACAAGCGTCTCGGATATCTGTTGTACCTGTGCAAGGAGATCTACACCGAGCGAGTTATCATTTTCTTCCGGCAGAAGAAGGAGGCGCATCGCGTCCGTGTTATCTTTGGACTGTTGGGGTTGAAGGCTGCAGAGCTACACGGCAGCCTGAGCCAAGAACAGGTAAGCCACGAACCAGCCGATCATCTCGATATGCGGCAGATGCGCCGGGGTTTCAACTACGTTTCTCATGCTAATCTATGTCTTTAGCGTATCAAATCCGTCGAAAACTTCCGTGACGGCAAGGTCGCGTTCCTACTTGCTACCGATGTCGCCTCCCGTGGTCTTGATATCAAGGGTGTGGAGACCGTTATCAACTACGAAGCCCCCAGAGCCACGAGATTTACCTGCATCGTGTCGGTCGTACCGCCCGTGCTGGTCGATCCGGTTGTGCCTGCACGATCGCCGCCGAGCCCGACCGCAAGGTTGTCAAGTCCGCCGTGAAGGCCGGCAAAGCTCAAGGTGCCAAGATCGTCAGCCGAGTGGTCGAGATGGCCATTGCTGATGAATGGGCGCAAAAGGCCGATGATCTCGCCGACGAGGTGCAAGAAGTGCTACAAGAAGAGAAGACCGAGAAGCAATTCGCGCAAGTCGAGATGCAGTTCAACAAGGGCGAGAATCTGATGAAGTACGGCCAGGAGATTATGGCCCGGCCCAAGCGGACGTGGTTCGAGACGGAGACGCAGAAACGAGCTGCGCGCAAGTTGGGCCGTACTGAATTGAATGGAGCAGACTCCAGCTCGAAGAAGGACAAGGCCAAGCTTAGCAACAAGGATAAGAAGCGGCTGGACGATGCGAAGATGAGACATGAAGGGAACATTGGGTGGAAAAAGGGCAGGTCGGAGCGAGATGCTCCGAAGACGAAAGGCAAAGACAAGAAGAGGAAGGGGAAGAAATAAGCGCCTGGGCCTTGGGAGGATGGGACCCGATTGAACTGTTGGTGTCATTTTTAGTGGCCGGACTAGTGTGATTAGCATTCATCCTTGCAAACCTTGTATAGATGGAGAAAAGAGAGAAAGAAGAGGGGAAGATGTTGGGTAAAAAAAGGGCGCATACTACTATTATGAGATATTCTTCTGCTTATCATTCAATACCGACATCTTGTGTAATTGTAATTCTTGACAATAATTGTCTCTTTGTATACTAACTATGCCTCTAGAGATGGTATGACTATCCTAATGACTCCAATAGCTCCCTTATCTATCAAGTAAAAGATCTACAACCGGGCGTCTTCCAGACGCTTCGATACGTCGAGGATTTACCGCAGTTGGCATCTTGCCGATCGCATCACCTTGCGACTGCCGGCTACTCAGAACGTGAGATACCTGCACTACTGTACAGTAGTGCAGTCATCCAAGAGTACTTACCAAGTCTGCTAAGTCTGGAACTACTGTATCGTCCCTCTTTCTAACGCCTTATAGATGTTCCTGTTTTTAAGCTCCACCAGGCTGACCTTCTCAACCAACTTTGCGGATCCGCAATTCGCCCATCGATGCGCCCGACCAGCGCCAAGGCGAGAAGAGCCCAGCCACGACTTTCTCCATGCATGCGGTTAATTGGGCCATTCCGCCGCAGACGCATACCCCAACGCTGCATGAAACTATACGATTGGCTCGTGGTGAAGATTGTCTGGATTCTGGATCCCCAAAGATGCAGGAGAGGGGCAGAAAGGCAGGAGGGCACACGCTTTAGGCTGGTTGACAAGTTGAACCGTTCTATCCGTTGGCGCAGCTCAACCAAGGGACCGAAAGACTAAATCGGATCCAGTCTCAGTCCCCGAAACACCCGACGTCAAGGCGATCTCACCAGAGACTCGAGAGAAGAAGAAGAAGAATAAGCGGGCATCTCGGACGAAAGCTGCTGCGAAATAATCACTCGCTGGGTCCACCGCAAGAAGAAAAAAGGTTAAACCAAGACTCCCCGCGATTAGCACCTCGCCCCACGCAGTGTCGCTCTTTCGGAGAAGCCCAAAATTTCGCCGGTGATTCCCCTCATCCTGTTCCCCCTCATACGCTTTCTTCTCGTCTCTCTCTTTTGTTTTTTCTCTCCCTCGATCATTGCCAATGGGGGTCGCCAATATTGAGCCCCCTTCGTGAACGTGTTCTTCATCCATGGTGGTCGAAGGCACCGGCATGTCTGACGTGCCTCTTAAGAGCGCCCTTCCGCGGAAGAGCGCCTTCTCATGTGAAGCTTGTCGCAAGCGCAAGGTGGGCTGCTATTCGGGCAAATTCCGAGATCGCTAGATGCAGATCGCGGGAAACAGCTAAGGATTTGACTCTGACCATTGATTATGACAGGTTAAATGCAACGGAGCTAGTCCGTCGTGTTCGAGATGCGCCGCCCGTGGCGAGACCTGCGTCTACAGCTTGTGAGTACATAGTTGGCTCTACCCTCGATCGTGGGACCCTGGACCTACCCCCTGGCCTATTTCCGTCCTGGGGACCACCTGTGGCTGTCGGCTAATAGACTCGTCTTCCGCGCGCTTGCTTCCAGGGCCCCAACTTTATCCTATACGAAACAGCTTGAGGCTAGAGTCGCCCAGCTGGAAGATGCTCTCTCCAAGCTCCGTGGCCAAAATGCCAATATAGAAGCACGCAAGGGGAGCTCTCCGGCATCGGTGGCCGAATCTAGCTCGAGCGCCGGTCGCAAAATCAAAATCGAGAATGATGACACACAGGATCTGGCGAGAGAATTCGATGGCTTGAATGTGGAAACTGACGGTCGCATCTCCTTCCACGGACCGACCAGTTTGTTCCAGCTTCCAAGTGGAGTGGTGAGTGAGACGGCCGCGACGACTCATGTTGTTCAGGAGCTGGAAGCTCGCAAGGAGCGACTCATCAACAGTGCATGGCGGGAACGTGCATTTGAGCAGATGGCTGCAATGCCGGTAAGGTCTTCGTGTGTGATAAAGAGTATCGACAATTGAAGCTGACCATGATCAATTCATCAGGAGCCATTCCAATACCTACTTGATTCTCATTGGTGTTGGATTCAGCCGTTGTTCAACTTTGTCTATCGCCCAGCCTTCACTCGTATGTCTTTTCCTTATTCTCCTCAGTCATCGCTTGGTATACATGTTCCCAAGACTGATCCTCGTCATACAGGTGACATGAAGATTCAGGGCCCATATTATTCGGATGTCCTGATGAACGCCGTCCTCTCCCATTCCGTGCGTTGGTGCAAGGCAGAGCCCCAGATCGGCCCGCTTCTAGACTCATTCGACGGCGGCGCCCAATTCTACCAGCGTGCCGTTTCGGGGCTCTTCGAGTCGCTCAAAGTTGGTTATGCTAGTGTACCAACCATTCAGACACTGCTGCTCCTTAGTGCGCAAGAATGTGGTAAGGGCAACCGAACACAAGCCTGGCTGTATAGTGGCATGGCATTCCGAGTTCTAGATGATCTAGGAATCTCGATCGATAGTCGCAAATATCTCGGGGCGGCCCAGTTGAGCGACGAGGACATCGAAATTCGGAATCGGCTATTCTGGAGCTGCTATTTCTGGGATAAGATTGTGTCTTTGTACTTCGGACGGGCACCGACAATGCAACATTCTCAAGTCAGCCCACCCCGCATGATACGTAAGTTTTCACCAACAAGACGTTCTCGGTGAATCTTACTGACCAGTGTTCCAGTTGACGACACTTCTGAAATCGAAATCTGGACTCCTCATGGTGTTACATTCCCCGATGGAGCTCATTATCCACCTACACAGGCACATTCAACCTCGTGCTTCATCCAGATGTGCGGCCTTGCTGAGATCTTGAACCAAATTTTGATCCACATCTACGATCCTATGCGCCAAAGCACCGAAGCGGAGTTCTTTGACTGTGTCCAGGAACAAGCGAAGAACCTGAGTGATTGGTGGGATGAGCTCCCCGATTACTTGAAGCTTGTGGCTACGGATCTACCCCCATATTCCCCACCTAGTCACATCATGACTTTAAAGTGCGTTTCCTCCCCTGGAATTCAGATATCCCCTGCTAATATCTTATTCTAGTTGCCTGTATCACACCGTCAACATCCTGCTTCATCGCCCGATTCTCTGCTCCCGTGGCTTGTTGAAGACCCGGCAAGAGCCATACGATAAGAGCCATCTTGTTCAATGTATGGCCTCTGCAACCTCAATCCTATCTCTTTTCGATCTATACCGTCGCACATTCGGCGATAATCACGTCGTCCTATCTCAGGCCTACAGCATCTACACCGCAGCATCCATATTCCTGCTGGAGATCCAAGCCCTCAAGTACGCTGCCCCCGGAACACTGGACAAACTCAAATTCTGTATATTCGCCCTCGAGCGCATCAAAGGATCCAACCCCGTCATCACCATCGCCCTCAACCTCGTCTACCAAGAAATCCAAAAGCTCCAAATCGACATCCACTTCACAATGCCAGCCCAACCCTCAAACACAACCCAACAACAACAACAACAAAACCCACCACCCTCTCAACCTCACCCTCACCCCACCCAACAAAGCCAATCTCCCTCCGTCAGCAGCAACCCCTCCCGCCACGTCTCCCCGGGCATCCCACACCAACACCAGCGCCAACAAAGCCGTGCCACAATGACTACACAACCCGGTACATCTGGCCCGAGCACTAGCGCGTCCATGATCCCTGAATACAACACATTCCAACAACCGGTCACGGGCTTCGACTTGTCTCATATGGGCGATATGCCGCAAATGCCTCCCACGCATTTACTAGGTGGTATGCCTAATGCGTTGATGACGGTCGATGACCCGGGTTCTTATGAGATTACGCCGGAGGTATTCGAGGCGTTTTCGTATGCGCAGCCGATGTCGACGACTATGACTTCGTCTTTTGAGGGGGGGTGGACGGGTCATACACAGTGATTGTGAAAGCGATTTTTTGTTGGATTTGGCATTTGCTGCGGGCAGGTTCAGAGAATTAACGTTGCTCGGTTAATGTATGAGTCAATAATTCCCTTTAAGTACAAGGTCTTCGAGATTCATTCAACATTTACTTGCCATGGCCCGCAGGCATGGTTTTTCTACCTCGGGTCGGTAAAGAGGGATGACTTTGTCTAGCAGCAGCAAGAAATTTAGTGTGACATGATTGAGGATCATGTCTACATTTGTATGGATATAGGTCCTTATTCAGAAGCATCTGGACAACAACACTATCGCCCAGGCTGGCCGCAAACATCAAAGCGGTGCGTCCTTTGCTATCGGACATATCGACATCAGCTTTCGTGGTCGGGCATTAGTCGCACTATTTATCTTCATTTCACCCAGGCGAGAATTTCTTGTATTTGCCACGGTCTCTTGAATGGGGACTATTTACGACTCACGAGCCGCGATATACGTTAAATCCTCTGGAGAGCAATGATATTCCTCAGCCGCCGTTAGCGGGTCGATGGTGATTTAACTTACGGCCGGTTTCTTGGATGCCTTTGCCAGGCAGTCACAATCCGGGAGTTCAGATCACGGATTACAGCATTCCACGTATCTTTCTTCTACATTAGGAACAGCGCGGTGCCAAACTCGCATTAAAAAGCGCTGCCTGGGGATATGATGTTTATGATGATCTGGCCCCACCAATTGAGCCTCTTAAGTACCCCGCCCACCCCAACAAACACAGTAAGACTGGCTCTCTATACAAGGAGACTAGATTTTTTTTTATTCCAGGTACAGCCTGAAGTGTTCAACTTGCATTGAAAAGTACTCCTTTCTCTGGTTTGAACTTTTTCAACCACGATGGATCCCTCTTTCGGCGAGGATCCCGTCTGGATGTAAGATTGGTTGCCCAAAAAGACACTATCTCAACTAACTTGCATCTCCTAAAGCACCAACGACGATGCTCTGTCAGATGTATCAGACCTCGAAGAATCAATCGAGCTCCCCGATCCTCCAAAGCCAGAAGAACCAAAATGCGGAGAGATCTTTCGCACCACTCACCCCGAAAATTGGGCCATAGACACAGAGAGCTCATGCCTGTTCTTCTGCAAACCCAAGTTATCTTTTCAGCTCCAGCAATGCTCTTCCTGGAATCAGGGTTCTACGTTCCCGGCCTTCAATCTCTGGCGTCCTGCTCCATATGTCGGGACCACCCTCACACAGCTAGGACCGGATCCGATCAAGCTGAACAGCAACGATCTTATTGTCACCGGTTCCGATGAGGATACCGAGAATCTCAAATCTAACGATACGGGAGCCATCGTCTTCACCGAGGAAAATGTCACCGCCGCTATTGATATCGATCGTCCAGGTCTCTTTTGCTGCTCTGTGTGCTTCTCCTACCGTGGGAAAGTGATCCTCGACAACGGCGAGCGCTGGAAATTCAATGAAATCGACATTGACCACCACCATTTTGCGCGTGAATACGATCCAAGCGAGGCTTATAGTAAAGCCAATGCGAAGAGTCTTGTGTGGATGTTTTACCATAGCTCGAGGCCTGAAATGATGAACGGGGTTCCTGAAGATTTGCCCTTCCCTATGGACCTCGATACTCGCATTTGTCGCGTGAAAAGGTCCGCGAATTTTTCAGATGCTGGTGCAGAGGGCCCTGTTCTTGCGGTGATGAATCGAAATGGTATTGTCTGTTGCCAAGGGATGGAGAAGAACCAAGAGATCGAGACGGATAATATTCGGGAGTTGGTCTTGATGACTGCTCTTGCGATTGCGCAATATGAGAGGTGGCTTTAAAATACTGAAATAACGCAGGGATATCAAGGCCCAAATGATTGGAATTGATTGTTTCGACTTATTGAAACTCGTCAATTGTCATCTCAAATATCTACATTACCATCCAAAGCTCTCTTGGTGCCAAACCACCTCTCGGCCCCTGGCTACCCATTTACCAACATGATTCCGTAATTCGCGTCCCATGCCTTGAGGACCGCAGAAGATCACCGCGACCCGCTCATCAACATGATAGCTAAAGGTTTCATCAACAATATCCTTCAAATCAGGTCGCCCAGCGAGCGGTTTCACCCCTCCAATAGTCTCGTCAGATTCTCGTAGTTCATCCATCTCCATGCCTTCACCGTTAAACGCATTTTCTAGGGCATTTCCATGCAGATGATGTCGTGTCAAGTAAATGTGAACATTGGAACTTTGAGCAAACGTCTGTTTTTCAGAATCCGTAGCCCAGTCAGCCTCCGCAGCTGACCTGAGTGCCCAGGTGAGGTTAAGTCGGTCGGACCCCCCGGCCTCCATCTCGAGCTGCTCCTGCAAAGCCCGATAGATGGGTAATATGAATGTCGCTCCAATGCCTCCTGCCACAAGAAGAATACGGTCAATACTAGAGACAAGCTCGGCGACCGGCAAGAAACCCCCGTAGGGCCCTTCTATACTGTTCAAAGGGTGTGTCTTGAAGCGATCTGCGTGAGTCCGCAGCGTTTGCGTTGTGGGACCACGTCGAGCTCGAAGAACGAGCGCTATTTCGCTGGCAGTAACGTCTGAGACGGTGAAAGGATTGGAGAGCAGGCTTTTACTACCAGTGCAGGTAGGCTTGGACGGCATGGAAAGATAAACGTGCTGGCCTGGTTTGGCCTGGAATCGCGCCAACTTGGTCGAGGTCATGGGGAACCAGATCTTCAGCAGCTCTGTATGAGGGACCTGCTCAAGGATAGCCGGTTCCGTGACAGTATCCATGTATCGTAGAACTCGATCAATAATGAAAAGTGCCAGTGCTTCCGCCGCGTAAAGCCGGAGAGGCTTCGCATGAAGGAGAAGTATCGGCCAAATCGCCAGGCCAAGGGTAATATGGCAGTAAATGAACACGCGGTAATTCCATTGTCGCACCTTTCCCAGACTCGTGCTTGCAATAATGGCCATAAAAAATAGCGATATCAGCCCCGTAATAGAATGCCGATGCTGCAGACGATCTGCGAGAATGCCAGTTTGGACAAAGTAGTTGATGTACCACACCCCGTGGAGGAGCAAGAGGATCATAATGATTCGGCCGCAAATCTGATGCCAATGGATAAGCCGTTCATGGGAGGAGCTAAAGATGATGACAAGAGGGGAATAGCGAGTGCGCATGGACAAGAGAAATAGAAGAGGCAGCTGGGCGGCAGCGACACTTCCAAAGCGTTTTGTAACATGGAGGTAGTCTGCCGGAGGGTCAGTAATGCGCGAAAAGGCCAAATGCATTAACATGGGAAGCTGAGAAAGAAAAAAATGGAAACAAAATTGGCGCTTTGATGTTCACACAATCGAGCTTTAGTCGAGTGTTGTAGAATCTCGAAGTGCCTCCTCACAATCTCCACTGCTACACAAAAGGGGATTGCTTACCGTGGCCAGTCTGAACAAAGCAGAGAACCAGCAGCCAAAGAATCCAGACGATCGCAGCAATCCAGCGTCCTCTCAATCCCCAATTTGGAGCAATTTCTCCATTCAACCACCACTGGAGACCCCTCCATCGTCGGGCGAGTACTTTGAATGAGACACCCTTGGACTCTCGGGTTGATTCGGTGCTGCCTGGCAACTCCCTCAGCGCAGAGTATGCGACATCGAACGCTCCTTTCCTAACGAAGAGCCATGCACAGAGTCGATAGATCCCATAGCCAAGAATCGGAATCAATACTGATAATTGCGAGATGAAGGCATATTGCGAGAGCAGCTCCCGACGATGGCTCTTCTCCTCGGGGGTGAGATCCAGAAAGTGATAAGGCCACCCCATCCTGGAACGTCCATTCGACGGCTCTTCAACGGAAGAGGTGTGCTCACGAGCGGAGCGCTCTATTGCCTGCGTACATCGAGATATTTCTGTACGCTGAAGGTCGTGGTGTTCAGAACTTCTTTGTTCCTGTCTTGGTTGTGCCGTAGCCACAAGTGGAGAACAAGTCCGAAATGTCGGAACCCCCCACTTGTTCCGATTTGGGGCTCGAATCGGCAGCCAAGAAGACGCGTAAGCCAGTAGAATAATAGCAAAAACCTCAAGGTATAGTTATGGGGCTTTGGTATGACACGTGTTGGACAAGGAATAACTACAATGATGAAAGAATATCGACTTGTCCTTATTACATTCTCTGGTTCGACACTGAGTCTCCTGCTGGTACTGCTGCGATGGTCGGGTTTTGCGAATCCATAAATCATAAATTAGATATGGGTGTCATTGGGAACTGCTACTTTAATTCATAGAGAATGGAGTATGCATCTTATCTCCTTTCAAATGAGATTGAAGGTGAAAGACCATCCGTCCCTTATAAACGCCTGCAACCTTTAGCCCCCGATAAGGTCGTGGACACCTGGCCCCCATTCTTACCACTGATTAGCCACGTCGACTACTCCTGACGTTTAAGCCTTGACTCCCATAACAGCCTCTTCAAATTACCATATCAACTACTTATTGCCTGTCATGCCCTTCGAAATCCAGTCGTGCTCTGCAGCCGACGCCCTTGGCCTTGCAACCACCATGATGAGCGCCCGCCTAACAGACCCCCACTGGGCATTCCTCTGGAAAGATCCAAATCCCAAGGATATCATCACCAAAGGCGCTCTCCGCGTTCCATGGAATCTGGCAACAGGCAGAGATACCAAAAGACATCAAAAGGTGATCGATGTCGAGACGGGCAGGGTAGTCGGCTATACAAGGTGGATTCTACCGGATTGTCTAGCAAAACAGAATGATGTTTGGCTTGAGGCCCAAGCACCGGAGGGAACGCAGATTGAGAGAGAAGAGTGGGAGAAGCAGTACAGGGAAAATACAAAGGCTGGCCAACCTATCGGTATGAAAGGTGGTGGGTTGATGAGTTATCGGAGTGCACCGCTTGAAGTTGTTGACGCTCGGATTATGCGTGATGGGCCATTTCTGAGTAAATCCTTTGATTGGTCTGACCGATTCTATTCATTGCTGACCATTGTTCTAGCCCTGGATTATTTAACGACTCATCCTGATTTCTGGAGACGGGGTATTGGCAGAATGCTGGTGCAAAGCGGGATGAAGATTGCAGACCAGTATGGGATGAAAATATATGTCATGTCGGAACCGGCTGCGTTGAAGTTATATCTCAATTTGCGATTTGAGTTGCTTGAGACTGTTTCCACTGATTATTCCAAGTACGGTGGGACAGAGCCTACGGTGGAGCATTTTCTAGTGCGTGCTCCTCAATCAATGATTTGATCTGCCGGCCTCCCAGATACAGGCACCTGTAGGCGATGGAAGAAGTGAGAGTATGCAAACATGTACAAACTCAGAAATTTCAAATTAAGTACAATATGTTGAATAAATAGATTATACACCACGCAGTTGCCATACTGTCCAAAGGCAATCCGTCGCGAAAGAGATGTGACATGAAGGTAGAGTGTAGAAGGGTATCGAAAGTGTAAATAGTGCAGAAAATCGTTACAAAGCCACTCATCGGGACTTGGAAATCTTTGACTTGAAAGTCTTTCCATCGTGGTCGTGAGAAGCGATTGCCTCCGTCGTCTCAGACGAATCATCAACATACTTGGGGCGAGCGCGCCAGCGGAGGTACCAGGGCCCATCAAAGAGCTCGTCCATGCGCTCAATCGGTACTTGGGCTGTCTCCGGCATCCAAATGCCGAGGATGATCAAGCCCAAGGTACAAATGATCGCCCAGAACAGGTAGGCACCCCACACATGAAGGGAGGCAAACATATTCGGAGTAACGCGGACAACGGCAAACTGGAAGAACCAGTGAAGACCCATACTAATGGCATAGCTCACATTGCGGATCCGGGTCGGGAAGATCTCCGTGCCGTAAAGGTAAGGAATAGTACAGAGACCCACTGACCAGCCGACAGCATACACAAAAACGGAGGCAATAGCCGCATCCGAGGCAGACTTGTTGTCTGATGATCCAGGCTGCAGGCCCATATAAACCCCCATATAAACATGCGCTGCAAGCTGCAGGGCAAGACCAGTTAGGGCGCATCGTCGGCGACCAAAGAGATCAATCAGGCCCCAAGTGAAAGCCATGGTGAAAACGAGCTTAACGATACCGTAGGCTCCTGATGAAATGAGCGACTGGCTCGAGCCAGTGATGCCAGCGTACTGGAAGATGTTGGTTACATAGTAGGTAATACCATTGCCACCGGTCCACTGAGCAATGGTTTGCATCGTCATCAACAGCCAGAAGCGCTGGCGGTAATTAGGATTCGACTGAGATTCCTTGAACGCCTGCCAATGAGAAACGGATTTTAGGTCTGCCCGCTCGCTGGCCTGTCGGTCGATTTCCTCAAACTCGGCCTCAACGCTCTCATCGTCGATGGATTTTCCACGTAGGCGAGCAAGCACCTCCTTTCCTTCCTCATGACGCTGCTGTGATACCAGATACCGGGGAGTTTCGGGGCAGAGGAATGAGAGGCCAAAGGCGATGCCGACAGGGATAATTGGGATAGCCTGAACTAGCCGATATTGGGTACGCGTGGCGGCCATGTGGAGATTGGCGCCATAATTAATGAAGAACCCTAGTGCAGTGAAACGAAGATAGCGTCAGATACAGCCCCATCTGGAGATTCTAGACAAGAACAAGCTTGACTTACCCATGGCGAGCACTGCCAGCAGAATCACCATATACATGCCGACAGCGAGACCTCGTGTCGCTCGAGGCGCCACCTCCGATAGATATAGCGGCGAGGTGACCGTCAGCAGGCCAGCGCCAAGTCCGGCAAAGATGCGAGCAAACAGCAGCAAGCCATAGATTCCCGATGAGAAGATTTGGATAAAGGTCCCAATCGCCCATACCAGACAGGCCAGTCGCCACGAGATAAGACGACCCAAACGATCATTCAGGTCCAGGCCAGCTAAGGCACCGAATGCTGCACCCAAGACGTTGAAGGACGTGATGTTGGCAGTGCGATTGGTCAATCCGGTTGGATCGTTCTTCCAGTGTGATTTGATGAGGTTAAAGTCGATCACGAATGACTCGAGCTTGACGCTCGCGCTGTATCCTCCTTCGTCATAACCTGCGATCATTGGACGGATAATGTCAGCTCCTTGTTCTCTACGTTCTAGTTTGGAGCGGTCGCCAGCCACGCACAGGGGTTAACTAGTTAGCTGCATACCTTTAGGGATACTCCCGCACGCGATCACGAAGATCACCAGCGCATAGTATGGGCTGGTCGTCCACCGGGAGCGCTCCAGCAATCGCATGATGTTATTCGCACAGGTTTTCCACCAAGGCCCCAGTTCAGATAGCTGTGGAGGCCACGGAAATCCGGGGAAGCTGGAAGACGGGACGGTCGGCAAAGGAGTGGGTTGGTGAAGGAATAATCGCCAGGAGGCGCAGGGTGGATAAGGGAGTAAAAAAAGCGGCGACTTTCGCTCGGCATCCCGTTGGGTCGTGCTGAGTGTCTCGGTCAACGTCCGACAAGCTTTGCGGTTTTTTCCCCTCTCTTCCCCTCTCAGCAGCGAGTCAGCACTCCATCGTTACACCAGGATGGTTGTGGTATTACATGATGTACCCTGACAATCATAATCATGCATGTGGTTGCATCAGGATCATGGTTGTTTTTATTGTGCAATGATCTTTTGTCCTTGAGCATCGCAGCGCCATACAGGCATGGGGGTTTGCCGACCGAGCCCCATACTTCTTCAACGCCGGATCTTGCCGCGGAAAAAGTTAACCCACTTTCTACTCGGTGGCTCAGGGCTCCGCAAGACGATCCAAACCCTTTGCCCCCTCTCGTGATTGTCCTGCCTCGGTCACTTTGACTGCGCTATGGGCTGAGAAAAACCTGAAAAAGGGGGTAAATGAACAAAGCAATATGACACAAGGTCCGAGAATGCGACCCCGGCCCATTCCCATGTCTCGCTGTCACAGTAGTCGTGAGCCGCCATGCCAACTGCCTCCCGGACGACTTCCGCTCTGATGCTCCTTCTACATACACCACATCGCCTATCCCTCGTTGCCGCTGGTAGACTGTGAACAGCCGACGGTGGGTCAGGTTTGAGGTCTCTACGGTGTGGGATTACGGCACACGGCAAAAATTTTTCATAGATGAACGGCTGTTTTCCTTGCTTTCCAGACCTGCTAGTCCCATCACTACGGACGTTGACCGATCAACCGCGACGGCATGATACCGATCAGGCTTGCCCTCAGGGTAAGCCCCAGGATCAAATCCTGCTCATTTGTGAGTTGTATTCCCCCAAGGGCTTTGGGCCTCACTTTCCTTGCTCTATCTATGTGGTTGCTTGCAGCGTTCTTCGTCTGATATCAAAATCCCCCTTCACCATGCTGACATCGACTCAGTCTCATGCTGCTATACTCGGAAAGCCTCCGCGGATATCACTCACCGCGGGGCTTTCGACTCGAGTGGACCAACATGCGGTTCATGCAGCGACTGTAGCATTCACGGCCACGACATCTAGCCTGCCCTTGAGCCAGAGGATTCCTCTGCGTTCATGGGACAGCCATATGCATGTCGTTGACCCTCAACAGTTTCCGGTGTCTCCGTCGGCAGTATATCAACCAGAGGTTCATACTCTAGCTGACGCTCTGGCTTTCGAGTCCTCCTTGGGCGTCGAGCACCTGGTCTTTGTCCAACCATCTATATATGGAACTGATAATTCCTGCCTATTATCCGCTTTGGCAAAACTCGGCCCCTCCCGTGGTCGCGGTGTGGTTGTTGTTGATCCTGCCACAGCCCAGCCAGAAACGCTAGACAAGTGGCACGAACTTGGAGTCCGAGGTCTCCGAGTAAACTTGCAGTCTGTGGGCAAGGTGATGGAACAAAGCGAGTTGGAAGAGACATTACTTCGCCATGCAGAAATCGCCCGCCCTCGGAATTGGATTATTGAGGTTTACGTTCCTCTGAAGATGGTCCCCATGCTCGAGTCCGTGGTGCCTCGCCTTGGTGTCCCTCTTTGCATCGATCATTTCGGAAGTCCCGAACTATCTTGCTTGGCTTGGGCCAAAAACAATAGCACTTTCGATCCCTATGTCCTCCCTGGCTTCAGCTCGTTGATCTCGCTACTCCGAGCCGGAAACACCTACATCAAAGTGTCCGCGCCTTATCGACTTACGAAAGACCGACAAATGCGGGATCTGAAGGCTATGGCAAGGGAGTTCCTGGGTGCAGCACCGGACCGGGTCATCTTCGCCACGGACTGGCCTCATACTCGCTTCACCGGTGTCGACATCAGCCCTTTTACCGAGTGGTGCTTAGACCTCTGCACTCACGACCCCGAGTTGGCGGAGAAATTGTTTAGGCGGAATACCGAGCGTTTGCTGGATGTGCATTCGGACTGAATTTAGGCATTTTCTCGACTTGCTACCTCTTTCACGAGGTTGAGCTGTACATAGCATTCCTCTGCATTGCGTTCTGGCGTTTGATTGTCGGAGCATTATTATATCCCTTTGCATCTTGAGGCCGTACCAGGCCCTCTCATTTTATCACTTTTCTATCTCTTGAGACCACTTAACATAACCTACATCTGAAACACTTTCTAGTATGTCATTCGTAACTGAGTACGTGAGATATTCTTGTCATTCTAGTATATGTTCCCCCATGTGTTTTCAATAGACAGTATTGACATCGAATAAGCTCGCATACATGATGTCTGCTCGTCGTAAACAAATGATGATGTTCATGAATGAACGTGGCCTCCAGTCTGCTTTCCCGTCGTCCAAATCAAACATCCGCGGCGTCCTGGAAGATAACGTGCGAAGTACAAATCTTCTTGGGGCCCTAAACGAAGAAATACTATTAGTCACCGATCTCAGCCAGGAGCGTTAATATGACAACTCACGATAGTATAGCAGCAAGCAGGGCGCGATTGATCCTCGCACAACTGGGGTTCGGTCAACTGCTGGCCTAGAGTGGACATTAGATGTTAGCATATTCGAATACGTCAGGTTTGACAAGAGGCCTCATTTCAATAGCCGGGTAAACTCACAATCCATGGCCTCATTGGCCTTGGCATTGTTCCGCGCAGGCTTCATATCACGACAGCAGAAAGGATACTGCATCATGCCGGTGTGGTCGGCGGCGAACTTGCAAGACATGTTGATCTTCTTCGCAGCCGACTCGACGGCAAGGGTAGTCGCAAGCGCGACAATGAAAGTGGAAACGCGCATCTTGAATGTTCGACGGGGCGGTATATAGCAGCTAGGCGGCAAGTATCGATATTCACAAGAGATGGACGGAGTCGTGACTGGGAGGATTGACTGATGTATACCCGGGGAACCTTCGCACTTCAGCTGTAAAGGGCTACGCAGGAGTGAGTGGAGGACCTGGAATACCTTGCTCTATTGGCTAACAAGGCTAGACATTGGGTTCTACGTAGGTATGGAGGTGATTCATAGGGTCTTTGATTGGGTGGTTGGTATATCCCCTTACATTCCGATGCCCATGAATGTGGGCAGGCCGGTAAACAAGGGCCGCTCGTGCGTGTCGAGTCTGTCGACAGGGGCTAGGCAATTATCTTGGATAATCCTGGTTTGGCTCAGGGCACATTTTGGCGATTGTGAATTCATTTCTTGGTTTGGTTTTGATTTATCAAGGGGTACAATATAGGGTTGAGAAGTTGAAGGTTCATCTCGGGATGCGCTGGCATCAGTTGGTCTGAAGTCGCTCAGTTTATGGCAGGGAAGGAGATATTCTGTGATATGATGGATTTCATATGTAAGGAAGGGTACCAACAAAGAGTATGATTTTCCATCGCGATCTTTTGCTTGAGATTCTTGTTCATGTTGAAAATCCGGGGAATGGCGCGAAACCTGCTGCAGGTACCACGATCACGTGGGGGCGCCTTCTCCCCTTATCGCAGGTGACCAAGTCATCATCCACAACCTCAAGTGCCACTACCTTAACTACTGGTTACCACTGTTCCTTTCCACTCCAGCGGTGTGTCCAAATCCTTCACGTGTGCCACTCCAAGGCCGCCATGGAAACCCCCCACAAGAGTCCACGTATCAATGCAGTCGACACACGCAGCCATCATCCAATCGGCATCATGCGACGGCCCATTTGTTGAGGCCCAACGCTTAGCTAATCCTCCAGAAAACAGGTGATCGGCGCTGATTGGCTCTCCCTAAATAAACACCCCCTCTCGCCTCGAAGGCCCCCCTCCTTCCCTCAACGAAGTACAAGTATACGATCTGCTGCTCCTTTGTTCTTACGTTGCCCCTCAAGCACCTATACTCTTACATCTCCTCACGCACGAAATCATGAAGAAGCGCTCTTCCACCCAGAATCCCGCCGATATGGATCGTAGTGTCTACATCCCACTCTGCATCTGCCTTATCTCTTTTGCGGTGATCGCATACAATCACTAGTTATCTGGCCGAGTTTGTTTGGGACGCCACATCCAAACGCAAACACCTACCTCTACCAGATTTTCAAACGAAAACGCAGCACTTCATGCTACAAATCATCCGCGCAAAAGTTGTGATTCGACTCGCAAAGATACCTTCGACCTTCCGGGCTTCCAAGATGCTACTCAACAGCACGAGCTCGGCGGGGGTATTCAAGGCCCACCCGCAATATAGGCAATCTAGCGATTTGACGCCAACAGTACAAGTCGCTGTGGATGCTCGAGGACTAGAAGCAATAGGTACTCTGTGCCTACATAATCCTTCTCGCGCTTGCCTCTCGACTCCGATTTGACACCGAGGGTCACTGCCTACACCAAGCCAACCCAAGAACGAAAGTGCCTCTTCTGTCCTTATCTTCGACCATCAACGATCACCTTTGCTAGGAAGAGGTTTATCTCGCCAGAAGCATATCCTCAGTCTGAATTAAAGACACCTTATCATTTTCGAAACTCGAACATGGTGTGTCATTAGCTCGATTTCAATCATCAAGCTCAATGATTCGTCGCACCCACCAGTTCTCTGTTATCCTTTCACCTCATTGGCATACTCCCCTTTGCTATCATATGCAAACTATCTCAGATAGTCGAATTCAGAAACCGTGAGACCAACACTCATGTGTTCTTGAAATTACTATGCAATACCACAATCTTTCATGTCTCCTTTTGTCTTGACCTTTATGGCGCAGTTGTACTTTTCACTGCAGGTATTTAGTACTTGATGAGATTTAAACCATCTTTGCTTCTATCTGTATCAGGATTGTCTACTTTACAGTCATCATTCATTCAGATAATCAACTTCAAACAATATTCTCATATCATAAATGACCTCATGTGCCTCCACTTCGTATTTCTAGTTAGCCAAACTTAAGCCTATGACAAACATGAAGATCCGCTCGCAAGCTCTCGTTCAATGTGATCTTACATAGGTAGCATGAGATATCGTGGCACTAGGAATCCAGCTCGCCGTGCTTAGGAATCATCATGCATTAGTTGTACTCAATACTGTGAAATACTCAAATAACATACAGGTCTAGATCTAAATCCCCGCATAAAATATAGAAACGATTACCATTAACAAATGCTTAGCACATGCATGATGCATCATCCGCAATGGACCGATCGAATGCCGTGATCGAAACTCGATTTGTCATCACGTGGTCTCGGTCAATCCTTTGGAGCTCCGCTAGCCAGACTGCTGTAAGCCTGTAAGGTAAGCCTGTACCTACGTAAGCCTGTACCTACGCCAGTTCGCCAGCTGCGTATCAATCGCCGATATTGTAATCGTCACCTTTTTTTGTCAGCTCGTTTTCCCACGCTACCCTCTTTTCCTGTACATACCCCGCCATTCTTTCCGGCCCTTTCCCACTTCCCCTCCTCTATCCATGCTCTCCCGTTCCCTTCGCATTCCCTCATCCAGGATCAGCCTTCGCAGTTCTGTCCTGACCCGCTCCCCCGTCACCAAACACATTCACACTGGTCCGCGGCCGACCGTGACCCAAACTCTGGCGACCATCAACCGTTCCTCTGCGACGACCTCGAACACCCCCGGCTCCCGGCTGTCTACAATCTCTCGGCACTTCTCGTCATCATCTCCTACTTCCGAAAGCAAGGAATCCTCCACAATGGCTCCTGTCGAGGTTCAACAGTATGACTATATCGTCCTGGGTGGTGGTAGCGGTGGTAGCGGAAGTGGCCGTCGTGCCGCGGGTTGGTACAAGGCGAAGACCTTGATTGTCGAGAGCGGCCGCTCTGGAGGTACTTGCGTGAACGTTGGGTATGTATTAGATCGGATTACGTCCTTTTATTCCCGTTCAAATCGGCTCTGGTCCAATGGCTAACCAAAATGTCCAGCTGTGTCCCCAAGAAGATGACCTGGAACTTTGCGACTGTGAACGAGACCCTGGAAACCGCCAAGCACTACGGCTACGATATCCCCGAGGGCACCAAGATCGACTACAAGCACTTCAAGGAAACCCGCGATGCCACGATCAAAAACCTCAATGGCATCTACGAGCGCAACTGGAACCGGGAAGGCATTGATCTCGTTCACGGCCGCGCTCGCTTCGTCGAGCCCAAGGTCATTGAGGTCGGCCTGCCCGATGGCACCACTGCCCGCTACACTGCACCTCACATCCTGATCGCGACCGGTGGTCGTCCAAACATCCCCACTGTGCCCGGTGCCGAGCACGGTATCACCAGTGATGGCTTCTTCGAGATTGAGGAGTTGCCCCCGAAGATTGCCGTTGTTGGTGCTGGCTACATTGCCGTCGAGCTGGCTGGTGTCATGAACGCTACCAACGTCGAGACGCACATGTTCATCCGTGGTGAGCACTTCCTGCGCAAGTTCGACCCCATGGTCCAGAAGACCATGACCGAGCGGTACGAGGCTGCTGGTGTCAAGCTCCACCGCAAGCACCAGGGATTCAAGGAGGTGAAGCTCATCCGTGATGGCAAGGGCAAGGACAAGCTGATCAAGCTGATTAACAACGACGGCACCGAGCTGGAGGTTAACGAGGTTCTCTGGGCCGTTGGTCGCGCTCCGGAGGTCGAGGACCTGCACTTGGATATTCCTGGTGTTAAGCTGAACCCCAGCGGGCACATCATTGTGGATGAGTACCAAAATACTTCCGTCCCCGGTGTCTATGCTATTGGTGATGTTACTGGCCAGGCTGAGCTGACCCCAGGTACGTACACCCCTCTCCAATTGAACTATCAACAAGCTAACACATATTCTAGTTGCTATCGCCGCCGGTCGCCACCTTGGCAGCCGTATCTTCGGCCCTCCCGAGCTGAAGACTTCCAAGCTCTCCTACGAGAACATCCCCACCGTCGTCTTCTCCCACCCCGAGGTTGGCTCAATCGGTCTCACCGAGCCCGAAGCCCGCGAGCGGTACGGCGACGATAAGATCAAGATCTACCACACCAAGTTCACCGCCATGTACTACAGCGTCATGCCGGCCGAAGAGAAGGCCAAGAACCCGACCGAGATGAAGATCATCTGCGCTGGTCCCCACGAGAAGGTTGTTGGTCTGCACATTCTTGGCCTCGGTGTTGGCGAGATGCTCCAGGGCTTCGGTGTCGCCGTGAAGATGGGCGCTACCAAGGCGGACTTTGATAGCTGTGTGGCTATTCACCCGACTAGCGCCGAGGAGCTGGTTACTCTGCGGTAAATTATAAAGATAGAATATAGACAATCTCGCAAATGCGATAATAAATTTCTGTCAATTTTGAAACATTGAAGATTTGAGTTAAGTTTGGAGACATTTAAACCACCGTTCATTTTACCATTTTCTTGTGCACGTTTGAGTGCCGGCTTATGTGGCACATTCCTCATACGTGCCCATAAGAAGTGAGCATATATAGATGACCATAGAGTTCGACTCGCCGCTGGGAGATAGCTCATTTTTGTCTTGTTTTTTCCAGATAGCGTTGCATACCGTCAAATCAAACGAGCTTCGTGCTTCGTGCCATCGGTTCAAGTCATGTACTCACTTACTGTCCATTGCATGATTCTTTCGAGTTCGGACGTGCTATCTCATCTCCACGTATCCCATCCTAGCTGTAACTGCTAATCTCGATTTGCTCGGGAGACTTGGGATGCATAGCTTACCTTCCAAGTCAGTGCATGAAATTAAGTAATTTAAAAAGATAATTCGCTATGTACATATGTACGAAAACCCGTATCTTCATTGTTCGTAGCTTGGCAGCATGAAAATCCCTCTAACGACGCAGTATCCAAGCAACAGTGGCCGCACCCACCGCAAGGATGACACCCCATCGAGCAAGACCACGTCGAACATGCGTTTTCGAAATTTCATCAATGGCATCCGAATCATTGATATGCGGGAACGGTCGATCCTTCGGAATCTCTTTCCCCAAAGCCTCACACAAAGGCTTCCAACCATCCTTCACTTCAAAAAACACCAACCGATCCTCAGGAACCACCTCCTTCAACCAGGCGATATGACGCTCATAAGTATGCCTCGTAGGAATCGCCTCCCCATACAACCTCTCCCACTGCGCAGCCAGAAGCCGCAGATAAGGAATAAACCACATTAACCCGGGCAACGGCAACAAAACCAAAGAGAGGTACCAAGGAACCGTCGCGTTCCTGACCTGATCCATACTCGTCTCCCACGACCCCGGATCCCGAATCGTACATATCACCTTAGCATCGGGGTATAACTGGATCAACTCGGGTACAAACTGGGCACCGGGGGAATCTGTAACGGCAGCATAGCCGTCTAGTTGGGAGCGCAGAACATTAAACATGATCTCCCGATCTGACTCGCTCCCAGCTAGCCAGCGACGGAGAATCTCCATCCATTGCTTGATTTGCGCCGTGGGACCTAGTGTGGCTTGCGTGCCGCAGTGGAAAACAGGTCCATCGCAGAGAATTTCTAGGGCGCTGCTGAATGAGGCGGTGCCTGTTCGTGGGAGACCGGCGCCGATGACTTGGAACTTTGTGCCTGGCCGTGGCACGGATGGCTTTTGACCCATATTTGTTTGTTGTGTAGATGGGGTGTGGGTTGTGGTTGGCGGCTGTGCCGGCCGACGTAATGCAGCTCAGTTGAGCGCGTCTAGATGTGAAGAACACCGTCCAATAGGGTATTTTGACGCCCAGTTCGGGATGAAGAAGAAGGTAAGGCTCGGAGTATTTCTAGCGAATCACTTCTTCGTATGTTTCACGACGTTGCTGATGATGATGGTGATGGAATCAGGGGGGTCTGGTTAGCGTGGGAAAGCGGTGAGGTGTGGAAAATGGGAAAAGCCAGTTGGATAAGAGTGAGAGTTAAAACTAGGGGGTGGAGTAGTCTAAGTCAAGAAAGAGAGCATTTTTGAGATGGAGATAGACTTTCTTTTAGTCTTTGATTTTGGGTTTGGGGAGTACTCTTGGCTTCGCTTAACTATATAAAGGTATTCGTTGATTTTCGATACTCTGATCCCGAAGATAAAGATCGTTAATCACATGCGGTACGATATACACTCTACAAAACGGCCTTCCTGGCATTATTGGCCTGAGATTAGTCAATGGATCTACTCTCTTTCGAGATGATCTGTACAAATTAAGATGAATTGAATTTTGTGATTGAGTATTCCAGATGCAATAATTCATTCATAGAGACTCCGTGCTGAGATACGTGAAAAAGGAAAATGAAGTCCAATGAGCTACCATTGTCCTTCTGGGGGTCATTTATTCGTCGGGGTTGGACTGCCATCCAGTGGCTTCTGAGCCCATACACGCCGTCTGTAGATTCAGATTAGCCAAAACGGTCCAAAATAAAGAATCAAGATCGAACTGTTCACTCACCCCCTATGCCAGATATGGAAATGTGGATTCATCAACTCATTCCGCAATCGAGCCACATATACCTGAACCTCCTCCTGACTCCAGGGATGGGGACTTCCAAATCTGGTGAGCAGCCACATGCACCAGCCTTCCATACCGGAACTCCAGTGCTGGTGATTGACCAAACCGGCCTCTTTGAGTTCCCTATCTCGAGGCCAGGGTCCAATGGGCCATTTGTAGTGTTTCTGGTGGACGTTGGTGAATCCTGCATTTTGGATCTTGTTGGTCATTGTATCGAAAGTGTCGACGGCTCGACCGGCTCGTTCACCACAGGCCAGCATGTTCGGGCCCCAGTCGTTCAAGATGTTATCGGGCGGCAAGCTTCCATCATCAGTTTGAATCACGGGGCTGACTTCCAGTTGCTCGATCCATCCTCCTGGTTTCAAGTTGCTATTGCATACTAGTTAGCTTTTCCGTTTGGTGCGGGGCATGAGTTGTATGTCCGATTCTTCCGCCAAACTTACTCATAACATAGCTTATATAGACGCTCCCATTCTCCTTCGTCGAAGGATCCAATCATGATCCGCATGTGGATGAGATCAAACTTTTCATGCCAGGTCCATTCCTGCTGCACGTCGTCGACTTCAAGAATGCAATTCGGGGGCACCCAAGAGACTGGTGGAGGAAACAGGTCGACTCCACGGACGGTGGCTAAGATGCATTAGATTGATGGACAATCGTAAATTGAATGGCCAGATTGCTTTACCATTTGGAAACATATCGGCAACATCGCTAGATACGGGTCAGCGTGAAGGCCATACCAATAACCAGATTCATACTTACATTGCCCACGTTCCTTTTCCGGTACCGATATCTAGGATGTGCCCCGGTGATGGGCCAATTGGAGACCGGAAGAATGGATTATCATAATTTGACTCTAGAATAAGAGCACAGAGATGTCTAAGAGTAATAAGTTAATGCGCTGCATAGTCCCATGGGGAGTATTGAGTACGTACCCTGCTTCATATGCTTCAAATTGCGCGTCATCCGCCGGGATACTGCCGAGATACCATCAGAAACCAATCCAAATGATGTTTTACCTTTCTGACTTACAGGTACTCCTTGTTTCGAAGTGCTTGGTAGCTGAAGACAGGAAACAGTCATGCTTAGTCAGTGATCTAGGCTTGGGATCCATTTCTTAGCATTTAGCATCTTACCGTCTGCCATTCTCAATCAATCCTCGATAAATAGACGATCCGATAGAGGTGGTTTCGCTGGAGAGCGTGAGAATTTCAATCCGAATTGCAACTTGGGCCGGGCTAGACTTTGGCCCTCGCTACGACTTGGATCACTTACGATTGCCAGTCATCGGGTAAGTACGCACTTTCGACAGCGTACGTGTCCGGATCCTGTGGGAAATTCGTTAGTGGCCGATAAAAACGGATTAATTGGACGAGAACAATAAAACCTACCACCGCAATCGGCTCGGGTTCCGCCATGATGGAGGAAGGGGTGGGTTGTGAAAAGACGTTGAAGCTTCTCAGATCTTTTGAGTGTTGGAGATTAACACTCTTCTCAAACGTCTACACGGCAGACTTTTGCTTTAATGGGCAGGGGAATCGAGCCGGACCGCGGGCAAATCCACAGGTCTTGGAATAACAAAAGTACGGAGTGAACACTGGTACGGAGTACAGACAGTCAGACACGGGCCAAACGCTAGGGCGTAAACTCAAAGCAGGATCGGAGGCACGAACCCTTTATGTACTTGGCCGTGTACTTGGCTGGATGGGTTGGACTAGCCTCGTGTCGCCTTCGGGGGGGGGGGCCACTAAGCGCAGGAGGAAGGATTCCAAGTGGCGCGTCACAAAGGATGCGATGAACCAATGCACTTCACTGAGAATGGCGAATGGAGCATCAGCGAGGTTGATATTGAGCTCGGGCGGGGATGCACAGAGAGGGGGGGGGGGGAGATGGGCAGACACTTGCAGCTGATGAGTCCGACGGGTAGTCAGGAGAGGAACGGTGACTGGATGAGTATCGGTGGGTTTGAGAGTGGTAATGATGAAGGTAATCAATTTATTAACCAGGGTAATTTATGAAATTTATGAAATCGATGAATGCAAGTCTCTCTGAAGATGTGGAACGCGGTAATCTTTTCCAATTTCTATTGGCTCATCTCGACTTGAACAGCGACATGAGGACTCGAACTACACCTATCCAAGTAGTAGTCTAGTAAGTTAGTAACACACTAACACAACACATCTTTACAACTAGAGTTAGTCTTACTCCTTCCCTATCCACCCTTTTTATTGATCAGCGCCAATCAGCTTACACCAACGGGTCGGGGATGACGGGAAGAACTCTGGGCCGTCCCTAACGCAGCCTGGCGTGAAGCTGAGCTTCGACGGCCACTGCTCTTTGATCCACTTAAAAGGTTCTGACGTGACGAATGTGGGACAAATAGAAATGTCTAAACACCTCTGCAAGACTGCATGATGATGAATTATTGATTTTTCTATCCCCATTGTTCGGAACCCAATGAAACATCCGATTCAATACCTCGGGTCTTTTTTCCTGCGCCTCGCATGGGTCATCGTCTTGATGAATGGCTTTGTTATTAATACGCTTCGCTTCAGTCGCTCAATCTAACTACACTTGTCACCAATAATCTAGACTGATAGTATAAATAAACTGAATAATTCTATTTTGCATTGGACTCTCATGAAAACTTGACAGTGGAGCATAATACTAGCGCATGGATCGCGTAGCTGACGGCCAAATAAGAAGGACTGTCCTTATTTCCCATGCCCACACCCCCCTGCTCGCTGCACCGGCTGTTCTAAATAATTTCCTTGTTCTTTCTGGCCGTTGCAACGGCTTTTACCTGCCAAACGATGGCGTGGTCGCACGTATCTATCACACAGCTCGTGCTGTCTCTGGTAGTCGCAGGAGTGATCTATACAGTAGGCCTGGCGATACAACGACTATGGCTTTCCCCGATTGCACGTTTCCCAGGGCCCAAGCTGGCAGCCCTAACCATGTGGTATGAATTCTACTACGACTCATACCTAGAAGGAGAATATACCTTCAAAATCAAAGAAATGCATCGTAAATACGGCCCCATCGTCCGAATCAGTCCCTACGAACTACACATCAACGATCCCGAATACTACGATGTCCTGTACTCTCGAGAAGCACCCCGGAATAAGTCCTTGCATTTGACCGGCATGTTCGGCGCCCCGGCTTCGGCCTTCGGCACGGTCGACCATCGACGCCATCGTATTCGACGTCAACCGATGAACCCGTTCTTCTCGCAGCAGCGCATTCGACAACTTGAACCCATGCTGCGGGGCATGGTTGACAAATTATGCGATGGAATGCGCGCGTGGATTGATAGACGCGCCCCACTCCATATGTACCATGCTTTCAATGCGTTCACCACCGATGTCGTCGTGGAATACACTATGGGCAACTCATTCCACTATCTCGATGACCCGGATTTCAGCCCGCAGTGGTCAACGACCATCCAGGCCATCGTTCGGGCGGGTATGCAGTTCAAACAATTCCAGTGGTTTATGGGTCTGTTTGAGATTCTTCCTCGCTGGCTGGTCTTGAGCATCAATCCGGATATTGGCCCCGTTATCGACCAAAAGGCTGAAAGTATACGCCTGGCCAACTTGATCATCGATAGTCAAAAGGCGGACGGCGTGTCGGACAGTAAGGCTGTTGTGCCCAAGGGTACATTGTTCCATGCTCTTCTGGATAGTAACCTCCCAGCGGAAGAGAAGTCGGCAAATCGGTTGAGTCAAGAGGTTTTCACCGTCATCGCTGCTGGTGGAGAAACAACGGCCAAGAATTTGACTACGGTCACTTTCCACCTTTTGAATAATCCCGATATGCTTCAAAAGCTACGTGAGGAGTTGAACCGGTTAGATCCCGATGGAACAGCCTCCTTGAAAGACTACGAGGCAATGCCATATTTGGTGAGAGCACACCCTTTGAGCAAGTGAGTTATAGGTGGCTAACCATTCACTACCAGTCCTCGATCATGCTGGAAGGTCTCCGAGTCTCCTTCGGTGTCGCAACCCGACTCCAACGCAGCTCACCAGATCAACCGATGATGTATAAAGACTGGGTCATCCCTCCAGGCGTAAGTTTCACCTGTCCCCCGGCACCCATCCCTGTCAATATCGCGCTTTATATACGCTAACCTTAAAACCTAATCCCAGGTCCCGGTCGGCATGACTAGTCTACTCCTCCACAACAACGAAGAAACCTTTCCCAACCCCGAGAAATTCGACCCGGAAAGATGGATGGATCCAACAGAACGACACCGTTTGGAAAAATACCTGGTCGCATTTAGCAAAGGATCCAGGCAGTGCATCGGTATTCCGTATGTGAAACCCCCCACTCCCATCCATCCCCCAAAGCCAGACATAGTATACAAGTTCCCAATCATTGTACTGTACTAATTCCATCCCCCACCAGCCTCGCCAAAGCCGAAATCCTCCTAGTAATCGCCACCATCTTCCGCGAATTCGATATGGAGCTATACAAAACCACCTTCGAAGATGTCCGTGTTGTGCGGGACATGTTCAATGGTCATCCAAGGAAAGGAAGTGAAGGTGTTCGCGCCTTGATTACGCGGTGGAATGGGCGGCCTGGCTCGGGGTCGACGAGTGCTTGACCTAGATGATTGGGGAGAATAAGAGATATTTAATTGAATTGAGAATGAGTATTATTGAGGTTTTGGGCTGTACTGGTGCTCTGTTTCTTTATGTCTTTTGAGATTTCTGGATTGATGAGCGTTGATACCAACATACTACTGCTAACGAGGGGACATGCTTTTGATGATTATCTGTTCCGGATGCTGCTATTGCGTAGATGCACGAGGTTAGTGGGAGTGAGAACCCCGTAACAGAGTCATATGGATAGGCGTATGTAGTCGACGATTCGGTCCTTGCGCTTTACCGTGACGACGGGTCCATTCTTCTTCTTGACTCCATCCTTTAAATATTTACACGCTTTGCTTAGTATATGTCAACTCAGCACGACATGGAAATGTTGAGATTTTCAACTAAGTTACATAGATCATAAAAAAGACACCTTCAATGTGCTCAAAGTGTAGTATGACATCAGATGAGCCTGCGCTAAGAACAAACACCACATTTTCGAGCACACAATCGTGCTCGACACAATCAGAGTAAGTTATCTCACGCTGCATGGACCACAGCTAAGAAAATGACGATTCCAGATCAACCTTTGACATGACAGCGGGCCAGGATGGGAGTACGCTCAAAGACGGTGGAAATGAAATAGAAAGCCAGCAGACACGGCAATGGACTGCGGCCGGAAGAACAGACAGAAATATATGAATTGGCAGGCTAAAAGAGCAGTTGTCAAGCTCACAACAGGTCGAGTTGCTACATGTATCAACAAACAGCCGTGGTATGTCATTGAAGACGGCGCCTGCGCCGTGGGATCACCTGGCTCTGAACCTCGGTCGGGTAATGAAGAAAAGAAATTGAGTGACTTGGAAAGATGAGAAAGGTCGCACAATCTCAAAATAGGATGTAAGAAGTCATTCAGTCAGCCTGCGCGGGCACAGGTGCCTCTCCGTCATGCATGGGACTGGTGGCGACCTTGTCGAGAGCCACGGCATGCAGAGCTGGTTTCTTAGCGTCATTCAAGTGGCCTGCTTTACGGCGCTCAAGTTGCTTCTGGACCCATTCTGCAACTTCGGCATCTTCTGTCAAGAAGGAGGGAGTTTCACGGGGTGCAGATACGTCAGAAGGTTGCGAGGTAGACTCGGCGCCAGCCTCGGTTGGTGGGCGCATAAGAGGTGCTAGCCAGGGGTGGCGGAGGAGCATGTTGTAGGTTGGGCGATTCTTGGGAATCTTGTCAAGACAAGCACTGACGAATGCATGCGCTTCGTCGGAGAATCCCTCAGCAGGAAGCGTGGGGGGTTCGCCGTGGACAATGGCCTAGTGAAAATGTCAGCAAGTGAAGCATGGAATTCCATCAGAAAGAAAACTTACATGAAGCTGGCTGAAGATGTTGGTGAAAGTCTCCGGTGGATACGGGTACCGTCCCATCGCGCATTCAATGATCGACAGACCTAAACTCCAAATGTCGCTCTGCACGCTGTATGTCCCTGCACTCGGGGCGCCCGACTGCTGCATACCACCTCCTGCAATTCGTTCAGGAGCCATGTAACTTTGGCAACCAATGTTGGTCTTGGCAATACTGGCGACCAGGTTTCCACTAACACCGAAATCACAAATCTTGATCTGGCCCTTGCTGTTGACCAAGATATTGGTAGGCTTGACGTCGCGGTGAATGATATTGTGCTCGTCCTTGAGCGCTTTCAATCCCATGACGGTGGAGAGAGTAACCTTGCGCAAGATATTCTCGGGCACGCCACCCTCGTAAATCTTGTCAATGGAGCCACCATCCATGTATTCCACGCACATGTAGACTGCGCCTTCTTGGAAGAAAGCGCCGTAGAAATCGATAATGAATGGCGAGACACAGCGGTGTAGAATGTCTAGCTCCATGATGATCTGTGCAAACTTGGCCTCGTCCAGCTCCAGCCGGATCTCCTTCATGGCCATGATCACACCAGAGAGATTGTCGTGGGATCCGCCCGCGGGGCTCGTCTCATCCTGTCCAGCTGGGCGACTGACAATCCCACTAAGACCCAAGCCGGGTTTCCGTAGGTGCGGGCGACTGTGCCGTACTTTATAGACGGTACCGTAGTTGCCCTTGCCCAGCTCGTCCAATCGATCGACCTCATCCAAGGAGATCTTGAAACTGTGTCCTGAGGAAAATTCAACGCCACCACCATGCAGAATTGCCTTGTTCTTAAAGTTCAATGTCCCGGCTTTTGTGTCGATAAATTCAGAATACTTGCTGAACGCAGATTCCCCGTTCTGCTCTGCCTCCTTCTGTTCTGTCCCGTTCGGCACAGGTGTCGGGGATCCCGTGACATCGGACAGCTTGAGGCCAGGCTTCAAGCGCTTTGCTGCCAGACCCCCTGGGCGCGGAGACGCAGGACTGGATATCGATGCCGTTATCGCGGGGGATGAGGCCCAATTCTTGTTGTTGGGCCGGGTGGCTGGTGGCATGCGCCCGGCGAGAGCCCCGCCCGCACCGGCCTCACACGCCGTTGGTATTGTGCCTGTAGAAGTAGCATGTGCGAGTGGAACACCCTGACGGGAGAGGGAGAAGGCCTTCATTTTGGCCATGATATCCTGGTTCAATCCTCCAACGCCTTGGGCACTCATCGACGCATGTGGACGAGGCGGGGTCCCCGCGCCGCGCCGCGCCGCGTTGATCTGGCCCAAGTGCGTGGAGGAAGCTGTGAGACCGGCGGTGGGATCCCGGGTTGGAAGGAGGGAAGGTGTTGAGGCATGGAGCGTCGCAGCAACGGGTGAGGTGGCTTCGAGACTTGGGGAGGTGGGATCACCCAGTGGGCTCTCCGCGGAGGGGTCGCGGTCGGCGTCCATCTTATATCGCAAATGATGGACTAAGGGGGACGTGGTAGTCGAACCGACGACAAGGGCCGGTGCAATTGGTACGAGGAGGCCGTCTTGGGCTCGGTGTGCACCGGTCGGCGGCGCTATCCAAGGTGTTGTGGTAGAATGGAATAGTGTAGGAGGAGAAAGATGGAGTGATGGGGAGTTGGAGATGGAGGGAATTGGGCGTTGCGGGAGAGAGGGGCAGAACCGTCCAAAAAAAGAGGTGCAACTTTGTTAGAGAAAAATGCCAAACGCCCTAAATGCCAAGGTCCCTGGTTCAGTGGGAAATGGAAATAAGAAAAAAAAAATGAAAAATGGACTGAAGTCGCCGTGGTCCAACTTGTAAGCCCAAGGTCAAGCCACTTTCAGCCCGTCCAAGAAAAGTCAGGTTGGAGCCAAAAAATGCATATGAAAAAGTGAGATAAGGTGGAGGAGACTATCCAAGCCTCATCGCCCCTCTCTCTCTTGTCTCTGATAATTATGACCAATTACTGGCCCTGACAAGCCTCAAAAACAGGCCAAATCTGCCAAAACAATAATACCCCTCCATCGTCAGCCTTGCTTTGCTCCTCCTGCGTCACTGCACGACTCCATCGACGTCGCTTCCAACGTCCCCAGTCTTCTACGAGATTGACATCCCTAACCGGGCGGACGGACCAGCCAATCAGAATGGTGAACCGGCCGAAAAGCAGGTTTTTTGGTACAGCCAAAGTAGAGAAGTCTACGGAGTGTACATTACTATACACAACTACATCGTTGCTGCCTCGTTTTCCCACCTGTGCTGCCGTGTTTTGTGCAGGGTTCTATCCTATTCTATCCTATCGGTGGCTGTGACATCCGATTCCATCTGACGATGCTCGAATAACCTCCCCCCCCCCCCCGGAACTTGCCGAGCTTGTCCACGATTACTATTTGACAGGGGCAAAGGTACCTATCATCACTATCATCACTATCATCACTATCACTATCGCTATCGCAATTCCGTATGCGCCGATCCGGCTCGTTTTCCCTCCCTACTGGCATTATCATTGTTCTGCGCAATGAATTGGTTGGGCCTTTTTGCCTGAACATGGTGGTTGGAGTAACGCCACCCTTTGGCATTACTTTGGCGAACTCGCGGAGAATTGATTCCGTGATTGTGTGGAACGAGATACACAATTCTCGCTGGCGTCGGGCGTTGGTTATGGTGGTCTACCCACTTGCGGCCGAAAAGGCCGAGATGCCCGTTGCGAGAGTCGTTGACTAACTTGACTCCGGCCGCTCCACTCTAATCGGGGACTCCCGTTGGAGGCTCATAATAACACCCTTAAACGAATCGGACTTCGACGAATCATCCCGTGGGATTAGGTACCTTGTGGCAATTCCGTACTTCTTCGAGACGGATGCCAATTAAGCGGAAATCGTCAATATTATTCACAGTGGATGATGGCAGACAATGTTTAGTAAGATTGTATACTAATGTACTTTACGACTGGCTCACATGAGAACTCGCAGCACGGACCTGTGGACGCTGACACTTGTAGTCCCCGCGGGGAGAACCAACGTGGATCCCTCTCCTCTCCCGCAGTCTGCCAGGTACAGTACGCCCTGACCCCAATTGCCCGGTCGCCATGGCCTCGGACTCGCTGCTAGAGGGTTTCAATGCGATCGGGGAGTCCATTTATCTATATGAACCTCCTGTTCAAACATCCCCAGATCCCGCTTCGCCGTCCCTGGTCATTCTGTGTACCTGGGTGGGAGGAGCGACCCCTCGGCGTATCAACAAGTACCTGGCCCAATACCAGGACCTCTTCCCAACATCCTCTCTTCTCTTGATAACAACAAGTGTTTCCGACGCGGCCTTCCGACCACTCAGATGGATACGTGCCAATCTCAAGCCCGCCCGCGATACGATTAACCGGATCGTGGGTCGTGAGATCGGCCAAACCCCGGCCGAGACCAGTACTAGCCAGCGCGGCATTCTACTCCATCTATTTTCGCACGGTGGTGGCAACATTGCCAGTCAACTCGCGCTCTCCATGAAAGGAAGTCCTGATCGCGGTGCAGTATTCTTCTTTAATCTGCGCACTATCATTCTGGACTGCTGCCCTGGCGACGATGCATTCGCACGCATGTACGAGGCCTCTCGGGTATCCGTACCCCAGACCACCGTCGCGCAATTTCTGGGTAAGGCTGTTATGTATCCGGCACTCGCCGTAGTCAACACATTTCAGCATGCTGGTCTGGCGCGCGCCGTGAAGGACCTCCGAGACATTCTAAATGCGTCTTCTACCTTTGGATCGAGGCCGAGGCGACTGTATATTTATTCCAAGGAGGATGTCGTGATAGGATGGGAGGATGTGCAATCGCACCTTGAAGATGCACAGAATCGGGGGTATCCCGTGGGTCAAGTACGGTTTGAACAAGGTCCCCATTGTGGATTGGTTATGGAAAATCCCAATCGGTACTGGGATGCTGTGAAGAAGTTTTGGGCCGGTGAGGATGTTTGGGATGTGGATTCATCCGTCACCGGCAAGCAGAGCCTTCGCAGTCGACTCTGAGAATATTTCACCTTTAGATTTTCAAGCACTGGTCCGGCCTACTATTTAGATCCAGGTCCAAACTGGAATCAAGGTAGGGGGTATGATGGTTCGAGTTCAGATAGTAAATATGCATTAGCAGTACATATCATATGAGCCGGAAGACGACTCTTAAGACCTTGATCTTGTATATAGTTGCAAAGAAGGAATGTAAGCCGGCATGCATATAGCTAGATCAGCTAAGTTATGTATTAGGTACTATAAATTCACACTCCTGTGGTGCAGAAAAAAATACTATCAGTCTTGCTTAAAGTTTTCTGCATCAGGCCGACTAAAAGTGTGGCTCTGAGGGTTGCCATAAGTAGTATCTATACAAAAAAACCTCCCGGCCTTCTAGGTGGATATCATCACCTCTCATACCTCAGATCCAGAAAATCCTCCAAATCCCAACAAACACTCATCCTCTCCATCCACCTCAAAATCAAACCGCACCAGATCCTCCCGATAAGGGATGAAAAAAGTATGCGTCACCCTATCCCAACTATTAGTTCCATCCATCCATCAAGTCTATTCCACAATCAATAACACATACCTTTCATGCTCGCTACTAGCTTGATACGCATCCAGCGCAGCCCGATCTTCATGGTAGCTCACCAGCGCATATTGAAATCCCTTGCTCTTTGACGAAGGGTCTGTTATTGAGGGACCTCCCACGACGAGTCGTTGGCTTTTCACGCAAGGTAGGTTTTTTAACATCTTTAGTTCGGTGATGAATTTCTCTCTAATACTGCTTTCGGTATCGGGGCGGAATTTGAAGAGGACTGGATGGGGTGTGAGATGGAGTTAGTGGGAGAAGGATGGTGGTGAGTGTTTAACGTACCGATGTGGACGATGGTCATTTTGATGATTTATCTCTGGTTAAGATAAGAGTTTGCAATGGTAATGTAAGCAACAAGGTGAGGATTTTATCGCCTTTTTAAACTTGTATGAGGATTCTCGGAGAGACGGAAGCCATCCGCATATTGTGGGGTTTCTATACTTGGTGATGGTGATGGCCATGTTGACGCCCTGCATGGCTTACCCAGTGCTTTTTATTACAACCTCGTTGATAAAACCATAAGAACTCTTTCTGTACTTCTTCATCAAGAATTATCCTTTTTATTAGGAAATTGCTCCGAACGAAGGGTCTTCCCTCTTACCTAAATATTCCATGAAACTCTGATACGTTAGTCATCCACGAGGCGAAGACGGGTGCGGATGAGCGGCTTTCATCCGAGATTTTCCCTCTGTCAATGACAACTGAGACTGCCAGTAACCCGCTCGGAGTCCGGAAAAACCAGAAGCAGTGTAGTTTACTGACAAGTGCCCTACTCGATGGATACCCCACGACGGAGTCGAAACCGTGCTGCATGCCGGCGTTGCCAGAGACGCAAGATTCGCTGCAATGGTGAACTTCCGAGTTGCGGCGCCTGTATCAAGGCAAATGTGCCATGTGTTAATGATGGCAAGCAGGAGGTCAACCGCACGTGAGTGATCAAGCTTCGTTTCATATATTATGTTCTTACTGATTCGGGAATAGATACATTGCAAACCTGCAGAGGCGTGTTCAGTGGCTCGAGTCTTTAGTCCGCGAGCAAAGAACCGATGTCTCTTTGGAAGGTGGTCCGCCTCTTTATTCTAATGAATATGCAAATGACGAAACTCTTGGTTTTGAAGAGGGTAGTCAGGGTGCTGCGGCGATGACATCCCCTCGGCAAGATCAGCCTCTGCCAATTGAAAATACGCAACAATCCCGCACACAGTCAAGACAGGCACATGAAATTGGCCTGGTTACGCTTTCTTCTGGCGGAGAGGCACGATATATCGGCCCTTCAAGTGGCTACTTTCTTGCGAATCTTGTCTTCTCTAGTGCTGGTCGGCGATCAAGACCACCGGGCAATCGCAGCGTAGACGAGCCAATCTCGCTCTCGGCAGAGTTATTCAATACCCCTGCCGTGTTACCCTCTCGAAGAGAAGATGCGATCGAGCTCTCTTCAAAGTACTTTTCCACTGTTCATCTTCTCTATCCGTTTCTCCATGAGCCGTCTCATATGTCACGCTTGGAAAGAATGTATACGGAAGAGTCAGCGGCAAAGCCTGATCCCTCGAATGCTTTTCATGTTTACATGGTACTCGCAATAGCGGCGTCAGATCTCTCGCGACGGTTTAGGCTTCGATTACCAGCTGAGGGATACTATACTGCGGCAACACAATACTTTGAAAGTGCTTGTGCTGAAGGGTCTCTAGAAAGCCTTCAAAGTCAACTTCTTCTCATGGTCTATGCTTTACATAATCCTTCTTGTGGAGTGAACATCTGGGGTTTGAATTATCAATGCCTAGGTGCACTGATCGATCTTGGTCTTCAGCGAGATATACGCACCTCGTCCTCATTCCGTGTTTCATTTTTGGAACAAGAGATGCGAACCCGAATATTTTGGGTCGTGTACAGTTTTGACCGAACATTGGGTACGATGATGGGGCGGCCGATCGGTGTGAGAGATGAAGCATGTGAGCTTCGGGTGAGTAAACCATAAACCGTGATCTGAAAACTAGAATCTGAGAATTAACATTTTACAAGCTTCCATCGGATGTCGCGGATAGGCACCTCGCTGATGCTGTTGCTGGTGAGAGGTCTCACGACACACCTTCTCACATCACATACTCAATTCATCTGTTCAAACTCGCAAAGCTGAACTCTGAAATCAAATACGTCATGCATAGTATCTGTCGAGATCCTCCCAAATACGCATACCCACCAGTCCCCGATATCCATCATTGGCAAAAAGACATGATCGATCGGCTGAAAATATGGCACGCGGAAATCCCCCGTACCGCCAATATGGCATCAATCGCCAAACTCTGCGAGACCAAATATCACGAGATGATGATCTTGGTGCTCAGGCCAAGTCCTGGTATTCCAGATCCGTCGGAAGAATTACTAGCACAGTGCTTTCAACACGCGGTCGAACTACTCCGTGGCTTTGGGGAGCTGTACAAACAGGAATCACTACTGTATAGCAGACTGGTTGTGCATTCTATCTTTCTCAGCACATTGATTATGCTTCACTGTCTCTGGAGACTACCGCAGGTCACATCACAGATTCAAATTGATGACCTGGTCGCTGATACAGGTATTGGAATGAATATTCTAAGCAGCATTGGGGAATACTGGACAGAGGCTAGGCGAGCAAGAGATTGTATCCATGAACTTTCGGGTGCTACAGTACAGCGCCTGCTCCGGTTGCGCACCTTGGAGGTATCGCCGCGACTATCTCGAGCCCAGCCTACCGCAAGCACCGCGAGGCACACCCGATCATACAGTTCTAATGAAGCTCCTGGTTCAGCTTTGCCGGAACAGGTAGACTCTGCCATCGACATTGCCCCCTCAACGGGCTCATATCCAGACAGTTACGACTACAGTCTGGATGGTTCAAGTTGTCTAAATGATGCGATGCCCGGTGGTTTCATGGATTTCTCGGGGGTGCCTGATTTTGATAGCATCATTCAACAGTATCTAGATCCGAATGCAGTGGTGTGGAACTAGATTGTATAGTGAAAAAGAATTGTTTTGATATCGGACACTGGTTTGTTTCGACAGTTTGATGATTGGATGAATTGTATAACATCCTTTTTATTTTCTTTCCAAGGTTCTTCCAGATCGGACATAGGGTTGACTCTATGTAGGGTTCCTCTAGTGTATTGTAGGAACCGTCCTGTGTTCGGTCAGGTAGGCAGGGTGCACTTGTAACTCAGATGTAAACGCGTAGTAGGCAAAAACATGAATAATTTGTGAACTCAGATGACACTCAAGATAATTCATGAGTGCCGGTTGGTATGTATACATCTACATTTACCGAGGCAAGTGATTAAGATGTAGACTTAGAGCGCCGGGAGAAATATATATTCGACAACGAAGTATACTACGCGAGGTTCATGACACGTGCATGCCTTACCGCAGCCAGTGCAGGAAATTTCCAGATTACCTTTATGTACCAGAGTGCTTTTTGAAAGATAACATGGGTCTCGACCAACTAGTAGACCGTGTGGTGGACAGAGACAATACACAGACTGAGACGGAGCCGGTGGGCGTTTATGACAGTATTTTGGGAAATTATATCGAACGGGCGTATAACTCAGTTGGTAGAGTGTTCGCTTTGCATGCGAAAAGTCTGGCGTTCGAATCGCCATTCGTCCATATTTTTTTCCCCCCAACATCCACCATCAACCCCGTAAACCTGAAATCGACCTGAATTGTCCCTGTTATAGATATTTTTTTTTACCTGAACAAGGATTTAGTTCCGATTCCTTCTTATTCTACTATCCTTGCGAAGTGAATGTTAACCAAGTTCGGATTACTTTCATTAGAAAGTCCCTGTCTACTAAAAGTGTCTGGCAGAGTCCACTGCTTTAACAATGTAGCTATTTTGATTAACCAGATCAGATTCATTTTGTTATCTAACCTGGTTGATTGAATTGAGCATAATGATTCGATTCTTTATATTATTACGATGACATTGATCCTCTAGTTATCTATCCTTCTTAAAATTGCTTTGATCTGTTCAAAAGCACTGTATTATTAACCCGACCTAAGTATAGGGAGTTCTACTTAGCTCGTAGCTAAAAAGTGGCACGTGGCCACTCGAGCGTAGTTGGAATTAAAAAAACCCGCAATCAAAACCATTATCCTATAGCAGTTTTGATAAATCTAGTATAAGCAGTAGGTGTCACGGGCCAGTGCCCGATATAGGTCACGTGTATCACGAGACCTTGGCATGTTGACATGGAGAACGCGCGGGATAAACTTCCTCTCCTTAAGCTTTTTGTAAACAGCATGTTGGCCTAGTTAGATTGAATTAAGTCTTGCTTCAGCCCTTCACAGTAGGAAAATTAGATACTAGGTTATAGTCACGTGACTATCACATACCCCTCTGTAAAGATATACTCTATAAGTCAGGATAGAGGCCTGTCAATGAGGTAGGAGAAAGGAACAAAGTCAATTGTTCAGAAAGGTCAAAGACTGTTTCTCGAGGAATGCAAAACCACTCCAACATGGATCAATTAATATACAGTCATATCGCTCAAAACAGGAAGGAGGTGTATCCTTGGTAGGGGAATGAGAGCGGGGAAAACACGAGGCTTGTGTAACCTCTACAAGGGTCTTCCTTGTAGGAGTTCGTACACGTACTGGCAGCGAAGCCCCAGTGAACCTCCACCGAAAGCTTGGTGGCTTACCAGGGTCCTGTTAGCCCGAGGCACCAACATTTGTGAATAACCTCATACCAGGTGTATCGTAACAGAAATTGCAAGCAAGCGTTTGTTCCGAGATATCACTTATACTCTGCCCTCCTGGGGCTCGTTATGGCCCTCGGCTCCGGGGGCCACCACGTCTTCGTCTTGGCCTCAAGGGCCGGTGCAGGATCGCTAGCCGCAGGGGCCTGGGCAGACAAACGGGCATTGCCCAGCTATACACCATAGGTCAGAGTGAGGCACAGCCGAGTACGGAGCATCTAGTAATCCACGTCCATCGGCATGCCCTGCGAGTACGTTAGTACAGATACTCTTATAGTCTCGACGTGGTTCAGCCCACTTACGAGGGCATACATCTGGGTCAAAGTTTGCGCCCGGAGGACGCCCGGGCACTGCTCTTTAAAGTGGCCTCGAACGCCACACATGATGCACTTGTGAGTGCGTTTGACTTTAAGGCAAAGAAAGAGAGACAAAGAAAGAGAGACAAAGAAAGAGAGACAAAGAAAGAAAGTGACAGATAAAGCGACACAGCAACAGAGATAAATATAGCTACTAGTTCATATAGAAAGCAAATATCCTAATCATCTCTTCAATCATCCTTTTAATCATCTTTTCAGGAGATCAATTTAATCATCTTGCTCAGAGAAATCAAGATAGTTACATTGTTGTATGCCTTACGACGGGTGCTCTTATTAGAAGCAGCATAACAAGAAACGCCGTTAACACGATTGGCAGATACCGCAGAGGGTGCTAGCTTACCACCAGTGCTCATTTGCGGCATTTAATTGAATGTTAAATGATAGAAAAACAAAATCGAATAGAAAGGATTCGAAGGAGAAGCTCACTAATACCGTTGTATTCTATACATAATAGTGCACTGATGAAACAATAATTCACCGAAGCTTAACAGAACAGATACCAAGTCTCCGAAGCAGGAACAGCCGAGAAAGGGTTGGGATGCTATTACTACCTAGTACTGGACAGATGTAGGCTGTAAACGATCCACCTGTAGCACCGATTAGAGGAGTCCGAATAACAGTCTCAGGCGCAAACTAACATAAGGTGATATCCGGACCTGACATAGTTTTAGAACAACTTAGTTTAGTATTTCAGTATAAACAACATTCAACGTTGAGCGAGGGGTTCTATATCTACCAGTACGTTTACTCTAATTCTTGTTCCATTTTCCTATCCTTACCTCTTAGATTAGAAACAAACAGACAGGAATCAAGCATTTTAGGGTGCAACTCGATTTTGTTGGGGGTGGCAACAGTATCACCCTATTTATTAGGCCAAGGTCTGCTCTTTCTGGCGAATGAGAGCGGAAATCGTTCTTATGTTTCTGTTTTGATTAAGAATCGAACTCAAAAAAAAGTCAATGCAGGCTGGCGGATGTTCGCGATATCGCGTAGATCGTTCAGATTATTAATCAACGGGCGTATAACTCAGTTGGTAGAGTGTTCGCTTTGCATGCGAAAAGTCTGGCGTTCGAATCGCCATTCGTCCATTTTTTTTTATTTTAGCTGTCCTTTCTCTTTTTACTATGGGTGAAACATCTTTTTCCTAGTCGGCTATGCGAACCAATGGCAAAATCATGGAACATTGGGTGGATTATTGACACATATTTTTCCCCCGTCAAGGGAGTCACCATCGGAAGTCCTCCGCCGGCAACGGGTAACATCCGCAACTCCCCAACCTTCTCCGCAATATAAACCCCATCCCGACACCAGTATTTTCGGATTTCAGAATCCACCAAACATCTTTCAATTCTTGACATAATCCAAATCTCAAATCAAAAACATCTGGATTTCAAATACAAAACACCCACCATGGTCGACACCACCCAACAACAACAGCAACAAATGCACAATATCAAACCAGCCGACCTCCAAGCCTTCGTCACCCAAATCCTCATCGCAAACAACACACCCCCCGATAACGCCGCCATAGTCGCAAAATGCCTAGTCTCAGCTGACCTACGCGGCGTGGACACCCACGGCTCAAACCGAATCCCCTCCTACATGGAGCGCATTCGCCAAAAAGCCCTCGACCCAACTGCCACACCCACACTACGCCAAATCACGCCCGTAGCTGCGCAAATCGACGCCCACAATGGGTTCGGCTTTGTCGCGGCGCACGCGGGTATGGCCCGCGCTATTGAAATGGCTCAAACGTTTGGTATGGGCATGGTATCTATCAAGCACTCGAATCATTTTGGTATGTCGGCTTGGCTGGTGAAGCAGGCTCTGGATGCGGGTATGATGAGTCTTGTGTTTACCAATTCTTCGCCTGCGCTGCCTGTTTGGGGTGGAAAGGAGAAGTTGATGGGTGTTTCGCCTATTGCGTGTGGTGCACCTGCTGGAGATGCTTCGAGGCCGTTTATCCTTGATATGGCGCCGTCGATTGCGGCCCGGGGGAAGATTTATAAGGCTTTGAGACGGGGGGAGCGCATTCCGACTGATTGGGCCCTTGATAAGGACGGGAATCAGACAGATGATCCTGCCAAGGCGCTTGAGGGGGTCATGTTGCCTATGGGGGGACCGAAGGGGTCGGCGCTGTCGATTATGATGGATGTTTTCTCTGGTGTATTTTCCGGGGCTGCGTTCGCTGGCCATGTTACGAATCCCTATGATCCGTCTAAGCCCGCGGACGTGGGTCATTTCTTGGTTGCTATCAAGCCGGATTTGTTTATGACCATGCAGGAATTTGAGGAGCGGATGGCGTATCTCTATAAGAGAGTGGTTGAGTCGGAGAAGATGGCGGGCGTGGATCGAATTTACTTCCCTGGGGAGATCGAGATTCTTACGGAGGAGAAGCGTCTGGTGGAAGGAATTCCTTTTGCTGAGGCAGAGATTGCAGGTCTGAATAAGGAAGCTGACCGAGTTGGTGTTGAGCATTTGAAGGTGATCGGTTGAAGGGTGTCGTCATAGGTGAATGGGTATGAAGAGACCTATGCATGCCGATGATGTTTCTAAAAAATAGTAAAGAACGCTTAAGACTTTGTATCATATGTTATTGAACGCGACCCTGGTTATCATGAAGGGACTTAAATATATCTCTATAGCCATCGAGTTTTATACTTGTAAATAGCTTTTGATTATCTAAAATGCCTCCCTGAAGTTACGGGGTAGCAGATCCTACGATAGAAAGGATAATTACTACAGAAGAAACCTTCATGCCAATCAATCATAGTATACTCAAACAGAGGGCAATAGAACCCAACGAAACACAAGCTTGGTCGCACCCTAACTAGGCAAAAAAAGACATCTTTACACCCAAGAAACCGATGAACAAGAGCCCATGTACTAACCCACCCAAAACGGGGCAACAAGCCAAAAAAACCCAAAATAGAGCTGGACACATTACCGCGAAAGAAGAGCAAGAGCAAATGTCCCATGTCTCGACACTTGCCAGCCAAGAAAACAAATGCCGCTCCAAAGTGGTAAGTAAGCAAACCAAGGTAACCAAACCATAAGATGGAACGCACATGAAGCACGTATGCAGGATAAGAGCAAAAGCCATTAATGCCACTCAACATCAAAAATTGAATTATCGTTCAAAAGAACCACCTCCCGTATAAGACAGAGAGCCTAGAAGAACATGGGGCAATGGGGATGATATGAGCAAATGAATGGATCACGCAATGATGGGACAAAAAAGGGGATGGTAAAGCTCTGAAGAAGGTCACGATTTCGGTCCCACTTTACAGTCAGAGATAATAATGACAGGAGAAATGAACATGGTGGCTTGAATCAAACAAGAAGAGAAATAGAGGAACCCCGAAAAAAACGGGGACACATTAGCCAAATGAGAAAAGAAAAGACACACACAGAGAAAAATAAGGAAAATGTATTCTGACAAAGGAAATGAACATGCTAGATAATTAATCAAACACCCAACGGATGATGAAGAATTTCGCTCCATGCACAGAATGTAGAAAAAAACTTGAAACAAAAGCAGGGTATCACATGGGGGTATTCGAACAACCTCGCTGCTTTCTTCTTTTCTCACTCGAGTTTGGGCGTGGGAGGAAGCAAAAATTAATGCCTTGAGCGCAGCAAAGATGTAATTGAGTTTGCGCTTTGTATCGAAGCAAGGCGGGTGGGGATTTGGTGGTGTCATCCATCCGAGGATTTCACTCATTGCGAGGCTTGTTGGAGTCGATCACTTATTCAAACAAAAGTCGACAAGACATTGTACAATTGGAACTATCGGTCATCACCAGCACGAGACTTGGCTCGTCTGCGGAAGAAGTCCATAACTTTCCTGGCCGCACCAGAGCTGCCTGAATGGTGGGATCCGTCCCGCTCGTACTCGTAAGCATCGGCAAATTTGCGGTGGCTCTTCTGCAGGACATGAGGCCCGCGCCTACCCGCCTGCATTGACTGACGGGGCATGTTGTCGTAGGTGCCGCTGTAATCATCGTAGTAATTCGGCTTTGACGAGTAAGTGTAGTTATGGCCCTGATACCCTTCGTCATTTTGATAGACCTGTTCGGATGAAATGGCGCCAAAGGAATCCTGGGTCTGGTCGAATCGGTTGCCCAGCTCGGCGAATTGTTGGTCAATCTGGGCCTCGTAGCTGAAAGGCTCGGAGTCCTTGTTGTCGAATGCCTCCTCCGCAGGCCCTTCACTGACCATACCCATGGCTTCTTGTGTTCCATAGCTCGTTGCGCGAGGTCGGGTCTGGGCTGGACCAGTAGCTGGGCGCTGCGGTCCAACTGGTTCCAATGTGCGCGGGGTTTGGGATACCTCCTCCGGGGTCTGGTCTCGACCAGAGAAGTTCCGGAAGGAGAAAGACGATGGAAGCAGAGAGAAACGACGGGCGCGGCCTTCGCCAGCCTGGCTCGCTTTGCGACTATGCGAGTATTGCATTGACCTCCGGGAATCCATGGAAACACGAGAATCTTCCCGAGGCAAAGGCTCCTTCATGCTCGTAGGGGGATACCGCTTGTTTTGGCGATCCCCACGAGATGTCGCGTTTGACTGCGAATTGCGACCACCCAGGAGTGACCCAGAGCGGCCAAACAGCTTTTCTCCGATACTTGAGACAGTGTTTGAGCGCTTGTGACCCTTAGGAGGCTCTTGCCGAGGAGTCGGGTTGAATGCGGAAGGAAGTTGTTGTGTGCTGGGACGGCCAATGGAAGCAGTTGATGCCTGCGCCGGGTTCTGCGCAAGGGAGAATTGGCCACTCTTTGGCTGTGCAAGTCGACCTTCGGTGTTGGTCGCCGTGACAGTAGGAGCCACGGGCTGACCATAGGAGCCTCGGGATGGAAGGCGACCAGTATGGAAAGATGCGATGGAACCACCCGTCGTCGGCCTCGTGGTGGAGAGCCCCGCGGTGGCCGTTGTGTGTGTTCCAGTGAATGCGGCATTGTCCGAGGTAGATCGAGGGAAGTGACCAGGCAATGGCTTGTCGTAGTTGACAGGAGGCTTCGGTGCCGTTCGAGTGGTTGTATCCTTGACCGGTGGCGCAGGCGCTTGCTCCTCCTGCTTGGTAGTGCCCCGGCTTTGTGATTCCGAAGTCTCCTGGTACTCTCCTCTTGTTGTTTGAGACTGTGGAGCGACATATTCAACCTGCACCGTTCTGCGCTTAGCATCACGAGATGTCTTTGACTTGTCGCTTGGCGATCCCTGTGAAATATCACCAGCATGGTGGTTGAGTCCGCCAACAGCGGGGACGGAGCCATGGCTGGTCTTGGGTGGCTCGCGAACTGAGGCACTGCGTGCGAGTGCCGGCGCTTCATTCTTGGGTTCTGTAACAGGTGGTCAGTCAATCCGATTGGGATTTGTAGTATTGTTTCCACAGGGTTCAAGATCTTACCGGCTGGTACTGTTGAGTTCGCGATGTCTGCCACATTGGTAGTGCTGCTGGTGATGTGCGACACAATGTGTGCATACTCACTCAGCCAGCTGTGGCGAGCGACCTCAAAGAGATCGGCACGTTTTCGGGGGTCGGGAACCAGAATCCGTCGCAAGAGATCACGGGCATGAGGAGTGACGTATTCGGGGAAGGTCAGAGGCGTGGTGACAATGTACTTGTAAAGGAGGTTGATATTGTCACCGTCCGGGTTGGCTGGATCATCGTCGAACGGCAAATAGCCCGCGAGCATGGCGTACTACACAACGCGAGTTAGGATTAAACTGGCGCGAGAAAGTATCAAAATCAAAACGTACCAAAATCACACCACAGCTCCAAACATCGACCTTTCGACCAGTGTAAAGCGAGTCACTGACAACCAACTCTGGAGCTGCATAGCAGGGACTTCCACAGCTGGTCTGCATCAGGTCTCCCCGACGCAGCCCATCGGGACCCAGCTTGTCCAGGCGCTTGCGCTTCACGTACTCCTTGTTGGTCAAGTTGTACTCAATCTCCTCCTCCAATTGATCGATGGGATTAAAGGTATTTGCGAATCCGAAATCAGTAATGATGATGTTTCGATTCCGGTCCAGCAGGAGATTCTCCAGCTTCAGATCTCGGTGAACAATGCCCTTTTTGTGCAGATACCCTACACCTGACACTAATTGCGCAAACAATCGGCGCGCCGAGTTGTCTTTGAGATAACGGTTGTTCAGGATGTAGTCGAACAATTCACCACCCGACGCGTACTCCATGATGATACCAATGTGGCGGTCCGTTTCAACCATCTCATGTAGACGGACAATGTTTGGATGAGCGAGCTCGCGCAGGATGGAAATCTCGCGGTAGATCTTGGGTAGCCGGCTGGGGTTCGATCCCAGAGATTCCCTTCGGATCAATTTGATGGCGACTTGGATGCTTCCATCTCGTTTCCATCCCAACTTGACCTTTCCAAACTCACCCTCACCGAGGGTTTGACCGAGAATGTAGGTGCCGAAGGTAGTCTCCTTGCGCTTGAGATCTTTCCCGTTGTTGCTGTAGTCGTGTCGGCTGCGATGCCCAGTACGGGCTCCCTCTTCAGCGCCTTCGTTTCCAGGTGCGCCATAGCTGGAGGAATTGGCCTCCACGGCAACGGCGGCGGCATCTGAGCCACCCATTTGCCGCACCAGCTCTCTCTCCATGTCCACCACGGGATCGCTGACCAGCACCGAATTGATGACCGCGCTAGACTCTCGCACCAATTCCTGGCTCGCGCCGTCCTCCATATCGTGGTTTACCCGAGAAGTCGACTCCGGTACTTCTCGTGACCTGCCCGATTCTCGAGTCGTTTCTTCTGGAGGGTCTGGTCGCCGGGTTCGACTCTTTCCATTGCGGTCCTCACGGGGTCGGTCGCGGTTCTCCTTGCGGTCAGATCGACTTTTGCTGTGTCGCGAGCTTTTTTCCCCATTGGGGCTGCGGCGGGCAGAGGAAGTCCTCGGAGGAGGAACCGGCGGGGAGCTTAGCATGTCGGGAAAGTTGTTGCGCGCATGCTTCTGTGGGGATGGCGTGGTATGACTCGAGGTTGGTGCAGCGTGAGCAGGGAGAGGGAGGGGCTGAGGATGAGAAGTGCTCATAGCAGAGGAAGCTGGTTGGGGCCTGCCTCACGAATTGGCTGTTTATGGGTATCAGTACTCGGGTTGCATGCAAGATTTTTTTCTTTGTACGATCGGGTGCGTGCGCGTGGATCTGTTTGTCGCGTCTAACAACACACCTTCAGATTGAAAGCACCAAGTTCCGGGACTTTTAAGTTGGTCCACGTCAGCCCTCGATCAGGCACTTGATCGGAAAGGACGAAAAGACCAATTGCGACGGGCACGGCGCGTCGAAACACCAGAGCTCTCCCGGAGGGTGTTGGGCGACGAAGATTGGGGGCAAAGAGTTGGGCGATCGGTCGCACTCACCGAGTGTCAACGGTCAGCCTCACCAGCTGTCAATCAATCACAAGCATGTCAGTCAAAGCCTCCCAGATACAGTCTTATCGGCAATCGACAAAAATGTGCAACTTTATCAGGAATAGAGTGTGCCAACTGACAGGAGATCGATCGGAGGAATGGGGGGTTAAGAGGAATGCTACCGCCACGCCGGGGAGGCTAGTGGTCGCAAATAAGATGGGGAATGGGGGGTAATCAAGATGCAGATTCACATAGGACACCGGGTCACAATCTGAGCCTGATTGAACGACGCGTCGCCAAAGCAAAAACTTTGTGAGAAAGGAAAGGTGAAATGAAGATACCTGCACTGCAGTGTTCTAGAGTCCCCTCTCTTCTCTCCGTGGCCCACGGGCGGATCAGACAGCGACAGTCGCACGTTGTCCGAGAACTGGGGACAAACAAACGCGGAAGAAGCAATGTCTCAGACGCGAAGAAGAGTCCCGGATCAATTCCAGCAGGTTCAATTGCGGATGCTGGACATGATCGAATCCAGGGTACGGAGGGGCGGTTTCGCGCGGACAGGGGGCGCGAGGGGAGAGGTTCGGTCGGGCGGTTCAGAAAGGAAAAAAAGGGGGCTGGTGAGGGTTTTGGGAAGGAAATGGGGCAACCGACAAGAAAGACAATAACATAAAAAAGAAACAGCAAAAGGAAAAAAAAGGCCAGAGGGAAAGGGCCAAGAGGGATGAGAGAGAAAGGATGGGAAGGAAGAGTGAGGGAGGAGTGCGAGGGAGATACGGAGTTGTCCAGCCCAGAGAGCCAGCAAGCAGCAGCAAGCAAGCAGCGGCAGCAGTAACAGTCACCCAACTGGAGCAGTAAGCGCAAGTCGAGGGAGACCGTCGCAACCCAGACGGGGCCACAGGTGGTTCGAGGTTAGTTTCGCGGTTTTAGTGCTGTTTAGCGCCTGGTTCGGGCGGGTTTTTGGCTGGTTGAGCTGCTTTAGCGGGTTTAGCGGGTTGGTCTCGGTGGAGTCTGGGGGAAGTTGCGGGTCTTGAAAGAGTCGTCGAGCATGGATGACGCCGTTTACAATTCTACAGACGTAGTAAGTATATGGAATATGGAGGGTAGAACTAGAAGAAGAGTGTCAATTGACTCGAAGAAACTGGAATTGAAAATGCCAGAATACAGTCGGATCTAGGGCGATGTTCTCCAATATCCTCGAAACGGCCGCGACTACTAGCCGAGGATACCTATTCTACAATTGTAGAATAACATACACGACACTATCGCATAATTATCGGATGATATGTCAGTATTCCAGCAACCGACATGATTTATTGGTGACAATTATAATCCTGCCAAGTGCTAGCTCCCTCGTCTATCGTGATCAGGAACGTCTTCCCCCTGCGTCCCTTGCCTCGCCTGTGATAGAACGAAACGGGTGCGAGGCCCGAGGGCTGATCCTCGCATGTGGCCAGTCTCCGCATCGACAAAGATAAATAATAAGCGCAGACGAGAAGGGGAACAGCATGTCAAAAAGGAAATAAGAAGGAAAAAAAATATAAAGAAAAGGGAAAAGTTGACAGCTCGGACCATGTGTACTTGGAGTCAAATGCTTTGAATGATCATAATTCTTGGACCAAACATCAGACCTGGACCAGAGAGCTAGAGCTCCTTGGTCCACATACAACAAGCTAATTACTTGCATAAGGAGGATATTTATTCTTAGCCTGCGGGAAAAAAGAGAACAACATCAACAAAGAAAGAGGGTCTCCCGTTTCAAAAAAGGGGGCGCCAGCCCGCTAGCACCGGCTGTTTCGCATTTGCGCGGAGTGGGCTCTTCGCCAGGGACGATCGTCATTAGTTGGCTATGCCCCGACGGAGAAATCGATCGGGATCTTGAACATTTTAGTGACGGAGCACTGGGCTAGCCATTGATTGTGTACATTAAAGGGGACTTTTAGATCAGATTCGTTAGACTTAGTTAGCGTGTTCCTCATGATGTAAGAGTCGTTAGGTTAAATGAGCATTGAGCTACAGTATATGGTGGTAATTATGAATACACCTTTGATTAGAAGAGCTCTCCGACTCCATACTTTGTAGTCAGCGCAGGATCATAGCTTTGGTCCAATATATGATTTGCTGGATTTACTTGGTTTAACGAGCAATGCCACTATGAGCCTCCGGAGTGTTAGCGTGGAATTGAACAGACTTGTCTGTCCCGCTGGCTTTTGATCCCATCAAGTATGCCATACAACCACCAGATGAAGTAGATTATTGGGCAACTATAGATTAGTTGACTGGCCTTCTCAATGATTCTTAGTATTCTTCAATTCCTACTGAGATACCCCTTTTCTCTCTCTACCCTCAATCCGTGGTACAATACTGGGCGGAGACCTCCATCCACGGTTAAGGCGCCGCAGGTCCCAAGGAAGCCCACTCGATCGAGCAGATCGTGACTACTTCCGCTCTGCAACGTGAATTTCCCGACCTTCTCACTGGACAGACCTTCTTTTTCTCGTCCACACATCCATCATCCAGTATCATACCCTGAAATTGAAGATTGTCTACCGACTACAGTACTACTGTAGGGGAAGAAAAAAGGAGACAAACCTCTGCTCACACTCACAGCCTCAACCCCCCGTTCCTGGGGTCACCGTCTTACCCGCTCCACAAATCCCCACCTCAACAGGCCCCGCGATCTCGACTCACCCGACTCTCCACGTCAAGATTATAATCGGTCGGTCATTGATAGGATACGGTTAAGCGACTCACGAGAGCCGATTTGAAGTATCTCCGTACAGTATTGCAATGTCAATGCCAACTCCAGCAGCTATCTAAGCATCCCATCAATTAAGAAACCCTTGCGCCTTACCTACATCAATGTGCAAGAGCCTCCACACCCACCAAGAACATGACAAGATCTCCTCCAGCCCTCCAGCCCTCCATCTCAAGTCGGTGTGGAGTAAACCGCTCCCTGATATCTGTGCCCTCCATGATATTGCGGCCCACCCACCGCTTCCGCTTATGGGTGCGCCCTAAATCCCCGTCACCCCTAAATCCCCGTCACATTTTTACCATGCGTCTAAAAAAACCATCAAATTAGATAACTAGCCTAAATAAAAAAGATCTCCTCGCTCCAGGGCTACTCTAGCCGATTCGGTAGACCTATCAATATCCTCCTGGGGCCTCTTTGGCATATCCAAACCAGTAGCCTGCTTATACTGCTTCGCAAGCTTCCTCTCCTCCGCAGCAGCCTCTTTCTCCTTTCTAGTCTTGATTGACCGATTCGCATCGCGAACGCTTAGTATACCAGTTTGGCTAAGCGGTTTAACCTGGCGCTTGGTAATTGGGCGCCTCAAGGGCTCCTGAGCGGCCCTAATTCGCGAAACAGTCGCTTCCGCCATCATAAGCCGCTCGTAGATTATCCTGTGGTGATTGTGAAGCATTGCAATATCTCGCTGAACCTTCGGGTCAAAGGTAGCCACCTTCTTTGATATCTTCTTCTGATTCTTCTCTAGCGCTTCAATTGACTTCGGAGGGGTATTCTCCACGCTTGATGATAGTAAATTTGTAGGCTCCGGTGATGGAGTTCGGGGTTCTCCATGAGCGCGAAGATCAGGTGCGTGAAGAGGAGTAAATTCTAGCTGGCTAGCTAGTTTATCCACTATATTTTGGCCGTTGACTGGCCAAATACCACGATCTTTGAAGGATTGCCGAATAATTCGTTGGTTAAATGCCTTCGCTCGTACAGGCCCAATTACCCGTAGAAAATCCGGTTTACCACATGGCTGACCACCCCAGAAAGATAGCTCATTATTCATAAGCCGAAATTGCTGCTTATAGCTCAAAAATGGCTTACCATCAAGTGGCTGACAGAGATGTGTTGAATGAGGTATAAAGCCGAATGGTATAATATCAGCTAACTCGCATATCTCAAGGAATTCGAGGGTAAGATGTGCTCCGTGGCCATCAAAGAGTAGGAAGCGCTTTTCACCCTTTTTTAGACGGTCGGGTGTAGCAGTAGCTGAAATAAAATGATATAGCCATTCAGAAGCAATTTCATCAGAAATCCAGCCATTCGGTGAGGTAGCAGTAAGTGTGTTTAGAGGTAAATCCTCACTATTATGGAACCAGCTCTCCATAAAGACCCCGCCGCTTTTAAAGATAAATAGCGGATCCATTTGCCAGCCGTCAGCAGCAATACATTCGAGTGCAGTGATAGTTTCGCCTCGCTCAGCTTCAGCAAGGTCAGGGCAGTGCAATCTACCATTAATAACCTTACGAGACTGGCCCTGGCCAGGTTGGAAACCACACTCATCGAAGTTATAGACTAGCCTTGCAGGGATATCCTTTAGCAGGGTTGCAAGCTGATCATACCAGAAAGAGAGAGCCCCTGCATCTTCGGCTTGAATGCGCTTTGATTCCTTTAGATTCTGCTTCACTGGAGCGAGGGATAGGTGCTTTGGAAGGCGTGATATAAAGTAGTATGCCCAATTCTTGCCAACCGGCTGCCGACCCGCATCAGCGCGCGTAAGGGCCTGATTTGCCCACGCTTCTATAAGCTTTGCAGTAGGCGGTAGGTTCCAATCGCACATTTTGACTATCCAAGCAGTCAAAGCCTTCTCCTGATGTGATGTAAGCGCATTCTTGCGCGATTCAGTGGTAGAAAAGGGCGATCGGGCCTTCTTGACGCGATCGGCAAGGGTAGTTCGAGACACGCTAAATTCACGCGCAGTTTTAGCGATATTCGGCTTTTTTTGGTGTAGAACGGCTTTACAGGCCTTCTGCAGGCGATCCTCGTCAAAATTGGAGTATTTAGGCATATTGGGTGGTTGGGAAAGGGAGTTGAAATCGAATGGTAAAAATGTGACGGGGATTTAGGGGTGACGGGGATTTAGGGCGCACCCATAAGCGGAAGCGGTGGGTGGGCCGCAATATCATGGAGGGCACAGATAAGCAGCCATTGGCCCAGCGCAGGACCGGCCAACTGTCAAGCGGGTGATGCGTTGGCAGCGCCATCACCATGGGAGCCGCTCATCCAATCGTCCCCCAATGATCTCCTCCAGCGGTAACAAAAGTCAATGTCAATCTATCACCCGCCAATGGTCGTTGCATTTCATTTCCGCGGCTATGACGCCCATCCGGGGGTCGAAGCGCGAAAGGGGGCGACAGTGAGATCTTAGCTTATGTACTGTACTTGTTTCGTGAGGAGGTGAGTGTGCGCGACACGTATATGCCACACACCGACAAGTTCAAATCAGCGCTGCCAGTTGTGCCGTGCCTTAGGAACTGATCTGATCTGCCGAGGGTAGAAGCTTATATTCAATAATCAGCTTCTCAGGCAGGAGAAATATCGCCGACCTGTCCCACCCGGCCGAAACCTAGATTCTATTTGGACCAATTGTCGGCAGAAGAATGCCTGAAAAGCAGGCTGCAAATCAAGTTGATGCATAAAATGTGAAATGTGGCGTGAAACTCTGTTTGGCATTGATGTGGCGATCACTATCTACATCTAGGTACGCTAGTTACTGTACGCAGTACGCAGAAACACAGAAACTTCGAGTCCCCAGCCCTAAGGCCAACACAACCAGGGACCAGCGACCAGGGAGATTGCGGTCCCATCTCAAGATTGGGAATGATTGAGCAACGCTGTTTGCAAACGACTACCAATTGACTCCAAGACCACTTTCCAGATAAGACACAACGAATAGAAAAAAAGAAACGCAGAACGATAATACGTTGAAGAATCAAGATGAATTGACAGCCCATACCTTAGAAAAAACCAAATCATTCGCTTTCGCCCAACCTATCATTCCAAATGGTATATTTACCCCTGATTTACCGCTTTGCTCCTGACCCTGACCTGGGCGTACCGCCTAGCGATACACCTCCTGATGCACCATATGCGGGCGGCGGCGTTGGGGTCGGCGAGGCACGTCGCACAACCGGGTCCCGGGCTCCAAACCCACCAGAACCAGAAGGTCCTGCCTCGGCATTGATTCCAACGCCTTGGGGTAACTGGCCGCCATCGCCAGCGCCAACAACCACCTGCTTTCCATCGCGCATACGTCCAACCACCATACCCTTAGCCACGGACTTGAGCAGCGCGCGACGGCTAACGCCCGTGGCGTCAATGTACACGAGACCAACGTTCTTGATGCCGCCAGTCAGGTTGTTCGCGACGTGGCCAGCTTCGGAGCCGTAGCGGTGTTGGATAATTGTGGTGGCGGCCGCCGAGCCGGTCATCAACATGGTGCGCGCACTTTCCTGGATACCATCTGCCAACGTTGAGAAGGCGATCATCGACTTGTTCAGCACGCCTGGCTTGTAGTCTGGCGGGGGGTGGTGTTTGTTAGCGCTGCGAGGCTTGGCATCCTTGCGTGCTAGCGAAGCGCCAATGTTCTGCGCTACCCGCTCCACTTGGCCCAGGGTGCGAGATGAAAGGTCTGCTGCGCCGTTGGAGAATGTGCCGACCTTGCGGATACGGGCGTGAGTGGCATCGGAGAAAGTCACAGGCTTGGGGTTGGGCTTGGTCTTTTTCATGAAATTCTCGGCGCCGCTGGTGATGGCGTTGGAGATGTATGAGGATGTGGTGACAATAAGACGAGATGCGGTGGCCGAGGTTTGGACAATGGTTGAATTCTGATATGCGGGATGCCGTGCCATTTCCAAGTATTCTTCGGAAACGTTGGTCACGCTGACCTTGTTGCCCTCGCCTTCGGCAGGAAGTTCAATTCCAACGGGGCCTGGGAGAAGTTAGCTACTGAAGCAGGAACATGCTATACTGGCTGAGAATGAATGTACTCACGTTTAGATCCAGGTTTCACGTCCGGATCCTCCACCACATTGTACCCATCACCCAATTCACCAACAACACTGCCATCCTCCTCATCCACTAGCACGATCTTGCCGTGCAGTTTGTCACCCTTGTTGTCTCCAGTCCCGACATACCCCTCGCCCGGCGCATAGTCGGCCGGGTTATAGGCAGCGAGACCATCCGACTTGCCGCTCGGTGTGGGAGCACGGTCAAGGAATGCAGTACATTGCGCGAGGATCGTCTCGAAGGTATCGATGTCATCTTGGGTGACATTGTTCGGGCCGCTGCCAATGCTTGGAAACTGGATGCGAATGAAGGCGCCTGCGTCGGGAGCCAGATCCCATCGAGGGATCAGGTAGCTATCGGGCGGTTGATGGAAGATCTGGGTGGTAGCGGGCAATGCAAGATCCAGCTCCGGAGGAAGGTAAAGATGAAGGTAAAAGTCCTCCTCGGGAGTCTGTGTGCCCGCACCGGCGGCATATGGAGGAGTTGGCGCCGATGTAGCAGTAGGGACCATAAGGAGTGAAAGGGTTTGCGGGCCTGACGGCGTCAACTCGTGCTCTTCACCATCCTGGATGTGAAAAGCGCGGATATTGCTGACGCTGTAGAGCAACCTGGGGTCGTGTATAGCGCCCGACATCTTCTGTGAATGGATGATACTAAACAAGGAAATCGAGTTGCCCGAATGTCAAATCGGTGCTGATAACCGCAGATAAGGCGATGACGTCGGTTGTTTTCAGATGGTAAACCCCGCCGTTCAGACAAGAACGGAGTGAAAAATCAAAGTCTCTGAGACAACACGAGATCAATGGAGAAGAAAGGAATAATTTCAGACGGCAGCCAAGGAGGGGCTCTCTTATGAGACTATCGGGGCTGGGCGCTTAGATAACAGGAGCCAGTTACGACCCCTCGTCATTTTCTCCTGTCCTCCAAGGGGAGGAGATTGCTGCGCCACAGTTCTCCAGACTGCACCGCCACATTGCCACACTTCTGCCACTTTCTGTCTGTGCCCATAAGGGGTCTCGTTGTCTCCGATTGGATCTTGATTAAATCTTAAAGCTTCTATGAGTTCCTAGCAAGTAGAGTTCCCTGGTTTATTTGATACTCTGTGGCAAAATTTACCCAGTATTTTTCTGCATCCTAGAGCCCTCAATGGTTGAAATCCAGATTGTGTCTGACTTGCACCTGGAAAATCCATCTGCCTACGAAATCTTCGAGGTCACCCCCCACGCGCCATACTTAGCGCTTCTCGGTGACATAGGTGTGGTGGAGGATGCAGGCTTTTTCACTTTCATTGAAACTCAACTCGCCCAGTTCCAAGTAGTGTTCCTACTCCTGGGAAACCATGAACCATGGCAATCAACATGGTCAAAGACAAGACTGAGAATATCCGAGTTCTCTGACTCAGTCAAGAATCGACGCACATCAAATGAAGCCGCAGCAAGGCCTCTAGGCGAGTTTGTCTTCCTGGACCAGACCCGACATGACCTCTCCCCAGAGGTCACAATTCTGGGATGTACACTTTGGTCCGATGTTGCCGAGGAATACAAAGAGCGCATCAGTTCTGGGATCAATGACTTCTACTATATCAGCGATTGGAATATTGAAGATCACAACAGCCGCCATCGAGCAGACGTGGCCTGGCTTAACAGCCAGGTTACGCAAATTGCAGCTTCTGAACCAGAACGGAAAATTGCTATTTGGACACATTACAGTCCTGTCACAGCCGATGCACGAGCAGTCCATCCCAAGCATGACAATAGTCCTCTATCCTCGGGATTTACAACGGATCTTTCTCGACAAGAATGCTGGACAAATCCGCAAGTGCGCCTCTGGGCATTCGGGCATACCCATTACAATACTGACTATACTGATGAAATGACTGGGAAGCGGGTCTTCAGTAATCAGCGAGGGTACTATTTTGCTCAGGCTGCTGGATTTGACATGGAGAAGATCATTTGTATTTGATGAACACCCGACGTGTTGGTTTGATATCTGGCGCTCTCACTGAGAGCAGGATCCCTCACTTTGCACCCTACCCTATATCCAAGGTCGATTATATCATAGGTCAACTGAGAATCAAAGAGTATTCTGAGATACAATATATCTGTTAGGTGGTACTTAGTCCGAGGTGAGAAAGAGGGGAAGGTGAGGTATAAGACAGAGCATTCCAGAAGTTCTAATAAAGTAAGATCCTAATATAATTCTAACAAAGACAAGAGGATTCTGCCGATAATAATAAAGCTCTAGCCTTCTACTTCCTGGTTTTCTTCTTCTTATCTAACTTTAGTTGCTTAGTTTACTAGTACCTATAGTATGTTTCGAATCGCTTGCTCTTGACCTCGTTACAACGAGCATCTATATGTTTTCCTTACTTCAACCAAGCTTATAATTAACATAAAAAATCCTCTCTATACAGAGCTTTTCTATCCTTATACTTCTTAGGCTGTCACCTCTTATCTTCATTAACATTTTCTCTCACTTATCAACTGGTTCCTCCTTCAACGTCTGCTTTTCCTATTCTAACGTTATCTAACTCTCCCTCCCTCCCTCTCCCTCCCTCTCTCCCCCCTTCTCTCTCTTTCTCTCGCTAACTTCCTTCTGGATTTACCCTGAAAACCTCATTTCCAGATAGACCCCTTCAAAATGGCTAACACAATCAAGATCCCTGAGAAAATACAGGAGAGTGCGCCCAATCCCAACCCAGGCGTCCGCCTCCGAGAATTCCTACTTCAAGACCCGAAAGCACCTGCCGGACTATCCAACTCGCTTTCTGTTACGCTACATGGCGACTTGGCCGAAAGAACCGAATTCTACAAGATGCTCGAAGAAGTTGCCCGAGTCGATTCAAGCTACCAGAAAATCAAGCAAAGCTCGACCTCAATGGCTCTTGTCGGCCTGGGACTCGATGTCGGTGGACGCAGGGCCATCAGATGCTTGCTCAGGCTTCCAAAGAGCAAACTGAGAATCCTTGGACAGGCCCTCGGAGAGCCCTCGAACGACGCAATCCTCAACTACCTTGACTACGAGTCGATGTGCGAGACTAAGTTCAAGCATCTCAGTGCCGATGAGCAGACGGAAATGGTTCGAGATATTCGGGCTTGTACGAGCGCCAATGTCCAAGACTCTTCCAGAATCACTGCACCCACCACCTGGGTGTCCACTACCGCGCAGAATAGTTCAAGCAACTATGGCAAAACTGGGTTGCCCAAAGCTAGCGGGGCAAAGGTTCAAGTTGCTACCCCTTCTATAGCAGCCACAATCCAGCCATCTGTCTCTGAACACTAATCGACCAACCTCAATGCCCCTTTGCTGCCTATGCTTGGAGATTGCCTCGGTTATTGCACACTTGCATTTGCATCATGCCCGCTGCCTTGTTTTTTTTCCCGGTTTGTGAAAGCATGCTTTTATACCGCCGCACTATCGCCATCTTTACGGCGGAGAGATATGATACCGCGAGCGAATTCAGATTTACTGGTATTCGAATGCAATTTACTGGGAAGCAGAGTGGCCTAGTTTTGAACGTAGTAGCGGAAGCAAATCATCTAGGAAGAAGACGTAGGTTTTCTTTCAACATATATCAACTAGTATTTTACCACAAGGTGTCCTATTCAACTTAAGTGGCCTTTCAGGGTTGTAGATGTTTCTCATAGATTCGGCTATCTGCAAAGTCACTTCGGAGCAAATATTCATTTGTAGCCAAAGGAGTCACGGCAGTCCAAAGGAGAAACGGCGAGCCCAGGCATGAAACCGAAACCCCTAAAGTTTCAGAGTTATATCTTCCCATGTGAATTACTGTGAACCACTTCCTGTGAGACAAACTCACGTCGGTAAGGGGTTCCAAAGGCCTCAGCATAACGTCTATGGAATAGGCTCAGCATATCGCAAACTTCATCGTCGTGAACATGTGGGATAGAACTTTGAAGTCCGCGCAGTAGATCGACGTAAGCAAAGGCTTCCATAGCTTCGCCCTCATGGTCCGCAGTTGTGATCTGGTCAAGGATGTAGTCAACGAATGGTGGATTGCTCACTCCATTGAACGGCATGAAGCCAATGTCCCGCCAAATGCAGTAGGGGTTGTCTTCGAGGACCATCGACATGAAAGAGCTCTCACCCGGAGTAAGGCCACAGCGGATGATTTCGTGTTTCAGAGGTGAACAGTACTCGTGGGCCAGCTTGTGCTCCAAGTCGCGAAGGGGGATGGCGAATTTTTCGTACTTTCCTGCCGGACAAAGTTCCTTGAGTCACGCAAGTCCTTCATAGAACAGCTTGTGCTCCAAGTCGCGAAGGGGGATGGCGAATTTTTCGTACTTTCCTGCCGGACAAAGTTCCTTGAGTCACGCAAGTCCTTCATAGAATTCCTTGCATTCTCCTGGGCAGCTCAAATCACAGCTTATCAGCGGGTCAGAGGATGGGACAACCGTCGGACCGGGAGCGCGTGGGTGCCGACCACTGTGAATGCCGTGGTGGCGGCGAGGTAACAGTTTCGCCATGAGGAGTGAAGATGGTGGTTAACGTGGGTTCGGAGACAATTTCTCAGCGGATATGAGTTGCGTTGGATGGTTGAGCTCAGCTGGCTTCTGCGAGGCAAGGTCGTGGGAGGATTTGTAGAAGAGATGAAGTGCGTTGGATGGTAAGAGAGGATGTTGGAGGAATAAAGATAGAATGAAAGCCTTGAAGTGTGATTGACTCGCTCAAGGCTGCGATGAGAGGTAGATGAATCTCAGATGAGTTCAGAGTAAAGATAGAATGAAGGGAAGGTATTGGAATGTGATTGATTCGCACAAGGCTCTGATGTAAGATAGAAACGCTTGGAATCTATTGGTGATTAATGCTAAGGTTCGAATTTGGTGTTTAATTGAAGCTGGTCTTCCTCGGGCAAGCCACATCACGCGGCAAACAAATAGAACATGAAGATAGAACGGTTGTTCAAGTTCTAAAATGCGTCAAATATCGTCTCCCATGGGGAGATACTAGACATACTCCCTGTGCCGTAACGAGTTGTTAGTCTCCAGATCGTGTAGCATTATACCAAAAATTGTCTGGCTTCTGGAGTTAGATATGCTCCACTAACAAGTACTTAAACTGAATGACTTGCTACTCACTTACCCTCACGAGCGTAGCTATAGCATCCGTATAGGTCTTGGAGCCATAGGTACTTTTTCCATCCCGACATCCACTAACCCGTGTATCGTGGGTTCTCCCTAAATGGATGTAAGTAGGATGAACACATTGAGTCCTAGAAATACACTGCGAAGGAGAAACATGTGCTCTGTATGTTGTCCCAGTTATCTACTTGGTGATGACAAGCCGAGGCAGGTCCATGGCCCACTTGTTAGCCGCCTGATAATCAAGGCGACAAACTATCCCATCTCGGATTCTCTGCAGCCAATTAATTTGAAGATGCCGGCCTGCAAACAGCGCAAACTAGCGGCGCGCCACCCGTTCTGAATATTTTTTGATAGACAGATCGGAGGCCTCCGCAATTTTCATTTTCTGCAGCAGCCAGAGATTTCTTCGGACTGAAACTGCCTCAGTGATTTAACCGGAAAGTAGGAGGACTGATTGGCTGCCTGACATGTCCAACATGGACCCGACAGTTCCTCAATCCGCGACCGCGGAGACCACTCAAGCTCCGTCGGAGGTTGATCTCCCCAAGCGCGATGCTGCCAACGGTAGCCCTGCTGCCGAAGAGCCCCCCTCCAAGAAGGCTCGCATTGATGAGCCAGAGAAGTCTGAAGATGAACGCGATTCTCGGCGCAACAGGGGTATTGCGCCCATCAAGGCAGAGTAAGCCATTCCTGCCCGTTTCTGACTTACATCCGATAACGATTGACAATCTTACGTTTCCCAGATACCTGATCAACTCCACACCTAAGCCGGTTCCCGATACCAACACCGACGATGCAGCCGAGGCTGCTTCTCACACCGAGCGTGACGACGACAAGAAGAAGGGGAAAAAGAAGCCCAAGGGTCAGAACACCAATCGAAGCTTTGGTAGCTCAAAAGACGCCAAGGGCTTGTGCGCCTCAAGAATGTTCAGCCCAGAGTTCTCGCCTGAAGAGTGCCAATTCGGTGAGAAATGCAGATTTGAACACGACTTGCGACTATATCTGAAGGAGCACAAGCGGGAGGACCTTACCACATTCAATGGGATCTGTCCCGTCCACGAGGCACGTGGTACCTGTTATGCTGGCTGGCGATGCCGCTTGGTTGGATCGCATTCGATGGAGAGAGAGACGGCAGATGGAACGAAGGAGCTCATTCTGCTGGAGGATGAGGAGCGCAAAGCGAAGGCTAAGCCCCTTGTGCCTTTCGCTACTCGGGAAGGACTCGTCAACATTATCTCCTACGAAGACAAAGTCGCGTTGTCGCGAAAGCGGGAGCACACTCCTCGTGCCAATCAATACAATGATTGGCTGAACAAGGTGTCCCAGGAGCTGGAGAAAGAGTTGCACGGTCGATTGAAGAACGAGGCAATTGTTCCAAAGAGTGAAGAGACCCCTCAGACTAATGGTGATGCCGAGAAGGCCAAGGAGGAACTGGAAGATAACCGGGCCCAATTTACGGAGCCCCCATTCTTGGCCTCAGAAAAGAGGCGCATCTACTTTGGGCCGGAGACTCCAGCACTTGCACCTCTGACAACACAGGGTAATCTCCCATTCCGCAGACTTTGCGGAGACCTAGGTGCTCAATTCACCTATTCCGAAATGGCTCTTAGCATGCCTTTGATTCAAGGCAACAAGTCTGAATGGACCTTGATCAAAGGCCACGAGTCTGAAATGCTCCCCCCAACCATCACTCCAGGACCGAACGTGGTGCAAGGATATGACAACTCCAAAGATTTCAGATACGGTGCCCAGATCACGGCCAACAAACCGTTCCAGGCACTCAAGGCCACAGAGGTGCTCTCCAAGTACACACCGAACTTGCGCGTCATTGATTTGAACTGCGGCTGCCCCATTGAGCTGGTCTATCGCGACGGAGCCGGCTCCGCGCTCCTGGACCACCCCTCCAAATTGGAGAAGATCATCCGTGGCATGAACGCAGTGTCTCAAGAGATTCCCATTACAGTGAAGATTCGTATGGGAACCAGAGACAATCAGCCCAATGCGTTGAAACTCGTTGAACGCCTGGTCCTAGGTGGCTACGAGTCCAGCCTTCTGGATGTTGGCCCCCCTGGCGCTGCCGCCATCACCCTCCACGGACGAAGCAGACAGCAACGGTATACTAAGCAAGCCGACTGGGGTTACATTGCCGAGACCGCTGCTCTCATCAAGCGTCTCAATGAGAAGACTGACGATCTCACGGACACCATTCGCGAAGCCGATCCTCGCTACTTGCCGAACGGTGGCAGGACCTACTTCCTTGGAAATGGCGATTGTTTCTCTCACGTGGACTACGACGATCACATCAAAAACGCCGGTGTTGATGCAGTCATGGTGGCTCGTGGCGCTTTGATCAAGCCGTGGATTTTCGAGGAGATTCAGACTGGCCAGTATCTGGACAAATCTGCGTCTGAGCGTCTTGCTTACATCGAGAAATTCGCCAAGTACGGTCTCGAGGCTTGGGGCTCTGATGAATTTGGTATCGGCACAACCCGCAGATTCTTGTTGGAGTGGTTGAGCTTTGCCTACCGCTACGTTCCCCTTGGTCTGCTCGAATACCTTCCCCCGCATATCAACGACAGACCTCCTGCCTGGCGCGGCCGAAATGACTTGGAGACCCTGATGGGTAGTGGCAACTACAAGGATTGGATTAAGATCACGTAAGTTCCCTTTATATTCCCCTTTGAACGCACTTGAAGGGCTTGTTGACTAATGCCTTCTATCAGTGAGATGTTCCTCGGCCCTGCACACAAGGACTTCAAGTTCGAGCCCAAGCACAAGTCCAACTCCTACGAGGCTGAGGGTTAATTTTGGTGTTCTCGTAGAATCCGCATGCCATAATTCATGGTCTTAAGTTGTACATACATAGCATAGAGAATAAAACATAAGCAACATGAACGTGAAAATATTAAAATCTCCGGATATGATGACATGACAGCTCCACGTAACGTTAGGGCTGCCCTCACAGTCACGTGCAGGTCAGGACGATGACGTCTACCCCCCGAGGCTTGGAAAACTTCCCCATAAAAGACCACCTCGATCCTGCACCTCCACCTGCTGGTTTCCAATTTTCTGCTGCTGCCCAATCTGAACACGTCTACCTCTTGATACTCGTATTTTGTTTTATCTCCTAGCTCCTCCCGCTCAACGCAATCTACCTGCTGGTGTTTGTTTACACTCTAGCCAGCTCACTCCGAAGCTCTCCAGGCAACCCCCACCCCCTTTTGACAGGCACAAACCTTTGATCCCGCGTCTCCTGCTACTCAAATAAACGTCGACAAGATGACTCTTTACTACAGCCTTGTATGTGCCATTTGCGATCTCTCTGGGATTCCTGCTGTTGCTCTCCAGCCAATCCAGCTGCGGGCGGTTGGAGCCTAGCTGGCTAGATCGGCCAGCTCGCCAAAACACCTCGCGTTGCCTTTGAGGGTACAATTTCACCAGATTCGAATACTGATATCTATATCTTGATTTAGGTCTTCCTTCTCCTGGTGTTCGAGATGGCGGTCTTCCTGGCGCTCATCATCCCTCTTCCATTCACCATCAAGCGGAAGCTCTTCGCTTTCGTTTCCGAAAGTCCGATCATAGCAAAGCTACAGTATGGCTTGAAGGTATGGCAGATACCAAATATTGCAGACTATTTGAGATTATCTAACGGGAAACCTAGATTACATTCATCTTCATCCTCATCCTGTTCATTGACAGCGTGAACCGGGTGTACCGGGTGCAGCAGGAGCTGGCTGCCTTTGCCAAGGATGGTTCTGCAGTCAGGTACGTTCTCTTTTGACAAACTGAAACCGCAATGATCGCCACTGACGTGAGTCTCATAAAAGTGCCGCCCACCTCGGTACCGACCGCATGGAGGTGCAGGCCCGCAAGTTCTACTCCCAGCGTAACATGTACCTATGCGGCTTCACCCTCTTCCTCTCCCTGATTCTCAACCGCACCTACATCATGATCCTGGAGGTTCTCCGCCTTGAGGACCGTGTCAAGCTGCTCGAGGGTGACAAGAAGGCCGGCGGCAAGGACTCTGCCCGTATCGCCGAGGCTGGCTCCGTTGGTGAGATTGGCTCCCTGAAGAAGCAGCTGGCAGAGAAGGAGCGCGATATCGAGACCCTCAAGAAGCAGTGCGAGGGTCTGACTCGCGAGTACCACAAGCTCGGCGATGAGGTCTCCTCTGGCAAGAGCGAGAAGACCGTGAAGAAGGACCTGTAAAGTGTCCGCCTGGCTGTCTGGTTCTGGAGACCCAGTTCGGCTGCTATGTGTACTTTCAGCCTCTTCCTATGGCGCTGATTTCTAGCACTTGAAACTTCAAAGTACTCCCACTCGTGTCGAATGCCTGCCAATTGGTCACAGGCAGGCTGAATCTGCTCTCCTTGTCAACACACCTTCGCACGCCATACTGCTCCTCCTTTACACCGATCGAAAGCAGTCCATAAATATCTCTCCCAGAACTCCTAAAGACTTTCTGCCACCTTGAGAGGCACCACCTACAGAAATTAGCCCTGAGGAAACGATGCTTTTGCATCGTTGTCCCCATTATTGACACTATGTTACCTGGGTGTTGGAAGGACGGAGTCACTGTTCATGTGCTTGTTTTAGAAGCGCTCCTCCTGTTAGTCTACGCTTGATTTTTTTTTTATCTTGGGACCAGGATTATCTTGCATGATGAAGATAGGGACTTTATTCTGGGTCATAAATTCATCTTTTTCAAATTCATAAAGTCTTCGTAACTGTACAGATAGTGTCTATTATCATACCGAGGTCGGGGAGTGCATCGCACACAGTTCAACCATTAAATGAGGAACGTCCAGAAGCTTGGGTATACAAGCTCCTCCTCGAAGATGCGACGCACCTGTGCGAGAACAAAGCGCTCCACCTTACCCACATTCTTGAGGACTTGCTTCCCGTCCTCCTTACGGCCAATCTCGCTCTCTACCCGGATCTCCTGGAGCAATCCACCCTGTCGTTTCTGATCCCCGCCAGACCGAGGTCGGCCATCCTCACTAGTCTGTTGACCGTTCTGATAGTGTCCCTCAGAGCCAAGCAGCGCATCCGCATCTTCGGGAGACAAGAAGCAGAAGTGAATGCGTTTGCGAATGTATGCAACCACCGCCACACCGTCAAAGGTGATACCGGTGACGTTTAGTTTCAATGGTAGTCCGACAAAGCTCGGCATTGGGTAATCGAGCAGGATCTCGGCTGTCAAGGATAACCGGACATCGCCGGCATACCTTGCGTGACATAGGATCTGGAAATCCTCTGGGCGGCGCTCGCGCATGCGAGGCGGAATTGGAGCAGACGGGTCGATGGCGGGTTCTGTGGATGGTTGCGGGATATCTGCGGGATCACCGCTGTTGCGTTTGGATCCACTGCTGCCGGTATGACCACCCGAGGGGTGTGAGGGTATTGTGTTTGCGGTCGATGGCCGTGATGCCGAGTTTGTGGTGTCGATGTCTGCGTCTGCTCGGTGCTGAAGACCACTAGGGCGAGAGGGACGGCGTGGCCTGCCGCCATGGCCCAAACCCGAGTCTGACCAGCTGCTGGCAAACGGAGAGCCGCCTGCCACAGCTGCAAGAGGGGTCTGGGTCCCCGAAAGACCGCCCAAGGACATCAGATGGTAACCAAGCGTGGATGTGCCACCAGGAATCCCGGGGGTGCCGGCGCGAGGCAGAAAATGCGAGTTGATATGGTCTCCCAGGGGCAGTGGAGATCGAAGCGCAGAGGGCTGGAACGCCTCGCCGGGGTAAGGATGGTGGTGGAGGTTATGGGGTACATCGTCGTCGTAGGCGGAGTCCGACCATTGTTCGAGCTCCTCCGAGGTAGCGGAGGTGTCGTCATCATCTTCTTCGTAGAAATCGGAGAAAGGTTCGCAGAAATCTTTGATCTCGAGGTCTGGTCCGATCGTCCCAAATTCGAAGGCATGGCATTGGACTGAGCGGATGAAGCGCGGTAAGGGTACCTGCTGGAACTTGTCGTGGACAAAGGAGCGGATGCGCTCTGCTAGAGCTTCACCGTCCGGACCAGAGGTGGCCCTTGCCCAGTCGACTTCGATGGACATTACATGTGCGTTGCAGCTGGAGATTTGTTCAAGAATGGTCCCAATATCGGAATGATGAGGCGGAGAGCTCTCGCGATGCCATGTTAACGTTCAATCACGTGATAATCGTGGGACATGGTAGATCGAAGCTCCCAGCTTCTGCTTGTCCAGCTTGCCAACTTGCTTATGACCATTAAACAGGATATGATGCAATTGGTAAAGTTGAGATACTGAGTCAGTGAAAGTTTGACACTCATAAAATGTGCCAATGAATGGTGCATGTCCGAGTTGGTCTATGGACCCTTCGTACCTGGGATCCATTAAGCGCTACAGACCCTTGGCCGATAGGACCAAAAATGTGACGAACATGCGTATGCGCGTGAGTTATCAACACTACAAAACCTACGAGGCAAATTTCGGGGACTGTTGACCACTCATTCCATCCATAACGGTGTCTGGTTGTTTGTCTTAGTCAACTTCGGTTCTTAGATTGCACTGCACATAGATGGTAGCTCACCCACGGCGGTTACTGCTTAATGCATCATACATTCTCGAACATTCTTATATCCGGAGGTAAAAAAGGGATATTTTACCCTTTAAAGACCACCGTGCAATAGGTGGATTCATAGGTGTCCACGCACGTCGAATCAGCTGATTCGAGCGCCATGCAGGTCTAATGCGATGCACAAGATGTCCATCTGCGGCTCTCAGCCTATCCCCAAGTGCCGGACGCGGTTATTGCTACAGATCTATTCGTTTAATTCGCAGAATATATGAATCTAGCATTAACCAACTCGTGATTCATCGCCAGTCTCCATCTTCTGGTTCCCCACCAAGGCCAAGGCGTTCTTGGCTTCCAAGGCGTTCTCGTAACCTCGTAACCACGTAGCCACCCTTGCTAGTGGCTTTCGACTAATTTAATGGGTATTTGTCATTGTTGAGATCTTTAACAAATTTCCTTGGTGGTGCTTCGTAGCCAGATGTGCGCTATAAAAGAATTCAAGAGAGGGGACGAAATGGGCATTTCTATGTGGATTGATTTTCTAAAAAATTTTGGCTAGAGACTCATTTACTACCGCGACGTATTCAAGAAAATAAAAGGAAACTGTGGAGCATAGAAAATTGTAGGATGAAAGATTTGAGGGTGAATAAGAATTGTAGTCAAATAAAAGATTAAGCCACTGTGTGGTGAACGCTCAAGTTGCCGAAAATTGTAAACATCAGATCAAGTACCAGAATGAACGCGAAACATCAAACTCTGAGCTCAGAATAGAAAGTAAAAGATTTCAACACATAAAAAGCCTCCCAGCCCAGAAATTGGTGTGATACGGTACAGGACAAAAAGCAGCTCATCCTCCTTTTGACGTGCACGCAGCAAGTTGTTGCTCGAAAGAACGGCCCTAGTGACGAAGGACATGGCCGAAGCAGTGGAATCATGGCCAGGCACCTGAGTATCAAGGCATTATCAGCAAACCGTAATCAGATGAGAGGTATCTTGAATCATTATACTGACCTTGCTAAGAGCCCTTTAACCACCGTGGGCCGGGCATTTGTATCCATCTCGACGGCGAAAGTGCTCCTTTACGCCCGAGCAAGATGAAGTACCAACCTTGGCACAATGGACGACATCGCCCTCGCGCAGGCAGCAACCGCAGTCGTACAGGAAGATGTAAACCGAACACATTTTGAAAGTAGAGATAGTGTGTTATCCGGAGAAGATGATATTGAAAAAGGCTTTCTGAGGTGAAGCTTGTCACTGATGAGCTGGCTGGATTGATGAGGGATGAGGAACTAAAACAGCGAGGGATCAAGGCCACTTTATATCATTCAGAGCACATATATCTGGATATAATGACTGTGCCGCGATGTGGTCATCAACAAATGACATGGCATTCATCCATGACTGTGATATCTTGCGCATTTCACTGCCGCTGTGGGGGATGAAAGATGCGCCATATGCATCTAATGACTTAGTAGTCACTCCCGAAATGAGCAAGGCATTTAGAAGCAGAGGGCGGACGAGGCATACATGATCCAGATAGGGTAAATGAGGGCCTCATTGCGAACCAACAAATCGAAATGTTGGCGTTTATGTGGATAATAAGAGAGGGCCCCCTGTGTCCAGCGGACTATGCCCGGTGATCTAGGTTCTGGGCACCCCGGCACTAGTAGAAGGCAGAGATGGGTTCGTCGAACCGTCGATCAGGGCAGACCACTCCCAATTTTCATTAGAGTTTCCGCGCGTCTGCTGAGAAATATGACGAGAACGGGGCCGTCGATACTCATGGTCTCGTAGATGGGGTGGCCAAAAGATCTTCGATTCGGCAAATAGGATCGCGGAACGGAACCAACGCTCGACATACACGGCGGGCTAGGCAGAAAGTCTAGGGCCGAATGAACCTAGAATATGGCGCATGCCATTGTATTGTCTTTCCATTAAGGAAGAACCCACCTGCCACAGTCTGCAATTTGCATAGTGAATAAGCCCCATGTTTTCGGGGGCCATCACAGGAGCCCTCAGAGGGGGGTGGCGCGGCACTTCTCCAATTAAGCCTGAGCACGGTCAGCTCCTTCTCGAGTTTTTTTTCTGAGTGTGCACGAATCATAAATTCCCGAGTGCAGATTTTTCACCAGGATGGCGTTCCGCAGCGCGTGTGAGGCCTGGCAAAGTGTGGTAGCATGATCGTGAACTATAGGATCAACCTCGCGGCCCGAACGGGAGCTAGAACCTCGCCCAAACTCAAGCCCGTGTCTCTCAAGGGAAGCCCCAAACATCAAAGTTCTAGACAAACCCCCCAATAGGTAATTTTCGTATCATGGCCCCAAGTTTGAACTGCGACAAAAACCCGCTGGAATGGATCAGTTGGTGATAGCAGCGAGCAAGCTGCATTAGGATCAGAATCAGACATTGGAAGTCCATGACGTGGTATTAAGCGAAAAGTCCCAAGGAGATTATCTTCGGATTTCGAAAACGCTATCTCCGGAGCTGCCCCAGATTGAGCTTCATCGATCGTTGGCTGGGATAGGATGAGGAAGTGACATCGCCCATGATCTAAGTTGTGAATATAGATGCGTCGGCCACGCCGGGATATATCAACGACCGACCAATATCTGCCAATGAAAATTCACTAGCGCGTATGTGACTGGTAGGAATTGACTGTGCTCCTCGGGAGCACAGTCGGATTCCTTTACATAAATATTGGTTGCTGAGGCTCATCACTTGGCGCCTGTGCTCTGGGAGATCGACCCTGGGCGAGTGAGTGTGGGCGGCAATGCACAGCGACTAAGCACAGCACAAATTGGCATCCTTCTCCCCACTCTATTTGGCGCCGTTGGCATTTGAAAAGAATCTCGATGGGGCCCTCCGCCAATAGATGAGAGGATACAAAGAGAGAAGGTGAGAAAAAGATGTACATTGTTCTGTCAGGGCGCACTTGTCTGGCGCAGGAGGAATCCACCACGTGACTGCTCCTTCGATTGATACTACGACGGGGTTGTACAACCTCACCTTGAGGCAACTTTTTGTGCTTTCCATTTCCGAACCAACCATGAGCCTCCAAGCTCGTTACATGCCACCTATCACAAACCGCTTTGCCTGTGCGATGGCTACTACTCCGAGTTCTAGATCTCACATGTCGACCGTTTCCCCCACACAAGGGCCAACCCAAACAGCCGAGTCGATCGGGCACTATCGGTTAAAAGAGATCCCATCTCACTCATAAAACCGCGAATCCCACCAGTCCCGATGATGTCATTTGCAGTCGTTTTGTCTCAAAAGAGAAATGAATTGCGTGAACGACGGATTGATCGTGAAAACAAACCGGAGCGACCAACCGTTGCGACAGGGAACCGACGCGGACACAGTCGGGATGATCGGAGCGTGTCAACAGCCTCCACGAACAAGTTTCGGTTGTGCGAGGACAACTCCTCCGCACTTGAAACCAGACGGTTGCATGGAAATTGGGTGGACTTAACCCGCCTGTGAAATGGCAGTGCTCTCGCACGCTGGAATGGGGAGCGGTTAACTAGTTATGGGGTCTTCTGTTTTTTTCTGGGGCTGCCTTGGCTCCCCCCTCATCCTGGCTGCGGATCTTCCGAGGTTGACTGGACTTGCGGTTTGAAACGGACCCGCCGAACGAAAAGGGGAAGACAATAACCTTACTAACAGTCGAACTGACCATGATTACTACTCCACAGAGTCCACACTAATGGCTCAAACAGATTACGCAATTGGCAAGTTTTTCCACTACCACAACGATCAGAAAGTGCAACAGATTTGAGATTTGCTGGCTTTTTCTGCCAAGAGAGACGCATAACTGCCATGGCCCGCTGGGAATGAGTGAAGGAGTGGCGGCCAGGCTAGACCGACCCCAGAATACCAAATCATCAAAGCCAAGAAAGGCGAAGTCAAAAGAATTGGAAAACAAAGAGGGTAGATCGTGTTAATGATTCCAATAGTGACGTCTTGGCTAAGAAGGAGAAGTGTCTGTCCCCCCCCTTTTTCGGGCCAAGACATGTGAAGTGTTTAGGATGTACCGGATTGGGCAATCATGTCGATAATTGGGGCAGGCTATCCAGTCCTCTCTTCTGTCCTATCCACTTTCCCGGCCTTGTGCTATACCAAATTATCAGCGATAATCGCGGGGAGGCTTACCTGGCTGACTACGTGACCTTAGTCGGGTATCCACTGACTGTTCGGCTGAGATGCACGATGTGCTGGATCGACGGGCTTGTCTTTGATACCGGAATGCCCCTCACTCTCCAAGGTTCCTTCGCCATCTCTTGGCTCCGTTGCGATTCTGGACTATAAAGTCTGACCGATTTCACCCGCCAGGTCAAGTGTTTTAATCTATCTCTCCCTCTCTCCCTCACACACACACCCTCTCTCTCTTCCTCGACTAAAAGTGTCCATCTCGTGCAAATCTCCTGCCCCGCGCTCAGCCATTTATAACCGCTTTTGGCTCAACTCTCATCCGGCACACAACCCACACACACTAATCTTCCACTCAAAACATCGCCGAAGTGATCCAAAAGTCTCTTTCTCAAAATGTTTTTCAAGATTCCCCCTCCCCGTCAGTTCCTTGTCCTCTCGGCCACTAGCTCGGCCCCCTTCGACCCGAGCCACAAGTTCCTCGTCTTGTCTCCCACCGAGTCCGGCCCTGACTCTCGTGTCTACGATGAGCAGGCCGTGACTGAGTCTGCCACTGTCGAGCACGAGCAGGAGTTGCACCGCTCCAACAGCTCGTCTTCCACTTCATCCGAGGCCTCGCAGATCGACGAGGATGCTGCCACCCTGCCTAGTGGCTTCCTCTTCCTCGGCCACACCAAGGGTCGCCGTGCTTCCCAGTGATTGATTGAATCTCACTTGGCCGTTTTTGTTTTCGCTTTTTTTTTTTTCCCGTTCCATTTTTCATGACAGTTGTTTCATCAACATGATACCAGCGACCGACGCATTTTGGTTTTATCTTATGACCTAGCGATCATCTCGGTTTATTCATCGTGGATTTGGCTCAACCCAAGAGACATCGACACCTTGCCTCTAGACATTGAACCCATCCCCTTCTGGACAAACCAATAGGATGGAAAAGCACAACAAGGGTGTTGGAGGCGCTATCTGATCTGGGTTTTTCTTTTTTTTTTTTTTTCTTTTCCTTATCTCTTAGGGACTACATACCAAAGCCCCAGCGGGCGAGGTTGCAACGCAATCAATCAGACTGCAATACAAACATATCATTCTACCAATCACTCCTTCTATCTCTCTCATTAAGACGTACGTACAGTCCAAACAAGGCACCCCTGCCCAACCCAACCATTTCTTATCAGTGCCCAGAAATTAATAAGCCCACTGGATGCGAGGGAGATGCCCTCCTGGATGCCTGCCAAGTACGCGCCAAGGGCGATTGCTGATCCGCCAAGCCTTGTGCAGTTTGATAGACCCGTCTTGGCTGTCCCTGCGCCTCGCGGATCATGTTCATCATGTTGTACAGGCTGACTGCAGTCTGCAGTTGTGTATCCGTAGCGAACACCAAATCCCTTAATGGCAATATTGCCAAGATATGCTTTCTACAAATTGTGCAGTTGTGATGTGGACAATGCTGTTTTGCCATCTAAGCCTCCGTGTTCTTTGCTTTTTTCTTAACTCCGTCTTAGGCGACCACTCTGCCTAAATACACGTTGGTGTTTCTATTCGTGGGATTGGACAACACTTTTAACTTGGACTGGCTGCTGACATTTTGCTGGGGCTAAATCTGTGTTGGTCGCCCCGGTGAGATCGCGGTGGAGTTAGACGGGAGATGGGGTATCCCCTCCCCCCTCCGAAGTAAGTAAATCCACCCCGCATTCCCGGTGAAGATCTGGAGTTATGATAACCATATTTGGCTCGATCGATGATCTCGGTGAATATTGCAATCTTTTCATGCGTGGCGTGATGGCTTCATCCAGTTATATCTTGTAGCTATGGCGGCAATCTGGCGGCTTGAGATTGTGAAACCTTTTTGTGTCAACTTATACCTAGATCGGTACTCGGTGAAGCAGGGTGATGTTTGCATCGCGGATATGGATTGTGAAATCGATACTCTAATCAGGCTCGCGGGTATATCTATTTAGCCGAAGCTGATAGCCTAACCTGTTGTGGCCATGTGTTCTACTATTCTCCGCGGCCTTGCGATAGATTCTTGAACCAATGACTGCACTTTCGTGTAGGCATGATTTGGGTATTCTATAGAAAACTGACATAGTCTGTCATCCTTAAGGTAGGGTTATTTTCCATGTTTCCTAAGTCGAATTCTAGCGAGATAGTTCTCGATGAACCATGACCTCAGGACCTGAACAAGTTCATCAGTCATCGGTATATGATAAGAATCGACCCGATTAAATGGAATGTCTTACGTGGCCCAGAGTGAAGTACAGCTTGACGCCGTGTCGACCTTCTTCGTGATTGGCTCTGTTCTTAGACGGAGGTACTACCAGCCAGTTATTGTTATGATTACTACATGAAATATATAATTCTCTTTTTATGAGAGAAATAGAGTTATGCCGAAGAAAGCCTATTTTCTCTTTCTAGCAACCATCGATACAGTCAGGTCTAGTATAAGATGGGGCCTGGAAAGAACAATAAGAAATCGGGGAACTCTCTAATCGGTGCAAGGAAAATGTTCGTTTCATTCCATGCATAGATGCTATTGCTAATTAGAAGCGCTAAAGGGCAAATATTGGATCAAAGCTGCAATAAATCTGAAAGATAAGAATATATGAATTGTCGAAGCCCGTGAGAAAGAGGGCTTCAACTTTCGTGGGTTCGGGTCTAACCCAGGCACCTAAATGAGTAACAGCAGTCGTTACCCTTATCTATTCTCGTGGACTGATTTCGAAATCGTAGTAGATATCTGATAGGTCGATCCTCCCACAAAGACATTCATGACCTTGTACGAAATGGTTACAGCATAACTTTCTGTCAGTTTACCATTTAGCATGTCGTGCAACTACCAGAAGGAGTGGAGGGAATCACTACTCCCGCCATCTGAGTGCTTTGATCATTTATTGATAGCGAGGTATCACATTGATAGTCTGGTCGAAACTCTGTCTGGTGATTTTGCCAGTTGTCAACACAGCTCATTCGAGATATCAAGCTTCTATGCTATGATTGCCTTTTCTCTTATCTATATACGCCAAGCAGCACCATGTGGCCAATATATTGTCTGTGTTAATTTGAAAGCCCTTTTTGAGTCATCCCGACTTTCGTTTTTAGCGGCTCGTGAGACGTGTGCGATTCTGAAAGGCATCCACAAAAGCATCCTAATTAGGCGATTCACGTGCTTTAGCCAGAGAAGAAGCAAGCATGTAGTCCCCAAGCTATCCCTGTCACGAGACCAACTAAAATTAAATCTTAGTTACTCCTAGATTCCTAGATTGACTCAAAATAAGTTCATTCTCCGCATTCCCCGCAAATGGACGAAAGCCGCAATGCGGGGGCACCTTTCACTCGGGCAGGCCCGGGGACAAGATCAAGTGGTTGTAGTCTAGACACTGGTCAGGTGAACAAGGCGATGTCGAATGACTGATGCGGGGGTGTAAAATCTAGAAAGCCGCATCGTATCGTGCATCTGAGCTAGCTGCACAGATGGAATCGTCGATAGCGGACCGGATATGATCATAATAATACATGAGCATGCAAGCTTGTACGCCAAGAATGGCGGGATTGATCAGAATCAGAACTACCAATTGAGTCTTGACATTAAACACCAAAGAAAAGCCGATGTTCACCGCTAATAATGATTGTGGTGGACTTGAAATCGACCGATGTTTACTCCGTACACCCCCGAGTATTCCGTACTCCGTACCCCGTGAAATCTTCAAGCTAGCGGTCAGCGCGCTACCGCTATTTCGTACAGGGTCATGTGCCCTACCAAGCTAGTTTGACACGCTAGCGGTTTCTAAGCTAGGGTCGTTGGTGTGCTGTTGTGACTCTATGAGACAGTCTATGACGCTAGTGTCTATCACATGTGAAGCTTTAATGCTAAAATGAGGGCCGTATGGAGTACAGTACTCTGTATCTATCTGTGTACAGTGTATACAGTGACCCCCACTATAGGAACTAATGTTGCAACCTAGCGAAAAGGAACGTTGACCAAAAGGAGATCGTCTGTATATCTGGAAGATCCCCGTTTACAATCAATAATACAGTCAAGTATAGGGTGCATCGGTGGTTGATCTGCGATGGCTGTCCCACTGCGGCGGTTTGGAATGGAGGGGTAGTGAATGGTTAGGAGGGACTACTGTGGCATGTACGGAGTATGTGACTGGACTCTAACTGGGGAGATTTGGCCGTGTCAGGGGCAAATTGAGACGGCGAGTGCAAAGTTAGGAAACTGAGTCAGTCTATGACTTCTGGGTGTAGTTGGCGGTACACAAAAGCATTGTTTGTTGTCCTTTGGATATTGCCAGAGTGTCTTCTTCAAGTTATTAATATTATGGGGATCGACTGCTGAAACACCCTCGTGCCAGATCGAGCAAACCCGACTAACTTCCGTGGGGAAACACACGCGGCAGGGAAACCTTTTTTGAGGTTGAGATGGAGAGTGCAGACCATGTTGCTTTCGGCGTCCAAAGATATGTAAAATTGAGGTTACCTGCAGTAGAATTTGAGGATACAGTACATAGTGATCTGCTCGAGACGGAGTAAGCGGGCGCCACTTTTATCATGGCAGGACGATCGGAGGACCACATTGGAGTGTATTCCGTAATTCCGTACTCTGTACGGAGTACACCGTACTCCGTACCCATGGTAAATAATACAGAGAAGACAACCTTGTCCGAGGGGTCCAATTTAGAGCCCAGGCGGGGCGGTGTGGTCGCGTCCCTCCCATAGGGCATGAAGACTCCGGGCAACGCTAATTGATGGAAGCCCGACCGAATGCTTCTGCCGCGTTTCTAGCGCCAAAGCCAAGACCCGTCGCTTCCCGACTGAAACTTTGGGTTGGGGTATTGGAGTATGTATTGGACTATAATAACTTGGGACTTGGGACAATGGAAAGAGCACGTTTAGGACCATTTGCCGATCCACAGAGCCCAATGTATGAGGAGTTTGGGGATCCTGTATTTCAGAGTTTCGTACGATAGTGTGTATGTGACGGAGAAGTGTCACATTATTGCCCCTTAACATGGCGAAACTGGAGTAAAAAAGGGGGCAGGTGACCAACTGCTCAGCTTCAGCGGCAACATAGCGGATCTCTGTTATAGAATGTAGTACTGTAGTAGGGGTGATGGACGCCATACACTTCACTGAAGACCGCGGAGCCCAATGGAGTCCGTTGGTGACCAGTAGTGGCCTCGGCTGAGCGGGAAATCGCCACCACCAAATGATCTTGCCCCTTGCAGATGGGACCCCAGATCTACTCGGGTCATTCGAAGAAAGAGAGCTTGATCCTAGTCTGCATGCTGTAAATGATCGGTTATCCGATGCTCTGGCGCAGCGGGTAACTTTCATTGTCCTCGATCAGTAGATACCCCGAGTGCCCGACATGTCTCCTTAGTCTCCAAGGGACAACCGGCAAGAAGGAAGCAGTGGAGTCCTGACTCTCTTCACGATGAACCATGGGCGACGGTGTTCCGATCAGAACGAAGATTCGCTGGGTGTATTGGTCGACCCGCTCCACATTAGGCCCGCGGCGTCGGCAAGAACAGTCAAACATCATGAAAATCTTCCCCCCCCCTCGGATGGGTTATTTGAGGATCCAGTCAGTAGTGGACACAATGACTGGATTAGTGTGTCAGATAGCTTCAGCTCAGCATGAATGAGTCCAATAATTAGCAGGTTGGAGGCTGGAAGGGAAGGTCGGAAACGTAAACATGAATCGGAATTGAGCTCAAGAGCGCATCATCAGCCAAGGAGCCATTAGTCATTTAATACCGTTAGCCGCGTGAACGGAAGGGAATAATACACAGAACATACCCCAGTTGACCATGTTGATCTCTCCTGATCGATACCAAAGTATACCAAGACGCATGCTATAAAATACCTCATCATACCACGATATACCTAAATATACCAAAGTTACGCTAGTCTCGAGGTCCGTGTTTCAGGCCTGTACAGCCCATTACCGATCATGACGTCCCTCCGCTGGACTCTGCAAGCGGTGTGTCGTGGCATCATCATTAGATCGGCGTCGGACCCCCCGTCATCGTTGCATCTATACAGATATCAAGTAGAAGTGCGATTGTTGTGATAATGGCCTTGAAACAGTTTGTAGAGTTGATATGTATCTTTTGGCAACTAGCTCCAGCTACATAGAATACTTCAGCTCAATTGGGCTCCAGTTAGTTTAGCGAATTAATATGTTACTTTTCATGTATCTTCCTCTGACTGTCCCCCCGTTTGCACTGCATCACGTGCCTCTGGTAATACGGTAACGGCGCCAACCCCAAAGCGGCAGGGTTGCCTCCATCGCAGTCCCGCTAGGACTCGAAAGAGGGCCCTACCTCCTCTCTCTATCCCTCTCTTATCTAGAATCAGGACTAAAAAAAAAGGAGATATACTCACCTCTGAGCATTTCCATCTCTCGTCTCTACGACACGCGGTATCCGAACTTTTGAACAGAAAGACCAGCGCTTCCATCGCCACTACTGCGCCCAAGAGAAAGGCGATTCGCTGGGTCCCAGCACCAAGAGTGGGACATCATCCGAGGGTGGACTCTCGAACCCGCCCAAAACCGCCATTCACCTAAAAGTCCACATCCATCGAGGGGCACTGGGACGAGACTTGCTCTCCTGTCGCATTCTCATCCTTCTCAACACTCCACGGTGACTTTCGTTCGCGCTTCAACACGGGACCTTTCCTATCAACCCTGTCCCTTAAAACCCCTCGGGTCTGGCGTGCTTTGGCTTCGCGCAGGACCGGACAGGGAACTAGCATCTCTAGAGACCTTCCAGAAAAAAAGGTTACGGGACCTTTTTTTTTTTGCTTCTTTCACTATCCCAGAACACCCGGGATATCTAAATCGATTCAAAACTATATCATCCTCGTCGGCGCTTACTTTCCCCTCCATCACGATGACAGGCGCCGCTCCCATTGACATCACCACTCGACAGTCGACCTCGGTCTCACCACCGGGGCAACAGGCCTCGAATCTCACTTCGGCCCTCCAGAGAGCTGGTACTGGTGAGCGCACAGGGAGTATATCGCACCACCCGAGCGGTGGGCTGGGGATGTTCAAGGCCCCCCGCCTCGCAAGGACTCGATCGGTGCCGCTAATGTACAATGGGGAAATGGGACAAAGCCGATCTCCATGTCGGGATCTGCTCGTGACAAGGGCCGCCGGGAATCCCTCGCAGGAAGCTTGGTGGGCGGTATGAGCTGGGGTGGCGTGTCTGTAGGAAGCTGGATTCGTGATGAGTGAGTGGCGGAAACCCCATGAGAAGAATAGATCAAGAGAAGAGGAGCACAGGGCGTGCGGAGGCAAATGACTCCTCCTCCTGGCCCTTCCAAACGACCTCTGTGCTTTGCTTGATCGTTTCACGGCATCAGAAGACTGACCAAGGAAATTTCCCCACAGTATCATCATGACCGGCACCTCTCCATTTACCTTCCAGTCGCCTTCTTTCCACTCTTCCTCATATCTGCCGAAGCTGGAGGCCAACTTCATGCGGGACTTTTCCTGCTGCGGTGTGACGTTACCGACGCTCCATGACCTATTACAACATTACGAGGAAGCCCATGCGACCAAGTCGCCCAACCAAGGACATCGCCCGAGCCAGGGTGAAAACCGGGCTGCCATGGCAGCCGCCGCGATCGCACAGCAACAGAGCCAGCAACATGGCAATCAAGGGCGTGGCCTACAGCCCGACCGCACCCTCGACATGCAACGGAAGATGGGCCAACCCCCCTCTGCATTACAGCACGTGGATCTGGACACGATGGATGACATGGAGTTGGACGACCCGATGGGCGACGCGGATGCTGCAACTTCCCAGCTCTTTTCCCCCCAGTTACGCGAAGGTGGTCAAGGCGGATTTGGCAACTCCAACCAAGGTTCGCAATTAAATCTGGGCATGCTTCCTAGCCATCAGGGCTTCAATACCCCTTCTCAGCCCGGTACTCCTATCGGTTCTGCACGCCCACTTTCCCTGTCGAACAATCCTACCGTCTCCTCCGTCAATACCCCAACTCTGATGGCCAATCCGCTTCAGAATTCGCAGTTCCGAAATACCCCCGACTCGTCTGGGCCTGGAACTCCAGCTGAGATCGATGAGAGCGTGGTAGGCGGATTTGGCGATCTCACTATGCAGCAAAATATGATGGGCCAGAACCAGGTCCAATATGGACGCTACCCTGGTAATAATGATATGGTCGACCTGTGCATCGACGAGCCGGCCAAGCGGCTGTTCAGCCCAAATGGTGGCATGGGCACTCCCAATGCTCACTTCAAGCTCAGCGGAGCCCAATATGGCCCCAACAGTGATATTGCTCGGCGGATTCGGGAACAGCAGCTTCTGGCGGGTGTTCCTGACACCACATCTATCCTTCCGAATGAGGAGCCCAAGCCGTTCCGTTGCCCTGTCATTGGTTGTGAGAAGGCATATAAGAACCAGAATGGTCTAAAGTATCACAAGGCTGTGAGTATACGCGAACAACCCCTTATGATTTCACCCTCTAACATTCTTCCTTTTCCTCGCTCTAGCACGGCCACAATAACCAACAGCTCCACGATAACGCCGATGGAACCTTCTCGATTGTCAATCCGGAGACTTCAACACCTTACCCTGGTACCCTGGGTATGGAGAAGGAGAAGCCGTACCGCTGTGAAGTTTGCGGCAAGCGCTATAAGAATCTTAACGGCCTGAAATATCACAAATCGCACTCGCCCCCTTGCAACCCGGATTTCCAGCTTGCAGCAGGCCGCAACCTGAATCTCGGCGGTGGCGTCATGCAGGGACAGAACATTAACGTTGCAGGAGCTGGCCTCCCCGGTATCGGCGAGGAGGGTCTTCTGTAAGCGTGTGATGGGTTCATCGAGAATACATAATCTCCCCCTGTCCTTGCTTGTCCATACAAATAATACCCAGCGATTCTTTGATGCAAATAATCGATGCGGCTGAGAGGCGTTCTTCCCCGCGCTGTTTTTGGGGCATCTCCCAAACACGATGTCATGAATTGGTTCGGTGACTATGGAGTTTTCTTTTTTATTGACCTGGGATTTGACCTTTATGTCCTGTTGTTTTGGGTTGAGTACCCTGATGCCACTGGTTCAATCTTTTCTTCTCGTTTTTTTCTTTCCTTTGCTCGATATCCTTCTCGCCGTTTCCAGTTACCACCTTCCTTCCCATCTACCCGGGAAAAGGTAACCTGGTAATAGAGCTGTCCACACCCGAGCGATCAAGACTTACCTCAGCAAGAGTCATTGCTTGTCTTTGTCTGTTTGTCTGTATAGAGGACCTGGTTCGTTTTTGTCTCCTTGACATGGCTGGGAACCCAGGCCGAGGAGAAATGGGAATTGAGTGTGTTTATACCTGCGGTGTTCTTCTCCCCCTTCTCTCTGTTATTGCATGCTTGCGTTATGCGTTCTTTGCACGGGTTGGCTTTTTTGATTTTTTTACCTTGATTCCATCTATGGTTTACGCTTATGCTCATGATTGAGTGTCTCTTTCTTCCAATCTCCAATCACAGGGAGACAGTTGACGTTACTTACTCCCTTGGCCGCCTTCGGAAATTTCCAAGCGTCCGCGAGAAGCAAGATACCCCCATAATGGGGGCTGCGCTTGAATCAGAACGAAGGCTTTCAACGGGTTATCAAGTATTATTTTTAACCTTGATGATTTTGTTTGACCCTTCGTTTTGCTACTCAAGAAAGGTCTTGACTGTGGGCTTTATCTCTTATGCCCTGTTGGCTGGCTGCTGGTTTCTCGCAAATTCGGACAGGGACTGGAACTGAAACTACAAACAAAAGTGTGGTTCTCTGGCGTCGGATCGTGTAGATATGGTTTTATACACTTTGGCTTCTCAACTATTGTGATTATTTGATTGCTTCCCAATTTTGTCACTTGGCTATATTATATTCTTCTTGAAGTTACGTATCTTAGTAGCATTTACTACTTAGAACAAATCTCTTCTTGGGTTATGTAAAAAGGAAAGACGAGTATTGGTAGAAATATCCATTCGTGGTCAGTGAACCTAGCTAGGATTTGCCAATTTATTCTGGTGCAAAAGCAGGGGTGTGGGGAAGAAGTGTTAAATCCACGTGCCCCGCTGCACTGTGAGCGCCATGAGCGGGTCGATGCTCATATGGAAGAAATAAAAGCATAAGGCAAAACCCGAGGTCCAGTCTTGTTAGGGTTTGGGGGAGCATGAAAAAAAGAATCATCGTCAAGAGGAAAGAAGACTTCGCTTGCACCACCCATTGGGAGAACATAAGGTGTTAGGGGGATGATTTTCATGTGCTGGATAGAGCACTTCGCAGGGGAAAGAAAAGGTATTACAGACCGAACGCAGAGATTTCGTGAACATGAGACTGTAGATCGCGGCCTAGATGGCGACGAGGGTGATTTACCACTCAAATTCACCCTGGCCCTTGTGGAAGACATATCTAGAAATAAAGTCAGCACTAGAAGATCACGAAATTAGAAATGCGAGGACTTACTCCTTGCCACCGGTGGTCAAGATGCCATCCTTCAAGGTGCACTTCCACTTATTCTTGACGCGCTGGACCTTGTCGTAGGTGCAAAGCATAACCTGTCCATCGGCCTCATCGGCCTCTGCCTCATGATCGATAAGATCATCGGGGTCGTCCAGATCCGAGTTGATCGCATCCTCGTCCGCTTCTTCCTTGACATCGTCGTCCACACCATCGAACTGACCAGGAACTTTGGGGAATTCAGAGTTCGACTGCGAGGCATTTGCTCGGACCAGAGGAGCAACAAGAGCCGCACGACGAGCAGTTGTGATGGAAGATTCCTGCTCAGACAGAGGACGAAGCAAGCCGCCACCCTGCAGCCCGCTCATCTGATGCTTCAGATACTCACGGAGAAGATGATCCCCTTGGCCATTCTGGGCGGCTTCTCTGCGTCGGGCAACCTCGGCTTTCCAGTCAGCCAGTGCGTCATCAGCCCCATCGGTCTGACTGGGGCCGATAGAGGAGTGGCCATGCTCCTGCTTGATTTGAGGCATCTGGCCATTGGAAGGGTGGTGCATCTGCGGGTAAGGCTGTTGTCCCGCAGGCTGAGACTGGAGCTGGCTGACTGATGTGGCAGCGGAGGCACCAAATCTTTGCGTCAATTGAGCTGCAGCGCGGTCACGAGCCATTTGCGGGTTTGGCGTATTCGCAGGCATGTTGTGATGCATGGGTGGCATTTGGGGTGGACCATTAGTGCCGGGCTCTGTCTTGATTCTAGGGGCGTTCATGGGTGGTGGTGCAACGGGTGCCACTGGGACAGGGGCTTGCACAGGAACTTGCTGCGGCATAGATACTGGAGGAGGGACATGTTGAGGCTGAGGAGGTGGGCGGGGAGCGTTGGATGGGACGGTGGCCTGAGGAGGCAAAGGAGCTTGGGGGATGGGCTGGACTGGGGGATCCCAGGGGAACTGAGCAACGTTGACCGAGGAGAGCTTCTTCTGCCAGGTCTATAGATAAGTGGTTAAAATGGGGTATTGTGGTGACGGGGTCATCATAAGAGCAAGGTGTTTCGACGAATGATGGCTTGGCGGCCTAAGCCCCTCTTAGGCGGGTAGCGGCGGCGGCATATAAAGGGAGCCTCATAATCCGGTGTTCTCCCATAAGCACTGCCTCCCGCACCACTTCGGGTTCCCCCGCTTTTGGCTGACCCTCCCCAGAGTGACCACATCCAAAGCCATCGAAGTTCACCATATGAAAGACTGGATATTGTAACTTACCTCGCGCAGATCAAGCAGTGTCTTCTGGTCAACACCGCTCTCCTCAAAGTCGACCTGGGAGTTCTCGCAGACGTCCTTGATGACCTTCTCGAATACCGCGCCCTATGGCAGTGAGAGATATCAGCCAACTATTCGAAGCCTCCAAGACAGCCGAGAAATCGCCCTCGAATGAAAGATACGCAAATCTGGGATGACCAGAAGAGGGGGTCGTTGCGACCGTGTTGGGTAGGATGTCGCGAGACGGAACTTACCACTTGCTGGTTCGACATGGCGGCGAAGGGATGGGTTTTGGTGTGAGGAAAGGAGAAATGACAGTGAAGGAGAATCAAAGGAGAAACAGGAGAGGATCCGAAAGCGTGGTTCAGGGTGCCGGCGACTCGACCAGAGGATATGGCCTTGAGTCGCAACGGAAGCGGCCGTTGGAGCACTGGTCGATCACACCTCTCAGAAACGGGGTGGGTTCAGACGATCTACCGATCCGTAGAGCCCTTTGTGAAGTAACGAATGAACAGTATGCACAAAAGAGCAGGCAAGAAATGCAAGCTCAAGTAAATGGAGGGGTAGGTGGGATGGGTAGTTTGGCCGATGAGTTGGAGAAGGTGAAGGTTGGACTTCCGCGGTCGAAAAGCGTCTCCATCTCCGGACGCTTAGTCATCCACCAGGAGAGCGGAGCCCCAACGCCCAAAAGTGCCCGCCGAGAAAATGGTGGAGGCTCTTAGATGCAACTAGATGCAAGGACGGGGATAAAAGGGAGAGATTTATGAGAGATTATTACAATGGTAATAGTGGTCACAATTTGTACAACCCAGCCTATGGCAAGTACATACAACACCAGAAACTCCCGCCCCTCATATTAGCCGAGAATTGAAATCCCAAGAGACGCCGAACTGAATGAATGTCCCCCAGCCCATCAATGCGCGGAAGATCACCATGAAAACCGGGTATTAAAAAACACACAAGAAAAGAACTTCATGACTCTCTCAAGGCCACCATTTAACGAATCGTCATGGACTTGGTCAGCTGGGCCTTGCTACCAACACCACCCTCGCGGGAAGCAGAAGCGCTGCTACCAGGCTTGCGCTCAAACACCTTCCAGAATTTCAAGCTCTCATCTGCAGCGGCGGTAGCCAGAATCTGACCATCGGGGCTGAGACTGCTGTGCAGAACACGAGTCTCGTGAGCGGGAATCTCGACGTTGCGAACCAGAGTCGGGTAGCTCCAGATGCTGAGCGAGTTGTCGGGGAAGCCGCTAGAGCTAACGATCTCGCGGTAATGGTTGCTCCAACGAAGGCTGGTCACCTGAGAGCCGGTGTCGATGCTGTTGGTACGAGCACCGGTGGTGGTGTTCCAGAAATGGATGTGACGATCGTAGGAGCCACCACCAGTGGCGAGGAGGTTCAATTGCCAGGGGCACCAGCTCAGAGCCTTGACGGCAGCGCGGTGGTTAGTCTTGGTGAACTTGGGGGCACTAAGAGAGCGGGCATCCCAGATGTTCACCAGGTTGTCGTTGCCACCAGTAGCAAGCTGAGCACCATCGGAGCGCCACTCCAGACCACAGACCTCGGAAGTGTGAGAAACGAGCTCAGCAACCTTGTGATCAGCAATGCGAACATCGTGGTTGAACACGAGACCACTACGAGCACCAGTGGAAAGAGTGTGCTTGTTCCAGCCCATCACACCGACGCGGGAATCATGACCGTACATGCTGCGGAGCTTGGAACCCTCCTCGACGTCCCAAATCTGAACCTCGCCAGTTCCGAGACCAACGCCAACGTAGGCACCATCGCCACTCCATTTCACACTGCTGATGTAGGTGTCAGGTGAGGTCTCCAAAAGGCAGCTGACCGTGCCAGACTCGGCAGACCAAACGTAAACGTTGCGCTCGAGACCGATGGCGACCTGGTTGCCAGAGCTCCAGTCAAGCAAGTTGAGATAGTAGTCATCCAACAGACCAGGTGCATCCAAGACACGCTCAGGAGCAGTCTGAACCCGCCGGCGGAATTGAGCATTCTGGGACTTGGCAGGACGAAGGGGACGGTTGTACTGGGCACGCAGATCAATCGGCTTCGATGATTCGGGAGGTGGAGGCTTGAATGCCAGAATGCGAGTGTTGAGGTTAACGCCACAGGCATTGGCCAACGATGACTCGTAGGCGACAGCATCTGGTGCGGGGCGGGAATAGTTTGGCGGCTCACTATCATCCAGGCCTAGGTTGTCCAAAGCAGCGGTCAAATCATCCTCAATTGCACGACCACTGATATCGAAGGCGCTGGCAGCAGAGGCCAGAACAGTAGAACCCTCGCTGCCGCTTGTCTTGGGACGCTGGCTCTCGTCAGGCTTGGCGGCACCACTTGTGACAAGGCCCTCACTGGCCGTTCGGTTAGGAATGAATCGGTCTCCAGCATTGTGAGAGATGCGGACGGTAGTCTTGGTAGGGCGAGGCCGAGTTGTGATCTCCCGTCGAGTGCGCTCCTTGGAAGGGGTTTGGCCAGAGGATGAGGGACCGGTACCAGTCAGAGACCAATCGGAGACACCAAGCTGCAAATGCTTAGGTGAATGACGGGTGCGTGCAATGTTGGACTTGGGAGAATCGCGGTGGGTGCGAGATGACTTGGCTACAGATGACTTGGCAACGGAAGCCTTGGGAACTGAAGTCTTAGGAACCGAGGTCTTCGGAAATGAAGCCTTTGTAGTTGCGCTGGTCTTGGATCCCGATGACTTGGCAAAGTATGACGACAGGTTACCGCCATAGATAGACTTGGGCTTCTCGCAGCCTGCGTCTGTCTTTTGAGGGGTGAATGGCGAGGTTTCATCAGATGCTCTGGGTGTCGCTCGGGTATTAGGGGGAGGGAGTCAGCGGCATGCGGCCACCGGCTGTCTTGGAGGAAAAGATCCCATGATGGGTCTTCACTGGTGTAGAGACCGAAGCAGTTGCCATAGCTCGAACTGATCGGATCTTTTTGATTTTGGGTAAGGAATTGAAGCAAGTCACAGTGGGACTAGCCACGAAGAGATATGTAAGGCAAGATATGGGAATCGATGCAGGATATGATGTGGTGAATAGAGGATATGTGGTGAGGAAAAGAGGGGGAGTAGAATGGAAAGTAGAATAAATAGAATTCCACTTGCGGACTGGGCAGGGTCTCGCCGGGGCAACCGTTACCTCAGGTACGGATACGCTAGTCCAAATCGAGCTTAGTTGCAGCCGCACATGACATGCCGGGGAGTTCCCTTTTCGGCGCCGATCGCCTCCGTGGAGGAAATGTGCCTTCGGAGAGTGTCTTGCATCGGCGTCCCGATATTCCACGTTGGTCGGCAACTTCACGATGCGATCGAAGCCAGAAAGAGAGCGCCTCAGATTGAAATAAGTGGTGTGCTCAATTTCTTTGAGCTTTCTTTGTTCCCGTTGTCACTACCTAATGGCCAACTCGACCACTGCCCTCCCCGCTATCTACCGTTCCACTAGGACCCGCCCACACGACCTCCGTCATCTTAGACCGGATCTTCAAGACTCTCCAATCCAACAATCTCTGAGCGCATTCGCTCTCCTGCCGTTGTGATGCAGTCGCAAGATACTTACCTGTTGCCAGCCAGCCCGGCGAGCGGTCGCCGGGCGACTGCCGCGGCCGACTCGGTCCCCACCGTGAAAAAGGCCCAGGGCCATGTTCCCGCATGTTTGGTGAATGCCTCACTGACGTACTGCGGCAACGATTGCATCTACGCCTTCGGTGGCTTTGACCAGTACACTGATGAAGGTATGACCGCCGCGACCATCTCCTAACATTCCTTTTGTCTATCTTCTCCCCTTGTTTGCCAAAAACTGAGAACTAACATGCTGGTTCTAACACAGTGTACAACCACGTGCTCCGCCTTGACTTGAACACCTTGCGATGGGAATTGGTGGATAACTTTGGGGACATTCCCGGGGTTCGTATGGGTGAGTCTCATTGGCTCGACTTCTGAGATTATATGCATGCTGTTGAGTATATTGGCTCTCTAACTTGTCGTCTTTTCTTTTCTTTCAGGACACACTGCCAGCCTATACCAAGGGGACAAATTGATCATCTTTGGAGGCGAGAACGAACATCGCGAATACCTCTCCGACGTCATCATTCTGGACCTCAAGACTTTCCACTGGACATTACCCCAGATTAGCGGATCGGTTCCACGAGGAAGGGCACGCCATGCTGCTGTTATTCAGGACGACAAATTGTTCATCGTCGGTGGAGTGACTGGTGAGAATAATGTAATTCTAGACGACCTGACATATCTGGACTTGCAAACCTGGACCTGGTCTCGAACGTGGAGCTTCACGGCTCGTTTCGACCACACGGCTTGGGTCTGGGGCAACCGTCTCTGGATCTTTGGTGGACTGGGACCTAATATGGAACGAACCTCGGACATCTGGTGGCTCGACCTCAAAGGCTCGCCTTCTTTAACTGGAATCACCTCCTGCCAAGGTACCGACAATTCTCCGGACACACGATTGCCTATTGCTCATTATCCAGACTCTATAGCTAGTCCTTCCTCTCAACAAATGTCGCCTCGCTCTGGCATCTATCCCGCAAATTCGGCAAGTGTTCAGGTCCGCAACTTTAGTCGCCGCAAGCCTCTCGCTCCGGGCGCTATCTCTTGTCTCCGATTCCACTCCGGTCCGAATGTTCCCCAACTGTTCTCCGGGACTCACTTTCAATCCTTCACCTCGGGGGTTCTTCTGGACCTTATCACACCATCCGAGACTGTACGGTCACATGATTGCAATCTATCGGCCCTTGATTTGAATGCTCTGCGCTGGCAGCGCCTGGCTGATGGACAAGAGATCTTCCGGCCCGGTTATCGATGGCACTACTGCACTGTAAACGAAACAGGGACCAAGGCCTGGTTACTAGGATGCAGTCTCGACTTAGCCAATAACGCGCCCGGGGCCAGTGACGAGAATCACATGAGTGAAATACTCGCCATTGACCTGGAGAAATACGGCTTACTTGGCAACAGCCTGTCAGCGGAGGTTCCTCTCCAGGATGCCTCATGGCCAGCTGACCGGCCAGGTCATTCGCCCGTCTCTGGACTTGGGGCTGACCTCTCAGCCGTGTTTGACCAATCCCCCGAATCAGGGAGCGGCGCGGACTTTGTAATTACTGCCATTCGTGACGATCACGACTACTCGGTCTCAGATGACCTGGGGGATACCCCATCCGGATCTGGCGCCCAGACCCAGCCCATCTTCATGGAGCCGAACCCCGCTACCTCAGATCCTATTCATGTTCACAAGATCATCCTGCAGCTTCGATGGCCGCATTTCAAGCGTCTTTATGCGGCCCAGATGGCAGAGTATCACACCAAGCGGATGCACATCCCTGAGCCCTACTCGGTCGTGCGTGCATTCCTATACTACCTATACACGGACAGTATCGCCGGCCATCCCGAGTACTGTTCGAGTGTGATCGACGTGGCAGGGATGCTAGTCATGGCCAATTTGTACGATATGCCCAAGCTTCGCCTGCTCTGTGTGAACCGATTGAGCCGCGAGTTGGACGTGGAAAATGCCGCCATTGTCTGGGAGCGCGCTGGTCGAACGAGTGAACACTGGCTTATGCGCCGAGCTGCACAATTCTGCCTGACCCACTGGGGCCGCATTGTGCGGACAGATGGTTTCAAGTCGCTCAGCCATCAGAGCTTGATTGAACTATGCGAAGTGGTCGATACCGAGGGTCGTATCATTGCAGGGCCTGACCTAGAAATGGTTGGTGCGTTTGGGGCGGATGCCCAGGGTGACCGAGACTCGAAGAGTACTCGACTGCGGATGGGTTCCGCTGTGAGCTTGGATGATGAGTCCGAAGATGAAGATATGGTACTTTCATGAACAAAACGAATTCGACACGCATTGTCTTCCGGCGTTTTTTTACTTTCAGGGGGATTGGGCTTGGCACGGACGGATTGGTTTACAGTATGGAGTCTTTTATTTCTGGTGGGCATCATTCTTGAAATCTATGCATCTTTTTTTCGAAATCGTCAGAAGTACCTATGCGACGAGACGTCACTATCCGCTGCAAGTACAATAACCTCGTAGTCTGTCGAGCTTCCAACCGCCCCACTACAATGTGGATAGTCTATATGCAACTACTGGATGTAAACCCTCATAATAGTCGCACGGTGAACGGCCCGCCTTACCGCCTCAGATTTCCGTCTGTTCGTCTGTTCGTCGCTTTGTTGTTTCAATGTTTCATCCTCCGTTGACTGGGCCCGCTCTGACCAGGGCTGAGCATGCTGACCAGGGTTGGTCCAAAGGGGACCCTGCTCTCGAGTCCATCGACTAATTCTTGACTAAAATCTCGTTCAGTTTGAGACTGGCACTAACTCCCTTTTGGGCCCCACGATCGCGGCTCCACTCACCAACGCTCTGGGAGCGGGATCTCCTCCGGCAGGCGGAGATAGTTCCTATCACGATAAGGAAGCTCTCGCCTTCTGTCCTTTTCTTTCCTTCCGTGGCAGAGGCCACAAAAAAGTCTCGTTGCACATAAATATCCATGGCAGCTCTTTCAGGGGCACTCGGTCCAGACCTGCGCCGCAATTGTGCGACCTGAACCCAAATCCCGATTCATTCGAGCCGAGAAATTTCACTACTTTCGAGATTTTAACTTCGTCATCATGGGATCTATAGGGCAATCTTCCCTTCCGGCTGATTTTATTTGGGGCTTTGCGACCGCTGCCTACCAAATTGAGGGTGGTGCGACTGAGGATGGACGTGGTCCTTCGATTTGGGATACTTTTTGCAAGATTCCTGGCAAGATCGCTGGTGGTGGATCAGGCGAGGTCGCGTGCGACTCGTATCACCGTACACATGAGGACATTGAATTGTTGAAGACATGCGGTGCTAAGGCATACCGCTTCTCGCTATCATGGTACAAATTTTCAATGCCCTTCCAACAACTTTTTTCTACCAATGTGGATTGATGTATGGTTTTGCTAATCACTGGTTTCTATACACTTAGGTCCCGCCTTATTCCTCTCGGTGGCCGTAATGACCCCGTCAATGAGAAGGGCTTGCAATTCTACGTGAAATTCGTTGATGACCTCATTGAAGCGGGCATTATCCCGATGATAACACTCTTCCACTGGGATCTTCCTGATGAGTTGAACAAGCGTTATGGAGGATTCTTGAACAAGGAGGAATTTGTTGCCGACTTTGCAAACTACGCCCGCCTGGTTTTCAAGACCTTCGGATCCAAGGTCAAGCACTGGATTACATTCAATGAGCCCTGGTGCAGCTCTGTGCTTGGATACAACACGGGATCATTCGCACCTGGCCACACAAGTGATCGCAGCAAGAGCGCTGTGGGCGATGGTTCGACAGAGCCTTGGATTGTGGGTCATAGCATTCTTGTCGCGCACGGTGCAGCAGTGAAGATCTACCGTGATGAATTCAAGGCACAGGATGGCGGCGAGATTGGTATCACATTGAATGGTAAGCTAGCCGTTGTCATTCCATTTTTTTCCCTTCTATGTGAGCAACGAAACTGATTATTGATATCTAAAAGGTGACTGGGCCGAGCCTTGGGACCCTGAGAACCCCGCCGATGTGGAAGCCTGCGATCGCAAAATTGAATTCGCCATCTCTTGGTTTGCCGACCCCATCTACCATGGCAAGTACCCAGACAGCATGATCAAGCAACTAGGTGACCGACTGCCCGCCTGGACCCCGGAAGATCTCGCCCTGGTGCATGGGAGTAACGACTTCTATGGAATGAACCACTACTGCGCAAACTTCATCCGCGCCAAGACCGGCGAACCCGACCCCAACGATATTGCTGGAAATCTGGAGCTGCTCCTGGAAGACAAGAATGGCGTCAGTGTTGGGCCAATTACCCAATCACCGTGGTTGCGACCTAGCGCAATCGGCTTCCGAAAGCTTCTCAAGTGGCTGAGTGAACGCTACGGATACCCCAAGATATATGTCACGGAAAACGGAACCAGTGTGCTGGGCGAGAACGACATGCCTTTGGAACAACTGCTTGAAGACGAGTTCCGCGTGCAATACTTCAAGGACTATATCGGTGCTATGGCGGATGCGTATACCTTTGATGGAGTGAACGTTCGTGCTTACATGGCTTGGAGTCTTCTGGAGTATGTCTCTCTTCCCAAACCTAGACAGGAGACTGTACTAACCCGCATATTGTAGCAACTTCGAGTGGGCCGAGGGTTATGAAACCCGCTTCGGTGTGACTTTTGTTGACTATGAGAACGATCAGAAGCGCATCCCCAAGAAGAGCGCTAAGAGCATCAGCCAGATCTTTGATCGACTCATCGAGAAGGCCTAAGTTTGGCTTTCAACCACCCAGGACCGAGACCTTTGGATCTTTTAGACTTCAGGATCTCTTCTCTTCACGACAATTTGCTTGCTCTGCTTCGGAGGTTGAAAGGGAACGAAGAATGTAAATTTCGAATATGCATGCTATTTTCAAGAACGCAAGTCCCTTTTGATGGTAGATAGATATAGACAAAGGTAGAAATGTGATTCCCAATAGACTATGACACCATAATACATCGCAGCATAGATCCAGTGTACGCATCGGGACTGAAGCCAACATCCTCAAATAGATTGGTGAAGGGAAACATGACCGGAAATCCCGACATTCGGTTATCACCTGGCCCCTCACAGTGAAACACGTTTCCTTCACTAGTACTTTGTGGGGGAGATAATCCCGTCATGCCGTTAATATCGGTGATATGAAGTGGGAGGCGTGCGGTATCTTGCCAATATGACTCTTGGTTAGACTGGTTTGAATCAGGCAATGGGGAGAGGACATGTTGCTCGTGTTCTCCGGAGATAGCACCACCTTGAGTTTGATCAGACGCCATTTTCAAAGGACAGTCGAGAAGATGGCGTGTCCTGATTGCTATTGGCCAAGTGTCCTGAAATCGGTGGAGAATCTGCATCGCCAGGTGTGCGCGATGCTCGGACTCAACTCGGATGTTGGGACTTCCCTTCCGTATGTTCATAATACAGACTAGGGAGGAGGCAAAAATTGCGGGTAATCTATAAAAGTCAGGTTAAAATCCTTTTAGGATGTTGCAGGAAGGTTGCTTGAGGACAGACATTGTGAATGGGGCATTATATAGCGTTCCGGATATAAGCAAGTCCTCGAGTAGACGGATGATTTTTCCAGCTGCCCGAAATATGGGAGATTCAAGCCCAAAGGTGACTGGATTTGCGGATAGCAGTCGATAGAACACTATTTGATACTCGCTATTGTCGCATCTGTCAGACTTCTACCATGTGCTGAATCCAATAGAATAATGTAAGCTCACTAGTAAAGTATTTGAATCAATGCAGGCCAGAACCCTCGCTCCAAAGAAATGCGGGGAGAAGTTTCTCTGAGATTATCCGGAAAAGTTTGTTCCCATTGAAGCAATTTGTTGTATGATGTTCTGTCGGCTATATTGTTCCCTTCCGATGATGCATGTTTTGTCACAAGACAGTCTCCCACTATATCAAATTAGAATATAGCAAGGTATTGGTGAATAGTTGTTTTAACTTTGGAAATGAGATCAACAAGGTGAATTAGACACGATTTACTCTCTTGGATCACGCCGTACTCTGATGAAACTGCATCCAATGACATATGGTTCAATACCTTGCGAAGATGTATCCTCTTCGGCAGCTTCTTCGTGTGCCCTGTGAACTTCTTCAATCAGTTCTAGTGGGAACTGGGATTCGTTTGTGCTTGTGCATTGCTTTATTTCGTGTCTTTGATAGTAAACGCCTAAGATGGGAGGGGATTCTCTTGCATTTTCAATGACGGGCGACCATAAACAGCTGCATGGTGAATGTCATTGATCTGAGCATATCAGTTTTCTATCCCGTCCCTCTGCTGAAGTACGAGGTAGGCTTATATATAGTACCCACCAGATTCTCCTCCATACCTTCCTACTGGGCTCGTGGAGGATGTGATACGACTTCCTATGATGTCTAGTAAGCTTCAAGTTCAGGTTTCAGATTCCATGGAAATTACTCACGATCGGTGCATGCCCAAAGACTGAGCCAAAGTTGCTGCGACTCCCAGCCAATACCAGGTATCTTTCTGCTCCATCGGGCCACCCCACCACTCTGACATCAGAATAGTGGCCTGTACGATGGAAACACCATCAAGTTCGTTGTCGGTATCGTAGAGCGCCTTTGCCCTCCGATAGAATGTGAACTGGCCAAGTATATGGATGGGAAACCTGCATCGTCTAAAACGGGCTCTGGGCAATGGAAAGCTGAAACCATGAAAACAGCGTTCAAGAGCAATGGGGATATTGATCCTGCGCTATAATCTGCAGAGAATTGTTCCCAGTTAAAAGAGGAAAGAATGGGTATGAATATTTCCAGAAGCTATCAATAAGTGCGTCGCTGGTCTGCTTGCTTGGCGTTCGGAAGACACCAGCGGTATGCAGATGTCGCTGATCATCTTCTCGTATCTTCTGAATTGCCGATCGAGCAGGTTGGCCCAACCTTTCGAGCATAGATCTCTGTAAATTGTCGCCCTAGAAGTGGTGCTGCTGACTAGTTTGGAAAGGTCCTCCCACCTCATGCAGTACATATTTGAAGTTGGCTGAGTCTCCCATGTATACCACTCTCCCAGGTCCGTCTTGCTGAACCGCTAACTCTGTCAGGGACGGGCTCACATATCGAGTATGTCGGTCTCTCCGATCACTTTCGGGAGACTCGGTTATTTCTATGCGGTGGTCTTTCGAGCCGATCAGCCGGATGAGACTGTTCCAAGGCTGAAGGAGATTGTCGACTCCCAGTAGTCGAGATGCGAGAAATGTCCCCGACTCGGCGATTTGTCGCTCTCGGGTACCTGACTCCCGATTAAGCTTCCGATATTATGATCGCTTGTTATGGGTGATGTGCAAAGATTGAATGGGCATACCTTCCTCGCCGCGAATTGATCAGCTCACAAACCGTACCTGCCAGTTGACAATTCGAGCAGGCGCTATCAATAGTTCGGTCACATTTCACCCGACACAGGTTGCAAAACCTGCAAGCTACCCTCGCTCGGCCTTTCTGATGTGACATGGCTGCGGGGGCGTAACTATACGTTCTAGATGTATTCAACACAAGCAGACGGCTAGCTACTTGCACCACAAGGCAAACTGAAAATACCTTGAGCTGCAAGATGAATGTCCAGAGAGCTCCCGGACCTTCTTATCTAGGGCTATTGATTGGTTTAGACCGTTTTCTTGGCCATGGCAATAATATACGCTAACTCTCGGGTTATCGCGTACCCCGCACGCTTGCACTATGTATTTGCCGGCAGGAAAGTTTCGCGCTACTTTTAGTTGCAGTTGATGACCTCCGCCACGTTTTACTTGTTGATAATTGATGGACTGAAGCTGTCATACTCCGATGTATTACTTCCGGTTGCGTCGCATTACTACTGAATCAAACGTGTCCAAGCCAGCGAACTTCTAACAGCCGAAGTGGAAAATATAATAGACCGGCAGTCACCGTGCCTAGTTCATATGCCAGATCACTAATTCGCATTGCAATTGGCCCCACATACCAACCAGTGGACATGGATGTGATGATGAGAGCCCAAGGAACCAGGCTGGAAATAATTGCCGGGATCCCTGAAGGAAGTGCAGCAGCGTCATTCCAGATAGTTGGATCCAACTTCGAAGGGTCTGCTTTACGAAAATATAACCACTCAATCAGAAAAACGCAGACTGTAGGCCCCGTCATGTAACCTGCAATGCTCACCAAAGTGCTTAGGGTGGAAAGGAACGAGCGCGAGGCTGCAATGGCAACACCGACCATGACAGCTGCTGCTCCACACAGAATAAACACCCGCGGAACTCTGCCTAACCACGGAACAACAGCGACAGTGAACAGAGACATGCTGTACATATCACGTGCTGACGTGGTGACAATTGACATGCCCAGAAGAATGAGGATGAACCTGCCGAATCCACCCAGACGAGAGATGAGAATTTCTCCCAGTACACCTCCTACACCACCTGCAGCATAAGCTGAAGTCCACGAAGGAATGGAAGGTATAGCGCCGCCAAATGCCGTGCCTAGATCATCATCAATGAGAAAGGGACATAGAGGCCCGCCAAACAGTACAAGGCGAGACGAAGCCGTGGAGCCTGTGGGGGCATATAGCAAGCATAATCTCCAACAATCGTTCCCCATGTTGCCATGTTGGCTGCACAGATTGAGATGGTTGCCAGGTATGGTGCAGCCCCAAAGGAAGTGGCTGGTGTTTGGTGTGATAATTTACTTCCTGCACAGCCGACCAGTATCAACATTGATATTCCACTGGGAATCCAGATATACTGGCAGATGAAATGAAGAGCCTTGTATCCAATGAAGCCTATGCAGAAAGCAACGGCAAGAATGATACCAATTGCGCCTTCGATTGGTAAAGTGCCAGGTCTGACGGCTGCAAGGCGCTCGGCCCCCGCGACCGTAGCCAAGATTCCAAATATTAGAACCTCGAGGATGACTATGAGGCTGATCAAAATATTCGGGTATTTCCTGAATTGCAAGCATGACGTATTAGAGGGACTGCGACTTTGATGGGGGTTTTTTTGCAAAGGAGAATCTTCTTACCCGAATGCGTAACGAAACTGGACTGTCTCATGCCCAGCTGAGGCGCCAATGTCAAAATATAAAGAGTCGGAAGGACAAAGGCAAATTGCATAGTCACAATCATGGCAGTGGCATCTCTGAATGATAGACCGAAAGCCAGGGTCGGAGTGACGCCGATGCTCAGGCTGGATGCTGCTGTCTGTCACTTTACTCAGTAATCATTCCTGGAAAGGCACATCTACTCACGGGAGGAGCGAAAGAAACGATCCACCAAAAAGGGTGAAGATGTTGTAATATTTGGTATGGGTTCATTTCTCTACTGGGATCGGATCGAGACCTCTCATCTCTACACCAGCCATGGCGAGCTTTCTCAGAATTGTCGTAAGAGAATGGGGCGTGATGAAGTTCTCCACAATTCCATCTTCCGCCCTCTGAGATTCAAGGTCATCCCCCTCAACAACTTTTTCATTCGATTTGATTGAAGCCATAACTAAATCTTGGGATTGAAGGCGTGGGCAGGATCACACTGGGAAACTGTCTTTCCAGGGGGTGCTGACTTTCACCCACACAGTCATGAGCATTGGGAGTGATTATAACTCAATGACCTCTCTCGAATAAAGTTCTTTGATTGGGTCACAAGATTATTCCTATCTTGTTCAGGATAAGGCTAAAGAAGAAGGCGCATCCCGTGTTGGTGGGAGGTTGAAACTTGGCATCTCCGAGCAAGTCGGCGAGTTAAGTTTTATCTACATTATTGAAGTGTGGCTTGATTTCCCCGCTTCATTTTGCATAGCATGGATGAGGCTTATCATTCAAAGTAGTTCTTATTCCACTATTCACGGAGAGCCATTTAGTAAGTCATATCTTACAGTTGGAAGGAAGAATTTTGTGCTGTACATGTTCATCTCAAGTACGATAGTGCAAAACTTAATACAATGTTATGTTTCTTTCCGACACATCTTTCTAGCAATGGCTGAAATTGACAAATTGAAAGAGGCATTGACTATTGAATCAGTCGCTAAGTCAATATACACTCTGTAGAAAACCTTATTTTCGTTTACTGAAATGTTTGAGAAGACGAAAACACGCAATGAAGACTCCAACTAGTACAGCTTTATGGATTTCCCGACAAGAAGAGTAAGTAAATAGTCCCCGTATTCACTGAATATCCCTATCAGCTTCCTGGACAAGCTGGTCAATCTGTTGGGCAACCTTCTCGGGAATTTCAAGGCTTGGGAAATGCGTCTCGCCCTCGAGATCAGCAAAGGAGAACCAAGAGTGCTTCCTGCTCAGGTCTTCATGCAACTTTCGATATTCAGGTTGATTTAGTGGGTGGGAGAATATATGCCGAATAAGAGGAGGATTCTCGATCATTTCCATACGGCGCATGGGTGTGCCATATTTTTCATAGGCCGCAGCGATGACTCGACAAGAAAGTGCCCACATTTGTGACCAAAGCCTCCAAATGAGTAGATAAAATGGGTTTCAACGGCCTTATTGTCGCTACCGGCCATCCAGTTGTCGTATAGACCTTGGCGGGCAGCTTTCCACGTTTTCTTCTCTTGCATCGCTTGGAGTCCCACGGCAAACTCGGGAGGAGGCTGGGTCATGATCTGATCGATCATCAAGAGACAAGGAACACGGACTCTTCCCAGCTTGTCGGCAATTCCCAATGCGGGCCAGCCACCATGTGAATGCGAGACAAGATAGAATTTGTCGACTTCCAGGGATTCGAGCAGGCTAATGGTGTCGCTGATCTGCTCCTCAACCCCAAAATCATCGATATCGTCGCGCTTTTGACCGTGTCCTCGCCAGCAGACCCTAATGACCCAGTACTTGCGGCTCAAATAGGGCAGAAGCTCGTCATACAGACGGAGGTCGTGCGCCCACCCAGTCAAGAGGACTAGAGCAGGTCGGTCAGCCATTCCACACTCGTCATAACAAATTTTGACACTGTTGATTTGCTTCGTAAGGTACATGGTCACTCGGGATGAGAAAGAATATTTGATTATGCTTTTGTGTCAATAGAATAAATAGGAGCTTGTTGTGGCCAAAAAGTAGAGATGCAGTTCTGGTGGCAGAATTTCACTTATACCTTCACTCCTGAGCGCATTTGGCTAGCAAACATTATTTCCATCGGGCTAGACAACAGGAAATGACACCAAGGAGAGGAGCAGGAAGAAGTGAGGGGAACATTCCAATCAAGTCAGCGAGGGAGCGGACGGAATTCGCCGTCTTGAGTCGGCGACTTGAACTCAAGCTTTTGAAACGCGGAACATGATAGCACATCTATGAATGATAATGGGCAAAATCAACGAGAGATTGCTAATATAAGCAAAACTACCCTGGTATGCTGCTTCTCAGCCCAGTATTATTCCAACACAATATTCGAAGATATGGCGCCCATCATTATTATTGGAGCAGGCCTTGTAGGCTTGACTCTAGCACAGGCGTTGAAAAAGGCTGGATTTGAGTTCGAGTTCTATGACAGAGATAGCAGTCTCGAAGAGCGTCCGGCGGGATGGGGCATTACAATGCACTGGGCACTTTCTGCCCTTGAATCTTGCCTGCCTGCAGATGTCTTTAGGCAACTTTTGTCTATTCAAGTAAATCCGGCGGAAGGTGGAAAAGGTTCGAATATTCTCCAACTATTCGGTCCCCTTCACTAACACCCATTCATCCATTAGAAAGTGACTGCTATCGCTTTTTGGACCTTGAGACAGGCCAGGACAAATATCGCTTTCCCTCATCGACTCACTATCAACTAAACCGAAAAGCGTTTCGTCAACTTCTCAGCACTGTCCTCAACGTTCACTGGGGGAAACGATTCACAGGATTCAATCCCACCGAAGACAGCGTCCTGGTCAAATTTGATGATGGATCTACAGTACAAGGCTCAATGCTCCTCGTCGTGGATGGCAAAAATAGTCGCACGAAACGGTTACTAGTGGGTGAAGAGAAGTCCAAGCTGAATCCGCTCCCGGTTGCGTTTGTGGGTATCAGCCTGCGCTTGTCCCCCGAGAAGATGAAGCCATTTCGGGATATCCACCCTGTGCTTTGGCAAGGAACGCACCCAGGTACCGGGTACTACCTATTTTCCTCAATGCTGTCGACGCCCCAGAGCAATGGGAGTGTCGGTACAGATAAAGAGTTCTATGAAGGTCAGTTCAACATGAGCTGGCTCGTCGACCGCAATGGACCATTGCCAAAGTCTCCAGCAGACCAACTGGCTCGCGTTAAGCAAGCAGCTGGGAGTGACACCGGTTTCTTTTCTAGCCTGCGACAAGCTATCATGGATATACCGGATGACAGTCCGATGCTTGAGATCAGGTTGGAGGACTGGCCCACCCAAGACTGGCCTTCGATTGGAGGAAGAGTGTCACTCCTTGGTGATGCCGCTCATACAATGACAATGTGTAAGTGACCTGGATCATTATTGGGGCCCCTGTATGGTAATTTTGCTAAATCTGGGTTTAGATCGGGGCGAAGCTGCTAATCATGGTATATGTGACGCTGCACGGTTGCGGGATGAACTTGCACTGTGGAGAGATGGAAAGCAATCTCTAGAGCGAGCATTACACAAGTACCAGATGGAGGTCAAGAGCCGCACTCACGATGCAGTGATAATGAGCCGTCACGCTTGTCTTGACTGCCATGATCTAAACTCTCTCAAAGTGGATAGTCCAGTTTTCCAGGTGGTCGGCATACATTTGAAGTTAGAGAATCATAATGACCTCTTTGATTGAACATATACTTTCGCCTTATCGATTTAACGAATTTATTACGCCACCATGTGAAATACGTGTCGCGTGAAAGCGGTGCACGAACCATATCGAAGTCAGTTCCGATCGTTTCTACTGGAGATCTTGTTGAAGTCGTAACTAAAGATCAATAATGGGACACAGCACGCAGCACTACGTCGGTTGCAATAGCTAAGACACATATGATGGCTATAAGCCATAAGATCATGGATTAACAGACCTCAACATAATATACCTGTGGAGATTTTACTAGGTAATATGAGAGAAGCAAAAGGACCATAGTGGAGATGAAACATGTTTGCTTCCAATTCCATGGCCGGTCGATATGCGTTCAGGATTGTATCTTGATCTCAATGATTGACTTACAGACTTGATCATTGCATTATCTTCCAAAGAAAAATAAAGCTTTCTCTATCATTGTTGGCCATCTATCTCTTCCTTTAGCAATTGTGCTTATCAGTCGTACTCGCCGACCTTCCTCCAGTCGGCGACTTCCTTAAGTGGGTGGACCCTCCCCGCCCTGGAAGAGACCACCCCCCAGCCCCCGCAATCAATGGATGATCCGAACAGCAATCCCGCAGCCAGTTTGCTGAGGCCCTCTTTAATTATTGTATTTTCCCCCCTTAAGTTTCTCCATATATTGTTTCGTTGCATTGACTTTGTTCCATCCCTCAGGACCACACATCGTTATGGCCAGCACGATAACAGTCCAGCTGCCTGGGGGCCCCATTGAAGCGAACGTAGTGGACGACAGCCTCATCAACGCTCGGGGAATACCTTATGCCAAAGCTCAACGTTTTGAAACGCCACAGCCGACTGGAAATTGGATTGAGACCCTAGACTGCACCAAACGCGCACCAATATGTCCACAACTCCCTTCAAGATTGGAGTCGGTCATGGGTCCCTTGACCAAGGGCCATAGCTTGAGCGAAGATTGCTTGCGCGTATCCATCGTTGCGCCTCGAGACGTCACAAACGCTCCCGTCATGGTTTGGCTACACGGCGGCGCGTATATTTCTGGTGGCGGAGACCTGGGCTGCTACCAGCCTATAGACCTCGCCAAACGGGGGATAGTCTGTGTCAATATTACTTATCGACTTGGAGTGTTCGGATACCTGCATTTGGAGGGCATTGCACCCGCCAATCTTGGACTGTTGGATCAGCGAGCTGCACTGCAATGGATCCAAAACAACATCTCTGCCTTTGGTGGAGACCCGGCTAATGTCACGATGGTCGGACAATCTGCGGGTGCGGATTCGATCATTTGCTTGATGGCCTCGGAGAATACCAAAGGCCTCTTCCATCGGGCTATTCTCCTGAGCCCGCCATTAGGAGAGCTGAAGGAACGAACTCCCACGGCACCAATGCTCACAAAAAGAGCGGAGCGACTCCTGACAAAAGATCCACGAGAAATGTCCATAGACGAATTACTTGGCGTGCAGAAGCAGCTCTTGATGAACCCCGTCCGAACGCAAGTCATGCTATTTGCCCCTGCTCTTGGATATTCGCCCCTGCCAACGGAGCAAGACTTTGATCAAAACATCTCCGAAACTGCGAAAGACATTCCCATTCTCATTGGCTGGACTGATCACGATGGCCGCCCCTTCGCCAGCATGATGGGACCGGAGAGTTTACTTAAATTACCCATCATTGGACCGTATGTGGAGGCTGTTGGAACCTGGTATATTACACAAAGCTATTTCAAATGGCCATCCCAGCGTTTCCATCAGCAAGTACTCCAAGCCGGTGGAACTTCGACAAGTTATTCGTTTGGCTGGGCGGGTATAGATAACTCGCTAGGAGCTTGCCACTGCATCGATATCCCGTTTGTACTGGGAACGCGGGAATCCTGGAAAACTGCCCCAATGCTTGCTGGTCAAGACACTGAGGAGCAACTTGCCCGACTGGGCTCGAGTCTCAAGGACTTGTGGGTGAGATTCGCGAATGGAAGGAGGCTGAAGGAAAATCATCTTGAAATTCGCAGAAACCTTTCCCTGTCGGAAGCTGCTTTCGAGGATGACGAATAATTAGATCAAATTCGAGTTTTCATATTCAGAAATGCATTTGATGCACCCAGACTCAAATCCATGCTCAGCTTTACGACGCTTCGTCATCGGACTCTTCACCGTGAGTCGAGCCCCTGCAAGACCCGATGAGAGCACAACATAAGTTGTAGAGTACACTACACGCATAGGCAAGAGTTTTTGGTGTCTCCTAAAGGAAGGCTCTATCATTCCAAATGGATCAGAAAGATTGGGAAGTGGCCCCTTTGCATTTTCGAGTATGAACCTGCAGTTCAGGCCTCGAGTGGCACGATTTCAGAAACTTGCTGCCATACCCCGCTAGTCGCGTCAAACTTCTTTCTCGAGTAATGCAAGAAAAGCTGATCTGGATCACGGCCCCATCCGGCGACGTCACTTTCTGCAATATCTGGAGGAAAGCCGTTCGCTGGTCTGAAAATACCACAAAACGATAACCGTGCTTCCTCGGGAATAAATCCTGGCATGCTTTGTATGGATAGAGCCTCGGCTATAGAGGGCGGAGAATCATAGGCTAGTGTTTCTCGTCCCTCTTCGCACATCATACTAGCATAGTCCTCTTCAAGCCTCATGAGGTTTCCAGCTAAGAGCGCAACTGGAGTACATTTGAAGAACCCTTGCATTGGGGGTGCTTGTTGTAAGAGCTGCAGTGCCCGGTGCCGCAGACTTGTCTCTCGGCACTTCATTGATGTGAGGAAGAGAGGAATACCGACACCCATCTCAAAGGTGAATGGTGGTTGTGAGCCATCGGGTCCAGCCGAGGCACTAAGCACCAGATCAGCCTGTTGAATGATGGTCACAAAATCTGCTATATGAGCATCATAGACGGTTTCCGAAGATGTGAGGCATCCAGAGAGTAAGATTGATGCTGCGGCATGATATGTCAGGAGAACAGGCTCGAAAGTCAACGAGGATGAAGATTCGGCCGAAATGCTTTCACAAAGACAATTATATGCGCGAAGCCAATCATCGAGTTGAGCTTGAAGACACTGCTTCTTCGCAAGCATATCTTGACTCACGAAGGCTTCGCATCCAACGGTATCCAAATGTACTCTTGCTTCACGATCGAAGAGCATCACTTCTGTAGCAAGAACAGTGATGGCTGTTCGAGCAGAGCTGATTGAAGTAAACCTAGAGGCGCCTGTTTCTTTCTCGGCAACTGCAAACAGTTCACTAGGTTGAACGCCGGAAATCGTTAGGGAGATGGTACCCAAACGTAGGAATAGCGGGATTATTTTCTGCTCTAAAAGAGCAGCGTTGGTCGCGGACACCCCTCCAAAGGCAACTTGAGTTCGCAGGTCGAGTATCAGCCTAACACCCTGATTATATAGGATCAATGCCTCCTCCATCCGTCCTTGAATAGTCTCAATGCAGATGAAAAGCACGCAACTAATGAGTGCAATGAACGGGTCTGCCTTTCCAAGCTCAATCTGGGAGTGGATTCTGGATATCGAGCGTGAGTACCATGCCAAAGCATCTTGCTGCGCCTGATTTAAATGATGCGAGCTCTTTTCTTCAGCCCTCAATAATGAGAAGTCTGCGCATTGATCAGGGTGTTCAAAAAGCCCACTGATCGCGATCATGGCGTCCCATACGGCAGGCTCTGTGCGACAGAGTTGCGGGACGACGCCTGTCCAAAAATCGATGGCCATACCGCCAGCAAGGTATCTTGCGGCATGCTGAAAATAATACTCGAATGCGCGACGCTCGCGCCGGCCTGGATTTGGCGACAACGACAGCGCATGGCTAGGGACCAGTGACGATGGAGTTGTTGGACGTTTGGGAGAAGTTTCATCACTCCCATATTCGCATCTTCGTCCCGTACTGGAACAACGATAACATGTTGGCTTTTCCTCGCCGCACTTGACCCTCCTAATCCTGTTTGTCTGTTAGCGGTGAAGCAGAGGGAACAGCCGGAGTAACTCACTTGCAGGTCTTGCACCCTGATCTTGATTTTGGGGCGCCAATACGGCGGCTGGCCAAAACTTCAGCGCCCATGCTTCACAATCTCCATTTCAGGCTCGCCTCAAGGTCATCTAGACGTGCACTTCAACCCGACACGCGACTGGAAAGGGATGGGTGAAAGAGGAAGTCACTCAGCACCGCCCGCACGTTTCCTCCAGTAAGGCTGGCGGCCTTGCTGCCTGAGGCATCAGGGGTGACGAGTAGTCACCTGTCGGTTTCTTTCAGACAGTATATAGGTGTCAAAAGAATACAGCGTGCATAATTTTAAACAGCTAAGCAGATACACTACTTTAATAGAAAGATTTTTGGCCTGCGTTTCCAAGGGGACCCATAGGTATGTCTGTCATAGCGAAAGCCGAAATCTCATTCGAGAATTATTATGCCTTTGTTTTGATTCTTAGACCGAGTCTTTCTAACCGAACCTGAATACACCTCAAAGCGCATATCTAAAATGCTTAGATTCCATATCGGTCATGTCCTTGAAACCATCCAGAATGGCCTGAGATTGGGTCTCATTGCCCGTCAGGGTTTCCCCCCAGCCGCTGCGGCCGCAGCATCCCTTCGCATATTCTCCCATCGCATAGCCATATATGCCATGATTGATAAAACTATGATTCCAGCATAGCAAACTAAAAGCCCCGTCAGTGCAGAATAGTATCGCGGAGCTTCACGAGAGAAAAAGATATTTGCGCCGGCGACATTCCCGGCGGCATATAGTGTGAACCATATACCGTTAGCGACTGCTCGTTTGGTGTGGCCTGCCACGTTGGTGGAAAGTAGATTCCAGGACACTATAACCGGTGCGCCAATGATATACTGCAGCCAGGTACATCCAACGAGTGTCCACCGATGGTCAAGGCTCGTGAAACGGATGCCCAGTAGCCCAGCAAATGGAATGAGACTCACAACGGCGAGAACGATGCAACGTGAATTGGGGACGTATGTTGCAACAATGCCACATATGGGGACAATGATGGCTTCAATGGCTCCCGTCGGTAGTTGAAGTAGCGTCGCGTAGATTCCGCTGAATCCAAAGCCTTTAATCAACGAAGAGGCAAAATTGGAGACTCCGCCGTTGATGACACCGCAAGCAATGCCGATACCTGCACAGCAGAGGATCTTAATATCGTAGAGGTTTTCCACAGCTTGTCCCAGTTTGATCTGTCGAGTCTTCACACCAATCATATTTTCCGCGACTCGCCGGACAGCAATGACACGTTGGCGATGGGTTAGGAAGCGCGCAGAGGCGGGCGAGTCAGGCATGAGTGCGAGGAATACACCTCCACAGACAAAGTTGAGTAGTCCAATTGTCAGGAAAATGAGCTGCCAGCTATGGAGAGAGGTGTTGTGGGAGTGTCCGAGACCGAAGCCGAGCAATGCTCCTACCATGGTCGCCATTCCATTGGCACTCAACCAAATAGCCATGCGAAGAGGCTGTTCGGAGCGCTTGTAGAACATAGACGTAATCACCATCACTTTGGTTTGTTAGAGACTTTCACTTTCCACCCTAAACAGCTTCCGGGTTTGGAGGATGCTTACTGCATGGGCTAACGCCTGCCTCTGCCATTCCCAGCAGGAATCTCAGGATTAAAATACCAGCGTAGTTCTTGGCCCCAACGTGTGCGATCACAATGACACTCCACATCAGGAGCATACCTCCCATATACTTGGCAACAGGCAACTTCTGGATAAGCAGGTTCGCTGGTATGGCCCAGAACAGGTACCCGAAGTTGAAGATAGCTGCCACCCAGGAGTAGCGCTGGCCCTCGAGGCCAAGATCGGGAATGAGTGAGTAGGCTGAAGCATAGTTAAGTGATAGTTTATCTGTACGGCCATGAATTGTTAGTTGCAATTTCCTAGCATAACTCAGTCATTCGGCTCCTCGTACCAAGAAATTGTATCACATAAGTGACATAGAGCTAAGGAAATGTCAGAAACGGATCAAGCAGAGTGAACAAGCTTGTTAAATTATCAACTCACAATCGGCATGATTCTCCAGTCCAAAATTCTCAGGACCGCAGCTCCCTCACTCTCCAACTCCTCGGTCGACAATTGATCAGCCTCAATGTATAAATCGGCTCCAATATCACGGACCTCTCCGAGAGAGACATCTTTCTCCACAGCAGGTGGTTGCTCCACCTTAGCATCTTTTGAGTCCATATTATTGAAGAAAAGGCGGACAATATTCTAGTTGAATCATTTAGCATCCTTCCCCCGCCCTGCTCTGCCATCACCCTAGGCTTATATGCATCTTACTCCGCAGTTCAAGAGCAATCTTTATCGCTGCCAAGCAGATAAGCTGGAGGAGCTCGTTATCCTGGCACGACGATAGGCGCTCAGGCGGACTATCGCCCGCCTACGGGATGGCAAAGTGGAGTAACTTTGTTAGGCGGACAATACTCCGCCGTCTCCGCACTGGATTGCCGGATTGCGGTACTGTCTGTATAAGATCATTGCAGGATAACAGGAACTCTATCGTGAAAGGTCTGGATTCTCTTGCAACTGATACCAATTGATAGTGACCGTGTCCAATTGCCAATCAACGCGCGAAAGCAAATCATCAAGCAAAGTACCATTTTCAAAGACATCATGGGTCAGGCAAGCTCGGATCAAGAGTTCACTTTACTCGACGCTAGCATCTCCGAACTACAGAATGCACTCTCATCAGGGTGGCTCACCAGCGTGGACTTGGTCTTGCGCTATCTGCGACGTATCAGTGTCTATGATGCCAACGGACCAAAGCTCAGTGCCATTCCAATTCTCAATTCATCTGTCTTTGACGAAGCTGCCGCATCAGATGCCAGGCGTGCGACGGGACAACCACCACGACCATTAGAAGGAATTCCCTTTCTAGTGAAAGACAATATCAAAGTCAAAGGTATGACCGTTGCCAACGGATCACCTGCTTTTGAGAAGCTCATCGCGAATGAAGACGCGGCGTGCGTGCAGATTCTTCGGAATGCTGGCGCTGTCCTTCTCGGGCGAACCAACATGCCTGCCATGGCGTACGGTGGTATGCAACGCGGAGTCTATGGACGTGCCGAGAGTCCTTATAACAGCGATTACTTGGCGGCAGCATATGCCTCGGGCTCGTCGAATGGATCTGCTGTCGCCACAGCTGCAAACTTCTGCGCATTCTCTTTGGGAACCGAGACTGTCTCGTCTGGCCGGTCGCCTGCATCGAATAATGCTATCATTGCATACACGCCTTCCAAGGGATTGCTCCCACTTCGAGGCGTGTTCCCTCTCTATCCAACCTGTGATGTATTGGTCCCTCATACTAGGACCGTTGAGGATCTATTCCACGTTCTTGACGTCTTGGGTGTTTCTGATCCGGCACCAAAGGGAGATTTCTTCAATGAACAGCCATTCGTCAAACTTCCCTCAATGGAATCTATTCGTCCAGATTCTTTTACAACCCTGAAAGATAAGTCTTCCTTGAAGGGCAAGCGCATTGGTGTGCCTTCAATGTACATTGGAGGACACGATTCCTCCATCCTCCCTGTCAGCAAAGTGAAAACACGACCTTCTATTATAAAGCTCTGGCAGGAAGCAAGAAAGGCTCTGGAATCCTGCGGCGCTGAAGTGGTCGAGACCGATTTTCCTCTTGTGACAATCTACGAGTCAAATGCGGGCACAGGTCAATTAGTTACTGTTGCCGATCTTCCAGATGGCTGGCAAGCCAAAGAACGATGTGAAGTTGTCTCCCATGCGTGGGATGACTTCGTCGTCGTAAATGGCCAGAAAGACCTCGCATCTCTAACAGTTGTCGACCCTGACACGATCTTTCCCCTAGCCCCAGGCTCCCTCCTCGGTACCCCGGAGGCAGCCAACAAGCCACGGTGGGACGAGATTGTAGCATATCCGCACACGAAGCCATCGTCCATATTCGAGATTGCAGGAATGAAGCAAGCTATTCATGCCCTTGAAAATGCCCGAAAGGCAACCTTCGAGGACTGGCTGGATAAGCTTGGTCTCGATGCTGTGGTCTTCCCCGCGAATGGCGATGTGGGCGCTGCCAATGCTGATAGAGATGAAGATGCCTCGCTTTTTGCCTGGAGCAATGGTGTGAAGTACTCTAATGGCAATCGGCCAATTCGTCACCTCGGAGTTCCAACAATTTCAGTTCCAATGGGCGTGATGGAGGATACAAAAATGCCAGTGAATCTCACTTTTGCGGGCAAGGCTTATGAGGACATTGATCTACTACGATACGGATACGCCTTTGAGATGGCTTCCAAGCGCCGTACTCAGCCTGCTAATGTACCAGTCTTGTACTCTGATCGAATTTCAGCCAGCAATACCTCTCGTGTTTCCCAAGGCCCAGTGGAATTGGCAGTGGAAGAGCAGGTTAAAGAGATCCAAGACTCAAGGGTGCTCATTCGGGTTCAAGGTTCTATGCGAGCATCTGATGATAGTCCCATGCGTTTAACATGTTATGTGAATGGAGAGCCGTGTGAGGCCATGGTGGAGAATAGAAAGTGGTCTCTCTCGACATCGTACCCGACTTCTGAACGGGATAACGCATGGGAGATGTGGAAGAGTCCAGCGTTGAGCCAGACAATTGTCGTCATAACGGCACATTCAGGCACCCACACAACGGCTGGGAGGCTCATTCTCTTGTAACACTATTTTTTCATCGGTTCTGTATCTTATCATGTAAATAGTCTTAAATTCATATCATAACATCATTCACACTACTTCAGTCACAAGATTGTCTGGTAGCGCTTCATACTGTACGAATCCTCCATACATCATATCCTCTATCATTCCCAAGATCGCCCGATGTAGATACTTCTTCTTCAGCTGGTCCAAGTGAGCCTCTGCCTCCGCCAAGCCAGGAAGATCGATCTCCATTGCAGGTGCGCCAGTAGGCTGCAGGATCTGCTTATGCAAAAATTGGAACAGTTCGTAGTATGGTACAGCATCCTCCCAGCGTTCTGCAAAACATGCGAAATTCTTCAAGCAGGCGTCAATAGCTTCTGGCGAGTCGTAAGAATTCTGAACCTGTATGATCAGATCGTCCATGATGGGTCTTGTTGCCCAGATCAAGTAGAGGAGCATGATAGCAGCTCTAAACTGGAACACCAACTATGTAAATGTCAGTCATCTCTAATCCATAGCGGGCTGTAAGCAAGTGTCTTACCGCAGACCAAGTAAAGCACATCACATGCCCCTCCTCCTGTAATCGACGGAACTGCAAGCAGACTTCCACCACAGCCGAGAATATCTCTTCCATTCCCTCGTGATCAAGGAAGTTCCGCTTCTCTTCCATCAATATAAGAATACTATAATCATACAACTTCGTCATCCAGCTTGGGTGACAAAACCCACTGGAAACATTCGAAGTTCCGTAACGGGGTATATCCTTTCTCCAGATATCCAGAGCAGACTTGAGTGACGAGCTGAAAGCGTCTTTCTCTTCAGTATATCGCCAACGTGATCGTTCAAGTGATCTCCTAATGTTATTTTGAATTTTTCGCAGTCGGAATAGATGACCCAGTGCGGGATTCGCATTACCAGGGGGCTGGATCGTGTCTCCTAGAACGCAAAGCTGGATTTTTGTTAGTAAATCCACGCAAATACATCGAATCATGCTCGCAGTCTTACATCATCATCCACGATTCGATATGAAGGAGACACGGGTCTGTCCCATCCAGAGGCAATAACCTCATTCAGCATGTAGCATGCGATGAACATGTTCTCGGACATGACCTCGCCAGAAGCGGCACCCGTTTCGTCATCCCGTTCAATGCGGACGTATTTTCGAAGGTGTGTAATTGCGGCGGTGCAAAATGGTAATATCGAGGAGACCGTCGTGGCGATCTCCTCTGACGACGGGGAATGCAATGCATAGACGATCAGTAGCAGGGATGCTTGAACTTGGAGGACCATGGATGGATGGCCCACCACATGTGGATAATAGTTCATTGCAGAAGCATACAGTTCTTTTGAGCGAGTCAAATGTGCCGGGTCTCGGTGCATTGTGCTGCAGAGGGATGCCCCGATGGCATACACCATGCGGAGAAAGAAAAATCGCCACTCTTCTTGTCCCGTTATACCCTCCTCGCGATGCCATATCTTCCAAGCAGATTCGTTCAAGAAGGGCCACTCGCGGTGTGATATTGAAAAGTATATATTTGTGTAAAGCTCTGTGAGCCAGATGGAGTCCTCGCCAACCAAGGGAAAGGATGGTTTATCGAGGCGAAGGAAATCCAGTGTTTCGTCATTCAATTGGAAGATGGAATCCGAAAGCGACGACGGTGAAAACGGTGATAGTCGAGAAATCGGGATTTGAGGCTGCACAGCAGACGAGAGTACCAGCGCTTGGCTCTCGTCCGCCCCATTAGCCCAACATGGCGATGGCGCATTCGGTGCTATACCCGCCTCATCACAACCATTCTCCACAAAATTAGTCTGTACGCCCGCGTCACATAGCTCTACACCAGGGTTTGTCCCTGAATGTGAACCTTCCAACTCGGCTACCCTCCTCTCGAGGTCTTTCAGGTATGCGACCGGGATGGTGATGCTATCTCCAGACTTGCACGATCTAGCAGGCAGACACTCTGCACCTTTTCGGCGACATTCGCCGCAGGTGGGCTTCACGTGGTCACATTTGCGCTTCAGACGGAAACAGCGGGCACAGGCGATATCTCGTGGTTTGAATGGGCGCGACATGCGGGTGTTGGAAGAGTCCAGGAAGGAGACGTGTAGAGTGCGGGGGAAAGCGGAGATGGACCGGCTCGATCTGCTTTGCCATTGATAAGAAGGTTTCGGGCGAGTTCCGAGGCCGACATCATGTCCATTGATAGCCGAAGATAAAGAAAACCAATGTGCAAGATTGAATGATTAATCCTCGTAGTAAAGGAGGGAAATGGTCAGATCACTAGCGGAGTAGAAGAAGTTTAAGATACCATATCATTGAACATTCTTCATGAGCCACTGGCAATGGATGAGATGTGGACTTCACGAATAATCACAGACTAAGAAGTTAAGGAACATACTCCACAGTAACTGATACACCCAAATACTCCATACTCACGATGCGCCCAATATCGGCAGTCATCTTCCTTTCAACCTCGGATCCACTTCCCCATTGCCGAATCATAACCGATGATCTTGAGATCAATATTCAGCGTCTTCAGCATGAATTCGATAGTAAATTCCTGTAGTATGCTAGTCAGCCGGTGCGCACATCCATTAGTTAAGTGCCACATTGATCCTATTTGTACCTCATCATGAGACTCCTCCTCCTGCGCTTTTGAGCTATTCTTCTCCCCCGCAAAGACATCGCCCAGACCCCAATTCGTAGTATGCCCGTACTCATTCGCATGTTCTTTTTCTTCCTCCTCAAAGTCCCACTGAAATGCATCACGTTTCGAGCGCTCTCTCCACGCTGTCAGGCCACCCATTCGGGTGACACGTTCCTGGGCACCAGCGAACACCTCGTCAGCGGCCTCCTGACTGGCATGACGCCATTTCGTGATCAACCCCTCAAGCTCGCTATCTTTGCTTGATGACTCAATGCGGAGTGCTTGTTTTGCGACGTTGAGCTCTTCACGTAGAGCTGCAATCCGAGTCTGTAGAATGCGCTCCTGTTTCTGCAAACGTAAGAGCTCGGGGTCTGCAAGAGGCGACTGCGCTGGCGTGGTCAGTGCAGAGCGATTTGTAGGTCGCACTGGCCGCATGCCTTGTGACGATGTTGGCGATGATGCGGTCAGTTCAGGGCCTGGAGTAAAAGCTTCGGATTTACAGGCCTCATATTGGACCGTTCCGCTTGCATCGGGTGTGCGAGGTGATACTTGAGACGCATCTTCAATAGGCTCGGGCTTGCGCAGCGGGGACTTGAACGGCCGAGAGAGAGCGACTGCCGCGTTCAGGCGACGTCGTTTGCTTAGAGGATGATTATCTTCCATTGCGAGGCGGGCTAAAGGAAGGACACAAGTGAAGGGGAAAGGGGGTAGATCCGTGATACAGAGGAAAACGACGAGGGTGGAAATGAGGATGAAGGTGAGGATGAGCAACTCCAGATGTCTTATCGATAAGAAGCTATGCAGGTGACATTTATCTACACTTAAGATCCATACATTACAATTTCTTTCATTAATGGCCCACTCCACCTGCCACCCACTGCCCGAATTCAGGGTCACCAGGCTGTGGGAAGAAGCCACGGTCGTTGTTGTTCGCATTGGCATTGGGGTTTGCGTTTGCGTTGCCATTAGCATTGCCACCCTGGTTGGCAGCGTTCGCATTCTGGCGGTTTCGCTGCTGTTGTTGACGGATGTACACCAGCACGAGAAGAGTCGCGGCCAACCCAACGATGAGCAGACCCTCAAGGACGCTATCGTCGATGTCAAGGTCCATGTCATCATAATACCCGTCTTCATGCTCTGCATGGACGCCCATGAAATCTTCGTCATCTTCGCGGGCTTCGTAAAGCTCGTTGTAATAGTCGGCCGCGTCATTCTCAATGAAAGCCTCGATCCATTCCTTGAAAGAACGTCGAGGTCTCGTATCTGTGGAAACAAATCAGTCAGAGATAGGGTATACATTGACAGGCGACATTCTCCTCCGATTGTACGCGCTTACCTTCATCGCGGATGGGATTGATATCTCCGTTGGTGATTCGGTTCCAGTATCCCCGCACCCGCAGCTTCAGGAGGCTAAGCTTCACGGGCAAGTACGCCTCACGGTTGGTTACCAAAGCAAGATCATAGTAGCGCTTGGCCATGTGGAAATCTTGCGCCACGGCAACACCATTCTCATGCATCCAACCTAGGTTCCAGTACGCCTGTGCACTGTGGTGGGCTTCAGCCGCATTGTGATAACATGTCGAGGCCTTCTCGGCATCTACCAGGGCGCCAGTTCCGCGCAAGTAGTAGTCACCCATCTTGACCAAAGAGTCAATATTAGATTGCTTGGCTGACCTAGTCCAGTAAATCAGAGCCAAGGCCGTATTGCGTAGCAGCTTGGTTCGAGTCCTCTGGGCCCATGGCAGGATGCGACTCAACGAGAACAATGAGCGCTGTTCGTCAAGGAGGTATGCCACGTTAGCTTGAGCATGCTCATATCCTTGCTCCGCAGCCATCATGGCTGGAATGAGAGCCCGCTCCTTGTCGCCATTCTCGTATGCGTCGTTTGACTCGGCGAAGGCTGAGTGAACCATTTCCGCCTTCTCAGCGACCAGCTTATAATACGCCGCTGCAACACCACAGTGCGGCTGTCTGCCGACGCCAAAGTTGGCCATCTCCGCGAGGTAGTAGTATGCCTCCATCCATCCCCAACGCGCGGCGAGCTCAAAGTATCGAGATGCGGTGGCCACGTCTCCTTGGTCCAGGAAAAGAGCGCCGAGTCGAGTCTCTGCGGCCGGGATATCCTCATCAGCTGCGGACTTGAAATACGAGGCCGCCTTGTAAGCGTCTTGGGGTACTCCGTAACCGTGGAGATACATTAGTCCCATCTGGTGCTGGCAGAGAGCATCCCCATTCTTCACACCGCGTCGGAACCAGATTAGGGCCTTGCCCAAATTCTGTTCAACGCCTTCTCCGCGCAGGTACATCAGGCCAATATGTCCTGCTGCTTTGGCAGCTAACTTGTCAAGCCCGTGGGAAGGGTTTGCAACGAAAGAGCCATCCTGGTTCCAGTAACGTATCGTTACAGATTTGAAATACTTCATGGCTTTCTTGAAGTTGCGAGGCAAGCCACGCGCTCCTTCGTAGTTCATCTTGCCCAGAGAGAACGTGGCCTTAAGTTCGCCTTTGCGAGACATGAGATCAAGGTATTCAAGGACATCTTCAATACTGGCCTCGGTGGCGGCATGGCTAGGGTCTCGCGCATTGTGCCCAGAGCTCGACACGCTAGCGCCTTCTCCATAAACACCACCCTCTTCATCCGCCCAGCGGTAGGACTCTCTGACCATGGCATGACCACCAGGTGGACCGGATCGATAATATGCAATAGCCTTGTCGGCGACCCTCTTGTAGTAAAAGACGGCGTGTTCGCAGTTCTTTGGCGTCCCGATTCCAGAATGGTAGCGATAGGCCAGCGTCATCTCCGATCGAGTGTTTCCTCCCTCCGCGGCGAATTCGTGGTACATCAGCGCCTTTGCTTGATCTCGTTCGACAGCGTCACCAATACCAGTCGCATACATGAAACCAACCATGGACTGTGCTGTACTGTTCCCTGTCAACCAAGCCAGGTCGTGGTACCACTGGAATGCCGCACTGAAATTGCGCGGATGCGTGAAGTTGCCGTAGAAGTTCATCTCCGCGAGAAGAAACATCGCGTCCGCGTCCGCTTCTTCATCTGCTGCTGCCTTAAGCTCTTCGACCGCATGTGCAACCTTAGGGCTGAGCTTCCTTTCAGCTTTATCAGGGGCAGGCCCGTTCAAAAACAGTAACCGAAAGGCCTCGCGACCGTAATGTAGTGTGTATCCAATGAGTCCGGTGGGTTTATCAACGTTAAGAACAGCCGGCTTAGCTGCTCGGAGTATGTTCCAGGCATTTTCAACTCGTTCTGCCACAGGATATTGAGAGATATTAGTATGACCATTATGTCTGAAGCTGCACGTGCGACTGTTCTTGGGCGAGACTCACCACTAATTGGCCGTGGCTCTGGTTCTGGCTCTGTAAACAAGAACTCCGGTTTTTCATTGCCTCCCGAAACTTCCGTGGATGAAGTGTCTCCCAAGGGAGCCTGGGTCGGCCCAGCTGCACATGTCTGTAGAAGCACTAGGAAGCGGAGTCAGCACCGAATGACAACCCCCGGAAACGAGAAGTGGAGAGCGAGGGGAACTCACGCAGGGCCGGCAAGACGGTAATCAACGGCGTCCTCATGATGCCTGTGATATTTGAGAATTCAAAGATTGGAAGAATCGCATTGCGACTCTGTCGGGGGTCGGAGACAAAAGGACGTGAGACAGTTGGAGCGCATGGCTCTCGGTGATGTAGTTCCGTTCCAACGGGCCACTTGGCTAAACCGCGGAGCTTCATTCTGCCGACAGCGAATCACCGCCTTGTCTACAACAGGCTACCAACACAATGAATTAAGCATGGACAGCTCGAGATGCATACTGAGATTTATGATAACCTTCGGAGTAATTGCATCATTTACGTTATTAATCATTGGACAGCTTATCATTAAACTTCTTTTATTCAACTCCCTAGAATCTGTGTACAGCATGGGAGAAAATCAAATCAAATACAAAAACCCCCAGTGCGCTCTTCATGCAAAAAGAAAAGGAAAAACATTTGGACAGCCACGGAGTGTTCCACGTAGCCTCCCCCAAGAACGAGACCTTGGGATCAATTAAGACCTAGGCCTGGCCCCCGGGAGACACTGAGGGACGCATCCATGACCACCGGCGAAAAGGGGGGTAACAAAGTCGTTCTCAATTTCGGAAACGGCAATGACAGCTGGAGCTGGGGCATCGTAGGAAATGGACGAAGAAAAAATGATGAAAATAGAGAGCCCGGCGAAGGGCTCACCAGCATTGCTAAGAAAACAGATACAGTCGACTGGGCGACAAGCGAGTCACCCACATCGTGAAGCAGAAAAGATGAACATCCAATTCCGAGTCGTCAGCTGCGAAATAACTCTTTTTTGTAGTTTATTGGAACGTTTTGATGATGATACAGTGGTACAGCACGCGCCAAAGCTAGGCAAGCCGTGTCTGTCCTCACTTCTGGCGCGGAGACCTGGTCATGGTATGTTAGTCACGATATTCCAGTTGTATGTGAGACAAGATGGACTTACGTCGGGCTGTGGAATTCCGGCGAGCTCGGGCTGTAGGCAGCCGCGGGCGACGTCGGAGAGCCAGAGAATTTGGGAGACGTCGGCGAGTATGCCTCGGGTTGCGGAGGGGACCAAGATGGAGAAGTAGGACTCCACTTGGGAGAGGTAGGAGAGGCAGGGGACGTGGGAGACAAGTGCCGACCGCCACCGAGCGCAGGGCTAGTAGGGCTGTACTCGGGGGACGTCAGGCTAAAGGCTGGCGAGGCCGGGCTGAAATTGGGGGACGATGGGCTGTAAGTCGGCGAAGTGGGGGAGTACGATGGAGAGGCCCCAGCAGGCGACGATGGCGAGTAGGCCGGAGACGTGATCACGAACTGAGGGCTCGATGGCGAAGTTGGCGACATACGAGGAGAAGTGAAGCCCGGGCTGCTGATACCAGGGGACGTGGGAGAATAAGCAGTCGACGATGGCGACCAGCTTGGAGAGGCCATGCTAGTATTGAATGGGCTGGTCGGAGAATAGACGTGGCCAGGACTGCGGGCACCGGCGGCGGGACTGAATCCACCGAAGCCATCGGCAGGCTGGTACTTGGAGAGGCCTCCAGGTGACTCGGCACCACCCTGTCGGATGGGCGAGAAGCTTGCGTCGGGATCAGAATCGACCATGTACGAAGTGCTGGCCATGGGCGATCCACTATCATACTGGGTGGCCGCACCATCAGAAATGATTGCGTCCTTTGCACCAACGCCGCCCATCAGAGCGAAGCGGGCATTGTTCGAAACAACCGTGTTCAGCAAGTTCTGATCCAGATAAACGTCAAACTCCCCCGTTCCAGCGGGGGCCATCTGTCCAAGAATCAGGTTCTCCGACACGCCACGGCAGTCGTCGAGCTCGCCAAAGGCGGCAGCCTCCAACAGAATCTCGACTGTTTCCTCGAATGAACAACGCATCAGAGCACCATTGTCGGCACGGTTGATACCATGACGAGTGACGGGAGTCAAGTAACCACGGACGGTCATGACATCGACCAGAAGGGCCAAGTGACGGTGATTGACATAGGAACCGTCAAAGGCCAACACTTGGGTCAATTCACGAAGCACGGCAGTACGGGCAGCTTCAATACCAAAGACCTCGAAAATCTCAATGAACTGGTTGGAATAGGTACGAGTAGCGTCAACTCCAGGGATAGCGAGAACCGGCGCAAGGTGAGAGCCGCTGGTCTCAAGAACCCAATCCTTGCAAAGAGGATCAGTCTTGCTCATGAGCAGAGCACCATCCTCTGTGACGCGGACCTTGCTTCTCTCATTGATGAAAGCACGCTCCACACCGGGAACACCACGAAGAGTAAGGGTGTCGAGCAGGTGCTGTTCGAGTTTCTTGAGAGTTACGTCGTACTCGACATCATCATCGTCATCATCATCCTTGTGAGACTGAACTTGACGAATACGGATGACCTGTTCGTCGGCGTTGTTATCACTGAAAATGACGGCAATATCGTCCTTGTACGCCTTCTTGATCTTTTCGGCGACGTCCTGGACAGTAAGTCCCTTATCAAGCAGCTTGGGTCTGCTGAGGACAATACGAAGCAGCCACTTCGACTGGTTGGCCAGGTCGCCTTCAACATCCTCGGGGATAATGAAGTAGGACTCGACCATATCACGATCGTTCTCAATGACAGTGGACTGAATATCCGGATCGTAGTAGATCTCAGTCGCCTCGGTGACAGACCGCAAGCTGGTGTGCTCGACAAGACTTCGCAACTGCTTAGCGCCCTCCTTCTGGTAGGTGTTGTCACCTTCCTGGTATACTGTCATGGACGGGGTCTTGATGTTGGTTGCCACGTTAAGAATTTCCTTCAGACGAGGCACACCCAGGGTGACGTTCTTCGACGACACACCAGCAAAGTGGAATGTGTTAAGTGTCATCTGGGTGGCGGGTTCACCAATACTTTGCGCAGCAAGGACACCAACCATTTCACCGGGGTTAGCCGCAGCACGAGCGAAACGGTTCTCAATGGCGCCGAGAACGTGCTGGAAGGCAAGCTTGTTGAGAGAGTAGTCGGCGACCAATCGCTTGAAGGCGAGAAGAGAGCGAAGCTGGGCCTTGAACAGGAGAGTCGAGTTGTAATCAGCCTCCTTTGAGATAGGATCGTCACCACGAACGACGACCAGACGATCAAGCAGGGCCTGGACTTGAGGAATAACCTCGGCAGGGTGCAGATCGCTGATCGTGCCCTCACGAATGCGGAACGTCGAACGAGCCATCTCCAAAATTCTTCGCACGTTGATGGGAAGCTGCATCATCTCCTCATCCTCCTTGGCCACAGTACGGAGGAACGCACGAGACTCGAGCAGGGCTTCCCACTCTTCGTCGAAGTAGCGCTGAACCTCGATGTCACCCGCGATCTCGTTGGCCTGCTCCAACACTTCGGGACCAAGGGACATCTCACTATCCATGACATCAACACGGAAGCGCTGACGCATCTTCTCGTCGGAGCAGCGGATGATGTCGACAGGTTGGTTCTCAATGTGAACACCATCCAGACCATCTTCTCCGTAAATGAACTGGATGATATCACCCAAGGAGTTACGGACAGTACCGTCGTACTTGACCATGACTTCTTCCAAGGCTTTGACCAGCTTACGCTGGATGTAACCAGTTTCGGCAGTCTTGACAGCGGTATCGATCAAACCCTCACGACCAGCCATGGCGTGGAAGAAGAATTCGGTAGCAGTCAAACCACGTAGATAAGAGTTCTCGACGAAGCCACGGGATTCAGGAGAATAGTCGTCTTTGGTGAAGTGAGGCAATGTGCGGTACGCAAATCCGAATGGAATTCGCTTGCCCTCAACGGATTGCTGACCCACAACAGCAGTCATCTGGGAGATGTTGATGGTCGAACCCTTGGAACCAGAACGAGCCATTTGAATGGCGTTATTCAGATCCTTCAACCCCTTCTCGGTGGCAGCACCAGCCTCATCACGAGCGTTGTTCAAGGCACGGGAGACCTTGCTCTCGAAAGTTTCACGGACGTTCATACCGGGCAGCGCCTCCAGGGTGTTATCTGTAGCACTGGCAGTAATCTCTTGAACTTCCTGCTTGCGTTCTCGAACAGCCTCCTCAATCTTTTCAATGGTCTTGCGATCGGGAATCGTATCACCGATACCGATGCTGAAACCGTGGTGCAGAAGCCAATAGTTGACGATGGTCTGGGCACCATTGAAAAAATTGACTGCGGTGTCACATCCATACTCGTTGAAGATGGTGTGAATCACACCACCACCGCTGGCACCAACGGTCTTCTTGGAAAGCATACCGTACAGCAGCTGTCCTCCTTGAATGAGCAGGCCACCATCATTGAGAGGGCCGAATTTCTCGGAAATCGGCGCATTATCCTTTTCGACGCGGACGAGATTGAGACCAGTGGGGAAAGCCATGCTGATCATCTGCTTGCCAGTCCAGCGGGGACGAGGCTTCATGATCGCGGGAGGAGGAATGACGCCATCCCAGTCGGGAACCCAGAGCATAAGGTTCATGACTTGATCCTTTGTAAGGAAAATATCACGACGGCAGATCTTGTAGATACCGCACAGAGTATCCTGCACGATACCCATAAGAGGGCCGTTACGCTGAGGAGAGACAATATTCTTCGGGACCAAAGCAAGCTCGGCCAGTTCCGCACGCGATTCCTCACTCTGTGGAACGTGCAAGTTCATTTCGTCACCGTCGAAATCGGCGTTGTAAGGCGTCGTGACCGACAAGTTCAGACGGAAAGTTGAGAAGGGCATAACGCGGACGCGATGGCCCATCATACTCTCCTTGTGCAGGGAGGGCTGTCGGTTGAACAGAATAACATCACCGTTGTCAAGATGGCGTTCGACCTTCCAACCGTACAACAGCTGCTGGTTGCCGGCGCGCTTGGCGTGACGAAGATCGATTCGCTCGCCAGTGTCTCGAACAATGTACCGAGCACCAGGGTGGAAGTTGGGTCCGTTAGAGACTAGCTTTTGCAGCTTCTCAATGTTGTACGGAGTCACCACCTCGGGGTAGGTCAAGATTTTTGCCGTGGAGTATGGCACACCGACCTCGTCAAGAGACAGGTTAGGATCACCTGTAATGACGGTACGGGCTGAGAAGTCGACACGCTTGCCCATCAAGTTCTGACGCAAGCGACCCTCTTTACCCTTAAGACGGCTGCGCAGCGCCTTGACCGGACGGTTTCCTTTTTGCATGGCCTTGGGCTGACCCGCAATATCGTTGTCCATGTACGTGGCAATGTGGTATTGAAGAAGCGATTCAAACTCACGAATGACGTGCTCTGGTGCACCTTCCTGCTCACATCGCTGAACATTTTGATTGGCGCGGACAATTTCCGCAAGCTTGTAAGTCAAATCGTCCTCACCACGAGCGCCGCTGGTAGCGCCCATCACAACGCTAGGGCGAACAGTTGGAGGTGGGACGGGGAGAACAGTAAGGATCATCCACTCGGGTCGCGCATAGTCGTTACTCAGACCCATGATTCGAACATCCTCATGGGAGATGTTGCGGAAAATGTTTAAGGCCATCGCCGGAGTGATAACCTTCTTCTCAGGCTGTGCGGTCATGTCGTCCTCCATCATGCTTTTGCTGGGCTTCCAGGTACCGACAAGAGTGATACCTTCCTTGCGCACCGTGGGCTGAGCGTTACCACACCCACCGTGGAAATAGCGCTTCTTGCCCTCCTTTTGGAACTCCTCATCATCGGGGGACGGGTCGGTCTCGCAAACGTTGATATCCTTCGAAGCTCTCCAGATCGCATCGAAGCGTCTTTTCGGGTCTCGTAGGCGGATGGCTTCCAAGAACTTCGGGTTATCCTGAAGTCAAAAATGTCAGCACGAAAAGGTCAGAAGATTTGCCATCCCATGAGGGATGACTAACCGCTCCAACTTTGATCTTTCCACAGTTGTGGCACACAGTCTCCAGAAGCTTCTTAATCTTGGTCACAAAACCTTTTGGAAAGGAGGAGAAAGTCAGTCAAATGAAAGAAAGGTGGGAACACCGCCGCAGATCCCGAAGTGATCACGGCGCAGAATCACTCACCAATATGGAAGACTGGAGATGCCAGTTCAATGTGACCAAAGTGTCCAGGACACTCCTTGGGTCCCTCTTCGCAAGTTTCGCAGTTGAACTGGCGGTCGATGGTGCCCAGTCGAGGGTCATTAACACCCTTAGTCCGAGGCCGCATGCGTTGCTCATCCTGTATCAAGTGATAGAAGTTAGAAACCTCATTCGCAAAAATTTATTTGATGGCTTTTTGGATAGATCAGAAGTGAGGCACATACCATCGTCTCTGGATATTCCACATGAACTACACTCATGCGCTTGATCTCTTCGGGGGCGAAGAGACCAAACTGAATCTCCTTGATGGTGCGCAAAGGCGCCTTGGAGTAGGGGAAGTGAACATTCGACATGGTTGCGGTAGCTCGATGCGCAAAAAGCTGGTCGGATGCCGGGAGTTGAGACGGGTGCAGGTGAGAGAAGCCGGAACGCGGACCTGGGGAAAACGAGAGATCTGGAGGTCGTTAAGGCGCAAAAACTGAAGAGACAGGCTAAGTAGACGACCAAACGTCAAAATCACACGAGGCGACGATGAAACGAAGGTGGTGTGGAAGCAGCTGGCCGGCTGAGGCCTTTGGCAGCCCTTGCCACGAGGGCGCCGGCGACCTGGAGTCCCCGAACGTCACGAAGCCCTTAAAGGAGAGAGAAAAGGGAAGAGTCGCTGATGATCGCGTGTAGATAGTCTCCAGAAGAAATATCACGATGGGAAACGCGATATTCTTCGATGGTGAGGTGATGGGGAGGGCGTGTCGGGGAGGTTGAAAGGGAGTTGGTGAAGGTTGCCTCACCCGTTGATGGGGCTCGAGTTTTCCCTCTGTTCACTTAGCGCGCCAGAGGGTGTCTATAGTGTCCCGTAATCTAGGCGGTGACAAGTAGCAAAACACCCGGCCCAGGCAACAGCCCTGGAGACTCAGGCAGCGAGTGGGTGCGGTATAAACCCAACGCTCACCGCCTCCGATTCGACTCCGTTCGTTGCGAATCTGCAGAGGCGGCAGATATGGAAAAACAACCTTCTATTGTTGGGTCGTGTCGACCCCATCTTTGTGTGCATAAGACTCCACTGTGTGCTGGATGTTCGAGCCACCAGCTTCTTGGCCTTTTTCCAGGCCTTGGGGATCTTGATCCTGGAAAATAACTCGATCTCGCGCTGATCCGCCGCCATGAATTTGTCGCTTGTTGACCCGTTCGTCCTGGCCCAGGACTATCCGGATACCCTGACAGAGAAATTGCGTACGTGGATATTCTCTCCTTGTATATGTTTTGGCATGCTCTAATTAGCATTCTAGGGAGTGGTCATGCGACATGTCTTCGATTTAACCATACTGGCGACTACCTAGCATCCGGACGAGTTCGTGCGCCTCTATATATGCAGAGCGAAATGGAGCTATTGAAGCTAACTATTGCGCATTAGGTGGATGGCACTGTCGTGATCTTTGACATTGAGACCAATGGTGTCGCACGCAAGCTCCAGGGTCATACTCGGCAGATCCAGTCACTTAGGTATGATTGTATGACATCTCGCCTGGTAGGCTAACATAAGACTAATCTTCTCTTCCCACTAGTTGGTCTCGAGATGGCCGGTACCTACTTACATCGTCGCAAGACTGGAAGTGCATATTGTGGGACTTGAAGGATGGCTCCCGCGTGCGCACAGTCAGATTCGAGGCGCCAGTGTACATTGCGGAGCTGCATCCGTTCAACCAGTATGGCATTATTTCCTCCAATTGCCTACCGACATTCCTGTGAGCTAATCATCTCTGTGCGCTATCTAGCCTCCTCTTCGTGGCCTCCCTATTTGAAGACCAACCGGTTCTCGTTGATATTTCCTCTCCAAAACCAATCAAGCGAATTCTCCCCTCCGCACCCCTCCGCCCTCAGCCTACAAACGGTGAAGAAGTCGATCCCGCCGTCGCCGCCAAACAAGCAGCGCAAGACGCAAAGCATTCAACCTGCGTCACCATATTCACGGCATTTGGCAACCACATCATTGGCGGCACCTCCAAGGGCTGGATCAACATTATTGAGACGGAAACGTGCACAACAATCCATTCCATGCGTCTGTGCAATGGAGTCGTCATTCTCGCCCGCCTTGCCAACAACGGGCGTGATTTACTGGTCAACAGCTCGGATCGTGTTATTCGCACTGTCCTCATGCCTGACCTTTCCCAGCTTGGTATTGACTTCGAGCCGTCTGCCATCAAACTACAAGTGGAGCACAAATTCCAAGATGTCGTCAACAGATTAAGCTGGAATCACGTCACATTCTCTTCAACTGGCGAATTTGTCACCGCAACTACCTTCATGAACCCAGATATCTACGTCTGGGAGCGCAGCCATGGCTCTCTAGTCAAGATTCTCGAGGGTCCACGAGAGGAGCTCGGCGTGGTCGAATGGCATCCCTCGCGGCCTATGGTAGTCGCTTGTGGTCTGGAGTCCGGCTGCATCTATACATGGTCGATTATTAGCCCCCAAAAATGGTCTGCCCTAGCTCCAGATTTCGGCGAAGTTGAGGAAAACGTGGAATACGTGGAGCGCGAAGATGAGTTCGACGTTCATCCAGCCGAACAGGTGCATCAACGTCGGCTCGATCTCGAAGATGAGGAGCCCGACGTGATCACTCTGGATCGCGCCGAGGACACCATCGATGCAGAGCAGTCCGGCGTATTCAGTGTTCCGGTCCTTCTGGATATCTCGGATAGCGAGAGCGGAGAGGATATTATCGCAGTGGGACCGGGCACAATGCGCCGTCGTACTCCCGGTGATGGAGATGCCGAGAAGGATACCAAATCTGGTGCAAATGGTGTCGCTCGTGGCGCAGGCAGGAACCGCCGGCGGTAAAAAGTGGTTTCGATTGTTGTTTTCTTCATGAGTTCATCGGTCTAGCTCTACGCGGACTAGACAGACATCATTTGCATATGGATGGCGTTTGAAATGCATGGATTTGGAACGGCGTTTTGGTAGGCTCGAGCTTTTTTTGCCCTTTTCTTCTATGATGCGGCAGTGGTTCGCCAGATGACATACTTGAAACTAGTGATTTAACTGCGTTGTACTTCATCTGAAATGGCATTCCCACTGTACAGTGACTTTCCCTTCGAGAGCATCTGCGTGCCGTGGCAATCATTAAACCATTGAATCGTACCACATCACCATGCCTCAGAACAGGACATCAAGCAAAGAAGGGTGGACAGGAAGAAGGACTACCATGATCATTTCTTTCTGATGGGCATGTCGGTAACACCAGTCATATACCAGGGATTTTTGGCCTTCTTGCTTTCGGCTGTCTTCTATACTACTCATACTAGTCTGCAAAATACGGTTCCTAAAGTCTTTGGAGGACTTTTTCCGTCACGACATTTAAGTCGCGCCTCGTCATCGTCGTCGGTTTAAGGCGCGATTCGGTGGCTCTCAAACACGTTCGCCAACCAGGAATCGATGGTTCTTTGACTGTCAGCAATCTACCCTCCTACCAACACATATATACCTTCCTGGCCCTCGGAAGTCTTGCTCCTTGGCCAAATCCACCAACGCTGTGACCGGTCAAGGTAATCAGTCAACTAGGTACTGTTCAGGGCCTCCAGGACTGTATATGCTTCTCGGCTTCTTTCTATGCTCCAAACACATCCATTGGCAAAGCTTGGATATATAGGATTGTTCACTCTCAATGGCTGAACTTGGTCATGTGCTATAGCTCGCATGTGTTGGCTCGCGGGTAGACGGAATGACTTGATCATAGACATTGTACCAGTTGATAAGCATTCATAAATTTTGATTTCTAGTGATTGAGGACAGTATGCGTCGAGATCCTCTGATTTTGTATCCCAGTCCGATCCTGAGTGGGCTATTACTGAGCAGTCAACCTACCTCTGCAGATATGACCGGCTTATGAGATATATATCTCACCCCAATGAGTCACCAAGGAGCCAACTGGATTTTATTCACGATTGAAAAAGACATGAATCGTAATCAAGAGCTATTTCCACATACACAATGAGCCCAGACACTATTACTATTACGTGTTCACGTTCGCAAGGTGCACGGTCGGTGGTACCTAGTGAGGATACAAGGTTGGCCACGTACAAGGGATGGAGCGCCTTCGTCCAACTTACTATTTAAGCCGCAGAACAAATCAGCGACTCTGGGTCTTCATCAAAAGAAAATTTCTCCAATGCAGTAATTCAAGACTCAATAATAGAATATCTCCATTAACAATATCGTCTGCCGGTGGTGATTGTGGCATAAAAAAAAAAACCAAAAAAAGTATCACATATGGGCTCAGCCGGGAATTGAACCCGGGTCACGTCCAGACAGGAAACGATGCTCGTTTCGGGCAGGCCCGAAGGACGTATCATGCGACTAAACCACTGAGCCTTGAGTGATGCTGATCCGAACGATTTAAGAAAATATAATGAGCCCTGCAACCGGATGGATGCAGACGACAAAGGAAGACAAAGCAAAGTGCTTTCTTCGCGAGGACTGCGCTGCGTGCTTAGGATTTAATTGGACAGGAATATTTTTCTGGTTATTGTAATTACTGGATAACATATAGGTCTACGCTATAATTTACAAGGAAATATTTTCTCGAGCTTTAATTAATAAATCTTTCTAACTTCTATTCAAATATTCCAGGGCTTTACATATGTAGGTACTGTAGTGGGATAGAAGTCTTCAACCGATTGAAGATGTATTCAATATTTCGAGTCGGCGCGACCTGCAGTCTGCCACACAGACTCGGCCACTTACACCGATGGCCCACTGCTCGAATCATGCTACATAGCGAGGACATGACGCTGATTCTCGAGCAATGGATTACCCCACAGCTCCAAACAAAAAGATCATAACTACGTGGACATATTTACAGCCCTAGAGACTACATGAAAACTCGTTCGAGTCTTGAATATTCATATTGACATATCGTCAGACATAGCAAACTCAACCACAAGCTTAGGTGAGACCACCTGGGTATATACCACACAAGCCGCAAACATGGAAATAGAAGAACAAAATGAAGAACCCTCCGGATCCAGCCCGAACGCCACTTCAATGCAAAACATGCAACAAGAAAAGACTTTGAACAGATATAGCAAGTCGTCATCATGGCAAAGCCGTGGATCGCCCACAAGTCTCGTGGGAAACCACCTCCACTCGTAAATCATCACTAGAGAAGAATACTTTAGTTGGCGAGTGGCTTGCGAGCCTGGTAAATATGCAAGATGTTGTAGCAGCGCAGATCTTTATTGAAAGCCTCGGTCTTCACGTCCGTCGCAAGGCGTTTAATCTTCTCAATGGGCCAACCATACACCCGGCTGAAGGGTGCGAGACTGAGAGTCTCGACACTCTCCGAGATGGCCAGGTTGTACCAGCTGGCGACTTTGCGCTCGTGCTCATCATCATGCCAAGGATTCAAGGGGAGTCCGACCATTTGGTGGTCGATCTCCGTGAACCCGGCTTCTTGCAGATTGCGAATCGTCTCGCGAGAGCTATGAGCTAGCGGACGCATCGTTGACTCCGTGGCGCGCTTCAGGGCTGTGTACCAGTGACGAAGGGCGAGATTACTGAGCGATCGGTCGTCGCAGCGCGGTTCAAAATCGATTTCAACTTGTTCGAACCATGCGCCCGGGCGCAGGTGTGAGAATATCCGCCTGTACAGACTGGGCCAACTGGAGACGCTGCCACTTCCCATTTGCATGTGAATGAGATCCCAGGAATCCTCGCCCATGGCCCAAGGACTTTCGAAATCGAATGGAGCGTAAAAATCGCAGTTTTTGGGATGATTTTGTGGTTGGATGGGGGCGAGATCTACACCAACGACGAATGAATCGGGATATTTGTTGGCAACTTCAATACTCCAGATTCCAGTCCCACAACCCAAATCCAGGATGCGAGAATTGTTGGGATGTGGTGCATATATCAAGCCATCTGATACTCGGGCGACCGTGAAAAGCTTATGGAATATGTCGAGGCGGTCTTGTTCTTCGTCGTCGCAGGGTAGCATGTAGGTGCCTTTGCGGTAGGAATGATACATGCGATTATTTTCTTTATACGGAGGGTACTTTTCGGGGATTCTGCATGTAAGAGAGGATTGTCAGTTCAGCAATTCCACGATACTTGACTGCGTAGCCGAGAAAGCAAAGCTCGGCGGCAGATATCATTGTATTCTGCAGGGGAAACGTACTTGCGATTGGAGACTATGATGGGCGGTGATGAGCCAGAGGCGCGAGAGGCCTGTGATGTTTGTGATGCGACCGAACCATTGCTGAGAAAACGGCCAACTCTTCGATCGCCATCCTTGTCCGAGGGATTCCGGTCTGTAATCATATAGATATCCATGGCGGTTGAGGTTTGGCGCGACCGAGCTCGTTCACTGGCTGGGACCGAGGGACCATGATACCGATCACTGGCCGGAATTGATGAAGATTGATAGCGCTCACTGGGAGGAATTGACGAGGATCCATAGCGGTCGCTGGCGGGAATGGACGAGGAATGATACCGTTGGCTCGAGGGCACCGATCCAGAGTGGTAATATCGTGAGGGGCGACCGGCATCGCTCGCGGGAGTTGATTCGGACTTGTGTCTTTTCGGCGGTGGAGGGGAGGTCAACATTGGCGGTAGCCGGTTTCGACCGGACTGTTCGTCGGTCAACATCCTGGACATTCAATGGTGGTAAAGGCGATTGTCCGAAGAATCAGGGGTGGAATCGTCTCGGGACCGATTGTCTCGTATACGTCGGGACCGAGGCCGACGGAGAGGAGGGAAGGGTAGCTACGATCAATGATCGCACAGCGCAAGCAGGGCTCAGAAACAGAACATCAATCGAGCTTGTCTGTCCCAGCCGCCACACCACAGGTAAGAAATCGGCGAGGCAGCACGTTGATGCAGGAAGGCAAAGACAGCACGCAAGGAGGAGCGGCGATGCCAAAGTACGAATTGCTCCGAGCGGCCAAGCGAACCAAGCGAACCAAGTGGATTTTGTTGGCAGCACTGGGCCGAGAGGCTGGGCGGGTCAACACTCCACAATCCACGATCACAAAGAGTATTGACCGAGTGGAATGGAGAGGAGATGAAAGCAGTATCGTCACCACTCAAAGACCAAGACTGAGCAATCCAAGGGTGGTTCACGAGAGGAGAGGGATGGAGGTGAGAACCACGGACAAGAACGCGACCCCGAGGGTTTTAAGGTTGTGTAGCCGCTGGCTGGGTTCCGTTTGGGGTCCACGGGTGGGGTGGGAGAGTCAAGCAAAAAGAAGAGCTGGACTAGAGAGTGAGAATGTGAAAAACGAAAGAGGGAAGGAAGGAAGAGAGGAAGATAAAATTGAAGCGACAGTAGAAGGATGTAAAGTGTGTGTGTGGGGGAGAAGGGAAGAGGAGAAGAGATGCAGAAGTGCAGACGAGCAGCACAGAGGCTGACACTAACAGCTGATCGGGCATAGATTGTAGCAAAAACCGCAATACGGTTTGTCCTACATGTACAGAGTATGATTGTATAATTGATACATAGTTTACTACTGTATAGTAGAATGGAAATTATACAATACTACAAGTATATACAGCTTTTACAATCGTCATCCCATCGTCGATCCCCAGCATCATACCTGCTGAAGGTTGAACCCAATCCAACTGATCCAGAGTCTCGGGTTTACACCACCAACATCATCATCTTTAGGTCCATGCCCTCTTAAAGTTGAAGGGGAGGAAGAGGGGGCTGGAAGAAGTGGAAGTCTACCGGTTGGTCACTTGGTCTTTGACTCAAGTTCAGTTTCGCCTCGAGAACAAGTCGACTCCTTCCTTGTCGGGCATCGTCTTTCCCTTGGGATCTGGTTCGACTCCTCCCAATGATCCATTATCCAATGAATCGCATTCCCTCCTCCTTGGGGCCGGGCGCCAACCCGGGATCGACCATCAAAGTCTCCACCGACGCCGCGCGGGACGCGGACCGTCTGGGCCTCCAATGATGATTCTGTTTGGTCCTTAATTGGTAAGAACTGACTCATGATCCAAGACACACAAAGACCAAAACATCCCACACTTGTTGAGATTAACAGAATCGGGATACGAAAAATAGGGACGATGGTACCAGATGAAAGACGTGGCACAGAGGCAACATCAAAAAGCAACGATTGCGCAGCACAGACTCCAACCCAGTACCCAGTGGAATGGGTACGCCGAGAAGCTTCGCAGCGTGGCGCCCAGTCAGCTCTGACTTCCATACCGGTTTCTCTGGACTTCCCCAAACAGTCGGGCTGTTCCATGGCAGAATCGCATTCACCTGGGTAAGCTCATCGGGGTGGCCGAGAGGCTCTCTTGGGAGATCCTCTGTCAGCAAACCATATAACTAAGTTAGCACCAGACCTTTACCTATGGCCGCCATCAGACAATGAGTTCCTCAGGCTGTGAATGATACCTAATCCCTGCATCACTGCATCCCCCCTCCCCAAAACCCCAACCCTCGTCGCTTCCCACAGCCCTGGGATCGGTCAATGCGACACTACGAATCACCACCAGGCGGACCCCGGGACTCGTGGATGGGCGCGCCTCCTGGTTCGTTCCCAAGGCGCTTTGGGCGACCCTTTTTTCTCATGCTGATGCGTTTCCTTTTTCCTTCAACCAGGTCGCTGGTACTGCCCGGCCCACCTCAATCGGACACCCTGACTCAGGCGCTGCGTCGATCGGGCAGTGCCGCTTATCATTCTTATGTATCAACTTTTGTCGACTTGACACCCCTGGTTTAAAGTTTCGCATGGATGGTCCGGACCATAACTGGACCTGTATTAAAATATTCACCCCCTTTCTCGTTCTCGTACGGAGGATTCGGTGCAATGCTAATCATATGATACTCCGATGAACTCCTCGGAGTATTCGTTCAGACCCATCACTTTGTAACGCTTCGCTAAGGGATAGTACAGAATAATCTCCCCATTTTGGCCGAAGTGCGGCCGAAGGGCAGCCTAAGACTCAGGGTACCCTACTCCGTAGTCGGTTCCACATCCTCTCCGCCCCCGAACATCCCCCAAACTGGCAAACTGGCAGTCTCCAAGATCATGAAGACGGGCAAAACCCGATCACCCTTCTTCTGATTAGCGGATCGCTGTGGGAGCTCCCCATCATCGTCACTTTGCTCCCCGTCTCACGGACCACCTTCTGGTCGAGAGGCCTCCCTTGCAGGAGACGGTGTACGGGTTACCCGATCTCCGGATCTCCCGATGGCCTCTGGAAATTTGGTCGATGTTGACCTGCGAACACCTCCCTCTTTAACCCCCACTTTGTCGCTTGCCTTATGCTGTTCTTGGGATTTGCTCTGCTGATCTCCCGTCTTGCGATGTGCCCTGCTGACTCCTCATAATATGCATGTTGACGGTGTGATAATCAGGCCCGCGATGTTAAGATGCACTAACTTAGAGGCTCTTTTTGAAGAAGTCAAACATGATTCACGCCCTCTGCACTCCGTAGATCCTACTTATCATGTTTGTGCAAGTCTTACCCCAAGCTGCAGCTGCAACGCATGGCGATCTTAATTATGGACTTGCTTAGTTCTCCTAATTTTACGAGTTTAGTTCTACCTTCTCGGATAACATATTTCCTGAAATATGCCAGACTACACTATATTTTGATGTCAATATTAACCTGAAGTTGTAAAGAGTCCTCTGATCTGTAAGATGCCCAAGTAACTTGTACAGCACAGTAGTAGCAGTAAGGCACGGGAAGGGCACCTCAAGCCCCACGTCACCAAAAGGGAAAATTTTCTTGGCTTCGAAATTCCTCCACAGGTGTATACCAACCTGTTCTTCACCAACCACAAAAAATAACAAGCCAAACGCCCCGATCAACCAGTAGCAATTAACCTCACCAAGATCGACAGAGCCATCACACCCCCCGCTGCAAGCTCTCGTTCCTAAGAAAGAAACAGAAAAACCTGGGGAAAAAATCCAACTACCCCCCATCAGTCACAACCTTGTGACCAGTCAAGGACCGACCCGCAGTTCACGAGGATTCTCGCTTGATACACTACTGTACTCCATACAGGACCATCGCAGCAAGGAGCAACCGCAATAGCCGCGGAGATAGGAGATCGCGCGATCATTTCCTCTCCGCGATGCATACATTGAAAGCAACCGCCGCGTCGTCGCTGTCGCTACCAGCCGAGACCTACATCTACACGATCGCGGCGTCGGCGCCTGGTATTTTTGCCGCGATTAGCTCGGATGACTCGCTGCGTGTTTTTGATGCTGCGACTCTCGATCGTGTCTCGGTGATCTCGAATAAGACTCATGATGCCGGCGTTACTTCGCTAAGGAGTTATGCGGCGGGTGAGTCGCAGCTCTTGGTGACTGGTGGTCGTGAGGGGAAGGTGAAGTTGTGGGATGTGCGGGCTGGTAATGCGGTTGTGGAGATGGAAACGGGTGAGTTTGGCTGATTGATCTTATCTTTTTTGATTTGTTGCTCTGAGTGTTTTTTTGATCTTCACGGTGGGGGTTGTGAGGTTTCTGGTACATTTTCTGCGGGTACCAGCTGCGATTAGAGTTATGCTGCATCTTCGAGTGGGCTTGAAAGGAGTCGGGCAATTTTCTTTCGTCTCAGGGACTACGTTGTCTAGTCATTCGGAGTTTTGTCATCTGCTTGACATAGATTGGCTGATCATTCTATGTGTTTCTAGCGAGACATGCCCCCGTGCTTTCGGTGGCTTGCAATCCAGAGAACAACACGATCGTGGCAGGAACCGAACTTCTCTCCTCGCAGGCAGTAGTTGCATTTTGGTAAGTGTCTTCTTGGAACGGTCAACAGGGAGATCGATTTCACATCGTATTGATTGAACTGCCCCCACTGATACATCCGATTCTCACTGCTAACAACCTCGAACAGGGATATTAGATCTCCACAGGCACCAAGGCTGCAATACGTGGAAAGCCACAACGACGATATCACAGAGGTAAACAGCTTTCCCTTTGCCTTCTCACCCTAGATATTATTCAAGCAAACCCGCACGCAACGCCTCTTTGATCTCGGAAATTACAACTAATCTGACCGCGGCGGTAACACAGCTTCAATACCACCCGACTCGCAGCAACATGTTACTATCCGGCAGCACGGACGGACTCGTCAACGTCTACGACACGACAATCGCAGACGAAGACGAAGCCCTCGTGCAAGTCATCAACCACGGCTCCGTCCACCACGCAGGCTTCCTCTCCGAGCGCACCATCTACGCCCTCAGCCACGACGAGCAATTCTCCATCCACGCGGCCACTGATCCCGATGATTCTGCACAGGAGCCCGAACCCGTGCATTTCGACGACGTCCGCGAGCCATTGGGCTGCGAGTACGTCGTGCAGTTGTGTCTCGGTGCGCAGGGGCCGTACATTGCGGCTGGTAATAAGATGTACGTGTACAGTACATATACCCCGGTGAAGGAAAATCTTGCTGTAGTCGAAATACTAATTTTTCCCCCTGCTGGGGCCCGCAGCGATAAACGTTTGGATTTGATTCCGCTCGTGTCAACTCCGACATGGCGGTTTGACCTAGATAACCTCTGGCGTTTACCCGGCGCCCACGGCGATGAGGTCGTACGATCGGTCTACTTGGATGAACAGGTATGTCTCAGCCGAACTTTGAAGACTGGCATCAAGCCTGGCGTCCAGTGTTTACGCGGGTAACTAATATAATGTCTCGGGTGTGTCACAGAGTCAATCCGTCTTTACTTGTGGTGAGGACGGCTTTGTGCGGGCCTGGAAACCGGTTGATGGGGGTGACGAGGATGTTCAGAATCCGGCTGGATCTGGAAAGATTTCTCGGCCCAAGGACAAGAAGCAGAAGGATCGGTTTAAACCGTATTAGTTTTGCTAAATACTGCGGCTGATTGCAGTTTGTCTTGTGTAGCATGGGGAGTTGGGACGGTGGGTAAAATTAGAATAGCAATGTGACTGATGACTCTTTATTTTGTTTTGTCTAAGGTTAGATCTGGACTAAGCTTCGGGGCCGAACGACTCATCACGTGGTTCTCGGTGATTGATGTGTGTTCTTAATTTGGGGGCCAAAACCTTCGTCCTGGTCAAGATACTGAAACAGCACATCTGGCCCAACAAATATTCCCTTGAGTGAAAAAGCGTCTAGCTTTAAGAGCAAGTGCCCCGAGCGATGGGTGGCAATGTTCCATTCAGTAGCAAAGGGTGTGCGACATGTAGAAAACGCAAAGTCAAGGTGAGCGCAAGATGTCGTGCTTAACCATGATCAAATATTTATCAACACTCACCTTTGATCCAGTGTGACCTCCAGAAGCCGGAGTGTGGAGGGTGCATTAAACGTCGGTTGGTTTGTCCGGGGTATATACAAGGCCACCGCTTTTTTGCCCACTACAGCACCACGCATCAACCAGGAGAGTCAGATAATACCTCAAAGGCCAAGGTACACATGGTAAATCGGGCTCAATTGCTTCCACTCAAAATTGAGGAACATTCTCAAATTCGGATGCAACTCCATGCATCATTTATGGACTCATATTACCCCTCGACCTTGGACATAAAGTCTATCCGAGAGGTTGATCTATTCTTCCAGCTCATGTCGAGCTTCATTCACCTGCCAGAAAAGACAGTTATGCTAGAGACAGCCATGTCTGCTCTTTCATGTTTATATTTTGGCGCTGTAAATCAAAACCAGCGCCTTCTTCGCCAGGGCACACAGCTATATAATAATACGATTCACTTCATGACGAGTCGGATACACAAAAGCACTATCACGGATGATATAATATACACCAGTGTTATATTCAAAGCAATTGAGGTATTACATCACAGGATCCCTCACTTGGAATTGCAAAGGACTGATGGTTTCAGACGTTCAATTGTCCAGGTGGGACCAAGTCCATAGGGGCTCATATGGATGGTCATAATACGTTTCTCAGACGCCTCGACCATCCGAAACCAAATTCTCTCATGAAACATGTCTTCAAACTTCAGAAGCAAGGGCTGGTAAGAGATATTCCGGATACCTATCCTCTTCGGCATTCCGCTGAATTATCATGGTTCACCAATCAGATGTACGCTCCGATGTTATTCAAAAGCTTCGGCAGCGACTTTGATTATCTGAAGCAATACAACACCGACAGGCCGTTCGACGAGCTTTTCGAAATCTATGTTGAAATTACAATCCTCGCCGCGGCCGCCAACTCGATCAACAAGTTAGATCAAGATTGCGAACACCTACTCTGGTCATGCCGAGCACACCAAAGGAAAGCACTTGAATGGTACTCTCGGAATCTAGAGAGTATCGGGGGCCGACCAATCTCTTGTTCCATCGACAAGTTGAAACATATCAAGGTCCCCCTCCCGTCAGCCAAGAGTATGTTCGATTCATTCTATGAATTTGGTTCACTCCGACAGGCAGAGTTACATGTGTTCTTCTGGAAAGCGATGATCATCATTCAACTATTGATTTACCGAGCCCAGGTTCTGGTTCTACATTGTTCCAGGCCTGATCATCAACGCGCCTCTATCGAGAGCATTCCAACGGATCCTGGAGCGTATAGTGAATGTATGATTGCCGGAAAATACGCAGATGAGATGTGTCGGGCTATACCATACTTTCTGCAGGACGGGATGGGATCTTACGGCATGTTGAAGATCACAGTCAATCTTCCTTACATCCTCAAGTCATATACACACCTGAGATGCAAAGAAAAGTTTCTCTGGATTCAAAAGATCTGTCAATCAGTTGCCAGCGATGGCAATGACCTGGCTTTGTGCCATAGTCAGGTGTGGTGGAAGTATTGGTTCTTGTGTGAGGATCCAACGACAAACTACATTCGCAGCTTGGCGTTCAATGAGGATTATACGGAAAGGTACCATGTTTCTGTGGAAGGTGACTTTGTGAAGGTGATCAAGGTGACCAAGGATGGGGAATCTTCTGTAGCGTCAGAGATTTCAGACATGCCAGCAGCGAGACATGTATTGGATGTTTCAGATACAAGAGAGCCGCTAGAGTTATCTCAGATTCTATCTTAATGAAAATTGGAATTACGTAGACAATCCGAGGATTTTATTGACAAATTGCTCTTAAAATCCAAAGGATCGAGCATAAGCGGCTTATCAAATCAAATTTAAGGAAGCAGCAGCATTGGATCGAGATAGTTTCATCATCAGTGCAAGATCTATAGAAGTCACGTGACAATGACCAAAAACTTAAAACCTGAAAACACTGGCCAACAATTTCTTATCGCCCAGGAACCGAGTTTTTTCAATCTTATCCGTTGCCCTTTTCGCTCTTTTCTCAAGAGGGACCGCATTTCTTGACACGTCCTTTCTCTCGATAGCCTCACATTGGACCCTCTCACATGAGATAATACTAGAGCAATCAGACGGTCCAATCTCTCAATATTTCCACCTCTAAACGCCCGAGCCTCATCATCTCCACCTACCTACCCTCTGCCCGCCAAATCTCTCTCTTGAGACGACCTCCCTCCCTCCTTCAATACAATGGACGCACAAGCCTATCTCATCCGACACGGATGGTCTGGTCCCGGCAACCCTCTTAACCCAAACCAGCGCCCAGGCCCACACGGCGGTCTCGGTCTCACAAAGCCCATTCTCGTCGCGCGCAAACAGAACAACCACGGCGTGGGCAAGAAGACAACAAAAGATCCTACAAATCAGTGGTGGTTGCGCGGATTCGAAGATGCACTCAAGGGATTCGGCGAGGAAAAGACAACTGATGCCGGATCAAATAATGCGTTGACGAGCGAATTATATCGCCACTTTGTGCGCGGCGAATGTCTTGCTGGTACCATGAAGCAGAAGACCGTGGATGAGCCGGAAGAGAAGTCCAAGTCTAAATCAAAGCGGAAGCGTGATCCCGAAGATGAGGATGAGCGTCGGGCTAAGAAGGAGGAGAAAGCTGCACGGAAAGAGGAGAAGCGCAAGCGTCGCAAGGTTAAGGGAGATGAGGAAGCTACCGAGTCTGCGACTGTGTCTTCGAGTGATTCTTCGGGCTCGGAGAAGCGCAAAGAGAGCAAAGAGGAGCGCCGATTGAGGAGGAAGGAGAAGAAGGAGCGGAAGGAGCGGAAAGCAGAGGAGAAGAAGTTGAAGAAGGCCAAGCGCTCTGCCAGCGAGGAGGATTATCCTACACCGATGTCGACTGATGAGGATCTTGACGATGCACGGGTGGATACTGCTGAATCAGATGAAACCCCTGCCACGACCAAAGAGAAGAAGGAAAAGAAGGAGAGCAAGAAGTCCAAGTCCAAGAATAAGGACAGCGAAGGGGAACAGAAGTCCGATACGAAGAAGTCCAAAAAGGAGAAAAAGGAAAAGAAGGAAAAGTCCGCTTGAGCTATACGCCCACAATTAAATGTACGAGTGGCGTAATAGACAGTGTTTTGCATTGCCCTGGGATCGGATACATAGATTTTGCATACGCCATTGATTCTCGCGATCAAGATACCCCTTTCGTTTGGCGAGGATAATGAATCCAAAAAGAAGTTATTTTTTCACTCCATCTCATGTATTCAGTAGTGCGTTTGTTCTTCATTTTGGTCGTATCAGCCCTGCACCGGCAATTTCCCAGGTTTGCCAGACAAAATCCACGGACGTCTCTCCCAGAAGTCATCCTTGATGATATCAATATGATCAACTACAACTTGTGCCTTTCGGCGCAACTTCTTGAGTTTGTCTTGCTGTGAACGTGACTGTTTCGCCTCTGGAAGCGAGTCCTCTTCTTGGGATGCTGGTGCCTCCTTGGGGTCTTGGAGCTCATACTATAAGTCAAGGTCAGTGGCTTGAATCAAAAATTTCGGAAAGCGGTCGGTCTCGTTCTTACTTGGCGGTAGAGCACACTTCCTTTCTTATAGATCTCTTCCTCGTTATTGTAGTTGATACCAAAGCGCTTGAAGAGGATCTCATTTTTGTCGGCGGACACGGTTCCCTGATATGTGTCAGTAAACCATACGACTTTCTTGCTTGGAGTTTATCAGCGCATCTTTAAGAATAATGATACCTTCAATTCTTGCTCTGCATCTGTGTTGCTCATACCACCCTGCAGGACCATCGTCCAGAAAGTCGTATTGTAGAGATTGTTGATGTGGCCTATAAGTTATGGATGAGCAAGCCTGATTCATCGCGATGGAAAATGATACTGCTTTTCAGTGAAATTCAGGTAGACTTACAATCGACTTGTCGCCAGCTCATATAATCCCGCAAGATTCGTGACGATGGATAGATGACCGCTCGTCCATCAAAGGAAGGCAGATTAGGTGGTTGGAGAGGTGTCGATGGGAAATATATCGACCATAGATGAATGTAGTATGCGGTAAAAGTTGACACGATGGTAGTGACCAATTTTCTGAATTCAAGATCGCAATCAGGGGGCCGCGACGAAGACCAGCAGGCCAATAGGACAAAAAGGCATGATTGACTTACGCATTTCGTCTCTCAAAGAGCTGACAGCTCGGGTGGAAGACAAAGCTGAAATATCCATGTTAGGGAAAAGGATATTCAGGAAAGGTGCTTGCAAAGAAAGATGAGACAAACCTGTACTCGTCACTAACACCATAGGCAATGCATAGATCCGGAAGATCTTTCATGACCTCAACCGCCGCAGCATTCATGAGGTCGAGTGCACGTCGGTCATTCGGCTTGACAAAAGCATAGTGATCTGATAGCCTATGGGAGGTCAGAAATATGCGATGAACAATGGTGGGCTGGCATGTAGGCCTAGCAAGCCATCTGTGCAGCCTCAAATAGCCTGCTAGACCCGTAGAGTTCCTTAGGGGACATTGGTTTACTCGAAACAAATGTGTACGAGCATTAAATCGGGTCATAGAACTCGAGGGCTTACTTGTGAAATCCTCTTCCGTCAATGCGGACCACGATCCACGTATTGGGAAGCAGGACGTCAGGCTGCTCGAAGTCCTTGACGTATTCGAATCTTCGCATGGTTAGTTGACAATCTAGACTTGCAGAAGTTTTTTAAAACTAGCCTGGAGTTAGCCATAGCTCCTCTTCGCTCCTCGCGGTGTCTAGAGGTGTGTTGAGTGTCGAGTGTGTGTGGATTTCTTGCGGCGGCAGACGAGTCATGATTTTGTGCGGCGATTTGCTGCCCGCCCAACTCCAAACTATCGCGGAAGGCCCGACTGTGCTTGAAATACCCACCAGACAACAGTTACAACATTAACTTACATTCAAGCTGTTCGCTATAGTCTAGTGGAAGACTAAATGTATGGTCCTTTTGATTTTACTGGATTTATACGATTCAAGCAGAATTGTGGAAGATGTATGTGCCATATTGATTCTCTTAGGAAATAATAGTTGTTGTCTAAAGCATACAAACGAAGCCGTCGGGGTGTAAAATTCTCCAGAATACAGAAGGATGGGAGAAAACCAGAATAACGAGGGGTCTGCACCATAGAAATATCATGAATGAGCGATCTCAGGGATTGAAATATCTTCATCCCCAGCTTCACTGGCTCGCTCACTAGTCTCGCTTGCCTTGTCAGACTTGCGCGACTTGCGCGAGAAGAAGCCCAGGCTACTCCGCGTCGAACGATCTGCGGAGGGCACACTGGAGGCAGTGCTGTCTATGCTCTTTCCAAGCTGCGCCTCGCTAGCTGCGTCCTCTTCAATGTCACCTTGAGAGGACTCGCCCTTCTTGGAGAATAGACCCGAACGGTCTTTCCAAGAACTGAACTTGCTAGAGCTACCCTTGCGAGTAATTTTGCGTATGAATGATTCTTTAGACGCATTATCCACGGATGCACCAGATGGCATGCGCTCCAAAGATTCATACGACTCGCCAGTGAAATGGGAGAGCGAACGGGAATCCCGCGATGTGCGGTGCTCAGATGGGGATCCATCATCCACGTGAGGATCGAAGGGAGCCTCGGAGTCTTTATCCTTATCCTGGTTTGACTTTCTACTGGAGAAGATTGCCGTGAATGTTGGTGCAGCCGGGTTGAGCTTGGGAGTGACCGGGCGATGGGACGACGACGGCCGTGTGCCGATTGGAGCTTGAAGCGGTCGCAGCTGGCGCTCATACGTTTCTTCAACGAAATCAGGTTCGCCGGTCAGTCCCAGCGGGAGATGCCCGGTAGATCCATACGAAAGGGATGGACGACGTGATGGTGCTCGGGACCATGTGGATGGTGACGCCCAATCCAGACCGAGTGGGCTATTGCGGTGACCCGTCTGTTCAGCAGACGGCCACCCGAAATGGCGATTATCCGTGGAGGGATGAGGAAGCTGGTTTTGATTGTCAAAAGAAAAGGTCGACGAAGGACGAGGGGATAGAGAGCCGCGACGAACGTTTCCAAGAAGAGAGGAGGGATCAATAGGATCATGCCGTGGGCTAAACTGATTGTAGCCAGTGCTCAAGTCGGAGTTTCCACGACTGCTAGTGCCACCGAATCCGAATTTACTAGATGAGAAGATGCTCGAGAATGCAGCGCGTCTAGATGGCGGGTGATCCGACGAACTATCCGCAGTCACTCCAGTTGTGTTGCTTCGAGGGAACAAGGACATGGGGTTCGCCCAATTGCCTGTATAGCTCAGTCTCCGACGTCGTGCACCAATGGGGTCCATCTCATCAATGTTACGTGGGAAAGACTGGCTCTGCCCTGGCTTCAATGTCCCCAACATTGGTGGTTCGTCAGCTAGCGTCTTTCCTCGAGGTCGATGGAAGCCAAAAAGCCCAGAAAGTCGTCGAGACGCGCTCTTGGGCCGCTCCCCGGCAGCAGACAGCCCCACCGGCTGAGAATCAGAGTCCCGTCGGTTAAGCGTCTCAAGTGGGCTGGCAAAGATACTACCCGGCCTGCTTCCAGAAGATGCAGGTGAAGCGGGACCGATGCCAAAGTTTTCCAAAGGACTACCCGTTGCTTCCATGGTAGAGAAGCGTGGCCGGGTCAGCGGTCGCGGGAACTCCGGTGACTCCTCGTCACCAAGAAGGTCAGACGGCAACAAAGCATCTGCCCGAGGGCTCATTTGAGGGTTATTGAATCCAGCTTCCGCATCTGAACGCATTATCTCGGGTGGATCAGAAAGACCGGGAAGGGCCATTCCATTGTTGATGTTGAAAAATGCAGAGCTAGGAGGGAAAGTAGGCGAGTTCGTTGAAGGAGGGTTGTAGCTGAGACCAGTAGGGAAAGCTGTCTCTACCCCTGGGAAGTTCACAGGAGAAGAGACATTGCTGGTCAGTGAGCTGCGATGACGCCGCGGTCGAATGGTTGCGGTATTTGACAGGTCCAGATCCAATGTTGGGAGGGAGAATGGACCCGAGCTGCTTGGCCGTTGATTAGTGAGCCATTTCAGTCGTTCCTGGGCTTCTTGATACTGCTGTTGGGCTTGCGCATGGAGATTGACTAGAGTTGCATATCGGGCATGTAAGCTGTTCAACTTCATCTCCCATTGGCGGGCCCGCTCATTGTCAATTCGATCCAGCTCCTTGCCATCCTCACTCTCCCCATCTTGAAGGCCCTTTCTCTCATCCTCAAGCTTCTTGATTCGTCCGCCCTTGTCTTGAATCTCATCATCGATGATTTTCATATCCGCTTGCTCCTTCGCAATCTTCTCGCGAATTTCATCTCCTCGTGCCTTGCCATCTTCCTCCACTCGAGACTTGTCTTCTTTCGCTTGAGCAGCATCGGAATTCATGCGCGAGATCTTCTCCTGCCATCGAAGAATGTCGTTTTTGCGCTTGTCGCGTTCTGCTTCCTTTTGCTGAAGAAGTCTCATGCGCTTCGTCTTTTCACTTTGCACGGTGCGGTTGACGCTTTCAAGTTTCGAAACATGCTTTTTCAGATCCCCACTGACTTCGTCCTTCTCCTTCACACGCTTCTTCAGGTCATCACGCTGCTTCTCAAGATCCTTGAGTAATGCAATATGTTCGTCGTCTTCCTCCGCTGCTTGTTTTTCCACATTGTCGTTTTCTTGTTGTAAAGCTTTCAAGCGATCCGCTAATTGTTCCAAACTCTCGTCACGATTGCTCCGGTGGCCATTCCGGCGGGATTCGTCGAATTGACTATGCGAATAGTCTGCGGCCCCTGTAGCAGGCGATGACTTACGACCTGTCGACGGCCGCTTCCCGGGCATCTGACCCGCACTGTGCTCACGAGACATGACCGGGGCGGATGAAGTGGGCAAGCCGGCCGTAGATCTGGGAATCGACGCTCTGATCGTTGGGCCGCCAGCAGTTGCATCTTGCTGGGCCTGAGATAGCGGGAGGGATTTCGTTCGCACATGAAGGATAGCACTAGGGGTTTGGAAATTCGCTGCGCTGACGGAAAGAACGCAGATATGATAAATGCTTCCCGGAATGAGGTTCAGAATTTCGACTGCGGTCTCTGCCCGTTTCGACTCGCCCACTGTAGATATTTGTTAGGTATGCAGTCGAATTTTGGCAGAGATTCTAACCGCTGCGGGAATAAGGCATACCTTTGACATTGTTCACCTGAATGATATGCTTGTGTATGGAATTATGAAAGTCCGGCTGTTTCCAAGCCAAACGAACCTCACGCGCTGTAATCTCCTCAAGGGTCACCTCTGGGGGCGGCGGAATGTCGAGACCCAGCTTCTCCACCAGGACATCATTTGGGGTCTGGCAGACCTGCCATGCTCGGTACAGGAGCCTGAGTTTCAATTCGCAGCAACGGTCAGCCCAGAACTTAAATACTCCGAAAGGGTAGGGTACTCACCAGACGAGGGCCCACAGGATCGAGACGGCAAGAAACAGAGCCATGAGGCCTCGCACCTTCACTCGCGGGACAACAGTTGGATAGGCATCGAAGGCGAGATAGAATGGCTCATACATCCCAGCGTCAGTCACCCATGGACGCGGGCAGCGAGGACGAAGGAGAGGTGGTAGAACGGGGAAACTGCAATGGCAGAGTCGATCGGCTTCTCCATCACGGTGGGACATGAATGTCACCTGACCCAAGTTTAGTCAGGGTCTCACATTTTGGGACTAGCGTGATCACATTTATGGGATCGGCCGCTAGTCTAAATACAGACTAGCGTATCCAATCTTAGTGACCTCGGCATCGATGGCTGGGCTTACCTAATAAACGTTGGGTGTTGAATAACTATGTTGATGAAGGGCCAACAGATCCGGGGACATCGGGCTATACAGGTGGGCTTATAATATTGAGCCAAATCTGCCATTTCTATCTGCCGTCTGAGCTCCCTTCTACCAATTCGATTTATACAGGAATCCGTGGCGGTGGTGTTGCAGGTCGTGGCTCCGTGTCAGCCGAGTGTCACATGGGCCATTTGGTAGTGGTACTGTAGCGGCGATTCCGATTCCCTCCCAACGAACCTGTTTCCAGCATCCGCCCTTCTCTTCCACCCAATTAGTTCTTTTTCGACGTCGATACACTCACTTCAATTTCTTCTGGGCTTTTTATCATCATCTAGCGGAGCCGTCGCCCAGGGAGCCTGACTCTAACCTGGCGAGATGCAGTACGTACGCAGCATCAGCGGCTCTGTTTCCAAGACATGGAACTCGATCAATCCAGCCACGCTGAGCGGCGCGATCGATGTGATCGTTATCGAACAGGAAGATGGTATGTCGGAACCTCGAACACGTTCTACTCTTCATAATTTGAAGACTAAGGCCTTCTGTCTCTATCGTGAGCCATGCTAATTCTCTCGTTTTCTCCCCTCCATTAGGCACCCTCGCTTGCTCGCCCTTCCATGTCCGCTTCGGCAAGTTCTCGCTCCTGCGCCCATATGAAAAGAAGGTGGAATTCAAGGTCAATGGGATCAAACAAGACTATGCGATGAAGCTTGGAGAGGGAGGCGAGGCATTTTTCGTCTTTGAAACCACAGACGAGATCCCCGCATCTCTGCAGACCTCACCGTTGGTGTCTCCCGCGGCTAGCCCGAAAGTCCCGGGCGAAGATCTTGCGTCATCCCTCCAGGAACCAGAGTACCTGGACCTCGAAAAGTCACACGGGGATGCTTTATCAGAAGGCGCAAAGACTCCGCTAGGGATACCCCTCTCGCGGCAGTCGCGGGCAACTACGGATTTAGGTATGGCAGACCCCGAAAAAGCAATCTTCGTAAGAGTAATCGCTAATTCATAGGCTTAGGTGTGATGACTCCATTGTCACGTTCTCCCGCCGAATCGGATCTTAGTCCTGCTCATGGCGACTCGTTCAAGTCTAAACCTCCCCTCGATCACTCGGTATCGGACAACATACTCTCAACGAGTGTTCCTCGATCCGACGACGGGAAGCTGACCTCCCTGAGTGGTCCCGGATCAGCTCACGAAGATGATATTGAGCGGAGAGATCGCTCTCGTAGCCCTCCTCCGCTGTCACCCCAGGAGGCAATGTCTCGCGCGATCTCTCTTTCCAAGAAGCTCTCGGGCTCAAACATTCCATCTCACATTACCGACACCGGCGACCTCATGTTGGATATGACTGGTTATAAAAGCAACGAGGAAGATGCTATCCGGGCTGAGGTACTCGCCCGCAAGATCCTAGCCGAGGAATTGGAAGGCAGCTACGACATTGGTGCGCTCATCGGAGCCGATGAGCATGGGAACCTTTGGATCTACAGTAGTGAAGAGGCCAAAGAAGCAGCCTATCGAACGGCGACCATCAATTCTATGCGGCCTACTACGGCCCTGAGCGATGATGCGGTTTCCGACCCTGGGTACCATAGCGAGGGCGACCATCCAACCCTAGAGCCTGCGCTGGGCGCGCGCCACCACCGGACCAAGTCAGACGTTCAGCCAGGCTTTCCCACCCTCCTCCTCAATCCCCCCTGCAGGATTCGTTCGGAGTTGAGACTCGCAACTATGCCAAGACGCTGCGATTGACCAGCGATCAACTCAAGGAACTGCAGCTGAAGCCGGGACCGAATCTTATGTCCTTCAGTGTGAACAAGGCAACCTGCACGGCAAACATGTATCTGTGGAATGGAAACGTGCCAATTGTGATCTCTGATATCGATGGGACCATCACCAAGTCTGATGCGTTGGGACACGTTTTGAACATGATCGGACGTGATTGGACTCACACTGGTGTCGCCAAGTTGTACACAGATATCGTCAACAACGGCTACAATATCATGTACCTCACCAGTCGCTCGGTTGGGCAGTCGGACACCACGCGGGCGTACTTACACGGAGTATGTCAAGATGGATACCGCCTGCCCAAGGGACCCGTTATTTGCAGTCCCGATCGCACCATGGCGGCACTGAGACGAGAGATTTACTTGAGGAAGCCAGAGGTTTTCAAGATGGCCTGTCTGCGCGACATTCTTGGCTTATTTGCAGGAAAAGAGAACCCGTTCTATGCTGGGTTTGGAAATCGGTTGACTGATGCTTTGAGCTATCGATCGGTTAACATTCCTTCCACCCGGATTTTCACCATCAATTCGAATGCCGAGGTGTCTCTTGACCTGCTGAGTTTGAACAAGTATAAGAGCAGCTATGTGACTATGCAAGAGCTGCTTGACCACTTCTTCCCACCTGTTAGTCTCCTGGTTCAATCCGGAGGCGAAGAATATACAGATTTTGCATACTGGCGCGATACCCCGCAGGAACTTGATGATTTCTCTGCCACTGATAGTGAAGAGGAAGAGGAGCCTGCGGACGACGAGATGCTCGAGGATGACGAGGATGCGGATGAGGAAGATTACGATGATGAATTGAGCGAAGGAGAAGGCAGTGAATACGACGAGGGTGCAGGAACGGATTTAGGTGCAAGTTACATATCGCAGGCTTCGGAGGCTCTGTCCAACCCGGCAGGGTCCATCGTGGAGTCCATCGAGGGTGATCAAGACCTCGAGGATGTTGAAGGATTGGACGGAGAAGAAGATGTTCGTGCTGGTGGTGCTATACCAGCCGAACCGGCAGGCTCCATCACCCTCCCTCTTCGTCCCAAGTCCCGGGACGTTTGAACATATCCCCATTGTACATTGCTTTCCTCATCCGCACTGAGCCATAGAGGCGGAATTTGTCCTGCGCCATTCAGATACCCCCATCCAGCTGTCTATTTTCCGAGGCAGCAAGTGCATACATTGCCTTTTGGTGATCAATCACTCTGTTCAACACAACTTGCATACAGACTCGGGCTCGGAGTTTGCAATATACCGAACTGTTTCTGTGATTTGCATGTCTTTTGATTCTCTACTCCACGCATTTTTTCGGCGTTTGAAGCGTTCGGTTCTAGAATAGTGCTTTTTGCATCAGAGAAACTACTCTGAATCTACCATTGCTATAATTCCCCACTATTCATTATTTTGACCACATCTTATTTAATACGGTAAACCCTCTTGAAAGTGCAAAGGTCTATGTAACGATCTATCTCGGAGGTCGGGCACGACGCTTACCGTGAAGCCTGCCGGTAGCGGTCCGTTTTACCCCACATTGGCTGAAGCTGCGAACCACCCATGAACCGGGGCCTCGGCCGCTTGCCAACTCTCGATGACTTAAGTCTGGCGTGGTTACAAAAATCATGGATAAGATCTGGCATCGCAGCAAAATGCCTCCTCGGCAATCTTCTGCCACTGAATACTACAACCTTGGCAGCTATCAGCGACCTGTTAGCACTACCAGCCCAGATGCCCAGAGATGGTTTGATCGTGGCCTCATCTGGGCTTACGCGTTCAACCACCAGGAGTCAGCACGGTGCTTTGAACAGGCTATACTGTTTGACCCGGCATGTGCCATGGCATACTGGGGCCTTGCATTTGCCCTGGGCCCAAATTATAACAAGCCTTGGAAACTGTTCGACGGAGAAGATCTTTCAATAACCACAACGAGAGCTCATGGTGCGGCGAAGGAAGCCAAAAAACTCGCAATCAGGGCAAGACCTGTAGAGAGAGCGATAATCGAGGCATTGCAATATCGTTACCCCCAGGAGCAGCCAGCTGACGACTGCACTGACTGGAATCACCGATATTCCGAAGCCATGAGCATACTGTACCAGATGTTTCCAGGCGACTTGGATGTTGTTGCTCTTTACGTTGATTCATTGATGAACTTGACACCGTGGAGTATGTGGGATCTGCCTACAGGACAGCCTAACCCTGGTGCCCGAACACTCGAGGCGAAGCAAGCGTTGGACCGCGCCTTGACCCAGACAAGTGCGCTTCAGCACCCGGGCCTCTTGCATCTGTATATCCACCTGATGGAGATGTCTCCCACCCCCGAGATTGCCCTTCCGATTGCAGATAATTTGCGAGGCCTGGTACCGGATGCCGGTCACCTCGAGCATATGCCGACTCATCTCGACGTTCTGTGCGGTGACTACCGTCGAGCAGTCGCCTCAAACACCTCGGCCATCCGGGCAGACGAGAAGTTCCTTGCCAATCAGGAACTAGGTCATTTCTATAATCTTTACCGATGTCACGATTACCATTTCCGAATGTATGCCGCGATGCTGGCAGGCCAGTCTAAGGTTGCCCTTGACACTGCCAACGTGCTTGCGGAGTCACTCACCGAAGATCTTCTACGGGTGGAATCACCACCCTTGGCAGACTGGCTCGAGGGATTCGTCGCTACGCGAGTACACGCATTTATTCGATTTGGCCGCTGGGAGTCCATACTTGCTCTGGATTTTCCGACAGACACGAGTCTCTACTGCGTCACCACCGCAATGATACACTATGGAAGGGGCGTCGCTTTTGCAGCTACTGGTCGCATTGATGAAGCTCAACAAGAACAGGAGCTGTTTCGATTAGCTGTGAAGCGAGTCCCAATGTCTCGGACTATATTTAATAACACTTGTGTCGATATCCTTGGAGTAGCAGAGCCGATGTTGTACGGCGAAATCGCTTATCGCCGTGGAGATTACGATACTGCTTTTGCCAGTCTTCGACTCGCAGTTGCGAAGGACGATAACCTACCCTATGACGAGCCCTGGGGCTGGATGCAGCCTGCAAGGCATGCCTTGGGGGCATTGCTGCTCGAACAGGAGCGGGTCCAAGAAGCCATGGATGTCTATGCTGCCGATCTCGGCATCGACGAGTCACTCCCTCGCGCCTTAACCCACCCCAACAACATATGGGCCCTTCATGGCTACCATGAGTGTCTTGTGAAAATGGGAAGACATGCGGAGGCACGCATCATCCGACCGCATTTGAAACTAGCTGCGGCCATGGCCGATGTGCCCATTAAATCATCGTGCTTCTGTCGATTGAATACAAGCTAGAGATTTCATACCCCATAAATAGCCGAAAATGAACGTGATGAAGCGCAAAAACCATTAACTTGGTATTAATAGATCATTGATATTCCCGCCCCCAAGGCGTCCAGTGTTCCGCTGGAATGCCAAGCAGATTGACGCCAAGATCTGAACATCACAAGGCAGAGTCGGAAGAAGAATGTATGTGTCTGGGGGTTCAAATTTATTATGGAACCCCACTGTAAACGCTATCCAATCTGATTATTCAAAGTACTGTAGAAACGGTGTCGATGTTTGGCGCTGAGATCTGTTGTTTCTTGGCGTCGCCACCATGACCAGCTGTCGAGAGGCTGTGTTTGGATGGAAACGGTAATGATGCACATAAGCTGCCAAGATCAACTTGGACATATAACCCTTGGAGAAACCCCGGTTGGGCCGTCAAGGTCGTCTTCTCTTTAATTGGTGTTATTTGCTATCTAATCACTTTTCTTCACCTTCGATATGCTTTCTAACTATTACGATCAACATCACCCTACTTGGTGCCTGGAGGCAGTTCCCAGAGAACAGAAGAAATGGCTATCCTTCCTGACTCTACGCTTTGCTGCAGCTATCAGTCAAATGACAGTTGTGATCTGCTTTGCTTGGGCTTATAGCGAGCACGAAAAGCCCGTGGCCTATATCGATGGCTTGGGAAGTGCCTGGTCAAGCATTAATCTAGGAACTGTGAGTACAACAGTAGCTTTCTCGGAGTACAAATCCATAGATCACTATGCTAATTCCAACCCTTGTGAAACAGGCTGCTTACGCGTTCCTCTGGTCCACCGTCTTCCTCATTGTCGTCCTTATCTTCAACTGCAGGGTTCATCCTGGCGCAAGCATTACATTCGATTGCTTGGCTTTCCTTGCCCAAATCATCACCATTAGCTTCTATATCAATGAGTTTGCCGAGTATCAACATGGTGGCTACTCGGAGAATACTGAAGAAGCAAAAAGATTGTACGGAGTGGAATGCTTGGGAATTGCAATGATGTTTTTGGGGCTGTGAGTTTCTCCCTATCTCGGGTTTTGAGAGGTTACAAATATCTGACTACCGATCTGGTTCTGGCAGGATATTTAATCTAGTCCTCATGGTCCGAGCCTCTATGGCTTGCCATGTCGAGCGGAAGGCCGGAAAGCAGGTCACCCAGCCCAAGATCGAGGATGCCTAGTGATCTGTCTAGCTCTTCTTGACCTGCCGCCAGATGCCTGTGCCTTCCACTGCCCAGGGCTGTCACACTGGCTGCAATGTGGGCCTTTGTTGATCATATCACAAATAATACCTAATGCTTAATTTCTAATGTCTAATGCGGAAGTTTCGAGCTTGAAATCTTCCAAGATCAGTGTCGATCATGCGATTTCTGAACGTCGTAACCTAGATCATCTCGTTCGACCACAAATTGTCCGAGCCGGCAGCGGTGTCCTCTCAAAGATCGATATAGACGAATAATTAAGTGTTTTCACTCAAATTCCGCACCGAAGGCTTGATAAAGGGCCCTCCAACTGAATCTGTTAATTCAACGAGCTCGCCAATGTGGAACACACCCGTTGACAAGTAAGGATTCAAGGCATCAATATAACTTAGTATCCGACTACCCCCGAGTGTCAAGGTAAGTGAAAGCCGTGGTCTCTATAGCTCGAAAAAACCCGAATGCATCGCATATCGAGAACCGTTATTGAATCCTGCTTATCTTGCACGATGGTAGGATAGTAGTAGATAAGAGGGAATCTGACAATGCAAATGCCAAATAACGAAAAAAATCGGATAGGTACTATATCAAGGGCCTTGCTTAACCACTGACTATCTTGCGCGACAGTAATGTAGCAGTAGCCAAGAGAGGATCTGATAATGCAAATGCAAATAAGAAAAAAAAACCGGATGAATCGTACAGTATATCGAGAACTGCAAGAGCAGATCACCTTGCAACAAGATCCCCGTGGGTGAGTCTGAGTCTGAGTTTGACCGAGCTTTTAGCGCTTTGTCGTTATCTTAGTTCAGGTTTCGTCAAATCTGGATTTTGATGATCATCTGTGTAATAAACTTGGAAAATTGGGACCGTTCGTGAAGGGCTCGTATTCTCAACCAGGGTGTTCATCCACTCACCACGGGAAAGGCTGAGCCAAGAATGGAGGGACAATCCTTAACAAGAACCGACATGTTTACTTCCTGTAATGTTATTTAGATTCATCTCACAATCAAAGGAATTGATCGTCAAAAGAACACGAGTGAATCCTGGGTGCTGATATGGTGCTCAACCTTATTTCGACGGACAATTGCAGATGCAGGGAGATATTAATAGACCGACGATCCAAAGCCTATTCGTTTCCTCGCGCCAAAGGTCTCCAATTCTGTCTCCTTCGTATGGGAACAGCTCGTGTTACGATCTCCTTTACCATATCGCTGCAAATACTACCTCCACGTCCTGCTTTGCAAAGATTTCACGCTCGTATTCCTCGACGGAGATCCTCATTCCACCATGTGCTGACCGATGCTACATCGAATGAATAAAAATAACAGGCTTTCGCCGATCAATTACAAAGATACATAAAGAAGTCTTCATTCCTTGTGGCCTCAAACACCATCGCAATAATTACAGCAAAATTCAGACTATTCTACATTCCCCAAAGCCATAATGTCATTCAAGCTTCTCATCGCTGCTCTACCAGCCTTGGCTCTGGCCTGCACCGGCCCACCAACCAACCAAAATGGTCTGAACTTGATCAAGAGCTTCGAGTCCTTCCAGCCAAACGAGTATGACGACGGCTTCGGCAATCCAACAATCGGATATGGCCACTTGTGCGCCGATACGTCTTGCTCTGACGTATCAATTCCCAAGCCTTTGACCGAGGATACCGCTCAACAGCTTCTTTCACAGGACCTGCTGGTAAGTTGACTCCAATTACCCGATCATGGAATAAAAGAGATAACTAACAGCAATACCAGGGCTACCAAAACGCTTTGACAAATGCACTCGCCCAGCCTGTCACTCTGAACGATAATCAGTATGCTGCGCTGGTATCTTGGACATACAATATCGGTAATGGTAATATGGAGTCGTCGGATCTTGTGAAACGCATGAATGCGGGCGAGGATGTCTCCCTTGTTGCGCATGATGAACTGCCGCAGTGGAATAAGGCCAATGGTCAGGTTGTGGATGGCCTGACTCGTCGTCGTGCTGCGGAGTTGCAGCTGTTTGATGCACCTGCTACTCTTCCTGCGTTACCTGCTCCTTGCTAGAGGATATGACTCAGGCGGTCGGCTGGAATGATGGACGGCTTGAGTCGTTTCCCTTTTTTCTAATAGGTTGTTTGGAATCTGTATATAACACAATGAGTGCCGTGTCTGATATAGAGAACTACTTGTTTTACAAACGCTGCGAAGAACAAGCCCAGGATCGACAAAAGTAGACAGTAAAAATATACGCGAGGCCTTTTGACCCTCCTGGTGACTATTTACTAGAAGACAAATGGAGGCTACCAATGCCATTCTAAGTGTGCTTAACGCGCACAGGGTGAGCCTCGGTGTTGAAGACAAAGGTGTTCTTGTTGCCAGTCTTCACTTGCCACTCGGCGTCTGTGATGTTCAACATTAGTGTTCTTGTTCTCAAATTCGGTTGATCTTCGGGAACGGGTGGACTAAACATACCCTCTGCGTGGATGAGGTACGAGTACTTCATGACCTCAGCAAAGAGGAAACTCTCTTGGTTGTCGTACTTGGAGCCGCCGTTCGCAGCATTGACATCGCTCAGGGCCGCGAAGCCAGAGTCTGTACGACTGGTGGCGTTGATTGCAACGAAGGCGTTCCAAGCCCAGTCACGGTACTGTAAACGAAATTAATTGGTCACTCTTGAGATGCACAGCAAGACAAATACTTACAACTTCCTTGCCAGTAACACGGTAGGCATAGTAGAAGCTCTCAATCACCTCTGGGCGAAGGATATATGCGCCGCTGGTAATGTAGAAGCCAGCTTTCTCATAAAAGTCCTTCTGATCGCTAGGGACCTTTGTGGGATCCCAGCCCCAAGAGTCCGGACCAATATTAGTCAAAGTTGCGTTGTAAGTAGCCTCGCATCCATCGACCAGCTTTAGTCCGAAATCGATGAAGTCTTGGCGACCCAGGACGGTACCACCCAAGAGGAAGCTACCTCCGTCGAAGCAAGTCAAGTGCTGTGAGCTGAGATAATAGTTGCCATTTTGGTACGAGGACAGCCAGGTCAAATCAGGTCGGGGCTCCGGGTGAGACTGCAGGTGCTTGATAGTCGACTCGGCGGCCAGTACCCAGCGATCTTTGTATGTGGCAAACCGCTTTGGGTCATACACATACATCTTGATCAGGTACTCGTAGAAAGAGTCATCACCGCCGTCCCAAGAGACGTAACCGTCGGTGAATTGACCGTTATCTATGTTGATGTTGCTACCCACGAGGCCTGGGAATGGCTGAGCGCCGGAGGGCTTGGGGTCTAGCAGATGTGACTCTGCCCTCTGGCTAATAGACGCATACTCGTCGATCCCGGTCAGGTCAGACAGACGCGTCCACTCAAGGACCAAGGTTCCCGTCACGGCGAGGCCGTTGGTGGTCGAGCCGTCATTACCCTGCGACGTGATGTTGATGTTGTTATAGGGGACACCTGAACCGGTGTCAAAGGCAAACTTGAGAACGTCGCCTAGGTTCTTTGCTTGGGTCAAAAGATTGTCCACAAGCTTTGAGTCTTGAACCATCTCGGAGGCTGGTCCTTTGAGCAGGTCGTAGCCGGAGAGCATGCCGGCCAGATAGCGGATGGTTGTCTCAAACAAACTGACCTGCGAGTCGGTCTTGCTGTAGTCAATTTTCGAAACATGATCCAGAATGGTATTGACCACATCTGTCTTGCCCATAAGAATGGCAGTTGAAAGGGCATCCACTGCAGATGCTCCCCATCCATTTCTGGATTTCGCATTAGCTCATGATCTCCTGCTATGTAGGATATCGTTTTAGGGTCGGAACCGCTCACCTGGAGTCCCCATAACCATTGCTGACTGGATGAAGCTCATCGTGGGGATAGGCATATTTCATATATCCATCCCACGCGTGTTGGAAGGCCTCTTTGACTGCATCGGCCTTCCTCTGGGCATCTGAGTCGCGACGCAAGACCTCTTCGGCATCGGCGAAAGGGTGACCCGCCGTAGAGCCTACCAGGCTCAGCACCATCAGTGAGAGTGAAACTGGAACGCGCATAGTTGCTCGTGTACGCGCTCGTTCTGGAGAGCGCAAAGTAATGTATACAAAGAATGGCAGGTATGCTAGAAATACGCAACAGCACAACACAGCGCAGCTCCTAGGGATAGGAGAGAAAAAGTAACGAAAGACGAGTCGAGTCGCAAATGAAAGACCACCCGCATGCGCGGGTCAAAGGCGACTATTAAATCGAGAGTGGATCAGTGAAGATCGCGAAGAATAATGGGGAATGGGGGGATGTGATGCCGGTGGACCCCCATAAGTGGCTACTGGGCAGTCACACGCGATCTTGTTTACTTCCAATTTACCCAGTTCTCTTCCTCTCCTCCAGTCCTTCAACTCTTCCTCCTACGCTAACCTTTGAGTGCTACTCACTAGCTGCATAGTATGGTGGCATCGGGCTTGGTGGCGCCCGGACTGGGTCCCTGAGTTCTCGATTCCTGCCCTGCAAGGTCCCATTCGGACTGACTAGTGGCACTGGGGGATCTGCATTCTTACCGGACCTTCATTGGCCGCCCTCGACAGATGTGGTTCGGAGGAATGCAGTGCACCCTAAGGTCTTGCGTTCACCGAGTCCTCCATGTTTTCTGACTCGTCGGATACATACAGATCGGTTCATCTGCTGAAATCACAAGTCCTAAGATTTGGTGGTTTCTCGCGGGTCATCGAGACAAGGACCGTGGATGACCACGGCAGATGACGGCACGGCGGCACTGCGGGTCAACTCTAAAAGCATGGGTCTCTTGGTTGTTTGATTAAGGGGTGCATCACGCACATTCGCACGAAGCGCCAGCCAATGCACCCCTCAGTCCATAGTCTGACCGATGCTTGGGAGTCCGGGACTGTGCGGCCAGCTTGGCCAAGGCGACATGGCGTCACATCGCAGCCAAGGAGGAAAGGTACCTTCCTAGTGCGATTTTCATTGGTCTAGCAATCATTTAGCCATCGCGGAGTCGGCCTGAAAGCCGCCATATCGTCCTCGATGGGACATCATACTCCGCGAGACACCTGATTCTGGTTATTCATTTCGCCCTCGTCGGCCGATGGAAATGTCCGTGCCTCTTCGGGGATGGTGAGGTGTCCTTGGAATCAGAGCAGAGGTATTCTGATGCAACTGCACATACACACTAGTTATGAAGAGGAATAATGTGCGAGCAGTTCATCTCGACAGATGTAGCTTACAGAATGTAGATTTTTATCTCCGGTATGCTTGCATAATTCTTGGAGACAACCTATCGAAGCCACAACCTTCCATCTGCCGCTTGGCACTACTTTGATAGCTACAGGGGTGTGTTTGGCCATGCCGACGGAAACTCTTCGGGAAGAATGTCCCTTGTCCCTGGCGATCCTGTCTGCTCCTTAGAAGACGAAAAACACTTGGTATTACCGACAACAAATATCGTATATACCTTGATAAATCGAGGCACTCGCTATACTTTTCGTGCCCTAGTTATTACTACAGTACAGTACGTAGGTAAAACATGGGCAGAAGGCAGATCAGCGAACTATAGAAGTCCCGCTCTCTAGTCTTAGCTGTTTCGTAGCCGGGCGGCAGATGATCAAAGCCATCCCCCAAGACAGAACTGAACATTATGAATGTATAGATTGTCCAACATATTCATAATCATTTCTTGTACCAGATGAACATTCGCCTAAGACCTTAGAGAAAGGCTTCCTGTCCCTAGTCCTATAAAGCGCAGAACGCAATAAATGATACTCGGATTCGATATTGACTCTTGATTTTGCCTGACCGAAACGCCTGTAACGCACTCCTAGCCTTGTCTGAAAGCGCTCATGCCTAGGAGTTCAGGCTCTATAGGTAACAGGCAGGAGTGACACTGTTGGCATTAGTGTAAATATGAACCAAAATCGTGCTGGACGGACCTCGATCTCACTGACTTTCAATTCCACAGTTCAACTTTAAAGGGGATCACCACCTATAGCCTGTTCAGAACAAACCTCGTCCGGTCCAACGTTGCCAGATGTGTCTTTGGTCCCAACGATAAGAGGTGAATGCGAAGAGAGGAGACAACTCGTTATCTTCGGTATACAGCTGGATTGAAATTTTTTCCTTAGCTTTCTCGAATCTCTCGGGCCTCTTGCGACCGCATCGTTCATGCACTGGCAATTAAAACATGTCACACTCGACACGTAAGTCGCAGATGTGCTAGCCCGGACTAAAATGCTGGAAGACCATGGAAAAGCCGAGTTGAATAATTGGCCAGTCGAAGTGCTACTACTTTTGGGGTGGCTCCTTCTCCATGGAGGGCTGGACCGATATATAGATGGGCTATGGCTATAGACTGTACGAACGGCGTAGGAAACAACGACCTCCAACGAGGGCGTTCTGGCACCAAAAAATAAAGGTTTCTGCGAAGGTGCCTGATCAATCTCGAATAGGTATCTTGAAAGCAATGTGATTTGGAATTAGGTAGCAGCGTCAAAGAACCCTGTCGGTACTCTTTTCATCACTCCTTTGCGGGGATCATGTATTCCGAGCATGCCCGATATCGCAGGGTAGGACATTGTGCGGTTTGTCGATGTAGAAGGTGTTGTTAGTACGTATAAACAATGAACGAAATTGACATAGGATGAATGTATTTAAAAAGAAGGCAAATAAGAATCCGAGTCATAACCTAAAATAACCAATGCCCTGACATTCCGGTTTGCCCTTTGAAAGGGGACCAAAGGGCGATGAATCAGCGAGGGGCGGGATGGGGCAACTGGTTGGCGGGCGGAAAAAAGGGAAGCCAGAAGAGTCATCGCCGGTAACAATTTTCCACTCCTCAAAGCGCCTCCCCTCCCCCAATTAGCTCAGGGGACTTTTGAGAACTTCCTCTTCTTATCCCTCATCCTCTTCCTCTGTTTCCTTTCCTCACTGGCCATTCAAACCACTCAATCACCATGGCCACACCTTTCCTTATCTCCTACCCCTCCAACCCCACCTCCGGCCTCTCCCTCAAGCAGATTGCCTACTTCGGGCGGGTGCTGGTCAAGGTATCAACCCTCGCCGAGGCCGAGCAGTTCCTGCGCCAGAACTTCCGCCAACTCGATGTCTTTGTCGACGCGACCGCCATCTCCTCCGCCGGTGACCTCGTCGATGTGCTCAACGCCGGTGCCGCTAAGATTCTCATCACCCTCGACCAATTGACCGCCCTCTCCCAGGAACAGTCGGTTCCTTCCTCTCGATTGCTCGTCTCCGCCCTTTCCGATGCTCAGATTGATACTTTCCAGCAATGGATTGCCGGAAATGCCATTGAACGCAATGATGCCAGTGTCTGCGTTACCCCCGCCACGGTCTCCACCGCGGCCACCAAATTAAACATTAGCTCGGACTCGCCCCGACTTTTCACAACGTTTGGAGATGAGGCTGTGTCTGAAGATGCCATCAACCAGGTCACACAAAAGGGCGCCATTGCCATTCTGCCTTCCCAGTCCTTGACTGTGGAGCGGGATGCTACCAGCCAGATCTCCGCGGCGAAGCTTATAACCTCGCGCGCTGTTACTGACCAGGCTAACAGCCTGTATGCTACGTCTGTCACTGATGAGCGGGGATCGTGCCTTGGATTCGTCTGGAGCAGCGATGAGAGCATTGCTGAGGCGCTCCGCACCGGTACCGGAGTTTACCAGAGCCGCAAGCGCGGGCTTTGGTACAAGGGCCAGTCAAGCGGTGATGTGCAGGAGCTGATTCGCATTGGGTACGACTGTGATGCGGACTGCTTGGTATTTGTGGTCAAGCAGATTGGACGAGGTATGGCGGCTTCGATCTCAACAATTCTTAGATATGCGTGGTAGCTAACGATTGGTGACTCATTTAGGCTTCTGCCACCTCGGCACTGATTCCTGCTTCGGCGCTTCTGCTGGTCTCTCCCGTCTACAAAAGACTCTCCTTGCCCGCAAGGCCGATGCTCCCGCCGGATCGTATACCGCTCGCCTGTTCAATGAGCCCAAGCTCGCTGAGGCTAAGATTATGGAGGAGGCCGAAGAGCTGTGCCGTGCCACCACCAAGGAGGAGATTGCCTTTGAGGCTGCCGATTTGTTGTACTTTGCATTGACCAAGTGCACTGCTGCCGGTGTTACTTTGGAAGACATTGAGCGTAACCTTGACCTGAAGAGCCTCAAGGTGAAGCGGAGAAAGGGCGATGCTAAGGGTCCTTGGGCTGAAAAGGCTGGTCTGGCTCCCGCTACGAAGCCTGCCCCTGCCCCTGTCCCTGTCTCTGCTCCCGTCGAAGACCGCAGCTCGCGCATTGAGATGAAGCGCGTGATTACCTCCTCCACCCCTATCACCGAAGTCAAGGAGTGCCTCAAGCGTCCCTCCCAAAAGTCCAACGACGCGATTGTTGCTCTAGTTAAGCCCATTATCCAGGATGTTCGCGATGGCGGCGATGCTGCCGTTCTTAAGTACACTCACAAGTTTGAGAAGGCTACCTCGCTGACCTCACCCGTCATCAAGGCGCCCTTCCCTGCTGAGCTCATGAAGTTGACTCCTGATGTTCAGGAGGCCCTCGACATCAGCATTGGCAACATCCAGCGTTTCCACTCTGCGCAGAAGGGCAGCAACGATACCCTCAAGATGGAGACTATGCCTGGTGTGGTTTGCTCGCGCTTCTCCCGACCGATCGAGCGCGTTGGTCTGTACATCCCCGGTGGTACCGCTGTGTTGCCTTCTACTGCCATGATGCTGGGTGTCCCTGCTATGGTAGCTGGCTGCCAGAAGATTGTTCTGGCCTCCCCTCCCCGTTCCGATGGCAGCATCTCTCCCGAGATCGTCTACGTCGCTCACAAGGTCGGTGCTGAGAGTATTGTTCTGGCTGGTGGTGCTCAGGCCGTGGCCGCCATGGCTTACGGTACTGAGTCCATCACCAAGGTGGACAAGATTCTCGGCCCTGGTAACCAGTTCGTCACCGCCGCCAAGATGTTCGTGTCCAACGATACCTCTGCCGGTGTCAGCATCGATATGCCTGCTGGTCCTAGCGAGGTCCTTGTTATTGCCGACAAGACTGCCAACCCGGCGTTCGTTGCCTCTGACCTGCTGAGCCAGGCTGAGCACGGTGTCGACTCCCAGGTTATCCTGATTGCCGTCGATCTGAATGAAGAGCAGCTGCGTGCCATCGAGGACGAGGTTGACGCTCAGGCGAAGGCCCTGCCTCGCATGGATATTGTCCGTGGCTCGCTCGAGCACTCTGTTACTTTCGTGGTCCGTGACATCAACGAGGCCATGATCCTCAGCAATGAGTATGCCCCCGAGCACTTGATCCTCCAGGTGGAGGGTCCCGAGGCGGTCGTCGACCAGGTGCAGAATGCCGGTAGTGTGTTCATCGGCCCCTGGACCCCCGAGAGCGTGGGTGACTACTCCGCCGGTGTTAACCACTCTCTCCGTAAGTCTTCAACCTCCCTTACTAGTCTTTGTCTTGTCCTCATAAACTAACACTTATTCTTAGCGACCTACGGCTACGCCAAGCAGTACTCTGGCGTCAACCTCGGCTCCTACCTCAAGCACATTACCAGCTCCAACCTGACCGCCGACGGCCTGCTGGGTCTGGCAAAGACCGTCGAGACTCTGGCCGCCGTCGAGGGCTTGGACGCGCACAAGCGGGCTGTCAGCATCCGTGTTGCGCAGATGATGAAGGACCGCTCGTAGATTGTCTGCGGTTGATAGCGAGTGCTTTTTATATTCCGGGATTTATCGTTTAGTGTCTTGTCATGAATGAATGCGCGATGAATATTAGATAGCGGGAAAAGGACCCAAAAGTTGTCGGTGAGGTTTCTAGCGAGTGATATACAATTTACCAATCTATTGTTTGAACTAACTTTCGGTACTTCTCCCGGTACGAACGAGCTCCATCGACCAGGCTAGTCCGTAGCTGGCGAAGCGGTTGATGCTCAGTGATGTCAGGTATCCACATCGGCCACATCGCATAATTAGATTAAACGGGCCGGGAAACGCAGAGTATAATGCATATGGTAGTAGGATTATAGCTGGGACTACCGAAATTTCCAGCGAGGTATCTAAGGTATCAAAGAAAGAGATGCAACCACCACCACCCTCTGCAGCCCCGACCTCGGAGGCCCGAGATCGGACGCGTCATTTTACGACTGCAAAGTCCCCTCCCCCATCCCACCGTCTAGAACTAATGCAATTCAATTTACAACTGGGCAACGTCATTTAGAATCTGGACCTCCTGGCCAGGCTTGAAGGCCGGAAGACCGAGGTATGGGCAGCCAGCGCAGCGGAATGCATCGCCCAAGGCACAGCTACCGCAGGAACCGGTCGTCTTGCCCTCGACGGTGAAATCCAATTCGGTCAAATCGTCTGACTGCAACTTCAGCACGTTCAGGTTCTTATCGGCGTTTGCCCGGCGCTCCTTATCCTCTGCCTCGAGACGGTCTGCGAGACCGCATGTACAATCCTTGCAGGCGCGCCGCCTCCGGCCAGTCTTGGGTTGGCACTCCGGGGCTGGTTAGTAAGAAAAAGAAGAGTTAGCTTGTCAAATCTTCACGGGGATGTAAATAATATCAAGTAGAGTACGTGGGATCACATACGGGGCATAATGGGTCTCGTGAAATCCTCCTCATCAAGAAGCGAGTCCTCATTAATCAACTCATCATTATCCTCCAGGTTAACCTTAACCTCGTTATTGCCATTGTTCGTAAATCCACCCATTATACCCGTCGGCGCGGCAGTCTTCTTCTTCCGACCACCAAGCTTAAGCGGCACAGCCGACGCTTGCTCGAAATTGGGCTTCTCAAACCCGGCCTCATTCTGCACCAATCCCGCCATGATAGCCTCCATCGAGTCCGCAGCCGTCAGAGGCTTATCTTGTGCGGCCAGCTTGGCGCCGGGCTTCATGGACGGCACGAGCGCGGTGTATACGTCTCGGGTGAGGAGTTGGAGAGCCTCCGCGCGCTGTGAGCCATCTGCGTCGGTGAGGACAAGGACGTGGGAGTATGTGGTAGGAGGGAGGGAGACGATGCCTGCGGAGAGGCGATCGAGCATTTGCAGGTCGGTGGACTGACGGTCGAAGGTTGTGAAGAGGGCGTGGAGTTTCTCCTCGTGGGCGGCGATGGAGGGGGGGCGCAGGAGGAGAGTGCGCGGGGCATCGACTGCCCTGGCTGGAGCGGCCATGTCGAAGTCGTCGCTGGTATCAATGGTCACGATCGATGGCGCCATTGTGAGAATTGGAGCCTTTCAGTGACGGGAGAAGGGTCAAGATGGCGAGAAGGAGAGGATGAGGAGAGCGAAGAAAAGAAAAGTGACCCAGTGAGGGGTGGCGATATTTCACAGTCACCGATAAAAGATAAACTTAGTCAGCGGTCATTATAAATCGCATTTCCGCGGGTTGAAGGACCCGATAAGCTGGTGGAGTCGAGTGTTGATCCTATCAGCTGGCGGGGATTACGGGGGAGCGGTTAACTAGGTTAGGTAAGGGAACACGAGAGAGAAGCTGACCGAGTCATCGAGGGTATGGCCGATTCTTGAGGAGGTAAGACAATCCTTATTGTTTTGATGCTACTAGCCGCGGTTGATTATCGATTGCACGCTTGTGAATGGTAATGGTATACTCTGCAACAGGCAATTCCGGAGGAGGAATAGCAGTTAGGATCTGGGTGTATATTCAATGTCTAACGCCCGACTACATGTACTAAGAGTATATTGATTTGCTAGTATTCTGACTTTTGATTTTGATATTCACAATGCGCCTGGACTCCCCGTCTATGCTGGTATCGGTACAAGATATAGATCAAACAACAGGATTAAAGGACAATAGGACACGAAGGAGATGCAGAAGCAATGGCCGCGGGTCATCAACTCATAACGAAAGCCCTCGATGGAGAGCTTTCAGACCGTTTAGCGCTTGCGCTCACGGACCTTCCATTTGAGTCCATCCTTGTTGGTACCTCCAACAGATCGGTCCATCTTGCCCCGTTGCAGTTCGACTTCACGCTCGGCCTTTTGAATCTCTGCGTACTGTTTGCGCAGAGCCACCAGCTTGTTCTCTCGACCCTCGATGACTCGTTTGCGGATCTTGCGGGCACGGCGAGCCTCGCGCATAGCTTCCTTCTCTGCAGCAAGTTGCTTGGGCGTCTTGCGAGTTTGAGATGATGTCTTGGCCTCGACCTCATCCTCATCCTCATCCATAGAATCGTCATCCTCGTGTCGGCGCTTCATACTTTGCTGGTCTCCCTTGTCGTCCGCGAATACAACCTTGCGTGGCTTTGGTGTCACTGGGGCGCCAAAGTCGAGATCGTCAAAGTCATCGAATCCGTCGAACTCATCATCATTGTCCTCCTCTGGCTCCTCCTTCTTGGACTTCACGCCCAGAGCCACATTCATTCCGTCTTGCAATTGCATATTTTGTTCCAGACGATCGATTTGCCGACGTATCCGTTCTCCCACGGTCCGCAGATAATTCTGATCCTGGGTCTTGAGCAGCTTGATCGCATCGTGGCTGAGTCCGCGAGCAGCAGCCGAGTCTCGAGAGACACCAACACCCCGTCCATGCTTTCCTTGTTGGCTGTTCTTGGCTCCGACCATGCCAAAGTTGAACTCCTCGGGGTTGCGATCCTTGGCCTTTTCTTGCAGACGCTTCAATTTGGCCTTCTTCTCGTTGTAGTCTTTTGCGCGGAGCGAGTAGTCCTGGTTTGAAGGTTAGCTTTAATTCAAATAAATTTGTAGGAGTTCAAAGCGGCCTGCAATATTTCAAAACAGCAATGCGAGGATACTAACCTTGTGCTTTTCAAGAAGACCCCATTTCTCACGGCCCTCAAGCTGACCGCGCTCGCGGTGTTGCCGCCGTTGGACGGCGTTGCGCATAGACGACATGCTGGGTAGTTTTGTGGCTGCCGAGTTTGCGAAGCGGAGAAATGAAACAAAGCGAAGAACAAGTGTGCTACAGCTCTGGAAGAATACCGAAAAGAGCTGGGAAGGGAATGCGCCCAGTAAGAAAAATGGTGTGGTGCAAGGGTTGGAAGGGTCGTACAGTCCGGAAGTTTTTTTTTCTGCTTCCGCCTTTCTGCTCTCCGCCCGAACTCGGTTCCTCGCGCTCCGCATAAACACGTCCTCCCCTCCTCAGCCACCAGCACCTTCTGTGAGCAGCAATTGCTCCTTAGAGACAGCATTTGCCTCATTATACTCTCAATCTCCACAATACGCACAGTCTGTGCTCTCTATCCGACCGTCGAGACCGCCGTCTCGGACTCATCAGACCACGCAACGTCTCTCCCACTTATCTGATCTTCACCTGCCACCTCGATCTTTGAGATCGAGCTATTCAGTCTCAATGGCTTCAACATCCGCCTCCGCCGATACCTCAGCAACGTCTTCATCGCCTAAGAAATACAACCTCCGCAACCCGCTCCCCCTCTCGGCCTCCCAAGAACAAGAAGTTAAGCAGATGTACTACAAGCGCGTACGAGCTCGCTGTGCACCGGAAATCAAGGGTACGTGATGATTTGGTGCACTCGATTGTGCTTTTCGTTATTCCATATCTCCGAAAAGAGCTTTACTGTCATTCCGTGTCCGCCGGACTCGGCCGAGTATCGGTTGCATGATCTAGCTCTACCAACCTCCAGAGATAGGGAAACCATATCGCTAACATTCTTATGCTATATAGCTTTCGCTGAATGTGCTGTTAACCGTACCGTCACTGCCACATGGGTCTGCCGACAGCAGCGTCTCGCCATGAATGCGTGCATGGTCACTCACGCTAACAACCGGGAGGAAGAAGATCGCGCTCGAGAGGAGTGGTTCGCAACACACGAGGAGCGGCGCCGAGCGAAGGAGGAAGAGCTGAAACGTGTTGAGAAGCGCCGCGCGGAGGTTATTACTATGATGCGGCAAGACGAGGAACGGAGGCGGCAGCAAGAGCAAGGGAAGTGATTCCCTGACTGGCTGTTGATAATTCTTCTCTACGATCACTGGTGGTCTTGACGACCATTAGTGAGTGTATTTTGTGTATATGGGTTCCGGCGTCTAGGGATATCTTATCCTGCTTGCTTGCATTGCTTGGTCAGAGTCTAAGGGTCCTTGACCAGCGGCTTCCTTTGCCTGGCTCGGATAGTGAGGGGCTTATGAGCTCGGCCAAGGATGGTAGGACAGACGATTGCTGCTAAAGCAGCGATTCAAGTGGTGGGCATCTGGCCTTTGGGAAATATGGTGAGTATCATGTCTTACCTTGAGGTTTGATCATGTTCCTTGACACATCCCCCTCTTGCCGCCATATGTGGAAATTTGCATGTCTTCTTCTCTCTCCTCACGGCGTACAAAGGGACAACTTCGGCGTTCTCTTGGGCATATTCTTCCTTGTGCTTTGCATTATTATTTTTCTGGGATTAGAGACATGAGATGGCAATCGATTATGTACTGTATATTATTGGCATGTCTTTCAATTCATCGACCGGAAACCATCTCCCCTTCTTTGAGTAATTGGCACCAGCCGATGTGTATGGGGTTTCATTAGCAGATTCCAATATATCATCTGTTGATAGAAAATCCAGCCTCGTCCGGTTGGGATTGCGGCAATGACGAGAACACCAGGCACCAGTAACGCCGTCCATCTCAAAAGTGTCCAAAAAAAATAAGCAGCGGCCTGGCAAAGGGTAAAAAGAGTCCCATAGCTAAGGTATCACTTTAGGCATCCCCCATCTTCTGGTCGCCGTCTCCATCGCCCGCCTCACCCATCGCAGTATCCTCGCCGAAGATATCCTCCATTTTCCCATCTCCATCATCCTCGTCTCCTTCCTCGTCCTCGTCAGCTCCCGCAGCAGCAGGTCCCTTAATCTGCTGTTGCGGCTCATCGGGCAATTCCTCCTCTTCCCCTTCACTATCCCACTCATCCTTCATATTCCACCCCGTACCAGTAAGGCAGAAGCGCTCTGGTGGCAGGCGCATACCCGCCATCATAACACCTTGATTCGCAGTGCCCGCAGCAGCAGCCCCATTCGCGCCTCCCGCCGCGGCATCAAATCCTCTCGAGACACCAGGCAAGGCAATGCGATTCCGCTCCGACGCAACGTCCATAAGGAACTCCTTGGGCAAACCCGTCTGGAACTGGTAATGCAACCGCGAGGCAATGCTGAGTCGAAGTGCGGGCAGAGAGACACCGTTCGTTTCGGCAGATGGCGCGCCCTTGCCTGCACCGGTGCTATCGCCTACAGCGGCAGCGTATCCTTCCGTAGCCAGGTGAACTGCATCTTGGAGGACGTTCGAGGTGTAGCGGTAGGCGAAGTCGAGAAGTTGGAGCGGGACACGGTCTTGGTAAGCTGTTACGCCAAGTGAGGCGAGGAGCATGTGTACGAGGCGGACATCGCGTGGGCGTCGCGACTTGCCACTGTCTTGGAGAGATGTGCCCGGGACATGTGAGGGTTGTGCGGTTGATGTGGTTGGTGCAGTCGCGGGTGTGGGCGCGACTGCTTGTGAGGTTGTGGTTGCCGCGGCGGGGGCGGAGACGCCGTTTGCTGTGGAGGATTCGGCGGGGGGAGTGAGAGGTTGAGTGGCTGGTCCAGACCCTTGAGTCTGGCTGGGAGAGGCCATGGTTATGAGGGAGTCTCAATTGAGACCGAGGGAGATGAGGAAGCGGAGCGCAGGATGTGGAAGGGTTGGGAGGTGGCGCGACTGGTGGGAAGGTGCGATCGCTCAAAGTGTGGGCTGGGCGTGGTCTACCAGCATTACTGAATTTGGGGCACTTCTCAGAGGTCCGAATAAGGAGATGAAGCGCGCGATGGTTGTGAATGTTGAAGGGAGAGGTAAGGATGGAAACTTGGTGAAGCCGAAAAGAGCGCAGGAGCTCCGATATTGCACTAACCGCTTTGGGAAATACCTTGCCAGGGCGGTTAGTGCAAGAAGTGAAAACATCAGGAGCTACACCTTGGAATTTAGAATTCTGTTGTATTTTTGCCATATGTGAGATATACCTGATATTCATTGTTGTCAAGGGGGAAAGTGTCATCTGGTTTTGCTATAAAGTGTCGTTGAGACTACACAATGACCTGAAAAGAGGGTGGAATCTTACAATCTAGAATATTAGACACAAGATCCAAAAGATCACAGAGAAGACTTAGAAAAAGAACTGAAAAGGTGACTTTTAGAGCAAGAAATGCCACGCTTGTCATATTACTGCGCTTGTAGAACTTTCGAGATTGTAATATGGAAGACTAACTAGCTTTTGAAGCCGTGAACATATGAGAAGCTCCATGAGTGGATAGTACTTAGTTCAATCCTACTTTCAACAATTCGTGCATAGTCTCGTGGAATTAGGGGAGACACCTTAGACTATAAGTTTGCGGAATTTATGCGTAGCTATAGTGCTGACATATGGCCAAAGGTAAAGATTCGAGGAGCATATAGGTAGTAAATCCATAACTCTTCATAAGCAGACGATTATGCCTTCAGCCCTTTGTCAATATGATGGACAGTACACACTGGTGGAGTTACTTTCATAAAGAGTAGAAATATTTTTAAAGGGGGCTAGAAAGAGGGCTAGAAAGAGGGCTAGAAAGAGGGCTAGAAAGAGGGCTAGAAAGAGGGCTAGAAAGAGGGCTAGAAAGAGGGCTAGAAAGAGGGCTAGAAAGAGGGCTAGAAAGAGGTCTGGAAAGACAGGACTAGAGGCCGCTTGAAAACTAGACCTCGTAGCCTATTAGGCTACTAGGCTATCAGCTACATCTACAGTACAGTATTGATTCTCAGTCATTACTCTGGTTCTAAAGATTCTTATCCCCAAACCATGCCCGGGGGTCCTTGATCCACCCGGGCCCCACAGTGCGCACATTTGAGAAGGCACGATCGACACTAGTACGGCCGCATATCTGCTCGATCCCACTCACCTTGGTGGCCGCCACCTTGGGGGCCTTGGAATTTATTTAGGTAGAGAGGTAATCCTTTTCTATATTTCATACTTCAACATTGAAGTGAATTAGCCAGCGATCGATACCTTGGCGCAGGCAGAAAGCTATCATTTGTCTACATTCAACACAACATTTAACACCTTTCCTCGTTTTTAATCTCTCTCAATCGAGTATTTGCATTCTTTCCGTTTTCACATCTTGCTCTTTTCGACAAAATGTGCGGCGAATCCAACAGACCTACCTTCGGCGGCACCATTGCTGTCCTATTTCCTCTCAACAACGTGTCGAGCTCAGCCGCCTCAGAGAGATCACGTTCATCATCTCCGGACTCGATTTCATCGAATTCTTCAGTTTCATCTTTATCTTCATATTCGCTCTTTTTTCGAGACGCAGAGAAGTCTGGCAGCCGACATACGAAAGCTATCTTCCAATTCAATGACACGGAGACCTATGAGGCACTCCGCGAATGCCGTCAGGTGGATATGCGGATAGAGTAAGTTTTAACGCTTCACATTCGGATCGTTACATGCTGATATTTCCTAGAAAATATGGAGATCTCTCTACAGCAACACCCAATACAGTCCCTCTCCACAGTTTCCGTCTAGATTTGGCTCAAAGCTCAGCTACGAAATCTGGGCACTCACAAGCAGAGATGGAATTCGAGTTGGCCGAACAGTTGGATTTGGGAGTCTCGGCGAAGGGTGTCATCGGGCGACAAGTTTCCGTAAGCGATGCCGACGGCTTGGTACTAGGTGTTGGGATTGTCGGATACAATTGATTCAATTGTTCATTAAAAACAATTTTATTTATCTACATAGCGAAGAGAATAATACGAACATGATTTTCTGTTGCGTTGTATCATTGGGCATGATTTACCAGTTCATTTAACTTACAGCTTCAGTGGGTTCTCCACGCCGGCTGTGTAGCGCTTCTCAGCTTCGGCCCAGTTGATGATCTTCCAAATGCCCTCTACATAACCAGCCTTATTGTTGAGATACTAGAAAAGTCATATTAGCAAAGAAATATCTTGGACACACGATGCATGATACAGCCCACTTACCTGGAGATAATAAGCATGCTCCCACATATCAACACCGAAAATCGGAACATCAGTAGCGGCCACCGGATCTTGGTCCTTGGTCGTAACAATGTCCAGACGACCCTTAGGTCCACCCTTGCTCACAAGCCATCCCCAACCACTGCCCTGCAGACCGAGAAGCTCAGCACCAAATGCCTTCACGAAAGCCTCGTGTGATCCCCAACGGGAGACAATTGCTTCCCGCAGCGAAGGCGCAGCACTAGCCAAGTCATTGCCCGGAGTTCCGGGGGGAGTGAGATTCTTCCAGAAAAGAGAGTGGTTGATGTGACCGCCGCCGTTGAACTTGATCTTCTGCTGTAGACTGATCAGGGTGGGAACATCATTGCTCTGAGTAGCTGTGACTTGAGCGGAGAGGGCGGCATTGAGGTTGTTGATGTAGGTTTGATGATGCTTCATATGATGCAGTTCCATAATCTGCTTGGAAATGACGGGCTCGAGGGCCTAATGGGGAAGATTAGCTTATTTCGGTCCTTCTGATCTCACCCCGACGCGAGACTTACATCGTAGGCATATGGAAGAGGAGGCAGGGTGTGAGTTGGAGCCGACATGATGATATGGTTGTGTGAAAATTGTCTTCACAAAAAACTGAAGAGAATAAGAATTAATAGAGGGGACTTAGGGGACGGGTTGTATGCGAAGAAAAGAGAGCGGCTCTCAAGGTCCTCCAACGTGAGGGGCTGTGTTGGATGGCCGTCTTAAGTGATCCCCAGCACGTCACTTTTGTTCACCAAGGTAATAAGTCACCTTGGATGTTTTGATGAAACGACCGGCTGCTATTCCCGCGGCTGACATGTCTCTCGTCCGGGTTGGTTGAGCCATGCGAGGAATTGAGCACATTTTGGCTCCACCGCCCACTCAAGGGGGAGTATGACATCCCAGCCTGATTCTGATGCACGTTAGACTATATTCCGTCTTACTGAGTATATCGGAAATAAAAAAATTACTCTAGGAGATGTGGGTGATTCCCCATATACCCTATTGGAAGGCAGTTGGAAGTCGGTTTACTTCGGACATAAGCACCAAAACGTGAAAAGTGCTGTCCCCACCTGTGTCGGGGGATTGTGTTTGGGGAAGTTCTTCCAGAACTTGGCGTCATGCTCTTCGATTATTTTCTAGATATATTGACAGTGCTAATCAAAATCCTATGTTGGCCCTTCACGGCGCACTTAGCTAACCTATCCATCTCTATGCTCAACAATCTTTCGGCCATATAGAGCTTTCTTTGGATGTCGTGTGAAGTCCTGGAAGCGTTTTCGACGATCCGAAATGCACATCATGTTTGAGAGCCGCCAGCCAAGTGGAATTCTCCGCGAATGTCTGATTCCAAGGATCATCGCTTCCATACATCATCAGACGAGCTGTGGACTGAATCATCTCATCCGAAGGATAGAGACCCGTCGAGATCTGATCCTGAATGTATGAAACCAATCCGTTACGGAGGATCATATAGAGATCCACGCCCTTGGGAAAATTATGCATCGAGGGTAACTGATCATGAGGTTGTGTCGCATCGGACATTTTCATCGGATCCACGGTGGTTCGCTCTTGACCAAGCAACCAGGCGGGCATGGCATTTCTGACCTGGAGCTCAATATCGGGATCGAAACCCCAGTTGCCTGTCCACTGGCTCATGTCTGCCCCGGTTTTGAAGTGCTCGGCTAGATGATCTGCTCTCTCGTCCCAAGTTGTGAAAGTCGAGTTGCAAAATCCACATCGTGAATGTAGATTGAGGAGAGAGACTCGCCATTTATCTAGGAAATGGTGATCTTGTACGTTATGCATCAAACGGAGGTGTTGTCTCAGATGGTCTTTTCGTGAAAACTCCCGTAATGTTGAAGGTTTGTCTTGGCATTGAAGAAAGTTATGTGTCTCGAGGTGATTGCCATCTGCATTCTGCGCTTGACAGAACACGCAAATGTTGAACCCGTCTGCTTCGATGATGCCGCCTTCTGGCGCACAGCGCCACAAGTCAACCGAGATATGTATCGCTTTTTCATGTCGGGTCCACTCATATTTAGTTCGGAAGGAGTCGCAGCAGAAAGTGCACTGAAACATGCGAGATCCCTGTATCTTTGGCTTTTCTAGTTGGCCAGCTAAGCGTGAGTTCTTCCGGCGCTGGTGGCGCTTCCCCATGCTTGGATTTGGCGTAGGGGGCCTTTGAGCTTGCCGATGAATAGGCGTAATAGCTAAATCAGAACCAGAGGAACAACTATTTTCAAAAATGCTCATCGAGGGAGCTCCGAATAGAAACGAGCTACCGGAACTACCGGAACTATTCACAGATAGACGGCCGGAGTCGCTATAGTAAGCCTGACCCTGATCGGGGTAGTGGTGCATGTTCTCGAGTGCTCGCATAATGTCGGACGTAGCAGCTGGTTCGCTTTCAGGTGGTGATTGTTTCCAGCGCTCCAGAGGGGACAAAGATGTGCCGGCACCTAAGCTTTCCCCGGCCGTGGAGTCATGCTCCATGCGCTTTCGCCTTCGCCGTCTAGCATTGGCGAACCAATTCAAAACTTGGATCTTGTTCAGTCCAGTCTGCTGTTCTAGTTGAGCTCTTTCATCTGGCGTGGGGTATGGGAAATTTTGATGTTGATGCAGCCATAGCCTCAAGGCTTTAACAGCGTCTAAGGACAATCGCGGATATGATTTTGCCCTCGTGGAACGTTCGGTGGAGGAAGGGTTCTTTGAGAGATCCTTGGCTAATTGTTCCCGAGATGAGCTGGCGAGTGAAGACTGAACCGATGACTGGATCGAGTGGTCATTCTTCACGGAACTGTCTGACCACTGTGATATGAAATTGCGACCTAGTTCATCGGCACTTATCGAGTTTGCATTGGAACAGACTTCGTTATCAATCTCTGAAGTGTCAGTGCCATTACATGTCCACCAGTCAGGCTGGAGAGCTCCATGGTCCACAAGAGAGTCCCAGTTGAGGTGTTCTGGTTGGCTCTCAGCAATCGGGAAGTCCGGCCACAGCACATGTTCAGCGAGATTGCTGGAGTCCATCAAATTGATAATTCTAAGAAGGGATGGGAGGACAGTGTGGAACAATGAAGAATGCGATTTGGGGGGTGACCGACCTACGTTAAACAGAAGCAGAGACTAGTGGGGTCCTTCCAGCTGCAGCAAACAGCCTACTGAGACTGCAGCTCTGATTGGCTGCGATTCTGCTTTCTTAGCCACCTCATCTAAAATGCATCAAGCGTCGCCGAATACAAATTGAATACCACCAGAATTATGGCCTTGAAAAAGACTTGAAACCCGTGGAGGCTTTAGATGTCGCCCCGCGATTATTGTGACCATCCATACAACGGAAAATGAAAGCAGGTCTTTTAATAGCTGTCGTCTGTTGTATCATATTTTCTTTAAGCTACTCATAAGGTTGTTATGAACAGGGCGCGCCAAGAAGGCTCATTTTGATCCACAGGATCCACATTATTATTGGACTTGTAGATGTGACTCGAAGTACTCCGTACTCATGGCCTGATTCATCCCACAAATAAGGAGCTTTTCTTGTAATACTATATTTTCCTATCTCCGAAATCTGACTTATTACCGTAAATACGGTGAAAGTCGGAACAGATTCCCCGAAGGACACTCACGTTGTCTGTCGGATCGTACCTGAGACCACCCTTGTCCATACCTATTTCGCTAAGTGGTCAAAAATTAATCATTTCTCCAATCTACTTGTCTTTTATTCATAGAACCACTAGGCCAAGTAAGACGCTACACATGACCAAAAATGCGGATACATGCTGGATCCCCACCCCCGGTCTAGCCTAGCGAAGGTTTCCAACATGGAACTACGACCAAAAAATGCCTGGATACCCCAGAAATCTTGGAGATGATCCTGGCTCAGTTGGATATGCGCACGCTTCTCACGTCTGCGCAACGAGTCTCCCGTAGCTGGTCAGACCTGATCAGCAGCTCGCCGTCCATCCAAAAGGCCCTTTTCTTCACTCCAATTATGCACTCTGAATGGGGAATCAAAAACAAAACATTCAACCCACTTTTAACTGAGATTTTTCCATCTATCTTTCCTGCCAAAGATGGACGGCAGGGCACCCAGTTCCCCTTGTGTGACCCACCTATGACTGAAGACGCCAAAATGATGGATCGCATCGTACGAAAGGACGCAAGCTGGCGTAAGATGCTAGTCCGACAGCCTCCGATCTTCGAAATTGGAATTTTTGAGATATACAGCTCAAGGGCAGGCGATGGCGCCAGAAGCTCTAGTATCCCTGTAGGATTCTACTTACCATCATGATCTGACTTCAAACTCTCGGGCAACTAATCTGTCGCATGTAGGCAGATTTAAAGATGCAAGAATCCGGACACGATGGAATTCGGATGGAAAGGCTGTTTGATGTTTTTCTGTTGACGCACCGGTCCACCTATAACATTCATTGGGCCACGAAAAAATCGACCCGGTTTTATCACAAGTCCCAGAAGATCACCGATGCGTTCTATCGGAATCTAAATGAGTTTGGCTTGGTTCTTTGTAAAAGCACGGTAGTACAGTGCACCAGACGCTCGCTGTCCAGTCGGATAGGAATTCCTCCAAGTCCTGAGGAAATAGTCAGGGAGATCATAATTGGCAAGTATAGAGAACACGGTTTGGGCGTTGATCTCAGGAGAAAGAATATTGAAGAATCGGAACTGAAGAGGGGTGAACCAGTGTTTTGCGACCGCAGATATAGATAGTCAGCTGGTCTCCCTTCTTATATAAATGACGTGCAATTATCAGCATCCATCTCCAGATCAGCAATATTACCGTGATTCTTCTCTTTTTCCTTGTTTTGAGATACAGTAGATGGACCCCGAGACTCTCCCGCGAAGAGAAATTTGTAGTCGGTAAGTATACCCCAGAGAATAGATCTCTTAGTTCATAATCTTCTTCTAAACGGAATTGTCAAATAGTCATCGAAACCGTGCTACTATAGGCGGTATATAGGGTGCAGAACTTGGCACTCTAGCAAGGAAGTGGGGTAGCTAAAGGACTTACAGGCATTTACACTGTCACACTGTCTCACCGAAGGAAGAAATTCAGTATGTTGCAAAACGCGATACGGTCAAGCAGGGGTGGTTTACGCATTGACGTAAGGTTAACTATCAGGGGTTTGCTAGAAGTTGAACGAGAAGGCCAAGCGTTGCCAGGCAAGATCCAGTATATACGAAAATGTATACAACCCTAAATAGAGTTATGTATTAGCTGTTTAAAGGTGCATAGCTTCCCCGGCTGAGGAACTTGAATCTCCAAGTTTCAATTTGCGGGGTTTCGGCTGTCAATGAGCCTCGGTCGCTCGGCGCGGGCCACGGAGAAAGGCCTTGATTAGTGATAAGTTCCAATGTTCAGACTCTGGTCCATATAATTGTCTCCCCTGCTGTCTTGCTCCATATTTTCTTTCTTCAATATCCATAATCATGTCGGCTGCTGAACAGGTCCAATTGTCCAACTTCTCCAACATCTTCTCCCTCGATGGGAAGGTCGCGGTCGTGACGGGTGGATCGCGCGGACTGGGTCTGCACGCTGCCTCGGGGTGGGTTTTTTTTTCTTTCTAGCAGCGTCCTGCTGAGAGATGCAGTATTTTTGAGAATTATCGCTAACATGTAATGAAAGACTTTTGCAAGCGGGCTGCTCGAAAGTCTACATCACATCCCGCAAGAAGGATGCCTGCGATGAAGCCGTCGCAGCACTAAATGACCTGCCCAACAAGCGGCCTGGTGCTCAAGCCATCTCCGTCCCCGCTGATAGCTCTCGCATGGAGGAGCTGGATCGCTTGGTTGCTGAGATTTCCAAGACCACTGACCACGTCGATATCCTTTTCGCCAATGCCGGTGCCACCTGGGGCGAGAAGTTCGATACCCATCCCGAGAAGATGTTCTCCAAGGTGATGGACCTCAATGTGAAGAGCATTTTCTATACTATCCAAAAGTACGTTCCGCTGGCTTTGGCTACTGAAAATTGAGAATGCTTCATCTCTAACCATTACCAGACTTGCGCCCCTTCTCACCGTCAAGGCCACCGTCGACGAGCCCTCTCGAGTCATCGTCACCGCTTCCGTTGCTGGTATCGGTATCGGTTCTATTGGCGAGAATGCCACGCCTAGCTACTCTGCCTCCAAGGCCGCTGCTATTCATCTGGCCAAGAACCTGGCTGTTGAGCTGGGCCCCAGGCACATTCTCACCAACGCCATCGCTCCTGGCTTCTACCCGTCCAAGATGGCGACTGGTCTTATCAATGCCAAGGGTGGTATGAAGCATTTGGAGGAGTTCTCACCCAATGGCCGACTGGGCCGACCAGAGGATATTGCGGGTTTGGTGGTCTTCTTGGGATCGCGGGCTTCCAGTCATTTGAACGGAGCTGTGATTGCGACTGATGGAGGTGCTGTGCTGAAGGGAAGACTTTAGAGGCAGAGTGGGAGTTTATAGTTAATGCAATTAGTCAAGGAGAAGAGAATTATGGAAGCATTTGTGAGCCTTGGGGTATTGAATACTCGAGGCATGTACACAATTGATATTCAAAGACCGTATACAATGTCGTAGATGTATTCAAAGATCTCTATTTAAAGCTTCGCGGGGGTCGAACCCACGCGGCCTTGCACCGCCCGATCGATAATCTCCATTGCCTGGAACAGCTCATAGTCATGCTGTTTCGGCGTCACGACCTGCACACTCAGTGGGGAATCTAAGTATACGCGGCGATCGACTGTTTTCTCGTCCCCTGTATCGTAGGTTGTTAGCAGCATTCTATAGACAGCCCTCTCAAGTCAAACTTACATAGCAGACGATTAGCCTTATCCCAGCTTCCCAGCACAGGGTCGCTCATAGCACGACCAAGCTCAAGGTCAGATTCCACAAAGGGTCGCACAGGAACAACACCAGCAGGGTAATCCAGCAGCACGAATGTCGAGGTGTATCCAACAGCGTTATACCGATCCATCTGAGGAACTGGGTGGGGCGCGATCGGGCAGACGATAGCATCAATCTGGCGACTCTTGGAGGATGTCGAAAGAGTCCACATCTTCATCATCTCCTTCTCGACCTGGGCACGTTGGGCCTGCAGCTGCGCCAGCTGGTTGATATTCAAAGCCTTGCCACGCTTCATGCGACCCTGAAGCCAGGGCGTGAGGGGCTCGCCCATGCTCTCGATCAAATCGAGCATGTTAGAGCCACCGTCAACGCCCATGAGGCGACCTGCTAGGGCTTGACATTTCGGCAAAACCGGTGGAAGCGGGATCTCCACAACTTCTACACCGGGTGTCCGGCGCAGGTGGTTGGCCACTTCTTCAAGGATGCGGGTAATCGGCGGCAAGGGAGTGACCAGCCCGTCTGTCTTGAGAATGCCAACGGTAAAATTGCGCGGCGGGGCAAGAGAGGCAGGGACCGAGGGAGGAGGCCAGTATCCTGGTATACAATCTTCCCCGAACAGCTCAGCGCGCGGCACAATCTCGGCCATGACAGCCGAAATGTCCGCAACAGAGCGTGCCAAGGGGCCAGCTACGGGCTGTAGGGAGATCCGGCCCTTGCCTTCAATCTGTCCGCCCTCTTGCCCACCGTATGGAACACGCCCATCACTCGGCTTGAATCCATAGAGACCCTGGCACATCGCTGGAATCCGGATGCTGCCGCCAATGTCTGTGCCGAAGCCGATCATGGACCCATTCATCGCCAGCAGTGCACCCTCGCCACCAGTACTGCCACCTGCCGTCCATTGACGGTTCAAGGGGTTCAGGGTGCGACCAAAGAGATGATTGCAGCTGTCCAGCGTGCCGAGGGTCTGTGGGATATTTGTCTTGGCGATGATGACCGCACCGAGAGACTCGAGTAGATCGACCAGGTCAGCGTTCTTGCGTGCAGGCTTGAATGCTAAAGCGGCGAGTCCAATGCTCGTATCCACTCCTTTCACGCAAAATGTGTCTTTCACTGAGACGGGTAGACCATGTAGAGGGCCGACAGGGCGACCGGTTCGCTGGAGGTGGGCATCGAGTTCCTTTGCCTGGCGTAGTGCCCGATCGAAGAGGGGTTCGGTGATACAGCGGGTAAGTTGATGGGCAATGGCTGCTCTCTGAAAGGCTATTAGAGTGACTAACCAAATTGACGAATATGCCACTGGTAGTACTCACCTTAGAAAAGCCTCGAATCACCTCCTCGGCTTTCAACTTGCCTCCAGTCATAGCAGCCACAAGTCCACGCACATCATACTTCTCTGTGATTTCCAGTTCCTTGGCAGTGAGAATGCCACAAGTGCGTGGGATCTCCATGACATTGACTCTACCGTACTGCTTCGGCCCCTCGGTGATCGACTCGGCGGGTGAGAGCATCCCCGCGGGAATGAGATGCGCTGGCAGGCGCCATTCAGCAGGAATAGCAGCAGCTAGCGCATCTTGCTTGCGCTGGGCAATTGCGACATATGCGGGCTCTTGGGATGCCATGGTGCGTTGTCTGGGTTAATTGAAGTTACTGGCGGCCAGAGAGCTCAAATACGCGCCAATGCGGGGAATGCGGAGAAGCCTCGGCCCACACAAAAGTGCCGACCCGGCGAGTGATGGCTGGAAGTGAGAAATTTCGATCGAAAATTCGATCGATATTAACATGTTTATTTGCACAACCCCTCCGCTAAAAATATCATTTGCTATCTACACAGCGTTTTTTTTTTTTTTTCAAAAGCGCGACACGTCCCTCCCAAATAATCTGTTCAATGTCCACCGGAACGCCACCCGCAGCTTGTTGCGCCAGCTGATGGACATGGTAATGTACGCTGCGTTCCAGACGACCCGTGCCATGCGGCCTGTTAGTCCTCCAGGAAGATATTTACTGCGCTTGCTTGGATCATGCATATCGTGAGGGATTTGCATCAGGGCCTTCTCGCTTCCAATGTAGGCCAAAGTCCCCATGTTGCGGAACGAAAAGGGAGGTGTTTGTGCTAGGTCCCGCTTGTTCAGATGATCCGCGAGCCACTTTGCTTCCTGGAAGGTCGCTTGTGCTGTGGCAGGAGGAGCCCCAGTCTCCAGCATGGCATTGTCGCCCAGAGCAAAGACATCGCTGAGAACTGCAGTCTGTCCGGCATCGTTTTGAAGTTGCACCCGTAGATGACCATCTACGAGCAGAGCACCTGTTTTGGGGACCTTCTTATATTCCCAAGAAGTCTGTCCAGCGGGTGCAGCGGGATCTGATTCGCCCTTAAGGGTGTAGACGGAGTTGTTTGGGAAATCTTTCACTGCACTTAGTGACTGGCTGACAAACTTGGTCATCGCATTTCCCGTCGCCCAGACACACATGCCGACGCCAACTTCGCCCTCCTCTTCAGTTGTCAAAGTCAAGCAGCGCTTGGGGTCCATCTCATGGGGTGCTGGTGCACCAGGTGGACCCCAGCGCAAGCTTTTGACATGGTGAGAGGTTTTGATGTCGATGCCTTCGCTCCTCATCGTGTCCATTGCATAGCGGGACAGAGACTCGTCAAACATTGACAGTACTTTGGGCGCAACATCGTAAAGACTGATCTTGGGAATGCCGTTCAGAGCTGGATACAACGTCATCAAGTCCTTGTAGATGAAATCACGCAAGGACGCAGCAAGTTCAGTGCCTGTGGGGCCTGCACCGACAATTGCAAAATGAAGGAGCCACTTGCGCATCTCGGGTGTCGTCGTCGGAAGAACCGCCAACTCGAAGCACTCGCGCAAGCGCCGCTTCACCCGCTTGGCGTCGCCTATGTCTTTAAAGAACATAGCATTTTCGCGAACACCGGGAGTGCCAAAGGTCTGACTGACGGTACCGACAGCGATGACCAATTTGTCGTATGGGACCTCGAATGTCTCGCCTTGTTCCCAGTGGCGCAGATCCTTGATTGGCTGCTTGAAAGATGCTTCGGGACCTTCATCGACTTGTCTGTCATCCTCCGAGGTGCGCGGTGACTCTGTCACGCCGCTTCTGACTACAGTGGCCTCGCACAGGATAGTCTTCTTCTTCAAGTCAATGGCTTGTGCAGCGGCCTGGATGAAGTCGACTTTGGCGCGTGGATCGCGGACTGGCTCGACAATATTGGAGAAATCCAACGAGCCACTGGCTGTGTCGGTCAGGAGGGGGGTGAAGACAAAGTATGAGCGTGGAGAGATGATTATTGGCGAGAAGGACTTGGGCGACAAGCGGCGAGAGATGGTATACCCACCCCAGCCGGAGCCAAGGATAACAACGCGCTCCTGTTTGCTATCCGACTTGGTCGCGGCAGTTGAGTGTTCAACATATGTTGCAAGACATCTTTGTCCGGATCTGCTCTTCAGAGAGACCTTGATTTGAGGATGCTTGAATGTAAGGTAATCGAAATGGCCGATCAGAGATTGGCGGAGGTTGACGGACCGCGCCAGTGGCCGGAGAGGCATCGTAGGTCAATCTAGCTGGGCTGATATCAGTCCTTGACAAGACTGGGTTCCTTCAATCGCAATTCTCTAGGAACGCCGGATATCTTAAGCCATGGTCGTGAATATTCATGGTTTCCCGCTGACACATACATGACTTCATCCCGCGGCCAATTGCGGCTACATAGTGGAACACAGATATCAAAAGAAGGGAATACTCGGATCGGAATCTCAGACACGAATCTCTCCTCAGACCCACTGGCATCCACACGGGTTCGGATTCTCGAGCTCCCGCAGCTGTCCTACTGTGAGTAGAATTGGTGAATTCTGAGGGCTGGTCGTGGTCTTGTCTCCAAGGGGAAACCCGGAACCCTTCGGAGTCATCGGTGAAGATAATGGCACGTGTCGCTCGAGCCTATCGGGTATTTTAGGCTTGGGGTGGTTGAGGATTCTGTTCACATGGCGATGCAGAAATTACTCTATGATGAACTCTCAGAAATTATCGAGGATGCAGGGAGTTAGCAGGGTCAAGAGGTAAATGTTGTGGTGAAAAATGAAAGAGTTCATAGACTGGGTAGACATCACGTGAGCGTGGCTTGCATAGGTGCCTCCACGGGAAAAGCAATAGTTGAGAGAGGTTCTAATAATGCAAATGCGAAACAAAGAAAAAACCGGGATCGGTGGGAAAGGAAAAAAAAAAAAAAAACGATCAAGCGAAATTCCCAGTAGGAAAATTTTGCGCAGACAGCTTCAAGAGCTTCTGAAGAGCAGGAAGCCGAAGGCGCAGTTGTAACGCGGGAAAAGAATCCGCATTTGTTAAAAAAACCGGATGCATCGCATCTTAAGAACCTCTGTTCACCACTACTTATCTTGCGCGATAGCAAGATAGTAGTAGCCGAGAGAGGATCTAATAGTATAAATGCAAAACAACGGAAAAACCGGATCTCACGAAGAAAACCGTAGGTAGGGTAGTAGCAGAGAGAGGACCTGATAATGCAAATGCGAAACAACGAAAGAAATCCGCATGTATCGTATGTTGAGAACCTCTGTTAACCACTGCTTGTAGGATTGCAGAGCTAAGACAGGACCTAATAATGCAAACTTGAAACAACGAAGAAATAATAATCGGGTCCAACCCAAAGGCCACTCCTTATCTTACGTGATGGTAGAACAACAGTAGCAGAAAGAGGATCTAATAATGTAAATACGAATCAAAGAAAACCCGGATACATCGAATTCAGTCAAGAACCTCTATACCACACCTAACTACCACACCTATCAACCTATCATAAAATGTGAATTAGCGGAAAATAATAAATGACATGAATTCGCGCTATGGTTTGGGGAAGCAAGAAAAGAGACAGAAGAGATAATTTTGTTTGAACTTCCATAGATGATTGATGTGTGCCTGAGGGGCCGATGGGTCTATTGTCTATGTGTGGATGTCGAAGCGCAACGTTAAGACTCACTGTTATCAACAGGCCGCCAGAAACAGAACATGCGCGATTTGAAGAGACATGATGCAATATATAGGAATGAGCATTATCTCTAATTCAGATGCAATCCCAGCGGCTAGGTCAAATTGAAATTTGGACTGTACGTGGCATGTCTTGACAAGTGAAATATAACGGTCTTGTCACTTGAGCCATGAGACACAATTCCTTCAACCTCAGTATCATTTGCATAATTCCATAAGCGAGGCCAACGCCAGAGTTAGTAGTGCGATGTCACCGAGATATCCCTTCCCCGCATGGACCTGCATTGCCAGTCCTATAATGAAAAAGAGTAGGCTGATGGCAGCTGCACATAGCCTCATTTTTCGCCTCCCAAAAATGAGACTCAGTCCCACAAGCGTATCAACCATGGGAGTGATTTTTGCGCCAACTGAGCCATCATCGGGCATGTGGTATTCCTGAAACGCATACCATGTAGGGGTATACTGGCCATGAGTGAATCTGGAAAATGCGCCCAGTAGAACGACGGAGGAAAGGATATACACCGGCAATTTGGCGAATAAGGAGGACATGATGGTGAAGCGACAAGAGAGCACTAAAATTGAGTGTCAAAGAACAGTAAGACAGATGAGAGCTTAGAAAGGAGAACGGGGTAAGCAGCAATGAACTATATTGTCCGATATCACGTGATCGTGTGCCTTATCCTCCAGCCTTGCAGCCTTGCAGCCTTGACATCACCGAAACAAACAAAGAAGCGTATCTTATCTCACAACTTATCAAAATCATTTGCATGTTTGATTTGGTATATCCGATAGCTTCCTTTTCCAGCCAAAGCTCCTTGGCTCTGTCACACTCCATGAATGTAGCTTTAGGCCGCGTATACCTACAACCAATCGCCACTGATGTGGCGCAGTGTGGCGCTCGGCAATGAGTCAGACAACCCGACAGGAGAAGTGGGACGGAGTCGGCCATCTCAGGTTGGAAGCTCGGACTTCACCACACTCCGAAGCTAACCCAAACCGACCTCGGATTTAACCATAATGCGTCTTACTTTGCCTCCCCGAGTTGTGACACTTCCAGCACCTTCGGACATGGTCGATAGCGCTTAGAAACCTGCAAGCTTGATACTGCCGCTCGGATCGCTTAATCGTCCGCCGGCGAATAGCATTGCTCCGAAGGTCAAGGCAGCATGGTCGTACGTATACCTGGTGTGATGTGGTCGACCCCCGAGGTGACGAATATAGTGGCTGCCTAAGCCCGAGAACCGAAGTATAAAGGAGAAGTAGAATAATCACAGTTACAATAAACCAGATCACCTCAAGGTCTATTTTCTTCTGCTTGATCTTTCTTGATCGTCTTCATTTTTTAAGTCAAACTTAACCCAACAAACATCTTCAGTCAATACAACATTTGCTTTAGATAAGTATATCTGAACTGTGTTTATTCACACCAAGATGGCTTCTATTCACGATTTGAATCGCCCGCCGAACCCATTCTGGGATCATTTGGCCGCATCCTTCGAGGATCATCCTTTCTTCGCTCCTCGAGGCCATCATCATCCTCCCCCTCCATTCTGGGGCTGGGGTAACCATCACCATCCTCATCGCCACCACCACCATGGACCCCCTCCACCGTCATTCTGGGGATGGGGTCCCCAAGACCAAGAAGAGAACCACCCGCGGGGCTCTGAGACCCCTCGTGCCCAGACCACCGAGCCCGCCGCTGGCCCATCTAGCTCTAACGAAAAGAGCCGCGATGCCGAGAAGGGAGCAACCTCATCTTCTGAGGTCGAGACCGAGAACGAAAAGCGCCCCCATGGCCGATGTGGCAAGGGTAAGCATCACGGCCGTGGTGGTCACCATGGACCCGGTAGAGGACGAGATGGCAGGGGCCGTTGTGGACCCAGTCGCCACGAACACCCTGGATTTGGACCATTCGGTCATCACGGACGAGGAGGTCATCACTGGGGAGGCCATGGCGGTCGAGGCAGACACCATGGTGGCCCTCCCCCTCCCTTCGGCGCTGAACCAGGCTTCCAGAACTTCGACTTCTTGCGCAACCTCGCCTCTCAGTTTGGAATCCAGTTGAACGGCCCAGCCCCAGAAGGTGTTGACTTTGTGCCATCCGTGGATGTCTTCGACACCCCGGCCAACTATATTGTGCACGTCTCTCTGCCCGGTGCCAATAAGGACGACCTGAGCATTGATTACGACCCCGATGAGTCTGTCCTGCGTCTCGCTGGTGTCGTCTACCGCCCTGGTATCAGCGAAGATTTGCACCAGGCTCTTGCATTGGAGGAGCGAACCCGCGAAGTTGGCGTCTTTGAGCGTGCAGTCCGCCTAGGAACGCATGAGGTTCCTGCTGCAATCTCCATTCATGACATCTCTGCTAAGTTAGAAGATGGTATTCTGAACGTGACTCTCCCGAAGATTGCGCCAGAGCCGGAGCTGAAGAAGAAGGTTGTCGTTGAGGACGGCAATATCATGAATGAGAAAGACACTATGCAGATGGACGAGAAGGCTAGCGTGACAATGACTCCCTCTGAATCTGATGAGAGTGATTTTGATGATGGGGAGACCAAGGATTATGTGAAGGTCCCTGTGAATTAAACCAAGGAAATAATTTGTTTTTTCTTTTGTTGGGAGTTTGGCGTTCTGTTTGGGATTTCCTGCTTTTTAGTTAGTGCTTGATCCAGATTGATTAATCAATAGCCACTCTTATGCGGGTGATATACATCAACTACCCTTATTATTCTTAGGCTTTATCTGTAAAATGTATTGTTTCGCTCCTGTAGCTCAGTAAGACAGACTCTTGTAGCCTTAGCCCGTAGGTTAGAACAAGAAACCGTCTAAAATTGTAGTGCGTATATCAATCTGTTCATTTTAATTAAATATTAAACCGTTTTTCTCGCCCCCATTCTCGATGCACCGTATGGGATGATTCCAAAATTCCTGCTAAAGCTACTACTTACAAAAGATCAATCCCGATTCCGTGCTACTCGTGCAATTTTCCTAGCCATTGATTAGATGCCAAAGTTTGCCATACCATGTTGTAGGGACTGTGACCTCCCAATGTTCATTCTCAACCTCAAGTCGACCAGTGTCGAGGTCAGCCTGCAGAGGAGAAACCAGAGGATCCCGATACACCAACTTATGACCAATGTACAACACAGCGAAGAGAATCAGGCTAACGTATGCGACAAAGAAGCTCTCGACACTGAACGAAGGAATCCATGCAGTAAATCCTTGCGTCAGCATGATGAGAATGTTGAAAAACAATCCATAGTAAGACAGGAAGGGTTGGAATGGGGCTTTGTATGGAAGGAGATCCCGCGAGATTCTACGGGCCTTAAGAGCTCGCATGAATGCAATGTGGCAGGCATTAAGTGACGCCCACAAAATGAATCCTGCGACAGCAGAGATGTTCAGGAGCCAGTTGAAAACCGTACTACCAGATGTGGAAAGGTTCATAAATCCGAGAAGACCGAAAGCCGCAGTCAGTAGAACCCCGTAGTAAGGAACTCCACCCTTCGTCGTCTTGGCCAGGAAAGCAGGAGCAAAGCCGTCTTGTGATAAACCGATCAGCATGCGACTGCCACTATAAATGTTTGCATTTGCAGCTGATAGCACAACTGTCAAAAGGACGGCATTGATGATGCTAGGCAGAACTTTGACACCGGCCAGTCCTGCGGCTATCACAAATGGTGATCCCGATGCATTGGATGCGCCGGAAAGGAGATCAGGGTTATCAGACGGCACCAAGAGGCCGATAAAAAACACAGAGAACACGTAAAAGAGAAGGATTCGGAAGAAGGTTGCTCGAATCGCCTTTGGCACATTTTGACGTGGGTTTTCACTTTCACCAGCAGCGAGACCAACCAGTTCGGTGCCCTGGCAGGAGAAACCAGCTTGAATAAGGACAGCCCAGAAGCCCACAAACTTAGCAGTTGGTCCTGGCGTCACGAGATAATCAACAAAAGGCCCGGGATGAACCCAATTGTGGAATCCAAGGTAGCCTTGTTGTCCCGCACCGGCATCAATGCAGATAGCAAAAATGATGAATCCAATAATTGTAACAACTTTGATGCTAGAGAACCAGAACTCGAGCTCGCCATAGAAGTTGACGGGCAGTAGGTTGAGAAGGGTCATGATAACCCAAAATACGGCAATGAAAATAGCGATATTAATCGATGGATCCCAATACTGAATGATAAGACCAGTGGCAGTTAGTTCAAGAGCAAATGTGATAGCCCAAGAGAACCAGTAGATCCATCCCATCGCAAAGCCAAGGCTAGGATCAATCAGCCGAGTAGCATATGAGGTGAATGCTCCGGGGATTGGAATGTAGGTAGCCACTTCGCCAAGAGACGTCATAACCGAAAAGACAATGGTGCCGATGAAAATGTACGCGATTAGAGCGCCAATAGGGCCAGCATGCGCTAGTGCCGTTCCGCTGGAGATGAATAAACCAGTTCCAATTGTACCGCCTGCTACAGATTAGAAAGGTCGTCATATACAGAGAGAATATGCTCCACTCACCAATTGCAATCATTTGAAGGTGTCGACTCTTTAGCTTGCGCTTCAAGCTGGGCAAATTCCTGGGCTGGCCCAACGCGACCTGTGCCTCATCATTGTAGTCCTCGTTGGACTTGGATGTTGCGGGATCATCTTCAGGGACTTTGGAGGCCATTGTCGCTTTTCACCTTCTGCAATTGGAAAGATAAATGGACTCCACTGGAGCTTAGTCAAAAGTTGAGATCGATCGAAGAATAACTGGGTCTATGTTGCAAGGCCAGAATCTTCAATTGGTCATAGTTTGTCGGTTGCTAGCTATTGATTCGTATGGCAAGGCTGAGGTTTTCCCGATTCGTGTATTTTCTGTTTCCCTTCCTATTGAAGAGTTTGAAGCCGGTTCTCCACCCTCAAATCTCACTGAAGGTCTCGATTTGGTAAATTTGCTGAGAAAAAGGGTCCCTGTACCCGGACGCGTGGAGACTTGGGCGAAATCCCAGTAGAAATATGGGTCTGGGGAAAATTGAGAAGAGAAAACTGAAAGATTAGTGCGTTGCAGTGGGACCCTTTCTATAGTTTCCTTGTTAGCTGACCTCTGTGCCATCCTAATTCGTGGTTTAGCACCCCGCATGTGCTTTTCTCTCCCGTCCTGTTCTTTTGGGCCTAGTTTGAGTCTATTGGTTGGCGAATTTGGAGCTCGCCGAGGCATCCCATCTCGGGCCCACTCCGACATCGCTCTCCTTTCCCCACGTTCATCATGATCCGCAACGGTTAAGTGCTCCACTACATTTTTGTGATGAGGGGTACAACGTGTCTGTACATGACTTCTGTCAACATATGCATTTCAACGGCGCCAGAGACACAGAGCGTGGGCTATCAAAACGAAAAAGCAAGGCCGCATACAAGCGGAGATGGCCGAGTGGCAGGGCTTGGCATAGTTCAAGCTCTTCCAATGAAGGTTTCCCCTAGGGTTTTTCTAACTCGTTTAGGTCTCGACCGGCTTCAATCTAGCCAATAAACGCGTTTCTAGAGCCTCGTCAGCACTTTTCTCTGCCGACCTGTCTGTTTCAAGTTAGCTCACATCGCATGTCATGAGTAAACGTTATACGAGCCGAAGGAAATATGCTAAGATCGGATCCAATAGATTCGTTTGTTTGAAGAGGATGTGGAGAAGCTCTGGGAAATACAATTTCAGCAGTATGACATGCATATCTAACATGTAGAGGACACTCACCAGAAGGTGTCTATGATCATGGGATCTTCTGGACATATAAGAGTGAAGGCAATTCCCCCGGGTTCGCTCAAGGTCAAGAAATCTACTTCTAAAAATACATTCCAGTGGTAGGTATCCTTAAGATTGGACTCTTTTTCATGATGATCACCCCAAATGACGATCGCTCTTTTGGTCGTTTGAACACCTCTGAAGCTTCAACCACACCTGAGAAGGCCATCTCATTCATCGAACGTGACGGTGGGGTTATCATCGAGAACCTCATCTCCCACGAGCTAGCCGACCAAATCAAGAAAGACTTAAAGCCACACTTCGATAAAGATATTCCGGATAAGTATGGCTTCTTTCCAGCAACGACACAGCGTGCAACGGGTTTGCTCGGCATTTCTGATGCTTGCGTGGAGCTTGCCTGTAACCCATTCTATATAAGCGTTGCGAACGCTCTCGTGTCCTCAACTTTCACATTCTGGAGAGATGACCACCAAGTTACTGTCAGCGGAAAGCCTATCATTTCTTCGACAGTCGGATTTCGTGTGAATCCTGGTGGTAAGCAGCAGGTGCTGCATCGCGATGATAAGTATGAACACTATTCTCTACGATCAAAACGGTGACTAACACTATGGAAAGCGATTACCACCCTACCAATAGAGAGATGCCAGTCATGATTGGCTGTGTGACGGCATTGACGAAGACAACAAAAGAGAACGGTGCAACTATTGCAATTCCTGGTTCGCATTTGTGGGGGCCAGAGCGCCGGCCATTGAATGAGGAGGCTATCCCCGCAGAGCTTCAGCCTGGAGACGCATTCATCTTCTTGGGGAACCTCTATCATGCCGGCGGTTCCAATATCACACGGTATGTACGATGTTCCACACTTCTCCAAGTGCTTGCTAATTGGATTTTGATAAATGTAGAGACGAGTATCGTGAAACGGTTGGAATCTTTCTCTGCAAGCCAACGTTGCGCCCTGCTGAGAACCAATTCCTCATGGTACCACTTGAAAGAGCTAGGCAACTCAAACCACAGGCTCAGAGATTGTTAGGCTATGGACTCTGTGACCCTGGGGTAGGCTTCATGAACTACCAAGATCCAATGAGAGTTCTCTTCGGGGTCGAAGATGAAGAGACTGTCAACATGTGATGCAGTGCCTGCCACGAGCAGAAATTCTTCTACATTGGTAGAATTTCAAGCTTTCGTCACTAATCTGGGAGAAAGCCTTGCCCAGAACTTCTGTTCAAAAGATGACAAATGGACCGATTGCACCTTCATTCCTTCGAGCGAATTGAATCCAACTTTCACCCTCGCTTTGATTTGAGTGTTCCCAGAAGAGGCGTAGCATCTGCAGTGCAGTCTGGTTACACCAAAATCCTGTGGCAGACATGGATTGCAAGAAAGCCATTTCAATGTGAGATTGCCTTTCTTGATCATTTAGACACTGAGTGCCAACAATGAACAGAGGGAAGAATACGTCATGGATGAATGCAGGATATGGGCTTTTTATGACACGGTGAATTGTATGCCAAATCATATCACAATATTCATCGACTTTTTGGTTGTATTTTGGATGAGGCGCGAGACACTGATAGCTGTATACGAGAGTAGCGTAGTAGTGTGCGTCGATTATAGTGTGGAACATGCTTTGGGTGGTATTACATTCTGGTAAAGAAGTAATCATTCCAGTAGCTCGGTGGTAGGCTGCTTCAAGTTTGTCGTGCCACTGCGTCATTTCCGGCTCGATAATCTCCTGGCCATCATCCCAACGCTTGGAGTGCAGCCTTTCCGCGGCAGTGATCTCATTGATCAGTGCCGTGAATGTCCAGACATTGCCATTCAAAAAGGACCCGTAGTCCCTGCCCATTCTTGTGCTCCCTGGGTAGTTGAAGCCCGCAAGATTTCCGAGTGTCTCCAGATCAACAACTTCTTTGATTAAAAATCTAGAAAGAGCGTCTTGGGGCTGTTCCCGCCGAGACCTGAGGTAGCATCTCTCGATCATAGTGCGGCAAGCCTGAAGATGCAATCCCCAGTCTGTTGAGCTAGGAATGTGCAGCTCTGAGTAGCAAAGGACGAGAGTACAAGCAAGCATCTCCAAGAGTGAGAAGTCCGGGAGATCCTTCCTTGAACTCATAGTATCTGTGCGAAGTTCCAAGCGCATTTTATAACTCAAGCTTTTTAAGGTGTCATTTCGGATGCGATGATTGATCTGAAAAAAGACTGATGACTGAGTATCATCTAACGACGTGGCGGATAGATGAGCAGCCGCAAGGCCAGAGACGGATAGTCGTAGATAGTCCGATCTGTGGACCAAAGGCTGAATCAAGCTTCTCCATGGGTTACATGGCCCATCATCAAGCCAAGTTAAGTGTGAGACGACGGTAGAGAAGAAATGTTGAAGCAAATTTTCGTTGAGGGATGTAGAAAGATGTCTGTGCAAAAGCCCCACGTCTCTTGCCGGAGAGACTCCATCGTTATATAGCGCGACAGCGAATTGGCGAGACTCGTCCACGATTGAAGCCGACGTGCTCGCTACTTTTGGCACTGGTAATGCCTTGCCTTTGAAATTTCCACGACTGGCCACCCCCTGATCCCACCTCAGGTGAAGCCGAGGGAAACCCGGACAAGACAGCTTGCGGATCGTGCACTTTTGACAGTGTGGAAGAGTGCGGTCGCATTTTATGCGGCGTCTAGTACACTGACGGCAATCTAGGTATTGTTAGATTAATCCCTGCATGGCGTTATGCACGAAGGCTTTTCCACGCACCTTTCGCTGCTATCTGGCGATCTGGCGGCAAGGAGTCAATCCGAACATTCCTCATCAGTTTGCCGGAAGGCGCCATTCCAAATACTCGAAACAATCAACAGATACCGGAGCAAAGGCGAGGACTCAAGTCATGCACAGCGCCGATTTCTCTTCTCTGGTATTTTCCTGCTGTCACCGGTTCGTTCTCCGATACCCCGCACGATCGCATCTCCTTTATCGATTGCGTCGGTAAAACATCGTCTTCTATTGGACGGTCGGGGGTCAGATACAACAGCCGAGTAGGCCCAGGTCCAAAGACCCACCAGCCCCTAAAAACACCAGTCGACCCCCGGCGGAGAAGCCAAAGTTCCCTTAACCTCCGTCGGCTCATCTCGCAAGAACTCCGAGCTTTAAATAGAGCCCGATCTGACATTTACCTGCATTCACCTCTAATCACAATCGCAGATTCCTCAATATGGGAAAGGCATTCGACGCCGCAGAAGGTAATGTCTTCATTGATAACAAACGCTAGAAATTGAAAGAACTGACTCGAGTTCAGTGGCTAGACACAACACTAGCAAGAGTTGCTGGGTTGTACTCTATGGAAAGGTGTACGATGTAAGTATTCGAGTTCCCTTGAAATACTGGCAATACCCGGCTTATGAATTGACTGAGATATCCAAAGGTAACCGACTTTGTCTCCGACCATCCTGGGGGTGCAAATGTTATCCTCAAATTGGCAGGCAAGGATGCAACTGAGGAATTCGACCCGGTTCACCCTTCCGGTACGCTTGAAGAGAATCTCAAACCCGAGGCGTTCCTGGGAACAATCGATCCAGCAACGATAAGCAAGGCGGAGCCGCACTCTGGGGCTTCAGGGAAGACCGAAGAGTACCCTCCTGTTCAAAGCCTCCTCAACATGGACGAAATCGAAGAACTTGCCACGAAGAAAGTGAACAAGAAAACATGGGCGTACTATTACTCGGCCGCCGACGACAAGATCACCAAGCGCTTTAATACAGAGGCTTTCCGCTCGATTCTCTTGCGACCCAGGGTCTTTATTGACTGCACTAAATGTAATCTTGGGACGAAGTTGCTAGGCAATCAGGTATCTATGCCTATCTACGTCTCGCCGGCTGCCCAGGCACGACTGGGGCACCCATCAGGCGAAGCTGGTATTGCCGAAGTGTGCGGTAGTTTCGGGGCTCTGCAAATTATTTCCAATAGCGCTTCTATGACGCCGGAGCAGATTGTTGCAAATGCTGCACCTGGACAAGCGTTCGGCTGGCAGTTATACGTGCAAGACGATCGAAGCAAAAGCGAAAAGATGATCGCTCGTGTGAACAAACTAAGTGCGATCAAGTTCCTCGTTCTGACGCTCGATACACCAGTGATGGGCAAGCGCGAAGATGATCAGCGCAGTGGTAATGTCATCAATGAAATTACTGAGTTTTCATCCCCCGAAGGCTCAAAGGAAGCGCTCGAGAAGCAAGTCTTCGCGGGAATGGATCCATCTCTCACATGGACTGAGACTCTTGCCTGGTTAGAAAAGCACACCAGTCTGCCAATCGTTCTTAAGGGCATTCAGACCCATGAAGATGCTTATATTGCCGCGTTGCATCGATCTCGGGTGAAGGGAATCATCCTCTCCAATCACGGAGGTCGATCGCTTGATACATCACCTCCAGCTGTGCACACGCTGCTTGAGATGCGCAAATATTGCCCCGAGGTCTTTGACAAAGTTGAAGTCTGGATTGATGGCGGTGTCAGAAGGGGAACAGACGTTGTGAAGGCCCTTTGCCTAGGCGCCAAAGGTGTCGGTATCGGTCGGCCACCGTTGTGGGGATTGGCTGCCGGAGGCGTACACGGTGTGAAGAGAACATTGCAGAGTGAGTGAACGCCAGACTCCATGACTTCATTGAATCATTTGACCAAAGGAACTCGACTAACCAATTTCCTCAGTCCTGGCTGACGAGACCAAAACTTGCATGCGACTACTTGGTGTGGAAAGACCTGACCAGCTTGGAATACAGCATGTAAGTGTGATATTTGCCGTTGCTTCATGGTATCTATCAAATCGATTGTTGACTGACAATCTTATGCTTATAGATCAACACCCGGTTGTTGGAGCAGCAGGTGTACGATGGTCCCTCTGGCCTTGGAGCTTATCGAGCACAGTACTCGTCAAAGCTCTAGAATAGCGACTTGTGGTAGATTTTTTTCCACAGCATTCGTGGGGCCTGGATGTTCAGTCCCTAGATACAAGTCCTTCCAAAAGCATTTGGGCCCTTGAATATTGCCACATTTGCATGATCATATAGTCATACTTGTGAAGCCAGCTTAATCTCCACATTTTGCAATTAAGACACATGCGTCTCATCTGTGATAGAAATAAGAAGAGACGCTCTCCACAAAGAGACGCAATTCTCAGATCCCGTGTCAAAACTGTAGCCCAGGTTGTGCCGATACTACAGAATTTATTCCTTGCCAAGAAGGCAAGAGCATATGCATTAGACCCGAAGATGTCCACGACAATCATCGACATCGAATCAACACGGAGTGATGATTCACCAAGTATATGTGCAGACAGATATCCCACCAGCTGCCCCTGCTTCATGGAGGGGCTAGTTGGTGAGGAGCTTACCTCCCATGTACCCACCGCTTAGGCCAGGCCAACCATTCCCGGAAGCCGGGATGTATGTTCCTCTCAATGTCTTCCAGTAGCTGGCTTGCCATGCCATTCAAATACCAGTAGTGATCAAGTGTCTGCAAGAGAACGCAGTAGTGTGCAAGAAGAACGAGCGCGGCCGGGTGATGCGCATCCAAGTCCTTATGAAACTGCTTAGAAAGCGGGTAGGCCCATAGGAAAACCATGCCCGCCTCCACATGCGGCCCAGCGAGTTCCAACTGCCTGGTAGAGTTTTCGTACGCCTTGAGCGCGGATTCGTAGTCCTTTCGATGCTCCGAATCCTTATCTGTGGGGTCGTCTTTATTTGTCTCTTGGGGGAATGGATACTTTTCGATAAACCGATGGAGGCGGGATATTTGGGTCCAGATATCGGTTGGTAAAAGAGACTGTGCTACGACGGCAGGGCTGTACGAACATTAAAATCCAGCCACTTACAAGAATCTCCAGGGGCAGGTGATGCCGTGTAGAATGTAGAACCTACCTGTGAACACGCATTTCGCTTTCAAGCCATACGGAATTTGCAATTGGCGCCAGTTGCGTCCTGCCCAGTGACGGGAGAAACGGTTTCATGATTGCCTGCAACCCTTTCACGCTCGCAAACAGCTCCACGGTGTTCGCAATTGGGCTCGGCCATCGAGAGACACCAAGTCGAATCGGGACTGTACACAGGTGTATAGAGATCATAGACGCAAAGCAAAATACTGGTTGCCAATTTGCAGTATCGATAGGGGACGCGATGAGTTCTCGGAACTCTTTAAGCCCTGCGGCAAGATGATGTGCAGACGCCTTGATGTATTTTTCCTTCTGGACTGACATCGGATATAGGGATGCGCGGTGAACAGCGGCTATAGCGAGAATCCCGTGCATAACGTACTTGTTGGAGTAACCTTCAGTAGGCATGACCACACGCCAAACATGGCGTGCATCTTCGCGTAGAGTCAATGTATTGGACGTCACCGTGCAGAAGAAATGCATCAGTTCCAGGTCAAGGCCCCAATCTTCTTTCTGGACCGGAGAATCCAATGATGAGCTCGGTAAGATTCCCAGGAATTCTAGCCTATTTTCTGACTCGGGCCTGATGTCTGGACTGTCAATCTCCCAGGGATAACTGCCATTGGGAGTCGGCGCATAGTTTCCAGGTTGCGGATGTGAATAAACTTGGGGGGAGTTCAGGGCCTGGGGCTGTGATTGTGTGGCTGGGGATACGCTTGAGACGGGTGACTCTGCCTGGTCACTGGGCGCAATATAGCTGCACTGAATAGCGTGTTTGACGCAATTGGTGCATGGATAACGCTCATCGCACTGCCCATGGTTAGAAAGAAGTCGGGAAAGCCGGGAGTTGGAAGACGAGAAAAAACCTTCAATCGGCGCGACTTGCATTCAGGGCAGCCATTACGCGATTTTCGATGTGACCTACGCGGCCCCATTATAGATAAAGAACATAGGAGCCTTGAGTAAGATTTTAGTAGATCCTGGACTCCGGAGTGGCAAAGAGTAGATAAAGGAACTCGAGTTCGAGTACGGACCCGGTTACGGATTCGGATACGGATGCGAGTGCGAATGCGCATCTCCACTATGCACGGAAAGAACCTTCCAGGGCCCACTTATGCCATGGGATAAAAAGGTCGGCTACGTATTTCGTATAGCCTTAGAGCATGACAGTTCGGACCTAAATGGATCATATAACTCCGAAAAGTTCGCAAACCACTTAACCTCAGTAAATCTGGGGGTTATATGCTATTTTGAGCTCCTGGTTATCCAAATTTTCCACAATACGACCCATTCTACTAAAGACTACTTTATACAATCTGGAATCGCGTATTGCGTATAGCCGCTCAGCCCACAGCCTGGAACGAGTGGATTTCGAGGTAAGAAACCGATTCCAACCCCCAACCTTGGCGCATTTAGGCCCGTTAGGGTGGCTGTAGCGACGGTTAAGCGATGGAGAATTTGATATGAAAATAGATCTATAAAACCCCTCGGCTCCTCTCGAAAGGATATCTCGCTAGGCCCAGATACACTTTTTCTCGCTCCTTTCTAGAGTGAGCCAGAGCCCAGGATGAACCACGATAATCTCTACGGGTATATCCCGTCCATTGTGGCGGGAGTCATCTTCATTATCCTCTTCTCTGGCACGACCTTCTTCCATGCTTTTCAATTGACCAAGGCACGATGCTGGTACTTTATTCCCTTCGTCGTGGGAGGTGTCTGTACGTTCATCACTTTTTGAACTTATTCATAAGCTACAAATCCTGACTTTTCTCTTCCAAATCTACAGTCCAGGTCATCGGATACATCTGCCGCGTCATCGCCCGCAATAACCTCAACTCCGTGGCCATTTACGCTATGCAATCGGTGTTAATCCTACTCGCGCCCCCGCTATACGCCGCATCGATCTACATGGTCCTCGGCCGAACAGTCACATACCTCAACGCCGAGAACCTGAGTCTCGTCCGCGTCCGCTGGTTGACCAAGATCTTCGTCTCGGGCGATGTTTTCTCGTTCCTCCTCCAATCCGCCGGTGGTGGACTCATGGCCTCTAGTAACACTAGCACTCGCCAAACGGGCTCCAACGTCGTCATTGGCGGTCTAGTCGTGCAGCTTCTTTTCTTCGGATTCTTCGTCGTCGTCGCTGCAATATTCCATCATCGCATTGAGAAGAATCCTACATCAAAGTCTCAGAACGAGCGCATGTCGACGAGGGCCCAGGGCTGGCGTCAGCGTAATTGGTTGACTATTTTGCTGGCGTTGTATGTGGTTAGCGCGTTGATTTTGATCCGGTCGATCTTCCGCCTTATCGAGTATAAGGGTGGGTTTGATGGGTATCTTATGACGCATGAGGCATTTGGGTATATCTTCGATGCCCTGTTGATGTTTATTGCCATGGTTGTGATGAACGTGTATCACCCCGCGGTGATTCTTGGGGATGGAAAGGGTGGCGGCAGACAGTACTCTGAGTACGGCGAGGATGTTCTGTTATAGAAGTGTTTGCATTGTTTCATCTCTTTTTATTATGGGACAGTCAATTGTTTGAGTATGGGCTATAGAATGGGGGAAATCCAACTTTTGTCACAGGCGAAAGCAAAAGGTATAAATCATAAAGGCAAGGCCATTCTTCCTTGACAGAAAGATCAAAAAACAAATTTTCAAAAAATCGTTTCTCATATCATCATGTATAAGGTCTGTATTCCACACTTCGGCGGACTTCGTAACTTTTTCGCACCAGACCAGTTCCCAGCCCATTGGCATAAAGGTCAGGCGGGGGTCGAGCAGCCGCCGAGCCTCGAGTAGAAACAGGCAGCAGGCTTGGCCCATAGTCTAGCTCCCCACTTCTCCGTGTTCGAGCCAAACTGATAATCTTTTCAATTTCAAGAGCCTTGAGTTGGCCTTCGCCACGGTCAGCTGCAGTGACAGGTTTATCTTTCCGAAACAGCCAATGTCGACTGCGGAGTGTTCCCGATCGGAAGAAATCTCCAATGTCGTCCACAGACAGCGCGACCAAAATAAGAGGGATTGAAATGGCGAATCCAATGCCGAAAGTATATCGAGCAACATATCCCAGATTCAAATTTTCGAACTCTTTCATGTTGATAGTGAAAATTGACGTGATGAAGGACAGTGGTAAGAAAATAATGGTGACAATGGTGAAGACCATAATTGTTTTGCTCTGCCGGGTCGTACCCGCTGCTTGGTCACGAGCGAAACGGGCTTCAAAGGCGTTGGCATGTTTTTGCTTGAGGTCAAGTAGATCCGTGATGGAGTGGTAGATACGCTCGGCTTGTTTGTCCATACGATCGATATCTTTCAGATGCATGTCGATCATGCGTTGTTGGTCTTTGAAGCGCTTCTTGACATCGACTTGGGAGGTTTGCTGTGCCAGGTAGATTGAGCAGATAACATCCTGGAAGTCGACTAGGACATGTTTCTGGTGCTCCAGGACAGTGCGGATCATGTTCAATTCATCTCGAATATCTTTCGTCTCCGCTAGCAAGTCGGTTTCTTCACCGATATCCAGCAGACGGTCAACGAACAGCGGTTGGCCATCGTCATAATAGTCTTCATCATCAGATAGATTGACCTCTTCCGCTGCGTCACGACCAGATATTGATCGGGCTGAGCTGCGCGACAAAGGATTCAGTTTTCGGTGGCTCTTCAACCAGGCAGATGCTTGCACGGAGGCATGATTGAAGCGGTTGAAGAGCAGCGTCTCTCGATCCGTGGCGATACCGATTGAGGACTCAAACATATCCAAGAACTGATACTCGTCGTCTCCAAGACGGTGGCGATCAAAGACACCCGAGCACCGGTTGGTAATGATAATAGCGAGGTCATACACCGACCTAACGGGGTCTCGAGTCTTGGAGTTGATATCCTCGATGATTCCATCCAGCACATTAAGAGGGTCATTCTTCGGCTGGTCCCATCGCTGCGGGAAACTGGTCACGATGAGGTTAGCTCCAAGAACCCACATCCAAAGTTGATCAACCATGAAGATTTTCGGATCTGTGCCTGGCCCGTCACGTCCAGGACCCTTGGTCTGATAGCGATATACCACTTGATCCTGATCACGGCTCTGGGTATCGATATTTGGATAGAAGAACTGATCTAGGGTTCGACGGACGTGCAGAGAGGTAGTCGACGAGGACAGATGCGCATCAATCAGCATCTCATCGCGCGTACGAACTCGCTTCATACCACTGGGCTGGAAACACAACGTCTCAGCTCGCTGAATCGCGTCTTGCATCTTCTGTCTGCGCTCCGCAGTCTCAAAATGCAAATACGGCATGTACACGCAGACATTGCACGCTGGGTTATGGCTAGCTTGAGGATCCCGGCAGAGAGACGATGAATGAAAAGATGAGCGTGCTTGTTTCTCCGTCGGACCCCATGGCGATTTGCTTTTGACCTCGGATTTGGGGGTTCCTGGGTTGCTTCCCGTTTTGCCGGGCTTCTTCTGTTTGTTTTTCTTCGCAGCCCCTCCGCTACTTTCGTCATGCGAATTATGGGACTCCACTCGGTCGAGTTTACTGCTGGGTCCCTTCTGTTTTCGGTACGTGGAGCTGGTGTCTGTCATGATTGATGGTGCAGGATCTGACTGCTGCCTTTCGATTTTCTCCTCTTCTCGCCGTTCAAATGAACGCGGCGTATGCTGGCACAAAGGCCGCATGAAGTGCGAGTGGATCTTTTGCCCGCGGTGCTGATAGTTGAATGATTTCTCGAGACCCTTGAAGCCATCGACATCATGCGCACCTTCTTCTATGAATGACTTGGTGAGAAGAGCCTCGACCCACGCCATGTTATTTGCTGGCAGATGGATCCAGCGAAATTCAGTCGCACGACTATCTGCTGGCACGGTAGTCACGGCTTGCTTGCGAGGATTCTCTGGATCTCGACCATAAAGCAGATTGAAGACCGACATTCGCTTCACGCGATTCTCATTGTGGAAATTGCCAAAGTCAACAACGGTGGCATCAAAGGCCGCACAGGCATCTTTCACATCATCGGACAGGGAGTCAACATTGTTGAAGGGCGCGAGGAGCAGAACAATATCTTTACGCTTGAACTGCGCCGCTCGCAAGAAAGGGGTGCTGCCAAAATTATCGCGCACTCGACGTTTCAAATCCGGCCGTTCCAACAGACACTTGACAACCTCGGTATGACCACCTTGCGCTGAAAGATGCAAAGGGGTCACGCCGTTCAAGAGCTGACTATTGATATGTGCGCCAGCACGCAATAAGATGCGAACGATTGCCTCGGACCCTCGCTCGCAGGCATTATGGAGCGGCGTCCATCCACCATCACTGCAAGCATTGACCGCAGCCTCATGCTGCAAGAGTAATTGAACGATATCCGCCCTATCATGCGCAGTCGCAATATGCAACGCCGTCTTCCCTCTCAGCTCGGCGGCATCGATATCCGCCTTGGGACCATCGGGTCTATTCAACAATAGCTCCGCAAGCTTCCAATTACCCTGAGCACAAGCCCAATGCAACGGCGTCCTCCCTAGCTCATCCTGCCCGTCAATCCCGTCGACCAGACAATCCGTCCTCAAAAGCAACTTGACAATCTCATCGCCCCATCCCCACCGACACTCCTTATCCGCCGCCAGATTATGCAGCACATTGCGCTTCCGATGGTCTCTCGCATTCACATTTGCCCCGCGCATAATAAGCAGCTGCAGGATGTCGGCATGGTTCTTCCACGCCGCTGTCATCAGCGCTGTCCGTCCCTCCTTATCTGTGGTATCCGGCGAGGCGCCGTGGTCCAGCAACAGACGCACGATCTGGTAGTGGTCGCGCTCGACGGCGCGGAGCAGCGGCGACAGTCGATTCCCCGTGACGTCTGTCTTTGCGCCGAGTTGCAGGAGAAACTCGGTCGCGGCGACAGATCCTCGCTCCGCGCTGCGCATAACGGCCACTCGCAGGAAGTTTTCGCTGAGTTGGTTGTACTCGCGGGCCAGTGCGATCACCGTGCGGAGGGCTTCGATGTCGTCGTTCTCGGCTGCCCGGAGCAGTCGTGGCTCCAGACGCTCGTGGCCGTCGCTGGCCATACTGGCGGTCCGGGCCATGCTTGGGGAGGGGGTCCCGACGGGGGTGTTCTCTCGGATTCGGACGGTCGGCCAGTGGATATTATTCGCTAGGTTGACTAGTTACTCCATCCTCCCCTGCTGTTTTGTGTGAACGGGGGTGGTTCCCGAGACTGGCAAGGATGAGTGAGCTGCGCGTGAAATACGGGGGACAGACAGTCCTTACGTTGAGGAAGTTTAGTTCAGATCTTCGAGGACCCGAGGTCACTCATTAGGTAAGGAAGAGATCTGCAGTAGTAAAGCAGATTGACCTCTCTGAGACCCTCAGTCCAGACGGGACGGTTTGAATTTGATTGCGGCAGCTATGGCGGCTGCGCCTCGTATTGCCTCCCTATTTTTCGGCGACTGGCCGCCACCCGTTAGCGTGTGGAACATTAGCACAGAGGACCCTTGAAATGGCGAATTCCTGTGCACTTTGCCGATGCCATTGTCCAGTTAGACGCTGGCACGCTGCCTTAGAAAGTGTAATGGTCAGTCTTAAGAAAAAGGGAGATCGCAAGTCCCAAGGTGTTGAACACAGTTTATACATCGGTGCATTGGTACAGTTCAGGGGGACCCGTGTGGTTCCATGGTTGATGGCCCTCCAAAGGGTAGAAAGACAACAATCACCACTAAATACTACTGGACACCAGACAACTACACAAAGCTACTAGTAAACACATCCTCTTTCTGAAAAGTACTCATAATCCAATAATCATACAACCTTCCATTATGCAGATATTAGAATCTCTATTCTCTATCGGGCGGTCTCCGACATATCTGAAGAAAAAAAAACCTATTACGAGAATCAGGGGGGAATCCAGCACACAGAAGGAAAATGAAAGACAGTAAGAAGAAAAAGACCAGAAAGGAAAGACCAAACAGAGAACCCGGTTCCCGCCCTCCGGTGATGCTGATGCTGATATGCTGAATAATTATGATGAAGGTGCTGTGCTCTCTCTCTCCATGCTTCTCGCCCATTTAATTAAAAGGTTGCTTTTTGTCCTCTTCGCAGCCCTGTGCATCACGCCGGTCCATCCTACCTCACAAATGTGCGCCTATTAACAAACAATCAAAAAAAAAGAAGAAACTTCGAAACGAGGGAGATCGGAAATCGAGAATTAAAGGGGTGGAGAGAACACCATTCCATTGAGTCACACGAGACAAGGGAAAGACGAACAACAGTCCAAAGCATTTAGTGCTTCTTCTTGTCCTTCTTGGGCACCTCCCTCAAGATGTCATCGAAACTCATGTTCGGGTTGAAGCGGCTAATGGGTCGAGTGGGAGGCTCAATAGGAGCAATACCAGCAGGGAGTGGCAGAGCCTCCAGACCTGGATAGATCGAGTGACGATGCTCAACACGCTGGGCAGCACCTGGAGAGCGCGTCCGAGGAATAGCTGGCGGAGGTGGGGTGAGGCCACCGTGAGGGTGACCCATCATTGATGGCGGGTGTGGTTCAGATGAAGAACCAGCAGAGGACTGCTGGCCCTGGTAAGGAGAGGAGATGGATGATTCATCTTCCTCGTATGCATCCTCAACCATCGGGGGCTCAATGAGAGCGCCGGCTTCGGCCCACTGCTCGGCCACTTGCCAGCAGTGGCTGCGTCGGTAAACACCCTCGACACCGTTGATGACAACGTCGGACGGAAGGCTGACCACACCAGCACCACCAGCAACACCAAACCACGCACGAGCAGTCTTGGTGTCATTGTGAATCCAGGGAGCGCCGCCGCGAGGGGCAATGCAGAGGAAGTATTCGACGCCCTCCGTAAAGCGAACCTCGGGAACGTCCACAACCAGCATGGGAAGAGATTGGAGCACAGCGTAAAGGAAAATCCACTGTCCGCAACGCAGTTCCAGCAGATCATCCACACTCTTGCCGTTTGCACATCGTCGCTCAAATTGGGTGAAGCTCTCGATGAATGGAGTAGGTCGCATGCTCTCACGGGTGTATGAGCCCATGAGGACAGCGTTGATGTCCGAAGCCTTGAGCTTCTTGGCGCGGTACTTGGCCTCCTTCTTAGCGTCCAGAGGCTTGCGGTGCAGCCCTTGCACAGATGGCAGTTGGGGAACATCGAATGGAATGGGAGGCGCAACAGGAGGGGTACTGCGGTCATACTCGCTCAGCACGTGGCGAAGAGCACGAAGCATAATCGCCTGGGGGTCTGTCGGGGAGGGGTCGCCACCGGGACCCGAGGAGTCGATCGTCCGGGTAGTCAGGTTGGTGCGATCCACGAGCAGATCGTATAGATCAGTGAAATCACCATACAGGTCCAGAAGGAGTTGGCGATTGAGTCCGCTTTCTTCGAATGCATTCTTCTTAGACCGAGCCTTGGGTGGCCAGGCACCGTACTTGTTGCGGTAGTAGTTGATAGTGAAGCGGCGGAACTCTTGGAAACTGGCCTTCCAATTCTTGAAACGAATGATCTTGCTTTCCTCGGACGAAGTCGAGTTGGCAAAGCCGGAGAAAACCGAGGGGAAATCAAAGTCCTCCAGCTTGCCATACAGGCCCCGCAGACGGGTATCCAGGTCGATGAAGCCACGCTCCAGGCGCTTTTGGGTGATCGGATGGATGAAGCCGTACTTCGGGCTGCGGAGCTGCTTCAGCTCATCTAGTTTGCCAACACCGTGAACGAATCCCTCCAGGTATAGTGGGTAGTAGCGAAGCCGCTCGCCTAACACAATAGCTTCGATCGTCTTCTCACGGCTCTTTCGCACATCAGCCAGGCGCAGTTCGTCGCAGTAGTTGCTGAAGCTGGAGGTAGCCGTTTCACCAAAGTTAGATCCATCCAGGTTGGAGAACTCAAATCGGGACAGCAAGACGGCCACATCCATGAAGATGCTGAAGAGGGATCCCGACTTGGGAGTCGCAATGAGGGATTGGCCCAGTAGGAAAGCAAACAAGTTGCGGAACAAGAGCAGGGTCTCCAGATCTTCTTGCGTGAGTTTCGAGTGTGGGCTAGACACGTCACTGTTCAGAGGAATGGGGAGGTACAGGTGCAGCTCCTGAACCTCATCGGGACCATCATCGACAAATGCCATCCGCTGGCTGCCCGAGCTATCATTGTCATCGTCGTCTCCTAACCGATCCTGCGGGGTCAACGGTGGTGAAATTGGGTTCTGGAGAGAAAGAGTGCGTGTGGAGTGCTCCAAGCCACTCTCTTTTGAGTCGGTGCCTCGAGCAAGGTACGTCAGGGAAGGAGACTCGGCGAAGATTGTGGAATCGACTTTGAACGAAGGCGCCCGGCCAGTGTTCTGAGGGAAAAGGTAGACGAATGTGTCGCCTTGCTCGTTCCACAGCTCGGCGATCTAAAAGCGGGAATTGTTAGCACGGGTTCTGGGAGTTATGATCCCGTACAGTTTCTCTCTTCTTTCTGTCCCACGTACCTGGCCGCCTCTTGACAAAGGTTCCATATCGTACACCACCTTCTGATCTAACCCGGCGATCCAGGCACTTGGTAAGGCCGGGGTTGGCATCCGCTTGTCCACCGAGCTCGCCCGCGACCGACCCATCATCCCCGGCATCCAACTTCTGCGTTTTGATGGCGTGCCCGGGCGCGAATCTGGCGTGGAGCCCGGGATGGCCAAACCGGCTGAACTGGAAGGTCTGGTCATATCGCGACCCCTGCTGCCGGGGCGAGCATCGGTAGGCGAGCTAGGCGCGCTGTTGGCCAGGTCATGATTCACTGCCAACAAGGATGGTGGGGGCGGGAGGCTTTCCAGGTCGAAATCCACGGGACCAGCATTCGGGACGGTCCTTGGTTCTGAGAAGACCGCATTGGGAGTCGAGACATGTCGAGTCGGTCGCGAATTGCTTCGTCGCCTCCTATCCTGAGAAAGTTCTGAAGAGCCATTCAATCCCGACGAGGCCGGCGAACTGGGCGCATTGTGTTCCTTGTGTGAACCCAGCGAAAAGAGGGAGGAGATACGCTTCGCCGATTTAACGGGAGCTGACAACATCTTTTCGGATGCCTCTTGGGGGCAGAGAACGAGAGGAGGATATTGGTGGAGGGGAGAGGAGGGGAGGAGGGGGTGGTGAGAGGGAAACGAAAGTGTGCTGAGCACCTCGAAGTTCAGGAGAAAGCGACGAGTTTCAGTCGGCTCGTTTTGGGTTGAAAGAGTGGACCAGGTCAGAGCCGGGGCGGAGCACAAGAGGGGGTAATGTCAAGCCTTGCGACGCATGGAAAGAGGAATGGGGAGGACGGATGATGCAGTTGAGAGCCGCCAGGTCGTGATCGAGGTAGTAAAGGGGATGAGTTCGGAGAATGGATCGGCAGGAGGGATTTGCAAGAATGGCAGGGAGACGGCGAGGGGAATGATGAACTACGGACAACAACCCAAACAGACCGACAATCGGAGAGAAAAGTAGAGAAAGTAGAGAAAGGTAGTTGAAGATGAAGGGGAAAAAAAGAAACAGAGACACCTTCACCAGATTTGGACTCTTTTCTTTTCAGGGGTGTTCCAGAAAAGTCAGATTGATATGGAGTTGACAATTTTTTTTTCTCTCATGAACTCTTGAATCTTTACAAGAAACCAGAGCCTTAAGCTAAAAACCACTAAAAATTAAAAAAAAAAAAAAAAAAAGACGGAGGGCCTTCGATCCGGTTCCTTTCCATGCCAATAATAGCAGCTCCGGCTTTGCTGGGTTCCCTGGCTGTGCATGTCTCGGTGGAGCCCTGCAGTGCGAAAACCTGAATAACATACGAATCATGAGCCCCCAAGAGCCCTTGTGCATGCTGACGGTTCTCCGATGCTGGAGAACGGGCATGACTATGTTGCTACTTTGTTATTTATTCAGATGATCAGTACAGTAGACGAGAGACGAACTGGTTGTCTGTTGATCTCTAGGATCATACTATATATAATTTGGACACTTTCCTGACCGAGGAGGAAACCCACCAGCTGATAAACTAACTAAATTAGCTAGCTCCTGGTACATAATCCGTTTTAGTAGCTGATGGATTACGGAGGACTCCATTCTGGGAGGCAGGTATAATTAATAATAAGCTATGGTGTATTATTGCGAAAAACATCTCCTTGAAAGTCCGAGAGCCGTGAAAATTAGATTGCGCCTCGACACATCAAATTTCTGCCTGGCAGCCTGGCGGCGGAGTATTTAGTCTCTAGTACGTACAGTAGGCAGTGGCACTACTGTATGAAGTATGTGTTGTATGACACGACAGCCCACTCGTCTCGATTAGGGAGATGGGCAATGTATCCACGTCCGACAAGGGCAAAAATTCACTAGCGAGCGGCAATTGCCTTTTGGTTCACATCACTAACTCGATTTTGGGTGTCAATCGATCCGCCTATCCAATTGGGGCTGATTGATATACTCCTAGAGTACCACGCTTGCCGCTTGCCGCTTGGATCCGACCGGGGGACTCCCGGGTTTCCGGAATACTTAGCTCGCAATAGACCTAGCATGAGGCTAGCAATAGTCAATAATAATACAGGAAGAATTTTCTTGAGGAATTGGCGCTAGTGGATTAAGAAGGCAAACCGAAAATTGAAGAACAATACGGCGGAGTAGAAGGGTAATATTTAAAAAAAAAAAAAAGATTAATTAAGAAACAGACTGCTTACGTCGTATGAAGGCCACCAACCTTAGGTGTCAATCTAATCTTACATACTTATTACGGTTTGAAGTAGTAGTCAGAGCACTGAGGCTTTGCGATTAATCTGACGCAAAGCATCGCACCATAATTTCTTGACTGTACATACAGTAGTAGTGGTGGCCTGAAGTATATACAGTTTGCGACAAATCATTACAAGCCAGTCTACCAGTAGTAGGAAATATACAGCGTATATCATCTCGGAAATATTTCGAAAACGTCCATGGATAGTACTAAGTATTAGGATCTTTAGAGAAGCCCTATGAAGTTTGAAATGGAAGAGAGTATAGAGTCTTAAATGGATCCAATGGCATCATTTTGTTTGCGGGTTCCTTGTGCCTGTGCCATTTTCTTTCCTTCCTTTTCCCCTCACCCAAAGAATCGCGTTTCCCGGTCCATCCTCCGGCCTTGTCAATCAGGCCCACGGTTCCATCAACGACGTTATCACTTGCATCATTCCCTACGCCTACTTTCTCGTATGATTCCAATTCCCTCGATCCCCCTTCCAGCCAATAATCCCCACCAGTCATGACTGCGCCTCCCAACCAACAGCCGCCCATCGATCTACTAAGCGGCTGGCCCAACCCCGCGCTCCTCCCCGCCCCCGATCTGCTCCGCTCCGCCACGACAGTCTTGACGACCCCCTCCATCGCACACCCAGGTTTGCTGTACGGGCCCGATGAAGGCTACGAGCCTCTGCGTGCCCACGTGGCCAAGTGGCTGGGTGCCTTCTACCAGCCTTGCAATCCAATTTCGTCCGGGCGCATTTGCATCACTGGCGGGGCCAGCCAGAACCTCGCGTGCGTCATGGCCGTCTTTACTGACCCTGTGTACACGCGCGGGGTTTGGATGGTCGATCCAACCTACCACCTCGCTGGCCGTATAATTGATGATGCAGGCTTTGCTGGGCGGGTTCGAGGGGTCCCTGAGGATGACGAGGGGATAGACCTCGCCTTTTTGAAGAGCGGATTACGTGCGGCGGAGGAGAAGGCGCTTGCCAAGGGCAACACCGAACCGGTATCGCCCTGAAAAAGACAATGGATACGGCAGTCTGCATCTGCTCCTCGACAAGCAGAAGCAGAAGCAGACTGGGGTATCGATGTCACATTCTCACCATCCACTGAACTTATCTCAGATAAGCTTCAGAAACCAATCGTGACACCCCGACTGATACATTTCTTTGTACATCCGCAGAAATTCAAACCACACCGGCCCTGGCGCAAGATCTACAAATATATCATTTATGCGGTCCCCACGTTCGCCAATCCTTCCACCAAGGTTATGTCTTTGGGTCATCGAGAGGATTTGGTTCGACTGGCTCGAAAGTACGATGCCCTGCTAGTAACCGACGACGTCTACGATTTCTTGCAATGGTCACCGACTCCTGGGGGTAAGCTGGCTGCCCCCGAACACGCATGCCTCCCCCGCTTAGTAGATGTGGATCGTTACCTGGACGGTGGCCCTATCGATGAATGGGGACACGCAGTAAGCAATGGTAGCTTCAGTAAATTGCTCGGTCCCGGGCTTCGCACCGGATGGGCCGAAGCATCCGAAAAGATTGCTTACGGGTTGTCACAAGTGTATGTTTTGCGTCTCTTGTGCTTCTAGTGTCCCTTCTTTTTGGCTAGTTGCAAGTCGTTCCAGAGGGACCTGCATACAGTCGGTATATACTGCGCATGATTGGAGTAGAGTATCCGGTTCACGCACGCTTGATACTACGTCATGCACCATATTCCTTGGAACTTCCAGCTAACATGATATCGACTTTTTAGAGGCTCCTCGCGCTCCGGCGGCGCTCCTTCTCAACTCTGTTCAACAATCATTGATCAACTACTCCCTTCTGGCACTCTAGACAACTACATCCAAACAGTATTGCAGCCTGCATATTCAGAGCGGTATTATGCGCTACAGGGAGCAATCCAGGAATACCTAGTCCCACTCGGAGCGACGGTTGCTTCTCCCGAGACCGTTACAGGCGGATATTTCATCTGGCTCACCCTACCAACGCCACTGTTAGCGGTAGATATAGTGCAGCGCGCGCAACAGGAGGAAAACCTACGCTTAGCGCCTGGCACACTATTCGAAGCTGGTAGCCCACAACCGCCAAGCGACCGGTTTGCTGGCTGCCTGCGCCTGTGCTTTGCGTGGGAAGAACCGCGTCACCTGACCGAGGGGGTGCGTAGGCTCGCTCGCGTCCTGAAACATGCGCTTGAGTAGCTCAGAGAGCTTGCCTTTTCGGTGCTCGAGTTAACTACCAAATTGGGAAAATTGACTCTCAAATCGCCACTGGTGGTGCTCGAAGGTGGCCGGACCGTCCCGGGCGAAAGAAATAAATGTGGACGAGGACGCGTGGCAGGCACATTAAAGGCAGCAATATATACATATTGGGGGGATAGTACAGCCTCCCGGTGCCACTGCCGAGACATACTAGTCTACTACTACTACTGCTACTAGTGTAGTAGCATGAGAACAATAAACTGAGAGATACTAACGATCATGATGTTCTGGAAGGATAGGTGGGAGTACATATTTTGTGTAGTACTTCATGTGAATGCTGTGCCACAAGGCTTACGAAATGAAGAAGTAGCACGCAGGTTGAACCGCGGTTGGCGATTGATTCGCCTTGCCTAAGGAACTGTGGTTCGCCAACCAAGGTACTCAACTGTAGTTACGCAAGATCCGAGCTTCGATTTAATAATCTACGGTAATCGGTCGATACTATCATTCCGTGCTCCAATGGCGGCCCTGGCAGGGATCAGATTAGTCAGGCTGGTCCCGTGGAACGAATGTTTACTGTGAGTGCTGACCAACCTCCAGTTTCGTCCAAGGAAGGCAACTGACTCGCGAAAAAAGATCTTCTCACTTGTGACAAGGATCGTACGCACCTCGCAATTCCCTAAGTTCGGAGAGAAAGCGTTCACTTAGTACCTGCTACTGGCCACTGGCGACAGCTGCAGCCGCGCTAACTACCGCTAGGGCGGGTCCCCCAAGGCTCAGGGGCCAACAAAGCTTGGCCAGTCGTGATGATCTACCCGATGCAGATGGCGCATCTGCACCCGCAGCAAGTCCGAGACAGCCGGAAGGAGCCTAAGAGGAAAAGGCGTCTAGCCTAGCCCTTTGATGAGAATTCCTTTGAGAAAGGCGGGCATTGACAGCCTCCTCCTTCGTCATCAGGAATCTCCCTCCGTTGCCGCCCGCGCCGGAATGTTAATCCATAACAACCGGCATCCCTGACAACAGACCCTCTCAGTGGGAGTCTTGACCGCGAGGGCTCTCTGGCCTTGACGCGACCAAGTAGAAAGGTCAGTCCTCCCGCGACGCTGAGAGCACCCAGGTATGATCGCTGGTGCCGAGCAACACTGGCCGTGGCGAGAATGGACAACTAGCGCACGCGTTCTAGGCCAGTAATTGCACCGTTGGTATCATTGCTTGCTAACTGATGTTGCTGAGATCCCCTTCTCCCCTGATGATCCTGTTCGACAAATCAAATCAAATGATTCAGTGCTGGTCTCCCGTCCCTCTGCCTTGTTCAGTCGCCTTTGTGACTAGGGGAGACTCCACTATCACCAGGGCATTATACTAGAGGAGGAGAGGGGGGACATACCAGAGGCGCTGACCATGTTCGCGCCGTCCCACATCCCGTACATTGCTGCCATGGAAGATGTGCCAGGAAAATGGTTCCCCCCTCCCCTCGAGGCATCCGACGCGACAGCTCCAAGTCCATGCGGACAGGAACCTCCAGATGGATGGAATGGATGATCCGGCATACCCTGTTTTGGCAGAGGAATCGCGATCCCCTTGGCAGCCACCGTGTTGGTATTCGGTATATAGCGCGTAGAGACCCCATAGACCTCTATTTCGGGACTTTGACTTGCCCTGCTTCTTGACTTGCCCTCAGGCTTATACCCAATCTTATCCTTTTGGGCGGGTTTCCTTGAGATCTTCATCTCCACTGGGCATTCAACAGTATACCGGTATATACTGGCTCCCTATCGATTCGCCCACAGTTAAAGTCTGCGGCTGGCTAGACCCAACTTGAAGAAAATAGTGAGCCTGTGGCCACTCCTGCTCATTTGACGACCTCGTCTCCCGACCCGCGGGTTGTTTCCACCAGTGAATCTGCAACACTCGGCTTTGCGATCGCCTCCTCCCAGTGTTTCATCCCCGGCAATCACGTTTCAAGCTTCGGCGTCGTTACGCCCTCGGGGCTGTCTGATTGGGTGGTGCTGGTGGATTTCAGGGCGTTTTGTTGTGTGATTGGCGCCGTGGAAAGTGTTTCAGGGACGATACGTGCAGATTACGGCGGAAATACGCGAAGTTGATTTCCATACGGATCTCAGACTTACAAGGTAAGTGCCGCCAGCATCTCCTCGAGGCCTTCTCTTTTATTCTACGTTTTCTTTGATCTATTGTTTGATTGTTACCTTCCTTTCTACTTTCCCTTCTTCTTTTGCCCCTCTGTGGTGTTGCCTGGTGCTTCATCTGGGCAGCTTCCGTCTAAAAGCCCATTGTTGTTTTTCACTCCTTTGTTTGCGGGTCGAAGTATAGATCCACTGGGTTGGTAGTGCGACGACTATTATCGACTATCAGACCAGAGTCAGAGCTGCCTTCGCATCCAATCCCTTCTTTCTTGCTGGAACGGAGTCTACAATTGTTGCCTTCCTCAAATCGCTCCTTCTTGACAACCCGCATTCCCACTTCCATTTCTCCTGCCGACGCCTGCTGGTTCAAGCGCCGCCAGGAATTCGCATCTTTTCGATATTCACTACAATCATCAGTACTGGTTGCTGAATTTCGCTCTCTCATAGGGATCCCAACTTTCAATTTTAACGAACAAAACACGTACGCATTAGCTTCGCTGCAGGTTCAGTGACTAGCTATCCTAGAAGATGGCGCGTTTCCAAACTTCCATCATGATGTTCTTCGCCCACCTCATTCTCTTGCTGGGTCTCCCGACTGCCCTGGTTGGCGCTATTCCTATGACGCCTGCCCCCGATACGTTGGAATTGGCTGCGTTCAAGCGTGCTGCATCCAGCTATTGGGTGGGAAATATCAAGCGTCAGGGCACTGTGCCATTCGCTAGCTCCACTGACTATCAGGTGTTCCGTAACGTGAAGGACTTTGGCGCCAAGGGTGAGTGATGAGAGGGTATTGAACATATATTCATCGCAAATCGCTAACCATAAGATAACAGGTGATGGATCTACTGATGACACCGCGGCAATCAACAAGGCCATCTCCTCTGGTGGCCGCTGTGGCAAGGGCTGCGACTCGTCTACTACGACCCCTGCCCTAGTCTACTTCCCGCCTGGTACTTATGTCGTTTCGAAGCCCATCGTGCAGTACTACTACACCCAGATCGTCGGTGATGCAGTTGACCTGCCCGTGATCAAGGCTGCTGCTGCCTTCGCTGGCATGGCAGTTATCGATGCCGATCCTTACGAGGACAATGGCGACAACTGGTATACCAACCAAAACAACTTCTTCCGTGCTATTCGCAATATCGTCATTGATCTTACTGCTATGCCCCAGGGTTCTGGAGCTGGTATTCACTGGCAGGTCGGTCAGGCTACTAGTCTGCAGAACATCCGATTTGAGATGATCAAGGGTGGCGGCTCTGCCAACAAGCAGCAAGGTATCTTCATGGATAATGGTTCAGGTGGTTTCATGTCCGACCTGACCTTCAACGGCGGTAACTACGGCATGTTCCTGGGTAACCAGCAGTTCACTACGCGAAACCTGACCTTCAATGGCTGCCAGACTGCCATCTACATGAACTGGAACTGGGCCTGGACCTTCAAGTCTGTCAACATCAATGACTGCCAGGTCGGCCTCAACATGTCCACTTCGCCTTCCAACCAGACTGTTGGCTCTGTCATGATGCTCGATAGCAAGCTCACCAACACCCCGACTGGTATCGTTACTGCTTGGACCAAGAATAGCATCCCTGCTGGTGGTGGTACTCTCGTCCTGGATAACGTCGATTTCTCTGGCTCCACTGTCGCGGTGGCCGGTATTGATGGCAACACCATTCTGGCTGGCGGCGCTGTGGTTGACAGCTGGGTGCAGGGCAACACCTACACCCCTTCCTCTTCCGTCTCTGCCAAGCGTGCTTACCGCCCCGAGGAGGATAATGCTGACACCGAGGTCGTCACCATTGTCGAGACTGTTGTGCAGACTGTGACGGCGTGTGCTGCCACTAATGGTGCCGCGACCCTCGCGACGAACGCTGCTTCCAGCTCCAACACCCACGTCACTACTCCCATTCTGCCTTCGGGCACTGGTTCGGGCGATCGCTCTCTTGGATCGCAAGCTAGCATTTCTGCCCCCACCTTGTCTGGTCTTCCCGGCATGGACAACAGCTGGCTGTCTGTCTTTGTTGGCTCGTCCGAACCGACCGACGAGGTTACTGTTCCCACCTCTCAAACCCCTGCAGCCAGTGAAGAGCCCTCTGCTACTGTTCCTGCCGCTGGCGAATCCACAGCTGCTATTGTCGCGGGATCTAGTGAAGCGACTACCGTTCCTGAGACCAGCCAGGCCGTCCCAGCAGTTGAGACCTCCAGTGCTGTTCCCGTTGCTCAGTCAACCCCCGCATCTGGCACCTCGAGTGCTGTCTCTCAGGCCACTGGTTCTAGCAGTGGTTCGGGAACGTGCAGGAGTGATGCTAACCAGGCTGTCGCCTCTGCTCGCACCCAGAGCACCATGAAGGCCAGCTCCAAGCCCGGTGACCTTCTCAGTGGTGGCGCCGTTTTCGAAAAGTCAAAGCCACTCTACGAGTCTCTCCCCGCTTCCTCGTTCATCAGCGTCAAGTCTGCTGGTGCCAAGGGTGATGGAACCACCGACGATACCGCTGCTCTCCAGAAGGTGCTAGACAGTGCCACCTCCGACCAGGTTGTTTACTTTGATCACGGTGCGTACGTGATTACCTCGACCTTGAAGATTCCGAAGGACATCAAGATTACCGGTGAGGTTTGGCCCATGATTATGGCCCACGGCGCCAAGTTCCAAGATGAGAAGAACCCAATTCCCGCTGTGCAGGTTGGTCAGCAAGGCGAGTCTGGATCCGTCGAGCTGAGCGACTTGATCATTACCACCAAGGGCGCTGCCCCCGGTGCTATTCTTATGCAATGGAACGTCGCCGCCTCCTCGCAGGGCTCGGCTGGCATGTGGGATGTCCACATTCGCATTGGTGGTGCTGCCGGTACTGGCCTCCAGAGTGATACCTGCCCCAAGACTCCTGCCAAGCAGACTACTCCTAAGGCTGAGTGCATTGCGGCGTTCTTGCTCTTGCACATTACCGAGAAGGCTAGTGCTTACATCGAGAACTCCTGGATGTGGACCGCTGACCACGAGCTCGACCTGGCCGACCACGATCAGATCAACGTCTACACTGGCCGTGGTGTTCTTGTCGAATCGCAGGGCCCGGTTTGGCTCTGGGGCACTGCTTCTGAGCACCACCAGCTGTACAACTACCAGGTGTCGAACGCTGCCAACGTTTTCATGGGTCTGATCCAGACTGAGACCCCGTACTACCAGTCCAATCCCACCGCATTGGTTCCCTACACGCCTCAGGACTCCTGGAATGATCCCGATTTCTCGACATGCACAACGGCCTCCTGCAAGAAGTCCTGGGGTCTGCGCGTGATCAACACCTCTGATCTGTTCATCTACGGTGCTGGCCTCTACAGCTTCTTCGAGAACTACGCGCAAACTTGCTTGAACACAGAGGACTGCCAGGAGAATATGGTAGAGGTTGACTGTTCGGATGTTCACATCTACGGTCTCAGCACCAAGGCTGCCGTTAACATGGTCACCTCGTCCGCAGGCAAGAGCATGGTCCCCCAGAAGCCCAACACAAGTAACTTCTGCTCGACCATTGCTCTTTTCGAGCAGTCTGTCTAGACCTTTCTTCCTTTCTCTCCTGTTCTCGCCGGATGGTTTGGTCCATTCTTTGCTTTTCTTTAATGATTTCTTCTTCTCTTTCCCCTGAGCCTTCTTCTATAGCTCATCTGGAACCTGTCTCTTCGCAGGATTCTGATTGTCACTTTACTTTCTCTTTCCTAGACTTTTTGTACTGCCAGTGACTATCATGTCATGGAATTGGATGAGTTTGGATAGGTGGGAAAATCAAACACATAGTTAGTCGATCAAGACAGGGTTCTCGTTGGGAGGTTCGCATCTCGGGATTCTACTTGATACCATGGGAAGTATTTTTTGGTCGATAGGGTTCTCGTTCTTCTCGTTTTATGAGAGTCATTAATAGACATTTCATTCCATATAATGATACCACATTGTAAAAAGTCTCATCTGTAAGACATCATTTCCTGGTAGTGAGGAATAATCATCTGGGCTAGCGACTTCAGTCAAGCTCTCCAAAGATATTTCACAATTTGTGCCAGGACTGGAATAAAAGTACACGAATAGTACAGTGGCAGTTCAAAAGTCTGAGTCTAGAATTCAGAAAAACCACCCAACAGATATTCTTCCACTTTTCGATTTTTGAAAGGTCTTTTTAAAGGTCATTTCAATCGTCTTTCATGAGAGCTTAGACATCAACTTTGAGCCTATTAACTATTCAACTTGTGAGTGATTAACAAGATGATTCTGAACATTGGTCATAGTTTCAAACTTATGAAACCCCACTGTATCCACAGCACGGAACATAGGCAGGGACGGGATGATCATGTCAACTCTACTCTGCGGCACTTAGCTGAAGATGTTATCCATATGAAGTATATCTGTCGCTCCGATACTCCCCAACATGGAGAAGAATTCCGAGTCCGGCGTCGGGAGCTCCTCAAACACACTTCCTTCACAAAAGACCTCCCCCTGATCAACATCGTTGCTCATGTCTTCCTTGCGACTGACCAAAGGCGCCGACCGCTGAGTATATGATCGCTGACTCGTTTCAACAACCTTTTCCAATACACGCAAGGTACCCCAGATAGTCATATCTGGGTCTTTGACGTAGCTCTGCGCATCGCTGAGGATTTGCACGGCTGTTTCAAAATGCTTGCTACACAGCGGGCCATACTCGTCTGGACAGTGTGAGACGGCAAACATCATGATAGATAGCGAGGAAAGAAGCAATTTGAGCATTGTGGGTAGCATGAGGGGACTGATTTCGCCGGCGTCGACCATTTCCATGTGCAGATCGATTGATTTTGCGGCTGCCGTCACGAGAGTATTAGTTGAGGTTGTATTTGAGATGAGATTTCTTATTGAACCGGATGCGCTTATTTGTGTGAAAATTTTGATGTGGTGCACGCGAAGGAGGCAGAACTTTTTCAGTCCAGCTTGAAGCCATGGTGGTGGGGTTATGGTTGGCTCTAGGGATTTGAAGTCCTCTGCTGGTATCTTGTCAACGAGTTTTTGAAGTTGGAAGTTGAGGAATTCAACTCGTTCCTCGTTGTTTTTGGGTTGAGATGACGGGATGTTGACGATAGTCCATGTCTCAGAAAGGTTTCTGTCCAAGGAGATCATGGTTGATATATAAGAATCTGTCGGTTCCTAGACCGAGAGAAAGTGTCAGAAGATCATAGTCGCGTGGACTGATTTGTGCTGGTAGAGAGCCTTACTACTGTGAGCGAAGAGACGTTGATTTCTGTATCATGAAGTGTCCACGGCAGGCCTGAATAGAAGCTCCACTGCCTTTCAAGCCGATAAACACTGGCGAATATATGCTTCCACTTGGTATTCCACCGTGGAAGCACCCGGGAATCTTCAAAAAATCTTTCTCGATGGAGACCAAGTTCGAGACATAGCTTGGCAGCTACCCCAGCCATTCGCCATGCCTTGGTTGTTCTGTGCTTGAGGCCTAAATAAATTGACTGTTTAGAAGCCAGGGTTGCCCCTCGGTTAATAGCGAGCATTTGTGACTAGAGACGGACATCATCTTACCAGTAATGTTGCCATTACAATATCCTCAACCTGGGGCTTCTCTTGATCGAAACAAGAGTCCACGCTCCAAACCAACTGTCCTTCAAGATCAGAGGATAAAGGGCTTTGCGTGTCATCTCTGAGCAGCAATGCAATTGCCACAACCACTTTCGTGATTTCCACATCAATCACATCCACGTTGAGAATAACCCCGTGAGAGGTGTCCTTCAACAGTGAAAAGACGTCGTTGATAACTTCATTGCCAAGGTCTAAACTGACGCAAGGATAGAAAGGGCAAACCTCATCCTTGAATATTGCAAACAGTTGGACTACCTTCTCGTGACCAATTTCCAGCAATGGTCGTGCGGCTTGCAGTAAGTTGATCAGAGTATCAGGAAATTTTAACTGGTCTCGAGTGACTGGATGAGGGCCAGGTTCAGAGTGTGGAGGAGAGAGCAGGCCCCTTTCTCTCATCGCATCTTGTGTGAGGCTTAATGTATGTCCAGGATCCGTCGGAGTGAGAGGCTTATTTGGCTGGGGAAGCTCGTCGTTCTCTTGTCTTCGTTGTAGATAGGAGGACCTTCGTGGAGGAGCGAGACCAAAGCTGCTGATGGAGTGTTGGGTCTGGTCACATATCTTGCTCATTTGCGAGACCGTGACTTCAGAGCCTCGACGGGCCGGCTGTGAGTCGAAGCCGCTGTGCAATGATTAGATTCGACGCATCAATAACTGAAATGATAATCACTCATATCCAGGGGTGCTATACCTAGCGGCTTCGGGCTGGAACGGTTCGTTGTAAGTACATTGGCTGTGAAGCTCCTCACATCGATTACAAGGTTGGTTACCGCTGCACTTGACCTTTCGGACCTTGCATAGTGAGCTATCACAGGGTCAGCAGACTGTCCTTGTAGTTGAGTCAAAAAGGCAAAAGTCACCAGGCCATCTTTGCATATTTCTCCCTCTTTCGGGGCCGGGACTCCCGAAGCGCATCCGGCGACCTCTTACCACGAGACGGAGCTGAAGATGTAGCAGCTTTCATGTTGCCATAGGCGTGAAAGATCAAGATAAGACTTGGAAGGCGTGATCAAGGGGATGAGCCGCTACGTTCGCTTTTAGAGAGGCACTAGATCTACACTCCCCGCACTCCTCACGCGGTATAACGAATGCGGACTAGTCATTCATGATGCGTACCAATGGGTACCCAGAGGGATTCTGGAGTTCCACGAAAAGCGTGGGGCAGGAGTGGGGACAGCATTGTAAGTCTGTAACAAGAGCCCATGGCAACGAAGCCAGGCTTTACCCCGCACAGATGGCGATTGGAAAGGAGCCAGGGTCAAGAAGACAACCCATAATTACCGGGATGGATTGCCATCGGCAAAGGGTAAAGTTAAAGGGTGCCGATACTGATGCTGATTGGACTGTCAATTCAGGGTGGTTGAATTCGTCGAGTCAGGATTCAGGTCGGATCTCGGAGATAAAGAGTCCGGCCGTCCGCCGCTTACATAATCTTGCCATGGTACACCGCCTTTTGCGGTCTCCTGCATTTAGTGGATCAGCACCTGAAGACAGCATCATGAACTCGGTTAGTCTATGGGTCTCTGAAACCTTCCCTGCTCAGGTTCTTGATCGCCAACCCGATACCCACAATCAAGTCTTGCCTCCTGTTTGACTTTGTCGTTTCTGGAGTTGCGTAAATGCCTTCTCCCCGCCTCCCTTTCTCGCTAGTCAATTGAACCTGTTGATATCTCTCTTCCACCCATGAAGCAGGCCTATCCTAATCATTTAGAGTCCCTTCTTTTGAGAAGTATAAAAATTTTTTTTGCTCCCTAAATATTTGCAACGAAATTCTGCGTCTTTCGGATACGTTATTGTGTTGGGATTCCAAGGAAATGGAAGTTGACGGATTTAAGGTAGCAACACAAGAATATCGAATGAAATGAAAGGGAACGCCATCCTTAGATGATAACATTGGATAAATGCCAACAATAATAGGCCCAGCCTGTGTAGATATCTTTTGGCTACTTGGAAACCTTCTAGCCAGAGCGGAATACGATGCATCCTCTGGACATGTGAATGATCTAGTTAAGTTCCAGGCCAATATCTTAGAACATAGAAAAATGAATGACCTTTGAATTTTCAAAGGCTGGGAATTCCCCACATAGGTCATAGAGACCGCGGAACTACTACCCATCTTTCACAGACATCATCACCACCAAATGTTCCTATTTTTCTATCATTTCTATTCCAGACAAGCTTCATTATTTAATTTACACAGCAAACCTATGAGAGCTAGAAAGTACAGTTCCACGGAGTTCCTAAGCTGGAAACTCGCCGTCAAACTTACACCCCACCACGGCAAGATTCCGAGTTCCGCGGAAGCTACGATAGCTGCTTGACATCAAGATAGTCAATGTCAAGTCAATGTCCATGCTGAGTACAAGTACATCGTCCATTCCAGAGATATCTGATCGATCACATCTCAGAATCTAGAGCCTGCGTTTTATCTCTTACGAAAGACCAGTCCACGAGGTTACTACATCATGGCCGGACCAAAACTTGACTTTGGGGGATTTCCTATTCCATGGACACCTACCAGCCGACCTGAAGATGAAACGGATATGTATCCCTACAGGAAGCAGACTAGAAATACTAGAACACTTCCTGTAGGCTGGAGATTCGCAGAGGGCAGACGCCCCTTTCACCAGGAAACTATATTTGACGAGGTGGTCGAGATTCCGCTCAGAGACGGTGTCAAGGTTTGTCAAAACCCAGAGTCCTGCTAAAACTATACTAATTTATGCTCTCAGATCTACTGTGACATTTTCAGGCCTGTCACAGATACCAAAGTTCCGGCTATTTTGGCTGTGAGCCCGTACGGTAAAAACGGACACGGTATGTAGCTGACGACATTATGTGAAGTTCTAGCAGACCTAACGGTGATATCTGTGCAAGGGTTTCGCATTTTCGACAACATTCCCTTCCGACTTGGACTGCCCGCGAGCGCCACATCTGGCCTCGAGAAATTCGAAGGGTAAACAAATCTTCATCGACGGCCGCCAGAGAGAACGTGCTGACCACGAGACATAGACCTGATCCTGTTGAGTGGTGCCCCCGAGGTTACGCGGTCGTCAACGTAGACATCCGAGGTACCTGGGATAGTGAAGGTAATCTTTATATCGAAGGAAGCCAGATGGGTAAGTTGCTGCTCAATCATTAAAAAATTACTTCAGGCGATTATTAACAAAAGATAGGCGTGGACGGCTACGATACAGTGGAATTCATTGCAGCTCAACCTTGGTGCAATGGTGCCGTCAGCATGTCCGGCAATTCCTGGCTGGCAACAGAGCAGTGGGCAACCGCCATCGCGAAACCCCCATCGCTCAAGTGCATCGCACCCTGGGAAGGGTTCACGGACAAGTACCGTGACTTGATCTGTCGTGGTGGCGTTCCGAAAAATAATTTCGCTTCGTTCATCTTCAATAAAACGATTCGCGGCCGAAATGATCGTGAGGACATTGGCGAAGCGCTCAACAAATGGCCCCTTTTCAACGGTTACTGGGAAGACAAGGTCTACGACACCAGTAATTTGACACTACCGATCTACGCACTCGTCAGTTATTCTTCCGGAAATCATGGGTCTGGTACCGTGAGAGGCTGGAACCAGGCTGCTTCAAAGGACAAATGGATCCGTTTCCACCCGACCCAAGAGTGGTTTGATCTTTATACCCCGAGGTATATCGATGACCTGCAACGGTTCTTCGATCGGTATCTGAAGGGCATTGAAAATGGGTGGGAAGAAACTCCCAAGGCTAGGGTCTCCATTCTCACGTATGGAAATCGGTTCGAGCCTGTGAGTTGATGTGAATACAGCATCTGAAAGCCATCTGACATGTTTCAATAGGGACCCATGTGGGACGTTCCATTTGCTAATTACCCTATTCCGTCGACCGAGTATCGGAAGCTCTACTTGCAGGATTCTGGAAATTTGGCCACCTCACTGCAAGCCCACGAGAGCTTTGTCGCCCATCACGCGGACAGCTACCAAGCAAAGCCGTCTGAATTTGTGTTGACCTTTGACAAAGCGACCAGCCTTGTTGGTCACTCAAAAGCTGAGCTTTGGATGTCTTGCAAGGACAAGGACGATATGGATGTCTATGTGTCCATCCGTAAGCTGAGCAAAAGTGGCGAGGTGTTAGAACACGTCAATGTCCCCTGGGAATCTCTGCCAGAAGGTGTCAACACCCAACATGACGTTCCGATGGCGCAGACTGTCAAGGTGAGCAGCTCAATTCAAGAACACACATTACAGAGTTGCACGGTGACAGCGCACTGACAAGGTCTATGATTTAGTACACCGGCCCAACGGGTATTCTGCGGGCTTCGCATCGCGCTCAAGTTCCCGAACGGAGCACCGCCATGATTCCGTACCACCCCCATGACAAGGAAGAAAAGGTACCCCCAGGAGAGATTGTGAAGCTTGAAATTTCTCTTTGGCCGATGGGTATTCACTTCGAAGCAGGAGAGAGCCTGTTGTTCCGTGTCCAGGGTTTCATTGATACGAGCTCTGATTTCCCTAGCCACATTGATAAGAAGCTCGACAATCTGAACGAGGGACGGCACACAATCCATTTCGGTGGGAAGTATGACTCAAAGGTCATCGTGCCTATTATCGCCCTCCCAGCACAATAAAGTGGTTATCACTTCCGATCAATCGCGGACTTTGGACTACATTTTCCAACTCATGCTTTTTTCATTAGCTTGTTTCAGTTCTTCAGAAGAGCGTGGTATTTTTGAAATGGCTGAACTCCTTGATCAACCTGCAGAGCTCGCGCTCCATGCTCAAGGTATTAGCGCCTCTATCATTAGACAGCTTATTAGAAAAGACTATTCAATTCAATTCATTGTTTGATTTAGGGATTAAGAGGCTAACTTCTTATCGCAATGCTAAACTGTATAGCGGTATCATTCCGACGATGCCAAAGCCTTTTTCTAGTTAGCAAAGATAAACAAATCACCTAGATTGTGGAACACGAGATGAATGTAGAATACAGGAGAAATCTCTCTTACGAAATCTTATGAAGTCAAACCTCACTGATCCACCATTCAAATCCACAACATCTAGTAATATGGACACAAGCTCTCCAATTTCCGAGGTGTACAAAGAAGTATCGACGTAAAGGAGGAGGTCAAAGAGACCGTTCATTTTGGCCTTTTCGCTGGCTTTGATGCGTATTACTTCTGCATACCTCTTATAGTACTCAAGAGATATTCCAGATCTCAGAGACACATTGAGTATAATTAAGATGGAGAGTTCAATTATTGACATCATATCGGGTAGCTGGAGTAATTAGATCCCGTCTTTTTCCTCTCCAGCTTTTCATGGCCGGTTCGTGTAAATGTAGTTCTCCACAGACGTTCGTAATTTCCCATAATGTCTACTCGACTACTCTCCGGTCTCTCTATCCAGATCCCAGTGGACATATCGCATTACACGCCCTTTGAGAGTGGCATGACGAATCTGCTTGCCCCAGATGTACAGAGGAATCCATAGCGCCAGGATGATGAAACTAAAGCCTGCCATGGCCCCAAATGCTCCTGCATATCCATCCCGGTCAACCCATGGATTTGCGTAGAAGGACATGAGAAAGGTGATAAAAGCTGGAAGGGCGGTTGGTTAGCATTGAAGGCTCTGCAGAATTATTATACGGGCGAATAACTTACATTTAAAAACAACCTGGCTTACTACAACCTCCCCAGCAATTGGTCGGTAGCAGTCAATTGTATAGACCACAGTAATACCAATCGCCGCACTACTGCCGAATGAGACTGGGAATATCAAGTTAGTAATTCGCTTCTGTTCGACACATGCTGATGTAAAAGTCTTACACAAAAATATTCCCAATGTAGGGACAATCCAATGAGCCTTGTAATTGATGCCCAGACCATAGAGAAGAAGTGATCCCGGGTAGGTAATCATAGCGATGCTCACTGCGGGAAGACGCATCTCCGGCTCTCGAACACCCCCATTCTTGGAAGTGGCACGGTTGGCGACCCAATCAGAAAAATAACCGCCGAATGGTATGCCAAGTAGATTACCAACAATACCTGCAATCCAGACCAATCCCACTTGCCAGACTGTGAAGTCGTATACCTGCGAGAAAGCTGTTGCGGCTGTGGTGCCTAGCACGACAAAGATCCCGATTCCTATTCCAAACGAGACCGTGGACCAGAAGACTGGCGGCAAGAAAAGGATAAGAACAGGGCGAATGGCAATTTTCCAAATACTCTCGTGGGTGAGAGGAGCACGATTGAACGCCATTCGCTGAGTGAAGGATTTCTTGGGAGTGTTGGAAACCTCGACGTGCTCCACTTCGGCCACATTAGAAACTTTCTCGTTTGCAACTTCCTCTGTTCGACCGAGATCCCTTTGAAATGCAGTCTCGGGCATGGTGAAGAAAATCAGTACCGTTGTGGCAAGAACAAGCGCAGCGCACAGATAGTGAAACATCCTCCAGTTCTGTGAGATTGACATGATCCCAGAGATCATCAAACCAAAAGCGGCACCTGTCGAGAGCGCGGCCGAGTACATTCTAAAATCCAATTTGTAAGCCCGGGGGCGTCGAGTCAGCTAGCAGCGGAGGCACAATTATACATACGCTGTCATTTTACCTCTTTCATGGAGAAAGAAGATATCCGCGATCGTCATAGGGGCGACACACTCGGCACTGCCAGAGAACCATGATGCTATAATTCTTGAAGCCATAAGGCTACCATAGGATGTAGCACGCGCCGACCAGATGCAACAAAGTCCAAACACAAGAAATGAGAAAGTGTATACTACCCGACGGCCATACTTGACAGCCAGCGGAACCCAAAAAATATTGCTCACGCCAGCCACCATTGAAGTGGTGGAAAATAGTAAAGCAGTCTTGTTCACTGCAGATGAAAACCTCGCAATCGATGCTGGAGATAGTGAGGCTGGATTGTGAGGGTCGGGTGGATATACACCAAAGAGATTTATGGCTATCTCAACCAAAACAGCTCCGGGACCACCTGCGAAGAAATTAATCCAAGTCAAGGCCACACAAGTCAGCATGGCAACGTATATCTTGAAAGCTTTCGACCTGTGATTGAGAACTTGAAGTTAACGTGATTCTTGAGGTCAGTACCCGCGTGAACGTGCAAAAGACTTACCAATTGAGGGGATCGTTGGGATCGGACGACGGCTGGGGCACGAGAAGGGTTTCCCCAGTCACTTCATCTTGAAGTCGGACATGACCCAGTGTTTCCGTGGGACGAAGGCGATGGGTGATCCCAGAGCTTTCAAGCTCGTTTGCACGATGAGACATGGTTCAACTTACACGTCTAGATTTGAGATGAGTACATCTAAGCATGTTAAGCCGGGCGAGAGCCGGAGATATGTATCGAAGTCTGTACATACTGTACATCCTTGGTTCTTAGGGCTTGCGGGGTGTGGGGATGTGATGTGGGGAAATCTGGGGTAATATAGTTCATGCGGAGTGATCCAATCGGCTCTAATCAATTGGACACTACCATTTCTGGAGTTCCGCGGAACGTTTTGACCCTAGCTGGTCCAAGTATACTTTGCCTAGCATTTGGATACCTGTACCTAGGGATATTGAGTTATTGAGCCAATGGCTGAACTGTTTGCGAGCAATCTTGTCTACATGACCCATGCGCCTTTGGGGACAGAAGATCCCGAGTCAATCCTAAATAATTGAGGCGTTGTAAGGAGCCAACAAAAAGTAACAGTCACGTTGCGTGAGCACTGTCCAGAAATCTAGTCTATGACACTAGGCATGCCAACCATAGTTTGAGCTTTGCCGAATAGTGAGGAAGGTCCTAAAGGTGCTTCCGATTTTCTCACGTGGCAGATATCAGATTAATCATTGAATATGCTAGCGGGTAACCGGATAGAGTGCCCACTACTTGGATTGAACTAATGATGTAAATCATGCTGCAGTAATAGTTTTTTACTGTTGCGTGAACTGTTCCACGAGAGTTCTTTCTCGCTTTGACTTTGAGAATCAACTGACTCATAGAAAGTCAACTTGCCTCAGAAATCGAAGCACCTGGACGGCTATCACCCATTGTCAAGTACCGGTGGGCTGCCCCGTTTGATTCTCGGCTGCCGATTATATTCTGGAGTAAGGCGGTAGCTTTGAGTTGATGACAAGAAGAGAAAGTGGCTTAGATCAAGTCTTGCTAATATGAATGTTGTCAACTTTGGCCTTAAGAAGAATTCCGCGGAATGATGGCCTCGAATCAAAGCTGCGTTCCGCGGCTCAGTAGCTGCGATAGGCCAACGAAGTAGCCACTGCATGTAGTAGAGCAGCCATGAGCGTATAGTACCTTTTTATTATATAACCATGCTTAAACTTTGGTAGTAAAGCCCCGTATACGCCGTACTTGACCATATTTTTACAAAGTACCTTTGAAAGCAATGGCGAATCCAGGCCCAGAAGCCGCACAGGCTGAACTTGTGGTACCAGCGGCAAAGAGCCAGCATGCGAATCACTTTGGGCTCACCTCGCCATGGGAACACTACTACCGCCCTACCGACACTGTTCCCCAAGGTCGATTTGAGTGTGAACTGGACGAGATGGTGGTCTTTGGTGATCTCCCCACGGAGATTAGTGGGACATGGTATCGGATGCTCGTCGATCCTCATTTTTGCCCTCAACTTGGAACTCCTTTTGTCGATGGGGATGGGCATGTTTGTGCCTTCCGGATTCAGGACGGCAAGATCTCCATGAAAATTAAATATATCCACACTGAAAGATGGCTTCTCGAGCGCAAGGCTGGTCGTCGGCTTTTCGGTCGTTACCGAAACCCCTACGACATTCATCCGTGCGTGCGATATGCAAATGACAGCACCGGAAATACCAATATCATCTACTGGGGTGGAAATCTCCTCGCATTAGCCGAAAGAGGATTACCGTGGGCCTTGGATCCGGACACCCTGGAAACAAGAGGTGCGGATCCCTACGGTGGCCAAGTTGCTGCGATGACCTTCACTGCCCACCCCAAAGTCGATCCTCACAAGAATGAACTGGTCACTTGGAGCTATTCTGCCAAGGGTCTCAGCACTCCGGATATCTGTACCTACTCGATTGATCCCAATGGACGTACCTCTAATGAGCACTGGTTCAAGCAAGATAAGCCCGGCTGGCCACACGACGGCTGGATCACCGAGAATTGGATCATCCTTTCCAACATGCCATTCGGCGTCAACACGGATGATGTGATGAAATCTGGAGGCGACTACTGGAGATTCGTCCCTGATCAACCCTCGGAATTCTTGGTCACTCCACGCTATGCAAACACTCCGAACCATCCAGACTGGAAGCCAGGCGAGTTCCGGAAGTATACCGCTCCTCACGGCCTGATTATTCACAGTGGCAATGCCTGGGAGGAAGAGGGTGGGATCTTGAAGCTTGAAAGTCACTTTGTCACCTTCAACGTCTTTGACTTCTTCAACCCCCAAGACTACGAGGGGCCCAATGGCAAGCCCAGCGGTGATTGGAAACGTTGGACCATCGATCTTGCCAAGCCTGATGGGACCGCTCTGCCGCCTCCTGAGACACTACTTGAGGGCATCTTTGATTTCCCCATCTTCGATGAGCGCAAAACCGGTCACAAGACTAAGATCGTCTATCTGACCGCTATGATAACCCCCGAAGGGGAGGACAGACCCCGTTTCAACGCAATCATCAAGTTGAATACGGAGACTGGCGAGGAGTCTATCTTCCATGCCGCCAGCGATGGAAGTGTCGCAGAGCCTGCATATATCCCTCGAGGGCCTGACTGTGAAGAAGGCGATGGTTGGGTCATATTCTATATGGAAAGAGATTCGTCACCTAAGGGGGAATTGGCCATCCTCGATACTAATGACTTTTCGAAACCAGTAGCCATTGCGCAGATGCCTTTCCAAACACGCAACCAGGTTCACGGAAATTGGGTTCCAAATCCCCATCCTGAGGCACCTCTTCCCATGTTGACGGGTCCTATCAAAGATGTTGTGCCCAGTACAAAGTATTCACAGTTGAACAGACTTCTTTAAATACCGAAATGTGATTTTCATTCTCCCCATTATTACGGATCAAAACCAAGCGTACATTAACTAATAGTTTCTTATCGAGGGCTGAGCCATTGCCGGTCCTCTGCTGCCTAGATAGAGTAGTGTAAAGATCATTTAAATGCAGCGACCTTACAAAATGCTACAGAATCTAGGTCAACTGAGTCCACCTATACTGGATTACTCTTTTTACGTGACAGATAAGGAGACACCGCTTTCATGTGTACAGAAAGTTCAAACTTTCTGACCTAGTTCGGTATTGTTGGAGATTCTGCCAAGGCTGATGTCTATGAGAATTGATAAGACTACAAGCCTAAAAAAAGAAGAATTTAGATGCAAAAACTAGCATTGAATACATTCTGAACTAAGAAAAAGGACCAAGAGCAGGACCCAATCCCCAACCTCGAATCTATTTGTCAAACAATGACATCATTATACTTTCCCATCATTTGTCCTTAGCCTCACCAAGCACTAGCCTTGATCTATGTGTTGGGTAGCTGTGTCATTCATTCTAGGGCTCTGTGTTTCCAATGTCCAGGTTTCTAGGGTATCTGATGCTTTCCGCGGCTCGTTCCGTATATGTCCTCACGGTTAGAGCGTCCCCGCTTCGAAGATCCATCTTTCTCACCGCGGAATGACCGGGGGCATGGTCGGAAACGGCTTGTTAGGGGAGAGACGTAAGTCAAGAGTCTTTAATTAAGATTGTCTCAGTTCTATTGTGTTCTACCTATCGTCCAAATCGAGAGGCGTTGTGATCTCTGTAACATGATTTCCCAACTTGCAAGCTTTCACTATGATGTGCCGACGCTCATCGCCACAGCGAGCATCCTCTTGATCTTGCGCTATCTATTCACCGGGATTTTCGACCCTTTGCGTGATATCAAAGGTCCAACACTCGCACGATATACTCGTCTATGGGAGGTGTACAAGAACTGCCAGGGCCAATTAGAGCACGTCACAGTCTCTTTGCACAAAAAATATGGTAATCTGATGTATCTAATATCAACATGAATATAATTAACTACGAACAGGATCCATTGTCCGGCTATCCCCGAACCGTTATAGCATTAGCGACCCGACAGCGATTCGCACCATTTACGGTATTGGGTCGAAGTTTCCCAAGTCCGATTATTACACTCCTTTTGGTACGCCACTAGACCACAAGGATGTCTTTTCAGAGATAAGCAATGAGAAGCATGCGTCGGAGCGCAGGAAGATCTCCAATATGTACGCCATGAGCTCTTTGGTGTCATATGAACCCTTCGTGGACAAGGTGAATGGTGAATTTATGGCCGCCTTGGCCGATCACGCTCAGCACGGGAGGGCGTTTGATTTGTTTACCTGGATGCAATTCTACGCATTCGACGTCATTGGTGAGATTACCTTGGGTCGATCATTCGGCCTGCTCGAAGCTGGTCACGACAAGGACGGGCTTCTGCATGCTGTTCATGTCGGATCGATCAGTTATGGTTCCTCGGTGGGACTCATCCCCGAGGTTCATTACCTGTACAATTGGCTCCAAAAAGTTTTACCTATCGACAGCCACTGGAAAGTCACCCAACGAGTTATATTGAGGGAGATTGGTGCCAGACTGCAGGGCGTGAGTACCAGCGATCGCAAGGACTTCCTAGCCAAGTGCATTGAATTGAGCAAAGCTGGCAAGCTGGATCAATACGCAATAAACAATGTTCTGGGAACCAATATTGGCGCTGGCTCTGACACAACTGGCATCAGCATGAGTGCTGTTATCTACTTCCTCATGAAGCATCCCGATTGCTTGCAGAAGCTTCGTGATGAGATTGAGACAGCCGAAGGGCAAGGAAATCTCTCTAACCCGGTTACTTTCCAAGAAGCTCAAAAGCTTCCATATTTGCAAGCTACCATCAAGGAAGCCTTGAGACTGCACGCAGCAGTCGGTCAAATTCTCAGCAGAGTAGTCCCTGAGGGCGGTGCACAGATTGCTGGTAGACACTTCCCACAAGGTGTAAGTTCCAATCAAATCTAACAGTCTGCCTTGCACCCCTCAGACAAAAACTGATTCAAATTTTCTCGGCAGACTGTGGTGGGCGTGAATGCATGGGTAGTTCACACAGACGAAAATATCTGGGGCAAAGATGTACACGAATTTCGACCTGAGCGTTGGCTGGTTGACAAAGAACGACTTGCTTTTTTGGATCAGAACTACTTGGCAGTAAGTCCTCGTTTACTACCTTATGATATCAAGGATTATATTGAATAGTATTTGTGCTAATAATATCTATAGTTTGGTGCTGGCTCAAGAACATGCATCGGCAAAAACATCTCACTACTCGAAATGACGAAGCTCGTACCCCAGCTTGTGCGTCGGTTTGACTTTGTTCCTGCAGGTGACAGTGAGTGGAAGACTAGTAGCGGCTGGTTTGTTAAGCAAAGTATCGATATCAAGGTCATTGAGAGGGCGTGAGACCAGAATGTCTGATGGTTCTGAAATTGGCCATGGGACTACGTTTATCGCAGAATTGAAAATATGGTATTTTGATCGACACCATATTTTTTGGGACATCATATTCGTGATAGAGAGAAACTGTATTTTATTCAATAGGTATTCTATTTCGTGGACTTCTGGAGTGTGTGGAGTGAGAGCTTTCCTGCAGATGAATTGGAACGTTCCGTCCAATTCCGGTTCCGCGGAACGGTCAACGACGACTTTGGGACTTGTTTCGCTGTAGAATTTGGAAGGCAATCAAAATAAATTCCACGTATTAACCTTCTTTACAGGGATATTGCTAGCTCAATTGACCTCAAGATTATTCGCTACTGTCTCGTACATGAAATCATGGCTGATACTACGCTCAAAGCCTGCGACGCAAAAGACCAAATCATCAAGTGGATTGAACAAACTCAAGGAAATAATGAAGAGTGCGTGTTACTACCGCAAATAATGATAGCAATTTTACTGATTTCCCCGCTATAGAAACAAGACTCTCGTCAATTTCAGCATCGATGCCATATATTATAGAAGTATCATCGAATCGCTTTTCCAAAATCAAAAGGGTCAGGTTTCTTCTCCTTCATGCACAGTGCCTGAGTGTATGGAAATGTGGCATAGCATGAAGAGAGGTTTGAAAGAGCAGAAGACTTCATATTGCGGAGGTTGTTAAATAGGATTATTAGGCAGGGGTGATTCATAAGATAGTAGTTGATCCCAGCTTGGGGATGCTGTGTATTATCTCAACAATTCGTTAATTTGACATTTAAAACCACATACTTAGTCTAAATAAGCCTACAGCCTTCTTTCCAGTACCTTGCTCTTGCTATCGTATTTGTGCATCCAACAAAGCAGACCGGCCGTTTTGAACGGCACCCACCGCTTCGGATAACTTTGTCGCCAGCTCCTCGACAGTGCTTGCGCTTCCCGCCCAAGATTTACCTCCAGATGCACCTTGTGCAATAGTCGCGTAGTCCGGATTGGGATCGAATGATATGTTCAGTTCCTTGTTGCTGACTTGGGATCCCAATCCATCAGGGTGAACAAGAAGCAAAGATTTCCGGGGTGCATTCCAACCTGCATAAGTATTGTCTATTAAACCGGCACTCCTTTCAACATGATACAAAGTCTAGAGATTGGTTGTTTTAACTTACCATTGTTATTGAGCACTATAGTCAACACTGGAATCTCATACCTCTGTGCAATCCAATACACACTGGCTGGGATCGAGAAGAGAAAGCAACCGTCGCCGATGATCTGGCATACAAATTTGCCCTTCCCTCCATGAAGGGAATCCGAGGCCATTTTTATACCAAGAGCTGCACCGCCAGACCAGCCGAGTCCACCTGCGCCGGAGCTAAAAACACTCCCTGGCAAGGTTGCTTGCAGCTGATCGGCCACGGTGAAGGTGTTGGTGACTGCTTCGATGACCCAGATAGTGTCTATCGGGCATGCCTTTCGGAGACTGGAAATAAGACAACCGCATCCGAACGATCCGTCAGAGTTCGGCACTGCCTGTGCAGCTATGGCGTTTAGCTTTCGCGTGTATGACGCCTGAAGAGCTGACCACCGGCTTGTATAATGCTCATTGTTGGCCATGATTTGCTCTGAAAGGTCGGTCTTCAAATGTTGCACGATTTGGCCCAGGGCAAATTTGGTGTTCACGCGACAACGCAGAATGGCATCAATATAGAAGACAGGCATCTGGTCTTTCAAAGGGTCGACGTCGAAATGGAATATCTTGGCCTCTTCGGAGGGCTTGCATTGAGTGTTGATCCACGGCACATCGCAGTCAATGACGAGTATCACGTCGGCCGTGGTGATAGCCTTCTCCGATCCATATCTGACGCTCAGCCAGCCAGGGTGATCAGCAGGGAAGCTGAGATCCGAACCCATTGTGTCAAGAACCCGGAGGCCCCTGACAATGTTTGCCAACTCGACGAGCAAAGGTACCACGGTTGTATCACGTCCGCTATAGCCCGTGATAACGAGAGGCTCTCGAGCAGACACCAGAGCTTCAGCAACCAGATTCAGCTGCTTCGGCGTCAGCCCCCCAAGCTCCACGGGACTCCAAAACTCCTGTCGAAGATCATACGGCTCGATGACTTCTTCCATAACCTCTCGAGTCCCTTGCAAGTAAACCGGTCCCCGGGGCTCACTCTTGGCAAAACTCAAGGCTCGATTCACCATTTGTTTGATATTCTTGCCCTTCTTCAGTTCGGCGGCATAGCGACAGTATTGTGATACGATTGCTTTCTGGTCTGGGACATCTTGTAGCCAGTGGATGAACTCGGTTCTACTACCGCGGTATTCACCCTCCAGAGTGCATGGAGAGAGACCGGCAAAGATGAGCACAGGCGCGCGGCCGACGCTGGCATTATGTACGGCACAGCCGAGGGCTTGAGTGCCAACATCGACGTGCACAATGACAGCCTGTGGTTCTCCTGTGAATCGAGCATAACCATCTGCCATAGAAAGCGCAACCATTTCACTAGGGCAAGTGACGAATTTAGGGAACCTGTCCGGCCTCTCCTGCTGGCCTTTAACCATTGCTTCCATGATAGCGGGGTGGTCAGATCCTAGATTCACGAAGCAATACCGTACACCAGCCTAGAAAGAGAATTATCAATGCTTTAGGGACGAATGAGTTTCTTGTGATACACTGGGGCAAAACTCACGGCCCATAGCGCCTCGAACATGGCTGATGATGCCGTATACTCCCTGTGGTGATGATCAGCCTATTGTCAGCTGTAGTCAAGGAATCTAGACTTCTCTTACATTATTTGCAGAAGATAGAATCAGATCTATGAAATTCAAGTCTGAAAATTTCTCTCAAGCTTTGGGTCCTTCTATCACACGAACTTGGCCTGTATAAGCAATTTAAGGAGCCTTACGGGGACTTTTGCGGAAGAGATAAACCACCTTCTCATAGGGTCTCGGCTCCCTACAACGGCAATCAAGTTCGTTATATCCCTTACAGAGTGTCCATCAAACTCTGTCTTCACTGACATGTAGTGCCGAGATGCCGCTCCACTCCTCTTGTCGGAGGCATCCAACAAGGTGGTTCCGCGGAATCGGCCGCGGCCACTGGGTCTCGCACGGAACATACGACATGCTTAAACCTGAAGTGATCAACTATCTAAAGATGATATCTTAAGAGTCTGCCATCTGCTCAATTTCTATTTTTAACAGACTCCGTCACTATCAGTTTTTTGGCAAACATGACAAGCGTCGACTACGTGTTCAAGACCGTCAATTATGGGGCCCAGTCGGTGGACTTGACAGCCACGGTGCATTTACCCAAAGACACAACCTCTGTAAAGGCAATTGGTAAGATCCTAGAAGACAAGTTGCATCGTCTATGGAAAAAACCATACTGATATCAAACATGAAGCACTATACTTCCATGGAGGTGGCTACATTGTGGGTAGCCGCGCAATGTTACCAGCTACACATATCGAAGCTTTGAACGAGAATGGTTTCATCGCTGTATCTTCAGACTATCGACTCTGTCCTACCATATCCGTTCTGGATGGTCCAGTCAGCGACTCAGTAGCTGCATACGAATGGACGCAGAACGAGCTTCCTCAACTCCTGGAAAAAGAACATGGTATCCGGGTAGATGGCAAGAACATCGTCACCCTCGGTCACTCTTGCGGCGGAGGTCTTGCGTTGTTGATGGTGAGTTGCAAGATCTGCAACCTGAGATAGAACGAACTCTAGCTTAACCTAGTCTTTCAACTAGGCATCTCGCCCCAATCCACCCAAGGCCATCCTCGACCTCTTCGGCTTCAAATACCTCCGTGATCCCTTCTACCACACCAGTACAAGCACCCAACCCCAACCCGGTGCACCAGCTCCACCATCCGATGAATTCATCAACCAAGTCTTCACCGAAATCCCCCCACCAACCGCAGCACGACCTCCATTCGGACCGAATGGTCTCGATCTAAGCACACCGCGTGGGGCATATCTCGTTACTTCTGTCAGGAAGGGGACCCAATTCGACGCGATCATTGCAGAGCATGAGTATGACCTTGTGGATCCGGAGAAATTGTTGAAGATTTCTGGTTTCCCGCCAACATGTTTCGTACAGGGAACAGTGGATGTGGTTGTTGATGCGAAGTTTTCGCAGTGGGCTTATGCCGAGTTACAGAAGAATGGGGTGCAGAGTGAATTGTACCTTGTTGAGGGGATGGCTCATGGGTTTGATGCTAAGTTGAAGCGTGATGATGCTGCCTTTGCGTCTATTCAGAAAGGCGTGGAGTTTATTGCGCGACATGTTGTTGGTTAATGTGGATTGTGGGCTTTCTAGTTGACCTGTTGTCGAAGATGACCCGAGTATAGTCGTATAGATTTTTCAACGCTCAAGAATTGTTGATGAAACAGAGCTAGCGCACAAAGCCACATCGTCGCCACGTGCAGTGGTATTATACAATTATGGATATGCAAGACGCTCAAAAAATAGACATGAATGTTCAACCCCGCTCCTAGAGCTCCTTCTTGAGGAAATGCTCCGGCTTATGGGTAGTCTCATAATCAACGTGCACGTAAGCACGCTCCACATCCGGGAGAGACTCGAGCTTCATCTGCAGTTCCTCGGCGACATCGTGGGTGGCGCGGAGTGAGGCCGAGTCCTCCATGACGATGTCGACTTCGACGAGCAGGCGGGGGCCGGAAGTGTAGGCGCGGACGGTGTCGATGGCAGTGATGAGGGGGGAGTGGGTCATGGCTGTGAAAAATTTATCAGAATCCAAGATTGTATAGAAATGCCGGTTGACGAGAAAAGGTAAAAAACTTACAGATATAAGTAATGAGCTGCTGCATCTTGGTATCGGCAGTCACGCCGACCAGCAGCTGGAACTCGCCATAGGCAGAGTGCAGCCAGAGGCCACTGACCAGAACGGACAGCATAATAGCGCCCATGGGATCAATCCACCAGCGAATTTTAGAACCGAGGACCGAAGTCAACAGACCAAATCCATTGATGAGCAGGTCATTGCGGTGGTCCTCCCAAAGAATGCGAATCTGCGAGACCTGGTTCCGCAGCGCGAAGCAGTACATGAACAGACCGAGTTTCGTAACAAATGCAACAGCCACCGCGATAATAGAGGGCAAGTGGAAGGGCGCGAGGAGAGTGTCCGAGCCAGCGACAAGCTCACGGATCGAGAACGCGATAATAATGAACGAGACTGCCGTCATCAAGAAGCAGAAGCAGATATTACCGGCTGTCTCGATACGCGCCTTTCCGGCGGGGAACTTGCGTGGATCAACGCGGTTAACAGCCTTGTTGCACAGCAGCAGGGTCAAATTCGACATGGGGTCGAAAATAGCGTCTGCCATAGTGGTGAACAGCGACAGCGAGCCGGAGGAGGCTGCACCGTACACCTGCACAACGCACAGGATGATGTTCGCCGCGAAACTGGCGTACACGGCGATCTTGTACTTGAGACTATTCTCGGAATTGAGTTCCCGCGCGGCCCGGACGTGTTCCTCGACTGGTTTTAGCATGCGCTCGATATTCTCATTCTGCGTCTCGTAGAAGCCCTGCAATTTGCGAGTGATGAGCGCCTGCTTGCCCTTAGCCCCCGTGTCCCGCACCATCTCCATCACCCGTGGGCCGTTGGCATCGCGCTTGCGCCCGGTGTTGGCTTTGATCTGACGGATCTCCTCTTCGGTCTTTAGCTTAGACGCGAGGCGGAAGGGGTCGGTCTCGGGGGTGTAGCGAGGTGGAGGCTTGCCCTCCTCATCGGCGCTGGTGTGACGTTGTTGCTGCTGGGACATGTTGGAGCCCTCGGTCTCCACGCCCGTGGAGGTAGCTTCGTCGTAGGCGCGGGGCGTCATTCTCTCGGAGCGATGCGATGGGTGAGGGGAGCTGCTCGTCAAGTGCTGGAAGGGGCCTGGGTGATTGGATATGCTCTGTCGGATGTGGTCCTCCATGATTGCGGTATGTGCCCCGGAATGGGAGATGAGGCAAGGGGTTGGGAGGAAAAAGAAAAGTGATGAAAGAAAGGAAAAAAGATCAATGGAAAACTCGGGGATGTGCACAAAAAATCGCTGAGGCTGTGCTTATCATGTCTTATCAACACGCACTGTTAGCGCCAACCAGACACAGTCAAGACTTGGCTTGGGAGGAAAGCTTGGTAGATGTGCAGCCAAGGGCGGATTTTAGCGATCTCATTTTTCTTTGATTTTTCTACTGGATTGAGCATACAAAGTCCGTAATTTCGAGAAATCGTCAACAAGGCATTTTCCCTCGGGCGTGGCCATAGAATCGCCGGTGTCAGTTTCGATCCAAGTGGGTCTCTCGGGGATCAGATATGAGGATAAGAATCTCCATTTTGCCTGAAAGCCAGTTAATACTACCTTAGAGTTAACTTGATGTACACACGATCCCCATCAAGAAATGATACAAAACCGCAATGATAAATATCTTCAAGAGCCCTCTTATTGCTTGTCACAGAAAATAAAAGATAAACAAGGAATTAGCATTTCAAGTCTGGCTCTATTGACACTATCCCCTGAGAAAGTGGGTCACCATACTTGGCATGCTCTACAGTACAATTCACAACGCGGCACTTCCCAGCTTAGTTACTGCCGACCAAGTACTTGAACACAGACCGGACAAATTCCAAGGTATCAGCAGCACTGTCGGTAGGGATGGCCAGGGTGCTCGCAACGGCGCTAGGAGTAGCAACGACAGTGCTGGGCTGCGAGGACTGACGGGCCTGGGTGGCAAAGGTAGTCACAGCCTGGACGGGGGCAGAAGTGGTAACTTCGGCGGCGGCGGTAGTAGACTGAGTCGTGGCGGTGGCCTCAACAGCAGCGGAGGAGGTGGTGCTGGTCTCGACGACAGCGGATGAAGAGGAGGTAGCAGCGGCAACGGAAGAAGTAGTCTCAACGCTGGAGCTGGACGAGCTAGAGCTAGAGCTAGAGCTCGAACCGGAACCGCCGACAGTGAAGTCGATGCAAGACTCGTAGGTCTGATCAATAGACTCAGCATACCAATACCACTGCAGCACACAGTCACCAGCAGTAGCACACTGCGAGCCCAGATTATCCGGCATCGTAACGCTGAAGCTAGTCTCGTTCGCAGTGACGCCGGTAGCAGTCGAAGCATACACGGACCAAGAGATCAGAGGGTCACCAATGACAGTGTTGCTAGAAGTATCCACGACGGAGACATTGGCAATACCGGTATGAGGAGCGCGGATATCAACCTTGAAGTCGATGGTTTGACCAGCAGTGTACGAGTAAATGTTATCCGTGTTGTCGGCGAGCTTGTAGCCCTTGCACAGCCAGATATCGCACTCGGCGGCATTGTAGTCGCTCTGGCTAGCGGCGACTTGCAGCTCGCCCTGGATATTGCCGTAGTTGTCGGACTGCTGGTTGATCTCGACCTGGTTGCCGCAGGCGGCTTTCATAGCGGCGCCGGGCATACGGGGGTTGGGGCTGGTCACGAAGCCGTGGCCGTGGACGAGAGGGAGTAGGGCTGCGAGGGCAGCGGTGGTAGTGGTGAAAGACTTCATCTTGACTCCCGATGTGGTAATTTTGGAGAGTCGTAGGCGTGTTGGAAGGACCGCGAAAGAAGGGAATAGATCGGTAAACCGGTACCGATGCTTGTATATAGCGAGTGGAAAGAAAAGAAGGCTACACAGTCCCAGACCGGAGAGAATGAATGAACAGAAAAAAAGAGAAGGAAAAAGTCAAGAATAATAGACCCGCTTGATACTTTCAATAAACCGCGGGGCCAGGGCCGAGTACTGGGTTTATATAGACGAACAGACCGTTTTGGAGCCAGAGATGATCTAGATCCTGTCAGTATCCATTGCAATCAACCACAAACACTGATCAAAATCACAAAATTCCCCTTGAGTACACTTCCAGGCGGAGGGATTCGGCGATTACCATTGTAGGCAATTCTCCTACCTGTCAGGTACAAGCCAGATGCACCTAACAAGCACTCTGAAACACTATTTCCCCTCCGTGATATACACCAGGGACCATGCCCCCTCCACATGGCCCGATGTATGGTGAGACCTGGAAGTCCCAGAGCCTCGGAGCTTCTTAATACAGAAGCTACCGCTCATCGGGCCATCTTGAGCACAGTGCAGGGCTTGAATTAACCGGTCTGCATCCGGGACAAGGCCGACGTTCTTCCTAAGGCCGTGCCAAGGCCGGCTCCACGCGCCGAACAGGGAGGCGCGGAGTTTCAGGTTGACAGCAGCGTCAGAAGAAGAAACACTGGGTGAGAATTGTGATTGCTGGATAATTTGTTAGTGCGGCTGTCGCAGATCTGAGATTAATATGGGTTATGTGGAGGTTTTTAAAGGCGAGAAACATGACAATCCTGTGCGATGGGAGGACATCGGTTCAACCACTTAGAATTAACCTTACCCTCTTACTATGGATGATAATGATAGGTTCGGGCACTTCTCCCTTTTCAGCCCCGGAGAACCCAGTCCCTCAATCTACTTTCATTAAGGTTGATTCAAAGCGGTGCTGGACGGTGGAACCTCTGAAACATCCAACTTTCTCGGCAGCTGCAGGAAGGGCACTGCGAAACGTCGTCGACATCATCGATCATGTCAAGGTCCAGTCTTTTCTTAAGGGAGATTGTGATAGGTAGAGAAAATGGAGGAATTTCGGCGAAGCTCATCGCTCGAGCAGGGACTTATTTGAGGTTGCTCATAGTAATCAAGTTTAATATCAAAGGGAAAAGTTTCAATGTTTGGGATCGACCGGCCCGAGCAAAGGATACGGCCGATCGGTATATCACATCACTCAGGCCTAGTCAGTCAATAACTAGCTTATGTCCGGAGGAAGTCTCAAAAAGGAAAAAAATTCCGCGTTCAGCAATGGAAACGAAGAATACTCAAGGTATCACGAGAAAGAATCACAAAAGAGCTTGCCGGGGCAAAAGCCGGAATAATCGCTTCGGGGTACAACCAAAAAGAAAAAAGAAAGATAAGCAAAATCAGGTTCAAGGGGGTATCAATCGCTTCGCTACAGTAGCTAGTATACTGACCACCTCACATGGGCTCATGTTAACGCTCCTGCTCACTAGGCTGGACACGCACACGTCCATCAGTGGAGGTGGCTGTCGTGGTGGCATGTGGCGGATGCCGCTCTGCGTCCGAGTCGCTCGCCGCATTTTCATCGGCGAACGGATTCTGCACCTCGAAATCGGACGATTTATAGTCATATTCCTCGGGGTTGCTGCGGAGGGCGGTCGACCGGTTCACAGTAAATGTGGAAGGAAGCTCCACCACGGGCGCAGATTGCTCCTCGGGGCTTCTTGATTCACGTTTTGTTGGCTCAACTCCGGGAGTTTGTTCTGTGGAAACAGAAGTAGCCACTGCAGCGGCAGCAGCGGGGCGTGCGCCTATACCGCCCGATGCTACGACCTCGCTGGCTGGCGAAGCTGGACTGTTGATATTGGAAGTTGGGGTGGACGACCCGCGAGCCTTGCGCGCCTTCAGCATAGCGCGCTGCTGGTGAGACAACGCGACGGAGATCTCGTCATTAGTCTCGATCAGAGTAAGAAGGGTCTCCTCATCCGGAGCCGGGTTGGTCGAATGGATATAACCCTGCAGGTATCGCGACGAGGTCCGGCACCGGTCGATGAATTCCTTGATCAGATCATTCTCCTCCAACTCGGCCTGCGGCGTTGTCTGAACAAACTGCGTCAGCAGCTTGGCCGAGTTCTTCGCCTCCTCGATACGCGCAGCCAGCTCGCCCGGGTCTGGCAGGCTTCTAGCCGGCGCTGGTGCGCGCATGGGTTGCGGGACTGGATATTGTCCCATGGGCCCATTTGCTTGCATCGCGGATGCAGTGGGATATCGATCCATCTGGGATTGATCCAAATTAGTTCCGGTTCTCTTCCTGGCGCAAGATGCCTAGGCCTTCGGTACTTACAAAGGACCGGCCTCCCTTTGCCTTCTCCTTAGCCCACGTCTGCAGTAACAGTTGCAGGTCATCATCCCAGTGTCGGTTCGTCTCCAGCTGGGCTAGGTACTGGCGCAAATAGTGCTGCACATGCCAGTCCCGGCCATTGCGCAGTAGCTCTTTGATCGTGGTGCAAAACTTGGCGTCAAAGTGACGCGTGAAGCTGTGACCCGGGTTATCAGCCAAAATGCGCATGAGCATAATGGCATTGTATTGGACGTGGTTCGGGGTGTTGCTCGGGTTGGAGAGGTATTTGCGGATGCGATGCGCGGCTTCTTTGGCAGCGGCGGGACTCGATTCGGCGGTCTCGACAATGCGCGGAAGATGGACGAACTCGTTTCCTTGCTGAAAAGGGGCAGACCGTCAGTATCCTGCAATGGTATGTAGAGCGGAGGATATCAGAGGTGTTGCTTGTAGCGGAAGACGTACCTGAGTACCGGGCTGGTTGCTGGCTTCGCAAAAGGTTTTCTGGGTGGCGCATTGTCAGTCGGGGAAATGGCGATAACGAAAAAGGTAGAGAGGCATACCATTTCACGCAGCAGAATGGCCTCTGGTGAGTCATCGGGATAGTCCTGTTCGCTATCATCGCCGGGACCTGGGAGGAGATTAGCAGTGGTTGCGGGGAATTGCGTGGGGGGAAAAGGAAGGTGAGGGCGTACTAGAGCGGCGGCTACTGCCCAGCGAGCGTAGGAAACCCTTCATGGCGGGCTATATTGGAGAGTGAGGGTTTCGAGACGAGAAAAACGCGTGGAAAAGGAAGGGAAATCGGGAATCTTCAAAAATAAAAAGGAGAGGGTTCACAAAGGCGATGGGGCCAGAACGACCAGTTCCCCCAAATTATTGTTAGCGTACACAAGCCTCTCGCCTAAGCCTAAGCGCAGGGTCCAGGTCCAGTCACCAAGTCAACTAATTGAACTCCACTGGCCGAGGCGAAACCAGCCGATACAACCCGTCTTAACTACTTTTTGAACATCGTCGATAAACTCTTTCTAACTTCTTTTCTGCTTTGCAGGTGGCAAAGGATGATGACCCTTCTTGGCAAATGCCTACGTAGACACTGCGAGTCCCTGAGCGACTCCTTCTGGAACGCCATAGGCTCAGGCACGTACTTTGCCATTCAATTCGTTGTTTCGTTGCTAAATCCGTCAACTCCGAGTCAGCCAGCTAGCGTACACGGTTCGCTTGGTGGAAATGAGCTTTTGAGTTGCATCGTGAATGATCATTTTCCAACTAGGTAGCCCAGTAGAGAATACTTCGTACATAATCTCGTTTAGCGAACTATGAGGCTCTTATTCCCCACCGCATCTACAATTACCCGGCAGAGCCGCGCAAGTAACCGAATTGTCTCTATAGTAACAAAAGAATCCACGGTCGCTTTATTCAAATTTCCATACATTGTTTTGGAGTTGGAATAACGTGCTCTACTAATCTTTAGTATCAAAAGTACTCATGCATCTGCAGAAAAGGGTTGACTGACGATTGCATTGTGGCTGAGGCAGCCATTTCCCACGCCAAGCCTCGTCCGAAGGTTCCCCCCCCCCTCCATCCGTCACCCTCTTCTCTTCCTCTTCAGCCAAGGAACATCTTCACTGGCCCTCAACATGGTCCCCCAACAGGCAACAGCCATAAAGTGCTGACCCAGCTTACTACTCCTTTTCCCGTTCCAAGGCATCTGCCATATCCCCCAGGGTATCGAATCGCCAATCAAAAATGGGCTCCTCCACTGTATTTCCCATTGTGGCTCCAGGCCTTTCAATCCACACCGATCGAATCCCCGCCTGCCGCGCTGGCCGATGATCATGGAACTGTGACTGCGCCGTTTGGAGGATCTCCTCGGGTCGCACACCGAATTCCTCCTGCACGGTCGCCTTCATGTATGCGAAGTTGCGCGCATCGGGTTTATACGAGCCCACATCCTGCGCTGTGATGATGCGGTCGAAGGGGAATCCTTGTAGACTGCCGGCATTGGACCGGGCGAATGAGGCCCGGTCCACGTTGGAGAGGACTACCAGCTTGTAGTGCTGCGACAGGCGCCGTAGGGCGTCGACTGTGTCTGGGAAGGCGGGCCAAGTACCTACTGACGCGCCGAAGCGTTGGTTATCGGCGTCATTGGGGGTGGGTAGGCCAAGGCGTGTGGCTAAGTGGGGATGCACTGTGGCTAGGAGTTCGGAGTAAGGCATGTCGGGGGTGATTCGCTGCTGTTCGCTTTCGAGCTCTTGGTAGAGGGTCAGCAGGTGCTTGCGGGAGAACTCGGTGGTGCTGGTTGTGAGGAGTGGTTGTAATGCGGCGATAATGCCGTTCTCCCAATCGATGAGAGTGCCGTAGACGTCGAAACATAGTAATCGGTAGTTGGAGAGTCGAGACATGGTGGTGAATAAGTGTAGATTTGCTGGGGATTGTAAGAGTAGAATGAGAGGCTTCAGGAATTGGGCACTCGGTAGACGAGAATTGGATGGCCTTTTGTTTAGATCAAAGGTTATACAAGGCGATATCTTGCCCCACATGAGCCTTCCTACAACATACGTATCTATGTACTACTGTCACCCCCACCCTCCATATTAGGTCCCCGATGCTTGGCATCACCCGTTGACCTTGATCTACTTTGATATCTAGTGAGAATTACACTCTCCTACTCTATCATGGGTAGCTAGCTTCTTTATCTGGTCATCGGTGGAGGTTATCCCATTAAGAATCGCAAATATGAGGGTACTATCGATGTCTACACTGCAAACCAGAACTTTTGTCTTACTCTCACTGCCCCGCACTGAGCTGGCCACCAATGGCCCATTATTGACTTCAAGTATGAACCCTGATTTCTTTCCTGCTTTCCTGTAAACGGTCATTTACCTCATACAATGGCTGAACCGCACAGATCATCACTTTGTCCGCAGCAAGAATGCTTTGCACGCGTCGTTTGGGCCGTTCATATCCTCTATTATCTCACAAAGACCCGAAGCCACGAGGAGCTACTTGAAGCTGAGAGCAACGTGGAAAGCGGCAGTGATACAGATGACTCGAGTGACGATGAGATAGACTACAACACAGAGAACAAAGTGATTTTGTCAGGACCTCAAGATTCTATTCGCCGGAAATTCCTGGCCTGTATTGCACAGCTGTTGTCACCGTGTAAGGGATGGGATGGGGTTACTGCAACGGCAATACGGGAAGGAGAAGATGGAGTTGAGGTTGACATTGCAAGGAATGATGGCTTTCTTTCTGGTGGATTCTGCTTTGATAGTGAGATTTTGGGATATTGTAAGATGTTGGGGGAAATATCTGGAAGATAGTACTGGAGGTAGGTGACTTCTTCCAATTCTCGGTGGTCGTCTTTTGAAAGATTGATATATGACGGGACGGCTGAAATAGAGATGAACACCACTGCAAACTTCCTAACAGATTTCGAACTGAAGGTGATAGGGTTTATGTCCCGTCGGATCGATCATTGGGTTAAAGATTTCCGGAAAACCTTAGAACGTGACTCAACATGTACTGACTGGAATTCTCAACGAGGGTTTGGGCAGGAGGCTGTGGCCGCAGTGAAAGCTTGGACGACCATGACGGATCTTACAATGGAATTCAATGCTGAAAAGGGAGACCTCAAGTCGAGGTCCCTAATAGTCCAACAAGCTTACAGTTGTCTCAACTTGACACAGGTTCGGCAGTTGTTGTCAAACACCTTCAGAGATCAGGGTGGCTCGAGACTCTGGAACAAGTTGAGATTCATCGCCCGGCCGCTGGTCGACTGTCGATTATTGAGATCAATAGCTGCCCGCGAGCCACAGTTTCGCAATTTCAGGATCGTACTAGTCAACCCTAAATCAAAGACAATGCTGGAAGCCAAATACAGGATTAAAATATCCGAGGCATGGGAACGACTAGGCCTGGGCACCATTCCTGGACCCGTGGTCCAGAAACTTGATTCCTTCAGCGAGAATTTTGAAGAAGTCTGTGCAGAGACAGTTTCCCTGCATATTGAGATGCAACTAGTGATGCACTACGATGAGAGGGGCGCACTTCAGCCTACTTTTGACTACTTTGGATGCCGTAAGAAGACTTGCTTGCTTTGTGAAACCTTTCTTCGCGGACTGCCGAGTCCAGTTGCCACACGTGGAAGACATGGTGTTTGTTATCCTGCCTCGGCTGTACCAGAATCAAAGTCCGGTGATATAGAGGTTGCCATCCAGCAGTTAGAGAAGAGCCTCGTAGGTCACATTCGAGGGTTTCTCAGCGATTTGACGAACCTCAGGCAGGGAGGCTTGGCTGTGAATATCGCGCAATCCGACATGGTGTCAGATTTCTCACGGTTTACTCTTGAAGAAAGGCAGCGGAGAGAGCAGCATGTGTCGCTGTTTGAGAATGAAGAAACGATGAAGCAGAGTGATCTGTTGATGATGTGAGCTAACCAATTATTATTTTGGCGAGCGATTTATCACTAACTGACCATAACAAAAAAAGTGAAGGAATGGTTCCAACTACAAAACCGCGATATGACCCGAAGTACAATTTCGAACCTCAACATTGTTGTGTGTTGTGTAATACAACCCCAGGGATTCAATGTGCTCAGTGTCGAAGCACATACTATTGCTCCACGGACTGTGAGAGGAGTGACTTTCCCTCACATAGTCTTCTCTGCAAACAATTCGCTACTCAACCTGAAAGACCTTCTCCGGAACACAAACGGGCCATATACTTCCCATCTGAGAGAGAGGAGCCGTGTCTGATATGGGTCCCATGTCGGCGTCGATGCGACGAGGAAGACCGCATCTCATGGACAAAGATTGAATCATCTCCCTACCTTGGAACTGATCAACCACTGAAAGGGACAATGCGCGTCGAACATAATCCAGTACGATGTCGAAATCTTGGCTCTGGATTTGCAGCCTGGTCCCCACGGAAGGAAGGATACTGTATCACTTTAGTACATGGTGACGCCTATTAAATGGACGGGTTAACCACAAACAGAAGCATAATGGCTTCTGTGAGAGCATCCTGCGCGTCGACTCTCTCCCATGAATATCGCGGTCCTATGCTTGCTCACGAAGACTACGCCGATATAACACTAGCCGACTTCCGCCATCTAGTCGATTACTTGATCAGCTACCAAAACACGCAGATTAGAGAAAGCGTCCCAGATCGGCTCCACCACGCGCCAACAACCGTCCGCGGCGTGGAGATCTGCTGCCACGGCGAAATACAACTTCATGGGTCAGAACCCTTCGTTTCCGTTGATATCACTCGCGCAAACAGGATCTCTCTAGGCCGCGGATCTATCTCACCGATATCTGTCCGTCTCGGCATGCCTATACGGCTCTGGAAGGACCCGGACACGGGGTTCCTCTATGACCCGCCAGGATGGGAAGAGGGTATAACGGCAGACAGTAACTACAATGTTCCATTTTTAATGACTGAAACCGATCCTTCCAAGTACGACTGGTGCTGGGCGCCAATGTACTGGCAAAGCGAGATAGGGAATGTCTGGGCTGTGCGTGAAGATCTGGCTGTGAAGGATGTTGCGATGATGTGTCATTTTGCGAGTTACGGACTACAGCGCATGTTTGAGGATGTGATGGAATCAAATTCCTTGGTGAATAAGCAGAGGGTTTTGGATTTCATTACTTGGGATAATATGGTTGCTCATTGGGAGGAGACTGGCAAGCAGGAGTCACTTGGTTCAGGGAGAAGACTGATCTCTACTAAGGGACTCTGATCTAGAATTTATCAAATATATATATCGGACGCAGAGGTGTGGAGATGGGAGATCAGTGTTTTGTTCCAATCTAGAACCGAGTATCAAAATACAATAGACACGCCTGAGTTGAACCATATTCAATAGTCTATGCTACAATCTCCAAACTGATTGAGAGAAGAATACATCTTTGAGTCGTGAAACATGATATTATTTTAGGACCCGAGCGGACCATCATTCCCAGAACCCTCGCAGAGCATCCGATCTGGAACGAACTGAATCTGATCAGAAAAGACAAGTCTAGGTAAAGAGACCCAAAAAACACTACCCTACACGGGAAAACCCTCCCACACAGAGCCGAACAAATCACAGAAGAAGAACCAACATTGATAATCATGATCGGACCGGCAAGTACACAGAGATTCCTATATCCATCATTCCGGAGCGGCGCTGTTTAAACTTTTTATTTGGTTCTCCTCCGAGTGTTGGTGCCATGACCTTAGAAAAAATCTTGTATGATCCGGTATCATTTTCCGTTCCAACATACAGATGCGCAAGAACTCCGGTCAAACCCGTCCACCGCAAATCCTTTTTCACCAAGTCGTCCCCGTGAAACCCCCTTTCCCAATTTCAACATAACTTCAGGCGATCCGTTTATGCCTCAGTGAGGGCACGGCGGATCTGGGAGCCGCGCTGGCGGGAAGACAGGCGGGAAGCCTTGAGGGAGGTCTCGGAGGCCTTGGCGACCTCCTCGTCAGCCTCGGTGAGGATGAGCTCGATGTGGCAGGGGTTGGTCATGTAGGGGTTGATCTGGAAAGTAAGAGGGAAAAAGTCAGTTTGGATGTTCATGAAAAATTGGCCCAAATTTTCGAGGAATGGTAAAACGTACACGACCGTGAGCACGGTAAGTGCGGCGGCGGCCCTTGGGAGCCTGGTTAACCTGGATGCGCTTGACAACAAGGGCACCGGTGTCGAGACCCTTGGTGTCGGCGTTGGCCTCAGCGTTCTTGAGGAGGTCGATCAGGAACTCGGCGGACTTGACGGGCCAGCGGGCCTTGGAGACACCGAACTGCTTGCCTGTAGACGAGGTTGATTAGTCGATTGTTCCACAGCCGTGAATTTTCCCACAGTGAATTTTTTCGAGCAGCAACGGTGTCGGTTCCCCCCATCCAGCATAGTTCACAAATTCCGTAGAAAACAATCACCGACAACCATGTGATTCAGATCCTGCGCGGTCTTGTCGTGCACTCAATCCATGCCCATGCCTTCTTTAATCCTCCCCCTGGACACCGTTGCAACCCGAATCCATCCGTCACGTAGGAAAATATCAAAATTTCGAGGGCAACTCACCCTGGGCGGTGCGGCCAGTGGAGCCAGCGTAGCGGCGCATGGGAACGGCCATGGACTTCTTGGTGACGTTCTCGAGGTAGGTGAGAGCCTTCTGCAGCTTCATGCCGTTGATGGCCTGAGCGGTCTCACGGGTGTTCTTGAAGCTGACACGCAGGTAAGAGCCCCGCGCGCGGGCGCTCTTTGCGGCCGAGATCTCCTGGGCGGCGTAACGGACCTGTACATCGAAGCAAAAGAGAGTCGTCAGCAATCATGTTGTGTCGAGGTTTTGTGTGTGTTGGTGGGTGGTGGATGGGATCTTCAAGGCGAGGTCAAAAGTTGACGGGACCGGGACTGGCGTTTCCAGGTCCCTTTTCGCTGGACTTGAATTGGGGGCATTTGGGAATGTAATCGTAGAGGTCGAATTCGAGTTTCTCTGGCGATGGGTACGGGTAGCACTCACCATCTTGAAGGAGTTGGCGAGGGGAAGGTGATGGTCCTCGGAGTCGGATGGATGTTGTCGTCTTTCGTCGTCGAGCCGGCTGACGCTTGAACACCAAGTTTGGTGCGGTTTTTTTCGCTCTTGGCATTCGGGCCCTAAGCGAGCCCTAACGCTAGCCGCCTTGGGTAAATGATTATGTAAAGTATGTGAGAGGATCACATGACTTTGTTCCCGTCCGGTGTCAGGCCCATCAAGATTGCAGCCTCAGGCAACAAGGACCATGCAATTCTTCAAAGATCAACAAAAGCCTGCTGGACGACCAGCCAAGCAATATCAGATGAAGCTATCAATCGAGAAAGATAATGTATTGACTAATTTCGCCAAATATATAGCCCTCAATTAATGTACACTGAGGTTATCCTGCAATCCACTTTTGGCATTGCATAGAACATATTGAAAGTAGCCAAAGGTAATTCCACGTATTACTAACTTATCGGAATAACTATAAGTTAGCCGCGGGCATATTTTACCTTCATTAACAGCCAATTTCCATAACCGACACGGGTATGGGTTAGAGCAACTAGCTATAGCTGCAGATAACGGCTGCAAAGAGCATCCGTATCTATCACTTAGGCAGGTCCACTCCCGCTCGCAGCCTTATCCTCCGGAGCCGGATCTATTCTTACGGACGCCCTTTGGTCCTCGGTACTGGATTAATTGTCGGAAGTTCGCGCACAATTATGTACCAAGTACCAGCATGCGTGGGGCTCAGTAACCTCGCGCATGACCTGTTTATATCGCTGATCCTTGAGGCAAGAAAGATTGTAAGACCGCGCATCCTCAAACGACCGCGACGATACACTTTCAAAAGACTCTCGAACATTGATCTCTCCATCCACTGTATCTGAATCCTCTCGAACGCGGAACCAGGTACTGAACATTATATCCGAGCTGTGCCGAGTCCATCGGCGGTCTTCTGGGTCCAAACCAGGACCGAGATCAAACCATGTTGTAACCACTAGGAAAAGTTCAGGTTCATTTGCAACAATGTCAATCTGGAAATCCGTATTGCACTTGCGACAAGTATCGACGAAGGAAGAGGCCTCTCTGTTACCCAGAGAACCTGTCCAGGCTTGTTTCATTTGTCGCCAAAGATCTTGACTGGCTAAGTGAGGGCAGATCAAGAACGGTTGGAAAGGGATTCTTCCCCATTTAGATAGAACATGTTCTAATGTCCCTCGGGATTCCTCAATTGCTTGCATGCGTAAGCACAGAGTTGCCGGGGATGAACAGATCGCTGCCTCGATTGAAATTAGAGTGATTTGTTCCGGGGGGCGCGAGATACTGTATGTGTTGCGGACTTCAGTGTAAAATAGCGAGTCGGTGCTGATTCCAGCACTTGGCCCGTAATGGAACCTTCTCATGGCGAGCTGGACATGAATAAAACTAAAATGGTACTTGAAAAGGGACCGCGGATTAGTTTCCACGCCAACCTCCAGCGCCTCGGGATACGAGGCAAGACATAGAAGCTCTGAATCACCGAGCGGAGAGACTAGTTCGCAGGGACCGTAGTATTGAGAGCCATCGTACTTATGGAGGAGAAAACATATATGGCAAGCAAAGTAGTTAGGTAGGTCGCGCTCTAGCCGGTGCAAGATGGCCATTCTGATCTGCTCTTGCTCGGTTGATAACCAGCGATCATTATTCTCACTGCGTAGATGGCTCCGTTGAGGTTCAAGAAATGTGGACAGTTGATGATTGCAGAGTGAAAGACAAGCCAGATCCTCTGGAGCGAGAGCCTCGGCGATGAACGAGATTAGCACGGGAGGAAGCCCGGCTAGTGTAGTAGGCTGGGAAGACTTGGCAATATTGTCCTGACCAGTAAATCAAGGATTGGGAAGTTGAAAGAAATAAGCGTTGATTTGGAAGAGCGAAAGCCCGAGATGTCAAGGTGATGAGATGCAAGTCGGTGGCCTAACCTGAACCATGGCACCGGCACTTTCCTAACTTCTCGTTCAGGAAGGATGTCCCCATTGGAGTTTAGTATCATGGCATTACCCCGAGAAGGGATTAAGCCCACCCTAAACCTGAGCTAGTCTTATTGTTAAACTTGAATCAGGTCTCCCCACTGATGAAGTAGGATCACAGTAAATTTGGGATATGTACCGCTATATTTCCAAAACATGCAAAAAGCAGAACAATCTAGACAAAAAGGATCTCACAGAACGATCTATCGCTTCTGCTCCGGTACCTGTGTAATCAACTCTCCCTTTTCCACTCCCAACTTCAAGTTATCCAGAACCAAGATCTCCATCTCCTTTTGTGTCTCATAGGTATTTGTGCCGATGTGAGGCAGTAGCATAACCCGCGGGTTACTCAAGAGACCGGCGTGGACCTTGGGCTCTTCCTCGTACACGTCGAGACCGGCAGAGCGCACCTATTCAAAACACGGTCAGTTTTATGTTTCATTATTTCCGGGGTTGTAATACTCTTTCTTACCTTGCCGGAATCAAGCGCAGCGACCAGCGCATTCTCATCAATCAAGGCTCCACGCGCAGTGTTGACAATCACCACACCATCCTTCATCTTGCCAAACTCGGTGGCACCGATGATGTGCCGAGTGGAAGGGTTCAATGCCAGGTTCAGACTGAAGACATCGGAGTTGGCGAGGAGCTCATCAAAGGAGACGTAGGTGGCACCGGCTTCGAGTTCGGCGGGGAGACGCGTGCGGTTGTGGTATTGAATCTTCATTCCAAAGGCCTTGGCCCGAGTAGCCATTTCCTAATGAACTGTCAGTGGATGCCGTCTTTTTCTGAGGGTTATCACTCTTACCCGTCCAATACCGCCCATGCCCAGGATACCGAGGACCTTGCCCTGGGGATCATGGCCGGTGGTGGTCTCTCCTTGCCATGTGCCTGTCGCGCATTCAAAATTTAGCAGAAATCCCTTAAACGTGATGATCTCTTTGAAGGATAGCGACTAACCAGCCCGAATAGCAGCAATAGGCACATAAGCCTGGCGCAGGGCACCGATCATCAGGAAAATGCCCACATCGGCAGTAGCATTATTCACAGCCACGGGAGTGCTGGAGACAGCAATATTCCTCTTAGTGCAACCAGGAATATCCAGGTTATCATAGCCAGCACCATTGTGACAAATATAGCGGACGGACTTGGGCAGAACCGAGAGCAATTCTTCATTAAAATTGCCGGTGTACTATTCAATCTTTTTTTAGCCATGCGCTATGTCAATGGGTCAGATTTTCTTAGGCTTGCGCACCTTGTTGGAAGTGTTGGACCGGTAAATTGCAACCACGTCGTCGTACTCTCCTGACTTGCAGTTCTGGATGAATTCTTCACGGTTTCCGCTGGGGAATTCCTGCGCGCGTGTTAGTTACTTGCCGCCGCGTATTTGAATCGGCGAGGTATTGCGCATACCTTCAGCGTCAGAATGGAAGACAGAGCTTCCCACTCCTTGCGCGCGTGGGTGATGCCTCCAATGAGGAGCGCAGCTTGAGAAGGCATTGTGAATGAATTCTGCGATCGCAATCAGCTTCATGTATGATGTCAGTTGGGGTAGATGTGTCACCTACTGTCGCTTTCTTGCGGGGGAAGTATAGAGCTGGTCTGTAAGGGATAGAGAGGGGGAAGTTGAGGGGATAGCAGGCAGAGATGAATAGGAGAAGAATGTGGAAGAAGGAGAAAAGAAAAAGAGAGGTGATGACCAGCTTCAGGCTAAAACTCAAGCGACACCCCACGATTTGCTATCAGCCCTCGTGCGATTCGGTGGGACGTGGCGAAGAACTGGGGGCATCGGAGACGGAGTTGGAGATTTGCGTGGAACTTGACTTCCGACGGATCTATAGAAACAGGATCGTATCTATAGATCATTCTACATTTAATCGTGAGTATTTACCCTCAATTGCACACCTACACAATGGCCTCTTTCTCCAGTGTTATTCCTGCTATGAACAGTACAAAAAAGAAGTCCAAGAACGTGGAGGAGCTCCTCCACCACGTCTTCTCCAACAGCCCCCACGTTCACCCGCGGGGGTATCATCTCGGCTATTGAACATTTCCCTTTTCAACTGGCAAAAGCCGATCAGCCCCGCGGAGCATCTCCGGTACTCGGGCCCAACTGTATTGCCTTCATTTATCCACCCCACACGGATATCCAAACGGATAATGAGGGGAAACATGCAGGAGGGGCCGAGTCAGATGCCGCTGGAATTGTGACCCGGCTCTATTTCTTATTGCTTCAACTCACGATCCATTCGATTCATTCTCCCCATTCACATACACACTACCTCCATCATGTCAACAGAAACATCTGCTACCGCGCTCGTCTTGCACGGCGCTAAGGATCTCCGTCTGGTAAGGCCGATGACGTCCCTATTGAACCTACATAAACAAAATTAACCACGTACTTTACAGGAAAAACGCACCGTCCCTGCCCCAACAGGCGCAGACATCCAAGTCGCCGTCACAGCCACCGGCCTCTGCGGCTCCGACCTGCACTATTACTCCCACGGCCGCAATGGCGATTTCGTTGTACGCGCGCCTATGTGTCTCGGCCACGAATCCGCCGGCACAGTCACAGCCATCGGCCCCGAAGTAACAACCTTCAAAGTCGGCGACCGTGTCGCCCTCGAAGTCGGCCTTCCCTGCCGTACATGCGCCCTCTGCAAACAAGGCCGCTACAACATCTGCGCGAAGATGCAGTTCCGCTCTAGCGCAAAGGCCTTCCCCCATCTCGACGGTACCCTCATGGAACGCACCAACCACCCAGCTGCCATGTGCCACGCTCTCCCGGCCAATGTCTCCGACGCGGGCGGTGCGCTCGTCGAGCCGTTGGCTGTCTGTCTGCATGCCATTCGTCGCTCGCGTCCTCCTACCAAGGACGAAGTAGCCCTGGCTCGTAGCACGGGCGAAGGAACTGCGGCGCTGGTCTTCGGCGCCGGCGCAATCGGTCTGCTCATCGCTTCCGCGCTCGCGGTATCCGAGAACTTCGATACCATCGTCGTAGCCGACATCGACGCCTCGCGTCTCGAAATCGCAGCCTCCCTCGGTCTCGGCCTGAAGACATCTCTCATCCCCCGCGGCGATCCCGCAAACCCACCCCCTCCCAAGGACGCCCCGCACGCAGACCAGACAGCCTGGGCTCTTCAGAACGCCCAGAACGTCGCTGCATCTCTCACCCAAGCTGCGCAGGCCGATGGCGTCCCGCCTGTGTCAGGCTTCAGCCGCGTTTATGACTGCACAGGCGTCCCTGCTTGCGTGCAGGCTGGGATCTACGCCTCCGCACCGGGCGGTGTCCTTGTGCAGATTGGTATGGGTAATCCCATCCAGACTCTGCCCGTTGGTGCCGCGGCTCTGCGTGAGGTTGATATCATTGGTGTATTCCGATATGATGGGTATGCGTACCCGGCTGCTATTGCCCTGCTGGCTAGTGGCAAGATGAAGAGCACCGAGGAGAAGGTTGTGACGCACCGATTGTCTCTTGAGGAGGGTGAGCGGGCGTTTACGCTTGCTGGCAAGGGTGTTGATGAGGATGGGAAGCCTGTGGTTAAGGTTATTATTGAGAATAAGCCGCAGGCTCTGGGTCGGTTGTAAAAAATGATGATGATGTGGGGATGGACCGGGGGCTGAGGGCAGTTTTATTTTTGTGATGACGTTGATGACTCTTTTGAAAAAAATACCCTTTGTGATAGTAGTTGGGGGGTGATGGAGATTGGTTGCATGCGCCGTCGACTGGCGCAAATTGATAGTTTCTGTTTATAGCCTAGAATGCATGATGACTTTTCAATTCTACACATATTCACATTGCTTTCATATCAAACATATGCATATAAGCTATTTCTATTTCAACCCCCCAGCCAACAGGAGACTCTGACCAGTCATATACCCCGTTTTACACAACATAGTAACAACATTAGCCGTCTCCTCCGGCGTCCCCAGTCTCTGCAGCGGAATACCAGCCGCGACCTCGGGGATCGCCGCCGCATTAGGGATCATACCCGTATCACCGATCATAGCGGGCGCAACGTCATTGACGCTGATGTTGAATTCGGCGAGACGAGTGGAGAGATTTTTCATCATACCAGTGAGACCACCTTTGGATGCGGCGTAGTCTGTGCGAATGGAGATGGTTAAATACCGAAAGATAATATCAAGGCGGGGATGGGAAAGACGTACGACATCCATTGATGCCACCTCCTTGCGCAGCAATCGAGGACATAAACACGATTCGACCCCAACGCTGGGTCTTCATATGTTCAACCACACCCTTGACAAGGATGAAAGAAGCGCGGAGGTTAATGTTCAACGTGTAATCGAACTCCTCGAGGGTAATATCCCACACGTTGGGGAAGCGCTTGCCGTATCCAGCGTTGGAGATGAGAATGTCCGGTCGCTGACCGTGCTCTTTGTCGATTTGCTGGAACATGGATTCGATTTGGTCGGCTGAGCCGACGTCGACTTGGTGGATGGAGATGCGGAGCTTGTGCTCTGCGTATTTGGATTGGAGGTCTTTTACGACTGCGTTCATGGCGTCGAGGTTGGTGGAATAGGTTAGGGCGAGGTGGACACCATGTTGTGCGAGCTGGTCTGCACAAGCTGATCCGATACTGAAGTTAATCAAGCAAGCGTTAGCTGGTGGCATCTTGCGTGGGGGTGCTGTTGAGAACTCACCCTCCCGATGCGCCAGTGATGAGGGCCAGACGGCCGCGAATCTCGTTGGGCGACATTATGAGACAGTAGTTGAGTGTGGAAAGAGTTTTTACAAAAGAGAAAACATCCAAGAACCTTCAAGAAAGGATGTCTTGCGTCCTCAAAATAACCACCATGGCCTCGGTTACCCCTCGTGAGTCGGGAGGGTCGGCGTTATCTCCGAGCGGAGCTCCCACAGCCCCGCATCATTTGCCGCACCAACGGGCTTTGAACGAGCCCGCCGCTAAAGAGTCGCACGCTAAAGCCTAAAAGAGGAGATTGCTGCTCATGTCACCCAGCCAGGCCGATGGCTGCCAAACCTGCGACCGGTCCTGCCCTGGTTGGTATGGATCAGATCCGTTCTGGAATGTATCTAGACCCAGCAGGCCACCCGGAATTTGATCGCCGGAGACATAGTCGCCCACGGCTTCCAGGTCCAGCCAGGAGAAGTCGTTTGCAGGACTAAAGTCCATGTATGTGGGGTCTGTGACTGGATTGGCCAATGCTGTCTGCATTGAGAAGTCGCTGTTCTGCTGCGATTCTGCGGATGTGTTGGCACTGCTCATGGACGGCTTTGTCCGCCAGAGAAGTTCTAGTAGGCGAGAGTACCGCGATCCGATATCGTCGGGACCGGCACTTGCTTGCCTAAGAACTTCTGTAGTTCGAGCTACTAAACCCTGGACTTTGGCTTCCTCGGAGGGAACCATCATGCCAAAGGAGCGGGCCTAGAACGAAATGATTAGAAAATTAGATTTCAAAAGTCAGATGACGGTTTTAGCTCTTACCTTGTAAAGGAAGACGGCAGAGTAGATACCATATCTGGAATTCGTTAGAATGATCCTTTTCCAGTAGGGTGACCCGACTTACAGATAGAACCGGAGAGGCATGAAATGCAAATGCCTCTCTGGATCGACCGAGTCTACCAAAATAGTCAAGTAGGCCTTTGCTGCATCAACAGACTCGTAGATAAACCGCGAGTCCTGCATCGAAGCCACGTTCTTGAACGTAGACCTCAATTGCTCCCGGTGCGTACTCCTGTCCGTCTTTGGCTTTGCTAGAGATTGCGAGATTGCAGCTTGGAAGGCGAATGCAGTAGTATATAGACGTAGATATTCATATGACAATTGCAATGTTGCGCGCATTGGCGGCGAGCCTGTTTGCGTCAGTATCACTACAACATGAAACGCCAATGGCAACATGAAACAAAAGTGTAGACTTACAGTCCAAAGGCCCCCAGAGCGACTTCCATCGCAAGATGGCCAGCCGAAAGTCATCGACGTATTTCACATAGTCGCCCATCAACATCATCTGATTACTCGTACGCATACCCGAGTACAAGACCTCATGCACATTTCCATACAACTGCGTGAGGTCCAGCATCGCCTGATAGATCTTCGAGTAATCCTCATCACCCTCCTTGGCAGGCTGTAGCGACGGGAAATCCTGGCTCGATAGACCGGTCATCGGTCCCGGTCCACGCGACCAGAATGCACGCCCAATGCGTACTGAGATCAATCGATCCGATACATAGCAACTGGCCCAGGCCAATCGTCGACGGGCTTCTGATTCTTGATCACCGTACGGATCTCCCCGGAAGGATGTCCTATCAAGTCCGATGAAGTATCCTGAGCGCAGGGCGAGTCCGACGTGCATCCACGCAGCGCGGTCTTCCTCGCCACGACCGACGCGCTCAATGCGTGGACGGAGACCCTGCGGTTCCCATTCTGCTAGTAATAGCAGTGCCTCGACGGCTTCTACGTCGCATTCTGCGCCAGCGGCGATGCCCGAAATCAGCTCGTGCATGAACTTGGAGCAGTACTCGTGGATTTCGGGACGGTCGACGAGGTCCTTGGATGCAATGGTGAGAACAGCAGTGAGGAGATGTTTTTCGTTATTGGCAAAGTCGTCAAGGGCTGAGCGCTCGAAGTATTTTCGTGGTACGAGGGGAAGATATGGGTGGAAGTTTTCGGCATAGCGAGTGACCAGCTGCCACACGGTTCCTGGGTCCAGTGATCGGGACTGGACGAGGCGATAGGCTCTGATCCCGGTGGTCGGAACATTGTAATCAGATACAATGCCAGTGCGTAGACCATTATACGTCGACATAGAGTCAGTCCGTACATGGGTGCTGGCACGGCCCTCTGGCGCCGTCTCCGCACTGTGAGTGGCGATACCCGTCAGGCATTGCCAGGCGTCGGAAGGATTTCGAGGCACAGAGTCAATTGAAGCTTCGTCCTCATCTTCGACGGCTACCGACGTGGAAGCACCGGCAGAGCCAGCAGTGGTACTAGCTGGAGGAATTGGCGGAAGAAAGACGACAGGTCCAGGGTAAGAAGCAGATGGCGCCCGGCGGACCTCTGAGGTGGCCGGACTTTCAGTCTCCTCAGAGTCCTTACTCGGCGAAGGATCCTGAGCTGGTGTAAAATTTTTAATCTTATTCTTGCGAATGCGACGTCCACCTCGATTCGAGCCACCGAGTACACATTCGCGATGCTCGCGAACACACCGCTGGCACGGCGGCTTGCCAGGATTCCCATTGCTATCACTATTGCGTGGAAATTAGCGGACACACCTACACCTATACGGCTTGCAGATCCGGGGGAAAAAGTGCGGAGTTCAGGTTGACGAGATAAGCCCCCGGTGAAAGGGAGGGAGGGTGACTTACAGGTCACAGCGTGACTTGCGCTGCCTGCAATGCAGACAAGCCCGCGAGACGCGCTTGACGACGTGGTCAAGCCGGCGCGAGGCAGCGTGGTCCGGGGACTCCATCTTTGGCCGGGCCGTATGTGGAATTACAGGGACATTATTGCCCGATGCTGGGGATGGATAGGAAAACAGAGGCCGACTGTTGTTGAGACCCACCGGATATCGAGTAGCGCACTGGGCTGGTCATTACTCATCGGAGACGCTGAAGGTTTGAAGCTCCTCCCAGTGGAAGTGTGGGGAAATCAAAAGAGGGCCGAGTCGACCACCTCCCGAATTCTGTTTTCTACGAATATAAATGATTCTACATACGAAGGAATTCTCCTTTTTTTCTGGACTATCTAATATACAGAAGATTTTTTCAATTGAACTACTCAATAACATCCATCTGCAACTCTTCAGTACTTGGCTATTGGCATCTGTTGGGGGCCATCTGCCAACCGCCAACTGCTCAATAGCCGACGGCAACGGGACTCGGCAACGGAGTATTCCCCTTTCATTCCACGACCCCCGCGCGTGGGGAAACCATCATCTTGTGACTTGCGGTCATTTCAACAATATTTGGAGGGGCATTTTCTTCGATTTTCTATTTTACTTCCCTCCATTTTACCTTGATTAGCCTTAAGGTATATACACATATTCACAATGGCAGCCACAGTATCATCTCTCTTTTCCTTGAGCGGCCGCACCGCCGTTGTCACCGGTGGCACGCGAGGCATTGGCCAGGCCATGGCCTTGGCTCTGGCCGAAGCCGGCGCCGATATCATTCTGATTCAGCGCGACGAGTCCAACACAGCCACCAAGGACGAGATTATCAACCGCCTAGGCCGTAAGGCCCATATCCACGTGGCCGAGCTATCGGACCGCAAGGCTGTCAAGGAGATCATTCCTGCAGTAGTGAGCCAAGGCTTCAAGCCGGACATCCTGCTGAACTGTGCGGGTATTCAACGGCGACACCCGAGTGAAAAGTTCCCGGACGAGGACTGGGACGAGGTCAGTACCACATTCTTATCTTTAGAACAATTTCACACTCCCAAGCTTCTGCAAGCTACAACCCCTTCATTTCACCTGAAACATTCGCTAACCATGTCAACGAACAGGTCCTGGAAGTCAACCTCTCTCAAGTCTTCATCCTCTGCCGCGAGTTCGGCGCCTACCTCCTTGCCCGCGACGCTTCCGAGTTCCCCTCCGGCCGACGGGGTTCCATCATCAACGTCGCCTCGCTACTAACCTTCCAGGGTGGCATCACCGTGCCCGCCTACGCCGCGTCCAAGGGCGGCGTGGGCCAGCTCACCAAGGCTCTGTCAAATGAGTGGGTGGCCAAGGGTATCAATGTCAACGCTATTGCCCCTGGGTACATTGCCACGGACATGAACACCGCATTGATCAATGATGAGAGCCGGAATACTAGCATTATGGCGCGTATCCCGGCCGGTCGGTGGGGTCAGCCGGAGGACTTTAAGGGCGTGGTGGTGTTCTTGGCGAGTGGTGCCAGTAGCTATGTCTCTGGTGAAATTATTACGGTGGATGGTGGGTGGATGGGTCGGTAAAGAGGAGTGGAGTGATGTGAAGAAAAAATCGTGGGCTTTGAATGTTACTGTGAGGTGAAAAGATGAAGAGAGTAGCTTGGCATTCATGCTACTACTGTACTGGGACTTTTTCTGGCATTTTTGGCGGTTTTGTATATAGAGATGACTGCATCGGAGGTATCTGGATAACAAATCTCCGTATCCGAATTTAATGTACAGCATGGATCGAAATCAGATTCACCACCTTCACACAGAGATTCTTTCTCAATGCCTCTTTTGAAACTGCGCTATACCTATTACAGTTAACCGACCCTCGAACCCCTTTCTTGGCAGTATGCCCGTACGGTTGTAAATAACAGCGTAAAAATAGCATCCGTAATAATCTGGTATGGTCCGAAGGGCTTCTAGAACGTTGGCCATGCAAACAAGGCAAACAGAAGGCATTTCTCCTTGTCAGTGTGGCTACCTGGCCTGAATTCGACTTCTCCCCTTTATCAAATACTCGGCATCCGCAGGAGCGACCACTGTGAAAGAACGACGTTTATAGAGACAGCATTGGTTTGGTGAACGCTTTCCTATACGTGGTGTAACAATGCTGGCATTCTGATTGGGGCCTGTACCCGCCTGGCTTTGCGTGTCCGAAATTGTGCTGACGTTAGAATCGGTAGAACCCTTAGAACAGCGACGATGACTGTTGACTCGTATTGCAACGGTAATGATCTTCGATCATCCTATGAGCTAGAAGCGTCGGACCAGGATTCGCAATATGCCCCCACTCCAGGATACTTCGGTTGCACACCTGAGCCACGATGCGGGCTTAGTCCTTCCCCCGGGTATTCCACCCAGAACGGTCTCGCAGAGTTATGCCAAGTCGACGCAGGAAACCCCAAACTACTCCAGCTCTCCGAGTGGGACGAGGAAATACAAAATGATGAGCTTCCGGCAAGCTGTATCCAGTATATGATAGAGTGGAAGGTTATGCTGAATAGGAAGGTCATCTCACGAGACATAGAAGAGGACGTAGCTCTAACTCCGAGTGCCTACTGGCCGGTGAACTTGAGGCCCAAGTTGGAGAAGTTGCTTGAAGGGAAAACATCCCGTGCTGGGAGGGTCGGATGATACCTCGATCTGCCGGTGAACGATCGTTCCCAACGCGACTTGACGAAGCGATTTGAGAATTTCAACATCGATTAGACCCCTGTGGAAAAACAGCTGCTTAGATGGGGGGAACTGTTTTGTCGAGGTAAGAAACTGAGGTTAAGTATTACCTTTAAATACGTTGAGGATGACCGCCTCCCCAGAACCGCCTCGGGTAGAGTTAAGAAAAGAGGACGGTCATCTGTTATTAAAAGAATGCTTAACGAGCGAGATGCCCAACTGGATGCCGGCCTCTGGAGAAGAGTCTGTCTGGCGGAGTGTTTACAATCTAATGCGCTGTCCTTCCTCGTCATGCCATCTAGGCCGATATTGCTGGCAAGACCTTCACGGGAAAAAACACTATGGACTGAGAACCCATCATTTAAAACGTCTAATTGACTTTGTGGAGAAAGTGGGAACCGTGCAATCCCATGATGACGTCCCAGACAATATTCGGGAAGACATATATGGAAGAGCGACACAGATTGGAGAGTCAACAATCCAATAATAACAAGATGACTGACACCCCGGGAAGTTGTCCTACAGTACTTCCCGAAATTGGTGCGACCACCTGCACTCTTCGATTGGTTCTCAAACCCTAATAGCAAGACTGGTTAGTCTATATTAGGAATAGACTTGTAATATCAATATTCCAGTATCGCATTATTACTGTGGTTTACTTTAATTAAAAACCGACGCTGTGTCTTATGGCTGTATTGCCGATCCTAGGAAACTAGAATTTCCAGTAATGCAAACAAGTCAAACTACAGAGCCTGTGAGGGCCTCGAGAATCTGGGTAGGTGTCACTTTCCTTTGCCACTCTGGTGACAGTAAGGGAATGTTAAAGGAGATCAAAAAGTGAGAGGATCTAAAGAACTGATACAGTAGGGGTGCAAATACAACATCATTGTCATTGGAACTTGTCATTAACGTAGATGGCTTGATAGACGATTCGTGCGCACTGGTACTGTAGGCAATTGCAACTCCAACTCCTACTGTACGTGCAGACCATCCTCCACAAACTGCTTAGCCCCTTCCGTAGGAGCCTTCCAGGCCACGCGGTCCTTGGTAAACTGCTCCATCGTGGGTCTCAGTTTAGTCTCGTGCAAAGAGAAATCATCCACACTGCCAACGCGCAGAATACTCATGCCCGGGAAAGCCGCACCGACGCGGTACATGAGGGAGCCGCACGTGGAACAGAAGTAGTTCGTCATGGTGTTGTCATTGCCGGGAGTTTTGAAGAACACAGTGCGCGATTGGCTGTATGTCTTCAAGTTATCGCGGCCACGCAGATGTTTCAAGTGCGTGTCATAGACCGTGAAGTTGGTCGCGTGCACAGACGCGGTGAGCTTGTGGCAGTCAGAGCAGTTACAGATGAAGGAGCCGACGTAGCCGGGTCCATGGGTCGGCTGGAAATTTGGAGCCGCTGTTAGAGTAGCGCAAAAGCAAGAGCAGGATTGGAATCGAGACTTACGAATGAGAGTTGCACCGCACCACAAAAGCATGTAGCCGTTGCTTCATCCTCGGTAGACCAGCCATCATCAGCGCCTCCAGCGAGAGGGAAATACGGCTTTGACTTATCAATGGTGGAAGATACCATGGTTTCGTACTTCTGTGGTTTCGTGAGGATAGTATCAAAGACAATAAGCTTTTTCGAATACGCAGAGGATGAAGAGCTTGCAGCTACAAAGCAGGCTTTATATACTTGTATGGAAACGATTCCCGGGTCATTTTTTCCGTCGTATTATGCGTTATTTCCAGCCACTTTTTGATTGAATCCCCGCGCTTGCCGACCAAACGTGCCTAGTAATCGAAGGCTTAGAAATTCAACTCTTGGGACGTAGCTCGTCAGATTCTTCAGTTCCCGTCAGGATTATCTGCAGCCGGTACAATATCCCTAAACTAGGTTTTGAGAGGCACATCCAGTCCACATATTTGTAAGCGACAATATGACAATCTGCGATTCCTTCGGGGAATTTAACGGCTCGCACGACCACCTTAACTGGCCGATTCGGGACAATTAATAAGCCTCTAATTGCGTAACTACAGTTTGCAAAGATCTCCGACTATCGAGGACCCATGGGTCCTCGAGGCATTCACAATATAGGCCTTGCGATCGAAATAACGCCGCACGGACACGAGCCCTAGAGGGTTGATCGTGACGTAATTCATATGATAACAAATCGATATATTTGTAGTTATTCCGCCGAGTGTCCGAGTTTCAAAGATAAGGCAGTGCGAAACCTTCCTGACGACAGCAAATCAAAAGGGTCGTCGTGCCTTATCGAACTAGGCCATGTTAGCAGTATGATGTCATTCTGCACCGTGTCTGAAAAAAAAAACCGTGCCATCGTCACATCAGTTGCTAGGACCTGATCCAGCAGTCTAGCGTATGAAATAGTTCCACTGTGATCACTGTGCATTTAAGCAATATGTCCGTATATTGGAAGAGATTCTCAAAATGGTTGTTAGGACCTCCTGTTACTGCCGTGTTCGAAATCAGATTCCCCTTCGTCCGCTCAGAAAGTAATTCTCCAACCCTATTCCAAATAGCGCTAGTCTACATTCGAATTAGCTGCAGATCGTGGCGTGTATTTATACGGTTACCGTTCGTAATTGTTTAAGATGTGGTACCTACCCTACTAATCTATATAGCTATGGGTTAAAGTACCACGTTTTAAATAATAATGAACAGTGACTGTATTGTAAAAAAGCGACGATCTGCAGCTAATTCGAATGTAGACTAGCGCTATTTGGAATAGGGTTGGAGAACTACTTTCTGAGCGGACGCGGGGGAATCTGAATTCGAATATGGCAGTAGGGGCCCTGTATAATAGATTGGATTACGAGTTAAGGACACAAGGTAAAGCCTTGAACCACATGGTGTGTGTGGGTATTGCCTAGACTAATCGCTGTTCCCTTCCCGAGGAACCTGCGCGGCTGTATATAAGGACTATGCGGTCTAACCAAGACGATTTATCATATAAACCTATAAATAAGGACGTGGTGATGTAGAGGAGCCTCATTTGCAGGTCCATAGCCAATGTCATAAAACGGTACTCCCATTACAGCCAGAAGCCTATGCCATCTGCAATATAGATAGTTCCCACCGTGGGTCGTATCATAGATAAGCTCACGATCTCGGTTCCCCACTCGTAATTGATTGTTAAGTTATGCCGTCCCGAGGTTATTTTGAAGGTGGGGGTATAGAGCTGTCAGATTATTGGTTGATAATCGAATACATGCATTAGAATACGAAGTAATCTAAGTAAGGAACAATACACGTTCATACACGTCCAACTAACAGGGGTGCTCCGGAAAAATTCCCAATATTGATTAATGCCTCTAATATCCGTTCACAGGTCTCAGAACAACTCTCTCAACGGCGTGAGTTTACAGAGAAACCCTTATCACTGGATCTTCTTAAGAAGGTACGGAAAAAGGTTAGCGACGGGGCACACAGAATATAAGATATTACTATTTTAATTAATATATAATAATTTACTAACATCTTACTCAGGTTTAGGTAGGTATTCTATCAATTAGACAGCCTAGCTCGATATCATCACGAGGCAGCTATAGAGAAGGCTTTCGTATCTTTACCGAAGAACCTAAATAAGACATACAAGCGTATAATAGAGATCATACCGGTAGAGCAAAAACTAGACGCAATACGCCTGCTACAATTTTTGGTGCACTCTAAGCGACCTACGCTAGCAGAGGCTCAAGAAGTAATAGCGACGCAGATTAAAAACGAGTCAAGAGGGTTTAACATCAAGCGTCGGTTATTCTACGAAACTGATCTCTTAGATTACTGTCCCGGCTTAGCGACAATCGTTCACGCTACAAATAAAGAGTTACATATTACCCACTTTTCCGTCAAAGAGTACCTTCTCAGAGACAAAGATTTTAAAATCATGACTACTAGCATTTCTATCACGACAACGTGCTTAACTTATCTCACAGACATCAAAGGTAGCCACGAAGAGACTAAGAGACGTTTCCCGATAGCAAGATATACAGCGCAGCTCTGGGCAGGCTTTACTACGTTAGCTCAGGATTCTAAAGATATCGTTCAAATGACTGTTAAGTTCCTTAAAGAGGAAGTAACATTCCAACGATAAAGTCGTTTATATCAGGCGGATAGGAGTTAGGTCGATGACCCTGGCCCTCCGAAAGGCAACGCGGAGGGCGGCGAATACGGGAATACTCTCCAGGCCGCCTCATTGATAGGCCATCAAGAGATTGTCAAACTGCTCTTAGATAAAGGAGCAGACGTCAACGCGCAGGGCGGCCGCTACGGCAATGCTCTCCAGGCCGCCTCGTTTGAAAGCCATCACGACATTGTCAAACTGCTCTTGGATAAAGGAGCGGACGTCAACGCGGAGGGCGACTACTACGGCAATGCTCTCCAGGCCGCCTCGTCGGAAGGCCGTCAAAAGATTGTCAAACTGCTCTTGGATAAAGGAGCGGACGTCCACGCGCAGGGCGGCGAATTTAGCAACGCTCTTTAGGCTGATCGGCTCAACAAAAGGCTATCACGACATTCTCGGACTGCTCACTATGAGGTGGGCTTTTACATCGTCTTCAAAGTAGCCCGGCTCTACAGTAGAACAGTAAACTCTGTGAAGCAATCTATTATCATGCACTTTGCACGTTCTCGGCCACCTTAAGTCTTGATTAACCTCTACTATTGTGTTCAAATCTTACCCAATTTCAGCACTCTTATCATTTCATCAACTTCCAAGGCAAGGCTAGTTCAATGCATGGCAATTTACTTGTGACCTCACGCTGTCAAGAGGGAAAAATGAGATAAACTAGCTAGAACGTGCCGTCTATCTTCACAGTCTTGAACCGTTTCGTTAGATGGAGCTCGTCTTCACTTTCTGGTAGAAAGGCAATGCCTCCTTATGCTGGTTAGGGAAAGGGAGGCACTGGAGCTCAATGCTTGAGCATGACAATGCTTGAATAGAACACGTTGCCAAGTAGGAGGATATAATCACATGAGCGACCTGGAAAGACGTCATGTTGTATTGCTGGTTATGGTATTTCATGTAATTTATCAGATCCACTTTTTCATGACCCTGTCTTTCAATACAATTCAGCCCCTTGAAACTAGAACAAACTATATAAAGACTAGTGTGCTGGTAAGTGGGCTCTCGGGAGAGAATCTCTGTGTTCAAATGGTGAAACTGATTTCGATCCAAGCTGTATTTGGCATTTGCATTCCCTGGATTGCTAAGAGATTATGCATGAACGCACGAGTCATGGGTTATTCGACACGGACCACATGGTTGAGTTGTGTCGACTGATAGATCCACTTTGTCATGAGAAGCTCGCTTGCGTTAGCTGTTAGCTAGGAGATTGGTGGAAAAATCCAGCAAGAAGGATGAAACCGCCATGAACCTCCCAGTTCGGTATGCTTCTCCGTCGTTTAGAGGACTCGCCTATGCTAGTGATTCTCACTAGTTAATAGTATGTATGGAGCTCTGTCAAGTTTCACCTGGGCTGGTGGGGCCAAGTTATTCAGGCACAGAGGCACAGAGTGGAATGCCCGCAGAACCAGGCATTATTTTCTGCCTGAGGTTAGAGCAAGAGATCAGCTGTTTTGATCTGTATAGTCTCAGTTTCAGCTCACTTCTTCATCTTTGAACTTTTAAACACTATGATCTTGTTTCCATTATGATCATGCCACGGTCTCACACACAAAGAAGCAACTAGAATCACCCCATTCAGTCGGACAAAGGGTCCTCTTATCAGTCCGCGCGCGCCACAGGGGGGAAAAGTCCAAGTCTTTCTTGTCCGTGGTTTCTGATTAACAGCAGCTTTGAAACCGACCCACGATGCTACTGTTTGAGGCACCCTTGGCTCGAGCTCCACGACAGGCCAGCGCCAAGCAGAACCAAGAGAACTGAGAGAAGTCTTTCCCTGATTCATCGATTCTCATCCGGACAGGGTGCTCACTCTGGAGCAATCGTCTGCAGCAAGACCAGCGCCACCTGCGAATGATGGAGCGAGGGTCAGGGCGTGACGCCGGTCGCAAGTTCTGCAAGGACCAGCAGCGTTGACATTGGACCGAAGCGCAGCCAATCACTACGGCGGGTTGTGTGGTGCCTGCATCTGTTAGAAACACTGGTGTTCCCCTGGTCATCACGAGGAGTCCTCCCGATAGGCTGAGGGCATCTAGATCCCCGCCTGCCATCCACCGTCAAGAGATGCTCAGTCGACACTCGAATGGCCTGTTAATCAATCACAGTTTAATAATAAATCATTCCCCTTTCCCCTGCCACGACAGGAGTTCCTGCTTCTTGAGGAACATTCGTTCGTCTCCGTTTTTTTCTTTTCTTTCGTTCGTTTCTGTGCCGATCGCTGGCTTTTATCGATCACCTTGCATTCTCCTCATAGAATAGACTGTTTCGGCTTTGCGTTGATCGTAGACCCTGTTTTTCACTTTCGCTTGGACATTGTTTTCTTTCTCATATTGTCTACTTTGCCTTTGTCTTGGCCTTCTTTTCTGTCAAATTGCCTCATCTACTAACGTGAGGTCACTTGCTGCCCTCTCAGAGAACGTGCCGACCAGTCGACCGGATCGACATCCCCTTGCCTGCATTCCTGAACTCCCGGACGATGCCGATGCTCCTCAACAAGCAACGCGAAATTTGAGCTTTGCCGATCTGCTTGTCGAATCCAGATTTTCCAGATCATCTGTTGTTTGCTCGTCCTTTTTCTCTCGTTGGTGACTGGCTCGCTGCCTACAGGCTTGCCTAACAGCGTCATTGTCATTCACTTCCAACCCACCTGTTGACATCAGCACAAAGATCCCAACCGCCTTCCTTTGAACGGTGAAAGCCTTTGTGCCCAACCAATCTGCCGACGATCATCTCTCAGATCTCCGTGCCATCCTATACCACGTTGGATCGCCGTGTGTCTGGCTGGCTCTGATTTCATTTCAACTTTCTTCAACGTCACCACCCTCGGTCATCGCATTCTCTGTCGACTCCCCGCAACCAACCTCGACTGCTGATCGCTTTCCCCAAGATTCAAATCTCGACTGAGACTCCTCAGGCAGAGCGTGTTCCAGACCTCAAGATCCTCGATCAGTGTCTTGCCTCTCCCTCCACGGCTCACCACCGTCGCAAACATCCAATATCAAGACCAGGTCCCCTGCCAGCCACACCTGCAACAAGGATAGCCATTCACCCCTAGAAAACCGTCCTGAGGGGCATTTCAATGGCGACGCCCGGCCCGCAACTTGCGGCACGAGGCTACGGATCTAATGCGACTTACGTCTACGAGTACTCGCGAGGACTGGGTGGAGTCGATGTCCCCCGCGATGTTATCATCACTCGCATCATCTACTCGTCGGTGATTATTCTCGCCTTTGCTGTGTTTTGCGGCCGCATCGCACAGATCAGCCATGCATATCTTCGCCAAATCACATCTTGCACGGCAAACGGTCGACAGCAGACCTTCTGGCGCCGGGAGACATCATCACTCTGGTCCTTCATGAAGAAGCATATCCTGTATTCTCCACTGGGCAAGAAGAGACACAATCGGGAGATTCAGCTCTCCTCTGCTGTTGGCATCGGCACGTTGCCCTCCCGGTTCCAGACCATTCTGATCTTTTTGTACTTTGCAAGTCAAGTGGTGTACTGTCTTTTCCTAGACTATGCCGTCAACAATAAAGCTGCGCTGGTCGCGGAGCTGCGCGGACGCTCGGGGACGCTGGCCATCTTGAATATGGTGCCGCTGTTTCTGCTGGCGGCGCGCAACAATCCTTTGATCTCGATTTTGCATATCAGTTTTGATACCTACAACCTTCTCCACCGGTGGCTGGGCCGCATCATCGTGCTTGAGTCTGTCGTCCATACTGCAGCCTGGGCAGTCAATGCGGTTGACGAGCAGGACATTGGAGACATGCTATCTCGCTTGCGAGACACGCCGTTCTTTACATGGGGATTGGTAGGGACAGTGGCCATGGTTTTCCTCGGCCTGCACTCTCCATCCCCCGTCCGCCATGCATTCTACGAGACATTCCTACACCTTCATCAACTCGCCGCGCTTCTCGCTTTCCTCGGTGTATGGTTCCACCTTCAACTAGACAGCCTCCCACAACGCAGCTGGGCCACCTGTATCGCCGTCATCTGGCTCACTGAACGTACCACCCGTCTCATCCGCCTCGCACATCTCAACCTCTCCACCAAGCACGGATCCACCAACATGACCGTCCAAGCTCTACCAGGCGAAGCATGCCGAGTAACCTTCCACCTACCCAAAAGCGTCCGCATCGAACCCGGCTGCCACGTCTACGCCTACATCCCCTGCGTATCATGGTGGATGTCGCACCCCTTCTCTATCGCCTGGGCCGAAGCCCGCAGTCCCAACCCCAACTCCGCACGCTACCACGACACCAAGTCCCCCAACTCAGTCCTCACCCCATCATCCCTGGAAAAACAATCCCACGACCTAGACACCTACTTCGAGCCCACCCACCGCCCCACAGAAGTCTCCCTCATTATCAGCGCACGCCAAGGCATGACCCGCCGCCTCTACAACCTCGCCCGCAGCAAACCACACCAAATCCTCCGCGCACCAGGCTTCATCGAAGGCCCCTACGGCTCCCGCCCCGCCAACGCCTCCAGCTACGGCACAGCCGTCCTCTTCTCCGCCGGTGCAGGAATAACCCACCACCTCATATACACCCGGGACCTCGTCGAGCGCGCCGCTACCTCCCGCGCCGCAACCCGCCGCGTCTACCTCATCTGGTCCGTCCGCTCGACGGACCACCTCGCCTGGGTAAGCCAATGGATGGACCAAATCCTGCGTCTGCCCGGCCGCCGCGACATCCTCATCGTGAAGGTATTCGTCTCGAAGCCCCGGCGTGCGGCGGATATCGTTTCCCCGTCCGCAACGGTCCAGATGCATTCTGGTCGGTGTCGGCCCGAGGTCGTCCTTGATGAACTTATGCCGAAGAGTGTGGGGGCTACGCTTGTTTCTGTTTGTGGGCCTGGTGCGTTTGCGGATGAAGTGCGCGCTGCGGCGAGGGGGAAGATTGGGAAGGGGGCTGTCGTGGATTTTGTGGAGGAGGCTTTTACTTGGTAGATGAATAGCGTCTTTTCTTCTGATTTTTTTTTCGCTTGGTTGGTGCTCCTTTTTCTTAGCCTGTCGTTGCGGTGTTTGTGGCTGTTTTTAATGTCTATACTGCTATCTCTCGTTGAATGGAGGGCTACATAGTTAAGAGCTGAGTCTTGGCTTTGGCCCTGGGGCCAATGCCAAGACCTATTTCTCCAATTCTCAATAACCCGTATACTGTATCCTCTAAATAGGCTCTATTCTTTTTGTAGTCTCTGTATTACTAGTGTCAGCAAGAATACTATTTGATGGGCAATACCACTCGAGATCCACCTACAGCCAGTATTCATCACGCGAGCTCAAACCCTTTAGTTTTTCCTTGTTCTATGTGTCCCAGTAGACATCCATCACCTTGAAATAGTTTTAAAAAAAAGTACGCTTTATTCTAATTAATCCCGAATCCTAGCCCTATCTTTCCATGAAAAGTTAACTCCCTTCCAGCCAAGAAACCCATATCCATCCCAACCGTATACCGCATCCATCCTACCTAAGACTCCACAAAAATCATAACCTACTAGCAGTGTCTCTCACTCGGTCTCCCTTATGGGGTAGCACCATGAACAGACCGGAAATGCCCCATCATATTATCCTTCCGACTGAAAAGTCTATCGCAATCCTCGTCGAGACATGGAACAGAGCGGGGCGTCACGTGCTGTGTTTCCACGTGGCGCATCAATGTTGCTTTGTTGGTGAAGGGGCCTGGTTTTCTGCATTGTGACCATTTGCAGGACCAGGAATGTGGACGGGGACTATATTTGAAGGGAAGGTTTATGTTAGTAAGGTGATCAATCGGAGTAAGTCTTCTTTACAGGGCGCATCAAGCAACCACTCATGACATACTTGGCCTTTTTCTTGGACCGATGAGTAGATGGCTTTGCGCTTGTGGTTTTGTTGACGCTACTATTCTTCGGCGAAGTTATGGAGACTTGAGGTCCAGACCCATGGGCCTGGTATTCGATGCCATCGACCATACAAGGAGGGCTGGTATTGTTGTGCCTAGGAGGAGATTGTCCTTTGAAAATATGGTTGTTAGTTGGATGACAGGCTGGGTTGATAGTATCGAAACGAAACCAACCATAGAGAGGACAGGAAAGCAAAGCAAGTTCGTCTGCAGTCAGAGATCGCATTGGTCGATTCGCAGAGTTATGCAGAGCATAGGCTGGATCGGCCATCGCTGGGAATTCGAGGAATTCAAAGGGTAGATTGCAATGATCGGAGAAGATTGTTCTTGGATGGTATGTCATCTTGACTCGAACGTAAGGTTATGACGTTATGTTGTATCAGGGGGGTGACTTCAATAAAGTAGAGATAGATAAAGAAGCTGCGAAGAGCTTGGTACTGAGTAGAATAGAACCAAGAGAACAGCATCATCTTCGAGGGGTGTAGGAGGGTATTTATTTCCCAGAGGAAAGCTGGGAAAAGCTATGCCATCGATACGGAGGATTGGGATAGCGACAAGCAAATGTGTGCTGCGGCTACGAATACATCAAACAATGGCGTTACAATACGCAAATGATCGCAGTATTGTGATCCCTGTAGGATCACAGTATTGTGGTCCTTGTTAGTATCCAATCATCAACAGTAGCCAATGTCTGGTTATGCATATGACTCCGTACGTGGGGTGCACGGGAAGAGATTCCCGCCGATCCTTCGGGCCTAGTTCTTACTCGACCTTAGCGGTCACTTCTCATACGATACGTGACGGACTTTGACCGCAAAAGCGACCGGCAGAAGAAAGTGGCCCCCTCCACAAAAAGAAAACAAAAAATGAAGCTATGTCTCACCTCTGGCCTGAAAGGATCTTGTAGATTGTAGGAAGGTCAAAGCAGCAGGAGTCAGGCCTAGATGCGAGTTTTAGGACCAAATTGCATCAATGATTCTAGCCTACCTCTGGCTTCTAGTTATAGAGACGCAGATGGGGTAGTATGATACTTTTGGGCCCTGCGCCTAGCCTGTTTTAGTGGACATAGACCGATCCTAAGCTTAAATCCCTAAAAACTCCACCCAAAGTGGTGTCGAGTACCGTCGAGGTCGACCTGGGGTATACCGGCATTTTACTAGAACTAGTTGGTATACCCACACTTGTTGGGTAAGAATTTGTGTCCAAGCACACGCGGGGGAATGAGCTTTTGTTTACACGGCTAAATATGTATTTCGCTTCACATCTGCTGTTCTCCAGTTCATAAGACACTACTTCGGCGATATAAGAGCGCCTCCTAGGAGACTGTTTTTCTCAGAGATCATCAGCGATTACCATGCCGGGGTACAGTGTATACAACTTAACTTAGCTAGAGACTGTGGGAGACCATAGCTAATCACAATAACAGATTTTCCTAAAAAAGTGGTCTTTTCTCCTGCCTGAGTAATGGTGTCTATTGACATGCCCTAGGCAACAAAATGGAGAGAATTTGTTTGAATCGCTGGCACCAATCAGCAGAGAGCATCCGATCAACCGCTGTTTGAGGTCAGTAACTATCATCTATTTAGCTTCTTACCTTGTCTAAATACAACTTTTATAGCCTTCTTCGCAAGACTTTCTAGCTAAAACTAGCTCTCGGGTGAATAGTTGTCTAATTAAGATTAATTATCTAACAATTAGTTACTGCCTTTCGTGGTGTTTTCCATAACCCGAGTCGGTGAAACACTTTCTGTGCTTATACTACTACGACCGCAACATCGAGATTGCTTTAACATTCTTATCTTTCTATAAACTCCAGCGCGCGGTGAACACCGTTTCCCAGTCTCCGACGACTCAGGTGTATTCTAGGAGGTGTCGGCTTGCTGTTGTTCTTGATCGACTTATGCCATAGAGTGTCAGTGCTGCGTTAGTTCCTGTTCGTAGGCGTGGTGCATTTGCGGATGAACTGCGGGCTGCAGCGAGGTAAGAAGGGTGTTATGGTTGACTTTGTAGGGGATGCTTTTACTGGGTAGATCGAGATATCCTCCTTTCTCTTGAATTTCTTGGTTGATACCCGTTTCTTAACCTGTTGTTGCGGTGTTATGGCTGCTTTTGATTTGTATATTAGTATCATCTCGTTGAACATAGGAAACCAGGAATCCATGGTTACAACGAAGGTTATCTAGGTGCCTAAGAAACACGGTTTGGTAAAACCAAGGTTCTCTGTCGCGACTGCACAGATCACACAAAAAATCCTTTCATGCGAATCTACCTCCAAGTGCCATATCGTGGTACTGAGATAGACGACCCAGACAGGAGGGCTACTCAGGCCACGACACTAGTGCCTGAAGAGTTGATTGCTTATCAAGGACTTACCCAAATGTCTTGCACTGAGCGAACGTCAATCACCAGATGAAACCAAGCGTAAGTCATATCAGCAGAAACAGGTGCTTTTTGATATCCTTGCACAAGCACAGAAAATTACCTCTTCAGTGCCTCCAAGCATTAATTACATACAACCACTCCCCTCAAACAAACCCCCTCCAAACCCCATCTCCAGCCGGCACCAACTCCACCGTCTCTCCACACTCAACCTGCGCAACAAAAAACTCTGTAAACAAAGACGCAATAGCAACTCGAAACACACCCGAATACCCCAACTCCTCGTCCCCCAACATAACATCAACAGCCTTAACAAACGGTACTGACCTTCCATCCCCATTCATCCACCCAACAACAGACCGCATACACTCCTCATCAACCATAAGACAAACATTCGTCCGAAGACCAGGTTCAAGTCTATCCTCGGACGAGCCCCCATTCGCATCATCCTCCAAACTCCGATACGCGATAGCGACTTGTTCCGGGGTGATATCCCGCAATGCCTCATTGGATACCTGTTTCAGGAACATTTTGTCTGTGATGCGTGATAAACCGGACTCTTGGGGTGCATTGGTGATAGCTTCAGTCAGGATTTGATCCTTTGCTTCGAGAAAGGCATTCCAGAGGGTTTCATCGTTGTAGTATGTGCGGAAGAGAAGAAAGCCAAAGTCGTTCCAGCCTTCTTCTTCGACTAGGTCGACGAGTTGTTTGAGTCTGGTTGTGTAGGGGTCGGCCATTTTTGTCATTGATAGGGCTGCTTCTGGCGGTGCGAGTGTCTATAAAATTTGGAAGTAATTGGGGCTGGATTGGGGAAGATGTTTTTCTAGGTGGGGTATGATCGTCGTGGAGTTTTACTTAGAGTGGTTAGTGTCTATTGCCTATTCCTATCCGGTCGAGCTCAGTGATGATGAATCTAGAAATCAGGAGAACGGTCCAACTAGATATGCTTCAAACACTCTTATTTGGAATGTCTTTCTTAATGTCTTTTGAATCGTCTTCTTGATTACACAGATACCATTTTCGTGGTCTATCGTTCATCTCGTGACTGCTAAGCCTGTCCAATTTTCAAGCTTATGGAAAGCATTGAGGCCCTGAAGGAACATTTGACCTACCATTCGAGACCTCTACATAGGAACACGGTTGGGACACGATGGCAGAGCAGAACAAGCATCCATTACAAGTTACAAACTTATTCAAATGAGTCAACAGAAAAGAAATCTTTAATAATCTATACATCTTTAAAACATGATGATAATCTAACGATCTTAAACATATCAGAAGACCTTCCACGCAAAACAACAAATGTGGACAGCATCAAAACTGTCACAGACAGGATATCGCTGAATGCCAATGAAAGGCAATGGGTAAAAATCAACAAGAAAAGAAAATGGGAGAATCATCTAAACACATGTAAAATAATGCAACAGAAAGAAAGAACATTTTAAGAAGAGAATCGACAGCCAGCACTTGAAGAAGCGTCTCAAGCGCTTAAGAAAGCGATGGAAATAGTGCTGAATTTCGAACTGATAATACTCGAGCTGCATGAGTACCAAGTCCTACTTGGTGCTCTTGCTGCGGTTGCCCTTGGGCACACGAGCGAGCCAGTAGATGCCAACAGCCAGGAAGATGTTGACAATGATGTAGACCCACATGATGCCAAAGTTGCGCCAGGCATCCTTGTAGTAGCTGACCACCTGGGCAAGGAAGACATCAGTGGACTTGACGGTGCAGTAGGAGCAATCGGTGGTGGCATTGTTGTCCAGGAGGTAGCCGCCGGCCAGGTTGATGTAGGGCTCCATGTACTGGAAGCAGGTCTCGCCATTTGGGGTTTCGAAGTGCAGGTACTCGATGCTCTCGCAGGTGGCTGTGGCGCCGGAGACACCAGTTGACAGCATTGCGGAGACGAGATACGTGAACGGCGAGACACGGTACATGAAGATCCAGAAGCCGGGCATCTGTGCGGGAGTAGCGAGGACACCGCAGAAAATCAGGCAAAGGGAGAACAGCAAGTTGGCCAGGTTACCACCGGTCTCGGCGAGATCGATACCGGCGATGATCATGTGGGCGAAAGTGGAGGTGAAGAGCAGGAAAGACCAGATAAGCAGGAACATCAGTGCACCACGCTCGTGAACGTTACCAGCCTCCTCGGCGTTGCGGTACAGACCGATCGGGTAGTACCAGCAGACGAAGATGAAGACGGCCATGAGAGTGTTCCAGGGGAGTTCGACCAGGATGTTCGCACTCATGAATGCTTGCCAGGAGTAGGTCTTTGAGGGACGTTCACGGACTTCGTAGAGAGAGCGCTGGGTAACGAAGTGGGGCATGATTTGTTGAACCAGATTACCGAAGATGGTCATCAGCATGAAAATACTGAACATCTGGTTTTGAAGACCCTGCTGGGAGTTCTGTGCCTGGAAGAAGGAGAAACCGATGTAGAGAGACGTGAGAATGCAAAGAGCAGCCTTGGAGTAGATGTAGACCGGGGTGCGCCAGTATTGACTGAAGATACGGACGAGACACTCATAGAGCTGGACAGTGAAGGGCGCGGCGAATTCTTTGAAATTTTCGGTGTTGTTGCTGGACTCCTCGACGGGCTTCTGGGAGAGAGTCGCCTTGAGTTCAGCCAGGTGCTCGTGGACGCCCTTGCGCTCAGGACTGTCGCGCCAGACGGCAGGCCAATCGACATCACTGTGAGAACCGGGAGCGGCACCAATGACCTCCAGCATCCATTCGGCAGGGTTAGCATCGACAGGGAGCTTAGGGGCACCGTTGCGTTCAAAGTAGCTAGACAGGGTGGAAGACTTCTCGCCAATCTCGCCAAAGTAAACTGTTCTTCCACCCTTGGCGAGGAACAGCAGACGATCGAAACGCTGGAAGAGCATTGCGGAGGGTTGGTGAATAGTGCAGAGAATAGCTTGTCCGTGCTTGGTCAGGGTGTCAATAAGATCGAGGATGGACCAGGAAGTTTGCGAGTCAAGACCGGAAGTGGGCTCATCGAGGAACAGAAGCAGCTGGGGCTTGGCAGCAAGCTCGACACCGATAGTCAAACGCTTACGCTGCTCGACGTTCAGACCTGTCATGACGTTAGAATGGGCTTCTCGTGAGTAATTTTTGATGGATTAGTGGCTTACCTTCACCGGGAACACCAACAATGGCATCAGCATAGGCTTCCATACCCAAGAGCTTGATGACCTCTTCGACGTAGTCCAGCTTCTCTTGGCGAGAAACATGGGCAGGCTGGCGGAGCATAGCACTGAAGCGCAGTGCTTCACGGACGGTAGTGGTGTAGAGATGGAGATCCTGCTGCTGGACATAACCAGTCTTACGCTGGAAGGACTGGTCACGGGGGCGGCCATCAACAAGCATCTCACCAGAGACAACACCCATAGTGACACGGGTAGCAAGGACATCCAGAAGAGTAGTCTTGCCGGCACCAGAAACACCCATCAGGGCAGTGCAGGTACCAGGCTTGACCCAACCATCAACGTGATCCAAAATACGGCGCTCCTCACTCTTGATCTTGATATCGTAGCACACGTCTTGCCAGTGGAAGACAGCGGTCTGGCGCTGGATACCAGCGGACACTTCCTGGCTGCTGGTCTCATCGGTCTTCTGGCCGGGGGCAATGGTGTTGCTCAGTTCGATGTCATCATCGGAGGTACGCTTAGGGGCGTGGCCACGACGGAAGAGCAGGACCTCACCCTTGGACTTGGACTCGGAGATGTACTCGGTGGCAGTTAGGTAGGTAGCCATGAAGAAGATCATGAAACCGATCATGATACCCAAGTTGCGCCACTTGTGGCTGTTATAGTACTGGAAGCTGTCGGCAAGGTAATCGTTACCGAAGACCCGGTTAGAACCAGCGCGAGCACCCTTAGCAGAACAGATCTTGCTAGTCGGTGGAACATTGTTATATCCAGGACCAGCAGGAATCATAGCCGAGTCCAGACAGTCGAACCAACGGTTATGGAATTCGTTAACCATCAGCGATTCAAAGCCGTATCCAATAGGATCAATGTAGTTCATCCAGCGAGACCAGCCAAGCATGTTGCGGGGAGGAATGGTGAAACCAGTGTAGATGACCAGACCCAGGATCAGAATAGCGGCTGGCACTAGAGCCTGAGACAGGGTTCGAGAGGTAGCGGCAATAGTCCGGAAGATCATAGACATGGTCAACATTGTGAAGACTGAGAACACCAGGAACGTGAAGAATGCGCCAGGGGTGCGGCGCAGATTCGTCATAAAGTAGAGAGTCACGTTGAAGGTAACTGCATTAAGCAACTTGTACGGCATATCACACAACATAGAAGCAATAGCCTCAGCGAATGGATGATACATAGCGTAGCGAGCTTGCTTTTCGACGATAGGGCGTTGCGCATAGAGAGTCAAGATTTCCAGGGCACTGGAGAAAGCGTTGAGGAGAACAGCGAAGAACAGAAGGGCACCACGAGAGTAGAAACTATCGGTAGTATCCTTGAGATTGAAGAAGACGGAGCCGATGATAAGAGCCATGATGAAGTTACCAATCAACTGGGACAGGGTCAAACTAGCATCTCCCTTGAGGCGCTGGAAACCACGGTTCATGCACAAGCTGACCTGCTGCCAAACAGAGATGGTGTATGGAGAGCGAACACGCAGGTTCTTGGCCTGCATGGCACGGCGCGAGTCGACGAACTTCTGGAGGGATTCACCGCCGAGGGGATAGGATTTGTCGAACTCCTCAATCTCACGGAGCAACTCCTTGTAATCCTTGCTGTTCTTCCAGGCGGCAGCGAACTCATCGGGGGTGCGGGGCACAAGGTTCTCGAAGCCCTTCTTGACAATACGCTCAGCAGGGCTAGTCAGGGAGGTCAGGAAATCGGCGGTTGTCTGACGTTCGGGGCATTCGAAGCCCATGTTGGTGAAGAACTCCTTGGCCTCGGTAGTGCGGCCAAAGTAGATCTGACGACCCTCATACAGGACGGTAACCTTGTCAAAGACCTAGATAATCATTGTCAGCACAACGGAACATCCAATGGTTTGAATGCAGTATAACTCACGTCATAGGCACTCTGAGAGGCCTGGTAGATGGCAACTGCACAAGTAGTACCGGAGTACTTGGCCATGAGGTTCAGAGTCTTGCAGAACTCCAAAGCGTTGGCACTGTCCAGACCACGGGTACTGTTATCCCAGCACTGGAGAGGACTGGCGCAGAGAGTAGCCTCGGCGATGGAAACACGCTTGCGCTCACCACCAGAAACACCACGGACGAAATCATTACCGACGCGAGTGTTGATAGTGTGAGAGAGACCAAGCATAGCCATGACCACATCACGCATGTGCTCAGCATATTGGTCGCGAGAAACACCAGGCAGACGGTTGCGGGGAGCGCGGGCCAGCGCAGCGAACTTGAGGGTGTCACCAACGGTCAACTGGGGGAAGTGAACATCGGTCTCAGCAGTGTAGATAGCCTCGCCGCGGAACTGGTTCTTCATCTGCTTGTCAGAGATACCCTGGTAGTTCATGTATGTCTTGTCGTCCTTGTGGATACCATTCATCTCGCCGGCCAGAGACTTCAGGAAGGTCGAGCAACCGGAACCAGGACGTCCCAGGACGACCAGCATCTCGCCGCTCTTGACCAGGCCATCAAAGTCACGCAGAATCTGAATCTTCTGCTTGCCTGTGTCTGTAACCATGCGAGCCAATGCAGCCACCTGCAGGACAGAGTTGAACACGTCCTTTTGGTAATCTGTGGGGCTACCGTAACCGTGCACACTAAGGTTGCGGAACGAGACACCCGCCTGGCGGGTTGGATAGCGTTCAGGATCGCGGTTGGTAATAGCGAGCAAGTTCTTCATCCAATTGCGGGCCTTGAAGTTGTCGCTGTGCGGGTTGAGGGTCGAGTCCTCCTTGGTTTCGAGGAAAGTGTTCTCGCCATCGGCCCATCGAGTCGATTCGCGGGTAAGTTGGCGGGCCAGACGAGTGACCTCGGCCTCGATCACGTCCTCGTTGCCAACCTCGTTCTTCTCGAGGGCCGTGTCTTCGCTGCTGACACTGTTGGCGGGATCATGGTGGTGTAGTTCGCGAGCCACCGAGACAGACTCACTGGTTGCCTCGGTGGTCACGCTATGGTTGAAAGTCCCCAGAAGCGACATTGCGGCTTCTCTCACGCGGAGGAATCAATTAGAAGGTTTTTGATATGGGCCCGAAGTGTGGGGTGAATCGGAGAACCCAAAGCAGTCGAGGTGATTAGGAAAGGACCATCAATGGATGGATTTGGATAGCGTGTCGACGCGACTGGAGTAGATAGGGGGGTGGAGAGAGTGATTAGTAGTAGGGATGAATTAGGGATGATGATATTAGGATTGTATGAAAGGAAAGGAAAAAGAGCGTCAAGAACATTAAGGTTAAGAAGGAGAGTAGGAATGATAAATAAAGAAAAAAGCAAAAAGGAAAAACCTGCACGTAAGAGTCGCAGTTTCTTCTAATTCGGGCCCGGGTAGGAACCAGGATTTGCCTCCGAAAGGAAGTGGGCGATCCGTCCGGCGATAAGCAGCCCGGCGGAGACAGGGGGCTCCTGAATCTTTGGCTTGGCCTTTGGGGGGTAAATCCACTAAATTGACAGGTACGGAGCCCGGGAAATGGAGCACGAGTCAGACTGTGTCATCCTCGGATGCCTAAGCTAAGACTAAAAGAGCAAATGTTGATGAGATGAACCATCGGGTCATCACTTTATACAGCCTTGTACCGTACAAATTGCATCTTGGCTGACCTACAGAGTAGTATGCAGGAACTAAGAATAATCATTGGACTCATACCCACACACAACAGGACAAAGTGACAACATAATGATTCTTAGACGAATTATATAATTCTTTCTAGAGGTACGTACTACTTCGCACTCATGTACATGCATCTCAAGTGCCAAGAATTATGCAATTTTTTTTTTTTTTTGTATATTTTCCGAGATCGTTAAAAACACGTGCTGGACCGTTCTAGAAGTAAAAGTGGGCCGGGAGCAGAAGATCCGAGCTCCCTGGCTTTTGGCTGGCGTAAGGTTCATCTCGGGCAGTTCTGCTGCTGACTGCCGCTCGGCTCGGATACCGGGCTGGAGCATATCCGGGGCTGACTCAGCCTAATCTCAGCCAATCGTGCTAACTACGGCTAAACTTCGCTGTTTCTGCCCCCAAAGATGGTTGTTAATTGACCATTTCATTCGTCCGTTCATACTCTACTTTCGTCCGTTTCATATCGCGGATGAACCCGGACGATCTCATCGTCCCTGGATCTGATCTATAAACCCTGGTCAATAATGTGGCGCCCACAGCCTCCCTCTCGGCTTGGGGAGGCATCCTTGCCCGGCTTACAGGCCACGTACATGTCGCATGCTCATCTCAATTGCCAAGTGTAGTACTCATCATACATTAATATCCGTTTCAGGCAGGATCATGCAAGGGTTTCATGGATTACGTAGCGTGCGACAGCCTACACCGCTGGCGTCATCACACACAAAAGCTACGGTGAAAGCAACTAAGGCTGCTTCTAGATGCGATTGGTGATCGCGGAATTTCACAAGTAATACTCAGTACATTGTGCTAACCTACATAGCTGAGATCACGATCTCATTCATCATGGCATCTCAGCCCGAATGGTCAGCCGCCTCTGCACTGGCCACCTTCTCTTCATGTTCCTCATCATCCTCTTCGATGGGCTCCACAAGTAGATTGCCACCCCGGCCGATCTTCTCTCGGATCGTCCCGCCATCCTCGACTGCATAGACAGCCCGGGGCATAGGAGACACCAGACGGAATCCGTACTGGTGTTCAAACCCTTCGGGCTTATCCACATCGGTGGGTCGAGACTCATCCTGCAGGGCTTCGTAGCACTCCACCACCGCATAGAGTTCTTCAATGTCGGCGTTGGGCGCAAAGCGGCGCATGATCCGCTCACCAGAAGGCAGTCGTACACTGATGCGCACGGCGTCCTTGACCTCCGTCCCAGGCTCGGCGCCGAGCGACTGTGCCCGCCAAAGCTTCCATTGGGCCAGATCGCGCTGTCTCTTCTCTTCCGCAGCTTGGCGTTCCGCTGCCTCTTGCTCCTCCCGCTGTCGAGCGGCCTCTGCTTCCCGGCGGAGACGGGCGCGTTCACGGTCAATCGCGAGGGACCGCTCATAAGCCGAGTCCTGTTCTTCGCGCAGGCTGCGGGAAGCCTGTTGTTGGCTGCGGTCTTGACGGATCTGCGAGAGGGGACCTTGGTTCGAGGTGACGGCAGTTGTGAGTCGCTGCTTGAATTCAGAGGTTGGAAGAGGTCCAGCAATTCGGGCCACCACTGACATGGCGGTCGAGGACACGTTGGGGGTATGACAGACCACCGCCGCAAAGGGGAACTTGGTGACCTTTAACGAATTGGCGACTTGGTAGGCCTCCGAATCCCGCACGTTGCCACCCCAGACGAGTACGTTTCCATTGCCGCCGGGAGGATTGACAAACTCGACGACGTCCGGTGATAGTAGAGTCTCCTGCACCCAATTATGCGTATCATCGTTCTCGGGCGACAGCAGGACCACCAGTAGGAACTTCAGATCGCGATGCGCCCTCTCCAGGGCCATGTTGTAGCCATTCTCAAGGAATGGAAGCGGATTTGACCCGTACTCCTCCTCAAACTCACGGATGAACCGAGCGGCAGTATCCTTAGGTGCTAGCGGTCGGCGGCCCGTAGTATTTTGACGAGCTCCCTGAAGAGCTGGGCTGGCAGTTGTGCGCAAGAGTCGTGGGAGGAAGGGAAATAGAGTGCCGAAGAGACGGAAAGAGCTGAGAAGAAGTCGGTAGACGAGATTGAAGGGGGTGAAGAGGAGGGCGAGGAGGAAAGGGGGACGGTGTACGGGTTGGTATTCTGGTTGCGTGTCGACTCGTGGGGCGGGCTCCGAGGTACGCTGGGCAGGCCGAACTTGTTGAAGTAGATCCTCGTTCATCAGATTGATACCCGGCCCAGGCTGAAAAGGTTGTTCTGGTTGGGACATGGCTGCTCGAGCCTCTTCCAACGGGTCAGGCCCCTCTCCATCGAAGAACTTGGAAATCGCAATCTAGGTTGTGGGGGTGAGCAGATAGCTACCTCGGCGGGAGCTGGGGTAAGTATGACGACCAACCTGAACATTCCATTGCGAGCGGCGCAGCAAAGGGATCGCCTCTGCTAGCTCTTGCCCTGTCACACTTGTGTACTGCTCCAACGCCAGTCTCTCGCTCTCCGAGAGCTGGTCGAGGTCAACCTCATCCGCAGACATCGTTGCTGATAGGTGGCAGCGTTGAAGTTGAAGCCACCGAAGTGGAGATAGACATGGCTATATGGGCGACTTGGGGTCACCGCCCTATACACCGCCTTCTCTATTGATCCTCAGCTGGAGCTATTCTCCGTCTCCGGCGATGGAGCAAATACGTCGTGGCATCTCCAAAGCTTAAACCCCTCCACCAACCTTCATGTACTTTGTATGCTGCTTGATAGTATCTACCCCCAGATGTAAATGGTTTTAAATGCCACCGAGAATGCATATTCAAATAAATTTTAAAACATGATCCTATTCCCGCCTTGCCCAACTAACCCCTGTGACGAAAACTTATTCATGAAGTTGCCTTCACGTTTTCGACCATCACTGACTTATTATAATTCATTCTTTGATCAGAGGTGAGGACGGATACTCCAAATTTATCTTGCCTTCACATCTAATTTGTATAAATAGCGTGGTGTATACAGTATTGAGTGCGCCTGGCTTGACTACAAGTACGGTGTGAAGGCGGTAAGATCAATGCCGGATATATATCCTACCATCCTGTAGTCTCTGAAGCTAGCAGCTATATCTACTTATGCCCGGGCTGTCAAGCGGGAAAAAAAGGAACTTCAAATAAGCCCAGGCTCTATATGACAGATACTAATAATAAGCTTGAATAGGAACCGCGGTCGCAGATTTTGATATAATGATTACACCGTTGTATACTAGTATACTCGGGACTAGACCTGTCCGGGGATCAGTGATGCGATCGCGGGCTGACCGCCTGGTCCGTGCACGTGTCCCCCTTCACTCGAGTTCGCCTCGCCCCGCGTCCTGGTCTGCTCCATCGGTTCTATCAGTCCCGATCTTCTTCAGGAGGGAGGAGACCCTGAATCAGTGTATTTCTTATTGTGTGGCTTTGAACCCACATATTCATATCTCCTCGGTCGCCCGCCAAATCTCACCCGCAATTGACCCGCCCTCGACGATCGCCTCGCTATACGCGTGGATAACAACCACCGGGAATCAGCTGTCAGATCGTAGGGAATGTGGCTTCCTATCGATCGAATCAATCGTTCCGTTTCAAGTTCCGGTTCAATGGAGATGCCACTGCGCTGATTCCGTTTCGTATCTCTCGTCGATATCAGCCATATCGTCATGGCCTCCTCCGGCAAGCCCCCGCTGGACGATTCCCGTCGCACGACGGGGTCGCCGAAAATGAAGACTCGAGGTGAGTGTTTCGCAAGTGCCCGGTGTTGCTCATAACCCGGGAAGAGACATCTGATCAGTCTGATCGGATCGATGTGTCGAGATCTGCGATAGATTTGCGCGCTGACTGGAGGTGTCTTTGGAACAGAGAATGCGAAAGATACACTCTGCCGTAATGTAACCATTTACGGCCGCTGTCGATATGAAGATAAAGGTATTTGCTAGTGCCGAATGATAGTTGTGGGTATTGTCCACGAATACGGAGACCTGACTGGGGCTCTGTCATAATAGGTTGCGCATTCAACCACGACCCTCTGAAAGTAAACGCGGCAAATCAAGCAGATAAGTAAGCCTGGTGTTCCTCTCTTCTCCTCCGCAAAGCTCTGTATCTGCAACAAAATACTTATCAGCCACCATGTACAGCAAGAAACGGTTTAACGTCGACTCGCCGAGTTTCACACCATCCCTCCTATCCGGTAATGGCACATCCGCTCCGAAGAAATCGACAACTATTTCCCCGAAGGCTGCGAGCGCAGCTCCGTTCCAGCCCCGAGTCTCGGCATCATCTCGTAGGATACTATCGTGACCTGAATTTTAGAGACCTCTCTCACTGACTGATGATTAAGGCTCCAACACGAGTACACCAACGGGGCGACAAGAAGCAGGAACTCCAGACTGGACGGTAGCCGATGTGCAAGAGTTTGTTCCACAGGGTTTTGAAGGCGCTCACGTGGTAAGTCGGTCTCGATCGCACCTTCCTTTTTTGAAGCCTCCGCGATTTCTTCCTTCATAAACATGGTTGGATCATCATGAATCGTCGTGTTGTCCTCTCACGCTTCAGTGAGATCAATAAGAAAGATGATGGGAAATCTCCATAAGCGCTCCACCAGGAGCCTGAGTGCTTTGGCCGATGACTTTGATTCTATCCACAAAGGAAACCAAGAAAAATATCGGAGTTTCAGCCTTGGTCTTCGTCCGACTAACTCGTCTGTCAAGGGACCTCTTCAAGGCAATGGCAACGGACTCGCCAACTCGGGTGCCTTTGATCCGTTCGTTTCGGCCTCGACGCCTCTGTCCGCAGGAGCCGTTGGCCCGGTCTCTGGTAACCCATACTCCCACGATCCAACTGCTGCGCTTGCAGGAGGAGCTTTCTTCGCGAACCAAGGAGGCTTCCAGCAGCCGGTATGTGCAACTGCGCCACTCCCAACGCCCTTCAATCATTCAGCCCACTGACAAGTATTGCAGGTCCAATACCATCTCTATGCCCCCATTGGCCCTCATAACCAGAACACCCTGGGCTATCAACGCAATGTCCACGACCTTTTCCTCCCAAGTGACTTCCGAGAAGAGCTCCAGAAGAAGGCGGCAGCTACCCTTCAGACCCTCCCCAGTACGTGAAGATGCATCCTGCACGAGGCCTGGAATGGCATTGAACTGACACATCCCCTGCAGATACAACACTACCCGCCCAGGTTGATTACTTCCACTCTCTAGTCCCATTGGATCTCAGCCATCAGAAGAATGCCGCAACTTTCGGATACCCAAGCTGGGTTTACAAAGCCCAGTCCAGCAAAGATGGCAATTTCTATGCTCTCCGAAGACTTGAAGGTATGAACACACCAAAAAGCCGGGATTTCCAATCTCTCTTGGAACTCTGACGTTAACCCTGTGTAGGTTTCCGTTTGACCAATGAGAAGGCCATTCGGTCCGTCCAGGCGTGGAAGCGCGTTTGCAATGGGAGCGTGGTAACCGTTCACGATGCGTTTACCAGCCGGAGCTTCCAGGACAGCTCCCTTATCTTTGTCACGGACTACCACCCACTGTCCAAGACCCTTGCCGAACAACATCTGGGCGCTGGAAATCGTTTTCAAACCCGCCAGAACAACACACACATCCCCGAGCAGGTACTCTGGGGCTACATGACGCAGATTGCGAATGCGCTCAAGTCGATCCATACCAATGGCCTTGCTGCTAGAGTGCTGGAGGCCAGCAAGGTTCTATTGACCGGCAAGAATCGCATCCGCCTGAATGCCTGCTCCATTCTCGATGTGGTTCAGTTTGACTCACAGCGGACCCTGGCCGACCTTCAACGACAGGATCTAGTCAATTTCGGGCAAATGATCGTCACTCTGGGCGCCAACTCGCCGAATGTCATGCACAACCCCACCAAGGCGATGGAACATTTCACTCGCGCGTACAGCCCTCAATTGAAGAATTCGGTCTTTTGGCTATTGAACGGGTTGCAGAAAGATCAGGACCGCACTATCGACCTCTTCATCACTGGCATCTCCTCCCAGTTGATGTCGACCTTTGACTCCGCCCTTCATTTGGATGACCAACTCACGTCGGATCTCAGCCGCGAACTCGAGAACGGACGTCTGGTGCGCTTGATGACCAAGTTGAACTTTATCAATGAGCGACCTGAATACGAGCACGACCGACAGTGGTCCGAGACTGGCGAGCGTTATTTCTTGAAGATCTTCCGGGACTATGTCTTCCACCAAGTTGATGCCTCTGGGGATGCCGTGGTCGACCTCGGACATGTCATGACTTGCCTGAACAAGCTCGATGCCGGATCGGATGAGAAGATCACCCTTGTCAGCCGCGACGAACAGAGCTGCTTCATTGTCAGCTACAAGGAGGTCAAGAAGGCACTCGAGTCATCGTTCCAGGCTCTCATGAAGCCAACCAGAAGGATGCATTAAGATCCTCTGGTGGGCGGCAGTTCTCGGCCTACCAATTTCTTTTCTCCACGCGCGGGGCTCACAATAGCTACGATTATGATAGACTGGTTGCTTCTTGTTTCGCCACCCGTTCCTCTCCAGTCACTGTTCATAGAACTGATGAACTCGGAAAGAGGAACAGTCTCACCACCTGTAGGAGCTCTTTGAAAGCCTCTGCATGATCTCGTTACATTTTGCCTTTTTTCTTTTGCCTGGAATGACCTCGCAGTCGAGTACAGCCAGCACTTTCTATGGAAATACAGACAGATAAAGAAATCCAATACCTATTCCTGATTAATTGAGCTATGCTGGTATTCCCTGTTGATAAACATACTTGGAGTATAGATAGACTAACTAGAGTGTTCATTGACCTCCCTTCATCAAAGCTGGACATGATCTCAAATCTTCTCGCACGCATCCAATTTCCCGGTCAACCTTTGTAACCCTTTTCCTCCGCATCACAACTCATCACTTTGATCCTACCTCCACATCTGAGTAGGACATCCCACCTCACACAACATGAGACCGCATCAGTGCACAAAGAAACCCCTCGCCGCATCAGAGATGGCATCCATAAATCATCTACAGAGAGTCATGGTGATGAGATGGTTTGCGTCTTGGATGCCCTTGTTTTTTCGGGCGAGGGAACAGGCGACGATGAGGATGATGATGAGGACATTTATCAGGAGAGTCATTTCCATCATCGTCACCGTGGCGAGGATGGTTAGGTCCAGGGCAGTGTCGAAGATGATGGTGGTGGCAGCCTCTATGTTTATGTCCATCTCTGTCTTCTCCATGATGATGCCCTCCATGCCCTGGACATTCATCTGGAGGGTTATCATCTCCGTCGTCGTCACCATCCTTATCTCCATCTCCGTCGTGACCGCCATCTTCATCATGGCCTCCATGGCCTGGGCAGCCGCAGCGTGGTCTTTTATCTCCATTGTCTTTATGATGATGTCCCGAGCCGTGACCAGGTCGACGGCAATGGGGTGAATGGTGATGCTCGTCGCCTGATCCATCATCATCATCGTCGTCGCCGTCATCATCGTCATCGTCATTATCGTCGCCGTCGTCATCGTCACCATCATCTTCCTGATATAGATCATGATATTCAAAACGCCGATCTAACTCTTCGTCCCGCATAGAATGCTCCAAGTTTTGATCAAGAACTGATTCAAGATCATGTTTGGACAGGGCAGCTAACACTTTCCACCAAGGATTGGCCTCTGTGGCTTCATCCGGGTTCTCTTCCTCACTCAGAACTATCTGGGAGCTTGGCTTATTCTGATGAACATGGTTCCGTGAAAGAGCCTCGATGGCTTCTTGATCTGGAATCACCATGGCAGCGCACAAGGCTGCCGCCAATGGCAGGAGAAGAATAAACTGCATGTCGATGTAGGTTCAATCCCAGAAGGAGGAATGATGGGTAAGTCGGATTGTGGAAATGGCCATGACTATAGGCCATTTCTGTTGCGAGGAGATATGGGTTGTCTAATTGGGAAGAGTCGGATAAGTTGCACCGTCATTCTTGTTCAACGGTTCTAGAGTAACAATGTAGCAAAGAGCCCTAACAATTACCCCACGGAAGCGGTGGATACAATACTTTGTGGAACTGAGTATTCCGTCACACAGAGTACGGGCCAGTGGGAATCGCAATTCTACAGCGTAATCAACCTTGTTACGGAGATCAAGGACACATTCCGATTTTCCGTGGAGAGTACAGAGATTAATAGATCAGGCGAGTGCGTGCTTCCATATTGAGTTCCTTTTATGCTGTGCGAATGACTTTACAGATGCCGTGCGAGGGGCCAAAATAAGATATCAAAACCATCCGATTCAAGGCTAAGATATCCACAAATAATTTCATATCAAGACTTGTACAAGATATAACCCGCATCCATCCCCAAATCATCCCCAGCCAGTCATAGCCAATCAATCCAAATCCGGCACAGGCAACCCATTCACAATCTTCACCTTCCGCCCCAGTTTATCCAGAGCAATCTTGGAGTTCTCCGCGCGCAGTGCATTAGTCTCTTCATCCGAGACCAGAACAAAGTCATAGGTAAGCAGGGCCTGACCCTCGGGCACATTATACTGCTTAGCCAATTCAGGACCGACCTTGCCCAGGTCGACGGTCAGCGAATCCTTGACGCCGAAGACAGCGTCGGAGGTTTCGTAGGGGTCGTTGCGGAGGTATAGAGCGCTGTGTATATAGTTAGTATTTCCATTTCCAAAGAGATCACATCAAACATGGAAGAGGGGACATACGTAATCAAATGATCATACCCCTCCTTCTCAAACATAAAATGCATATGACTAGGTCGATACGGATGCCGATGCAACTTCTTCAACAACTTACCCACCGGCCCATCATGCGGAATCGGATACGGCACAGGCGTAATAGCCTTAAACCAAAACACACCCTCCTTATTGCTCCGCATCACACACCGTCCATCCGGCCCCTCCCTCCCCGCATACTGCACATCATAATGGCCCGTGGAATCGGTCTCCCAAATATCAATCTTGACGCCCTCAATAGGCCGTCCCTCCGTATCCCGCAACGTGCAAATAACAAGCAACGGCTCGCCCTTCGGATCATGCGATATCGACTCTCCATTTGGCATTTCCTCTGCATCGTGCGTGTGGAACGGGCCCAGCACTGTTCCCTCGGTGGAGCCGGGTGGTTTGGGGTGGTCGATTGAGTCGACGAGGAGTGAGAGACCGAGGACGTCGGAGAGGAGGATGAATTCTTGGCGGACGGTTGTGCAGATTTGGCCTACTTCTGTTAGGAAGTGGAGGCCTGTCATCCATTCATCGCTGCTGAGGCGGGTTTCGCGGGCGAAGTCGTGGAGGTGGGTTACTAGGCGTTCGAGGATGTATTTCATGCGTTCGTCTTCGCAGAGAGAGTTGATTGTGATGACGTTTTCGGTTATGTTGTCGACTGTTAGGTCTTTCATTGGGGGGATTTTGACTTTTGAGGGGTCCATGGTGGTGGTGGTGGTGGCACGCGGCAGTTGGATGGGAAGATGAGATGAGATGGTTTTTCTATGGATGGAGGGGTAGAAGAGAGGAGGTGTAGCAATTGACTAATCTTCTTGTCTGTGTAAAAGAAAGAAAAAAAAGAAATCCAGGATCAATCTCTGGCGCGACCAGCTCGTTGGTTTATATCGTTTGGTCCTTACTTCGGCAAATCCGACGGGACTTGGTGGGGTGTGGGAGACGACGTGAACACTTAGTCTACTAGTAGTGCAGTGTACGGAGGTACTCCGTATGCTTTCCAAGAAAGCCAATATTTCATGCAATAGTCCAACACTGATCTATCCAATGAATGAAAAGAATAGGTTCAGTTTCCCCAGTTAAACCCGGCTACCATCCGGAAGGTTGCTCATCTCCTGATCTTCCACCCCGCAGAACAAAAAGAGCAACTCACCCACTTAGAGAAGCGGAATTACGGAGAAGTCGGGAATCCCCCACTCCATCCGATATCCGAGGATTATTACATCAGTACAAGTCTAATAAGTTGGTAGATTGTCTACTATGCGTGCTCTATCAATTTTACAATCTATAACAATACATACTATTTTGTATTTCACTTTTCTCTACAACTATAATACTCAAATGTTCTCCTGGAAGAGACTATATCCGACCTTCCCTCTCCACCATCCCACACGGAACATATTCCATTCCTCAATGGTTCACAATTGGTCAGCATGCTCTAAGCACCCCAGTGGGGCAGGAATCGGTAAATGTCTATCCGAAGATTGGACAGAAGCATTGACTTCCGACGGATACCGAAAGCAAATGATTAGGGCTGGGAGTTGCTATATCCGATGCAAATGCGGAGGGTTGAAGAGATCCGGGGTAGACAGAAATTACAACTGCCGAGAATATGTAGGTGGAATGGGACTAGAATCAGTTGATCTTGAACAATGATACAGTCGTTATATCCACTCATAGCAACTAAACACAAGTCAAACAAAAACAAGAGAACCCAATCATGGATATAGGATAATAGAATATGTACGCTCGAACGAGAACCTCGTAACTCCCCCAGACCCATTCCCGTTTCGCCATCGCTCACTGCTATACAACCAAGGAAAAAATCATGCCATAGTATGGGGTTAAAAACATGAAACCACATCAATAGTACACACAGACCGAGTCATTCAAGCCTGCACCATGCGTCGCTCATGGTCTCGGTCCCGGTCGCGATCTCGCTCGCGTTGTTCACGTTCACGTTCACGTTCGCGTTCGCGTTCGCGCTCACGCTCACGCTCACGCTCCCTATCTCGATCCACATCTCGCTCCTTATGAGCATTCGCCTGACTTTCTCCAGCACGCTCAGCACCACGTTCCTTCTCCTGCACAGCAGCCGCCACTCGCGCGTGGTGATCCACCGTATCCAGAATAGCCTGCATCAACCGCTGATTCGCATCGGGATCATCATCCTCCGCATGTCGAGGCGGGGCCCCATGGTGCTGCTGTCCACGACCACCACCCTCCGTCTCGCTCATGGCACGGCGGGGTGATTTCTCTGATGTAGGGAGGCCCATAGACGCGCCGGAGCCGGGGCCAATGTGGGGCGCGCCAGGCGCAGATTCGCGGCGATTATGCTGGGAGTATTGCGGGTCGCTGGGGGTCTCGGAGGGTCGGGCTGGACGGTCTAGGCGTCCGTAGCGCTCTCGTTCAGCGGAGATTGGGGCGCCCGGAGAGGGCACGAGGCCGGGTAGGTTTAACGGTGGGAGGCGGTCTTCTTCCATGCGCTCGTGAGATTTGCGGATTTCTCGGAGCTCGCGGGGTGCGGATGGATTCCATGCGGCTCGAAGCTCGTCTTCTTTAACGTCGCGCCAAGAGCATTTAGCGTGCTTCTTAGTGCAGCCCATGCAGGCGGTCAGATTCTTGAGGCAGTCCATGTGAAGTCGACGGCATCGGTCGCAGGGTGGGTTGACCCGCTCGCCGCGCTGAAGCTCCTCCATCCGTGCGACCATCTCCAGCTTGAATGGTCCCCCGTCATCCTTTTCCTGCGGGGTGGTCTTCGGAGGGGGCAGCAGTGAGGACGGGGTTCCAGGGATAGCCACTGGTGTCGAATTGTTGTTGGTAATGTTGGGACTGTTGGTGTTTCCGCTACCACTGCCGCTACCACTGCCGCTAGCGCTGGCGCTGCCGTTGTTGTTATTCGTGTTACTATTCCAGATGCTATATTCCGCTGGGTCCGAGCCTTGAGGTCGAGGTCGAGGCTGAATCGGATTGGTTGTGCCGGTGACTTCGTCATAGCCACGAGCTTGGCGGTCTGCCGTGGTAAAGAACTTCTTCATTAGGTCTGCTCTCGTTGTGGGCGAGGCCCCTTTGATAGAAGTTCCATTGATAATGGTAATATTCTCCGTATTGGAATGGGAGAACATGAACTGCGACGGGAGCGGAGCCTCTTCTGACTCGTTCTCAGGCCGGTTCGCATTGACCGCGACAAATCCCGATGGCGAGGCAATGGACTGGCCATTGGCAGGACCGGGGGCTTTGATATCACGCCACACATCGGCAGCAGCAGCGCGCGTTTGCGCATTGAGAGAGGCATCGTTTTCGCGACGGCTGACAATTGCGGTGCGGCGGTTCTTCAGACGGTAGCTAAGCTGACGGGCTCGAGCGGAGACTGGGAAAGGAGACAAATTAGGCACTGAAGAAGGAATGAAAGCTGATGACAGCTGAATATTTGCTTACCTTGATCAGCCATCTGAATAATTTGTTGAAGATTCTTCTCCAAAATCTCCAGCGCGCCCAACTCCTTCTCCTCATCTTCGATAATCGGCTGTGGAGGGATCATCTTCTGCGGCATGCCTGACGCAATCAGCACAAAGTCCTCCTCACTAATCTCTACCCGACACTGCTTGGTATAGAACTGGCAGACCCGCACACCATTACGAGACTTTTCCAAATTGAACTGCTCGGGCTTGTTCTTGGCAAACTCGACCACATCCAACCAAGTCACCGTGGGACCGTCCTTGCCATGCGACTTGAGTACGCGCGGGGGTCCATCGAACAAGCGCTCAAAGCGCTTGATGAGAATGGGACCCAGCGGACATGCGCCCAGGTTTCCGGCGATACTTTCATGGCGATGAAGTACTCCGTCGTATTCGCCTATCAAGTGGATGATCGCGGGCATGGTATCGTCCGGTGCGACTAGGGGAAGATTATCCGGGTATTGGCGCGCGAGATAGTTGATCTGAAGGTGATTGGAGTGTGTTTTTGGCATCTTGGACTGGTGGGATTGCGGGTGGTCGCCTCCAGGAGACCGCGGCCGTTTGTTTGACGGTTCCACCGTCATGGGGCGGGGCTCCATTGTGGAATTGATTGTAGGGTATAGCGGAATACAGGAGAGGAGGTCTTGTAATCCGGATAGATATATATTGGTCGTGTGAGATGTTTCAGACACCAGATGGAAGATAGAGGGATGAAAAGGCTAGGCTTATGGAGCGGCCAGGCTGGGGGAGGTGAGCGGCGAGGGTTGTCAAGATACCGGGCGGAAGACTGAATGCGCGGGTTGAACCGCTGGGGGAGAGGGCGATCGAGCGGACAGACTCAAGTCCATGAATGGTTTCCGGGAGGATAATTAGGGAGAGGAGCAGAGGGAATAGGAGGAGGAGTGAGCAGGGCAGTTGATGAGAGGAAGAGGGAGGGAGGAAAACGTGCAGCAGGGCAGCCGGAACCGAGTGGATTTGACTGGGGGCGAGACAAGCGCCAGGCGGACAGGAAAGGGACGGGAATAGTTACTGTACCTGGTACCTCGACCCCGAAAGGTAGACTATTAATACTAATCCTAATATTTTAGATAGGTTTAAGTGGACTCTATCTAGTGTCATTTAATCTGTATTCTCTACTCCGTAAATAACTATCGTCTATAAACTATCCAATTAGTCCATGTCTGTTAGCAAATCCCGCGACTCCTCCATCGTACACTGTACGTTATCTCCGTATACCATACGCAGTCCCGTTACAGCCTCGTGACCAGCGGAGTCCCGCCGCCTCTCCGCTGGCGACATTATTCTGGGTGCGCTGGCATCCTCTCCGCCCTTTTGGCCTCTCTCTTTTCATCGGGGCGATAGGACATTCAACAACACAATCATAATCTACATTGAGAAATCAAGGATGCCTAGTTTAGTTTGACTCCATAATAGATTCATGGGCCCATTCGCCGATCCAGAAAATAAGCCTTGTACTTTCAGCCTTAGTGGGGAGGGTCGTTTCGTGGATGCCTGGAGGCTATGACCGCGTGGGAAGAATCGTGGAATGATGATTAAGGAGGATTTCCGCCTAGGAGGGTGGGAAATGGTAAGAATGGTAATATTACCAAAGATACGGTACCAGCGGGATCTCGGAGTCTCTTTCACAACTCAACAGTCCGCCCGCTGCCTTTTTGCCAATACCAAAACCAGACACCTCAGGTCAACTGCCCGCTGAAAATTAATCCCTCATACTTTGGGCTCCCCCTTCAAACTCCCCTACCAAATACCCAACCACATCATACACGACTTATCATAACAAACCCAAATCCACCACTCATCATCCACCAAAGCTCATCCACCCATTCACCGTGCACTAAACCCGGTACCCGAGCTCTTTTTGCAGGTCCCAAGCTACCTTGCGACCCTAGCCCCTCCCTTCTCTTCTAACCCTTTCCCACTCTCTCTCACCGCTCTCGTCATGTCTGAACGAGGCTCGTTCCGCGGCGGTCGCGGCGGCGGCGGCGGTGGCCGTGGCGGTCGCCAGCAGCAGAAAACTGGCGGCGGTGCCGCTCAGCAAGAGAAGCCAAAGAAGGAGAATATCCTTGATCTGGGCAAATATATGGACAAGGAGGTCCAAGTCAAGTTCAATGGTGGTCGTGAAGGTGAGATTCTCTCTGATTTGTCCATTTTTCCCGGCAGAGTAGTGTTCCTGGTGGGAAAGGCTCTATATAAGATTGTGTTTTGCTGATCCTTGTTCCCACTAGTCACCGGTACCCTCAAGGGTTATGACCAGCTTATGAATCTCGTCTTGGATGATGTCAAGGAGACGATGCGCGGTAGGGATTCGTCTTTTCATTCTACTTTCTACGAGATCACGCAGCTAATAATGTCATCCAGATGATGCGGGTAACTCAACCACGCGCTCCCTGGGCCTGATCGTTGCCCGTGGCACTCTGATTGTCCTCATTTCGCCTGCTGATGGCAGTGAGGAGATTGCCAACCCCTTCGTGCAGGCGGAGGAGTAAATGATGGTTTAAAGCCACAATTTCACCTCTAGGATTGCTTGCCTGGGCCAGGCCACCCAGTTGTGCTGGGCAATGCAGGCAGAAGGCGCTGTGAAGAGGCTCCGAAATCCCTCTCATGGCACCTCAAGAGATATATCCAAATATCCAAATCCAAAAAATCTTAATCTGATAGACCCGGACTGTCTAGCCGAGGCGGCAGTCGATGCTCATTGGAGCTACGAAGGGAACGAATGCAATGTGATGGGTTTTCTTTTTGTCTTTTTCTTCCTTACCTGAATCTTTCCATCTTGAGCTTGATAGAATAGCCCAACTTGTTGGAACCGTACCACAGTCATGGAGAGAAACAGTAGAATCTTATCCATCTACTCCGAGAAACCAAAACATTGAAAAGATTAAGTGAAAACCATCAAATTCGAAATCGTAACATTGCGCTAGGTATCATAAATGCAAACGCCAAGAACGGGCCACAGAGCCCTATACACGGTCGTACATAGTACTACACAGTAGGGCTCACCACATCACCAAAGTCACTATCCTCCCCAGCAGTAATCACATCACCACCAGCAGACACACCCGCCTCGGTCTTACTAGCGCCCTTCAACCGCCTCAAACCCTCACCATCCTCCACCCAAGGCCCCGCCTTCTCCATACTATCCGTATACTGCACACTGACCCGCAGATTCAAGCCCGCACTCAACGCCCGCTCAATCCGCGCCTCCCGTGACTGCGAGACTAGCGTCCGGAACACCTGCACCAAGAATCCGCCGAGGATATCCACGCTCCAATCCTCGGGTACGAGCTCGAGGACCTCGCGGACGTCGAACCAGGCTCCGAATCGGGCGAGGAGGTCGCTTGTGCGTTCGATGCGTTCTGTTAGATCTTGAATTTGTAGGAATTCGTCTAGTAGGTGTCGGAACAGCGTGGTCTGCAGGTCGTGCCCGGCTAGTTCAGGCTGTGTTCCACCTGAGGTGGTGGTGCTGCGTGGTCCGCCGAAGAGACAGTAGCGGATGGCGGAGTCGTAGTCGCCTAGTCCGTGGGTGAGGAGGCGGAGGGCTGCGCGGTGGTGGCCCTGTAGGCCGTCGAGGATGATGCTCTCGGAGACGAGGTTATCCTGGTACGGCTCAATGCGGGCGAGCACGTTGGGGATGGAGTAGGTGATACCGGAGGGGAGCGCAGTTGTAGAGAATTGAGTGCCCGAGGTGCCACTGAGGAGCTGCAGAAGGCGCAGGCGGGACTGCCACCAGGGCTCGGCGGGCGTGTTTTCGGTGATGAAGTTGAGATAGGTTGGTTTGGGAGGGCGTAGCGCACGATAGGTCGAGTAGGATTCGGCGAGAGATTCCCTCGCCTCGAGAGAGGATTCGAGCACGGAAAGGACCTCGTCTAGGTAGTATGCAATGAGGTCGTCGGCGTATTGAGTGTACTGTGGACGAATCTGGTTAGCTATACTTTCTGAGAAGCCTGGCTAATACGCAAGACTCACGTGTTTAGTAAAGACTAGATGCTCCAGATAGACCTGGACGGCATTGGGAGCACGCTCCTTAAGCAAAGCCACCACATCAGCAGGCTCAAGCCTCACTCGACTAGAGTGGTCTGCAAAAACTTGGATACCAAGTGCAGGATTCCGCCCGGCAAGCCAGGAGCCATACTCTTCCACCAATTGGGCATCTTTGATCTTCACCAAATACTTGCGCATCTGCGCCTCAACGCCAGCACCAGTAACCTCTCCACCGGCATCAGATTCTCCGTCAATGATCCTTCGCCAGGTCTTGAGCACATTTCGTGACATCTTCTGGCTCTGGTATAGTCGGCTCAGAATGTAAAGCCGCCTGTACTGCTCCAGCAGGGCAACGGCTCGCTCGAAATTGCCCTTCCAATTATCGACTAGCTTGTTCAGCTCACTGCGTGTGGATGAAGCTCGCTGCTGGGCACTCAGATGTGCATCTTGCTCCAGAACGAGATGGAGCAGTGCAGCATCGGTGCTATCCAGGACGTATGTTTCATCGGGGATACTCCCGTAGCCTCGTTTTTGTTGCCACGAGAGAAGGAATCGCTTCACCATGTTGAGCACAGAGCTATGCACCTCGGTTGCATCACTCATCTGCTCAACTTGTTTCAGGTATTTTGCTGTAGTGTCTGCCAGGCCCGACTGTATCCAGATACCCTGTGGCCCCTGTAGCACCTCGCATCGAAGCAGTGGAATAAAGAGAAGGGCAAGCCGAGGGTCCAGATTACCCGACAAGAGAGCCCTTTCAGTATTCCTAATGGTGGGATCTGCACGGTGGTCCGCATGCATGGACAGAAGATCTCCATATAGCAGCAAGCTGGCTTTCTGTTTCACGTAACCCAGGCCAAGGAATTCGGTCTCAGTTTTGGGCTCGATATCCTGGATGGATACCATCAATTCCATGACAGCATCCCTCTGCAAAGTGATGCGTCCTTTGCTATCAACCTGCTGAGCCTTTTGCAGAGTATTCTCTAGTTGAATGACCAAAGGATTCTTAAGCAATCGCCAGACTTGTGAGCCTGACCACAGCACGAGACTGCTCCGCAGCTTTCCCAGTCCGCGGACAAACTTCGCTTCTTCGGCGTTGCGTTGGCTTTCCCAGTCGCGATCTGCTGACCCGGAATCTCCTTTCTTGGATCCCTCGGATTCAGTCAGCTCTTGGGACTCAAAGAGCTCTTTTTCTGTCTTTTGCTGCTCAATAGAGTCCTGGGTTCGAGGGTCCACGGTGGCAACATGGGGGGATAGTAAAGGTGTCTTGAGGCGGACCATTTGCAAAAGCTTTCCGATCTCATTTTGATCAAGATCGCTGGGACTGAGGGTGTGCCTCAAGCCGACTCGAGCAGACAGCACCTCATCCGATGAAGATGGGATGTCTAGCCACTTCTTGTGTCGTTCGATTTCTGCAGGATCGTCATCCCACCGTTGAATTTCCAGACGGGTTTGTTGCTTTCCATCCTCCCCGACATCGATCAAGGCGAGAACATATTCTTCTTTTGAATCGTCGTTTGGCTGCAGGGATTGGTCGTCTTCACCCGCATCAATCACAACTGACTTGGGATACCGGTGGAAGTTGATCGTTCCCCGAACAACCTCGCCGTCCATATCAACAAACAAACCCACTCCCGGTTCCGTTTCCTCTGTTCCAGTTACAAGAAGAAATTCAGACGGAGTCGGCGATACCACATGCGGCTGTAGTTGTTTCTGGGCTGGCTTTGGAGGTGGAAGTGGAGGCAGTGGCTTCACATTGTCCGACTCCGCTGCCTGTGCCTCCCGCTCGGGGCTTTTCGAGGTCTGCTGCTTAGAGCCTTCTTCCCCTTCGTCACGCTCTTCCGAGCTGGAACGACGGATGCTCCCAGTGGATGTGAAGGGGTCAGGCGTTCCCGAAGGTGATCGACTATGCCCCCGCTGTGCGTGCGGCTGAAGCATACCTACAAATGTATTCAGACTGCTGCTTCTACCATGCACATGAGGGTCCATTGGAGGCGAGCTCGGATAGGACGAAGAAGGCGATCGCTTCAGTGGAGTCTGTGGTGCCGCCGGGATGTCTTCCACATGGCCGGATTCGAAGACCTCGCTGGAGGAGGATATGGGAAACAGCGGAATCTTTTGTTGGTGCTCCACCTCTAGGAGCGAGTATGAATGGGTGTCGGCTGCACAGGCAATGGTACCTCTGCGCGCCGCAACCAAGCAACCGGGAAACTTGATCTGCTTGATGCGCCGAGCTCCTTCTCCTATCCGAATCAACATTATGCTGTTCTGCACGGCAATCATCACGACTGGGTCTTCCTCAGAAGCAGCATCTTGATTGAGATCCAAGCCACCGATCCAGCGGCAATGATTAACCTTGGTATTCCCAAACGCCGGGCTTAGCTCCGGTAGCATGTAGAACGTAACCATGCCATTGCAAAGAATGCAAGCTTTATTCACCGACGGCAAGATAACAATTTGTCGCACCCCTTGGGGGGTCGCTGTCGGAGGGCTCATTCTGAAATGGGATAGGCAGTCGAGATGCTAGGATAAAGATAGGTTCGCTCGAGTCGTCATCCGAAGTCGCTGGAAGGCAGACAAAGTGCAGGACTTCCGCTGCAGAGGTACCAATATACAGGTTTCCATCTATATCATTTCAGATTAGCAAACTAGGCGTTGTAAATAGATCCCGGCAGCAACCGCGGATAGCTTACCCCAGTACTCGACGCAGGTGATGTAAACGTCCGAGCTATCGTCCGTCGCCAGCGGGACGTCATCAAATAGTGAACGCAAGACATAAGGTTCTGATCCGGGAGGACCGATCCTCCGCCTCTTTCGAGGACCGACTCCATCATCTGAAGCCATGCTGGCTAGCTTCCAAGTGATCTCCCCACTCGCATTGGAGAGGGATGGGGTGAAGGCGGTCAGTGATGGACTTGGGGCCAAAGCTTCAGGGGCCGCTAAATCAGGAACAGCTGGTGCCTCGGGAACCACGGCTGTCAAGGGGAACACTTGTACACTACTTAGGGAGTGTCGATATCAGAAATACACACCAGATTCTCTCAAATAAGCACCTGAGCAGTGATTGCAGAAACTACCTATTCAATCAACTGTTCTCATCTCTGTTTCCTGATCTAATCCCATCTCTATACAACACGGAACAACAATCAGCCGCGCCGCGCCGCGTGTCCAGTTCTAGCTTCTCCGCGCAATCTCCCTGCCCTGGCGGATTGCGCTCTCGGTGTGGGGTGATTGTGTAAGGCTTCTTGGGTTGAACGCTGGACATGGATTCCTTCGCCATAACAGAGGGCCTTGCTGCCCAGGATCGACAAGATGACGCACCAGAAGTCTCCAGCAAATTGTCTGAAGAGACCAACAAGTTCCAGCGCGCCATTGCAGCCTGGCGAGGTAAATAATAGCCAACTGGCCGGGCTGGAATTATGCTAGTCATTTGATAACTGACATTCGTCTTTACAGGAATTGATCTGGCTAGCACCATTGCCAAACTTGATACCACCGCTTCGGACATTGTTTCGCATCAACGGGATGCGCTCGTACAGAGAAAGGAGCTGGCCCAGAAGACCAAGGATTTCAAGAAGCTGGAGGATGAAGCCAAGCTCTCGGAATACAAGGGGTTGCTCAAGGCCTACCAATCTTTTATCGACCTTTTGACCAACCAAGGGAAAGCGTCGTCATCCTCGTTCCTCCAACTTTACTCGTCCTTGTCCGAAGCGCCAGACCCTTACCCTCTACTCGAAGCATCCGTCGATTCTCTCGTTCTATCTGAAGATACAGTTCCAAAACTTACTTCGGAAAGGAATCAATTGCAGCAATCTGTCGACCGTCTCACGAAGCAGCAGGAGGAGACTGAGAAACGTCTTCAGGAGGAGCGCGCCGCGAGAAAGAAGCTCGAAGAGAACCAAGAATCAAAAGCCAAAGAAATTGAGGCGTCTTGGGATGCGGTGCTGAAAGAGAAGACCAGTAACTGGGAGGCCAAGGAGAAGAGCTTGGAGGAGAAGGTTGAGAATCAGGAACGATTGATTAAGGAGCTCAAGGCTAGCTACGAGGTCTCTCAGCGTCTAGGTGGTGGCCAGGATGAAGATACAGAAGACGCCCGTAGCGGTGCTACTGCTGCGGAGCTGGAGCTCGTCTCTGCCGATCTGGAGAAGACCAGCTTGAGATTGGCTGATATGGAGGCGCGGAACGAGCAGCTCCGGCTAGAGTTGGCGCAGGCCGTATCACACTCGACCTCTGGCCAGTCTACCTCTGTCGAGGATGACCCTAGTTATCAACGCTTGCAGTCGGAGAACTCTGTTTTGCTACGAAAACTGGATGCTGCGCGTTACGACAAGGATTCGACCCGACATACCTGGGAGGCCAAGCTCCTCCAAGCGGAACGGAATGCCTCAAAGTCTGTTGCTGAGAGGGACGAGTTGCGCTCGCGTCTTGAAAAGGTTGCTGACTACGATGATATTCGCCGGGAGTTGGAAATGATCAAGTCGATTGAGTTTGCCACGGGTGATGATGAGGATGCCGGTGAGACAGCGGCGACGACTGAAGATAATATCACTGGCACCAATGGTGCTGCTACCACAAAATCAACCAATAAAAGCTCTCTGGAGCAACTGCTGATGGCTCGCAACAAGAAATTGACGGACGAGCTTGCTGTTCTACGGGTCTCAACTCGCGACCTCCAGGACCAGCTAGAATCTCTACGCGGTGAGCTTTCGACCACCAAGAAAGAACTTGATAAGTCGCGGGGTCTTTCTACTACGTTAGAGAATGATCTTCTCCGCGTGCAAGAGGAGGCTGCCAATGCATTCCCATCGTCAGCAATGTCTGTTGCCGGCACTTATACTTCGAGGTATCCACATTCGGCACGACGAAGCGGGGCGGTATCACCAACTTCGTCCATAATCTCTGGCTTTGACCAGAGTACCGCTTCTGCCAACACTATGGAAGCCATTCGTGCCGGGGAGGCAGTGGGCGGTGGCTCCGGCCTTCTGCCCATGATCCAGGCCCAGCGTGACCGTTTTAAGAAGAAAAATGCTGAGCTTGAAGAGGAGCTCTCTAAGATGTATAGCACTGTCAAATCTCTTCGACAGGAAGTTTCAACACTTCAAAAGGACAACTTGAGTCTCTACGAGAAGACTCGCTACGTATCCACGTACAACCGAGGTCAGGGGGCATCTACGTCAGCTTCCTCGTTCGCCAATGCTCCTAGCTCAGCATCCATCTATTCTTCTGGAGATGCGCCGGACCGGTACCAATCAGCATACGAGGCCCGCATCTCACCATTTGCTCAATTCCGAGGTCGTGAATCCACCCGTGCTTACAAGCGCATGACCCTTCCAGAGCGGATCGTGTTCTCGCTCACCCGCATAATCCTGGCAAACCGGACTAGTCGAAATTTGTTCGCGGGCTACTGCTTTGCTCTGCACATTCTCCTTTTCATCATTTTGTATATGATGAGCACGACGGAGATTGAAAAGCACAGTGCCATGAGTGCCGTTGGTAGTGCCGCTGCTGCCGCATATGGTAGCAGCGGCGGAACAGGGTTTGGCAACATTGGAAGTGGTAGTGGTCAGCTACATGGGGATGATTGGCAGCAAGAAGGATTCAATCAGGCCAGCTGAAACGTCTCCGAGGAGTCTGATGATTGAGTAGGATTCGTGATGTGACCATCGACCATCACCTGCCCTTCCTCGTCATTTTTGAGATGAAGAATACTTGTTATGCTTGAACAGCGAGGGTCTTGGCGTTACTATCTTGTTTCTAATTTCGTCCATCGGGATGGATTTTTTTTCTCCTGATTGATCATCAATTCCGGCGTTTCTTGGGTGAGCGGGCCTCTCCTCTGGCAAGGATGGCCCACAGCAGATACTTGCTGCATGCTTTGTTGTTTCATGGGCTCCTAGTCAACACCTGTACAGTCATTTAGGACCTAGGAAACGAACTTTGGTTTCTATTCTTGTCAATTGAATGGAGAGGGGAGTCTAGCAGTCTGACTTGCCAAATTGATGACCCGGATATCACGGAAGGGTCTTGCTATTATAAGGAAGCGGGGTCTGTAGATAAATTAAGACCTGTGATGAGATAGAACTCTCGACCTGATCATGCGTACATAACACTTCGTCCTCGGAGGAGGCATCCATAACAGGATAGAGGAGTTCCTGGCGGATCTCGAAGCTAGTTACATGTAAGTCTAACTCGATTTTGGCATCGTCTGCTTAGAGCTATCAGATATGATTAGGTCTTGGCTCCGTGTGTTCTTCCTCGCCATCCTATGTTGATAATAGTGTAGCGCCTTCAAAGATTGAAACTAGCCAGATTGGGGAAACTAGAATTATCTGTTTCGTTTTGTCTTACTCGAGATCGTTTTTGGAAGGTCTTTGACGAGACCTCTGGATATCTTCTCAAGTGTAAGTTAATCATGGAGGGATTGGAGGCACTACTATATCCATTCATTGATTTCATGTCAAGAGTTAACCTCTTAAGAACAATTCAGTCGAGCACACTACCTACCCGAATCTTCTAGGAGACTAAGTCTGTGACAACGATGGTTATCTTTTCCTCTCCTTTCATGTTGTAAGCACTAAAAAATGAGAGAGGTAGCTACCTTTTTTGTTCGATTATAGACTCGGAGACTGACCCGCCAGAGAAAGAGGAGCGTCCTTGACTAGACAGCTTAGGTCGATGGACCAAAATAGCGACAGAGTAACAATTAACGGATGACCTTAGGCTAGCCTCGGATGAGAGATTTCGAGAAGTACAGCATCGACCAAGTTTAGTTCGACTAATTGTCTAATCTTCCTTCCAAACACATGCTCGAAATTGCGGATGTGTCCATGGATTGAGTATAGTCTCATAACGTGTGTCTCCGCATCCATTCTATACATATCTCCCGCCTATTCTTATCGACACCGATCGGTTAAACCAACCCGACTTCGGTCCCGAGCGGGTCACTCTAAATAAAGACAGCTTTAATTGTGGCGACCTTGAAAGGAATTGGATAGGTAAGAGCTAAGATAGTGCTGACTACTTCGTACTCGTACGCGCCCTTAAGTTGCGAAAGGAAAGCCACACTGTGGAGGGAGTAAGCCCCCTCTTTTGTATGGCCCAGCCCCGCCCAACCTCCCCCGCAGAATGGCAGATGGCTGGGTTTCTCTGAAGATTCGATATTTGCCTGAAGAATGTCATTTTTCTCGTAACTAATGCTGCTTCAGCTGCGTCCAATGAATCTAATATTTCCAACCAAGCCAGATCCCTCCCAACCGCCCTCGTTTGACAGGGGAGGTCATCCTGGATCCTTCATGTCTGCAGACTAACCCAACGGAGCAATCACACTGCATATCCAACCGCCCATCACACACATGGTGAGCCTCTTTTAAGCAGGCTTGATTTATTAATAGCCCCCGACCGGAGAATTCCCTGGTAGGCCATCTCACATCTCACTCCCCCTCCTCCTCTCGTCGCATTGGCCTCTGGCAAACCGGAAAAGCTCCTTGAGCTTGCCGCCCATTCAAAGGCTGGTGTTTTGCTTAGCGCGTTGCAATCTCGGTGTAGCCAAAGTTGTTTGGGCGCAACAACGAATGACATCGTACAGAGGCTGGCAAAGAAAGCCCTCGGCGCCTCCCCGGGCCAATGACTGGGCTTAGTCCCCCTTCGAATCCCTGCTAGTACCTGCAGCCTGCATTCGATTTCCTTTCGTTTTTTTATAGACTTGGTCCATTTGTTTCGAGTTAGACGGGTGTTACTATCTTTGATCTATGGTTGTCGAAGCGGAGATTATTGCAATCAAAGCCGACTCTATATGTACCCTCCACTGCCGAATTCATCATCTTTTCATGTCAATCCCTCTTACTCTTACTCCCCCAGTTGTCGTTCCTTTTCCTTCTTGTTCCTCATCTTTGTGTTTTGCCTGATTGCCAGCCTGGTGCTGTTATAGGGCCTTTGTTTAATTCCTTTCCTCTTAAAAACCTCGCCGGCGAAAGCTCACCACCTATCCACCTATCCACCTCCACTCAACCTACTCCTCCTGCCTCGGTACACAAGAGATCTAATTATGCGTCTCGCCCCAATTCTCCTCTCACTGGCGACAGTGTCACTGGCTGCCCCAGCGAACTTTTTCGACAATGCCTACGACTTCTCGGATGAGCTCTCCGACTTTTATTCCAAAGTCAGCCAGTATATCAGCCGCGTGAGGAAAAGCTCGACTCCATCAGCAACATGTGATATATCCAAGATCAAATTGCCCGCATTCGCCTCGGGCCTACCGGCTCCCAATGAGACAGTTCCAATATATGTGGCACTGGGACGGGGAACACAGGTAAGCATCACGAATTATCCTGCTAAAAAAGAAGACCCTGATGACTGACTATTCTGTCTAGAACTATACCTGTGCCGACTCTACATCTGCGTCTACTCCCAAGGCTATCGGTGCCGTCGCCAACCTGTACAATGCGACATGTTTGGCTGCCAACTACCCCGATCTTCTGGAGTTGCTCCCCAACATTGCCCTCAGTATTTCCCTGCCTACCAACGAGTATGCGACTTTCCCACCCGCCAACCTCGGACTGATGGGCCATCATTTCTTCACTGGTACCATTCCCGAGTTCAACCTCGACCTCACAGCCACCAAGCAGTTCGGCATTGCCATGACCAAGAAGGGTGGCCAGATTAATGCTCCCACAACTGCTGTCAAGGGCGAATATGGTGCGGTGCCTTGGCTGTACCTGTCGACAATTGATGGCACTGTTGGCAAGTACAAGGGCGTCTACCGTGTGGACACAGCTTCGGGCTCTCCACCTGACACTTGCGAGAAGATGCCATCTTCATTTCAAATCCAGTACTCTGCGAACTACTACTTCTTTGGGAATTAGATGGAATGGGCTTTTCTTTTCTTTTTTTCTGTACATAAGGGACTAGGTGGTGGACGGGTGGTTATTACTCTTGAGGATTACCAGGCTGGCCCATATATTAGTATTTATTTCCGGTCTCAAAAGGCTTACCCTTTGATGATCAAGGCGTTATGAAGGAGTCTCAGGAGCATTTCCTTCTCTGTCCTTAACCTTTAACCTATCTGCTTCAACTCTCGGGCTGTATTTCTTCTGACTGCAGGGTTCCTCAACACCACGTGATCCAACGTGACCTCGCTTTTTGGAGCGCAAACAGCCATGTCACGTGAGACCATCGGTCTGCTTTGCACTAACGCAATTTGGACTAGCGTCGTTCTGATTTTCTGAAAGATCCAGCACGGCGCAAAAAAATCTCGACCGATCAACGAGCAGCACCGGCTTTGACCCGCACGCGACTGAACCTTCACGGTCAATTTTTCAACAGCTGTTCGACTCAGTAACTCCAACTACTGTGTCACTTCTGCTCAATTTCGATCGACTCTTTCTTTTGAGGCCGATCTTCCATCAAATTTCATCCGTCCTTGGTCTGAGCACTCGGTAGCTCGACTCCAACCTCTTTCGACTCCCTTTTCCCTCGGAATTTTCCTTCACAACATCAAATAATGGCCTTCACTCCTCGTGGTCGCGGTGGTCCTCCCCGCGGTGGTCGTGGCGGCGCTCCTCGTGGCGGCGGCGGTGGTCGTGGTTAGTTTTTTTCAAGCTCATTGGAAAGTCACAGACAGGTCTGTATGGGTAGGCGATGAACGATGAGATCCTGCATCTTCTTTCGTTTGCCCGCATCGTGCCCGGTCTGTGCTTAGCTTCTAGATGTCCAGTTTGCTGACCGGGATTTTTCTCTCTTTTAAGGTGGATTCGGTGGTGGCCGCGGTGGTGGCTTCGGCGGTGGTGGCTTCAGCGGCGGTGGTCGTGGCCGTGGTGGAGGTGGTCGTGGTGGCCCTCCTGGCCGTGGAGGTCGTGGTGGTCCTCGCGGTGGCCGTGGTGGCCCTCGTGGTGGTGCCGCTGGTGCCCGTGGTGGTGCCCGGGTTATCATCGTGAGTATCCAAAGATGAATTCGCGGAGTTCCCTAAGCCTTTCAACCGCTGACCTTGAATTTTTTTTCACCTCAAAAGGAGAACCACCGTCACGCTGGTGTCTTCGTTGCCCGTGGTGGTAAGGAGGATCTGCTCGTCACCAAGAACCTGACCCCTGGTGAGGCTGTCTACGGCGAGAAGCGCATCTCCGTTGAGTCCCCTGCCGGTGATGACGGCGTTGTCACCAAGACCGAGTACCGTGTGTGGAACCCCTTCCGTTCCAAGCTGGCTGCTGGTATCCTGGGTGGTCTGGACAACATCTACATGAAGCCCGGTGCCAAGGTCCTCTACATTGGTGGTGCCAGCGGTACCTCCGTCTCTCACGTCGCTGATATTGTCGGCCCCACCGGTAATGTCTACGCTGTTGAGTTCTCTCACCGTTCTGGCCGTGACCTGATTGGCATGGCTACTCACCGTACCAACGTCATTCCCATTGTTGAGGATGCCCGTCACCCCCTCCGTTACCGCATGCTCGTCCCCATGGTTGATGTCATCTTCGCCGACGTTGCCCAGCCCGACCAGGCCCGTATTGTCGGTCTGAACGCTCACATGTTCCTCAAGGAGGGCGGTGGTGTTCTGATCTCCATCAAGGCCAGCTGTATCGACTCCACGGCCGCCGCTGAGGTTGTCTTCACCCGTGAGGTCCAGAAGATGCGCGAGGAGAAGATCAAGCCCAAGGAGCAGCTGACTCTCGAGCCCTTCGAGCGTGATCACTGCATTGTCGGTGGTATCTACTCTCGTGCTTCATAAAAAGGGTTTCTAATCTTCTCGCTGTTGTCATGTCTTCTTCATTTTCCCTTTCCCTGGTTCCATTTCACTTCCTCTCAGGCGTCTTGTGTTCCGCGATGTATCCAATGTTTCTCTTTTTCATTGTCTGTGTATGATTGCTTGCGTCACAAAATAGGTCTCAATTTTCTGGGAAAATGCACGCACTGAAATGATTCTCTTTCTAGTGTAGATCAGTAGATGAGTAGATGAAAACGGTCTGAATTACGTTGCATATCGCTTTGGGCTACACTAGTATATTGGCGCTCTGTGTTTAAAGCTCTCCTAAGGTATTTGTGTATATAGCAGTAGTTTCTCTTCTTCTCGTGGATTATCTACTCTTTCAAACATTCTTGCCATGTGCCTTGTTGCCAGCTTAGACTTGATTCGGTGTCAAGTGCTCGTCTTTAGCCAACGAAGCCTCCCTTGTCTCAACTTCCTAAGATATTACATTAAATTCGATTTAGCTCTTAGCTGACTTACCACTGAGACGTAGCTCTATTTTTCCACAGTGAAATGTCGCATTGGTGGTGTTCTCAACGATCTCGGACTTGCCCCGCGACGTTCTACACCAGCCCACTTGGTTCGGGTATCGGATTTCTTACCGATGCATCAGCCGACTATACTGCCAACCGAAATGACTCGGATATGCTGCGTGGGGGAGCGCCTAGGGGCCTAACATCAATTCAGAAGATATTATCTTATTGGTGGGATGCTATTCTTGACTTTGGATCCTTAAATCACGGAGCGTGGGGGAGGGAAGTGCTCCGCTGCAGTCCCGCGGGGTTCGTGATGCCAGCGACTATATAAGGTTGACAAAAAGGCTGCCAGGTTAGACCGAGTGCTACTCTATAATCTATCCACATCCTGCATTTGTCCGGTTACTTGATTGCATCTGACACTTGTATTGATACCCGCCACCGCTTCCAGACCCATCCCATCGCCTTCAATCATGTCGATTCTCATCACCGGCGCAGGAGGCTACGTTGGCCAAGAATTGGCCGCTGGTCTTCTTGCAACCACCCCAGACTCGACCACCGTGACCATCACCGATGTTGTTGAGCCAGAAGTCCCCGAATCCGCGACACAATACGCTAACCGCCTGACTTGTGTTCGCGCCGACCTGACCTCAACGAAAGAGGTGGACGAATTGATCAATGCCTCCCGTCCCTACGAGACCGTTTATATCTTGCATGGAATCATGTCCAGTGGCTCCGAGGCAAACTTCGAGCTGGGCATTCGAGTCAATCTCGACTCGACACGATACATTCTGGACCGTCTACGCGTGACAATGCCCGGCGTCAAGGTGGTCTTCACATCTTCATTGGCAGTCTATGGCTTAGCACCCCCAGGCTTTATTATTGACGAGACAAACTTCCCGCCTGTACCTTCGTCATCCTACGGATCACAGAAGCTCATTATCGAGACCCTGGTGACGGACTATTCTCGCCGCGGATTCATTGACGGACGCAGTGTGCGACTTCCCACTGTGACTGTTCGAGCTGGAAAGCCTACGCAGGCTGCCAGCAGCTTCGCCAGCGACATCATTCGGGAGCCTTTCCATGGCAAGAAGGTTATCCTTCCAGTGGGCAAGGAGACCGAGATGTGGATTTGCTCGCCACACACGATTATCAAGAACTTGATCCACGCGCGTACTGTGCCTAAGGAGGCATTTGGCGACTCGCGGTCTGTGAATCTGCCTGGGTTGAAGGTTAGCGTGCAGGAAATGCTGGATGCATTGGAGGCAATTGGTGGTAAAGAGCGACGGGCGCTCGTTGAGGAGAAGTACGATGCTGCCACGGACAAGATCGTGCAGTCGTGGACCCCTCAATTCTCCACTGATCACGCATTCCAGCTTGGATTCCATGCGGATATTTCTATGACGGAGAATATTAAGCACTTTGCTAGTAAATTTGTATGATAGAGACGGACGGAGCAGGATAGGGCGACTTCGGAGCCAATCATAGAACCCAATATGAGCAAGAGGATCATGTTTTCATCGGACAGTTTAATAGTGCAATGATATTTCGATAGGATATTTCTTGAGAATTGGTATAATGGAGTCTTGTCGAACGGCCACTGACCGTAATTTGATCGCACGTCATGAATTAAACGCAGGCATAGCAGCGGACAAGGAAGTAATCGGGATGGGAAGGGCGGTTTGGAAAAGGGGGTCATGTGATTGGCTGACGAGCTGGGCGAACAATTTGACTTCCGAACTTCAACCTCAGGGCCGACTCCAGCAGCTCTTTTCTCCATCCCCCTTCTCCCCCTCCCACCCCATTCTACTTGTCCGCAATGGCTTCCCGCCGTTTGGCTCTCAACCTTAACCAGGCTCTCCGGAGCCGTGCGGCTCTCAAGTCCATCCAGCCCGTGAAGCGTGGCTTCGCCTCGCCGGTTGCGCTGCCATCCACCACCCAGTCCACCACCCTCTCCAACGGGTTCACCGTACGTCCCGCATCAGACTCGATCAATGGCACCGGCTTGTCGCTGATAGTTGCTGATATTCTTATTAGATTGCCACCGACTACTCGCCATGGGCTCAGACTTCCACCGTCGGCGTGTGGATCGATGCCGGTTCCCGGTCAGAGACTGACAAGACCAACGGCACTGCGCACTTCCTCGAGCACCTTGCCTTCAAGGTTCGACCCCATTGGCCTCAAACCGCACGGAAAACGTCTAACAACAATATTTAGGGCACCAACAAGCGCTCGCAGCACCAATTGGAGTTGGAGATTGAGAACATGGGTGCTCACCTGAACGCCTACACCTCGGTACGGCCGGAAAACCCAATGCCATCCTGTTTCAAGCGCGTAACAATACTGACTATGACATTTGCAGCGCGAGAACACCGTCTACTACGCCAAGGCCTTCAACAACGATGTCCCCAAGGCCGTCGACATCCTCTCCGATATCCTCCAGAACTCCAAGCTCGAGCCCGCCGCCATCGAGCGTGAGCGTGATGTTATCCTGCGCGAGCAGGAGGAGGTTGACAAGCAGCTCGAGGAGGTTGTCTTCGACCACCTTCACGCCACCGCTTACCAGGGCCAGCCCCTCGGTCGCACCATCCTCGGCCCCAAGGAGAACATCCAGACCATCTCCCGCGAGAACCTGACCGACTACATCAAGACCAACTACACCGCCGACCGCATGGTCCTGGTTGGTGCTGGTGGTGTCCCCCACGAGCAGCTCGTCCGCCTCGCCGAGGAGCACTTCGGTGGCCTCCCCAACAAGCCCCCTACCTCCGCTGCCCTCGCCCTCACCGCCGAGCAGAAGCGCACCCCCGAGTTCATCGGCTCTGAGGTTCGTCTCCGTGACGACACCATCCCCTCCGCCCACATCGCTCTTGCCGTTGAGGGTGTCAGCTGGAAGGACGATGACTACTTCACTGCTCTCGTGGCTCAGGCCATCGTCGGCAACTGGGACCGTGCCATGGGCCAGTCTCCTTTCCTTGGCAGCAAGCTCAGCTCCCACGTCAGCCACCACCACCTCGCCAACAGCTTCATGAGCTTCTCCACTAGCTACAGCGACACTGGGTAAGTTTTCTTGTTTTGGAGACACGTTAATTGGCAATCATCCGCCATTACTCCTTTTTCTGGAAATCCATGACGAGTCCAATAACTAACATCGTTTTGATACATAGTCTCTGGGGTATCTACCTTGTCTCCGAGAACCTGACCTCCCTCGATGACCTGATCCACTTCACCCTCCGCGAGTGGTCTCGTCTCTGCCGCGACGTCTCCTCCGCCGAGGTTGAGCGCGCCAAGGCTCAGCTCAAGGCTTCCATCCTCCTGTCTCTCGACGGGACCACCGCCGTTGCCGAGGATATCGGCCGCCAGATCGTCACTACCGGCCGCCGCCTCAGCCCCGAGGACATTGAGCGTGTCGTTGGTGCTATCACCGAGAAGGATGTCATGGACTTCGCCAACCGCAAGCTGTGGGACCAGGACGTTGCCATGAGCGCCGTTGGCAGCATCGAGGGTATCCTCGACTACCAGCGCATCCGCAACGACATGTCTCGCAACCTGTCTTAAATTTACCCGTGTCTCGAATTGCGATTAAAAGACGACCATCCTCGAGTCTTCGGCCTTGAGATGGGGGTGTTTGTTTGAATGTATTATCAATCATTGCCTTGGGTTGCTGTTTAGACCCTGACTTGTGTGTGAAATAGCAATTAATGGTTTGCCATAGTAGACTATATAGTCTGTCACCCGGGGTGTGGCAGACCAATCGATCTCCTTTGTTTCTTTTGTCTCCTGTTTGAATCGAGTAACAATGACTTGTACAATTTTTGAATATACTGGTTTTGAAATATGTAAAGTACTGGCCAATGTCTAAATATAGTTGTATTGCTGTAATTATCATTGTTCTCTCTCCCATCATCCCATCTAATCTTGATATCGAATGACGATGCCTCCCAACGTGCATTTCTGGCCGTCTATCAAAAGCGGTGACGGGCGGCATGAGATGTCGCCCCACGGGAGTAATTAGATAATCCGTCGCTCTATCCGTCTTTTTTTTTGGGAGACGGAGATTTGACGGCAACCCTCGCAAAACTTACACTCAAAATGGGCAAACGAGGCGGCAAAAAGGTGAGCTTGAGCTTCAATTTGCCCTACATGAGATGTTCCTTCAACTAATCGGTGTCGTTCCTACAGGGAAATCGCGGCGGCAAAGGTGGCGGCGGCCGTGGCCGCGCAGAGCGCTCCACCAATTGGCAAGATATCAGCCGTACCAACGAGAAGCTCGAGAGATACTACAATGAGCCGGAATTCATCCCAGAGGAGGAGAAGGAGGAATTTTGGAATGCGATCAAGAGAGATCTGCCCAACAGCTTCCGTTTCACGGGCTCGCGTGGGTACGTTTGACTGGATTTCGTGTTTCACTTTCGCGTTTTTGCGTATTTGGGACATTGTATACTGATATTTACTTTTCAAGACACGCGCTTGCTGTTCAGGAGCGTCTGAAGGATTTCTATGTCCCCCAGATCACCTCCATTGAGTATGAGGGCCAGCCGGTCGAACCGCCACAGCCCGTGTCGTGGTACCCAGATCAACTTGCTTGGTCGATGACTACCCCCAAGCAGGTTATTCGTCGCCATGCCCCCTTCGCTTCCTTCCAGAAGTTCCTTGTCGCTGAGACCGAAGTCGGAAACATCAGTCGCCAGGAGCTGGTTAGCATGATTCCCCCGCTGCTTATCGATATCCGCCCCGGAATGACTGTTCTGGACATGTGCGCTGCACCGGGAAGCAAGTCGGCACAGCTGATGGAGGCTCTCCATGCCGGTGAAGAGGATACTATTCTGCAAGCTGCTAAGGAAGTCAAGGAGGGTACTGCTGGACCTGAGCCTCTGGGTCCCGAGGGCTTGAATGATGATGGTCGCACTACCGGTCTGTTGATCGCCAACGACAGTGACTACAAGCGTGCGCATCTCTTGATCCATCAGATGAAGCGTCTGAGCTCGCCCAACCTCATCGTGACCAACCATGACGCTACTATGTACCCCTCTATCAAGCTTCCTCCTCTCCCTGCTCCCGAGGGCAAGCGCCCTCTGAACCGATACTTGAAGTTCGACCGCATTCTTGCAGATGTCCCTTGCTCTGGTGACGGTACCGCTCGCAAGAACATCGGCGTGTGGAAGGATTGGAGCCCCTCCAGTGCTTTGGGCCTTCACACTACGCAAGCTCGCATTCTGGTCCGCGCCTTGCAGATGCTCAAGGTTGGTGGCCGTGTTGTGTACTCCACTTGCAGTATGAACCCCGTTGAGAACGAGGCTATCATTGCTAGCGCAATTGAGCGCTGCGGTGGCGCTGCCAATGTGAAGATCATTGACTGCAGCGAAGAGCTGTCCGGTCTGAAGCGCCGGCCTGGTCTGAAGACCTGGAAGGTTATGGACCGCGAAGGCCGTATCTGGAACAGCTGGAAGGAAGTCATGGAGCAGCGAGAGCAGGAGCCCAACACCAATGGCTTGGCCCGTCTGTCCGAGGGAATGTTCCCTCCTTCTGGAGAGACTGCCGAGCTGCCGCTCGAGCGCTGCATGCGTGTTTACCCCCACCTCCAAAACACCGGTGGCTTCTTCATTACTGTCCTCGAGAAGATCTCCGAGATCAAGGCCAAGCCTGAGAACGCGGGTAGCGTCATTCCGCTCCTGCCCAAGGGCTCCATTGCAGCTCTTGCTGCAGAGCTGGACTCGCGCAACAACAACGAGAATGAAGAGCCTTACCAGAAGCTGGATTCTCTGGATGACCTTGTCCCTGCCGACGCTGAGGTTGAGGCTGAGATTGCGAAGAATGCAACTGTCGCCGAGGCTGCCAACCAGCCCCCGTACTCGGTGACACTTGATGCTGCGCAGAAGCGCGAGGCCGATGAGCTGGATGAGGAGCTTCCTGCTAAGAGGACGAAGCTTGACGATGGTACTGAGGTTCTGGTTGGTGATCGTCCCATCCACCGTCCTGCCCCGACTGTCGAGGTCGAACACATGCAGACCTCGACTGATACTACTCCGGCACCCACCGCCCGAGCCCAGGGCTTCAAGAAGAAGGCTGTCCAAGAGGAGCCTTACAAGTATCTGGACCCCAACCATCCCGAGCTGGTGCCAGTCTACGAGTTCTTTGAACTGTCAGAACGCTTCCCCCGTGACCGATGGATGGTGCGCAATGCGGAGGGCCAGCCTACACGAACTGTTTACTACACCAGCGCCCTCGCTCGGGATATTCTCGTCATGAATGAGCGCTCTGGCATGAAGTTCGTCCACTGCGGTGTCAAGATGTTTGTGAAGCAGGATGCACAGCGCGAGAACGTCTGCCGCTGGCGTATCCAGACGGACGGATTGAAGATCATCGAGCCTTGGTTGGGTGATGTCCGCACCGTCACCTTGACCCAGCGGGAGACCCTGCGTCGCCTGCTCATTGAGATGTTCCCCAAGGTTAATGACAATGGCTGGAAGCAGCTCGATGAGATTGGTGAGCGTGTCAAGGATATCCCTATGGGCTGCAGTATCTTGCGCATCGAGCCCAGCGGCAAGGAGGATGGCCTTACGTGAGTTCACTCCTTTGATTCTTTACTATCTTTGCATACGATACTAACCTATCTTTTCTATAGCGAGCGCATGGTTCTGCCCCTCTGGCGCTCCCTGCACTCTATCAACCTGATGCTTCCTAAGGAAGATCGCCGCGCCATGCTCCTGCGTATTTTCAACGACTCCACCCCCGTCAACAACAACTCCATTAAGAACCAAAAAGGCTCGCAGAAGCAGGTAGAGATTGTCCTCGATGACGTCGACACAGATGTCGTTGATGCCTCTGATGCCGTTGACGCCATTGAGCCTCCCGCCGCGATCGAGGACGACCTCCTGAAGAAGGAGAACCTTGCGCTGGGTCAAGATGAGCAAGAGCAGGTTGACACGCGGGAGACGTACACCAAGGCCGGGGATGAGGAGGACCGATTCAATCAGACTGTCTAGTGGGCGGATCTAAGTTTGAGAGATGGCCGGCAGTTATGATTTACTTTATTTTTGATTTGCGTGATCTTCTACCAGGGAGCGAGCGAGCTCACCGAATGTACTAAAAAGCAATACCATGGAGATTTACCCGTTTGAGAGAGAGAGACAGTCTGAGACCGAGATTAAGTCTAAACGAATTGCTGTCTGGGTTTAGGCCTTGGGCTTGTTATGTATGTATATTATGCAAGGCTTAAGTCCGGAGTGGCGGAGTCTGTTCTTGTTCCTGATGCAAGGGTCCAAAAGTACTTCTTGACAAGACTACGAGAGCCAGAAATACCCGAAAGCTTGGTGGGCATTCGATCTGCATTGTAAGATGTCTTCGGGGAATCGTCGGTGCTCAGATGCACCGGGTAAATTGAAAATTCGAGCTGGTGACCATTTTCCCCCGCAGTACTTTGCTTCAATTTAAATTAAATGACGAGCGTTGAGGGTCTATACTCGTTTACGGGTGAATTGCGTTAGAGTAAAGCCTCAATTGACTGGAAAGAACACGGATACGGAGGTTGATAACCCGAAATATCCGAATTGTAAATAGCCAACTATACGGGAGTACATTTTCCAATACGGAGGAGTCCTGAGGAGGTCTAATGTGCTTTTTGAGTTGCGCTTTGAATAACGGACAAGCTCCATTCCGCTGATTCTTCCGACTTCCGAGTCCAACTCCTCCATATGCCATACACAACAAACTCTCGAAGATGAAGCAGTCCTGCCGATCAGTAAACTCTCCGCAGGGGAAGTACCTCATTCTGTCTTCATGAAAACACCTCGAATCCACCAACCCTCATTGTGACCTTGCGATAAGCGGAAAAATTGCGGCGGTGGAACCCCCGCAAACCAGGATTAAAGACACACGACTGGGGGATCATCGGTCCAACTTCCTGACGAGTACAAGTGGCCTCTCCACCTCATCTGCGACGTTGTGCTCTGCTGCAACTGTCCATGCACACCTCCAGGCAATAGTGGCGGACTTCCAGGGTCAAATCCCCCGCCTCGTTCCCCTGTCGATGATGAAATGACGAGATTGCCGAAAGAGGGGTTGAACTGCAGTCGCGCTCTAGTCCCAGGTCCACGGCCTTCAAGGTCCAATGTCAATGCACGAGAGAAACGTGCAGAATAATGATGCGAGTGCGGCAGTCACGGAGTACACGGCATTCTGCCCTCAGTGGAGGTGATCCGCTTGTCGATCGTCGCTCGACAATTGTATATGAAGGCCCGCCGATCCCTTGCAGGGTGTGAAATGCAAGCTGCTGAAGCTGAAGCTCTTTCACTTTTTATTTTAGCTTCTCCTAAGGCGAAAGTCGCGTCTATTCTTTTTTATCGTCGACTTTGCTCACCATGAAGCTTTTGTCTTCTTGGGTTGTGGCTGCTTTGGCGGCGCAGGCTGCAGGTGCTGCTATAAGTCATAAGTTGGATGGCTTCACCATCCGGGAGCATGCGGATCCCACGAAACGGGCCCTGCTACAGAAATATGTATGTTCGATATCTCCTCTGAGATGATCGATAGTATTGCAGTGCTAATGCAGTGCGACTAAAGGTGACCTGGGACGAGCACTCGATATTCGTTAATGGCGAACGGTTGATGATTTTCAGTGGTGAAGTCCACCCATATCGGTATGTTGTATAATCGAGACTGGACGGATTTTTCTAATAGAAATCGCTCAGTCTGCCTGTCGCCTCCCTGTACATTGATATCTTTGAGAAGGTCAAGGCCCTGGGATTCAATTGCGTGTCCTTCTACGTCGATTGGGCTTTGTTGGAGGGCAACCCGGGCCACTACTCTGCCGAGGGCATCTTTGACCTCCAGCCCTTCTTCGATGCGGCCAAGGAGGCTGGTATTTACTTGCTGGCTCGGCCTGGTCCTTATATCAATGCCGAGGTTTCTGGTGGTGGCTTCCCTGGTTGGCTGCAGCGAGTCGACGGCATTCTGCGGACTAGTGATGAGGCATACTTGAAGGCGACCGATAAGTATGGACATCGTCCTTCAATCTTGAATTTGATTGGTACCAGTAAAGCCTAACAATGCTTCTTAGCTACGCCTCCAACATCGCTGCAACAATTGCCAAGGCACAGATCACCAATGGTGGACCAATCATTCTGTACCAGCCCGAGAACGAGTACTCCGGTGCTTGCTGTGGCTACAATGACTTCCCGGACGGTTCCTACATGCAATACATTGAAGATCACGCTCGTGATGCCGGAATCGTCGTTCCTTTCATCAGCAACGATGCCTGGGCTGCTGGCCACAATGCTCCCGGGACTGGTAAGGGCGCGGTCGATATTTATGGTCACGACAGTTATCCTCTGGGCTTCGATTGCGCCAATCCTTCGACTTGGCCGAGTGGCAATCTTCCTACCTACTTCCACAGTAGTCATGAAGAACAGAGCCCTTCGACCCCGTACTCTCTGGTCGAGGTATGTCTAACTACAAGTATCCATTGTGCGATATCATAATAACGCATCATAGTTCCAAGGTGGAGCGTTTGACCCCTGGGGTGGAGTTGGGTTCGCCAAGTGTGCTGCTCTTCTGAACCATGAGTTTGAGAGAGTCTTCTACAAGAATGACTTCAGTTTTGGTGTTGCTTTCCTGAACCTGTACATGGTATGTTGCAACTCAGTTTTTGAAAGATTATACAGGCTAACGACTTTTAGATTTTCGGTGGCACCAACTGGGGTAACTTGGGCCATCCTGGTGGCTACACCTCGTATGACTATGGCTCTGCTATCTCCGAGTCGCGTAACATCACCCGTGAGAAGTACAGCGAGCTGAAGCTGCTCGGAAACTTTGCCAAGGTGTCCCCGGGCTACCTTGTGGCCAAACCTGGCGACCTGTCCACTTCTACGTATACCAACACTGCCGATCTGACTGTGACACCTCTGCTTGGAAGCAACAGCTCTGCTTCTTCGTTCTTTGTGATTCGTCACTCTGACTACTCTAGTCAGGCCTCGGTCGACTACAAGCTCACCGTCCCGACCAGTGCTGGAAATCTGACTATCCCTCAACTTGGTGGAAGCCTTACTCTTAGTGGTCGTGACTCTAAGATTCACGTTACTGACTACGATGTGGCCGGTACTAACATCCTCTACTCCACTGCCGAGGTCTTCACCTGGAAGAAGTTCAACAACGATAAGGTTCTTGTTCTGTATGGTGGCCCTGGCGAGCACCACGAGTTCGCAGTCTCCGGCGCGTCAAGCAGCTCTGTTGTCGAGGGATCTTCTTCGGGTATTTCCTCGAAGAAGGTTGGCAAGGCACTCGTCATCGCTTGGGATGTCTCGACTACTCGTCGCATCGTCCAGGTTGGAAACTTGAAGGTCTTCCTTCTTGGTAAGTTCAACGGAAAACTTCCTCAATTGATGATTTACTGACTAAATATACTTAGACCGAAACTCTGCCTACAATTACTGGGTGCCCCAGGTCCCCACTAAGGGCACAGCTCCCGGTTACAGCAACCAGGAGACTACCGCTTCGTCTATTATTGTCAAGGCTGGCTATCTCGTTCGGAGTGCCTACCTTGACGGCAAAGACCTGCACATCCAGGCTGACTTCAACGCTACTACTCCCATTGAGGTGGTTGGCGCCCCATCTAGTGCCAAGAACCTGGTCATCAACGGCAAGAAGACCCAAACCAAGGTTGACAAGAACGGTATTTGGTCAGCAAGCGTTGCGTACACCGCACCAAAGGTCCAACTTCCCAGCCTCAAGAGCCTGAAGTGGAAGTCCATTGACACCCTCCCCGAGGCCAAGAACACTTACGATGACTCTGCCTGGACTTCGGCCGATCACGCCTACACCAACAACAGCGCCCATTCGCTCAAGACTCCTACTTCCCTTTTCGCGTCCGACTACGGATACCACACCGGTGCTCTTCTTTTCCGAGGCCACTTCACCGCCAATGGTAAGGAGAAGACCTTCTTTGTTCAGACCAAGGGAGGTGCCGCATATGGCCACTCGATCTGGATCAACGAGACCTACGTTGGCTCCTGGGCTGGAACCAGCGTTAATGACAACTACAATGCCACGTACACCCTCCCTACTCTGCAGTCTGGCAAGAACTACGTCTTCACCGTTGTTATCGACAACATGGGTCTGGATGAGGACTGGACCATCGGTTCAGAGGATATGAAAAACCCACGCGGAATCATCCAGTACTCTCTTTCCGGTCAAGAGGCCAGCGCCATCTCCTGGAAGCTGACCGGTAACCTGGGCGGCGAGAACTACCGCGACACTGTCCGCGGCCCTCTAAACGAGGGCGGCTTGTACGCCGAACGCCAGGGCTTCCACCAACCCCAGCCACCTACCCAGAAATGGGACTCCAGCAGCCCATTCACCGGCCTCACCAAGCCAGGAATCCGCTTCTACAGTACCAGCTTTGATCTCGACCTGCCTTCGGGCTACGATATCCCGCTGTACTTCAACTTCGGCAATAGCACCTCTACTCCGGCTGCGTACCGTCTCCAATTGTATGTGAACGGATACCAGTATGGCAAGTATGTGAACAACATTGGTCCTCAGACTAGCTTCCCTGTTCCTGAGGGTATCCTGAACTACCATGGTACGAACTGGCTTGCGTTGAGCCTGTGGGCCCAGGGGGATAGTGGTGCCAAGCTGGATAGCTTCGAGTTGATTAATACTACTCCTATACTCACCTCGCTGGGTGAGGTCAAGTCTGTGAACCAGCCGAAGTACCAGGCAAGAAAGGGGGCCTTCTAGGCTACTGGGGCTTATGCGTGATGAGTGATTTATCGGATCAGGGTGAGGCATTTTGAGAGAAAGGGTATGCATAGTAAATAGCAGATTATTTGGTGCGAATACTTTAAACAATTTCACATCTTTCTTTCCTGCCATCGGCTCGGATGGGTATTCAATATCCTCGCCAGTCATCACAGCTAAGGTGAGCGGCACGCTTGTTGAGCAGCAGAGTTAGATTGGAACCTCGTGGGAAACCCTCCCTATTCCGCCGGAACTGCTCAGTCAGTTGTAAGAAGCTTGTTATGAATGAACAATTATCAGAACACCAGCACTCCATCTCCCTCTTAAACACTATTCTTCAGCCCATACTCCTCCGCAGTAACCGCATCAAGCCAAACAGTCTTCCCAAGCCAACAACAAAATGAGTCATAATACTATCATCATCCGCCTCATGCCAATGCGTAGTTCCAGCCGGAGCCTAAACAACATCACCCGTCTTCAATCTCTGAGGAACACTACCCTTATCGCAAATCCAGCCACTACCGGCAACGACTTTGATCATTTTTTTCATGGGCGTGCCAGTGGGTGCGGGCACAGGGGGTGAATGTGACGTTGGCAATTGCTGCTTCGGCGTCGAAGTGGATGGGGTCTAGGTAGACGTCGCCGGTGAAGGTTTCGGTTGGTTTTGTGCATTTTGCGTCGGATTTGTGGCCGTTTTGTATGATTGTTGATTGAGGCATGGTTGTGCAGTAGGGTTGTGTGTGTTGCCATGGATGTTAGTGATTCGTTCTATCGAGCGGGTATGAGTTGGTGAATGAATACCGAAGAAAATAGTGACGTCTAGTATATAAAGTGTCGTAGTAAGAATCAGGTACTGTAGTCTAGGCACGAAGCCATTGCGAGTACCATCAGCGTACCCACTAACTAGAATAAAATCAGTAGGTAGGTTGGGTATGGTTCGATGACAAACCAGTTGTGCCTGATTTGTGAAACACAAGCCAGGGGTCATCTCTACCCTCTTCCCATGACTTAAGATAGGTAAAGACAGGGGCCTCTTCTTCCTTCATGATTTCCTTGATCTCAGGAAACGTAATGACCTGAAAACGTATGTCTCTTTCAGTAGCCCTGCGACTTTATCTGCCATAGAAGCCGGTCAGAAGTACTGCCGAGTTCGAAATCAGATTCCCTCCCATACACTTCTAAATTATTATTCTAGCCCTAATTGGCGTGGCAACTTGGGGATACACGTGATGTTCTACCCTCACGTGCTTCTTTTCTGGCTTTTTTGGCTTCACCGCCTTCCCTGGGTCCTGCCTTTCTGTCGGAGCAGCAGAGGTGATACCCCGAGAACGGAGATACTGTGTCCCCGCCAGATTAGTCATGTTTATGCCCACATAAATTGCTAACTTAAATCGGGGCTTCACAGAAATTTAGACTTATTGTGATTTGTATTGGAGCACCTACATGGCTTACTCATCTCTGTTACGATAACTAAGTAGTTAACTACTTTCGCTCGGGTACTTGTCCTCTGACGTGTTCGCCTCCACACACCACATGTCTGGGTCTATCGCCCTACTATCTCTTCCGTTCCGCTCTTGCTGCTCCTGGTTTCTCATTGCCTCCTCATTTTCCTGTTAGGCCACGATCATACACCACTTTGAAAGCCTAAAGAGACAGTAATATGGTTGAGGAAGCTAAGGCTGCCACGATTTCATTTTCAACTTGAGTGGAATACAAACCAGTATTGCACGCCATTATGGAACTGGTCCAACCCTTTATCGCTAGTGAAGGACTAACGGACCCTGAGCCAATTGGTCAGGGCCTTGAATTCGTTGTCTTCAAAGCAAAATCAGATAAACATGGCTATGTCGCCCTTCGGGTGCCTCGACAAAAAGTCTTCAGAAATGTGAATGACCCTAGCACCAACGCCAAGCAGCTGATCTACCAAGAGCTTAAGATATATGAACTTCTCCGTGGCGGACCCGTGCCAGTCCCAAAACCCCTTTGTCTCCTCGAGATACGTGACTATCCAGCGATGCTTAGCTCATATGTCCCCGACGATGGATCAGAAGTGCACCCAGAGGAACTTGGCCGACTTGCTGCCCTTATACATTCTACCCAGCTACCTTTGGACTGGAACGTCGAGTTAGCGGCTATGGAGGGCACAGATGTCCTCACAGCGCTAGTGCAAAGAGTTTTGAGGCGTTTTGACCAACTCGCAAAAGAGGAACCAAGTGTAAATGACTGGGCCCTGACAAAGAATGAATTAGAGCCCATTATAGTTCTTCTAAGACATTTACCCTCATGCCTGCTACATATGGATCTCCGTGATGCCAACTTGCGCATCTGTAAGGGCAAGCCTGTTGCGGTAATCGACTGGACAAACGCGCTTATTGGACCCGCTGCCGTGGATTTCTTTCGAATCATGGAACTGAGCCGACCAGGAGATGCATTTATTAATGGTTATTCGACTATCAAAAGTCCGCCTAAAGTCACGATGGACGAAGAGGCCTTCTTACGTTTAGATGCTGCTTTGATGATTGCGTTGGTTTTTATATCAGAAGCTCCTGATCAGAAGAGGAGAGAACCGAGTATCAGGCGTGTCGAAGAGCTAGCCCGGATGTTGCGACCTGCAAACAATTCCGTTCATTCTAGCTTTTCTTCGCAGAAATGATAGGTTGTTGCTATATTCGCCTCATGCGATATAGGAGAGTGTGAGAAATTTTTTCGGCCTGCTGCCGTGGGGGCACGGAGGTACACTTCTACGGCCATGGTAATTCCTTGACCCAATCATTGTTGTATGAACCAGCGGTAAATCGTAGGCTGTTTACGCTACTGTTACGGTTGAGCCTGTTTGAGTCCGTCTAGAGGAGCAACTAGCGAGTTCAGGTTGTTTGTTTGGATGCTTCGTATGTTTCAATCAATCAATCAATCAATCAACATCTATTAACCTGTTGCAGCCTAACTAGTGGCGTAATGGCTATGCAGGCGCTCCCTCCGGCGGAAGCAAGAGTGATCCGAACGCCAGACCCGCGCATGAAATAGTAAATACATAGGATAGGATGTCAAAATCAGCCCAAAATCAGCCCAAAATCAGTACCAAAACGCCCTCCAAGCCCTCACATTGGCCAGCCGCTTCCTCTGCACCTCCATCCCCGGTATCTCTCCTGCTTCGTTCTCGATTGGTGGCGTTTGTTGTTGATGTTGGATATATTCTTCCACCACCTCTCGGTTGGCCGTGGTTTTGGCGTTCCCCCCTACCCAGCATCTTCACCCCCTGTGCCGTCGCCAGATCATCCTGGCGGATCGTTTCCTTCGCCCTGCGGGGGCTCTGGCTCGATTTCGACGTGCCGGAACTGTCCTAGTAGGCCCGTTTGAAGCATGAATTCGGCCACGTAACGGGTAGCCTGCGAGTGTGATACGATTGCATTATAATCGGTCGAATCCCTAAGATCGGTTATCCGGATCTTGTCAAGGAAGGTTTTCCTCAGGTCAGCGTACAACGGGCACTGCATTAAGATGTGTCTCGGGGTTTGAGACCCCTCACTGCAGTAACACTCATCTGATTCAACCGCCTTGATCTTAAAAAAGAAATGATTCAGTGCGATACGCATCGATCGTATCTGAATCAACACTGAGGTGTACGGCTTCGAAAGGGAATCGAACAGCCGAAGCACCTTCTTGTCTGGAACCCTCACTAATCGCTGGTTCGGCTTGCCAGTTCGCTCCTTTGCCCACTCTTGTGCCTATCTCTCCTTAATACGCCGCCGTACTCGACGCTTCGCGGTCGCTGCTAGAAGGACTAACCCGCGGACCCCTTAGGGTAGGGTTGTTCCGCTCCGTTCTCTACTCCCCCTCCCGTTGCCGCTAACTTTGCTTCAAAGTCAGCTGTCTTATTGTTAGGAACGCCTATGTGTGCGGGGACCTAACGGATCTCGATGGGAATCTGATCGAATGTGGGCGTTTGCTGTAGCGATCGAAGGGTCCGAACGTAGTTGTAAATCGAAGATAGCACGAACTGGCCCGACGATCGCTTTAGGTTTTGCACTGCCTGGATAGCGGCCTGGCAATCGGAGAAAATGACTATCCTTGTGGGCCTTATACTACGTTGTTGTTGGTTGATGAACTTGGCAATCGCTATTTCAATGCCGTTGAGCTTAGCAACGTACACTCTTGATTCCTCGGTGGTTCTAAGGTATCGTCGTTGAAAACGCCCTTACGCGGGGGAACGGCTGAAGCGCCGACCTGGCCTTTATCACTACTACTATCTGTGAAGAAAAGGATCGTCTGATCCTGTGAGACCGTCGGGGTACGGTCTAGTGCGGCTTGTTGAAGAGATTCAATCTTAGTATGTGAGGCCCGCGCAGCCTCTGTATCCTGGTCGATGATGTATAGGATCGGTGCCTCCTATGACGCTAGAACAAACGCTTTGCGCGATTCCTACATCCCTTACTGGTTCACAATACCGTCTTTCTTCCACCGAAAGGCTTCAAGAGGGTTCTATCCCCCTTTCCTGATTTCCTGCGGGGAACGCTGTCGACGTAGATACTCTGGTTGGGCCCACTCGGCACCTGTTTGGATTCGTATTGCCGTTTCCTGAATGATTTGGTCCATGAGTAGGTGTATTAGTGTAATGAAGAGCTCCACGTTGAGTGCTGCCGCACTAGTGGATTGAAGGCACCGCTGATGAGAATCGCCGCACGCCGTTGAATATTGGTGAACTCGTTGACCGTGCGTTTCATCTCCCACGTGGGCATAAATCTTGCAGCAGGGCAGTACCACGCAGATATCCCGTAGAGCATCTGTGGCACCACCACCGCTTGGTAGACCTTCCGCATCGCCACTAGTGAGGCTCCCCACACCGAACCTGTCATCGCCCGGAGGGCTTCAAGGCTGCCGTTGGCCTTGTCGAGTAACTTTTGGCGGTGTGTCGAAATCGAGGTGTTTGTCGAGCCAGACACCTAGATATTTCGCTGTTTTTGAAATATGAAGTTTGCTAGCTGAGGCCGGATGCCTATACAAGGCCTAACTCGCATCCCCGGAGCTTTCCTCCTTCTCTCCTTAGATTTGATTCCTTCGTTAGATAGCTCCGAATGCAGACATCTGCTCTCATCTCGATTGGCTCGTAATAGCTACTATGATTTAAACACTTCCAATCGGCTTCAGCTGCTGTCTTCCGTAACTTATGTGCAGCGCACAATAATTGGGCAGGATTGTCCAACCGGCAGCGAATCGCGCTTTGGCATCTGCACTTCGCCACTTCCGAGCATTCGAGTGCTCGCTTCTGCATAGCATTAGGCACTAGCAACGTATGCCCTCGGATTGCGCAGAGAGAGAACTCCTGCGCTGATTTTGCGAACGGGGTCGAGTATCTCGCTACCTTCCGAATTATGATACCGACGAGATAAGGGATGGAAAGCAGACTTATTATAAGCGGGAGCTAGATGCATCATTCAAGCACCGGCGAGTACGCTACCCCGGAGTTTTTATAGAGGTGTGCTATTCACAAAAAGGTCGATGTGTTTCGCACTTAGCGGATGAATATATCTTAAACACTGATGGGAGCGTGAATGCGGTAGTTGCCCTCGACATTGATTATTAAGGGTCAAAAAAAGCGTCTCTTACCGTACGGCGACCGGAATACACAATTTTGGACGGCAAGGAGGAGCTTTAAGCGACCGCTATTATCGAGGCACTGGTACGTACTCTATGAGTAGCAATTTTTCTGTGATTTAGATGCTGACTTATATAGCTATTTCGGACAGATTCTAGACTTCTAGCCGAGGAAATAGCGCTCCGGCTATCTTGAGGGACTTCGTAACTGAGGAACTCTTATAGGGGCTTACTAGTCTTGATCAAGAAATCTCGATTACATCGACGCAGCTTTGCGACTTTCTTTTACGCGCCGAAGAAGAACAGCGAGGGTAAATAATACAGGGCTCTATTAATCGACTACGCCCTAGAGCTAGAAAGCGTCGTCGGCCTTAAACTCCTCCGGAACAGCTAAGTTCGGAAGATAAAGGATCAGTTAAGAGGAAAAGGTAAATTAAACGAGGGCGTCGAAGCAGCGATTTTTTCCCGGACTCTTCGTCTGGGGATTCGAAAGGTGAGCTGCGTTAAAGTTGAATATATAGAATACCTAAGGAAGAGTGTGTCTTTATCCGGAGGTTTTAATACCCCCCCCTCCCCCTAAGTATATATACCTAAGTATCTTGCTATAAAGACCTTCACTAGAATATATTATGTACCTAGAAATCGGAACCTCCCTACCTAGGGAACTGTGATTGCTATTAAGGTTGCCAACCAGAATAGGGCTTAAATATACGTAGAGGGTCGTCCGATCTAGAAGACTTGATTAGCGAGTGGAGGGGATTACCTATTAAAATACGCTCAGAAGGCGCGTAACAAGTTAGCGAGGTGGATATAGGACTTTATGTTAATTTTTTTTTTTTATTATGCAATTCCGAGTCAGGACAAAGAATGCAAGTCGAGGTCGAAAATAGACGCGAAATAAAGGTTGAATTAAGCCGGATGTAATTAAGGAGGATAGGAGATATGTTCGTCTAGTGCTTGACCCTTTACGATCGTACGATCGTGTTAACTTTGTCTTTCTTACATACAAGGTCGACCGATTATAGGGTATTATGTGGTGGAGTTACGATCGAGAATGAGTCTTGGCATTGGGTTGCTCGGTACGCTACTGCCTAATTATTTACCGCCGAGCAAATTTGCGTCGGAAATTCCGTGCATTGGTAGAGGTGAGTACTACTACCCGTTTTTATCTACTCGTCCTTCTGACCTGGCGACACACATCTGAATAGGAAGCACCTCTCGCCGTGTAACGCATTGCACTTACGCGCTCTTATAACTCTAGCAACGTCTTCCTGCCAAATAATTCCTGGTAGCTATGAAAGGTCTGCCTGGCACTAGAAGCTAGCTTGAGATATCTATGTAGGAGCTTTGATGGGCCTAGATGAATTGAGTTGATCATGGCCCAAAATAGGATCGCATCCCGTCCTCACCCACCCCCACTGTTCGTGGCCACTCCCGCAACCGAAGGTGATTGGTCGCGTTTTAAGCCTCAGACTTGCGGAGTACGGGCCGAAACACACTAGTCTGTATTTAGAGTTCTTCCGGGAGTTGTGTATGTATTCTTTCGTGCGTAGGTTACACAGTAATTTCAGTCATGTATTCACTTGTAAATCAGTACATCTGATACCTGCAATGCTCATCCACCGCCATTACCCAGAGGCGAAGCTGAGGTGGGGCTTCATTTCACTTTTACTGGCAACTCATCACTTCATTGGTGGCGTGTCACTGGATGTGAAGTAGCGTCGAATGTCCCTTGGCAGTTTTAAGACTCACACGGAAATCATGACACCCCTTGCTTGACCTGTGTGGTATACTAATCAATCCGATATGGTGTGTTTGCTGCGATGGGTTCTCTGTGGAGGATTCGTTTTATCCCTTGTAGACGCAATATTTGCAGGCCGCCCTCAGGCCATCGGCATTGATTTCGGCCCCGAGATGATGTGCGTGTCGAAAATCGCTTTGATGAAGCCGCTACCCCCCCCCCCCCCACTCCCCTCTTGTGGCGATTATTGACCAGAATCCTAGAACTGTCGCACATGCGTATAGCAGTGATAATGTGACGTTGCCAGCGTGTATCAAACCTGAGCTAGGCGATCCCTTCAGCATCTATCTATTCCTGCTGCGACTAGAATCATGGAGCGACGGCACGCTCGACGCGCTATATGGCGGGAAGAACGAAGGGACCTCCGGCATTTCCAATGCTGTGGTAAAGCTGTTTGCAAGGCTCGTATCGTCCTTGACCTGTTGTAGCCATGACACAGCGAACCTGTCTTGGGTACGGCAGTGCGTCTGCAGTGCTTGGCACGGCATCACGGCTCGGCTTCGCAGCGCCAAGAGGTCAGAACTAGGGGAGTTCACGCTGAATGATGTGAAGGATGCGTTTGTCGATATCCTCACGCGGTTGCAGGAAGAGGCACGCTCCAAGCACAACATTGATATGCAATCGGCGGTTATCGCCCTCCCGGACTTTTTCAACCAAACCCTGGTGGATTTGTTCCTCGAGGCGAGCCGGAAGGTTGGCATCACGCCTTTGGTGGGGCCTATGAGCCGGATGACCGTATCAACATATAGCAGCAATGGGACTCCACGAAAGGCGGATGGGAAATATCTCATTATGGACCTAGGGCAATACTACCTGGACCTGCAAAGTCTCAATGCGAGTCCCCGGCCAATGGCCCGAAATGGGCGCCTCCCTATGGACCCCTGGGGAAGTGCCGGTCTCGATCGGGATATAACCCGCTCAGCCATTGAACGATCGGAAATCCTACAGACTTGGCTTTCGCTCGGTGGATCCAAGGCCGCCTTGCAGGAAGAAGTCCGAAAGGCACGTGTGCTGATACGAGATAACATTGATCGCGAAGTGCTGGGGGCCAAGGACCACCAGGACCATCACCATAACGAATACCCTCTGCATCTGAAGGACCCCGATGCCACCGCTGTGCTGTCATGGGTTGATGTCGAAGCAGGAGAGATGAAATACATTCAAAGCATTGCGCAGAATGTTCATAACTATCTCGTTGCCGCGAGTACGTTGCCAGTGGGCGGTCTGAGTAAAATTGTTAGCTGACATTTGCGTAGACAATCCTACCGGAGATATTCGGGATGACATGATCCCTACCAAAATTGATAAAGCGTTTATCTTGACGAGTGGGTTTGACGGATCATTAATCAAGCAGAGCCTTGAACATGCTCTTGGTGATGTTGAGATCATAGGAGGACGGCTACGAGACTGCTATCTGGCGGCCGAGGGCGCTGCTCAAGTTGGTTTATTATACCAGCAGGTATGGGACCAGAGACAGCGGCTATTATGGAAAAAAGACGAATTATAGTACTCTATGGGGTTGTTCCAGTGACGAAACTACGGTGTCATAGCTAGGCGTAGCTATAACTATCGGCCCTGTCAGAGTGATAATCAGCGAGGAAATCAAGATGTAGCGTTTGGTCTTCCTGTGCTATATAGATAACAGTCGACTTGTCTCAGCTACAGCAATATTCAAATTCGGCTTCCGTCGGTTGCTAGGTTCTCGAGGCATCCGCAGATCTAGTGTTTGGCATATTTGCATTTCCATGGAAAATTCTAGTTTCGTTGGATCTCCAATACTGTTACGAAACAAGGCGCTGTATTTAATGAAAGTAAATGATAGTATCGAGACTGGTCCAGGACTATTGATACTCCGGGGCTATTCCTAAGGTATTCTAGTGTCTCCTGGTGGTGAGCCTGGAGAGTCACTCGAAGAGTGGAGGCGGTTGCACCGGTTTCGCAACGTATGTAGAATATTGAGAGAAAAAGAGAGTAAGTCCGAGCTAGATGGTATTTAACCTTTATTCCCTATTCCGTATCCATGGATATACTAAGGGCATCGGCAAATGTCAGCATCGGTATCTCGCTGACAGGAGCCCCACCTTTAAGACCGATCCCTTAGCCGTCACAAATATGGAGGACCTATCAGAACTAACATTTAAAACGGTGGAGCTAGATTTGATTCTTCAAACTCGAATCGCTGGTAAGAACCAGGAGTTAACACTCGGTTTTCAATTTTGATTGAAAGTCATCAAGCCATCACCCAATTCTGTTGAAGAAATGCTAGCCGCATTGTGTCATGACTCCACATTATGTTGTGACTAGACTAGCTATTAATTGTACTAACTATATAATTACTCCGTGCCTTGAGAAAGTCTCATCCCCACAAGATGTTCAATCTCGAGAGGAGACTGTCCTTCTTGGGAGGCACGTTCTCAGGGTCATTCTCTGCCTCGTCCAGAGCCTGGCGCAGTGGGACCATGTCAAGAGGAACGATCTTTGTCCCACGAATCAACTTGTAGCCTCCATACGCACAAAGAACAAGCGGGATATCCCTAGATTCAAGTATTAACTTCTGTGCAGGGGCGTAGAAATCAAATCGTTATTTCAGAACTTACAAGTAGCTTGAAACGAAAGAGGCTGGATCCCAGTTTCCTTTGGTGAACACGGTAAATCCACCCGTGAGAAGAATGATGGTGCAAGAGACCAGCGCGAACCAACTTGTGTATCCTAAGCTAAGTTAGTAGTTGCGAATGAATAATTTCTGCAATGATAGACTGACTTGTAATCCGATTATGCCACGGCAGGGCATCGGGTGAAATACCCTGTTTCTTCAATGCCTGCATCAAGCGGATATGGTTCAATGACACACAGATCCAGGAGACCAAGGTACCCGCAGCAGTGAGATCAACAAACCACCAGAACACAGTCAAGGCGCTGTTCGAAACACACATGTAGGCCAGGAAAGAGAAGGCCACTTGAAGCAGCACACACATATACGGCACACCCCACTTGGTAGTCCGGAGGAAGATCTTGGGAGCGTGGCCTTTGATCGCAAGACCGTAGAGCGTTCTGGTTCCGGCAAGAATACTCTGGTTGGAAGCAGACCAGGCAGATGTCAGACAGATAGCGTTGACGATGGAAGGAATGGCCTTGATGCCAGCGTCGCCGGCAGCGATCACGAAAGGACTCTGAGCCGCGGTACCGGAGTCGTCGCCGAGCCGTTCATCGCCGCTCGAAACGAGCATACCGACCACCAAGACTGCCGCGAGATAGAAAATAGTGACACGTGCGAAGACTCGCTTGCAAGCTTTGGGGATGTTGTAGCGGGGGTTTTTAGTCTCCGCAGCGGCCATGGCCAAAGATTCCACACCAGCGAAGGAGTAGACTGCGTTCGTCATGACTGCCCAAAATCCGAGGAAGCGTCCCAGATTTCCAGTTGCAATGTATTCAACGAATGGGCCTGGATCTTTCCAGTAGTGGAATCCCAATCGTGGCTTGCCTGGTGTACTGATCAATACCAGACTTGATGTAAAGGCAAGGATCAATAAACTTACCTGGAATACCACCTAGATCAATGACTAGACCCAGGATCACCACGAAAATGACCAGCAGGATCTTCAAAATAGCAAAGATAAATTCCACCTCACCGTACACGCCGATGAACGAGATGGCAACAACCACAGAGACCACAATGAGAATAGTCACCCAGACTGCAGCATTGATATCGGTCCAATACTGAATCAGGACTACGGCGGCGGAAATCTCACTGGGCACACTCAGGAAACATCCGTAGACGATGTTCCATCCGATCGCAAAGGCCAAAGCCGGGTCGACAAGCACCTCGGCATGACGGACGAATGAACCAGTCACTGGTAGCAGGGCAGAGACTTCACCGAGTGCGAATTGAATGGAACAGACGATAGTTCCAACAAACATATAGCCCAAAAGGGCACCTAGAGGACCACCTGTGGCGATCGAACCACCAAGGCCGAGAAACAGTCCTGTTCCCTATACATCACCCCGCGTATGTCAGCAAATTCAAACACCCAAGTCTGGACCAAGAGGACTGCATACAATAGCACCAGCGATCGCAATCATTTGAACATGACGTTGCGATAGTCCTCGAATCAGACTCTGTCGCTCCTGCTGGGTCACGATCTGTCCATCATCGGGACTAACAGCCCTGAACGTGGGCACCGACTCTGTGGGTGGATCTTCAACGTCGTGCACGACCTGTTTACCCCCCATTTTATCTGCACCTCCTTGGGTCTCAAGAAACCCCGTCATTGTAACTGTCCCGAACAAGCAAACTCAAGGGCCGCAAAAAAAAGGAAAAAGAAAAGACAAGAGGAAACGGAATATCCGAGACCTCGAAAATCTTTCTGCGCTAGCGTTAATAAGAGATTCAAGTTAATCACACCATCTAAGTGGCTGATGAGGGAACGCTAATTTTTTGCTTATCTCTTTGTAGCACCGAGGCTTTCATAAAGGGGAAAAGGTACCCATCTTCTTCTAGTAATGTACGGTTTGTCCATGGTACAATCCAGTGGACATCTGGTACCATTTTCGGTACCGCGCGCTCGGCGACCTCCGCGCGGACGCCCCGAAACTTAATTGTATAGATCAGATCGCAGCCTTTGGAGAGGATGAGATCGATAAGGAGATACTTGAAAGTACATTCAGCTTAAAGATTATCTCAATAGGTAGAAAGGCTGTCTGTTATTTCTCATGTATCGTGAATTGGACTAGGATACCTTTATGCGACCGAACGAACATTTCACACAGATGTCTCACAAGCATCCACTAAAGGTCTCCACAAGCCCACGCAGACATGCAACCCTTTTAAGGTTAGCGAGGGCACTAAATGTACCAACATAGCAGTTATACCCGTGGGGATTCGTCGCCTGGCCTAGAAGGGATAGTTGCTCTAAATACCAATGGAGATTATTTCCTCTGGCAGAGTTCAAATCAGAATTAACTAGCCCATCAACTCCCCATCAGAAGTATAGTACCAAACCTCAGAGATTGGTTCATCTCCCCTAGCTCGCTTGATTCTAATCGACACCGATTTCTTCAAATTCTTCGATGCAATTTCCTTAGATAGAGATACAGCACTCCCATCCAAGTCCCGTGCCTGAAGGACATGGGTGTTCTCGGGACAAAACTTTGTGAGGAGACATATACTAGCTGCTCATGGATCATAGAAACCAAGCTGTTCCACCAATCCCAGATCCGTTTCTCCAATCTTCATGGATTTCATATATAGGATGCCTAGAATAGGATTGTTTAAACCTACGTATGAGTGTGTAGATGTCATTCAATTAGAATGTGCTTTTTTTTTGAAGTAGTACCATGATACTATTAGAATCTCGTTCGAAGGAATGATCGAATGACGTCATATGATTGGGCACGCAAGGGACGACCTCTGACCCGACAGTTCTTGCTGGAACTACTACAAGATATGATATCACTAACCGGTTTTCACAATTCTTATCGTGTATAGAAGCACTTCCAAGTATCCTTAATACTGAAAACATCTTCTACAATACTATCTCGATATTTTGATCATATCCATCGCCCAAAAGAATCCATTTCAAGCGAGCCAGCCCCGCCATGGCTCGCATATTCATCACCGGTTCAAGCGACGGCATCGGCCAAGCTGCCGCCAAACTCCTCACAGAACAAGGTCACAAAGTGGTTCTTCACGCCCGAAATGCCGAACGCGCAGCCTCAACTCAAGAAGCAGTCCCCAAAGCGGAAGCAGTCCTAGTGGGCGACCTCCGATCAATCTCGGAAACAAAGAAACTCGCTCAAGAAGCCAACACCCTGGGAAATGGAACATTCGATGCAATCATCCACAACGCAGGCATTGGATACGGCTCCACGTCTAGCCGCGAGATTACCGCAGACAAAATCTCAGCTGTCTTTGCCGTCAACACTCTGGCGCCGTACATCCTGACTTGTCAGATGAAGAAGCCCACATCACGGCTGCTGTATATGAGCTCGGACAGCCATTATGGTGGAGATGAGAGTTTGCGAAATGTGACGCAGTCCCATTCGTATAGTGACAGCAAGCTACATGACGTTATGCTTGCTAACGCTTTTGCTCGACGGTGGGGTGATGATATTCAGGTTGTTAGTATGCATCCTGGTTGGGTTAGGACTAAGATGGGAGGTAGTATGGCTCCTGGGGGGATGGATGAACCTGCCAACGCACTAGCAGAATGGGCGATTGGTCAAGGAAGATTAGCTGGCTTGCCTAGTGGGACATTCTTTACGACGCGAGGTGCGAAGTCGGCGCATCCTGGGGCGGGTAATGTTAGCAAGCAGGAGGAACTATTGAAGATTTGCAAGGAAGTTTCGGGGGTGGCTGTTTCGGGTGAGTAGGAGATATATGCTGCATTTTCTCTTGGGCAACTTGAGAACGAAAGGGAAATACATAGTTTCGGCAGGAATCGACACTACCATACGAGATGAGGTTATCTAGATCTTGAACAAATTCCGACTGTTACCTACTGGGAAGTGGACTTAACAGAATCATGTCGTTCATGGTCAATTGATAGCCATCTCAGTTGATTTATTATTAACACCAAGCTGGTGGCAGTTAAACCTCCGTAGTAGTCTCCTCAATTCGCTTCACATCGGCATCTCCTAAGCGAAGCTCCTGCCCTTCTCTCTTCTTCTCTTCCCTTACAGTCATCAAAATGATACCCGTCGTCCAAATCGCCAGCGCAATCGAGCACCCAATCATCGCCCACATACCCTTAGTAAACCTCGGCGCAAAGTTGGCCGAGTAGAAAAGCAGAATCCACCAAGCATTCACCGCATTACTGCCCATGTTCATACTGGCAATGACCACGGACCGGAACCGGTCATCCTGGTAACGCATGGCATCATTGCACCATGCAAAGAAGGTCGCTTGACAGGCATATACAGCTCCAGCCCAGTAGTAGGCACCGAATACGACGGCAGTATCCTCGAACCGAGTCAGTATCATAGCCGAAGTCACGATTCCAGTGATAGCAATGAAGTATCCGACTAGGTACCGCTTGCCACCCATGAAATCTGTTAATGTGGCCCAGAATAGTGTAGAGACTATTCCTACTGCTGGCACACCTGTTGGGTAGTCGTTTAACTGGGAGACCGTGTAGTGGTGAGTTGGCGATGACTTCATGTAGAGTGCCAACAGGGCATTACTGGAGAATGACTCTGTTTCTCCGGCGATGATCCATAGGATGACAAAGCCGTACCAGTGCCAGGAGGTGAAGATACGTTTCGCAAAAGTGAGATTGAGTGGGACTTTGACTGAGCCGGACTCTGGGATGCGTGCAATTGCCATGGCTCGCTCTTCAGATGTCAGGTACGGGGCTTTCGTGGTTGTTGGCGTGTCGGGGAATAACAGGAAGCCATATATCGCGATGGGGATAGTAATCAGGCCGTCAATCTGTCTTGTTAGCTGTGGAACTTCACTTTCAATTTGCGTAACGAGGAACTTACAATGAACAGCCATCGCCAACCCGCGAGTCCGTGAGCGCCATTAAGGGATTTTTGAATGCCGGTCTGGATAAACCCGCCAAACATTGTTCCAGCCAGACCTGACGCTGTAAAAATACCGCTGCGCTTTCCCAGCTCCTTTTCTGTGTACCAGGAGCCAAGAATATAATGCGTCCCGACAAATGTGCTTGACTCGGCTAAGCCCAGGAAGAAGCGGATCGCCATGATACTCTGAGGGGTGTGCACCGCAGCGGTGACCATAGTCAGACCGCCCCAGATCAACATCATAGCCGGGAAGAATATATGCGGCCGTAGATATGTCAGAGCCAGATTAGATGGAACTTGTCCAATGATGTACCTAATCAGGTGTTAGAAAAAAACAAACAGGTCTGACTTGGATTTCTCGTTCCTTACCCAACAGTGAACACAGTGTTGATCAAGTTGAGCTGGTTTCCCTTGAACTTGAGCTCCTCCTTCATCCCTGAGACATATGCATTGTTGAGATTACTGCGGTCCAAATAATTGGCGAAATAGCAGAGACAACAAAACGACAGGATGAATGCATCAATTTTTCGGAGCAGCTTGGCTTCACCAGGCACAGTCTCCTGGCCCCTGATATAGGATTTAAATCGAGTGAGGATAGCCATACCGGTCAATCACCGTATCTGTCAGTCACAAGCGGGACAACGGCTTGAGTGGGCTGGGCCAAAGAGGAGGACAGCCGAGTCTTTATATACATGCCATGCGGTGTTATCGGAGTGGGAAAAAGAGTTTATCTTTTGACTCAAAAGTTAACCGTCCCGTTGGGCGGTTACCTAATCAACATTTCGCTCTGATATACCAAATCCGCGCATACGCCACCTTTTAACTGGCTACTATAAACAATGAACAGGTGATGCATTATCTCGATCAATTCTACTTTTGCAGCTCTAATCCGAGGCTTCTTGTAGGAATCGGTGCCTTGAAGTGCGGGGAAGTCTCCACTGTCGGGTTTTGCGCCGAGTGCCAAGGTGAGCGGCAGTAGATTACTTGCCTTTCTAGGAAACTTATCAATTCAGAGCTCAAGACTCAGATATCTGACATTCTGCGATAGGCCCAAGTTAGCCGCTACGGTTATCATGGACTTCACTAATCTCCAAGTACCTCACCATGGAGGGAACAATGACTGGACACGGCACTGGATAGCCCGGCACATTATCCGGTCCAGAAGCCCTTGCTTAGTGACGATAAATGCGACCAATATGCCGGATATCGTCTCCTCGTATCTTTGATTTAACTTTTCTGATAAACGAGTAAGCAAAGACCTGGATACACGAAGATGACTTGGGAGACTATCGCTGCTCAGAAACGTCAGGCCCTTAGGGCCTCGATTCCCGAGGAATGGGTGATTCCTTTAGACATTCTTCCTCCTGATACCCAGCTGGACGTGACAAATTTTCTCAAACAATCTGGCTGGTTTAACAAGCGAGAACTGGAGATTACATCGACACCCGCACCCCAACTTCTTGTCAATATAGCCACTGGCTCGTGGACGTCGGAGGAGGTTACCCGCGCATTCTGCAAAGCTGCTGCGGCTGCTCATCAATTGGTACGAATTCTCCTACTGTATCAAGTATGTTTTTGAGTGATAACTAATCGATCGACTAGACCAACTGCTTGTCAGAGATCCTATTCGACAAAGCCATCGCTCGCGCGCGCGAATTGGACGAGTATCACAGAACAACCGGCAGAACCAAAGGCCCTTTCCACGGCCTCCCAATCTCAATCAAGGACAACTTCAATATCATCGGTCATGATTCTACCGTGGGCTTCACATCACTGGTCAATGACCCGGCTACCTACAACAGTACCCTAATCGACTTGCTTCTCGATGCTGGAGCCGTGCTCTACGTGAAGACCAATGTGCCCACTGCTATGATGATCGCCGAGTCTGTCAATAATGTGTTCGGACGCACCGTCAACCCGCGCAACCGTAATCTAACGTCCGGTGGCTCTTCTGGTGGTGAATCCGCTTTGATCGCCTTCGGAGCGAGCCGATTGGGAGTGGGAACTGATATCGGTATTTCTTCGTCCCTACCCTCTGATAATCAAGCATTCATCTAAAGAAGCGGTGTAGGTGGTTCATTGCGTATCCCTGCCGCATGCACAGGCATATTCACAATTCGACCCTCCGCAGGGCGATTCCCCAATTTCCAAACCCGCTCTGGTCTCGCGGGCCAGGAGGCTGTAAACAGTGTCAACGGACCCATGGCCTCCACTTTATCCGAAATCATTCTCTGGGCCAAAACGGTCGTTGACCAGCAGCCCTGGATTCGGGACCCGAAGTGCCTTCCCATCCCCTGGAGGACTGTGACTCCCAAGCGTACTCTCAAGATCGCCGTTCTCTGGAATGACGGTATAGTCACTCCCACACCACCGGTTGCCCGTGCCCTGAAGGAAACGGTTGCCAAATTGCAGCAGGCCGGCCATGGGATAGTCGATTGGAAACCAACAGGGCACGATAAGCTGCTATCCATCCTGGGCCGTATGTTCGTTGCAGATGGCGGAAAGTCTGTTGCCAATCTCCTAGAGCCAACGGGGGAACCTTTCCGTCCAGAGATGAAGGCCTACGCTGAGGCGTCGGAGTTGGGTGTTCACGCTATGTGGCAGTTGCAGCTAGAACGGAATGGAGTGTGCAAGTCATACCTTGACCAGTGGAATGAAAGTGGAATCGATGCTATACTTTGTATGTCTACCTCCCATATTTGGGTTGTTGGTGTCTAACCGTTCCGCGATAGGCCCTACCACGCCTTATAGTGGTGTTGAGAATGGTAAATTCGGCTATGTTGGATATACAGGCGTATTCAATGTTCTGGATTACCCTGCGGTCTCCTTCCCTTGCGGTGTCTATGCTGACAAGGTCATTGACGGGGCCTACGCTGACGATGAGGCATTGAGTGCAGTTGATGCACAGATACGGAATGATTGTGAGTGATCATTACATCGTCTCTGACTAGGAAAATGTTACTAATTTAGTAGATAATGCGGACAACATCCATGGAATGCCAGTCAGTCTCCAACTAGTTGGACGACGACTGGAGGAGGAGAGCGCTTTGACGATGGCTGAAGTGGTTCTGCAAACACTAGGATGAGTACACAGGCTCTAGCATGACGCAAAGAAGAATTGAAGATAGATAGAGATAACAAGCATACCTTAATTTGCATAATAGTTCAAAGGTCTAAGTCTACAAGGGAGCCCAGAGAAAGGGTTCGACCAGATAGGCTTTAACTTCATTTCCTTTGAAAGTCCCTGGATGTATTTCAGCTCGTCTCTGATGACTCAAACAAAGGCACGTATGATGGCACTAGCTAAGATGCTGACACAGTAAGCTCGGTATTATCCGAACTCAATATCTGGCTTCAAGAACGCTCTGAATAGCTGTAAAACTTGAGTTCGAATCCAAGTTGATTTGGCTCCCCCGAAGACAGCACCTCAAGAAGTCCACGCTTCTCCAAGCTCTGACAGAACTCTTTCTTTGAGCTAAAATCCTCTGGCCACTGGTATTGGCACATGTCACTCGCAGAGCCATCGGGATTCTCGGAATCGACTGTTTCAAATTGGGTAGCCTCGTCGGTGGCACATTCAGGAACGGGGGTTGTTTCAGTGTTAATATCGCTCCCGGTGTTCCTCTCGAGGAGGAGCGTCTTTGTGTAAGTGGCCAGTTCCGCGATCGCAGCATATTTGTTGTGCCAGCATTTGTTAATCATTTCGTCAATCAACGGATCGCCATCCAGCGTTGGAAACTTCATGTTCTGCAGTAAATCCTCGACCTTGGGTCCATGCTCTCCAGGATCCTCAGTCAGAGATTGGTTTCCATAAACCTCAAAGCCGTAGTTAATGAGGTAGAAGATGGAACCGAGGGCAAATTGTTCAGTTCGAGGGCCCAGGAAGCCCGAAGTTCCCCGTGCTCCTTGATCCACCTCGTCACCGTTGAGGATTCTTCCATACGGGGCCATGCAAGCTTCGAAGTCTGTCCCCGGTTCTGCGCTGCAATCAAAATCTGAAAGCTTCAGGCGGTCTCGATCAAGCAAGATGTTCTCGGGTCGTAGGTCACCATGGGCGAGGTTGAGAGATTCCAGGAAAGCAACCGCTTGAGTGATGTCGTTCATCCATTCTTTTCGAAGAGCGGGGGGTTCGAGTCTGTCCACTTTTGTGACCAAGCGGGTCTCCGGGTCGTAATTGTTATTGTTATGGATCCTGCAGTAGAGGGAAACATCTAATGTGACTGTTAGAAGACATAGCTATGAAACATAGATAAGAGTCATACCTCGCATGTACTCGAGGAAAATGCCGTTATCGGTGTACAGGAAGCACTGCACTATGGAAGGACACGGCGGATTTTGAGAAAATATTTCATAGACCTTGATTTCATGCTGAAATTGCTCTCGTTCAAGCTCGCCAGGCTTTGGGACCTTGACCACAATAAGAGGATGGACCTCATAGACAAAAGAGATGCTTCCATGCCAAACCCAGTGCACGCCAGGGAACTGCTGGAGGACACTCATTGTGAAGGAACATTCGGTGCTGGAGGGACAAGGGAGGTGAGTAGGGATGAGTAGAAGGATGAGTAGAAGGATGAGTAGAAGGATGAGTAGAAGGATGAGTAGAAGGATGAGTAGAAGGATGAGTAGAAGGATGAGTAGAAGGATGAGTAGAAGGATGAGTAGAAGGATGAGTAGAAGGATGAGTAGAAGGATGAGAAGAAAGGATGTCAAGAAAAGATGAGAAGGAAAGATGAGTGAGCAAACAAAACAATCCGTTGGTCCCTGGGGCTTAAGCCTTAGGCTTAACCTTATCCCACTTTCCATTCTTCTTCACCCATACTCCATTGGCGATACAATCGGGGCATGGGTATCGCTTGGTGAGCTTGCCCAGGTGTGCTTTTTCCTTGATGATACCGCAGTTGTTGCAGCCCTTCCACTCCCTGATAGTGCCGGGGCAATCGACCCTGTGATGGCACAGGTGCTCGATCGTCTCGACGAGTTGTTGACACATTTTCTCTATATCTTGTGTCAACTGAAGCGCCTTTGCCTTGAAAGTAGAAATAGAACTCACCTGATGATTTGGAGAAGGTTTGGAGAGTGAGCAGGTTCAGTGGATTGTTGTTTTGTGGAAGTTTGGTGATGAGAGGAGTGAGATCGTGAGAGTTGAGAAAGATCATTGGGAAAGAATGATTCTACTGTACAGTAAACAGTACTACAGTGTATAGTTGTATAGGCCCAATTTGGACTGTCGATCTTCCTGTCATAAACAGAAGGAGCGATCGGGGCTCCACTTCCGTAGATCCCCAGCCACCCACTTACTACTGAGTAAATACTGCCAGCCCTCCATTTTAATCATTTCAATCTCCTCATCTCTCGACTTTTTACAAAACCCATTCCTTTCATCATACAGAGTGATTCCCGAGACTCGATATCCCACCACCTCAGCTCCAGGGAATCATCAAACTCATCGCAGACCCTCACATCTGCCGCGCGACTTCACCACGCTTATCTCCGAGCTGAACAACCTCACCAACAACCAAACTACAGTCCCAACTCCCAACTACCACCACCACCACCATGGACGCCCTCCCACTCCCAAGGGAAGCCGACCTCAACTCAACACCTTTCACAACCCCAGACCCCCTCACCTTCGAATCCAAAAACATCCTCCACGTCCACCTCGAAAAGCGCTACTCCACCATCTCTATCCCCTCCACCTACGGCCACCTCAACACTAGCCCCCCACCCGGCACAGTCGCCGGTATCGTCCTCGGCAGCGTCGGAGGCGTCGTCCTAATCCTCTACCTGACCTTCCTAGCCCTAAACCCAGGCGGTCTGGCGCGGGGTAGTCCCTCCGTCATCGACGAGGAAGTCGTCGTGCGCAGTCGGCGCTCACCCTCGCGACGGAGCGAGGTCATCGAAGTCGTCGAGGAGCGGGATCGGGATCATGATCGTCGGCGCGATAGTTATCGGCGACCTGGGTCGCGCCGGAATCATATTGTTGTTGAGGAGTCGATGACGGGGACGTCCGTGACTGATGATCCGGATATGGTTGAGGTTATTGAGGAGGAGTCTTCGGCTTTGTCTACTATTTCGCCGGAGCCGAGGAGAGGGGGTAGGTATCGGACGGTTGACCCGCTTGAGTATGGGGGTGGGAGCTCTTATGATGGGGATAGTCATTATCGGGGTTGATTTATACGCTCTGGGCTTTGGGGCGAGGAGATTCGATTGTTTTTGCGTTGCGATACCCTTTTTTCACTACTTTGAATGTCTTATGATTATGTTTTCGATGTGTCATGTCTATTATGGCGACTATAATGAACATCATGTTTCCATATATGCAAATTCCCAATTACAGCAAGCTACCCAGGCCTTACTTGAGATAATAGACTGTCACCAGAAGGAGCAAGCAAAGTGTATTGTAAGGATTGATTAGAGATAAAAGTAAACAAGGAAAAAAAAGAACGAATGACAAGCAAGTGTCACAGCCCCAAGGACCCAGTCTTCAACGCCGTGTCCTGTTTTAGCGCCGGTGGTAACAGATAAAAACCGAGGATATATACGAGTGAGAACCAAAAAAGGGAAACCACCCAAACCAAAAGAAAAGCATCGCACAAAAGAAACCAAACGAAAGACACAAGGTCCAATGCGCTCCGGATGTCAATCTCCAGGAAACGCCGGCCAACAGGGACCTCATGCTCAAGATGCATTCTCAACTCTCCCAATCGAGTCGAGAACTCCAGCATACTCAATCTGTACCTCCAAGGGCAAATCCAAAACAAGCCCTTTCAATCACCCGACAGACTCACAAGCCTATCCACAAGCCTATCCACAAGCCTATCCACAACCCACCAACAATCCAGTCGACAACCTTATTTCAGTCCGAAGCTCATCCCAACGCTTAGAAAAGAATATCCAAGCAACAGCAGCACGCCATCGCCGCCATAATACCAGCACAAATACCACCCGCACCGGAACCACCACCATGACCACGGTCACCAGCATAGTAACCCTGCTGCTGCTGAGGGGGATAGCCCTGCTGCGGGGGGTAATACATCTGGCCCTGGGGTTGCTGCTGGTAATAACCACCCTGCTGCTGAGGGGGTCCGTAGCCTTGTTGCTGGGGATAGTATCCCTGGCCACCCTGCTGCTGGCCGCCGTAGTAGTCCGAGGCAGCGCCGCCGCCTTGGGGTGGGGGGGAACCGGGGTGGTAGCCGGCGCCGTCGTGGACGGGTGCTGGGTATGAAGGGGGTGGGCTGGTCTAGGGGTGATGTTAGTGATGCCGATACCGATACCATCTTCCCAGTGGAAAGAGGGTTATGGAATTGTTGGGTATCCGTTGGGATTGGGATACGAGGGGCAAACATACAGGCTTGTTGTAAGACATTTTGGGCGCTTGCTAAATGCGGAGCCGCGGATACTCTAATAGTAGTTCAAGAACTTAGACGGGAGAGGCGGAGATGGCGGGTTGTGTGGATGTGGGATCACCGTGATGGTAGATTGGGTGTCTTGGGAGATGAAGAAGGGAAGAAGATATGGATGCGTACAGGCAGAAGAAATTGGGCCAGCGACAATCCGAGGTAGCCAAGGGCTTGGAAGCGGACAGTCTAGGTCGAGAACGCGCGGATTGCTCGATGCAGAAAGTGGAGCGTGGCGCAGTTCCGGGGATCGGGCAGTTCGGCATCGGATGACTCAGCCAGCGGGCTGTGCCGGCCACGGCAGGCAGGAGTATACGAAACTGGGATGAAACAGTGTGAATACTCACGAAACCAAGGCTAGATCACAACGATCTATTGACAAGTGTCCAGGTAGAAGATCCACAGGGAGCAGAGAAGAACTACTTGGTAGTGTGAAGAGAAAATAATCTCACGGTTTAAGACGGGAAAATCTCATTTCTGGACTTTTGATAAAGATGGAGAAAAAAAAAAAAAACCCAAGATGGACGCTAGCCACGTATAGAAACGCGGATTATTATGCACAATGAGCAAAAATGAATAACCAAATGTATATAAAAGAGACCAAAAAGATGAAAATGCAAGACCGCGATGCTAGTCTGCGGAACATGTACGTGGGAAAGACCAATCTAGCAATTCCGGCAGAGTTCAGTTTACTCCTTGTCCTCGAGGGAGGCCTGCTTGAGCTCCTCGGCGGCGTCAGCAGCAGCATCCTGCTCCTGGGCAAGCTCGGCCTCGGCAGTGGGAAGACCGTTGGCCTGGGCGGGCTTCTTAGCAGCATCAGTGCTGCGGCCGTTGGCCTCGGCCTTAGCCTCTTCTTCCTCGAGGCGGGCAATCTCCTCCTTGGCCTTCTGGATGTTCTGTGCGTAGATGCGTCAGTGGTCGGGAGTCACTTGATATAGTATGCGGATAGACAGGATATGGGGGAACTCACCTCCTCCGTCTTGGCCGCCTGATTCTTCTTCCATTCCTGAATCTTAGCGGCCAGCTTCTCCACAGAGGCGGGAACATCGGACTGGTTCATGGGAGGGTCGATCTTGACCTTGGCAAAGTCCTCGATGATACCAACGTTCATGTTGAACTTGCCGGCCTCGGCGCCAGCAGCAGCGGCACCACCCTTCTTACCCTTCTTGCCCTTCTTACCAGCAGAGCCAACGAAGTAGTCCTCAACATCGTCCTTGCGGACAACCTTCATGCCCTTAAGGCCAGAGTCGTCAACGGTACGGCCGACGTTGGCACGGAACTTGCTACCCTCATCCTTCTTGTCATCAAGACCAAGAGCGGAGAAGTCGTAGGCGGGGTCGAAGTGACGGATCAGACCCTGGGCGGTAAGGATCTCATCGGTGTAGGCGAGCTGAGAAGCCTCCTCGAGCTTCTTGTCGGCAACCTTCTTGCGCTTCTCACGCTCAAAGGCATCGCGCTCGGCCTTTTGGCGCTCGCGGCGCACGCGCCAGGCCTCATCCTCGTACTCCTTGTAGGCTCGGCGGGCCTTGAAGTAGTTGTCCTTGATCTCGCGGATCGCGGCGTACTTCTGCTGCTGGTCGTTGCGCAGCTTGGTGCGCTCGTCGCGGAGGGAGTTGAGGTTCTTATAAACTCCATCCTGCTCAGCCTTGATGGCATCAAGCTCCTTTTGGATCTCGGTGTACTTGTCGCTCAGGGCCTTGGCCTCGGGGTTGTCGAGGGTCTTCTTGAGTTCGGCAATCTGGGCCTTGATATCGTTGATGCCCTTCTGGGCCTCCTCAAGACCAGCGAAGCTCTTGCGCTGCTTGCGCAGGGTGGAGATATCCGAAAGAGCCTTCCGCTCATCAACCAGACGCAGGGTACCGGAATCGACCTGCTTCTCGAGGCGAGAGATCTCGCGGTCGACCTCATCGACGTTCTTGAAGGGCATCTTGCCGCGCGAGTTGTTCTGCTCGGCAATGCGGGCCTTGAGGGTGGACTCGAGGGCATTGACCTTCTCGAGGGTGCTAGCGCGGGACGACTTGAAGCCAGACTGCTTTTGACGGATGGAGGAGAGCTCGGCGCGAAGCTCTTGCTGCTTCTTGGCCACGGGGGAGTCCTGGTTGTTGGGCTTGGCGGTATCCAACTTGGCCTTAATTTGGTTCTGAAATTTTGCGCACGTTAGCGATTAGACTCGGGAAGGGAAATGTGGCATGTGGGCACACGAGATATATTACCCCCGCGGTGGGAGTACTCGACGGAGAGCGCAACACTCCCTCAACTCTTAATTAAGAAAACCATGGTGTAGGCAATGCAATTGAAGAGTTAAATCAAACATACCAGCTTTTCTTGAGCAGCAGTGTGCTCCTTCTCGGCCTGGGCGAGGCTGGCCTTGTAGGCCTCCTCATCGGGCTTGGTGGGCTTAACCCGGGCCTCAGCAGGGGCAGGAGCAGCCATTGTGGGAATGGTGGTAAGGGAAGGTGAGAGGAAAGGAGAGTTGAAGAAGTGAATTCCTCTCGGATGAAAAGGGAAAGGAAAGAGGAAAGGAAGGTTGCCCACGAGGGGAAAGGGGAAACGTTGCGAATACAAATTAAAACGGGCTCCGGTTCGGTCAGTTTCTCCGCTTTACTAAACTGCCTCGCCTGGCAGAAAGTTCCCGCCGATTTTTCGACCTTCACCTTATCTTTCACGACCACCTTCCTGCGCGCCCGCTTTTTGTCCTCTTTGTGCAGTTCTTTCATTTTCTTTCGCAAGTCCGTCCATCATTCGATAATACACCAATCATGGATGGGGATATTCCCGTCACGAGTACCGATGCCAGCCGGGAGATGAGCCGGCTTTGGCGCACCTGGAAGACGGTCCATGAAATGCTTGCAGACCGAGTAAGCTCCCAGTCACCTCTCACCGAGACCTTGGCTATCGCTCAGGGTTCCTCGCTACTACAAAAATTGGGGTTCGAGACTGACCATGTCTGCGCACGGAAATAGGGCTACGAGGTGTCAGAAGAAGAGCTGAAGGTTTCTCTCGAAGAGTTCGCGCGGAAATATGCAGACCCTCTAGGATACCCCGAGTATGCAACCTCCCCCGTCGAGGATCTCTCACCTTACGAAGACATGAAAGAGCGACACTTCCTCTTTCATATCCTAAGACTCAATGTCGCTAACACGTCATTTCCTCCATTTCAGCCGGAAGAAGATGACCATCCAAGCCCGCCCCACCGAGGAGATGAAGATGAAATACACCGCGCTGCCCAGCAAATCCAATCCCAACCCCCAGCCCGACTGCGGCACCATCTACGTCGAGTTCTGCCCCGAAGCCTCGGGTCTCGGTGCTAAGCAAGTGCGCGGATTCAACCACACCGTTGCCGAGAACAACTTCCACACCGGCATCTTCATCACTCAGGTCCCGCTCTCTCCCACCGCCGTGCGCATGCTCAACATCAACCCCGGCCACCTGGGTGAGACCTTCCAGGAACAGGATTTGCTCGTCAACATTACCCGTCACGAGCTGGTCCCCAAGCACGTCTTGCTCAGCCCAGAGGAGAAGGCCAAGCTGCTGCAGCGCTACCGCCTTAAAGAGTCGCAGCTGCCCCGTATGCAGGTCTCGGATCCTGTCGCGCGGTACTTGGGTCTACGCCGCGGTCAGGTCGTGAAGATCATCCGTAAGAGTGAGACTGCTGGTCGTTATGCCAGCTACCGCTGGGTCATCTAAGTTCCCAGACGAGATCTGTCACGGTTTTCTCTTTTGTTCTTTGATCTCTCCTCCTTTCTCCTTATTTGGAAAAGAAGACATGACTCAATCTTCGGGTTCGAGAGGAGGTGAGAACCCATACCCCAACGCGCATCAAGTCCTCTCCAACTCGGTTCTTTCTGCTGCAATCACATACATCCCGTCGCCCTATCTCTTTCCCAAGGGCTTTGAATGCTTGCAATGAGAGAAGGGAATCGACGGCTGCACCAGACGATACCAGACGGAGTTGGACACGGAGTTTTATTTGCACCACACACAAACACAAAAAAAGTTAGTCCCCTTGTATTATGGGCAGCATGGCGTACCGGCGAAGTTTCTCCATCATCCACGGGGGCGGGGGCTGAATTGATATTCGATTTGTGATTTGTACTTTTTTCTACATAGTATTATTGTCTGCTGTGTGTTTTGCTTCAGGCTAGATGAATACACTGGATGTTTACAAAGGATGTTTGAACAGAATATGTAGAAACATGATTCATTTCTTCATATGACAGATGATATACAAACCCAAGAAGCAGAAACAATTCCATGTAGGTTTTTGTTTTACATAATGCCTCTCTTCCCAAGGGTAGAGGTATGGTATCCAAAAGGAAAGAATGAGAAAAGAAAAAAGAAAACCACCAACGCCAACGCTAATTCCACCGTCAAAAGACCGGCGAACAACAAAATGCTGAAAGAGCCAAACAAGCGGGGGGTATGAATCGAACCATGAGGTATCAACGCAGTAATCCAAGATCCGAAGGAACAAAAGAGACGAAAAAAAGAGACGAAACAAGAAATGAGACAAAATATCCAACTCCTGGTAATCCCAATAAAATCCCTATCCATCATAAATCCAAAAAAGAATCAAATCAAATCGTATCGCGTGACATGGCAAAATTAGGGTTAGGGTCGGTGGGTATCTCTTGAGAGTAGGCCGCCTACATCCTGCAGTTCGACGTCTACGTCGAGGGAGACGACTGGTGAGGCGCGGTAGGGCGGGAGGGTATGTGAGAGTTGTCCTGTGGGAGTGGTATTGATAGAGGGTGGTGATGAGAATCCTCGTGAGTGTGTCGGGTGTTGTGGTTGGGGTTGTTGTTGTGCGGAGACGGCGGTGGTGGTGCGAGGGGTAAGAACGCCTAGATCCTCTAGGAAAGCCCTACTTCCACGACGTTGACGTTGAAGTTCGATAGGAGCTGTGGTAGTAGTAGTTGAGGGTGCCATTGCCATCGTATGGCGGGAACGTAGTTCAGGTCGTGAAGGTGGTTCATCGTCCCGGTCTAGGAGACCGCCGACATCGAAGAATGATACGCGGCGGGAAAGAGGTATTGAAATTGAAGGTGGTTTGTCACGGGGCGACTGGCTGGTTGGCAGATACTCGCGTGGACTAACTTTGATGTCGAGGCTGTCGGAGGTTGAGATGCGGTCGTCGTCTGAGGTTTGGCTTTGATTGAAGGACCAGGATGGGTCGAGGGAGCCGGTGCGGGCGACCATGAGAGGGACCGGTGGTGCTGGGATAGGGACGGTAGCACCGGGTGCTGAGGAGTAGAGCTTGGGATCGAGTCGGATTCCCAGGTCACCGGCGAGGTCTGAGTCGCTGCCCCATTGGTGGTGCATGACGGTGTTGCGACGGACGTAGTTGTTTTCCATGCTTTCGGTGACGGAGGCGGAGCCCTGTGCGCGCTTGTACTTTAGCTTCTTGACGCCGCGATCACGGACGAAAGAGCCGATTACGACGAGGTTGGAAACTGCTGTTGCGGCGAGGATCTCTAATGAAGCGACGAGGGAACGGTAGGGTTGTGCACCGCGGCGGTCGATTACGGATGGGACGCGGTAGCAGGTGATGGCGACTAGGATCAATGAGAGGCAGAAGAGGGTGACGAGGGCGAATTTTTGCTTAATGGGCATCTGGGCCATCAAGATGATCGGCACGGGAAATGCAACGAGCAGGAGATCGGTAATGACGTCGCAAGCCCCCATTGTAATGAGCTGTGCATATCCGCTCCGACAACTAGGTCCTGGGTCTGGGGTGACCTGCCAGTAATGGTCGATGGGCTGGCATTCAGCCAGCGTCGCGATGACGACGGCGACAAGCGTAGAGGCGAGGAAAAAGTGGATGAAGCGTAGGAATACAGCAACCGACTTGCGCCAGACCATGCCAGTGACTCGTTTTAGGAACTCGCAGACGGTAAGCTTGGCTGTCCAGATGCTATAATGGGAAGAAAGAAGTATAAGTAAGGGAACCAGCTCCGATCAGAGTCACACAAAGGTTTGAATTAAGGCCAGTCTTACAAGATGGCATAGGAGATGCGCGCTGCCAGGACCAGCTTACTTCCGATTATTCTCTTATCGATCTGGTCCTGCGTCAACCCAGCCGTTTGAGTATTGTTGGTTCCGAAGACGAGCACGAAATGAACCAGCACCATGCGAATAGTGAGCGGGATAACGCTGAGCATGACGATCTTGTCTTCGGGAAAGAATCGCTCGATTCGCACATAGCGACCGCATAACCGTACGATAATGATAGCCAGCGAAAACCCCGTGGCCCACCAGCTCATCATCAAGGTCGGGTTGATCTCAGCTCGAGACTCATAGGCTGGGGGTACCTGAGGGTACAGGCCTCGGGCGGCCAACGAGGCAGATTCCATTGATTCCACAGTGAAACCACCTCCGAAGAGGGGTCTATAACTCGTGGTTGTGTTGTTCAGTGCCAGAAGATCGATGGATGAAATGACGACCAGCGTATCATTTACATGTCGCACGTGAGGGAGGCGGACCTTCAAGTCCAGGTGGATGAGGTGTGGGGAGGAAGCTGTACACTAAGGGCCGATCGGAGGGGAGCCACTAGTTAGAGCAGATCGTCATAGGAAGAAATAAGCGGGCCGTCCAGTAGGTGTCGACTCGTGGGAAACAAAGAAGATGAACAAATCCGTCTCGTTTCGGGTCGTTCTCCTGGTTACCATCGTCCAAGAGGGGAGAAGGCGAAAAAGAACGCATTCGGTGAGTCCCGGAGGCTACTGAAGTAAATATGAGCCACCGTCTCGTTGAGGGGGAAAGCAGAGCCAGGATCCGAAAGTCAGAAAAGAGGCGAAGGCGATGATAACACGAGGACCAGTGATAGCCAACCCGCTAATCTCTGGGCGAGTTCAACCTCCCGTTTACTCCCAGTTACTAGTGCAGTTGATTTAATTATTTGCTGCGGCCAGAAAAGACCACAGGGCTTGGCCCACTAACAGCGTGTCAGCCAGACTACTGCAGCATTATTGTGTTGCTGTGTGTCTCGAGTCGCTCGAGTCGAGTTCATCATATCACACATGCTGACGCGCTTCCCAGCCACTCAGGGCCGCGGTGTATCAAGTGGTGGTCCCCCGGTTCGCCCCTCTCTTTAGTCTCTGACCCTCTCACTTCTCGATCTGCGGTGTAGACGAGGATCATAACGGGCCACCGGAGTCCGGGAGCTTTGGCCCACACGCTTGCGGGGGGATCAGGAGAATGGACACGAGGCGAATCAGATGTTATCTGGGCACAAAGTCTATGTGAACGAGGGGAGACTTTGTTGGAGATACTCAACGTGAGACAGCCAGACAGCCTCCTTTTTTTTTGGCCCTGGACTTTCATAGATGATTGATGAGTCGGAAGATACAAGATACGACGGGGCGATGAATTGACCAAAGAGGAAATTCTTATCGAGGAGAATTTGATTTCCACGTGGACTTTTCCCCGAAGGAGCACAGGGCAGGGATGATTACTGATTACTGGTTATTAGTTACTTCAGTTATGAGGTGCATTATTAGAGATACAGTAGGACCAGAAACGGAAAACGATTCAAAAACAAAGTTCCTTGTTTTTTTGGCTAACTAGGGTTCGGAACTCAGAATCGATAAAACATAACCCGATCAATGGTACCATCACCTTGTGGCTGGCTTTAGTAGGATTTAGTTATATGACTGCCTACGATCCTGGCGCAAAAGTGTCAAGTGCCACGGTGCCACGGGCGAAAGCTAAGAGCCTAAAAAGGGCCACTGGCCCCAAGTGGAGCAATGCTAATCACCACCAATAATAACACCAGATAAGCCCAATCGGAGCCTATCATCCTATCATCGTCAGGCTGACTACACTTGGCTCGAGTAGGAAGCTAGACACATGGACGACCGGCCAGACTGGGTTTATGGATCGATTAAACTCTATCCGTGCTTTTCATTCCATAGAACGCTATCTTGAATAAGATATTCGATTACTGTGGTTGACTTTGGACGGACGACTTCCGAGAATCTTGTACAAACCAGCCGAGATACTGATACCGATACTGGATATCTCCTCCGCTCTGACAAGATAAACTATAACCGCAGATAGAGGAGAATGTACCGAGCACTCATCTCCGTTTTCCCGTACAGAGATATCTAAATTATTTCTCCGAATACATAGCAAGTTACTCCGTGCTGTAGCCGGTAACACATCACAACTTACAACACCGGTGAACACCCGTTTACCCAACCACCGCCGCCGCTGCATCCTCCCGTTGCTCCTCGTCCCGAACCGACTGGATACCGGCCCCGGTGCGTAGTCCACCAAGCACCACCCGTAGCTCCTGCAGGAACTTGGTGACCTCGGCCTCAGTACCGACGGTGATGCGTAAGCAACCCTCACACCCATACTCCTTGCCCCGGAAACGCACCACCACCCCACGCTTCTCAGCCATCGCCTCGTACGCTGCGAGCGCGGTGACGTTGCTCGGGCGGCCTTCGGCATCGAGCATCTCCACCAGCAAAAAGTTCGAGTCCTGGCCACCCAGGAACCGGCCTACGCCGGGGATCAGCGGCAACTCACGGATCAACCGGTCGCGCTGACCGACAATCTTCTCGCGGTACTGGCGCATCACCGCCATATTGGGGGCTGTTAGGGCGGCCGTGGCTAGCGCGCTTGTCGGACTGGAAATGTTGTAGGGGGCCTTCAGGCTGTTCAGCAACTGGGCAATCTCGGGGCTGGAATAGGCAACTCCCAGGCGGATACCCGCCAGACCAAAGGCTTTGCTGAGAGTCTGCATCACCACGAGATTGGGCCAGTCGTTTACCCATTCGGCCAAACTGGCTCCCTCGTGGGCAAAGTCAATGTATGCCTCGTCCACAATGACCACACCGTTCCACGTCGGGTGCTCCAGCACCTTCTGGATGTCTTCCTTGCGGATCAGATTCGCCGTCGGGTTACCCGGTGAGCAGATGTATGCCAGTTTAATGGAGGGGTCTGCCGATAGGGCCTCGTTGACCTTGTCCGGCTGCAGGTGAAACCCGTTGTTCACATCCAACGGCACCTTGACGATCTCAACGTCATTGACCTGTGCGCTCACACTATACATGCCGTAGGTCGGCGGGCAGGTAAGAATCTTATCCTTGCCGGGGGTGCAGAAGCATCGCAGCAGTGCATCAATGGCCTCGTCCGATCCAACTCCGACAAACATGTTCTCGGGCCGGAGTGTCTTTTGTGTGTGGTGGTGGGTATTGCGGAGGTTGCAGAATAACTGCTTCAGCTCGATCTGGTGACTATACAGAGCAATTGACTGTCAGGACATAACTCTTTACTTCCCAAATCGACCGAGAACTATAATCGCCCGTGGATAGAAGATACTAACGGATCAGGGTATCGGTTCAAGCCCAAGAAATCAATCTCCGGCTTCGATGCGCCCGTCTGCGACGCCTGCAATGCGCCCTCATTGTTCAATGCCAATCCAGGACCGTAGGCATTCTCGTTGGCGTCGAGGAGCACGTTTGTCCCATCATCTTTGTAGTCACTGACTCATTAGCGCGGGATCGGGCCGTTCATCGGAGGTGGGCGACCTACTCGCGGGCGCACCGGTAGGGCTGCAGCTGCAAGATATTGGGCCGAGCACATGTCTGCAGATTGAATGGTGATGACCTTTGAGTCATTGTGGGTTGGTGTGTTGGAGGTTTCGGGGCTCGATGATGTCGAGAAGCAAAAGTTGGTGGGGTGGCGGGGAGGTTCGTTATCGGAGTTGAAAGCGGAACTATTTATTCTCGGCATTCCCAGGTACCGTTGCCTGACTCACGGTAGGGTGAAATGACTCAGACAGTGAAGCCAATTGCAACCTATAACAGTGTTGAAATAGGAGTATCGTGGTATATTAAAAGCAACGCTCCTCAAAAATCAAGTTTGAACTTCTCGATTGATTCTGTTGTACAGGAAGTTCCGCCACGGGTTTGGCCTGACGGATTGCCTTGAGTTCGGCTTCTAGATCTTCGGTTCTATGGGCGACGCAAATAAGACCTCAAGTCTATATGTAACAAAATACGTTTTTTCAATGCAGAAATGCCAGAGTCATGGCTGTGATACTGTGCCACACAACGCCCCCATATGCCCACTTGCCCTCAATGAATCCGTACAATCCCATATGATGCTGATGATGCCATAATCATGCTTCCAACATGTATCTTAATCTTTCTTCTCCTGGGTCTTCTCAACCTTTTCAGTCGTGTCGGGCTTCTGTGTTTTCTCAGTAAGTGCTTTGTGAGCCTGTGCCTTTCTGTGCTTGTCCCGCTTTTCCTTCAAGTAGGTCAAGCTCTTGCCTACACCCGCAGTCAATGTGCCCTTGATGGTCTGAACGGTACTGGGCCAGCGGATGGTCTTTGAAATCGATGCCGATACCTCCTCTTGAAGGTGATCATCCTCTGCAATACGGCGTTCAAAGGGACCTCCCTGAGGGCGTCGAACGATCTCTTGCTTTGAATCGTCATTCTCCTCCATCATCTTGTTGAACTCGGCCCGGGGAATGGCAAAGCGAGATTGATACTGGAAGTAAAGCTTTTGCCGGAAGGATTCTGGGAGACGGCGAACCATGTTTCCACGCTTAATCGGGTCCATGTCCTGCACCATCGCCAAAATGGAGTCTGGGTCGTCAATCCAATCATTCTGGCTGCAGCGTGGGTCTTGGAAGGTAACGTTGGGAAGGTTGCTAATAAGCGGAGCGTAAAGGCGTCGGAAGTGGGCCATCTGTCCAGACACAATGTTTCGCACCTTGCCAGGGTCTTCTGTTGGGAGTACCATCCGCAGATCACCCATATAGCTGATGCCTGCAATAGTGCTGTACAGCTCAAACTCACTGAATCGCTCGGGAAGTAGCAACAACGCTACTCGCAAAGCAGACAGCAAGTTCATCTGGTTTGCCAATCGCACCTTGGGGTGATCACGTAGAATCTTGACTGGCTTTTGTAACCGGCCGGCAAGATACAGAGTATTCCATTGTGTAAGATCTGTGCACAATGTGTCCAGGTTGACCACACCATACTTGATCAGGGTCCCGTTGACGGTGATGTGGGTATTGAAATATACACCAGCGCCGAATTTATCCTGTACTTGCGAGACCATGTATGAGCCTAGCGAGCCAAGGCCTGAGTAGTGATCACGGTGCTGATGAAGATTGAGATCATGCCAATGTTGTGAATAGGAGACTCCAAAGATAAAGTCAATCATTTTCCCTGATCCTTGTTGCATTTTCTGAATGGCGGGTGGTGCCGACGGATGGGTTGAGCCCGTGGAGGCTGCGCCGGTCTGTGTAAACACACCTGAACCGTATGCAAACGCATACCGGATGGGTGCTCTGAATTGCCATAGAATCTGTCGCAGTGCCTCTTTGAACTCCTGGTTAATGATCATATGTTGGTTGACACCGAAATCCTTGGATGGAAGCTCGGAGAAGTTGGAGATGGATAGGTTCGGGTTATGGTCCCAGTCTGATTCAGAGAGAAGCGGGGATGTTGAGAACGAGGCAGATGAGGGTGGCCTTCCAGAGGAGACATTGTATAATAGTTGGGATGTCGAGCCGCTGGTTTGGGTAGATTGGTAAAAAGGAGAGTCTGGGGTCGGGCGGGATGGAATCGAGATATAGCGGGCCGAGATAGGTATCCATGGAAGAGGTGAGAGGCGGGCACGAGACCGCCAGAGCGAGCTGGCACACGCAGTTCTTGAAGTAATCATCTATGAGGATCCAGTGTTCATCAGCATGTCTGTTCCGCCAAGGTAGAATAGTTTCAGCTTTCGGGTCCGTACGGTTGGCCGCAGGGTTGCGATTCTGAGGACGAGAAGGAGCGGAGCACACGGCTCAAATGGGTATATATCAAGAATTGCCCAATGTCTGCACCATGAAGTATAATTAACAGGACTCAACAGGCGAAAAAGAGGGAACTGACTGGAGTTTCATTGAAAGGCTCCGTCCTTCTCGGGGAACTTTCGGGTCTGACGTCGTCGGGGCTTAGGTAACCGGACCGATCACGTGGGGTCGCGTCGCATAACAACCAAAGTAAACAGACCAAACAGACTGTATCAACAACGACCATCACCACCACCTCGACATACAGAGCCGGTTTTCGACACCGATCTGAGGGCCGACTGTCCCTTACAGTACCTCTGAAATTATGAGCTCCGAAATGGAGACCTTTTCGGCCCGTCTGGCCAGCTTCGATGCCGTACTCAAGCCCGAAAAGCGGAGATCTTCAACGACGAAAGGCTTCGATGTGATCGCATGGCCTCACCAGAGACCGTCGCCCGCCGAGGTATGTCCGTACCTGTGAAGAATCCTCGAACCAGTATGATCTAATGAGAATTCGCTTTGCAGTTGGCACACGCTGGCTTCTACTACAAACCATATGAGACGAATCCGGACAACACCACATGCTTTCAGTGCAATCGAGCATTGGACGGATGGGAAGAGGACGACAACCCAATAGACGAGCACCTCAAGCACTCTCCAGACTGTGCTTGGGCGATCATGATGGACATCCAGCAGGGTAGCTCCAACCCCGCCACGATCGAAGACCCGAACAGTGAAAGGATCACCCAAGCACGAATTGGAACGTTTGGAACGTCGTGGCCACATGACGGAAAACGAGGTTGGGTTCCTCAATCAAATAAGGTATTGCCATTTCGTCCTAGCTCTTATGATCTCGATTCTCACACATACGATAGATGGTCAAGGCAGGGTGGTATTTCTGCCCCAACGAAGAGAGCGATGACTTGGCCAGCTGCGCCTATTGTAAGCTGTCGCTGGATGGATGGGAGCCAAAAGATGACCCATTGTGAGTAGATTGACCGCTCTTTCCTCTGCCAGACCAATGGGTTAACGCATTGCCCGTGCTAGTGACGAACACCACCGCCGCTCCCCCGATTGCTCCTTCTTTGTATTCGCACAGCCTCCTGGGAAGAAGGGTAAAGGACGGCCCAAGAAAACTCGCACTTCCAAAGCATCTTCTCGATTATCAACTCAATCCGTGGCCACGGTTGCATCTGAAGCGCCGGAAGCATCAGAGATGGACATCGATGAGGCAGTGGACGAGAGCATGATGTCGCAAGCAACAGTCAAACCAAAGGGCGCAAAGAGGGGACCCAAGCCCAAAGGAAAGAAAGCCAAGAAGGAGGATGCCGATTTGCAAAGCGACATGGATCTGGATACCAACGAGCCGTCACAACCAGAGCCAGCAAAGCCCAAACGTGCTGGACGGCCGAAGAAGCGAGTCAGTGAGGAGATGGCCAAGGATGACTTCGACCCTGTTACTCGAGCGGAACCAGGTTCATCCGTGGAGCCACCTTCCAAGCGCCGTGCTAGGGGAACACGAGGCAGCAGCGTCTCTCAAACCTACAAGCACGAGTCGCAAGACCATTCGATGCTTGATACCGCTTCGGTTGCCGATAGTCAAGAGGATGAGCCCAAAAAGACCCGCAAGGGATCAAAGAAGGGAACGACCAAGAGCAGAAAGGCGTCCGAGGTGTCGGTTACCTCCAAATCCACATCCAAGGCCCGCATGCCACGAGACTCAGAGCTCGAGGCTGAGATAGAAGCAGGCCTTGAAGTCGATTACCCCGAGCTCGTTGAACCTGAACCGGAGCCTGAGGCCGAGCCAGAGCTGGAACTTCAACACGAGCCTGAGCCAGAACCAGAGAAGACTCGTGCTTCGAAGAAGACCAAGGCTGGCAAAAAGTCGAAAGCAGGTGGAAAGGCACCCGAGCCGCCTCAAGAGGACCCCGTGGACTATACGGATATCCAAGAGGAACAGCCCGAAGTCCCAACGGAGTCGGCTGTGGTTGAGGTAGCAGACGAAGAAGAAGCTCCGGCTCCAAAGACAAAGTCAAGCAAGAGCTCCAAGAAAAAAGTGACCAAGAAGGCCAAAAAGCAAGAGACCGTACAAGAAGAGGAACAGGAACTTGAAAAAGACAAAGCTGGGGAATCTGAACGGGATGAGCCTGAGCATCATGATTCATTTGTCTCGGTGGAAATCATCAAACCTGAGGCCGAGCCTCAGCCAGAGCCCGAGGTGGAGCAGCCGGCCGAGAAGCCTGTGAAGAAGAAGTCATCCAAGAAGGAAGACAAGCCTAAGAAGTCGAAGAAGACCAAGAAGGTGGAGGCATCCCCACCTCCGCCTGCACCTCAGCCCATCGAGGACGAGCTGGGTTTCGCGTCTTCGCCCAGAGATGAAGAGGACTATGGCACTCCCGATGATTTGCCTGACCAGATTCAGGTCGCCCCATCTCCACGAGTACCGTCTCCAGAACCACAGCAGATCCACGAGAGGACGCCTGTGCCACCAAAAACGGCTAAGCGCTTTAGCGATATCCCTCAAGAGGAGCATCTCGCTCAATCCCTTGCAGAGTCACATAGTTCTCGAAGCAACGAGCGAAGGGACTCTCAACGAGGCCGAACATCCAACGGAGCTGTATCACCGCTTCCAGTACCGCACCAGAGTACTCCATCCCTATCACCACAATCCTCTGATGCTGAGAATCGACCTCCTTCATCGCTTCCCTCCGCCAAACGACCAATTGTTGTTGCATCTCCACCCAAGGAGAAGATAATTCGGACTCCACTCGCGGCCAACACCCCATCGCCTTCCAAACGGAACCTGAACGCTGGATTCCCAGCGTCTGCGCATCCCTGGACGCCTGTGGACATTGATGAGGTGTTGTTTGGGGAAGCCAGTGACAAGGAAAATGCAGACCTCGTCGGTCTTCTCAACGGGGCCAAGGCAAGTCTGACCAGTCCGGAGAAGAGGATGACGGTGGAGGAGTGGATCAGGTGGAATGCTAAGAATGGCGAGGAGCGGTTGAAGCGAGAATGCGAACGACTTGTCAGTCAGTTCGAGAAGGAAGGTGACCGGGCTATGCGGCGGCTTGAGACCATCGAATGCATTGACTGATTTAGCATCATGCGGTGTTCTTTTATGCTATTCGAAACGATTACAGGATTGGGCAACGGCGTTTGGGGAGGACTCTACGGTTTTCGGTTGTCAGTATTTTTGAATGAATCATGTTTTTCTGTTGGCTTTCCAACGCAATGCTGCTCAAGAAAGAAAAAGAAGCCCTTTGTATCAAATCACGTAAAAAGAAGAATACGCCCCAACTCCAAGGGTATCATAAAGTACATAGTTTTGTCGAATATTTCCAGGATCAATCCAGTCAACACCAAGGTCCTGATGGTCATCTAGCTCAGGCAATAATTCCCAACCGTCCCTCCCAGCTATCCTCCTGCTTAACCCCATCCCCACCCTTCCGACGCTTCTCATTCCGCTTGCGCCTCCTCTCCTCCCGCTCCTTCGCCTCAATCTCCTCGCGCTCCCTCAATCTCTCCCCAAGATCAAGCTGCCACGCCCTCCGCTCCTCCTCCTCCCTCACCCGCTTCCGATGAGCCAACATCCTCAACCGCATCCGCACATCTTCCACACTAGCCCGCGCAACCTCTCCACTCTGCCCCGTCGCAATCAAATGTTGCTTACTATTGAAATGCTCCACCAGTTGAATATTGTCCTTGAACGTGAGGTCGCAGTCGTCACAGTAGAATCCTGCGCCGCGGCCACGCTTGCCTAGTGCTGAACCCGCGGGCACGATTGTCGTCTTGCCCACCATCGAGTCGACCTTGAGGCGCTCTTGGCGGGCGGTGGTTGCAGAGAGGGAGCCATAGTCGACGGGCGCGTGGTATTTCTTGCCGAGGAGTTTGGCTTCGTAGCGCGCTTTGCCTTCGGCTTTGCGTTTGGCTTCTTCGTCGGCGGCTTTTTTGGTGTATTCTTCGCGATCCCAGGTTTTGCGGAATGCAGTGTCTGAGGAGGGGGGGCCTGTGGCGTTTGTTTTGGACATTTTGTGGGAGGCCTGAGGCTGTGGATATCTTGGAGATTTGTTGATGGAGGTGTAGCTGTAGAGCTTGAAGATCGATGATCGACTATCCAGAGTATCAGGTGCAGGTGCAGTGGCGGGCAGTTCGATTATATAAGCGGAGGATGTCCGATTCATGCCTGAGTCCACCATCATCCGTACTGTACTCCGTACTGTTGTACATACTGTGAACTCAGCCTGAACTTTCCAAACATCTCCTCTGCATCGACATTGGACGCTATTTAGAGTGACAGTTTCAGGTTGACTCACAGCTGCAGATCCCCAACTTAGTGTCAGAGCTCATATGACCAATGTATGTCGCTGGTAGAGTTCCAGGCGACAAGATACGAGGCTGGCTAACCTAAAATGACACTTGCTCGGCAAATCGCTCCCTAATTCGTGGCGAAGCTCCTTATTATAGCTATCCCGACGGACCAGCTGTACGATAACTCTCGATATCTCAAACAATGTGAATATTGTTCTCGGACATGTCAACGTGGCAGGTGTTTTTCCCAGGCAACCACTTTCCCCAGGCTCCTGCCATTGTATACTCCGAACGGAGAACAGAGAGGTACATAAAGCATAAGACAGACGAAGGAGGGCCAACTCTCCGCATTTTGAGCCTCATCCTAAAATCCAAAAACCAAACATCAAGCACCAACAACCATGGATTTACCCGACACCACAGAAATGACTACAACAACACAAAACCTCAATCTGTTGGACCTTCCATCAGAACTACACATCCAAATCGCCTCATTCCTATCTTATCCTGATGCCCTCGCCCTGAAGCACTCCTGCCGCCACTTCTACTCCATGGTTTACACAGGCGTACACCTAAAAGTGAACTGGCTGGTCGAGCGCTTTGAACGAAAACTCGAATGTCCCATGGAGAAATGCTCTTTCCGAACTGACGAGGCCTTTTGCAACTGGCGAATCCGTCGTATCATGGAGCGGCGCCGACAGCATCTAGAATGTCGGCGTGCACCTGGGGGCTGCTGGGTTGTTGAGGGCCAAACTTGTCACACAGATCTTGTTCCGTTGTGGTTGAAGGGACAAGGGCCGAGGAGAGTTGTCAGGTCACTGACGACGCTGGTGCATGAAGGTGAGTTGCTTTCTTTAAGATGTGTTGATGACCCGAGGCTGACCTGGTGTATAATTTTAGCATTGCTGATCTGCTTTTTTGCAATGTTGTTGGAGGGACTATGGCGTCTTACGAAAAATCAAGTCGTAAATTGGCTGGCGCATCAAGCGGTGGCTGACTGGTGCGCCTCGTTGATTCTGAATTAATGAAGGCGACATCGCAATCGCTCTAGTTTGAGCACGACCATTTTTGAGACAGGATGCAGAGCCATAAGTCTTCTTATATGAGCTATCGAGCAATCATCATTACGATTCAACTGTTATTTTATCATCAGCGACGATACCATCGAGCAACGAGTGATGCTTTCGCATCTATTTCAGTACCAGCTTGGCATGTGCCATGGGGAATTTCAAGCCCCGAAGATGGAAAGAGGACTCAACAAGGTATCTGCGACCAAAGAAGTCTTTCTTGGGTTCATACAATCATGCCAGATGGGCACTACTTATTTAATGTATAATTAAAGTTCCATGGGTTCGTGCAAACACCCTCGGGATGGGAAGATCAAGCTAAGGCCCACACAGCCAGAGAGCCGATCGCAAATCGATCAGATCGAGTTTATGCAATGACCAAATCTTGAATAAAGCCCTACTAAAGATCTGCACGTACATCACACAATAATCAACAGCTCAGATTCCCTCAGATCCGGATTAACTTATCACTGACGTCACATCGACGTGCCAACAACTACTGCATACAGGATATGCATGATTTCGTAATAGGGAACTATATAACTTGAACATTCTTCTTTATTTACACTCTATTCCCTCAATACACTCAATCACTGAATCTAACCACCATGACTACAAACGCAACCATCAACACCCCAACGGGCACCCACTCCGTGGACCCCTACAAGACCCAGAACGCTGAAGATCCCCCATTGCCACAGAAAGTCCAGGATCTAGTCGATTTCATCACACAGGTCAAATATGGCATGTTGACTACCAAACAATCCGAGGGTGATTACCTGGCATCGCGATGCATGGCCCTCGCCGCTACAGTACGCACTAAGCATATCCATCCCAACACGACGAATATTAACACAATATTTTACAGGAACACGGCGGCATCGATCTAGTCTTCCACACAAACCTCTTCTCCAGCAAAACAATGGATCTAACAGTGCACCCACAAGAAACAAACATGTCCTTCCTCGACCCCGTCAGTGGAGCATGGGCCTCCATCTCCGGCACCGCATCAATCCTGTCCAACCCTGAAACAGTCCAAAAGTACTACTCGCCCCAACTAAAGGCCTGGCTCGGTGATATGGGCGACGGCGTGCACGATGGTGGCCCTAATGATCCGCGTATCGGCGTGATCAAGTTGGAGGCCAAGTTGGCGACGCATGTTGCTGCTAAGAAGGGGATTTTGGGTCGTGCGACTGATACGGTTAAGGGCGCTGTGAAGGGAGAGGTTCCTAATATTAATAGTATTCGGGAGTTGAGTATGGCGGAGTTGGCTGAGTGTGAGTTTTTTTTTTTTCCTCTTTGGGGGTTTGTGGTTGGTTTGGGGTTTGTGCTAACAAGAATTATTGTTGTAGGGCGTCGAACTCATCAGAGCTAGATGGGTAGCTTCTATACTGATTGTCAACCTATCTATGACGGAAAGTAGTTATTGGCCATAACACTTGATTATGTTGATATGCCATGGATCAATCGAGAGTTGAACTTGCCGGGCATGATGGATGAATTAAGTATTAGTAGAGTACAATAGAATATCCCATACTTCAGATGCCACTTACAACCTTGAGCGGTTTCTAAAAGCTGCTCTCTATTTCTTCCGATCGAGGGTAGAAACTGATGATTACACTGTATCAAAGATGAAGCAGAACCGAAGGAAAATAAGTATTAACGAGGAAACTCCCACCAAGCGGGAGAAACCTCCAGAAGAACAAAATGGCCCAGCCTAAAGCTGCCAGCCAAAGAAAAAAACAAGACAAACAGAGAGAACACCCGCAAAATCCAAGCCGCCCAAACGAGACTGTGGGTATCATCCGCATTGCCAGAAACTCCCGCGCCGAGCATGCTCAAATCGAAGAAAGCAAAAACGCAGCGACCCCGGTTAGATCTAGAAGAGAGCTGTTAGTCCAAAAGCATGTATGTAATCAAGGTAACACGAGTACTTACCAGCTGCAGGGGCAACTTGGCTGGCACCCGGCCATTGTGCAGCAGCATGGCAATGGCCTTTTGAGGGGAAGCCTGGAGCTTCCGGTACGCCTCACGAATGTGTCGAGGCTCGATGGGGGTGCGCCCCTCCTCCGGCGGGTCGAACAGACCAGTCTCCCGCTTGCGCTTCTTATTGGCGCTGCTGGTGTCAGCGCCGCCACGGTTCTTCTCGTGGTCTTCTCGCTCCTTGACCTTGAGCGCCTTCTCCGTGATGGTCTGGACAATCTCGAAGGTCAAGAAGCCGAGAATGTCCACAATGTCGTCATTGGGCTTGGACTCGGTAACGATTCCGAAGCCCGCCCACTCGCGGAACCGCTTGCTCTTGCGGTAGGTGAAGGAGGCCTGGCGACACTCCGACCAGAAGACGTACTCCTCCCTGGTCATGTTCTTGGTGCGCTCGTCGGCCGCGGCGAGGCGCTGGAGGGTCGCATAGTTCTGCTCCTCCTCCTCCTCGTCCTCCTCATCGTCGCGCTCGGGCACCTGGACCGAGAAGAAGCTGTTGACGTCCCAAGCAAGGCCCACCTTGGCCCGCTTGTTCTTGGGCTTCGAGGCGACGTCCGAGGGGCCCGCGACGACACCAGCCGCATCGTCGGCAGCGGCGAAGTCGGCCGCATCGGCGCCTCCCTTGTCGTCGGAGTCCTTGACGTTCTTGCGGACGTCCTTCCAGGACAAGAATGTGCGGAGACGCGACACCTTGGCCTTGTCATGGCGGATGAGGAAGATCAGGTCATCCGTCGAGATGGCGCGCGAGCCACGCCGAGCCGCCAGTTGCGTGCCACGACTGAGCTGTAGGATACGTTAGATCTCAGGAGATATCAGGGTTAGTGGTGAGGGGTGGATAAACGTACGATTTCAAGGACCTGCTCACGCGTAATGTCCTCGATCACGGTGGTCGTCTCAACAGAGGGCTCGGCGGTCTCACCAGAGACAAACATCATCTTGAACCAATTAGTACGCAAAAGCTTTCTAGTAAACGGGTACTTGAAAAGAGCCTTGGTCGGTTTGGGGTCGATGTATTCTGGCTCGGGCATCTCGGTCATCTCGTCGTCGGCGTCACGATATTCGTCCAATGTGCCATTACTGTCATCATCGGAGCAGGGCTCCCAAGCCGTGTTCCCGGCCCGAGGAAAGCAGAAGGCGTCAGTTTTGTAGTGACCGTCATAGAAACTCGACGTGTCACTGGCTTTGTCCAGGTCCATGAGCCGTGACTGCTGCTGCAGCCACTGCTGCAGGCGCGGGGTGGTGGTAGGACCCACAACGGAAGCGCTGGCAGGAGAAGGGATGCCCGGTCCATGGAGTGTAGTCTCATCGCTCACATCTTGATGGCCAGTCTGGGGAGCTGGCAGCGGGGGTGCGTCATTCGCCGGCTCGTCAGAGCTGCTGGACTCATCTTGCAGGATAAGACGTCCAAAGCTTCTGATGTGGACAGGCATCTCCTCATCCCCCGAGGAAGCGCGAACAAGTTCGCCGTTTAAGATAGTTTTCGGCATTTCGGAAGAGACACGGTTGAGGTTCAGAGAGCAGACTTGATCGCTCACGTATGAGCTGAAAGGAGGTCTGATCAGGGGAGAAGCCGCTTGGAGACAGAGGTAGCGGGCTGGACAAGTATCGTTGTCTTGGAGAGAGACCGATTGAAGCGGGCTTGTTCAGTCCTTTATAGATGCTCGAGAAGATGTGAAGGAAGCGATGTGACAAGAAAATGCGAAAGTGGGAGAAGCGAAAGGTAAAGAAGCCACGAACTCAAAGTGAAGCAACCTGTCTGGCAAGGATGTCAAGACCGATGCTCACATGGAGTTAAAGATGGAGTATGACTTGAGAGTTAACGATTCGATGGATGATAGTCTTTGAAGCTCCAGTGTCACGAAAGAGATGCGCCAGAAGAAGATAGGTGTGGTGGGAGAAAGCGAAGGGAAGAAGATCGTGGAGGAGACAGGGCGTTGATTTTGGTCTCCACGGCGCTTTCGTGTCGTCTGGAGCTACCTTCGATACGCGGTAATGCGCCGGCGTGGGGAAGGTACCCCTCGGAATTTCCCACAGCACCTTGAACTTCCAGCTTGTGCGACACCCAGTTCGAGCGAGACCCAGCTACACATGCGCGGAGCCCTGAATTCAGGCATGGCCTTTTGATGACATTCATGATGATGGCGATGACCGAGACGAGACCGAGACGAGACCGAGACAGAGTATTGCAGAATACAAAGACGCAACCGCAAGACCAAGACCTACCAAGCAAAATCGGGGAAGGGGTTCATGCTCACCTGCTGGATCTCCTGCCGATACTTGGGTTGACGATCGGAGCTCATCTCGACAGCTCCGCGCGTGGTAACGCGCTGCAAAGGATAGTGAAAGTGTGTGAGGAAGGGTATTGAAACGAGTGGCGAGATCAAAAACCAGCCGTCGATGCAGAGTGAGCAGTAGCAGCGACAGCGTGTTCGTGGATGGATGGATGAGGAAGACGAGAGAGTGGATGAAGAAGAGAAACCTGGGGATTCGATAAGAAGCACGGCCGATATCGATAACGGAAAAACGGAGAATCCCGCAAATAGGCGGTCTACTAGTGCCGGATTCTGCCGCGGGGCATGCAATTATTTCCATCGCTTCATCAGCTCGTCGATTCGATCTGTATCGCATTGAACACGCAATTGTGTTTGAGAGGCTATCATGTTGCACCTTGTGGGTCTAGGACTTGCTGATGAGAAGGACATTACTGTCCGGGGGTTGGAGATTGTTAAAAAGGCCGATCGGGTGTATCTAGAGGCATACACGGCTATCTTGTTGGTGGACAAGGAGAAGCTTGTGAGTGGTGTGCATGATTTTGGAGGTCTATGGTGTTTTTGATGCCGAGGAAGCATTACATATGACTAGCTTGAGCATGGTGTCACTAATCACGCTTTGGACTTAGTAGGAAGCGTTCTATGGTCGCCCTGTTATCGAGGCTGACCGTGAACTTGTGGAAACCGGCAGCGATGAGATCCTTGCTGGAGCCGACAAGGCCGATGTTGCCTTCCTAGTTGTCGGTGATCCATTTGGGTATGTTCCATACACCATCCCAAGCTATCAACACACACAACCAACTTCGTACTCCCCAAAGACCACCTATCAGTGTATACTGACACCAATCCCAGCGCAACAACCCACACCGACCTCGTCCTCCGCGCCCGCGAGCTCAACATCCCCACAAACGTCGTACCCAACGCCTCCATCATGTCCGGCATCGGCTGCACAGGCCTCCAACTCTACAACTTCGGCCAAACAGTCAGCATGGTCTTCTTCACCGAAAACTGGAAACCCTCCTCCTTCTACGACAAAGTGCGCGAGAACGTGCAAATCGGCCTGCACACGCTCGTCCTGCTCGACATCAAGGTCAAAGAACAGTCTATGGAGAATCTCGCCCGTGGACGTCGCATTTTCGAACCCCCGCGTTACATGACCGTTGCGCAATGCGCGGCCCAGATGCTGGAGACGGAGGAGACGCGCCAGGAGGGTGTTTATACAGCTGATAGTTTGGCTATTGGTGCGGCGAGAGTGGGTGCTCCGGATCAGAAGCTTGTTGTTGGTACTTTGAAGGAGTTGAGTACGGTGGAGATGGGGGCTCCGCTGCATAGTCTTGTGTTGTTGGGTCGGAGGACCCATGATTTGGAGAGGGATTATATTCGGCAGTTTGCGGTGAATGGGGAGACTTTTGATGCTAGTTATGCGAAAGGGTACGGTGCTTCCTCGTAAAGGGGGGCATGTTTTCTGTTGCTAAAAAATGATATGACAATTCATGCTAGACACTCGCTTCCTAAATTAAAAAGCTATTTAAAGGTTAATTGGGAAGAATGACTTCTTGGCATAGTTTTTCCCAATGCTGCTTGGGTGCAAACAGAACGATCACAGACTTTGCGGGGTTATGAAATGAATTGGAAATTGCTTACTTCGATGCTTGTCTTGTAGATTCACTTGAATTCATATGGGCACGATATAATCACAGAGCATAAAGATACACCAACATCAAAAGGCACTGTAAATGGTCTATTGTATTTGAATATAGCACACAAGGACAGAACATCCTTAGACATATCTTATCACGCAGGACCACCCAGATCCAAACAGACCAGCCTTTAGACCAAGTCTCTATATTCTAAACCCATTCCAACAGCTCACACTGCCAAAACAAAAAGTAAACAGTGGTTCCAGATGGAAGGAGAGCGCAGTAGGTGACACATGTGAAAAATGCCAAAGCGAACAGAAACGCCACGCAGACATTAGACGCAAATGATACAAATGCTGCAGAAAATGAAAATGAAAATGCAAAAGGAAATGGTATCCAGATGAGACAGACAAAGAAAACGAAATGAGAGATGCAGGTGGGAAATGATAGAAGAGAACAGAAGTCGATGGGTAAATCGATATCTTTCTTCTTCTGGGGCCTCTTCTCCAGAGGTTTGGCCAAGGGCCTGCCAAAATAGAGAAGAGGATGTTGATGTTCATCATCGAAGAAACAAGGGCCAACAAAAACCCATAACCAAGAATGAAATAAAATCCGACCAGACCAGACCGACTCCGAATGACATGCAAAATGAGTCCAAGGCAATGTATAGTTCCAAACAGTAAACAAGAGAGAACAACGTGTCACATCAACACCACTGCCTAGTGGCCATGGTCAAAGTCATCCTCCTCACCAGGAAGCAGGATCTCATGGCCAGAGCCTTCATGTACAAAGAAGGCAGCTACACAGCCGAACACCGACACGAGAGCGATAAGCCACCATGCGAATCCAATCATACCGATATCCAACCCATATCCGTACCAGGCACCCGAGAAAATGGGTCCGATGGTTCGGAAAGCGGATGAAACGGACTGGCCAATGCCGTGGATTGTGCCGAGGACTGATGGGTGAGGGGAGCAGTTGTTGAGTAGGATGATTGAGGTGGGGAGGGTGAAGGTGCGGGCGGTGACCTGTAGGAAAAGCACGATGATGATCCAGAACCAGACCCAGGGCCCGTTGGCCTGGCCGGGGGGTGGGATTGAGGATGGGGCGAGAGAGATGTAGGGAGCCAGGGCGTAGGCGAGCGGGAATAGAGAGAGGAAGTATTGGTAACTCTTGGCCGTGCCGAGACGGCCGTTGATGGAGGGGTAGATGGTGAATTGGAGGAACATTCCGATGATGCCGAGGATGGCGGTTGCGAAGCCTACGCTCTGCGGGAGCATACCCAAGCCACCGGTGAAGATGAAGGGCAAGCTCTGGGCAGGGCTAGCGGGGTCATTGGGATCGTAGCGGGGAGTTGACAGGAAGAGGAGCCACAAGTTGTTGAAGGCACTAAACGGGAGGTTAGATCAGTGATGCGAAAATATCAAAGGGTGTATTATTCCTTACCCCATTTGGAAATCGAAGAACGCCTGGGCTCCAAGAGTACACAGAACGTTCTTCGTCCAGATCCTGCGGAATGGCAGGGTACGCTTGACACGAACAGGCTTGGAAGCCTTCTCCTCGAGCTCATAGCTCTCAGAGCAGTCCATCTGTCGACCTAGCAGAGGGCCATCCTCGTCATAATCGCGGAAGGGAAGTTTCGAGTAAATGGGCGAAGAGGTTCCTACAACGGTTCTCACGCTGCGAGCAAAGAGCTTCATAGCCAAGGAGCCCAGACCAGGCTTACCCTTGCGAGAAAGGAGGGTCTATAAGAAAATTGCTTGTCAGTTACTTTCAAATCAAAAATCGAGAACACGAATTCGTACCTCTTCCAGGCCGTAGCCAACCAGGGTTGCACAAATGGACAGGAAGCAGAAGTTGGCCAGCATAGGCAGGGCATACGGGTACTTCTCCAGCCACTGCACGCCATTTTCTCCGCCAAAGGACGAGTTCGGTCCGAAAAGATGGGGGTAACTCTTGACCGGATCCGCCAACAAACCACCCATAACTAAACACGAAGAGTCAGTCAACCACCCTAGGAGACAAATTGCATCGCAAACAACACCTACCAGGACCAAACAATGAAGCGATATTAAACCCAATAGGCAAAATCAAGAAAGCCCGCGAATGATACTTCTTCTCCTTGACATTCTCCGCAATCATGGTCCGAATAATCCCAACAGTCCCATTAATCGCACCACCAAACGAACGCCAAAACACAGCCTGCGCAAATGACGTCGCAAAAGCAACCCCCAAACATGAAACAGCCGTCCCCATCAAGCCGACCAGCAGCACAAAGCGACGACCACCCCACTCCGCATCCGCAACCCGACCCCACGGAATCGCCGTCGCGAACTGGGCCGCCGTAAAAGCGCCCTGGAGAATACCCGCCTGGGTCGCAACGTCCGAGTCAGACAGGTTCTCGTCAAACGACTTGAGCTGGTAGAACATGTAAGCCTGCAGCGAGGCGATCTGTAGGAAATCGAAGACCCGGCATAGACCGAGTAGGGCCAATTGGCCCTTTCGCGGTAGGGACATCCATGTCACCGGGGCTGGGCGCGGCGTAACGGGGACAGGGAGCGTATTGGCGGCGTTTAGTTCTGACTCGTGGAGAGCCAGGATATGGGGGGTGCCGTGGGACTGGGAGCGACTGCGCACATGTTGGCTTTTGCGACCAGCGAGATCGAGATCCATGGATGTATTCCGGAGCATGTCGGGGGCATTGGAGCCGTTGTGATTGTGGTGGACGTGAGGAGAGTCCGGGGAGGAGAGGCCCTCTTCGACGCTGGCGAGGGAGAGGTTGGACTCTCGGCGACGTCGGGATGGTTGTGGTAATGGAGAGGAGGGTTCGCCGGGGCCGGAGGAGGTGTTTAGATGGTGATAGCCACTCGACCAGGAAGTCGTGCGCGCGTGGCGGGCATTACTTGGTTTATGGTTCTGCTGGGACCTGGCAGGCATGGGGGGAAGGAATGTTGTATATGTAAGCCTGGGTAGGGAACTTAGGGTAAGGTCGGTCGGGTTCCAAGGATTATCGCCGATGGAGCACCGGACGGAGGTGCTGCTTTTGGCGGTTGGTCTTGACAGACACGAGAGTAAGAGAGAGGGGGGCAATGAACGACGTCAGGTTGCGACACCTTGGTTTCACGTAATTTTTCCCCGTTTTCGTTTTCAGCTCCTGCAGGTAGTTTTTTTTTTTGGGACTCTCTCTTCCTTTGGATTAGTCTGTTATAATTGGTCTGGTCAAAGTCAAAGGAATGATGGAGAAATGGAGCAAATTGAAAAAGAGTCAAGAAAGTGAGGAGAAACAATAGTACTCTACAAAGTCAAGTCTTGGAATCTAAAGAAAAGAAATAATTGGATCTGCTCTCCTTTTTCTTTTTTTCCCTTTTCTTTACTCTTTTTCTTGGCTTTCTGTTCATAGTTTGGTAGAGGCTTCTCATAATTTCATTAAACTGTTGCGCTGTATGAAATCACTTTACGGCGTCGTCAACTCGGACCACCATAGTGAATTGAGTGGTCCACTAAGTCACCAGGGTAGAAAAAGGACACTGCAATGGAATGCCCGGAATAAAGTGACTAGGACAGGACGGTAGTTAGTATGGCGAGCCACATTACGTATGGGGCAAGTCCTTGGGCCAAAGGGGGAGTTAAAAGCACAATTCTGGACTAGCGAGGACGCCAAAGCAATACAATTTTGTACTGAGATTTAATCTGTTGGTATTCTAATTGTCTGTTTATCACTGATTGTCTATAGAGTACTCCATACATTATCAATATCTTCCTATATCCTACAATCCTAACTCATCCCTCTATCCCTCTCTCTTTCTCTCTCTCCTTTCCGCCCTCGTATCTCGTACCTAACCAGGAAATAAGCACTCTCTCTACATAATTACCGTCCGATCGACACACGACGACGGGGCTTGCGACGACACGCTCCACCCGCCCTGCCGAGTCCCCCGTTATGCTCCCTGCCCTGACCCATGACTCGCCAGCTTCAACCGCGCGACTTCCGACGAGGCGGTCTTGGCAGAGGCTCCCAGGAACCACGGTGGACGAAGGCGAAGACCTGCCCTGATTCAGCAAGTGAAAGCGGGGTGGACTGTTTTTTTTTTCTTCGTTATTTTTTCTCGTTCTTCTGGAAGGTCTTTTGGACCTTTTTCCCGCTGTCGTTTTTCTCCACTTGGGGAGGAGGAGATGGGAAATTAAAATTACCACTAATCTAGTGACAGCCATGGGTAATTCTGTAATCGTATTCTATACAATACGAGTTTGCGATGTAAACTCCGAAGCTACAGTACGTAAGAGTCCAGGCGCAGTACTTTTTACTGTCTACTGGTTAGCGCCGCCTGGGGTAAAGTAGTCGAATGCATCGCATCTTCCATCGCAAGTTGCAACAAAACGTGTCAACAGGGTTGGATCTGGACTGGTCCCTGTAAATCAGGGACCCAGCAACTAATGCCACATAAGCTGAGTATACGGATTAGAGCTTTTAGAGGCAAAATGTATAGATCCGATTGATCGATAAAAGCGCCTCCCATGCAATGCTTTACGTATGCCTGTGGCTGATTGATCGAATCACTGGGGTTAAATGGTAAAATGGTGGCCCACGCCTCGGCATTACACAGATCAAAGCAGAGTGAATAGTACGATTATTGTTGGAACCAATTATTACGCCGACTTGCCTATGTGTCGATATCGTATATTCTACGAATCCCACGAGGAAATTGAGAATGATCTTCATCAAACTCGCGGAGTTTCGGCCAGCTGCTGCACCGGCGCCGCCAGCGTGAAACTGTCCGTTTCAGACTTCATCACTGTAGTAGTGGTTAATGTATCAGGTACATTAAATCGAATACATCAATTAAGTTGCGAACTAATCAAATCAACACATTAAATACAGAGTACAGTACGTACCTACAGCATGTCAAGTCTTCAGTGTGTTTTAGGTTGTTCAACCCGTCACTTGACACAAGTGATGATCATCACCAAGCATAATGCAGACCACACAATGTCACCCTACGAGGCAAAGCCAAGACTTGTCCAAGCATGATAATCCGATGATGGACAGGGATAAGTCAATCCTCATTCATTAGAGTGATTATCAGACTCGTGAGATTATCTGTAGTACGGAGTACTACTCCGCGCGTTGGCTCTAGAAGACACTTCCAACTAAACCAGGTTATGGTTATCGACTCACCCGAATATAGCAGGCCGTGCCAACATTCGACCTTCCCAAAACGCCATGACATCTTCCAACTACCTAACCTCCCCGTCCCAAAAGCTTGATTATGCTCACTACGGAGTACTCGTGCTAGATTGCTGATCTCCCTGTCCCACCGCAAACTTTGCAGCCACCCTCCGACCACACTCAGTAGGTATACCCTAGTTCCCATCGGAGCACCGGTGGCACCATAGCAGGGTGCGCAAGCTCAGATCGCTATTCTCGTACACAGCCCAAAAAGCCAAAAGCCAAAAACGAACAGTCAAAGTGGTTGATGCCGTCGAAGCGCCGGATGAGGGGGAGGGACGCGTATGTTGCACGTAATACTAGTAAACTAGTAAGTGTACTCCGTAAATCCAATGGGATTATGGGAGGAGGGACACGAGTGCGAATGTGCGAGTGCCGGGTAGCTCGGCTTTTAGCAGCGTTGAAAGGTGAGACGGGTACGACGAATTGTCAGGTTGAAAGCTCGGGTATTCGTATTTCTGTATTGTTTACAGTGATTGTATGTATGTAAAATATTGTTCCAGTCGTACTAAACTATCACCTGATAGTCCCGACACAAAATGCAAAATGGCTCCGGATGTACCCAAAACACATAGCCTATATATGATGATCAAAGAAAAGAAAGAAAATAAAAGTGAAGACGGCTCAGCAATGCAAGAATGGATCAGAAAGAAAAAAAGTACTGAAGGTGAAGATGAAGATGGCGAGGAAAGTCAAAAAGAGGTCCGAGACGAGACGAGGACTCTACTTTTGTTTACTCTGTCCGCTCGCGCTCGCGTCCTGGTAAACTGCGATCAGCGAGCGGGAAATAATGCGTCTCTTCCTCTGCGGTCCACCGGCGCCAATTCCACCAGGGGAGATCGGGCGTCCGTGCTGGTGGAGCTTTCCGCTCGGCCATACCGTTCAGTGGCTCGGATGACTCGTGGTCGTTCAACGGATCCAGCCGTTGCCGTCGAAGATGATATCGGTAGCCGAAGTAAACACCGGCAAGAAGGGGGAGGAGGATTGCAATGGTAGCGCCCCAAACGAGTAGACCTGTTGAGAATGTGAGTGGTGATCATTTTGAGTGGTAGAGTAGGGGAGGCACTTACGTCCGGACTGTCGTTGTTTATGGTAGGACACAACGCCCGAATCCGAGTCTGGGTTGCTATGTGGGAAACCCGACGGATACGTCCAGGTAGCACCGTCACGGTCAGGGTCAACCCATGGCACAGTATTCACGCCCGCCGGAGGAATGAACGGCTCAGCCGCCTCTTCACCAGGGAAGCCATAGCCCGGAGCATCCAGACATGTCTCGTCTAGACAGAACTCGCGAAGCTCCGGTGATGGAACAAAAGTATACTTGATCTCGGATGTGCCAAGCACGACTCCATCCACAGCGATTGCTTCCGCCCGCGTCCAGAGGAAGAAACTAGCATTGGTGTATTCCGTCTCGAAACCGGTCTTGGAAACCTCGTCTAGCAAAACCCAAGGGCCGGTCATGTTGTGGGAGCCGAAGAAGCGCCATGTCTTGACGCGAGTGGCGCCATTCCAACTCACGTAGAGACTTGTCGGAGAGTAGGGTTCTGAGGTGCGAGAGTATGACCAGAGTGCAGGCGAGTCGGTAGGGTTACCCTCCCACTCGAACTTTTGCGCGCGGTAGTTCATCACGGTATCTTGGGCAAAGGATGCCCAGAGTACCAAGTTACCGGCTGAGTCGTGCTCTGACACGTAGGGGTTGTTTCCCCATCCAATGAAGACGTTCTTGTTCGGCAAGACCTGCAGGTTACCCTGGCTGGAGCTGGCCAAATCGGAGATCGCAGGAGCGTAGTCGCGAACCTGCGTAGCTGTATTTGCTATGTGATCAATGATGATGATCATGCCGGACGAGTAGGCATGTGTCCGGTTGAACCCATTATATCCATTATTATAAAGAGAGATGACCGAATGGGTGGCGTTCTCAAATAACCACCGCGCATCGTGTTGCTGCGAGAAACTGAAGTTGATATTGCGGAAAGTCGGGTCGGCTCCATGCAATCGCCAGACAACAGAGCCATCCTTGCCGGAGATTTTATAAATGGAGCACGTATGTCGAGAGGAGATCAGATAGTCGCCATCTCTGTTCTTATCAACCGAGTTGATATGGAAGTAGTCCCAGGGCTCGTGTACGTTCAATCCAGTGCCGGAGGTATCGGTGTGCGACGGCCATGTATAACTCATAGATGGGTCGACGTGATCCAAAGAGCGCCACTCAAACAACACTTTACTCGTCTCGACATCGACTTCCTGGAAGACACTCTCCATCACCCACCCAACACCTGTCTTGACGTTCCACGGGGTCATATCGAATTGGCGCTGCTGGTAGACGGTCATGAGCGCGGTCTTGCCGTCATTTATCGGAAGAAATTCGTGCATATCGCTCGATGCCATGCCACCACCGGGCTGCACCGATCGTACAATGCGGTAGGAATTGTCCAAGATGACTCCATGTCCACGACAGTACCCTTTTTGCTGGTTCCCCTGGAAGAAACATAAATGGTCGGCCCCCTTATACTTGCACACATGCATGCCGTGGGCATTGCCCGGCCCTGAAGCACCCCATCCGCTCCATACCAATTCCTGTTGCGATTCAAGTTTCCATCAGTTTTTGTCCGATGCGCCAGAGTGCGCCCCTCAATGATTTCAAGCATACCCCTGTATTATCGAAGATATAAGGTCCCGGATTTTGAGCCTCGTATGGTGTGATAAAGATATAACCTGGCGCAAGCTTGTCTGGTTCGGATCGTTCGATATGGAGAACGGGGGGATAGATGTCGGGTCGCTGCGGAGAAAACGGAGGTGGTTAGCTAGGACGAGACGAAAAGCTGCGGCGCACATAGCATAGAATGGAGGCGCAAAATGCACCCGACGACTGGCATGATCAATGGCAATAGTGACGTACCGATTTGAAGAAAGCGACCTCCTCAGCGACCGTGTGATGCAAAGCGCATAGCAGCAGACCGATGAGGAGTGCGAGGGAGGGACCCGTCCTCAAGGAGAAGATAGTGGCGATCATGGGTCCTCCTTTACATCACTCCCACAGCGAGTACAGTCGAGGAAGCACAAGGTTCCGCGCGGTAAGAAGGAAGGGGGGTGGCCGTGGAGAAGAAGCTGGTTTCGAGCATGCAAGGAGAATCAAAGCCAAGAAGAAAACCCAAGCATCAGGGAGATAACTGCTCAGTGATCGCCACGGGGGAACCAAACTGGAGAGAAGGAGGGGGGACAGGGTACGAGTACGTGGTCCACTTGTGTCACTCTTTGCATCTCTTTTCTCTTTAGAGATTGTCCAGCCTGAGCCAGACTCCAGTCCCATGCCGCGTCCCTACAGCGGAGACTCTTGCAGGGGGTGGAGCGACGTGGGCAGCTTCAACGATGTTCATTGGTAGAACCAAATCCAAGCTGCCGATTAAGACGCCGCATAAAGTGCTTAGCTCATCGCCAGCCGCTGCCAAGATGAGTCCGGCAGTTTAGATTGCGGGGATAGGCTTGGGTGGTCGAACTATTCAAGACAATTGTTTCCATTGTCGATTGGACCTCGAACACCCTGGTGGAGGTTCTATCGAGTTGTCAATTCGATAACAATACAATTGAATGTCTATTTACTCAATAGTTGCTGTAATATTCAGCTGCAGGCTGATTACAGGCCTGGTTATGTACTGTGGTACGGTAATGGTAATTCGGCCTGGACCAGGCCACGTCATGCCCGCGCAAAGCGGACGGGTGCTCAGACCAAACTTATCCGGTTTACGAGTTTAGTACACGTTACACAGCTGAACATGTACTTGAACTCAAGAGTCAGATAAACTCAATCTATATATCAGTTCATGAGCTCACGAGTCAATTTGCTACAAATTAAGAACCCTCTTATCACGAACTCTTGTTTCCAGCCCTAAAATCCAGATTTCAGGCCCAATGCGGATATGAACCACGTGTGTGTGGCTGATATTCAATTAGCCGCGGACCTTCTTTTACTTGGCTTTGGTCGCCAAGCCGGTTGCTGATGCAGCCACATACGCCACATCACGGCGAGAAACCCTCGATGTTTTTGTTGTACGCGCGGTCTTCTTTCATGCATACGTCTTGACCCTTGTAGCGTCGTTACGTGGACCGCCACACTGCGAACTATCTTGAAAAGTGTATCCATAACTCGATAAGGCGTCTAATAGATTCAAGACGATGGACTATGAATGTAGATGTTTCCATACTGTAACAGGGTGCTTTTCTCGTTGTAATGTTACCCTTCAAGCTCAGATCTCCGACCGCAAACGGCCCAAGATTCAAGAGTCATCAACCCTTAAACCCTGCAAACTTGAAAGTATCCATCAAGATCAAGTAGTATCACATTCAACTCCCTTATCAAAGTCCAATTACCATCCTACATTATCTCAGGGCCCTTGGCCAGTTATTACAATATATACTCAGAGTAGACAAGACATGTCCTCGTCATCAACAAAAGCCCATCCACGCAATCGGCAATAAACTACAATTTGATACATACAATTTAAGATTCATCATCTACAAATCAATGAATCTACCATGTGAAACTCCGACCCTAATTCGGCCTCAATCTCCCATCTAGGCATTGTCTCACCCTACAGCCTTGAACCCCAGTACGCAAGCCGACTACGTATTCCCGCCGCACACCAGTCCAAATGGAGTAGTCCCTTGGAAAAAGGGGACCTCAACCTTACGAATGACCTCGGGGTAGAGCTGGGCGAGTGACTCGCCGGCGGAATTATGGAGACTTACCACGCAAGTAGCGCATAGTGTACTCCGTATGTACAGTAGGTAGTTTGTAACAGGGCTTTGGCGCCGTGGGGTCACCCGCCAAGACTCTAGCTCGGCCAAGCAATCTCCCTGGCATGTGTGGTGCGTAGTTCCACTGGTCGTGGGTATTCTTACGAGTACGAGGGGCAAAGCGCTTGGGTTAACCCCTGAATATGTGTACAGCTCTGTCGGGTACTTTTCCGTTGTTCCGCTTGAGTATTGCTTGGCTTTTCATATTGTGAGATGGAGGAGTTGGAATATGAAGCTCCGGATTGACATATAGCCCTACGGAAGGGTTTATCCCTTGCTCCCATCCAGAATGTACAATGATGAAATTTGTTTTGGAGGGGGAAGCCACGAGTGAGATATTCCCTCCCTTGGAAACCGACGTCATGGTGTATTGTACGTCCATTCCTGGGGTCAAGTCCAAAATGCCTTCCCAGGTCACACTGCCAAGAGTACCTCCAAGATACCTGGGAATGGCAAAAAAGAGTCGGAAAGAGGCAATTCACAAGATTGGATGAAAGATTGATCATGATATGATATGATATGATATGTATGTACTGATCAAACAGAGAATTACCTGCAATAAAAACGACCGTCCCTCAAATGGGTTGTAATCGTAGAGACAATAATGTGGGGGAATATTAAAAAAAAAAAGATGCACAAAAGAGAAAGAGACTCCAGATGGAGATGGAGAGAAAAAGAAGACATAAACCACGGAACTTCTTGATCCCAGATCCCAGTGGGGAAAAGTGCCTGCACTTCCTGGGCCGAATCAAGAGAAAGAATGCCAGAGAAAGGAAAATGTATAGATGCAAGGTGCTTTCTTTTTTACCACTCGATGCACCTTTTTGTTGTTTCTTGCTTTTTTTGTGGGTTTACCGGGAGAAGCGCTTGAAGGCTATAGTAGCAGCGAAGCCAGTAGCCAAGAGGGCACCACCCATAGTAACAGCCTGCAGAGCAGCGTTCATCATCTGGTGGCGGTTGCGAGTGCTGCAGCGCTTGTAGAAATCGGCCATATCGTTACCACGGGGGAAAGGTGTATCAGGAACCTCCTCCTCGAGGAACTCGCACAAAGGCGCCCAGCCATCATTAATGTTGTACTCCAACAGACGATCCGCGGGCACCAGGCTGCGGACCTCGGCAACATGCTCATTGTAAACCTGCTTGCCCTTACCGGGGAAGTCTCCACGGAAGAAAGTCTCGAAGAATTTGTTGAGCATGGGGTAGTACATGCTGGCTGCCCAGCTGAAGTGCGAGACAAACTTGTGTTCCGGGTCGCTGACGCGCCAGTGGACGGTCTTCATGACGGAGGCGTGCCATGGGTCGACGTCGCGGGTGGTCAGGATGACTTTGGCGTTCGGGTAGGCTTCGATCAACTCTTTGGCAAACGCGCAGGCGGGCCAGTCGCACACGGCCTGGCAGTCGCCCAGCAGCTGGTCCCATTCCTTGCGGCCGAATTCGCCAACGCCGTTGTATTTGGCGTTCAGGGCATCGTGCCACATGAGGCAGTCGGGCGGGTTCTCAACACTGGCACACATCATGTGGTAGCACTTGGTGTATCCAAGGCGCTCTAGAGCTTTGCGGAGGGCTGTATTGTAGAATTGATGTTAGTTTGATGTTGCTTTGGATATACTGCATTGATATCACTCGGTATCACTTACAGGCAGTTCCAGTACGGCCAACACCGAGGGCCAGCACCTTCATAGGCACCGTCCGGTGGCACTTGCGACGGTCAATGCATGTGTCGTCCGTGAAGACATCAGTCAAAGGCTGAGGAGCCAGGTTATCGGAGAGCATGAGCGACATGGTGGGTGTGATAGCAAGTTAAAACTCCAGATGATCAAGAGATGATAAGGGAATTTAGGTAGGAGAAAGAAGTTTGAAAGAATGATTTCCAGGCGGGAGAGGAGTGGATAAAAAATAAACGAAAGGACAAGACTCTAGAAGAAGTCTAGAAGGGGGGTTGATATGGTTTGACAAGGGGTGAAGTGGAGGGGAGGGGAAAGATGGGAAAAAGAGAAAGGGAAAAATAATTGTCTGTACACAGCTTAACATGATCCTCCAAAAGATCGATTTAGAACGATTAAAAAGTGGACATCTGTCAGAGCCGCGAGGCCAATCAGAATTAAGCGTAGCGCGTTCACGGATTGCAAGGGCATTTGCCCCCGCGAGTGGCGAGTTTCCACCCGTTCTGCGGATCGCGAGCTTGGCCTTGTCTGTCAATCATTTCCTGTTCGTTCTCGTAACCCTTGCCATTCTGTGTTTCTGAAACTGTCCTGGCTATTCTTATTTTTGGTTTCCAAAGCCTCGAGGGACGCGCATTGCAGTCGACGTTGACGCTGCAAAGACAATGATTCGTAATCGCATGTGTATCATAGTATCGTACTACCTATACGAAAATAGTTGGCGGCAAAAGTGTATCCACGTTCTCGAGATTGAGGCGTAAAGCACAAGACGTCACAGGCTGACGCAGGGGAGGGGATAGTCAGGATAGTCAGGGGTTGTGGAGGTCCGGTTTATCTTTCTTCGTATGTGTCATTGATCCGTTGGATAAAGTCGGTAAAATACCAGTACAAAGCTGTAAGACTGTATGGGTACAATTACCCGCAGGACAGTTGAGAAGCAGTGAGAGGAGCAGGTGGATGTAAGGTGTCAGTACTCGGTATGTACTGTGTATGTACTCAGTATCGAGGCCCAGTACAATACCCATACAATACCCCAGCCAACTCTTCTGGCCTCATATCAGACCTGCCAAGCCCCGAACACCGCGTAGGCCCCGTCGCAAGTCCGCATCCAGAAAGTCCAGTCCAATTTCAGGCCAGTCAATCCAGCTAATTCCAGTATTCCACTAGTCAAGGGCGACCTCCATCGACGATCAACGAGATTTTTTCCCGGCTCTTGGGAGGACGATCCGTGCCCCTGCCCGTACTGATTGGTGGGGCTCGGCAGAGGCCAACGCGTACACTTTGGGCGGTGGGGAATGCGAGGGTTCCTGAAACTCGGAAACTCAGGGACAAGCACAGTATCAGTAGTGTTGGATGCCAATTGGTGCGTAGTTTGGCTCGGTCGTATCTGTGTCACATTTTCCTATTCAAAGAAGTTGATACTCGGGGGAGAAACACCACGGAAAGAGAGAGGGGGAAATTGAAATTTGGTTGATAACAGTGTAGTTCTCCGACGGGTGCCCGTGAACTTTACCCCAACGCTGTGCACAATTGATAGCAACTCACTTTCCCTTTTCTCCCAAACTCAATCCCAGTTCCCAGCCGATCATGATCACACATGATAGTTTTCCTAATCCTGTTCTGCAAGAGGGGCTCGTACCGAACTTCAACGCACATAGCCCGCTAACACCCAAAAAGCCACCAGAACGAGACGACCGTCCGTAGATTGGTAGAAATGTAGTGGCGTCTCGTCTCCACTAGTTGCTCCGCAGATTGATTGAAACCTCCCGCTTGGTTGTTTGATTGCCGGCAACAGGTCTGGTCTTCTCGTGGTCGAGGCCCCGGCGGGGAACTAATGCCCACTTGCCAAGAGAATCCAATATACCCTCGACCGATAATCAATTTCGGAATATAGGTTGGTGCTGGAAGGTTTGCGTATGGAAACCACGTATGTAGGGAGAGAGAATCCGTTGGTATCGGGGATCATCGCTTGAGATTGAGGATGGAAATCCTCCAAATGGAGTAGTCAGGAGGCAGTGTGAACCCAATTTGTCGCGGGTGAGGCGCCGTAAGTCTGGGACAGGGAAGGACCGGAGATTGCATCCTGCTGGAGCGAAATGAGATGACGAGAGTGCTGTACAGTAGTAAGTCATGAGGCTTTTTGGGTTCATTCGTTAGTGTCTTTCTATTCCGTGCTGAGGAATTTCGCTCATCGAGGACTCTGTACGGAGAGGACTGCGAAGGTGGTTGTTGAGTGAGTGGAGAGTATATTGGATGATCAATGTCAATGGTGTCTGGTCATTGCAGCGGTGTGTAAGTATTAGTATGTTAGTACTATGTTAGTAGTAGATGGGTTGCTGTTCCAGTATGGTGGTTCTCCATAGAAAGTATTCCTGCTGATAGTAATTTCGATGAATGTATACCAAGTAGGTACGAATATCATCACACATCTCTTTTAGTTGACTCGACCTCAGGGTCAAACAAATCAACCCAGAGCGTCCAGCAAACAAGCAAGAGTAAATCCCCCAACCCATTTATCAGGGAAAAAGCCATTCAATATATGGTCAACGCCAAGACCCCCATTGTCTTGTTCGCCATCGATGAGCACGATCACCTCACCCCGAGCCCAAGACGCATTAGGAAACCAGTCATGTTCCCGATGGAACCACGAGGTTGATTTAAACATCTTCCATTCCAATCGTCAAGCTTAAACCTTTCCATTGGGGCCAGAGCTTATGAGTTCCCCGCCGTGTACACTCAACGGCATTGTATCTCGGCAGTTAGGGGGGAATCGCGGTAGCCTGGGGATTCCGAAGAAGAGCGCTATACGGGTACGGGTGGTACCTGAACCCTCAATTCGGACGGACCCTTGGGTGAATGGGTACGATATGAAGTGTAAGAAAGAGAATACGAATGGGGTCGGGGGGTTCTGGGGTCTTGGCAGGGTCTTTGGATTGGTTGGTGATTTCGACATTGGGCCCAAAGTGATGGCATGTTTGTTTCCATATCTATGACTATGGCATCATCGTGGTTTTGTTCTCCTGAACGCCCATGCACAATTTGCAAATTAATCATTTGCACTAACACAATGTTTCCGATCCCAGTAGTAAGTAAATGAGTAGTAGCGCCCGTCCCGAAATAAAATAAAACAAAAAACTCCATGCCCATGACTTTGTGCGCTGATGCAATCTCGAAGCCATATGTGCAATGTATCCGAGAGGTTGACCTCGATAAGTTCACTTCAACTCCCAGTCGCGACTCGCAACTCGCTCATCACTCCAGCTTATCCAAATGCTCCAGTCGCGTCAGCACAACCTGCTTACTTGTCTCCTCAATCTCGCCGGCAAGAAAGACTTCGTCCAGAATCGCGTAGACCTAACACAATCCCCGAATTAGTATTAGTATTCACTCAACACAAATCCAATCCTCCATATCACACCCCCTTCTCTTCCCTCCACTCGCACGCACCTTGTAAAAGTTGAAAACAAGATCCAACTCGCAAACATTCCCAAAGAATTGATCCAACACCTCGACGAAGAAATGAATAGCCTCCAAGTATGCGAGCTCATTGTCGTTAGCGTCCACGCAAACGCAGAAGAATAATCCGGCGTATCGGCGATACACGATCTTAGTGCTGCGGCGGAACTCGACGAAATTCGACTGGTATTTTTGATCTCTCGGGGCGACGAGGCGATGCACCTGTGGTGATGATGGGTGTTAGTTGGGTTGTATCCGGGGTCGAGCAGGCTAGGCGAGTCAGTGGGTGAGTGAATTGCGACGACACGAACCTCGCCCTTCAATTTGACTTTTTCTTCATCCTGATCCAATGTAAGCGACTAGTCTTGCCAATTATAAATGCAACAGTGTCTGTCTGGTACTCACGCTATACGGCGCATACCACTTCGCCAGGCGCGTTTTGCCCCTATACCCTCACCATCAGCACGACTAGCCTCGAATCAGCTCGTCTTGATACTCACTGGCGATTCTGGACGAGAATAAAAGAAAGGACCATGTTGAGCGACTAGCCAAAGAATTTACCTGGCCAGCATCGGTGTAGCCTCCTTGGATTATGAGGTGCGGCGCAAGCTGGGGAAGATTCTCCGCTGGTTCCGTTATCGCGGAGCTCCCCCTCTCGATACTGCCTTTTTCCACCGCCTGGGTGGACACTATCGGAGGATGCTGCATAGCTAACGCATGCGAGTGTTTTAGGTGCATTTATTCGGGGCTAGTATGGAGTGTGGAGTTGGACTTCAAGGATTTTGTTTGAATGGTTCAATTTTGAATACAAGTTCAGTAGGCGGGGTAAGAGCTATGGAGGGAACGCTTTTGAAGTGATATAACAGGTGAAGAGAGAACATCTTTGCACAGGCTCGGAGAGTGTCAATAGGCGTAAGGCATAGGAATCGTTAAACTTCTCGGAACAGTCTGGAGAACTGCTGAGACATCTGGGATGACGGGGGTCATTATCATGGGTTGGTTGATGTCGAATTGTGGTACAAAAGTGGAGAGCAAGGAAGAGATCCATCAGCTTATGAGGTTGAAGAAGTGCTCATGCGATTGAACAGCCGAGTCAGTCGAGCCTGAACAATTCCAAATCAGTGCGAGAACTCTAACAGAACATACCCCAAGATACATACCGTATAACTTTGCGGCGTCCCCGGCTCTGTCTGGTTCTCCGTCCGACTCTCCAACTTCTCATCCACATAGCTCTCCTCATCCTCATACTCGTCCTCATCCTCCGAGGGCGGATACCACCGATCCGGATCCCCATTGTAAACCATAAACCAACCAATCTTCTCCCCAGGCGCCAACCGATCGCGCAGTGCCTCCAGGGCCTCCGTCGCATCAGCCGACAAACCTGATCCCTGCTCAACGACGTCCTCGAGACCCGGTCCCGCACCAGCACCGTCCGGGATAGTCACCACCTTGGCACTCACATAGGCATAGTCCTGGCTAACCGTGTTGCTCGATTCGTCTTGCGGGTCGTACTGCTCGATGAAGTGTAGCTCCGGCAATCGCGGCATGAGATCGGCTTGTGTTTTCTTGAATGATTCCGTCAATAGCTCCGTCGTCAGCGGTTGCTGGATGTACTCGGCGGCGGCTTCTTCGAGATTATTGAGAACGATGTATACGCGAATCCCCGTGAAACCCGCGCGGGGCCACCGGAAACCGTGGAGCATGTAGACGGGCATTTGTATAGCGCTGGAACGTGGAAGTCCGGAGGAGAGAGGCGGGGGAGGAACGGGGTCAGATCGTGGATTAGATCACCGGGATGGATTGTGGCGCTAGTGGACTGCTAGTTGGTCGGAGGAGTGGTTTCGCAGGTTATCGAGAGGAGAAGAGGGTGGGTAATAGAACATGTTAGACTTGCGACATGGTTTCCCAGGGGAGAGCGCAGGAGGAGGAGAGGGGAGGGTCCTGGCTTGAGTTTTTGTTGTTTTACGAGGGCGTCTGTGATGCATCGGATTTTGGGGGCCCTGTAGTTTCCCTTTTCCGGCTTGGACTGGGCCCGCTTTTAGTCTCCAACGGGCCCAATTTACCGTTGACATTTACGTCTGACACTTTTGACATCTGCATCTAAAGTGTCTCTTGGGACTAGAATTAGAAATAGATACCCCATAACTCTAGATAGACTACATACTTTGGACCCGTGGTATGAACAGGCCGTGGTGTCGGGCTCGGGTGGCTGGGTGGGGAGCAGTTTTAAGGTTGCGAATACTGGTACATCGATCTGAGATCGCCCCTCTGGTTAGATCTAAGATCCCCGATTCAGAATATATCGCCTGTGGTTGATTTTCATACAATATTGAAGATGTGATTCATAATGACCCGGGGAGCTATTCCAACATCATACACAAGCCTCTCCATGGCTCAACTTTGGGATGTAATGGTAAAGGTGCCTGATGTCTGTGTTGAAGCTGTCAAGTCCGATTTGAAACCCATCTAACTTATGCAAGACTAGGCAGATTAAGACGAACGGTCACTCAATGCTAGTGCAACGGTGCAATACAACCAAGTAGGCTATGTCAGAATAAGTTTGCAATGACAGAAACTCCTGCAACTCCTTCACCGAGATACCAACAAAGGCCCTGCCAAAAGTCCTCCCAACTCAGGGAAACATAGAGATTGTGGAAATAAAGTCTCGAGACACATCGATCTGTGCATCAAAGGAGATCACCCGGCAGACTGCATCCGTGCATCCTCAAGGTTTCCTCTTCAGATCCGCAAATCTTCGCGTCAGCTCATCCAGCTCGGGAATCCCACTAAATGTGGCCTTGCCAGCCTTCTTAGCAGCGCCCCCTTCTTCCTCAGACCCCGGCACCTTCACCCGGGGGTTAGGATTATCGGTCCTGGGTGCAGGTGGCGCAACGCTGACAGGACTGCGTCCTTGCAGTGCTGCAGGCCCGCGTGGGGGAGTCGCTTTATTCAATTCGCTGGTTTCCGAGGCCCGTCTTGCCTCGGTGAGATTCGGTCGCGATGCAGGGTCTGCACTTTGCTTTCTCGGAGTCTGGGGCAAATCGTCTCCCTCGGCCTCGTCCCCATCGCCCTGGGCATCATCAACAAACTCGGGTGGTGCATTCCCAAGCTCTTCTTGGACGTCCAATTCCTCTCCGCCCGGCCAGTCGACACCGTATGCTTTTGCAATCTCCCGCAGATAACTTTCCACCAGTTCCTGTGTCGGTGGACGCACTCGTAGTCCCTTCAAAAGTCGATCTGGAACTTTAACTGTATCCACCTTATTGTCCTGCGCCATGGTCATAAATTCCTTGCCGTAGCGTTCACCAAGCATTGTGCGAAGCATGGTAAGCTCGCGCAACTCATGCGGGAACCGATGCCAAGCATAAAAGATCGCAACCGCAGCCTCATCCAGCGCAGTATCCATGTACGCAATCTCTTCCTCCGAAAGCTCACCCGCGCCCTCCAGAGAACTGGTCGCGGCCAACGTACTCGCCTCCTTTTTTTGCGATCCTCCTAACCACGAGAACCCGAACCGAGAGCCGGAGGACTCGGGCGCAGCAGTTGTGGCTTTCTCCCCAGTCTGGGCTTGAGTCTGCTTCTTGAGCAATTCCTTGGCGCGCAGTCGTGCGCGCGTCCCTTTCTCGCCAAAGGCTAGTTGATCCAGGACATTGGCGCGCGCCAACAGCAGTTCACAGTATAGTTCGACCATCTCCATCACCTCGACGGCGATATCTGTTGCGATCACATTCTCGACTCGGATGCGGGCGGACGCCTCGCGGTTCTCGCTGAGAAGCTGGGAGAGCTCGCGGCGTTGGACAATGGAGGATGCGGTGTCTTTCTTCTGAAGAAGGCGGAGGCGCGGGATGAGAAGTCGTAGAGTGGAGACTAATCGGGTCTGTTGATTTATCTTGTTAGTTGCTTCGTCGTCAATCTGTTATGTGTGTTTGCGAAGAGCTCGCCGAGGCCTTGCAGTACGAGAGGGGGTCAAGATAACGATGCGGGGTAGACACGACGAGTATCAGGGCGGCGGTGCAGGCCTTTACGGAGTAAAAGGTGGATAGGGAGGAGATGATTGGAAGCATGCGCTGGACTCTTACCGTTTGCGCCGAGGGAGGCATATTGGAGGATTGCTGGTGGAATCAGTGAAGGGGGGAAACTGGGAGTGTTGATGAGAGGCGGGGAATGGGGGCGATTAGGCTGCTGCGGGTCCAAATAGCCAACCACCACCACCAAGTATGATGCACGAAGTATACAAAGCCAAGTATATGTAACAGTGTCAAAAACAATATATACCAAATTCTATTCAAGCAAGCTTTTCCCTAACATTGATATCAAAACTTATTAAGTGTCATCAGTCCGCGCACGCTCGGATTCGAACCCTGGCCGTCCAGACTCTGGACCTCGCCGGCGCCCAGCCATCCTGGGAATACCCTCAAAGAACCCAACCCCAAGCCCTCGGCCTTTAATCTCAAACAAGTATCAAGGTTAATTGACCAAAAAAAATATCACCCACATCCAGGACTGGTGCACCTCGATGTATACCAAGTAGGCTCCTCCGAAGATCGGCCCCAAGGTACCAGGGGCCCAATGACGCGATCTCTCCGTCGCAGCGACACGGGCACTGGAGGATGGTAGACACATGCGTTAGCCATTAGACCACTGGGGGATTTTGGTTAAGGGGGAATGGGTTAACGGGGGTATAAGGAATGAAATTGAAGCTGTTGGGAAGGTACGGAGTAGTTGGAGAGTGGTTGGAGGTAGGACGTACCTGCCGTGAGAAGTAAAGGTGACTGACACTGATATTGGGACAGACCCACTATAGAGGAAGTATACAGTCATGATCCAGAGTGCAGTATTGTTCATGGGCTCACACTTGAACTAGAATACACCAGAGCTTTGTTCAATTGACATAGCATGGGACATGCAGTTCGGGCTCGTCCAGTCACAACACCTGATATATACAATTGTAGTTTGCTTGGTTGGAGTTAAAACACCATGAATGAATTGAACTAAACATGGTCATTTTTTTAATCTCAGTACTGTCTATCATTGCTTATTCTTCTCAGCATCTTTCATCTCCCCACGCTCTTTCACCAACCCTGCAATATGAGCACCAACATCCGACCCAAGATTATTGAATCCCTGAATAACTCCCTCACGATCCCCCTGCCCCATCTCCTGACTCATCTTAAACTTCCCCCCAATACTCTCAATAGAAACCTCAATGCCAATAATATTCTTCTTCATAATATCAACATACCGCTCCGGCGCATCAGACACACTCCACGGACCCGGCTTCCCATCCTTCCCCGTATACCCCATGACCGAAGTTTCGCACATTTGCGAAAGATCATGAATCTGCCGCGAAAGATACTCTGATGTCTCCGGAGCCGACGAGTCAAAGTAAATAGTAGCCTTGCCGTAGACTTGTGCAGCAGCATAGTTCCAGGTCGGAACCACCTTGCCTGTGTCTGGCTTGGTCTCGGTATAAAACTTGGGTGTCACGTAGTGGTGATGGGAACCAGTGAAGAGAATCATAACATCCTGTTGCAGTTTTGTCGTGCCGGAGTTGGTGCATGCTTCCATCATGGCTTTAGATTGGGGGTTTTGTCGAGCCATGTGGCCTCGTAGACGGCCCTTGACCGGTGCATCAGGGTCATCGGTGTAGACGTCCAGGACCCATGGCACATGGCTGGATTGGAGGAAGTGGTGTGTGGAGGATGGGATGGCGGTGGTGATAACACCCAAGGGATTGGCTTTGATGAATTCGAAGAGAGCCTTGGTGGAGGACTCGGCGTGAACGGCTCGGAGATACATGGCTGATGCTGGCTAGGAACGAGCAAGATAAATCCAAGTTGCAAAAGTGATTGTCTATGAGTGAGTCAAAGCATGGGTCTTTATATAGTTAACCTTACTTCAATTTTGATATGACCAATACAAGACGACCCCGCGGAGAACATCATACGGCAATTTTCGGTCTCCCTCATTGGGCCAATATGCCGAGTGACCCACTACAACTCTTGCCTGATCGATATAAAACCGTGTAGGCAGGGCGTGCAGGGCGTGAAGATTTTGACATACCCTAAACCCAGGTAGGAATATACGATGAGTTTGATTGTATTTTCAGTATTTTCTATGGTAAAAATGACCACAGATTTGGGATTCCGAGAATCTGGTGGCGCGAATAACCATCTTCTTCATCCAATCGGAGTCGTGGATCGACTGCCGTTTTAGGAACTTGACGGGAGTGGGGCTGGAATATCTTCACTCTGACTCTTTATATACTTCCATCTAACTGCTCCAAATGGACTGCAAAAAATATTTGCTTCATCTTTGACTCACTTGGTATTCTACGGTATTCCAATATCCTTGCTGAAAACTGAGGTCCATCGAGCAAATATGGCACCACTTAACAACAGCCACCCAGCCACTCAGGCCTTGCATGCTGATGATCGCCTCAACTTGGTCCATGATGTCGCACCTCCAATCCACTTGTCTACAACATTCAGATACTCGAACACCCCTGATGAACTGGTTTTATCAGAAGACCCTGTGGTGCGTATATCCAGGTAGCTATCTCAGGTCAGTTTGCACTTGGACTAATACTTCCTTTGACAGGCGGAATTCAACGGCAAGAACTACGTCTATTCTCGCGAGTTTGCACCAAATGCCACTCGCTTCGAGGCAGTTCTCTCCCCTCTTCTAAAGGGCCACGCAGTGAGCTATGCTACAGGCTTAGCCGCCCTGCACGCCGCATTGACGCTACTAAACCCCCGGCAAATATCCGTGGGCGAAGGTTACCACGGCAGTCATGAAGTCATCTCCGTGGTTTCTCGTCTTTCAGGACTCAAAAAACTCCCCATTGACTGTCCTACTGAGAGCCTGAACAAAGGCGACGTGATCCTCCTCGAAACACCCATCAATCCATTCGGAACAGCCTACAACATCGAAGAGTATGCCCAAAAGGCGCATTCCAGGGGAGCCTTCCTCATTGTCGACAGCACCTTCGCACCGCCCGGTCTACAAGACCCGTTCCTCTGGGGTGCTGATATTGTCATGCACTCGGGTTCGAAATACTTCGGAGGACACAGCGATATGCTCTGCGGTGTTCTTGCGGTGAAGCGGGATGATTGGGCGAAGCAGCTTTTCGAGGATCGCATGGCCTTGGGTAACGTCCTCGGGAACTTGGAGGGGTGGCTTGGTACACGGAGTCTGCGGACTCTTGAGGTTCGGGTACAACGGGCAAGTGAGAACTCAGCAAAGGTGATCTCATGGCTTAATGATGCGTTAAATGCCCCTTCTCCCGCACCGGGCTCGGAAGAGGCTGTTGTCCAGACTGTGTTGAAGAAGATTTATCATGCCAGTCTTCAGGATGAGCCTTGGTTGAAGAAGCAGATGCCCAATGGGTTTGGTCCTGTCTTCTCTGTTATTTTGCATAGCGAGGACTTTGCTCGCACATTGCCGAGCAAGCTGCATTTCTTTCAGCATGCGACGAGTCTTGGTGGAGTCGAGTCTTTGATTGAGTGGCGAGCTTTGTCTGACGCTAGGGTGGATCGGAAATTGTTGAGGATCAGTGTTGGCCTGGAAAACTGGGAGGATCTAAAGAATGATTTGTTACAAGCATTCAAGTCGCTTGCTGGTGCTCGTTAATTCTGAGAATTAATTCATCTTGTATATACACATTCCTTTCAAGTTCATATCTGTCATAAATCGTAAAACCGCTGTTTCCAACTCTAAATCCAAAGCCAATCCCGACCTAGACGGCCAATATCAAAGATCCACCGTGACTGCGCCTGACCAGAGGCATCTGTTTGACGCCAGTATTCTTGCAGAATCTTCGCGGCATTGACCGCGTTCAGACAGTTGGTGATGTCCCAAAACCGTTCGGCACAGGCAATGAGGAATTCCCGCTGAGGTTGCCACTGGCACTCTAAGCCCGCGATGAAGATGGGCCAAAGGACACATTTGAACATAATTCGATCATTCTGTAATGAATCGATCAAGCCCAACAATTCGGCGACCGTATCATCTAAAACTGTCTTTTCCCCAGTCATAGCATCAAGGATTCGTCTTCCATAGACGACAGTGCCGATTTTATAGGAACGAGATAGCGAGCAGAGACTGATGATTTCGCTTGGCGAGGGGGTACGTGATTGTGGCAGACCGGATGCCCAGGCATAGCAGTCAAAGTTTTGAACCATCTCCAGCAGAGATTTAGTCTCTTTGATGTGTGGCTCCATGGCTATCTGGTCGAGTTGGTTCGGTTCCGATATGCTGTCCCTTTGCATGGAGAGTAGTTGCATTGCGCTTAAAAGGTATTCGGGACAGCCGAGGAAAGAACTTTCAATTTCTTCTTGGAGTTGGAGCTCCTGTTGCTCGAATGAGGCGAAGTACGATAGTAACTTGGGCCGCAAGAAGGTGGCTCCAAGTGTTTCAATCCTATCATAGCAATACTGTTAGAATCATACCAGAACGCTTGAAATGTCTGTGATGGACTGACACTTTAATCTGTTTGGTGATAAAGGCACGGATTTCTTGCACTGTCTGTCCCGGTCCATGGTTTATGCCAGCCTGTGAGCCAGATTGAGGATAGGTGGATGCGATAAGATTCTTCGCGCCCTCCAAGTGATAATTCCACCCATCACTTCCCGACTCTAAAAGATCCAGAAAGACTAGGAGGAATATGCTGGCCACAGTCGTATCTTGTTTGGATAGTTTGGGGTCTGATAATGACTTTGATAGTGCTTCCATGGCTTGGTGCTTGAAAGCAAGTGCATGGCGGTTCGCATTGACCAGCTGTGGCGATGTTGGTGATTCAGGCTCATGGAAAGACTGGCCTTTATTAACATGATGGCGTGCTGCAAGTGCGAGAAGGGCTTTCATCAACACGGGATTCTCCAAGCCGAGGGGTATGAGACTTCGGAAAGGATTTCTCTCAGTGTCATATACAATGAAAAGCTGGCAGATACGTTCATTATCTGTGTCGATCTCTCAGTAAGTAGTCAGATGTCAGATAAAGTTCTTTCAGCTTACAGTAATCGATATAGTATTTAGAGGTCTTGTCCAAAGTTGAGAGGGTTGGATCTTGGATGATTAATGAGAGATCTGGTGAGGAAGACGAAGAGCTGTCGCTAGAGGTGGTCCCTGTATACACGCATTAGAGATATGTCAGCCACACTTTCAGATAGGGACATGGAAGCCATTGCCCCTCCAAGATCTATATATTCAAAAATCATGGCCTATAGCCAAGGAAGCGGAAAGGGAAGTCCGACATTGTCCATACCTGAAGAATCGAAGCGTTGGTCACGCCGTGCAGATGCCCGCACCAATGCCCGCTTTGGTTTCGCAGAACCTGTAGATTTATCTTTTGCAATCGAAGAAGACGAATTCGCATTTTCATACAAGTGTCCTTGCAGTTTTCCACGAATCGCAACGCCTTTAACCCATTTGAAAGGCCTTTTATCAAGACATTCCAACCCTGCCTTTTGGCATTTGCCACAAGGCACCCCGGACTGGTCGCATTGGATACGGCGATTGCGGCATGTATAACATGGATTATAGGTCCCGCGATCCATCGTGGATGGAGTGTCTCGTTGCAAGTCACTGCGATGGGGTAAAGGGTGGTTAGATGGTGGATGAGTCGCCTTGCTGACTGAGCTGAGCCTGGATCCAGGTGAAAGTGGATCCACAGGCGGGGCTTCCTATTCGCGGCTACAACTCTATGCCCAGCCCGGGAAGAAGACATATGTAGGGTACTTGGGGGCAGCAAATTCAGCCAAGGAAGCGAGAAGGAATAGGAAATATGTATTGAAGACAAATGAAATGATGTTTGGTGGTTTGAAGTTCTCCAAATCAGGTCTGAGTGTTAGTTGATTCTCATAATATGCGCCATCTCCATCCTGTCCCATAATGCAAAGCCCTAAAAACGATCGTGTTCTCCGTTCCAAGTCCCGCGATGCTGGAAATGCCAAATGCTTCAGATGACTTTTCACCAATGACAAAAAATAATATCCGGAACGCCAATTGCTAGGTTCATTTCTTCGAGGTGTGTCGACCCATCGATCCACCCATACCCAGTCGCCGAGTCATCAATAATTCAATTCCTCGACCGGAACAATCATATCAGGCCTTCTTGCAAGGACAGCAAGGCTGTTGGTGTTTCTTTGTCGTACTTCACGCATGTATTTCCGCTGGTCGTAGCCAATATCGAAGAAGGTTCCGCTTTCTATGCCGTGATACATGGTCCAGATGCCGAATCCAATGAGAACAATCGCCACACAACCGACGATAATAGCGAAAACGTAGAGAGGAAAGTTTGAAGGTGAGCCGGCGTCACGTTTGAGAAGAGCCGTTGTGGCATCCAGTGTAGTTGCGATGATTGGGGCCTGTAGTAGCGATGGATGTTAGTTATTTGAGCTCCAGAGAACAAAAGAGTTGATTGAAACCTACCATTATGGTTTTTAAGCCTTGTATTTAAACGAGTGTGAACTTGATAGGATGTATAGAACAGGGATATTGATGCTTTGCACACTACGACAAAAACATCCCTTCTGGAGCGAGACTGCTTTATATAGGGGCCCTACCAAGGCTAATTTCCGCAAACACACGCAGCATCTCGTGTGATCCAAAGATAGGACTGGGGAAGTGAAACACCGAAAAGCGATAAAAGTGCAACGATAAACCCATCCATCCAAACTTAGAGCCTTATACTACCCCAAACGGGAATCGCGCGACTTGTCTTCGCGACCTATGACGTCAGAAACCGAGCGGGCCAACCACATCACGAGATTCCCTACTCGCCCCATCGGCACTAGTGCTTCTTTAGGACTAGCTTCCTGTCGCTTCATTCTAAAAGAACCAGCGAACGCTGACTTGCGAGCTGACACCCACGGCGCATTCTCCAATGGCTCCAACTACAGGGCGATATTCTCCGTCTTCTCCGTCTAGCACCCCTGGAAAATTGTGAATGGGGTTTGCTGCAAGATTGCGCTGCATCTCCGTACTTGACTGATGATTCTATTGGACCAAATGTGTGGTGAGAATACCGATGTCGGTCTTGGCCCCCAATCTGATTTGGTGGGCACACAAAGTCGACATCTAGAATGGATGCATGCTTGCCAAGCCGTGTCTCGTCGAACTTGTCAAAGGTCGAGGAGGGGCTCCACTGAACTACTGTCATATGGGCGACAATCCAGAGTGCAGACTCGTATCTGACCTACATGAAAATATACTCATCCTCTTCATTGTCTCTGCGTGGCCATATAAGTATTGGACGATGACTGTTTTCTGTGTCAAGTCGCGGAAAGGTCCCTTATTACTACTAGCGGTCAGAAGGAGTATACGAGCCTTAGGTTATTATGAGATCCAGGCAGTTGCTTTTGCTATAGGTGAACATGCAGGCAATACAAAGACAATGGTAACAACAGTAACTCGAATGTGGTTGAGTTTGACTTTGAAAATACCCTGCGTGCTCAAACTCTTAAGACAGTCATGAAATATCTTTCAACGTTTAGGTATTCAATTTCTAGATCATTCGCGCGTAGAATAAGACTTGAATACATAGTCAAGATAGTTATGCTTGGTACCAAACTCAAATGACTATGTAAGGGCATCAAAGCCAGTACTAAAAACGAAGAAAGGAAGCAAAGACGGGCTAGAAAGTGAGAGCGGCGTAAATAGTTGTTGGTGTCTGGCCGTCTATTTTGTCACAAACGCCGGGTCCTCTCAGGGACCTACGTAACATGAATACGTTGATTGACGTTCTTCGCAATGCCTTTTGCCGATAAATTTGGCAAACTCTTAGGATAGTTCAGACTCATTCGGATATCCCGAATCTAGAGATAGACCTGACGATCTACTATATGGGTAACGTAAGCGATGAATGCCTGCTAAGAAGCACTGGATATACATGCTATATTGGACTTAAGTCAACTGATAATGACTGAGGAAATTCCGGACCATTCGGATTTACAAGAGTGCAACTGATCAACTGAATGAATTATCAGTCCAAGATACAGAGGAGGGGTTCCTATTTAAGACAGAAAAGTACTGGTAAAAGGAGGTTCAACTGAGACATGATATGCAGGAGGCTGAAGATAAGAGGAGGGGCAATGAAAGCTTCGACAAGAAAGCAATATGTTGCTAACCCGCCATCGCATTGGAAAGCAGAGTTTAAAATTTGCTCACTCTAGTGAGTTTAGTCAAAAAGTCACCATTGAAATTTCAAAATAACTTAAAGCGAGATATCAAGTTGCTATTTCTTCCATGACGTCAACTTAGTTACTCTGGTTTTATCCCCCACACTATCGCTTTGTAAGCCGAGGGGAGGGGCAGCGGTGTACGCAAAAGTCAGCACAAGAACATTTATCTGTTCTATCAGAACAGTGTAAATTTTGCATAATATTGTCTATATCTTTCACCTTGTTCAAAAGCCAAGATGTCCACCGGCACAAAGACCGTCATCGCGACAGGTGCATCCTCCGGCCTGGTAAGACGCCAACCCCATTTCAACCTTCTCCCGATTGGCAAACGATGGTGTCATTATCCCCTGAAATGCCTAACATACTATAATCAATAGGGCTTCGAATCCGTCAAGCAACTACTCGAAAAACCCGAGCCTTACAATTTCATACTCGGTGCCCGAGACACGAAGAGAACCCAGGCTGCGTACGACGCGCTCGGTTTCGATTCTACCAAGCACTCTGTTCACATTCTACCACTTGACCTGAAGAGTTTGCGGAGTGTGCAGGTATTTGTTCAGAAGGCTCTGGCCCAGCTTGGTCGGAACAAGATCGATTATTTGTTCCTGGCTGCTGGTACACTTGATGATGCTAATGGGCCGGGCCCGAATGGATCGCAATGGTGTGATGGGTATGTTGTTAATCATCTTGGTAAGTTAACCGTCTGCACAGTGAAGAGGATTTAGTAAATGGCTAAGGATCGACCAGCCCAGCATTATTTGGTCCACCTGATTCGTGAGACTTTGATTGCTTCTCAAACACGTATTGTCTTCGTTTCTTCCGGCGCGATCCGGAATGTGCGTGAACAGGATCCTAGTGGGTTTCCCAGATTCACAACACTTACAAGCCGTCAATTAACTATTCAACCAAGAAACGCTGGATATGGACCTGAAGGCCAACTCCGGCGCCGGCAAAAGACTAGTATACTGCGGCTCCAAGTTCGTTCAGTTACTGGGCGCTCACTACTGGCGTCGTAATCTACCAGAATGCACCATCGTAGCCGTTTCTCCCGGCCTCGTCCCTGACACCAACCTCGCCACAGACATGGGATTGAGCATGAATATGCCCGATGCCAAGACGGTCCCAGAAGGTAAGAGCGTTATTCCAACGTCGTGTTTGAGCAAATCTTCTAAGATTATCTTCTCACATCTTTAACAGGTGCTCGAAGCCTTCTCGAGGCTTTTACTCGCAATGATATCCCTGCGGATCCGGAGCAGATCTTCCTCACTAGTTGGGGTGAATGGTGGCCCAAGGATGTGTATGCGATGAGCCTGGATACCGAACTACAGGATAAGTGGTGCTTGGGTAGAGAAGAGATTGAGAAGGCTGAGGGTCTTGCTGGGGAATCCTGAGGGATCTTCAAATCTGGGACTTGTCGACTCGAGAATGCTTACATTGAGGTACTCGTTTTCGAAAACTACACACCTTCTACTCCATACATCTTCATGGCAGGATTATGTGGCAAAATATATTATTGAATTATTATCAGCGGCCAAACAGGGTATGACCTTTTCTAGTGCCGTATAATTTATGCACAAAAAGGGGCAGCGTACATGAATCTACTTACACACATCCCGTCTGGCATCAGCCCAAACTAGCAAGACATGCATCAGGGGGGAAATTGTAAATAGGTAAGAATGAATTCGCAAAACCAATAATTTCTTATGTCCAACCCATGACCCCACCCGAACTCGCTCGGCTCAAAAACATCACCGGTCATCGAACGTAGACCCAAACAAGACCCAATGCACAGCAGAAAAAAATACAAGTAAAAATAATGGATATCCAGAAAGCTGATACTAACAGGAAGAGAAAACAGGGCTGAGGAGCCATAAGGGATATATGGTGGGTGTAATAATGTCGTGAAAGCTTGAAAAAATGGCAACGTGGAAAAGTCGTCATGAGTTAAAAGTGCGCGTCCCATCGGGAGCGCGGTAGAATCGTAGAAATATGGGGGGTATTAGAAGTGAAAAAATTAGGTGCAGAGAAATCGAAAAGATGCATGTCTGCAGTTGTGAAGATCCATGGAGGATGGTTTGTGGTGAATGGGTGCCCTCGCAAGTCATCTGTACATTTGCGAGGACGGACATTCGCCCATCCCCGATTGACTTAGAAGTTCAAGGCCAGGGCAGCAATAGCACCGAGGGCCACACTCATGATCGAGAAAGTGGCACTGGCGGCACCATTGTGGGAGGCAGTGGTGCTGGCGGCGGCAGCGGCTCCGGCTCCGGCGGGGGAGCCAGTAGTCGACGAAGCCGATGAGATCTCGGCGGAACCAGTGAACACATGAGGGCGGTAGGTGTAGCTGTTGGTGGGGCTTGACTTGGGCAGACGAGTGTTGGAAGAATCAGCGTCCGAGGAAGAAGCGCCACTCGAGGTGGAGCTGCCAGAGTTGGACGAAGAGGAGGCAGCAGAGGTAGTGGAAGAGGCGGAAGAGGAAGTGGAGCTCGGGGCCTCCGTAGACGAGGTAGTGGTAGGAGCGGCAGTGCTGGTAGTGCTGCTCTTGCTAGACGAGCTGGAAGAGGACGACTTGGAATCACTGGAAGAGCCACCGGAAATGTCGAAAACAACGATGTTGGCCTTGGCACCCGAGGGGACAGTGACAACACAGCCAGTGGCACCACCAGCACCAGTGAAGACATCAGGAGCGTGCATCTCATTGACACCCATGGTGGAAGGGTCAATACGGCAGGGGAGACCATTGCAGCCGCCGCCCTCGCACAGAATCTCAATACCGAACTCGGGCTTCACATCACGGAAAGGAGTAGCGGGCTCCAGGTAGATAGGGTTCCAGCCGATCTTGAGGTAGGTGTCGCCATTGGAAACGGTGTTGGCGCCGGCAGTGAAAGGGGACCAGTTACCAACGGGGTTGGCGCTAGTACCCCAGATGCAAGCCTCCTCAACAGCAACACCGGGAGCGTTGACGTAGTACTGAGCAGCGGTCTCACACCAGTAGGACGTGCCGGGGACAGCAAGAGTGGATAGTTCCTCGACCAGAGTCGGGATCAGCATGGCCTCGTTTCCAGGCAGGACAGTCTGGCAGAACGCGACAGCCTTGCCGGCCTTGTTCACGGCCTGCACGGCACCAGAACCATCCTGGCAGTAGGGCTTGCTAGGGAAAGGCTTCTTGATGTTGCCGCTCTCGTCACAGTAGAGACCACCGTTCTATAGGGCTGTCAGTAAATGTCCCACTCGTTTCCCCCTTGCATATGACAGGTAGATCCAGTAGTACAAACTTACCATCGACATGGGGTAGCTGTAAGAGGTAGCCTCGGGATCCCATTGCATGGAGACCTGACCAGGAGGGCAGGCATAGGGACAGTAGTTGCCAGGCTTGCAGGGCTGGTTAGGGCTCATGGCCCAACCCGCGTTCTGCTCATTGGGAGTGACAGCAACCAGACCAGCATCGCTAGGGAACTGGCACTGGCCGCTCTTCTTCTCAAGCGTGTTGTTCTCCGGGAAAGTGCGGGCTTCGTGGGCGTGTCCATGGTGGCGGGTGTGGCCGTGGTGAGCAGCTTCAACACTGGCGATGAGGGCGACAAGCGCGGCCGCGTGGGCGGGAGTAATCTCGAACTTCATCGTGTCGAGATATGGGATTTTGGGGGGGTTTTGTATCGCGAAAATCGAGGCGCAAGAATGAATGACCGACTAAACGAATGTAGGTGATATCAAACGAGTGAATGAATGGAAGATGGCCCAAGGCCGAGGGTAAGGGACACAGAAGCTCGCAGAGAATGAGGTCAAAGGAAAGAAAGGAAGCCAGGATGAGATGGGCAGACCAGCCAGAAAAGGGACCAGGGCGCGCTGAGCCCGCTAGTGTAGACTGGCAAACCTTCAGGGAAAAAGGGCCAAAAAGGCCCCGACCACGGTGCTGGGTGACTGGGCCAGCAACGAGTGACGAAACTAACTCAATCGAGGCTGGAGTCAGAGAGAAGCAGCCCTGTTCAGGGTTTGGTGGATAGGCAGAGACCCTGACTGGCCCTAGGGACAAACTTGATGGAGCCGACTTGACCCATTCAGGAACTCTCCGCGATGCCTCGGGGGCTGATTTTGGGGGGCCCTTCTGGGGAGGGTCCAGAGGACCAAAGCACCAAAAGCACAGTGACCATCACCACAAGCACAGCATGAACGAGTTGCCCAGCTGCCCCTGAGCACACTCCACTAGCGGGCAGCCACATGAAGCCGCTAGTTTAGGACACTAGTCGCTTAGCGTCAGGGGTAGTGCCACTGATTGTCCAATGATCAGCCTGGATACCCCGGCGGTTCCTGCTTGGCGAGTGGAGATAGACCAATAACCTTATGGAAATTGCATCCAGTGGGGCATGAACCCTTCGCCATCAGAGACTCCCTTTGGGGGAGAAAAACGGTAGGTTGATGGTTTGCGGGAAGTCGAAGCGAGTGGAAGTTGGAAGTGAAAGAAGGAAATAACGAAATCTCACCACATGACCACACAGCATCTTCTTCCTGTAGGTACCTTCCATTCCACTCATACTGCAATTCTTTCAGCCGCCAATCAAAGCCAATTGTCAATTATTCAACAATCGATATGGAAGATGAATGATACACACAATAATCAGGGCCCCACTCTAATGTCCCTCCTCTTCTCCTCGGATCGTCCACTTTCCAGTTTTCATGGCCCTACCTGAGGAACTAACATGTTAGCCAGTCCATCCTAATCAAAATCACCAGGTCGTTCATGATCTAGAATCGTTGATCATGATAGAGGCTGGATCCTGGAAGGCCTCGTATTCCATCCAATGAAACCACTCTGTCTGGCCGGCTAGGGTTCCTATACCCTCAGCGACGAATCTGGAATAGTGAGAATCCTCGTGTCTACGGAGCCGACGGACATCCTTCCGTTCAGCCAAGACTCTCGAATCCCGAGCGAGGTCCGTGATGAATAGCTCAACGTTGTGGGCTGATCTAAGCTTATCCAAAGCTTGACTATGAAACTGGGGCGACGAGTTTCACATTGTTCCACTATGACAGTGAACTACTGTAGCAAGCTACGAAATGTGTCTTCGTGATCACAGCTGGCCTTGCTGAATTTTGTATGTATCCAGACCCCAACTAACACGAGCAAAGTGCGCCCCTCAGGAGACAAAACCTTCCTCTCCATTGTGGCTGGTCTGAGTCTCAGCAGGAGCCTGGAGTCTGGTTTTATACGCGATGGAAAAGACATCCCACTCTAACTTGTCGCTTAATCAAAAAGGATGTGAATTGTCTTGAAGTGCAGTTTCAAGCCCTCTTGGAGAGAGGATGGGTCTCCGATCGAAGACACGCCATGATCGACATACTGCGCTAACGACTTTTTCTTGCTGTCATCTAACGACTGGAAATAGCCTAAATGATACGATGCTAAGGACTTGATATCCCACGCCATGTGCACATGAATTCATACATATTTACTTTTCTTCAAAACAAATATGATGCGCCTCTCGTTTTGGATTCGTGAGATTCTGAACCTACTGTACTTTGAAATCACTGGGCTTGGCATTTTAGTCAGCGTCCTTGGCTAAAAACCTAAAGATGCACAGCCTCATCTGATGACTCCAGGGAGCTGTCGAACAGGGCGAGTTGTAATTGTCTGCCTTGTCTTGCCTTTCAAAAGGTGATGTGAGCTCGTATTTTTGCCGACTCTGCAGACCCAGTTTATCGCCACTTGTGTACAGGAAACGCCATGCCTCCCGTGTCCAGAACCTGTCAGAGTTGCGCTAATTCTAAGGTCCGATGTATTCGAACTTCTGAGAATCCACATGTGTGCAAGAGGTAAGATAGGCATCCGATGAGGGAAATGTAGAACAGCCAGAGGTGACTTATGTAACTGTAGATGTCTGCGCCTAGGTAGAGAATGTCTCTATAGGCAAACGGGCCGTCGTTTCAACGGCTTCCAGAAGGATCGGTGAGCAGCACATTTGACCACTGGGCGACCTATGTTTAACACATGGATAGAAAGATTGAAGCTCTCGAGTCCAAGGTTAAGAAGTTGATGACGGACCAAAATACCTCAGACCAGTCGTTACAAGCGCCTTCAGAGGCAGTGTCTAGAATGCGGAGTACCTCTGTGACGGAAAGCGATGATGGCGACAAAGATATCATCGACCGAGGTATTTTGAGCCTGGAGATAGCCGAAAAATATCTCGAGTTATTCAAGTCGATCCTAACTCCACATTTCCCTTTCGTGGTCATCTCTCCTCAAGTCTCTGCAGTCCACTTACGACAGGACAAGCCATTTCTTTTCTTAGCCATTATGTCCTCAGCATCATACGACAATATGCCATTGCAACGGTCATTGGGCGCCGAGGTTAAAAGAGCTGTTGCCTCTCGAATAATTCTCAACGGAGAAGTGTCGTTCGACTTGCTGCAAGGGCTACTGGTGTTCCTGGCTTGGTATGCATATGCCACTTGCGCTTCATATTGCATCTGTGATCTGTGGGGCCCCCACGCGTCTAATTATTGCTTTTCCAGGTCCCATTATCATACAAAGCCACACCGATATACTCAATTTCTCCAATTGGCTGTTAGTCTCATTATAGACTTGCGATTAGATCGGCCGCCACAAACAAAGACGTGGAAGACTAAGTTGCACTTTGAATCGCAAAATGTGGCAGATGAACAGACCCTTGAACGACCATCATGGGGAAGTGACGAGAAGAGAGCTGTCATTGGCTGTTACTACCTATCATCAGCGTAAGTTTTTTTTTCTTCGATTTCTATTACGGAGGCGCCCGTAACTGATTTGTTCTATGCTAGAATCTCTGTTCTTCTTCAGAAGCAATCTGCCTTTTCTTATATACCTTACCTTGAAGATTGCTGTCGGTCGCTTCAAGATGGAAAGGAGTATCCCCATGATCTATACATGGCCGCTCTAGTCCAGTTGCAACACATCGCGGAAAAAATAGACCGGCTGTTCGGAAATCACAAACAGGAGCTCATGAGACCCGGTTCAGGATTGGAACTCTACGTGACAAGTGTCAGATCAGATTTGGATGCATTTCAAAACCGACTACCATTCAACATCTACGATGCCCGTGAGTGTGATCGATGACCGGTCGCAATCTATTCTTGCTAACTGTTCTTAAAAAGCATTCTTTGCGATTCAATTTCACACAACCGCCTTGTCTTTATACCAGCTCGCCCTCGCTGCGGTTAGCCCTTGGTCTGAATCCCAACCAGTGGCTTACCAGCTTGATTGGAACGAGATGTTGTGTGCAGCGATGAGTGCTTCTGAGTACGTACTCAATTCGTACCTCGAGCTTCCAGTTGGCACGGAACTGGGCTTCACAAATACACAATGGGTACAAATGGCTTTCTCCATGGTCATTCTCTATCGGCATACTGCCAAATTGTCCAATCCAAACCAAGCAGCTGCCTTCCTTTCCATGTTAAACCAGCTGCAGCAACGGATAGGCACGTTGTCGACTCCCCACGTGGACTCAAATGGGGACCGTGACACCTTTTTCGACTTCACGAGACGAGTTGTGCAAATAAAAGGATTGCTAGGTGGCCCTCGCGATAATCCTTCCAGAGATATTGGCAAAGATGGCTCGTCAATTCCTAACATAGGAATGCATGTATCTGTCGACGCCTCCAACATTCTCGAGGGTGACCCTTTAGATTTGGACAGTCTAGTCCCAGAGGATCTCTTGATGCAGGTTGACTTTTCATCTGACTATCTGTTTGAGGCTTCGGTGGAGCAGATTATGGGCAATTGGATTTGATTTCTACAGCTAGAGAATTTTAGAAAGACTCTTAAAACAGATGATTGGAAAGACCATTGGAAAAAAATTCCGTTAACGTTGACCGAAATCAACTCGTTTACATTGATTCCCTATCGATACTCTATAATGTACAATTATTAATAAGATGGAGGATGCAGGACCCTGACCCGAAAACCTTTCCGGCACTCTCTTCATGTGCGTGCAGTATCCCAGGGCTCAATTGGGTTTCCAAGCCAGCGCGTGCGATCAGGAACTTGCTCTCCTCGCATGACCAGAGACAGAGGACCAATTATTGTAGACTGACCAGCTCGGCCTCCGGGAAACGATGTGTCTCGCACCAAACTCTGCCGATTTCGGCTCCCATTTTCGCAGCCACATGTTCAACAGAGGGGTCCCGTATACCAGGCGAAACAACTATGACAGTGCCAGAGATTCAACAAAGGTCAAGGCCAACTCATTCCGCCATACGAAAGAGCTCCATAGCGGGTGCTGACGGTCCGCTGCAACATTAGGTGTCAATATCCATTTGGCAGCTGTTGCCAATAAGCACGACGCGACTCCAGCTGCGGAAAGCATGAATCCTACAGTAACGATCGCAATTGCCAAGCCCCAGTGGTCCAGCACTGTGATCATGGCAACCACGGTTGACTCTATCAAGAGTGCTGATATTACTAACGGGATAACCCGCATCGACTCGATTGCGCCTCTCGCAATTTTGAGCCTCAGAGGAGGGTCATATGCCAGCCTCGGGTCAGGCAACTCGTCGATCCGACGAAGAATTGGTATGGCTGGTCGTCCGAGCCATGATGAGCCAGCAGTTATTTTCGGCGTAGCTGACGCACTACCCAAGACGCCGATCAACGAGTCATCGGGAGTAGAGTTGTCAAGCCCGACAATGCCCGAATTGCCGACAAATGCTCGCTAGCCTACTGAGGAGACACCCAGCACAAGCTTAGCTCCTCTGAGCTCAAATGGTGCCAGCGATACATCATCTGCCAGAAACGATCCGTCTTCCGCATGGAAAAGTGATGGCGGTGCCACTATAGTTGATGCTTCGACTCCTCGACCAATACGAGCGCCCAGCACACGAAGCCATACTGGCGTCAGAAGACTGGCATAGAAGGCAAAGAGACTGCTTCGGACATCACTCATGAGCCGGTGAGTCAACCAAGCAGCCCATGTATGTACAACATGACTGGAATAGATACCAGGCACCATATACTTGGCCGCAAATCGAATCAAGCCTGTTAGCAAAGCCGCATAGCAAGTTACACTCATCACAGTGACGGGTATTGCTAGTATCAATATGGTGACCAACGAATCCTTCAAGGCTTTGCTGTCCCACAGGATATATGCGCAGAGCACTACTGCAGGTATAGCAGCTATGGCCTGCAAGACTTTGACTAGGAGCAGCGTCAAGGTATAACGCAGCATTTCCCAGGCGCCATCTCGCTGAGTTGTGTACTTTTCATCATAATCAATATCACCACCCTTGACAGTTTCTTCGACGCAGACACCTGGTGGCACTTCTGCAAAAGGCTCGACAACAGTTCCTGGAAGCAGTACGGCTCAGGTGCCTACTCGAGCGCTTGTAGATAGCTCAATGGTCCCAATTCGCAAGACATCGCCATTCAGCCAATACCCGGCGATATCTGCATCAGGCTCGACAGCGCAAGACGGACCGAAGATTGCAAGACCTGTGATAGGCGGTAAAGCATGGAGTTGTGCACTCGAGTCCACTCGACAGCCTAGAAGCCAGGCGTAGCGACGACACCACTGTGTGCCGATGATAGGATTGATTCCACTCAAGCCAACAAATCGTTCAGCGGCCCACAGGCGAAGATGCACCCACCCTCCTCGATCGTAATTGCCTGGTCGGTCTGTCTACATAGTGGCATATGTAGACCCCTATCATACAGATGCGTGTCGCAACCTCCACATCTTATTGTCTTCATTGACTTGTCAGTTTTTGATTAACTGACCCCATGTTTCGCAGTAATTCTCGGCCATTTTTGTCCTTTCGCATCACCAACATCACTCGTGCGCCGCGATATTTTCATCAGATCACAACAGATTTCATTACCCTCAACGTGACGGGAATCCGATAACCAACCAGGTGCCTGTTATTATTGGCAATCCGGGAGAAACTTATGCTTTGATTGATCCAGGGGTTGGTAATGCACTCCGCGCTGCCAGCCCCTTGACATCGACTTCTGCAAGTGGTGCTGGAGATAGATGTAACCTTACATTTTTTTCATGATTCGCGACAGTTCAGGTTTGGTAAGTTGTCCGTGTGTTATGGCATGATATATCCGACGCTAAGGGTTTGTTTTTTATGCTAGGATCATCGAGTTATCCTCACCTCTATGTTCCAAACCAAATCCCTCAACAAACAGAGTCAAATACAAGCCCTGCAACTCTGTTCTTGAGCGGAAAGATGCACGAAATAGTTTTGGATAGAACTTTTGAGAGTACAATTCACTTAGTCCACTCTCTTGTCTTACAGATACTGATCGATAATGTCTCTCTAGTGAGTTTTGCTGAAAACGCAAGCGCCACTAGGCGGAACCTGGACAGCGTACTCTCCCTGCTGAAAGATATGTGATTCTAAGATTGTTTTTCAAACTAGGGCTATATCGAAGATCGTCTGATGTAAGTCTTCATAGGCGGGTTACTATTAGAAGACTATCCACCTAACTCCAGATTCCCAAGCAGAAAGTCTTTCGGTAATTGAGAAATTACAAAGTTATCGAGGTTATAGGGCTTTGGGCGCCAACTCACCAAGTCGGGACTTGATGAATTAGCGAGTGACGTTACATAATAAATCAGGGGCCTCGGTGTTACCGGGATCAGAGACCTATTGATCAGAGGCATATATCTCACATCGCCGACTGATATCACCGAGCCGACAGATGTTGGGAAGCCTAATATAACTCCGACCCGAAGTACTATAAGTATGTGTACTAAAATCATTATGCGACAATGAAAGGATATCTACAAGTTTGATTATATTTATTATATTTACCCAAAATATGGCCTCGCTACTTGCTCGTTCTGTCTCCTTTTTCCTGCTGTTCTCTTCGGCACTGTCCACTGGATTCACGCCATGTCCACTCCTGGGGCCTGGGTTTCCTCCTTTCGCCCTAGACACCAACGATACGATAGTTGGGAAAGCCCTTGAAATTCTCACTGCCAATTTTGATCAGCTCGTTCAGACGGGTACTGGCCCCAACGGAGATATCTCGCCAAACACTACCTTCAGTATCGCACTGTTCTCAGCTAACAAGGGAACCGCTGAGGACAAACCGTTTTTCTGGGAGTATCATCATACATCCCCTGCTTTTAAGAAGGCAAACCATCTCTCTCAAAACGTCACCAAGGACAGCATTTATCGTATTGGAGGGCTTACCGAAGTCTTCACTCTGTGGAGTCTTCTGTTGGCTGAGGGAGATCAAATCTTCAACGACCCCGTTGTCAATTATCTGCCTGAACTTGCCAGTGCCTTACAAGGACATCAGGATCCCATTAATCTAGTTCGATGGTCGGATGTTACCGTTGGCCAGCTCGCCAGCCATATGAGCGGGATTGCTCGAGACTGTAAGCGAAACTAATAGGCAATTGACAATGCAAGACAACCTCTGATTGCATATACAGATTGCTCTAGCAACCTTGCTTCTACAGACAATGATCAAAGGGCAGGGCTGCTGACATATCATGAAGCCAAGCTACCATGCTGTGCTGACCACTCGCGATGCAGTACCAGTGGTATGAAATTCCGCATCCCGAAATATTCCCAGGTTCTCGAGTCTAACTACCTTAGAATTCATTCAACATTTGGCGACCAGAGTGCCAGTTGTTGCTGCTGGGGTGACCCCAAGTTATTCGAACATGGCATTCCAGCTTCTCGGATACATCATCGAAAGGCGCACCGGAGCGTCTTTTGCCAAGGTCGTCCAGGAACGTCTTCTCAACCCTTTGCGAATGAACGAAACCACTGTATTCGCACCCAAAAACTCAACCATGGGAGTTATTCCGGTTAATGAGACAGCTAGTGGATGGTCGGCTCGAACACCAGGCTCTGAGGCGTAAGTCCCGTATCCTTGGACCTGATCTATGATAAATCTGACCTTATGTACCATCAAGATCCACATCTATGTTCTCGAGCATCAAAGACCTTGCAATAGCCGGCCAAGCAATTCTCAATTCAACCCTTCTTTCATCGAGCCAAACGCATCGCTGGCTCAAGCCTGTTTCGCACACCTCCAACCCCAAAAACTCTCTTGGCGCACCCTGGATAATCTACAGTGGCGGCGAATACCCCCAAACCTCTATGATTGATGTTTATACTATTCTCAGCAATGAAGGAACCAACGAGGGGCTTTACAGCTCCTATGTCGGCTTGGTTCCGGACTACGACATTGGCTATGTTATTTTGTCCGCTGATACTGTCAGCCCGGCAGATCTGAATGTCCACGCAGACTACATGCAAGTCGTCCTTGAGGGTATAATCAAAACGTCCATTAACCAAGCTGCCCAGAACTTTGGTGGTGCATATGCGGCTTCTAACTTGAATTCTTCTATCACCGTCAAGTACGACGAACTTCCGGGGTTGTTGATTGAAAGCTTCATCAGCAACGGGACCGACTTTCGTGAGACTCTGGCAAACCTCGTCGGTGTCGTTAATGCGACAGATCTGAGTATTCGTCTATATCCGAACCAGCTTGTTCAGCAGCATGGGTCTGAATCTAAGCGGGCGTTCAGGGCCGTTTTCCAGGACAAGACAGAGCTTGCAGATGCAGGGACACCCACCTGTGTTTCCTGGCTAGATTTGGACAAGTTTCAGTATGCTGGGCATGGACTGGACGAATTTATTTTCACTCTGAATCCCGAGGGCAAGGCTATTAGTTTGGAGATCCCGGCGTTGGAAGTTACCCTTGAACGGAAAGCATAAGCCACTGATCAACAAACGGACAAGTTCCGTACATTATATGCCTGTCTATACTTGAAGCTCTTGTCTCTGGTTTCCATGGTTGAGTTTATAGAAAATTACCCCAGACCCAGAGATTTTTATCAGCCCAAGTGCTGATGTCACCGATGGTGGGAACACGTGATGTGCCGTCGATGAAGTCGTAAAGCCAAGAAGCCCAAGAAAATGCCCAGACCGACTGTTTTAAAGAGTTTTCGGGGTGAAAATCCTGTTTTCTTCTCGAAATACACTTATCAAATCACTTGTACAAGCCTTACTTAGAAGGTCTTGTGATGGCGGGTTTTCTGGCATACCACGAACCTGGTAGTAAGTATTCGCCATCTACCGTTAGACATGGCTTGTGCTGATAACGCTAACCACGATCTGCAGTTGTCGAGATTTTGATTATCATATCATTCTTCTTCCTTCTATCATTAGCGGAATGGATTTCGACTAAGATCATTCGTGCCGGTATTATTGGCCAAATTGCGGTTGGGATTATTTATGGAAAACCTTTGGCCAATATCTTGGAATACTCATGGCAACAGACTTTCCTTGCCATTGGGTATGTTGGCTTGATCTTGATCATCTTTGAAGGTATTGGAGCTCCGCATGTTTGACTCATATTGATACTGATCCCAAAAATGAACAGGTGGCTTGCAAGTGAGACTGGATTTATTGAAGGAAAACTTTCTTCTTAGCATCCTCGCTGCAGCAACAGGTGTCTGCTTCCCAATCGGTCTTTCTTACCTGCTGTTATACTTGGGATTTGGATACGGTATGCTCATCTGACATATTACATTCAAACCCCTCCGAGACTAATACCCTGAAGGTGCAGTTGAGACGTTCATCATTGGAGCTGCACTCTCGGCGACTTCCTTGGGCACTACTTTCTCCGTCATTTCATCAGCTGCGAGCGCGATTGACCTTTCCCAAACCCGAGTTGGTTCGGTTCTTGTGAGCGCCGCTGTGATCGACGATGTGGTGGGCCTTGTGCTGTCTAGGTAAGAGTTTACCCCTCTACGCTGTGGGAATTGGTGCTCACACAACACCAATAGTGTCATTGGAGACTTGAGGGAGCTTTCTGGCCCTGATGCTGGCCATGTCAATCTTGGCTGGATCATCGGTCGACCAATCGTAGCCTCTGCAGCCATGGCAATTCTCACGCCAGTATTCACCAAATGGATCTTTGCACCGATTTTTCGACGCTGGATCGAGCACAAGTTTGCAAAGTTCGACCACGTTTCGAACATCCTGTTGATGGTCTTGGTCTTGTCGGCCTTCATTAGTATCGCCGCATATGCAGGCACATCGGTCCTCTTCGGTGCTTTTCTTGCTGGCACATTTCTCACATACTTGCCGAGCAAGCATCCCGATGGTCCTTTTGTCGTGATGAGCCGGGAAGAAGGTGAGCGGAATGCCGACAAGAGTCCGAAATTCATTCACACGTTCGAATTGTACCTCTTGGATACTCAAAAGTATCTCATGGAGCCACTCTTCTTTGCCAGTATTGGATTTGCAATTCCTTTCGTGGAACTCTGGACAGGAGAACGAATTTGGAGAGGAATCGTGTTCACATTGCTCATGGCTTTTGCGAAGGTACGAAACCCTCAACCCCAATATCTGAGTAGGCATCGGATAGATTCTAATATCTCCTTGCAGTTCGTTGTCGGGCTGTGGATTCCTGGCTGGAAATTCCTGGGCTCGTCAAAGGGTCGTTCTGGTGCAGCCCTTGATTCACCGACAATCAAAAACGACGAAACTGGATACGGTCCGGCATCGCTTGCTGGGCTACTTCTTGGCTCGGCGATGGTCGCACGAGGTGAGATCGGCCTTCTCATCATAGAAGTTGGGTATAATGAAACAAGCTATGTGAGTCAAGATGGCTTCATCACGGCAGTTTGGGCTATCCTCCTTAATACCATCATCGGTCCCGTCATCGTGGGTAACTTGGTCAAATATCGTGGGAAACGGATCGGAGAGGGCGAATGGGGTTTGCAAACACAAGAGCAGCCCTTGATACCAAATCCCAGCCGACCCCAGGCATGAACAAGGTGATGGACAAGCTGGCCTTGTTCACGAGCTTCGGGACTGATTTTTGGAAAATTTGGAATTGGCTGTCATGTAGATACTTTACATAGTCATTCGTGATATTCATTTGGCAATACAGCCAATCAATGTGCTTGAGACATCACTCGCCGGGTTGGGCTTGCAAAGTCGTCCACCCATTAAATGCCGCAGAATTCCCGCCATTCCTCCATCCCCATGAGATACAGTAATGCCGGGCAAGCAAACGCCATTCTTCCATCTCGTCCAGCATCTCCAGACTAGCCACTCGCTCTTTTTCTTCCTCGTCTACCCAGCGTTCCCAAATGAAATCAATATCGGCGGCAGCTTGACCGGTTCCGAAGCCTTGTTCGAACAACCGAGCTCGCTGAGCCTCTAGAGAGGCGTACTTATTGAGTGTTTGAAGCTGGATACCTCGAGTCGCGAGGTTGGACACCATGGTGCGTCCGAAGGGGTCGTTTGGTCGAATTGGCTCGTACAAAATCAATCCAAGAGGCGTCGCAGCTGGCGAACTCTGCTGCGTTTCACCACTTTCGGAGGGCTCGTGCGTAGGACCAAAGAGATGTTCAGTAAAGAAAGTCACCACTTGAGCGGCCTCAGTGGGAGACAGGTATATCAGGCAGCATTCCGATATTAGCAGTGTCGGTAGGCTCCTGTCAATGCCTGGGAGCGCTTCCGTGAGGGAGAGGTTTGGCGATAGCGATCGTAGGTCGCATGGGTGAATATGGTAGGAGGGTGTGTGTAGCGCATCGCCCGCTTCTGATACAGTCACGTCATTGCTCGACGGATCAAGTCCCAGCGCCCTTTGTAAGTTTGGCGTCGATCTGATCGCACGAATCTTCGCAGACGTATTGACTGCAAAATCAATCTCGTGATAAATGACGTCGCACGGTCTTCTAGAGGCAAAGAGTCGGAAAACACGTGTATCTGACCCAGCACCTAGTGAAACGATTTGTTTCTTCTGGTGCTGAGACTCAGGGGAGTATGAACCGAGGAAGTGGGAGACAAGCTGATCAATTGCGGTGGTGCGGACGTAGGTCCCTGCTTGGGAGAATTTCACGTCAGTTTCCATTCCACTCGGGCGCAAGGAGAGGGAACATGCCTCTGTTGATAATTGGAAACCTTCTCGTTGCAGACCCAGGCGGCGTCAATGCTGTCGCGTAGGGATCGACGAGATATCCCAGCTCGACGGCACTCAGACGAGAAACACTCGCGTCATTGTCAGTACCCTGCACGACGCGATCTTTAGCGGACGTCCGAGTACTGTGGCCATCTTCGACTCCACGACTACCTCCACGCCCTCGGCCTCGACCACGACGAAGGAGGTTGAGGTTTGGAATCTGCGATGCGGCCATGGGGGAGGGGGAGGGTGGAGGAAGCTTGGAGCTCAGACGTGGTGGGGAACTGGCGGGGCGGGAATAGCGTCACTAGTGGTACTGTGGTTGAACTACATACATCATGCTAATGACCTCCCACGAAAACCTTCCAACGGTTAGGATTTTTTAAATGTTCAAACTCTCATAAGCGGATCAAAATCTTAAACATGAAATCATGCGAGTTTCATTTTCACGTCTATCGTCTATTTATTTTGCGCGTTCATAACATCAAACATATACAAAGTTGTTGCGGCATAGGGGGCAGGTGCTCTGGTTGCTGCTCTTGAACCATCGGAACAGGCAGACTGAGTGGAATGTGTTCTTGCAGGTGGCACAGCGCTTGTTCGGGGTCTGCATATCGGTTGAGATGACCGAGTAGCAGATCGCACACTCGCTTTGTCCCTTCAGAGCACCTTGCACGTTCTTTCGGAAGGCGAGGAGACCATCAACCAGGTTACCGTTGGCAAACATGATGACACCCTGGATTGTAAGTAGCCAATTCTTCCACTTCTTTTCGTCCACAAGCACTCGGCTACGGCCGACTACCAGTGCTGGGTGGAGTGGGTATGCAGGTGGGAGAGAGATCGAAATGGAGACTGGGGGTGATTCCTCATCGACGGGGATGCTGGCGATGATCTCTGCTGTCTTGGGCGAAATCTTCACACTCAATGCTCGCTCTTCGTTAGGATCTTGTGTGGAGATCCACTCTGTAACACCTTCGAGGGAATCTCCGGACACGAGTGGGGAGATCTGGAACGCTGGTTAGATAATTCCCTAATTTTGTCATAGCAACCTGAGGTTCGATTTCACTTACATGTTTCTCTGTCCATGATTCCACCGGGCCCTTGATTCGTTTCTTGGTGTCAATCCACCAATTCTTGGTCATGTTTGCCAAGTGGCGAAGACAGAGGTAGTACAGATGGATCAGCAGCCATTCGGTCTCCTTTTCAGCATTCTCAGACTGATCTGGTTCAAAGTTTTGGACGTCAAATTTAGACGCATCAACGATCTTGCCGTGAGACTTTTGAAGGAAGTCAAAGGTGAACTCCAGCAGTGGAGTCAAGACTTCGTTCTCCTTGATGTTGGTGGTGTAAAACTCTTGGACGGGAAGCGACTTTTTGGATTATTAGCAGGGATCTCACAAAAGAAGACGAGATGGCATACAGCATTAGTGAAATGATCAAACACGACTTTCCAGCTCAAAAGGTAAGCCCGTATGGTGGTCCACATCTTGTCATCTCCATAAGCCTCGTTGACCATCTGCATTGAAGGCGCCTCCAGCAACAATGATATGAGCTCATCTGGGAGGCTGACTGAAGCTTTAGACAAAGCCATGTCAAATGAGACTTGTTCCTGGGCCTGGGGAATAAAACGGTGGAGGATAGTGTAAGCAGTGCGCTGTACGGAGCGACTATGTGCAGTGAGGAGGCCAAAGACCCCGCTGACATCCTCAAGCTTCTCAATGGGTATGGATTCAATGAGGCGTCGCAAAAGCTCGACAGCAACGTCGCGCGGTTGATGGAATGTAGTTGCGGAATCTAGATTCTGTGTAAGCTGGGACTCTCGCAAACGGCCATTCTATGAGGATCATGCTATACATACCGAAGTTTCCGATGGTAGAAGCCACCTCATTAAACAGTCCGGACTTTCGCTCTGACCAAGCATCTTGAAGATCATCGTTGCTGTTTCCCTCCGCCAGAGACTTCAGGCGTGCGAAGAATCTGAACGAAGAGAACAGAAGGGGCAGTCCCTCTTCTCCGCCGTTAGTCTCTTTAAATATCACGCTCAAAATATCCATGCTCTCCTCCCAGTGTGAGCCATAGATTTCGGCGAGGCCTGGAAGAATGAATGTTAAAGTCCGTAGAATTTCGGCTTTCAGCCCTGGGAGTTTCATGTCGGAGTGAAGGCATTCAATCAGATGCTTGGCAAGGAAGACCAATCTTTGCGTTGCGATAGTCGATACAAAGTTTTCTTCTCCAGACAGTAAGATGTTAAGCAATGCAAGCTTTCGCAATCCTAAGCCATTGTTAGAAGATAACCAATATTTGAAGCGGTTCTGGAACATACCATCAGAGCCGGGGTCGAGGGGTTTCAGCCCTGTAGAATCGGCGACCAACTCGTTACAAACTCTGCTTCCGACAGGGCTTGAGAGAATTGAGCTTCGTAAGACAGCGAACCATGACGCCGAACGAATGGCGTTGGCCGTTCTTGACTCGCGGCATATTTTTGCAATTTCATCCGCCGATTTAGGATGCTCCACGACATCTATAGAGGTCATGAGTTTGGTGAAAGCCTCTCCAATCCGGTAGTCGACAGGGGAGTTTCCGCTTAAACTCTCCAGCTTGTTCTCCCAGAAAGAAGTCAGCGCAGATGAAACGGTCACAGTTGAAGAAGATGTCAAGAGGTCCTTCGCGTGGATCCAATTGCTAATGATCTGCCGCCCTTTGAAGACTGTTTCAAGGTAGTCTTCACGTTGAGTAGCCGATGTTAGCCCAGAGATTCCATTGCAATGCTCGATGCTCAGGTCGTCATCGATTAACTGGACGGCTATTGGCAGGTAGTACATGAGAATTTCGAGGTCATCGGTGGTCAGGTTCTTAATCACTTTAAAGGAGGACAAAATATGAATCGTAAAGCTTGCCAGGCGGAATGCAGCGGAACAACGGTTTGAGTCACGGGGTATGGCAAGCCACAATGCCTTGAACGAATCCGAAATGTCGCGCTGGACAAGATGAACAATGCCGCCCAAGGGGCTGGTGATAGCTGTTGAAACACGCGGCGGAAGCTGAAGGAAGGGGCCCATCGCATTCTCCCATGCATCAGAAGAGGGCAAGATATCCTTGACAGTATAGTCTGATTCATCTGCTGCAAGGCCATGCAACAGCTCCTCTGCAATCACAAAGAGAGACTCAATTCTAGACTCGGGTTAGACGGTACGACACATAAGGGACAAAGGAAAATCGCTTCACTTACGACAAAGATTCTTCGTTAACATGATTGAATTCACTGTGAAGGATTTCGATCTTCGATTTGTTGCTCGTATCTCCGATCACAGTCTCCTTGAAAGACTTCATCAGTGACTCGGCCAGGCTTGCCACCTCCTCTGACGGGGACTCCGTCAAGTACAGTAGCTTCGCAGTCAGCTTTGAGCCATGGGTTCCTGTCTGAAATTCACGGACTATGGATGGAACAGCCTGTCCGAGATGAGAGAGGCCATGCAAGGCATCAAAGACCCTATCATCTTGAGACAATGCATCGATTATCGACAAGAATATCTGATCTCTCAATTGGCCCTGAGAGGTCTGGTTCCGAAGAGCCGAAATGATGATAGACCAATGAGAATGACTCCCTCGTAAGGATTTGTCTAGGGCCCGCATAATCAAAGATGACAACTTGTTTTTGTCCCCAATTTCGTTGAAGTCGAGATTTGATAGTAGGCTTTGGAGGATATGGGCATTCGATTGCTCAGGCTCCAGCTCCATTGCGCTTTCCACAACACTCTCAAAACTGGAAGAGAAGCCATACCACTCCCTACAGGCCAAAATGATTGTAATGAGGCGATCGCCCGAGGGAGAGAACAGAAGTCCAGGCGCATCATTTTGGATGAATTGGAGGAGCTCATGAGAGCCCTTTGCCACTGAAGGCATGTTGCGAACACATTCTTCGACCACTCCAGCAGCGCCATAAGGCTTACCATTGCGCGAATGGAGCACTTGCAAACAGCCTTCGAGAAGAAGCAAGGCTGATTGTTCGAAAATTTTCTGAACTGTTGCTTCGTTTTCGGCACCCGAGGCTCGTGAAAGGATGGAAGGCACCAAAGCAAATAGCCTTTTCGATTGGGAGCAGATTGAATCCTGAGATGGGCGGTAGTCCTTTGACTGTTCTGGGGATGACAATTTAACAGCCTCCAGTAAATCATTTGAAAGCTGCCTCCAGAGAGCTTGGAGTCCTTCATGCTGCCCATTTGAGACAAGTGTAGCGATACAGTCCGTACAAATCTCTTCGGCTAATTGTGTAGGAAGGATCCACTGGGGTTGCTCAGGGTCAGGTCGCACGTAGCTCACCACCAGTGGAAATAGTCGGGTCCGAATGAACTCGAGTTGCTGCTCCTGGGGCACAACTGTCGAGAGCCAGCCCCCAATCCTAACGTAGGTTTTCCAACCAATGCTGAGATTTTGGCGCGGCTCTTCGCGAGAAGTAAGGCCGTCCTGGAAAGCCTCAGTTAGAGCAGATGCACTTGAAATCGTGATTACTCCGTCAGTGGATGTTTTATCCGCTCCCGCAAGCACACCTTGGGGAATTATTCTAAGGATCTGGTCAAGGTTTGACCAGAAATTCCCATGGCCTCCCTGTGATCCTTTTTGGATGTACTGACGCAGCCTCTTAGACGCAGAAGTCTTTCCTGTGTAGTCATCTGTCCATATCTGCGGACGTGAGGATGTCAAGAGCAAGACAGACTCAGAAAGTTCAGAAGCGGATCCCAGCTGTGGTGAAGATAGCGACTTTCCGATGATGGCGGAACTCAGGACTTTCCAGTCAACCCACGCTGGCTCGCGGGATATAGCTGAACGCAAGATAACGTATATGGAACGACGCACAAAGGGGTCGTCATGGGTGCAGAAAGCCCACAGAGACTTGTTGGCGAGCAATGCTTCGATTTCTGGAAGATTTTTACGAAGATCCTCATCGGGCGAGTTTCCTATTTGGAATCAGTGTTGTGAACTCGCGGAATATATGACGTATCGAGGGAAGAGCCTGGGCCACTCACCCAAGATGCGGTTGAACAGTAGAAGAGCAGCACCCACAACTCGGGCATACTTTGCCTCCGCGTCATCACGCTTGACCGTCCGCTCGTCGCTCAAAGTTAATGGATTCTGGTGGAGAAGAACGTCATCTACGAAATCCAAGATAGAACTCTGGCAGATTTTCCACAGGCTGTTTCTCTTGGCTTCTGTCGAGAAGACTGTGGTGAGAGAATCTAGGGCAGACCGATGGACTGGTCGGTCACTGTCGTAAAGCCCTGCCAGCCAAGCTCCAACAACCTTGGGAAGATAGGGAGCAATTCTCTTTCCGACCACACCTGCGACAGAGCCCATTATGGTATGAGCTAGTTGCCTCACTCGTCGTGACAAGTCAATTGAAGCCCGGGGGTAGACTTTAACCTGTAAGTTGGCCGGTCAACCAATGGTCTCGCTTTCCTTGTACAGATTGAAATTGTGAGTACATACCCATGCTTCTAGAAAGCCCTCATCAACGGTTCCATTTTTGGCTTCCACTGAAGCAATATATTCTTTTAGCTCTTCCAGGGCCTTGGTACGTGTGATTTCATCTTTCTTCAGCAAGTTCTTGTATGCAATCACGAGTTGCTGATCTGAGATGCGAGTCAAGTCTGGCGGCTCGGTGATGTATGTTAGCGCCGATGGCTCCCGGCCACCACTATCGAAGGCATTTGAGAACCCTCCGAATCCACCAAAGGCGCCGGCAGCCGCGCGACTGCTGGATGCCTGCGACTTGAACTTTTTGCTCATGTGGGGTATGAGGTCAGCGGGGATGGCGGGGTGGTGGCTCGAAGCTGCACTGCTGCCGTGTCGGCGAGAAATGCAGATATTCTGTCAGCTGTTCCAAGCCCGTGGCTCTGATATTAAAGCCTCAAAGCTTTTCTTTGTCCTTCTCGTCTCAATGGGTGTTGGAAAAGACGAAGAAAGGCGATGATATCAAGTGGGCGGCCACCCGATCGGGAAGTCACGTGGTAGCCTAACTGCTGTCCCAAAAGGGAAAAGACTCGCTGAGCTTCGCCGCAGGCGCCCTCCACTCTCTCTTCTTCAACAGCGTCGGAGAACTCGGCCACAATGAAGTTCTTCATTGAGTATGACTTATTTTACTTGTTCTCACTCGCCCCTGAGCTCTCTGCTGATTTACTCGTCTCTTTAGTGATCTTCCGGTGCTGTTCCCGTACCCTCGCGTTTACCCGGAGCAATATGCATACATGTGCGATCTCAAAAAGACCCTCGATGCCGGGGGTCACTGTGTGCTGGAGATGCCGTCCGGTACAGGCAAGACAATTTCGCTTTTGTCACTGATTGTGGCGTACCAGCAGCATTACCCAGAGCACAGGAAGCTGATTTACTGCTCGCGAACTATGTCCGAGATCGAGAAGGCATTGGCGGAGCTGAAGGGGTTGATGAAATATCGATCACAGGAGCTGGGCTTCGAAGAAGAGTTCCGTGCTCTAGGTCTCACCAGTCGGAAGAATCTATGTCTGCATCCGTCGGTGAAACGGGAGAAAAGTGGTACTGTTGTCGATGCAAGGTGCCGAAGCTTGACAGCCGGGTTTGTCAAAGAAAAAAGGAACGTGGCGAGGAAGTTGATCTATGCATATATCATGAGGTTTGTCTCGTTGATTCCTCTAAATCGTATTACTTTGCTAACTGGGTATCAAGAACCTCGACCTTCTCGAGCCGCATAACCTCGTCCCGCCTGGCGTGTTCACTCTTGACGGTCTAAGCCGTTACGGAGAAGAGCACAAACAATGCCCCTATTTCTCTGCTCGGCGCATGGTATGGCTTGCTTTGATTTACGCGCCTCTTCTGGAAGATATCGTTCTAACATCCGTGTGATCTTTAGATGCCTTGGTGTAATATCATCATCTACTCCTATCACTACCTCCTCGATCCAAAAATTGCCGAACGCGTTTCGCGAGAACTATCAAAGGATTGCATTGTTGTTTTCGATGAGGCCCACAATATCGACAATGTCTGCATTGAGTCCCTTAGCATTGACCTGAGCGAGGATTCTCTCCGCAAGGCCACGAGAGGCGCTACGAACTTGGAACGCAAAATTGAGGAAATGAAGAGCACGGATGCCGAAAAGCTCCAAAATGAATACTCGAAGCTTGTAGAGGGGTTGCAACAGGCAGAACAAGCCCGGGAGGAGGATCAGTTCATCTCGAATCCGGTATTGCCAGACGACTTGTTGAAGGAAGCCGTTCCTGGCAACATCCGTCGCGCCGAGCACTTCGTTTCCTTTTTGAAGAGATTCATCGAATATCTGAAAACTCGGATGAAAGTGACACATACCATTTCTGAAACACCGCCCTCCTTCCTAACCCATTTGAAGGATCTCACATATATAGAGCGAAAGCCGTTGAGATTCTGCGCAGAACGTTTAACATCACTGGTCCGAACCCTGGAGCTTGTCAATATTGAAGACTACCAGCCATTGCAAGAAGTGGCCACTTTTGCGACTCTGGTCGCAACCTACGATAAGGGATTTGTCCTCATTCTCGAGCCTTTCGAGTCTGAAGCGGCCACGGTGCCCAATCCGATTCTGCATTTTACCTGCTTGGATGCTGCCATCGCTATCAAGCCCGTCTTCGATCGTTTCAGCTCCGTCATTATCACTTCCGGTACTCTCTCGCCCTTGGAGATGTATCCCAAAATGCTTGGGTTCACTACTGTGCTGCAAGAGTCATACAGTATGACCCTAGCTCGTCGGTCCTTTTTGCCCATGATTGTCACTCGAGGGTCGGATCAGGCACAAGTTTCATCATCCTTCGGTATTCGCAATGATCCCGGTGTGGTGCGAAACTACGGTACGCTTGTTACTGAGTTCGCTCGTATCACACCGGACGGCGTTGTCGTTTTCTTCCCCTCATATCTATATATGGAGTCAATCATCAGCATGTGGCAAGGCATGGGAATTTTGGACCAAATATGGAATTACAAATTGATCCTTGTCGAGACCCCTGATGCGCAAGAGTCGTCTCTGGCTTTGGAAACATACCGGACTGCTTGCTGCAACGGGCGCGGTGCAATCTTATTTTGCGTCGCTCGAGGAAAGGTATCTGAGGGTATCGATTTCGATCATCATTATGGCCGTGCCGTGCTTTGCATTGGTGTGCCATTCCAGTATACAGAGTCCCGTATCTTGAAAGCTCGACTTGAATTCTTGCGAGAGAACTATCGCATTCGAGAGAACGATTTCCTGTCTTTCGATGCGATGCGGCATGCGGCGCAGTGCCTCGGTCGTGTACTTCGCGGCAAAGACGATTACGGAGTCATGGTTCTGGCAGACCGTCGTTTCGAACGAAAGCGGCCGCAACTTCCAAAATGGATCAACCAGGCAATGCTAGACAGCGAAACAAATCTCAGCACTGATATGGCTGTCGCGAATGCTAAAAACTTCTTGCGAACCATGGCGCAGCCATTCAAGTCCAGAGATCAGGAAGGGATTTCCACCTGGAGTCTGGCTGATATTGAGCGTCACGAAGCGAAACGCAAGGCTGAAGAGGCACGTCTGATGAACCAGGAGGCTGCTCCTGCCCATCAGATGAATGGTGCTCCATCCACGATCCAGATTGTCGAGGATGAATATGACGATGACATCGACGAAGACCTGATGATGCTTGATGCCCAGTAGTCCTTATTTTCACTTTCTTGCACGGCGTTTTTTGGGGGGGGTTCGCAGCGGCGCGGTCTATCCATATACTCGCCATGGACATCTGGGGCGTTCTTTAATCGGGCATGGAAATATCATAGCATTGAAGGCGTTTTCATTGGGCCCAAATTGTTATTTACGGAATTTAGCGAGCCAATCTATGCATACAGAACAAAACTGCGCACAGGAAATCTTAAAATGAATATCTTACAATTTAACTTCAAGTGAAAAAAAAAAATGAAAATGAAAATGAAAAAAGAAAATTTTGGAAAAATTTCCAATAATCTACCACATCAATGCTCTAGGTCTTCTCGGAGAATTGGACTGGGCTGCTTAGATTTTGAATAGGCCGCGTCGTCAGAACGCATCCCTGCTTGGGTGATGACGCGCAATGCGCTATGACACTAGGTGTAGGGGTTGGCCCCCTTGCATTCACTAACATACTTGCCAGCTACAGATAAGTTAGTTGATTGAGGAAAGTCAGCCTGGTGCCCGCGAGTCGCGTTTCAGTCTTAACGATGGTTTTCGTAGTCAGCCTGCTGGCTCGCTGTGGGCGGCTCACGTCTCAATCCCCTAACATCACCATCCGTGTCAAGTTTTACATTCTACGCTTTCGTGGGGTCAACTTCTATCTGCAGCGAGGCAACCTCCTGATCAGTGATGTGTATCAAAGCCACCTGCGCGTGTCTCCGACACGGGGGATCACCACGGCTCCCTAGCTGCGAAGAAGGTAGCACGACCTTCATGGTTTTAACTACATGCCTATTCTACTGTAACTCATGAGTCACCTAGTCATTGAAATAGTATCATACCATTGTGGTCATGTCACGTTCCGCTTTCACGATGATTTTCACTACCTATTCAACCATTGCAGTGTAGGAACCTTGGGTGTTCACCCGCCGCCTGTTCATTAGCACCCCTTCTTACCCCTGTGACTGCTCACATACTTAGGGGCTGATATGGAACATAGCTACCTAATCTAATAGCTCCGAGCTTAGAAATGTTGATGTGGAGCTTCTAAAAAGCTTGTCGACATTAAGAGATCCCGTTTCACGAACTAATTTAACCAAGATCGGCGCTCACGCCCTTTCGATATTGATCTAGCAATCTCAATTTGACTAGCGCGTGTTTAGACTGATGTTGTGTGCTACGTGATAGCCCCCTAAGTAGAAGTAGACTCGTAATCAAGGAGCATATTTGTCTTGACCGTGAAGGGCCGAAGTAGGTTTGATAGGGGTACATTATTGCCCCCTGTTCTATGCGTTCTTTCTTTTTGGAAAAGCGAAAATTTCTCACAGTTGTATGACTAGACTTATTCAAGATTGGAGATCCATTCAACTTCCAGGCTTGGCCGCTACCGTACTAGTCCAATCATCTACATGTTTGATAAATTTGGAGTAAGCCAATTAACATAACGCATGTGAGTGCATATTCCATTGCCCACGAGTGAGCAGTTTTGAGGAATATACGGAGTAGAAACTCACAAATCAAGCAGATCTCATTAGAATATGTCGAAGAGTGATTCTGAAGCTGCGCCCAGGTCATCTAGGCAGTCAGACCCTCAGGCCCCATATCATATCCTGTCTACGAAGCAAAAGTGGAATCTTGTCATTTTTGTCTCCTTGGCGGCTTCCTTCTCGCCGCTGTCTTCGAACATCTATTTTCCTGCCATTGACACTATATCCAAGGACCTTGGAGTAAATGCATCCATTATCGCTCTTACAATCACGGTATATATGGTTGTTCAGGGTATTGCTCCGTCACTCTTAGGGGCTTTCTCGGAGACCTATGGCCGTCGCCTCACTTTCGCAATAACTCTTACTATCTACACTGCAGCCAACCTCGCCTTGGCATTTACCTCCAATTATCCGATGCTGATGGTGCTGCGTGGCTTGCAGGCGGGAGGATCTGCTGCGACTATCAGCATTAGCGCTGGGGTCATCGCTGATATTGCATGCCCACAAGAGCGCGGCCGCTTCATAGGGACAAATGCTGGTATTCGGTACGTGAGACACAGTCCCTCAGAAGAAATCTCGGCCATTAACATTCACATAGCATGACAGGCCAAGCAATTGGTCCAATTATTGGTGGTGCATTAAATAGTCAATGGGGCTTTCGGAGCATCTTTTGGTTTCTTTTCATCACTAGCATTATTGTCCTTGGTGCGCTCCTGATATTCCTTCCGGAAACACAGCGTAGCATAGCAGGCAACGGCACTATCGTCGTCTCTGGTTTCCAAAAGCCGTTTATCTATTATATCAGACCTCCATCAGCCTGGTCGAAAAGCGTTGAAACGAACAGCCCGGGGCCTCGGTCACCAGTTACATTCAAGAACGCATTTAGCCCTTTGGCCTACGTCCTCGAAAAAGACATCGCTGCACTCTTGGTCTGGGGTGCTGTGGCCTACACTGCGTGGAGTATGGTGACCTCTTCTACCACAACAATGTTACTCCTTGGCTTTCCTCTCCTGACACAGTGGCAACTGGGACTATGTTTCCTTCCAAATGGACTCGGCTGCATTATCAGCTCGCTCAGCACAGGCTGGATACTGGACCAGAGTTTCAATCGCGCCCTAGAGCGATACAAGGAAGAGCACGGCATCCCAGCAGACGAAACTGTTGATCATAGTCGCAACTTTCCATACGTTCAGGCTCGTCTACGCCTGATGCCTATCTTTAGCATCGTACTCATGATCTCTCTAGCACTTTACGGGCCAAGTTTTGAATTCAATGACTTGCGAAAGCATTTTGGACCCAACCTGGCTGCGCCGCTCATCCTTCAATTCTTGATCGCCTTTTCAGCAACGGCCATCTTCAACATCAACTCAACTGTGTTAATTGATTGCTTTCCGGAGCGACCTGCGAGCGCGACGGCACTCAATAATTTGTGCCGATGTCTGCTCGGGGCAGCGGGCGTAAGTGTTATCCAGCCACTGATTGGTGCCGTGAAGGCGATGAAAGCCTTCTTCATTTTGAGCGGTGTGGTTTTTCTGTTTACCCCATTAATTTGGGTCGAATGGAAATGGGGGGAGAGGTGGAGACAAGAGAGAGAAGATCGACGTGCTCAGTGAAGGAGAGGGTTTTCAGTCGAAGAAGTAAGTTCCCAGGTCTAAAGGATTCAACACGTCTCTATCACTCAAGTGTCAGTCTAGTGCCATCAACCTAACTTGATATTCAGCGAATTTTCTAGACTGCATTGATGCCAGTTCTGTCATGTACGCCGAAGTCGATCGAGGCGTGGAGTATAGAGACATGTGATGTCAGTAGTCAATGAATCGAATTCCAGTCTGCTATGTGAGCATAAGTAACAATTCGAGTCTTAGTGGTTGGAAGACATCGGAGCCTAAGTTTTTGTAGACAATTACCTAGGCAGCATGATATTCATCACCAGCCTGGATGCTCTAATACTCTCCTCGTTAGGCGACTTTTTTTGAAGACTCTGAGCTCTGAGTCGTGCTAACCCTAGCAGTCAAATGAGCATCACGAGCGAGATATTGAAGGGAGAAATCTACTACATACAAAAGCAAGAGGAATTCAATACACAAATTCAATACACACTTGTGTGAAGATTCTATTCAACTGAAAAATATGCTAATATGAACAGGGACAGGCACTTTTGTGTTCCGCTGAACAGAAGAACTCCAGATCATCGACGCGTCAAGAAGGCAACAAAAAGGAACAGGATGCACAAATCGTGCAAAGTATACAGGTGATGAAACGACAGTAATGAGAAAAAAATGCGAAACACCCCAATCAACACACCACTATGCTACAGGAGCAAGAATGTCGAATGCGCCAGTTCCGACAGTGCCGGAACGACCAACGACAATTCTGCTACTCGGGCCCTTGAGGTTATCAAAGTCACGCTCAACAACAGCATCCTTCAGAGCACCGACAGTGGTCTCGAAAGACATCCGGGCGAACGGAGAAGTGGAATCCTTGACCAAGCCGTTACGGCTGAAAGCCTTGAAACCACCAGACTGGGTCATCACATCACCAATCAAGTTCAGATGGCGATTGTCGACGGAGATACTGTGACCCTTGAAAACGGAGTCCATTTCCCGGATGATGGTGTTACGGGCAGCCTCGACACCGTACAGGTTAAGCATGTCGTGGATCGAGTTGGTGTAGAGCGAGTGCGGGTTGATGGCGTCTTGGTGGTCGCGCATGGCGAGCAGGTTGACACCATCAGTCATAATGCACGGGGGCTCATCCTTAATCTCATCACCTTCGACGTACACACAGCTTCCGAGGTTCACAACCTGCTGAATGACTGCAAAGTGGCAGGTGCTTTCGACCAAGGGAAGTAGAAGCAGCTTGGGCGTCTCAATGTCGTACTCAAGCCGAATGGTACAGGAGTTACCCTTCTTCAGATCGAATTCGAACTTGGTGATCTCAGAGAACTTGCTCTTGACGTTGTCCTCACGCAGCTTCTGCTCCTGTGCCTTCTCGTCATCAGAGTCATCACCAGAGTCATCAGAAGCATCACCAAGCTCTTCATCCTCATCTTCCTCGTCGGGCTCGTCTTGTCCACGGATGATATCTTGCTCATCGTCATCGGGTCCTTCGTAAGACACCTGGTTGCTGCGGTTCTGGCCGCCACGAGCCCGCTTGGCGTCATCCTCATCATCTTCGTTGTCGTCGTCAGCCGGCTCGGCTGCACGGTCAGGACCACTGGGGCCTTCTGCAACCCTACCGACCGAGACACCAATCTCAGGCTGGGCAGTCGATGTCTTGGTGCCGGTCTTATCCTCATTGCGCTTCTTGAGCTCGGTCTTGATGAGCTTCACCAGGCGAGGGATGAACTTGATCTCAAGAGCCCTATAGATATCTGCGATCTGGATACTGTATTCCTTGACATACTCTTCAGCAGGGAAGAAGGAAATTTCAATATCGTAGATCTTAGCCTTGGCGTAGCCAACACCAGAGCCAATGCGCTCCTTGACTTGCACCTTGTCAACAACCTCAGCAATGCTGAGCTTGCTAAGACCCTTGGCGAACCTCTCGCCTTGCTCTTTGGAGAGTTCCTTGACAGGGTAGAGTGTCATCGTGGGCGTCATGATCGAAGCACTGGCAGTCATCACAATTTCACGAAGACGGGGAATACCCAGTGTGACGTTCTTTGCGGAGTGACCAGCCAAATGGAAAGTGTTCAGTGTCATTTGAGTACTGGGCTCACCAACACCTAAAGTAGGAGAGTTAGCATCTTGCTTGTCACGCAAGTAAAGGGTTGGGAAACTCACTCTGACCGGCCATAATACCGACAGCTTCACCGGGGTCAATAACAGACTTCATGTACTTCATGTTCATCAGAGCCTCAAATGACTTCTTGTTGACCTTAGCGTTGTCTTTGAACAATTCAGAGTTATCAGATGAAAACTATTTGATAATTTGTTAGTTTGAAGCTAGGTGCATATAGTAAAGATCTGGGAAATTCAAGCTTACCTTCTTAAGCGCTTGGGCGAATTCTTCTGAAGTGCTGCCCAGGTTACCACCAGGGTGGAACTTTGACAGAGCGGGATCCATAGCACCAAAGTCATGGGACTTGCGCACCGCCTTCTGTGCGTCCTTGTTCCATGCCATTGCCTCTGTATTGACGAGGTCGCGATAATGGCTGGCTTGCACTTGCCTAGAAACAGAACGGTGGTTCTCGGCTAGGAACTTGAAGTCCTTGAGGTGAACCTGCTTGGTGATATCGAGACCGTCCTCTCCGTACAAGAATTGGACGATAGAGCCATCAGACGCCTCCCGAACAGAGGAATCGTACTCAGCTCTCAGGCCCTCCATACCCTTGATCAAGCAACGCTGCAAATAACCGGAACGGGAAGTCTTGACGGCTGTATCAATCAGACCCTCACGACCAGCCATGGCGTGGAAGTAGTACTCCTGGGGCTTGATACCAGTCAAGAAGCGACCAGACACGTAACCACCAGCGACGGGGTGGGTTTCGAAGGCTCGGAAAGACGGCAGCGTCTTACCACTGATCATGACTGGTACACGGCGACCCTCCAGAACTTGTTGTCCAAGATTGCAAGAAATCAGATTCGCATTGACACCGGAACCCTTGGCACCAGAGATAGTCATCGACTGCATCTGGTTCCACGGGAAGGGCTTAGCGAGACCTGCAGGAAGACAGGCACTCGTGATCTCAGAGGAGAGCTTGGCGGATCGGGCGTTCGAAACGCTATCCAGGCCAGCCTGCTTGTCATCGTCACGAAGCACATCTTCCAGGCGGCGGTTCAGCTCAGCATCCTGGTCAGGCACGTTAGCCTGATCCAGGGTCACGTACTTGAGGGCAACCTGGCGACCCATTTCCGCTGCAGTGCTCAACTTCTCCTTACGAATGCGGTCACCCTCCTTGGTTAGGCGAAGATCGTCAATACCACAGGTGAAAGCCCGCATGTTCAGGAATCGGGTCAGGAGTCGTCCCAGAATACTCATCAACTTTCCAGCAATGGTGTGGCCGTAGACTTCGTGAACAGCATCAATCAGACCACCAGCGGTGGGGCCAAGCTGCTTCTTATCAAGAATACCACACAGGTACTCTCCATCGTCGAAGATGACGGTGTCCTCCTCGTTGCCTTTGCCCCAGCGGTCACCAGGAGTAGAAGACTTGCCCTTGAGTGTGAGACCACCGCTGTCCTCGGGCTTGATGTTCTTGAGGATTGTCGTAATCACTTGCTTGCCAGTCCAGAGGTATTTGGGCTTGAGGAAAGCCGGCTCAACCAATTGAATGCGGTCGCCAACAATGTGCGAGTTCTCCGGCCGCAAACAGCTGTATAGAAGCTGGTGGTAATCTTCCTCATCGAAGAAAGAATCACGACACGTGAACCAGACACCCATGGAAATGTGATCTTGAATCAGACCTCGCAAAGGCTTGCCAGATGTGGCGACCAGATACTGGTGGTCGGCATCAGCCAACATCCTAGCCTCCGCTTGAGCAAGTTCGTTCTGAGGGAAATGCATGTTCATCTCATCACCATCGAAATCGGCGTTGTAGGTGTTACAGTTGGCATAGTGCATGCGAATGGTGCGCTCGTTAGGAAGGACACGAGCCTTGTGACCCATGATTGAGGGTTTGTGGAGAGTCGGTTGTCGGTTCATCAAGACATAGTCACCAGTCGTCAGATGGCGATAGACCTTCTTGTTCCGTGTTCCCTTGAGGCGCCAGTTGGACGGTGCAAGCAACTGGTTGGCAAGTGCAGTACGCTCGTCCAAACTCTTGAACTTCAAGTTGATAACTTGACCGTTCTCATTCTCGATCGCAGCAGCACCAGGGTACTTGTCGGGTCCGTTGATAACGGCTTCCTTCAGCTCCCAGAAGTTGTGGTTGGTAACCGGCTCCGGGAAAGTCAACTTCTTGGCAAACACCATGGGCACACCGATTTCATTGGTTTCGAGGTTGGGATCGGGCGAAATAACACTACGAGCAGCAAAGTTGACACGCTTACCCATCATGTTCTTTCGGAAAAGACCCTCCTTCTTCTCGAGCAGCTGCTTGATACCATTGGGAAGTTGAGCGACGGCCGAACCAGTCACAGAAGTACGCTCACGATCAATGAGACCATTGACGAAGTCTTGGAGCGCAACAATAGCCTGGAGGAGATCACTGAGGTTGCGCGCACGGCTCATAGTCTTCTCACTCTCGTTCTGCATCTCCTTTTTGATCTGGTTGATGACGTCGGTCTGCTTGAGAATATTGTTGAACGGCGTGTTTTGCGCTGCTTCCATGATCTCGCCGGGGCCCTGTTGGGCAGCAGGACGATACTTGTTTGGTGGGATGAGAAGGCTCTTGATAAAGAACATGTCTGCGCTGATAACCTTGACTCCCTTCGGAACAGGGCGTGAGTTGTAGACAAGTTGCAGAACCTCGCCCTCCTTCTCGAAGAGGAGGCACATGGCACTGTAGACCTCAGAGGAAGGCATGAACTCCTGCCCGGTCGATCCAGGTTGCGCAGCCTGGACTGTAACGGCGGCCCCGCGAAGGATTTCCTCCTCAGCGCCATGAACCTCAGTCACGGCACTATCCGCCTCAGAGACACCATTGGCCAGAGTGCCATTTTTCTTGGCATTCGCCTTCTTTTCTTGATCCACGAGAATCAAAGTATTAGGTGCCTGGAAACCTCCGTGAAGCATCGCAAGCTTGGCCTTCTCAGGAAGCTGCTTCCGGAAGATCTTGTTATAGCGGTCCTTGCGGTATGAGGGAGAAATTCCGCTGCAATTCGTGCACTTCCGGTTGCTGTTGATGTCTTTGAAGAAAGTCTTGACCAGTTCCCGCCTGGCCTCGGCAGCGATCGGGTTCTTTGCGCCGGCCATCAAACCTTCCAGTCTGCCATCCTTCTTGGCTTCCTTAATACAGCGGTTGACATAGTTGTTCCGTTTCTCCATGATGGAATCGGGATCATCCTCCTCGTCATCTGAATCATCACCAGTAGCCTTGCCAGCTTTAGATTTGGCACCTTTGACAGCTCCCATGGCATCAACCTTGGCGACTTCGTCGGTCAGACCATACTGTAGAAGGCGCAGTTTGCAGATATACATGTTGACCTGGTCGCGGGACATTTGCAGGCGATGGCAGTATACACACTGTGCACGGAGGAGACGGTAGATATGATCGAAGAAGGTGACATTATAGAGCGGGACAGGAAGCTCGATGTGGCCGGCATGACCGGTGCACGACCAAGAGTTTTGACGACATGTAGTACACCTATAAAATTTCCCAAATCGCCCTGGTCAGCAAATCGAGAGGCTCTCCCATGACAGGTATCAATACATACACATGATCACCCCATGCGCCCATAGCAGGGTCATAGAGACCACCAGGAACAGGATTGTTGAAAGAATCCAAAGTTGGAGTATTGTGAATTCTCTTTACAGAGAGCTTTTTAATCTCCTCATCGGAATAAACGGTGAAGTCGACCCCTGCAATGCTCGAGGCGACTGGTCGTGCGAAGGTCGCCATTGTGACCTGCAGCTCGTAGAGCAACAGAAAACGCTGGCGGTGCGAAGTCGAATTGGCCTCCGAAGAAGATCTCCAAATGCGAAATGCGGAAGAGCGAATCTTTCGAGCATCTTTTTTTTCTGCCCCACTCCACCGCCCACCCCGTATTGAGTATCCGCGACCAACCTGCCGATCAGCTTAGTTTAGCTTCTGCTGTCAGTCGCTGAGGAGACAGTTCGCGATCTTTCACAACTTTTTTCACCGGGTGTTCCTTGACTGTCAGGCCACGTGGGATCTTTTGCATACACATCGCCATGGCTGACCATTCGGGCAACGCGCTGAAGCGGCCTCATCCCGAGGATGACGGCAGTAACACTCAGAAAAGGACCCGATCAAACAATGGGTCTCCTGCACCTGGTCAAGGAGGTCCTACCGCTGGGAAGGTTGATATCGAGAAGATGGTCGCGGAGGCGCGAGCTAAAGCTGAAGCTGTGCGCGCTCGTCTACAGGCTGCTCGAGGCGGCGTGTCACCTGCAGTGCCTTCAACAGAGTCAAGTCCCAGCCCAGCACCACCGGCTATGAGCCCCGCTATGTCTAGGCTGGAGCAGATGAAGGCGAGAGTAGCAGCAGCTACGAGTAGGGCTGGTGCAGCAGCGTCCCAACAGCGAACGAATGCCCCGGCGCCGTCCTACCAACCCCCGATGCTTGACGATGAAGGCCTCTCGAAGGCTCGCGGTGGTCTGGACGTCGGACTTCATCCAGCTCTACTTTCCGATACGACGCCGAGTTTCCGTGGGGCCAAGGGTCGTCAACAGTCAAAGACGGGGAATCGGCGCATGGATCCCAGCAAACAGCTCGACTTGTCCGGCCCATCGATCGAGGAAATTAAGAACCAACCCTACTTCGACCCAAGCCTTGGCCCCAAGGCAACGGTAGCAAAGCCGCGCCATTCTCGGCAACTTATTTTCAATGAGAAGGGCAAATACATCCAACAAGCCGCTGCGCTGCGTCGGCAGGCGCAGCTGGAGGCCATGAAAAAGCGGATCGCGGAGAAAGCAAGACAGGCTGGTATTGATGAAGATTTGGACGTGGAGAAGTCATACTTGGTACCAGCTCCCCCGGCTTTGGAATGGTGGGATGAAGGCTTGATCAACGGTAGCGACTATGCTGCCATTGATGACCCAGCAAACCTCAAGGTCGACACCCCCGACACCATCATTACCCGTTACGTCCAACACCCCATCCTCCTCGAACCGCCTCAAGAGAGGCACATGCCGACCCAGAAGCCGATGTATCTCACGCCGAAGGAACAAGCCAAGATTCGTCGGCAGCGCCGCATGGCAGATTTAAAGGAACAACAAGCAAAGATCAGGCTGGGATTGGAGCCGGCACCGGCTCCCAAGGTCAAAAAGTCCAATCTTATGCGGGTTCTAGGTGAACAAGCTGTCAAAGATCCTACGGCTGTGGAAGCCCGTGTCAACAGGGAGATCGCAGAGCGGAAAGAGGCACACGAAATTATGAACGAGGAACGCAAGTTGACTCAGGATCAACGACGTGAGAAACTTGCAGCCCAACAGGAGAAGGATGCCGAACTAGGCATTTATGTATCCGTCTACCGAATCGACAACCTTGCTAGCGGCCGGAACCGCTTCAAGATCAATAAGAATGCTGAGCAGAATGCTCTGACCGGAATCTGTGTCATGCATCCGAAGCTTAACCTGGTGATTGTGGAGGGTGGCAAGCATTCTATTAACAATTACCGGAAACTGATGCTCAACCGAATCGACTGGACCGACAACCCTGGTCCAGGAGTATCAGATGGAAAAGACGAAGGTCAGCCTATTTGGCTGTCCACTGAGGATGAAAAGGGTGAACTGCGGGATTTTGGCAACAACACTTGCACACTTCTCTGGGAAGGCCAAGCGAAGACCCGGGTATTTAGGAAATGGCTGGGCGCCAGAATCTGCGAGTCTGATTCGGCGGCCAAAGACGTTTTGACCCGTTCCAAGATGGAGAACTTCTGGGCTCTAGCAAAGAGCGCCAAGCCAGCTGAATTTTGATCGGTTGATTGCTGGTCCAACTTCTATCGCGAGGGCTACCGCATGCTTGAGAATTGTTCTCTTCCTCAAGCCAGCGCCGATCTATTTCATACCTTTCATGCAGCAATCTTGTACTTTTAAGTAGCATTTTCAATTCTAGACACCCCCGACCACGAGTCGATCTGACATTCTGATTGCCACATTTTCCTACTTAAACGAACCCTTGAGCTTCTAAAATGTAAAAAGAGACGCAGAGTAGTAAGATTCCCAAGCGAAGAAGAAGCTGAGCCATTCGATACAACATTGACTTCATGTTTCTGGGTGTTCTGAGACGGTAAATGTAAATGGACCACCCAGACACAAACTACATACTACCACGGGAAGCTCTATAAATATACCCGAGGAAATCAGTAAATCGTCAAATGCTATACTTTTTGTTTGTACTCGTTCCTTAATACATGAGCAAGGCCGAAAATCTCACAACAGGACTATCATGGCCCTTTTGATGCGAACCCAGACTTAAACACAATAACTCCACTCCTAATGCAAATATTTTGGTATCGATGTCAAATAATCCAGAGACTCAGTCCGACAGGAACAAGCAAATCTAGGAAGGAGGTCCCTGGTTTCCGTTGCTCAAGTGTCGCAGCAGATCCAGCTGGGCTTTGACCTGGTCAAAGTTCATGGCCGCGGGGTTTTGCGGCTGCTGACCGGGAGCTTGTTGAGGCTGCTGGTATTGTTGCTGTGGCTGTTGGTATTGCTGCTGCTGCTGCTGCTGTTGCAGTGCAGCCAGGAAAAGAGGGTTGATATGAGCGCCTGGCGGAACGGCCTGGAAGGGGTTTGGCTGCGCAAACGGTTGCTGGAAGGGGAACTGGAAAGGGAATGGCGCGGGTGCTTGACCTTGGCCAAACTGAGGTTGTTGCTGCTGCTGGGGATACTGCGGGTATCCCGCGAATGATTGGGGCATACCGAAAGCAGGCTGTTGTTGCTGGTATGCGGGTTGGCCGTATGGTGCAGGAGGCTGGGCTTGTTGGGGTGCAGCCTGTTGTCCATACTGCGAAGGGCTACCGTTTTGCTGGTTATGAGGTCGGTGATCCTGATCTCTATCCCAGGATCCTCCTCGACCACCGCCGCCTCGGCCACGTCCTCCACGACCACCACGATCAGTGCCTCGGCCACGCCCACGGCCGCCACGGAGGCCGGGTGCTCCGCGCTCAGTGCCTTCGACTGGAGCCTCGCGAGCACCCATCATCTCGTGCAGGTTCTTGGGGCGGGCGAGGGGTGTATATCCATCCTCAGCTGCCCCGTCATCGTAGTTGAGCTCGGTCTGGCTCAGTTTTGAGGGGCCAGGATGTCCCTTCTTGCCTCGAGCAGGGCCGCCTTCCTTAGCCTCCTTTCTCTCCTGGCGTTTTTGCTTCAACTTCCGCTTGTATTCAGCCTCCGCTTCATCATCAGAGAACTCGATCTCCTCGTCGGCGACCTCTTCGTCGTGGAAGTTGGACGCATCACTACCCTTCAGGCCCTTCAGCGGTTGAGTGAAGACAAAGGTAGAGTGCGCCTCGACATAGTAGACGAGCATGTCCTTCACCATGCCCCGTTCCTGGGCATCTTCAGTACTCTTGTACATGACGGTATACAGAGGGTTCTCCACTCTGCCTAGGGTCTCCGAAACCACTCCCAGAACCTTGCGATCTTCAGAGCAAAGCAAGGATCCAGACTCGAGGACTTGGTATTCTCCAGAGGTGCTCGCCTCAATGAGAACCGCATTGTCGATGGCCGTCTGAACCTTACCCAGCAGCACAATTTTCATTTCGGGTGTAATCTGAACGTCTGGGATCGGCAAGACGTCCTCTTCGATCTCGTTGGTCGAGCGAATCTTTCCTCCCGATTTACCCTTGTCACCCCCTTCGTCGTCTGAGCCACCCTCGGCAAGCATCAGAATCCGGGCTTGTTCTTCGGGGCTGAGGATTGGGTAGTCCTCATCGTCGTCGCTGTCGGAGGAATCCGAGGATGATGAACTGTCGGACGAAGATTCGTAAGGGTCTGAGTCGATCTCCCATTCGGGGTGTTCTTCTTCCTGCTCCTGCGGCTCATTGTTCTGCTGCTCCGTCGTCGCTCCATTTGTATCTCCCTGGGTGGCAGGTACTGGTGTCTGGTCGACTTCCATAGCATCTCCAGAGCCTTCCTGCTGGCCATTTGTCTCAACAGTCGCTGCACCATTTTCAGATGTGATCAATTCCGCTGCCACTTGCGAATCAGCTGGGGCATGTTGCTCTTGCGTTGCTGCGACGGTAGGCTGAGAGGGCTCGTTGGTTGCCGATTGCTCGCTAGGGGTGCTGATGAAGCCCAATCCAGGGATCACGGGGGCTGGTTGGGAGGTCATAGACGGCTCAGTCGCAGGCACAGACTTCTCAAGTCTCCTGTTCGTCACCGGGGTCTCTGCACCTAGCGGTGTGTTGTAGAAATCGCTACCATCATCGGGTGTCCCTGCAATGGGTGGTGTATCGATAGTGCAGGGTCGTTTCGCAGGAGGGCAGTCGCCCGTGCCCGCAGACTCGACGCGTAGATTCTGCTGTTCACTCATATTGGATCAGGTTTTAAATCCAAAGATTGCCACAGCGAGTGTTACAACAAAGTGAAGCGCAAAAAAAAAAGTCGCGGGAACTTTTTTGCGGAACTGCCAAAGTTGCCGTGGCGGTCGCCGGAGAAGCTCGTTATCGGCGCTTATCGGCCGGGTTATCACTCTATCGCTTTATTCGCCAAATCAACCTTTAAACTACCTAACACCGCGACAGGATGGCAAAGTCCGACACAGCCGAATCGGGCTCGGCCCATACTCCTCGGACAAAAGCGCGGTATATCTTGAAACCCTTCTAGCAAATATACAAGCAAGGGAATTGAGCTGATGGATTGACTTCTCGCAGCCCTCCACCCCCACCCTTCTACCTACCTCTAAACGCCACCCTGTACCTGTGTCTTATTGCCAACGGTCTTGCAGCTCTATACTCGCCTATTCAAGACTGCGACGAAGTCTTTAACTTTTGGGAACCTACACACTATCTTGACCATGGGTATGGACTTCAGACATGGGAGTATTCTCCGGTATACTCAATCCGAAGCTGGCTCTACGTGTCGCTTCATGCAGCAGTGGGCAAGCTAGGATCCTTGTTTGTCCATACCAAGTCGGCCGATTTCTACTTTATTCGCATCATCCTCGCCATCTTCTGCGCTGCTTGCCAGACAAGGCTATACTCCTCTATCTGCCGAACCCTTAATCCCCGTATCGGCCTTCTATTCCTCCTGATCGCCTTGTTTAGTCCGGGCATGTTCCATGCGTCAACCGCTTTCCTGCCCTCGACTTTCACCATGTATACATCTATGCTTGGTCTGGCTGCATTCTTGGACTTGAAAGGTGGGCCGAAGATTGCGCAGGGAATTATGTGGTTCGGTCTTGGATCAATTGTTGGCTGGCCGTTCGCTGGTGCTCTGATTGTGCCTCTCCTGTTCGAGGAATTCATCATCAGTATATTCTCCCGAACCATCGGCACTCTATTTTATGCAATGTTTGATGGTGCCCTGCGGTGTCTCGGTATCATGGTGAGTCGGACGCAAAGCATCCAATTGCCTCATATTTGCTAAAATAGACTGCAAAATTACAGGCCCTCGAGGTAGCGGTCGACTACGCTTTCTTCCGCAAGATTGCGCTGGTACCTTGGAACATTGTCGCATACAACATTTTCGGTGGTCAAGGAAGGGGCCCTGAGATCTTTGGTACCGAGCCATGGTCATTCTACATTCGAAATCTGCTGCTGAACTTTAACGTTTGGTTTGTTCTCGCAATGCTGTCTGCTCCGCTCCTCCTTGTGCAGGCCATCTTCCGCTCTCAGGGCACCTCTATTCAAACTCTCATGCGCTCTATCACCTTAGTCGCGCCTTTCTATATGTGGTTCGGTATCTTCACGATCCAGCCTCACAAGGAGGAACGATTCATGTACCCAGCGTACCCGTTCCTCGCCCTCAATGCCGCTCTTTCATTCCATCTGATCTTGACATACGTTGGATCTAGCAATCCAAAGGATATCATCGGCCGTGTACCTGCAAAGTTGAAGCTAGTCGCCACTTTGTCGGTCGTTATGGTGGCCGTCAACGCCGGCATGCTACGCATCTTAGGCATGGTGACCGCATACAATGCTCCGTTGAAGGTTCTCGAACCATTGCAGCAGGCGGATATTTCGCTCGCAGGATCTTCAGTATGCTTTGGCAAGGAGTGGTACCGCTTTCCTTCGTCTTATTTCCTCCCGCATGACATGCGAGCCAAGTTCATCCGGAGCGAGTTCAAGGGCCTTCTACCGGGTGAGTTCCCCGACGCACCCAGTCCCTTTGGCCGGATGGAGGGTGCGTCAAAGATTCCCTCGGGAATGAATGATTTGAACATTGAGGACCCAAGCAAATATGTAAGCACTCTAGATTGCCTTCTGACCTGTTCATCATACTTATGTTACCTCTAGGTCGATATTTCTCAGTGTTCATTCTTAGTTGACTCATACTTCCCTAACCACGAGGCGACTGACCTGGAACCTCACTACGTACAGGACGAGTCCCAATGGGAGTCACTCTGTTGTGAGAGGTTCCTGGACGCCTCCCAGACCGGTCTGGTAGGACGGCTCATCTGGGTTCCCGATCTCCCATTTGTCCCGGAAAAGTTCCGGCGCAGATACGGCCAGTACTGTCTCTTGCGGCGTCGTGGTGGCGCGAGCAGTGTATAAATAAGACGAATTTGGGGCCCATTAGGTTCATTTCAGACTGTACCAAATAATGACATTTGATCTTTATGCGATTGATGGCATTAAAGACCCATATCAGATCCATATGAAGAAGAGCTTGCAATGCCTTCCCCCATTGGTATTGGTATTACTGTATTATTACACTGAGATGTGCTGTTTTGGGGAATCCTCTCCCTGCTTCTCATACACCCCGGTATTCACAATACACACCAAGACATACCGCATCATCCATGACCTGACACCCTCCCCACATAATCGGATGAAAGATCAGGTTAATACTATTGATTCTCGCATCCGAATCTCATATGATCCTCTCACGTCCGTGGAGAAAATCCGGGGGAACTCAAGGTTATCAACCGTGAATCACTTTACCCAATCGGGAGAAGAGATCCCCCTCTTTCGTGGCAACCAAACGGATGATAAGAGTACCCCCTCTCGTTAGATAAACCATAATCTTCCTCACCCCATCCAAAGAGTTATCATAGGCTCGTGCCCCTGCAAGCTCGGATCCAAGGGCTGAAACGAGGTCTATGACAAATGTATGCCCCCTCTTTTGTCCCTCGTGAGGTGTGACCTCGACCATGACCCGGTAGTTTTGATATGCATCTTGTCGTTCCTCGCATCCGATTAACAGGAATGGCAGCTAATTGGAGAGGACAGTTGGTATCTACTTGAGGTCATTCGTTTTGATAAGCATATAATTGAATATATGGTGACAGATATACTTTGATGGCTGTTCGTACGATATTGATACTATCTGTCGAGTATTCACCTGGGAAATCATGAGGATTTGAACTATTGATTACCTCTAGAGACACCCATCTACATCATTACCTCAAACTCACGGCCCATACTCACAAAGCATGTCAATTGACTTCCTTCAGGGGACGATCTCATCGATCTTCCCAATCAAAGACCCCGTGAGCATATTCATAGCTCTCAATCTTTCCGTTTGCCTCGTTGTCTTCCTGTTTCGGAGATGGAAGTCCTCCTCCAACCAAACTGCTAGACCTGCTACTCCAGACCTGGAGAAGCCAGCATCAAGATTTCACGGCCGAGAAAAGATAACGCGACAGTTTGGCGGTATGTAAAGTCCTCATGAACTGATCTTGGTATCTCTCTGATCATCGGGTTTGTAGAATGGACGCCCTCGGATTTCAAGAGACCTACAGCACCACCTTACCCAGACTGGGACGTTCATACCTCGAAGCCGATTCCGTATCGGCCTTTTCGATATGGCCCGTAAGTTGAATAGTCTTGTATCACTTTGCTACTTTCTAACTCGCTTGTACAGGAAATACTTTGTTACGATGGGGTTGAGAAGTATGAAGTGGGATGAATGGATTGGTGAGGAAATCTCTGACAACGGTTTTTAAATGAATACTAATATCATATTCCCTCTTCGATATAGAACTCGACAATCATTACCTCAAATACCACGCCGATAAAAAGAAGCGCATCGAAGAACGCGGCGAGAAATGCTACGGCACCGCACCAGAAGCAATGGACGGCGCCATCGAACTACTCGAAGAACTGTACGTCCTTTCATCCACAACCAGAACCATTCCATGGACAATAATCTATCCGTCGAAAGGACCATCCATACTGACACCACCCCCTCCAGATGTGACTACCTCCCCGAACGATACCCAACCATGTTCCAAAAGACCCCAACGGGCATAACCAACACCATCACCCACGAAACCTTCAACATAACCCAGCGCCCGCTCCCAGAAGACCCCATGGCCACAGCAGCCCGTCTCATCCAAGACGATCTCGCCCTAATGTTCGAGCGCCCGGATGGCGAATACTACCTCCTAGCAGGCGCAATCCTCCTCGCGGGATTCTGGCGGTTGAGTGACAAATTCGGCATGCCACTCTCCGAAATCCACACCTCAGGAGATGTCCCACAATTCCGCGAGAAGCTACAGCGCGGGATGATGAATTTCTTCCGTCGACTGAAACCCGAAGAACCCGTTCTCCGGAACAATTATTTCATCCAGGTGGATGATAGTCTGGCGTGGTCGCATAGTATTGGGTCCGAGGATGCGGAGACGGTGTCGTGGAATACGGCGGATAAGAATAAGGCGATTGAGCATCATTTTTTTAGGTCGGAGAGGCAGTCGCTTAGGAGGTTGCCAAGGTCTGGGGCGGTGGTGTTTACTATAAGGACGTATTTTGAGCCGATCACGGAGATTGTTAAGGAGCCGTATGTTCCTGGGAGGTTGGCTTCTGCGATTCGGAGTTGGGGGGATGATGTTTCGAGGTATAAGGGGAAGGAGAAGTACGCGGAGGTGTTGTTGGAGTATTTGGATCGGAAGCATGAGGAGCAGGTTAAGGCGGGACTGGAGGTGGATAAGGAGGATGAAGCGCGGAGTTATCCTTTATAAATGAGGAGATAGTTATGGAAATGTCTCGATTGTTCTTATGTATTCATTTATGGATAATGTCCTGAGAGTAATTAGTAACATCCAATGATGCTGGGTGACTGCAATGGTTGTGGTTCTCTGGCTGAAGGTATGTATATCAGATATCTGCCAAGGAACTAGTTCTTCGTCTCCGATTTCGAGTAGCATAATCCAACTCGCGTTCCTGTCGCCACGAACATTCATCGCGAAAGTCGCAGATCCGACATTTCCAAGCCTCCACAATCCCGACTCCTTGGGGATTGCGTTGACCGCGCCACCACTCCATCTGGTCAGTGAGATATGATGACATAGTGGCCGGGTCGAAAAGGAAGGACCTGCTTCCAAGCAGCCGCGGATGAAGATCAGTCGTAGGAGCTGACGAGAGGAAGCGGGCTGTGAGGACTGGAGAGAGGAGGGTAGGATATTCTTCCAGCATCGCTGGCTGTGTCAATGATGGGATAGATGGTGCAACCGTCTCTTCATGCGGAGAGAACGAGGGAATGAAGGTGTGACGGAGTTGCTCTTTCATGTAACTCCATAGACGGTGAAGTGTGCCATGGGTCAGAAGGATACCAGTCGAGTCCTGGCTGGCATATGGAGGACTGGAAGCAGGGCCAAAGCCATGAGTGGCTTGCACGGCCCCTTCGGGTGTGGGAACATCGTCCACGTCGAATGGCGGAGATGACACTGCATCAAAGAACTCATCATGCAGGCCGCCTACCTCTGAGATAAATGCATCCGTGAATGGTTTCTCGGGGTCGAGATTATAGCGCGCTGCGAGCACATCCATTGTGACATCGTCACTCGTGATAAGACGGTTCAGCATGTGATAATAAAGTTGCAGTTGGAGTAATGTCGGTCGGAAAGACGTGCTCTTGACTGTCGGGACAGAGCCACTCGCTTTCGTCTTGACATCTGTCATGTATATTCGCGGTAATCCATAGACCGCCGGGTTTTCTTCAACAGGAGGCACCTCCCCGGGAGCTTCCAAATCAGCGAGATCCGAAATCCGCTTCCCACCCTGAGAGGAAGACAGCAGGAAATCGGACAATGACATTTGGTACTCAGGGAGAGCAGCGCGCGACTTTTCCGCATCTTCATAGAAGCCAGCAGCTGTAGCCTCGAGCACAGAATCGGGACATTCATAGGAAAGCTGGTCAATAACCCCATTGACCAACTCCCCATCAACAACGCCCCAGATCTCGAGCTCACGCGTGATGCCGTATTCCCTCAACATCCGCAGGCCCTGTATCACATTCCATATTCGCAGCGCCCACGCATCCTCCTTAGTCTTGATTTCCACCGGGACCGTGGTGTATATCTCATCTTCGAGAGTCTTATGCACGACGCTCCCCTTCTTCATTGCAGGCGTCCTTCTCTTCCGCCCATGCTTGGTCAGAGTATACCAATACTGCAGCTCACACCAAGCCGGAGAAACCAAATCCGTCACCGAAAACGCCTTATTCGGCGGTCGTCGAAAGCGCTCCACGGGTGTCCGCGTATCCAACGTCGGGGCTAGTTGAGTCTCGCGTGTCCATTCAAGCTCACGCGCAGCACTGCGCTCTCGTTCTCGCTCTCTCCCTTCACTTGATCCAGGATGCTCCACTAAACGCTTCGAGATCCACGTGTTAGCCTAGCCCAGGCTGCTGAACAGCAAATCATAAACGCTTCGGGATGACAGGATCGAAAACACTCATACCAATCTGGGAACTCCTGTTGATTGACACCTGGCTTGACCTCCCAGCCATAGGGCTCCGTGGGTTCGTTGGCCCAAACCAAGGCCGCTGGCTCGAACGTCTCCACGGTGAACCAGGCTTCTCCCGACCCAGTACCTTCGGCAGGCGGACGCCCGGGGAATTCGTGACAGCATCTTCAATGTCGGCAACAATCTCCGCTAGAGAGGCTGGTTGAAGGGAGTCAAGATCTGCAAGCTTCGCTGCAACTGGTGCCGTAATCGCGTCCTCAAGGTTCTGATTTGGGGTTGGTGTTGAGACTGGAGTGGCGTCGCGTTGGACGGGCGCGTGTTCTGCGGCAGCTTTCGTGACTAGGTCGTTCAGTAACTGCTCTTCATCTGGCGTAAAGTCGGATCCGTAGTCACTGGAATCGGATACTTCAGACCGCGATAGTTGCGGTGGGCAGGACATGCCTGCGACTGTTGAAGGGGGTCATGTTCTGTGTGGCATGTAGAAGGAGAGGAAATGCGGATCGCGAGGCGCGAACGTCATCGCGGGAGGCTCCGATTTAACTACACTACTTAGCAAGCAGGAGTCAGGTTTAACTCACCAACAAACAAGTTCATTACTGGACGTTTTTAGCGAACGGCTTATGGCTGATCCTCGTTATTACTTCATTGAAGTTAAATCTTCGTCAAAATGAGAGTTAATTGAGAAAAGAAAGAAAGGAAACTCTATATTTATGGTCGAAGATTGGTATCTATCAAATGAACATGCAATGCATCGCTCCAAGAAATCGCCAAAAAAGTCAAACGCCGACAGTGACAGGACATAAAATCTATACAAAATGCCCGAGGTCAACCCTTCTAAACCGCTTTATATTATGCCGCAGCCGTTGCAGGAACCAAGTTCCCAGCCATCGCTTGCACACTCTGAATATTGTTCTCTTCCGCCAGAACCTCACGCGCAGCCTTCTGGTTCAACCAACTCAAGTACGTCTGCCAGCCAACAGCAATGACGCCCGAGAAGACGTTCCGGAACTGAGCTGGCACGTACATGAAGCTGAATGCAGTGACAGCGGGCCAGAGCTTGACGCTGTTGGTCACGCTGACGGGGAGAGCCTTCTTTAGGCGCTCCCATGTTTCCTCGAGGGAGGCGCCTGCGAGGAGGGAATGCATGCTGAAGAAGTATGTATTGAAGACGGGGGTGAAGCAGATTTGTTGGACGACGACTTTGGTCAAGACAGAGAGGAATTTGGATGGGTAGTTAAAGTGGTTGTGGAGGAACATGAACCTGAGATTTGAGGTTAGCGTTTCTAGTTTTCGCAAACACTCCTGATCGAGCGCTCTGTACTGCGATAGCTCAGACTTACCAGTTATATGACGGGATACTCGATCCAGCGCCCACAATCAGGTGTCGCACCGTCCGCCATGGATCATATCCACCCCCACGACTGACCTCCTTTTCATCCTCATCCCCCAATGCCTTGGGATCTTTCTCCGCAGACTTAGCCGGTGGAGGTGCCTCCGAGGGAAACATCAGCTGGGCACTCAAGTCTCCACACAAATATATGACAATGGAGCTGTAGAATTGCGTCGCATACGGCTTCCGCTCCTGCACGCGCGAGTACCACCTGCCCAGCTTTCCCAAAGGACCGGCTTTTATGATCTCGCGTAGTCCTTTAGACCGCACCACCGCATTCGCGGCACTGGGAGCCGTCGCTGCGCCGGCGGCTGTCACTGCCGCGGTAGTATTCACAGGCTGGGCTGAGGCAGAATCCGAGATATTTGGCGGGGCGGACTTTGCAGGCGCATTCGTCGATACCCCATCACAGCTAATCTTGCTCTCTGCGGGTGTCTCAGGCGTCGTTGGGGCATCGGAGGATTTGTGTCGTCGCGGCTGGCGCACCCGCCGTAGCGGCGCTCGAATGCTGGGGTTGATCGGCCGGGGACGCGTCGTGAACGTCGACACATGGGCGCTGAGACCCCTTTGAAAGAGACTCATCTCTGGTTCCTCAGACACTCGTCATGTACAATGAGTGATGACCTGGTACAACCACAGCTGCACAAAAAAACCCGGGGTGACTCAGGTATACTAGTCCGACTGTGGCGATAAGGGAGAAACGAAAAGTACCGATAACGGAAGGTGTTTCCGAGTGGGGGGAATACTATAATTCAAAGAATGAAGAAACGAAAGAGGTCTATGAGGGTATAGATTGAAAGAAGAGTGTAAATCAACAAAAAAAGGTTGTCTATGACTAGAAAAAAGCTGACAGCGATTAAAAAACTCAGAGTGCGAGTCAGTCAGCTGCATCATGGCGGGTGATTCGTGATTCGGCAGTCGGCCCGCGGAAATGCCGTGAATTTCCGATCAAAAGTTATTGCTGGGATGAGATCAGATCGCCGAGAGATTGCGATCTGGCCATGAAGTTGATTGCTATAAATAATCTGATCAACGTACTGTCTACAAGCTAAATTGGCACAGTTTCTGGGAAATAATAATCATTGGAAAAATCAACAAATGACGCCATATCCAGGAACCAACTCCAGATCTATATGCAGGTAATGATGCAGCCCGTAAATACATAAATCGTTCCCGAGTGTAAACACATGGGGAAATAAGGTATCAACAAAATCAAACAAAATGCGAACAGGCGGGAGTATAGTCACCGCACAATGCAAAAGACACTAATAGGAAACTTTTTGGTATAAAAGTGACGAGGGACGGAGTAGACACTAGGATTAGAGTAGGGGATAATGCGGGGCGAGTGGTGGAGAGAATGTGATGTGAGTGGGGATTATGAAGGTTTTTAAGCCTTGAAGGATTCCCGAGTGTTGACACGGTCAACAACGTAGGGATTTCCTTCATAGGTAGGCACACGAGCCAGCGAGCCCATAGTGCGAGCAGATGCAGTCGAGTGAGCACGGCTGCGGGTCCGTTGAGTCGCAATGGGCTCCTCTTCGGCGTCGTTGTGAGAGGAGGAGCTCGACAGGGAAGGATCGTGCGGGGCAGGAGCCTCGGTGCGGTCAAACTCAATTTTCTCCTCTTCTTCCTCGACAGGCGTGGTGACGGCTTGTTCCTGGATCTTGCGCATAAAGGCCTCGGACTGGGCGGCGAACTTGCAGCGAGTGCGGATGGCGGCACCGTACTTGTAGAACAGGAAGGGGAAGGGCACGCAAGCGAGCGCCAAGAAAGCGGGGATCGAGGACGCCCAGTGGATGCCGAGGTTGTTATACATGTAGGTGGTGAAAAGAGGGAAGGCAGCACCGAAGAGGGATCGCATGACAGAGTTTGCGGCCAAGACGGAGGCGGCGAAGATGGTGTATGCGTCGATTAGGTAGTTCATGATACCCAGGAAAACGAGGACCATACCGAAACCGAAGGGCACACCGGCTGCGATACTGGCCATGAAGTGGATATCGGGGTAGTTGGTCCAGGCAAACCAGAACAGACCGATGGGGATCGCAATGCAAGCGACCATCGTCGGGGGAAGACGGGCTTCGGGAGGTGCGAACCCACCATGGTTCTCTTGAACGCGAATATAGCGCTTGTTATCCCATAGGGTGTAGACGACGGCAATCAACATTCCAACCATGATACCCAGGAAAGCAAGGCCGCCGATACCCTGGTTCCAGCCACGGTTGACTTGGTACACAATTGGGAACGCAGCAAACATCATGTACAGAGTACCATAGATGATAGCCATGTACAGAGACAGCAGGAAGACGATAGGCTCGCGGAACAGGAGAATCCATGGACGAGACAAGGCAATCTTGAACGATTCCTTGAGCGAGAGTCTGCCCTGGTCGATATCGATCTTACTGCGGTAGACCTTGCCGGTGAGCTTGGAGAGCTTCTCAGCACGACGGCGCAGCAGCACCGGCGCATAGGTCTCGGGCATGAACAGAGAACCCATGATCCAGACAGCACCAGAGAAGATACCCAGGAAGCCCATGACCCACTTCCATCCCTCGTACATACCGAGGAAACCACCGATGATCGGGCCCAGAACGGGACCCAAAAAGGGCGCAGCGGCGAAAAGACTCATGGCGATACCACGCTGCTTGGCGGAGAACATATCGGCGATGACACCACCAGCGTTGGTGAGGGGCGAGGATCCAAAAGCACCGGCGAAGAAACGAAGGATGATAAGGGTATACGCATTCTTGGAACCGGCGCAGGCAGCGTTGAATGCAGTGAGGGCGGCATAGGTGGTAGTGAAGAGGAGTTGACGACCGAACAATTCACTAAGAGGAGCCCAGAGCAGGGGACCAATCTGGTACATGTTAGTTACTAAGTCTACAGATTGTCAATCTCAAGCAAGCCGGAGCGAAACTTACGGCGAAACCAACGACGAACAGCGAGACACCAAGGGTAGCAACTTCGCTTCCAATGCCAAACTCCTTTTCAATCTCCGCAACACCACCAGTATAGGCCGAAGAGACCAATGCAACAGCCAGCGTCGCAATAGCCACCACAGCAGTAAACGTCCACTTCTTCACCTGGCTGAAACCCATCGGGTTACGAGGGTCATCAGGAATCCAAGTCACGGCATAAGGGTCGTCTTCCGTGCCGGAGCCGGGGTATGGATGGCTTGCGATCTGCTGTGTCACTACACCTTGATCGAAGACCAGGCGGAAAAAAGGAATCGAGGTGGGGAGATTGGATTCGATCTTTTCAGATCCGTTTTTCTCGTCGAAGCCCGACATAGTGGGCAGACGTGCGAGGATCGAGTTTCGGAAGATAGTTTCGATTTATAGTATAGTCGTGGGATGCGATGAGAAGGAAAAGCAGCAGTAGGTGGGAAAGCTGCGATGACGCAGAGAAATAGTTAAATAAGAACCAGGAAAAGAAGCCCCCCAGGAAATAATAATGCGCGGGGGTTATGTTTGGTTTTTGGAGGATAGCAGGAAACCCTAGTTATGCACCGTTTGCGGGGGCCGGGGAGGAGATAATAACCGGATTTGGGGCAGAGGGAGTCGAGTTAATCACCACAACAAGAATTAGCGATTATGAGGTGAGTGAGTTAGATAGCGAAATATAGTCGTAGAAAAAAATAAAGAAATCTTCTGGAAGCAACAGGACCAAGGGCCCCTTTTAATGATGGCAATGGATGGAAGTTGCTACGAGTCAGGCAATGGGGCCTGGATTGGTGGCGCTCTGTTTTTTCATACTTCATCCATAGATCCAGGGTCGGATTTAGTAATGTACGCCGGTGTTAATGTATTAAACTACATAAAAAGGTGTCCACTGTGCATATCTGGCTGGAAATAAATTATGGCCCCCAGCAACGAGAAACACCGTTGGTCACTAGTTCTGCTTAGAAATGGTCGAGCTTGAAGAACGGAGAAAAGAAAAAAGGTGGATCCCGAGTGCCGACCCATGGGCCATGCATTATTAAATCATTTATCATTTATGCTATGCTCAGGTACTACTTGGACATGGGGGCAAAAAAATGAGAATCGATTCAGGTATCGTGGCCAACGCCATCGCAGAATGTTTCCTTAGATCCGTCCGTCAAAGCTAATCGTTATGGAGGCGGTCCAACCCGGCTAAAAAGAGGTCCCCCTTGTCGAAGGGCGTGAGAGACTAGCAGGGAATACACGAGTCGCGTTACAAAACTATGACGCAAACAGCGTGCGCCACGTGATGAGATTATGCACGGCACAAAGCCACGTTTGGCTGTGCGCCGGGAACTCGGCACGGCGCTTGGCAGATCGCGGACTTAAGCGTCAGGCTGAAACAATTCTCCCGTCCTATCGGCTTCAACTGTCATCAGCAATTTCGGTCGGGATAGCTAATTACGAGGTGGATGTGATGAGTCAATCTTGAAGATTATCGACGGTATTCACTGAGATTCCAGAGTCCGATTTTCATGTAAAATTGAATTGTAATCGCCAGCCAAGATTCATCTAATGATTTACTGTAGCACGATTCATGGTGCAGTACACAACAGCAATCTATACATGCAGGAGATTTCCAAGACTCAAATCAACCCTTATCACGCAAGGGCCACACCCGTCGAGAGATACATACATAAATCAAAGTCCTGAACCAATGAAACCCAAGGCATGGGCCAGGGGAAATTGGCATAGGGCTTATAGGCCGGCTCCGGATCTGCCCATTGGGGCTCTTTGCTGAGGCCCGGCCGATGGTTGGTTAATGTGGTCCGGCACGGATAGATTTGAAAGATCAAGCTGACACGCTCGACCAAAGCATAATACGACCATCTGGTTCATTATTCATTATTATTCGTCTGCTTATGCTCCGATGCAACCCATCCTTCTACGTAGGTGGACCCCAAATACGACTTCTTTTGAATTGATAAGCATCAACCCCGAAATCCTTATTTATGCCTCCTTGTGTCCATGCGCCCTTCATACGAGGTTTGTTCATAAGTAGTCAACCACATTCCCAATAAAACTTGGATTGGTAATATCTTGTCACTTGACGATGACCATTGCCCTGACCAGGCAGCTTAGTTAATGTGTACGACATTATTATCTTATGTCCTTTTTTATTCACGGCATTCGCCAATGAATCTTCATCAGCTACGTCCCACCGTAAGCACCGGGCCATGTCGATCAATTGCCCGGTATGCCCATGACAACGGGTCCAATTGAATGCTTATTCTTGAGTTACGACGTTCTAATGATTTCATAAAGCTTACACCGAAATTGAAAGCAGGATCAGAGAATTTTGCGGTCGTGGATTTGAACTGTTTGAAATACATACCTTAAAATAAAGGCCTGTTATCTTACAATAACCCCGAAAGGTATAACCTTGGTGGTACCTAGGATACTGTACAAATGATGTTTCGCTCACAGCTTGGGCTAAGAAAAAGTATGGAGCTGTTCAAAAATGGAGATAGTTGGCCAAAGGTGGTGCAAATCATCAAGATCAGCATGACGATAGAACCAATCTATGCGACAATCATCTTGTAAAGGCAAGTACAGTAATAAATTTTGTACAAAATGGTTGAATGATCCAAGGGGCAGACCCCAGCAACAATTCATGCAACACATATGGCTTTTTGTCCCAGAATACACATGAACGAAATGCCGAGTTTCAATTGAAACTTCTAAAGATATTCCAAGAAGCCAGTAGCGAGATCAATTGCCAGTTGTAAAAATCGTGACTGTGGTTGTAGTAGTGATTTTGTCAGGAACACAAGCACTCTCTGGTGTGGCGAGAGAACCATCAGGTATGGCGGTAGTGGTTGTGGTAGTACCGTGACTGTCCCGCAATCACCGTCGGTGATTTGACTTGATGAGCTCAGGGTAGATGTGGTCTCGGCTGCGACCTCAGATGTCACCGGAGGAGTGGTGAGGACATTGCTAGAGGAAGATTGGACTCTCTGTAATGCGGCCAACGAGGTAGAGTATCCAGTCACCTGGCTACTAGACGTGGCTGTTGCAGACCCGATCACAGGAGTCACAGCTGGCGCCGACCAAGTGCCCGTGGGTGTGCCAGTGACACCCTCGGCGTAGATGGAGTTACCAATACTGGGCGGCCAGACGTTGGGCCTGGGCATGGTATAGTTCCTCTAATATTCACGATACATGTAAAACAAAATGCCAGGCTCATATCTAGTATAAACACTAGGAATTTTAACGACTGGCCCCGGAGTTTCCGTGCTGTCACTCTCAACCTCGATCTGTGCACAATTGAAGTAAAACTCAGCACCGCCAAACTCCCCAGCTCCATGAAGCGCAATGTGTTCGATCTGAACGAGATATTGACCGGCGGGAGTCTCCTTCGGTAGGGTGAATGTGAAGTTCGATTTCCCAGTCACGCCCCATTGAATGCTCTCGTTACCGAAAGAGGTCGGGCCGAGCTCCCAAATCTTGAACCTGTCACTAGAGCCGTCGTAATCTCGAACATCTCCCGGGGCCTTCGACATGTACACTTGCATAGGCCCAGGGTGTCCGACCAAAACGCCAAAGTCTGTGGCGAATCCGATCTGGTCGCCAGCTTTCACTTTGTTGACGTCGGTTTGGCCGGCAAACTGGAAAGAACCCGTGTTGCAGCGGAAGTCATCACTATTGTAGTTTCCTTTCCAGGGCATGTAACCCTGCGTGTCTTCGCGGACATATTCGTAGTACTCGCTGACATTGCCATTATTGATAAATTGCGGGGGAAAAAAGTGACCGAAGGTACCTGGGATCGAGGCCAAGCAGAAGGCCAGCGCAAGACGAATTTGGGAACGCGTGGTGAGGTCTTAGGGAAACTGTATCAAGCAGAAAGGATTCTGTCAATCGCCAGCGGTGACACGAATGCTGAATGAAAGAAGTTAGTGACTATATAACAAGAATGGGTGTAAAGGCTTGCAGCTTCTGTGTCCCGAGGGCGACGTCCACCTGCTATTTAACACCTCTGTGCACCTGAATAGGAAACATTGCGTTTTATTATCAACTGGGATAATTTATATTGGACTTCGGGTTTTTCGAGATTAACGGAGAGGATACATCATGATGCTTGCTTAAACACAAACACTTCCTATGGAACAGCGAATGTATCAGTTACAGACCCTGTCTCTTGGCAATGGGGAGCAGGGCGGACAAGTGCACTTGACTGGCTACTTCATTATAGGTTGGTTTTCTCGTTTGACCGAGTTTCACCACAATAATTGTGGAAAATCAGCTGGTATGTACACTGCCGAAGGCATTAGAGAGCTATGTACATAATGAAAATCTTGTGGGTCATTTAGGGAACCTTCTAAACTGTGCACAGTGACACAAGGGGACCCGCGCTATGACCTCGAATAAGCCAATCAGGCTACTGTACTTTTCTGACCAAGGCAATTCCACCTAAATCAATGTATTTTCGCTTCTCCAAAATCCCCAGGCCCATTTGCCCTGTCCAAATCGCCTCCACCTCGCTGTCGCCGACTAATTGAAGCTGTTCACCCATCTTCATTTTCATCCCAATATGGCTCCGACTTCCACTATGTTTAGCTCGCTGCCTAGCAACGTCAACGAGCGCCGAATGGAACTCTTCAACCTTGGCCTTGACGCTAAACTGTCTTTCCCTGGCTCGGAGTTAGAAAGACTGTGGCCCTTTCTCGACAACATATATGTTCATTATCGCAAGAATGCAGCCAAAACCCATACTACTTCGTATTATCGATTTCGTCTCTGGCGTAAGGATCCTATCCAAGTCAGGGTTACCCCGGAACAATCGCAAGCGAATTCGAGTATCAAGGGCTCTTGTTGCTTGCCCCTGCAAGATCAAAGTTATCACCAAGTGCGGAGAGGCCTTAATTACTCGCGTTGATAGGGATCCCTCTGGCCACAGTCACCAACTCGAAGCCATTGAATACAAGCTTCCTACTGGGGTGAGGGATCTAGCTGCTAATGAGGTTGGTTAGGGGTATACGCCTCACCAGATTCTGAGTAACCCCAAAAGCGCCCGAAATGGCAATCTAGAAGCCCTTAAGCTTGCAGGGGGTGTGGGCCTTAGTACGAAAGATATACACAATGCCGGTGCGCAGGGTCGAAACTAAGCGGAGAACTACTAGTTAGCCGATCAACAAAATTTCTCTAAAAATCTCGCCCCCCCCCCCCCCACCTCCCCCCCTTCTTTCTCGATCTTGTGTCTGGGAAGGAAGCGGGGTATTCCATAAAGCAATACGATCATCCTGTCTCCTCCGGAGCCAGAAGCATATGCTATTATGCCACCGCTACTTGGCATTCCGGCGGGGGTGGAGAGCGTAGGAGACACAATGGATAAAGATTGACGAAACCATAAGAATGGACCAGAGAGAACGAACAATCTTTGCGCACTTCACTAGTTATTTCGTGGAAAAGCTATTTGTGATTCCCTCGCAGGATGTTTCGTGAAGAAGGAAACCGACTGGTGTATGAGTACGACTCTGAGCAACTCTGGATTGAGCCATGGGGCGAGAACGCGTTTCGAATCCGAGCCACGAAATGCGCCACCATGCCGACGGAGAGTTGGGCTCTCGGCGAGAGGTTAGCCGCTTCAACTACTGGCCCGCAGATCTCCATCTCTTCCTCCTCTGCAAGCATCAACAATGGCAAAATACGGGCTGTGATTTCCAGATTTGGAAAGCTCACTATCTCCAACTCCAAGGGCAAAGTCCTGCTTGAGGAGTATACACGCACTCGTCGGGATATCCTCGATCCAAAATGCAGCGCCATTGAGGTTGAAGCTCGGGAATTCAAACCCATCCTAGGTGGCGATTACCATCTCACCCTGCGACTGGAGAGCATCGACCCAAATGAAAAGATCTTTGGCATGGGCCAGTATCAGATGCCATACCTCGATTTGAAAGGCCATGATCTGGAACTAGCTCATCGCAACTCCCAGGCCAGTGTGCCCTTTGCACTATCGTCCCTCGGATATGGCTTTCTCTGGAACAATCCCGCAATCGGGCGTGCCGTCTTGGGGAAGAACATCATGAGCTTCGAGGCCTATTCAACTAAAGCTATGGACTTTTGGATTGTGGCAGGAGATTCGCCCTCCGAAATCGAAGAAGCTTATGCCAACGCCACAGGCAAAGTCCCTATGATGCCAGAATTCGGCCTAGGATTTTGGCAGTGCAAGCTGCGGTACCAAACGCAAGAAGAGCTTCTTAGTGTGGCGAGGGAGTATAAGCGCCGCAACTTACCGATCGATCTTATTGTGATTGACTTCTTCCACTGGCCTAAGCAAGGAGAGTGGAAATTTGACCCTGTATACTGGCCAGATCCAGGTATGTCTCTAATTCAAACTTCAATAATTCCAGGCCGCTAATCAGAGATATTCATATAGCCACAATGGTTAAGGAGTTGAAAGAGATGAAGATTGAATTGATGGTTTCCATCTGGCCGACCGTCGATAAAAAATCAGAGAACTATGAAGAGATGCGCGAAAAGGGCCTTCTTATTCGTGTAGATCGCGGTATTCGAACTGGTATGGATTTCGAAGGCGAGACTGTTCATTTTGATGCCACAAATCCCAAGGCGCGAGAGTACGTCTGGGGAAAAGCACGGCAAAACTACTACGAAAAGTACGGAATTAAGGTCTTCTGGCTTGACGAAGCTGAGCCCGAATACACGGCTTACGATTTCGACATTTACCGATATCACCTTGGGTCCAACCTTGCTATTGGAAATATCTATCCGAGTGACTATTCCCGGGCCTTTTATGAAGGGATGACCCGTGCAGGCGAAACAAATGTTGTCAACTTAGTGCGATGTGCTTGGGCCGGCAGTCAAAAGTACGGCGCGCTGGTCTGGAGTGGTGATATCGCCTCGTCCTGGGGCAGCTTCCGGAACCAGCTTGCTGCGGGCCTTAATATGGGTATTGCCGGTTTCCCCTGGTGGACCACCGATATCGGAGGCTTCCATGGAGGCGATCCTAATAGCACGCACTTCCGCGAACTATTTGTGCGTTGGTTCCAATGGGGTACCTTCTGCCCCGTTATGCGCCTGCACGGTGACCGTGAGCCTCGACAGCCTCAGCAAGGCACGACCGGAGGTGCATCTTGTTGCAGCGGTGCCGATAACGAGGTTTGGTCTTATGGGCCGAAGGTTTATGAGATTTGCAAGAAGTATATGCTCATTCGCGAGGAGCTGCGACCCTATACCAGACGACTGATGCAGGCCGCCGCCGAGAAGGGGACACCGGTGATGCGGACTCTTTTCTACGAGTTTCCGGATGATGAGAATTGTTGGAACGTGACTGATCAATATATGTATGGCGATCGGTACTTGTGCTGCCCCGTCCTGACACCTGGGTTGACCAAGATGATGGTCTATCTGCCATGTCTGACTGCTGGTGAGAAGTGGAAGGCATTTTCTGGAGAAGAAACCTGGGAAGGTGGCCAAAACATTGAGGTTGACTGCGTCATTGACACCATGCCAGTCTTTTCCCGAGTCGACTGTATATAGACAAGAGAATTCAAGCATGTAATTAGATACAGGTGCATCGTTGGTGTGAATTAGCCCAAATCAATGCGGATGGATCATATAACAAGTAACCGAAAATAATGTGCCACAAGATAGAAATCCAGCCATCAACCTTGTTGGGATACTTGAGATGCTCTTCTTTCTTTTCATTTCTCCCTCCCACCAATGCATGTTTTCTTGGGATTTCACTGGCTGTATTCCTTGAGCGTCTCCGGAGAACGGACCGAAAATGTGGGGGAGGCCCAGATCTCCGCAGGGACGTGGAGTGCTCCGTGGTAATAAAGTCAGGGGAGTTTCTTGCTTCTTTCGCTTCCCTCTCCATTCATTTGCCATTCGTAGACTGGCCATCCCATGGATGAGGATGAACCTGCCACTGCCGGCAAGCAGAACGCTGGCGAGGGCTCGAGGCGCACCCGTACACCTCTGGCCTGTACCCATTGCTGTCGGCGTTTTGCGAGGAAAGAGCATCTTGTCAGACACCTGCGAATTCACACTCAGGAAAAGCCATTTACGTGCGATACTTGTGGCAAGGAATTCTCTCGTATGTCAGTAACAGCTTCCCCATGAGGTTGACCGGTTGGAACTGACCATCTGCCACCGTTAGGGACATCCTAAGCCGTCATGCGGGGATCCATACCCAGAAGCGACATTCCAATACTACGAAACCCCTTTCGAAGAGGGCATGCGTGCAATGTGCGACAAGTCGAATCCGCTGTACAAGAGAAGATCCCTGTGCTCGCTGCGAATCAAAAGGCTTCCGCTGCGAGTACCGGATGCTGCCGACCGGGAAGCTAGGTGGTGTTGACAAGGAAGGCATATCTGAAACCGACCCCAACACGAGTCCCGATGACCTAGCCGCCAACAAAGCTATATCTGGGTCGCTCGAGCAAACAGCCGCGCTGTATGACGAGCATAGCACTCAACATCTGCTCGAGTCGGGAGTCTCCGTGAATAGAAGTGATCATTGTCAGATTTCCATCAATGCCAGCATCCCCCTCATGTACGAAACTGGCTCGAGACAGGCCCTCAGTCCTGAATTCATGTCCGGAATAAATTGGCTCTCACCGGGCCAAACAATTTTCCAAGAATGGGGAAGTCAACTAGCCGATATCACGGACAACGAGTTGTTTCCGCCGATGTTCAATATGGTGGATCTTCCAGAGATGCCCACGCTCTTCAGTGCTGGCACTGAACAGCAAGTCGCATCTGAAAATCCCGGACAACTCTTCTCTGCTCACGCACAGCTAGGTTCCTGGGAAAATCCAGAAGGTCACGCAGGGGTCAGAGAGCCAAGGTCACCGGAAACCTTCCTTGACGGGCTGTCAACGGGCACATCAGGGTCGGTTGAAAGCAAATACTATGTCCATGGGGTTGCATCGAGAGCTCCTTTTCAACGCAGGTCTCGTAATTCATGGGTAGTGCCGGATGGTTCGACGTCGGATCTCTCGACATCTGCCAGCATTACTGGCAACATCCCAACATCCATTGACCATTGGCTGACACTAGAGGTATATTCCAACGTCGTTTTGAGCATACAAGAGCAGATAAAAACACAGCCACAAATTCCGCCGCTAGAGTACTTTCGGCTCTGCGTGCACCTCTACTTTACACACTTGCATCCCAACTTCCCCTTCATCAATCGAGTGACCTTTCTTAGCAATGAGCCCCACTTAGTTCTGTGCATTGCGGTTGCTGGTGCTGGGGCAGCGTATCTACAATCACCGCTAGGGACGCAATGGAAGAACTCACTGATGGAAATACTGGGAACTACTCTATCAAATCATCTCAGTCACTACCAAAATATTCCCCAAGATGCGAGTTCAATGCAGCTGTTGGATATGCATATCACAATGGAGATGGTGGACGAGGTCATGCCACTCATTCAAGCCAAGATTTTGCACATGCTGTTCATGCTTCATAGTAGCACCCTATATATTACACGACGTGCCGGTTTTGAGCGTGCTGAATTAACGCAATGGTGTTCATATCTCAACCTAGTGTCAACATCATTAGGCGCTCCTACGTTGATCAAAGACGCTACAGATGTGCAGCTTTGGGTAAAAGCCCAGTCACGGCTCCGAGCGGGAATGATGATATGGGTAAGTGCAAAAAATGATCCCCAGATATCATTTTCCTGACATTTTTGCAGCTTCTGGATTCAATGCTTTCTTATGAGTCGAATTGCAAGCACATCATGAAGCTGGGTGATACCGCTAAATGGCTGCCCTGCCATGAAGTAGCATGGGAGCAGCCATCGATTGCAAACATCGAGTTCGCTCAGAGGTATTCAGGTACGAGCGGTATCTCGACTTGGCTTCCCTACAAATTCCCCCTAGCTGACGAGTCCCGCCTGAAACATAGTATCGTTCGTGGATGCCATCGACATGATCTATATTGAGAAGCGGCTTGCCCCACACCTTAGCGAATTTAGCCATGTTCTGCTCATTCATGCTATCTACCGACGGACCACAGAAGTCGTCGACGAAAGCCGCATGCGACTTTCATACTGGAGCCCTACATCCAGGATGCAAGCATTGGTCAGCGAGCCCAATCCAGCACAGGAGTGGCCCCCATCTAGCACAACAGCGTCAAACTGGCGCAACGCGGCCTGCGACTCACTCGATGTTCTAAATTGGGCAGCCAACAGCAAATCTGCTGAATCATGCTGGGAGGAACCCACCATTCTATATCTGCATCTTTCTCGACTGATCCTCCTCGCTCCGATCGCTCATTTTCAGACACTAGCAAAATTCCCGTCATTGCACACTTTGAAATGGCCCAACTCGATCCCTTTCAACCAATACAATTATGAAAATGCGCGTAGCCAGGTCCTCCAATGGGCTATTCGTGATCAGTTTAAGGCCCGACTCTCGGTCGTACATGCCGGTGCCTTGCTATGGCATGTCCGCCGCTTCAGCACAGACAACCTCATAGAACCATTCAGCGTTTATATTGCAACACTACTCCTCTGGGCATATAGTGCTTCGATATGCGCGGTTAGTAACTCTTCTGGTCCAGTGAGAGCTGATCAGACCTCGCAAAATGATGATCTCGCTCCGGATGATTCTGATGATGAGCCTCTTTGGCTTCGTCTTGACCGACCACTAGACGATGAGCTCGTCCAGACATACATACGTGTCGGGAACAAAATGTCTGCCCACCTCAAGGGGGTTGGAGATATCTGCAAGCATGACGCACCTTTGAAGATTCTTAAGCAGGGATATTATTTACTCGTCGGGGAGAGGTATTCTAGGAGCACCGACAATACTGTCAATGAAAGCGTGCCAGTGGAGACAAAACATTGCACGTGGGAGATACGGCGATCATATGGAGCAATAATCCAGTGCCTGATTGACGCGACAGGGGCTTCATAGCTGGGTGAGAAAACCTGGCTAGATATCTGAAAATTATATTCATATTGCAAATTTTCCACGTTTCACAGAAGTAAGGGATCAAATCAAGTGTATATGGACTAGGTAACTTTTCCCGCTTTCAAGGTACTTCAAAGCGAGTTTCATTGGTCTTGAATTATATGAATTTAAATGAATAGCACAATGACTACAGCAAAAAGAACAATTCAGCTACCTAGCAAACCCCTCCCCATCAGCTGACAAAACCTAGCCTATGATGCCCTTTAGTCTTTCAACACAAGAGCCTCAGTACCCTCAGCGTAGGCATCAACCCGATACTTGGAGAAGTCTCTGGAGCCAATCTTGCGTGAAAACAGGATATCCAACTCCTCGAATGTCTTACCCTTCGTCTCTGGTAGCCGAAAGAATGACCAAACAAAGAAGGCCAAGGCGCAGCCACCCCAGAAAAAGCCGGTCTTGCCCTTCCAATCTCCAGCTGTGGGGTTCAGCATATATGGATTGATGACATTGCAGATAATCTGCGAGATATAATATGTGATACGAGCGAGACAAACAGACTTGTTTCGCAGGCGAGTAGATGAAGTCTCACTGATGATCGCATAACATATTGGCCCAACAGTGAGGTAGTATACAAGCAGCCAGAGGAGCATCATTGTTGCTTGCGCGTAGTTGCCTTCAACTGAGTCTCCAGCGCCGACGGATACAAAGCCCACCACCATCAAAATGACGGTTAGTAGGCCCAACCCCCAAAGATAGAGGGTACGACGGCCGAAGGCATGCAGGAGATACCAGGAGATAACGGTGCCAACAAAGGCGAGCCCGAGTCCACCCACGGACATTTTGAATGAGATTGAAGAGGGTAGACCGGCCTGTTCGAAGAAGTATGTGGGAGTGCCACCCATGGCAGAGCCACAGAAGGGTTGGGCGGCGAAGGCCATACAAGCAATCTCCGTTCGGCGAAGATCAACACCACGGAAACAATCCCAGTAGCTTGTGCCTTGGTCGATCTGCTTCTCCAGCTCGTTAGTGTGGATCATCATCGCCACATTTTGTTTCGCCCCGCCGTTCGCGTCAAAGCCAAGACGAATCATGCTCCGTTCCGCAGAAACATATTCACCTCGTCGGACAAAATACCATGGGGACTCTGGAGCAGACAGCAGGATCACAAAGAGTGGAATAGGCCATGCCCACTGGATAGCAAAGGGTATGCGATATCCCCACTCGGTTCTATATTCAGAGAATCCAGACTGCACTCCAGCAGAGATAAGCTGACCAATCGCCCAGCACAGGTTCACATATACAGTAAGATAACCGCGCAGGGAGAGTGGACAGACTTCAGACGCATACGATGGCGCCATGGTGGCAAAGACTCCCCAGGGAATACCGCAAAGAAATTCGCCAACCAGTAGGACGGGCAAGTTGGTTGCGAAGAAGGGGATGAATATGAATGCCGTGATTGCAACCAAGCTTGCCAGCAAAACCTTGCGGTAGCCATAGCGATGGGTGAAATATCCATTAGCGAAAGCACCCACGATGGTACCAACAGATACCGCGTTGCTGAGGCCATTCTGCCAGGATGCAGTGATTTGGTAGCTGTCGCTGCTAGCTATATACGAGCCGTAGCGTTCCTTGAAGGCTGGCTGGGCGAAGAATGAGGACATGAGGACAATGTCGTAGCCTTCCATGATAATGCAGGTTGAGAGTAAGACCGACCACATTGCTGCTTTGGGGTACTTGCGAAGCGCTTGCATGAATGTATCCTCATGCTCTGTTGCGGCCGCTTGTCTCGCGAGATCATCGGATTTGACATGATCGTCGACGTTGCCGTGCTCCATGTGGGACACCTCCTCGTTGGCTTTTTCATTGAACTCCATGGCTGGGCGCTTGTGGGAGAATACAAGTCAAGTAGTGATGCGCAAGTCTGGAGCATGGGTTAATAATTGTCGCACTTCGTGCATGGGAAATATGATTTGACCAACATACAACCTTGTGTTCAAATATTTCATATATCTCATTCCCGAATGATGATGTGATCACAAATCTAATGTCAAGAACAGGATCACCACCGACCTTTTATCAAGCACATGTGTCTGCCATCGAGCTCTGTCACTCGTGGATCAGTCCGTAGACTCCATACTCCATAGGGCGATTAGAATCTGGGGAAAGAGACGGTAAGTGGGCCCCAATTGGGCCCATCTGCTTACTAGTAGGGACGGGTTGGCATCAAAGAGCTACCCCGCCGGAATACCAAGCCCGGCTCTGTTTTACACGACAGTTATTGAGTAGTTTTAAGTTCCGACGGGGGTCAACCCCATCGCGGATTCCAGGTTTAGCAGGCTGGCACTCCCTTTCACGACTTGCGGGAACCATAAGAGCTGGACTCATGTGAATCCATGCGACTGGAACTGCCTAATATTGGCCACTTTCAACTTGATCTTATGTACTGAACTGTTGGTCAAATGCTTTTAGAGTTTCTGTCTATTCTAGTATTAGGCTATTTGGTGCTGACGTTCGAATTTATCGATTCTATTGGAGTAGCTCTGAGGTAAAAGTCAACAGTCCGGTTGACCTGGGCAGGAATTCCTTCGAGTATTCCTCAGATACTGTAAGTTGCTACAGTTGCCCCGAAGGTACAGTATGCTCGTGGCCAGGAAGTATCACTAACCTTTTCCGTGCTCTAGCTCACTATTACTCCTGACCCACCGACTAGCTCAACCGGTTATGCATTTGAGATTCAGCTTGGAAGGCAGCAAGGCATCATTGAGTCGGCTTGAGGATTCAACGATGTCAAGCTACCCGAACTGAGAGGTATCTAACACCAGCAGATTGTGATAAATAGCACTGAGATTATAAACCAAGATTTGTCTACGTAGTTGTTCTTTTAGTCCGGATCACGTCGTCGCTGTTGATGCTACTATAGGCCGTCCGCACCAGTATTGAATTCTTAACGAACCAGGAAGCTGGGTAACTGAAAGTCGTGACGAGATGTCAAGGCATGAGGCAATAACTTACTACCTATGTAGACATGACTTATAAAGAGAGCTATTTTTATTAGTATGGTTGATACAAAAGTCGCTGACATTCAGATTAACCATGACAACCATCCAAAATATATAGTGTTGAAAACGACTCCTCGGTGTTTTCATTCTACACTACATAGTTCATTGCATCACATATCACAAAAATACTTTAATCAAATGCTCCAGATCCTAAACTTCATCCGTACCAAAGAATCAGCGGAACCCGACCTTCGGATCAGGGCATCCATCCATCTCGTCTCCTCTCAAACATTATTATTCGAGACCCGCCAAGAAACGGTCAGGCCGAGCACAAAACCCGGGTGGCGAAAGAACCCAAGGAAAATTCTGCGCCATGCTGACCCGTCCCAAGTCAGTTTCTGCCTAAGGCTGCAAAGGAGAACCCCGTTGATCTGATCCCAGTTTCTCGTTTCTCGCCTCTCGCCAGCCCCACCTTCATTGATGTAGAGCATAGAAAGGGACAATAATAAAAAGGCCGTGATCTAGTGTCTGAGTAGGATCTGGTATATGAAAATTACATCATTCAATTTTCCAGGTTTTACAAAATATGTAAATCTATTTTTTATTTTTCTACCATCCCTGTAGCACGCAGGATCAGAAGATCAATTATCCCACTTCTCTCCATGTACTTGATTCATTATGACGTACGCCTGAGGCAGAAACCCGTTCACCCCGCGAGGTGCGCCGGGTGCCCCTGGATAGGCAGGGCCAGGCTCTCCACAGCGAGAGAGGCGCAAAGTGGTGATTTTGAAGGTTTTAAGCCTGTAAACTGGTCTGAAAAGGACTGTAGGACTGTACATTTAGGAAGACTAGGATGCTGTAGTCTAGCCAGCATGCTTATGCTCGTCGCTATCTTCATGCGGGCGCTGCCTGGAAACGAAATGCATTCTCGGTCGATCCTGCAACGGTCGCACGGCATCCATTTGGATTGTGGAGGATTTGTGAATGGAGGGGGGTTGTATATCTGGGGTTTGAATGAGTATTTTTACTAGAGATGATACTTGAATCGGTCCTTTGATCCTGTTTCTTTGGTGACGAGGTGTCAAGAACTTGGATGATTAGACCAGACTGTCGGCGACAGTAGTTGGCGATGGAGTTGGCAGGGACTTGGTGTAGACTTGGTATATCATCATTTACAACTGTTTACGGTCTATGGATCGAAGCTAATAATTCAGAGAGGGTTCATATTAATGTACTATACAGAATACTTGGGTACACAGCAGATGTTCCATGATATGGAGGCATGGTAGTCACTACGTCAAGCCTGGCCTCATCCGCATCGGTCGCATCACAGCCAAAGGGATGGACTCGACAGAGTAGACGCGACAAGACACCAGTCTAGCCCAATCAAGCAGGCAAACAATAACAACGCGACCTTTCTATCCGATACTCGAGACTTGTTTTACAAGGGAAATTTTTGAAAGTGGGTTGAATCATAGAAGATCGCATTTTCCAGCGTCTATGTCATGAGATGGTGTGCGCTAAGACACCATGGTAAGAGATAATTCTTTAATGTACATGCCCATGACTGAAACCCATCCAGTCCTCAAGCCAATGAAGGATGAGGAGGATAACAGTAGCATTGATTCACGCGAGATGATAATAAAGCAAAATTCAGAAACAACCCTTGATTCCGAAACCCATTTGATATTCGAATAAAGCAAAAACCCGTCATGTTGTGATCGCCAGTAGTCATGAAAGAAAAAAGCAGAACCCCGATCGCCTTCCCAGAAGTTGTCGACAAGAAACACAGCCCATTAATGGATGATTAAGTCCATTTAAGAGCGCTCGCCACGGAGACGGCGGGCCAGCTGGATGTCCTTGGACTGGATGGTGACACGCTTGGCGTGGATGGCGCACAGGTTGGTGTCCTCGAACAGGGAGACGAGGTAAGCCTCGACGGACTCCTGGAGGGCACCGATGGCGGAGGACTGGAAGCGGAGGTCGGACTTGAAGTCCTGGGCAATCTCACGGACCAGACGCTGGAAGGGGAGCTTGCGGATGAGCAGCTCAGTGGACTTCTGGTAGCGACGGATCTCACGGAGAGCGACGGTACCTATTGATTGATTGTTAGGATGATGATCCGAGTGGTGATGAGATTGTTTGTTCATGGTAACTTACCGGGCTTGTAACGGTGGGGCTTCTTGACACCTCCGGTGGAGGGGGCGGCCTTGCGGGCGGCCTTGGAGGCGAGCTGCTTACGGGGAGCCTTGCCACCAGTGGACTTACCTGTAGAGAGAAGTGTTGTTAGTGATGGATGTTTGGATGGGTGAACACGTGTCGCGTCTCCTCGAGTCCCCTCCACCCTTGTCCCAAAATGGAAGTGTCAAAAAAGATGACACAACCAGGCTGAGCCAGTGGAGAAAGAAGCGAAAGAAACGCGTCGTGGGGAAGTAAAGGCAACTCGAGAGGAACTTACGGGCAGTCTGCTTGGTACGAGCCATCTTTGATGATGAAAGTGGATGTATAGTTGATGGAAATGAGTTGGTTGGTGATGAGTGTCGTGATGGATGAAGGAGGGAAGAAGCGGTGGGTGGGGGGAAGGTATTTGTAGCAGCGGCCTAGGGGGGTAGTGATCTGGCGGGTTTGCGGGTGGGCCAATCAGAATTCGTTCTCGCAGATCACTTGCTCGGGCAATTGTGCAGCAAGTGAAATCACGCAATCTGATTGGTTCCCGGCTAGTCTAAGCGAGCCTGGCCCGTGCTGCAGCCAATCAGCGTTCAGGATCAATGATCTGGAATACCATTCTTGCCTCCTCTCTGATCTCCGCATCGATAAGGGTGGCCGGAATGATCAGAATGTTCTAAGGTATTCTACATGCCATACTCATGGGAATGGGCCAGTCTCAGGATCCCAGGGGATCAGGGCGGCATTGTTGGAGGGGGAGGGCCAGGATCGGACCAGATCAGAATAGATCAGGATCACGGGGTGACTAATCACCAGTGGTGAGCCGCCCGCCGAGCAGATCAGCGGCCCTGGGGGATCCTCGCGTCTGATTGGTGGATCCGCCCACTAGCGCGTGATCCGGACGTGATTTGGGACTGACTTCCCCAGCAGCAACTTCTGCTACAAATATCCTTTTACCCCTCGGCCCTCAACTACTCCTTCTTCCCCATCCAACTCCTTCGACAACCACAGTCTCCCCACTTTTCAACCAACTTTTTCAATCTTCACTAACTCATATCATCATGTCTGGACGTAAGTATCCTCTTCCACTTTGATGATCCTTCCAACATCCATTGGACTTCATCCCCACACATGTCTTCTACAAGACGCGTCTTGGAACAATCTCTAACGCGTCTTTCATTCACAGGTGGCAAGGGTGGCAAGGGTCTCGGCAAGGGCGGCGCCAAGCGTCACCGCAAGATCTTGCGCGACAACATCCAGGGTATCACCAAGCCCGCTATCCGCCGTCTCGCTCGCCGTGGTGGTGTCAAGCGTATCTCCGCCATGATCTACGAGGAGACCCGTGGTGTCTTGAAGACCTTCCTTGAGGGTGTCATTCGTGACGCTGTCACCTACACTGAGCACGCCAAGCGCAAGACCGTCACTTCTCTCGACGTCGTCTACGCTCTCAAGCGCCAGGGCCGTAAGTTCTTCCTGCTTCTCATCACGTCTTTGGACGCGTCTTTTCTAACACTTCTCCCTTCTCCAGGTACCCTCTACGGTTTCGGTGGTTAAGCGTCTTATGTGTTTTCTCTTTTCCGGGCTGTTTCATGGTATGATGGGACGTTGGGGTGTTCTCTGATTTATTTTACAACTGTCATGGGTCTCTGGGTTTGCTTTTTCATTACAACGACTACCACTTTTTGCGTCCACTATGGTTCTGCTAGTGTTCGCCTTCTGAGCTTTCCTGTATCATAGCGGCCTTCCTACAATAATGGCTGGCACCACCTGAAATGGTGGAAAGGATCGATGATCCGATACGAATACAATTAACTCGAAACAACAATAATGTCTTTCTTTCTTTGTAACCTTGTTCCATTACTGGGTTTGTGTGTAAATTGTATTGATTCCCTCCGTTGTTGGTGTCTCTGTTGTATTTCCTTGCCATTGACGCGTTGTTTACTTGTGCGTGGACGCGTCCCGCTCCACCTTGTTTGGGCGGCTTGCTGGATCTTCCTCTGTATAGTTCCATCGTTACTATGGTGTGCCATCCAGTCATGTCCGCTTTATGGATAGTGTCCATTTCATCTGTATTGTTAATTGTTCTTCCAATGTTTCGAGTGTAGTCGTATGCTGTTCTTCCGGTATGTGTAGATGCATTGGACTCGGGCGCATGTCGAAGGGCACAGTAGTATAGTCTAGTTTTACCAATTCCAATCGCTTTTCAAGTTACTTTCTGCATGATGTACTATTTATACAATGTAGATTTTAAGCTGTCATATTTTCTGGTCTTTGTATTGGTCGGATGATAATAATGTATGGGATTTTTGGTGGTTGTACATATGGTTGTGTAAACGATGGAGCATGTATGTAGTAGGATATATATCATCACCATGAACAACCGTAACTTTTCAAAATCAACATACACATTCGACCAGTTTCAAGCATAATGTATACCATTGTATAAAGCCCAATGCATACAGATTACAGTGAGTCCATTTAAAAACCCCAAACACCATCAAGTGGTGTGTAGGAAGCGAATATGTTGCTCGAATTCGCTGAGCTCGGACAAGGGGGTTCAACTGGGGTTCAACTTGCCTTGGCACTCCAACGCCCGGAAAGTCCAACACCACCAGCTTCCCATTTCCAACACAGATGCCAGCCCAACCGACAAATTACCATTTCAAAATGGAACTGCCCTATAAAAATGATGGAATAAAACCTACATGATAGATATCTCCAGCATCTCGGATCGCAACATGACTTCTCAATCCAGAGACCGCAATACAAGACTGTTTAGGCACTCACCTGTGCGACAACGCCGGGGAAAACACCAGCCATGACTCGACACACCTGAAAAGTCCACGAGTCAATACAGTTGGCAACTAACCTGGATCAGACAGCCGACCGAATGGTCCAAAGAGCCCCGAAAGCAACTGGCTGAAGCCGGTCATGGCGCACATGGTCCTCCAGGGACCTTGTGGCCGGAGAGTATAAGATGACATCCACGACCATGTCGCAATAGGTCCCCCCTTCGACATTTTATCACAGCAGAAGAAATCCAAATTTAAATATTCATAGCGCCATTCCAACCAACCTCGCATACCCCCGATCCTCAGCCGCCTTGACCATCGAAAGGGGATATACTGATCGTGGCCCGTGAGTACCTGGATAGACACCCGATGCGGACCACAGGGAACACTGACCGAGCGCAGGCACCTGACACACCGTGACGAAACCATCAAAATGGGAGGTGAATCACTCATCTATCCATCGGTCTGTATGGCTCGACCAAACCAGGGCTCGATCCCAGACACTGCCCCCCGGCACTGTCGACCCGAGAGCGATGTAGAGCCAGAGCTGTCGGCTCTTGCTACAGTCCTTGGCACGACAGAGCTCCTAGAGATGATCCTCCTCCAGCTAGACCTGAGAACCCTACTCAAGGTACAGCAAGTCTGCCAACGATGGAAACAAATCACCGCCCACTCAACCCAGCTCCAGCAAGCGCTCTACCTCAAGCCAGCAAAAGCCAGCAGCAAAAAGCACACATCAAACCCACTCATCGAAGAGATCATACTGCCACAACTACTACTAAGATCAAGAAACTTCATCATCCCGGGTAAATGCCCAAACTTCGAGCCATGTTTCCGCAGAGAAGCGAGCTGGAGGAAGATGCTCCCCCAACAAACCCCCACATCCACAATCGGGGTGATAGAGATCGTCCGCCACGAGAAATACAAATTCACAAAATTGGTAGTTGAGACTGGATCCATAAGAATGGAACACCTCCTTGAAGCCACAGAGAATGGAGTCCTCATGCCCACGCCAAACAACCGGGTATTCTGGGCTACTGTCTGCCGATCCCTCAATTTCGAGATCTGGGGTCAGAACTGGGTACAAACCAAGAGTCCTCTACCCGAAGGCGTCCCGTGGATGCCGGCGAATGTGGACTGGGATACGTTGCGATTAGGCGTGGCGGCCACGCGTCTGGAGCAGTTTGGCTGTGATTTTGTTGTTGTATCTGAATGGCCGCAGCGGTTGTTCCAGGATGATATGTGTCCTTGTCAAAAGACGATTTTGGATCGTTGGCTGGAGGATACATTTGGTCAGTGTGAGGTTATTGTTGCTCGTGAAGAGGCGAGTCACACCTTTGCCTTCAAGGAGGGGAATGTCCCGGTGCTGAGGCAGTTGTGTGAGCAATGTTGTTGTCGGAGACGCTTTGCCAGGCGGTTGTTCATTCCATAGATTTGATTCGAGACATAATAAATGAGCAAGCTCTCCACATATGATCACATAAAGATGCACCCAGGTATCTCCTAGGAATAAGAAAGAACCCGATAAGCCTTCATATGGATGCCCAGGGAACACAATTTATCCGGGAGTATCTTTGCCATCTTGCCAAATACCCGACCTAACTAGCCGATTAAATGGAATGGGAACGTCACTGCATTCTTGCTCTACTCACTCTTCGACTCGAAACCCGGGATATGTGCACATGCTGTCCGAGGCCAAACAGAGACCAGGAGAATCAACAACTACTCTGCCTCCAATAATACCGGAGTTAATGCGCTCATCGCACCCTTATATTCCAGCCCCATGCCACCATTCATTTTCCCATCCTCTGGATTCTGTTCTTCAAGTGGAAGGGGTTAAGGATGTGTCTCCTTCAAGCAGAGGCGCTCCTAGTATCTGGTCCTGTTCCCGAAATCTTTGAATCCCCGAGTTCCATTTCGCTAATGGTTTGTATGATGGTTTCGGACCAGGTACGCCCAGAAATGTTGGTGGGCACTTGATGGAAATTAGAGTCATACTGAAATGTAAGTAAGTCCATTTGTTTTCCTTTCAGTGCAAGAGTACTCTGCTTAGCCTTGAATCTCATACTTGGCGCACTGCCAGTCTGGCGGCCAACGGATTCTGCAAAGATGGTAATCGAAGAATCTTGCGACTCTATTGAAAAGCAACGTCGTTCATCTCGAATCTTCTGGCGGGGGCTACCAAATGGGGTTCATTCGTGTGAATACCGTCGATCTGACACCCTAGAGAACAAAAGAGCAAAACCTGCCAGAGAAGCGTATCAAACTGGGAAATTTGTGCACTGAAATTTCTGCTTGCTGTCAGATAGTAGTATACGGCTCACAAATAATCAGCTCACCTTTACCCAGATGTATACAAATTGGCATGCTCATCAAACTGATTTTGATGAACACTGTTCAAGGTTACTTCTTACTTCTGACGTGCATCAAGCATCACATTTGTCAAACTCTCCTCGAATCACCTCATGTGTAACCAGCTGTGTAACACAAACCCTACTACACCATGAAAAGACCGGCGAACAAGTCCACCCCAAGTCCGCAGGCCACGCGCACGACTCGTCGAATGTTTCAGCCAAAGAATTAAAGTAACCAGTGGACACCAAGAACGGACACTCCATACCCAATACAGTGGACCCCGAAGAGGACCCCAACAACGACAGCCAAAACAGCCCTACAACTATAGCCCTATCAGATATCCGCGATGACCTTCCCACCGGTCAGTCCATCAGGTTGACAGCCATGATTGGACCACGCTAGATACGCATACGATCCAATCTTGTCTCAGATCTGGGTGGCACACGCAATATTGGGTACAAAGGCCGTCGAATGGAACGTGCTGAGTCGCCGGGGGCACGGGCATGGAGCGAGGCAGCCGTCTAGACAAGCGTGAAAGTGGACCTTGTACTTTTCAACGGTATGCAAAGGCCACGTGCGAGATGGACCTGCCTTGAGGCTGTGCTGTGACTGTTGAGACCTGTCTCATACCAGGGTTCAAGATATAGTAGTGTATTGAATGTTGTATTGGTCTTACTTTGTGTGTTATACTCGATTGAGGAAGTGTATACGAATCAGCAAGTATAGGCAACCAACATTCAGCAATTCCCCCTTGCATGACCACAAACGGGCGATCATTCCAAGAGTGTTCCAGAAACTAGTCGAAATTTTCATTTTGACTCGAAAAAATATCAAATAATAACTCGTTGGGATTGCTAAGCCAGCCCGTCGTACACATACTCAAAATGTACAACAGGGCACCTTGTACATGTAACCATCGGAATCAGCCGGGAACGCGCAGAAACCAGGAATTCCACGAATGAGCATCTCCTCGGACAAAACAAATCACTACCATCGGAGTCACATCAAGTCACATTGACAATCAAATCTGACCAAGAAAAAAAAAACTCTACTAGATGCAACCTAAAACCCATGCACAAGAAAAGTTTTTCATGCAGCTATACTTAGATAGGATGCCAACTCGATGAGTTTGTTGGCCGCGGAGAATCCCGGTGCCGGAATGTCGGCACGCACTAGAAGGCTTTGAAGGGCTTCCAGAAGGCCCTAGCGTGGCTTGGGAATCATGCAAAGACTCAAAAATGGTGGTGTTACTGTGTTACTGACTTACAATACAGCGCACTAGCCTCGATACGCCACGGTGTATCCGCGAAATACGGTACGCCGTACACGTTGTGGCTGAGCATGGCACTCTTCGAGCACGCTGTCACCAATCATTTGCAGTGAAAAATTTTTTATCCTGCATTAGCGCTAGTAGGGCTGTTTCTAATTATGCTCTGCAGAAGTGTTCGCTCTCACACCCTCCTTTTCGGACCGGCAACTCGGGTCATTAAGGTGCTGACGGCTTATTGAGACCGGGTTCGCAATGCCGTCTGCAGGGTGAAAAATTTTCATCGGGCTTGCTGGGCTTGAAGGTTGTCCTGATTTAGAAGGTTGGCGTATGCAGTGCATCCCACCGACGTAGGAGGGCATATCAAGTGCCCCGGTACAGTTACGTGCTATGTGTGTGTGTGGTGTGTGTGTGTGTCAATTGTATGTGTCTAGAGATCTATCCATGACCAGTACATTGCGCATATGTCTTGAATTGTTTTGGGGCTGGTGGGCCGACCATAGCTCGGGTTTTGCCACTTCCCCGGACGAAAGGCCATGTTATGGTCTTAGATCTATCAGCGATTCAGCCATAGCCGTTCTCTAACGAGGTTGGACTTGGGTCTCGGTCGCAGAGCCGCCAAGATAGACAGGGAACGGACCAGACCACGATCTTCGCGACAGAAGTTGGTACGGGGGAATCTAAGCGAGAACGAGAATCAGTTGGAAATCATGTCTCAAATTAGGCAATAGTGTTCCTTACAGAGCCGACTCGGGCCAGAACCTGGCCGGTATGAATGATTTTTTTCACGGCACCCCGGACCCGACCAGAACCCCCCCGATCGCCCGATCGCTGTGTCCCCGTCAGTGTTAATGCCGACCGGGAGAACGTCGGATTTTCCTCGTGTCTTAGACTTGGTCTCGGTCGACAGGAACAAGTTTACAAATTACAAGGGACATTCTCCATATGGCATATGCGAGATCCATGCATATTGCATCCTCGCTTACCAACACCTTGACATCGTCTATCTCGTATCACATGGCCAATCTAGTCAGCCCCGCTAATGGGAATGGGGTTACCGGGGCTATTGTCGATTTCGTCGCGGCCTGGAGATCTGAAATATCTCCGACGTGCATCTCGCCACCAGATGCCAGATGCCAGCTGCCAAATACCCACTCCAGCAGGAAATAGGCGACCGGCCCTATGAATTCCCCCGGTCGGAGGACATGTCCCCGGTCGGATTCAGCGGACAATCAATAATTACTAGTCAAGACACAGTGGAGGACTTCGTTTGCACCAGCCACTGTAGATTGTCGAGCTGCAATACGACTGGGCGCAAGGCTGGTCAGGGCATATGTAACAGAGTACAGACGCCTCTGGCGCTACGATCCTACTTGTAACCCGCGCTGAACATGGCTGAACGAACCCTTCGCGCTGGGACTGTCACTACTCAGCAGACAAGGTCTGCGCTAACATGACAAGCTGCCCATCGAGCCGCAGGTCGCCAAATGTGGGCAGTGATTCGCAAGGGGAAAAAACCTGTTAATTTAATTTTCATTTTATACTCTTCTCTTTGATGGATGCCTCTATCATGGGCTCCCAACAATATCACGCTAGACACAGACTAGACAACGAATTCTGAGTCAACGTTCCAGATCATTTAGTTAGTTAGACAAGTATTACTCATACGCTTTCTTCCTAATTGTCTTCTCCTCATTCTTAGTCGATGAGTTGATAATCACGCGGGAGTCATCAGCCATATCGAGCAAGTGTACTAGGCTAGTCGTAGATCCCGCGTCCACAAACCAGACCATCGACTAAGACTATACAACTATGCAACGACTATCAGCCCACGGGCCATGTGATCCAAATCCTGGGGTAGTCGCGTTGATCACAAGTTCCCGACAGAAGCAAAGAAAGAAAGATCGGGCGAAGCATAGTCGCGTAAACACTCTCGTACAGCAGCATCCGCATATTTTGCCTACTTCATCCAGTCTGTTCAGGAAAACCACCATGCCGGATCCGAAACGACTAGGCCTAAGCACCTCTAACCAGGCTCCTACGAATCCAACAACCAACGGAGATGCCCGCATCAGGTAATTCAGTGACTCGATCAAATACCTACCTCCTCATAGGCTCATTCGATCAACTAGTTCATGGCCAACGCAGTGGATAGGAACCAGTCAACCCACTGGTCAGCTGATGCTCATACCACGACCGAGTCAGCTGACCCCCGCATTCAACGGGGCTTGGCATGCCTCTTTGCCTCGGATGGACTCTCCCCCGCAGGATGGATGAATGGAAACAAAGGTGAAAATTACATGGATAGAACAAGTAAGTATTCGCCGGTCGCCAAGTTCATGCGCACCTTCCCGAATCGGTATACCCCAGAGATTTAGAATACAGATTAGCATCGGAGTTTACCTACGAGGAGGATCCAAATGCAGGGAAACACGATCGAGTGGGGCGCCACATGGGTGGCGCAGCAGCTGTAGGTGTGGCTAGTGTCGGGGGACAGCTGTATGTATTATTGATCCTCCGGAGATAGCGATATCCAACGATGCGTATTTGATATTAATAATAATACGGACTTAACTGTTAACTAGCGTATTCGATTACAAACAGTACCTGCTCATGGAATGTACTAGTCTTGTCACTGCGTACACGAACAATAGCCCTCCAAGGAGAAACTAGTGCAGAACAGAAATTTCTGCCTGAGTCACGCGGCCCAACCACGTTAGCCAAGTTCCCACGGACAAGGACCCTAGAGTGTGGCTCAGCCCTGTCGGCATGGGGGAGGAGAACAAATCCTAAAATTGGAGCTTCGATGCGGCCGCTAAAAAAATTTCGGGTCCGGGTCCTGCAGGAAAGCATGTCTCTCTGACCATTCTGTTGGCTCCTCTCTGAGTCTCTCGGGGTCCACTCTCATCCTATCTGAGATGGTATCGGAGTCATGATCTGTCTAGGCCGAGCTTTGCTAAGCGATGTTGGGAGGAAGAAATCACCAGCCTTTTCGGGTTGTTTCGCCCGAGAGGACGACAGCAGATCGGTACAGAGTATACGTGTATGCCTTGACCATTTAGTGTACGGAGTACTATGTCCACAGGTGTAGCATGACTGATAGTATGACTGTAACTCCTTCTGGGTCATTATTCGTCGGTAGATCTGAATTCTGATTTTCCTAACTCCGCGATTCTAATCCAATGATAGCTATTGCTTCGTAGATTCTTTCCTCTTCACCCATCAGTGGGTAATGTGGCTGTCTCCAACGCAAGCCACCTCTCCACCGTGACAGACAGCACTGCAAGGGAGGGATAGGGAAAAGTGAACAAACCCCAGCAAGTAGCACGGTCCCCCCGGACGATCAGTGGAGCCGAGAAACCCGACACCGAGTCAAGTCCTAAGTCCTTCAAGTCCGTCACGTATCGTACGAGAAGTGACCACTAAGGTCGAATCGGGACTAGCCCCGAAGGATCGGCCGTAACAGTACGGGAAGTTTTCGGTGTTGTCCGGTAAGTCCGCATGAACGATACAAGAAAGAAAATCAAAAATAATTTAATATTAGGAATAATGAAAATAAAAAATAGAATTAAATCAATTTAATGTAAGTGGTCCTTGACTAGCCCCAAACGTCATGGGCTTTAAGCATCCATTCTGCCTTTTTAAGACTGCCCTTTGCCCACCATGCTCTTTCTCTCTCCCTTCCTATTATTATTATTACTCATGATTATACTATCAACCTGACTTCCTCTCGACCTTTTTATATCAAATCATTTTCCCTCTTCAGGTAAGACTAATCCTCCGATCGAGTCATCTCCCAGAACCAGACCCGAAGTTCTGACTGTACCGTCCGTTCCAAACAGACCAATCCGATAATAAGGTTCAATCCAAATAACCCGACTCTCTTCACACCCAACTACGATCACGAGTCCTCGACGTTTCCAGACTCTTCGCTGCCAGACTATAACCGATCACTTCCGCCCAACTGCCCCAAGCCTTATCGAGACACAACCCAAGGAACTCTCGGATCTTGACCCGTCGGAATTTCCACACACTATAAAAAGAGCCTGCCATCCCCCCGGTGGCGAACACCCTCTTACCCACTCGACTGACGTCCCCCTCCGTGATACCATAATGCTTATGTACCCACGTAAGGGTCTCATCACCGATCCATTCTATCCCGAAGACTGCATCATACAAGACGACCACTACCCCGATTCATTCGAGAACACTCCCCAATATCAACAGCAGCAGCACTATCAGCAACAACAGTCCTGCTTACAGCCACCGTTCCACTACCAATCGAATCAGCAATTTAATCACCTCGGCCAGCTTAACCAGTTCGCCTCTCCACCTTCCTCCGCGCCTTCTTCACCCACCTTCTCCTCGCCAACCTTCTCAATTTCTTACCCTCCGACGACGGCGGCCGATAGCCAATCTTTCGGGGCTCCTTCGATGACCCCGGCGTCTTCCTATAACCCGTCGTTTGACATCCAGGGCTCCGCCTCACCATCATCGCAGTATCTGCCACAATATTCGCAATATTATAACCCCATGTTGGCGCAACAACAACCGATCGCCAGCAACCAGGGCTGGGATAGCAACTTGCAACTGTTGAGCCCCGCTCGCATTCCATTCCCACAAAAGCCCTCCCCCAACTCAGCTTCCTCCCGATCCCCCAACGGCCATCGACGATCCGACAGCTCATCAAAGCCGCTGCCAACCCCGGTGCAAACTCCCGTCCAGAACTCTTTCCTCACTGCTCCCTTCCAGAACTACGAACCATCTACATGGGACGCTAGCAATGTCGAAGCAGAGTCGGCCATGAGGAAGGCGATTATGGACCAGCAGCAAAAGCACCAGACATCTCCCGCGCAGCAACAGCAGGGCGATTACTCACTGGCTCCTTCCGTCTCAACAATGAGCCACAATTCCCCTGTGACCCCACAGACCAGTCTGGATGAGCTGGATGATTCCAAGGCGATGACCAATGGTGAGATTCGGTCTTTTGACATTGATTTCTGGACGAACGAGTACTCACGCTTCGACCCAGTTTCAGATTACGCTGGCAACAATGGTGGCATGATGGGCATTCCCAAGTTGAACCGCACGATTTCCGATATCTATCAAGACGAGCTCTTCAACCCTACTATCATGGCCGCCCCACAGCAAACGATGAAGCCGATGAATTCGAACCTTTTGAACCCGCACAATGTCATTGCCGACCGATTGCATGCTGCTAAACAGGGCCACCTGTCCGCTCGGTCTGGATCTCCGGCTATGGGCATCAAGCGCGAGCGCTCTCCCTTCCGCCAGACCTCACCATTTGCCGGTGACCTGCAGATGGCTACCAGCGTGCCCATGCCTCAAAACCTCATGAGCATGGCTCCCTCGACCGCAAACCAGACCGACCTCAAGACCATGTCCCCCAAGGACGCTGTGTTGGATTTGGATGAAGGCGCGGATGCCGCCATGCCCCCGCTCTTCCCACCACAGCAGGCCGATTTTAACTTGGGCGATGCCCTTGGGTTGCGCCGTGAGAGCTCGGGATCCATGCGCCCGGCCATGTCTACGATGGAGGCATTCCCAAGCCAGTACGCCAGTGTTCAGCAGCCCCAGTTCTACCAACAGGCCCGTCCCCAGTCGAACCTCTTGCAGCAGACTCCCGACTTCCCTGCTTCACTTCCGCGATTGGAGTCTACGGGCAGCGAGCTGCACTCGGGCACTATGACTCCTCAGGCCAAGCTGCCAGTCAACGATAGCATCGTTCGACCCAACAATACTTCGGCTGATGGAGGTACCTACACTTGCACCTACCATGGTTGCACTCTCCGATTCGATACTCCCGCCAAGCTCCAGCGACACAAGCGCGAGGCGCATCGCCAGACCACCCCTGGTGGTCACCTGATTACTCGGGATACCTCGTTGCGCAACTCCCAGGCTGGTCCCCACAAGTGTGAGCGGATTAACCCGTCTACTGGCAAGCCGTGCAATTCGATCTTCTCTCGGCCCTACGATCTTACTCGGCACGAAGATACGATCCACAATGCGCGCAAGCAAAAGGTGCGATGCCATCTCTGCACTGAGGAAAAGACCTTTAGTCGCAACGATGCATTGACCCGACACATGCGTGTGGTGCACCCCGAAGTGGACTGGCCTGGCAAGCAACGACGCCGGGGAAGGGACTGAAGGTTCCGCGCGACTCGCATCACCATGACGAATGGGAGCAGTCATCCTTCCAAACCCTTTTTTTGACATCAAGACGCCATGACGTCAGACCCCGCTCCCGATTAAGCAAAAGCCCCACAGCTTTCCAGATCGCCGGTATCTGCTTCCGTTTCGGGACTCGCTCCCTACCGGAGGTGGGGATGGGATTGCGGCCTTATGGCCTGAACCCCGTTCCGCCCAAACACATTTTCTTTTTTGCTTTGTGTTTCCCCCAGACCTCTACTGACGTCATTCCCGTCTGTCTCCTTCGGTTGACGTCGATCGTACGTCGTCGATCGAATACCGCAACGCAGAGATGACGCATCTGTCCTTCCATTACTCGATGCTCACCTCACCTCACTCCTCCCCCCTGTCTCTCTGATGCTCCTCCCTGACGTGTGCAAGTGCACTTGGCGCCATTTGATCCACTTTTGATCCATGCTCCGTCCTAGCATTTTTGGCTTGAAAACACCCCAAAAAAGCATTGTGTATCTGTGTGTATGGGGGCTGTCTTGTGTGTTTCTCTCGCTTGCGGCCTTTTCATGTCTGTTACGAAACCCCATTGTTTGTATAATTATCATTCCTGGTATTATGTTTTTATTTTAGTCGTGCGTTTGCGTGGCTTACCCATTGTACGATTTGACGATCTTCCCTGCATTGGCTGGTGTGCTTTTTTTGTCCTCGGTGGTGTTTGTATATGGGTGGTTGCAAATGATTTTTTACTCTCGTGGCTACTATTATTGATGTCACTTGTCATTGCCATTGTCTTTTTTATGTGCGTTCTTTTGGCTTGCGTTTGCACCGTACAGTCTTGGGTTTTGGACTGTGTCTCTGAGAAAATGTATATTATGGACTCGACGACGGATATGATGTATACTTATGATAGAACTTGTGGAATACGCAAAAAAAATCTACGAGATTATATTTTATTTACTTTCTTCTTCCTTATAAACATTCGCGTAGATATTTAATTGTCTGATCAATATGGACAAGTACACTTTGACTACCGATCCTAACATGACCTCTCTATCTAAAGATATGTACAATTAACTACTGTAGTACTACACCACGAGCTGAAACACATTCCCCCACACCCAATGAAACACAACCCACTAACTAACCACCACCACTACTACCCTCCACCCCTTCTCACCATACATACATGCATTAGCAGCAATCACCTCTCACCATGTCCAATCACAGTCCCGCAGAACCCTCCTCAGAACAACTATAATCAAACCACAAGCCCTGTGCCCCATCCCTAATACCCAACGGTCCAATCCCATCTGCACCTGTAAGCCAAGCTCCCCGTAGTCTCTATTGAATGGGGAGGCATGGCGTTGAGGGACCCACGGGGCTTGTCAGGGGTATGTGGTTGTGGATAGGATTATGGATAGCATTGTACATGTGCCATGTGAAGGGGATGGATCGACGGGATCGGGATGGGATGGGGGTTTTGGAGGTGAGATGAGATTGTGCTGGTTGAAAGATAGGATAGGGGAATAAGATCCTTGAAGATGGATGTGATTCTACAGTTCCTGCGATTTTGAACGAGGGTTTCTCTTTGTGATTGCTTCGTATGTTTTACTATGCTCATACCTGTGTGCAAATACCATAGAGGGCGTACACCCCATATTCATAGTAAAGTGCCTATGGGGTTCGGGTTGGGAGGGGGACAGAATGAAATGGAAGTGAGATTGACATTAAACCAATCGTTTACTCCGGGTAATTTAAGCATAAGCGCGCTGGTAGGGAGGGATAGATGCAGTAGTTGGTGGGGTTTGATTTAGTGTGGATATTTGGGAGGGGGAGGGGTCCGCTGTGGAGCGGCTGTGTATGATTCTTATTAAGATCGTGCATGGCGATTATTACTTTTCTGATCGGATCGGATGATACGGTAATAATTGAGGGCAGGAGAAGCGTGCAGTGAGCACTGATAATGACGTGCACGATGTGCTAAGCCTTGAGAGCTCTAATTGTCAACCTCCGAGTATAACGAAGGCGTTGGTAGCGACTGGCGCGGGCCGAATCCATCAAAATAAGACTTGCACAAAAGTCCAACTGTCCTGTACCTGTACTTTTCTTAAGGTTAGAAGCAACTGAATTTCTTAGTCAGGCCCGATCAGCAAAACCACCCCAATCAGCTCTCGCAGCTCTCGTAGAGCTGACAGGGGAAACGATGAAGACGGAGCACAGAAGTACGTGTCTACAGTGGAGACAGCGATGAAAGAGGACTGTTGATCGGTGCGAGCTGAGCTGAGCTACATATCCACAGCTCTTTTCCCCTCGTGTTTAACTCTCAGTTAACGGCCCCAACATGGGGAGTTGGGGGATTGTCAGCTTCACCAGTGGTAGTGGAGAGTGATTGTGTTTTGGTGGTGGAGCTTTAGGCCGTTGGAGAGGGGAGATCTGTCCTCCGTAGAATCCGATACAGGAGTAGTACTCCGTACATAGTGCTTTGAACTTCTGTAGGGTGCATGAAGTTCGAAGTCCTCGGTTTGTACATCTGGAGATTGGTGAGTTGGGGATCCACAGTGGAGTTTGTGGCTTTTTGCATTGATGGATCTTCGAGGTGTGGATTCGAAATTTTACATTTATGTATATTTTTCCGCGTGTACGAAAACGAGAATGTTATCGATAAGTGGTTCGTCTGCTTGGTAATACGGAACACAAGTTAGTGTAACTATGGAAATACACCAGCCTATGAGTACTCTCATGTGGGGCCCTTGCGTATTGGGCTGGTATGTGGCGGTGCAAGTGTCCGCTAGCCCGTCCACTCTAGCAGGATGACTCATCTGCCCTCTGAATTTCGCTGGGTACAAAGTACCTTTAACTCGATTCGGAATAGCGTCTACCTGACCATCAACTGGTGGCTGGTGGGGTGATGCTGGAATGCATGTGGATGTACTTCGTGGGCGATGAATGCGTGGCTGGCATGTGGCTTTGGGTTGCGCGGAATGCGTTACACGAATGGCGTGGTAAGGTAAAGAGACCGGATGCTATTTGCGGAAGAATATGACTGGATCTTTATATGAAGTTTTTTTTGGGAGCCATGTTGTACGTGGCTTTTGGCTTGTGATCGTGACTGACTGGTGTAACTTACGCACATACTGGATGGGGTGCGATGTGGATAGAACTGGAAGGAACGTTGATGTTTTTGTTGAGTCAGTAGTCATCTGTGTCTTGAAATAGAGTCATGTTGGTGGCGTGAACGGGAACAGGCGGATGGGATCGTGGCGGAGCGATGTATAGGCAACAGCATATTCAAGCAGTCTGTACTTGGTGGAATAGTATCGAGACTCGCATTTTTCGGTATAACACTAGTGTGCCAATAAACCGAGCCACTATTAGATAATGTTGAATAATATCATGACTCACTGCGATGTCGGAGGTATGCCTACGGACTTGATAGCGCATGTGATACCTGTCAACAGTCTCAAATGCCAGACAGAAGAGTGAAATTAGTTGCAGGACAACATAGATATTGCCCTATTGCCCTGATGAGTGGTCACTCCTATAATCTTACCGCCGTAGTGCCGTTTCTCGCCACGAGCTTTCACAGACAAGCCATGGATGGACTTCGTTGAACAACAGTTGATACTCAATATGTATGATTATTTTGAGTGAGGATACAGCATGAGAGTTGGATCTTGTATGTGAATAGCTAAGCTAGGTGTGGATGTTATGAAGAAATCATAAGCCCAGTCTTAGATTACTAATGAGTTTTGACACATTTCCTGTCAAGGGAGAAAATGAGCGTCTAGTCCTTTATACTCTTTACCTGAAAACTCCTACGATGTTTGCTTCTGGTAGATCTTCGGTGCCTCTGTTATTAGTTACCTTTTATTCTCTTCAGCTAAGAAGCCAACGTGATAAACACCGAGGTCAAATAAAACTTGAGTTCGGATTTGATTTTGAGGGTTTTCAGAAGCTCTTCATCGCCCCATGAAACTTATTCGTAGTCAGATCTAATAATCGTAGTTCTATTGCGTGGAATTAAAGACAGGTTGCGTGTTTGGTTCTTTAGCCCATGATGCCGAGGCCTCAAAAACATTGATGGCAGGTATGTGCACTGCGTCAGTCTGCCTCATCCTTCTATAAGCACCTCAGATACAGAAGATGTCGATATTGGAACAATGAAACGAATAATAGGGGCGATTCCAAAACTAAAGCTGTATAGACTGATGCGGGATATGGGAGACCTTGAAAGTTTGGTGCATGCTTTGACCTAAGTTATGGGAATGTTGCTCTTCAAGAGTCTGAAAAGTTGTCATATGGCAGGACTTAATACACGGGCTCTTGGCTGGAAAGAAAACTTCAAAAGGAAATTCTTTTTCTAATAGTATGCTCTGATGCTACTCTTTGCTAATAGAGTATTCACGAAGCAAGATTGATTGACTAGCGTAGATGTGTAGGAAGCTGAGTCTGTGATTTTAAGTACAGATGGTCATGTAACCGGCTGGGCAGCACCCAAAAGCTACAAACAGCGTTCTCCTGATAGATAATGTTTACACAAAACGTTCGCCGGTAAAGACGGCAGCCACAAGGAGTGTACGTCGCAGAACATTTCAAATTCGTAATCAAGTCCGTGTATATCGATTCCCTAGCACCTCGAGAATACAAAGGGAAATCAGACAAAAAAAAACTCGGTAGACCGCGAGATGTGAGTAAGTAAGAATAGAAAGGAAATTATTAAATACAATATCCACCCAGCCTCATTCAACCACGTTAAACCCCTCCTTTTGGCCGATGAGCCTGCTCCATCGACGAACGATACTCAGTGTTCGACTCAACAGTCGTCTCAATCTCCGTGTGCGCAAAGATCTTTCCATCGGGAACGATAATCCGCTCCTCACTTGAGTTATCTGCCATAGTAGCGCCAATCTGCGTACCCATCGCAATATCTTCCCTGCCATTCATGGTGAGATTTTTTGGATCGGTGACCTTGGTGAAACCGGAGCCGTAGCGGCGCGCGTCGGGGGTGCTAGACCAGGCGTACTTGCGGCCACTGTTGCTGTATTCGCCAATGAAGCGGGGGATGAAGCGTGAGGCGATGGCTTTGAAGGAGGGGATTGACGCGGCGAAGATGGCGATGTTGGTCTCAATAACGGACCAGTACATGGCGCCACTGATGGCGTAGGTGTAGTCGGCTGAGGTGAGCATGGAAGGAATGTAGGTGATTCGGATGATGGAGGAGACACAGGCGCTAAAGGGAGTGTATTGTTAGTTTATTATTCGTGTTTGTTGAAATTCTGGGAGGTTTATGACTCACAAAAGACCCAGGCAGAGAATGAAGATGAGGGCGATCTTTTGCTTTTGGGGCATTTGCAATTTGAAAATAACTCTGATAGGGAGGGTATAGGTAAGGAGATCGGTCAAGATATTCAGAGCAGCGTTGGCGAGGTAGAAGATGTTGATTTGGACGCATTTTCCGGGACCGCCGGCCCATGCCTTGCTGATAGGCTGGCATTGGAAGCCTGCGACGAGCACGAAAGAGAATGCTTGGCTCACGATGACTGCCATCATCACGTATGAGATTCGGGTGAGAGTGCGGTCTCCTAGACGAGTGTAGAACCAGAGCACAGATGTTTTGACGAAGCCGAGACATGCAAGGTAGAACATAGAACTCAACCATACGGCCTAGAGGGTATGTTAGATATGCACAAGGTATAAATCTAGGGGGAGGTAGGGCTCTCATACAAAGGAGTAGTCAACAAGCTTGGTCTTATCAGTCCACTCGTAATGCTCGCCGAGTCCATTGTTCACGGCTATAGGAGATCAGTTTCTGCTTTCCTGTAGACGGATCTGGAAGCCATAACGTACCGACGATGGTGGCACCAATGAATGCCCATGCTAAGCACTATTCGTTGTGTTAGTTGTACAATTTGGATTAATCAGAGAGATGTCTGTCTTACACAAGCGCCGATGATGAGATCTATCAAGATATCTAGTTAGTAAATTGCGCAAGGAAACTGAGTAGAACGTGACTCACAGTCATCAAGACCCATCTTTCCCAGAACATAGATACGTGCGAAGAGTCTCAGCGACAAGACAACGAATGTCAAGACCGCAAAGGCCAAACAGATACCAACGACTGTTGGACCCTGAGACCCATGCTCATCAGAAATAGCCATGGTGATGAAAAGATAATGAATGAGTGAGGGTGTAGAGGATTCGGCGGAAGAAAGTCCAATCAAATGACCTTGTGGTAGGCAAATGGCATCAAGATATGGATGAGAGACACGTTTCTCTTCCTCGTCTTCCCTGTAAAATAACACCAGAACAATGAAGATAAAAGAGAGTACAATTGAAAGTGTCGAACAACCGAAGAATGGGATAGAGCCGAAGAAAAACAAAGCACCCTCTACCCCAGTTTACGGCTTATTGTTCTCGGCCTGAGATGAAAAACGTTAAAAATGGCAAAGTAAAGAGTAAAAGCTAGACCAGACTATTGTACATTCCCCTTTCAGCCTTAGCAGGTTAGTCCAGAAACAAGCCCACGCTGCTAGTGCGCGCATGGTGCATGTTCCTAACTTCTTTTCTAACTTATAGATCCACCACGGATTTCCCAATAGCAGCGCGGGTGGGGATCCAGCACGAGGCTACCAGGAGTAGAAAAGATGTCAACATCGGGATGTCGGAACAACGCGACATGTTTGAAACACACACAGCATCAGAGCTGGCGACCCACGAGGTACAAATCTCTGCCTGTTTTGCCATCAAAGGTCTCCCTGTTTGCAAAGTCCAGACATATGCAGAGAAGCAGCCGAGTATCGAAGAACCCGGTTTCAGGGCGTATGATCTACGGACTCCAATTTTCCATATCAGCCGTGCAGGATCCAGGAGGGAGGCGAAAGAACCGCCTTCCCTAATCCTGAAAGCCCTTAGCCGTGAGATAGCAGCAGGCGTCTATTGTCTGGGCTACATGATCCACTGTCCACTTCCCTTCAACCCGTACTACCCATTGACCTTTGAGGCTGATCCCGACGACCATTGTTTACAGTCACGGGGCGGTTAACATGGACTTACAGTTTGTGTCTTAGGATTAAGAGGCGCTGTTATCGGCTATGACTCCACTCGCTGGGGTGGGAGAACCATTGGGGCCTGGATTGGCCCCAACAGAATGGAGATAGAGCAGGGATAGCTCAACGCCGTCTCGTATCTTGCGGAACAAGGCGTACATATACTTTAGAATTGAAACAGCATCGCGGTTTACAGTCTGACCAAAAGCCGAGTAAGTGCCGGGCATAGTACACGTAGTCTCCATTGTTGGCTACGGAGTGATAACTACGAAATTAAACGGTCATTTGAAGTTGGATTTTCCAGTCACCACAGCGGCTGCACAGTCCAGGTCAAATATCGGATCGTTGTCGATAATAATAGCATTGTATATATGTAGCAAAAATGAGGGTGCAGAAATCACCAATGCGCGGTGGAGAGGGCCTCGGCTGATTTTACCGATGGGGAAGGCTAAGGATCTGGGTTAGATACTGAGGATGTGGATGGTCTTATTTCTGCTGGATCTTCTCATCGTCTCAATTCTTGGTTCTGACGATCCTAATTAGTTGAATGTCCCATACTATTCGAAGGAACACTGTTGTGATGCTATTAATTTTTCAAAAAGCTAATAAGGGCATCTCGAGGAGAACTCAACTACTCCGTAGTTCCTTTGGAATGGCTATTTGCTCGGAAGCATAGCCAATCACGGTCAATTAATGAGTAATAATGAATTAAGATTTCAGAAATTCATAACCCAAAAACTAAACTTCAACTGACAGCCCCATTAGGACGAGTTTAATGCTAGTTACATAGCCCCCAAACTTTGTTCCTGGGCAGTTTGCTTTTTCGGTTCTTCTCTCCCTTTCCCCGGTATCTTCCATTTTGTTTCTTTTGCGCAATTCCCTCTTAGGTACTGCTCTCTGCAGCCATAACAGGATCTCACGAGTCGTCAGGGGGGTCGATGGATTTGCGCGCACCGGCGTTTCATCGAGTGGCGCCCCCCGATCGCTGCCGCTCGCGATGTGCCGGAGCAGCGCGAAACAAAAAATAAGCCACAAGATAATTCGCCCTCAATTACTCCCGATGTTCCGCGAATAACTTCCCCTTTCTCCCACTCAAGCAAGCCTCCCTACACTAACAACCTTGCGATCTGCAGACGGATCCATCGTCCCCTTCCGAGCCGTCCTCCCAGTGGGGGAAGCTACTCAGCTACTGGAGAAGGAGGTCGTGGGTCCCCCAATAGCGACCATCTCCGCCCCGTCATGGTTAAGCGAGATGAGCTAGCCAAGAATCCTTCCAGCTTCCTGGGATCCTTTGATCTGCTGCCACTGCCAGTAGTAGCAATAACATAGGATGGCGAGCTCGAAGATCTATGTTAATTCGCATGTGGAGCGCCGAGTGACAGCAAACAGCTATCATCATTTCCTTGAAGTTTCTGCAATGCCAATGGCTATGACCTTTTAGGGTCAATAACAGTATCCATTCCAAAATCCCCATCATGACTCGGATATCCATCGTCTCCATCTTCGGAAATGCTCCTAAGGAGTTGGGAGAGCCACCACCGCTCGGATCTCCTCCAGTCTCCAGTTCTTAGCCTCCGGAAACTATCTCTGCCCGTTCTGACTCGATACACTGTTTTGGGGCCCTTGGAATCACGGCGCGGAAATCCTCGACCTCGACCATCCGTCCCCGTTATGATCTGCACTCGCCAAGTGAAAACTCCAGCAGCGACGGGGCGAATCATCGATCTTGCTCTTATAACAATATCCCCTCCGTGTCGAGGCACTGGACAGTATGTACGTAGTACGGTAGGAGTACAATGCCATTCATGATTCATGGATAGTAGGGAAAGTCCGCAAGTAAGAAGTCCGCAAGTAAGATGTCCTGGCCTCGAGAATCAACATCATGAAGCATGTCTAATGACATGCTGGCGGCGACAAAGGAGGGCAACTCCGTATATCAACTTAGAAAGATTACCTTGACACAAGCCTTTCCCCTACTGCTAGTTAGTAGTTGGCCTGTTTGAGAGGGACTCAGTAAGCACATTCTCGCTATTTGATTTGCACACATACAAGATGTTGAGCGGTGAAAGGAGTACATGCTCTTCTTTATAAAGTTTACGAGGCATAACACTACGTCTCACTTAGCTTGTTAATGTGTTCTAATTCGTCACCAGCCACTCTATACTCGACGTTCTTCGAAGGTCAAATGCCAATGAACACGTTCATGAACAACCGTCATTGCTTTCCGGGGTCAATCAATATTGCTCCGATAATAGACTGGTCACATTCACCCTTAAAACTGCACAATCGCTTGCAAGCATCGACACTAAATCACTCTAAATCGCGCGAAAAGTGCTAAAATTCGCGGGCGGATCCCGCCACGGGACAGTCGGTCTCAAGCTCCACCCAAGCCCTAACCTGATACCAAAGTTGGATTAAGGCAAAACTAAGGTGCATTGTTAGGCGGGCTTAGTCTCCGAGTAGTGCTGCCGCGCTGCGTACTACACAGGTACTAACGCATGCCCGCGTCAAGCAGCGCCACGAGGAGGACGCATGATCCTCGTCGTTTGTTTGCTTGTTCTTGGATAATTAAGCTGCTGATTGGCATCGTGGACAAAGGCCTTGTTATTCCAATAATGAGTTTAAGAGGACGGGACGAAGGCGAACGACACTTCTGGCCTGACCAGTTGGCTTGGCTCTTTCTTCCTACCGTCCTGGCTGGCTGGTCCACTTCTGATCCTGACAGCACGGGATTCTCCAGCCTTTTTCCAAGTATAGAAGATGATCGTTTCCTCTTCTAACAAACGGGGGCAAACTACCCATGTCTTACATTATTCATGATGAGCTGAGTCGTGTCGAGACGGATTGTTCAAACTGAGTAAGGCCCGGTTCGTTGTCTAGGCACGATGGATTTGGAATCCCCACCGTCTTGCAGCACCGGAGCATCTAGCGCCCAGACTACTAAAGCACCAGCTTGGCCAGACAAAATGATACAACAAGCCGTCGCGGCGATCGCAATGGCAGGCTGGCCAGCAAATGCCGCCGTTTAGACCTAACACCCTAGTGTGACTGTAAAGTACTGACTTGTTCAAGAGAAGGACATCCTTCGCAGAGCCATTGGTCTCCTGCCACAAGTGCCCCCATATGGTCACCCAGTACCGGCCCTCCAGCCAATGAGAGTTTGCTCCTTACTATTCATTCATTCAATCAATGGCCGTTGTATTGGGGGAAGAGGGGCGAATGAGGGGGAGACTACACTTGGGCAATGCAGTAGCATGCAGTAGGTCCTCGGTTCCTGCTTGAGCTTTTTCTTTTGGAGAGTGAGCTTTTCTTCTCTGTGTGAAACATCTCCTCACAATTTCAGATGCTGGGCATTTGATTCCAATTCAACGCAATGGGTCTTGCAGAGCATGCGCTGTCACTAGTGACAGTCACCAATGTCGTCTTTTCTCTCATCGCCTATGTCGTTCTGAAATCTGTTTACCAGATCGTGCACTATCGCTTCTTCCATCCGCTATCGGCATTCCCCGGTCCTTTCTGGGCTTCGGTGACCAGGTTGTGGATTGCGAAGCAGAATCTCCAGGAAACCGAGTATTTGACCGTTTATGACCTTTCTAAGAAATATGGTACGCTTCGAAGAGTTTGCCAGTTGAAATTGCCATACGATTGACTAATGACGATGTACGAAATTAGGCCCCGTCGTTCGCATTACCCCTACCTTGCTGCTGGTCAGCGATCACTCGAAGCTCCCCGAGATCTACCACCGCAATGCCGACAAGACCGGCCATTACATCACGGGTAGCTTTGGCGAGACGGAGAGTCTGTTCAACATGAGATCACACAAGACGCATGCGCTGTTTAGAAAACACATTGCGGGGCCTGTATGTGGGATAGAGTTAGCCATTGCCGCTGGATTGGATCCAAGCTAACACGCGAGCGTAGTACAGCTTCACCAACATTAAGAAAATGGAGCCATTAATCGATGCGCGCATTCGCGAATGGAGCAATAAGCTTGACGAGACTTTCGTCAAGTCTGGCGAGCCTTTTGACTTTGCCTGGTGGGCTGTGTATGTTATCTCATACTTTTTGCGAGCTCTAGGGAACGGAGTGCATGCGTAAGAGTGGACGGAACCACTAACACTATATCCAGTTACATGGCCTACGACATTATCAGCGAAATCGGCTTCGGCGCCCCCTTCGGCTTCATCGAAAAGGGCGAGGATATCGGCGGATTAATCCAAGGCTTCCACGACGGCCTCCCACCCTTCGGCTTCCTCGCACGCATGCACCCCTTCACCTCCTGGATGAAGACAACCTTCATGAAGAAATACCTAGTCGCTACACCACAAGATGACTCTGGAATCGGCGTACTGATGCGCTTCCGAGACCGCCTGATCAAAGAACGCTTGGACGATGTCCAGTCCGGCAAGAAGATCGACCGCATTGACCTCCTGCAGACCTTTCTCGAGGCCCGTACCGAGGACGGCAAACCCCTGGACTTGGAGTACATTCGCGCAGAGGTTCTTCTCGTCTTGCTCGCCGGTGCAGATACGACCGGTACCGCGTTCCAGGCCCTGATCACGTTCCTCTTGTCGCACCCTGAGTCGTATGAGCGCATGATGGAGGAAATCGATACTGCCACCCGTAAGGGCCTGCTCTCTGATGTACCTCAGTACGACGAGGTGCTGGACCACCTGCCTTTCTTCGTGGGCTGTGTCAAGGAGACGATGCGCCTGTGCCCGTCTGCCCCGAATATCTTCCCCCGGTACGTGTCCGAGCCTGGTTTGGACTTGTATGGTAAATTCGCACCTGCTGGAACGGAGATCTCTTGCAACCCGTATCTGGTGCACCGTGATACGGCGCTGTATGGTGAGGATGCGGAGGAGTTCAGGCCGGAGCGATGGATGGATCCAGAGAGGGCCAAGCTGTACAACAAGTATAACTTTGCGTTTGGGTATGGCTCGCGTGTGTGCTTGGGACGGGATATTGCGATGATGGAGCTGTTCAAGGGTCCTTTACAGGTAAGTGTGCCGAGCTTTGTTTGATGCGATATTGGTCTTGCTAACTGTGTTCCCTAGTTTTACCGCTCTTACAAGCCCGAGACTGTGAAGGGTAAGCCCGAGCCTAAGTTCGTGGTCAAGGGAGGTGTTGGTTACTGGAGGGATGTTTGGCTCACCATCTCCAAGCGGCCCCAGGTCCGGTGGGAGTAATTCCCGAAGAGGTGGTTTGATACAATTCTTGGAGTTGACATCACGGTGGGCATACTTACCGCCTTGTGATCAGTTGTTGTGTGGAGACCACAGTGGTGAACGTTGATTAAGGAGTCTATTCTTTTATGTGAAATGAACACGTCATTGGGACATTGAACCCAATATCACGATCAAGGAGAGGGACGGTGATTGAAGATAGAACGAAAATGATTTCACGCAGCTTATCCAGAGAGTATATATAAACGAAAATTTCCACACATTCAAACGTAAAGCCTATGAAAGTCAAACATAAATACTTTTCTCATTCCTTTTGGGATGGACACTGAGATAAGAAGACCATATTTTGAAATCAACAAGAATAAAGAAGGCAACCGATCATGCAGACTCGGTGCCCATGACAGCATCCTGCAAAAAAAGAGATGTTAGCATTGACTTGGACAAAAGCAAATATCATCGCAACTTACCCTGGCAACGTGGTACAGAGGGACGATACCAGTCCAGTGGATGAACTGATTCACGCCCTGACCAACAAGAACCTCCAGACCGGGGATGGTCTTCCAGCCCGAGTCGGAGGCCAGTTGCATCAGCGCAGTCACTGCAGGCTTGTATGCCATCTCCAGGAGGATACGAGGCGACTTATCTGCAACAGACTTGCCGACCAGAGTACCGTCAGCAGTCTGGGCACGCTCGAACATGTGGCAGAGGGTCTCGCGCATGGCAGGGTCGATGGGCCGATCGGCGGGGATAGTACCGACAGCAACCTGGGGCACGGTCTCCAGCTGCTCGTGGTTGTCGACAACGCGAATGTTGTAGCTGGTGGGGAAGGTGGCGACCATGCCTTCAAGCTTGCTGGCGGTGCGGCCAACCACGTAGATGGGGGAGAAGCCCATCTGGTGGAGGGCGTAGATAGCAGCGCGGGCAGTACCGCCGCCACCGATCACCACGGCGCTTTCAGTGCCAGTGGAACCGTAGACTCCAGCGTTGCGGAGAACCTGGACCATGCCCTGCCAGTCGGTGTTATAGCCGATGAGACGCTGAGGCTTGTCACCGTTGGGGACGGGGACGATGGTGTTGACGGCACCGATGATCTCGGCCTCCTTGGCGACCTCGTCGAGAAGCGGCATGATGTCCAGCTTCAGAGGAATGGTGACGGAGGCACCGCCAAAGTCGGGAGCATGGATGAAATCCTTGACATCCTCAACGTTGGTGGTCTCCAGACGGCCGTACTCGTGAGGAAGACCTGCCTCCGCGAAGAGGGTGTTGTGGAGTGCAGGAGATCGGGAGCCAGAGACGGGCGATCCGAAGATGGCAAACTTCTTGGACTTAATCTCACCCATCAAGGCGAGACCGCGGCGGATCTCGGTTGCAGACAGCTGACCAGGGGCGGCCTTGAAGGGAAGGCTCGGATGGGAGACGGGGGTCATAAAGCCGTTCAGAATGCGGCTGAGCTGGCCCTGGTCACCCATGTTGATGGCGATCAACGGCACATTGTGCGCCTCCGCGGCCCAGTTCTTGAACTTCCGCAGAGCAGTGTTGTCGTCGAGGTTGTTAGCAACGCCGACAAGCTTGATGATATCGCCGTACTCCAGAGCACGGTTGTAAGATGGGATCCAGGACATGTTAGCCCAGGAAAGCTTGCCTTCTGGGTCGTGGTGCGAAGCGATGATCTTGGAGTGACCCTTCATCTCGACAACGGTACGGAGCATCTCATCCGGGAAAGCGATCTCGAGATCCACGAATTCGCAGCCCGAACGGAATGCCAAGCGGTACAAGGCCAAGGCAGCCTCGTGAGCGTCGTCAGGGAAGCGACCACCTTGGCTCTTCGTCCGGATGGTGAATATAATGGGAAGCGAAACACGGCGGCGAAGGAAAGACATCTGCTCGGCGACAAAGTCGACGGAGGGAATGTCACTTCCTGAGGCGGTGTCCTTGAGCAGATCAACGCGCAGTTCCACGGCATCAGATCCCACGCAAATCTGGTGCAAGAGATCACCGCAGTCGCGGAGATTGGGCAGAGTCAGCGAGACAAAGAAGGAGTGCTTCTTTTTCTTGATCTCACAGAGGTTGTCTTTCCGGCCAGTCACGACCTGCATGAAACGCTCAAAGTCCTCCGAGGCCAGAGCAAGCTCCGTCGTGTTCGAGTGCTGGCTGTAGTACTGGATGTTGCTGCACTCCTGGAACCAAGGCTTGCGACGCAACCACACGCCCATCATATCCTCAACGTATGCTGGACGGGTCTTGTCAATCTGCAGGAATTCCATGACCTGCTTAATATCGCGATTGATAAGAAGCACATTGCCCTTGTTCTTGTGATAATCGGCAAGCAACTTGCGTGCCTCGGGAATTTCAACAATGCCACCACCGCAGGCAAAGACATACCCGGTGGGTCGGTCTTTCATTGTCCGCTGGAGCAGAGCCAACTCTGCATCACGGAAACCCTCCCAACCACGCTCCTTGATGATGTCAGGGATGGTGGAGCCTTCGATCTTCTCCAACTCGGTATCAAGGTCGATGAAGGGCCGGTCAAGGCTCTTAGCGACCCAGTTACCGGAGGTGGTCTTACCGGCACCGCGCATACCGATGATGAAGACGGAAGCACTAACACGCTCCTCACGACCAGAGGCAGCCAGTTCTTCCTCCTTAAGCTCCTTGCCCTCGAGTTTGACACCGAAGAGCTGCTTCTGAGTGTCCCACCAGCCGGGCCAGGTCTTACCAACGCACTCCTTCTCCAGAATGAGGGTAGACTTGGGAGTTACGAGCGACAGAATGCTGAAACTGAAGGCGACGCGGTGGTCATCATAGCAGTAAATACCACCTGCGGGCTGACGAAGGGTGGACCGGTCAATACCATCAATCTCCAAACCGTCCTCATGCTCACGGCAGACAACGCCGAACTTGGCAAGCTCATCCTTCATGGCCTTGATACGGTTGCACTCCTTGACACGCTGGTTGGCAATGCCGTAAATGCGGGTAGTGTGGTTCGAGCCCTCGCCACGAGCAACAGCAGCAAGGACGGAGGCACCGAGGAAAGCATCGGTCATTGGCTCCATGTCCACGTTTGGGAGGGGTCGGAGAATGCCACTGGCAGGTCCAGTGACAGTGGTAGAGTAATCCGACTGCTCAACAGTGCAGCCCATGGGCCTGAGCACCTCAACAGCGAATCGAGCATCACCCTGCAACGACTTGGAGCCGATGTTGGGGACTGTGCAGGTGGTGCCGGTGAGAGCAGCGATGGCTAGAGGGTAAGTAGCAGAGGAGGCATCGCTCTCAACAACGTACTCAGCGGGGTTGACATAGTGGCCCTGAGGAATGTGGTAGGTGTGTTCCTCGGTGGTGGACTTCTTGACGTCGATGCCGAAAGATCTCATCATGGCGGTCGTCATGTCGATGTACGGCTGAGAGATGGGCTTGCCACCGACCAGTCGCAGAGTCACGGGCTCCTTGGCGTAGGGAGCACACATCAGCAGCGAGGATACATACTGGGAAGAAACCTTAGCAGCCAGGTTGATGCTGCCGCCGGCAAAGCCACCAGAGGCCGCGATCTTGAGGGGCAGACTGCCCTTGCGCTCCATGTACTCTATGCCAGCGCCGTTCACGGTCAGAGCATCGACAAGGTCACCAATGGGCCTTTGCTTCATACGGTTGTTGCCGGTCAGGATGCTCTCGTTGACGGTGCTTGGGTTAGCAAGCGTAGCAACGGTAGTTAAGAAACGGGAGGCAGTTCCAGCATTGCCCAGGTACAGGGATGAGGGACTGGCGGTGATCTTTCCACCCTTGCCGTTCACGACAAGGACTTCACCCTCCTCCTCCCACGAGAAAGTGGCAGCTCCAAGCTTCTCCAGAGCATTCAACATGACCTCAGTGTCATCGGAGTGCAGGAGATTCTTGATACGGCAGGTGCCCGAGCCAAGCGCAGCAAGGACAAGAGCGCGGTTGGAGACACTCTTGGATCCCGGGGGTGTGCATGTTACATTCAGAGTCTTTGGGACACCAGGTTGCACCTCAATGCTGGGAGCCAGAACAACACCAATATCTTCATTAGACACAACGCTAGCCTTGGGCTCGTAGGTGCGTCCAATAGCGGACAGAAGGACAACCTTCTTCTTCGGGCCGTCGTTCTTCTTGTCCAGCGCCATGTTGAACAGAAGCTGGTCCACAGAGCAATGCTTGTCAGCAGTGAGCTTTCGTACCCGTGAGTCCTTCATAGATGTGGGTAGGCCATAGGCAGAAATACACTTGACAATACGAGCAACGGCAACACCCTTCAGAACGCCAAGGTGACGAGCAAGCTCAGCTTCCTTGACCATACCAATAGCAACGCACTCTCCGTGGAGAATTTGAGGAGTCAGAATTGCCTCAATGGCATGGCCGATAGAGTGTCCCCAGTTGAGGAGGTTACGGAGACCACCCTCACGTTCGTCTGCGGAGACAACAAAGGCCTTGTGACGAGCAGAGGCCAGAATTCGGGCCTTCAAGATATCGCGAATACCATCGAAACGGCCCTGGCCGGGCTTAGCCTCACTGCGCGCCGCCTTGAGAATTATATCGGCATTATCTTCTAGCGCAGTGAACTCCTCCTCGCTTGAAATGGCAGCAGTCTTAATGACCTCGGCCATGCCGTTAATGAACTCTCGTACGGGTAGTGTCTCCAGGAACTCGAGATCAATGTAGATCCTTGACGGTTGCCAAATAGCACCAATCAAGTTCTTGCCGAGAGGGGTGTCAATGGCAGTCTTGCCTCCAATTGAGGAATCCACCATGGCGAGCAGAGTGGTGGGGACCTGCACATAACGAACACCGCGCATGTAGGTGGCCGCAATGAAGCCAGTCAGGTCACCAATCACACCACCGCCCAGTGCAATGACCACGGTATCTCGGCCACATGGCGGGTTCTGGCTCAGCATCCAATCTTCAATATCGGCCTTGGTGTGTCGGGACTTGGAACTCTCTCCGGGTGGGGCATTGTAGACGAGCAAGCGCGGGTCAGGTGAAACTGAGGCAGCGGCGGCTTCGAAGGTCTTTTGGAAACTCGGCGTATAGATGGATCCGAGGTTTGTATCAGTGATTAGGACATAGGTGGTCGAGGGCAAGCCGCTGATCAAGTCCTTTGCGACGTAGTTGCGCCACAGGCCGAAATCAGCGACGATGCTCTCCCGACCCAAGATGCTGATCTTGGTGGGTTCGGTCATGATGGCAGGTGAGGATGGAGAACAATTATCAATTGGGGAGGTTCTGTTCTCTACTCAATTCATTCTGTTGGTTGTTAGTTTCCGAAATCGAGTTGAATTGACCTGTTGGGGGATTTCCTATTCCACCCCCACAAGCGGAGCTAGTAATGCAAGGTGCGCACAGAAGGAGAGAGAAAGATAGATATAGACGAAATAGGGGAATTGATGCTGGCATGTTGCCGGAGTAAGAAAGAATTGTGCTTACCTGCAACCCTGGACCGAGAGTCAGCGTTTCACCCAGCAATTGCAACTGGCCAGGAAGATGCTTGAAGCACAACTGACGGCGTGACTCAATAATTCTTTTGCCCTCCGATTTCGCGGCAGATTTGGGCTCACCGCCCTCTGAGTCAGTGCGATGCGGCCGTCTGGGCCACACCGGCGGCAGCTTAGAGTGACAGGTCATGTGGACAGTTCTCCATACCAACTATACCCAGTACAACTCAAGATGTTGCTGGACCATGATTATTGGTCTGCCCCTCGCTTGATTAGTATGGATATATGGTTTATCTACATTGACGGTTACAAAAAGTCATTTCTTAAAAGTATTTCACAGGAATAAGTAACGGTGAACGTAAGGTTATTCGAGTACCTCTAAAATTAGACCTCGGGCTAGAGCTATCGCTGCAGATCATAAGCGATCTGAACGTTTACACATCTACAGAGTCAAGAACCAGAATAGAAACCAGAATGCTTTGTGGAATAAACTAAAATCCATGTACCGATTTTTATTAAAAACATTTTACAAGCCTCAAAACACCGTTTCCCGTCCAATCCTTTCGCGGATCCTAAAATATGCTAGTAGATACAGCAAGATTCATAGCGAGGATGACAGAGTCAGGACTCCGTCCCCCCTCTAGTAGCGGTTGTAACCTCCACCACCACCACCACCACCTCCACCGCGGTGACCGCCATAATTATCACGGTTCTGGCCTCGGAACCTGCCTCCACGATGACCACCGTTGCCTCCGCCGCCTCTACCCCGATCCTGGTAGCCACCATAATATCCTTGTTGTCCTTGATTTCCTTGGCCTTGTTGGCCTTGGTACCCTTGATAACCTTGGTTGGGTCCCTGGTTGTAACCTTGATGACCTTGATATTGGCCAGGACCTTGGTGCGAGGGGTATTGATGGTTCATTCCGCCACGAGGAGGCCCAGGTGGACCCCTGGAGTAGTCACCAGCCCCTGGGGCAGGAGGTACCCATCCAGAGGGCATGGGTGGCATACCGCCCGGAGGTGCATGCATGAATCGCGGATCAAGATGCGCGGCGAACGGATTCGGCCGATCTGATGAGTAGTCCATGTGGCCACCACGTCCGCGGCCGTTAAGTGGTGCGCCACCGTATGAACGTCCGGAGTGCTGGGCCCGGCCCTTAACCGCGCGAATATCAGCGGAGTTCAGCATCGGGGTCGCAAACTTCACACCGCGAAGTAGCATGGACTTGTGAATGTGAGTAGATTTGGGGATCTTATAGTTGACACTGAGAAAGTTGTTAGTAAAGAACAGTTCGTCACAAGAATGAACCAATTGACTTACGTGAGAGTGTGGTCGTCATCGAGACTCGGCATGCCATACTCCTGCAGAGGTGAGACAAGAGAGCCGTGAGGAATATAAGTATCATTGCGCTCAACCAGGCCACCGAGGCCTTCGCTGATGCGCATGTTGAGCTTGTACTCAGGCGGCCCAGGCTTCTTGGAATAGAAGTTGCCTACTAGATCTTGATAAAGAGGGTGTTGTTCTGACATCAACAGCACTTCCTGGCCGTGGGTGTTGCGGATTCGCTCTTCATCAGTCAATAGAGGATAGACCTTTTCCATCGCAGCGAGAAGGCGCTTCTCGTCAATGAAAGGAAGAAGAATCACACCCTGCCAGGCAAATTTCTTGCCATTCAGATCCAAAGCGAAATCCTCTGGGTAAAAGTCAATGATCTCACTTTCCGGGTTGCTCATGAGATCATGGAAGACCTTAGGCAGCGCGTGGTTCGACGACGCTGGCAAGACTCCCATCAGCTGCTCGTAGGGCCTAAATGGCTTGCCCTTGTCAAACTCAATGACCATGTCCGCAATATCGACAAAGTCGGCAGCGAACGGAGCATAGTGATACGGGTAGTACCAGTCCCAAGAAGGACAGCCCTGGAAGTAGTAGAGAAGGACCCAAGCAAGGCCTTCGGCGTACGCACGAGCGACCTTGTGGCGGAACTCATGGTCCTGGGGATCGACACCGAACTTTTGCTCATAGTACCGATCCGCATAACCTGGCTCCCACAGCTTGACAGTGTCTGGTGGCATTTCATCATTGTTGTTGGGCTTTGGAGGAGGCACGGCAGGTGAATCTCGACCGGGAGTTCCTGCGTCTTCTGTCTCTTGCTCAGTTGCCTCCGTTGATTCATCGACCTTTCTCTTTCCGAGAACGGAGGGAGACGTCGGCTCAGCAGCGCCTTCCTCGTTCTCCGCTGTAGCAGGGACTTCGTCAGCCACGGGCTCACTCTGACTGCCCTTCATAAGTTTGCTCTTCAATACAGCAGCAGCGCTCTTGTTCTCCATGTTGGCACGATATATGGCTCCGCGGTTGACAATCATACTGTGGGTCAGGTCTTTGTCCTCCTTCGTCAAGTGTGCACGAGAGGGCTTGATGAGTTCCAGGCCGCCAGTTGGGTCTGGGTCAGCCTCACCCTTGGAGCGCTGTTTGGCGTTGGCATCATAGACGGGAGAGCTACGTCTTCGCTTGCGAGCACGCTCTTCATTCCGAGCCTGATCTTGCTCCTTGCGTCTCTTCTCGTTGGCCGCCTTTCTTTCTTCCGCCTGCCGACGGCGCCGGAAGATAGCGTCCTCTTGCTTAGCCAGACCCTGCAAAATCAGCTGAGCCCGTTTCAGATCAACATGGCCGTCCTGGGTCAGATATCCACCCATAGCCGGAATGTTGTCTCGCCAGATGGCAATCAGAGTATCGATACCATTCTCACGGATATCTAATGAAGGCAAATGAGGCAAGAAATCGTTTCCAACGAAGAAACACATGAAAACCCAGTCGTCCAGTGCGCGCTCAAGATCGAAGGGGAACGGTTGCTGAGGAACCTGCATCTCGACAGCCAGGTATTCTCGAAGTACAGAGACGTGAAGCCAAATGAATGGCTTCAGCGGGGAAGCGTGTTGCTTTTCATCAAACTCTCCACTCTTCTCCTTCGCTTTACCTGTGCACTCCTCAGCTTTGTGCCCAACCTGACCACATAGTCTACAAGTCCGAGGCTTCGACTCCTGGAAGAAGACATCCTCACGCAGAACCCGGAAGTGGGGCTCGTGAGTAGCAAGACCCAGCATGATCAGATCCGCATCAAGACCGTAAATTACATGGCGGGTGTTGGGATCGTGCTCTGGAGATGCGCGTTGAGAACGCACGAACTCCATGATCTTGTGTTCTCCCTCTCCGGGAACTGTTGCGTCGGAGATAATGATCTTCATCTTCTCCCATGCTGGATCAGTGTTAAGCTTGTAGGCAATCCAATAGCGCAGCGAGGCGGCGAGAATATCCATAAAGGGAGTTCCGGGTGTGATCACGTTGCTATCCCACGTCTTCTGGATGACTTCTTCTCTGATAGCGGCATCACCAGTCTTCTTGCTTTGTTGCTTGTCGAGTAGCTTCTGAAGCTCCTCCTTCTTCTCGTCATTCTCTCGGGCTTCTTGGGCGGAGCGGAATCGGCGTGCGCGCTGCTGGTTCATCTTGGCTCTTGGTGCAACACCATCTGTTTGTTTAATAAAGGTTGTAAGCATGAACGTTCACTTGAGACTTGGCAAACAAGTAGAAGGGTTAAGCATAAGCACGTACCGATAGCAATCATAAGCAGTTTTCTCGGCCGGACCATGTTGATCACACGGTCGGTGTACGTAAAGATCTCCAGCATCATCTCCTGCTCATTGGCGGGTGGAGGCCTGCCCTCTGGATGGGTACATGGGTGGACGATACCGTTCATGTCCAGGTAAAGATTGTCCATCTCCTCGCCGTTGGGGTTGGGACGCGTGCCGTCGACCGGAATCACCTCTCCATTCACTTCCTGAGGCAGTTCCTCAATCACCGAAGAGACAATCTTCGGATACTTGTTGGAAAGCCATCGGAAAAGGGCGGGAACACCCATGTTGGCTATGCGACAAGCGCGTGTCTGTCAGGTCTCGTAGAAGTTGGCGCAGCGCTCGAGCTAATAGCGAACGGGGAACACGCTTCGCGCAGTGTCTTTCAGCGAGCTTTCGGATATCCTTTACTCGACTCTCAGTCTTATGATCCCTGCGACACCGAGTAGAACACAAAAAAATATAGATGCAACCGCGTATGAGATAACGGCGCAGAGAGTGGGTGAGAAAGAACTAAACTCGAAAGTTTCTGCGACTGCAGAGGATTGGACTTATCCCCGGGCGGTCGGGCGTTCTGCGCATCCGGCGAGGATCGGCCCTTAGTCCCCTTTGGCCGTGTGGGAAGGCCAACTTTACTGCAATCAGCTCTGCAATCAGCTACTTCCGGGTTTAACCCCCAAACACTTCTCTTCACATTTTGACCTTCCTTCGATGCCTGCCGATTCCTTTGCCTACGGTCGGTAGTGACCATGAAATTGCGACTCAGCTGCGATGTTCCGAATCCTTGAATCGCAAGCTCCGGCCAAACAAACGGCTACGGACACAATCGATGTTTTGAGCAGTAGGTTGCAGAGCGCAACCTTGTTGGAGGATCGACGTGCAGCGATCCAGGGTCTCAGAAGCTTCGCGAAGCTCTATCCTGCATCGGTAGCTTCTGGCGGTCTTCGATCGCTGATCGGCTGTCTGCACAATGATCGGGAGGATGTGGACACCATCAAAGTGGTCCTCGAGACCCTTTTGATGCTGTTTACTCCAGAGGAGACAAGTGTGGGTGATCCCGACGGCCGATTCTTTTGAGGACAGAAGACGCTGATAGATTTTGTAGCCCGAAGCGTCAGATGAGATCGCTCTCTGGCTGGCAGATGAATTCACTCAGGTAGGCTACTCTGGCCAATTAACACCTAACTAAACTAACAGTTTGTTAGCGCCAAGACAATATCACTACTCTGCTCGATCTACTCGAAGCTCGAGACTTCTATTCGCGCCTGTATTCCCTCCAATTGATGTCCCATATCTGCAATGCCAGACCGGAGCGAACACAAGAGTGCATCTTCACCGCGCCATTGGGTATCTCAAGGCTGGTGAATGTGCTTACAGATACCAGGGAACCTGTGAGAAACGGTATGGCGCACTTTGCTTTGGATTGTTCCTCTTGGTATATCCTGGTTAACAAGTTATGTTCTTTCAATAGAGGCTCTCGTTCTGCTTATCGCCTTGACGCCCGCCTCGGAAGAGCTTCAGAAGCTTGTCGCCTTCGAGAATGCTTTTGAAATCATTTTCTCTCTCATCGAAGCGGAGGGTGCCTTGACCCTTGGCACTGAAGTCGTCGAGGATTGTCTCACTTTGCTCGCCCATCTACTAAAGTTCAACGTTTCCAACCAGTCGTTCTTTCGCGAAACTGGATGCGTGAAGAAGGTGACGAAGCTTCTCCACGAATGTCAGCTAGAGCTGGCTCAAGGTGAAGACACTCCTGCGCAATGGACTCTCGTTCACAGAGACAAGAACGTTTGGGGTCTGCTGGCCATCATCCAATTATTCCTTATCCGTGGTGGCGTGGGGACACCCATGAACCAGACAGCTTTCTGGCAGAATGGTGTGACGGAGCAGGTTCTCAGCATAGCTTTCGGCCAGAAGTTCGGCGTGAATGTCACGTCCAAGGCTTTGGCAACCTGTGCTGATCTAATCCGCGGAAACTCGCCATTGCAGGAGAGCTTCGGAGACATTGAAGTCTTATGGGGCTCCCAAGCACCAAAGGATCAAACCGCCAATGGCCATGTGGAGGAACCCGAACGAATCAATGTTATTGAGGCGTTCTTGAAGCTCAGTCTCCAGCCTTCTCCCAATAGCATGCTGGATGCACGTCTCGCCGCTTGTGAATGTATGAAGGCATTCTTTGCCCATCATCCCGGGATTCGCATGCATGTTCTTAAGCGTGCCATCGAAGGCCACGTCAGCGGGCAAGATCGAATCCCCAACATTCTATCTGTCCTACTCATAGCACCAGATGCGAGAGGTAATGCTGACCCATATCAAGTTTGGATGGCGTCTGTTCTGTTGTTCCACCTAATTTTCGACGACGGCGAGGCAAAAGCCATCGCTATGCAGGTTACAGAGGGTGATGCCGAAAGTGGCGAAGAGGTAGTCACCAGTGTCCAGTCGGTGGTTGGCAACTTGATCACTGGATTGCAACGTGGCGACGATGAAAGGATTACCGTGGGCTACCTGATGTTACTCTGCGGCTGGCTTTTCGAGGATCCGGACGTCGTGAATGACCTTCTCGTTGAGGGCAGCAGCATTCAAACACTTTTGCAAGAGATCAAGCACCAAAGAACTCCTAGCAAGTTGATACCTGGCCTCTGCACCGTCTTGTTGGGAATCATCTACGAGTTTTCGACCAAGGATTCCCCGATCCCACGAGTCACATTGCACAAACTGCTCATCGAGCAGCTTGGAAGAGAACAATACATTGACAAGATCACCAAGCTGCGAGAATGTCCCTTAGTTCGTGACTTTGAGGTCTTGCCGCAAACTGCTGCAGGGCAGATCGATGGACTACCTGAGGTTTTCTTTGATCGCTCATTTGTTGAGTTCCTCAAGGATAATTTTAGCCGTTTGATACGAGCGATCGACCGGGAGCCGGGCTTCGAGGTCTCTGTTGTTGCCAATGGTGTCGAAAAGGGTGTCTCGCGAGATCTGGTGGACTCCCTACGCGCTGAATTGGAAGACCGAGGCCAAACAATTCAAAAACTGGAATCAGATCTCGTCACTATCCAGCGAAAACTTGACCAAGAACACCTGGATCATCGGAAGACAAAAGAATCGGGCTCGTTTGAATTATCGAAAGCCCAACAGGCACTTCAGTCTGTGCAGACGTCACATGGTCAGGAACTGTTCAAACTGGAAGAGCAGCATAAACAGTCGAAAAACGAGCTTCTCAAACAACATGGTGAACAACTTCGTGCTATTGATAACCAACTCAAGCAGGCCTCGACCGAATATGAGCGCAAGGGCACGAAAATGCAAGAACATCACAAGCAGGAAGTTGCTAGCATGCAGAAGACCATTGGTGGGCTGGAGTCAGAGCTCTCGAAGGCTCGGGAGAAGCATGCTGGTGAAGCTGCTGCCTTGAGAAGGACAGTCCAGGACTTGGAGTCCGCCCTCAGCCAGTCAAAGAAATCCAATGCGGGTCAGGTTGCGGATCTTCAGCAAAAGCTTCACAGTCTGGAATCCACCATTGATTCCTCCAAGAGCCAACACGAGTCCGAGATCACTAGTTTCAAGACTACAATTCAATCTTTAGAATCCGATCTAGCTGCTGCAAAGGCACAGCACCAGGCCGAGATTGCTGATTCCAAGCAATCCCTTGCGGCTGCCAAGTCTGACCTTGAAAGCGCCCAAGAAAAGTCTACGAAGGAGATTGAGAAATTGAAGGAAGATTTCTCATCCAAGATATCTGCGCTAGAGGCTCGCGCTGCGGATGCCGAGCGCAAGGCAAAGGAGGCCGAGTCACAAGCCTCGGAGAAGTCAATGAAGGACATCCAAGCTGCCAATGACGGATTCTCATCCAAGATCTCTGCACTAGAGACTCGCGCTGCCGAGGCCGAGCGCAAGGCAAAGGAAGCCGAGTCACAGGCCCAGAGCGCAGCTGCAGCGCTCAAAGAGATCAAGGCCCAACTTGAGCGGGCCCAAGCAGAGGCCAATGAGAAGGAAGAAGCTCGCCAGGCAACCCAAACAGAATTGGATGACCTGTTGATCGTCTTTGGAGATCTTGAGGCTAAGAGAACTGAGGATAAGGTACGTGGCCACTTTTGACCCTTTTATCTTACGAGAAAACACTAACCGTTTTTAGAAACGGCTCAAGGACCTCGGTCAAGAAGTTTCCGAGGCTGAGGATGATGATGACGAGGACGAGGAAGATGACGAAGACGAAGAGTAGCGGATTCAATGTTTTCCTCTTCGTATATAGCCACGATGGACCACCATCCTCAACCCTGCATCTATCTAGCGCGCTTGAAAATCTTATGCATGACTCATTTCGAGGTTTTGACTCTATTTGTCACTATCTGTCCAAAACTTGCGTGTGATCCATCATCAGCTCCATGATTCATTCCCTGTATAGTTCGTATTGCTGGCTGTAGAAGTTGTAGAAGGCGGTGAGTGGGCGGAGGGGCTGTGATTGCAGGACGCACTGGCAAAAAATGTGGTGGTGGGGGTGAGTCACTTCTCTTTTCATCTGCCCCTCGTCCCCCTTGGAAAGCTGAAGTCGCCAACCAACTTCAAGCGCCATGTCTATCGATTTTCCTGCCGAGGAGGAGCTCATCCTCAAGCGGTGGAGGGAGATTGATGCCTTCCAGCGCCAGGTCGAGCTCACTCGAGGCAAGAAGCCATATACTTTCTACGACGGCCCGCCCTTTGCTACCGGTCTCCCTCACTATGGCCACTTGCTGGCTTCTACGATCAAGGATATCATTCCCAGATACTGGGCGATGAAGGGTCATTATGTTGAGCGACGATTTGGTTGGGACACGCACGGTGTTCCTGTCGAATACGAGATCGATAAGAAGCTCGGCATGTCCGGTCTGGAGGCTGTCGAGAAGCTCGGAATTGCGAAGTATAACGAGGAGTGCCGAGCTATTGTCATGCGATTCGCCGCTGAATGGCGTCAGACTATCGAGCGTCTAGGTCGCTGGATCGATTTCGACAACGACTACAAGGTATGTTCTGGGCCCAAACAGCGTCGCGTGATTCTGGAAGGAAATCTAACGGACCTATTTCAATTGGCATATAGACGATGAACACTAGCTTCATGGAGTCCGTCTGGTATGGTCTGCCCACAATTGCCGTATATATTGCTAGACTAAGTTACTGACGTCTTTTGCACAGGTGGGTTTTCAAGGAGCTGTTTGACAAGGGCCTTGTCTACCGTGGCTACCGTGTTATGCCATACTCGACCGCCCTGAACACTCCCCTCAGTAACTTCGAGGCCCAGCAGAACTACAAGGATGTGCAAGATCCCGCCGTCGTCGTTACTTTCCCTCTGTTGAATGACCCTGAGACGTGCTTGCTTGCATGGACTACCACCCCATGGACCCTTCCCTCCCACACCGGTCTTTGCGCTCACCCAGACTTCGAGTACGTGAAGATCTACGACGAGGCCACCAAGAAGAACTACATTCTTCTGGAGTCTTTGCTCCGCACTATCTATAAGGACCCAAAGAAGGCCAAGTTTAAGATTGTCGATCGCATCAAGGGTTCTGACATGCTTGGATGGAAGTATGAGCCCCTGTTTGACTATTACTACGAGGAGTTCAAGGATCACGGCTTCCGCGTGTTGAATGACGGCTATGTCACGGCTGAAGACGGTGTGGGTATTGTCCACCAAGCCCCTGCTTTCGGTGAGGATGATTACCAGGTCGCTATCAACCATGGTGTTATCAACGAGACCCGTGTCCCTCCGAACCCAGTCGACCCTCAGGGTTGCTTCACCGCTGAAGTCCGCGACTTCGTTGGACAGCACGTGAAGGAGGCCGACAAGGCCATTATCAAGCACCTCAAGGGACTTGGTCGCATTCTTGTCGACAGCCAGATTACTCACAGTTACCCCTTCTGCTGGCGCTCTGACACACCTCTCATCTACCGCGCGGTGCCTTCATGGTTTGTGAAGATCACCCCCATCATTCCTCAGATGCTGGAAGGCATTGAGGAGTCCCACTGGGTTCCATCGTTTGTCAAGGACAAGCGATTTGCCAGCTGGATCAAGAACGCTCGTGATTGGAACATTTCTCGGAACCGTTTCTGGGGGACTCCTCTCCCCCTGTGGGTTAGCGATGACTACAAGGAAATTGTCGCCATTGGAAGTGTCGAGGAGCTTAAGAAATTGAGTGGTTACACCGGTGAACTCACCGATCTTCACCGTGACAAGGTGGATCACATTACCATCCCCAGCAAGCAGGGTAAGGGTGAACTCCACCGTGTGAGCGAGGTGTTCGATTGTTGGTTTGAGTCCGGCAGCATGCCTTATGCCTCCCAGCACTACCCCTTCGAGAACAAGGAGCAGTTCGAGAACAGCTTCCCCGGTGACTTCATCGCCGAGGGTCTCGACCAGACCCGTGGATGGTTCTACACTTTGACCGTTCTCGGCACTCATCTGTTTGGCAAGCTTCCTTTCAAGAACTGTGTGGTGAACGGTATCGTCCTTGCTGAGGATGGCAAGAAGATGTCTAAGCGTCTCAAGAACTACCCGGATCCTTCCCTCATCATGGACCGCTACGGTTCGGATGCTCTGCGTCTTTACCTGATCAACTCCCCAGTTGTTCGTGCTGAGCCCCTCCGCTTCAAGGAAGCCGGTGTCAAGGAGATTGTCAGCAAGGTTCTTCTGCCGATGTGGAACAGCTACAAGTTCTTTGAGGGCCAAGTTGCTCTTTTGAAGAAGGCCTCCGATGTCGACTTCATGTTCGACCCCAAGGCCGAGACCACCAACACCAACGTCATGGATCGTTGGATCTTGGCCAGTTGCCAGAGTCTTCTGATGTTCGTTAACCAGGAGATGGCTGGTTATCGTTTGTACACCGTCGTGCCTCGTCTGCTGGGCCTGATTGAGAACACTACCAACTGGTACATTCGATTCAACCGTAAGCGTCTGAAGGGTGAGAACGGTGTCGATGATACTCTGCATGCCCTGAACACCCTCTTCGAGGTCCTCTACACTCTTGTCCGCGGTCTTGCTCCCTTCACCCCCTTCATCACCGACAACATCTACCAGCGCCTTCTTCCTCACATCCCCGAGTCCCTCCGTGCCGAGGATAGCCGCAGCGTTCACTTCCTGGGCTTCCCTGAGCCGCGCCAGGAGCTCTTCGATGAGGTTGTGGAGCGCCGAGTTGCCCGCATGCAGAAGGTCATTGAACTTGGCCGTATCTCTCGTGAGCGTAAATCCATTGCTCTGAAGACTCCCTTGAAGAGTCTGGTTGTCATCCACCAGGATCAGCAATACCTTGATGACGTTAAGTCCCTTGAGGGCTACATCCTCGAGGAGCTCAACGTACTCGACCTTGTTCTCTCGTCCGACGAGGCCAAGTACAACGTCCAGTACAGTGTCAATGCCGACTGGCCGACCCTGGGCAAGAAGCTCAAGAAGGACGTGCAAAAGGTCAAGAAGGCTCTGCCTTCTCTGTCTAGCGATGATGTGAAGAGATACGTCGCTGATAAGAAGATCGTGGTTGATGGCATTGAGCTGATTGAGGGTGATCTGGTCGTGAAGCGTGGTATCAAGGAGGATTCGGGCTCATCAGGCATGGAGACCAACACTGATGCCGATGTCATGACCATTCTGGATGCCAACCTGTACCCCGAGCTGGCTCACCAGGGTATCGGTCGTGAGATCATCAACCGTCTCCAGCGTCTCCGTAAGAAGGCCGGTCTTGTCCCCACGGACGAAGTTAAGATGGAGTACATCGTCCTCTCGGACCCCGAGAACATCGGCCTTAGCGAGGCCTTCAAGTCCCAATCTCAGGCTATTGAGAAGGCTGTTCGTCGGCCGCTTGATGAGCGCACCCTGGTTGATGGCAAGTCCCCCAGCGCTGAGGAGGAGGGTACCATTGCACAGGAGGACCAGGAGGTGCAGAATGCCACCTTCTTGTTGCGCCTGGTTAAGCTGTAAAGCGTTTGATGGGATACATGAAAATAAGATGATGTTCTGTGTAGATAGAAGTTTACTATCTGCTTCATTAAGTTGCTGATCAATGAATTACATGTCCGTGAGCCTTATTCCTTTTGATTTGGTAGTATACAGGTGAAAAAAAGCTAAATAAAATGAAAACCCGTCAATTCGTAAAACAATCGCGCCTTGAATGCCGCAACTCCATGCAAAGATTTGAATGCGTTGGGTAGTTTCTCTCAGCCCTTCTTGGATGCGGCCTGGTCGAGTTAGCCAAGGTGGGCAGGTTTGTGATACTCTCCAGACCTCACTTACCACGAAGCAATCCTTGAGCCGCATGAATTCCTTAACACACATATCCTTGTGCACTGAATCATAGTCTGCCAGGACACACTTTCCGTATGCCGCCGCCTAATGGAAAGTTAGCTCTGACGAGAATCCGGTGATCGCTCTGCGCCCGTGATACGTACCTCAGTCGAACATTTGGCCGTAGCCTTGGCCACCTTCTCAATGGGCCGAGTCCTATTAGGCATCGTGAAAACAAAAAGGCCTGTAAATGGAGAGAGGGTGCGATTGAGCTGATTACTCCTGGAGATTCAGTTCGTTGATAGGTCGAGGACTATCGCATCGCATCCTATCTATCGGGTCCTGCCAAGACTGCACGACTGGAATGTTACATAAGTGTCACGTGACGTCGGAGCATGTTTCTGGCGCGACCACCAAAACAACCCGATCGGCCAGAACGTGGGATATTATTGATTGCGATTTGGTGGTTTCTTCTCTTTTTCAATTGCAGACTGGTCTCTGCGCATTATTTGCGTCGCCAGGACTGCCTGATTTCGCGATGATTTTTTTGGTCCGTCGACTGTATGACCCAGATGCGACAAACGCGCTTTAGGTCGCGATTTTTCGATGCCTCCGATATCCTCACAGCGCCGCGCCTTGACAGAAGAGAACTCGTCGCTCTCCGATGACGGTAAGCAATTGGTTATGTGCCGGCTCAGCTGTATGACACTCGATCTAACAATCCCGTCGTGCTTTAGATGTCGGCTTCCTCTACCAAGTTGTCAGTCGCGCCGAGGGAAAGCCCGAGGTTGAGCGATTACCATTTCGAGCGCTTTTCGCAGCATACGACGAGGTGATCAGTGAACATGGAGTCGACGCGGACCCAGGCCATGCGTGCTTGCGATTTCTCTTCAAAATGGGGAGCAAGGAGGTGCAGGGACCCTCTCTCTTCGACAAATTCGAGAGCGCGCTCCAGCAGATGGGAATCGTGATTGAATTCGGGGAGGATGGCTCAACAGGCCTCAACGAAATGACACAAAACGAGCATTCGGTCGTCGAGGGCACGGTCAGCCAAACAGACGACGAGAACCTTTATCCCATGACCAATGGAACCCCGATTACACCCCGGAGGCGCGCGTCCTTCAATACTACTCTCGACATCGGGGAAGATGCCACTGGGAAGAGCTTCGCCGAACGTCCAAGCTCGCGCGCATCCATGTCTCGACTTGAGACTGGAAAGCCGGATTTCTCACAGCTGAAATTATCGCCGAATCCGAAAGATCATGACCGACGGCCGAAATCTCCGGACCGCACACAATTGATCGCGCAGTTTTTGGATGTTGGTCGCCGATTGATAAGTCGATTTGACTCTGTACAAAACCAGAATAAGAGCGAGGGACAGGATAAGCCTCCATTGACGAATGGCGTTGTTGCGCGCTCAGCTGTTCACCATGACCGCTCAAAAAGGATGGTTGCAGCCGCAAAAAGCCGTCGCTCGCCTTCAATAAGCTCATCGGACACATTTGAGTCCGGTGAATTACAGTCCGAAATGTCGCAGGCGACAGGACATGATTCTATTGGCAAAGAAAATGTCCCGCCTGAGATGCTCTACCGACCTCAGCTCTCAGACTTGCTTCGCGACGCGTCCACATTCAATATGTATCGACAACGAGCAAACTGCCGTCGGATCTTGACGCAATGGTTAAAACGAGCTTTTCATGCGCGGCAGATTCGAGAGACCCGGCAGATTGTCGCTATTAACCGTGACCGAAGCACACTGCTCCGACAGGCCTTTGAGCCATGGCGAGCAGTGATTCAAGACAAGCGCCATACAGCTAGAACTGAGCGTTTCTTCAAGCATCTAGACGAACGCGCCAGTCGTGCACGAGACCTGTATCTGATGACCAAAGCATTCACTCATTGGGCTCAACTTACATCGGAGGAGGTCGCCCGCACGTCCGCAGCTCGAAGGCATGTGTTGAGTGTCAAATACTTCAATGCTTGGCGGGAGATCACTGCTGTCAACGAGTTGAAAGCTCAGCGGTTTGCTTTACAGCGACCATTCAATACGTGGCGCAAAAAAGCGGCTGATTTGAAAACGGCGGAAATTAAAGCCGTTACTGTTCACAAAGACAACCTACGGCATGCCTCGTATTGGCAGTGGTTCTGGGGCTTTTGCGATCGACGTGCTCCCGAGTGGTACGATAGTCAACTAAAGAGGCGGTCCTTACTTTACTGGCTTCGGAATTTCCGTACTAATCGCGAGCGTGAGCAAGAGATTGTCCTCCACAACAGAAAAACGTCGCTAGCTAGAGTTCTTCAGGCATGGTCTCAGAAGTCGAAGACATTTGCTTCTGCACAACAAAAAGCTGCAGGGTCTGAGCGTTATCATGTTCTCAAAGAGACATTCGACGAGTGGAAAATCCAAGCCAAGCTAGCCCCTGCTGCTTCACAGGTGTCTGACATGGTGGACGGCAGGATCTTACGAACGACTCTCTCAAAATGGATTGGAAAAGCACGTCTGGCTGAGCAAGCAGTAGAGATGGACCGAGTTAGGGTTGAACGGAATGCCTGGGTATCATGGAATGATACGCTTCGATGTTTGGCTCTCCAAGCGCGAATTGATGAGCGATTGAAAATGGAAACCATGTACAAATGGATACTGATGGAGAGGTTTCAATTGATGCGCCGAATACGGGAGCAGCGCATCAAGCGCGAAGTGTTTTCCCGGTTTGTGACGAACACTCGAGATACATACACCCAGTTGCTCTCCCATGCGGAGGTACATGAAGACCATTGGGCTGAGGAGTTAGTTCGCTCCAAATTTACCATCTGGCGTGATCAACTCTTGCTTCAGCGGGAGCGTGAATATACAGCCTTCGAATTCTACGCTCCTCGCCTTGCACAAGAATCCCTCATGGCGTGGAGATCCAAACATCAGCAGATTGAGAAGATGGAGGGCTGGGCTCGTGATGCTCAATTTTACTTCCTCATGAAACGATCCTTGAAGAATTGGCGTCAGGCCACGGTGGACTCTGCCAAACGACGGCGCAAGGATGCCTATTCGAAGATGCGGCGAAAGGTCAAGGTCAATATGGCTTCCAAAGCCATTACCATGTGGGCCTCCAAAACTCAGGCGATCACCAACATGGAGCAACAAGCGGTAGAGCTTAACCGCCAGAAAACTATGAGTGATGTGGCCGATATCTTCATGGACTGGCATGGAAAGACTCTCAAAAGGGTGCAGGATTACCAGGAGGCCGACTTGCACTATTTCCGCCAGATCGCGTTTGATCAGTTGATCCAACTCTCGGAGACCTATGTGATTCGGCGTGAGATGGAAGACCAGGCCGACTCTGTGTACCGCAGACACGTTCTCTTCCACGCAGGTGCGTCCCTTCGCAAGCTCAGTCTCCGTATCTTCCAAATGAGAAGTACCGTCGAGACCGCCGAAGCGATGCGGGAAAGAACCCTACGCAAGCATTCCAGAAATCTATTCCGTCACTGGGTAGACAGTGCCCGCATCAAGCTCGAAGCTCGTGATTCTCCGGGACCTGCCTTGACATCAACTCAATACTCCAGGTTCGGAGAAGTTGAGCGGCCCGGGTCTGCCCTATTTGACCCGTGGTATCAGAACGCATCCGAGACTCCCTTCAAGATGACTGACTTCACTACAAATTCCATGGAGCCGGTCTCCGCAAGCCCACTGGCCACACCAAACTATATGACCTCGCCGTCCAAGCGAGCCGCTCGTGCCCGCGCCCTCGCACAGATGTCCACGACCCCTGCCACACCCCTACATACACCATTCGCTAGTCGACTGCTCCGCGCTGAAGCTTCGGCCCCTCGAAATGCATCTTCTCGACGACCGCAACCCAGCCGTCGAAGTTTGACGGGGACCAGCGTCCGATTTGTGGATGAAGAACTCCCCGAATCTCCCACCGATGGCCGGAAGTCGGCGAATCGACGACCCTAACTTTACCTCTACCTCTGGTATATGATCATTTGTTCCTTTTTTGGCGCAGCCAATCTCCTTGGGTGGTCTTTGTACATCAGCGACGGCTATACTCTTGTTTCTTTTCCTTTCTGTTTTCATCCCACGATGCATATGATTCGGCGCAGCATGTACAGGAATTTGGGTTTCTCGACCTTGTGGGGTATACCACTATGTATTTTTTTTTTGGACATGATTGAATGTGATGAATATTGTATGAAGTTTAATAACGTCGAAGGGGTGTCTCAAGTTCTCGTAGTGATGTATCTCGTAACAAAGGAATGATGTCAATGTATATTTTGATGTCAAATGCGCCGTAGATCAAATGACCGCGTCGATCCAGCGATGCCATCTTATCAGCTGACACTATATATAGCTTACCCCGGAAAGATACAGCAGAGTTCGATTCAACAATAGGTACGTTATGCTACCTAGTTTATGTCTTCCTGTCCTTAGCGACTATCTTCAAATACCCCAAGATTCCAAGACCCCAGCGAGCAAGGTGTTGTTACAAGCCCACGAGGGTCGGGCCGCGCAAAGGGCGAGCGGTGGTCGCACGGAAGTGGAGCGGGAAGCGTAATCGACCATGAGACACATCCCGCTCTGATCCCCTGCGCATAGCCATCTGAACCCAGATCTCGGGCATTGTCTCTTCTTGCGTCATTCATCCTATTTGTCTCTTCGACAAACTGCTACCGGCAACTCTCTTCGCAAATCTGGCGATGGTGTAAGGCTACAAGAGCAACGCCCACCCTGCAATCCACCCGTCTCTATGCGAGCGGTACTGCCGGGGAGACCCCCAGCGAAGCTCCAGTCGTTCAGCACTGCGCTGTGGGATGGGCTTCGTGTGATTGTGAGCTACCTATTCCTGAAGCTTTATAACAGCTTGTCTTCTAAACCAGACTTTTCCAAATGCTAATGGTTGCCTTGCGCGCGTTGCTTACAGGCGTACATCTCCGGCCACGCGCTAGTCATCCTCGGCGGTCCCCAGACGCTCCTTCAAACGATCTACGTCGATGATACCGAAAAGCTCGAGGCTGTAGTCTTTGACGAGGCTTCTGGAAAGATCGCTGTGTGTGGAGGGCCTGATATCTTCATATACCAGCCGTACGGCATTCAAGGCGAGACACTGAAGGTGTGTAACCGTCTTGCTTCGGAGCTTTCTCGACCAAGAAACAAGGTCGCGGGCAATTGGAGAGCCACATGTACTAATAAATATTTATCTTTAGTGGTCCCTTGCCTGTACATTTCGCGCGAAAGATGACGACGAATCGATTCATACCCTGTCGTGGGGGTCGCCGAACGAGCTGCTGGTTGGTAACTCGCGCCTTGCGCTGTGGATGCTGAATGATACCCCCGCTTGGTGTGGAAACGAAAGCTGGCGAACCCTGTCAAGTTCGCTCAATTTTCCCCGGATGGAGCCTTGGTGGTGACTGTGGGACACTATGACCGCTTGGTCAAGGTCTGGAGGCGACTTGCTTTTGGTGAGGATGAAGTACGGTTTGAGGTCTCGTATCTTCCGCATCCTGATGTGGTCACTGGGGTACATTGGCGACTACCATACCACCGAGAACAATCCGTGGATAATGTCCTGTATACCTTGTGTGCCGACAACAAGATCCGAGTGTGGGCTGTGACCGACCACCATGCTCTTTCGCCGTTACAATTATGGGCAGACATAGACATGGAACTCTCGCTACAACCTAGAGATGCGTCCAGTATTGACCAAGGGCCGCAACGGAGATATGGCTTTTTCTTGGACGGCCGGGACTTCTGTAGCGCGACAGAGCGAGCTGTGGAGCGGAACACAGGCAATAAGGAAAACCACGCCTTGGAGCATATCATTGAAGTCGCCAGGCAGAGTCCAGAGATATGTGTTGTCATCGATGGTCAGGGACATATGTCCGCCTGGGCTTTGGAAGATGTGGGCTCCAAAGTCAAAACGAAAATGAGCGTCTTTAATATCCTGCACGTGGAGGGGCTGGAATTTGGGTTTATGCCTGGCTTATCAGCAGCAGAGGACTATGCTCAAATTCGCGCTTTCCAAAGCAACACGACCGAAGACAATCTCAGCATCGTTGTCCACCACTTTGACGGTCGAATCGAATGGTATGATTCGCAAGTCGACGTTCTTTTCGATCCCACTCCTCGCAAGAATCGAATTTCTCCGAAATCATCTTGGTCTGGGCACACAGCACCAGTTAAGAAGATCGTGCGAAATGCTATTGGTGACACACTTATTTCGCGTACAGATGAAAACAAGGCCATGATCTGGAGGCAGAGGAAACGGAAAAGTGGCTCGATGCTTCTGCATAAAAGTATCCTTCTCTCTGATGAGCACATTCATCGAACCTGTCTTATTGAAGACAGTAGCCTCCTCGTCAACCTTCATCACAATGGGATTTCGCTGTGGGATTTCAACTCTTATCATGCCAAGAGGATTGCACATTTATCGTTCACATTGTCTAGCAAACCTCTATGTGTGCTTCCACTTCCCACCCCGGATACGAAATCAAGGGTTGCCTACGTGGCAACAATTGGAGCCGACATGAACGGCATTGCATGGGAAATCAAGTGGAGTACATCTGAAGGCTGTCAAATGCGGAAATTTTGCGCATTTGAGATGGGCCTGAAGGAAGATTTGGCCTACATCCTCCCGGTGGACCCCGCAGGGCCGAAAGCCAAACATTCCGGATTCTTCGACACGTTCTCCCCTGATATTGCGCTTTCCTACACTCATAGTGGAGTTGTGCGAACCTGGACTGCAAAGGTCGACCAGGCCAATGCTAAGGTCGAGTGGCTGCTGAAGTCAACAGTAGACACAGGGATTACGAACCCATCGCTGGCGAGTGGAAGTACTATCCGCAAGGCAGCGCTGGTGGACGAAAATCGAACTCACTTGACGATCTGGGACACTAACAACGCCCAGTTGGAATTCGAAGAACATTTTGCCCAACATGATATCATTCGGGACCTTGACTGGACTTCGACTCCAGACATGCAGTCCATTTTGGCTGTTGGATTCCCCCACAAAGTTGTGCTACTGTCTCAACTTCGCTATGACTACTTGGATGCTCAGCCTTCATGGACCCAGATCCGAGAGATTTGGATCCGAGATCTCACCCCACACCCCATTGGCGACTCGTGCTGGCTCACAAATGGTCATCTGGTAATCGGTGCAGGAAATCAATTGTTTGTTTATGACAAGGATATCGACATTGGAGATCGCCTTGTCTCCGGACTTCGTATCCCATCTCGGGGGCTTTCTTCGGTGGATCTTTTCGATGTGGTCAGTCGCTTGAATGGGCCGTTGCCTGTGTTCCACCCACAGTTCCTCGCACAGTGCATACTTTCTGGAAAGACTAGTCTCGTGCACTCCATCTTGATCAACCTGCACAAGAAACTGAAATTCTACACTGAAGGTGATGATCTGGACGGATTCCTGGAGATGCCACTCCAAAATTTCTATGAAGACAGTGACGTCTCCCAACAAGCGGCTTCCAAAGAAATGCGCTCCTCCTATACAGACGTGACAGTTCAAGAAGAGGAATCATTTGTCATGGATGAAAACACTGCTGCGGTTTTGAACGAGAACTTGGCACGGATTGCCCTCCCTCAAATCACCAGCCACGAGCAGTTCCGCCTTGTTGATACTATCGAGTGCGTTGCGACGGTAGAAAAACACCGCCGGTCAATGGATGATAACGCCGCGCGCTATCTCCTATTCTTCCGACAACATATGCTGAGGAGGAGTCAAGGTGTTGCGAATAAAGATACTGTTTCATGGAGAGAGATCGTCTGGGCTTTCCACAGCGGTAGCCAGGACATATTGACGGATCTTGTCTCACGCCAGTTCAATGGAAAATTGACTTGGAAGGCTGCCCGAGAGAGTGGAATATTCATGTGGCTATCGGACTTGACAGCTCTGGTAAGTGACTCTGCTCATCGGTATCCATTTCTTACTAATCTCCATGGTAGAAAGTGCAACTTGAAGTTGTGGCTCGGAATGAGTATGGCAAAACTGACGAGAGAAACCCCACTGACTGCACGATTTACTACCTCGCTCTTGGAAAGAAAAACATTCTTCAAGGTCTATGGCGAATCGCTCACTGGCATCGTGAACAAGCCGCTACGCAACGCCTACTTGCGAACAACTTCAGTGAAGCAAGGTGGAAGACGTCCGCCCTCAAGAACGCCTACGCACTGCTTGGGAAACGGCGATTTGGTAAGCCCATTCTCTCTAATGCTTATAGCTACGTATTACTCGCTAACAACTCAAAGAATATGCTGCATCATTCTTCTTGCTCGCAGACCACCTTCGCGATGCCACAAATGTGATCACCAACCAGATGGGAGATCTCCAGCTCGCTATTGCAGTCGCCCGAGCCTATGAAGGAGACAATGGTCCTGTCTTGCGCGAAATACTGCAAGAAAAGGTTCTCCCCGACGCAGCCTCGGAGGGCAACCGATGGATGGCTTCCTGGGCTTTTTGGATGCTCGGACGACGGGACATGGCTGTACGGTCACTTATTGTATGTTGCATCCTAACGACATCTATAGAATCCCGACTAACAAGGCAACAGTCACCAATTGAGTCACTACTAGCACCAACGCCCGCCTCCCCAGGAAGTCCTGGACGAGTCACACTTCAGTCCAAGTCATACCTCTCCAATGACCCCGCCCTGGTCGTCCTCTACCAGCAGCTACGAGAGAAGACTCTTCAGACTCTCAAGGGAGCCTCCCAAGTCCGTCCACGGGAAGAATGGGAATTTGTTCTTCGCAATGCCCGCCTGTACGACCGGATGGGCTGTGACCTCCTCGCTTTGGACCTAGTACGACACTGGGAATTCCTTGGCGGGCCACCCACACCTAGGACTTTGCAAACACAGCCTGCTCTCGATTTCCACGATGGTGGTGTTGATTATCGGAAAATGCTTCGCCGGCGGAGTAGTCTCGTCGTTGCTGATTTGCCGGTCCGTCTTGCAGAGGCCGCGAAGGTTTCCGCTGATGCTAAGGATAGTTCTGCTGTGGAGGACTCGCATAAGCAGGCGAAGCCGAAACCACCTCCGACAATGTTCCATGAGCCTGATGCTAATTCTTTGCTGGATAGCTTTGGTTTTTAAATGGATGGGAGGGAGTGCTATGTGTTTGTCTTCTCAGCGTATCGTCTGCATTCTACGTGCATTTTATAGAGCGACTGACCATCAATGCAATTTTCACCTTTACAATAATCTCAAATTTATGCCTTGCGCTTTGCCGGCATATTGATTACTGTCTAACAAGATCGAAGGAAGGTTACCATAAACTCATATCTTTTTGGGTTTGATTATATACAACAACAATTTATGCTCAATGATCCATAGACATCAAAAGCGCCCACAAAACAAAACCCATCAACAAATCTTCCTCACTACCACCGAGCCACCCGATTCCGCAGAACAGACAACTTTCTCCTCGAAAGAGTGCGATTCCCCGAAGCAGTCCCATTATGGTGCAGGGTCACATTCAACGCAGGAAGCGTCACATTGTGCTTGCCGGTAACCATACTAGCGGCCTGAAGCCTAATCTTCTCCATAATATCATGAACAATCTTCTCACTCTCAGCATGCCCATCACTATTCACCCGTCCTTCCTCCTCAGGCTTCCGCCCCGAAGAATACTCACTCTGAGCCTTCGACCAAGAAAAAGCATTCGAACCCGGCGTCTGCACATTCGCCGCACTCTCAGCACTCGCAATCTTAGCCGTACCTTCAATCCGCGGAATATCCTGCGCCTGATCCTGCAGCGACTCTTCACTCTTCTCATCGCAGACAAGTTGCAGCCATACTTCGCTGTACGCGGCGAAAGACCGTGGCTCGCATTGGCTTACTTCGACGCCCTGCCGGAGTTCCCGCGTGATGAGCGGTGGGTCGATGCATTCGGGGACCTCGTGCACGGTTATGTTGCAGCTTGGCCCGTTTTCTGGTGGGTAGGGGTGTCCGGATTGTTGGGAGAGAAGTTCAGCGTCTACTGAGATTGCGCTGACAAGGTTGTGTTCGTAAGACGGGACGCCGATGTTGGCACACATGCCTGTCGTGATTACTTGGGAGGGGGCGGTTTCTTCGTAGTTTTCGTAGGTGTCTAGGTTGGAGAAGGGTTCGCCTGGGCAGTTGGGGTAGAAATGTGTCCAGACGCGGGCTGTGATGCCGGCGTGGATGGGTGTGGAGAGGAGGAAGAGAGTGGTGAGGGTTGAATGCATGGCTGCAAGACCCGAATTCTGATTGATATTTGTAGAAATCGAAAGGGTATGTAGATCTCTGATGATGAGAAGATGAGGGTTGTGGCATTTGACAATGAACTCGGGATTTACTTCCTTATATACTCTTGTTATTCCTATACGATGAGTCTACAAATATCAGGATGGCGGGAAAGACTGACTGGAATGGCGATGACATTAACGTGAAACGCGGTTAACACGTCCCACGACGATCGTGAATAGTCACAAAGGCGTTCAGCGTCATACTTGGTGGCGGGAGTGTGTCAAGAGCCAGACCAGGAGCCAGTGGCTGTCGAGATCGCACATTCCAATTCCCAAAGGGGCAATCCGGAGCGGATCCAGGACCGTGTGGAAGCCATGATTGCCTCATTGAGGTATGTTAGCGCGTTTTCAGCATTCCAGAGCATGGTGGTCGGCCTCTTAGACGGGGTTGTGCCTGCTGGATCGACGGCTGGTTGTGTCAGTCGCTGGGTGGATTCTGATTGAGGAATTGATGGAAATTGATAGGTGAAAAATATCATTCGTGCAGTTATTCTGGAAGAGTCTTCATTGATTGGTGCTGGATTGAGCTATAAAATGCGATTGCTTCGATCATCACTCTGATTATGACAGGAATGAAAAATATTCACCAGATGCATGGCAGTGTGATACATGGACCCAGACGTCGCATTCCATTCGTGGGATCAAAGACCTGGAAAGCTTCCAAACTGATGATGTAAATCACTTCCGCTTCTTCTTCTCCTCATTCGCAGTCATAAGCGGCTTGTATTTAAGAATCGACTCGCCGGTCTCAAAAGTAGTCAGAGTATTCGACCGTCTGCCTCTCCCCTTCAAATTGGTCTGGATCTTTCGATCAATCTCCGCCAGATCTCCTTCCGAGTTAATCGAGCTAAGCGCCTTCAAAGAAGGAGCACCACCAGGGCCATTGGACCTGCTGCGACTGCGTTCCCGACTGGATGGCTCACTGGGTGGCATGCTCTTGAGGTAAGACTGATAAGCGTCGTGTTTGTAAGAGTCCGTAGGAATCTCGGCATCGACGTCCGGCATAATGCCGAAACCAAGATCATTGATTGTCTGAGTGACCCGTTCTGACAGCGCCTCTCGGTGTTGTCTCAGGTCGATCAGGAACGAAGAAGAAAGTGGGTTCAAAGCGACCAGAAGCGGGGGAAGAGATTTGATGATGTCCATCCCAACTTCGCCAAATCGGAGTGCCGCATAGCTGACGAAACCCATGTGGGCGTAGAAGCACACAGCGAAAATCCACAATGGAACAAAATCGGGAACATATGTTCTTGCCACCATCCACCAGGGAACGGAATTCGTATAGTAGCCATCATTGCGGTTATAGCGAAGCCAGGCTGTCACAATGATGGTATAGTAGACGTAAAGAGTGGGTGCCAGCCCCATAGCAACGAGAATCTTCCAAGTCCCGACGACATCGTGTCCTTGCAGTTTGACCACTGAAGCAGCAAGTGCCTTGCGTCGTTTCTTTTCCGAGATGACCTTGGTCGTGACAAAGACAGGCCAGAAGAGCAGTACTCCTGGCAAGACTCCGAAACTGAGAACGAGGAGCTTGCATAGGCGGTAGAACAGGGTGATCAGTGTGAGCCACCATGGTTTCTCCTCGATATTGCCCCATTCAACTTGGTGATCTCTGATACCTAGCGATTCCAAGCGTCGATTGTACTCTTTCACCATCTTTTTTAGACCCTTGACTCTGGGATCATCCTGGTGTTTGGTGTATCCTTTCAGGAGTCTCCGATTGAATTCAATCACCAGGGGAAGCGGGATTTTCTTGCTGATAGGGTTGTAAAGCTTTCTAGTGGATTGCACCAAGATGAGGGTCTCGTGATCCGGGCTGATCTGTGTGACAGATTCGAGGCCCTCATAAATCGTTTCGAGCAGAGAGCCAACGGCATTACGCTTACTAGCGCCACCAGCCTTAAAGGCAGCAACCTGATCGGGATGCACATGGATGGGCCGGCCAAACTCAATGACACCACGCGACCGGAACTTGTGGGCATGGAAATAGTTCATACCACAAGGGATGATAGACAGGCCACACTCCGGATCCCGGGCCAGAGCGCCGAGTGACATCAGCGCAGCACCCGCCTTCAAGGGCAACAAGTTGGAGCGATCGTGGGAACCACCCTCTGGGAAGATGCCAATGCAGCCTCCCGAGGACAGCTCCTTGTACACGGCGTCAAACATCTGGCTTTGATCAACATGAGGAGCAACCTTGAACCGCGTGCCTTTACGGCCCGGATCATCCGAAAGCCGAGAGTTGAACGGCTTCTTGAGCCGAAGGGAAGTCGGCCCGAGAATTTCATCAATTGAAGCAGTTTCCGGTGCATCCTTGCCTTTGATCGTGAGCGAACCACTAGGCGTAAATTCAGGTTGCGTGAAATCGGTATCGACGCCATGAATAAGAGCCGGATCACTCTCGGGATCGGGTTGATAGATGGTTCCCTTGCCAGGCTTGGTCAGATCCATCGATCGGACAACTGGGAGAGCGCCCATGCATGATGCCAGAGTCCCGATATAGGGCTCATTCATAGATTTCTGCGCGATCAGGAAGGACACGCGTCGCTTAGCCTGCGACTTCAGCAGGTGCATCAAAATCGCCGAGTCGACGAATTGATTAGCATGAGGGGCAGCGACAATCAGCACAGGACCTCTTTCAGGGATTCTCCAAGCTCCACGAGGGTAGATCTCGCGGAAAAAGAGGTCCAGGGCCCAGGTGAAGAGCCACAGGACGAGGTCGTACAGCCAAGGGATCATCCGGCGGGCCGCCATGATCGGCGCGTGGAGACCTGGGGAATTAGAAGGAGCTGAATCAACACACAATAACGGTCATGCAGGGAAAGCCGGTGAGGAAGTGGAGATGCATGCGAGATGTGGCGCCGACGTTGGGAAGCTGAAAAAGAAATTGGTGCGGGCTGAGAAAAATGGAGGGGCGGGGAAAAGACAAGAGAAGCGCGTTGGGCGGGTAAATTTAACTACGACCATCATCAATCATATCACAATCAATAACTAGAGAATTGGCAACAACCAACTGGTTTATGTCTAACTCCAACTCCTACCAGGCAAAGAAAATGCAGCAATTGTGGCACTAAGGGATATTTGTCATGGATTATAACTGAGATACATGATAATTTGAAAACAGGGATGTGGGAAGAATCATATCTTCCTCCAGCGCCAAATACGAAAGTACAAAGCCTCTCTCATTTCATATTTCATACGCCCGACCATGCGGCCTTAAACGCACGTACTTAATAGCCCTCAGGCCCATCGGACTCCTCACCACCGTCAGAAACCTGAGGGCCATTAGTGAAACCAGGACCACCGGGGAAGCCAAAGCATTCGAGCCTGAATGAGACATAGCCAGGGTCGAGGATGTCGGGCAGGCACTGGCCCTGCACGACAGGCTCCCCATCGAAGGGCAGGAAGGAGACAGGCTCGCCAGAGCAGTCATCGTTGTTCCAGATAGTGACGCCAGAGCACAGGAGAGCGTCTTTGGTGTCGAGGTATGCCTTGAAGGCGTAGTTGTCGATGCTCCAGTCGCGGTTGACGGTCGCCTTGTCGCAAGTTACTGGAGTTGCGGTCACAGCGGCCTTGAACTTGGGCTCGCCCAAGGCTGGTGCGCCAACGGGGCAGGTCTCCCATGATTGAAACTCAACGCTGGCGACGGGGAAAGCTGCACAGGCGGGCAGGACGAGGAGCGCTGCGGAGGCGAGGGTCTGTCGCGTTGAGTCAGTTTCTTTCTAGACTGCGCGTGTAGTCAATTATCAGCCGGTCGCTCACCTTTGAGAAATGCATATTGCTGACAGGTTAATTGATATTTCTGCGGGCGTGGTTGTCGTAAAGCCGGTAATCGTCGAGTGTCGTCGGGATGGCAAAAGGAGTGAATGCGTCGAACCGGCGAAGTATGAAGTCGCGTCTCATGGCATTTAAATAGGTCCTCCTAGGAATAGCGACACGCGCTGATCATTCAATTGAGTAAACATGGCCATTGCCCTGTAGAAACGCAGGACCGCGAGTGTGTGGAATGCAGGAGCCTTGAGATGGTCATGACCAAGGCACACCGATTCCGAGGACATTGGCACATTGGCGAAGTGGGCTGCGGAAGGGCTGGAATGCGACGATCAGAAAAAAGACACAGAGTATCCTAGCCTAGCAAGGTCTGTTGCTCTGTCCTGGAATGGGCTAAAAAGCGATGATTGAAGGGTCAGGTACCAACAGAGAGACCCGTGCATCCCTGGAGGACGCTTCTTTGATCTACCAACGTCGTACCGGGCATACTCTGCGACGGTCTCCATCTTGGCCCTGCTTAGAAAGTTCAAAACAAAGAAATTGCTGTTGGTTATAGCTGTATAGCACTCTAGGTCGATCTGATCTGCGGAAAGTGCAGACAAGATGGATATTTATCTATGGAAATCCTTCACTCTGAAAGTAAAAGGGGGTTCGGTTCGTTGGCCGTAACCCTTGCGATTAACCTGGCGCCGCCACTACCGTAATGTGAAACGAGCCTATTGATCTTTATTCAACTCTATTCATAGTCTATTGACTTCTCTTTGAACATGCTTAATTGAATCTCTCTGTATTTACTCCCAACGGCATCGTCGCATCGACAAAAATCCACTCCAGCTCTATAGATACACAGCAGTGGCACGATGTCGGCCCGCGAAAAGACCAACGCTTTTAATCCAACAATAATCAAGACCTATTGGGGATGAAGCTCACGGATCATGGCCCACATGGTAAATTCCTCGAGTGAATCCCAGAAACCCTTGGGACACTTTCGGCTACCCACAGTCTTGAATCCCTGCTTGAGCCAATAGTCCCCAGCATTTTCTTTCGACACCCGAATCATAATCCTCACAGGCCTTTCACCATCAGCTTCATGTTTCCGACGTCGCAAAATCTCCTCTTCACACGCCTTCACCAGCCGCCCGGCGATACCTTTCCCGCGGAAACGGGGATCTGGTGGAAGTGCCACCACGGAAAGCTCATAGTCCCCCGGACAGGCGTAGTGCTGAAGAATCTGCTCCATTTCACTGTTGATTTTCTCTTTCGTGGGATCCTGGCTAGCATCGTCGTGGTCGAGGGGGTTCCAGAGCCCATCATCTTTCCAGGGCTTCATGCTTGCGGTGCCGATGACTTGGGCTTTTTCGTCTGTGTCACCGGAGACAAACGCCACAGCTGTGAAACCGTCTGCACCCAGTTCTTCGGAGAGTTCGCTGTCGGTCCGAAGTCTAACTTTGTTTTCGAGGTACTTGATCTTGTTGGTGTGGCTGACCATATAGCTTGCGTTGATCATGCGGGTGAGATCCGGTAGCCATGGCTGTGAGAGGAGTTCAGTCGATGTGAACAGCCCAGTGTGGATTATTGGGCCGGAGTCCATGTTGAAGTGCGTGAGTGCAACAGTTGTGCAGGTAATTTCAATACACTGAGCTTCCTGGTGCTTCAGGATTTAGATCAACGAGGGTTGGATAGAGAATTTTTGAAGATTGAATTGAATTTCGCTTGGCGACAAATAATTTGTTGGCGGGGCTGCTGTAATCATAATATGAGTCACGGAAACTACCTGAACCCGCCACCGTGAGGCTCCCCCAGCGGATTCGTATTGTTCGCCTATGTGGGTCTTGTAGACCCTCTTTTGAAAAATCCGGGGAGGACAACTTCATATGATCGAGGCTATATATGTAGTTGAAGTCAGGTGCCAGAGCCGTGGCATATTTTACGCAGAAAGATCATCAAATGCTGACGATATACTTCTAAATGCTTCATACACGAAGAGTGTTACAAACCCAGACTGTCGTAGATCTCTCCTTTCTCCGACCATCCGTTGCTCCACTAATTAAGTCCCAAACAGTCTCGATTTTGGAGCGGAAAGCTTTCCCAACTCGATAGCAAGCCTTCTTCCCATTGGATCTTGGGCCACACGCTCCTCAGTAATTGAAATGCATCCCCAGAGAAGCGAAGAGACTCCAAGGTAGTGAGATGCGTCCACAAATACACTCGTGCAGTTCTCCCAGTTTCTTTGATCTCGATTTGGTGGCCATCCGGAAGAAAATATCGAGTGACCAGGAAGGATCGACTGAGTTGTTGAAGGACACTCAATTCAAATTCCCTGAAATATGCAGTGCCAACCGGCAGTACACGTAGATTTCTTAGTCGCTTTGAATGTTGATTCGAGAAAACGACATCCCAGATGGATTCCTTAAGTTTTCGTCAATGGCTGCGTTTATGAAAGCCTCCTTGAGAGTTGAATCATGGGAGTCAGCAGCTCGAGGGGGTGCCAGGATTCTAGGGTCGTAAAACGTTTCCAGGATGAGAGTGTGAAGGTGCGAGAATTTCCCTAATTCTTTGTATATTTCGCGCTCTTGGGCTGCCCCCTTGGCGTTTGATAGGAAGATAGAGCTCCTGTAGATTAGGGCACATATCGGCGATCTCAGCAACATTCTCACCAGTTAAGACCGGGTACCTATAGCCCATGTCGTTCGGGGATGGTCCTAAGCGTGGATACGGATCCGATTGAATCATAATTCCTCTCAATGTAGGCCCATGCTGTAAAGTATTCGTCGAAGCGACGAAAAGCTGCGCAGACCACGTAGTGAGATGTACCGAAGCGGGTTCAGTTCAAACACGATGGACACCATATCCTCGTCATCCCTGCTGATACCCTCTTCGTGCCTTTTCTTTGGATGCATGTCAAAGAAAAATCGTTCCAAGTTGGGCATTATTGACGCTGCATTCATAAGCAGGTGAGGGTTTTGGTATACACGATTTAAGCCTCGAAAGATCAACCAGGTCAGCTAGATCGTGAATGATGTCCTCCCATGGCATCATAGGTCCCCTATTTTAATTAAAGAGATGGTAAAGTGACAGCACATTAGCTCTTCCTTCGAGAAATCGCTCCTGCCATTGTTTCTTCAATCGCGTCAAATCCCTCACTTGGTGTGTTTGATGTTGAAACGAAAGATGTAGTATGAGATTTGGAGCAGAAAAAATCAATAGGAATGTTTCTGTAAAATGGAGCCATTCCTCTCGTTGAGCTGAGTTCTTGGTCATCATATGGTTCACACAGGGAGTGCGCAGACGTGAGGAGCAGAGAGCATCCAGCGCGAATGGACCTTCAAGTTTGGGAGCATCGAAACGTTGATCAAGGAGCTGTGCCAGTTCGAGACTCAGTGACTGATGCGTCCAGATGTTCAATCGACACAACGGTTGATACTGGCGTAGGGCTTGATGCAGCACAGAGGGAAACATGTTTTAGACCAGATAGTTCAGTTCGGCACGGTGCTCAATTTTGGCGAGCAGAGAGATCAGGGACTCCCACTCTGGTCGAGTATACCACCAAATGCCGTCTAAAAACCGAACCCGTGGATTATGAATACTGGCTAATCGGTGTTCAAGAAAAGTGTCAAGAGCTGCTGGTGGTGCATAGTCGGCATAATCGATTTTTTTGCCTTCAGCGGACCATGTGGCCTGCCACACCCCTGCCTCAAAGGTGTACGGGATAGGCAAATTATGTCAAGTCTTCGGGCGTATTTCTGGCAGAGGTATGACCCCGCCCCTTCTGTTACCTTTGCAATTTCCTTTACGAGCCCCATATCGCCACAGAATTGGACTCGCAAAGCTTCATAGATGAGAGAGAAGAGGTCAGCCCGTGACTGCGATTTGGCCTTAACTCTGTCAGCACACCTGCATAACGATAAGGGAACTAATGGACTAATTACTATTTCACCGATCAACAGTTTGATCTCGAACGGTAAAGCATCCATATTAGAAACCAGTTTTGATGTTTTGGAGGGGAGATTGATGGCGACGATGAGAAAAGACGAAGATAGGGGACAGAAAAGAAGGGTCGTAGCGAGGGAAATGATCATTCACGGTGGCTGTTGGGCCAAGACACTCGAAGCCTTTAGTGGTATGTATGTAAAATATCGGTATTATTAGTACTGTTTTTGTCGTGTGGTGGCGGGCTGTGGCGGCTAATCTCATTTCTAAGACATTTAAAACTGGTATTATTGTATGTTTCTGTTCTTCCAAATAACCATCTCAGCTTTCCTCCACACCCCATTGTCCCTTCTCTATTTAAATCACGTACTAGGAAGAAGTTAGCTCAGCCACGACATCAACACCGACCTTGAGATATACTCACCGGAATGAAAAGGTAAGGAACCTGTTTCTCATACTGCTTCCAAGCCTCACCGTACTTGGTCCTGCATTTGTGAATATCCCGCATCGCTCGGTGAGCAATCATCACGCTGAAAAACACTGGATAGAACCAAGGGAATGGGCTATTGAAGCCGGTGATCAAACCCCAGGAAATGGCAAAGAACATGTCACAGGAATAGTGAACTTTGCGCGCCAGTCCATACCATCCATCTGCCAAAATGGTATCCCCGTTCTCACCCACAATCGTCTTCGGATTGTGAAGCTCTTGCCAGGGCAGTTGGGGGAAGGTGTGTCGCTTCACCCATGTGCCACGTTCCATCATGCGGAAGACGTTCTTCTGGCTGTTGGCCGAGTCCCAGACCCAGTACACGAAGAGATAGGAAACGAATAGTGCGGTGAGCGCGTACTTATTCCAAGCATATGTTGAAGGGTGGTGGTTTGCCAGGTACAGAGTGCAGTGGCAATATGACATGGGAACACCCGCCATATTCCAGAATGTTAACATGAAACCAAGCTTCTCTTGATACATGTCCCAGGTTGTCGTAATTAGATGTTCTGCCTTGGAGCAAGCATTGGCATAGGTGTAGTGGGCCATGACAAGGAACAGCACCTCTCCTGAGACATATCCATACTGCTCATACTGGCGAGTTGCTGCTGCACAGCTTAGACCGAACATCATAAACCATGGAATCCGCACTTCATAGAACATCTTGAAGTCGAGAATACCGAACAGACGAGGGTTCAGTTCAGCACCCATAAAAAAGTCATAGATAGGATAGCCAGTGATCCGGTGCTGAGCACCACGAGCAAAAGCAGAGACATAAGTAACAAAGCTGGCGAGGAAGCCAGAGATGATAGCCACGGACATCAAGGGACCGAATTCGTCCAGGAAGGTGTAAATTGGGAACAATCCGGAGCCATGCAGAATAGCCATGACCACAATAGTGAAGTAGAAGCTGGTATAGGCAGAGCAGTGATACTTCAACTGTTTCCCACCCAAATGAAGAAGAGGTTTACCATAGCAGGTAAACCCAGGTAGGAGGACGTAGCAAGCAGCTTCAAAGATAAAGTAGGTCCAGTAAATGCGCCACGCCCGAAGATGAGGGAATGCGCCTGTGTAGACCAGATGGCCCAAGTGCCTACCAAAATCAAGCCACGACTGACCAGCTTCAGGTAAAGGCAGCTTGCCATCGTAGTATGTAGCGCCGATCCACATATACCACATCAAGAGAGGGAAGCCTATCATCAGGCCAAGACACCCTAGAGAGCCGCCAAATTCAAAGTGGCCCGAGTAATCGACTCGAGGATCCATACCTGGTCGCCATCCACCGATAATGTGTTCCTTTGAAAAATCAATTGCAGACTTATTGGTGTTCTCGGTCTGCTTGGTGGTAGACTTGTTGTCCTCGACCCGCTTTCGAGGGTGAACCCCGTTGGTTGCAGCCATATTGTCGCCGTGCAGCGGAAGGGACAGAGACAGAAAAGCTTTCAATTTCTTTGGGGTCAATGCCCCTGAATAACGGGGGATACCTCATGTTTAAATATGTTCAAGAATCCCTGTAAAGCTGGACTTTGGGGGTATGTATCAGTCCGTGGCCGCTGAGACTAAGCCGAGACTTATTGGTTGGATCGTTTAAAAAGTGGATCATCTCACCTGTGAGGCTGCGCCCAGGCAGGCACAGATCAAAAACAGACTAGACTCCGATTAGACCATCGAGGATTGCCTCATTGGGTATAGTATATTTATGTACAAATGGACGAATCACAGGTCCGAGATGTCTCCTGAACTACATATGAACAGTCAACAGGGTACAATTGCTCTCATCTGGGACTGTAATTCTTCACTTACTAATGCCAAAATCACCTATTAATAGAAAGCTCGCTATGAACGCTGCATGATTTCAACGTTGCAAGGAGCCTAATAATTCATAAATTGAGTACATAATCAGATCGCTGTACGGAGTAGTTAGTTGTAGTTCATAGATCTAGCAAGAGGTCATGTGATCTTATCAGTCACCCCAGCTTCCGGTGCTTATCAATCATCGCCTCCTTCGATGTTCACTTCCCCATGACGCATCGCTGGACCGATGAATTACCAGACCCTCAATATGGCAGGTGATGCCTCCTCATTACGGCCGGAGGCTGCAGAAAGACCACCTTCGCCTGGCCAGGTCGCTGATCCCAGCGACAACGTCACAGTGCCGAGCTCCAAACGAGCACCAACTACCTCCGCTCAGAGCTTCACACCCCGCTCACTAGCCGTCGGTCTGATTATTGGCGCCCTGATCACCTTCTCCAATACCTACTTCGGCCTCCAGACAGGATGGATCAGTACTATGGCCATGCCGTCGGCCTTGATTGGCTTCTCGGTCTTCAAAGTCTTGACCAAGTACCTGTCTTTCCCGTTTACTCCGATCGAGAACGTCCTAATTCAGACTGTGGCCGGAGCGGTGGGGACTATGCCGTTGGGTTGCGGATTCGTTGGTGTGATTCCCGCCTTGGAATTCCTGCTTAAGGACGGCGAGGATGGGCCGAAGGGCGATGGCGGGGAGGGTGAGGGCGGCCCGCTCAAATTGGGTTTTTGGAAATTGGTGGTTTGGAGTCTTGGGGTTTGTTTGTTCGGTGTCGTCTTTGCTGTACCGCTACGGAAAGAAGTCATTGTGCGTGAGAAGCTGCGATTTCCAAGTGGTACTGCTTCTGCATTGATGCTGCGGGTCCTACATGGCGCCGGAAAAGACGAGAAGACGCCCATGGATGCCCAGGGTCGCTCGAGTGGACTAGGCGAGGCCACCGTGAACAGCCATCAATCTCAAGAAGACGAACAGCAGGGTCTATTGTTGAAAGATGCAGACACCGAAGACCAGTCATTGGATAAGAAAGACTGGCGATCAAAGATGCGTCTTTTGATTGGTGCTTTCGTGGTGTCTGGTATATATGTGAGGCTTTCTTCCCAACCGCAGTACAGAATAGATATGACTAACAATTACAGACCCTTTTCTCATATTTCGTCCCTCTAGTTCGTGATATCCCTTTGTTCGGGTTGGGACTGGCCCATAATTGGCTATGGACTCTCAATCCCTCACCCGCGTATATCGGCCAGGGTATCATCATGGGCCCATCAACCTGCATGCACATGCTTTTCGGAGCAGTGCTGGGTTGGGGAATCCTTTCCCCACTGGCTAAGGCTCGCGGCTGGGCCCCAGGGCCTGTGGATAGTTGGGACGATGGGAGCAAGGCATGGATTGTCTGGATCTCTTTGGCCATCATGCTTGCAGACTCACTCGTCAGCCTCGGATGGCTGGTCCTCAAGCCGATTGTTAGCCGAGCTCCCAGGTGGATCGCTTTCCTCCGATCTACTCGTGCTGGACAATGGATTGCAGTACGACTGGAGTCATCAGGCTCACACGAGCACTCATATATCAATTATTCCGCACTGGATTCTGGTAACCATCAACTCGGCCATGAAAATTTGGACGGTGTTCATGTGCAGGTCACGACAGATACGGACGAAGACGAAGATGCGCCTCCTGACCAGCTTATCTCTACCCGCACGGTGGTGATTCTACTTCCTTTAACTCTGATCTTGAACGTCATCTGCATGCATTATGTCTTCGGTGACATAATTTCTCCATGGCTGTCCAGCCTGGCTACAATACTTGCAGTCCTCCTTTCTATCATGGGAGTGCGTGCGCTTGGCGAGACCGATCTCAACCCGGTTTCAGGCATCAGCAAGCTCACTCAACTACTTTTCTCACTCGCAACGCCAGCCTCACACTTCTCCCGCCGAACAGCCTTAGTCACAAATCTCCTTGCTGGCGCTGTGTCCGAATCCGGTGCCCTACAAGCCGGCGACATGATGCAAGATCTCAAAACCGGCCATCTCCTCGGTGCAAGCCCCAAAGCCCAATTCTACGGCCAAATAATCGGCAGTCTTGTCGGTGCCGTACTCTCAACAGCCGTGTACAAAATGTACGTCAACGTCTACGAAATTCCAGGAGAAATGTTCCAGACACCCACCGCCTACGTCTGGATCTTCACAGCTCGCCTCGTCACGGGCGAGGGTCTACCAAACATGGCATGGCAAGTATCCGTCATCGCAGGCCTTATCTGGGCCATTCTCACAGCCGTGCGAATCACAGCCGCATCGCCTGCCTTCGCACCTAACGGTCAACCCCCAGCCTGGCGAAACTGGATTCCCGGCGGTATCGCCGTGGCAGTTGGTATTTTCAACGTCCCATCTTTCACACTGGCTAGAGCCATCGGCGGCATGATTGCATGGTGGTGGGCACGGAAGCACGCCCTCCCTACCCGCCGGCCTAGCTCTAGTGATATCGCGGATGGAATTAATTCTTCTTCTGCGGATGGGCCTTCGGCGTTACAATCTGGGCAAGGTGATACTTCCTCGGCGGAAGAGGCGACCGCCAAGGCAGATGCGGCTTCTTCGACTGTCGTTGTCCTGGCGTCTGGTCTCATTCTTGGTGAGGGAATTATGAGTATTGTGAACCTTCTTCTTGCAAGTGGTCGGGTTCCACATCTATAGAAGGGATGGATGTACAGTGAAGGTATGAAGGTGCAAACCGCATTTCGGTTTCAATAAAATTTCGGGTCTCTGCGTTTGCTGCTTATAGATGATTTATGATTTTGATTCGGGGCTTTTTTTTGTTTATACATTCTACTGACATTATCACTAGACGCCTCTGGGCACATGCATATCACTCACGTCACGTTAGTAAACCTTGCAAAATCAAGCCACTCGTCTAAATTGGAATAGGTCATAATAGGGAATAATAAATTTAGATATCTAAGTACGAATTCACATGATGTCCACCGCTATCACGAAAAAAAAAAAAAAAATGGAAAAAAATGGAGAAAAACGTAACTTGATACAGGTGTTCAGAGTATCCAACTCGTTTACCGATTCATACATATTCAGAGTCAATATCCATCCGTCCGTAAGAATGATAATCAGACAGAAAGCTAGCAGCTTTCCATCATAGAAGAAAAATAATAAGTCAAAGCAAAGTGAATAGATAGATAGGAAAGGGGAAAACAAATCAGGTAAAGATAACACGCAGCCAAAGTAGACGGGCGACAGCTCGCGCCGAAGCAGGTCAAAGATAGGCGCTCAAGACATGAATATGGTAAAGGATGTTTCAGATAAAGCTGCAAGCAAGCCAGAGAGAAGATCCCGAAGGGGGGTATGTAAAAGGACAGACAGATGGGTTTTTCATCACGGACGTAGAGATCGAGGGGTTGAGTTGTGCTAGACAGGCCGGTAGGCTCATTTTCCACCCAGCGGGACACATTGTAAAAGCGCGGATCAACAGATCAGGGTATATGTTGAAGAGGTGCAGATTAAGCGTCCTGAGCGGGGACGGGCTTTCTGTTGATCTGAGATCCTGTTGGCGAGGTAGGCGCCGAAGGTGGAAGAGCGGGCAGATCACTTGTCGGAGCTGGGCCGGGGGCCTCGGCTGCAACTAGCGGGCTAGACTTCGGGGGAGCAACACCGCCGACGGCGGGCGGGGAGATGTTGCCTGCGCTGTTACTGCGCTGCCGCTGGTTGACGGGCATCATGGGCCGTTGCATGCCTCCGGGGCCATAGGGACCTGGGCTCATAGATCGAGGACCAGGGCCTGGGCGGGCACTGGGACCGGGAGACATAGAACGGGGGCCAGGCGACATAGAACGGGGGCCAGGCGACATAGCACGGGGGCCAGGAGACATGGAACGAGGGCCTGGGGACATCGAGCGAGGCACGGGAGGGAATGCAGCCGCGGGCGACATTGAACGGCCGGGATAAGGTGCTCGGGGCGGGCCCTGGTAAGGAGGACCAACGGGGGACTGAGGACGACCACCCTGCGGGCCGGGGTAGAAGCGACCAGGAGGAGGCGGGCCTGGCATGCGTCCGTTAGGGCCCATTGGTGGTGGTGGCCCACGAGGAGCGGGGCCAGGGCCAGCTCCAGGAGGTGGACGAGGGCGAGGCTTCACTGGACGCGCAGACAAGCAGGAGCGAGGAGCAACACCTTGCTGCGAACGATCCAGGCGAACACACAGGGCCTAGAAGAAGATTAGCACTCATGTCACTTTTCATAGTTATAAGCAGATTTAGCACTTACCCATCCGTCGTCATACTCGTGAAGCATCCGAACCAGAGCACCGGATCGAAGCTCCAGTTCGTCCTCTGCTGAGGGACTGAAGTCCATTTGCACACGGTGAACATTGTTCGGTCCGGGAGCTCCACCAGCCGCGGCAGCAGCAGCAGCAGCACCGCCAGCAGCAGCGCCAACAGCGGCTCCACCAGCGATAGCCAGGACCTCGGATGATACCGACTCGCCATCAGCACTAACACGGTTGTGCGAAGAGTTACCAGGGATTGCTGCACCTGATTCTTGCGAGCCAGGGCGGCTGGGCTGTTCCTTATCAGATTCATGCGACGCGACAGCAGCGGCACCGACAGCGCCAGCAGCAACAGCAGCTCCAGCAGCAGTTGCTGCAATCGCAGCCTCAGAGGGTCCGGCAGCCGACGCTGAAGGTGATGCCTGTTCAGCCACCGAAGCAGCAGGGCTGAAGGGATTCACTGGGTCACTGAACGGGTTCTGGTTGCTGGAACTAGACTTGGGCGGAGTTGGAGGCGGCGAGTTGCCAGTCAGGTTACGCGAGGCGACAGCTGCACCAACAGCGCCAGCACCAAGACCACCGGCTGCGACGGCAGTAGCTGGGTTGAAGCCTCCACTGCCGCTCAGGTCAGGCGCAAACTGAGTGATGGGACGCACACTGAGCTGAGGAGGCGTTGAAGGAGTCGAGGGCTTCATGGGAGGAGGAGGCGGGAGAGGGAATGCCTCCTTCTCATGCTGGATCTCCTCTGGTTCCTGGTTGCGCTTCTTCTTGCGAATCAAGAAGAAGATAAGGGCTGCAAGCACACCGATACCAAGGATGACTCCAATTGCGACACCAGCCTTAGCACCGCCGGACATTCCTGACGAGACGCTAGTAGCCGTGGGCGATGAAGAAGCCGCGGAGTCGGTGGACGTTGCGCTTGGTGTCGCCGCAAGACGGTTCACATCCTGGCTGCTCTCGGCGGTGGTCGAAGAGGCCGAAGTTACAAATGAGGATGGGCTCTGGGTTGTGTCGGATTGGGTAGTAGTAGCCGACGACTGCTCGGTAGTCGTGGTCGCATTATTTGCCTTGGTCTTTTCCGTGGTCGTGCTGGACTTCTCCTTGGTAGTTGCCGCAGTCGCTTTCGTTGTTTCAGCGGTGGTCTTCGTGACGCCCAGAGCTGGGCCGACACCAACATTGTTGGTCTTGGTGGTGCTGGTGGAAGTCGAAAGGGCAGTAGGTTTGCCGTTTGCTCCCAGAACCTCCGTCACATAGCCTCCAATGGCACCTTCAAAGTCCGCGGAAAGTGTCTTGTAGACCACAACGAACGGGTTGTCGCGCCCCACGAGGGAGGGATCCTCATTGGCGATTATCTCGTCGAAAGCCCGCGCCTCCAGAGGGCGGTGCTGCATATGATAAAGTGCATGCCCGTGCACCATGTTGAGTGACCGTAACGATTCTCAAGATGGCGACGGGATTAGGAACCTAGAGGTTGTAGATGCGAAACGATAATCGCTCCAGAAAAGAGAAAATGGTCGCTTCGGTCCAGACCCGAATTCCAACGCGAGTCGGGGGAGATAATCAGAGAATCGCGTCTCTTCGTGGTGCACACTCGCGCGCTGAGGAATGTGGATAGAAAGAATGGACGACTGAGAGATCGAGCGCCGCCGATAACCAGTCGGGGTTGGGGAAAGAAAAGAAGGGACAACGACTTCCAGGCCGTAGAGGGTGAAAAGAGTGTAGCGGGTGAAAAGGAAGGAGAGAAAGGTAAAGCCTCAAAAGTGAAGGAGTCACCAGAGTCCGTACACAAGGCCAGCCTGTGGGAAGTAAGCAAAGGGTCCTTGGTTTACTCCCAACGACGAGCCGAACGAACGGAACTGGAAATGAGAGATGGTAACTGGAGGGACCCTGACCCAGTCTTGTTCGGTAAGGGAGGCGGTGAACTAGCCTCTTTGGGCAATGATCCTTAACTGATGCTGCTTCCTATTGGCTGATATAATACCGTTCCTGGTCATGCGCAAACGCCAAATGACACCAATACGAGGCTGGTGGTCCGATCGCAACCAAGAAAAGAGAAGGAAAACAATACGAGAAACTTTACACAAATGATCTCCTGAAAATTGAGGCTGGTAGAATTTGTCTTCTATGAGTTATTCACCCAGTCCCTCTTCTCTTCTCTTTATCCCCCCCCAACCCACAATGTCTATCATTGCATCACGAAATGTGCACCCACCACCACTACCACCACCGAGGCTGCCAGCCTTAGCGCCGGCTTGAGTGGCCCCCAAACGTGGTTGGTCCTTCGCTAAGAACCCTGCAACGCGGGGCACAGACTCCATCGTCCAGTCTGGCTGTTTCACGTCCTTCAGCCCTCGATGCTCATTGCCCAATTGTATCCTGGCGCAATTTCCGGACCACCCGGATACCCTTTGCGTCCTGAAAAGGTGCCTGAATGCGCAAATCACACCAGTTCATGCTCCCTCGTTTGCAATCTGATTGATCCCTCGGCCTTAACATAAATGCTGGTTCCTGGCGAATCTCCAATGAGAGAGTTTGAAAATGACGATTGATTGCTATTCTTAGGGTCCTGGACGTGTTGTTTGCTGTTTGTGTGGTTGGGCTCTCCCAAATCGGTATGGTCCGGTCCACCTTGCTTTCCGCAATATGTACATAACGCCCTGGACTTCATCTATGATCTATGCCGTATAAAGGCTCCATGTCACCGTCATGCCCCTCGAAATATATTGGGCCGTCCCCATCGTTGCATTCTGGGCGGCGATGGTGCTGACACTGCCACGCTTTTCCCGAGATGGCACGGCTCCTGATTGCTAGGTACGGGCCACACTCTGTCCTGTACTATGTGGCTGAAGCCCACAGTTGTGTGGCAACCGTCTGCATTTTGAGATTAAACGGTGGAGAAATACGGATGTCGGAGGGCCTGGCATCATTAGAGTCCGACTCTGCATGACATAACATCCTTCTCGCGGTCACTTACCTCGTCCGCGGAAAGTCGCTCACTACTCTGGTAGCGGAGTAAGCGACGGGCCAGATCGCGGCCATTGGAGGAAACAGCTGGCAGGATATCCTCCCAGGGTCGTGCCAGGACGGTGTAGAATTCTACCTTGCCCCAGTCTGGCAGAACATGGACGTCCTGTACTCGCAATTAGCCCCGAACACCGAGAACTCGTCCCACTAAACTGTCAGATATCTTACCGGCCAGGTTGTTTCATCTGGAGTTCCCAGAGTGCTGAAAATGGAGTGGATGAGAGAGAGGTCACTTCCTACGGGCCCTGAATCAAACAGCTCGCCATGTCCCACGGCAATAGCTTCTGCCACCACACAACCAGCGGCCCAGAGGTCAAGAGACGTCCCGTATCCCTTGTATCCGAACAGAACCTCGGGAGCTCGGTAGCTAGTGGTCCCCACGTCGGTAATTTTCAAGTCACTTGGCTCGGATCCTGGGTCACCCTCTTTCCACGAAATTCCAAAGTCCGCCAAGTAGGCCGGTCCATCGGGCGAGTTCATCAGAATATTAGAGGGTTTGATATCTCGATGGATAATTCCTAATTTATGGATGTGCTCTAGAGCCTGGAACATGTCACGCAAGATAGATCGCGTCTGTGCGGCAGTGACCATGTCTCGCTGAAGCAAATGTGCAAAGTCATATCGCAGGAATGGGAAGACCAACACCATTCTACCTCCGTCCAAGTTGAAAGTCTCAACTAGAGGAATGACATGAGGGCTGGCCGCCTCGCGAAGCAGTCGTGCTTCGCGTTGGACATCGTGAGGTGCTGCCATCAGATGCGGAATAGTGATCTTCACGGCACGCACCGTACCGTCCTCGGCCTTGGATTTGTAGATCGTGGAGTGCAGGCCATCGAAATGATGGAAGCAGGAGGTATACCGTCCAAAGGTTTCCCCTACTGACGACTCTGGGGAAGCCTCTGGCTCTGTATCTGTCTCTCCAGAGACATCTTGCACTTGCTCTGAGCTGTTGATGACCAGTCTCACAGCTATAGCCTCGGCAGCATCAATTGCTTGCTGGCACATTCGGTCATATTCCTCCTATGATGGGATCAGTTTGCTGTTTCTCAAATCTCAAAAGTCTTTAAGACAGGCAACTGACCTTGGAGGTGGCCTGATCGTAGGCCTCAGTCTCATATCTTCTCGCCTCTGTTTGAGCCTCTGCAAAGGCCGCAGATGATGAAGTCTGCTGGTAGACCGTAGTGCTATACAACAAAGTTAGAGTCAATCAGGTTAGATCAAAACTTAAAAGACTGACAGGGACTGAATGGCCCTCAATCGGTCCGTAAACCCCAACTCACTCCTCCAATCCATGGCTAGCCTGTAGAGCTCTGATTGAAGCTCTGCGGGCTGGCCCCAAACAGATGACGATGATGTCATGTGACCCTGAAACGGCCCTTGTAACCAATAAAACAAAGTTACTTCACTCTGATTGGACACACACTGCCAAGACCCGTCACACCGCGTTCCCGGCCATCGTCATTCAATCCCCATGGCCGTCCTCGCTGATCGATCTCCAGCATTCAGACCAAACCCGCGATCATTGATCATCCCCGGCCAGGTGGTTGATCTGTCTTGTCAATCTCTGGGGCGCTGTGTCCTGGCTGATTATGCGCTCGATGCGCTGCACTGACAACTGCCAAATCTGAAACCATGGAGCTCTCCCGGCAGGAGTACCCGGCCTTGCTGGTATGATGGACTGACCCTCTGCGCTCGACTACCCCAGAGTGAGGACAACTGTATACTGACCGTGGGGGATTCTCTATCTGTCTAGGCTACTCTACACCCCAATCAAGCTTCGACTATCCTTAACGATCGCATCCGACTCATCAACAAGATCAATGCGGATATCGCGGACTTCCTGCAGGTACGATGACCTGTCCTCCGCCACCCCGGACACTCCCTTCACCACCCTATAACCACATTCCCCGGATTTGCGGGGTAGATTGTTGATTTGATAATTACAGGAGCGCCGTCGCGTTGAAGAGGCCTATGCCCAGAGCTTGCGGAAGTTGGCCAGTCGGCCACAATTGGACAATGGCGCTGCACTAGGGTAAGTAGGAACATGCATCCAGGACTACATCTGCCTCATCCAATGAGAGATTGCGACTCTAATGATCATACAGTATTTTCCAAATCCCGTGGCAGCGCATCATCAATGCCACCGAAGCACTCGCCGTGTCGCACGAGACCCTTGCGACCAAGATCGAGGAGGATGTAGAACGGCCCCTGCGAGAATACAGCAACAAGAATCGGGATATGCAGTCAATGCCTGGCATCCAGAGCAATCTGGCAGGGCTGGCCAAGAACATCGATACCGCGCAAAAGAAAGTGGATAAGGCCAAGGCCAAGGGCGCCAAGGGCGCAAGCAACCTTTCCAGTGCAATTGCTTCAGCAGAGGAAATGAATCAACAATGGGAGTCGCGTGCTCCCTTTGTCTATGAACAGCTGCAAGCTGCGGATGAAGGCCGTCTCAATCACCTGCGCGATGTCCTGACCCAGCTGGAGACCCATGAAGTGGACCAAGTTGAGCGTTGCCGACAAGCCGCTGAGAGCTGTTTGAACGTTCTCCTTAATGTGGAGACGGCAGATGAAATTAAGACCTTTGTAGCGAAGATGGCTGGCAACCGAACACCTTTGTCGCCCGTGACGTCGCGGCGACAAAACTCTCAGGCGGAGACTCCCCCTGCTGTTCCAGCGGCAGCCACACCTCCTCTAGCTGCTGCACCACTTGCACCACCTCCTCATATTCAGGATGATGCCGCTAGTCAGCGATCTGAGAGATCGGAGACTCCAGCTCCAGCCGCCGTGCAAACACCCCCAGGTAAGCCTACAACGAAAGATATCAAGCCCTGGAAACTATGGACTAACATCTTGTTCTCCGCTCATAGCTCCAGAGCCGGTTCCTCGACACACACCACTGGGTGGCCTGAGACGACTCGGCACAGTGATGAACCGAAGGAAGAGCGTGATTGGACCGACAGCTGGAAGCTTTGACCGAAAGGCAGAGAAGAAGCATCGGAGCCCATTCGCACCATTTAAGAGATCCGACTCCTCCAGAGAGATGCAAATCCCTGAATCTCCACCTTCGACTGCTGATAGGCCAGGAACGTCCTTCACTGAAGAATCTTCACTGCGGAATCCGAGTGTATCACAGGACCACAATGTCCCTGATACGATCGCGCCTGCGCCGATTGATCACCAGGAGCCATCCATTGCGAATGGGACTTCGGCAGAGGCCCAAGCTGGGCTAGTTAGCAACGGCACCGCTCAGGTACGCAGTGCAATCTTGGTATTTCTAAACACATTGAAACGGTTTATTAACTATTTCCGTAGGCCCACGTTGATTCTGATGGCTTCACTGAGCGACCTTCGACTGTAGATGAGATCACACGTGCCCAGAGAGAAGCAGCAGGGTATGTGACCAACCCTGATGAGGCAAAGGCCAGTTCTAACATGAAGAAACACAGCTTGGATGACTCTGGTGTGAACTTGACGATTCGTGACCAGCCTATCTTCGAAGATGAAAGCCAAGCTAAGAAGGCTATGGACGATATGGCAAACACCCTTCGGATGGTGAGTTCTCCCAAATCACGCCTACGTAAGAGCAGGATTGACTAAATATTATGGTATAGCGCGCCCCGCAGCCAGGCATTAGACGAAATGCAGGCACTATCCGAGGCCGGCGTGATGTTCGGAACACTGTCTTTGTCCCCAACTCTAGCACAGATATGACTGCCACATCAGCAGCATCTGATTTATACGGCCCATCTTCTCCTATCAGGCATGCTCCGTCTCCCAGTACCGCGACAGAGGACCATGCCATGTCGGATACTACATCGGTCCGCTCAGGATACACTATGCATGGAGCCGGAGCTAGCATTCATCCCGAGCTTCACGAGCCGGGCTTGAATGCATCCATTATTGAGACTGTCAGCGCATGGTTCTCAGAGGGCAACGTGGCCAAGTCATCTGTTGTGGGAGAACTTGCTCTCGCACACAACCCTACACCCGGTGCTCCCATAGAAAACGTGCGCATCCACCTTGATAACTTCCCAGTCCTGGAGAAGGTCGCCGCCAACCCACACTTTGTTCATGAAGCCAGCAAGGACGGTACAGATGAAAAGCGTGGCGAATACGACATCCACCTGGGCAGTATTTCGCGACCCATACCAACCGTCGCCTTCAAATACCAGGTGCACTTAGATCCGACCAACCCCTCGGCCTACTGCCCGGTCATCTTCAAGCCAGCCTGGAACCTGCAAGAGAACCAAGCAAGCGCAATCATCTTCTACTCCCTCAACCCCTCCTTTACCTCGGCCACCACCGGCTCAATCACCCTCAAGAATGTCGTCCTGACAGTCGGTCTGGACATTGCGGCCGAAGACGAGATCACCAAGGAACCGCGCGAGTCCGTCGCCCAAGCTACCAGCGCCGTGATGTACCCCAATTCCGGCGCTACCTTCCGCCGCAAGACCTCCACCGTGGTCTGGAAGATCCCCGAGCTAGAAGTCAAAGCCCCCGGATCTGGCGGCGAAGATGGCAAGTTCCTCGTGCGATTCGCCACGGCGACTCCTGGCCCGCGCAAGGGTAATGTCGAGGCTAGATTTGAGCTACGTACTACCGAGACCGGCTCTCGGCTGGGTATCAGCCGTGCTCCTGTGCACGCTGGCCCGAAGGAAATTGATCCGTTCGCGGATGATGGAAAACCTGCTACACCCGTTCCTTGGGAGGAAGTTCCAACGGCACGCAAACTTGTCGCGGGGAAGTATGTCTCTACTTAGATGGGGCGTTTGCATGACAAGTCGATAGTCTTGTTTCGTATATACCCTTTATCTGAAAGGTGCGTTGATTCTTTCTGTGTGAGTTAGTACCGTATCCATCTACAATGAGGATGAGGATGAGGTTGATGTACCAGAGGTTGATTGAGTGAGGTTGTCAGGGGTTGACATTGTCCCATTGCTTGTTTTTATTTCTTGATGCCCCCCAGTTTCTGTCCTGCAAATAGCACTCATTCTTGTTTTCTTTTTTTCTGTTCGTTGTCTTCTGAGGTTGTAGTTAGGCATTTGAATCTGAGTATCTTTGTTCCGTAAGCCCTGGATGTGACTCCGGGCCGGGCTTTTGAGTTTGCAATCTGATTTCTCCATCGAGTGTATTTTCCCAAGATGAACAATACAAATCTGCCTGATAAACACGGAGAGCTATGTTTTGCATTGATGGAGATAGAGTTTGGAGATAACCTTAAACCATTTGATGTGATTGCTGCCCTAAACACGGGAAGGCTAGCTACCGAAGCTGTGACATGCTTCAGGATATATATTGGGCACCCAGCCCGATGGAATGGCACAATTCTAGCCCCATTTATACCCGTCCTCTATTGATAACAATTCCAGTACACAAAATCGACGAATGCAGCCAAAGCGCGCGGGCTGAACATTTATGCTTGAGAAGCCGAGCGTTAGATGGGTATACTCACTACTTAACAAGGGCCTTCACCTTAGCCCTGAGTCTGGGTGAAGTCCATCCGTCTGTCAAAATCATCAGGTTCCTCCATAAGAATGTGCAATTCTTAAGGTTCATATCGAATACGTGAACGTGCGGGAAGATATAATGAAGAAATAAACATAGCACAGAGATCCGTTGTGCCGGGGAATCATACACATGTAAGAGATAAAACAAGCCAGAAAAAAGATTAACAATACAAAGGGCCACTATATTCTTGCAGCCCTGGTTGTCTTATCATAGAAATCAAGCGTCATCGCCGCCAAAAAGCAAGGGATATCCTTCCTCTCCTCAACCCAGAACTTGATCAGAGGCTTGATTTCCAGCGCGAAAAGACTATTCGGGCCACCGGAGATCTTCATCGTGCCATTCTCTCCATCAAAGACAATCGAGTTCTCCTCGCCGTTGCCCATGCTGCCAGGCCCGCGAGCATCGGAGGGAGCATCGCTGTCACCATGGCGGTATGCGGCTGATAGATGGAACATTGATGTAACGCGGACACGACCATTTGGAAGGAAGTCAAGCTTGTAGCCCAACAGAGAGGCGACGGCTTCCCGGAATTCGGACGATTTGGCGGTAAAAATTTCCTTGAAACGACGCATGCGCTTCTCCTTGTCTGCCACGACTCGCTCCATTTCCTGCATTTCGAGATTGAGGTTGTCGAGTGTGCTGATAGGGACTACTTTAACGCCGGAGTGTTCACCGCGGAGCTGGGCTAGGAGAGCCTGGTTCTCCGAGCGCAGCGTGTTCAAGGTGGTCATCTTGATCTTCTCTGCTTCTGCAGTCGGGTTTTCACGAAGTTCCAGAATCCGCGTGTGGGATTTGGACTTTAGAGATTTGATTTGAGATTTGGCAGCATCTAGTTCTCGTTTGGCCAGCATTGTAGCCTGTTGTGATTTGGAGAACGACTCTTGAAGTTTTCGGTGCTTCCGAGTCAACACTGCGAAACGCTCGTTTTCGGCGTCACTATCGGCGGGCGAGAGGGGACGCTTTGTCCCCCGAGGTTGAGCCTCCTCCTGTGGCGGAGGTACCTCCCGCTTGGAAAGTTCTTCATGCGCCTTTTGAAGCTCGTTGCGGTACTCGTCAACTAACTGTTCCAGCTGTGCGATTCGTGCCGACTTTTGTTCGTCGTACGTGCCTTGTTCGGTGTTCATAGTCTCTTCCTCCGTGTCGAAGGTCTTGAGTTGCGCTCGTAGATATTCAACCTCCTTAACGGCTAGAGCACGCTGTCTCTCCAACCGGGAGCGAACACGAGCCTCTGCCACAGCTGGTGCTGATGCACCCGCAGAAATGCTTCCGGCAATGCGAAGCTTCTCCAGCTCCTGACGAAGTGAGACCTTCTCTTTCTCGAGACTGGTAATCACTTCATCCTTTTCCAAGAATTGCGCATCAACGGTTCCGAGTCGGTCAACTAGAGTGGCTTTTTCAATCTGCTCTTGGACAAGAGCCCTGACCACTGCCTCTGGGGAATCAAATTCCATGGGCTGGTCAGTTTCCTGCAGGAGGCTGGCCCATGACTGTCGCTCGTCCTCCAGGACCCGTTTCTGAATTTGCACGGTACTAAGTTCCGCCTCCAGCCCGCTCATCAGCTGGAGCTGGTTTTCGAGGGTTCTCTTCTGTTCCTCAACCACTTCGACATTTTTCTGCACCTTTCGCAGATGGCGCAATTCTATTGTCTGATCTCGATTCGTTGATTCGAGCTCACGAATGTGGTTGACCTGATCGGACAGCTCGCGCTTGATAACTGCCAGAGCCTCTGCGTCGCTGCCTTCGGCCTTCAATTTGATATTTTGGGATTCGAGATCTGCCACCTCGGCCTCACGCTCGGACAACTTTTCCTGGGTCATCTGTTGAGCGTTGCGTGCTTCTTGGAGATCATGCTGAAATTCTTCGATCGTTTTCTGAAGGGACGCGCGAACGGTTTCGAGTTCGTGGATTTGGTACTTGTACTGGCGCTCTTGGTCGGAAAGTTGGGCTTGGGTGTCATTGAGCTCTTCCTGGATGTTTTGCCTTTCATCCTGCAGATCCCTAATCTTGCGCTCAAATCCCGCTTTGTCACTCAATGATTGCTCTTGGGTTTCTTTCAATTCTTTCGCTAAAGCTTCGGTTTTCGCAGTAGCCCGGAGACTGGCGGATTCGGCTGCCTGTCGTAGAGTGCATCAGCCATGATGTCTTCATTTACTCTCTCGTAAAACTCACCTGAGCTTTGCGAAAGTCCGCGTCGGCCTTCAACTGAAGGCTTCTCGTCTCTTTCTCGAAACGGATAACCTCCATCTCTCGCTCCTGCTTTATATTGGCGAGCTCGTATGTGAGCGTACTGACTTGTACGCGCAGTTCATCCTTCTCGGCATCTAAAAGTAGCCGTGAACAGTCAGTCTCTGTGGACATGCCCTTGTCGCTCACAATGGACAGGCGGGGGGATAGGCATTCGAACCGTGTGTTGGCTGCTGAGGCCGGACAGAGAGGAAAGATTGTTGCATAATACTTCGTGAGCTGGCTGGTGCCGAAGGCGACGCAAACCCAGCAATTAGCTGGGATGCTGGTCGCCTTGCCGGGCTGTTCTCCATGTTGTCGGAGAGGTGATGACGGATCACGGTCCAGTGGTCACCGAGAGCAATGAACGCATCAAGCCCCGCCGGAGTGACAAGTTCCGAATCTCGAAGGCCGTAGCAGTCGTCCTTTCAGGCACCAGGAGATACGACGCGACTTGAAGAGGGCTCATTGAAGTTGTTGGCAGGCGACTGGCGGCTTCCATTCAATGTTTGGGCCTTAGTCAGCAGGCCATAGCTTCTGCATTGGGACTAGCGTCAAAATTTTAAGAAATTATTTCGAGGCGGATTTCTCTTGTCACACATCACCCCATTCAACCCACCCAACTCTCTCTCGCCCCCGTCTTCAATTCAAATCCGACAAAATGGGCAAGGACAAGGTCGAAAAGAAGGAGAAGCGCGCTGAGAAGAAGGAGAAGCGTGCCGAGAAGGACGGTATTCACAAGTCCAAGAAGGACAAGAAGGAAAAGAAGGACAAGACCGCTCTCGCCGATGCGGTAGAGAAGGAGATCACTTCTCAGCTCTCGGAGGGTCTGGAGGCTGCTGCTGGTGTCGCCGATGTTGAGGTCGATGCCATGGCTATCGACCGCCCTGTCGGGGCCGTCGTGCCTTTCGCCAACCCGTTGGTTGAGGACAAGCAGGCCAAGAAGGTGCTCAAGAGCGTGAAGAAGGGTAAGCTGAACCATTATTTCCCTTTGAGACATGTTTAGTCCATTATGTGCCTTCGATGCATTTGGATGTGCGAGGGCAATTGCTCTGCTGTCTTGGGTTTGCACCAATTGCACTGGCGCATCTCCAATGCATATTTTTTTCTCCAATTTGAATATGTAGCTAACATCTTATGTTTCCATAGCTGCCGTCAACAAGTCTCTCAAGCGTGGTGTTAAGGAAGTCGTCAAGGCTCTCCGCAAGTCTCCTGTCCCCGCCGCCAACGCCAAGATCGATATCCCCTCCGGCGTTGTCATTCTCGCTGCCGATATCTCCCCCATGGACGTTATCTCTCATATCCCCGTTCTGTGCGAGGACCACGGCATTCCCTACGTCTTTGTCACCTCCCGCGCTGAGCTTGGTGCCTCTGCTGCCACCAAGCGCCCTACCAGTGTTGTCATGGTGACCCCCAAGTCCGGCAAGAACAAGAAGCTCGATGAGGGTGCCGATGGCGAGGACTTCGGCAAGGTCTTTGAGGAGTTGGCCAAGCTCGCCGAGAAGGAGTGCAAGGCTGCTAACGTCTAAAGACGCTGCTTAGCCTGTTCTTGCTTCACGCTTTGCTTTCTTCCCCACTTTCTGATTACGAGTGGGTTCTCTTATTGTACAGGGTTTTGTTCTTGTCTGATAGGACTGTGCATGTCTCTTTGGGGGTCCGGCCTTTGGGTTTCTTTTTTATTTCCATATTTGCTATACTGCAGTTCGGCGTTTTCTTGACGGTGTATGAAAAAAAGGCAGGAAGACTTCCAATGAGAAATCACCCCATGCGTCCATGCATGTTTTTATCATGCTCCTCGGTATTCGTTAATTCTTTGCTTTTCAATGTCGAGCCAAGTGGGCCTCCATGTGACTATTGTGGATTCGGCAGGGCAGATAGTACGTGCCTCAATCTCCGATTATTCAGTTCAGCTTGTGAATTGGGTGGGTCTGAGCCCTGTTCTATTTCATAGTGACCAAACAAGGCTTCAGTCACACAGGTTGCCATACGAAAATGCAAGGTAACTCGATACCTGACCGAAGGCCGAGGCCTCTAAAAATGGTTACACGACGCCCGAGTTAGAGAACCGCTAGCCTGGAGGGTCATTGCAGCAATCGCAGGTAGTGTAGTGGCACAACAAGATAGAAATTTGCCAAATGCTTCAAATCCTACTGTAGGTTGCAGATCTAGTAGTAGTAGTAGTAGCCTTCCTAAGAATCTATGTATTCATGGCAAGTTTATCGCTATCCGAGTAGTGATCTAGGCGATCGACCTTGCATCGTTCCCGAACTATCAGCCTAGTGGCGTTTTCATCCTGCGACGATCCGTCTGATCGATCCCCTACACTTCTTCAATAGTGGAATCAAGGGGGATGACAACATACCAGAACCCGACTACTACCGCGCACACGCCAATCACATTGAAAAGAAGGCTACCCTCCTGGATTGAAAGGTTTCGTTGCCCCTCCCAGGAACAGCCTTGTGGTAGGTCGTACGCGGCATCTCTGTTGGTTCCGAGCGACGGGCACAAAGGCCCTTGCGGGTCGTTTTCGGATATCCCTACGTAGAGATTTTGCTTGTAAAATCATATAAGAGGATCTTGCCCTCCCCGAGAGAATCGGCGTTCAATAATTACGTGCATGTGGCGGGCTTATAGCATGCACATTACAGAGTCAATTGCATGAACCTTTTGCGAAAATATCTATGAGAACATTTTCAATTATGGATATGACTAGGTGTAACACACGCCATTGGGTCCTAGTTACCTATGTGGCCCTCTTCCTGGTCCTCGTGAACCCAGTTAGATCTCACCCCGTTGGGACGTCACAATTGGCCAAAAGTGGCAACTTCGAGGATTTGGAAGCGGGCGGGGTATGGCAGGCCTCTGGGAAAGAAGAAAAGACTCGAGAGGCTCATGAATCACAGGCTGAGCATGGACTGGTTAGTGCATACACGATTCAATACAAGAACCAGACTGACCAACAAAATATAGCCACCAATGCAGATGGGAAGTACGTCGAAACGTCTTTCTCAACGAGATCCCTCCTCCGACGAATCAATCGTGTCCATTCTCGTGCCAGTCGCGCCAGCATCAGACTATCTTACGACAGACAAGCAAGACATCTCAACCCCAGAATCAAACATCGTCCCCCAGAGACTGAAACACTACGGAGAACTTTTCAACAATCAAGACAAAAACAGCAATGAGCTCCTCGACCCAGATACCGAATCATACTCGTCTTCGACCTTGCAAATTTCACCTGGTCATTACATATCCTTCTTCTCTTACAGAATCTCTTTCCCATTCTTGAAGTATGCGCCAAAATGTCTTCCTCGATTCCCGTTACCAGGTATATTTACGACCGTCGTGCTTCTACTAGCATTGGTATGGATTGCTATTTTGACAATTGCGTTGGTTGAACTGGGTAATTACTTGTGGAAGAAACGGCGGGATACAAGACTTGCCACTGAAAGTGATAATATCGTGTGTGACAGCGTGTTGAGTGGCTGTGAAGATGAGAAGGTCCCATTGAGAGTAATGGCGGTTCCTGGCCGTGAAGGGATGGAAGGTTGCGCTGCATCATTGATGAATGATTATAATTCGGATTCCGGATCGGACTCGGAGCCAGATGCAGAAGACTATCGTATCTTCTGAGCGTGGATCATCAGATATGATTTCCTCAACCAAGACCGAGGTGAACCCTACATTACGAATTGTAGTTCGTCTATACAGTGACTGGTGTAATGGAAATATTTCTCGAGGCATGTGGCTTTTGAAAATTCATAAAGATCTATTGTACATGATATTAAACCATTCACTCATCAATGGTCGTGATTGTGATTGCAGCCATGGGCTAGGAAAAGAACAATTGCTCGCTCAAAGACCGTCAATTTAAATCAAGAAAAAAACCCTCTGATTTATGCACGCTGATCACTCTTCAGATTCTCGAACAAGTTCTGATTGTCGATACCCTTCTGACGAGGACCACCAACATCCAATGCGCTCTCAGCCACTGTGCGCTGGAACTTGTTCTCCGCAGCACGGCCAGGATCCATCTCAGAACCTATAGCAGACGTGAAGCTCGCGTTCTTACTATCGACAGGGAAACCACCAGCGGGCAGGTTCTGGCCCTTAGGCTTCTGACCCTGATAGCCGTCGGTCACGTCATTGACATAAGAAGGCGCCTGGACATTGTTGTACTGGCTGCTACCGCTGGCAGCTGCCTGGCCTGGCAAGTGCTGAGAGGCAGCGTATTCGCCCTTGTTGATGCCCATCTGTTGCTTAGCGGCGGTCGAGCCGCCAGCGTAGCCAGTGCCGTGGGCTCCAGGGAAGTGACCCTGGCCACCCAGGGCCTCGGGGTACTTGTCCTGGCGCTGGTGGTCTCCACGAAGAGCACGGACGGGGGCAGAGGGGAGGGTGGTTGCGGCTGAGGTGTCGGTGTTCTTTAGAGTGGACTGGTTGCCGGAGACGCCCGCAGGCTCGGCGCCTCGGTTTTGAGAGAAACCACCGCCGCTGCGAACAGACTCAGCAGCGAGGGAGTCGTTAGTCACAGGACCGGAAGGCTCGTGAATGGGTTGCTGGGTGGCTCGAGGGTCGGTGGTGACCTTGGTGCTGCGGGGGCCGGGAGCGATGGGAGTGCCTTGAAGATCCATGACGATGATGATAGTATTGTGAAGATATGAAGATTGTAGGTTAAGTGGACGGAGAGTTGAGTAGTTGAATAGTTGAGGAAGATTGAGTTACTGGTAGATGGCAATGGCAAAGTTATATACCCAGCGAGCAGAGTGGTTTGATAACCACATACCTACAGTAGCGAGCAACGCCTTGGGCCAACAATCTACAGCAATCACAAGTGATGTCACACTTACGATAACAACCAGTCTTCATGGGGCTTCTATGACCTTCATCTCGAAGGTGTAGTCACGTCAAACAGCTGCGAGCCAGAAGCACTCGGTGGCGGACTGGAGATTCGAGACAAGGTACAGTGGAGCCTTGCATTCGGTTGCTTTTGATACACGGCTTCCGGAACCGGGCATCTTCTTTCTGATGGGGAGATCCAGACCCCACATTGCACATCACATCATGGATTTTCGAGTTCGTCCGCTCTCCAATAATGGTTTGTAAGGAAACTGGGCAGGATGGCGAGGAGTCGGAGGGGAGATGGAGTCTTTTGACGTCAGGCCCCAGCCTCGGCATGCACAAACTATGCAAACATCCTATACTTCCGAATTGGGAAATCCGAGCATTGAGCAGTCTAATTTGCAGCTCCAGGTTGAAGCCGGCATTGATTCTCGTGAAGTTCAAAAGGTATAGAGGGGCCGGAATCAATTTAACTGGCTGAATACTCGTATCTACAAGTATAGGCTAGTCACTTGTCGACACCCGTCGGTATCTGGAAATTAGATGAAACTTTGCAACTGATCCTTATTCTACTGGGGACTGCGCAACAATGGTAAAAAAGATAGGAAGCAACTATTGAAATTGAATTTCTTCACTCTACAAGCTAAATCATTATTCTTACACGCTTTGGTACATTCTTTAGTTGGTCAATTCAATTTGGAGTATTCATTCGCTCGTGACTCCGTGAAAATGGCTATCATACAGATGTTGGATCCCGTAGTCCAAGAAACTTCATTTAACGAGTGGTAGCATCCGAGGGCAAGTTATCCAAGCCCTCAACACGCTGGCGACCAACATTGCCACCAGGTACGGTGGTCTTGTGCATCTCGGCGCCATCGATGCGGGCACTGCTGCCACCAGTGGCGGGGCCACGGAGGGCGGTATCATTGTCACCAGAGATGGGCCCCTCAATACCACCAGAGCCGACATTGACAGTTCGCTGATCGGAGGAGTTCCAGTCACTGGCGACGGGAGGTTGGTCAGGGAGGGGGAGGTTGGCCTTGGCCTCGTCAATTTGCTTCGGCTTGTCGGTGTTCTGGTCGATCATGGACTGTTTCAGAGTTCATGATTAGCAAGGGCTTCTACCATAAGTGGTGTGAAAAGGAATCAAATCACCTTCATCTGGGAGACATTGGAATCGGAAGGGGTTTTGCCGCCATGCTGTTGAGCGATGCGAGACTCGTCCTTGCGCAGGTCCTGGCGAGTGGTACGGAAGGTCTGTTCGGACATTTTGAAGGTTGTGTGGGAGTGTGCAAGGGAGTGGTTGAAGGTAAGAAAGGTATTTTGAGTGGAAAGGTACACTTAGATGGTGGCGGATACAATGTTTGATGGTAGTTTGATAGATTGTGACTGTCTTATATAAAGGCCATGGCCTCTCTGTTTGGCACGCGACATCATGGGGAGTGACGTTTGCCGCTACCATGACGACATCGTGGCCACCAACAAGACTTGGAATTTTATCCATGTCTCCAACAGTTCTCCACTGAACTCAGTGATACAAGCTTGCTTCATAACCGAAAATTGAATCCGCTGTCACCATCAACGGTTGTGCGCTGGTTGAGAAAGCATCGGAAGCGAAACTGTGGCCGAGTAGCGTCATACAGTACCAAGGAATGATCTATGATTGGACGGTAAGTTATCCGCGATGTACTGTAAAAGGTCGCATATCCCTGATCAGCATCAAGCAAGGGAAAAGAGCAGATGATCTCCCCTGCAGATATGTCATAACTCTACTGGCTCGTTATTGTACTATCTTCGACGTGATTCTGTACTTTGTATGTGTTGACTCTTTGCCTTATGGTAGTCTGCGATGTCATTCGATCCAGGGATAACTAGGGTTGAAAATTTCCGATAGAATAAGTATCATGAAACCGCACCGAAGAATAAGGCTATTCTTCAATAGACAACAATAACTGCATGTTACCTGTACCGAGAGACTGCAGAGTCTTTTTCTTGCCTGCTGAGCTGGCTGTAGAATCTATCTAAATGTTTATCAGATGGTCAATTCATACACCCAACATGTAATGCCCTGATGCTGACACTATCTCGAAGTCAATGGATCTATCATATCTCAACTCAGACCTAATACACTTGGTACCTTAAGTAGATTTAGCCTGTAGCCACGGCTGAGGCACAGACGCTTCGCCGAATCGCCGGATACCTGATAGTGTACACCGCTTTCTGCCCTCCGATGGCAGAAAATGTTTCTTATCGCAGGTTGACGGCCAAGGCACACCTGGACAGATCAAGGTACTTTGTGAGCTGTCGATTTTGCTCTCACAGTGAGCGCAATCCTGCAAAATGCCCCGTGACCCCTTGATTGGACTGGTGGGAAAGGTCCGTTCTCCTGATTCCTATGTTGCGACCCCGCTAACCATGTGAGGGGCACAGCCGTCAAGTGGAAAGTCCACAACCTTGAACAGTTTGACCGACGCTTCGTCTAAAGTTGGTACGTAATAATCAATCTAGGTTGAATGATCAATTGAACTAACTTATATGCGCTTTTAGGCAATTTCCCGTATGTGCAACCTCCTCCGCTTCCGACGAGCAATCCCGCCTTATCGGCGTTGATGCTAACGATTATACGCGCGATAGTTTCACAACAATTGACCCTCAAAGGGCCATCGGATACCTCCAGATTGACTGCCCCTGCCAGCGACACAACGTTTCAGATCGATGCCAGCCAAACTATGGCGGTTGCGTCGAGGGGCGACGCTCTGTCCCCATTGAATTGCTGGACGTGGCAGGACTTGTGCCAGGGGCGCATCAAGGACGGGGCTTAGGAAATAAATTCTTGGACGACTTGCGACATGCTGATGCTCTGATCCATGTGGTCGACGTCAGTGGGACCACAGATGCTGAAGGAAAGGCTACTCGAGGGTATGATCCGTCTGTGGACATTGAATGGCTGCACTCGGAAATTGTGCGATGGGTGTTGGGTAATTTGATGGAGAAATGGTCAGTCCCGGAATATTCAAGGTCACGAGGTAATGGAGACAATACTGACCCCTAAATCTAGGGGATCGATCAAACGGAGGCACGTTGCAACAAAAGCGAACCCCGTCGACACACTACAAGGCCAATTCTCCGGATACGGGAGTACCTCAACAATTGTTGCACGTTGCCTGGATCGCCTTGGTCTGAAAGAACCTCTCGAGGCATGGTCAGATGAAACAGTTGAGATTGTGGTCAAAGCTTTCATCGATGAAAAGTTCCCTACAGTGTACGCCTTGAATAAGATTGATCACCCCGATGCGGACAAGGTACGTGAACCCCTCAGAAGATGAAATTGCTATACTAATGCAGGTCGTATAGAATATCAGCAAAATCGCTAAAATGCAAGATCCTCAATCCATCGTCCTTTGCTCCGCTATTTCAGAAGTCTTCCTTCGGCGATTAGCCAAGCAAGGGTACATCAAATATGTGGAGGGTAGCGAGTTCGTGGATGCTCGGGAAGATTTGATCGAAATGGGCGACCCAGAAGGAGGGGGTCTCAAGGAGATGGACGAGAAGTTGAAGAGGTAAGTTCAGAATGAACGCGAAATGGACGATCACTTGCTAATACATTTTGGTATGGTAGTCGTGTTGAGAACTTGAAAGACATGGTTCTTTATCGATTCGGATCCACTGGTGTGGTTCAGTGTCTTTCTCGAGCTGCAGAACTTCTAGGCCTCGTGCCCGTCTTCCCAGTAAGGAATGTTCAGACCTTCAACTCGGGCTCTGGAAGCGCGGTATTCCGCGATTGTGTTCTGGTCAAGAAGTAAGTCGCATCATTTACAACTGTTGATTCAACTTTGCTAAAACCCTCCAGGAATAGCACAGTGGGCGACGTGGCTCGAAAAGTCATGGGTGATGTGCCAATCTCCTATATCGAAGGAGTTGGAGGTACACGAGTATCTGAAGACGACATTGTTGCAGTTGGGAAACACGATGTGAGTCAGATCATGTTGACATCTATTATAAGTAACGTGCTAATGATTTTCTTAATATAGATCCTATCATTTAAGGTCGGTCGGTAAAGCATAGTCAACCATTCATGTACAGCTTCTATGTGGAATGACCTAAAATTATCGATACCGCCAGTTACGACGGGACATGAAATACAACCGATATTCGAACATTCAAAACGAGTAACACATAACGCCGATAGTATGAGCGATAAGGTACAAGTTGAGCGGCGATCATTGGCCCTTCTATTGACGTACAAGTTAGCAACATGTCGGCGGCAAGCAGTTATGAGAGCTTTCATACCCCTCCTCGTTCATCATTCATCCCTATAATAGGCTCTGGGGCCGCCGGGTGTTCCTTTTTGGCCTTCCTCTCCTCCTTACGCCCACCTCTCTGAGTCGTGGCTTGCGACTTGGTATCATCTGCGATGCCCTCGTTCACATCTCTTTCTTCCATGCCAGAAGAAACTGCATCAGCGGACGGGTCGTGCGTGTCGCCGCGCTTAGCCCGTGGAATGCTATGTTCCTCCGGATGTGCGCCTTTCCATTCCTTGGCGACGGATTGAAGTCGAGCGCCTTGGGGAGCGTAGGTTGCTGCAAAAGACCGTGTCGGCAAGATAGATGCTCGCGGAGCGTGTACGATGAGCGCACTTGGTAACCTTAACGAAATGAGATGTTTTCCAGGCATGGTGAATTTTGGCAGGGATAGTGTCAGGATAACAATTGGTACAGAGCAATTGAGATGCTATGGACTATTTCCCTCATAGTATGATTATTCATACAACTTAGAATTCAAGGATATCCATGCTATGACGTCTCGATGCTGCAATGCCAACCACAACGTCAATTGCATCCACACCACGGCTCTGAAGAAACTTTAGTAATTGAGCACGAGCAATACTTGGCTCATTACAAATTAGATAAACTAGAAAGCACTACAATGACCAGCCAGCAATTGAACAGCGAAAAGAGGGTTGGCGCCTGAGGCCTTAGGCAGGAACAACCAGCTTACCTCACCACTTATAAAGCCCTGTGATTGGCTCATCAGCTCCCCGCCAAAGACGTGAGGAAAGAGGAGCTTGGACGTCCCATTATCTACATGTCAATCACGCTCCAGGCTGCAAGTCCACGACTTGAGTGCTTTTTCAACAAGCAAATAGGTTGTGATCAGCTTAATTTGAGTGAATTTCTTTTCATTGCTAGATCGAGAGCTCAAAGGCGCCATCATTCCCAACATTATATGTCGCACAATCCATTTGGTCTCAATTCTGACCACATCACACCATGAGGCGGGAATATTACCCGACAGATTCCCTCCCAGCGTGGCTCCGCCTCAATGGAGTCACTGCAAATGGAGTTGCTTTCCGAAAGTTTGGCTTGGCCGAAAATGATGCAGACAAGGGCAATGCCATCGTCGCAACAGAATCGAGAACTAGCAAGGAAAGCGACACACAGCCGGAGGTCCTCCTTCGAGTACCATCCGACCTGGTACTATCACTAGAAGCTGTACATGGTTATGCCAAGTATGATGAGCACTTGCGCCAGGTGTTGGATGCAGTCGGTGAATTTGGTACGGTATGTAGCCAATAACCCTCGACGATCTAGATGTGCGTAGATAATTAACAAACACTAGACAGCGAGGGGTGCTATCATGATATTCCTTCTCTTCCAAATATCTCATTCAAGTCTAGATATGCCTATACACATTGGTGTATCGAATCCCTGGACGGAATACGTCAAGTTTTTCCCTTCATCGTTTCCTTTGCCCACCTTCTACTCTGCCGAAGAACTGGAGCTGCTAAGAGGCACTTCGCTTGCAGTCGCAGTAGAGGAAAAGGCTGCATCTCTAGAGCGGGAGTATGAGCATATTCGTCATTCTACTGAAAGCATTCATTGGTGTCAGCAATGCTGGTGGGATGAGAAGTCTGGTAAATTCTCTATGGACGATTGGCGGTACATTGATGCTGCTTATCGGTCTCGCATGGTGGATTTGCCGGGATGGGGGCACTCGATGGTTCCTTGTATCGATATGGCGAATCATGTGGCCGGCAAGGACGTGAAGGCATTGTATGATGTTGATTCGGACAGGAACGCTATTCTTCAATTGCGTTGGGGCCAGAGTATACAGCCTGGAGATGAGGTGACTATTTCGTGAGTCTTTCTACTTGCACGTCGATAATTGGTGACAATACTGATAGACTGGGTATTAGATATGGCGATGAAAAATCTGCATCTGAGATGCTATTCTCATATGGATTCCTGCCTGAAGACCTGTCCGAAACCAAACAGGTGGTCTTGGACATGGCCCTGCCGGATGATGACCCGCTTGGGGTAGCCAAGAACATGTTCTGTCGCAGGACTCCTGGGCTCAAGATCTCTACAGAAGACAGCTTAGATGAAGGCTTACCAGCGACAGCATCAGACGTCACCTGGGACAGCCCACTCGTCTGGTGGGCATGTGTAAACGAAGAAGACGGCTTATGCATCGGCGTCGCTCAAAAGACAGACGGCACAAAGGAACTCGAAGCAATTTGGAACGGCAAAAAGATCGAATCCCCCGATCAACTTCGAGGGCTTCTCGCAGCGGATCCACTATGGGACATCTTCCAGCTGCGAGCTGCAGTACTGGTCCTTGAACGAGTGGAGACTCAGCTATCTCTGCTTCATCAGACAGAACAAATATTGGAGAATCTTCGTGAGAATCAGGATCTTTTCGAGACACTTTTCAGACCTGAGGTCCTAGGCCTAGTCTCTCAGTTACGAATAGTTGAAGGGGCGCTGTTGCAAAGAGTGGTTGAGAGTCTTATGGATCAAGTATGTCATTCCTTGTCTAATGTTGCTAGATTTCCGCTAACCCGTTTGACTTTAGAAAACCGAGTTGCTGGAATCGGAGACTGTATTGGCCTACCTCACCCAACAAGCTCAGGTAGAGGACGTCGAGGATTTCTCATAGACAGCAGAGCTATATAGACATCTCGATTGCTATCGTTGACCAACTGCTATTTGCAATCAATTTTGCACCCTTCCAAGAATCCGGGGGAGATACCGTTCGATTGCCCCCAGTATTAGCGCTCCATCTCACTAAACCACCCGTGTCTTATTTCCATGGCTAAACAGACATTTATCTTCTGATTCTATGCCTGGCCTAGGTAAAGGGTACCTGCATCTGTACAGTACAGAGCGAGTCCTGCTAAGTTCCAAGAACAAGCAAATCTGTTTGCGAGGCTTTAGACATGCTTTTCAAGAATATCTGTCAACGGTTTCGGAAACTTCAAGTACCCGAACTAGCACCCGAGCAAAGCCAAGTTGCTCAGGCGCGAATGAATCATCCAAGCCTGCCGTGACTTGGACCCTGCATCATGCCCTGTGGAGTCCCGTAGATCAGTTCCCAACTCCCCGGGCGACCCGGCTGTATCGGGTGGGCTAGGTGGGGTTGTCATGGTCAAACCGTGGTTCATAGTAGACTCGGCGTTCTCTCGGGCAAGGTTCGCAGTGGAAATTACCCGAAATACATCTCAAGCCCCCGCAAAAATCACTGAAAGTTGTGTGGGATCTTGATCATGGTACTCCGTACAGAACCAGGCTCGAATCCTTCTCCAGTGATTGGTTCGTCAAGCGGCTCCGCATGGTTGATCCCCCACAGTGAACGCCTGGGGCTGTCTCGCCCCTCCCGAAATATAACATACCGTATGATGACTTTTGATAGTTTGTCACTGTGACGAGTACAGCGGTTAATATGTTGAGAAGATGTTGACCCTCGGCAGCCCGAAAAAGGTTTACCTCGACAGGGATCATGCAATCTAACGGGATATGTCAAAAGGTAAACGAAGGCTTTGCGCCGAATATCGGAGTGAGCACTAGATCGGGGTGTTCTCACCGAGAGGTAAGACAAGTCACGGCACTTGCGGGGGAGCGGAGGTTTTGAGTTGAGAGACGCGGAATTTCGTCACCGTGGCCGCTGTCTATTCCCCTTTTTGAGTCCCTGTCAAGAGACTATTGCCTTTATTGACGCTGATCCGCAGTGCTACCAAGGTTGATCGTCACTATGGTATGTACTGGCTCGGTAGTGCAATTCGGAATCCCGTATATGCACTATTGATAGGGGTGCCAGGCCGAGTTGTCTTGCAAAAGCTGGTAGTCGGGCAGGGTTTCGGATGTAGACGTGGTAGTCACTTCCGAAGCTTTTCGAGAAGACCCTTGGAAAGCCGACCCAAGTACTTCAGCATATTATGATCGGATTATGACTGTTCCTTTGAAACAGAGTTCTTGTGGTGGTTGGGCCTAATTGACGTTTGATTCGCCACTCCAATGCGTCTCATAGGCCGTGCAAATAATTTGCGGACTGTCATGATTTGCCCATGACTTCAGGCTGTACTGTATACGGGTGGTATATTGGGTACAGCCAAGGACTGGGGGTGGAGTCTGGGGACCTCGGGAAGATCTAACGATCCTCAAGCGGCATCGTCAAAAACCGGGGTGATGGCGGCGGGGATGGATCAGAAGGTAGAATCGATCAAGAGATATGCTATCACAGAAACAAGAGACCAGGTTGTTTAAATCCCCGATCGTGTTTAAGATCACACCCCACGGGGTGACGGGGCGATGGGGTTTCGAATATTCGAAAAGAAAAAGGGGAGCCCATTTAACCTTTGTGGCGATACATGACGATACACTTAACAGACAGCACATGATTGGTGGATGGATGGGTCAGCAGTCTCCACTCGACTGACTCAGCAAAAGACACCTGCAATCCTCCCCATGTTCCATCGTCTTTCCCCTCTTCCTCGAAATTCGCTCTCTTCCCTGTTCGCTATCGAGACCACTGCTGTCTTATTCTCGCTATTCACACCAGACGAAACTATAAGCATTCTCGTGCTTAACTCAACTACTCGGGACGACTCTACAATCCTTGTGAAACCGCCGCGGCCGACGCGCCCGCCCGTCCCGCCAAAATGCCTGGAATCTTACCCATGAAAGTGATCAGGGTCGGCGGCACTCAAAGCCGGATCGCCCAGGCCTGCGACCGATGCCGAAGCAAAAAGATTCGCTGCGATGGTATCCGCCCATGCTGTACACAATGTGCCAACGTCGGATTCGAGTGTAAAACGAGCGATAAATTGAGTCGCCGAGCGTTCCCTCGTGGATATACTGAATCGCTGGAGGAACGTGTGCGGACCCTGGAAGCGGAGGTGAAGGATTTGAAGGACCTACTGGATGAAAAGGACGAGAAGATCGACGTTCTATCACGCATACATTCGTTTTCCTCGCCATCCCAACGAGCCGCATCAATCCGATCGCCGTCTACGACCGGAACGATCAAATCCCCAGTGTCGGACGCAGGAGAAGGAGTGATTCATGTCGCGAAATCGCTCACCCAGTCTGGATCTAAGAAGCCGACTCAAAATCCATATGTCGCCTTTTCTACTATCCAGGGTTTTGCTTGTAAGCTCAGATATTTGTTCCTAACTTGGCCCCGCGCAAAATTAGATCTAACCCGATCTTAGATGCCTTCAATGATAACCTTGTCAACCAAGGAAAATCGTCATCGAAACTCTCTATTGAGGCTCTCACGAAACTATCCGCGCCTCTTTCTCGTGGATCTCCTAACCAGGCCATCAAAACTCCGCCACGCTTGGTTTCGGATCAACTCATCAATATCTTCTTCCAGGAATGGGCGCCGTTGTACCCGGTGGTGCACCGGCCGACCATTTTGAAAGCTTACGGAGAGTACTTGAGCAACTCGGACTCATTGAAACTCGATGTTCATGTTATGGCTCAGTTGAACTTGATTTTTGGAATCGCAGCTCTATCCTCCAGCGTGAGTAATCACAACGGACGTGCCTTGAAACAATCTAGGATACTAATTGATTGAACAGTCGCGAACCAACCAGGACCCTGCTTTCTTTGAGCAGAACTGGACTGCCTCACTCGATTCGTTCACCGGCGAAACTTCCATCGGAAGCTTGCAGTGTTTCATCTTGGCACAGCTGTACTGCATGACCAAGGGCGATTATCGGAGCATGTTGCGCTACCGTGCCCTTGCGGTGGATATTTGCCACCAGTTGGAACTGCACCAGAACCAAACAGATTCGGAATTCAGCCCACTGGAAGCTGAAACCCGCAAGAAAGTTTTCTGGTGTCAATACACTGTGGACCGCTTCTCCTCGGTTCTCACTGGAATGCCCGTTCTCCTGCGCGAGAGTGACATTGAAATCGAGTATCCCGTCGATATCGACGATGAGAATGTCACCGAATCTGGCTTCTTGCCAACACTTCCGGGTGAATCCACCCGCATTTCGAGTGCTCTTGCACTCTTCGGTGCATCACGTATCCTGAACAAGGCTTTGGAGGACCTGTATCCCTCGAAGGCTGGGTATGATGTCCATGTCGCTAAATTGCGTTCGGTCGCTGCACAGCTTGATGAGTGGCTTCACGCCTTACCTGCCCACCTTCGCCTTGTGTTTAGCCAGGATAAGCCCAGCACCAACGTTACAAGTAGCCGGTCGCCTCTCCTGTCTCTTGTCTACTACTTCATTCGATCTTTGATCCACCGCCCAGCTATGTGCTTCGCTGAAGAGCATCTTCGCTCACCGTCAGTCTTGGCCATGTCTGATTCTGCAAAGCACATTATACAGATTCTTGAGTTGCTGGATGAGCGCCGGCTGTGTCTCTCCGTCAGCATCAACCGCAGAGAGCTGGTGTTCTTCTCAGGCCTGGGTCTTCTATGGCAGACTTTGAGCGTCAAGCGGGACAGCAAGATGGCGAAAGAGAGCCAGAAACTACTCTCTACTGTGCTTGAGCAGCTTCAACCGGAGTCATCATCTGCTGCAAACGAATTCAGGACCCTAGCTAGCACCTTGGTCTCATTGGATACGAGCGACCACAAAGTTGTGACTGCTAGCAAGCAGTCCTCTGAGATGGGAGCGCCGACACACAAGCCCAGCCGGTCTCCAAAGAAGCACCTGCAGTCCTTGAAAGCTAGGCTCACCAACAGCAACAGTGCCAACAAGGACCAATCTGTTGCACAGGGCTCACAGTCTCGTCGGAATACCGTCTCTGGTACCACACCCCCACTCTACTCTCAGTCCCTCCGGTCTCCTAGCTGGACAAGTCTTCCCCCCTCTCAACAAGACCAGACCTCCACCGCTGCATTCCCCACAGAAAGAGGACACTCTTTCGATCTTGGGACTGACCCACGGCATCTCTCTTCATCCATGGGATATGAAAACCATCGGACCTTGTCATGCTCCACTCCCTCGGACGTCACTGCCGGGGCCATCACTATGGCTGATTGGGAGTACGTCTTGAGCGATATGGACCGCGGCTATTCGAATATTTTCACCGGCATCTACGGCGGTAGTGAATGTGGCGAAGATCCTGGTCCATTCGCCTCGATCACGGCTGAATACGGCCGCAAGTCTCATGACGCGACGCTCAGCATTCCCGCTCCGTTATCGAATGACCTGCATGATTTGTCACCCGAAGCGTGGTCCGCCAGCAGTGGTGACTACTCTCTGACAAATGAACACACCACACAAAGTGTACCAAGCTACTCTGGCGAGAGCATGGCTAGTAACGATGATACCTTCACCTCCCTGGCTGATGCCTCGGTGCGTCCTGATGACATGGGTCTTTTAGATCCATTCCAAGGACTGGCCATGCCCGGCAAAGACGAGATGGATGAGTTTGGCCTAGTCAACGGCTGGGACCGACGGCTGGCCGTTTGATGGGTTCCTTAATTATTTTCATTTCATTTACTTTTGGTTTCAGAGACGTGGTGTTTGTTGATGATTGTGATTTCATATGACGATACCTGGGGGCGTTTTTTTCTTTCGTTTCTTGTCGAAATTGGTGGAATTGGTGTTTGATATTTGGGATACTTGATTTGGATTATATGACATTCGTTAATTGGATGAGAACAGCTTTGTACATGAACTTTCATCTGATCCCTTGGAATAGTGATTGATATTTCTTTTCTAAACTGTGCTTGCCATTTGCCATCAAGCATTTCGTCAATATAATATCAACATTATTGCTGACATTACCGATTCTAAAACACAAGAGCCATCGTCTGAATTAGCATCAGCCACCGGCGCAATGGCTTTAGTTCAATAGTACCAACAGGAACGTTCGTTGCGCTTCTATCGAGGATGATTCAAACTTTAATCCATCACGACATTCGGAGAACTACGGAGCGGCATCCAGACAACTACCGAGGACTATTAGCTGATAAGAAACCCCAACTGTTGTAAATCGAAACTTGACAAACAAATTAATAATTCGACGACTGTGCCTTTATATCTGGCAGATTCTAGACATGTTCTCGGCCTGCCGAAGGATCCGATGTCTGGAGAATACGCGGGATAATTCTTCCTGACGACTTACAACACAGCAAAACTAGCACAAATGGATACCCTCAGTCTCCGGCCGAAACAACCAACGAAGTGGCCAGATGCCAAGCTCAAGCTTTCCACTTTCATCACTCAGCAATCCTCCCGACAGATAGCCTTTCTGACACATTGCTAGTCAGTTTCCAAAATTCGCCACTCAGACAAACGGAACAACCGGATGGTCTCCCATCACGAGGTATAGCAAAGCTCGATGCGTTGCCACGCCACTGAGATCACATTTGGCCATGCGGTCTGGGTCCCGAGAAAAAAGTGGGCGGCTACGCCCGGATCGTATGAATCACTCGATTGGATTGGCAGATGGCTCTCTCCACTTCCCCAGGTTTCCTGCTTTTGGGCATTGTCGCCAACACTACCATGGTGGTGATCGTCGGCCGTCAAGGGTAATTGTTCGGGTATTGTGTAAGTGAACGAGTCATCATGTTCTCGTTGCGTCAGGTTTGTTCGGATTGGACCGTTGGCACGCGGGGGTTTTGATTTTTCCCCAGCTCTGGAAGTGCGTATTCCACATGGCTTTTTTTCTTTGCGGATGGAGTAGTGACGTATGGAGGGGGTGGTATAAAAAGGTTCACTCCCTCGCGCCCTTTTGGTTTTTCTGGGCAGCGAGGAAATTACACCAAGACCCTAGCAAAGTTGAAACGATCTGATTGGAATTGAATTGTTTGGAAAGACAGTATTGGAAGCAATCGCCTGCATCATTCGGCATGGGCTTCAAGAACCTCTTTCAGAAACGGACGGAGGATGTCTACGCCGACGCCGACATTCCTAGAGAGTCGGTCTCTACGGCAGAGCGTGAGAAAGCCGCGCACGATGTCGTCGATACACCTATCCCGCTGTTGACCTGGCGCTCTGCCCTTATGGGTGTGTTTGTCTCCATGGGTGGCTTCCTGTTCGGATACGACACTGGTCAGATCTCGGGATTCCTGGAAATGGAAAACTTTTTGGAACGGTACGGCCAGCAGGCTGCTGATGGGACCTTCCAGTTCAGCAATGTGCGCTCGGGTTTGATCGTTGGTTTGGTAAGTGGAATATACGCTCTGCTGTGCAATAGAAGCATGTACTAACTAACGGGCTATTTAGTTGTCAATCGGTACTTTGATCGGTGCCTTGGTCGCAGCTTTCATTGCTGATCGTATAGGACGGAAGTGGTCAATTAGCGGTTGGTGTGTGATTGTCTGCGTTGGTATTACCGTGCAGATTTCCTCGCCTTCTGGCAAGTGGTATCAAATTGCTGTGGGCCGTTTGGTTGCCGGTTTGGGCGTTGGTGCTTTGTCTTTGCTGGTGCCCATGTACCAGGCCGAGTCTGGACCGAGACATATTCGAGGATCATTGATCAGGTAAGTTCTGTAAGACGGGCTCGCAATATGGTGATTATACTGACCTACTTCTAGTACCTACCAGTTGTTCATCACCCTGGGTATCTTCATCGCCAACTGCATCAACTTCGGAACGGAAGCCAACACCAACACTTCATCATGGCGCATCCCCATGGGAATCACCTATCTCTGGGCCACCATCTTGGGCTTCGGAATGGCAATGTTTCCCGAAAGTCCCCGCTACGACTACCGCCACGGCAAAGTCGACAAGGCCATTGACACACTATCCAAGATCTACGGCGTCCCCCGTAACCATCGCGCCCTCCACATAGAATTCGACGAGATCAAACAAAAGTACGAAGAAGAAGTCCGCAACGGCCAAGTGACCTGGATGCAAATGTTCCGCGCTCCAACAATGAAATACCGCGTCGCCGTCGGTGTAGCCCTCCAAGCTCTGCAGCAGCTCACCGGTGCAAACTACTTCTTCTACTACGGTACCACCGTCTTCAAGGGCGCTGGTATCCACAACAGTTACGTGACCCAGATGATTCTCGGCGGTGTCAATTTCGGCACTACATTCCTGGGTCTGTATCTTATCGAACACTATGGTCGTCGTCGCTCGTTGATCGCAGGTGCATTGTGGATGTTCGTCTGCTTCATGATCTTTGCTTCTGTGGGCCACTTCTCTCTCGATCGTGAGAACCCCGAGAACACAAAACCCGCCGGAGTAGCCATGGTCGTCTTCGCCTGCCTCTTCATCCTCGGCTTCGCAAGTACATGGGGTCCCATGGTATGGACCATCGTCGCTGAGTTATATCCCTCGCAGTACCGTGCGCGCGGCATGTCCCTCGCCACCGCATCAAATTGGCTCTGGAACTTCCTGCTGGCATTCTTTACGCCATTTATCGTCAGCGCTATCGATTTCCGATTCGGGTATGTCTTTGCAGGTTGTTTGTTCCTTGCGGCGGGTTTGGTTTACTTCGCTGTTATTGAGGGTCAGGGACGGACGCTGGAGGAAATTGATACTATGTACCTCATGAAGGTTAAGCCGTGGAAGAGCTCGAAGTTTGAGTTCCCGGCTGATCCTGGTGTGATTCGGGGTTCGTTTGATAAGGGGCAAGGGGGTTCGGCTCATGTGGCGAATCCGGCTTCTGGTGTGCTGCAGGAGGATACTGTTCCTACTGTGCCAGAGACACGAGCTGAGGCTTAAAGAGGAGGATGGTTGTTTGGGGATGTGGGTTTGTATTGGGTAAATATTTTGGTAATGTGTATACGAATGTCTCTTCTTGCTGGTGTTTGTTATCCTATGGGCTGTCTGTACATTATTGGTTTCTTGTTAACACAATTGAATCCATGTTCTATGAGAATGAGGAATGTGTCATCCATGCTATTTCCCTTCGAAACATGTTGCAAGAGCAACGGAATGAAGATGGAGCCCTGAACAAGCCGCCCACCTGAAGATAAACCCTAACTGAAGCCTACACTAAACCCCTTTAGGGTTGATATGGCGGGGCTTCATCCTCGGCTTGTCAACTGAATGACCTGGCAGTAAATAAGACTTACCTTGCCCTCCAGCTTTTCAATCCAAGACAATATCCTCCAGGAATCAAAAATAGATTCCATTACCCACAGAGCAGACCTCAATCTCCCCTACGGGCAGTCAGTCCATCATGGCTCAGACTTACTTGACCGGTGCTTGCCTATGCAAGAATATTGCCTATCGCATCACTCTACCCACGCCCGGGACCCTGCCCAAGGTATACATCAACCTCTCTAGCAGCCCTTCCAAAAACGCAGTCCAGTTCACATTCTAACAAAGCCCCCTAGGTAATCCTCTGCCACTGCACAAATTGCAAACGTTACACAGGCTCAGGCTTCTCCGCCAACATCGTCGTGCCGCAATCTAGTTTCGAGTACACCAAGGGCTCACCGAAGTTGTATTCTGATCGCGGTGACAGGGGCGGGGTGGTGGTAGTACGTGAATTCTGTCCTGATTGCGGGACACCGTTCACGTCTCGATCTGGCGATGATGGGGAGGAGGTTGCGGTGAAGTCGGGAACACTTGATGACGAGCACCGGGTCAAGTGTGCTGAATTGGGGATGGAGATTTATTATCATCGGAAGGATGGATGGGTTGATGGAATGGGGGATGAGAGTGTGAAGAGGGTTAATGGTAGTATGGATGGCTAGATGTAACATGTTCGGAGAGGGCTTATGATTGATCGGAGATGGGTGATATTGGACTGCTCGATCTACCATGATAATTACACCAGTTCGGAACCATTAAGCATCGTAATTGCCTGTGTTTCATGTTAAACCCCCACAAATATCACTGAAATCCTCACCAGGAATATCATGCACAGCCTCTTTAGCACACTAATTCGCAACTACATTCCATTGTCTTGGGATCCTCCAGAACTGTACACGAAGACCCCGCCTGTCACACTCTTCAATCTTACTGAACCAGCACTTCCAAAGGTCCTGATTTTTGACAGTTGCCCCAGTTCTCGTTTTCCAGCCATTCCGTAGCCATGCTTTGACCCGTTGAGTCGCATCATGGGCCACGTACTCGGAATCAGTCGCAATGACTAAACTGGTAAAGCCTTCTCCATCCCAGCGTCAGGACCGTAAGGCTGCGATAACGGCTCGCAGCTCGGCACGATTCTTTGTGTGCTAGTGTACTTCACCGGTAGGTCCTCTGTTTTCAAGCGGGAAGCTCACAAGATGAACGAGCAACCACCGCTTGGGTTTAGGCCACCATGTTTGAGCATGCACCGTCCGCGTAGATGAGAAATTGGCGAGGGTCATTTTCTCGCACGAACCGAGGTATAGGTAACAAAGTGAATTCCCGGTGACCAGTCAGTGGGAAAAGCACCTGTGGCATATCCCTCGGATTTGGCGGAACGAACTTCTTAGGAATGACACGTCCCATGCCGACACGGGGCTGCTTCTCGACGGGTCTGTCTGAGATCGGACGAACTGAATGGATCATTTTCGGGCTGGCCCGCGCCGTGTTACATTGCGCTGGCTCTGGACTGGGCGGGAGGGGAACCCTGACCAACACCCCGGCGAAGAACTGGGGTCCCGTTTTCATTTGGCCAGGATGGTCCTCCTTAGGTCGGGAGGACGGTGGGCTGGGACTGGCGCTGGGCACGGCAGCGACTTTACTCGTGCTAATAGAGTCCCGTTCACAAGTGAAGTAGTCCGCATGATCTCGCGCATGTATCGAATCCATGCCGCCTCAGTGAGCTTCTCATACATGCGGTCATATCCCTGACCGTAATCGTCATCGTCGTAGCCGTCATCCTCATAGCAGAAAGTTCACGCCACAACTCCATGTGGTTTACATGCCAGGCGGTGGGTGTAAAACCACGCAGGGTCCATATAATCCATATCATCCATGTTTGACCCGCAAGGAGTTAAGGTGGAATATGAGAGGCAGTGACCTGAGGAGCTGGCATTCCAAAAGAAGAAACAATGAGGGCGGGGAAGGAGAAGCTACCAATCCAGGAACCTGGAGATTGGCAAGGCATTACTTCGGGATAGAGCCCTCAGGGATGAAGAAGTCTGATTTCCAGGGTGCTGTTGAGAATTGAGCAAGACGACCCGAAATGGCGTATCTTGAGATATAAAATCGGGCTTGCCGTGATATCAATCTGCCTCGAAGAGATTGACCACGAGTGCCAAACCAGTCCCAGAAGTGAAGTGAAGGAACAGGGGAGAGTCTACCCCGTGGTGGTCTGTGCCTCTGTGTGGTGAGGATGAAATCCTCCAGGGCGGCAGTGAAGGAAAGAGGGATCGTCGAGGATGAGGACGATGGAGAGAGAAGAAGAATGATTGCCAGAGAAACTCGGCATTGTAGTTACTACATTCCTTTCAATCTGCGGCTATCCTGCTCCATGTGATGAGTCTCATTCAGGGCCACCGCCTCATGCCCCGCCTTGGTGAACATTTCACTGTTGTTAAGGCTTGATAAAAAATGCCAGATATAGTCTTGGAATTGAGCAAAATGAATACTCAATGTATAGTATAGCATCATATCATTTTCTAGCTGACATAGCTGACATAGCTGATCAGTGACTTAGTACATAGTATGGGGTGTGGAGTACTCCATGTGAATCCACACTTTGTTTCTGCCGGATAATCCTGTTTAGAAAGGATGAGTGCCTAGGTGTACATCCATCCCGACCACTAGGCGATCACATGACCATTCTTAAATCTGGTATACATCGTGTTAGATCGAGAATCAAGTCCACCTCTGCTCACGCGATCACGCATTTATTTAACTCTGTTTTGAAGCAGTGGACTACAGGCTTGGTGGAGGTAACGAGCCGAAAAATCAGGCCCGTCAAGGATACGATTTTCCGGAATGGGCACTTTCAAACCCCGATATGTATTGACCCCCACGTTCTAGATCCACTCGAGTCGTGACAAAAAAGATTGAGATTCCATTTCGCTTGTATTACTCCGTACAAGAAACGCTATGGTGAACTGGTCAGGTTGAATAAAGCAGTCAAATTCTCGATTGGGACATCTCTACATGGTCATCGTCAACTGATCGCCGAACTATATCCATCTGATCAGTACAATAACTATACTCGGGCAAATTGCTTCAGGACTTAGGGATCTTTAAAGTTCATCGACGCAAGTTAAATCCTCAGCCTTAGATCTACAGAAAATTCATGGAACATTCCATCCAATCGATGAGACTTCATGCATGTTTATTTAGCCAAGTACCGGTTTAATCACCACATGATTGAATAAGGATGACTCAGCCGCGGCTATGATGTTCCCATCAGGTACACCGGGATGTTCCCAAGGTCCCAACATGTTGTGTCTTTTTGTGGAGATGCGGATTTCCTGGTTTTATTTTTTTTTTCTGGTCCCGTGGACATCGGCCTCGCATCGGGGATGGATAAATTTCTCGTACAGACCGCATGGAATTGACCTGGTTAGGAAAGCCGATAGTCTCGAACGGACTTTCTGCATGCGCCTGAATTTTTCCGTTGGTCAAGTGACACTGTTCGATAGGAGTCTAGTACTGCCGCGGAGGTCCATCTGATAGCGTGCAGGCGTGAATAATGATCAAGTGATAATTACTACAGCACTCTTACTCTTCAATCATAATGCTGGACACAGTGGAATATCGGCTAATTTCGTAGGACAGATCGGAGCAGGGTCCTCCGGGCGGCTCCCGGTGTACGGAGCTCCTGGTGGACGACTGGTGGTTGTAGAGAGGCCCGGCAAGTGCGTCTGGCTATATTACGGATAATGAGGTCTGGCAGTGATCCTAGGATGACAGTACTCCGTGATCTTTAGTCAATTGGGCGGTTCCAGAGGGTGGAATACTACTCTGTACATTGAATCCATACTTTGTCCCTATTCTATAGTGAAGTACCTCGACCACCCCTCGCTGAGTCAGCCCGATGGGCGGAAGTGCGGGCGGACAAGAAAAAGAGGAAAAATGAATGATACAATGATAGTAATTTGTTATTTTTCGTGTCCGATTGTCGTATACAATGTATATGTTACGATTGGATATGCTAATCGTGAGTTTTCGGGTGATACTCTGACAGAGACTGGTAATGATTATCAGGGGATGACTTGATACGCGCTGGATGTTAGTAGTCCAGGTGGAAGTATGTACTCCGTACCACGTCCCACGTTCTTTTGCTCGTCCACCGAAGAGTTGAGGTTTGCCCCACCAGACATCATCGGTCAGAGTTCCCCCCACCAACAAATACACTTCCCCTCCTCCTCTTCTTCCCGCTTTCTCTCCCCTTCCCTTTCTCTTCCATTGTCATATTCATATTCATAGTGAGTCGGGCCTTGACTACTTCCTCGTTTCTTCCAACTAATTCCCCTCTAGAATCTGCCATCATGGGTTACACCGATCTGGATACGTTGGCGATTAACACCATCCGTGTTCTCGCGGTATGTCTCATCTGTCCCTGCTATTGCCGTCAGATCCTTCGGGTGCAATTGGAGAGGCGATTCCCTTCCAATGCTTCGAAAATCAGCGGCATTGCAATGAATACACCACAATTCGACCTCTACTAACGCTGCAACCAGGTTGATGCCACCACCAAGGCCAACTCGGGTCACCCCGGGGCCCCCATGGGCATGGCCCCCGTTGCCCACGTTCTGTTCAACAAGTTCATGAACTTCAACCCCAAGAACCCCGACTGGGTCAACCGTGATCGATTCGTTCTCTCGTACGTGGCTGCTTGCAACTTTCCGAGCTTCTTTCAATAGAGCATGGATTCTGCCCTCCCCCGCAGAGCTCCGAGAACCCCGCGCCTAACTAGTCTTAATTCTACAGCAACGGTCACGGCTGCATGCTCCAGTATGCTCTGCTCCACCTCTTCGGCTACGACCTCACCATTGATGACCTGAAGTCCTTCCGTGTAAGTTCTATTGTGGAGCGTTGCCCTCTTTTCGTGGCTTAATGCTATTTAAACCACTCGCTCCTCATACTGACTTGAACCCCCACCAGCAAATCGGCAGTAAGACCCCCGGTCACCCCGAGGCCCACGACACCCCCGGTATTGAGGTCACCACTGGTCCTCTTGGCCAGGGTTTCTCCAACGCTGTTGGTCTCGCCATTGCCCAGGCCCACTCCGGTGGTGTCTTTAACAAGCCCGGCTATGAGCTGTTCAACAACTACACCTACACCTTCTTCGGTGATGGCTGTGCCATGGAGGGTATCGCCTCCGAGGCCGCCTCCATGGCCGGTCACTTGAAGCTCGGCAACCTGATTGCCATCTACGACGACAACCACATTTCCATTGGTAGGATTTACCACAGCTCCCCAGACATTCTCCTGCTATTCGAGACTAACCCTCCATCTTCCTTATAGACGGTGACACCAAGTGCGCCTTCACTGAAGACGTTCTGCAGCGCTTCGAGGCCTACGGCTGGCACACCGAGTGGGTCAAGGATGGTGACAACGACCTCCAGGCCATCGAGGATGCTATCCGCAAGTGCCAGCAGGTCACTGACAAGCCCTCCGTCATCAAGTTGACCACCACCATTGGTTTCGGTTCCAAGCTCCAGGGTACACACGGTGTCCACGGTAACCCCCTCAAGACCGATGATGCCCAGCACGTCAAGAAGCTGTTTGGCTTCAACCCCGAGGAGAGCTTCGCCGTCCCCCAGTCCGTCTACGACCTGTACCACGCCCACGGCGCCCAGGGTGCTGCCAAGGAGCAGGAGTGGAACGCCCTTTTCCAGAAGTACCAGCAGGAGTACCCCACCGAGGGTGCTGACCTCGCCCGCCGTCTCGCCGGCAAGCTGCCCGAGGGTTGGGAGAAGAGCCTCCCCGTCTACACCCCCGCCGACCCCGCCATTGCCTCCCGAAAGCTGTCCGAGGCTGTCCTCGAGAAGATTCACGATGTCCTCCCCGAGTTCCTGTCCGGTTCCGCCGATCTGACTGGTTCCAACAATACCCGCTGGAAGAACGCTGTCGACTTCCAGCCCCCAGAGTACGGCATTGGTGAGTGGTCTGGCCGCTACCTCCGCTACGGTGTGCGTGAGCACGCCATGGCCGCCGTCATGAACGGTCTCGCTGCCTACGGAACCGTCATCCCCGCCGGTGGTACTTTCCTCAACTTCGTCTCCTATGCTGCCGGTGCCGTCCGTTTGTCAGCTCTGTCCCGCGTCCGCGTCATTCATGTCGCTACCCACGACTCCATCGGTCTGGGTGAGGACGGTCCTACTCACCAGCCTATCGAGACTCTGGCTCACTTCCGCGCTCTGCCCAACTGCATGGTCTGGCGCCCCGCTGACGGTAACGAGACCAGCGCCGCCTACTACATGGCTCTGACTTCCAAGCACACCCCCAGCATCCTCGCCCTGACCCGCCAGAACCTGCCCCAGCTGGAGAACTCTTCCATCGAGAAGGCCATCAAGGGTGGTTACGTCGCCATCGAGAACCCCGAGGCCACCGTCACCCTTATCTCCACCGGTTCCGAGGTCGGCATCTGTGTTGACGCCGTCAAGACCCTCGAGGCCCAGGGCGTCAAGGCCCGTGTCGTCTCCGTTCCTTGCTTTGAGGTCTTCGACGCCCAGACCAAGGAGTACCGCCTCTCCGTCCTGCCCGACGGCATCCCCGTTCTCTCCGTCGAGGCCTGCTCCACCATGGGTTGGGAGCGCTACGCCCACGAGCAGTTCGGTCTCAACCGCTTCGGTGCCTCCGGTCCTTACAAGGAGGTCTACGCCAAGTTCGAGTTCACCCCCGAGGGCATTGCCAAGCGCGCTGTTGCTACCATCGAGTTCTACAAGGGCCACACTGTCCGCTCGCCTATTAACCGTGCTTTCCAGCAGATTCTGTAAGCATTGGGTTTTTATGACTGGTTAGGTTAAAATATTTCATGGGTTTTGTTTGATTTTTTTTTAGTTAGGGTTAATAGCCCTTAGACCTATTTAGGAATGATATAGAGCGATTCTTGGTCAATGTTCTCCGTGAATGCTGTAGTAACAGTAGAAGCAGTAGTAGTATGTCTGGTTGGTGGTGGGCATACGTTGTATACTCAGCGAGCCCTCAGTCCTCTGCGGTAGCTATGCAGTATACATACAGACTTTCCTTGTCTGAGGTCCACTTTGGATGGCTAATGATTGCAAAGATTCGGATCAGTCATAACGTCGCTTTCAACACTTGAGACTTTCGTTGACGGTCAAACTGTCATTTTACATCGTGCTAGTCCAGTCTCAATGAATTGTCTACTCCTGAATGCCTCTATATAGGTAGAACTACAGTGCTTCTAATCTGGTAAAATAAGCAAATCTTCACCCAAAATTTAATTCGTCATTCACTCTCTATCCTCATTCCTAGCTCTCTTCTTCTTTACTATCTCCACCATTGCTAAGACCTTTCTCCCCTTCCTCCTCGTCTGCAACCCTTCCATATGCCTTCAATATCCTCATCCCCACGCACTCCCCACTCCAATAAGCCCCCGTCAAAGTCCCCAGCGCCACAAACGGCGCCGTATGATCCCCGGCCAACCAAATCCCCCTCTCTGGCATCCCATATCTCAAAGCTCTAATATCATCATCTAATCTAGACTCTTCTTCCCCTTCCTCGACTCTTTCACTCGTCTTAAAATTCATATAAGACCCAAAACCCGCAAACTCATCATTCTGCCAATTCGTCGCCAGAACAGCGTGCGGCCGACAATCCGGGTTTTCTGGACTATAGTGCGGTAATAGGCTGTAATAGGGACGGAAGAAGTCGTCTATCACATTGAAGTATTCTGGTGAGTCCGGGGAGAGTGGTGTTATGAGTGTTGTTATGTGTGTTGCGCAGGGTCCGTAGATGCCGAATAGGAGGGTTGGTTGGGCGTTGCTGCCGAATGTTGAGGGTGATGAGAGGGAGTTTACTTCTAGTGTCCAGGATTGAGGGTTTGTGGTTGGTGAGTAGGTTGGGTGGAGGAAGTTGGCGAAGGATTGGAATGCGGGTGTTGATTGTGAGTCTGATTCTGGTGAAGGCGCAGAGGAGGTTGGTGATTCCCAGAAGGCTTTGGGGAATGTAATATAGACCTTCTCCAAGCGGCTGTATGAAGTATTTTTGATCGCGCGAGTGATTTGTGGAGAAAGTGGCGGATTGAACTTTGGAAGTCCGCATTTGAGTGCTCCAAGGGGGATGGTGATGACCACATCGTCGAATTCCCAGGTTTGATTCTCGGCGGATGTTACGAGGACTTTTCTTCCGTTTGAAGTGTCTTTGTTCTCGATGTTGATCACTTTGGTGCGAAGGAGGATTTCCGCATGTTTGAGTGCCTTGTCTGCCACTTTGTACAGGATCTTGGCATGGCTGCTTGCAACATAGAGATTATCTGGTCATTCCATCCCATAATCAGTGACTGTTCCATCGGGACACAATAATCCAACTCACCTCCATCAAGACATTCCTCAAGCCAAAAGTACTTCAAACTCTGTCGCTCCAACGGATCCCCTATGAAGGCACCCCACATCTCCGCCATCTGCAAGACCAACATCTGATCCTCTGCAGAAAGCCGTTTTTCGGCGACTTGCTCGATGAAAAAGTCTTTCAGACTTTTTTCTGGTGAGATATTTGAACACTCTTCGTTGCTATACTTGAAGGCTTCCCGGATGATCTCCCAAACCAGGTCCAGCAGTTCTGTGGCTATGTCATGGCCAATCACCTCGCCATTTTGATCAAAGATGCACGCGTGATCTTCGACTATGGATAGGGCTGTGCCGGTCTGCTTGGCTAGATTCAAGATGGGGTTGTTGAGGGTTCCGTGAATCCAGTTTGGACCCCTTGGATGAGAAGTCAGTATAAATTCAGTTCAAGTTCAAGTTCAAGTTCGAGTATTTAAATGAAAGAATCCAATTCATAAACGACACCAATGAACATTCTCTGAGGAAATATTTTGACCCACATATCAACGGCATGGCCAAGTAAATCCACTTGGTGAACCTGTGTATGTGGTCAGCTAGAGCCCTATCTATCTGTTGAGTCACTCAACTCACACGCCCACCAAGCCGATTTCGAGCTTCCAGGACGGAAACCTGAACACCATGATCAATCAAGATCTCAGCACATCTCAAGCCTGCAAATCCCGCTCCAATAACTCCGACGTGAATATTTTTATGTTTTGCTCCAGGTAAGCGACTGCTGCTGCTGCTGAGACCCGTTTCTGAATCTCGCTCTTGCAATATCGGCCTGAAGTCGCGAGAGCAGTCGGCAAGGTCCTGGTCCATCCATGATAATTGGCCGGGTTTGGTGTAGCTCTCTTTAGAATGTGCTTTTGCCTCCATGATGGTTTACTGCGGTGTGGATCAGCAATACTCTTTGTAGAACAATCAATCAGATCCACTGCAAGTAAAGCTTCGAGATCGGGCCACAAGGCATCCTTGGAGAAGACAAATCTCACCGCTTTCAAAATCGCCTTTAGTAGTTAGTAAAAGTACGTCTTAAGATAATTAATTAATAATTCAGTAATAATATGGTTGGTGCTGCTAGTGCTAGTTACCTAGGTAGGGTCTGTTTGAATAAATACAATACGAATTACGGACTTGGCCGCGTAGCGTGGTCACCCTGCCCTAACCGCCTTGATAAGTTAGATTGGCCCCTATCTATCACGACCAATGGCGTCAACACGGACCAACTGCGGTATGGCCCGTGAACCGCTTAGACCCTCCGGCTCCCCGCCCCTAACCGCTATGGGAAAGTTGGAGGTCACAATGATCCTATCAGGAACGAAGTTATATTCCTAATGTAGTTTTATGACCGACTACTGCACGCCTTGTGGCAGGATTTTATAGCGTTGTGGTATTGGCTGTGATTGTTTGTTAAGCAAGTTTCGATGCCAAGGAACGGCCCCCAATGTTGACGTGGTGTTCTGTTTCTTACATACGTGGAAGATAGCCAACTGGGGTCCATGATATTTCATTTCTGGTGTTATCGGATCTCGGTGTCCTGATGACTGAGCCATGTCACTGCATATGTAGAGTATTTATGTTCTCTTTAGCTGTCACCATGTGCAGATACTAACTATACGAGTAAACACTAAATTGGATGATGAGGCTAACTCGCAAATCAAGGTTTCTGGTACAAAGTCAGCCATGAATAAAGGCCCCCATCCTGGTGGGTCTTACTTGAATTTTTAATAATATAGGTCTATGTAACTAATCTATCTATTGTACTCCGTAAACCGGACAGAAATGGGAAAATTACCGAGTACGAATATGGATAAAAGCCCCGACTACGGTACCGTGTGACTTACCTGAACTAGCTGGGGCTGACCTGTTTCGGATCCCTGCCGCTGCGACAAGACCGTTTGCCTTGCATCGCCATCTATGATGCGCCCACGAGATGGGGCTAAGTTTCCAGGTCTTGGGGTTAGGCTATTCCAGCCTCAGCAACTTGGACTTTGAATTATAATAAAACTTTCGCAAAGGAGAATCCAATGCCGGTAGTCAAGCATGGTGTGCCCCATCCGGCAAGCGCTTGGGGAAACCACTAGTTAGCTAGTAGTTAGTCCATGTACTTTTCTTGCGTTTAGACTGATTATCTTAACGTATTCCTTGTTGTTCTCTGATCATCTAATCTTACCCCCACCCCACCGCCAACCTTTGCCAATCCCTCCCATCATTGCCCCTACCTTCGCAGGCATATCTCGCTTCCATCAGTTTTCTTCCTTCCACCGAAGGTCTCAGATATCCATCGGATGCGATATCATTCCTCGCATGACATGACATGGCGGAGGCACTCGCTATCATCGGACTCGCGTCCGCTATCGTCCAGTTTATCGACTTTGGGACGAGAGTGCTGAGACAGCTACACAGACTAAACGATGAGGTTTCCAGCGGACCGCAAGCATACCAGGATATTCGTACGCGTCTACCATTAATGCTAGATCTTGTAAAGAAGATCCGACTCCAGATCGAAGCCGGAGAAGTGGACAAAAACTCACAAGCAGTGATGCTACCAGTTCTACGAAGCTGTATCGCACAGGTACAACAACTCGAAGAGATTTTTGTCAAGGCGCTACCACGAATGGCCGACTCCTCATGGAGTCGTGGCAAAAAAGCCTTTCTAGGCGTCCTCAAGGAATCCGAGGTCGAGAAGATCGATCTCGTGCTCAAAACTAATTTCGATCTCCTCGTACATTCGGGAATGTACCACTCGATGAGTCGGATCGAAAATAAAGACTCGACCTCGCTACAGCAGCAAATGATTAATGTGGTTATTTCATCACCACAAGGCTACGCACCACAAAGCTACTCATCACAGCAGAACTATGGGACACAAAGCTACGCGCCAGAGAGCTACGCGCCGCCAGAGCAGGATTATAAACTACGATCAGGTTCACTCTCATCGCAGCCGCCTTCGTATGCGCCTGTTTTTATGGTCCCCTTTCAACGGGATCCGAAGTTCCTAGAACGCCAATCAATAATGGAGAACATAAAATCTAAATTCAAGACTGCACGTCGCGTTGCTCTTGCGGGACTTGGTGGTGTCGGGTATGTCATTAGCGTTCCTCAGGTTACTCTCCAAAATATGTCTTCCCATTCCTCACAAAACACTTTAAAATTCACATTTTCCTTATATGCGCACATTGCTTTGAAAGAAACTTGAGTCTACTCACAGCTAACGTTTTCTTGCCTGGAATATTTAGCAAATCACAGATCGCCATCGAGCATTGTTACCGATTCAGAGAACAACATCCCAACGCACATGTCTTTTGGATCTACGCCGGGAGCGCTGTCAGATTCGAACAAGGTTATCAAGAAATTGCGAGGAGACTTGCTCTTCCGGGCTGGGACAATCCCAAAGTCGACATTTTGGAGCTGGTCCACGAATGGCTTAGCGACGAGCGTAATGGCGAATGGCTCATGACGGTGGATAATGCAGACGACGCGGCGGTTTTCTTCGGCAACAAGATTTCCAGTAACTCCCAAGATCGAAAAATCTCCAAATCATTGGTGCGCTATCTTCCGCAGAGTTCGACAGGATATATCATCTTCACGACGAGGGATAAACGGGCAGGCGAACGGCTGGCGGGTCGAGAAAAACCTATCGAAATTCTACCGATGAATGCGGTGGATTCACTCAATCTGTTACGGGGGAGAATTCCCGAAGACGAATGGTCAGACGATGAGGCCATGAAACTGGTTGAAGAGCTCGCATATTTACCGCTGGCCATTACGCAGGCGGCAGCGTTTATCAGCGAAAATTGCCTGACAGTCTCCGAGTATCTCGAATTGTTAGCTACGGGAGAAGAGGATCTGAAAGATCTCTTGAGCGAAGATCTCGAAGATCTGCGTCGAGACTTGGACACAGAGAACTCGGTGATACGCACCTGGAAGCTTTCCTTTGACCAAATCTCCCGAGAGAAAGCGCGAGCAGCGCAGATCCTATCTTTGATGGCCGTACTGGATCACCACCGAGCGCCTCGAATGCTTCTTCGCCAGGAGGGAGAAACAGAGGTTGGATTTCGGACGGCACTGGGTGCTTTGCAGGCATTTTCTTTGATCAGTGCTGAAAAGGATAAAGATGCCGCCGTGAGGATGCACCGACTCGTGGCCCTTTCCACGAAAAAATGGTTAGAACTTACGGGTATGCTTCGACATTGGCAGACTGAAGCATTGAGAGTGCTCTCCGTGAAGTTTCCCGGGCGAGATAGCTACCTTTATGAGAACTGGCCGGTTCTGGAGGCATTGACACCCCATGCGCAATTGGTTTTTTCTTATACCTTCTCCACCGCCGCGGACCTTCTCGAATGTGCCAAGCTCTTGGATTTCGCTGCACTTTACGATCTGACAAACGGGAAATATAGCGAGGCATATGAAAAATGTCTTAAATCGTTGGATATTCGAGAAAACCTACTCCCGGCCGATCATCCCTTGACATTGGACAGTGCTCAAACGCTTGGCGAAACATTGCTTCACCTGGGCGAGCTCGCATCCGCAAGATCCATGCTACAGAAAGCCGTGACTGGACGAGAGAAATCACTCGGTGAACTCCACCCGGATACATTGGAGAGTGTGAGTGATTTGACGATTACCTTGCTCGAACTGAACGAACTTGCCGCTGCGGAAGAAACTGCACTACGAGCCCTGAGAGGCAGAGAGCAGATACTAGGAGAGGATCACCCAGACACCTTTGTCAGTCTCAACATTCTTTCCATGCTACGACAATGCCAGGGTGACCTGGAGAGTGCCAAAGAAACAACAGAGAAAGTGCTCGAATGGCGACAATCTTCCCTCGGTCCAGAGAACCCCCATACAATCATGACATTGAATAACTTGGCGGTTCTGCAATACCGACGAGGAGAGCATGAATTGGCTAAGAACACACTCATGACTGTCCTAGCAGGTGAGGAGAAGCTGCTCGGGGCGGACGGTTACGATATACAAGTTAGTCTTAGCAATCTGGCTCTTATATACTGTGATCTGGGCGAGCTTGATGAAGCAGAGGCTGTATACAGGAGGGTTCTGAGGGTACAAGAGAAGCTATTCGGGCCAAAGCATCCAGCGACTTTGCAGACTGTGAAAAAACTGGCAGACGTGCTTGTCCAGAAGGGGGAGCTTGATGAAACTGAGAGAATGAAGCAATGGGATCATGGAAAGGAGAGAAGCCAGCAAGGGGAAGGGTTCGGCGCTCTCACGATGGCCGGTCTTTTGTTTGACTGAAGGAAGATATTCCGAGGAGCTGCATCTGGGAAAAATGTTATTGTGTATGGTACATATTGCATGGGGAACGAGTGGACTTTTGTGCTCAGTAAATCGAGCACAAGTATTAGCATAGCCTGAGGCTAATCGTACAACTTGTGTTCTCACACGATAGACTGTGTCATTTTCGGATAGGGTGGAACAAACGTACATCGAGTACCTCAATATCCTCATAACACCCACTAAGCCTTTTATTAAAGATCTATATCGTAGGGTCTATAATCGCACGACAACTTATCCTTTTGTGCGACATGCTATACTCCTTTTGAATTTAGTAGAGAGCAGGTACATCCCGTGCCATATCCAGATTTAAAGAAACGAATTAACCAGATATGATTCAACTTTTGCGAAATATCTTTCTATATGTCTTTTTAACTGTTATTCTCAATAGCTCAGGTAGGTTTCTTTATGTTTTATCGTTAAAGTCGTGGTTGATAGGTTGATTTTAAGAATCTATGGGGTTCGAACGACTAAACATAGACCATGGAGAAACCTTCGCTATTAAGAAGGACGGTTCAAATACGACATTTAGAAAGCGGCGCTATCGAGGTAGTGATCACCTTGAATTGGCGCCTCCAACAGCGCAGAGCTATTGCTGCTGGTACAGTGAAACTCTGGAGACTTGATTCAAACGGCAAACACTAACTCCAACGAACTGAGGTATGTCAAAAACCCGATATTATTTCACAGGCAGTCTAGTCTAATATCTCCAAGGAAGTTTTTCCTATCCCGACCACTATGTTGGATATTGATTTACTATGCGAGCAAGCCAGCAACATTTTCCGTCGGTATAACCTCCGCCATGCTTAATACATTTTGTTATTGTCTCTTTCGCTGGAACCCTATCTTTACAGTCGCGGGTAAGGTTGGCTAGTGGAAGTCAGAACGTGCTCTCAAACAGGTCATGAAGCCTTTTGCGGGAACCTACATGGAGTGTGCCTTAAGAGAACGAGTGCTCATGGGCAAACCTCAGCTCAAACAGACAGAGGTATGTCAGAAACCTAATATTATTTCCCAGGCGTCCTGGTCTTATGTCTTCAAAGAAGTCTATCCATCCCGAACCCGCCGGCCACGCCCCCACGATTGGGAGTTACTCGAGGCACGTTTTCTGGCTCTCTTCTACGCTCCGATCGCAACCAGGATGAGGAGTTATACTTAGACATCGACTTACTACGCGAGCAAGCCGGTCACATCTTCCATCGACGCAACCTTCTCCCTGCTTGATTCATTTGTTATCGTTTATGCACCATCAATCAAGTACAACCTCCAGGAGACAAAAGAATGGAGAAAAAGAAGCTGAGGTTTCTCGCACGACGCCCTATACCCCTCTTGAATGATACCAAGGAAATGTACTTTTGAGTTCTATGAGGTTGACATATAGACTCCCAAAATCATTTTACCAGTCACGAGTTTGGACGGTAGACTGAGAAGAAATCTAGGCCGTCAAGAACGATGGTTCAAAAGACATTCAGAAAAACCTTTTGAAAAAGAAACAGAAAGTGGAAGCCTATCTGGGGCTACAAGGTGTCGTCCGAGAAGCCCCAACTGGAAAGAAACAGCATGATCTAGAATACGTATGTAGCATGGGTAAAAATATAATTCATAACTACCCCTAGGCTAACCCTTCGACTTTTTTAATTTCAGTTCGAAATTAGATCAAACCCAGAAAATAATAAAATTTCCCCCCATTTCTCATCAACTCATCAATCCACTTAGTTCCTTAGTTGTCTAGAACCTTGCGGGCAAAGTTGGGCAGGACGAAGCTGGCGCGGTGGATGTCCTTGCTGTAGTAGCGGCACAGCTTCTCCTCCTCCTCGCGAGTCCACTCACGGAGAGGCTCACGGAGGTTGCGGGTGGCGTCCTTGCAGCAGACCATGAAGCCGATCTGGCCGGAGGGGTAGGTGGGGATGGTGGTGTAGGCGTACTCGACGACGGGGAAGACCTCACTGCAGGCCTTCTTCAGGCTGGCGATGAGGGGGAGGTGGAGCCAGAGGTTCTCGCCTGAGATTGTTAGGACGAAAATGAAATAGGAAATGAAATGCAAGTTAGAGGGGAAAAGCGGGCTACGTACCCTGGGTGGTGATGACACCGCCCTCGGTGAGAGCATCGTTCAGAAGCTCAAAGTAGGGCTTCTGGAAGAGGGTCTCGGCAGGACCATCGGGGTCAGAAGAGTCGGTGATAATAACATCGAACTCGTTCTTGTGGTTCTTGAGGAACTCGAAGCCGTCACCGACGTACTCGCGGGACTTGGGGTGGGAGAAGCCGATGCTCATGCCGGGCAGGTACTTCTTGGAGACGCGGATGACGGCCTCGTCAATGTCGCAGAGGGTGGCCTCCTCGACGCACTCGTGCTTGACAACCTCACGGAGGACACCGCCGTCGCCGCCGCCGATAACCAGGACCTTCTTGGGGTTGGGGTGGGAGTTCATGGCGAGGTGGGTGATCATCTCCTGGTAGGAGAACTCATCGCGCTCGGTGCACTGGATGGCGTTGTCCAGGACCAGGACGGTGCCGTAGTCGCTGGACTCGAAGACGAGGACGTCCTGGTACTTGGACTTCTCGTGGTGCAGGACCTGGTTAACCTTGAGAGTCATGGCCTGGCCGGGCCACATCCGGGACTGCTCGGAGAACCAGCCATCTGAAATTGGAGAGTTAGCGATGCCATTGACTTAGAATAATCTAGTATATGGTATTATAAAGTGATTGGGCGGTGCTGGTGCGCATTGTGGCCGATTCAAGTGGATGGTGGGATGGAGGGGTCAAACTGGGATGACGTTGAAAGATGGCGGGGTCGCAAATCTTTGCCCAGCGACTGGGAAATTTGCGCTGGAGGTGACGAGCTGGAGAGGAATAATTGAAGCTTACCCTTGATGGTGGGGTGAGTGATCTCGCTCATAATGACGGTAGAGGTAGAGGTAAAAGTGCGACGACAGACGGGGACAGAGAGGCGTGAAGAAGGAAGCAATCGAAGAGAGCGCAACATGCGAGAAGAAAAAGGCGGCGGTAGTTTTGCTGTTTTGGGAGAATTTTTATTGCAGCGGTTCAAGTGGAGACAAGCGGACCTTTGGGGCCACTGAAGAGGAGACTTGACAACGCCGAGATGCACAATTGGGACTAAGAAAGAGGACACCCGTTGATAACAAGAGGGGAAAGATCAAATCAGTTCGTAATAGAAACCGGGAATTGGGCCGTCAGGCAAGAAGCAAAGTTGACCCAAACGGGGTATAATATGAGCAGAAAGAAAAAAGACAGGGCTGGTCTGGCCAATTGAAAGGCCCCAATTGGCGCTGACTGAGAGACTCGCCTGGTATGGAGATCAACTATATAAAGAACACAATGATAGATTCAGAACATCCACAATTTAGGGTCCAAATTGACAGACAAATAAAATCCCAATTGATCAATTGCTTTCTACTTTACTGTACAAAGGATACAGCTGCTCGGCTCGCATCGCTGTACGCGTGCGTCACCTCGGTATACTTCCATCTCGTCTTCCCCAATTATCAAGAAACTCAAGATCAACTCCGCATTTACTCCTCGCCGCTAGCACCCTCGAGCAGGCGGCCGGGCTTGGAGTTAAGGAACTCGTTGCTATAAATATACAGTATCAGCACATATTCTCTTTCCCAGTCTGCCTGCGCTTCCCATGCACAACTCCAGACAAGGAAGGTCATTCTTACCGCTCAACAGCCCAGTTCATGGTAGCGTAGGCAACAATGAAGGGAGGAACAACGTAGAGGACCTGGTGGCGGAAACGACGGAAGCTGTTGAAGATGGCAGCGTGGAAGGCACCAGCAAAGGGACGCTGGCGGTTGGAGGAGAGCGAATAGGAGGCAATGCGCTGGGGGGTCGGGCAGCCTGAAGGAGTCGAATATGTTAGTATTTAGTCCTATTGCCGTCTCATTATAATCCACGCTTTTTCGGTCGGATCGGTGGTGGTCGAATCTCTCGGATATGCGCATTGGGAAATTCAAGGAAGCTTCGTCACGTACCGAACTCGCCCCAATTGCCAATGAAACTAGAAGAGACATGTTAGTTGACTGACAACTCAGCAGTATCTAGTCGAACAGCAATTGACGTGATCGGAGCAGCGCTCATGGACTGCGGTTTGCCTGGCCGACCGAGCGGGTGCAACCGGACACACATCCCCAACGCGGTTCTCGATCACACCAGAGCTTGTCAACAGGGAGAGTCAATGCAAGCACTTACTGGCCGTTCTTAGCGTCAGCAGCACCACCCATTGTGACAGAATCAAATCTCAAGGAAAGAAGGCGAGGGAAGAGATGAGGTTGAAGAGTGATTGGCAAAGGGCGGAAAGGGAAAAGACGAAGTCGAAGTCGGGCGAAGTTGGCACCCGCGCACTAAACCCAATTAGGCAACCCCGAAAAGCCCGCCATCATTGAACGACGACGAGCTCACCTCCGCTCTCTCCAAATCTAACATCCAACCTCCCCCATCCTCCTCACATCATGGCCAACGCCCTGTATAACGTCTACCGGCTAGCTGGTCCCGTGGCAGCCGGTGCTATCTTGTTCAACGCCTCCATCTATGATGTTCGCGGTGGTACTCGCGCCGTCATCTTCGACAGGATCTCTGGTGTGCAGGAGACGGTTGTCAACGAAGGCACACACTTTTTGATTCCCTGGTTGCAGCGAGCTATTGTCTACGATGTCCGGACAAAGCCGCGCAATATCTCTACCACCACTGGAAGTAAGGATTTGCAGATGGTCAGCCTGACGCTTCGCGTGTTGCATCGCCCGGAGGTGCCGAAGCTGCCTCAGATCTACCAGGTAGACAAAACACCTTGACCATGTCATCTAAAGCACAAAATCTAACCATTTCTTTGTTCTTTACAGTCCTACGGCACAGACTACGACGAACGTGTCCTCCCCTCCATCGGAAACGAAGTCCTCAAAGCAATCGTCGCCCAATTCGACGCCGCCGAGCTAATCACCCAACGTGAAGCCGTCTCCAACCGAATCCGCAACGACCTCCTCAAGCGCGCATCCCAGTTCAACATCGCCCTCGAAGACGTCTCCATCACCCACATGACCTTCGGCAAGGAATTCACCCGCGCCGTCGAGCAGAAGCAGATCGCCCAGCAAGACGCCGAGCGGGCGCGCTTCATCGTCGAGCGCGCCGAGCAAGAGCGCCAGGCGAACGTTATCCGTGCTGAGGGTGAAGCCGAGTCTGCCGAGATTATCAGCAAGGCCGTTGCCAAGGCTGGTAGTGGTTTGATTGAGATCCGTAAGATCGATGCTAGCAAGGAGATTGCCCAGACACTGGCCAATAACCCCAACGTCACGTACTTGCCGGGTGGAGAGGGTAAGGATGGTGGGAAGAGCACTAGCCTGCTCTTGGGTCTGCGGAGTTAAAGGGTGAGATGAGAAGGTTTTTGGAGGGAGGAAATGAGTTCTGAAAGGAAGGGCTGGTTTAGCTTGATGCCGGCTGCTTTCTTTTTTGACCAAACCAAATGTACCAATTAATCGCAAGCGAGAGACCGTGAGACTGTGGATGAGTCTTGCGGTGGTGGACTTGATTTGTTTGTCCGCCATTATTGATCTGTAGCAATACCAATACCTCTACTCTATTATGTGTCAGGCCGGAGGATAACAACCTCATAAAAGATGGATGCTAGTCATCGTATATCGATGTCAACTACTGATCTATTCGTAAGATTGATCTATTTTTGTATATGTATCGATAGATATCAATCCTTTTCCATGTCTTGATATCCAAAGGGTATCATCAATTTCCTCTCCTCCATAACCCTCCCCCTCTCCCATCACATCCCAAACAATACAATCCTACAACCTCCGATAAACATGAACCTGATACCTCATATCCTCCAACCCCGCCCCCTCCCCAACCTCATACCTCAACCTACTCGCCTCCCTCCTCCACCACCTCGAGTCCTGCGTGAGAACCCTCTCCCACTTCCCCTTCGCCACAGAAAGCAACGTATGATCCAACAAGAACTTCATCGGATACTGCCGTTCCTGCGCCTCCCCTCCATCTTTCGCTTTACCCAGTTTCAGGGTGGAGTAGCTTCCTGGACTGTCGACGACGAGTAGGACTGCGCCCCGAGGGAGGAGTTCTGTTATGTTCAGGAGGAGACCGGTTGTTTTGGGCATGCTGGTTGTGAAGAGTTCATTTAGGGTGAACATTAGGGTGACGAGCAGGGGTGGTGGAGACATTGATGGGGTTGTTGATGGGGAGGGGCCTAGGATGAGATCTTTGAGATCGGGTTCTGGGAGGCCGAGGACGTCCTTTCGAGTGAAGGATACTTCGAGACCCGGTTTGTCTTGAGTGTTGGGGAGGAGGGGTGGCTGGTATCTTGATGACTTTTGGGTTGGGACATCCGGTGATGCAATGGTCTTGGATAACCGGTCCGCGACAATAGACCAATCCGCAATATCAACCGCTTCGACAGTAAGTCTCGGTGATGTAGACGTCGTCTTTTCAGTATCACCCTTCTCCTTCTCCTTATCATCCAAAGAAAACCCCTCAACACCCTCCCCCAACGCCGCAACACCATCATCACCATTACCACCTAAATCCCTCCACGCCGCCGCAAGAGCAACAATCTCCGCCCCACCACCTCCACCAATACACACCACTCTCGTCGAGCCATGAGATGAATCACTTTTTCCTTCTTTCTCAGATTCCATCCACCTAAGGACAGCCTTAAAAATCCCCGCATACCCCAACGCCCTCGCCGCACTCCACCTTAACGCATAAGCTCTAAGCAATTCTTCGCCCGCCTCCGCAAACGCAGAGTCAAAGTCCCGCTGGTACAGATGTGCCTTGATCGTCTGAATAAGCGTCTTAGTATCCAGTGTGACAGGTTCGCCATTGGCAGGTGCATCTGCATCTGATACTGCATCTGTTTGCGGGGCGGGGCTGGTGAGAAGCGCTTGCTTGAAGACGTCTAAGAGGAGTTGTTGGAGGGGGATTGGGATCGTGGTGGATAGATTGATTGGACCGGAATCTGTATCTTCTTTTTGGGGGGTTGGTTTGGTGGCAGGGGTGCGTTCTGGCTTTTCTTTTTCTTTTTCTTGTCGTGCGGGTTGGCGGGTTTTTTGGAGGGGTTTAGAGTCGAAGGTGTCTCTGTCTTTGCGGCGGTTGCCTTGTCGTGCGCCTGGCATTGTGGTGGTTAAATTCTTTGCAGGGATAAAATGTGTTGGGATAGTAGTTGGGTATTAAGACGACAATTGCAGTCTGGAGTGGGTGATTGCACAGCTTAACGTGGGGAAAGTTGGAAGAACACAGCTTTTTTTTGGCTTATCGCCGCTTATCACAAAAGTCAAATTGCCACTACATACACCAACACGGGAGAGTATCGAATTGTAGATACCATACATCCCCCGCCAAAAAAAACACAATAGAATCACGAAGGAAAAGATGATGATAAGAAAAAAATGAGCCCATCCATGCACAGGATGAATGGGGTAAGAATGATATTCCAGGCAGATCGCCATGAAGCAAGAAAAAGTGGTTGGAGAAGGAAAGATGAAAATAAAACAATAGAAAAATAAGGAAAGGTCCACGCGGGGACAACGATCGTAGAGAAGGTCAATAATCAATCCGTGCATGACTCACACAGGTACATAAACGATGGACAAGAAAGATTGTGAGCATATCATACTCGGGGGCCAGCTACGGCGGTCCCGAGAGTAAAGAAATTCGTAAGAAATGTTGTCTGCACAAGAGACCACAGGCAGGAGTTTAAAAATGACCGCCGAACTGACAGACCACGCACAGAAAAAGAATCCACAGGGGAAAGAAAAACAATAAAAACAGCCGAAGCTAAATATGTACAGGACCGATCGGGGGGTAGATAGAGAGTAGAGAGCCCAGATAACCGAATAGGCGAGATGAGATGCGAGGATGGAGAACGGAACGGATGACTCTTGTCAGGATATCGCTATGCCGGAATATTGCGCCGCGAAAGAAAACGTAAATGCAAGTCAGAACCAAAGAGTAGGTCTACTCTTGTATCGACCGGTCGGAGGACACGGTCGGCTCTGTGTGCTTCTCCTTGTCCTTCACCTTCCAAAAATGCACCAAGCGGCTGATACGACGCTTCTTCTTGGACTTTTCAGGTGTATCCCCGGGAGGCTTCTCCTCTTGATAGAGTTTACTGCGCTCTGAGTGAGGTCCACCGACGAGTTTGGACAAGCTAGCCAGGCTAGAACGTTTGGAAGCGTTAGCCTGGCTGCTCCGTCGATTGACGGCTGCAGAAAAGGATGCAGCTCGATCGGTGGACAGGCGAGCACGAGGGAAGAAGGTAGCAGAAAAGCGATGCGTAGTACCGGTCATGGTGGATGCGCTGCTCGTAAGGGACGGCACATCCTCCACAGAGGCGTATGGATAGTCTGATGGCAGATGTTGGTAAGAGTGGGACGAGAAGTTGCGGTCATTGAAACGTGGGGCGTCAGGCGAGGGGAATGAGGAATCTGAGGGCGAGACACCAGCAGACAGTGAGAACGGCGGAATGCTCGGCAGCAGCTCCTGAGGAGATGTAGCCGGTCTCTTATCAATAGCAAGGAAGCGTGGGGAGACATCGGGACTAGGCGGGCCTAGAACCTTGGACACGCTTTCTTCGGACTTGAGAATCTCCACTGGGGTTCGGGGCTGGCTTGCAAATGGATTGCGTGCGGTTTGCATAGCGTCGACAGCAGTACCATTGTCGATCACAGCTGGTACCTCCTTTTGGGTCGAAGATTCCTCGGTCGCCTGAATTCCAAGACCTGTAGGCTTTGAAGGGCTAGATTCGGGAGCCTTGGTCAAGGTATCTGCAGTGTCTTCGCTCTTGACTGACTTCTTGTCCTCATCAGAAGATGATGACGACAGGATAGCCATAGCACTCTCAGCAGGAGCTGATGAAGCAAGCTCATTCCTGGGAGATTGATTGGCAGCCAGGAACGCATCCTCATCTTCTTCGTAAAAGACGTCAGGAGTCTCCATTTCTGAGTTGCCGGTCAACCGAATAGCGCTGAGAGCACTCCGGTCAAAGGGAGGCATCGCCGGAGCACTCTCGGTACGACGGTGATATCGCATCTCGGGACCAACAAACTCGCCACGTCGTCCACCACTATACATGCGCTGGGTTGCGAGGTAAAACTTGCTTGGGGTGCCGCGGGACTGCCGATTGTCACCAGGAGTATTAAACGGACCGAGTGCAGCATCCAAGTCAATGATGGGACTGCTCAATACGTCATCTCCTACTTGAACATTCTGCTCATAGAAGCTTCGAGGTTTCCAAGCAGTTTCCAGACTAGGCACCGGCATAGGCGATTCGTCCTTGGCACGTTCGGCGGCCGAAACAGGTGCATCGGTGTTTGTGGGAGTGCGAAGAACGACGACGTCGTCGTTGTCAAAATCGACCTCCAGAACCGATCCAACTTCCGAGTTAGATCGCGTGAGTGTAGGCGGTGTCAACGCGGGTGGCTTTGCCTTCTTCTCATGCTTCTCGTGCTTCTCATGCTTCTCTTCGGCATCACCTTTGCCATGGCGCTTGCCCTTGCCGCGAGTGAGAATACCACCAGCCCACGACCGAATACGCTTTTGCTTCTTCTTCGACTTTGAGCGAGCCTTCTTGGACGAAGGACAGGCGCCAGCCTCATTATCGGAATCACTAATTTCAGAGCCATCATCCGAGTACGAAGGGCGAGACGTATCTGTCGAATGGGCATCGTCGCTGGCGTGAATGGCGAGTGTGGCATCAAGATTTCCCGTTGACCTACTCTTCTTCGAACGAGAATGACCAGTCGATTTCGAGCGCTTGACAGCAGGAACCTTGGGTACATCCTTGCTCTGGAAAAGGTCAAAGGCCAAAGACGCATCGGCAGTTTTCGGCCGTGGCTTCGACCTCCGATTGGGAGGAGTCTCTCTTGCGACAGGGACAGGAAGTTCAGGCTGATCAAACTTCACAATGTGGGCGTTGGGCGAGGGCTCATACGACACTGCCGAGCCGGGGCGTCCGGTATCTACATCATCAGTGCTGGGGGCGGGTTCGATGCGAATTGAAGCCGGAATGGGCGGCACAGGGGGCACGGAAGGGAATTGAGGCGATGCCGGTGGGGTAGGACGACCGAGACTCGTAGCTGAATAAGACAGTGGCCGAGAAGTATTGTCGTCAAAAGTACGATCACCAGGGGTAGTAGGAGCACTAGGCGCCGAACTGGTCAGGGCCTTGTTGATCTGGTTCAGGTCGACTCCGGAGATCGCGGCTGATCGGCGATGAGCGTGATGTCGTCGTCCTGGTCCTCTGCCCGGAGGTGGTCCGGATGGAGCACTGGGTTGTGTCGGCGTAGTTGGTTCTTCCCGTTTATCCACAGATTCCCCGGCCCCTGGAGTTACTAGTTGATCGCCCCCAACGAATTCACTGTGACGCCGTCTGTGTCCACCCGGTCGAGGAGTGGGGGCTATCGGGGGCTGCAATGTTGAGCCTGCGCCGGGATTAAATGAGAATGCCGGGAGAGCGGGCGGCGTTCGACGCTGCTTCGGCTCGGGCTGCGACTCTGGTGCCGCCGGGTCGCGAGCTGGAAACACAAACGGCGGATTGGGCATCGGAGACCCCATGGTCAGGCGACGATTATGATCGGGATTCGAGGGAGGAGGCGAGTCGAAATGTTGTGAAAACCCCGACCGGTGCTGCGGGGGGAGCGAAATTGAAGCCATTAATGCTGTGCAAGAAATTGAAGAAAAGAAGAAAAAACAACGAATCGAACAAGAATAATAGAAAAACGATGGTCGAAGAAATCCAGAAGGACAGAAGTAGACCTCCAGACCGGTTGACTTCCCTAGTATGAAAAGTGCAAGGAATCTGGAGGTCGATTTAGTTGCCTCGAGCGAGGATCATTGGAATCTTCCGCACCAGGCAGAACGCAACGAGTGATGTCGGGAGAGGGTGGAATAAAGTCGATCGCAAGTATCGAAAAGGCAAAAACGGAGGGCGAATAAGGAACGGACGGCCACGACGAGGGCCAAGGAGGAGGGAGGGGTGGGTGGGCGAAGAGAGAGGAGTCGTGAAGGTTGAAGGTTGAAAGGTTGATGGTGATGGAGAGAAGGTTGAAAGGGAAAAGGCGAAAGAGAAGAACAACAAATCCAGGAGGGGCCCAATTGGCTGGTACTGTACGGTATTTACCCGTCCTCATCCGAGCACTGGGCAATAAGGGGCGAAGAGGAGTCCCGGAGATTGGGAAATTACCAATTTACTAGGCAATAATACACTGTCAATACCGGATTTTCTATACGAGAGAGGCACTCTAAAGTGACCAGACTACCCAGAGCGACTGCGACTTACGGAGACTCCGTGCAGCGCAAGCAGAGGGGAGGGGGAAAGGATCCGTCTCATCCTGGTCCGCGTGTCCCTATTGACTCTCCTGCTAGTCCCTTCAAGGCCTTAGTGCCAGGCCTTCCTACGTACTCCGTACTATGCTACGTACGACGGAGTTCTGCACTACGACGTGAACTGGGCGTCGCCTGAATATGATGTGCCCTAGGATCTTGGTGCGCTGAAGGAGACCTGATCCCTGCGCCCTGGATTGGACGGCCTGACGCCAATCTAATAAACTACTGTATAGGACCCCTCGAAGGTTCATCCCTCGGGTTTATTGACTTCTGGAGAAACGCCCCCCCGGCCCAGATCTGGAATCGGATTCAAAGCAAGACAGAACAAAGAAGAATCAGCATTCCTTGGAATGTCAGATCTGACCTATTGTGCACAGGCGAAGTCCGGGGCACACTATTGGAAAAAGTGTTGAAGGGAAATAAATACCGAACAATAGAGGACGTCATGACTTTTCGACTGGTTGCCACCAGGAGACCCAGACGTGTCGACATTTGACCCAGCCAAGGCCCCCAAATTCACAGCAGTTCGTTCGCTGGCAATCCGATGGGGCCGTTACAGGCATTGTACGGACCACTTTATCAACCCACTTCCCACTTTATCTCCCAGTTGACCCGGGTACGACCATCTCAGGATCCTGGGGTCCAAAGGAAAGCCGCCAATAAGGAAACGCAGGCATCCGGAGAAAAAGTGGGCTGCAGGCACCAATGAGTCTAACGCGAGGGCCAATCATTCGAAGCAATTTCGGTTGTTACCGGTGGGTCTTACAGACGCCACGCTGGGGGGTGTATGCGAGTCACAGGGGCGGAAGCCTCGAGTCAAAGGTGCATCGGTGAGATGTGCCTGTTGCAGGGGGAATCTGGATCTTCAGGGTATCATAATCCTGGCCTGGGCTAAAGCTGATGATTGTAAGCAGGGCCATGTTGGACCTTGGGCTTCGAACCGACGAACCCGAGTCTATCGTGTTTGACTCTGTCCAAAATGGGGAGAGCCCTATTACATTGCCCGGGAGATTGGCAGGTCACACTACTGGTACCAAGGCCTGCGACATCTCCATCAAATGGGGCTTGGCGCCCCAGTAAGATTGGATATAAATAGGGAGAGCGACGAGTTAGCGCCATTTTGACATAAAAAAGGAAGAGTTGGACAGGTTACAACTCCATACTGTCGACATGTTAGGGTCATCATGTAAGACCCGAGGGCGATCGGGGGGCTGAGGGCGAGGCGGTTCTCCCCTGCACCGCCATCGAGGGGGTTGGAAGGCCAAATGAAACATCTTTGAGACCCCCTGCGTCCAGAGACAAGTTGCAGCAGCGATGGAGCCAATTGCGGAAGCTGGATTGGCTGTAAATTGCATGTGGGTTTGCCTGTTTCTTAGAAGGGCAAAGGGGGAAAGGTTGGGCGGGGGCCGATCGGCAAGAAGCCAATGGGGCGGCAACGGGAGATTCGGCGCGGCCTTTCAATGGGTCGATACTATCTATGGATGGCATTCGTACGGAGTACTGCATTTAGATTGACTGCCGAAATACTGTATAACAGGGTAAGAGCTGAACGTGCAATTATTAATTATGGACGGGTGATCGGATAGACCAGTAGAAAAATGAGATCGAATCCCCGAATCTGACATCCATTCAGCCATCGTGACGGACTCCTCACCAGGCAACACGAAGACGAACAAGAAACCTGAGAAAACAAAGGAATAAAGAACCCGACAACAAACAAAGTACACAAAGAACAAAGTCCCACAGCCAGCCACAACCGGGTAGCTAACCAAATAGTCAAGTTAGGTAAGGTCATAACTTGTCAAATCAAGCCTTACTACTTATGAATAGTTGATGCGTTGCTGCCTTGTACCTCGCCGGTGCACAACGCCTACTAATCTGCTTCCGCACAGAGATCGATCATTGATTGGCAAGTGTATTAAAGGTAATCGGAAGGCCGGTAATCCGAGCCGAGGGAGAACACGTACAGTAATGGCCTGGCCGAGATCTTAACTTGAGGCCAGACACTGATCTTGCACTACTATAGGCCGGCGCTTATCCAGTACTATCTACATAGTACAGTTCCTGCTCATAACACATCACGGAAGAAACAGTTCTCAAGAACATCAATGTTAGTCCTTTGAATTGAGAATTATAAACTGAGGGCTACTCTGTTCTATCCACCGGCTACCTTGTCAAATATCGCTGAAATCCTCGGCGGATATAACCTTACTCCGAGTTATCTTTTTCTCTTTCATGCATCTTGCTGTGGGTATGCAGTTGGGCCTGCTGGATGCGTTTGATACCACAATTACTCGGCGAGGCTCCTTCATGTTGGGCTGTGCATCCCCTTAACACCAGAGACTTAATTCAGAGATACTTTCTACGGGGATTGCAGTCGCAACTGGCCTGATATATTGGCTATGATATTGGACAATTTCTCCTATGAACCAACAAGCTCTGGCTGGTAGAAAACAGCCAGTTCTTCGGTGAGTATCAATCAATACATCTTTCTAGCCAATCAGTCGATGCATGCATGTATGGCACTCCCCTTTCTTGTTGTTGTTCTTACTTGTCAGCTCTGATGACATAGCGAAGGCTTCCAATCTAAGAATCGCTCCCTCAACCCACAAATCAACTGTGCTTTGCCATAGTCTTACAACAATAAAGAGAATCAAAAAGAACGGCGCCAGCATCAGGACAGGAATAGGGCGGCCAGGCTCAGAGCCGCGCATGTCCCGCTGTTTTTCGGAGTCCTGTTCATTTCTCGATGATGATTCAGAGAATCCCTGAGGTGTACCAGGGTAGATAAATAGCATCCATGCTAGAATCGAGCGCATAAGCGGGCCATGAAGCAGGTATAGAGGAAAACTCGCCTTCCCAAGCCAGACGAGATATTCTTTCGATAATGCTAGGCGAAGAGTCGGCGAAAACAGAACAGCACTACATATCATCTGAGCGCCGATTCCTTGCCAGTATCGGTTCTGGACTGCGTTTCCAGAGAAAATCCACGTTCCAAGTATTTGAAGCCGACGTGACCACGACGCAAAGTCGGCGTTTGTGCGTGGATACGAGCCCAGATAAAGGCCCACAGTAACGCACGCATACAACAGCCAGGTATTCCAAACAGTGGTCCTTGTACTTCTGAAACACGGGAGACAAGTACATTCTGCTAGAATCATGCCCGCAAGGGTTTAACACGTTTTTGACTCATCGCCACCAACCAAATATCTCTGGAGTTAATAACTCACCGTGCCCTGTAGACCAACTCCAGATATAGAAACAAATTTTCACAGTCAAGCGGAACGATGGGCTTGTGAAGACTGTCGCCAGCAATGTCAGGTAGGTAAATTATGACCCCTGAATGATATATGTGAGCGACCACTGGTTTGTGTCATAACGGTTTCGGCCATAATCCTATGTCGTTTTTATTTCTCCTACTAGATCACAGATCGCTCTACTCCAGCTTGGGCTTGGGCGGGGTGTTTTTCGATACCACCAACCAGCATCGAAGTTTCGAGCATCAAACGCACCAAGTTGGCAGAGAGACCAAGCCAAGATGGTTGCAAAAACACCTGAAGACACTATTCTGCCAGTTCTTCGAAACGCACTGGTGGCAAGCGTAGTGAAGGCTTTTTGAAATCCCCTGAATTGCTGAGCCTAATCACACTGATCGAATTCGTAAATCCGAGCAGGACAAAGAATATAGAGACAAAGAATTGTCCTTCGCCAAGAAGCCGAAGAATAGGATATTGGAAGAGCCTTATTGGTCCATCTTTGCCTCTTGCTGGCCATTCGATGTATTCCGCAAAGCAAGGTGTCAGGTGACTGAGCACTATGAAAACAGAGGCAATCCTACGAACTCCCTAAGTGCGTCATATTAGAAGTGGACGGAATTTTTGATCGGAATCATACCTCAAGACAAGGGAAAGAACGTTCCGATCGGTTGATCTTTTGAGGAACATATGGCATTATCTCGTGTTGTTATCGATACCATACAACTTGTCATGCGCACTTATCGAGGAATAACCCAGTCTCAGTAAAGAAGTCTATAGAATACATAGGATCAATGTTATAGCTCTATCTAATAAGCATCATGATTTATCTTGGAATAATGTGGAATGTTCCCAAATCGATGACGTTTGTGTCCGATGGCCCATCCTGAGAGTTATGCAGTCTGATAATTTATCCCAATCATTCCTCCCCCTTTATACCTGATAATCCCAACTGCAGTCATGTAGCACAAATTTTACCCTAGGGTAGGACCAGGTTCGGGATGGAATGCCTCCAAGCCTAGTTACTTTTACTTATAGAGATACAAGTACATGTATAAATTCAGCTATACTACCACCTACACCACTAGTTGACAGGCTACCTGATCCAATCTTTTGTTCCTTCCCACAAACGTCTATTGCTTTATCATGAGGGTTGTCAACTTTATCCTCGCTGTCTTTGCTATTATTGCCGCTGCAGTTGCCGACGACGAGTAAGATCCCCTAGGTTCTATGGTATATTTAATTGGTGCTAATTGTGATCAGCATCACTGCTCTGGAAGTTGACCTTGACATACCAGCTTTATAACCTCAGTGACCTTCCTAATGAGGCGTCCCACGATACGGGCTGTCATTGACCGATGGACAATTGCTAAGAATGGACTGCATGGACACTCGGCTTTGATCGCTTTCAGAAGGGAGATTGGATTGAAATGAATATAGGATCCATTGTTGCTGAAGATCGGGCTTATATTCTATTAAGTACCTCCTTTGTATTTCGATTGTATAAGATCGGGAGCATCAGGAACATGTATGTGTAAAATGGACTACATTCTCCACACTCCAAGAGCAGCTACGTTAGAAATTTGATATTATCGTGTGCATATGGATACTGTTAACCACTTCCCGCGTCATACTCATGTATCTTCATACTCACATAAAATAAGATATATCTTTTGTCTTGAGAACACATGGGCTGAATTGTACAGAAAGCTTAGTATCACAAGCTATTCAGGGATCCGCCCAAGTTCATCGACCACTATCCAGAAGAATCCCTTCTCGATTCCTGGCTCTAGCTGGCCCATGTCCTGTCTTGCTTGATCCTCTCGGCCAATCTCCTTATTTTCGAACTGGATTATTGATCCTTTCTCATCTGTATCTCTTTTTCCCTATTTAAAACCCTTAATGCCTACCAAGCAAAATTGAACAGCCTTCCGGTAAACAGTGCCCATCTCAGATCCAAGCTCCTTCTCTACCACAGCAACGACTGCTTTCGACCAAGACAGTCGCGAAGGGTCAATGAAATCCTCAAACTTTGCCATCTTTTCAAAGCGACGTTTGGATGAACAGGTTGATTGATTGAAGAGGCACTGATGCTCGGTGATAAAATTAACCATTGTATTCAAATAAGGAGACAACCAGAAAGTATCACATCGAGGTGCATTATTACTATGAAACCTCCTTATCAATCCTCATCCTCCCCATCAACATCATTAGCGAAATACGAAAATTGAACGGTATTTCCAACGCTGCTGAAGATTCCAAGATAAAATCTCGTTTCATTGACTGGTGGTCCCTCGGTAGGATTGAGCAGGTAGAGGTAAAAGCTCTGAAAAGCTCCAGACCGGTTGCTCAGGATTGGCGTGATCTGCACATTCGGCGTACGAGCGAATGGTTTCTTGAAGGTGAATCGTGTCCGCTGCCCGTTGGCATATCTTGTGATTTGACCTTTTCCTGCCTCGACCTCTCCGTTCACTCCATGCAGGTCATCCCTGAGCTGGCCTGTACAATTATGTCAATGCATGGAAAGTTTTGGCGAAGGCTCAGGCTCCTGCTTTGCCTTGAGCGCTCATGATCTTTAATTGAGGAGGATAGTTCGAGGTCCTTAAATCAGGCAGTATTAGAAACTCGCTGGGTTATGGTGAAGGGGGAGTGCAAGGGACTGGGCAGATAGAATTTATATGAAAAGGTCATACACTCGAATCGTTGACAACATGTTGACCTCATGTTCAACCGATTCAGCTGAATGCAATATCACGTCATTTTATCTGCATTCAAGTCACAGCTAGTGCGGTCATGGCTTCAATAAAGATGGATGGATGCTCGCCACGCTACAGATACTCTCCCTCGGCACCGGAAGCCAACAGACATACCATGCAGAACACATAATACTTACTGCAATATGCAAGTAAATTGATGGCATCCCCCCATCCGCGGCCCGGACGGGGGTCAGAAGACCTTATTTTGTGTTGAGCATAGACCATCGTAGCAAATGAACAAAGTCCCTTCGTATTGTGTTATACAAAATTTTTTTTGCAAAAGAAATCAACTGCCTTTCTCTTCGAAGATACGGGCTTCGGGAAATTTGTTAAATGCTAGCCAGCCAGCCCTGAAGAGCCAGTGGAGTTTTTGTTTAATTGTGGTTCAACAACATGACCACAGGGAGACAGCCATATCAGGTATGCATGCAGACTCGGCGAGTGCTACGTACCATCTGGTCATTGTGCGGGGTTCTTGTCGTTTAGCATATGCAGGTCTACTTTCTATGAGTTTGAGCTGAACCTTGCATGAGCTATTCCAACTATTGAATTACTGTGTAACGGTAGCTTCAACATTTGTTAGATTTAATGCATTATTCCTTCAATAGAGACATAGCCTACATAAGCCCCATCGATTGATCGTACAACAGTAGGCCAAAGCCCTCGATCCTATCTAATCAAAATCGTGTTCAGAGCTGCATATTGCGCCTCCACACGTCACACAAAAGCAAAGGCTCGTGGAGCGCATGAAATCCTAAAAGAGATGACCGAGCAAACCCGAATCTTGCTTGAGCTGATCTTCCTCACTGCTTTTTCTTCATCTCAATGTTGTAGTTTGCCCCAGCTCGCTATACTATAAAAGATAGTCATGTTCTTGCCTTTTTCCTCGAATATCCTCCAATCCAACTTCCAAAGATCTTCGAGATGCTCAACTCAAGTCTTATTGCCTTGACGCTTTTTGCAGTCGCTACTGCGGGAGCCGCGGTTCCCATAAACATGGTATAACAACCCGTCCTCATATCATTACCTGTCAAATTCAAACAATTGGCTAACAGCGTAGCTAGGCACGCATCTTCACGAGCGATTCCTTTTTCACTTATCGTGCCAGTGACAGCAAGATTTGGCATTCAACGGTCAATGCAATCGGTTAAAAGGTGACCAGTGAGTCAATAGCGTAGTCTTCAAGATTTGGTCACGGCTGTAAATACGTGCAGGTATTAACTTCAAATTAGGTACCATGACGTCGGATCAATCAGTATACCCTGTCAACCATCCGGGCCACAGGGCAAGAAATACATTTGTACTCCGTACCTGTGAGCGAGCCTTGTGAGACTCAATCTGGACAGAAATATACTAACGGCCCGGCCTTGATGACACGGCTTGTAAAGATACGATAGTTACTTTTGATCACTCCCATTACCAGCTGTTCGATTATGGCGAGAGTGACAGAAACAGTGCTGTCGGCGGGAATGTAGGAAGTATCAAGTGCGAGACCATTGACGCCTCGACACCAGTCTCCAACGACAACGCCACTCCATCCACGATGCACCAATCGAGTTGTCCGGATGACTCGTGCAACTCCGACTCCGACTGCTCGAAAGACGCAGAAAGCCTTCTTTACTGCGCCAAGTAGAAATCAAACACCTGCCAACGAGCTCGCATTCTTCCTGAGGGCGCTAAATGACATGACAATGTGCAGTGCGCGAAAGGATACTGCAGTTGTGTTCGGGATGTTTTCTTCCCGTGCAAGACCAAAAGAGTATATTTGGACTTATGTGACTCCACTGGCGAATGCGCGAATGGTCTTGAGTGCTGCAAGGGTAAGTTCCTTCAAGGCAATCGCTGTGAGATGTCATGTGAAAACACCGAGCAAAAATGCACAGCTGTTGGCTTGGCTTGCTACTCCGACTCGGCCTGTTGTTCAAATGACTGCAGATATGCTCCAAATGCGATCTTCTCGGGAGAATGCCAGTAGGCACGAGAAGCGGTGAGCGTGGATTAGGATGTTGACAACGATGCTGTTCGTGGGTCCCTGGCAGGTGTTGAAAGTGGCATGAACACCACGTTACTTATCACCGTAGGTCGAAGTCTAGGTTTGCCGTCAGATATCCAGACATCATCCATGAACTGTGTCGAAGTGATTTTACTCGAGCGTGTGTTGCTAACTGTTTCCACCCATTTTCAATTACTGCGAAGAGCCTTCGTGGCCGGAGACTTTATCTACCTGTCCTGATAAAGAGGCCGTCGGCAATATCTGGTTCCGAATACATCATGCCTAGAATGCCAACTTCTTCAGCTTCGTCTTTCGTGTAGGCAAAGAAAATATGTACTTCAGTCATTAAAAGTCTTGTAATGTTTGATTAAATTAGTATTTCAAGCAATGTATCTACATTAATAGTAGCTCTGTAGTCTTTTTAGAGCATTGCTACCGGAAAATCCCCTTCAACCCGGCTGGGTGTAAGTGGCGTTACTGACAGACTCAGCTGGCAGCCACTGCCCGGCAACGGTATTGTTGTAGGAAAGCTGGGCGAGAGTGAAAGTGTGGAGCTCGGAAACCAGGACCGTAGAATCAAGAGGCAAGACGCGGTGCACCTTGGCGTTCTGAGTGGGCATGGAGATGTACTCTTCACCGGATACGGACGTGATGCCAGCGTCAAAAGTCACTCGGATCAAGGCATCGGGCGAATTATCGCTGAGTAGCGAAGTGGACAAGAGCCACAGTGCTGGGCCGCCGGCTACGGTCGAAGCGTCGGCGATATGCAGCAAACCAGCGTTAGCGCCCAGCATCGGGTGCTTGAGCGAGAAGAACTCCATCTTGCCGTCGGATCCGATGTGGCCAAAGGTGCCGGTGCCGCCGGTTTTATTGCCGGCGAGAGTGAACCACACTCCACTCAGGGGACCGTCAGCGGAGATCATTCCGACGGCGTTGTTGCCAACGCTAGGCGGGATAGGAAGCTGGGTCGTCTCGCCGGTTGTGGTATCGATACGCATGATAGACGAGTCGGTATCCTGGGTGACGTAGATCAAGCGGGTGGTGGGATCTTCCTTGATGAATACCGGGCTGGCGAGGCACTCGTATAGCTTCTGGTCCGAGGAGTCGGTGATATCGACAGAGAACACGTAGTACCCGCCAGTCTGCTTGGATGCCACCTTGAGGCCGGCCCAGACGCGGTTGCCGATCTCAAACACGCAATGCGGGCCATTTCCTGGCGCTGGGATATCGATAGTCTGGAGGATGGTCGGTGGGGTCGTGAGGTTCTTGCCGGGATCCACGAGCAGCAGCTGGTTGTCGGCCTGCAGCGACAACCACATCATGCCCGGGTAAACAGTTGATGGCCACACGCCATGTAGCTGGGAGCTGCTGTTCTTTCCCATAGGGAACGAATGGAAAGCAACGGGCTCCTCGGTCTTGGGATCCAGCTCGATCTTGATAAGCTCGCTATCAGACATCTGTGACAGCAGCACGAAGTTCGAGTTCGGGACGCGGGCGAACTCATGCGTCTCAGTAGCTGCCGGCAATAGATACTCAGTGATCCTACGGCTCACGAGCGAAGTGGCCGAGTTCTGAGCCGACACGGTAGCGCCGAGCGCCAGCGCGACCACGAATAACTTGCAAATGTGATGCAACATATCGGAAGTTTGCTGCTTGAGGATATTCAACGGAAGATTTTCCAAGTGGGCGAGATCCCCCTTATTTAACCTCCTATAGACCACAGGTATCTGCCCGACGCCACATCTCGCCCTAGTGATTTTCTATACCAGCCAGGGTTGAATACGGCTCAAAACACGATCAGCTCATAATATACTCGTACCTTACCAATTAAGCTGGGACCAATCCGAATCGTGCAAAAAGTGGATATAACACATTCGCTTCGACAGCTTCGGCTGTCGGTTGGTTTCCGGGAGCTCAGGCGGCAGAAGACAGCGGTCTGGACCGTTTTTTGGTGCAGCTGGAAAATAAGCAAATACTTCATCTGTGACCACCGAAGTTGACCGAACTACAGATCGTCGATCTCATACCGGAAGCGGAATAGTCTGTAATCTGTATCGACGCATGGGCCCTATGCGCTGTAAGGCAACAAGGCACCCACATATGCGAAGATGTTCATCCTTGAATAATAATACTCCGTAGAGACACTCCTAGGAGCGTAAGATCTAGGATAAGCTAGATTGTTTGAAGAAAATTCACCTCCGATCACGAATCCTGTGGTCCAAGTCGCTCATCTCCGGGATACCGAGCTATTATGTATGTACCAATGGAACAGACCCGCAGACCCACGTCTCTTCATGTGGAGAGCAACCCTGAACCGTTTAAAGTAGTGGGTCGTACCCGAGTACGCGACTTCAGACTTCAAACTTCGGCTCCAATCAGATGCCCGAATGAAGATGTCCACCTCCATTCTCAGGAGACGAACGTTTTATAGACGTATTTAACATTAGGTCTACAAAGATCTCTCAATACAGATAGAAGGAGGCTGAATCAAAAATGCGAATGGAGCGCCGCAGCGCTTCTTGTCATGTTATGTAGACACCTCGACCTATCCAATCACTTGTAGTCTCCATTCCAAACAGAAGAAATCAGAGGTCTCTACTGTCTAGTCTCGATGCGATATTCACGGCCTGGAACCCCAGCAGTCATAGGTTCCCAGCAGAAATGAAAAAAAATAAATAAAATAAACATGAACGAGACAAAAACTCCGATGAAAACCAACAACTGTACAGAATCCAATTTAAGGCCTAAAACACGCTAAATTCGAAACTAAAAAGTAGACGACTCAATACAAACCGCCCAAGTCCAATGTGAGGATCTATTCATCGCTTTCTGACTCGACCTGGTCATTCTCCAGATCCTTTTTGCGTTCCTCACATAACTCACGGTAAGTACTCCAACTCAACAGGAAGAATGCCGCCATGATTAAAATGCCGCCGATAATGGCTGCAAAGGAGAGGGGTTGACCGGTGCGGAACCAGTCGACGATTGCGACGAGGAAGATCGTCAGAAGAGCGGCGACGGATGAAAGGACGGGGGATGTGAGGGAAATTAGGACCAGGAAGGATCCAGAGAAAGCTAGAGGGACAGAGCGTTAGTTTCCAGCTATGTGCGAAAGATATTCAGGGATTGGTAAACTTACTAGCATTAGCACAGATCGAGATGAGCAGCATCCAGGCTGCCTCGCCCGTGGGAATGCGGAAAGTCTCCCAACCTAGCATGTGCAGAATGGGAATAGGGATCCACAGTACGGCGAGGGTGAAACACCCAATCATGCTGCCAAAAGTATTGGCGAAGATGGTGCCTCGGCCGGGGCTAGTGCCCTCCGGAGGACAGGCAAAGCGTTTATACAACACCTCGTACAGACCGTAGAGTACGCTCCCGACACCGATGACAAAATTGCCCAAAAGCCGGTTTTGGGCTTCTTGGTCCTCGGCACCGGTAGTGCCTCCCTTGGAGACCTTCTTCTCGGGTCGGTCTCCGTAAGCGACGACGAGGACACCAATGATGGCCACGCATACAGAGAAGACCTTGTCAAATCGCAGCTTCTCCTTCAAGAGAGGGATCGAGAAAGCGTAGGCGAAGAAGGCAGAGCAGTTGTAAATAGCCGTTAGGTCACTGGCTGTCGTCATATTCACGGCCACATACCACGAACCACCGGCTATCGTCAGCGCGGTGGTTACAAAGGCTGTTGTCTTTATCATGTACGGGACTGGTGAACGGTGAGAGTCGCGGGAAATGAGATGGACATCTTGGGTTTCGACCATTTGGGCGGTGGTCTTGATGAGGAAGACATGGCGGCGCCAGAATGCTTCCCATGATAGCTTTCGCTTCTGGATTCGAAGGATGAGGAGCTGAACGGGCCAAAGCAGTACCCAGGATCCGTGGGTGATATAGCTGCGTATGGGAAGAACCGGTTGGTAAGCGATTTACAAGGCCAGAGGGCAAGTGGGAGGACGGGTATGGGAGAAGTATCCGTGGGCTTCGAGTATGGGCCTGTATCGTTGGGTAGTTTGGCAGGTGACTCGGCCTTATAAACTTACAGCATGCAATACGGTTTATCCCAGTGCAGTTCATGCTGAATGTATACAGCAGTTTCAGTCTGAATGACAAAACTCGCCAAACTCAAGAGCAGGAAACCTCCCGCAATCATATACTTCTTGCGTGTCGCCTGGGTAGCGTCGTATTCCGAGTTTCTACTCTGGATGGTAGGCCGACGGGTATGGTGCAACATAGGCCGGTTCTCAGCGTCATGGCCGAAACTCGATCGGGAAAGGCGCCCTGGGGGGTCATCTTTGAGTAACGGTTGCTGCGATCGCCCGTCGTTCGGTCGGTGCATTGGGGGGCGGTTGCCAACCATCTCGTCGTCTGAATCTTGGGAGTGTCGACCAGGGTCTGGGGTGATGTCCCGCGATTCCGCAAATTCAATGTTATTCGAAGCCACAATGCCGTTGGGTGGGTGTGTTTCGGCTCTTGGCCTTTGGGATGGATCCGGAGAGGGCTGTCTCTATTGCTAGAGATATTGGATGAGGGCGTTGTTGGCTGTCCTGGCCGTGCAAGATAACCGATAAGGAGTGGAGTGGAGATGACGATGCTGTTGTTTCCCGCTCATCCAGGAGTTTGGGAATGAAAATTTGTGTTTCTATTTCTTCTGTCCGTCGGATCCTGAGCGCTCAACACTAGGTGTATTCCAGATCTTCGAGAGAAGTGCCGTAGTTCCGCATGCGTTCGACGAAATGTTTGGGGGGCGGATAGCGCTGTAGCCACGTAAGTGGTAGTTCGAGCAGGGTCCAGGGGTCGTGAGCGAGTCGGTTGCAGGCGATGGAGTCGGCGTCGCTAGAACAGAGGTTTTGAGTGGGACAGATCCAACACAAGAAGTTGAGCAATCTGAAATTTAGCGGCTGTTCACCGCGGAAGCACAGTGATACCTCAAGGAATGAACGCCTTCGTCATCCAGGACTCTATGCCGCTTCGGGGATGGGAGAGTCACGTGATGCCCTGGCACATGGCGCTATCCCCAATCTGGAATAGTGAGCCACGTTAGCCCAGCCATGCCCAGGCATGACGTCTCAGGCGTCTCCTCAGAGTGACCAATTTTGGCACCTGTGTTGTATGGGAAATGGGGTCTTCCAAGATTTGGGTAGAAACCATAAGCGCTCAGACAGTATTATTACTTAGGTGCTCTTCTTGGTAATCATCTGCCGGACTTGGGGGTCATGATCTGAAATCATCTTCACCAATCTCGCAGTCCTTAAATGCAACTGTAGTATGTAGTATCCCCAGCAGTGCATGATGCTTTGCGACCAGATGTCGATCTTGGAACAGGCGAGTTTACTGCTCTTTTGATCTTAGTTACAAGTGATTACCAACTAATGTTTGCGTAAATTCTCCGCCCTTTATGTACTCAATCAAATCACATCTGTATACATGCATGTCGAAGACAAAGCCTCCCAAAAAAATATTCAACATGACAAACATCTACACCTTGGGCTTGGGCTTGAACAGGGCCTCCTTGGTGTCGTAAGTATACTTCAAGTCCAAGTGCCAGTAGTTTGGAGCATAAGGCTTGGCGACCATCCAGGCCTGATCCAAAGCCTCCACAACTTCCTCTGGGAGAGGGCCCTTCTGGAGGTCCTTGAGGTTGGTCTCCAGCTGACCATAGCTGCTAATGCCAACCAAAATACCATCACGGCCTCCATCATCCATCTTCAGCGTCGAATGGTGACGCACCCATCGCAAGGCTGTCTCGATTAGCGTCAACCCATGCTTCTCAACAACCGGCTCGATCATGCTAAGAGCTTCAAAGTTGGCATCCCGGAAGTACCGGCTGCGATAATTATTTCCAGTGCCGCTCTTGTCACTGAATCTTCCCTCGGCGGGAGCGTCCTTGCTCTTAATCTTTCCAGAGAACAATCCTCCGGCTAGAGGGTTGTAGATAACGATGTCGAGGCCGTAGCGCCGGCAAACGGGGACTAGTTCGGTCTCGATGTTACGAGCTGTAATTGAGCCTGTCAGCTCTGCCCATGAAACACGCATAATAACCTAAAAGGAAAAGGATTCGCTACGATCACTTACTGATAGCATTGTACATGGCCTGGAAGATCGTGGGACGCACCCAACCCCTCTCGGTACAGGTGATAACAATCTCCGCGACCTCGAAAGCAGTATAGTTACTCAGACCGAACTGGACAAACTTGCCCTCCTTATGTAACTCATTGACCATTTCCAATGTCTCCGCAAATGGGACCGAGCGATCGGCGGCGTGCAAGTAAAAGATATCCACCTGATTGGTATTCAACTCCTTCAAAGACAGCTCAAGCTTCTCGCGCACCACTGAAGGTTTGTGGTCACCGGCTTTTTGCGGATACCATTTTGTCGCGAGGGTCAGACCACGCTCCTTCCAGTTCGCCTTGGCCGTGAAGGCCTCCTGCTCGCCACCGACATAGATCCGGGCAGTGTCGACTTCGTTGAAGCCTTGTTGCTGGAAGTAGTCCAGGCACTTGTTGTATTCGTCGAGGGAGGTGATGCGGGCGCCCTTGGACTCGGTCGGGCCAAAGGTCATCAAGCCGAGGATGACTCGAGGCTGGGGATTTTGGGCAATCAGCGGCATTTCGTATAGCGGTGGGATTCGACTGTTTTGGTGGGGACTGGTGCAGGATGATGAGTTGGGGGTGAAGGCGAGGGAACGCGGGGGAGGGGTTGCGGAATGTACCGCTGGATTGATCACGACAGCTTCGATAAGCTCCACCTTTTTCGGACCTGACCGCATTATTGCCAAATCCAAACCTTGAACTCTTTTCTGGAATATCTCGAATTCCTCAAGTTCAGGTCACTGCCAATTCAACTGGTCATACGACTGACTCCTTTCACTGTGGATATACTCGAATTGACAACCGTCACCATGCCTACACAACGGGGCGATCGTTCCTTCAAGATTATGGTCATCAATCCGAATGTATCCACGGAGATGACAGATGCTTTGAAGCCTGTAATAGAGAGCCTCAACTTCACTGATGTTGAGTGGCATTTCTATACCTCTCCGAGAGACGTCAATCCAAACGACCCCCACAGTCCAGAACTCCCCATCGACAGCATCAACAGCTCTGTGGACTCGGCCAAGACCGCATGGGTCTGCAGAAACACCGTTCAATACATCCCAGATTTTGATGCATTCCTCGTCGCCTGTTACTCCGCCCACCCTCTCGTAGGGATTCTACGCAAGGCAATTGCGGATTACGAAACGGAACATGATACCCAACGCCACCGTTATGTGACTGGCATTTTCGAAGCTAGCGTCACCACATCTCTCTCCTTGATCAGCGCATTCAACCTGACTTCCGTTCTGTATGCGCGCGATCAGGTTGAAGACTCTTTTGGCATCGTGACTACTGGCAGCGGATGGAAGCAAGAACTCACGAATGCGGTCACCGAGATGCTTGTTGGCAAAGATCGAGAAGTCCCTGCTTGCTTTGCGGGAGTTGAGACGACTGGTCTGTCTGCTCTCGAACTACACAAGACTGACCCTGAGGAGGTCAGACGTCGAATCTCGGAGGCTACCACCAGACTGCTGAAGAACTCATCTACATTTGTGGCAGCAGTCTGCTTGGGCTGTGCTGGCATGGTGGGCATGGAAGAAGCAGTGAGAGAAGGCTGCATTACGGCCTACGGCAAGAAAGATGGCCATCGAGTCCGAATCATTGACGGAGTTGTTGTGGGAGCTCGTCAACTCGCCGACCACTGTCGAACTGGCTATTAGCGTTGGCGACCAATAGCCCATGCTGCTGAGATTGAAATGAGGTGATGATGAAACCATCCTACCAAGGAGGGCAAAAACGATGCGAGTCATGAACTAGCATAATATTAGACTCAAGCTTTGTATATAGCTAGCGATGCGTGCCAAAAAAATTAGAACGAGTGGCATAATTTTAGTCTGTGCCCAGTGTTGATGTTTTGTTCCCAACCGTAAATTTCTGCCTGAGGCCGGAAATTGGCAGCCCAAAAAGTTCCCCGCGTCAACGCGATACGCGTGAATCTCCCATTCCCCTCAACGGCGCAAACTTGGTCCACAATGCCTAGGTTAGTACTTCGAGAGCTTGGTACACAATTGAAACCTTTTCAAAAACCACCCGTGCTAATATTAATGCCTTTGCAGGGAAATTATCACGATCCAAGCCGGCCAATGCGGCAACAACGGTATGTTGCTCTCCTCCGCGGACTTCGACCGCAGCCACACCAACACCACAATCACTTGGATTTCGACTTCCAACGCGGCGGGAAATAACCTATCATGGGAAATCAAGGACCCTTTTGGCTGACAGTGGCTCTCTACAGTCGGTAGTCAGTTCTGGCAACAGCTATGCCTGGAGCATGGTATCAGCCAAGATGGAAACCTGGAGGAATTCGCGACTGAAGGCGGCGACCGCAAGGATGTGTTTTTCTACCAAGTTAGTTCTCTGCGAAAAACCATTTTGAAGCCATCACAGTCGGTGCATGCGGCTAATTGGATATTGGGCAGAGTGACGATACCCGATATATTCCCCGAGCGATCCTCCTCGACCTAGAACCACGAGTACGACATTATCTTCCCTTTCGACAAACTCCTGGGGACACACCCACCTCTCGGAATATCAAATTTGGAAAATTGTCGTTGCTAATCTAGGTGCAGGTTCTCCATGGCATTCAATCCGGTCCCTATCGCAACATCTACAACCCTGAGAACTTCTTTATCGGACAAAATGGTGTCGGTGCTGGAAATAACTGGGGTGCTGGATACGCGGCTGGAGAAGGAGTTCAAGAAGAGATCTTTGACATGATTGACCGAGAAGCAGATGGTAGTGACTCACTAGAGGTATGGCTTATGTCCTTCGGTTTACGAATGGCAAGGAAACCACGAGCTCACATGTTTGCGATACAGGGTTTTATGCTATTACACTCGATTGCCGGCGGTACAGGCTCTGGCTTGGGCAGTTACCTCTTGGAACGAATGAATGACCGCTTTCCTAAGAAGCTGATCCAGACATACTCCGTTTTCCCGGATATGCAAACAACAGACGTCGTCGTCAACCCGTACAACAGTCTGCTTTCCATGCGACGATTGGCACAAGATGCGGACTCTGTGGTATGCGCTCACCTTAAAGCGGTCCATCGATGTGTAATGACTAACTCGCTGTTAGGTCGTATTGGATAATGGTGCTCTATCTCGCATTGCCGGCGACCGCCTCCACATGAGACAGGATTCCTTCGACGATAAGACGAACTTTGACCAAACCAACCAGCTGGTAAGACCCCATTTTTACGATATAAACCCGACAGTCCAAATCTAACATCCGTAGGTATCAACCGTGATGTCGGCATCTACGGCCACACTTCGCTACCCCGGCTATATGCACAACGACCTTGCCGGAATCATCGCCTCGCTCATCCCCACGCCGCGATGCCACTTCTTGCTCACATCCTACACCCCCTTCACCGGCGACAGCATCGAGCAGGCCAAGACCGTGCGCAAAACCACCGTGCTAGACGTGATGCGCCGTCTTCTCCAGCCCAAGAACCGCATGGTCTCCATGACCCCCAGTAAATCCAGTTGCTACATCAGTATCCTCAACATGATCCAAGGCGAGGCCGACCCTACCGACGTGCACAAGTCGCTACTGCGTATCCGCGAGCGCCGCCTCGCCTCATTTATCCCCTGGGGTCCGGCCAGTATCCAGGTTGCCTTGACGAAGAAATCGCCGTACCTGCAGCATTCGCATCGGGTCAGCGGTCTTATGCTGGCTAACCACACTTCTGTGGCGACCTTGTTCAAGCGCGTCATTCAGCAATACGATCGACTGCGCAAGCGCAATGCCTTCTTGGAGCCTTACAAGAAGGAGGCGCCCTTTGCCGACGGACTGGGCGAATTCGACGAAGCAAGGGCGGTAGTGATGGATCTTGTAGCCGAGTACGAGGCTGCCGAGCGCGAAGATTACCTCGATCCCGGTGCTGGGGCGGAGAAGGAAGTGGGCGTTTGAGAATTAACGAGGCATTTCAACTTGCTGGTCCGCAGTATCTTTATTTCTTTCCCCTTTGTTTCATTCATATCTCTTTTTTGCCCGGGCAGGGCAAGGGGTTTCGGGCGCATAAATCGGGCGCGTGCGCAGTTGGCTACTGGCGTTTGTTCTGTTTCTGTTTCTTAGTTTCCAATACCACACAGACCTATTTTCATTTTCATTTCATGACAAGGCGAGATTGACGCCTTAAGGCTATGCCAACACATCCTCCATTCCTTCCTGTCTTTACTTTTTAAACATTCATTTTTTTTTCTTGCTAATCACCTTCTCTTTGAGCTTTACCTTTGACCGCGCTGGACCACGTAGCAAGCGCTGAATGGATTGAATATCCGGGTGATCCGCGCTGTAGCCAGTGCCTCCACGGACCGGGTTCTGCAGCGGTGTGGGTGCAGAATGCAGGTGAGGTATATGCGGGTTGATCCCGAAACGGCGAGGGAGAGCCCCGTTGTTTTATAGGGTGGTGAGGTAGTCAATTTGGGTGGCTACGAGGAGTTGTTCGGAGATGCCGGATTGAGTATGTATGAAAGGAGGAGAAATTAAGGTTTTGTCCATTTCTCAAGATTGGGACCTTCGTGGACCATTTGTTGGGATGTGGACGTGGACCTTTAAAGATTTCGGGGTGGTGGATTGCGTACGCTAACCTTAGGTTGGAGGTATATTCCAATCCAATTCCACACGCTTGGGGTTCAGGCTTAGAGAGGAGCAGGGCTGAAGAGTCAATTGGGTAGCAAAATGCCTTGTGTAGCTAGCTCAGGGCTACTGTTCTACTCATATGTACCCCGTACATACTCCAGGAATGAGGAGTCATCCACCTATCTCGACGAAACCTCCGGTCGATGTATCAAATCTCCAACGTGGTCCAAGAGTTAAATGCCCTCTAGAGTCTGGAGATCATCCAATGTGCTTTGCTTAGGGCGCACTGGCCGGTAGACTCGTCCAATCTCACCGCAGACAGTTCATGACTCTAGCAGGTTACTCCGTGCTTTATACTGTATGTATATTGGTCTACAGTAGTAGATGGGATGTGATATATGATTTGGCATGGGTCATAGCTTCTCCTTGGCCTTGATTTCCTCGTTGCTGGCTTGTGGGGCTTAAGTACTTAGGTGGGTATGGGTAGCTATTCTTCCAAATACACCGCTGTATGCAGCATCGTTGGCTCGCCTGGTTCTCCTTGAGATCCAACTCTCCGGCATGAACACCCTCTGTCTTGCCACTAGGCCCGATGACCAGGATTCGGTGGGTGGCGTGTGTGCTGGCACCGGTGGAACCGGGACTGTAATTAGGTTCCCCTCGGGGAATAGGGGATCTATCTCGGGAATAATGACTTTTTTTGCTTCATATTTGCCTCAGCTAGCTATACGCTTTCAAGCTCCAAACATTCTTGTCAAGTCAAGGCAAAAACCTCATTCTAGCGTATTTGACTATCATTAGTTACTGAACTGACCTGAGTCACCCCCTTCACGTGAGAAGACCGAGTCACGGGAACCGATCGCCTCCCGCTCCACTAGTCAACGTTAGTGAGTCGACTAAGTTGGGTTATGGGCCTAGCAAGTCCCACTCCCGGAGTACAGTGGTGTCTGGAGTACGGAAAGTGCTCCTCCTCCTCCTCTGTAGTAGTCTCCACTATATGACTCTGCAGTTATGTACCGGCATCGCTGAACTGGGCGCTCTTTTCAGGCGCAGGATAACCGACCAGCAGGCGCAGCGCAGAACCCGCACGGACCGATGGCCGCATTCCGATCACTAGACCCGATCAGCCCTGGCGGGTCGCGTGCAAGAAAGAGACGCAGATAGCGCAAAAAGGGGCGCAGAGCATGTCAGAATGGCATAATGGGGGAGATGGCGAGATAGTGTAACTAGTGATGCCGCTAGAGGGACCTTCGACTAGGGTTCCCCATTTAGTGTAGGCATACTTATACACTTTACACCATAGTCATCATTAAGGTCCTGGCGTATGGGATAGAATCTACCCGTTAACCAGGACTGGGTGAAGTATGTACGTGGGAGGCGCCACGCCGAAGTTCGGTAGGGACACGGTAGACACGATAGCCCCAGAGAAAGGCGTCACCACATGATTGAATGACTGAGATAGAGATTACAGATCATGGGAATTAGGAATTGACAATTAATTAGCAATGATATTGTCCGAGTATTGGAAGATTATTAGTTAACTAACTAGTTAACTTTTTTGAGTAAGTTAATTAAAGATCTTGAGATCAACCTGACTAAGACAATTCAATCCCCGACGGGAATTGTTGAATGATCCATGCTGAATGATGATTAACGATCCTACCGCAAATAAAAACAGAAAATCAAAAGAAAAAAATGGAGCCTATCGAACTTTCTGGGAAGAGGGCCCGCTCGCCTCCACGCCGTGGCTGATTCCGTCACTCCCCCAGGACTTAACGGAGTACTGGACGGAGTACTGATCTTTCAAGAGGAATTCCAGTATTTCAGTTCGTTAGTACTACGGAGTACTTGGTAGAGTATGTACTCCTAGCCTCTCTCTTCTCCTACCTAGAGCGAACTATCTCCGTTTAGCGTCTTTCTGCCCAGCTCTTCTTATTAGGGTAGTCGCCTCACGCTACTGACTCAGCCGACCAGAGTCTTTCATCCTATACTCCGTAACCTTCTCCCCTTTCAACCCTGGATCCGGCCTCTAGGCTTTTTGGCTTCTTGGTTTTTTTTGGCTTTGGGCTTTCCACTTTGAATTTTTACTCTTTTGCCTGCTTCTCGTGTGTTCTTTACTCCCGTCCGTTCCGATCCCGGTCTATATATATACTATACGTGGCCCCCCCCCCCCTTCGGAGTACGACCTTCTCCCCCTTTACTTATACCTTTACATCATCTACTTCCCCCAACGTCCAACGCTTTCTCCTCCTTCTCCTCGTTCTCTCTCCTCATCATCCTCTCAATTCTCTCTCTTCTTTTTAATCCTCTTCAATCTCCGACCGAATAACCTCTCACACCTCTCTCCCTCCTATTGCTCTCCCCACATCTCCGATTCCTTCCATTCCTGAGGATCCCGGGTCTCAATCTGTTATCAGCGCTCTCGCCCTTCTCCGCATGCCTCCCATCCTCCCGTCCGCGGCGCTTATCTCAAACCACCCACGACTCCTGAAGCAGTGCACCGTCTAAAGCAACTTTATCGCGCCGCTCATCACCGTCCGACCTCAATCCTCGGGCAATAAATCAAACCATCTTCATCCGTCCGTCCCGCCACTCCCTTTCCACAACCACAACCATGGCACCTCGCAAGCCCCGTTGCAACTTCAAGGAGTGCAAGGAGGCCGCCCAGCGGATCGTCGGTGATTGCAGCTTTTGCCACGGCCACTTCTGTTCAAAGCACCGTATGCTCGAGGCCCATTCCTGTTCTGGTTTGGAGGACTGCAAGAAGGAGTCGCATGCTCGCAATGCCGATAAGTTGAATAGCGAGCGGACGGTGGTGGTTAAGGGTGTATGAGGGGGCCTGTGAAGTTTGAGGGGATCCTGATTCAGGGTTTCGGCGATTCTCTTTCTCTCTCTCTCCCCCCAACTCTCATCTCTCTGTCTCACGCCTTCCCCGGCAGTGGGCTGGTGCCATTTAGCCGGTTGGACTTAGCGCGGTGTTGACTTTCTTCATTCTGTTAATTTCTTGTTTCTCTTCTCTTGTCAGGAGTGTTTTTGTTAGCCTGGAATCTGGCTACCCGGTTTCTATCTTCTTATTGGGAGGTGCTTCCATTTACATGGCGTTCATTTGTCTTCCGTGATTTGGTTCCTGTCGATTTTTATCTGGGATTCTTGGTTCTGCATCCTGTTTGCCTGGTCTTCACCTGCTTCTTTTACTCGATTTCCTTTCTACTGAACTTTCGGGGCTGCTACATAGAGATCCCACGGGACTCCCTTGGGGCATAAGTTTCTGATTTCTGTGCTCATCGAATCTATATGAATATAAGCATCATAACAATTGCACGGTTTTCCTTCCATTCATAGCTTTCCTCCGGGCGTAGTCATATGATACAAATACATTAAGTGGATTTCTAAGTTGCCCATGCGGAACAGCTCTCCTGACACCTCCAATGTCCCTTTCACAGTCACGGGACCCTCGCATGCCCACAGACCTTAACCAGGTCCGATCTTCGGCCTATTGAATGGGTCAGCTTCAGGTACACTTTCACGGGGGATGCGTGACAAGAGTGATGACTCGAGTAAGCAGGGGGTAACACGTACATGTCATGATGCTCACTAAGCCGGCTGAGGTACTTGTTCAACTCCTCTACACGTTCCTTGTGTGACTTGATACCTTCTTTCTGGAGTCGCTCATGTAACTGGTAAATCCAAGTTAGCTCTTCTTCTAGACCGCATAAACGCCCTCTCTCCATTTAACCCAACAACTCCGCAGAAATAAAAGGTCAAACATACCCGCTTCCTGCGAATCTCCTCATACTTCCTCTCAGCCTCCGTCTTCGCCGCAGAAGACCCAGACCCACCATCTTCATCACGCTCGCGAGAAACCGCCCGCTCAGCACTATCAGCCTCACGCGACTCCTGCCGCTGAGACTTTTCAGCTTCGGCTTGTTCGGCGTCTGTCTCCTTTTCCTTTTCTTTCTTCGCCTTCTTCTTCTTTTTCTTGTCCACCCGCCCGTCGCTCACTTTGCTGCCTTTGAGCTTGAGCTTGCCACCCCCGCCAGTGGAATATTCGTCTGGCGCCATGGTGGCTTGTGGGAGCGGGTTTTTTGCGTAAGTGAGATGGGATGGTATATATATTCACGGTTGGTAGGCGGTGCGGAGTAAGAGGGGAATGGAGAGGGTTCTTTTTTTGCCACTTTGTTCCGATGGGATTGGGGGTCTGATTGGTTGATAGGTGGTGATTACTAAGGATATTGATTACTACAGGTTCCCAATGGGTGTTGGACAAAAGATAGGTAACTATGGTACTGAGCATCTCATCCATGTCTACCAGAACCTGACCCCCTCTTCTACCAAGCAACACCGAGCCTCGCACAAACTCACCGATAGCTTATATTTTCGTCAAGCTAGAAATCAAAATGCATATTCCTATGGAGATATGTGATCTTCTAAGACGTACATTCAAAGCGTATTGTGCTCGGCGCTAACGCTTCCCCCGTAGATTGTGTATCATGTCTGGAATGTGTACAAGGATTTCTTGTATTTGGAAGACGACGCCAGACATTATTCTATCAGTGGAAGGGTCGATATTCGACGAGACTTGGCCGCTCTGCGTCTAGTCAACACAGCCTTCTGCCGCAGCGCCTCACCCTGGTTATTCAGGCAAATTAATGCAAAATCCAGCTCCTCTCCTGCAGCACCATGACTGGAAAGGATCATGAAATTATCCCAAAGCCCATATGCTTTGCATGTGTGTCAACTGGATTTTGGATTCGACGAGTTCTCGTCGACTACCTCCAATACTGCGTTACTATATATCGAAGACCTCTCAGGATGTTTATCGTCTCTTCTAGTCAAATTCCCCAACCTGACGGCCCTTGAGTTGATGAACCTCCCTCGTCGCTCCCACAAGATCAGAGAAGAGTCTATATGGACACTGTTGCTTCTGTGTTACGTTATGTACCGCTTCCAAACTTGACAGAACTTGAAATCAAATTCCCCATCACCCACAATTTCGGCCGTTTCTTCCCGATCTATCCCAGTTCTTTGCAGATCCCCGTCGGAGATATTGTGCAACGTCTTCGACATCTCGGGTTATCCGTTTGTGCATATACAGATCACCGGGACCAGAGATTTTGGTCGAAGACAATTTTGTCGGAATATGCAGTCCTTCCGAACGACAATTTGCATCCCGGGTATTTAGAATTGTTGAAATTGAGCCAAATCTCGAATCACTCACAATAGATAGTGTCAATATTCTAGATATTGACTTCCTCGCCTTTCCGTCTTCCCTTTGTCTGCGGTCCCTACATTTAGGGGGAGTTTCCATCTCATCTAACACTCTTCTTTCGCTTCTTAACCAGTTTGCGAAGAGAATTAGGTATATCGATTTTTGGCTGGTTAAATTGAAATCCGGGACCTGGCAACAGGTGCTTCTGCATATGTGCAAGTTGCCACTCCTTCTCGACATAAATTGATGCAATCGTATCACACTCGCAGGCCACCCGCTACGTGGCCGAATTCATGCTTCAAACAGGCCTCCTGGGACAGTTCCGACACGTCGAAATCGAACCAACAGGCGATGACAACAACGCGCCAGGATGATCTGGCAGGCACAGGGGGTGAAGACGCTGGGTAGGAGGAACGCCAAGCCCACGGCTAACCGAGAGGTTGTGGAAGAATACATCCAACACGTCGACACTAGTCGACAACGAACGCCACCAATTGAGAACGAAGCAGGAGAGATACCGGGGATGGAGGTGCAGAGGAAGCGGCAGGCCAATGTGAGGGCGAATTGAGAGATATATCGTGGGACTGAGGGCTTGGAGGGCGTTCTGATACTGTTTTGGACTGAATTTTGGGCTGATTTCTATGGCAATACGCCGTTTTCCTATGTATTTACTGTTTCATGCGCGGGTCTGGCGTTCGGATCACTCTTGCTTCCGCCGGAGGAAGCGCCTGCATAGCCATTACGCCACTAGTTAGGCTGCAACAGGTTAATAGAGTGTTGATTGATTGATTGATTGATTGATTCTCGACATCAATATCGATTACGGTGGATACTCACAGACTGGATCAAGTTCCGATTTAGCTAGCATCAGACCTCCAGATCCCGAGTGTCCTCTAAACATCGAAACAGAGAATAGCTTTGACTTGGATGCGCTGGGTGTTCTACAGCGACAGGTCAATTCAAACAGGATTGTGACAGGATTCCAGTCTTTCCTAGACATGGATTATAAACATATGAATTAGTGATAATCCGGGATTCGATATGTGTTGCTTTGGCCAATACCAAGGTATCTGACCAGACAGAGTTCCTCGAAACGAATTCATATGCGGGGAATTGATGTGTCGTATCTGGGGCAGTGTAGCAGGGACGTCTACCCGATGTCCTTCTGAATGTTGGAAAACGGGGATTTGTATCTTGGTCTACGTTCGTTTCAGTAGTAGGTTGCTCTTTATCATTCAAAACCGACATGTGCTTAGAACGTTGCATAAGACTACGGGTCAACTATGGTGGCAAGGAATGGTAAATCTTTTGTCATTTCGCTGTAGTCAACCAACCCTCTGGTTTTAGACCTACGTACCAATAATACAAATCTTACTTACTAAAAGAATTAATGTAGTAGAAGAAAGGATTATTGAAGGAAATTGATTGAATTAAAAAAGCTACCTCGAAGAAATATTCGGAATTAGACAACACTTAAGGAACCATTCCCACACTGGACCAGGCAGGAAAATATTGTCACAGTTTAGACATCAGGGATAAAGTACAAAATAAAGGAGCGCTCGGTGTCAATTTCGTAATATCGTGGGTGAAAAAGAGCCCGAAGACAGATGCCATCAGAAGGGCTCATGGTAGAATCTCACTCAATGGTGATCTTCTTAGTAGCCGAAGCAGTAGCCTTAGGCACCACAACCGAGAGAATGCCATTCTTCAGACTAGCCTTGACATTATCCTGGTCGACACGAATCGGGAACGAGAAAGTCCGCGAGAATTCTCCAACAGTGCGCTCACTAGCCCAGTATCGGTGACTAGTACCGGAGGTCTTATTAGAAGCCTTCTCGACTGCCTGTTCACTGTCCGCCTGCTCCTTTGGCTCGGTGGTGTGGTACTCGCGTTCAGTGCGACCCTTGACGACCAGAGTCTGTGGATCGGTAAATTCAATGTTGATGTCTTCCTGGGAAATTCCGGGCAGTTCGCCGTCTAGGTGGAAGGATGCCTCGCTTTCGCGGACGTCGAATTTTGGGGCGAAGCTGCGCACCGTGCCTGTGGGGCGGCTGCTTCGGTGGTTGTCGTAGTCGTCCAGGAGGCGGAAGAGAGGGGAGAAGTCGCCTGCGGCGGGGAAGCTGGTGCGGAAGAGAGACATTTTGTGTTTGGCGAGATGGTTGATATAGTGATGCAGTTGAGGTGCTTGTTTGTAGCTTAGGACTTTGCTTTGTATGTTTGATTTGAAATGAGGACGCAAGAAGGGAGGGTGATGAGGGGGCTTTTATAGATGAGAGACAGTCTCTCGCAGCTTCTAAAAATTAGCATTCGATCCATGATGTTGAATGTTGCCACCAGAAGCTTGATGTTACATGTGCTTAGTAGATGTCACTCGCAGCTTCTAGACTGGACAAGAGGCTTCTCCGCGTTTCTATAAGTCACGTGATTCGCAAACACATGGCTTTCGACCGACACAACAGACGGGTGGCATCATGGAAACGAATATTCTGGAGGATTCGTATGATCAAAGATGTGGCATCTATGAATCTAATCTTTTGTACTTACAGTAGAACAACATACACTCGATAATCGAAAAAGCGGGATTCTACACGGTTCCCCCTACTTTGCCCGTTTCGCAACGCCTACCTTTTGATGAATAATTCATGTCAGGATTACATTGACTCCTTGAATTGATAACCTCCAGTCTATTAGTGGCGCGTCTGGAAAGCAGGATCTTCACCTCCAAGCAATATACCGTGTGGCGCGGTGTGGCATGTTTTTATGGATACCTTGCACCCAGAGATCCAAGTTTCTTGATATGATGAGGATACACTTTTAATGATCTTAGAACCAGTAAAATCTATCTCATTCTACTCTAACCTCTAAGAAAAGCCTCTAACTTCAGATCTAAAAATAATGTGTGGTTGGTGATACAGTCTTGAGCTTGATCTAGAATGACGTCACCAGTATTAGTCAGCCGTATAACCTTCCGGCCTGCCATACATGGAAAGACCCACCTGCCACGGCGGAGCCCAAGCTCATTTTGAATTCTCAGACTCCCCGCTTTCCTGCTCATCATAGCGAGCAATGTCGCTCGTGCAGCATGTTTCCTCCCTCGAGGGTGTCGACCATGACCCAGAAGCTGAAATTGATGAAGACTTCACGCCTATTACCCGCAAGATAAGCTACGATGTGCTACAGCCACCAAGTCAACCTGTCCCGGTGGAGGAACAACCACCGGCGACCCCTGCCTACAAAGTTTCCGCCGTGAAGAGATTGAGTATGTACGGTGCCGTCCACATTAAACCAATGACTGATATCATAAAGCGCAGGTCATCTTCACCGTTCTGGCGTGCTGGGTGGCATCAGGTATTTTGTTTGGATATGCAGCGCTGAAGCCCGTCCTCGTTGCAGAAGGTGTCTATCACAACCAATGTACGGAGGATGAACTGCAAGAAGGAGTCGAACTTTGTGTTCAGCAGGATTTGAGGTATGTTTCCCAGATTGAACCAGGCTGTCTTTTTCTAACAAGGTGAAGCCTCAATCTCTGTTTCACTATTGCGTCCATCACGGCGAACGTCTCCGCACTGCCTGTCGGGACGATTCTTGATCACTACGGATCGCGAATTTGTGGCCTGATTGGGAGCGTGCTGCTTGCAATCGGCAGCCTTTTCATGTCATTTTCATTCCTTTGGCCCAGATTCCAAGGCTTCGTCGCGGGCAACTTCTTCTTGGCATTTGGCGGAACTTTCATCTTCGTTCCATCCTTCCAAATTGCAAATGCGTTTCCCAAACATGCGGGCTCCATCGTTGCGCTTGTGACAGGCGCATTTGATGCCTCTGCCGCTGTCTTTCTCCTCTATCGGCTCGTTTACGAGGCCTCAGATCGGAAATTTACTCCAGATAAATTCTTTCTGGGCTATCTAGCCGTCCCGGTGCTGATTGTCATTGCCCTTTTATCTTTCATGCCACAGCGTGATTACTCTTCAACACTTCGCTTGGAGAACAAGCTTGAAAAAGCCGAAGATCCCACGCGCGACCTGCATGACTCTGATCTTGAAATCGACAGCGACAGGGAGTTACAGCGAGTACGCCGTAAGCGTGCCGAGCACCGCCAGAAAATCATCGAAAACATCAACGAAGTCCTCGGTGACGAAGATGAGAGACAGCAACGAGCCGAGCGTGAGGAAGATCGTCACCAAATCAGTCAGGTCTGGGGTGTTTTACATGGACTGCCAGCTCACAGACAGATGGCGACCCCATGGTTCATCTTCATCACTCTAATGACAATCATACAAATGGTGCGAATGAATTATTTCATTGCAACAATTCGATCGCAGTACGAGTACATGCTTAGATCTGTTGAGGATGCTGAACGAATCAACGACTTTTTCGATGTTGCGCTACCCGTTGGTGGTATTCTATTCACTCCTGTTATTGGGGGACTGTTGGATCGCCTCAGTGTACCAGCGACGCTCAGCCTTATTGTGGCTTTCACCACGATCATTGGCGTCCTGAATTCTATCCCGGCCATATGGGCAGGGTACATGACCATCATTCTTTTCGTCCTGCTGCGGCCTCTTTATTATTCAGCCATGTCGTAAGTTCATATCACACCTTCTCTTTTATTAAGATATACTAACTGGCAATTCAGTGACTACGCGACTAAGGTCTTTGGCTTCGCAACTTTCGGTCGGGTCTATGGAACAATCATCTGCCTTTCTGGACTCGTCAATTTCTCTCAGTATTGGTTGGATTCCCTTACCCATGGCCCATTTAATGGAAATCCAGTTCCGATTAATGTGGCCTTGGTGATTGCCGGTTTCGTTGTCGGTGTTTTGCTTGTAGGGTACGTCGCTGTGGCGGGTCGGCGGCTCAGAGCTGAAGATGGCGACGAGGATGAGCGCGAACCATTGTTGTTGGAGGTAGATGAGGAAGAATGAATGAATGGATAGACTACCTCATTGTCACTACTAGCATATTTTGCATGACTTGTGATGACTAGGGGGACGGGGGTACACTGTCTTCTATGAATGGGAGAATATTGTCATAATTTAGACTTGGACCTATTGAGAAACTGTCGATTCTACTTTAGAAGGGTATCACCATGTCATTAGAGGGTAAGCAAGGCAGATAGAAATTGTTATCCACGCCGGAAAGAAATCAATTTCAATAAAACGAAGAAATTCCGGGGTTAGCGAGATCAGTGACATTCAAGCAGTTTTAGGTAGAGATGTACTTCTGCGGAGGGGATCTATAACGGTACCCAGGAATGTGCAATCTCAAAAATAAGTCCAAGTCGTAGCAGCGAATGATCATTATATTCTTATAATCGTAGTATTCTTGAATGCCCACCAATTTCCTGCCGTGCTGGAGAGATGCTTCCTTAGTCGAAGGGAATCGGACGCAGGTTAGACCCACCCATCCGCTTGCGCATTTCCGCGCCGGCGGCAATCGTACTGGGGACCTTGATACCACAGCAGTCACCAAAGTAATCGGTAGTCGTGTGGCCATGAGGGTGGTCATGACATTGGCCATCTTCATGATCATGCTCATCACCACCCTCAGAGAGCTCACCCATCCCCTCGGCAGCAGGTAACAAGCTTCCGAAGAGGAAGTGCTGCATGATGGGGAGCTTGCCGAGAACCTCCTTGACAAACATCTTCTTCATGCCGCTCTCTACCTTGAACCAATTCTTGGCACCGGAGATATCATCCAGCATGGGGCTGTGCCAGCGCAGACCCTTGACTGTCTTGACGCTGTCCACCCACCGGATCTGATCCAGATAGATGTACTTGTTGCCTTCCTCATCCAACATGGCCGTGTTGTGAATACCAAGCGGTGTGATGTAGGGATGGTCTACCAGCTGGCTAGCTCCGAAGAGGAAAGGGAGGAAGTGATAGTCATCCAGACCCCAGACACCATGTGACCCTGCAGGCTCGAGGTAGTATGTGGATTGAATGTCACGCATGAGATGCAGGTACTGCATGTAGACCTTGAACACCACGGCGGGGAATTCAGTCTTCGAAAGCAAGCCTAACTGGTAAAGTTCCAACAGCCACATCATAAAGTTCAACTCGTGGCCTGATCCGTAATCAAGTCGATCTCGCGAACCCAATGACTGGACCAGGTATGTGGACGCCTCGTCGATTGCTGCAGGGTCCGTCAACCCCAGGACCTCGGTGTGCCATGATGCGCTCTGTGTAGCCACGTCGTCGAAGAAAGCCCTGAACGCGGGATTTCCGAATCGAGAGCCACCTTGATCAAGTGCTGGGTGCTTCTCTAGCAGCGATTGTAGCCTCCCTACAATGGAGGCGATTTTGGAGATGTGATCGGACTCCGACTTGTTTTGTAGATCGGTGATGGCCCGGCCACGGATAGAATCGGATAGACCAAAAATAAAGGCGAGTACTAGTTTGTATGTGGGAGATGTCAAGAAGAGCTCATGGTCTTTCGGTGATAGGATGCGGCGAACGGGGTGGGAGTATTGGTGGGTGGAAAGGTTGGGTGGCGAAGGTAAAGGAGGGGTGATCGGGGTTGGGTCTCGGGAAGAGTTGGATTGGGATCGGCGATTATTGCTTGATCGTAGCTGGAATAACTTCTTAGACAGGTCCAACTGGCCAGCTTGTGGCGGTAGTGAGGTGGTCATGGTGAATAGTGTGGGGTGATGGAAGATGAAAACAATCGGTGGCTTCCAGATTGCCCGGGATGGCAGAAAGCACGCTGGATCTTACCGCCTTCTATAAGCGGAGGTGGCATGACGCCATGTTTGGGCCAGGTGGGGCCAGCAGTGCAAACAGTGCAAATGATGCCCACTCTATCATGAGTCCCACATGTTTCCTTACTGTATTCAACTTCCTATCCACCGATTTCAGCCGCTCGAAAGGAGTGAAAGGGGTGCCAGTCAGGCTATGTGCTAAGACAAAATTGTTACGACCTGAAGGCGAGAAAGGAACCATGCAGTGCTATTCAGAAATGTGCTATTGTATATTGAAGCTTTTCCGGGACCATGGTGCTGAGCGAAAACTGGCAAATAACGCAGCACTTATGAAGAAAAATATTAAAAAGCTTAACAAATAGATCGCCGACGAACTTCAATTAATATCGGACTCTATCGGCCCTCATCACAACTTCAGTTCAGAAAAGCCTTTCCAACCAAGGCGTCAGCATCAAAGGCGAAAGCGGTCCGTAAAACGACGGGAAAGTCAAAAAATTGACGATCTCCACCAAAAGCTCGCTCAGACGAACAGATTGCTTGTTTCTGCTCGTCAAGTAACTATTCTCGGATTGCGAGGAACCGAACAAGATGATCCAGAACTGCATCCAGGTATTTTACCTCGCAGCACAAGCTCCTCTGATACTTCAGCGTTGTCAACCAAAGCTGGTTCATATCAATGTATCTCAAACCTTTACAAGTTGCTTACTTCCTCACAGTTGCATGCTTTTATATTCGGTTCACACAAGTCGGAAGTGTGTCCCCAAATTCCCACTGCGCACTGTACCTAATGGAACGAACTTTCCTCGACCTTAAAGAAAAGCTCTCGGAAAAGGTACAAACCGATCCAGCACTTGTCAATCGTATTATTTGGGAAAATACTAATGGCCTAAGGATCCTGGTTGATAATGACGTAGTTCAGCATATTCCAGAAGATCAAATCATGACTGCAGAGTTATGCCAAGTGTCTGGCGCGGAAACGGCTCCCTTCAACGGCGTCAAGCCCTCCGCGGTGGATTAAGCTTAAATTCTAAATATCATTTATGAATCATGAGAAATTTTTGTAAGCCACTCTATCAGCAGCTTCAGCACGCAGCCAAACCTGAAGAATGCCAAAAAAAAATCAAAAAAAAATCAAAAAATCTCCTAATGTTGCTGTTCCGAGCGTAAGGCAGATGTTGCTTCATCTTCATGACAAATGTCCCTTGTGTATAGATTTTGCGTCGACTTTCAACGACCTTATTCTGTAGGTAGGGGTCTTCTTTTTATTAATAGCTTCGAGAAGAGGTATAGTAAGTTTCGCCTAGCTAAGCTTATATTTCTTAACAAATTCGAAGCTAATAAGGTTAACCTTAGTATAACTATTAAGATTAGTATAGGTTTCGAGATTATTTCGGATAGTAATTAAGAAGTAGAAGCAAGTTCGGGTTCCTACTATAAGGAGAGAAAGATCTATAGGATCTAATCTATCTCGTATCGTTTCCCTATATAGTAGATTATATAGTAGTAGTAGATTTATCCTTTAGTAGATCGGGATATTTATTAGAGTAATATTTGTCGGACTCAGAGTGTGTTCCTAAGTCCTTCTGGTGCACCGTAGTGTAGTAGAATGTAAGAATATAATCTACAAGTCAGGGTAGAGGCCTGTCAATCAGGTAGGAGAGAGGAACCGAGTCGGATTGTCCATAAAGTCAAAGACTGTTTCTTGAGGAGCGTAGAATCTCCTCCTCATTACTCAGTTTTATATACATCCTCATGATCCAGAGCAGGAAGGAGATGCATCCTAGAATAGGGAAGGGGGAGCGAGATAGGTACGAGGCTTTGCATACCCTTCACCAGGGATCTTCCCTGTAGGTGCTCCTTAGGGTGTAGATAACGGATCATTGGTGAAATGTTGCCGAAGGGCCGCCCATCTACCAGGCCCGCGCCTCAGGCACCAATGTGTGACTAACCTCATGTTGAGGTATATCCTAACAAGGAAGTCGAAGAAATCCTAGCGGTACGATTAAGATACAAGAAACTTTAGTATAAGGTGAAATAGAAGAGGCATTAATACGATAATACGTAGTATCCTACGAAGAATTTCAAGCATTCGCTAGAGAAATTAATACGATTTTATCGAGAGCATCTAGATCAGCTAGGCCCACTGAAGATGTTGCAAAATTAGACTAAGGCTATATTAAACGACGAATTCGATAAGGATCATATTGATAATGATAAAATAGTTAACAGATAGACATAGTAGGCTAGGTCCTTTTAATGAAGGGGGCAATGTTACGATCACGAGGATATTGTCCTATTAGAAGCTGCAGACATATTGATATCATGTTGAGAATGGGGAGGTGGGACAGAACGTAAGCGACCTCGGGAGAAACATACGCGCTACTAGAAAGAACGAGGACTTGGGATGAAGAAACAACGCGTCCTTAAGATGTTGATTGTTTTCTGCCGTGTCCCTTTTCCCTTCCTTCTCTCTCTAGGCTTTACTACCTTCGTTGAAATTGCACAAGCTACTATCACTTTCTGGCATGTAACAATTCACGTAGCGCAACTGATGAACTTTTAGTTATTAGAAACCTTTGTTTAATTTATTAGATACGGAGGGGGAGCTTTCGATATATCTATAGCAAAGCCCTTTCTCTTGCTCCTTAGATTACCAGTTGAATAAGGTCTGTTCCATAGACAATCACGGGCAGCCGAACCACTCAGCCTTCATTCGATTAGAGCGGATAGAAAAGCCAACAAAAAGCATTTGTGGATTACGTTTAGTGATACAGAAGTAACTCAAGGGCAAAAGATTCTTCTAGCATTTCGAGTCGACGGTGCTGATGAAGTCGATCGGCCGTGGCGCGATACCAGAGATGAGCAGGCGATAGTTGTTGATCGTGGTCCGATCTGCCGTGTAAAGTTCTATTTCGCGGTGGGCATAAGCCATGCGCTGTCCGTTGTCAGCAACTCCATCACCGGGCATACTTTTCATTAAGGGAAATGTGGCTTAGTAAAAGCCATACCAGCAGGAGAGAGTCACACGTAGCTTAAGGATCCCTCATGTCTGCCTCGCTCAATTGATACAATTCCCTTCCCAAATCCCCAGTGACGCGATACCTGTCCCCGATAGTGCCTTCCTCCCAAAATTCAGGAGCCAGACCCAACTGGTCCCAGTCCATGATCACATCCGTGATCGTCTGTCCGTCTACACAGATACGAGTCTCCCGAATGACATTCCGCTTCCAATCCACATACATCAGGCGCAGGTGGCCGGTCTCGAAGGCCGTTTGATCTGCCACTAGAAAGTAGGCTGCTGCGACTGTGCGGAGGAGGCTGGCCCCCTCTACTTCGATAAAGGCATGCGGGTCCTCTCGCCAGCGTTCAGGCTCATTCTGCTTTGCCTTAGCCAGCCAGGTCTTGAACCGTGCTCGTGACATGTCCACGAGTTCCGATGCCGGAGATCGCTTGTACCTGGCACCATTCAACGGACCCGCAACCTCGGGCATGACTTCGTAGACGTGCTGCCAATCCGAGCCAAAGTTGAAAAGAGTGGCATCATTCAGACACGCCCACCAGGCTTGGTTCTCGAACTCCTCTGATGCACTGATCCATTCCTCCATCGTCTCGTCGTCCTTCGGGTCGTAGTGCGTGCGGAGAAAGATCGGGGCAAGGGCGCCAGACTCTAACATCTGCCATACTTTCTTGCGTAGCTCGTCCGACCGCCAGGGACGGAGGATCAGGTCAATTTCTTCCACGGTGGGCATACGGGGCGGCGGTGCGCCGTAGTTGACCGGATCCCATTCGCGGGGGATCTCATCCACATCGATAAATTGCCGAATTAGGCAGAGGCGTTGTTGGTCAGGGGACTCTGCGGCGACGAAGTCCCAGTGTCTCTACAGAATATTAGCGGTCTTCCTTAGGAGCTTATGCTATGGGAGAAACGTGCGATCATGTATTGCTCGATGGGCAGCTCGCCCCATTTTGGCAAATATCCTAAGTCGTCGTCGTTTGACATGGTGAGGGGCAGACAAAGTAATCTTCGAAGTGGGGTGGGAGGAGATAAGGCAGGATGACTCGCAGATAAAGAACAGATCAATGGTGTATTACTAGGAGTCAACCATTCACCCTGTTAATTCGCGTTAGCTTTTTCTGAATTGATTTCCACGATCAGCTCCCCACCTTACAGAAGTTGTGATATGATATGTTGGCGACTAGTCACTTGAGCACACTTCCCCCCAGTCTACTGGTCAATATCCAATAATACGACATTTCGTAACTTTGCCTATGTATTCTGGCCTCTGATCCACTCTTGACTTTGAAATCATCGACAGTTTTGCTCGAACTCCTCAATCCAATTCTGACTATACTACTCATATACCACCCAATTTAAGCTGCAACCGTCGCGCCTTGTCCAGTCTTCCTTGGGAACAATATAGGTTCATGAGGCTGTCGACTATCTCGATCTTTGACGGGTGGTCTGCTCCTAGCGATATCTCAGTCCCAGCTAGTGCCCGCTTATACATCTGTTCCGCCTCATCCAACTTGTCTTGACTGCGATAGAGATTCCCGAGGTTGAAGACAGTATCAAGAGTTGAAGCATCGTTCGCTCCCAGTTTTTCCTCCTTCCCTACTAGCGCCCGTATGTACATCTGCTGCGCCTCGTCCAGCCTGCCCTGAGCACAATATACGTTTCCGAGATTGTGCAAAGTATCGATAGTGGAGATGTGGTCTGCTCCCAGCTTCTCCTCTCTCCTAGCTAGCAATTCCTTGAAGACCTCTTCCGACTTGTCCAGCTTTCCTTGGAAACAGTAGAGGATACCGAGGTTACCGACGGTCTCAAGAGTGCAGAGGTGATCTGCTCCTAGCGCCTTCTCCCTTCCAGCAAGTGCTCGGAGATACATCTGCCCTGCCTCGTCCAGCTTGCCTCTTTTACAATATATAATTCCGAGGCTGTTGACAGTGTCGAGCGTTGATGTGTGGTCTGCTCCCCGGGCTTTTTCCCTTTGAGTCAGCGCGCGTATGTACACTTTCTCTGCTTCAAGCATTCTGCCCTGGTCACGATAGAGATCCCCAAGATTATGGAGATCGGTGGACGTTGATAATGAAGAGCCCATATCGGTCGTGGGAGATTGGCGGACGTACGCCCACCAGACTGCGATGAGACCGACAGTCAGCCACAGGTCGGAGAGCGCAGATATGGAAGATGCAGCCTCCATATATAGAAGGTAAAGTGTTTATCGTGTGGTTGAGGTGGTTAGAACTGCCTCGAGGAGGGTTATTGCAGTCTGCAGGATGTCTTTATGTTAGTGGGGTTAGGGGTTGGTGTAAAGCTTAAATACGAGAATGTCAAGCTTTGAGGCTCATTTCCACCGAGCGGGATCTAACGAGGCTGCCTGGGATGGCGCACGGGAGTGGGAGAATCCACCCGTGAAGCACGTACGAGTATTGCACTAAATTTCGAGCCGGGTAAATGAAATGTGACTCCCCCTCATAAGACATTCCAGGACTTTGGAAGGAGCTACCTAGCTAAATTACTGATGGTTCCCTAAATTTGTTTCCAGGTAAGATCCATTGTGAGAACTGTGACATTCATCAAACACTTGAATATACCTAGTTCACTGGAAGTCAAGAAGCTGTTGTATATTCGATTTTTACAAACCATGGCTTTAAATGCGCTTTTGACCTCAACTTCAATACTTACATGAATTTGGAGTAGCGCCATAGATAGCCTACTGTACTATCTTTAAAGTAATCTAATGTATTTAGGAGGTGGATTGATCAGACATAACTAGGAGTCTATATACATGGCCTTCCAAAATGATGACAGTCAATGTCTTGTCAAAATTAGGTACCAGCCTTCTGCTCCCTTCCATCTGTGCCACTCAACCTGTGACTAAAGTGAGTTCTTCGCTCTCTGCACCATGAATTTTCAACTATCATGTGCAGCCATCTGCTTGAGGCGTTGTACTTTGTCAACCTCCTCATCCACCTCGTGCTTCTGCAGAGAAGCAGCCCTCCGAGGATTCCGTGACTGGAAAATCTCATTGAGCTCTTCCAGGGTATGACCTTTGGTCTCAACCATAAAGATGTAGTAGTAGATAGCCTGGCAAAAGCACACACCCATGTAGATGAAGTAGGTTTTCCAACCAATCACATCAAGGGAGATTGGAAGTGCAAATTGGTTGACGAGACCTGCTGCATTTCCAGCGAAACTAAGACAGGTATTAGTATTAGACTGGTAACGTGCCTGAGAAGATCTAAATAAACTTACTTCTGCAGGGCCATACCCTTGGCTCGCTGGTCAAATGCCAAGACCTCCACGGGGTATAGTGCTTGTAATGGAGTGTAGGCGGCAGAGAAAACGATGCCAATCAAGAAGATGAATGTAATGGATGCATCGGCAGCCGGATGGCTCTTATAGATAGCATATCCGCCTGTACCACCAACCATGCCACCCCAGAGGAGAGTTAGAGCCACGCAACATGAGATCAGCATCTTTCGTCGGCCAAATCGGTCCATCTGACTGGCACCAAAGCAGGCGGCTGCACTAGAAGCTAGGGTGATGCCCAAGTTGATGTCGAGGATAGTGGCAGTGTTACTGATTCCAGAAGTGTTGAGCATTGCGGGTAGGAAATATGAGACTCCAGACTGGCCAGTCAATTGACTGAAAGCCGAGACAGCGACTGCACACAGAATGGCGCGGTAGAGAGCTGCCCTCGAATTGAACAAGGACCGGTAATCCCACCAGCGCTTATCAGCGCCGTCGAGCTCCAGCTCTTCGGCAAATTCATGCATCTCAAGTCTCACGTAGAGAGACTCTGGATTGTCGTTGCCATGATATTTGATGAGCGTCTCACGGCACTTGTCTACTTGTCCATGAACGTACAGCCAACGTGGTGACTCAGGGAAGCAGATACAGCCAAGAAGTAGGATGCATGGGAAAAGCATTTGCAGCCAGGTGGGAATGAGCCATGCCGCATTGGTGGTATAGTGGACGCAGCCGCGCAGAACTGCAGCAGCCAAGATTGCTCCAAGGTAGTAGCAGCAGTTGTAGGAACCGGTGATCACACCACGGTAGGCTGGGTGGGCAAATTCGACGACGTAAGATGGGCAGGCGACATTGCAGATAATTCCGCCGAAGCCGAGGAAGAAACGTCCGGCGAGGAATTGAGGCAAGTGGTGAGATACTCCTTCAATGATGGTACCCATGATGATAAAGACACATCCAATGGCAATACCCACACGACGGCCCCAAGTATCAGTGAGAGGGCCGATAAAAGGCAAACCGCACACCGAGCCAATCGAGTACATGCTCATGATGATGCCGGTCTGAACTCCTAGGATCTTTGCGCCGAACTGATCTTGAAAGGGCTGCATGACGATCAAATTGCCCATCAAGGATCCGTCATACCCGCCCATCGTCGACCCCAGGAAGGCCAGACTGCAGATTGCGTAGAGTTGGATCATACGCTTGCTGAGTTTCTGAACAGGTTCTAGTCGTGTGCATACTTCCAAAGCAGCAGTACCGCGAACAGCATGGAACACATCGACCGGCTCCTCAACATGCTCAGAGCCGGCCTCGGGGGACTTTTCATCGTGTGTGAAGGCCATGGAAGCGAGGAACCATTGATCGAACTGAAAATAGAAGTATAATGCAGGTGGTGTCTGGGGCTGCAGATGCGAATGATGATCCGTAGTGGGGTATGCTTCCATTCATATATCTTTGACATCTTGAATCCGGGGATACTGGTTGATTGGTAAAATCCCGACGATTTCTCCGATAAAATCTGGGGAACCGAATTATCAAGCCAAGACTGTCTTAGCCGAAAGCTAAACTTTGTCACTGTTCTTGGAAATGTGACACTCCCCCACGCGGGAGCGGGGTTCAATTGAGTGATATTCAATTTCGGGGAATTGCCACTAGTAAGCCGACATTGTAGCTGTCGTTTCGCCGATCTTTTTTCCGCTGTAATTAGAGAAGATAGAATAGATAATTGAGTGCAATCCCTGATTTTACAGAGATGCATAGCATATTTTCCTTCATCTTGACACAATGCCTTCCACCGCATACTCTTCTACCCCTCCTACGATCACACCAGCCTCTCGCGAAGGCGATGCCAATTACAAGGCACCAATCTTTCCGCTAGGTCCTTTTACCAAGTATTCTGGCAATCCTTTGCTCGTTCCCAACCCCGTCAACGAATTCGAATCGGCATACATTTACAATGCTGCCGCCATCGTGTTGGATGACACTGTCTTCCTCCTTTATCGCGCCCAGAACGCTGCCAAGGTGTCTACCATTGGACTAGCTTGGTCTTCTGATGGCTACGAGTTTACGCGTCTGGACCGTCCGATACTTGAGCCCAGCGAGCCCTGGGAAATGGGCGGTGGCGTCGAAGACCCGCGTATAGTGCGCATTGACGGGGTCTTCTACATGACCTATACCGCATGGGACTTGAAGGTGCCAAAGCTCTGCCTGGCAACATCCACCGATCTGGTACACTGGGAGAAGAGGGGTGGTCCGCTGTTCCCAGATTTCATTGATGTCGATGACGCTCTGGACGGACGCATCAAAGTGCGTTTCGGTCACTCCAAGTCCGGCGCGATCTTCCCGGAGAAAACAGCAGATGGCAAATTCATGATGATCTTCGGCGAGGCAATCCTCTGTGTGGCCGAGAGTAAAGACCTGATCAACTGGAAAGCATGGCCTTTCGATGAGTACTTTGCCAGGGGAGTCCATGAGTGGGAGAATCGACTGTTGGAACCCGGTCCAACCCCAATCAAGACTCGAGATGGTCGGTGGATCCTGGTGTATAATGTTGCCACAAAAGGTGCTTCTGGATTCCATTTCAACCAGTATTCCATCAGCCAGATGTTGATCGACCTCGAGAATCTTCGTGATGGCCCACTGGCTCGCCTCGACCGCCCGTCGGTTGTTGTGTCGGCAAAGAACGAGCATCTCGGACAAGTCAATGAGGTTGTATTCTGCGAAGGAATGGTGCAGTTCAAGGGAAAGTGGTTCATATATTATGGACAGGGAGATAGCGAGCTTGGAGTTGCGACAGCTGAGGTTCAGCCATGAAAAGCAATGGAGCGTTGGGCCCAGGATGAGCTAGATCACAAGAGTAGTAGAAATAGAATTTTGATTTTGTCCGTTCATCTGTGCGCAGAAAAGCTTCATGCTCATTTAATTGATCAGAGGGTTCGGTGAAGGCATGGTAGCTTCAGCTAGTTGTGGAAAGGCATCTTGGAGGTGTAAGCTACGAAGATCGCGAAATGTCCAAAAGACAGAATACCCATCTGTCTGATCGATATTCCAGGGACCAGGGCCAATCTCATCACGCACCTCCATTGCTAATTCCGGGTACCGCCCAAGCGAGTCTTCCCAAAGGTTCAAAAGCCCTTGAAAATTCTCGAACTGCGTTTGGCGCCAGAGTTGGAGAACTATACGAGCCGTCGCAGCCTGTATATCTGAGAGGAGAGACCAGTGGATAAGCATTTCCCGCGGACAAATAAACACTGATCGGATTAGGGAGCAGATGTAATGCAGAACGCCCGGGACAGGCCGTAAAGCCAACATTTTACCGAGTGTGTCTTGTCGGCTCAAGACAGTTGCATAAAATGTCAAAACTACCAAATTATGAAGTGAGTGAATTGTGATCGCCTCTGGTCGTGCTGGCATCTCATCGCGAAGATCAAGAAGCGACGTGGGAAGTTGTACAGCCCAGAACAAACACTCGTACTCCAGGCGACACCACAATAGCTTTGCATCTGGTCCGCGCTCATCCATAATCCGTAACCGGTCGAGACGAAGGCCCAGGTCTGAGATACGCAGATAGTGATGCGCAAAGGTGGAGCTATCGACTGATTCGGCGAAGGTCATGAGATATGTTTCAGGAACGTCGAGCGGCTCTAGTGATGAGCCGACTAGTCGCAGCCAGGTGTTGGCGACAACTGCGCCCGCAAGAATAGGGGCTGGTAGGTCTTCCCCCATAAGTAATGATGCATGAACAGTACCGAAGATCTAATATCAATCAATACCGGCGAGGAAGAAAGACAGTGCTAGAGCAGCTACTTACCCACTGTATGCAGTCACTTTCCACCGGGTATCGGAGAATGATCAGAAGAACACCAGCAAGGCGTTGCAGGCTCATCTCGCTTTGCGTTATGGATTTTAGAGCACGGCCGACTTGCTCGGATATACCTGTGTGGGGACTGCTATGCAACCAGATACTAGCGGCTAGCTCGACACATTGTCGTAGTGCTGGATCCCAGTTCTCGTTCGCCTCATGTATCATCTCCGAAGGCACAAAGGGAGTCAGAGGTTGAACATGCTCCCTATACTTTGTCGCTGTCGAGTCAAGCACGAGTTGCGTCTCATCTTTGAGAATGATCTTCTGACCAGTAGGATACTTGGTGTCGGCAGAGTTCAACTGACTATCACCATCCTTGACGACCGATACAACGCTTCCTGTGCTGGCCCATTGACGTTCTCCTGTAGCCCTAGGCTCTGAGATCGCAGCGGCAGCCGAGACTCTTGATGCAATACGCTGGGAGGTTTGACGACGCTTCTGACTTGGTTGACGGCGACTAAACTCGCAGACCAGGTCTAGGTGCTCGCATTCAGTGCAACGACTAGCCCACGGGCCATCCAAGTTGCACTTCTTCTTCCTGTGTCTGCAGTAGTTGCATGATTTGAACATGGGTCATTTAGAACAGGAAACCCTCGGAAGTGACCCTTTGGCCGTTTTTCTAGTGCTGTCGGCTTCAGATTATTCTCGGCGTGGGCGAAAAAAACTTCGGAAAAGACACATTGAGTGAGAGGCGACGTGCTCGGGCCCTTGCATGACTAAAAGATGCTTAGGTTGTTGGTTAGTTAGTCCTTTTAACCCCGCACGGCTAAATGTTAAGGTTATAGGTCCCTAAAGCATACAATGTGGGGAACAGCGGGAATTTTGTCGGAGACATCTCTAGACCTGCTGTTGGAGTAATGGCGTCGCAGTTTATACAAAGGCCGAGAATTGTCAGCTTTCAAACTTTGTGGGACAAATTATTTCAAACCATATTGTACTGTGACTGCATTTGGTCATGTCTTCTGCGAGCACTTTGACGCTCTCCGGTTGGAGATGGCGGCAATACGGCAAAGCCAACGAAGACTGGCATCAGTGTGCCCATGACAAGCCGACCACGGAGATTTTCACCGATCTCATCGATGCCAAAATCATTCCAGATCCATTCATCGACGAGAATGAACGACATGTGCAGTGGGTGGGTGAGGCCGACTGGGAGTATGCTTGCGACTTCCAGTATGAGCCGGACTCGGGTCACTCTCGTCAAGACCTCGTTTTCGCGGGCTTGGATACAGTTGCGACCGTTTTACTGAATGAGGAAAAAGAGATTTTGAATTCGACAAACATGTTTCATCGGCACCGGGTGGATGTGACAGGCAAACTACGCCACGGCCTGAACACCCTCCGCATTGTATTCAAGAGTGCTCTCCATTACGGGCGTGAGTTGGAGAGGAAGCATGGCAGCTATAGAGCTTTCAGTGGTGAGAACTCTCGAGCTCATGTTCGCAAAGCCCAGTATCACTATGGCTGGGACTGGGGCCCTCTGTTGATGACATGTGGGCCATGTGGAGATATTAAACTCGAAAGCTATTCTTCAACATTGATCGATGTCTTTGCCGATGCACGAGTATCTGATGATCTTAGTAGTGCATCCTTGAATGTCAGATTCGAAGCCACTCTTGATCAAGATGTCACTACGAAAGTCACCGTTACTGCTCCCGACGGCAATGTGTTCAACACGAATGCAGCTCTCAGTTTAGCCGCGAAAGAGTCTCGGGGTTCAGTCTCGTTGGAGATTCACGAGCCACAGCTCTGGTACCCTGTCGGCCATGGTCCTCAAGTTTTCTATCTTGTGGATGTTGCCATCATGAACCGTGATCAGATACCATTGCATCACGTTAAAAAACTTGTTGGCATGCGGCGGCTTCGGCTGGTGCAGCAACCTTTGAAAGGCGAGTCAGGCACCTCTTTCTTCTTCGAAGTCAACAACAAACCTGTATACGTTTCTGGCAGCAACTGGATTCCTGGTCATTCTTTCCTCACAGCTATGACAGCCAAAGATTATGCCTTGGCTGTTGATCGATGCGTGAAAGCGAATCAGAATATGTTACGTATCTGGGGTGGCGGTATATACGAGCATGATGCACTGTATGAGGAGTGTGATAGACGTGGAGTTCTGGTCTGGCAGGACTTTGCCTTCGCCTGTGCCCAGTACCCTTGTTATCCTGAATTCGTGGCGACCGTGAAACGAGAGGCCGTGGACCAAGTCAAGCGACTCCGGCAATATTGTTCAATTGTCCTCTATGCCGGCAACAATGAGGACTATCAAATCGCTGAGATGCTCAACTTGACCTGGGATCGCGAGGATCATTCAGGCGATTGGACTGATACCAACTTCCCGGCACGGACTTTGTACGAAACGCATCTGCCTGTGGTAGTAGCCGAATACGCACCCGCTGTCCCGTACCATCCTAGCTCGCCTTGGGGCGGTGATGGTACCACGGACAGAACTGTGGGTGATATTCACCAGTGGAACGTATGGCATGGGTCACAGGAGAAATACCAGCTTTGGGACAAGCTTGTCGGTCGATTCGTATCAGAGTTTGGCATGCTTGGTTTTCCGGCTGCCAAATCTATCCGTCGTTATGTGACCGATCCCGCGCAGAGATATCCTCAAAGTCGAGTCCTAGATCTTCACAACAAAGCAGATGGTGCGGAACGCCGGCTCGCCTTATACGTTTTGGGAAACATTCGAGTGAACTCGTTGGATCTTGATAGCTGGATCTACGCCACCCAACTCATTCAGGGCGAGTGTTTAAGTTTCGCTGTTCGGAGTTGTCGTCGCCAGTGGAAAGGTCCAGGTCAAGAATACTGTGGTGGTCAACTCATTTGGCAGGTATGTGAAACTGCTAGTTTCTTTGTTGTTTCCTCGGCTTATAACTGACTCTCTTTTAGATCAATGACTGCTGGCCAGTCTCAAGCTGGGCCATCATTGACTTCTATGGAGACAAGAAGATGGCTTACTTCATGACAATGCGGGACAGCGCACCACTCGCTCTTGGTATTAGTCGCTCGACGCCCGAGCTCAAGAAGCTCAAGTCACCGCCTCCTCAGATCCTGGCTCCTCCTCATGATCTTGCCCCGAAGACATACGTCTGTGACATTTGGGCCATGAACGGAACCTTGCAGGATACCCAAGCCCAAATTGAAATCCGGCTGTACGACATCTCAACGGGAGACTTGCGGGAGGAGAATTCCATGGGTATTCAGTCCCTGTTCTCCAACCGCACTACCGAATTGATGGAAGACTTGAGCGTGGATGACCAGACAGCTGTCCAGGCAATCATGAGGGATGCTCATGACGGTCATGTCATCGCCCGTGCATCTGATTGGCCTCAGCCTCTCAAGTATGTCTCTCTGTGTGACGCCCCAGATGTGACTGTCTCAGTGCTGGACGACAAGCTTGAGATTCGATCAAACGTGCCTGTGAAGGGCCTTGTGATTTCTGTGGTGCCCGATGATCGAGATGTTGAGTTTGAGGATAACGCCGTCGACGTCTTCCCGAACGATGTCTACACAATTGTGGCTAGGGGCTTGAAGAAGGATGACCAGGTGGAAGTGCGTTACTATGGATCGGAATTTTAGAATATGAACCTTTTGCCAGGACTGGCCAAATAGACTAGGAAGATAGACATATAACTTTACTCATCAAGAGTTTCAATTTTGTCAGCCTGACTCTAAGTACCATCGTGTAACCAGCGGCAGCTAGATAAGAAAAGAAAGTAGAAAAAGTATTTCCACTGTCGCGTACCTCTCTCTTGAGAACCTATCCGGCTACCAAATTCCCAAAACAAGTGGGCAATGTAAAACTTGATGATTATGAACGCTTCTATCCATTTTACAGTCCCATTCGTTTACTGGTCGCTCGAAGTGGGCCTGGTACCTGCCAAAATCTTCCAAAATAGACAGCTTTTTGCTCGACGTATCTTCCATCAAATCAAATATTTCTTCCTCCGTCTCCGTTGTTTTCCCCTTGAACCGATGAGAACTTAGTGGGTCCATGAATGTCAACCAGAGCTTCGGAAATTTGATCGCAGAGTCAACCAACTCCAGTTGAAGCTCCACTCCACAATGAGCATTGATCGGGGAATTGGCGGGGTAATTTCCATCGCTGTGGAGGCGCTTGAGCCCTCTCGATCATCGCCGACGTTTTACCCGCTCTGATCTCACGGCCGAACACCCCAACATCATCAAAATGGCAAAGATCATCAGGTGCAGGTACCAAAATATGGGACTTAGTAAATGTTTAACCCCGCGCTTGATAATCTTGATACAATGTGGGTGACATTCTACCCTGAAATTCAATTGACCGTTAAAGAAGACGACTATGACCGAGCTCCGCAGTATAAAAGGGCATTTTTGCCTCCTAGTTGAGAATCTGGAAAAGAGCATATCGCAGGCATCATTTGTTAGTCTCTTTTCATAGTCCTCAACTTCCTTTCCGATGAGGTTTTTATTTCAGTCTGTCCTTGTGCTAGGACTGCGGGCTGTCACAACTCTAGCGGCCTCTTCCGTCAAACCCCCCAAGATCATGCCAGCATCGCGACAGAATGAGGTTAATTACACGGCACCATACTTCCCCCTGCTTGGCTTTGAGCAGTATGCAGGCAACCCTATTATGAGACCTGATGCCAGTCACCCTTGGGAGTCCGCATATCTCTATAACCCGAGCGCCATCGTGATGGACGACATGGTCTTCCTCCTTTATCGAGCCCAGGATGCCCAGAAAACGTCTAGCATCGGTCTTGCCTGGTCCAGTGATGGGTATAGTTTCACTCGGTACTCCCAGCCCATTATCGCCCCCACGGAACCATACGAGACCCCGGGCGGATGTGAGGACCCCCGAGTCGTTCGCGTCGATGGAACCTTCTATCTGACCTACACGGCCTACGATGGCAAGGTCGCCCGCCTTTGCCTTGCGACCTCGACCGATCTCGTCAACTGGAAGAAATATGGTCCTATCTTACCCGATTTCATCGAGACTGTGTACAACTGGCGCGAACCCGTTACCTACTTTAGTTCCAACGCGCCCGGCTGGACCAAAAGCGGTGCTATCATTGATGAGCGCCAGCCTGATGGTTACTACTACATGCAATTTGGAGATACCTACCTCTATACCGCAAACTCGACCGACTTGATTCACTGGGAAGTCTCAGGCGACGGAAAGCCGTTCGCTCCTTTGATGAACGTGTGGGAGCAAGCTTTGACTGAGAGTGGGCCGCCTCCTATCAAGACAAGAGACGGCAAGTGGTTGAAGATCTACAATGGAATGGCTACCGGTGGTGTAGGTGGTTATGCAGTTGGTCAATATAGCACTGGACAGATGCTCATTGATCCGGCCAATTCTCCCCTGGGCCCTCCTATTGCACGCCTCGAGACTCCTATCTTGCAGCCCACGACCGCCACGGAAATTACCGGGCAAGTTGATAATGTCGTGTTCAGGTAAGTCGACTGCACCTACATCCGCTAAGAAAGATAAGTACTAAACCTTTATTTTCAGTGAGGGTTTGGTGCAATTCAAGGGCAAGTGGCTACTTTACTTTGGAGCTGGAGATGCGTTCCTGTCGGTGGCCCAGACTCCTGTGCAGCCCTAGATGAGTTCAGAGGCCGATTTCAATAGCCTGTAACTGTTCTTTCGTGTAATCCCGAGTAAAATTGAGTCGAATGTACTTGGGATTGCTGTATTTCTTGCAAATTCAAAAATTTCAATTGGAGATGGTTATCCAGGATGGACACACAGAGTACGGACGATGAAGTACAACAAGAACAGCAAAGACATCGATAAATTAGATTTTTGACAATGAACATAATTCCAAAGAGGCAATTCTTTGAGCCAATTCCAGTCCTCAGTAAACAAAAAGATTCCCGTATCATGACGATCTAGTAATTTTGATGCCGAAGTTTATATAAGAAGGATGAAGTGCCCGACGAGATGAAAGCAAAGGGTCCAGCAGAAAGGCCAGACCGCACCCGGGCGGAGAGAAGAGCGGAGAGTGAAGCGGTGACTTTTCAGCCAATCAAAAGACAGATCCACTCTCGCAAGGGACCTTCTCACCGGCCGAAAGGGGAATAGCATGGTGGAGCATGTGATCTCCTTCGGCCCCGGAAAACCACCGATCGACGCAGCTCTTTGCTTTTGTTCTGTCATACGAGGGCCGTGACTGTGCACATGATGGCTGCCAGCTGAATGGGAGCGACTGAGTCAAAGAGAATCTAGCTGAGCCAGGTCAATAGCCTCAGAAGGCCATTTTCACCCTATCTGCAATTCTTGGGGTGTCTCTCTCACCAAACACCGGGCCACATTCCTTGCTCTGCTCCCGCCCCCCCCCCAACCGTGCCTGCGGCCCCGTGCTGCATGGACTCTGGAAATCTCGCACAAACTATTGGACAGATCATTTAAGTGACCGAATAGGACATGAGCACGTCATCATGAATACTTTTGAGTCATCGGCGACGACTCCGACAGGTCCTCGCGACTCTGGGGAAGCCCAAGATATCCACGATTCCTCGTCACGTTCGCCCACCCATGTAGATTCGGCCCTGTCATCTTCCTTTGGCAGCAGCCGGTCCCACTCAAGCTTTTCGTCCCGGAAGTATGCTGGGACCCCACGGTCTCACAGACATCAGTCCAACGAGTCTACCGCCGTCTTTGATGAGGCTGGTGCCTCGACGCGTAACTACGGGGCCACACAAGCGCCCAATTTGTCTAGCGCGGCGTCCGGGCCAACAAGCAATGATAAGCAGAGCGCTCCAGTGCCTGATAACGGCAATAACGGCGGCAACTGTTCATGTTCACATCAACATAACCAACACGACGAACCACATCAATCTCGATATAGCCGATTTGTAGATCGGTTCGGGGCTCTCGAGCTCGAGAACAAGGGCAGCGTTGCCCGCGATCACCTAGCCTTAGGTATGGCACTAGGCTCTCACGATTCTGCAGTCAAGTCTAATCCAAGTCTATAGAGCGGACCTTTTTAGCTTGGATGCGCACATCCCTTGCCTTCGCTTCCATCGGTATCGCCGTCACCCAGCTCTTCCGTCTCAATAACACGGCAGCCACTAAAAATGCATTCGGTCTTGATGTTACATCTCCAGGACACCCCGATATACTCCCTTCTCAATTCTCCTCATCTTCTATTCATGTCACCTCGGCATCCTCTCGCCTCCGCAGTGTCGGCAAACCCCTCGGCTCCACGTTCATCGGTGTCTCTATTCTCATCCTCATAATAGGCTTCCACCGCTACTTTGAAAGCCAGTACTGGATTGTCCGTGGCAAGTTTCCTGCGAGTCGAGGAAGTATTGCTTTGACCGCATTTGTCGCGGCGGCGCTGATCATTGCGGCGTTGGCGGTTATTCTGGCTGTTTCTCCTGGAGCTATTGAGTCGTAGATTACGCTACTTTTTGCATTTTCGTTTTCTCTGCGTTTTGGATTGGTACTTTTGCATTATTTTTCGGTGTTTTATTGCCTCAAGCTGTCTATATACCTTCCATACTTTGCCGTGCTGACGGCTTTTTCGCCCGTGAAATGTGAAAAAGGGCCCTTTTGGTAACCATTGCAGTTTTCGGTATTGCATGCGAAACGTGTATAGGAGTTGATCGGTTATAGCCTTCCACAACTCGTTATATTCTCTTCGATATTCTGACCTCGTTCGCTACAACCTCGAAACCAAGACAGGTTGTTTTAGCGTACTCAATGCCCCCAAGGAGGTGCCACATAGTAGACGATTCCGTGCGCCACAGATGCAACAATTGGTCCGACCTGAACAAGAATAAGTATGAATTTCAATGGAGAAAATGTCCATCGTCATGGAAGTTTGTCGGCTTACCCAGTGTATCCAATGATACGACGGAAATGACGTGGCCACATAGACACCAAAGCACCGAGCAGGGTTCATAGCTGCCAAAAGGAGTGTGAGACAATTGCATAGCGATATCCTTTCTTCCGAGAGATTTTTCGGTTGAGACTTACAAGCACCAGCAAACCCGCCTCGCACAAACGATGAGCCCCAGCTCAACGTTCCAAGTACCATTCCGACCAGAAACGGCGACAACGCAGCTCCATAAATTTTCCCTTGCCGGGGGTCCAATCCCACTCCAAAGGACAGAAAGATGAGAATTAAGGTGAAAATGAATTCCAAGAGGAAGGCTTCATCTACAGGGACCAATGATTGGTCAATTGCGCAGCCTCCGCAGGTAAAGTCTCTAGATCCGTACGCCTTGCGGAGAATAAAGCCCGCGAGGGCGCCGCCGAGTGTCTGGCCGAGCACATAAATGACCATTCGAGGGAATGAAATTAGACGTGCGAAGAACGTGGCGATTGAAATAGTCGGGTTGAGGTGACTACCGCTGACGTTGGAGAAGGAGAAGATGAATAGCGTCAGAAAGAACCAATTGCTGATACCCCCGAATAGAGGGCCGAGGAACGTCGTTGTAGAGAAGACACCGGATGCAGAAGATGGCACGAAATTGGATGACCCAGGTGGACGCACAGCGACCCAGGCCGTCACGAAGACCATTAGCATGGTACCTGATACAATTAGATCAGTAGCTTCACTGCTTAAATCGTGATCGTGGTAAGAAGGCATCCACGTTACATACCCATCATCTCAATGAAGCCGAATCGCCACAAATCCAAATCCAAAAAGCCGCGCAAGTCAATTCCTTCGCGGAGCGACATCAAAGGCGCCGCATCGGGAATTTTCTTGAGCAAATCTGCATTTTGGGGATCACTGCGATCAACGACTATTTCCTGGTTACCGCCAATTCTTCCAGCGAAGGGCTGGATAACTGGTTTGAGGCGCGACATCTCGTAGACTGCCGGCTGCTCCACGTCTAATTGATAGCTTCGGCGCGTCTGTTCTGGAGAGAGAGCCATGATTGTGGGCAGTTTATGTGAATGACTGCTAGATCACTTTTGTGGGGGTTGCTGCGGCTCGGGTGACGCAGTATTATGAACAGATGTGGTAATGCCGAAAAAATTGAGGGCAAAAACTAAGAATTGAAGCCTCAATGCTTCAAGGATCCCTGGTCTTAGGGAAGTACCCGGCTTGGGGGTGAGACTGTTGTCTCAAAAGAGATCGCGATGGGTGATCTGAGTGGGTACAGTGCGTTCCGAAACTGGTGCGACCACCTACACTCTTCGATTGACTTTCCTGCCCCTACGCCAAGATACACTAGTCTCTATTGGGAGTTCTTCCGGAGTGCCCCTGCATGTTTCGTGTGTATTGCTTCATACATAGATTATCTACTAATTTTAGACACGTATTCGCTTGTAAATTCAATACGTCTGACACCTCGACACTCCTCCTCCACAACAGCCTTCCTCGCGAGGCACACTGAACAATTAATCACGAGTGGTCCAACCAAAGATGGCTCCAAACCTAGCTCCTTCCAAGCATGAGCTTATCTACGACATGATCCACAGTAGCGAACTATCTATTAGTACCTGACATGGCACAGGCTGCTGGTTGCCATAGGAGTACTATCTCGAGGATCTCTTCTAATATACAGATGTTAGCAGCGTCAAAGCACCGCCACATAAAGGCGGACGACCCCCTAGTATCACTCCAGTCATTCTCGAGGCGCTCTCGGGCCTCAACCCGGGCAGCCTTTTTTGACCAGCCTTTGGACTTAAGGGCGCGGCTGATGCTCGATTTGTTGGCTCGAAGAGCGAATTCGTCCCACAGAAAAATCGCTATCTCGTCCAGGTACAAGGCAGGCTTTTCGAGCAGATGGCCACACAAAGCAACCTGGACCTTCGGGACGAGTACCATTACTTTATCTCAGACTTCCAGTCCTACCACCTAGTTTATGCGAGTAAATCTGGATATGATAAGAGGATAGGCTTTAGGCGAACGGGTTAGTCCCTACTTAGTACCGCACCAGGTTAAGTGTCGAAATTTCATCGTGATCAACGTAAAATCAGATACTGCCTGCATATACACAAGATAGCATTGTTCTCTCGCGAGTATTTCAAGGTTCAACTGACGCGTCTGTCTTTAAGGGTTTTATCGAGCAGCTTCTCCAGCACTATGGGAAATGGCCCGAGCCGAAGTCCGTATTAGTTATGGATAACGCATCCTTTCATCACTCGTACCGAATTGAACAGATATGCTTAGAAGCTAGCGTAAAGCTAGTGTATTTGCCTCTATATTCTCCGGATTTAAATCCGATTGAGGAGTTCTTTGCTAAGCTCAAGGCCTTTATCCGGCGGAACTGGCAATTCTACGAAGATAATCCGGATTAAGGATTCGATAACTTCCTCGAGTAGTGTGTTGACGTCGTTGGTGCGAGGGAGAAAAGTGCAGAGGGACAATTACGGCACGCTGGCCTGGTCGTAAAGGAGAAATAGCGTGATCACCTACCTGAGAAACCCGGCGTCTACCTCGGAGATATAGTTGTATTCCTATGGGATGAGTTTGCAACCTTTAGCATTAGAAGAGCCTTTATAGTTTTTCACTATTTCCTAGTCACAAGAGACTGAAAACATTAGAACATGATTCGCTATCCGCCCCGCGTCCTAGATCCCATTACAGCTACCTCGCCACATAATTTACCGTGATAGAGAAGGACTGTCAATGTATTTATGCTAGTCATATCGCCCTATGCCATCTGTATCCATATTACCAGTAGGTACACACTTAGTATTGTAAAATGTTGTGTCGCAAAGTGATATTCCTGAAGCACCATGTCCATCGCCTAACGAGCAACCGGTGGGCTCACGGCCCCAATTTGCAGCATTATCCCAAACAAATCAGGCAACCCGGTCTCCTCCACAATCTTTCCATTTGTGAATCGATAGATGTTCATAGCTCGTGCCTGGATTTTCTTTCCAGAAGCCGGAGCACCAAAGAATTCGCCTTCTTGAGTTCCACGCAGAGTAAACTGCGCTACAACTCTATTGTCCTCGATGACTGTATCGTCAAGTGTCCACTGGATATCTGGAAAGGCCGAGCGCATCATGCCGAGAATTTGCATGTATCCAGGCAATCCTTGCAGTGGGGTATCCGAAAACGGAACGTGGAACACGGCTGACTCGGAAACCACCTCTTGTCCGATAGTTTCATCGCCTGAATTGATGAACTCAACGAATCGTTCCATCCTTTGTAATAGGGTGCGAGCCATTTTGCTGCTTGAGGATACGTTAAGATTTTTTTAACAAAACAATGACTCCCATCTTGACTCACTTGTAGTGGTTCCGATCTGACCAAGTGGAAGGAAGTAGAAATCTCTTGTCTTGGCCAAACTTCTGGGACCAAAAATTAGGAAACACGAAATAACTACCTCCCGGCGACTTTAGCTAGCACAATCGGTTCGGTCTGAATCCAAAGGTTGTGGATTGAAATTTAGACTTCTTCGAAGGCACCGCCGGGGGGGGGGGGAAACGGGCAATAGGTATTAGGGCGGTGGGAATTTACCTTGGCTTGCAATAGGTTTGAGTTTCAAGTAAATTTATCGGTTGTGTCTTGGAGGGTTTCTGGAAATCGAGGCATACTTATATCCTGAACTCACGTGTTCAAAAGTATGATGCGTATATCGGGAAAATAGATTTTTAGGTTATTGATGTTTGCACAGGATGAATCAGTGTAAGATTTGCCTTCTCGGAAAGGTAGTTTAGCTAATAAGAGTGCGGCAGCTCGGAATTCCCGGTCTTGGCTCTAGTGTTTGTATGTTTGTATGTTTTGCATAGCATGCATAAACGCAAAATTTCGCCTTTCTTATCACGGCTATACTTGGAACGCACATTATAACCCGGAATTCCCGGCAACCGCGCCGCTGTTTGGTATGCTTGTACAGTTTGCAAACTTTGCACATAGTGCCGCTAGCCTAGTAATAACTTACCTAGTTATAGTTATCAATAGGAACAGTTTACTAAGCCTCAGCTAATCTATATGCTAGCCGTAATTGATGGATATTGTTGAAGCTCACAACCTGCCAATTTAAAGATCCTATAGGTGGATTTTCGCGGAATAATCCAGTCTTATTTGGCTGATTGACCCTCCTACTCACAGCGTCACTAAAGTAGTCTACCCATCTTGCATTTGTCTTACCTGGCCCTCCGTTAGTAGCTAGGTCTTCTTCCGTGTCCTTCACCACAGCCTTGTTGTTGACAGTGACACGCTATTCTGTGAAGTAGTGAATACAGCCAGGTGGATCCTCGTCGTAGATCCTGCCCTTAGCATCTTAAGCAATAGGTTCGGATGGCTGTCTCTCGATCACAAAGCTGGTAGTACTCATCGTTCTCTTGTTTTCGTACGGACATTACGACAGCCAAAAGAAATTACTGTTCATCCGGAACCCGTGCAAAGGGATAATGAAGTATGCTTGTGTAGGCTGTTCTCTAATCACAGTACCTAAAATATCTAGACTAAATGAATGTTTTTGTTGCAAGTTGCAGGTTGCGTCGTTTCACCCAAAGGCCGATGTCACGAACGAACCGCCGGGCGGCGCCTACTTTCACACCGTGTTTGACAGAAACCTGGGTCTTGATCCTCATAAATGTGTATAAGGTCGAGACAATTTTCGAGGGTTATATCGCGTGCTTTGTTGATGTTCTTCCTAAAAGTCACATTGCTCAATCGTGATTGCTGCTATTCGGTATATTCTTCTACAGCGATATTAAGCAGCCCCCAGTCTATCACTCGGACCTGGGAGTGGCGAGGGAAGTGACAGCTCGCCAGATTCTCGAGGCACTCCCCAGCTCTGGTGTTTGACTTGTTTGCATTGCCATGGAAAGTTATAGTTCTATTAGATCACCCATACGGTTGCGAGACAAAGCATCGTATTTTAATAAGAGTAAGTCATGGTATTGAGACTGATACAGGAATATTAATAATCCGGGTTCATTCCTAGTAAGGACTAGTGTCTCTTGGCGTACTAGAGAATCACTCGAAGAGTGGAGGCTGTTGCAACAGCTTTGGGACGCACTGTCAGGTAAGATTTTAGTAAGGCTTACCATAGTTGGTGGCTGATGATTACCACTCGGCATGTTTTAGGTTTGGCCTCGGCCGGAAAGGGTATAACCGACCTAAGCATGTTAAGAGCCATCCATGCCTCTGACAACAAGGAATGCAATACTTGTCAACTACTTTAGAAAAGAAATGCTGCGGATTCGAGTTTTTTAACGTGTCATTCATTACAGTATGCACTACAAACAAGCGCCCAGAAGAGGAGAACCTGACAATATATTTTCTTCGACTATTTGGAAATTTTGCTGCAGTATATTTACACTGCCGAGTTAGACTGACCCAGTCGCTAGTACATAACCACCATCAACGACGATGGTCTGCCCGTTCAGATATTGATTTGAAACAGTGAAAAGCACAGCTCCAGCCATATCCTCATCTTTTCCAGGTCGCCCGGCAGGAACCTTACTCTCGTACTTCTCTTTTGAAAGCTCGCTCTTCTGCTTATCATCACTCTCCTTGGCAGTCATTTCCGAAGGGAAGACTCCAGGAGCGATATTGTTCACTCGGATCTTCAAACCCGAGTCAGCGATCTCATGAGCGAGCATTTTGGTGAGGTGAATGGCGGCAGCCTTGCTTGCATTGTAAGCGAAATGATGCTGCGACGCTTTGATGATACCGGAGATCGACGAAATGTTGATCACCGTGCTAGACCACGCAGGTGTATCCTCAGTACCCTTACTGAGCAAGGGGAGGAAGGCGGTAGTGACGAAGAATAGCTGCATCACATTGGTTCGCATGACATCTTCCCAATCGCTGACTTTGCTTGTATTGTGGAATAGTTCTTGTTGGAGCTTTTGGGGATCTTCATGGTCAGTGTTCTGCTTTGCAGAACTAATACCGGCATTGTTGATAAGGATGTGCAGTTTAGATTCCTTGGAGGAGATCTCGTCAACTAGATTCTGGATTGACTCCTTCGAAGTGACATCGGCAGGAATGGCAATGATCTCGCCGGGAATATCCTTCCCGTAGAGCTCAACTACACGGTCGAGCTTCTCTTTAGTACGGCCGGTGATGTAGACCTTCGCACCGTTCACTGCGAGAGATTGAGTGGCCATTAGACCAATGCCTGATCCGCCACCGGTGATGAGGGCAACTGTTTCACCATGTGTTAGATAAATTCATGGGAGATGTGGGACTCCTAAGGAATTTGGTATGCACATACCCTTGCCCTTCATGCCGAAGAGGTTCTCAAGCTTGAAGCTATCATTATTGACTTGGGACGACATTTTGGTGTGTATTGAAATCAAACTGAGATAATACGAAACTAGAGAATTAATATTACTGCTGAAGGGATTGGAGAGCTAACTTATATCATAATCAAGCCCTCCGCTGTACATTCTTATTGGCGGAACTGCAGATTCTTCGACAGGGATCAAAGGTAGCTCGGCTCCACTATGACCCCCATCACCTTTCAATCCCTGACTTCATTATGACAGTCAGCCTGTGTGATTTATACCTAGGTATAGAATTATGGGATTGATCGGGTCCCAGCCTGCTAGATGTAACACATTCAGGTTTCTGCAAAGATATTAGTTCAGTGGGCCTCATCGGGTCAAGATTATTGCTAATGAATCTGCGGTGTGACGTCGGCCCAGAATATGGGTTTTGAAACAATTCAAGAGAGTTAAACTATTCCATTAAGCTCGGACGATCAAACTAGAAAGGCATCTAGGAACAAGAGTAAGGGTCTAGGCAATTGAGCGGGAGCAAAAAACAGATTCAGATCAAATTTACACATCTGCCGGTCATTAATGACCTTAGGCGACAGCCTACTTGAGATGCCAGCACTGGAATTTGAACTCGAGGCCAAATTCAAGTTTTATCGTATCAAGGCATGTTTCCCATCCTACCCTCGTTTCCTGATAACCAAGCCTGTGATTCCACGGTATCTTTGCCAGGTCGGATTTAGAGAGAAAACAATGTCAAGAAATAAATAACCAAAGAATTACTCTTAACATCTTTCTAACGTCACGGAGGAATGTGGAGAAAAATCTCGATGTTCAGTTTTGATTTCAGATCTAAATTACGTCATAGTGAAGTCAACCGCGCAACCAGTTTCATTTGACAGCATCAAAGAGAGTACAGTCTAAGCAATCAAGAAAACAATTTGAAAATTAGTCAAATGCGTATTAAATTACAACAGGCCCAGTATATGCTTCCAAAATGGTTACAATGGGTCTACCATTAACTTGACATAGGATGTCATGTACATCTCGTCATATCTCTCCCATACCTCAGCCGTTCACAACAACCCCACCATTAGGGTGCAAAGACTGGCCAGAGATAAAGCTACTATCCTGGCTGGCAAGGAATACGAAACATGTCGCAACCTCACTAGGCTGGCCCGGACGACCCATAGGGGACCCACTAAACTGCTCCTGCGCAGAAGTATTCATAGTAGCAGGAATCAGAGGGGTCCAAACTTATGGTGCGTTAGTGAAGGATCACATCGAGGGAATGGATTTGACATACTTGGTCCAGGGCAGACGCAGTTCACTCGAATGCCGTTTTTGACCTGCTGGTTGGAGAGACCTCTTGTAAAGGCCACGATCGCTCCTTTGGTGGATGTATAGTCGAGAAGATCCGGTCGACCAATGTACGCATTGACCGAGGCGCAATTGATAATAGTTGAGCCTTTCTTCATATGAGGAAGCGCGTATTTCGACAGATAGAAGAATGGGTGGATGTTGGTGTCGAATGTACGCTCCCATTGATCGCTGTCCCAAGGCGTGAGTATGATTATCATCAAATGCAGGGCAAGCAAATGTTGATACTTACTCATCCAGATCTTGGATATTCTCGACCATATTTTGATAACCATGGTTGTTCACCAATGTATCAATGCCACCCATGGTTTGAAGAGCCGTATCGACCACCTTCTGGCAGTTCTTCTTATCCCGCAGATCGACGGCGAGGAGGTGGATTTTCTGTCCCAGTTCCTCCACGCGTCGCTTTGTTTCCTGCGCATCTGTTTCTTCCTCGGGTAGATATGTAATTAAACTGGTGGCGCCTTCCATTGCGAACAGTATAGCAATGGCTCGCCCGATGCCAGAGTCTCCGCCCGTGATGATGGCCCTCTTGTCTATGAGCTTGCCTGCCGCCTTGTAAGTTTGATATCCATTGTCCTCGGTTGGGAGCTGCGTTGATGTAGGCTTTGGATCTCCTAGTTCGCTCTGCAAGCCAGGCTTCTCAAGATGTTGAACGGGGACCTCGTGACCTGATCAAAATCAGCAATATGATCTTGAATCAAAAGAAAGTCCATTAGCTCACCAGGCTCGAATTGGGACTGAGGGCCCTGAGCCCCTCTTTCAGTTGATTTATGCATTGTTGCGAATGGCCCACGTTCAAAAAGTAATTAGGAATGGATATGGAAGGAAAGGTGAAAAAATATCGGTTCGAGCCTTGCTGAAGTTTGACAACCTAAGTAAATTAAAGGAGCGAGACACTTTCAATTTGAATTTAATATACAAGATTGAAGTTATTTTCGTCAGCGTGACGTCTGTGAATTTGGATATGGACTTCACTGTCAATTTCAAGATTTTATGTACCTTATGTTGGACGGGTGGGTCCACCATCAACCAAATGACACCTTGGTCTATTAAAGACCGCCAAGAAATCAAATACTTGTATTGAAGAAGTCCCTATTAGATCTAGATTCTATAAATCAATCTAAAAATACACAAGGTACTAACAAGGAACGTGAGTGATCATGCTGTTGCCTCGTTGACTCTTAGACCCTTAAGCTAAGAGCAGGCATATTGCCAAGTGTCGATGCTGAGCTGATCACACTTGACGCTTCTGTTTACCACACTTGGCCAAGCACTCCTCGACCATGATCAACAAATCATTAGGAATAGCATGTCTCACTTTATCAATATCCTCACCCGCAATAGACTTTCCGAATGTTCTCGCGATAATATCATCGCTAAAGGCAAAGGTCTGGTCCGCGACCAAAGACATTCCAGTGTCCTCCGAGTTGAAAGCTGCGGTGAAATTGGCAGCCTCACAGTCCGGATTCACCTGGGTGTGGAATGAACCGGCCGGATAGATGGTCATCATGCCCGGGCCAATTTCTGCTTTGATAACTCGTTGATTACCCTTGGAGTCAACGATACCTCCCTCGGGTACCATTTCGGAGTGTATACGGCCAGAGGCGATGGCGAAGATCTCGGTAGCGCGAGGATGAAGATGGACAAAGGTCATACCGCATCCTATTGTTTTAGTTAGTATTACTTAGAACCCGGACAGGCTACAGCTATCATACCTGGCAACTGCGAATAACTGAAGGATAAGCCAGTACCAACAAGGGCCGGGAAGCTCTCGCCGTCGGCCAATGGAAGTGCAGGGTTTTTGCTGAAGTCATAGACAAAATCTTCATCCGTTGGCAGGAGCGCATAGCGGTCGGCAGCGCTGAATAATTGTCAATATGATTTCATTGAGTGACTGTCTTAGAACTTACGTATCTGCCAGTCGCAACTGAGTCGTCAAGCTTGGTTCGGCCGTTGATCGGCCGAGCATCGCGTGAGGTGCTGCCTCCGTTGGACGAGCCTGAACGAGAGCAAGGGCAAGGACGGAGCTGAAGGCAAATTTGGAAAGCATGGTGACTCTTGATATTCAATGGGTTATTCTTTGCGAATATGTCAAAAGGAAGAAGAATTTATGAAACTGGTGATTGCAGATGATGGATTATCAAAGGAGAAGGCGATATAGGTCCTTATATACCTGCCCTGATCAATCTCCCTTTTCATATTCGAAGCATCATTTCATCATAGATTCCAAATATGCTATTCAAATTCCAAATATTTTGCCTGGGTTCCTGAAGACTGAGCCTCACGTGCTTGGCGAAGAGGGATTTAATGGGTGAATTCCGTCGATGGGAGACTCAGCCTCATCAAGGAGCCATCTTCATGACATTTAGCTCATATGGATGATCCACAGGGTCGTATCTTACACAAGGAGACAGACCATATAAGTTCATTTCTGCCCAGAAATTAAGTTTTGCTGGGCTATTAAAGACCTTAGTTCTTAGGCACAGTTGCGGGAATTGTCTTGGCGAGCGTATTTGGGGATTTAGCCCGAGCGTATTCAAGATACGACCATGATGGAGGCTGACGGGAGGCTGAGGATCGGCATGCGGCTGTATGCGGCTCTTGGCACTGTATTACCCGTTCATCATTAGCTTAAATGGCTAAATACTATTTCGTCACGTTTTAACAGATAATTCTCAAGCATCAGGGATGACCTCAAGCATTTACGAGATTTTTCCCTTTGTGCAAGTGATGTAAAATCGCTGTCCTACGAGCGTCCGACGACACTATAGTCTGGTTTCACTATAGTCTGGTTTCAAATAGCGAAAGTTGATTGGATTCGAAAAATCTAAACTCTAGACAGATGATCCAAGTTCTAGCTTAACCATATACATGCTTTGCGGCCACCATGTCTCTGTATCATCCCGCACTTGATGAAATAATTCCTGAGTCTTCATTAATGAAACCACTTGTCCCAACTCCCATTCTCCAATGCCTCCAATCCACCACACTCCATCCAAGAGCATCACCAGAACCAGCCAATGAGCAAAGATATCCATAGCTAATAGCTGCGTCGCATTAAGCGGGGGAATATCAATATTTAGTGCGTCTCGAGCCATTCCATTCTCAAAAGGACTCGCCTCTGCGATCGGCAAGTCTAGTATTGACTGAATAATGCCGGGGTATTCTGATGGGGCTTCGTTCAAGAAGGACATGATAGTTCGTCGGAGTGCTATGGGCGCTTGCATGGATGTTACGCTAATCATGTATTTGCCAACCCAGGGCGAGACTTTGGAGGATCCATCAAAAGACGGGGCCTCCTGTCGGGGGCTCTCGGGAGCTTCACCAGATTCTCTTCTGGATAGGGCGTCCGACGCACATTTCCTGAGAATAGGCAAAGTCTTCAAGCATACGTCAAGTTCTCGGAGGTCCGAGTCAAAAGACGCTATTCTCCCCACATGAGCTGATATAGAATCGGCTGTCTCTGACAGTCTCCCAAGGGCTTGGCTATAAGTCGATGCGACCAGTGGCAGAAATAAGCGCTCCGTATGCTCCGATGGACCATTCTGGGGTGACAAGACGTCCGTACCGCTTAAGTTGTTTCTTGAATGTGTAGAAACCGCCTCGATGCTCATAACCTGGTTTCTATTTGAGGCATCCATGGCATTCTTGAGAATTGCCGTGGAGGCTGTATGTGCAGCACGTGTGAATGAGATCCATTGTGAATGTTGCGGGAGCAGCTCGGTTGGGAGCCTCTGGCCTCTTTGTTTTGCAGTAACTGCGAGATGTACTCTGAGGGAGTGACTAGCAGAGGCATACAAGACCATCAATGCTGCATTGGCGAGGACATCATCATACCAGTCTGAGTGAGACACGGTGGCTTGAATATGTTTCAGAGAAGCCCTGTGATGGCACTCGGCAAGTTCAAGTAATTTCTGAACCTCAATCAAAACCTCGCTATCCAGAGGTGTTTTGGATTGTTTGACAATGTCATGAGACTTGCATGCTGCTGCCAAAGCTATTAGAGACGACATCACGGGCTTGTTGTTGAAAGCGAGATTTGGTATTCCTATTGAAAGAGCGTAAAGATCGAGAGCGTCGAATGGGATGGTCTTGCTGGTGTGCGTAAGGTAATGGCTCAATAGATCAAGTTCTATCATATCAAGGATGTACCGAGGCTGTGGATTTGGTGATTGTCGATCTTCATATATGTTTGATTGTGGAGAAATTGGGAAGGGCGATGTATGCGGAGAGGGACACAGTAAAGAGCCAGAGATCGAGAGTCGATCGCCCGTAGGTGTAATTGGCCCTTCTGAGCCACTAAAAGCAGCCCCCCAATTTACAGGGACTTTTAAAGCAGCCACAGATCGAGGAGGAAGATCATGTTCATCCGATGAGATGGAGTCACTTGTGGGACCTTGATATCGACAACTATATCCATGCTTCGAACATCTAGAGCAGCTTGGTCTCGACTCGTCGCACTGGATAATACAATAAGAGCGTCAGGAGCATATTCATCTTAATAGAAGCATGTAGGACCGACCTTCTTGCGCTGTTGTTTGCATCTCAGGCACCCATTCCTAGATTTTGCGTGTGCTCTTCGGACCCTAAGGCCTGTCGCCTGCAGGTCCGATCGGGTCGTATCGGCAGGCATATGGTCAACCGATTGCGTGGTACAATGTCCGAAGGAAGGATTGTCGCACTGACGGCGCTGTGGCTTCTCGGAGAAATTATGTGCGTATTCGTTTTAAAGCCTCGAGGACCCTTTTTAAAGACGCAGGCTCGCTCTTTCAAACTAATTCTTCTTAGAGCTTTTGACTCGCCAGATACGAGGCTGAGCAACGGCTCAGTCGGCTCCAGCCCCACTTGAGCTGATGATTTGGAATAACGCATTTGGAAGAGTCAGAGCCTAATTAGACTTCTTGGCGTAATCGGTCAGCAATTGCCGAGTACAACGTCAAGCCTTCTTAGCTCTACTACGGAGTAATCTGCGTGGATTTGTTCGTTTCAATACCCACCGGTTCAAAAGGCTCGGTGTCAACAACCCCATTCTTTTTTGTAGGATCGACAACATGTATCGTGAAGTCATCCAGATTTTTGGAGACCTTAGATGACGAGGAGCTCTTGTCAGAAGAATCGCTTGGTCGGCCTATAAAGAACCGATACCCCGCAAAGAATTCGCGCCCAATCGCAATGTCATTAGAATTCATCTCGGTAAACTGAAACCACCGGAGGAAGTTTGACTCCGCTAGTAGACTCGTAACTGCTGCAATGCTGCTGCGGTTTTTGGGTAGGATATGATCCGTGTTCATGAGGATAGAGCCCAAGATTCCAAGGATCACTATGGACGCAAGAAGCGCCTCGAGCGCTCTTGTAGAGACAGTGTCTTGGAAAAGCCTTCGACGATTGGAGAAAATGATATCGCCTGATTATGAAACGTTGTGGGCGATAGTCGCTGTGCATGTACAATTGAATCCCTGTGCCGTCATGATATTGCTTTCAAACTTGATGGCCTTCACGACTTTATCAACGTCCTTGGCATTTGCGAGATTCTCCTCAGGGATAGCATATCTTTCATCCGTCAATGCCTGAAAGAAAGGATCCAAGGTGCTTGAAGCGGTTCCATCCGCATGGGTGGACATGATGTCTGCGATAGGTACAAATTGATCGACGGCCAAAGTGGCGGACGACTCATCTGGCTTCGGAGGATGGTCGTCGGGTATATCAAAATGCGGTAGTTTGAAACGCGTCCAAGTATTGACAACTCTAGCTGCCGCAGCAAAAACCAAACTTGCAATAATCTGCACGGTGCCGTTTTTAGAGTGACCCTAGACATAGGACGTCACGGCATACGCCCATTCCCGCTCTGACTTGGATTCATCTGCAACGGAGCACATCCGCATGGCTGCTGAGCCAAAGGTTCCGTTGCCTTTTCTCAGAACGGCAGTATCTTGGGTTGTCCCCGGATCGACGAATTGGTAGTCTGAATAAAGGTTGCAACGTACGCGAGGAGCAGTGATACGCAGGGCTCGGTATATTGAGTCGGCCGATGATTTGAAGTCATCAAATGTGTAATTGACCCGAGAGCCTGCCTGCAATTGACAAACTGGTGCCTCTCGTAGAGGAAGTACCCAGATGTCAATATATGACCCGGCTGAAGAGTTGGAAGCTGTGGTTTCGTTGAAACTGGGCTTTTGGAATGCAAGTTCCTCATAGGTCCAGCGGGAATACGGTATCGTGTTCCGAAGAATGAATCGGGCAATGCCAAATATCTCCCGAAAGGAAGGTATCAAGTAGCTGTATCTCTACCCCATTCCGTTGAATTTGATCCTCTCGTAAAGCAAACAGGCCAGTAGAGAGGACTAGAGCAAGACTCAGAAACAAAGAGCACGAAATCGAGGAAAAGACAACAAGGTTCCTGTTCCTGAAAGCTTTGAACAAGGCAACTGGCTGCATGGGCGAGAGATAGTCCAACAGCACACTCTGGCTAGCCTCGGTTGGCCCTTCTTGCATTGCCTGCCATGGAGCATATTGCTTCGCTTGAAATTCCACGCGGGACCACAACGCAGCGATGACTGTAAGGATGGCAGTTGGACCATACATCCAAGCATAATGTCGACTATTAAACGATGCAATCCTGTAGTTGACTTGGGAGATATGGTTGAGGACTTCTAGAGCTGCAATGACGGCGCAGAATACCACGATAAATGCAATCAAAACACGTCGCTGAAGATAACCGGGCCGCCATCCATATTTCTGATCTTCTTTCTCCTTTTCTGAGTTCTTTTGTCGCATCTCTGGCTGGCTGTCAATTGTAAACCCCTCGTTGGGTTCGAGTAGAAGAGGCTTGTTCGACAATGGCCGCAGGCTTCTGTTGCCATGGCCAACTTCCTTAGAGGGACTCTCATAGTTAAAAAGAAATCTGGACCCTTTTTCACCCTTTTCGAATGGGTTGTCAATCTAGTAATGGGCCAACTTCGAAACTTTGCCCTGCATTAGTTGCTCGTGGTCATTCACCCTGATCCGCTGGTTTGCTCTAGTTAGCCACCGAAGTGGCTCTGCGATACCATCTGGGCGTGTATCCTGAACTTAGAAGTTAACAACTCATCGGATTTGGGGGCCAGCGCCCACATCATACATGGTTCAAACGTTCAAACCAGATTCATTCTATTTTAGATGCCAGAATGTATGTTAGCAGAGTTTTCCGATTACTACATCCTAACGGAACCAGTTGCAATTTCAGTAAAACATTTCTTTCATTTCTGCCAAAGCCCTAGATCCACCCGCACCAGACCAGTCTAGGCACAATACTATATCGGAGGCAGGAGACACGGCAAACAACGTGATTGATGGGAAGGATATCGACAAGGCGGGCCAGGAGGGTGAGAAAAAAAGGAGATGAGGTGTGGAAATCGGGCGACGCGGCTTGCAGACAATGCGGGAAGAGGGCGAAGGAAAATGAATCAAACCAGAAATAAGAACCGCCTAAGTACATATCGCTTTGCTTTACCGGGGACCAAGCTTGGCCAGCGCACGAGCACCTTGTTCCTCCCACTCCTGCTTGGATACCCACATGTCGTCCTTGTCTGCGATCTGTTGTTGAAAGGATTAGCTTCTGGCTCGATAGGTGAGAGAATACGATAACAGTAACGTACCAGGTTGGCAAGGACAGCACCACCCAGGAAGACCATGTGCCTCCGCCGAGGGGGGTCTTCGATGCGGACCTTGAATTTCTGTAATGGTGTTAGTTCTGACAAACGATTCGATTCACCAGCCTCATTTCTTGAAACATACGTTCAGACGCTCTGGGTTGCCGCCCAGGACTCGGGTGAGCCAGAGCTGCTTCAGCTCCTTCTCCAATCGCGAAGGCAGACCGGGGTACATGCTGCTACCACCGCTAAGCACAACAGCCTTGTATAGACTGGATCGAATATCGACATCGGTGCCTTGAATGGTGTTGAAGAGCAGCTCAGCCATACCGGGCTGATCAACATCCACCAGGTGGGGTTGGAAGAGACACTCGGGGGCTTCGAACCGCTCACTGCCGACACGAATGACACGGCCGTCGGGAAGGGTGTAAGACTCGACCAAAACAGTGGTATCCTCAGACAGCTTCTTGTCCAACTCGAGGTCGTACGAAACATAGCAGAGCTTCTCCTTGATCTGGCGGACGGTCTCGAAATCGGCGGTTCGGTTCAGCGCATAGCCGCGGCGCAGGAGAAGGGCAATCAGGTTGCGGGTGACATCACGGCCGGCCACATCCAATCGCTTGATGTGGTGGTTCAAGACGGTTGACTCGTAAACGGGGATAATGTGTGTCACACCGTCACCGGAGTCCACAACAACACCACTGCTCAGACCTAAAATACCAATCCATCAGCACATCCTTGTTTCGCAACTTGCGGAGCTATCCCGCCCAAGCGATTCTTCCATACCCTGGGCATACAGTGCCAGCACTGCCTGGATCGCCACATAGACACCTCCGAAGTTGTATCCCTCGAGCATGACCTCGGCCATCTGTTCGCGGTTCTTGAGCGGGTTCATGGGCGGCTCTGTAAGGAGGATCTTCCGTCCCGTAGGATCAATCTTCAACTTGTCGTAAAAGGTGTAATTCCACAGGTGTTGCATGTCATCCCACTTCTTGACAATACCATTCTCCATCTAAACCATCCCCGCAAAGGGTCCATCGTCAGCAACACGTTCCTGCCTGTCCTGCGGAGAGAGGGGGCGGGGTATTCGAAGGCGAAGGCAAGAGAGTCCCTATCCGAGGCCAGACGTACCGGATAGCTGATCTGAAGCATGGATCGAGCGGCGGCAGCTTCCTCTCCACACATGATATCCTTGACCACAATGTCGCCAGCCTGCTCCTCCGTTCGCAAGATGGGCCGCCCCACTATCGAGGGGAACTGGTGCTCTGGGAAGTTCTATTGAAAAGCGAAGGAGTCAATAAGATGCTCCAATCATGTTGAAAGGGTGTGCGACATACCTGGCCAGCATATCCGACCTTGAGGAAACCGGTTCCTCCGTCGAGCACTACAGCCTGTTAGCTTGAGGGAGCTGGAAGGGACACGCGGTCGTCCCGGGTGAGGGGAGGTACCAATGGGCACGTCTGCCATGATGAAGGAATGTGGAAGTTAAGCGCCGTCAAAAATGGATCAAATGCACTTATCTCCAAAGCGAGGGCAATTGGAGGAGCGTCGAGGCGCGGAGGTGGAGGAGTTGGGGTTGGAGTTGATGTCGGTAAGTCGAGTTACTGTCGCCTGGGCATCATCATCGTTATTTACGTGACCGTACCGTACCTCTTCCGCTCCCCGCATTTGGGGGTTCAATGGGGTGCGCGCCACACCTGTTACATGACGTGACTGAGTCAACAACAGTAGTCAATTCGAACCTGTAGAGCTTGAATTTGGCATATTCGGAGTAATTAAAGATCATCTGTTGTATGCTGAAAGTATAGTCCACTGAAATTGTGGGTTTTATTGGTCCGTCAATGTTGCAGCCTGAGGCAGAACCGCCAGTTACTGTCGGCGGCCATCCTGCACCTATGAGATACGCAGGCAATCTAGACCGTGATAATTAGAACATACTCGGAAATAGTTAAATTCAATTTCATCCGAAAAGACATTATCGGCCCGATCTGGACTTATTTATTATTTATTAAGTGCACGCAACTACTAGCCCCTTTGGTAGACGTCCACCCTTCCTATCGGCCGATTCCGATGCCCTCGGGAGAGGGACACGCTCCGCCCTCTTCCCTTCTGCATGAAGCAGCAAAGCAGCCTCTACGCGCCGTTTGTTGTTAAATTGACGTCAATTGGCTTAACTATCTCTGTTGTGGGCCATTGAATAGCCTCAGAAGCTATACCTGAGGACCTTACTGTCAGCAAGGCAGTCCAATATCAATACGGTCCTTCCCGACCTCAATTAGCAACCAGCAGACACAATGACTCAAATCGGCTGGGTATGTATGACATATACCCTGCTCAATCAAAAGTTCACATCTTTGAAGGACTCAATCGCTAATGTATATACAGTACGGCCTCGGGTCCATGGGCCTCGCCATGGCTAACAACCTCCAGCGACACCTGGCAGCCAAAAAAGCCCTGAGTCTACTCTACTCCAACCGCACCATGTCTCGCGGCGGCCCTCTCCAGGCCCTCGGTGGTATCCCGGAGCCTAGCTTCGACAAGCTCGTATCCCGCTGTGGAATCATTTTCACCATGGTACGCTCCGCACTACACCAAGACCGTAACCATCACTCCGCTAATCGTATCCCCAGGTATCCAACGACTCAGTCCTCCAAACCCTTATCTCATCCGCGCTCAGCTCAGGCAATTCCCTCAAAGATAAGATCTTCGTAGACTGCTCGACTGTTCACCCGCAGACCGTCAGCTCGGCCGTAGCCCAGCTCAAGGCTAAGCAAGCCTCGTACGTGGCCGCGCCGGTCTTTGGCGGGAATCCTATTGCTGTTGATGGGAAGTTGGTGTTTGCGATTGGTGGGCCGGGGAGTGCGACTGAGGTTGTTAAGCCGCTTATTCAGGATGTTATGGGGAGGAAGGTTATTGAGTGTGGGGAGGATGCTACTAAGGCTTCGTTGTTGAAGATTGCTGGGTATGTTTTGGATGAAGTGAAAACTGAAAATTGAAAAGTGATTTTGTGATTGGGGAAGGCTAACGTGCATTGGCAGAAATATTGTTACTGTGAATATGATGGAGGCTGTTGGTGAGGCGCAGGTTTTTGCTGAGAAGACTGGTCTTGGAACAGGTCCGATGGAAGAGTTGATTGGTGAGGCTTTTGGTCCTGTTGCTGGAGGATATTCTAAGAGGTATGTATCCTGGAAGCCTATGCACTCTCAGAACCTGATTTTAACATGAACTAGATTGACTACTGGGGTTTACGCACCGCCTCTGGATGCACGCCCCGGTTTCGGCGTGTCTCTGGCTATCAAAGATGCCAGACATGCGATGTCCATGGCCGAGGTGCATGGAGTCAAGCTTCCTGCTCTTGAGTTGGCCCGAAAGAATATGGAGGCGGCCCGCAATTATGCCGGTGAGTGCCTCGACAGCAGCTCCATGTACGGAACATTGCGACAGCAGGCTGGGCTCCCATTCTGGAATGAGAAGAGTCGGCAAGAGTAGACAAACTGTGTGAGATGTGCGAGGAAAAATTGTGCTAGTACAATAGAGTAATATTGCTTTCTTCCAAGTATCTCTTGTCCAGCATCATGATGCGTATTCTAACCAAATTTAACAAAATTCCCAACCCGACGCCCCGCCCATCATAACCATCCATGCTAATAGAAGCATTTAAATTCCATATGAGAAGAAATACCATTAAAAAAAGTTTATCAAGGCCAGCACCATGCATAGATGAGACAATCATATGCCCGAAAACAGACCGAGTCCAGCTTGGTCCCAAACGCCAAAGCTAACTATATCGGAGTCGAGCAGTGCTGTTTACCCGGCTCCGGTCTGATTCGCGTGGTATCCACCAACCCGGGATACGCTTCTGCAAAGAGCGGACCCAATGACCAATTGTTCAGGTTCCGCATGTGACGCTCAAAAACTGGATTGATGATTAGTTCCTCCGAGTCGCCTGCGGATAGCAAGCAGTCGGTGGCTTCGTATGGCCAATTCACATCCATGCCGCGCGTGAAAGGAATGAACCAGTTCTCAAATGGGTAGTCGCGGTGAGAGGTCACGAGCCGGTCTCGCATTCGAGGCCATGGGACGTAGTCCATCCATGGGGGATGGGCCTGAAGCAGCTGTGTGGGACGTGGCGTGATCCACTCGGGAAGTCGATCGTAGTTCTCTTGTGTGGGATAGATTTGCCAGCGCATGAGGAGGAACATTGTGTAGAGCACGGCAACCTGCACAGGGAGGGAGGAAATGTCCGGGAATGTGCGTAGGATGTCCGTAAAGACTTTGGAGAGAGGGTGTGATTGTGCACTCTTCTCTGGGTTTAGCAGTGAAGAGACACTTGGGTAGGGTGGTCCCACGAGCTTCTGCCGAGGGATTCCTTCTGCGGCTTCGCGTTGCCGGTTGTGCAGGAAGTCGAGCAATATACTATCCAGTGTACAGGTCGGTGCAGAATTCCTGATGGGTGTTGCGTGAGCCGGTACTTGATCGGCTGGGTAGTTCATCGGTTGCATATACAGCGGTGATGGCGAGGGCTGGGAGGAACGGAGGTTTTCTGAGTTGCTGCGCCGAAGCCGATCGACTTTGGGAACATTGTGATTAGGATCGAGAAGAAAATTGAACCCTAGCCGCTCCACCATGCCCAGGTCGAGACCATGAGCAATATTATGGCGCTGGGAGTCTAGGGCGGCACGGAATGAGGAGGGCTGCAGGCTTCCATTTTGGCTATTGCGTCGACTGCCCGAAGCCGATCCGGATTGTGTTGGAGAGGGTGTGTCCAGGCTGGTCACTGACTCGGCATAGAGCCTGTCACTTTGTGCCGCAGCCTGGTCGCTTATGTTCAAGGAGTCGGTCTCGGGGAAAGGAGGGGTATGGGATGTCGGCGGGACCGATCTGGGTTGGGCGAGGAAAGAAGGTAGATCTGCTTGATGTCAGTCAAGGCCACAGGTGTTGTTGCAATCGGCGGGGTCTACCTGAAGCCTCCGGTCTCGCCAGCAAAGGTTGTATTATGTCCAGGACCGCCTTGAGCCCTTGGCGAAGCTCCCTGTTCTCCGACCGGATGCGCTCATTGTGCTGAAGTGCAGCCTGCAGGTCGAGCACCGGTTTCTGCGATGCAAGATCTCGAACCTGTTGTTCTAGAGCCTCGATATGAGACTTGGTGCGTTCGCGAATAGCACGCTGCGCCTGACGGTCATTCGCACGCTTCTTCGCCAATTGATCGGGGGTGAGGTTGGCCACTCCTCTTGATGATGTGCTGTTCAGCTTGCGCTTCCGCCCCGCTGTTGTCGGCCCATTGCCGTCGAGATTCTCTGGAAGCAGGCCCTCTGCGCCCAAAGAGGTTGACCGGGACGGTACGGGTGAATCTTCCGTCTTAGGAATGGTGGTGGTCGAAAATGAGGCGCCCTCGATCATCGCCTCGATCGGCGGCGAAGGCGCCGCATAATTGATCGATCCGCCCAGTGCGCGGTTGGTCATCGCCTCATACACGCGCGCGCTCGCAAAGCTTGCAATTGACCTGAGCCATCCAAGGGGAGGGAGGAGAGAGAGATGATTAGGGGCTCAGCCGGAGTGACTAGACGAGTCAAGCACAGGAACCAGCATCCGGAGTGTTGGTGCTGGCGTTGGGGGTGGGTCGAGGTGCTGAGGAGAGCGACTCGGTTCCAAAGATTTGGGCCCTGCAGAGTTCGAGTCAGCTCTTCCCAGTGGGTTGACTTTCTGTTCGGCAATCGAGACTCGGACATTCCCTGCAACCTTGAAGAAACCATTTCCCGAAATCATCGATGATTGTCGTGTTCATAATAAGTCTAGCCATTATCATGATAAGCCCTTTGTCTGGACGGTTACTTCACAATCTCAAATCACTCCCTAGTGCCATCTACAACGAGTCATGGGCATCAATGATCTGCGGAGTCTTGGGGAGGCTCAGACACGCGGCGAGATCCACCTTCTCCCCCAGATGAGAGACATGCAGGCTCCATTATTCCAAAAGTAAATTATAGAGGTGCACGAGGCCTAGGTTCTAGCACAAACCCAAATATATTCATACGGAGATAGGAACAGTAGATCACCAGCATCATAATACACGTATCGCTTAAATACGCATCGAAATAACGATCATGTACACGGCCGCCCGGGTCATCCGAACGGAACTATGCAAAAATATAATGACAACAATGAAGAAAGAATGGTCATGTCGATCGTGTGGACAAGGGAGAAGTCCCAAATAATGAAAAGGAAAAAGAAAAAAGAAGAAGCCACCAAAACTCCCTGGGAAACTGAAAGTTGAATATCGGCAAATGATCCCCTCAACACGAGAGCGAGAAAGCCGAAAGCGAGAGAAGTGAACCGAATGAAACTTAATGAAAGTGCCAAGTCTACCGATTATTGAATCATATGGCCCATTTTGGAAATCTGCCGAGCATAAACCCTGTCAGTAAGAATATTCCAACTGATGCATTATCCAATTGTTCCAAAGGCCGACCCCCCTGGCTCGGTTATGGAGAGGGAGTAGGAGTATCTTCGGCGAAATAACTAACCTTCGTTCTCAAATAACCTTCAATCTCGGAACTCTTGATTCCGCGTTCTCCCCCTGTCCGCCAGGCCAATGGAATCATAGGAACACGCTCCTTGACCAATACCTCCCGGTTAGGTCCTTCAATTGCCCGTACCTTGTCCGGGTTATTCGTAAGCAGGCGTACACCATCGGGGTTCACATCGGCGCCGCAGCCAAGATCCATTAGCATCGCCGTAGCCAAGCCATAGCTCCGGGCATCGGCCGGGTGGCGCAGCAGCAGATTGGCCTCAACGGTATCGGATCCCAGATCTTGCAGATTGTATGCCTTCAATTTCTCACCCAAGCCAATACCACGGCCCTCCTGTCGTAGATAGACAATTACTCCTCCCGCGGATTGTGATCGCAAGGATTGTGCCTCGGGTGGGGCATCGGACGAAAGATCCTCGACCGGGAAGGACATCAACCGCGCAGCCTCGTCCAGCTGTTCACCACAGTCGCACCGAGCCGACCATGCCGTCTCGCCGGTATAACACTCTGAATGGATCCGAACCAGCGGGGGTTCCATACGTGAACTCGATGATGATTCCGTGTTCTTGTCATCATCGTACCAGCTGCTAGTTCTCCCGGGATGCAATTTGCCCACATATGCGCCTCGGATCATGCGGTCCATCTCGGTTTCACCAGGTCGAACACGATCCAAGCTCCGACTGCGGATATTGCATCCAAAGACGATAGCCAAATGCTCCTTATTATCGATGTCGTTGTGGTAAAGATGCAAGAACATCTCCGCACCGTTGGTAGTCGGGATGCGAGCTCGAACAATACATTCCACGTTGGGCAGCTGCTCCAGCAGCTTAGGTGCTTTCTTATGTTCCCCCTGGCGTCGAATACTCGCTGCTTGGCTGTCGTGCAAGAACTGTGTCGGGTTGGAAGTCAGGTTCAATGTGCCGCCGGGAGTCGCGGGTGGAGTAAATGCGGGCGATAGAATCGAGTTCGGGAGGGCAGGAGTCTGTTCGCCAGTCGCGATGCCACTTCCCTGACTCGCATCATCTGCGAGGTCGTCTGGTCGGTCGGTCGGAATAGGAGAGTGCGGGGCGAGTTTGGGAGAGGCGTGAGCCGGGAGATTCGCCATTGCGACGGTCGGCGAGGAGAAGAGGTATTCGGAGAGTGGCCTCGGGAATCAATTTCAATGCGTCAGGTATAGGGCTCAAGAAGAAATTGGTATCCGAGGAAATGAGTCGGAATAATTTGCGGTGGCACCGACACTCGCATGGCGTCAATTATTCCCTCGGCCCCGGATACGTTGGATGAGGGGCGGCTGAGTCATTATCGTGTCAGTGCTTACTCTAGCAGCTTCCATCGCTTATGAGAACTCCGATAAGCGCGCCGCGGTCTAGTCTGGTCTCTGTCGGGCATAGCACACGGTTATCAGATCAATCATTGTATAGTTGTTCCTAATTAGGTAGTCCAATATATTGCCTTTAGAAAAGACAACCTCAAGTATAAAATAGTAATTTTCATTTCTTCGTTCATAGAGGTAACACCCACGACCAGCACGTATCCTGTTTAGTCACCGGGGGTCCCTCAAACTCCAAGTAGCGCCTCGCTAAGGGTATCATTATCACATCAGATCATCGAACTATCGCGGACCAGCCACCCTGTTTATTTGTTGGGGATGTCCAGAACAAAGCGACGCTCAGTTTCCATCTCCTTGTCATCTTCCTCGCCTTCAAACTTCAGGCGGTAAGTATCTTTCTTGGATCCCATCACCTCTGCCCGGTAGAAAGTGGTTGTGTCGGGGTATCGCGCGAGAACCTGCTTGCCAACCGGGAATGAAGGCAATGGAGCACCAGCATGGGGAATAGGGATGAGAGATGAGGCGGTAGTCTTGAAAACAGCACCCTCCTCACCGTTCTCATTAGGCTCCGGGTCTTGCACGTCGTACCACCTATAGCCGGCCGGGTTAGCTGCAAGTGCCATGAAGCTTAAAGAGGCCACAGGGAAATGGCGACGTACCGTTTCTTATGCCCATCCCCAGAGATATTCTTAATGATGCACTGAATACCCTCGCCTTCGACTCCCTGCTTGTTCTTGCTATGCTTGAAGACGACCAATGCTCCAACTACAAGCAGACCGCTGCGCTCAGCCATAGTACCTTTGGTCCCTTCAGACCCTTCTTCAATCTTGACTACAACTGCCTCGCTCCTGCCGTCGCGCGCTTGGTTGCTTGACACACTCGTGCTACGGGGCACACCGCCCTTGGAACGACTGGTTTTGTCCACGCCTGATGCACTCGGCGAGTCGGTGGCCGAGCTCTCGATTTCGCTTCGTTTCTTGCGGGACTTGGAGAGGGCGGATGATCGGTTGGGCGGAGCTTCTGCTTCAGATGCTTTGCGGAGTGCCGTCAGCAGCTCCAGGTTCTTGATCACGTCGCATGGCTCGTCCTGCATGATTGAGCGTTCTTCTTCGCTGAGTTTCTGGCTTTGCCGTAGCCATGTGTCGAGTTGATCGTGTTCTGACATTGTGGGTTCTAATCAAGTATATTGTTAGCTGTATTCAACTCATAGACACTACATCATAAGTCTGAGGATGGGCTTCCATCCCCGCACGGGCCGATCGACACAAGGAGGAGTATGTCACTCTAGCAGCCACATATAGAGGTACACTTACTGTTGCCCTCGCGTGTAATCTTCTCTACCAGGGTCTTGATCTGCACCGACAGTGATGCTTGCTGGTCGAACTTCTCTTTGGACTTGCGAATGTCCTGGCAGATCCGGGTCCAGAGCTCCATCTCCTCATTGTTGCCTAGCCCATTGTCGCGGGGCCGTGGGCGATTTCGAGACATCTTTTCGTCTGACGGATAGTTTTATCAGACGCGTCGAATAGTTCAAGCACCGGTAGAGGCGAACGAGCTCGCAATGCGGAGAGTGGGTGGACCAGTAGAGCTGGGGAGGGCGGAGAGATGCGACGGACGCCGATAAGCCCAGGGCGGTCGGCTACCCGCGCGTCTAATTCTTGGCGTTGGGGAACAGTCGCGTCTTACAAATGATTTCCTAGACTGTGGTGATAATTGTGCAAAAGGTTTTATTGTTTTGTATAATTAAGATGCCAAGATTAAGAATAGTACCGCATTTTTCATTAAGCTTAAATCCGAACATGAAAATAGAACTATAGAGGGGAGCTGTGGCTTGGGTGACGGTTGCGGAAATTGGAATTATCGCGCACGTGTTGAGAATGTCCGATTTGGGATGTTTGGGTCTTTCGGTTTCGTCGGTATAAAGCGGCCCTGAATCCAAACTTCCTGTTTCAGTATTATCTGTCGGTGCAGTTGTTACAAAAACCCTTGTTGGCCACGGACCCTTGGTTGAATCCTTGAATCGCCCTCACCGAGAGTCTTGGCGGGGACATTTGCGTAATAGAAAACCAGTTACGCGCCCCTTCATCTTTCCCCAAAACACATTCGACAAAATGCAGATTCCATTGCTTCGGCTGCAGTGCGGTAAGTCTTGAATTACCTTGCCTGTATGCGCATTCGCTAATTCTCCTTTCCATTTAGGCGTCAACAGCTACGACTGGGGTAAGTTCGGATCAATGCTGCCCTGAAATGCCCCGCACTGAACTTCGTCATAGGCAAGGTCGGCCAAGAGTCGGCAGCAGCCCGGTATGCCGCCACGACAGCGGCCCCGGACTTTACAATCGAGGCTGACAAGCCATACGCGGAGGTACATATTGCGTTCTATGATATTGCAAGAGAGCAATCTATGGAATGGACATACTGACCGACGTTGCAGCTATGGATGGGCACCCACCCCTCTCTACCTTCTAAGGACCTCGAGACCCAGCGGACTCTTCTCGATCTCGTCCAAGATAACCAGGCTTTGATGTCGACACAAATCACTGAGCGCTATGGAGGACGACTTCCCTTCCTCTTCAAGGTGCTCTCTATTCGCAAGGCCCTGAGCATCCAGGCCCACCCCAACAAGAAGCTGGCCGAGCAGCTCCATGCGCGAGACCCGCGCAACTACCCTGGTATGATATGGGAGCAATTCAACAGAGTTGTAGCTGTGGCTGATGCATACTTTCAATTCATAGATGACAACCACAAGCCCGAGATGACCATTGCCATTACGCCCTTCGAGGGTCTTTGCGGTTTCCGTCCATTGGCCGAGATCACCCACTTCCTTCAGGCCATCGAGCCCCTTCGCAAGCTCGTCGGGTCGCGGGCCGCCAGTGACTTCGAAGAGATCGTCAAGGGTAACGAGGATTCGGACGATGAGGCGGTCGTGCAGCGGAACAAGGATGCCCTTCGCGCATTGTTCACCACCCTGATGGAGTCCACACCCGAGAACATCGAGACTGCTTCGAAAGAGCTGGTTGCTCTGGCAGAGAGCTCGCCTGTCAGCTTCGGCACTCTGCCCGGTGAAGTTGCGACCAACCCTACCAACCCAGACGAGCTGGCTTCCATTATCCGCCGACTGGACGGACAGTTCCCTAACGACATTGGATCGTTCGTCTTCTTCTTCCTCAACTTCATCAAGCTGTCTCCCGGTGAGGCTATGTTCCTGAAGGCCGATGACATCCACGCCTATGTCTCGGGAGATATCATCGAGTGCATGGCCTCCTCTGACAATGTCGTCCGTGCTGGCTTCACCCCCAAATTCAAGGATGTCGACACCCTGACCAAGATGTTGACATACTCGTACGCCCCCATCGAGGAGCAGAAGCTCATGCCGACCGACTATCCATATGCCATTCTCAACGCAACCGCATACTCGAGCGCCTCCTCGTGCATGCTCTACGACCCCCCAATTGAGGAGTTCAGCGTGGTCAAAACGGATCTAAACCGCACGGGTGCGAAGCTGACCTTTGACCCGGCCGATGGTCCCAGCATTCTGATCTGCACACGTGGCAAGGGCCGGATCACCGTTGGCAACAAGACCGAGGAAGTCAAGGAGGGCTACGTCTTCTTTGTTGGAGCTACTGCTGAGTGCATCATTGAGAACACTGGCAGCGGAGAGGGCGATGATGATGTTTTCACGACGTACAAGGCGTTTTGCGAGCTGACTGGTAAGGAGGATATGGTCAATGGACACTAGTGCTCCGGTTTCTAATCTGAGAATATCAATAGGCCGTGCCAGTGTGAGTGCGAACCTGTGATATGTCTCGACGAAACCCGGATGCCTTGAGAATGATGTATGTAGTTGCTTCATGACTAGGTTGACGACATATAATACACGAGGCTCTGCATTTCCTAAATGCCAATCAAGTTCGCTCACAACTTTTACGGGCGGTTGATAATGATCAAAATACAAAATTAATAAATTCTCACCCTCCATGAATCGAACCGGTAATCTTGTCCATCTCTAGATACTTCGCCTTGTCCACACCATCGTCATCCACGGACACCGACGAACATCGCCAGTCTCCAGTCCCGCCGGATACAGCCTTTTACACCTCCTGATTCTATTAAAAGGACATTAAATAATTAGAAATAATATAACACAATAGTCTAGAATAAATACTATCATTAGAAAATAGTATTTGCAAAAGAATCTTCAAAAAATGAACCCCTCCCCCTAGGGGTGTGCCCGGCCGTCCGTGGAGCTCGAAGCGTCAAAGCTGGCCCAGTACTTTCTTCTTCTTTGTTTGCCCATTCCTCCAGGGCACACCAATGGTTCACCAATTTATGGTGGATACCAACTAGGCCATCGGAAGGGGGGGGGTGGTGATTGTTTGACCTGGAATCCGGTGATAACCCCTTTTGATCCCAATATTGGCCCTGATGATTTTTGACACTTCCTCTCTTTTGGTGTAGGGCGCTTCCCATAGTCATTTCGAACCTGTCAAAAGATGCATGGCTTTAAGACTTGAGACTTAGAATGGAGCTATATTTATCTACCCTGCATCTATTTGGCTACATATTTGGATATCTCAAGGGGCGTCCTCATATAAAGAAATCTCATTATTAGATGTTTGAGCTTACACCTTGATGCTGCATAATAGCATAAGCACACTCCAGCTTCTACAACCCGGCTAACACATTGTTGTGAGAAATTCCTTCTCAGCCCAACTAGCCCGCTCTTTGGGGGAACCATCACGATTGGGAGGCTATTGTATGGGCCGTTCCGCTGCTACATCTATATGACTACAACCCGCGAACTACTCAGCTTAACACTTCCCTCATCCTTATTCACAAACCAGCAAATTGTGCCAATCAATCATCCACGGCATCCAGGCGGCCCCACCAGGAGCAACCGAGAGTCCGAGACTCAGACCGAGGCAAAATGTGGAGATTCTGCAGCCCCAGAAAAGCGGGGAATCGTCACTAGTAAAAGCTCTCACCCAAAGTGGGGATTCGACATCGCTCACTCTTCAACTCCTTCTGCTCGACTTGATCCAGATCGTTTCTTCCGAAAAGAATTTGCACACATCATCATCATGCCCGAGTCTAAAAACGTTATCCAGCTTCCCGAGCTAGGGTTCTGGGAAAAGGCGGATCTTCCTTTCGTCCATGCTTCGGTGGTCGTGCAGGCATTGTACGCTGCTATCACTGGTCTGTTCCGCGGCAAGAGTAGCCCAAGGAAGTATAGCCATCATGTCACCGCTGCGGCTATTCGGGGGATGGTTGGCCGAATTTCTATTCGTCAGAAGCAGTATGTTTTATCCTTGCGCTGCATGATACTGATCTGCCGACAGGCAATAGCTTGGGAATAAGAGACAGGCGAGTTGGAAGCTGACAGATTCGTTACTATGAAGATACATCGACCCAACAACGCCACAGACATACCATGCTGTCATGCAGCGAAGAGGCCTCCAACCTGAGGTAGTTGACCTCCCTCACGGCACTGAGGGATACTGGCTGGGCAACAAGGATGCGAAGAACGTAATCATTTACTATCACGGTACGTCCACATCATCATATAGATCCTCACCACTTGCTGTTCCCATACTTGCCATGTGCGCGTGTGACCCAATCTCCATCCACCAAACTCTCATTCCGAAAGCTAATCTCAACCCGGTGCAACCTACAGGAGGGGGCTTCGCCATGGCGGCCGGCGCCTCCCACTTCGATTTCTGGCTCGACCTGCTCCAAGTCGTCAATGAGAACGGCCACGAGATCGCCGTCTTCTTCCCCCGCTACACACTAACCCCACACGAAGTCTACCCAACCCAACTGCGCCAAGCAGTCGGTGCACTTCGATACATTCTCACCGACGCAGGACGAGCCCCATCCAACGTAATCGTCGGCGGCGACTCGGCTGGTGGTAACCTCGCCATGGCGGTGTTACTGCACCTCTCGCACCCGCATCCTGATATCGACCCGATTACGTTGTCGGGTCCCCTGGCGGGCGTGTTTGGTTATGCGCCGTGGATCAATTTCAGTCATGATTGGCCTTCGTTCAAGGAGAATGCTTATCGGGATGTTATTACTGACCAGGCGCTGGGGAGATGGTCTAATGCTTATCTGGATGGTAAGCAGGGTGATAGTTGGAGTGAACCTGATCGTGCGCCGGCGGAGTGGTGGGAGGATGCGAAGACGGAGAGGATCTTGTTGTTGGCGGGTGGAGATGAGATTTTGCTGGGTCCTATTGAGTCTTTTGCGAAGAAGGTCAAGGTATGTCTGTGATGTTTTCGGGTTGATCTTGATGTGGTATGTTCTGTTGCTAATGCAATTTGCAGTCGGCTTTCCCGAATACTACGTTTGTGATCGGGTACGATGAGTCTCATGACGCACATTTGTATGTTGAGGCAGGCTCGAAAGAGGGGACACAGAGCAGTAGGGAGCTACGACAATGGATCGCTTCTCGTCTGTGATGTCGGTCAGGCTGGAATGTGGCTAGTTCATAGTCATATTTGTCTCGATTGGCCTGGTCGACGAGCTGTATGTACAGTTCCTACCCACAAGGGTGGTTTTGGTACATAATTTAGGATACTGCGAAGCGTAATGCACATATTTCATCATACAGACATTTTGATCATATGCCGTAAAGCCGATAATAAGGTCATTGGACATTGGGACCACCTGTCCTCGACCAGCCAACAGGAGATCTGAATATACGATCAATGTTCTTATTGTCTATCGAGCATATTTAGAGTTTTTCAGGAATCACTGAGTCCAGTGGGCACGATAAGATAATGAAAAATAACAGCATGTTGCCAGTAATTGCTCTACAATAAGCAGGGGTCATGTCAACTCATAACAACGCAGGATACTCATGCATCCTGGCTCCAAATAACAAGCTTCGCAATAAACAAAGATAACCACTTTCCAATTACATCTCCGCAAATCTCCTATTTGTTTACGAGGACACCTTGGGCGAGTACTTGGCCGCGGCGGCGTCAAAGAACTCGCTCTTCTCCCGGATCTCCGTGAGAAGGGCGTGGGAGGGCTGCACCTGTTGTAGCCGGCTATATATTGAGGAAAGTTAGCCTAACTGCATAAGTCCCAGGTGGAGGGTTATGGTCGTTACGTACGCCTCTAGGTCTCCGGTGAGCTTGCCGGCCAAAACGTTCAATACGATGGTGTTGGCAATCAGCTCTGTGTTATCGGGGTATTGCTCCAGGGCAGCGGTGAGAGCGGCCTCAGCTTCGGGCAGGCGACCGAGGTGGAGTTCCGCGACGGCCTGGCCGACAATGGAGAGCGCAGCAGAGGTGCTGGGAGCAGAGGCGAGCTCCTCGTAGACGTAGAAAGCGGATTGGTACTTCTCACCACCCTAAAGAAGAAATTCCCATTCAGTTATTGATTCAAAGACGCTCTGGTATGCACATTCGAGTACGTACAACTCGCATGCCAACCCAGGACTCAGCCAGATTGACCAGCAGAGAGTCCTGAGCCCAGCGCTTGGCGGCCTGGACTTCCTTGAGGGCGAGATCGGTACGGTTTTGCTGGAGGTGGATCTGGACTATCAAGGCGACACTAAATATTCCCATAAGACCATTAGCACTTTAGAGACATCCCACGGAATTCCGACAAAGGACCACCTACGCCTCCAGGTTACCCTGGTGCTTGGACAGCAGGGCCAATGCCTCCTCGCTATTCCCATGAGCCTGCAGGACTGTGCCAGCCAGGGCTTGTACGGTGGCATTCTCGGGGTAGTTTTCAGCGAGTTCTTGAGCCAGCTCGAGGGCGGCGTCGGTGTTGCCCGCGGCCTGCTGAGCCAGGGCCTTGGTTGCGGCAAGGTCGGGGGTATCCTCTTCGCTGGAGACAGCAGATAGCACCTCCTTGGTCTGTCCAAGGGCAATCTGGGCGCGAAGCTTGAGTACACGGGCGGGGAGCTGGTTCTCGGGGGAGAGGGCGGCGGTGTCGAAGTCGATCACGTTCTGGTATTGGCCGGAGTGGAAGGCATTGTGAATGTTGAGGAGCTCTGAAGAGGGTATGAGTGGACTGATCGAACATCTGCGGAGATATAGAGTAACTTACCGCCCTCTGCTGAGAAAGGATCCATCTTGTAGTTAATGCGGATTGGAGATTGGGGGGCTAATGAGGGATGCGGTGTTGATGTCGGGGAGCAACTGCATGTTGGCGTTACGGCAGAATAGGCAACTCGGCCGACGGCAGGTAGGCCGACCGCCTTTGTATACTTCGAATCAGATACTAGGAATTACTTGGGAATTTAAGACGTTGCGTGCTTGAAGAGCGCGGTGTTTCATTGAGTTTGAAATGTTGTACATGAAATAATCAACCACATCGGTTGTAATAAAAAGGGAGATACTGGCAGGTTGTCACTCTTGACTTGCTGGTTTCCACATCAAAAAAACCAATGAGACATGAGAGGAAAAGGAGTCGGTGGGAGGCCATGTCACCTTCCGACAACTTAACCTAAACAGAAACAAGTGATATCATAACATAAATAGCTCATATATAGAGCTGTCAACAGAATCAGCACAGGGTATAACATTCGAAACAATACCATCCACCTGAAATTTCATTGATCAATACATCATGAAACACCAAAATTTCCCAAATCCATCCATCTCACAGACTCAATCTGTTTCGCAATGTGCGACATGTCGCACCGCCGTGAGCTGCCGCTTGCCGGACCCTGTTGGCAATCAGTCGGCCAACATTCTGTTCTTGATCCGTCGAGCTTGCCATGGACGATCCCGAGTCCGAGAAGGCATAAGCAGATGGCTCGAGGACGGGATCAATGAGGATTGGGTGATAGGAGATTGACTCCTCGGGTCGCGGGTCGTGATGCATCTCGGTCTGTTGGACCGAGCGGGTTTCGTGAGCTGATGGTTGAGAAGTAGGTCGACGTTGCTTCCGGGGCGTATTGATTTGGTCGTGCAGGCTGAGCAGTGAGTTGCCTGCAGATGGCTTGGGGTTTGGGCACATGAGCTCAAGCTGGACTTGCTCGAGTTTCTGTCCCAGGAGGCTTTTGTTGTCGTCATCGACATCGGCTTCAGTGTCGATGTCGTCGGTGGGAACAGGCTCGAAGCCTTCTGTTTCCCAGAAGTCCAGGCTTTGTTGGACCCAGCTTGTCGTGGATACCTTGGTAGGCTTTGGATGGACAAGGACTGGGTTGGTGACGTTGAGGTCGTCCATAGGATAGGAAGGACCTCGGAAGGGGAGTGGGAACCGGTGAAGGTCGCTGGTTCTGTATAGATGTGTTAGGACGACTGATTTACTAGAAGGTAAGATCTACGGACCTTGGATCAAAGTATGCTTTGTCTGCAGACATAGCATCAAGCCAGTTGAAAGGGGCGGATGGCTGAATGTGGAGGGTACAGAAGGCAGACATGGCGAGTCTCTTTAGTGTATACTTGGGTCGGTATCCAAGTTTGTTAGAAAAGAAGGAGAAGAAGTCAAGTATTGTAAACCTTGAGTCAGTGAGACTTCCAAGGGCTATTGAATAATGTTATGTGAGAGATGGGTGACTTCTTGGTGAGAGACAGTAAGATGAGAGGTGCGATGGGGAAGAAAGAAGAGGAAAAGTTGCGAGAGCACTTGTCAAGTTGATAAAGTCGAAGGTCGCGAAACTACTATTCCCATTCAGTGTTTCCAAACTTCCAAAATAGGCTTAGATGTCGCATTGCGGAATAGTAGCGTCCTGTTAGTACTGAGTGGTACTTTCCCTAAGTTGGAAGTGCGACGATGTGTATCCGTGGTTACTTTCATCGAATCCAGAAACTCAGAAACCTTAGGGCTTCATGGTTGACTACAACCATGAGTTGATTCATATAGACCTAGCTAATAGTCCGAATTTGAGCACCTTCAGAAGAATAAGACAAGGTCCAGACTCTATGAATTGCCGGCTCTCGTTTTCAGCCAGGGAAGCGAACAAACTCAAAATTCAGTACTATGCTGGGTTTGGCTTGTAGAATTAGTACTATGCCGAATAAGGTATTCAGATGATTCTGATTAGGACTAGGGCAGTTACTATCCAATAGAATTTATTTCTAGTTATTACCGTGATATTGTCATGGTGATGGTGTCCCTTTCGTAGGCAATTTGTAAGCTTCTTAATACATAGCAGCCCCAATGCTATACAGCTTTCGATGATCTGCCACATAAATTGGATATTGCTTGTAAAAGCTGCCGCAAACGACCAGGATGATCATGTCTCTTAGTCCCCAAATGCACGTTCGGGGAGGGAAGGCTAGATGGCGCAGATTTCGCTTGGCTAGAAGGCTCGTCCTGATTCTGCTCATGCCAGTCTGGCGGGTACTCTGGCATCGCAGGAGGAGATACAGAATAATCCGTCTAGAACTCTGAATTCCTTCTGTTTCGACCTCAACCTTTGGGGTTGACTAAAGAAATAAAGAAATCAAGGGAATGAAGTTGAGTCCATGTACTTACAAGGGATACTTTTGAATATTTCTCCATCCACATAGCAAAGCCTCTCTCTGTGCCGTCTCCTGATCTGACAGGGGATTCAACGAGCTCGGGAGAAGTGAATTAAATGCGCCATACTTGCCTTCAATAATCTACTGTGCACAGAGTTCGAACAGTCTTGGGTAGTAGCCTGCAGATGCCCAATTGACAAGGCAGGGCGACCCATCTTCCTGCCACAAGAAATTCCGAGGGGCTATATCTGACTGACAAAGCACAGAATTGCATTTTTGGAGGCTTAATTTGGGTCGATGCTCGAAAAGTCGGCTATTGAACCACTTTAACTTGTCTTCAAGACTATCAAAATGAAGGTCTTCGGTTTCGGGAAACAAAAGGCCACGACATGATCCTACACTAAGAGACCCAGGGTTAGGATTCTCCAGTGTTGCAAAGTGATTCAGCACACCTGCAATCTTCTCCATAGCCGTCAGATCTTCTGATGGATCTATGGCCTTGCCCTTTATAAACTCCATCACAATATAGCCCCAGCCTTTTTCATGGGGGGAAAACCGCAAATACCTTTGGAACGCGAACTACGTGTGCATCCACGAGTTCGTAGGCTATCCTTTGGTTTTCTGCTTCCTCTCTTGTTATATCTGGCCCCCACTTGACAACTTGGTGATCAGATATCTTGATGATACGCTTCCCATGCGGGCTGACAATATTGGGCAATGGATTCGCACAGGCAGCGATCACCGACGCTTGCAAGTCTTGAGAGAAAGTCATTTCCTTCGGCGGTTTCATCAGACTCAGAGGCATCCAGAAAGCCATCAAGTAAGGGAGGCACGACTTTCCTCTCAACGAGCGGTGTGCAACCCCAGAATAGTTAGAGATTGGACTACTTTGATGACGTAATAAACCATCGGATTTCATCAAGTAATTAATCTATTAACCGAGTAATGGACTTATCACAGTATCACAAGAGTCTGGAGTATTTTCATACTGTGGTAAGGATTCGGAACTGTAGTGGGACCCCCCCCCCCCCCCCCCTTACCCGATTAGGATGCCGATGGTGGGGATCTCTTGAGGCTGGAAAGATAAACCCCGCTAAACTATCATCTTTTGGTTGCCCGCCGCAAACATTTGAAGATGGTAATCTCCGCCGTCTCTTTGTTTGATCGGTGATTTGCCAGCTTCCGGACTTGAATTAAGTCACCTTAAAGGGAAACTACAACTGGTGCCACTCCGCTCCAGTATTTAAACAGAGAAACTCCCCTCGCATCAACAACTCTTTCAACTATCCAACCATCCATCTTCATTCACTCACATCTCTCAACCATCACCATCATCACCATCTCCCTCCCCAGCATCAAAATTCTTATCTCGTCCATCACTCTCAAGGCATCATGGCATCCATCGGGGCGCTCCCTCAGACCCTCAAGTCCATCACCGAAACCAAAATCACGGAGCTGTCTAAGCAACGGGTCCTCTTCAACAAACGCAAAGCTGATATCATTGCAGCTGCAAACGCTGCACCCGATCTGCGTGACCGGGCTCGCATCCTTCTGGACGGCCTTTCCCGGTTGAAAGGGTACCCCCAGGATGCCCTTGACAAAGACGACTTGGATCTGGATGTCGACTCCTCTGACGAAGACTCTAACGAGGTGGAAGTCACTTCGCCAGGCATGGGCCAGATGTACCAGGCTGACCACACCAACATTCGCCGCTTCCTCCTCCAAGGCCGCTATGACCCATCAATCTCGGACTCTGCTGTGAAGGACTGGATTACTCGACTGGAGAATGATCTACGCTTTTTGGAGCTCAAGCATGAGCATGCATCATTCTACAGCAAGCTGGTTACCGAGTGGCTGTCACATTTGAATGACGCCAATAAGGATCCCGCTATCGAACAGACAGACGATGCGGCTTCTACCAAGTCTGACGCTGGCTTTGAACACGTGGGCCGGAAGGAGATGCATGAGCAACGTGCACAGTGGGAGTCCTTGGCCTTCACGGGTACCACCCAGGTGAACGAAGAGTCCATCAACGCCTATCTTGATGGCCTGTTCCAAAAGACCAAGCTATCCCGACAGGCACTCAAGGAGCTTCGCGAAAGTGTTCACAGGTTCGGCACCCACTTGGCCACTAAGGGAGAGTGGCTGGACGTCGACGAGCTCCAATGGGTAGCCAGTGCACTGATGAAGACGGACTTGCTCAGCAATGAGAAGGCCGCTATCCTCAAGGAGTTCATGCGCAACAAAGAAGTGTTGCAGGAGGTAGCAGATGTCCTCAACATGCGCCTCGCGTCCCTTGACAGTTGGTCTTGGGGTGGTGACGGCATCCCAATCGAAATGCGTCGCCAATTGAACGGCAAATACCGTGTTTTCATGGATGAAGACCTTCTTGACAGTCTGTTGCTGCAGTATCTGGGAACTACATGGGCCGTCCAGCTGCGTACGGTGTTCAGAGACTTTTTCTACTCACGCGCATGGGATTCGGTAGAGGAGGACATCCCCAAAGAAGATCTCGAGCGACGAAAGTACTTCCTTGGAAAGGGAACAAACCTTGGCACTGCTGGCATTAATCAGCTTCGGAAACGCCTCTACGGCGAGAAGTACTTCTTGAGTCAACTGCCCGAATCCCGCCCCGAAGGTGCACGAAGCTATGACGACGATGCCCAAGTCAAAAATGCATTAGACACCAAGCATTCGCTTCTTCATCTGCTAATTACCGAGTCTTTAATTCAGAAGGACCAACATGGCGAGTTTACCGCAATCCGGTCCGACTACCAGTGGTTTGGGCCCTCTTTGCCCCATGCCACAGTTTTGACAACCTTAAAATACTTTGGCATCCCAGAGATGTGGTTAAACTTTTTCAAGGTGTTTCTGGAGGCCCCACTCAGGTTCGTTCAGGACGGACCTACTGCTTCCACTCAGATTCGAAAGCGCGGCGTCCCCATGAGCCACACTCTCTCGGATGTCTTCGGGGAAGCGGTTCTGTTTTGCATGGATTATGCGGTCAACCAACATGCCAAGGGTGGAATCCTGTATCGACTTCACGACGACTTCTGGTTCTGGGGCGCCGGGGCGACCTGCGAGACGGCCTGGGAGGCAATGACCGAGTACGCCAACGTCATGGGTCTGCAGTTCAACGAGGAAAAGACTGGAACCGTTCGCATGGGAACAGCTCGGGATAAGCAGAGTTCCGTCCTCCCGTCTGGCGACATCCGCTGGGGATTTTTGGTTCTCGATGCAGGGCAGGGCAGATTCGTTATCGATCAGGCGCAGGTGGATCAACACATCGAAGAGCTTGACCGACAGCTCTCCTCCTGCAAAAGTGTGTTCACCTGGGTACAGGCTTGGAATGGGTACTTTGGACGGTTCTTCGCCAACAACTTCGCGAGACCTGCCATGTGTTTTGGACGCGACCACATCGACATGGCCGTTTCGACGCTGAGCCGTATCGAGCAAGTTCTCTTCAGCAAGGCTTCAAACAAGGCCTCGGAAAAAAATGGAGCCAGCGTCACCAACTACCTGCGTTCCGTTATTGCCAAGCGATTCGGCATTCGCGACCTGCCCGAGGGATTCTTCTACTACCCTGTCGAGCTGGGGGGTCTTGGACTGCTGAACCCGTACATCCGGTTGTTGGCCATGCGTGAGAATATCAAGCAGACTCCCCAGAGACTGCTCCAGAAGGCGGCCATCGATGATGAATACGCATACCAAGTGGCCAAGGAGCGCTTTGAGAGGGAGGGCTCGGATTGCCCGAAGACTTTGAAGAACAAGAAGGGGGAGCACCTACCATTCATGTCGCTGGACGAGTACATGCGGTACCCCGAGACATACAGCTTGAACCTCGAGTACGCATACAAAAATTTGATCGAGGTGCCGGAAGAGAAGAGTGTTTCAGCCACTGCGGGTTTCACCAAGAGCCAAAATGGGCTGAAGGGGCCTAAGGGAAAGGCAAGCAAGCCAGGCTCGATCTCAGCGACCTGGAGTAAGATGACTCCCTATTGGCGCTGGGCTGCGGAGCTGTATCATGATGAGATGGTGCGCACCTACGGAAGTCTGGCTGCTGTGAATCGGGAGTTTTTGCCTTTGGGTGTGGTTAAGACTTTGAAGGAGGGGCGGTTCAGATGGCAGGGTTGAGGGAAGAGCGTGTTCCCGGACCTGATGAAAATGTAACGACAATATTGATACCCCAATAATAGCATATCTAGTTCATTACGTGGCCAGTGTTATGGTACTACAAATGGAATGAAGAATTACCGATAAGAATCAACTCTTGTGGTCCAGTAGAAAGCAAACGACAGATAGAGATGTCGAGACATGCACCATAATTTGTCAGACAATCCTGAACAATCTTGTTGAGTGATTCCATGACTCGTCAAGAATTGCACTGAGATCTTGGTTGGCGGAATTGCGCCTCTGGCTGCATCTTAAATGCAGTAGTTGCTTGTTCCTTCTGGCCTAAAACACAAGTGGAAATAAGGCACGTCGATCTTAATGATCAAAGCTGTTTCATTGGCTAGAAGTTGGCTTTACCTGGTCAAGACCTTTGGGAATCTTCGCGGGGCGTCTGCGCGATGCAGGCTAGCGCGTGTGTTATAGGTCATAAAACCTATATTGAACCCTTAAAGAATGAAACTTTTCAGCCGCATTTTTCCTTTCCGAAAGAGGCTACCCTGTGCGAGCTCGGTGTCTTGGGCAGTTAGGCCCTGATGCCCCTTATCCTTTGCATATTTACAAGCCATCCCAGATTGCAATGCTCTAGACAGTCATTGTTTCCCTACACACGTAGGTTAATCCTGGATGTGGTCTCCTTTTCTTATGCTTCCACTGCTCTGTTTCTAAGATACTGGGCTGTGGCACAGCTTACGTTCTTCCAAAATGTCTTCGATCGACCCAACAGCCTCGACCACTCCGACAAACTTTGTAGGATGGTCCATCAGCGCAGAAAACAGTTCGTCCAAATCCACCATACTGCTGATGAGAGAAATGCCACTACTAACTAGTACTGTTCAGCTAGACCGGTTACCTGTAACGAAAATCTGCCCTGGGCGACGAGCGATACCTATGCTGGCTGCGCATACGAGACAGGAGACACGACAACATTTATCACTAGCTGCTATCGGGGGAGTGTTGTGTACTCGGGGAGCACAACATCTTGGTAAGGAGATATAGGTTTAATCTCATGCAAAGCGTTGAGCCAAATCCACAACATACTTATCTTGCATCCTACTCTATAGTGACAACACCGCATACTCATGTGAAGCATTCCAAATTTTTGAAACTGAGGGCGATAGTGTGCCAGCATGGACAATGTACAATTGCGTTTCTGACTGGTATACTTTGAACCTCTATCGCTTCTTGACTGGAATCTCTACCGGTGAGTTTTAGCCCATCTTCGTACACACAATCCTATTCTAAAGGCTTTTTCTGGTGTTTCGGAAAAACAGATACAGCTTCTCTTACCTCACCTGCTTCTACGGACGCTGGAACGATAACGGCCGCATCGACTACATTTGCCACAGCTACTTCGTCTTCTTCGCCTACGTGGGACCCAACACCAATCGATAATAGCGGCAGTACTTCTCTATCAGGAGGTGCAATTGCAGGAATTGCCGTCGGATCTGTGGCTGGTGTTTTGCTACTGGTTACTACTATTTCGGAGGAGGGTCCTTGCTTGCTGTGGATATACCAGAGCTTCGGATCGCCAGTCTGTATACGCTCCTGTATACCCACTCCAACAATCACCGGGGCCGTACACGCCATGACCTCAAAGTATACCATCGCAGCCCCAGTCTCCACCTCCTTGGGATAAGCCAGAGCTGGCGGCAGATACAGGTCCCCCGACTACGCCATACCGCCAAACGCTGCATGAGATGGAGTAAGAAAAAGGTGGATGATAAATGTATGACATCGAGGATGTTCTTGTTGGCGTGGTAGCTCAGAAAAATTGATTTTTGAATTGTAGGATAATCTCGCGAAGCCTTTGCTTCTCTTCCTCCCCGCCGAATATCATTTCCACTGACTTTTCACACATACTCAGCATTTCTGCACGGCCAACGCCAAAGTGCTCCGCCGCAAGAAGATATTCGTTCGAGACGGGACTGCAGAAGAAGCCCACATCATCCGTCTATCAACCCAAAGACAAGTCAGCATAAGACAATTCAGGGCAAATAATACACTCCAATCACGAAAACTTACACACAACGCAATCGGACACTCCTGACCCCTCCACTCCCCAAAATGATGGTCTAAAAACCCGCCCTCAATCAACTTCGCATGCACATTACACGACATGCACAATTCCAACCCAAGCCTCCGCCTCGCAATTTCCCTCTTCACACTCCCAGGAACATGAATAACATGACCCAACCGATCCGGCTGAAACGAAAGCAAAGTCTCCAATTCCCTCACATCCCCCGAAGCAGGCGTCTCGGCAAAGTGCAGTGTAACACCCAACCCGTGAGCTTTGGCCCGCGCAAATGCATCCCGGTAGATAGTGACGTCGCCTTGCGTCGGGTTACCGCATAGATCGACGCCGACGACCCCGCGCGCTTTGTTGGCGATGGCGAGGTCGATTATTTCGAGAGCTTCGGTGGGACTGGTGTTGCCCCGGTCTAGGGCTAGGATGAGGAATACGGAAATTTTGTTCTTGGAGGGGAATGCGGCGATTGTGTCCAGGATGGTGGTTAGATATGTTTCTCGAGTTATGTTGGATGATGGGGATGCGCGGGGGATGGTGCGGAGTTCCAGGTAGCGGACTCCATCGTTGAGGAAGGATTCGAGGACGGAGGTCGTTGCGTAGGTGAGACTTTCTAGGTCGTCGCAGAGTTGGTAGATGAGTTTTGAGAAGACTTGGAAGAAACTGGTGGTGCGGGGTTAGTTGGTACTTTGTGGAAGGGTGTCAGATGAGGATTTGACTGGATCGCTTTTACGTTTGAAGAGTGTAGTCAACTTTGCCTGGGGGCATGAGGACTAGGGGATCCTCAATGGGAAAGTTGGGATCTGCCTGCTTCTTGCGCTTCCAGATTTCGTGGAGGCATTGGCGACTGATGCTGCCGCTCAGATGGGCGTGGACCTGGGTGTTTGGCGGGGTGGTTAGCTTGAAGTGGCTTGGATGGGGGTTGATGGTTTGGAGATAGATTTTAACCTCGATCTTTGGCAGTGCCTTGGTAAAAGCACTGTCGACGGGAGCAGATAGATCGATCATGGTTGGTATCGAGGGTATACCAGCTTGAAGAGGAATGCGGGGAGAGGAAGTACAAGTGGGACGATGGAAAGCGAGGAAGTTATCACCCTTGACTGCATATCACTGCTCTACTCTACTTTCTTGCAGCAATCGTCTATCCAGCAACAATGAAAATAACTATCATCACGGTATGTTTCTCTTCAGATCGACTTGAACTTTCAATACTGTATTGAGAGATCGGCTCTCCACTGTCAACTCCCCCGCAACCTTTAACCAGCATCCATGGAACTGGCGTTGTATGAAAGCCGCCAAGCACCCTTAAAGGTTACTAACTAAATTCTACCTCGTCCTCTGCCCTGTGGTAGGGTTGAAATACAGACGTAGAAAACAGAGTCTTATCCATGGTCAATGTCTTGTTGTCTTATCGTCGACAAAGGTTTTCGTAATCATCGAATAGTGTACTCCTCCCTGACAAGGCATACCAAAAGCCTAGGTTTTGTATTGCTTCTAATCGTGTAACCAAATTGCTTTTTGATTAACTAATTACACCTCTGCCGCGCCTTGATATTAACCGAGAACGAAAATCTACGGGCCGGTATCTAACTACCAAATACGGAGTACAGATAACTAAGTACTACATTACTTCTCATTCTTCTTAACTACTTGCTTATGAATTAATTAAGTAATCCATTATTGATAATCAGATTTTTACATTACCGGCGGGATCCGAGCCATCCATCCAGCGACATCCGTTTCGCCCCCCGCAATAACCAACGATTCCCTGTCCGCGATCTGTGATTTGCGAAAGAGCGGGTTTCGCATAAATTGCATTGCGGGCTCGAAATCAGGAATTCGCATCAAATCACGATAGGGGACCGGGACAACCTTTAATGTGGAAAACACGGAAAGGTGGGAAGGTGGAAACATGGCGGATGTATTAATAAACGAACCAAATTACTAACAAGATGAAAAGTGGGAGCTGTTAACGGCTCGTTAGGTGAGCCGCAGACCGCGGAGATCGTAGATGGGTACCACATAAGATAGGGCCTCTTTTTTTCATTTCTTTTGTGTGCGTTGTGCAGGGTATGATAGGGTGTGGATAAGGCTTGTTTAGATTTGGATCCATTTGGGATTGATTAGGTTAATATGATTCACTTCTTATTGACACGGTTTGAAATTACCTATCACCTACCTACACTTTTGTCTACGGATGCCTCTTAATTACAGCGTTGTTTAGTCGTGCCCGCGATCCAGTCAACTGGGTCGAGTTTCGAAAATGCCTGGAAGATACAGGGGCAGGGGGGGGGGGTGTCTGATGCATGCCATAACAGCCATTATGACAGGGTACTCTCCAGATATTACCCTGGGGGTTGAGTAATGTTCGAACAGATACTAAGAATAGAGTCGCGATCGGGATGTAATTGCCGTTGTAGTTAGTGGTGGTCGATTTCCCAGATACCGACGGTAATCAATTTCCCGACCACTTACTGTATTCTGTGGGGAGTTTTGTTTCCGACTTACCGTTACAATTCACCATGAAGCATTCTCTTGGCATGTTGCCAGAGGCCCAGAGGGGGGCCTTGTTAGAGAAACTTGTCTCAGAGACGTGGCCCACTACTTGCTGTGTTGGCCCTCTAAACTTGGGGCCACGATTCGTGTTTTTCCTGTTCTTGAGCCTTGGTCGCTGAGCCATCCGGGAGGAAGCGAGTGCCAAGACCGCGGTCGAGCAGTGAATTCATCGACCATCGGTCATCCGTTCGACCCGTGCCGTGTTCGGACCGTTTCAGAGCTTGAAGCTGACGCGAAGAAACTTAGAGGGGGCGCGGTTGCTTTTGATGCAGAACACTGGATTAGGGTCCAGCTGAAATGGGACTCAGCATATTGGAGTAAACTTGTTGTTGGGGGCGATGCATTCTGACGTTATTAGCAGCCGCAGTTCCTGCAAGTGAGATAGAGGCTGTGATCCTTCGATAGGTATTCTGGAAGCCACGTTGTTCACTGCAAAGTTCACCGTGGGTGTGGGCCAGCCTTAATGGAGGCATCCACTTGGGTTTTCAGCCCCAGATCCACGATGGATCTTGGTGTGAGCCCACCAGCTTGATACCGCTGGCCCCAACACCACCAACTCGGCTTGCGTGCTTTGTGTCCATCGAGGCTGCCAAGTTGAGGCGGTCGCTATCAAGTTACAGTACATTCGAACCTTTCGATGTGCCGTGCGCGGGATACACTTGAAACGTCGCAAATCTCCCATGATAATTGTTTAGCTTCTGTCTTCAATTTGAAGAGACGCGCGCTCGGCTGAAACAGTCTGATAAATGCTCAGTGGGTTGAAATTGAGCTCTGCCTAACTTGGAAGGCAGTAACTCATAGCTCTGGATGTATCGCCCAAGCATACCACTGAATCTGGATGGCCGACAACACACAACCCGAAACCAGCTCCACCTCATTTCACGAGGCCGTAAACCCGGCTGAGCCGCTTCATTAACTAGCGAGGGAGCTTGCGGGGTCCATAATTCCGGGTCTGATGGAGATACCCTGTGCCCGCATGGGTCCTCGAAGCTCAGCCTTGGAGCCTGCGCCACACTGTTGCAGGGAATTTCAGTCTGAACAGCCGAATCATGCGATATTACCCAGATAGGGTGCTCTTGGAATCTGCATACTGTACTCCATTCTGGATGCTGTCTCTTCGTACAAGTCGAAATCGTACGGTGCAGGCTGGGCCATTTTCATGTTCCCACTCACTCACACCCCTGGTTGTTAAATCAGGCAACCAGATTCGGCGCTGATACTCATGCAGTAGCAGGTCAGCGGTGAAGCTGACTCGCCAAGGGCTATCATCAAGATTGATAACATCTTCGATGTCGAAAGGGACGCCATCTCAAACGCGACTGGCAGGCGTCACAGAAGTCAAGCTGGTTGCACCATCGGCGCGAATTATTGACCTTCTCTCCCAATTGTTGCTCGTGCAGTGTTGCACAGACGGGCCCTGGCAAAGGGAGGGGGTACGGTAGACAAGGAGTTTTGGCTGCGTCACACGGACCGAGTCCACGATGAGGTTTGGCAGGGCTCGATGGGAATTGCAATCCGGGCTGGAGAGGGTCGTAGGGCCAGCCACCTCGCAATTAGACATGGGTCTGAGGCCTCCACTGCTGGACTGGATCCTACAGTACATTGCAGTAGGTCAAGACCCTTGATGTCAGAATGACCCTCTTGCAGGAAGGCTTAGAGGTGGGGTCGTGGATACGCGGAAGCGTATATCAAGCATCGAAGACGCATCGAAGGACGCGAGCCGGATACGGAGGTGAGCCGGGGGTTGGCTGCAGAGTGAGACGGGTCTCTGAGGAGAGAGATGTTTAGCCTGACATGTATTGGATTGGCGTATCACATTGTGCGCGACTTTCCTGTCGCAATCGCTAAGTGTCCTCGGCACGCATTATCTACAGGTATCAGGCAGACACGAGAATCCAGGTCACGGGGGTCCTGTACAGTAGTAGTTAGAGCAGACTCGCCGAGTAACCGAGCATGCGAAACAACGCTTGTTCAGTGGGAAATGAAACGTGTGCCGCGTATTCCGTGCCCAGAAGAATTGTGCTGGTGAGGGTGCGCAGCATGCCGATTGGATGAGTATCCTGGCAGTTGAATGAGAGAAGAGGCGATGGCCAGTCGTTATCCACGACGTGTGACTAGACGGAAGAAGAGCCCGAGAGCATTCAAGACATGACGCCGCCCCGCCGAATGAGGCGCAACGGTTCCATTCTGTTGGGTCTTGCTTGGCTGGAGAGGACATGGATGTGATGTGTGGTGCCTGTCGGTTGTTCAGTCACTTTATCGAAGGAATTAGCTTGGAATACCTACAGGAGTTAGTTACTTACTGTAAATAGCAATGCTTGTAATCTTACCACCGGTAGGTTTTAGTCGTAGTAGGTTTAGAGCCCCCCGAAAAGTGTATCTTCCCAACTCCATACACACATCACATATTCCGAGATCCCCATGACGATCCCTACGGGATACAACTCAGATGGCCAGCCACACCTTGTCATAGTGACCGTGGCGTCGGGTCAATCATTATTCAAATCATAAAGGATAAATCATTCTCAAATCCGATCTGTCCTAAAGGCAAATAGGAAAATGTGCCAGGAGGCGAGGAAAGTATGGAGTAGTTTATTGGAACGGAGATGATAAGCGCCTCCTTGACCTTTCCCCTTCTTCTCTCCTGAAGATCCGACCCATCTGGGGGAGGCGATTCGATGAAAATTATACTTTCTTGACCTCTTCGTTTCTTTTTTGCCATCCCTCGGCCTGGAGAATGTGAGTACCCCTGATTCTGAATGGTGAGTAGCTGTGACTTTGGATCCCCTGGCTTGCTAATCAGCCCAAGCTTTCCCACTGTCCGGGAGTTAAGGTTGGCGATATAATTGGACATGCCACATTAGCGACGGAGTACGGAGTATATTGAAGGAGACGCAACGGTGTGACCGGTATGGTATTGTTAGATTTGGTATTGCGTAACAACTTTGCCATCTTCGCAGGTACGGCCGGTATCAATGGTATCAATGGTAAGGATAATGACTGTATGACTGATACATACCGCCAAAGAGCGCCGCATTGGGGGAGTCAAGTAATTTAAATTACAATTGGGACTAGTCTCACGTCTTCATGATGTCATTCATTTCCACCGACGTCGTTCTTTCGAGGCATTGAGACTTAGGATGGTGAGAAGAGTGACAGCTCAATGAAAGGCTGTCTCTTTTTTCTTTGAACCATGGTCAAAATTTCACTTCGAGGAAAATATCGGATCGGTGTAATGTCGGTTGCTCCCGTTGACTCACTAGCCTTGATGTGTTCAGGAGTTAAAGGAGCGCATCAGCTGAGCCCCGCAGATTAACAAAAACAAAGGGGATTTCAAGTGGAGAGCGAAGTCATGGAAGAGCACCTAGTTTTTATTTTTATTTTTTCCTTTTATTGGTGCCCTTGTTTTTCCTGTCTTTGCCTTGATTTTTTTTGCTTAACTGTTCCACGCTACAGTAACAATTGTATACGTGTACTGTTCTCCATACATTATTGCAGAATTGAGGCCGTCCAAGAAAAGCGGGGTGGTTTAGCTAGGCTGCTGATCGTAGCAAGGAGCGGATGCGAGATTGGGTGACGGGGATTAGGTATTACTTACATGCACGTCAATTGGCAGGGCTGGGAGGGCCTTGTTCCTCTTATCCATTTACGGCCTCGACCTAGGTTCGAGGGGGGAGAACATGGTCACGCTTGTGATTGTAGATTTCGGAAGTCTGTTGGCGATTTTGTTTTTCTGGTTTATCTTCTTTGTTTCCTGTTCAAATTAGCTGTCAGACATGATATACCTTCCCTAGATTATTGGGTGACTTGGTGCTACTCGCTGCGATCGATTTTGGGGAGTGACGAAACTAAAAAAAGGTGTTTCGTCTGCACGATGGCCTTACTAGCCGTGTTGGGGCATGGATACGTAGGCAATTCGGGAGATTCGGGGGCCAAGTGTGACAGAATTGTGAACACTATACAGATATTATAGTAGATGCATGGCTACTGTCGCTAATGTACGAAGTAGATGTCAAGCCACAGCAACAATGACTTCGTCAATGATTTCCTGGAAACCCATGTTAGACACCTTAAATACCTATGTTACATATTGTACATATTTTACCGTTCGTACGTTACTTCTAGTAGCAATATATTACACCTCGAAGGAGGAGAGAACGACCCTGTCAAGCAGTGGGCCTCTGGTTCAAGAAAGCGCAACGTTAAGGAGCCCCACTCAAGCCAAAGGAAGAACCCAAGAACCTTGGAAGGAAGCCCGTCTAAGACATCGCTCACCCCCTGTTTGCAACTATCCCCAACTAGGAAGAAATTGAGTCAACGAGGGCCTCTCTATCGCCAAGTGTCACTATCAACTTTCCCAGTCTGAGCAGCAACTATGTTCACCGATTGGACTGACCCTGGGCGTCACCGCTAGTGATTGGGGATGGTGATTGATGGACTGGTAAATGTAAGAAACTTGGCCGAGCTTGGGGTCACGGGAACCATATGGCAAATCCCGGCAGCCAGGGAACCTATGATGTTGCAAGCATGGGAGTATGCTTGATGATAGGATGAGAGACGGCACGAAGCAGAGCAAAGTAATGAGACATGCAGTTTGTTGAAGAGACCCCCTCGATCAAAAATCCACAATCACACCCCTCTTTTTTTCCCGCGATCAACAAGATTGTCGGCCGGTCGCCCGCCCTAATTGGAGTGGCATGCGCTCACTGGCTACACGAATGAACCTGGAGCCGGTTCAACGGGATGATGATAGGGGAGCGGTCTGCAAAGAATTGCTCTGACCCTCATGGCCCACTGCGCACGCGAGATGATTATCAACCGTCAGCACGCTGTCACGACTCACGCCTTACGACTGTGTTCTCTCGAGCTCTCCAACTTGTGGCGGTGGCCCTTGCTCCAGCCACGACCCCTCACTGGTTAACAGCCATGATGAGATACCTTTTGGGGATTTGATGATGCTTCGCTGATAACGTGGCGTCGCTGCATGCTGCTGTTTCTCGTGAAGATCATGGTCAGCTGTGATAGTTTTGGTTATCTCGCCCACAAAGGCCCGCCGCGACCACTACATTGCACGATTGGAAATACAATATGACCGCAATCTACAGTACTTATCAAGGTCACGATACCGAGGTGCTCAGCAAAGACCGCCACAGCCGCTGTACACGATCGCGATAGCGCACGGATCGGTCAGAAACGGTCAGCAAGGCTCGACGGTAGGCCCTGCATGGCCTGCCATGGATATTTTCCTCCTTGTGGTGCAATTTAGTGTAACGGCAGGGCCACCTATGATAGTGAGTCATCAGTTAACCACCCCCTCCGCACGTGCGCCAGCCCTGGCGGAGACTTTGACGATGCAGGAGGGGATGCTGCTTGATGTGAGACCTTACCAAGACGGCTACGCGCAAGCCGCGACCGACTTGTTTAGGCAGTCGAGTTTCTTCGTCTACCCGTGTTCGGATTCTTGGTCTTGGAATCATCAAGGAAAATCCCAAGAAAACAGTGCCAAGAAGAGGGGGATTATCGTCCGGGATCCAAGCATCCAAGCTATCCAGTTGCGCGAAACTATTCAGAACATTGAACAAGCATGATTGGATTAGGTTTTGAACCCCGTCGCGCAAAGCCCGCATAGCAGCACAATATACTACCGAGTCTGATCACGACCCTCTCATTACCTGGTGGTCGGTTGTGCGCTGAGGTGCCTCACCATGAATCACTGGGTCTACGAGTATCCTGCGAGAATCCGATGAGAGGGGGCGTGTCCGTCAGCTCTCAGCCCTTTTTTGGCTCGTCTCATACAACGTGCACTGCTCACCCGGGTGTCGCGGATGTGCAGATGCACGAAATCAAGGGAAAAGGGCTGAGCAGCATGGCATCGCCAACGCATCAGGTAACGCGGGGTTGACAGCGACCCCGCCGAGGCTATCTACTCTATACGGAGTACGGCGGCCTCGAAAGATCCAACCAGTCTGGCATTGACTGCATTTGCGGCTTGTCGCATTTGGAATCGTACCTCAGTCTGTATCACGCGTTGATGGCCACAATTCCAACTATAGTGATTTATATCCCAGTAGAGACTAGTCGACCTGCACGACCGCAGGTACGAGTCGAGCTGAATGAAGGTAGTATGTCTCGCATTGATTCACGATGCTTCCCTCTCTCTCCCCTTACTAGTAGTAACTATAGTCGAAAAATGGAAAGCTAGAAGCCAAGAATATTACAATTAAAAATATTTGGATTACACAAAGTCAAGCCAGAGAGCAAAATCTAGTCACAATCGTAAGAGTATCGTATACAATACGCTGGTCAAACTATACTAAACTTCAAGGTTATCACGTTATCAGACCGCTCCTCAATTGTGACTGTGTAATGCGGTGAACAGAAAGAGAGCAAGAGAAGAGGCCCGTCTTTCTTGTCCTCCACTCCGAGAAACTACCGACTACTGTACTCCAGTCGGTAGAATTTTACTGGAGCACACCATCCCCCTTCCTCCACTCGGAGGGTTCGTCAGAGAACGGACTCTCAAACATCCGACGATCTTTCGTAGGCTCATTGCGGGGATCCACTGGCTCCATCTGCACCGCCCGAACGTTTCACTGCCACGGCCACGGCCCCAGCCTCACAGTGCACAGGGATGTCAGGGATGGCAGGGATGTCGAAGGACGCTGTTGGTGGTTTTGCTGCAGCCTTACCGGTTCCGGCCCCCAAGGACCCAAGGGCCAAGAGCATGACGGCGTTTGGAGTATAGCTATTCTTATCCAGCCTTCATTGAATCTCACTGCCAACGATGAAAGAAAATCATGCAATTGACGCGGTGTAGAAACGAAACTCGACGCTGGCCATTATTGAAACCCCCTTGGCCATCACCCCTCACTCCTCCACACCCTAGTCCTTTTTCCCACAGGCTTGGCCGAATAGGAGGGAATGACGATGTGCATCGCGATCGACCATCTGTGGCACACACTGAGTTCTTGCTGCTGTACTCCCCGTTAGTCCGCCACCAGTTGGGCAGAGATGTACATACGCGCCCGACCGTTGAAACAAGATGTCCTCGTCATCATACCTGAGTCCCGGCGAATGTGGTATCTGGTAACTTATTCGCATACATTATTGTAGATTATTACGATCCGACAGGGATATTGGCGAGGATTGGTCGAGTGATTGCCAGATTGTCGGACAACGGAACAGAGATCAAAACGCAGGAATCCGAGGGCTCCGCATATTCTTCCCCCGGGACCAGCGTGTCGGTGCTGGGAAACTTACTAAACCCACTACTAAAATGGAACTAAATGAACTACAGTAATACATGGAGGACTACAGCCCGCCCTACGGGATTCACCAACAAGGTAAGAATGAAGATGTGGACCACTTTGTATGGACTAGGTATGCGACAATACCACGCGACAGGAGTCCGTAACTGGAATTTCATCATCTTAACTATGAAGTATTGGTTATACTATACTTCATACTCGCCCCAGGACCACTTCTCTCCCCACAAGAATACGATAGCCCGCTTCTATTAGCAAGAAAGGGAAAAGAAAGAGAAGGAATAGCTGGTGGACTCAATTTCATGGCCAATGTGGGGAACTGGAGCCCGGCATACGGATTGTGAGACTATGAAAGTTTGAATGAAATAGACTGCTCGAGCGGTATCCACTTGACTGGAGAAAATCCTCCGTATACTCACTCTACCGTAGATGAAGGGCCTCTTGGTTGCTGTTCTTCGGTCGACACAAGTATGGATAGAGTATGGGGAAGTTGATCATGCCAGTAGTACTGTAGTTAACTACCCAATCTCTTCGCCCAGTCGTCATTACTTACGCTGGCCCCCTTCCACGCATCTGAAACACTGATCGGCCCCCTCCGTTTGGCCGATAACATTCCCCAGAAATTACAGTAGGCAAGAGGGATCGTCCAATGACACCCAGCAACGAGATCTGTCCATCACCGTTGGCAGTCATAGTCATTCCACATCGTCATCCGCCTATTAGCAAAGTTGCATCTCATACAGTACCCTTTCCTTCACCGTAGGAGATCGCTTCGTGAATTCTAATCTCGCCTTGGGCCGTTGCTATGCGTTGTTTCCACTCGTCGTCTTCCGTGTTATTTTCCCCTTTCGAAGTTTAAGAATGAAATAACTATTTAATAATCGAGGGTCGGCCCTAGCCTCTTTTTTTTATTTTCTCGCCCCATCTGAGATTATCCCTGGGTTCTTTTTTACCGTCTGTCTGATGCACTCTAAGCCTCATCCTGGAGGCTATAGATACTATAGATAGACACGGGTCCGCCTTTCTTCCTGCTATTTCATATTGATTGGAACCTTTGAAGGTCATCATTATTTATTTTCTATTTGGCAAAAGGATACTTTATCCCCTACGCCTCAACCGCCTCGATTTCCCGCTATCTATACTTCTCGTTTCGCAACGCTATACCGCATCCACGTCTTCCTCTTTTTACCTTCGGTCAAGAAGGCTCCCTAGGCTTTAATTCGATCATCAGCTACGTGCTCCATATTTATTGAAGGCACACTTCCAGCAAGCAACACAAAGAGTTGTTACATCAAACGACAGAGAGAGAATAGCCAAGGCTCGAGTTCCCCTTACCGTATTACGTACGTCCCACAAATACTCGAAACCGATACCATACCGTACAGGTCTTCGGTACCACAACTCAACACGCAGGACTTCACCTATTGTGAGTCCATACCGTTTCCAATACCCCCCATAACCCCTAATTTGCCCATTACCAAACAATACACCCCGTACCCACTGCAGCTTCACGTCCAACCCGGCGGAATCGCTGGGAATTGATTCATTGATTAAATCATTTTTTATTCTCTTTTCCCACCGACCCCCTTCCCTTCCAACCTTTCATTTCTCCTTCACTCTCCAAAATTTCTACAAATCCTCATCCTGATCGCAATCTCGCCATTTATTAGGAGAACACAGGTTTTGTCCTCCTCCGTCGCAACGATCATCGCGATTTCCGCTGCAGGAAAGCAGTCCCCCCCCAACCCACCTCGCATACGGAACGTTAGTGGCCACCACGTAACCGTGCAGCAACACCACCCCGATCAGCTCACGGCGACCTACGCAACCAAACAGCACTAAAACGAGTTAATCCAACATCAGCGAGGCCATTCAACTCGGCCCAGTCCCCGATTGCATCGTCTTTCCCCTTTGGACCGCCTGCATCCACTGCGTTGGCAGTGTCGCAATTCCCGATTTTCTCGTTTCCTTTGCCATATCGCATTGCCCGTTCTCCGCCCTCCCGTTGCGCCGCAAAAAAAGTTCCCTGCACCCTAGCACGGGTACTCCCATCGCCCGCTGCATTGCTAGTCTCGAGTCAACGGCCAATCGACGGCGGAGCTGCTCGGACTAGGATTATAACCCTGGCAATACTTTTACTTATTCTTGGTGGATTTCCCTGGGCCTTGTCGACGCCGCCGCCTATTTCGAACACGCGACTGCATCTTTTTTGGGGCTCTTCCCTCAACGCTGGGATTGAACCCGCATAGGTGCAGCGTCCACAGCCTCTTGACTTGCACGCACTCTTCCTCGTCGGTGCCACCCCTTGGCTTTGTTACCGAGCATAAGGCGCCGCATCCCCTCCCTGGTTCGCTCACTGGTTGCGCGATCAATTGGTCCATATCACAACCTTTCCACCCCCTCTCTCGTGCAGAGCGGCAGCTTTCCCCACGGACCGGCAGATCGACAAGCAGAAAGAGGGGTCGCATTGGTCCCATTGGGAGGTTTCGACAGGAAAATCAGCTGGGTTCCAAAAGAAGCAACTCTGAGACTTGCGGACCAGAACCCTGGACTCGGAGATCATCCCTCGAGTAGCGTGGGTGACGTCTATCAGCAAGTGGCTACCGTCGGAGGAACTCCTCTGGATCTAGAAAAGAGGAAGAACAAGAAATAAAAAAAAGAAAAAGGAGAACCGTTGCACTGGGGCCAGTGCCCTTTGCAATTGTTATCAGGGACTTTTTTTTTCTATCTTCTTGTCTTCTTGTCTTGTTTTCTAATTCCCTCAAGTCTCTTCTACCTCTCTTTTTTTTCCCCTACTCCCTCGGCTTGTCCCCGTGAGGCGCTCTCCGGCAGGGCTCTCCGCATTCCATTTCAGCCAGGGCCAAGATGCAGAGTTCAAGAACGGATCCTTTCTGCTGAGGACGTGGCTGAACCCATTATTTTCTTACTGTGTCAGACTATTCCGTTTTCTTTTCTTCTTCTGGCTCGGATCCCTTTCCCAACCTGGCCTCTTGCAACCTTTGAACGGCCCGGCTGGTCCCCTGCGCTGTTACCGATTCGCCCTTGGATCGAGTCCAGGTGACTCGAAAGTTGGCACGGTTCACGAAACACTAAAACAATTTCACGTATTGACAGCTGAGCTGTCGGTCTGATAACGGATAGCCGCCATGGCCTACGCTACCGCGACCTCACCTCCGGTTATGGATGCCGATACCCAAACTAGCTTAAAGCTCACAACATCCCTTCCTCGATCAACCTCCCTACATCATGTCGTTACCTCTCTACCCTCTTCTGGTCCGACTCCTTCCTCAGCACCTTCCTTTACCTCCTCACCGACCTCAACTCCCGTCTCAGTCTACCCAGGTCCGGGTACACCGAATGCCTTCACCCCTGCAGGTACTCCTCTCCAACCTCCAAGTGAGGGCCCTCGTGGTCGAATTTATCCTCTTCCTCTTCCCGCCCCGCTCGAACTTGGCGAATCTATGATGGCGGTTCCCGAGACCATCATCCCCAACGTCAATGGGGTCAATGACCCATCTATGTCTAGCTCCAAGGCTCCCGGCCTAATGCGACGAATCTCCCGAGGCGCCGCCAGCAAACTAACAAGGAGAAGGCAATCCGCCTCGCAGAACGACAAGCGAGACCGAAGCTCTGGTCCTGTTATCATGCGCCGAAGAAGCGACAGCAAGAACGGTCAGGCCACCACCCGAGATACCGCGCTCGAGTCTAGCAACGAGGACGACTCCATTGAAGCCTTGGACGGACTGGGTGCTTGGGCTGGCTCGGAGCCATCAAGTCTTCGAAGTGAAAGCCGCATGATGTCGGCCCGCGAATTGGTCGCCAGTGCCGGTAGTGCTGTCGCTCCCAAGGTGGACTCTGCCGTGCAGCGCGGAACCGTCCTGACCAAAGTAACGAAGAAACACCGCAAGCAGGTTCGTTTTTTCTTGGATTTGGACGCTGCGAAGGTGTTCTGGGATGTCTCCAATCCTGCCAAGCGCTTCTATATCGACGATATCAAGGAGATCCGCGTTGGTGCAGATGCCCGCAATTACCGTGAAGAGCACCAGATTCCCGAGGATACCGAGAGTCGGTGGTTCACCATCGTGATTGCCGACTCGGAACGCTTCAAAGGCCGCGCATTCAAAACCCTACACCTGATTGCCCCCAATGACCACATTCTCGAGCTGTGGACTACGACTTTGGAACACATTTCTCGATACCGGATTGGCCTGATGGCTGGTCTGGCTGCTTCGGGTCAGAGTGACGCCGTCCTTCAAGCCCATTGGCAGCGTGAGATGTCAAGATTGTTCCCGCAGGGTCTTCGTCCTGGCGAGGAGCAAAGTCTGGACTTCACCGCCGTTGAGAGTGTGTGCCGCAGCCTACACATCAACTGCTCCAAGAACATGCTTCGAGCTCAATTCTCCAAGGCCGACGCTGGTCGTAATGGCCGGTTGTGTTTTTCCGAGTTCAAGGACTTTTTGACGCGTCTGAAGGAGCGGAAAGATGTCAAGGAAATTTACAAAACTCGTGCGGAGGATCACAAGACTGGTCTGACTCAGCAAGAATTCTTGGATTTTCTGCGCGAAGTGCAAAAGGAGGATGTTGAGGCTGATCGTGCACACTGGATCGCTTTGTTCGATAAGTTTGTTAAAAGGTCCAGACCTCGTCTGTCTAACGCTTCCGACACTTCCAATACTGGCACCCTCCCACCCCCTCGTATGAATCTTGATACATTCTCGGCCTATCTGGCTTCCCCAAACAATGGAATTTATGCGTCCAAGGCTCCCCAGTCGCGATTTGACCGCCCACTGAACGAGTACTTCATTTCCAGCTCGCACAACACTTACCTGTTGGGCCGTCAAGTCGCTGGAGCCTCAAGTACCGAGGCTTACATTAGTGCGCTTCAGCAGGGATGTCGTTGTGTGGAGATCGACTGCTGGGATGGTGCTGACGGGCGTCCAATCGTGTCTCACGGACGGACCATGACCACTAGCGTGCTCTTTGCGGATTGCATCACAGTCATCAATCGCTACGCCTTTATCTCCTGTGATTTTCCTCTCATCCTCTCCCTCGAAGTGCACTGCAACCCCGAGCAGCAGCTGGCAATGGTTAAGATTATGAAGGATACCTTCAAGGAGCAGCTTATCTTGGAGCCTTTGATGACCAATTGTTACATTCTGCCCTCACCCGAGGAACTCAAGGGCCGCATCTTGGTCAAGGTCAAGACTTGTGACGAAACTGAGCTCGACCTTCGCCAGGATACTGTTAGCTCCATCGGTACCGTCGGTACTCATGGTCGCAAGCGCAGTGCCAGTTCGCCATTTGTTCGCCCAACTCCTCCTCCTGACATGACTCTCTCCAGCAGCACCATGCCCCTTCCATCGCTTTCGAGCCCACCCTCGATCAATTCGGTGGACGGCATTGGCCCTTTGATTTCCCAGGACAGACGCTCCCTAACGGCGACCAGCATGAGCAGCGCCACCGAAGACAGCGATGGAGCCTTGATTTCCGTTCACAACGAGAAGAAGAAGCGTCGTCGCCAGAAGAGCAAGATCACCAAGCCTCTCTCAGATCTCGGCATTTACACTCGCGGCTACAAGTGGCACAGCTTCTCCTCACCGGAGAGCAGGAAATACAACCACGTGTACTCGTTTGCTGAGCGTGCTTTCGAGAGTATCTGCCAGAACCACGACAACAAGGTTTCTCTCGAGGCTCACAACCGGAAATATCTCACTCGTGTGTACCCCTCAGGCTTCCGTCTTCGTTCTTCCAACTTCGATCCGAACAAGTTCTGGCGTCGCGGTGTCCAGATGGCAGCGCTCAATTGGCAGACGTACGACATCGGTATGCAGATGAACCAGGCCATGTTCGCGGCTGGAACTGATCGCACCGGTTACGTCCTCAAGCCTGACTGTCTCCGTCTCCCAATGGCACCGGGCGAGGGTCCAAAGCGAAAGATGGAGCGGAGACTGGTTCGATTTGCGGTTGACGTGATCTCGGCGCAACAGCTTCCGCGACCTCGCACTCTTGGTCCCGAGGACAGCATTAATCCCTATGTCGAGATCGAGATGTTCAGCGCTGATGACCGTGGTCAAAGCCTGGTCTTTGGTGAAGGCGGTATGGATGCTTCTGCACGGAGTGGTATGTCCGGCATTGGATATCCGCACCGTCGACGCACCAAGATCGAGCCAAGCAATGGTTACAGCCCTGTCTTCAATGATCGTTTCAAGCTCTCCTTGGAAACCAAGTATCCCGACCTGGTCTTTGTCCGATGGACCGTCTGGAGTTCCTTGGACGGCCGCAGTGCCGGAAACAACAACAGTGTGCAACTGGCTACCTTCACTGCTAAGCTCACCAGCCTTTCTCAGGGTTATCGCTACCTGCCTCTGTACGATGGCAGCGGTGACCAGTACCTGTTCTCAACCCTGTTCTGCCGCATCTCCAAGGAGGACCCTGTTCCAGTTCAACGTCTGGACTTGGAGGAGCTCCGTGCCGAGCGCATGGGCATCTTCCGCCAGATTGGCCAGACTGTCTTCAAGCGTTCGTCGTCTACTGATCGTGAAAAGGATCAATCTGCCGATCGCAGTGACCCCGTCAGTCCTGAAGACAAGGATAGCTCTCCAAACCTCACCCCGACCGTCTCCACTACGTCCGCCTCCTCATTCTTGCAATGAGAGGTGGTCTCTTCTCTCCACCTCTTCTCCTCGTGGTCGGTCTCCTTGTCACATCTACCTTCAACCACTTACCTCTCAATGTCGATATTTGCAAGGCTACGCGCACGTCTTCTTGTATCCGGTGACATTCTCTCCCTACATCTCTGCCTGTTTAAGTTTGCATGTTACTACCATTGCTATACCCGTCGCAGCGATACCCCCTGTTTTGTTTGTGTATATTCTACTGTTGTCTGTCTGTTTTTTATGTTTGCTGTTTTGTACTAGCTCGGTGCCCATATGGCAGGGTGTTCCTTTGCTTTATTTTCGTTTGGATTCTTGTCATTGTTTTGTTTTCGGGATATGGAGAATCTTGTGTGGACTTCGACTCAACGGCCACCACCACCTCTTATCAACTACATCGCATTTGCGGGAGTCATTCACCTGGGAAAGATCACTTACATCGCTCATCTCATTTCGTGGCTGGTTCACCGGAGTAACGCACATCTATCTCTCACTCATCATTCGGGGCATCTCATCTCATGGTATGGTCGGGAATTGCCGGGTTTCGTCCCCTTCCGTGCATATTTCGCATTCGGTTGACAATCTGGAGATTGAAACCGGGAGGCGCCCTATCTATTTGCTTTTTGTTGGCTTTTGGCTTTTTATCTCCTGAGGAATGGAATGAAATCTTTGTCACTCACTCGAGGATTATCATTATCTCCTCTTCTTTCTTTCTCTCTCTGGGTGCTGGATCTGGATCTCGCGCCCCCTTCTTTTGAATGTCGGTCTTCTGATTCTCTTTGTTTAACCCTTTTTCATTCCTTCCTGTCGTGAATATTGTGTGTTTTAATAGATGACGCGCTGGGTCGCATGGGATTACTTGCGGGATTTGTCTATCCTGGCTTTTGAATCGCTTTTTTTTGTCTGCATTCGAATGGTCGGCTAGGTATAGATCAATCTCAGCATTGTCTTTTATGACAATATACTATTATCACATTCTCATCTCTGTAAATTTGGTATTCCATATAGAGATGTTAGGCATGTACCCGATACCATTCATACCTGCCTCTGCTCGCTCGTGGTTCCTTGAAGCGTGGTTATCTCTTCATGCTGTATCTTAAAACTACAGATTGATGAGCCGTGCCAACGGTAGGAGAGAAGTAAATCGGTCCTTAAGAGGCCCAATCGCAGTTTACAATTAATGGAACAACCAATTTAGACATGATTCAAATGCCACTACTAGCAAGTAACAATTTCAATTAAGAACGCTACGTTAAATACTTCAGACGCTGATATTCACAGGTCACCCATACATACCGGCTCGATACCTATCTGCAAATCATCTCATTCACTCAAAAATCAAAACGACAAGCCTGACCCGACAAGCACTACTACCATATCATCGATAAACATAGCGCCGATCATCCAACAAATCCAACGCATTTTGCCGCCCCTGCTTCTCCATCCTCAACCTAGCCTGCAACGCATCCAGCTCCCTCTCCGCATTAATCCTCGCCCCCTCATGCATGACCCTCACCCTCTCAACCTCCGGCTGATGCGGCGCAAGCGGCAACATCTCCCTCGGAATCTCACCCCACTTCGTCCAAATGGGAAGCCGATAATGCCGCATCGCACGGTTAAGATCGCCCCATGCCGAGGACGGGTTTAGCAGAGTGCCGCAGATCATGAGGTTCGTCCAGCCGTTGAAGGTTAGCATGGGCTTTTGGTTGCCGGATACGGAGGGCACCGAGGAGAGGATGTGTTCCATTATGACGGTTTGGGAGTTTGAGAAGATGGAGAGGGGGTTGAAGGGTGTTGAGGTTGATGGGGCGGGTGGTGGTGGGCGGGGGTGGAGGACGAAGTCGACGCCGTAGGAGGTGTAGTGGTCTGCTAGTTCGCGGTCGGCTACGTCGCAGCTTCGGGGATTTTTGGCGCGGGCGGCTTTCCCTGGATGGGAGATGGGTGTTAGAGGAGTTTGTTGAGGTTAAGGGAGGTTGGAGGATTTGTATTGGACTTACAGACGTTGTGGCTCATCGGGGCTCCGCAGGCGTCGATGTACTCGGCGCAGGTCTCTGGACTGAGAAGGCCGGTGCGTTTCGGGTCCAGATGTTGGAAGAATTCGTTGATCAGGGCTGTGAAGCAGGGGGTAGGCGTCATATCTGGGTTGAAGAAATTCGTCCACCCGCTGCGTTGATGTTGCTGCTGAGGTTGCTGAGGTTGCTGCTGTTGCTGTTGCTGTTGCTGGGGCTGGGGCTGCTGGGGCTGCTGATTTTCCTGTGACTGTTGATATCGTGGTTGTTCCTGAGTGTATCCATATTGGGATTGCCTTTGCTGAGGTGGCGGCGCCTGATTTTGTTCCGGCCGTGGAGGCTGTTCCTGCTGTGATGGTTCACGATGCTGCTGCTTGGTGCTCTGCTGCTGCGAAGCTGGTGGTGATGGCGTTGGCGGCTGTGCAGATACCGGTCTCGACACCGGTTCAGTAGCATCTAGTTCAGATTCTACATCCGAAACAGTCGGGCGAGGGGGTTTCCTGGGTGGAACCTCGGTACTCATTGTAGAAACCGGTCTTCGTGGAGGGACAGGGGGGCTTGGATACACATTGCCGACAGACTTAGTTCGTACTGGTGGGGGAGGAGGAACCGGAAGATAACCGCTATGCTTGTGTATGGAAAGAGAATGAGCGGCACCGTCTGGATGCTGCAGGGGATAGTCCTGCACGACATAACAGTTGGCACACAGGGTGATCGGGGGTGTGCAAGTGCTGCATGTTAGACGGGCTTTGGTAACTGGGATGAATTCCTGGCAGGAAGTGCATTTGTAGAGTAACATGGTGGGCGACACTGGCCAAACTGGAGTGAAATTATCTTGGGCATTCTTTCTCTCTTATGTAACAGCACCACCTCTACTGTTGGGCACGAGAGTCTGCCTTGGCTGAAGATGGCTTGGAGAGTGCATGTTGACACTGAAGGTCCGAAGTATTGGCAACGCCTCGTGAGTATTTTTGGGGTTAAAATAGCCGAACTCCTCCTGCTTATTTCCTCGTCTCAATTAGCGTGGTTTCAATTAGTACATTATTTGAACCAATTAGTGGCAAGACTACAAATCCCGACGTTTTATTATTGGACAGAGAGACTGCAGGGTCTAATAAGTTATCCAAGCAGTTCTCACTAGCTATAGGTTGACGGCGGGAAGACAGACTCTAGAGGCTTAAGCGACATGAGGACTAAGGAAGGCTGGAGCCTGGGAGGAATTTGGGGGCCAAAAAAGATTAAGTGAGAACTCAATGACTACAAGCTTAAAAGCTTAACTAACTTAGTTAGATTCTAATCTAAATGAATCATCAATTGTCATCAAGTCATATCCCGACTTCAAGTAGGAAGCCGAAATACTTGAGATCTCGACGTCTAGCTCGTTCAATCCGAACACACGGGGTATGTCATGTCAAAAAAATTAACGCAGAAATCCGGATAACACCCTCATAATAAAAGCAATCGAACCACATACTAACGCTCAAATCCTCTTCGCAGCTGTATTAGCACCCTTCTTCTGATCATCGGGCGGCAAGGAATCGGTGATCGAGCGGCGATCATATCCGACGTGTTCCTCGTCACTCACTGGCTGCCCATACGCCACGCCGTAGTCATCGATATCAATATCAACCTCATTCCAGTGGTCACTGGTCGCTGGCACGGGGAAGAAATGAGTCAAGATCCAGTATGTCCCGCCAGAGACGAGTACACCAGTGAAATAGTTGATGTTGTAGATGTACTGCGCTCCGACGGGGACGTTGCGTCCAACGGCACCAGCAAAACCGACAATGTTGATCATGATGCCAGCGAAGTAGGCAGCATAGGCGCGCCAGGAGAATCCCATGGTGTAGTAGTAGGGGTCAGTCTTGCGGGCGCTGTAGAGCGCTTTGATGTCGAGGTAGCCCTTGCGCACGATGTAGTAGTCGCAAATCATGACGCCGGCAATGGCGGAGAGGAACAGAGAGTAGGCGGATAGGTAGGTGGTGAATTGGTTGGATGACACCACAAGGTTCCACTGTAAGAGCATATATATTAGCAATCTATGTTTTTCTTAGGAGCGATAATGGTGAACACATACCGGACACATGGCTAGGCCGATAGCAGCGCAGATGTAACTGCCACGACGGATGTTCAGATACCGGGGCATCAGGGCAGTCAAGTCTGTTCCGGCAGAGACGGAGTTGGCAGAGATATTAGTTCCCAGCTGGGCAAGAGCAAATCCAGTGGCGATGACGAAGATGCCAAAGCGCTGTCCAGAGCTAGCCCCCTCGAGGAACATGCCAAGTAGGTCAAGCGGGTTCCAGATTGGGTCACCCTTGTAAATGACTGACGACGAAGAGGACACGATAATGCCAATGAAGGAAGTAATGCCGAATCCAATGGGAATGGTAAGCAGCTGAGACCACAAGGCGTCTTTGGGCGTACGAGCAAAACGCGAGAAGTCGGGATCATTCATGATCAGAGCAGCAAAATTTCCGATGCAGCTCATGACGCCCTTCACAAATACCCAGGCCAGTGTGCTGCCATGAGCAGAGCTGCCCTGGTGAACGATTGGGCCGATACCGTGAGCCCGGGAGATTGCCCAAGCGAAGAAGGCAATAGCAGCGATGGGAGAATAGATCGCCTTAACGGTGAACAGGTGTCGCACCTTGTGAACTGGGAACCAGAGAGCTGGGAGGGAGAGCAGCCAGAACAAGAAAAAGCTCAGGAAATTCTTAGTGTCGACTCCAGCGCTGGCAGAGAGGCTATTGTGCAAATTCTTGTAACTGGGCCAAATAGCCTCGATCATCAAAGTCACACATTCACCTGAAAACGGGGGGATTGTCAGTACTAGCTCCCATGTGCCATGCGGAACTGAAATTTTGGTTGGATTTCGTACCTCCAATATAGCTCTGCACGCCATACCAGATAATGGCCATGACAACACGATTGATCACCGGCCAAAATGAACCCCAGATTCCGAATGACGCTCGCACAGTCACTGGGAAGGAAATATGATAGACAGCACCGATGCGACCGGTCAGACAAACGAAGCCTGCGGCAATGAAATATCCAATCCAGACACAGAGCCAAGACTGCCACCAGGAGAGGCCATCAACAATCATGGAGGAGGAGATCATCCATGTGTTCTAAGTTTCATGTTAGACTCATCTCCGATTTCGGACTTCTGGAAATAATGCACTCACGATGTTCAGTGAGTCTGCGATCCAGAACGCGATGTAGTTCAACCATCTCCATTGACGACGTTCGGGTTCGACTGTGGTTTAAAAATTCCCATCGGTTAACCTGGCTGATTCTGGAGAGGATATTGAGGTGCATGAATGGCATAGTATTCATAGCGACGGGCGCGGGGGACAAGCTATTGTAGCTTCGGCAACGGTCTTCTCACCTGGCCTCAAATCGTCATTTGTCAACATCATCTGGGCATTCGATAGCCCCGGCTCATTCGAGACGGCAGCTTTGTTGAGAAGCCATTTGATTCTCGACATGATGCCGGCCGATGTGAGATGCAGTTGCAAAGAAAAATAGTCGCTCAGAAGCACGCGAAAGCAGAGTCAAAGAACAAGAAGAACAAGCCCGGGATCAACCTGCGGGCAGAAAAAGAGGTGATGTCAATTCAAGAATGATATTTGCTAGGCCAAGATCCTGGGTCAGGACCTGGGGAAACTATGATATAATAAGTCGCCTGAGGGGGCCCGGGCAGTCCATAGAGTTATCAGGTTTGCTCGCATGGTCATGGCTGATCCGGATCCTGGAGCGTCGCATCCTGTTCCCACTCTGCCATGGTGCGATAAGAAGGGTCAATCAGAAGGGCGCTGGTGGGACGATCTTGGCTTCCAGTCTGCCATGTGCGATATTTCGGCTGCTATCTGACTGAATTAGCTTGGTAGGTGTGGAGGGTCGAGCACGACTGGCGTTGGGGTAATGCGCCTATCATTTCCCATTGCCCAAGTTACTCGAGTAAGACGAGGTTTATCTGCGATAACGCGGGTGCAAACGGCTCCACTTTTCCTCTCCGCAAGCAGAAGGGCGTCGGTGATTGGCCGATACCAGCAATGGCGCGTATCTAATCATCGAGGGGAAAACTGGGGCTGGAGATTGTCGTTGAAGTTGACTCGATGAGATCGAGTAATGGCAAACTGCGGTCACGTGGTTACTTGTGCCGGTGATCGGCTTTGGGCTTGGATACTTCGAGCTGAGAAAATACCGAGTCCGAAGTCTGAATCTAGAAATTAGAGAGAAGTTTCGGCTAGCCATGCCCCACAATTTCTCCTTTATCTTTTCTCGGAAATGCTCAAACAATTTAGGTGAGTATATACCAATATCGAGGCAAGACTGCCGCCTATCACCCTAGCGAGTTGATCACCTAGCCGCTATATAGAAGTACATAGCTTTCGGACCAAACCTCTCTGAATAACCTATTCGCTCGCCCTAATGCTGAAGGCTCGGCTTATTGGATCTGATTTATCATCTGCCTCTTGAATCGTCCCAAGTACTCGAAGGCCTGTCTGAGAAAGTGTCAGCGAAAATGAATCCGTGAGCCTTGGCCCGGCCATTGTTGTTCCGACTATGTGCCCTATTCGATTCTCCTGACTCTATTCCTTCCGTTCTGCTAGCCTGATTCCTTAGGCATCCAATCCATCCGCGGAGAATTAGCTATTTAGGCTGTCTTCGAAAAATATTTGGAAAAGAGATGAATGTTTATTGACTACTGCCTCAATTGGAGTGTTATATGAGTATCTTCTTAGGATATAGTTAAATCTTATACTATTTTATGGCTCTGTTTTTACGGAGTACTATATGGAGTACTGTATTCAATATCCATCCGCGCAGCCGCGCCAGCTTAAGGACTCGGAGTATAGAGATAAACCGGACCCTAATGACTCGGCCTAAGATACTCGTACTCGTTGCCCCTAGTTGGTGGGAGTGGAGAGAATAGGCGTTGAATTTTCAACCAATGTTGTTCACACGGATCCTTAGATGTGATATAATCGAAAAAATCTGTGAAAAAAATATGCAAACGAGGTATCTGTCTGGTCCTTGTGCAAAGAATTACTCCTAACCCTGGCCTGGGACCGGCATATGAAATTTCACATTGTTCATTTCCTCGTTTGTAGAGAAGATATCGACTATGATATTTTTATATACAAAAACATATCCCTCTTACTTCCATCCAACTGAATACTTGAACATATCGTTCCTATCCAACACAAAAGATTCATACCGTAGTCCCCTATCAACCGGCGGCCGTTCAACGTCGTGTGTGACATTCGCCGAGACTTCTGCCCATCCCTCCCACAGGGTTCTCCAGTAGCATGCATCAGCGGCTGGGGTTAGGTATCGTTCCTGGAAGGTTTTGACACTGTTACTGGCTATACGCTCTGCCTTGTCCGGGTTCTTCAAGAGTTCGTCCCTGCGTTTCGGAAGGTCGGAGAAGTCTCTCTCGAGTTCCACGTAGTTCTGTTCCGGGCCGGACAATACGAGGAGATAGTGGTGATGTTGGATATACTGCAGCTTATGCGCCACGATGACGGACCGACAGGCATGTCTGTACTTAAGGGATGCCGAGTATTCGCGACCTGGATATCGACGACATTTGTCAGCCTTGTACAGCAAAGTCGGGTTGTGAAAGAAACGTACCTTCGACATGCCCAAGAAACATGGACCGACAGTGATCCTCCATCGACAAGAGGTTGGCCTTCTTGCTCCAATCCAACTCCCTTGCCATTCCAAGGCTTACCCGTGCAATGTACAACAGCATCCGATGCAGCTTTGGTGCAAAGCTCAACTTACCCCGCCAGACCAACTTCTGTTCTTTATCCGCGAATCTCAGATTGGATTCAGCGGCCATGATGCTTTGTACGACTTGTCCGTATGGACTGATGTTACTCTTCGCCCAGGAACAGTACCCGAAATCGGGCATCAGAATGACCGACTCTTCGGATGCTTTCCTCGATAACACCCAGACCGGTGGCTGACCGCGTCAATGTCATCCACGCGATCTTAGATCGAGAAGATAAACTCGATTGTGGGGTGCGAGGTACGATTTGAAGACGAGGATAGCACACGATATATAGATCCTAGAGTACCAAGGATCTTGCACCGATGGTCATCCCCTTTTGCTCTTGTCGCCACGACGTACAAGTCTCCGTTGGGGATAATGGCGCGGGCCATGCCATCTTTGAATGGAACAGTGCTCAGATCGTCCCTTGATATGCGCCCCTCGCGACTTCCAATGCTCAACCCCTCGCTGGATGTCCGCTGCCTGGCACTGACTTTGGCTCAGGCCTAGGTTCTGGTCGTCCCGTCCGTACTGGAAACTCCAAGTTGCAAGGTGCTCTGGTACAGATGGCGGTGGCCGGGCGAGACAGGTGAGACAGTCGGAGCATTGAAATGCCGTGGATGACTGGCAGGTGCAGTGGCCTGCTGGGATAAGTTGCGTGAGGTGCGGTGGGACATTATCACGGTCTGAGTTCATCCCGAACCATATCAAGTAGATGAAAATACCGTAAGCGTCGACGGCGACTGCCAATATCATCCGCTGAAAGGAACACCATCTGTTCAATGATCGGTGTATGGCGAGAATGCTGAAAATGGCGAGAATGGTAAGTGGGATACCTGGGGGAAGGTAAGGAGAACACCAAACCTCCCCCAGGAGACTTAGCCAGAGGCTCAGATATTGTCTCAGCCTACATGAAAAAAGACAAGGACAAAGGATGCTTGAACAGTTCACCCAGTCCAAACATAAGCAAACATAAGGTATGCGGCCTAGTCAAACGAAGGATTTGTGGTGTAGGTTGGTAGGGTTGGCGCGTATTTAGACCCAACTAGATGACTCACAGGATTGTCGCCTCTGACCGTCTCACCCAACCGGATGTGAAATTTAAGACTACATTCCCTGGTCCACGAGATTGCTGATAGCCCAATAATGCATAAGCGCTACGCTATTGTAAGATTTGAAAATAACGGTATTTCACAGGATATCTTAATTTATAGATCAAAGCTATCTCAGTGACGTACTGGTCATAGCACAAAGCTGCCTTTCCAGGAGATGTCCCACGACACAACGCTAGCTAGAAGTTGTGATCACCTTTGCATATCATTAACGGGATTCGTATCAGACCGTGATGATAATTTCACTTAAAAAGCGACGGCAGAGTTTAAAGCAGGCTCAACAAGGGCGAGTCTTTACCTAGCACCAGAAAGAAAAGTGCCATATCTTTCAGTCATCCAGCATATTTTATAAAAAACCATTCAATGCCATATCTGATAAACGATGGACACACATTGTAGATTCGGCGTTACTATGCTCTGTGAAGCCCAAGGTCCATCTCGAAGACTCCGTCCGATAAAAACAAAGATACCAAAAAGGTCATGATCCTTCGGCTTCAGCAGAAGTCTTTCTGTAGAGCCAACAACTCTACGGAGAGATATAACATGTATAGCTCTTTCCTAATCCATCTAAGCACCCTCCGGCGAGTCAGTAGCGACTGCATTACTAGCTCTAAACTGTGTTGGGACTAACCTCTTTCGGTTAGCTCCGCCCCGTGGGGTTTTAGGCTCTCTCGGCCCACTCTCTTCTCTACTCAACCCGTTTACACTGCTTCGTGCCCAGTAGTTGGTACAACTCCTTTGTTCGCTCGTTCGTGGTTCTATCAAACCGTACCCCGAAGATACGCCGCCGACTCCCCTAAAAGCTTTCATTGGTTGATAGTGCGAAGGTGGATAGTTCTAGGCACTTAAAGGCTAACTTCATCCGGACCGCTACTGCAGCCGTCGAATTTGTTCCTGTTTGGGCTTCGGGGAGACAAGCGATAACAACATTATGTCCACCGATGCATCTGAGGGTATATAGACTGGGATCACCGGCGTCGCAGATAGAGGCATCATGTTTCTCGTCGAGCATCTCTTGGGCAGCTGCGAGCTGGATTAGGAGGGCACATACCCAGCCCGCTGTGTAGTGGTCACGGCGAAGGCTGCGTTGTCCAGCCATCTAAGCGAGAGATGGTTGAAATCACACACTCTTGGTACCCGCCAACCTGATGGTCAACATCTCAGTTATTTCGCGTCAGCATCTTGGCAGACAGGCCTGACCGGGATAAAGAATGTCCGAATTCAAAGACCTTGTTATCGTTCATGAGGGCTTGGTTGGACTTGTGTCATCCTTAGCCACGTAAGACCCTGGCCTTAGGGACACTCTTGGCGCTTGTCGCTTCCCGCCGCTCGACCTTCGTCTACATTACGGTCTCTTTAGGCCGCTTATGCATAAACTCTAGACAGTAGTGAAAGTAGAATCTTGCAGGGTACACTAACCTGGGCTAGTTGGTTGCAGAAGAGGAGGCAGAACAGGGCAGGGCGCCTAGGTGGTGGCTCGCTATCTAACGTTATGGGTGAAGAGGCGGCTGGTTTCTCGCGCAAGAGGCTGTCATTTTTGGCGTCGGCTTTATAGGTCCTTATACTCTAGTTGTTACATTGGATGAACTATTCTGGCGCGACTCGACTTTAAGGTGTCGTGATCCTCAAGAGATGAACACGGCCATGCTTTCAGTAGTTCAGGAAGTCTTGCTCGTAGACAGCGGATCTTTAGCAACGAAGGAAAAAAAGATCTAGAATTGTTTGATTTCTCTGTGATCGAAAACAGACTCCACCAGTCTTCCGACTGCTGTACAAGGTATCGTACACAATAGGAAGCCATGATATTTTCTCTACCGGCGCAGCGCATCTCTAACGGGCGAATCACCCCGGCGGAAAGAAGCTATAATATCTGTTAGCTTATGTGTCAATTAAAAATGCCAGTCGCCCGAGTCCAACAAGCCCCGAGAGCTTCCATTGCACCTAACAGCGGGGCGAGTCCAATTCCCAGAGCCTTCGGACTAGCCAGTCTATCATGATATAGGCTCTGTAGCGAAGGAAAAGAAGGACCGGATCACGCTTTTGGAGCTGTAAGAGCTACAGCAGAAGCAGCAGGGAACGATTGAATCTCTGCAAGGCAAAACTCGGGCGACGTGACATCACAAAATGCAGACATAAACATACCGTCAGCCTCCTCCCAAGCACGACCGGCACCGAAGCCGAGGCCAACCCAGGCAGGCCAGGCCCTCCGCTTGAACAGAAGGACAGAGAAGACAACACCGAAGGACAGACCGAGGGAGGACTTGATGATCATGGAGGAAATGGCGCGGTCCCACTATCCAACCAGTTGATGAATTAGCTCATTGATTCCGTATCCGATTTAGCCGATAGCCATCAGGCACAATCTTCTGCCTCTTCAACATTGATTTGGGAGAGACAGGCTGCCGATAAGACGGGTGTAGATTGTCGAATTCAATGGTAGTTTCGTACCTTCTCGTTAAGCAGAGCCTCGCTCACGGGCTTGGTAGCCCGCGCGACCGGCCGGGTCTCGCTGGAATCGGCCATTGCGAAGAATCTAGGTAGGTATAAGTTAGTTTCGAATCTAACAGACAGCATGGTAAGGGTTAGGGAACGTACGGTTGTATAAGGAGAGTGAATTGAGAGGTTGATTGAATCGGAAGTTGCAGCGTGCAAGGAGTCGGGAGTTACGAGTGAAGGTCGGGCAAAGGCGGTCGGGGAATTTCGCCGCGGTTTTTTTCTCCATTTGGGTCAACTTTTTTTCCCTTCAAGTAAACCAACCCCTCATATCGGCGATTTTGTTCGGTTTTCGAGATGCCTTTGCTTGCGGGGGTAAGTTCAGAGTCTTGACGTTTACTCTATTCATTCATACTGGATTCTAACTCTTTTGTGATGCAGCCCTCGAGCTCGTCGCAAGAGGCGCTCCTCCGCCTTGAAAAAGGTAGCAGCGCATCCCCAACTACCCAACTTCACGAAGCAGCACAGATTCTTGGTGTGGACCTGAAAACCTGTGAGAGTCATCCGGAGACACACCAGGATGCGAAAATCCAGACAAAGGCTACTCCGAAGGAGGAATGGGTGCTCCGATGGTTGCTGAAAAGACTCCGGACTGGGAAGAACTACCGCGTGGACCCAGCTTCATTCCTATTGCTGCGGCAGCTCATTGGCCTCATCTCGCCTAAGAATTTGGCGACAATTCTGAAAGATCAAGGTTTTTTCTCGATTCTGTGCGATACAGTTGCGGACTTAGAGAATGACATCTTTGCGACGCTGGGCAGTGGTGCCCCGACCACGAATTTCGAGTCCGACTCCAGCAATACGATGGATGCGCATCCCACGCAGGGGACCAAGAGGAAGAGGGTTGTCGGAGAGAATGATACCGAGTCTATGCATCTAGACGAGACACCGCAGAATCCCTCCTCGTGCTTCCTTGCGTTCATTCGTGCTCTGGACTGCCTCTATGGCGTCGTGACCCTGGCTCAGCGGACGCTCGGCGTGGATGAAGTGGCCAACTCTCACCTCAAGTTGGCGCTGAGAGGAGAACCCGAAAGTGTTGCAACTTTGTTGGGCAGGTCACTTCAGATGGCTGCCGTTGCCGTCACGCAATTCTCGCAGGCAGGTAAAACAACCGATCTCCAGCACCTACTGCTGGTCTTCCCTGCAATGCTTGAGCTGTGGGAGTCAAGATCCTACCGCCAAGACGACACGAACAACAATTCAAGCAATGATTGTTTTGCCAAGTCTTGCTTTTCTCACGCTCTCCGGCTTCAACTCTGCCTACGAAGCATCAAATTCGACACTGACGAGAGAGCCCATCTTCTCCATGCCATTGAACGCATCGTCGCTCTCCATGTGTTGATCCCAGCTCGGGAGGCTTTCTTTGCCCGCGGCGGCTCTGGCATTGACTACTCCAAGGAAGAGCCGGATTGGAGTTCGGTGAAACCGGTGACTGATACATTCAGACCCATCATTGGCGAACTTTCAGTCATCCAAATGACACCAAAGAAGCCTAACAATCGCTCTTTCCACCCCTCGTGGCGATCCATTGAGCTTCTTCCGGAGCTATTCGATAGCGCCGTGCGTGCTGTCCCAAGAGATGATTTCAGACGTCAGACACACGAAGCCCCTTGGCTGGAGACTTTGTTCGTGGCAGTTGCGGAGCTGGCTTATTCCACCGCAAAGGATGAGGAGCCGGCTACGTTCTCTGCCAGGTTCATCTCTGTGCTGGAAGACCTTTTGCGCATTGCTCTCGATCGAAGTGTTGGCCTATCACTGCAAACCATCCTTACCCATGCCGGGTATACCGGTCTCCTCGAGCAAGGCCTAGAGCAGGTTCAGTGGAATGTCACGGCTCTGGTTATTAGCCTTGGCGTTGATGTTTTCTTGCCCAACTCAGGTCTACGCGATGCGAGCAAGCTACTGGATGCGTTACTTGACAAGATCATGCTTCAATGGCGCAGTGATTCTTCCAAGGATACTAAAGTCTACAATACGATTAAGAATAACATCGTCATCCCGCTTCTGCGGGGCTTTGCAGGCGCGAGAGATTTGACATCTTTCATGGAAGTTTGGCATGATCAACTTATCATCTTGGAAGAAGCCCGCATCCGCAACAACAGTCTCCCATTCTTCTCTGTCTGGGAAGATGATGACTTGTGTGATGTCTTTTCTGAATTGACGCGGACTTCACTCACGAGTGTCAACTTTGCCGCACAGCTGCAGACTGCTGCAACTGCAACTCGGGCTGAAAATGGCAAGATCTCCGAGTCCTCGGCGTCATATGCGAAGTTCGTTGTGATGGAGGCCACTTTCCGAAGCAAGGTATTGACGGCCGATTCGGAGGAGGTTTTGGCACAGTTCCTGGAGACATTGACATCTACTCTGTCATCGAAGCAAATGTTCCACTGGCGCTGGCGCATGTGGCGGTTCGTGCGGAATCTTCTGCAGAACAATTTGCTCGCCGCCGATAGTATTCTTAACAAGGCTACAAAGCCTCTTGTGAGCATTGCTGCAAAGTCCCTTCACCGCAATCACAAGAACTTGGCCAAAGCACCACTTGCTCCTCTGGAGTCATGGGAGATCTATCGGTTCGCTCTACTAGTTGTCAAGGGAAAGCCCAGCGATGAACAACTGGAAGCGTTCACCGATATCTCCAAGGATGTTACCAAATTGGTCTCATCAATCACCACAGAGGATTCTCAAGCCTCGATGGAGGCGCCCTGGGACGGTCGAATTGATACCTTGTGTTCACCAGCCACGCTAGCTTTGGCTTATACTTTGGCCTTAGTGAGGGAACCTGATGCCTGGGAGAAGGTCAAACCCGAGTACCGGTCGAGCTTGTTGAAGCAGCTCATGTCTCTGGCCGCCGTTCAGTACCACTCGTCCTCCTTGCCTCTGGAGACTGTTGCTGATAATGCGCGGTTCCTTCAAGCATGGGCGAGTGTTGTATGCCACGAGTATCTGCTCAATGTGCCATTCATTGTGCCGGACCTAGTCCTTCTGCTCACCAAGAGCCTCGAAGACGACGTCTTCAATCGCCGTCTCTACGTGGAAAGCGTGCAGCGGATCCCTGCTGCCTTGATCACCCGTGGTCTAAGAACTTCCCTGCTGGATAAGCTGCATGATATCGTTGTTCAGCAAGACAGTGCGCCCGAAGTGATCCTTGGCCTTTTGACTATGATGGCAAAACTCGCAGCCATGCCCAAGTGCGATGCTAATGTCACGAGCGACTGGGAGCCGATCTGGACAGAGGCCCGTGCCATCTCCCTGGATGGTACTGATTTGGATCTGCATATCATGAAGGCTTTCCGCAGCTTGTATCGCGCTGTCATCGCCAAGCTGCTGGTCCTGTCACAAGACGATCGATATGAGACATTCAAAAAACTGTATTCCAGAGTCTCCAAGCAGGCATCCAAGCTTCGACAGATTGACCGTGATTCCATGGCCTGTTTCTTACTCCGCCTATCTTTGTCGGAACTGTGGGTTCATCGCAAGGAGTTGGCCAAGGCCTTCTCAGAGGATGACTTGGCGTCCTGCCGTCAACGCGTGTTTGGATTGGTGCTGGCTGACATGAAGTCCGTCAAGGATCAGTGCAGGAAGCAGAAGCTAGAGGAGACAATCACCCTCATCAAGACCATCGATGCTCTGGAAGACTTTGAGGACCTGGCAACAAACAACATTGAGGTTGAGAAGTTCCTTTCCAAGCTTGAGCGTTACATGGAGATGTCGATCGACTCGGCTCCGTCGCGCTTGATCCGCCGGCGTCTAATGGCCTCCAAGGGATCGGAGAAGAAGTCTACCGAGCCAATGCTGCAATGCGCCGAGACTCTTACCCTCCAGTCACTGTACGCTGAGGACCAACAGCTCTTCATCCGAGCCACCACAGAGCGTTTCCGCTCGATGACCGGAGAACAGATCAGCGAAGCAATTCAGGAGATCCGTGAGCTTGGCTTCAGTGGTCAACACGCCGCATATCGACTGCTTGTGGTCTACCTTGCGGTCATCTCCCTCCAGCCCGTTGAAGACAAAGATAGCCCTATTTCTCGCGAGCTCTCCCAGCTCAGCCAGTCACTTGCAACGACGCTCGTTCACAGCACCTCAATTGATCAATTCTGCTTCACGGCTGAAACCATGGCCCTTCTTCTCCGCGTGCACACTCGTAGTATGGCTCAGTGCAACGTCGATGACATGCTCGCCTCCATCGCTACCGCCGCCTCCAAGAGTGGCCCACGCATATCACCCGAGTACGCCCCCACCATCTACACCCGTCTTTGCCGCTTGATGGGTATCATCCTGGGTCTACAGCGAGTCAAGATTGGCGGTCGCTTCCATCTCGTCGTCACTGCCATGCAGCGGCTACTCGGCTGCCTCTTCGCACGCTCTCGTAAGCGCTCACGCTCCAACCGGGCCGCAGTTATCTCCCACCCCTTCTGGCTCGCTCCCCTCGACGCCTCTCACACGTCCAACTTTACCCGCCTCCTCACTTCTCTCAGCGACCCGACTGTCTCTGCCGTACTGCGCTCCCAGCCTGGCATGTCTCGCGAGGCTCTAACCGATGAAACGAAGAAAGCCAAGCGCATCGCTGGCCAGTACCTCCAATACGTGATCATGTCGTATGCGCAGTGCTCGCTGCGTGGGTCATTGGTGCCGGATGTCAAGGCCGCCCTGTTGCCTGGTCTGTATGCGGCGCTGGATGTGATGTCGCGGGAATCGATGCGGGCGATGAACGCGGGCTTGGATGCTTCGGGTCGGGCCGTGTTCAAGTCTCTTTATGATGACTATGTGAAGTTTGGAAAGTGGAATAAGGCGTGATCAGGTCAGATAAATGTCTTGGAGAGATTTGGGATGGGAGTCTTGGTCATTTGCTTGCTTTTCTGTTCTTTTGTACCATATTTACATTACTTGTACTCCATAGATTCATGATATCCCTGAATGCATTGATGATAAATTCATCTTCATGAAGATGTTACCTGGGTGCATATGACTAGGGAAAAGCAGTTGGGGTCGGGCATAAGACTAAGGACAGGTAAAATAAGTAAGAGATTCAATCAAAACCAAATTCAAAAACTTTCATTTGAAGTAGCAAATAGGCCAATTGACTTCCAGCCAGAAGCCGTCTAGAGTAGAGATATCTAAGGGGTATCATGTAAAATCGTGAATCATGCGTCAGAGGAAAAGATATGGAGACTGAAGTGAAAAGAAGAAGTATGATAGCGAGCCAGGCAGCAGCTAAAATCAAATCATGGATGTTTCAAGTGTGCGTGGGCTGAGACAAGGCATCGACACATTTTCCAAGACTGGAATTCTGGAAGTGTGGCTGCCAGCAGTCATAGTCGGTGTTCCGTGAGGTGAGTGGCCAGTTTCCGTGGGATTGGCGACTGAAGCGTCTGTGATTGGCGGGTCCAAAGTTACGCCATTGTGACCGCTGTGCGTGAGACAACCGACGCAGCTGCAGTCGTTGCCGCACTGGCAGCTGCCGGTTACGTCGGAGCAAGCACTTGGGATTCCAACTGGATACTCGATAGTGTAGTATTCGGATGGGTGCATCAATTGCTGGTTGAACGCCGACAGAGGAGAGGAATAGCTTCTAGGCATAGTCGAGTTGGGATCGGAGTACGACTCGAAGGAATTTTGGTGGATGCCATGGTCCATTGCGGGTGTCTGTTGCATAAAGAAGTTTATTGGAGTCGTGGCGGCGTTTGTTTGGAAAGATGGAGGATTGTAGGTATTAGCCATGGCCTCGGGGGTAGAGTCGTCTCCGTCAAATGTCATCATAACACCCATTTCTTGGACATGTTGACGCGTGGTGTTGTTAAAAGGATGGGCTGCACAGCCTAGACATTGACAATCATCTCCACAACTGCAGTCATGGCTAGTGTCGCCGCTGAGGGTTGTGGATGCATAAGCGGAATTTTGAGAATGGTCCATAGGGAAGGTGGTCATGTTGGACGGCGCAATTCCAAGCCCATTCATGGAGTTTGAATATGGTGTGGAAGACACGTTCGGGGTGTAGCCGTTCATGTAGAATGACTGAGCCCGAGTATTTTGCATTGCGTAAGATGGAATAAAATTCTCCTGTGTAGACGCCATGGAGTTCTGCCAGGAAGGCATCTGTTGCGCAGGGAAATTCATGTAAGACATGTCAGTCCATGATGTAGGCTGCTTTGGTTTCGATCCATGACTATTGGCGACACCATCGGCGACAGAGTTGGAGACCGGTTTTTTCCCACTGCAGCAGGAACCCGTGGCCTGTGATGCTGCTTGTGCCACTGGTGGAGTTTGCGGCTTCTGGGAGCAGCAGCTGGATCCATTCGCAGCTTGGGTGGACCCTTGGGGCAATGAAGTAGTTTGATGACTGCGGTTGTCGTTAAAATCATCTTGTTCCGACTGATAAGAAGGAAGGTTTCCGAGGTAGTTCGAGGTGCCATCTTCGAGTTTGAGACTCTCAGGCATGGCCTCTAAGGCCTTGGCGATGTTCTCCGGGGTGGCTTGAATGTTGCTCTGTCTCCTTCCTGACTTTTGGATTTTGCCGGAAGAAGGTGATGATACCGAGGGCATGGAGACCGGAGTAGATTGTGATGAATCGCTGGCACCTGCAGGTACTTTGTAAAGCGGTCGACACAAGCAGCTTGAGCCTAAGCAGATGTTAGAAAAATGTCAATCAAGTCGGTCGTCTATAAACCTCACCTTTGGGTATGCGGACCATAAAAGCATAGGTCTTTTGGCAGCTGCAAGTCCCTTTAGGGTGAGGGCACTTAGCCAGTGGCCGACCCGCTTTAGGCACTTTCATCATGAGTCTGTCGAAGTGCTGGCATTTTGAAGATCGATGGCCGCGAATGCAAGGCTCGCTAATATCAAGGCACTGTCAGTAGCGCATTCAAGCGAGCATTTTCAGCGCATGTAATTACCAAGACCACTTGGCACCTTCTTCATCGAGAGGCATTGTTGTGATTGTGTAATATCCGGAACGTGCAGGGTCCAGTCGGGACGAGGCTGAAATGATCGTCGAATGACGATAATCGACTCCGCGCTGGCGCAAGCGTTGTACCTAGGGCTTGGCGCAAATTCGATGCCCGTCACAAGGGCTCCTGCAAGTCCCGAATTTTCCGTGTGACCTGGCGTTGTGTGCGAATATGTTGAATTCCTTCTATAGGAACCAAATGTTCAAGCCATATGCGAGATCGAGGTCAGATCTCTCGGCTTTTGGAGCGGGGTCAGGCGGAACCAGGGCGGGAATGGAAGGTGTTCTGGCGATTTTTGGGGTAGCGGAACAAGGCGTATGATTCGAGGGCATCCGTAAGAACAATTCGACGGGGGAGCAGCGAGAGAGGAGAACCGATCGGAGTGCCAGAGCCGTGTGAGTGTCAAATGTCTAAAGCCGAAGTGACAAGAGAAGAAAACGATGCGGGGAGGTGACAGATTACCTAAGCCGCATGAGGCTTGGCGTCGGCGGACAAGTTGGCATCCGCCGAGGCGCTTCCTTGTTGCTCCGATCAACAACGAAAGCTTCGCAATGCCGCCACAGGCCACTGAGGGCCCGCAGACGGATGGGAATACCCCGTCCTTCTTCAGAATCCCGCCTCCTATCAAACAGCTCTTCGACCGGTTCCCATTGACCACGTATCCTGCCAACGACTTGCCGGAACGAGTTCCGTCCGGGCGCGCGGATAACCAGTTATTTGTCTTTAGCGACGCAGCAAGTGCGCGACGCGGGCGGCCGTCCTTCAATCCGCAATGTCTTAAGTGGCAGGTTTGTTTGCCGTTATCTTGCGACTTCCAGAACAGCTGTCCCTAACGGTGTCTGCAGGCGTACCTGAAATTTGTCGGGATCGACTTCGAGATCACTCCTTCGAACAATCATGCTTCGCCGACTGGCGCTCTCCCCTTCCTCCTTCCAGCATTCCCCACCGAAGCAGCGGTCACAATCCCCTCGCACAAGCTCCAAAAATGGGCCATTGAGCAGGTCCACTGTGAAGAGGAGCAGCAGTTGAACCTCCGCTTCGACGTATATGCCTCCCTTTTAGACCACCGGATACGCAATGCCTGGGTATGTTACAATTCTATAAGCCTGAGTTGCAGAGAAACCATATTATGGGCACTCAAAATACTAATACTTCCGTCAAGTTATATATGTTGTACCTAGACGACGCCAACTTCAAGGCCGTGGCACAACGACTCTACGTGAACCCCTCAACAACATCCTCCCTTGTACGGGCCGCCCTTGGATTCCAACTCCAACAAGCAGCGCGCGACGAGCTCCTCAAATCATCCCCCTATATCGATGTGGCTGCTCTCGAGGGAGACGCAGGGAATGCATTCGAGGCGCTATCTACCCTACTCGCGGAGGACGAGCACTTCTTCGGCCGGCCAAACCCCGGCCTTTTCGACGCCATCGTCTTCTCCTATACACATCTGATACTTGACGAGGGCATGGGATGGAAACATAACCGATTGGCACAGTTGCTCCGACAGCACAAAAATCTTGTACAACACCGGGAAAGACTACTGCGATTTTTCTAGACCTGTATTATTGAGCGACAAAAAGTGACAGAAATAATATCTCCCCCTGATCACTCCACTACCATTTGAGAGGTGTTTTCCATTTTTGATTTGATCACACTTCTATGCCTTCTTGCTGAAACACACCCCAAACCACACCCTGATACCAACCCACTTCTTTGCCCGCACACCTAGTTTCTCGGCCAATTGCTCATCCACATCCCGTTCCAGAACCCCATCCTGACCCTGACCCTCCTGGCCAACTATATCCTCCACCTGGAACCCGGCCTCCTCAGCAGCTGCCAGTACCTCCGAGACGGAGTGGCAGTAACTCGTCGGCCGGATCTTGACTCCAGTCTGCGGATCCGTGAATCCAGCTTGGCTGCGCATTCCCATGTCCGCGTGCATATTCGTGACCAGTAAATACCCGCCAGGTGCCATCGTGGCAGAGGCAGCTTCGAAGAACGCCTTCGCTGGAATGTGCTCTAGTACAAGAGTGGAAATCACACCGGCTGCACCTGAACTCTGAAGGGATGCAGGTAGTTGCGCCCGCACCGTGGCAGGGTGGCGTAGATCGATGGTGTCGAGAGTCACTTCGGGACTGGACTTGAGATCTTCGCGCTGGGTGGAGGTTTGGATGGCGGATCGGGCTACATCCAACATGCCTGGGGATGCATCAAGACCGACGACATCTACCTTGGTCGGGGAAGTAATATCCTTTTCATTCTGGCGCCGATACTGTGCCAGTGCTTCGAGTAGTTGAATCGTGTTTCGCCCCGTACCGCAGCCCAGATCCAATAGTGTCAATTGTCCTGATTGTGCCTGGAAGCGGGTGTATACGCGGTCCAGGAAGATCGGCAGTAGTAGACGCATCTCGATTGTGTCGAGGCGTTGGAGGAAATTCCCATCTGTGTCGTAGACCTATTTCAGACGAGTCAGTATTGGTGATTGTCAAGTATAGATTTGCAAGATTGTTAGATGCATACCTCTGCCCACTTATCATACGCCTCCACCGTTCCAACATATTGAACCGGCTGTGGATCACTATCATTAGGCTTTTCAGCCAGAAGTTCTTGAATAGTTTTCATGTTTTTGCTAGAGTAGTAGGTAACAGTGTTGATAACCCTACAATGCTGTTACAAGTTTCGAACATGTTCCACGAGGGCAGAGTGGAGATATATATTCCTGCGGTTTGTCACATTTTGTTAGTTTTTGCAACCCCACACCTCGGTCCCGTCCCAAAGTAGACCCCGAATGCAAGATTGACTCATTCAGTCCCTTGAGCAAGCGCAGTGACTCAAGACAACCAAAAAAAAAAGAAATTTTTTTTCCAAATACCTCGGCCAGGCAGCGATAGCGACAAGACCTGGGAGATGCGCCATAAGCTTCAAATTTGGGTTGGCGTGACGTTGGAATGGGCTACTTGTGAATCGGACGAGAAGCCATGTTTCTACGGATGGATGCAGAGTATTGAGAGCAATGATTCAATATTGAACAAACAAAGATTGAGATTCAGATTTCAATTCATTGTAAATTGGAGAAAATAATTGAATCATACATTATCATGTCACCATTAGAGACAAGTAAAGAAGAACGGGCACCAAAAGCCCTTCAAGGAGAGGTCGACACAATTCCAGAATTGGAGAGAGCGCAAGGAAGAGAGAGAAGAAAAAGGAAAGGGAAAAAAGCTAGAGCAGAGCCAAGGAAACAAGAAAGGCTTTAAGAGGAAGAGAGAAAAAACCAGAGTTCCCAAATCGAAGAAACAATGAACCAGGGAGCGGGAAAGCAGCATCATGGTCTTGACCACATAATCACGCCGTGCCGGACGGAACATGGAGCTCGTGAAGAATCGAAGGAAGAAGAAAAGGCTGAACGAGGAAAGGAGAAAGGAAACAGTCTCAAACAAAAGAAGAGAGAAGAAGAAGAAGAAAATCTCAACCACATCGATGTGGTTGTATCGCTCGCGGTCTTATCATCGCCATAAAATCAGGTTCCACATCAGAGTACTGTACTCCTCAGTAAACCGTCGCTCCAAACGGAGCCGTCTCTTTAAGATCCTCAACCAAATCCTCCACATTATTCAAATACCTTCCCAACAAAGCCTGTTTCTCATCCGTCGTCCGCGTATCACGTATCATCTTTCCCGGTCCAGCGGAGGTATGTGAATTCTGCGACATGGGTCGTGAGGAGATCTTGCTCGGGCTGCGCTGCAGACCCGGCGGGCTAGCGCTGCGCCCCAGAATCGGCGTTTCAGGCATGAGATAGAAGTACAGGAACTCGACTAGCTTGAGCTTGACCTCTCGCGAGGTGGCGCGCTGCTTGAATAGTGATGTTACCGTGAGGAGGCCGTCTAGGTCTTCGAAGGTGCGAGTATTGGCTGGGCAGTCGAGGAGTGCGGTGACGAGGGTGAGGAGGGTGGCGGATTGGATGGCTGGGCAGTTGATTGGGTCGAGGAGGTCGAGGAGGAGGTTCATGTAGATTTCGCGGGCAAAGAGGGTGCGGGAGGGGGGTGGAGGAGGAGTGCGCCTTGGATTAGATCGAGGGTGCAGACGATGAGCATGTCGTTGGTGCCGTTGCTGCCGCGGCCGAGTAGATGTTCGAGACAGGATACTAGGCGCATGGCGACTGTAGAAAGATGTTAGAATAGACTATTTCATAGAATTGGTCATTATCTTGGTTCTAGGTAATTGCGCACCATTCCATTGAAAGCTTTCTTGTAGCTTGAAGAATTCTCTGAAGGCGGGATCATCTCGCAATTCGGCCAGCGCCTTGGGAGCGGGCTGGGCCTCGGTTGCCAAATATGACCGCCGGCGGTCGGGTGAGCATTTTGATTTGGATAGACAGATTTGTGCGAGTAGGCCCTCGACCTGGCGCAATCCCTTGCGGACTTTGCTGGGTTCGTGTGAGGAAAGATAATCGAATGAATGCGCTAAAAGGGTCTCCATGAGGATGTGTTGAAGTGGATGGAGGAGGAGGAAAGCGGGGGAAGAGGGTGGTGGGTTATGTTAATAAATGATGGCAAGGTGGAGGAATGAAGAGGGTTAAAAAATGAGATTTTGTAAACCCTTGCAAGAGTCCAAAAAACCCACGATCAGCTCAGCTGAGGAGGCTGGAAAATACACGAAAGTGGAAAATCCAGGCAATCGGTGTGGTCCGTGAGGCCGATGAGGTCAGTTGGGGGCGGCACCAACGAGAGTTCCGAATAAATCATCAAATAACAATGAGCATATCAAATGATAACACTAAAAAATCATCATAATCCATAATAAAGTAAATCGGTGGTAAATAAAGCCACCCGAAAAGGCAATTTGGCTGGTTGCCCCGGGCGACCCACCACAGTCTAGTCCCTTTTAGGCCATTTTAGTCTGCTTCAGCCTCCTCCAGCCCCCTTCTAAGCGCCTCAGCCTTGCCTAATTTTCCTAGTTTCCCGGTTTCAAGGGGAGATCGTGCAGTCCTGCAGAGCTTGGTTCTTCCCCCCTGCGGTTCCCTGGATTGTGAGGATCTCCATGGCGTCAATTGAAGGTTATTCTGACAGGCGATTAAAAACCGGTTTTGGAGTCTGGGGAGAGACTAGAGATTGTTGTGATTGTTTCTTATTTTGGGCCAGACTTCCACAGTTATAGGAGAGTAATCTGATCCTGATCTCTACACAAAATTCACACCCAATTTATTCCATCTCAAGCCCAGAGCGGTCTGGAAGATTGTACAACTCATCGATAGAAATCCTTCAAAGTATATTTCTTTCTTACTTAGCATATGACTGTGATATTCCGGAGTCGCTGACCACGTTGCCCTGGCAAACTGCCACCTTACAGCCAGCCTCTGCATCCTCCTCCCCGCTTCAGGATCTCATTATTTAACCCTTGTTCTCGCCAACATTAATATCGCTAACGAGGTGAAAAATTCTCCTAGGGATGGGTAATTGCTCTCGCCAAGTAATCCGTTATCTGACCTATCTCTTTTCCCCTCATTTCCTGTGACTAACTTTCTTGCTAAACCTCCTCGCCTAAAAACATGAGCTATCGATCGATCGATCTGCAGTATCGATCGGTGCCCGCTCCGCCTCGTGACTGGGCCTGATTAGCTCATCGTTCGAGGCTTGGAGCTCCGGACAGCTCTGTAACCTGCTCACTTACTCGTAGTGAGGATCGAGAAACGAAGACAAGAGATGACCATAGAAGAACTGAATTAACTTAGGAGTAAACTGACACTGTTAAGCGAAGCTGTTGCACAAGAACCGCAAGGTCCCCCGGTCTCACCGCTGAGGCCTGTGTAACTTACCTAGCACCTCTTATCGGAATGTTGATGTCATCTGCTCTCCGCAACCCCTCCAATCTTCCCCTCATCACAACCACAACTTTCAACTCCCAACCCCTCATCCTAAGCAATGAACTCTTCATTCCAACCACCAAGCCCGATCCCACCACGGACCAGCTCCGCCGGTGCTGCAAATGGCGCCACGAGTCCGCGCTCCCACCGGCACAAGGAATCCGTCACGGACGGCGAGCCATCTGCGACCGCCGAGTTGCCGCCTAAATCCAAGCACCGCCGCAACAAGTCCAGTGTCGATGGGACAAAGTACAAGGACGGGACGTGGTCGCCGAAGAATGAGAAGATCCTGATGGGCCCATATGAATATATGCATCAGCATCCTGGCAAGGATGTCCGGCGTCAGTTGATTCAGGCGTTTAATTCATGGCTTCAGGTCCCGCCGGAGAGTTTGGCGGTGATTGAAAAGGTGGTGACGATGCTGCATACGGCGTCGCTACTGTAAGTGGTAATAGGAGATAATATCCATGTCCCCGCAGCCTCGCTTTTACATGATATCCCCGCTAACCTTTCTTTCCATCCAGAATCGACGACGTCGAAGACTCCTCCGTCCTCCGCCGCGGCATCCCCGTCGCCCACAACATCTTCGGCACAGCCCAAACTATCAACTCCGCCAACTACGTCTATTTCCTCGCCCTGCAAGAAATCCAACAACTCCACAACCCTGCCGCAATCGATATCTACGTCAAAGAACTCCTCAACCTGCACCGCGGCCAAGGCATGGACCTCTTCTGGCGCGACACCCTCACCTGCCCCACGGAAGACGAATACCTCGAAATGGTCGGCAACAAAACCGGCGGCCTCTTCCGACTCGCCGTAAAACTGATGCAAGCTGAGTCCGCCACGGGCAAGGACTGCGTCGCGCTTGTCAACGTCATGGGCCTCATTTTCCAAATCTGCGACGACTATTTGAATCTCTCGAATACGACGTATACGAGGAATAAGGGGCTTTGCGAGGATTTGACGGAGGGCAAGTTCTCGTATCCCATTATTCATAGTATTCGGTCCAATCCGAGTAATCATCAGTTGTTGAGTATTTTGAAGCAGAAGACGCAGGATGACGAGGTGAAGAGGTATGCTGTGCAGTATATGCAGAGTACGGGGAGTTTTAAGCATACTTGTCAGGTTGTGAGGGAATTGAGGGATCGCGCGTTGTCGTTGATTGAGATGATTGATGCCACACCAAAGACTAATGGTGCGGGCGATGGGGAGTTGGTGAGGGCGGTTTTGAATAAGATTGTGGATTCTACGTTATCTTCAGAAGAGAATGCGCAATAGTCTGGGGATTTGTGTTTGAGGGATCTCGGTGATTCGAGGGTTGCCCACCCCAGGCCTAGAGGGCTGTTGATGGATTTGATGGACTTGGGAGTTTTGGCGCTTTGATATACCCTTCTCGATGTTTGATGCTGTGGGCTGTGTGAAGCAATCTGGAAACTACAATGTCACTATCTCATATTGAACAGTGATGGTTCTCCTTTCGGTACATGATTACAACTCGCATCTCCATAAACGACACTTACTCTAGTTCTCAAGTAGATGAGACGGTAACCGAAAAGTCACGACCGATATCCATCCTTCGATGTACGGGGTACAAACCAAACCCCCTCTGTCATGAGTCGTAGCTCGAGTATATATCGCCAACTATAGACCCAAAAAAATCCAGCATTAAATCACAGCATGATTCCATATCCACGAACAAAACTGTACAACCCTCTCCCCTTCCCGATATTCCCCAAAAACCAAATACCTATATCCAAAAACATCCCACTCGTCTGTAGAACCACTTTACATAACAACACAACACGCCTTCTCCAACTTGCGCAAAACCTTCGGCAACAACGCATTGACAACCTTCTCGATCTCGTCCTGCTGACCCTGGCCCTGACCCTGTTGCTGGTGGTGCTGTTGTTGCTGCTGGTGGTGAGGCTGTTGCTGTTGACCAGGATATGACTGGCCACCCCCACCGTGGTACGGTGCCTGTCCGTGCGAGGGGTAGGAGGGCATGACGGCCTCGCCGCCGGTCAGGTTCACGTAGATCCGACCGGCGTTTTCCTCGGTGGCATATTGCAGACCGAGTTCTTGGCAGACTTGTTCGACGCGTGGCTTGATTTTTGGACGTGGCCGGCAGAGTGGTTGCCCTTGCCGACGATGCTGGGTGGATGTTAGAAAATGACACTTCTATGCGCAGCAAAGCGTCCACGAATGGATTGGACTCCCGGGAATAGCGAAACAGCGGTGACTGGGGGTTGTCTGGTCCAACGTACACATGAAGATGATTCTGTCCATGCGCCTTGGCATATCTAATACGCTCCTCCAAAATCTCCTCCGCCTCCTCCACAAACTGTCCATGCAAATCGATCGTATCGGCCTCAACACGCCCATTGGCATTGTTCTCGCGGAAGATAAACTCGGACGCTTGCTTGTTGTATTCCTCCATCTTGCGACCGTGCGCCTTGCCCTCCTCCGACAATTGTTTTGCGCGTGCGCCGTCGCCGCTGGAGTATGCATCCTTGGACTGTTTTCCCGGTAAGTTAGCACTTTATCTCCCAATGCTCCGAGAATGGTGCTGCGATCATGATAACAGCAATGTATGGCTGAATCAGGGCGATTAAGCGCATACCCGTGAGAAACATTCTCCACGCTTGGAGGCTTCCTGTCGTGCGAGGGCGCGCAACCGGTCGTATTCCTGCTCGGCGTCACCGCTCTGGTCGTGGTTGAAGGCTGTAGAGGTTTGGGTGTCAGCAGGGATGGTCGGGCAGGACCGAGGCGCGCGCAATTGATGTTTCGCGTAAGGAGCTACATACCCCGAGGGCCCAGGTGGGACATTTCGTAGGACATGGTGGGTTATGGTGTGACGGAGACAGCGACAGCGAAGGTGAGGATGATTAGGGACGAAGGTCTGGACTTGGGGGCTTGCGCAGGGGCAGGGCAGGACAGGGCCAGGGCGAGCTTAAAGGGTTTGGAAGTGGGGAACCATTTAACCAGAGCCTAGAGGAGCCCGAAAAAGCAAAAATCTTGGATCTCAGATCGGGTTTGGTTCGTCTCCGACGATCGAGGGATCGGGAACCATGGATCGGCTTATTAGAGCCATTCAGGATTCACTTTTGGTTCGGAGAATTTTTTGTTGACTGTGATATTGATTAACTCGGATACTATAATCTTTATGGAAAACAGTACGGAGTACAATGTATTGTTCGAGTATCGGACTATTGTAAATGGGGATGGAATTCCTCCACATGCCCCGAACCGATAGTCTTTGGCGCTATTGGTACACCGGTGGAGTCGATCCTTCTCGACATCCACCATATTTCTCTCGCTAACTGTGAGGATGTACAATGAGCTTAACCGTTTGCTTTGAGGCATGGTTTATGTAAAAAGAAGACAAATGAGAAGAGTGTAGTGTATCATGATAAATAGACTGATTGGCTCAGTGATCCTCGGCTTGTTATATAGACTCGACACCTGGTCATTGTTACTACACTGATATTTCATAATTTTGGAACTATGACCAATGTTCAAAGTCAGCTTGTCAGATACTAGTTCAACGATAGACTAAAAATGATTTCTAAGTTATCAAGAAAGACGATTTGAATCACCTTTGAAAAGACCTTTCAAAAAAAAAAGAAAAAAAGAAAAAGAAGTGGACGCAAATTTGTTGGGCGTATTCTGGTCTCTAGATTCGAATTTTTGAACTACAGTATGTACACACCACTATGGAGGAGAGAACACAGCTTACAAGCTCTCGCACTATGCCTATAGCTGGAGACGTGACAACACAGCTCAGCAAACATACTAGTTGCCAACAGCAAGAATTACAAGAGGCTCTCTCCTCCTCTGCTCATTAATATCTCACATACTCCAGAGGTCATGACCAGTGTTTCAATTACAACCCCAAGAAGAGGGACGGTTTACGGCCTGGTCTCGAGAGTAACCGCCAAGGCTAGGTCGCTGCGGCTCTAAGACTTTGAATTATTAAGACCCACCAAGATAACGATATTAAGAAGCTGCAGTATAAGGCACACTAATTGGGAAACCATCAGTGTACAACTCTTGATTTATGTAGTTTATACCTCTTGGCAGTTTGATATACTTCAATTTCAACTTGTTATTGGCCCCTCTCTACGGAGTACTCCGTATTCCTATCTCCACTTGGGAATGATCAACAGCTAGTCGGTTTAGCTGCTTTTCTCTGTCTCCCCGCAAAAACGCTCCTCCTGAGTTCAGTAGTGAACAATGGCCCCTATCGCACACCACGGTCCGTCGGTTGACTCCCGCAGTCCACATTCAACCGAACAAGGCCACCGCCAGGTTTCGAATCAGTTTCTACATGGTCTCGTTCCATTCAACGTTGTCCGCTTGTTCTCTTTCATTCATCCTCCATCTCATCTTGTAGAAACTGAGCCTAACGCTTAGACTTGATGATCCCTTCCTCTGAAGTCCATCCTTCTCGTATTCCCGGATGCGCCTCGCCCGAAAGCCGCATCTTATTCGTAGTCTTGTCACTCTTGTGCAGTTGACAGTCTCTTTGATTGGGGCCTCTGCCAAAAGGATTCTAACAGAACGGCTCAGGGGGATTCAAAAGGCGGGTGGCGACACAAAATGTTCGCGTTTTTCTGTGCATCAGCAATACCAGGAGCCCAGTATCGATAGCATCACACAATGGTTTCTACTCTTCTTTCTGTGTCTTCGACCGTCTTTCCTCCAACTGCTACATCTGGCCCTGATTTCATCCCAGAACCGACCGCTTTCAACCTATCAAAGAGAGCTGACCACATTCCATCAAATTTTTGCGGCTGGTTCTCGGGATCAGGCTATGGTATGTGTACAATCTTTGCAATATTGCTTCGAACACTTTACCCTCTCATGCTGAATCTTTATACCCCTAGATCAAAGATGGACATACAATGATCCCTCGGTGACATGCTTCTGGAACAGCGACGCCCATTTTGTGGGCAATGCAATTCCGCCACAGACGGCGTGTGTAGGAGAAGCCCAATGGAGCACCTGGTCCTGCAGTGGCTCTGGTTGTTCTTCGAGTGTTGCACGGTGGTATGTTGGCATATGCACATCCGATCCTTAAATCACTGGTTAACACGAGTTCTACGATATGCAGTACCGGTACCCAGCCCTATTGCGTAACCTTCTCCTATGGCCCCAATTACTTGTCGTTCGTATGCTCGGAAAAGGAGGGCATTGAGTATCAAATGGAGCCATATTGGAAAGGATTTAGTGATCCTATCGTGTTTCCTGTTTACACTGGATCAAACGGTGTCTCGACTGGAACACAGTATCCGGCTGGATATCCCACGCCATCTTCGACGACGAGCTCAAGCTCTAGCTCTAGCACCAGCACGACGTCCAACTCTGCTTCGAGCACGTCGTCGGCTACTTCAAACCCATCCGATCACCGCGGTAGTTCTGCACCCGTTGGGGCTATTGTTGGTGGTGTCATCGGTGGCTTGGCTTTTATCAGTTTGATCGCGGGTGCCATCGTTTTCTTCCTCCTTCGCCGGAGACAGAGACCACGACCAGGACAACCTCAACAGCTGGCACCTGGTTTCCCACAAGAACCTCAACCACCAAACCCAGCCATGAATACGGGGCTGCCATTGAATAAAACGGCCCCAATAATCCCTGTCCTTGGCCAAGGTCCTCCACAAAGCCCCCGGCTCAACAGCCACCGCGCCACGAAATCGAAACACAGTATAACAAGCCCGAGTTAGACATATCCAGACAACATCCCGAGCTTGCTGGCTCGGGTCAACCAGCCAGGGTACCAGTGATGCAGCCTATTCAGCCGGAGTATGTGTCGGTGGCGCAGCAGCCCTCTGAGGCAGAGCTTGATTCCCGTTCGACTGGGCATCAGGGAAAGGAAGAGAATGTCTATGAGGCACCGTGAGATCAATTCTGGCTTGGGTCGTGTAGCCTGGGCCTATTATGCAACTCTTAATGCTAATTTTGACGACGTTAGAATCAAGTCAGTAGTTTCATGTTTCGACTACTATGTAGGATTGCGCCGCCTCTACCAACTGCATTTAAAGTTTAATAATAGTAGTATTGCTGCATCTTCTCCTGGTCTTCGATATCCTTCTCTGAGGCGAAGTGCTTCTAGACTGCGTGCGAACTAAGTATTGATTAGATACCTCTGATGGGCCTCTAATTGGTCAGTGAGCTAGCAGATCCCACTGAGTGTTTACTACTGACCGGTGACCCTGAGTCCTGGTTTTCTTCAGGTTGTACAGTGTCTGATGATCAGTTCTGGATTATATGAGAGCCTTCCATCGGCCCATAGGATACCCACCACGTATGCATATCCAGCTCGTGCTCTGGAAACGTACAATGTGTAGTCAGAACTTGCATGTTGAATAGACTGGCGGCATATATCCCGACCAATCGACTGGAGCAAGGGTTGGTGGAGTCGCTGAGAAGATATCAAGCGCCGTCGATCAAGGAAATGTGTAAGTACTCCGTACCCCGTGCAGGTATTCCGTAGAGCATGCATAAGGTCACCTCTCACCGTCATCGGAAACGCCGTCGGACGACTTTAGTATAGCCTGTACGTATTGCGATACAGCCATTTGCATTTCCAACGCCACAGCACTCAAACGAGCACTATATTAGTATCTACAATTATATCCTCATTCAACAATGAAGTGTTATTCATGAAGAGTAGTACGGAGATTATTTGCCCACTCAATCCCATAGTTCCGCCCTTTCCCCTTACGAGTTCAGCCCAAGCTCAACATGGCGGCAAAAAAAAAACGCCGCTAGAAGCACTAGATAGTGGGTCAGGGGCGATAGCGCCTTAGGATGTGGGAATTCCAGAAATTCTACGAGTTCAGGGGGGCCGCGCCCCATAGTTAGCTCAAAAGGCCATGTGCGAAAAAGAGGGGGGACAAGAAGAAAGAAAAAAAAATAGCGATAAGCTCCATATTGATGATTATTAGCCATTCCATAAGTTAACTAAGATTTTTCGCAATGGATATCAACACGATTATTACATGTTGACCATAGTAAACAAAATTGAGTATGATCAATACGGTCTCCTTTTTGGCCCGGTTTCAGGTGCCCTGGCGGGTCGCCTGGCTTTTGCCATTCCACTTATTGCTGCATGTCATTATGAGAGGCAAAAGGAAAAATCTTCTGGCGGCGATGCCGATACTTGTACTCCGTACTTCGGTCGATATCAGCCAGGCCAATGTCAGATTCATGCTTAAACTCTCGCTTCGTACTCCGTACAATAATACTCCATACTTGGTACTTTCTTCCAAGTTACCCCCTCTGGCCTCCCCATACCCCTAGCGATCGGCAGAGCTTAGTGCTCAGACTCCAGGTCTCTGTGGAGTTTAGTCTTGAGAGCGGGTCGGTGACTCGGATATCACGTTTCGCAAGGTTTCAATGTCACGGGCGAGACGCGGACGATGCCTTTTCTAAGTATTCTAGAACCAGAGGCTAAAAGTATACTCCGTAGATGGATAGCTGTTGGTGCATAGTTACATAGTAGTTCATGAGATCAGGTTTAGGTGGCGCAGGTTTCGGATCTTTCTTTCATCGGGTTCCAGGCTGAGGCAGTGGCAGTCTGAGGAGGAATCCCCCTAGAATTGAGGCTGCACAACGGTCTAGTTAGTCTCATACGAGCGGGTCTGGGACCGAGAATAGCACTCTGTATGATCAGGCTCTAAGCGAACGAGGTAGAAAAGTTATGAATGAGAGGCATAGTACCACATAACTTATTTCCGATGTTCCTATATCGAACTCAAAACAAGTATAGAGCATGGCCCGTGTATAGCGTATATCTTGCTAAGACAGTCTCCTGTGTCTTCTTAGTGGGCTCATCATCGTCATGCTGGAGTATCGGATAACAATGGAGCTTGGAGCATGGAGAGAGAGAGGAGCCATCGACGTCGGACAATAACATTAGTCTGAAAGGGCCCCCCACACGAGGATCTGCATGGGAAGTGGTTTCCTTGCTGATGATCCCCTGAAGTGGAGGATGTATACTAGCGAAGGATAGTAGGAATTACTACCGTATGTTGAGTATAAATGAGATACGTAGGACAATCTATTCTGTATATATGGTTCTTCGTATCATTGACCAAAACTGAATAATGAGGCCGGGATACATAGCACGAGCTAATCCGAGCCTCCTGATTCAAGATAGTCCAGGTGCTGCAGAGTGAAGAGAAACGAAACACTCCAATCGGCGAGTTGTGGGCAACCATCGAAGGCAAACCAGCAAAAGGGGGTCTCGACGAGATCTGATTGGTGAATTGGCGGGCGCGAAAAAGAGATGGATCCACATCTTCAACCAATCCGATGCTTGCATCGAACCCAGCGATGCCAAAATCGACCAGCGGGTACCAAAATGGTATCGTTTGGGAAGAATCCGTAATCTTGGGTAATCTTGGGTAATCATCCATACGGGGCTGATCATGGTATCGTCATCTTTCCCTTTTTCTGCCCAGAATCAAGGGTAACATGACCCCCAATTCCCTCTTCTTCTCTCTTGTCTCCCCCCAGGCGCGTCTCCGACCGCCTGGTAATACGAGCGTATCCCCTTTTCCCCTACTGAAACTTCCCAATTTCCCCTCCTCCTCGCAAACCCCCTTACCTTAAACCTCCCCTTCTCTCTCTCAGCTGGGTAATCGGCTTCTTTCCTGTCCTTCTTCCTCTATACTCCCAAGGCCCTTGATTCCATTCCTTTCTTGCGTGTGTTTTTATCGTTCTCACTCCGCCATCTCCCAGGGCATTATCCCAGTACGTATCCCGTGGACCTCCTGCTCTCCCTATCGGCAGCTTTCCTTCGCTCTTCTGGTTCTCGTGGATAATCCGACTTCTTCCTTCATCCTCCCCCCCGTTTCACCCTTGCGTCCACCCGATTGCATCCTGAAACGTCGGCTGTTGACGGCTTGTACTACCTGTCGCCAAGTCTGCGTGGATTGTTTGATGCGATTGTGTCCAAGAGCGAGCGAAAAAAGCCAGAGAGAGCAAACACACATCCATCCAGTTCCGTCGTGCTGACTTATTTCCCGCGCCGCATCAACAGTCCCCCGTCATTGACCCCTAGCCCTACGAGTCGATTGGACTCGCACTACCCGCATCGACTATCGTTTACATTGAACCCGTACTACCGCCATCATGGGTTGTGGCATGAGCACCGAGGATAAGGAGGGGAAGGCGCGGAACGAGGAGATTGAGAACCAGCTTAAGCGCGACAAGATGCTGCAAAGAAACGAGATTAAGATGCTGCTGCTCGGTATGATTACACCCATGGATACAAAGGAAATGCGATTGATCCTGGAATGGTGATTCGCAATCGTGTGAGAGGAGCGATTGGCTGACGAAAAGGGGGTTTTTGATACACAGGTGCCGGAGAGTCGGGCAAATCCACCATTCTCAAGCAGATGAAGCTCATTCATGAGGGCGGTTACTCGCGCGACGAGCGTGAATCGTTCAAGGAAATTATCTACAGCAACACAGTTCAGTCCATGCGAGTGATTCTCGAGGCTATGGAGTCTCTGGAGCTGCCTCTGGAGGATGCCCGCAACGAGTACCACGTTCAGACTATCTTTATGCAGCCTGCTCAAATTGAGGGTGACAGCATTCCCCCAGAGGTCGGCAATGCTATCGGCGCTCTGTGGCGCGACACTGGTGTTCAGGACTGCTTCAAGCGTTCGCGTGAATATCAGCTGAACGACTCCGCCAAATAGTAAGTGTGAACTTTGGAGGGGTTTTCTCCAATTCCCCTTCTATCCGTCTTTGCTTTCTATTTGTTCTGCTTCACGCCCGCGGCACATTGCCCAACAATCGCTAACATATTGCTTCCTCCAGCTACTTCGACGCTGTTGACCGCATCGCTCAGCCCGACTACCTCCCCACTGACCAGGATGTTCTCCGCTCGCGTGTCAAGACCACCGGTATTACCGAGACTACCTTCATCATCGGCGATCTGACCTACCGCATGTTCGACGTCGGTGGTCAGCGTTCCGAGCGTAAGAAGTGGATTCACTGCTTCGAGAACGTCACCACCATCCTCTTCCTGGTCGCCATCTCCGAGTACGACCAGCTGTTGTTCGAGGACGAGACCGTCAACCGTATGCAAGAAGCACTCACCCTGTTCGACTCCATTTGCAACTCCCGCTGGTTCGTCAAGACCTCGATCATTCTCTTCCTCAACAAGATCGACCGCTTCAAGGAGAAGCTGCCCGTCAGCCCCATGAAGAACTACTTCCCCGACTACGAGGGTGGTGCCGACTACGCTGCCGCCTGCGACTACATTCTCAACCGCTTCGTGTCTTTGAACCAGGCCGAGCAGAAGCAGATCTACACTCACTTCACCTGTGCCACCGACACTACCCAGATCCGCTTCGTCATGGCCGCCGTCAACGGTATGTTATGAACCTGGAAGCGGGATATCCTCGGCTTTCCATCAACCCCTCAATGATCCTGAGCCATTTGCTAACTCTCTCTAGATATCATCATCCAAGAGAACCTCCGTCTCTGTGGTTTGATCTAATGAATCCCCCATCCCACGGGTGTTGCAGTGTGTTGAATCTAGATCGCATGTGTCATTTCCTTCGGCTTGTAATCGTATCTCGCCAGGATGTGATCAAAAGCCTCGTCCTCGTTCCCAGAAATTCCGGCGTTGAACATTTTCCTTATCTTTTCTCCCTCCACATCTGTCACCAATTTCTTCTTGTGTGTCTCTTTTTAATTGCGTCCGCCCGTTCCACATTGACACGATTTCTTTCTCTCTCCCTCTCTCTCTAGCCGGTTCTTATCTTCCTGCTCTCGACGACGCGGAACAGGAACTCTCTACCTTTTCTTGGACCATCTCTTTCTCTTATTTCTTTCTTGTCGTCTCTACTGTCCTATTTTATTTTTCTCTTTTTTTTTTGTTTTTCTTCATGTCTTACCCCCTTGTGTTTGATTTGAAATGCTGGATATCCTATCATCTATCTCTTGATTTTGAACTTTGCCCACATCCCTACCCTCATCCCCCGCGTTGACGTTTTGTCCAATCTTCCAATTTTCCAATTTTTCTTTCATTTTTTTGTGTCAATCTTGTATGTATCCATACCGTTACCCCCTTTCTCATTTCCTTGGTCTCGCGTCCGTTGGAAGCCTCGAGCGACCATCCGGGCAATCTGGGCACGGGGAAATGGACAGGATCCGCGGAGTTCTCATGTCTCTTCTCATGTGTCATGCCAGGTCGGTCGTTGGGTTATAGTCAGACAGGAATTGAATCTTCGGGTTTCCGACCTTTAACTCTCGGGTTGTTACTAGGCTTTGAGTAGATACAGACTCTTAAGATAGTTATGGTGAGATTAGTTTAGATATAGTTCAAACTCAACTGTCTTCATACGGCATCCACTCTCCATTCAACTTTACTAATCCTCAACAATCACAATCAGTCCGGGTATCAATAAACAAAACACAACCATCCAATCCCCCTTTACTTAAATTAAAACCTCAACTTAGGCCCAACATAAACAATCAAAACAGCAACAACCCACAACCCAAAAATCCACCCATAAAGCATCATCCGGCCCCACCACCCCTTCCCCTCCGTCATACGACGTAACATGCCCATGCGCTGTCCCGCCGCTTCCATAGTCGAACTCGTCTTGTCGATTCCGGCGACTGCGCGATCTAGCACGGACTTTTCGTTTCCGAGTGTGGATTGGAAGCTTTGTGAGGAGGCTTTTAGTTGGCTTGCTAGAGATAGGAGGGAGGTTGTTAGGGTTTCTTGTTCGAGGCGGGAGGTTGTGAGGGCTTCTTCTTTGCTTGATGTTGTGGAGGTGGGGGTTTTGGTGGAGGTGGAGGCGAGGCTGGTTGATTTTGCGGATTGAGAGGGTATAGGGGTTGGTTTGGTGGAGGGGGTGGTGCGGTTGCGGAGGGTTGATGTTGGTATGGTTGTGCTTGTGCTTGTGCTTGTGGGCGTGGATGTTGATGTTGAAGGTAACGGCTTAGTCGTAGGTTCCATTGCCGTAGGTTTTGACTCTTCTTTGATAGGCGTATCTATCGTTTTCGCCGAGATGGGTGTTGCAAACAATTCCTTCCACTCATCATCGACCTCGCCGTCCTCGCCGACGTCTTCTTCTTCGGCACGAGACTCTTCCTCATCGAGCACACTTTGCATACGCTTGAGCAGCTGCCTGTCCCGGGCAATTTCCGCCTGTGCTTCGTGTCGTCGATCCAGTGGTTTTATTTGTGGAAGAGAGCGCTCTAGTTGGGAGAGGAGGGTGCGGGCATAGTCGACGTTCTATGAGATGATGTTAGAAGGTGTTCCAGAATGGCATGTAGCCTGTAGAGATGAGCTTATAGGCAAAGCTATAGCTATAGCCATGGCTTTTGTGAGGAATGATCTGACTGGACCGTTCCTACCTTGGCAACCCGCAATCGTTGAAGCTCAGAATTGCGTAGAGTGCGGAGCTCCGAGCCGGGGGAGAGGAGGTTGTGTTCTAGTCGGGTGAAGAGTCGCGCCACGTTGAGGAGGGTGAGATCGGGTGATTCCTCCATTGAGGGGAATGCGGTCACTGCCATTTTGGAGGGCCCTTGAAGGATGGAAGCAGTGCTTGTGTGCTTTGAGTAGCTGGACGACTGAACTAGAGAGAGTTAAGGTCGAAGATGCCAACTGCCACCAGCCCGCGGCCCGATGTCATTGATGACTCAGCCAGGCCCATGGATCAATTCTCGATTGTTTAATAATTTATAGATCTCACTGATCAACCACAACTTCTCAATGATATTAGATCAAAAATAGGATTATCTATACGACCGATGATTCAAACTTTTTCTCGGCTATTGAATATACACCTGGGGTATCAGGCAATCATTCTCGAAGCACACAAAAGCTAAAGCAGAACCTCTTCACAGATGATGATGATGATAACAAATCAACAGTCCAACATAAACTAACAACAGGAATCAAAATCAAAGGTACCTCCAGGCTAAACACAAATAAAATAACAAAAACATCACCAAACAAAAAAGCAAAGACCAGCTCAACAAAATTAGACATTCGCCACCATCAACCATACTAACTATACTCCGTCACAACCCTCCGCCAAGTCCGCACCCCATTTCCATCCCCATCAACCTCCCGAATCTGCTGCATCAATACACCACGCTTCTGCACCGACCCACCAACTTCACCACCACCGCTGCTGCTATCACTGCTATCACTACTCCTCCTACTTCCCCCTCAGCAGCCACCTCGGACTCCTCGGTCTCCGAACCCCCCATCATCATCCCCGGAGAAGACGGAGATGCCTTACCCGTCTGCATCTGCATCTGCATCAGCTCACGAGCCCTAGCCGCCACCGCCCCGCTGGATGGGAACACACCACTCTGCGAGAGAGGTTGTAACACGTCGCAGGCTGAGGATGGTGGCGGTGGTGTTGGTGATTGTGGTAGTGGTTGCGGTGGCGGGGTGGTGGTCATTGGACTTGTCCTGCCTTTTTCCATGGCGTCCATTTGGGATAGATGGTGGGGGGCGAGTGTTGTAGCTGTGGCGGGACGGTGGTAGTGGCGTGCGATGTGCAGGAGGAGGAGTACCAGCAGCAGGACTAAGGCTAGACTGGTGATTCCTAGGGTGAGGAATAGCGAGAGGGATTGTTTGGTGAAGATGGTTGGGAGGGTGTAGGGACAGGGTGGTTGTGTGTGGTCTTGTCCAGTTGGGAGCATTGCGGTGACTCCTGGTTGTATGTGTGCTGACAGCCTGAGGCTTAGCTGAAAAGTAGAGAGGGGTGAAATAAGTCGTGGAGCTGAAGGACAGGGAGCTGAATGCCGGATCTTGCCAGAGATTGATGGGATTCATGTACCGATGACCAGGGTGCTGGGTTTGTATGACGGACTACCTAGGGCAGAGTTCAGGACCTTGGAGAAGATCAAAATGGGTAAGAAAAATGGGGATAGAGAGAGTTTAAGGGACTACGAAATAGGATACCAGGGCTGTAGAGTATATTTATAGGATTAATTAATGAGGTGTCGAAGGCGTCAAGAATTGGCGGCGGGCCTGAGGTGGATGGGAACAAAGAAGAGGAGATCGACCGATAGAAGAGTAGCGGAATGGATGGCGGGGCAAATGGAGGGGAGACTAGACTAACATGAAAACAAGATCTAGATGTTAGACCATTTACAGACTAAACTAGGAATCCAAGATGCGATCCGATCGGATCGATCGTTCTCGCTGGAAGGATAGAGTACAAAGTACGAAATCAAGTATGAAGTATGAACTACTGTATGCATCAAGTATACACCCAGTCAGCCTCGAAGGTGCAGATGTCAGAATGTCAGAATGTGTAACATTCTGACAGGGTGACAGGGTGACACAATGGTTCGCAAAACTAAATACATCTATACATTACCAAGTAATTCATATGTTGTAGTTCCTAGTATGTAAGACAAGGCTGATGTTCATATCCAAGCTTCGAAGTATAAAACCCCTACTACCAAAAAAGCACTATGACCCATCACAAACCTCAAACTCAAAAGCAATGACAACTTTCCAATGATCGCCAAAAAAAGGCAGAATCCAGCTAACGTGACAAACCAAAAAGTCATATCACTCCCAATAAACAGAAAGAGGCTGTCACAGACTCATAATAATCCTTCCAAGCGAGCCTCCATCCTCAACACTAAACTCCACCTTTAACCCCCCTCCAAATTACATGTGCTACTAAACCCCCACTACGGAGTACTATGGTGTATATCGCACTGCTTTACTACTTTTAGCGCGTCTCGACCCCTCCAGTGCCGCGATGAATTTCAAATTTAATGAATTGGAATTCCTAGAAAGGGTAAGTCTGGTGGATCAGGCGAGGGGAGGGGGGACCTTTTTCCAGCTGCACAGAACCCAAGCCACGAAGCGGGATTCAGCTGGACTTTTCAGACGCCACGGACAGGCTACCGCAGAATGTCAATGCCAAGGATCTACATCTATCTTCTTAGGTACTTTACTTTGAAGGCCTGGCTATGGGGGTTTGTCTAATTAATTAGCTGGTTTGGTGTTGATTTTTGATTGTTGACAGGGTGTGTTAAGCGACCATACCCTTGTTGCATACCCATAATTGGACCACCCGAGTCGCAAAATCCAGAAACATAGACAAATAACAATATCTACAACAGTATGTAGTACACTTCTAGTCTTTCTACAGGGATTACAACATTACCCGACCCACGCCCACGGCCATGGTTGCGGAGAAAAAAATCCAGAATCCCCAATCTTTCCATCCCAGTTCTAGTCTACGGCGTCGATCCTTCGTGCATGGATCATGGCTGGGCTGGACTGGGACTCCGTCCATACTTTTGCCTCAAACTAAAGCAAAGCCAAGACAAGTCCAGCCAAGCCATTCCGGCTGAGCTGATGATGAGTCTCACAGACTCACAAACTACTGCACACACTGTTTGGAGTATTGTTGATTGAGTAAACGGGAAAAAGCCGAGCTCTGGAAGCGCTAGGCCCCGATCGTGGATCGCCGCCTGGCACTTTCAGCTGGCCGCTGGATTTAGGGCCAAGCGCTAAAGGGCTAAGAGGCTAAGAGGCTGTTGCGAGGGCGAATCACCTTGCATAGGGCATATAGACCCACACCGGTCGGCTATCTCACTGTTTATGTGGTGTCTTACTGTACTCTCTTGAGTCTTGACCAGTTGATTGTCTGTGCTCACTGTCTCGTTACCGGGGCCCTGGATCCCCGTGAGAGATCGCCGCGATCTATGACAGATTGGAATTGTATTCCTGGTTCGTCCTGTTCTTGAAGGACAAATTGGATGGAAGGGAATACCGACCACTAGAGAGTACAGTAGAGATACCCCTGTCAAGTTAAGAAGTAATAATATGAATTTCTCTAGCGTCGGTATAGGAGTACTTCTACAATAGAAGAGTTCAGCATCGCTAAATAATGCAAAGTTGCAAACTTCACACTTCACACTTCAGACTCCACACAGTAGTTCAGTCCACACTTCATACTTCATACTTTGCACAAGTCAAGTCAACCCCCTCTACAATTTAGCACTGACACTTCCCTGCTTCAGCTCCACAACCGCCTGTTCCCGCAGCACCTTGCGCAAGATCTTGCCGGAGGGATTCTTGGGGATCACATCGCGGAAAACCACCCCGCCGGTGATCCGCTTGGTTGCCGAGACTTTGCCATCCATGAAGTGGACGATGTCATCGGCAGTGGCTGATTGACCGGGTTTGAGGACGATGTATGCTCGGGGTCGTTCGTCATTGTTGCTGTTGGTTTAGGTGGCGGCTGTCAGTGTTGAATTTGGGTAGAGGGACCGAGGGAATAAAGAAAAGTGGTAGGGAGATGGGAGGATGGGAGGATGGGAAGAAGAGACGAGAAAAAGAAAAGAAGAAGGGGTATGATAGGAACAATGGGGATGATGGTTGGATTGTACTCACATTGTGACGCCAATGACGGCTACATCTGCCACGGCTGGATGCTCGAGGAGGAGTGCTTCCAGTTCGGCGGGGGCAACCTGGTTGCCCTTGACCTTGATCAATTCCTGCAGTGAATACTCTTTAGCATCGGGTACAATGATCTGTGTTTCACCAAGGGACACTGCTTAGTATCACTGCTTACCTTCATCCGGTCCACGACATGGAACTTCCCCTTGTCATCCACATAGGCAATATCTCCAGTCCGAAGCCATCCATCCTCGGTCTTAGTCTCCTTTGTTGCCTTGGGGTTATGCCAGTACCCCTTCATGACATTCTGTGCGCGCACCCACAGCTCGCCTCTCTGGTTGCGCTCCAGGATCTCGGTGACCCCATCGTCGGCCACGATCTTTGCCTCGCAGTTGGCGTTTAGTTCGCCGACAGAGGCAGAGAAACTCTTCTCTCTTGGGTCCCAGCCCAGGATGGAACATGTGGACCTATATCGCAATTGTTAGCATTTCTCTGATTTTTTCAAGACCCAACATCCCATCCAGATGATATACAATATCAGATGGACAAGCCGGGGTTGGCAGTCACACTCACTCAGTCATCCCCCAACCCTGCTTGATATTAATCTTCCCCTCCGGCCACAACTTCTCCACCTCAACACAAACCTCCCTCCCCAACGGCGCCGCACCACTCCCCACACTCTCCACACTGCTTAGATCATAATTCTTAACCGCCGGATGCTTAGCCAACGCCACCACCACCGGCGGCACAAGAATGAAATCCGTAATCCGGAATTTCTGCGTATACTCCAACATCCGAATAAAGTCAAACTTGGGCATGATATAAACGGGGGTTTGTCGGTATAATGCGGCCGCAATGAAGATATTCTGCGCCATGGCGTGATACATGGGCAGGAAACAGAGCCAGCGTGCACGAGCCCGTCGCTCTTCGTAGTCCGGGTATAATGTGCCCATGTGTGTGTATTGCAGCATGTTTGAGACGTAGTTCTTGTGCGTGATCTCCACGCCCTTGGGTCGTCCTGTCGTGCCGGAGGAATAGTTCAGGGCGAGTGTTGTATCCGCCAAAGCAGGTGTGTTCAGTTCCTCCCAGGTAAACCCGCGTCCTTCCTCTGCCGAGGCTACCAATTCACCCCAGTAAGCACACCCCTTCTGTCCCTGGCCTTGGCCGTCATAAATCGCATTGTCAAAGACAAAGACCTTGTCCCGCGGCATCCCCGCCATCCGCGCAGCTTCAATACCGGTATCTAAACTAGCCGCCGCGCAGATGAGGAACTTCGCCCCGCTATCTTCCAGTTGGAAGGCTAGTTCACGGGCGACGTATGTTGGATTCGCACCGGTGAAGATGCCACCGGCCATGATGATGCCCATGAACACGACGGGGAAGAACAGGTCATTTCCAGAGAAGAGGAGGACGCGATCACCGGGTTTCAGCCCGGCTTTGCGCAGGCCTGCTGCGAAGCGTTGGCTCCAGAGGCGGAAATCATGGGGCGTGAAGTAGTGGGTGTCTGGGCGGGCGGCTTCGAGGTAGCATCGTTTTGTTTGGGAGAGTGGTGCTGTGGGGGAGGTGAGGAGGAGAGAGGCGAGGTGGGTGTTGGGCACGTTGATTTGCCAGCGGGATTTATATGGCATCGTGGAGGAGGGAAGTAAGGCGGCGGAGAGAGGAGATTGAAGAGGTGTTATAGTTCTATATGTAGAATTTAGGGCTGAGAGTAGAGAGCAGAAGGTGGAAAGTTGAGATTGGAAGGTGGATGTATAACCTGAAGTGTCGTGTGCTGCAGTCAGCGGGTGTTGCGCTTACTTATTCAATTCCATACGAGCTGGATAATAAAGCATTAAAAGAGGCGCCCCGGAATCATTAACACGCTCAATCCACTAATTACGCCCATATAGCCATATAACCAGGAAAGGACCGAGTTGCGATCGAATCAGCATGCGCACGGTGGCTGATCGTTGGAGCTTTCCCCGCATAAAATCGGTTATGCATGCGGGGAAATCCGAGGCGGAATTGGTGATGCCTCGGATGTGCTGGTGGAGAGAGAATTGTATGGATAATACTGGATAAATATGAGAATTCTATTGATAGACTTTGCTCTAGTATAATTATGATAGGACTCTTTTGGTTTCGTAGACCTGGTCGTATCTTGGTATGCAGGGATACGGAAATGGTGAGATCTTAGATGTGTTGAGGGCTTGAAAGCTTACATACGAGGTACAAAGTTAGAGCCTGTTATTCGTTGGCATGTACTCCGTACAAGTGGACACTTTTTTTTTGCATTACTTTTGAATCCAAACAACGACCGAGGTGCGGATTAATATCGGTAGAATAACTTATGCAAAGCACAAAATTGAGTCAAATCCACTACACATTTACTCTACAATTCTTAGCTTCCACGATCGACAAATGCAAATGGTCTTAATTGAACCCATGCGAGAAAAATAACTTCGGCTGCACCCCTATCCAGCCCAGGATACATGGAAAATAAGAAAACTATTTCGAATAAGGCTATAAAATTAACATGGTTATCATGGTTCCTCTTCGCCCCCTAGACATGCCACCGTGGCCCGTAACTCGCTCACAACCTTTTCCTCCAGCCGGTTCTCGGCACCAGATCCCGCATCAGTCGGCTTCTGTCGCGACCATTCCACCTCCTTCTCATTTGTAGCGACAATACGCGCCCGCAGGGCCGGTCGGCGGCCGAGAAGCTCCTCAATATCCTCCTTGACCTGCGCCTTGTCCCACTTCAAGTCCTGGATGGACTGCGCGTCCAGTCCAGCACTGGCACCTGCTTCGCGGAAGCGAGTGAGGATAAATGAGACCAGGGCAAGCGAGTATGCTTCGGAGGCCATGCTCAGGCTGATCCACTGTGCTGCGGGACCGGGGGTTGCAGTGGTGGCATGGGGTGTGGAGAAACACTCGGATGCGCGGGTAAGCTGGCCCTCGAACTGATTGAGGAAGGCGGCAACTTCTGGCGCCGCCCGGACGACATTGTACAACAGATTTAAGCAAAGTGGGAGGAATCCACCGGTCCAGATAGAGTACAACCGGGGAACGGGGTCGAAGGGACCGAAGCCTTTGGGTTGACGAAGGATGTTGGTGAGGCGGCACGTCGACAACTTCATCAGAACGCCCTCCACGGCCAAATGCTCGGCCAATAAAGGAAGAGTGGACATCTTGACGAGGATCGAGATACTAAGATCACCGTAGATAGGGTCGCCCGTTACGGTCAGCTGCTCGGCCCAGGAAAACAAGGTCGTAGCATGGCGAGCAATGTCGTTCTCAGCGATGTGGAACGCAATGTGGTCATACAACCGGTCCGCATTCTTGACCTGCAGACAAGTTTGAAGAATGGCGATGATAATGGCAAAGTCCTTCGGCGTGCACTTCTCCGGCTGCTCGTGCAGGTATGTCGTAAGCGACTTGAATCCTTGTGCGACAACGGTCTTAACGATGTCAACCACCACACTCAAGTCGGATGAGACACTGGGCTGTTTGTTGAGGGCTTCGGGGCTGGCGCGGTTGGGCCCCGGCAAGTGGAACTGGAGAGCCAGGAAGAGCACGTTGAGGAGAGACCGGTAGTACTCGGTATCATCACTGATCAGTGCTTCTTCATAGGTCCGGTGTCGGGCACGCAGTGTCCTAAAGACAACATCGAGCAGGCGGAATACCTCGGCTCCATGGGACTCGACCTCCACAAGGCGCTGAAGAAGGGCCTGGGCAAACTCAACACGGACTTGTTGGATCCTCTCAAAGATAGCCTCCGGAGGCACGGTGCGGGTGTTGGCTTCGAGACAGTTCTGCGCCACAACAGCCATGGATTTTTGGATTTCGCGATCCGGCATGAAATCCGCACAATGCTCGATGGCGAAGAATTTCCAGCTGTTAAGAAGAGACTATGATATGTCAGCGATAATGATCTCAAGAAAAAGGGCGAACGACGGGAAACTAGAACTTACCACCTGTGCTTCAACTAGCGACAAGTTGATGTTGGCACGAGCAAACTCCTCAGCGAAGCCCTGGTTCCGACTACCTCCAGTCCAGGCAAAGTCGAATGAGAGCAACTTTTGGCCCATGCTGAGATCGTAATAGTAATCACTGCCCAGGCTACGGCTGACGAGTGGAGTGCGCTTGAAGTCAATCATCTTGCAGCCAGTGTACCGACTCTCGAAGTTCTTCTTCAGGTTGGCATGCAAAGAGTAGTTGTAGGCAGAAACATCCACTGCATCCTTAGCATACCACTGCACGAGGGGAATGAGAGTCTTCACAAAACTCCAGTCTCTTGCTTCCTTGGCCGAGTGGAGATAAACAGCGGAGATGTCTGCAACGACAGCGGCAATCCGCGTGACGTATATTTGGTCTGTGACGGACAGTGACGATATCTTCAGCTTCGAAACATAGTTTACGATGCTGGTGAAAAACTGAGGGTGGTTCTTCAAGTGGGGCGTAGCCCATGGCCAATTCTCTTGCGCACGGGACACGAACTCCAGCAAAGCCAGTGCGACCTGAGGTTCTTCCTTGTCGATGTTGGCAAGCTTATCGAGGGCCATCTGCAAGAATGGAGTGCCTCGCATGGCAGGACCCTCAACCTTGTCGGATTTCTTCAGGGTCTGACGGGGGGATGCGCCAGTTAGGATGAAGACTGCAAGCCACTGTTGTCGCTTGCTCACGAAAGTTGCTAGCAGGCGCCAGACCGAAAGCAACAGAGAATCATCCGCAAGCGGCTTGTCGAGCTGCGAGAGCACATCAAGGAAAAGACAGGATGACTCGGCGCCAAGGTGGCCGACGAGTGACGGTGGCTCGTTGTCTGGATCAGACGCAGCGCTTGTGATGAGAATCTCCAGTAGCCTAACGACTGGCAACCGGTAGGCATCATGTAGTGCATACAGCTTGACCAGGACTGGAGTGGCCTTGAACAACTGCTCCTCCAGCAAGGATGCAGGCTGTTCCGCAAGTCGCGCTGCCTGTACGAGCTTGATGCAGAGGTTCAAGGTGGAATTGACCTGGTTTTCAATCAGGGTGAGATAGCGCATATGAAGGGTAGGCGGAGTTTGGAGACCGTCCGAGATCAATCGGAGGATTGGGTTGAATGGGAGGTCGGCGGTGGACCGAGGGCGAAGAAGATCAAGGAGGTATGTGGCTGATGCGGAGAAAACGCCGGTAATTTTGGATTCCAGCTTTGCGCTGTCGTTGATTCCATAGGCGTAGTACAGAATGCGGTCAAAAGAGGCAGCCAACATGCCGTTGATCTTGAACCGCTGTTCCGGGAAGTTGAACCTCCAGTTGCCGTTGCTGTTGTAGATCTCGACCATTATCCGTGTGAAGTTGAGCAGAATACTCCTCATGACATGGGAAGGAACACCGGCACTGCAGTCGGAGACTATCGTCGACTTTCCAGCCACGCTACCGGGGCTCTTTCGCAGTACCGCACGAGACGCTGCATCGTCGATAGCTGCCTCGAACAGGTTGACGCAGCTTACAAGGAACGGATATTCTCCGGAGGGAATCTCCATTGCCGAGATCACTCCAGACATAACTCCTCCCTTTCCATCTGATCCAATGAAGCTACTGCGGCTGAAGAAGGGCCACACTCGACTGGGAAGAACCTTCATGACCTCTTGAATAAATCGCAGGCAAGCCATGATGGGATCCAACGTGTTAGCAGCATCACCCTGAGTGCCAATGCTTTGCAAGTTCCGCTCGAAGATGTCCAAGACGACCGAAACTATATCGCCCTGTCGAGAAAGCCCGTCACTGGCCATCTCCAGGATCCGTTTAGCAGTTGTGCCTGCAGAGTCCTGGGCGCGAACATCCTTTGCACTGACGACGAGATCTGCTAAGAGTCCAATGATCTCCGTGCCAGACTCGGCATCCCAGCCCGAGGAGACCGCACCATTTTCACACCATTCCTCAAGCCAGCTTCCTAGATAACTCAGGCAGGAATATTGATGCTGCCACATGACGACTGCTGGCTTTGACTCGGAAATCACCTGGCCAACAGTTGCTGTTGGGATTCGAGACGAGCCACTGACGACCAAGGCGTTGCTTGTCTCATTGCCGAGGAGATAGTTGTGCGAGGACCCTTTAAGCATTGGAAGGGATCGAATAAGGGACACAAAGTTGGCGTTTTCATCCTCGCGAATGGTTTCATATCCTTGGAACCCGGGAGAGACGATTTGTGTGAAGGTGTCCATGTTTTCCAACTCCTCTAGAACCCGGGGCAGGCCATCGTCATTCACAGAGTGGCCACTGACCAGGGCTCTACAAAGCCTCAAGAAAGGAACCGTCTCGTAGGGGAATCGAGACCGCGCAATGTGGAAAATCTTATCCATCAAGATGTCATTGTTGACAAAGGCGGTTTTCGGATCGGTTTCGGGGCTCGGAGATTTTGTTGAAAGCCATGAGAGGCCATCGGATGTGCCCGTCAAGATTCCCAGCACGGATTCCATAATATCTGGTGAGTAATCCAGGAAGTATGTAGCAATTTGAACGAGATCGAGAAGCTCCAAACGAACCCATCGAGCTGTCAACTCATCGTCCACTGCTGAGATTGATCCTATTTTGACGGAAAGTGCGACGATTTGATTAAAGACGGATTCCCGTAAAATATCAGAAGTCATCTCTGCTATCAAGGTTTCCGCGTTACCAAATGGAGGCGCTCCGGCGGATTCCAGTAGAGTTTCATACAACGAATCTTCTGAACCGTGAGAAGGCGCAGAATGAGGTCTGTTGGCATTGAAAGAATCAACAGCACTGTTGAACTGTTCGATTTCTCGGGCGTTTTTGTCATTAAGGGCAACCTCGCTCAAAGTATTGAGGAGCAAGCCCCATGAAAAGCCGGCAGGATGAACCGTGACCAGTTGATGAAGTGATGCGCCCACCAAGATCTCGCTCGTCTTGGAAAGAGTATCCTTCGATAGGAAGTAGGCTGGTTCTCCGGAGGGTATTGTCTCGGGTTGTTTTTTGTTAAGAATGCACTCGAAGGCCAGTGGGAGTTTCATGAAGGCCAACGTGGTCAGTGATACAAAAGACTGGACAGGCAACAAGACCTCCACGGGTTGTTCACAGGGCTAAAGAAAGACGTCAGAATTCTGATATTGCTTTCGAACACAGGGTTACTGCGTAACTCACTACTTGTAGTTTCTCCAAGAAATCATACTCAAGCATGAGTTCAAGCCATGATAACAAAAGAGCTCCACAAGGAACAGCCTGTGACGCACGGAGCTGGTGGAACATAATCTGGAGAATGTGAACGATTTCTTCCACGAGAGTGGTTCTCCAGATATCCTCTATCTCTCCGCTACTTTCCGCCGCTCCGAGCCAGGCGCCAGTGGTCTCAAGATCTTGCAGTCGGCTCTGAACTGCGCTGATACACGCTTCAAGGAGCTTGTATAGGCCTTGACCAGTGGACTTTTCCCGGAAAATCGTGATTCCTAGCTTAATCAAGTCATTCTCAAGTGTGCTCGAGGGGACCGGTTCGGTTGGTGTGTGGTGTGACAGCGCGAGTAGCTTGCGGAATGTCTTCAGGAGATGGCTCCTCTCTGACAGGTACAAGGTGCGCAGCCGTAAACGCCTGCTTTCCTCTGTGTTGAACGTGGACGACCCTGCGTCGCCAGCGGTCTGCTTCAGGATGCTCGCCAGGTTAGGACCAGCCACCGACATTCGCAGATTGTCCGAGCCTGCTGCACTCTGCAAGCTTGTCGCCTCTTCACTAGAGAACGTTGTTGTCAGGCGAGTCGCAGGACGATTCTGCCATTCGAGGACGACGATGCGCAGAGCGGTGATTTCATCGATCCTTGCTTTTTCGCTGAGCCATTGTGCATCGGCCTTGATCTCTGTGAGATCGAAGGATTTCTTCGCATTTGTTTCAACATGGATTGCGGCTGTCTTCGAATTGAACTCGGTTTTGTATTGAGGGGAGGACTCGGGGAAAGAGCTCACGCTGCGCGACAGCAGCTGAATGCTCTCAGGATGCGACAGGAAAGCTTTGATAATGCTGCCATCGTCGGCATGGGATTCTGGATCATTGACATAGAGGAATGCCCTTCTCCAAGACCTGTTCCAAATCAGCATCATACCAAACAAGGAAACGAGCTCGGCAGGGCGTACAAAAGTTGAACGTCCCCGGAGAAGCACTTGTCCAGGGACGGGAAATAGGCCTCCGGGACGGGAGCCATTTGGCGAGACGATTAGATCATCATAAGATTGAAGAGCTAGATTGGAGAATGGCACAGGGAGAGGGTGATGGAATCTCCCGGGGGTTGAGCTCTTATAGCTAGCAGGAAGCTCCAAACAGAACCTGCACTTTCTTTCTGCGCGTCTGCGGTCAACAATCCGCACTTCCTATCTGGGGTTAGGCTGGGTTTACTGCCGGGCGGTGAGGCCTTACAAAGTCACCCGCCTTCTCTAGACTTTTGAGTCACCGGAAGGTTGACAAGCGGCCATACCGAGTGAATTGACGGAATTTCGTGTGGAGCCTGGTGACAATTGATCTCTCGCAGTGTTTATACGATTGATTCTGCAATTTCGATCTCCTCGCTCCCTACAGCTGTCATGGCGGACCTCGTCGACCACTCCCCCGCCATCCCACCATTGCGGCGAAACTGAGCACGGCCTCGAATGTTATCTTGATTGACAACTATGATTCTTTCACCTGGAATGTTTACCAGTACCTTGTGCTAGAGGGCGCGACTGTCACGGTGTTCCGAAATGACGAAGTTACTGTGGAAGACCTCGTCGCAAAGAACCCAACCCAACTGGTTATCAGCCCCGGACCTGGCCATCCCGAGACCGACGCAGGAATCAGCAATGCGGCAATCAAACACTTCAGCGGAAAGATCCCAATCTTTGGTGTATGCATGGGTCAACAATGTATGATCACGACATTTGGTGGCAAGGTGGATGTGACTGGCGAGATTCTGCATGGCAAGACCTCGGTCTTGAAGCATGACTCTAAGGGCGTCTATGAGGGATTGCCCGAGGTTCTCTCTGTCACTCGGTACCACTCGCTCGCTGGAACCCACTCGACCGTGCCCGAGTGCATGGAAGTGACTTCGTGGGCAGAGCTTGAGAATGGAAGCGGTAACAGCGTCATCATGGGTGTGAGACACAAGGAGCTTGCGGTGGAGGGTGTGCAGTTCCATCCTGAGAGTATTCTGACTGAGTACGGACGTACCATGTTCAGGAACTTCCTGAAACTTACCGCAGGTACCTGGGCTGGAAACAAGGGCAGCGCTGCTCCTAAGGCTGCCGCTCCCGCGGAGAAGAAGCTGTCAATCCTGGACAAGATCTATGCCCACCGGAAGAATGCCGTCGAGGAGCAGAAGAAGATTCCTGCGCTGCGTCCGGAGGCTCTCCAAGCCGCTTATGAACTGAATATTGCGCCGCCACAGATCTCGTTCCCTGCCCGATTGAGACAGTCTGACTATCCGCTTTCTCTGATGGCGGAGATCAAGCGTGCATCTCCTTCCAAGGGCATCATCTCGGCCGATGTGTGTGCACCCGCCCAAGCCCGCGAGTACGCCAAGGCTGGTGCCAGTGTCATCTCCGTTCTCACCGAGCCTGAGTGGTTCAAGGGTACTATTGACGACCTTCGGGCAGTCCGCCAAAGCTTGGAGGGGCTCACCAACCGACCCGCTCTTCTCCGGAAGGAATTCGTCTTTGACGAGTATCAGATCTTGGAGGCACGTCTTGCCGGTGCCGATACCGTTCTACTTATCGTGAAGATGCTTAGTGTTGAGCTTCTCACGAGGCTGTACAACTACTCCCGTAGCCTCGGCATGGAGCCTCTTGTGGAAGTGAACACTCCCGAGGAGATGAAGATTGCCGTTGATCTAGGATCCGAGGTGATTGGTGTCAACAACCGTGATCTGACCAGCTTCGAGGTTGATCTTGGTACTACTAGCCGTCTGATGGACCAGGTGCCCGAGACCACGATTGTCTGTGCTCTCAGTGGTATTACTGGCCCCAATGACGTGGAGGCGTATAAGAAGGATGGAGTTAAGGCTATTCTTGTCGGTGAGGCCCTGATGCGGGCACCCGACACTTCTGCATTCGTGGCACAGCTTTTGGGCGGGTCTTCTGAGAAGATTGCTTCGACGTCGACCAGCTCGCCTTTGGTCAAGATTTGCGGCACACGGTCTGAGGAAGCGGCCAAGGCTGCTATTGAGGCTGGTGCTGATCTCATTGGTATCATCATGGTTCAGGGCCGATCAAGGCTGGTCCCCGATGATGTGGCACTGCGCATTTCACAAACAGTCAAGTCGACACCACGACCGGGTGTCCAGTCGACTGACTCATCCGAGCAAATATCAAAAACCACCTCTTCCGAGTGGTTTGAGCATTCAAGCAGGGTCTTGCGTCATCCTACTCGTGCATTGCTTGTCGGTGTCTTTATGAACCAGCCTTTGTCATACGTTCTCTCCCAACAACAGAAGCTGGGTCTTGACGTCGTGCAGCTCCACGGCTCCGAGCCCTTGGAATGGGCCAGCTTGATCCCCGTACCGGTAATTCGGAAGTTCGCTCCAGGTGATCTTGGAATTGCCCGCAGGGCATACCACACGCTTCCTCTATTGGATTCTGGCGCGGGAGGTTCCGGCCAATTGCTCGAGGAAGCAGGTGTTCAAAAGGTCCTCGACAGCGATGAAGGCTTGCGAGTGATCCTGGCAGGCGGTTTGAACCCCGACAATGTTATTGATATCGTCAAGAAGTTGGGCGAGGCAGGGTCCAAGGTTGTGGGATTGGATGTCAGCTCCGGAGTGGAGACCAACGGCGCTCAGGATTTGGAGAAGATCCGCGCCTTTGTGAAGGCAGCCAAAAGTGTTCGTGCATGATTTTTCTAAACAGTTCGAGATTTCGGTATATTAGACCTTTTGCGAGGGTGACTTCTGTTCTCATCCCGTAATTTAACACTATCCATTGCCAGATGATACTCCTGGACAAAAGAATGCAATGGATTTGTAAATACTCTCAAGCAGCCTCTATATATCCGTAAACGTCAACGAAGCCGACTACCTAAGGTCAGACTCTATTTCTTTTTCACTTCATATTTTTGGCGAGTTCATCTCAAATCCGAGTTGACGCCTCCCCGATTTTTCCATATCCATGCCACTCTATGAGACCGGTCTGTCGTTCGAATCATCCAGCTCAACTTTCTAACTTCGAACAGCTACCTCATATTCAGCGGAATATCTCTCAGCCTTGACCCTCCACAAGTGAAGGCCTCCGTCTTTTCTCCATCTCACCCAACGAGTGCTCGACTTCGAATCTCTCCAAACAACTCCCACTTTATCCTCACATATTTCCTTCATCTCCCCCCCCACTCGACAACCCTCCGCAACACTACACCATGCCGTCTCCTTCCAAGCAGCACACAAAAAGCCCCAAGACGGGTAAGGCTTTCCGGCGCGTTCGCACAGCCATTGTTGGGGACCTCTATCAAGGGAACCAGTTCCCCCAGTGGATTCGCAGAAACGGCGGAGAGTTTCACGACAAAGTCACTGATCAGATCACACATCTGATTGCCTCGGAACAGGCCTACGAGGATAACGTGGATGAAGGTAAGGAATATCAGACTCATGTCATTCACCGTTCCTTTCATTATCCTACGGTGGATGATGATCTGTGTCTTGAATACTGATTCGATATAGTGCAAGCTGCAAAGGCTCTCGGGAAGATCAAGATCGTCTCTCGGGACTGGCTTACTGCCTCCCTACACGCCAACCCTATCCGCCCGGTCCCCGAGAGACCCTTCCTTCTGGAGAACCTGGTCAAGCCCACTAAGAAGAATGGTGAAGGCAGGAATGGCACAGACAGCAAGGGCAAGGTAGACTCTGGAATAATGGCCCGGACGCGTGTCAGTATGTTAACCCACCCTCTTTTGAATCGTCGGTCGAGAGAAGCCGCTAACCTACGGTCTCAATATAGAGGATCCATTCATTCCGAAAGGAACAATCAATCAGCGTACGTTCACTTTTGCTCACACCCTGCCTGGTCTTGACGTACACCGACACTAACAAACAAACGATGACACAGCTAAGAAGGCCATCTTCCGTGATCCTCAGACGGGTGGAGCGTGGGACGCAGTACTCACACGTGCGGGTAAAACAGCCCGTCTTCGGGAGAAATACCGTGTGGCAGTGAGTTCAGCGCCTCATATACCTGTGCAAGATGGCAATTTGACACAATATTACAGATCTTTGAAACCTCCTCACAGCCACCCACCTACTCGACCTATGCAAAGTACAGCCGCGTTGGGACCTCTCGTGTCCAGGAGCTGACTCTTCCCAAGAGCGACATTGCTACTGCTGTGGACGCCTTCAAGCAGTTCTTCAAGGCCGAGGCAGGCAAGGACTGGGAGGATAGAAACGATGCCAGCCTCCCTACCCCTAAGACAGACAACGAGGGCAATGTCATACCCGCTCACCAGGGTTGGTACTTCTACAAGAGCCAGGAAAATATCTTCACCAGCTTCATCATGCGGGCCGGCCCACCTGGTGCAAGTACAGATGGTTCTTTGTCTGTTAACCGTCGAATCGAACCCGATGAATCGGAGGCAGACGTTGCTCGGCCTGAGGGAATTGTTCTTCCAAAAGTCCTGGCAATGTCAGAGGAAGACAGTGGCAATAATGCTGATGTCGAATCTGAGGGTATCAACATCGACGCCAGCTAAACTGGCATGTCTTATCTAGCCCTTGGTACAGATAGGGATATCAAGTCCGGACACAAGATCAGGTAAGGATTACAGAAGGAAAGGGTCGATATACCAACATTCGAAACACTCTTCGAGCATGGTTTCTGGTATGAGGATGGAGGATGGAATTTTGCTTTTTTTTTTTTGAATTTGGGATTTAATTTGGGATTTGACTTTGTTTATTTTGTTTAAAAAAAATTCGTTCGTTTGAAGCGTGATATCGCCCTCGTCACTCAACAGGGTATAGGGACAGTACCAATAATGATATACATGAACTGGCAAGTAATGCCTTTTAGTTGACCATAAAACTCCAATGCACCAATGAACTGAAAACCAAAACTTGTCCCGAAGAAAACCAGACCGACTGTACCATAACTTTGCACGCCTGCAGCCGACACCAAAATGCAACTTCGTGGGGAATCTAGAGGTAGTCCTTCTTTCTGCTGGTCCTCGTGTACTGGGTAAGAGCCCATTCCACGTCACCAGTAGAGCCCTTCTCCATAGTACCTCCACGGATCTCGAACAGACGCATTGTCATCCGAGGGCCGACCTCTGCAAGTTCCACATCCCGGTAGCTGCTCTTCACGAAAACGTGGTGACGCACCTCAATGCTGTCCTCCTTGTTCACAAAGCTGACGACACGAGTGCCAACCTTGCCAGCCTCGCGGGGTGGGAAGAGGTGCTTCAAGATCTGGACAACACGCTGGCCCAGCTTGGTCGTGAAGCCCTCAAAGATCAAGTGCGGGTAACTCTCGGAGACGGTGCCTCGGTCGGCATTCGGAATGTCTGCACGCAGAACAACATTGTGAAGAGAGAAGCTAGCGGTCGGACCGTGGGGAAGATGCGAGACGGTAAGGGCGGTAGGTGTACCACGATGCTCGTGCAGAAGGATCATGTCGGTCAAAGAAGCGGAGGTTGCGCTAGACACCAGATCGGGCATGACGAGGTTACCACGGTTCAGGCGGATAGATGTTGGGAGAAGCAATCGAATTTCCTTGGCGAAGGCTCCTAGACGAGCAGAAGGCGAGCGAGATGTAGTGACCAGCGGACGAGGGTCAATCAGACCGGATGTCAAGGCGTATTCGTCATCCACATCCACCTCATCCTTTGACTCGTCATATTTGAAATTCTCCCGAAGAGATTTATCGTTTGCAATCGAAGGATCGAGGGGCTTTCCGGAAGCCAAAGAGGCCTTCAGCTGGGCACGCTTTTCGGCGATTGAAGCATCGCGGAGCTGCAGCGCTCTGCGATAAAGATAATCGCGACGCTCGCGGGTTTGACGGCGCTAAGAAGATAGTTAGTGAATAATTCAATGCTGTAATCTCTTATCATTTGAGTACAAGCTTACCAGCATCTTGGTGAGCGGATGTGAATGTTGCTTGTAGTACTTCTAAACCGATGGTAGCGGGCGACTTTTTTTTTCTAAACTCCGGGGCTGCGCAAGTGGTCCGCTCTCGTCGCCGTAGTGGGATCCCACCGATAGAGAATGCGGATCGCAATGCGGAGGTCAGTTTGAGTCCTTCCAAACTTTTCTACTCTCTTTTGTGAAGAGGTGGCTTGGATGTAGGTGGTACCCTATATCTTATCGACTGCTTTGCTGACTCGATCTCTGATATTCTAGAATCCCCGTTGCTTTGCCCCTCAGGCACACAGACGGACTGGGCCTTGAAGAACCGCCCACGGACGATCGAATCGTCTCATACGCTCTTTTGGCTAGACTTGACTTGTGACTTTTGGCTTATCCGCATGCTGTCCTTAAATTGATTTCGCCTTTCGACTTCCGCTACAACTTCCCCTATCACCGTCTTTGACAACCCGCATCTATCATGGATAACTACCATCCAGTGTTGGCAGATGACGCCTCAGTGATGGCAGACCAAGACGACAACCATATGGGCAGCGTCGGCCGTGCCCAGCCACGCCGTCATGACGATGAAGATGAAGGCTCCGATATTCTAGAGGACGATGACTTGGAGAGCACAGTTGGTGGTCCAGTTTCGCATCACAAGGGCCATGGAAACGGCGAGGAAGAGAAAGAGCTTCCTGCCCATGCATGCGCGTGAGTGATCTATTCATCTTTGGCATATCTGTCTGCGTACTGACAACTGATACTCTTTAGGTACTGTGGCATTCATAACCCCAGCAGCGTGGTAAAGTGTCTCTCTTGCAACAAGTGGTTCTGCAGTGCCCGAGGCAATACCTCCTCTTCGCATATAGTCAATCACCTCGTGCGTGCTCGCCACAAGGAGGTGCAGCTGCACCCGGCTTCTTCGCTCGGCGATACTATCCTCGAATGCTACAACTGTGGTACCAAGAACGTTTTCCTACTCGGTTTCATTCCCGCCAAGTCAGATACTGTTGTGGTTCTTCTTTGCCGGCAGCCATGTGCGGCTATGCCATCGTCCAAGGATATGAACTGGGATACCTCTCGTTGGCAGCCACTTATTGAGGACCGCTCCTTTTTGCCCTGGCTCGTTTCTGCCCCTACCGATCAAGAGCAGCTCCGTGCCCGCCATCTCAGCCCCCAGTTGATTGCAAAGCTGGAGGAAATGTGGAAAGAGAACTCGCAGGCGACTCTGGAGGATTTGGAAAAAGCCACCGCCGTTGATGATGAGCCAGCGCCTGTGCTATTGCGCTATGATGATGCTTTCCAGTATCAGAACATCTTTGGTCCCCTCGTCAAGATTGAAGCCGACTATGACCGAAAGCTCAAGGAATCGCAGTCGCAGGATGGATTGATTGTTCGCTGGGATCTTGGGCTGAACAACAAGCACCTTGCAAGCTTCGTCCTTCCCAAGCTCGAGCTTGGAGATGTCAAGCTGGCGGTTGGTGATGAAATGCGCCTGAAGTATACCGGCGAACTCCGTTCCAAGTGGGAGGGTGTTGGATACGTCATGAAGATCCCTAACAACCAGTCTGACGAAGTCACCATTGAGTTGCGCTCTAAGGGCGACCACAAGTCGGTCCCTACGGAATGCACTCACAACTTCACTGCCGACTACGTTTGGAAGTCCACCTCGTTTGACCGTATGCAGCTCGCCATGAAAACCTTCGCCGTTGATGAAATGAGTGTTTCGGGCTACATCTTCCACCGTCTTCTCGGTCATGAGGTTGCTGCCGCTCCCATGAAGACACAGATCCCGAAGAAGTTCAGCGTCCCTGGACTGCCCGACCTGAACGGCAGCCAAATCAATGCGGTGAAGAGTGTGTTACAGCGACCACTGAGTCTGATTCAGGGTCCCCCAGGAACCGGTAAAACAGTCACTTCGGCTACGATCATCTACCATTTGGCAAAGATCAACGGAGGCCAGGTTCTCGTGTGTGCTCCCTCCAACGTCGCAGTCGACCAGCTGTGTGAGCGTATCCACCGCACAGGCCTGAAGACTGTTCGTGTGACTGCCAAGTCGCGCGAGGATGTTGAGTCTCCGGTTGCCTTCCTTTCTCTGCATGAGCAAGTCCGTATGAACGATAGCAATATCGAATTGGTGAAGCTCAACCAACTGAAGGCCGAGCTCGGTGAATTGTCCAGCCAGGACGAGAAGCGTCTGAAGCAACTGACTCGGGCCGCCGAGCGCGAAGTCTTGACCAATGCCGATGTTATCTGCTGCACTTGCGTTGGTGCTGGTGATCCTCGCTTGGCCAAGTTCAAGTTCCGCACTGTCTTGATTGACGAGTCGACCCAATCTGCGGAGCCAGAGTGTATGATCCCCCTGGTTCTTGGCTGTAAGCAAGTCGTTCTGGTTGGTGATCACCAGCAGCTTGGGCCTGTCATCATGAATAAGAAGGCCGCCAAGGCTGGTTTGAATCAATCTCTCTTCGAGCGTCTTGTCATTCTTGGCTGCTCGCCTATTCGCCTGAATGTGCAGTATCGTATGCACCCGTGTCTCTCGGACTTCCCATCCAACATGTTCTACGAGGGTTCGCTGCAGAATGGTATTACCATTCATGACCGTCTTCGCCGCGATGTCGACTTCCCTTGGCCCATGATGGATAACCCCATGATGTTCTGGTCGAACCTTGGTAATGAAGAAATCTCCGCCTCCGGAACTTCGTACCTCAACCGCACTGAGGCGACTAATGTCGAGAAGATTGTTACACGCTTCTTCAAGGCCGGTGTACAGCCAAGCGGTATCGGTATCATCACTCCATACGAAGGACAGCGAAGCTACATTGTCAGCTCCATGCAGGCTACGGGTACCTTCAAGAAGGAACACTACAAGGAGATTGAAGTGGCCTCCGTCGATGCGTTCCAGGGACGAGAGAAGGATTACATCATTCTCTCCTGTGTTCGTTCCAATGACCATCAGGGTATTGGTTTCTTGAGCGATCCCCGCCGTCTCAACGTCGCTCTTACTCGTGCTCGATTTGGTCTGGTCATTCTTGGAAACCCTAAGGTGCTCTCCAAGCACCCTCTATGGAATTGCCTGCTCCAGCACTTCAAGGAACGTCATTGTCTGGTGGAGGGACCCCTGTCCAACCTGCAGGAATCTTTGATCCAGTTCAGCCGTCCCAAGCAAGCTTACCGTGGCCCTCAGCGCTTCCACATGTCTTCAGGCTTCAATCAAGGCGGTGCTGCTGCTGTCGCCGGTGCTATGAACGGCCGCAACGGCCAGCGCAACGAGTATCAAGACACTGGGTCTGTCGTTGGCTACATCCCTGATGATGTCTCCTCGGTGCACTCCTCTGCCGTTGGTGGAGTTGGCCTTCCCTCTGGATACCCTCCGATGTTCCAGAACTTCGCTGATCAATGGCCATCCCTCTCTGGTGGTCGCCGTGCGAACGGTGGCCGGGCCAAGGGTGCTCCTAGTGTTGCTGGAGAGTCCGTTGCCGCTACCGAGTCCGATGTCACTGGAAGCATCATTGATGGTCGCAGTGCTGACCAAGGTGGTGTCAGCCTAGCCGGCTTGAGCATCAACGACATGAGCAAGCAAGCGAGTCTCAGCCAGTCCGATCGTCTGAAGCGCTACGTGGAGTCCGGCGGCCGTGAGCCTTACCGTGGTGGTGTCCCCGACAATGGCAGCATCTTTGGGGGCAGTTCGGCCAGCATTCGAGTTACTCGCGGCGTCCCCGGACACAACGTCAATGACGACGATGATGCCCGCAGCGTTTCGACCGCGTTCGCTAGCCAGGTTGGCGGCAACTACGACTGAGTGACATACTTTTATCGCTACTTCATGCTAGGGCTAGCCTCCAACAGGCTTTGCCTTCTCATCATGTTCATCTCGAGGAAGCAGAGTCTCGCACGAAACGTTAGAGTCCCTTCCACCAGAGTCTTGCCCGTCCATTCTTCCATGCCGATCAGGACGTCAGTTCGGTGAGGCCAAGCCGGCCCATTACCTTCATGGGCGCTGCAGCTTTACCGAATGATTACTCAAGGCCACCGATATCCTCAGTCAGTCTGAAGGGGCAAAATCTTCCTTTGCACCTTCGAGACTGTGTTGTCGCAGTGACGTCCCCCTCACATGCGGTTGTCGATGGGTCGAGGCGACAAGCATTGGCCTTCCAGCACTTATGCGTTTGGGCCTGCTGTCTGAACATGCAATGGCTGGGTTTCACTGTCCCGCCCAGCTGAGTCCGGTAGTCACCTATCGGGCAGCTTTGCAATTTTATCCTGATCCCCTCCCTCAGGCTCGATTCTTCCTAGCAGTCCTTACCTAGGTATCTACAATGTTGTTGCCTTGAAAAATCGAGACTTGTTATGCTTTTAGTAGTCTCACCTTGTAGTCATGTAGAGTAAGTATTCCATTTGAGGACCAATCGTTTCCCTGCCAAGCTTGTCAAGTGTCTCCGAAGCGTGAGCCGCGAATCAGTAGTATTCAACTCAACTCGTTCCCTTCTAACTACGGATGGGTTCGCCATCTTTGAGTCCACGGGAGACGCCGAGAGAGAGGTGCAGTCTGTTCGTAAGCTGGCCAGATGGTGTGGACTTGGAGAAATACAGCTTGAATGGAAGCAAGTTGTCACCAAGTGTCAGGCGGACTGAGAACATGAATCTGCTTTCGAGTCTGAGCTAACCATCAAACTAGTGGCCCTGCGCGATGCTGTCCTGCCCGGGGCACATTCTCTGGTCGAAGTTCGAGATGGCTCAAAATGTTTCATGGTAAAACCGAAGAAGCCGTTGGCGTTTATAGAGAATAAATCTCTAATTTCAAATTGGTCCAGTGGACTTAATACAAAATCTAATTGACGCATAGAATTGTCCCAATGTATCCGTGCATTTCGATCATGCCTGGGTGATTCCGCCTAGCCTTTTCGATGACAGTGACATGGATCCGCAGGTGGGTGTTGATTCGTCATCTCTACAAGCAATATTTGAAGAGGATATCGCTAATCAACACTATACTTCGGTATAATCAGGGCCCTCTCTATGCCCTTTTGCAGGCATTTCTTACCCCAGCCATAGCTTCGAAGCTCCATGCCCTCCTCCAAACAACCCCAACGAATCTCGACTGAGAAACCTACTCCTGCTCTCCCCTAGCATCCATTCGGCCTTTCGAAATGGTGATATACATCTTTTTCCTATTACTAATACCGTGGACTGTTTGAATGACGAAACCGAGACCAAGATCAAATCTGCAAGCAAAGTTTATGTCAGTGTCTCTTGGGATCTTGACCTGCACCCTGGGTATGTCCAGCTGACTTCACAACAGTACTTTGTTTCAAGAATTGAGCCCAAGACTTGTGGCTCGCTGTTCCTGAGCGATGATAGCCCATGGAACGATCCAATGCAAATGTTCACAATGGAGAGCCGGGACGCCAAACTACCTCTCCCAGATCCGTTCTTGCTCCGAACACACTTTCGCATTACAGCCTCTTTGCATTTATTCCATGTTGAAGAGAGTATATCTAAAGGGTGGCCCTCGCCTCCGTTATGTATGAAACACCGATCCTCTGCTTATGAGACATTAAAGCTGTTAATGCAATTTGAACAGTCCAGTTGAGTCCGAGGACATTGCGCTCTCTCTGGCATCTCGTCCCCAAATGGATACGTATCCAGTGCGACGGCTTGCTTATCAAGCTTGGCACCTATCTCTATCCATGGTCTTTCACAGGTCTTGTCCACCGGCTGCCACTCGGACTCTTCGGGAAGGAATGTGCTCGCTCTCCACGCAAGGAAGCCGAGGCATTGCGTTTAGTGAAAAGTACACTTCAATCCCAGCACCTCTTTTGCGTGGACGAGTATCAAGGGACGCACCCTATTCTCGTTATGACAGCAGTACCTGGACAGACGTTGGAAACGGTCTATCATCGGCTCTCATACTCGGAGCGGGACCAGTTATCAAAAGACTTGAAAAGTGTGATATCACAACTGCGTTGCATCCCAAACCAGACCCCATACGCCTTTGGTAACACCCACGGCGGCCCATTGAAAAGATTATAGTTTCCCTTCCGGCACATGTGGTGCGTTCAACTCGATCTTTGATTTCAACGCCTTCCTTGTCCATCGCTACGTGCATCAGGAGACGGAGAGAAAATTTCGGCAGCTCACGCCCGTAACTATCGATCTGTCTTCACCCATGCGGACTTACATCCGAGCAATATTTTGATTGATCAGAGACGTCTATCTGGAATTGTGGACTAGGAAAATGCTGGGTTTTATCCAGAATATTGGGAGTTTACGAAGCTTGTGTATGGTGCTGAGAGGATTCCAGAGATTCGGGAGATTATTTGGGAGGCATTCACAGAGGTAAATTATGATGAGGAGTTGGAGGCTGAGACGCTCCTATGGAATGATACGCCGTTTGGTATATGAAATGTTCGAGACGACAAAGCTCGTTCCATGGCGGTACTTTTGGTCCAAATAGTTGGTGTGTTTTTAGAGTGAAAAGTAATATACTAGTACCAACATCGAGTGAAGGTACTTGGCTTCAAGAAATGATAGATCTATTTTTGACACAGCGAAGGTAGAAAGTTGTACTTTAATTAGGGCTTAACGGGTCCCCGGCTGACGTTCTACCCCGCTGCCCCGCTCGACCGGCACCAATCTATACGACTGTATACGACTGTACACAGCGTCAAACTACTGGCTGCTACATGAAACATTTGAAATCAACCATTCACCATGAACACTGCGCCTCAAGATTGGGCAACAGATACAGGCTCGGCAATGGTGTCGATTGGCACTCATTCCCTGTATATCTCAATCAGTGGACCACCCCGCACACCCCAAGATCCACTCGTGGTGATCCTAGCAGGCGCCGGAGACGTCGCAACCTCCTACACAGCCCTCTCACCCCTCGTAGCTCAATTCTCCCGGATCCTGATCTACGATCGAACCGGGCTCGGTCGCAGCGAGCCGAGACCGAGTTTAGCAAGATCCACAAATCCCACGACTAGTACGGCCGTTACGGCCGCCGAGGAGCTACACAGCCTTCTTTTAGCGACAAACCTACGCTCACCGTTGGTCCTAGTCGCACACTCCTACGGCGCTATCATCGCGCGCGAGTATTTACATTTGTACAATGACCAAGTTGCCGGTATCGTATTCGCGGATGGCTCCACCGAACGACAGTGTGACTATTTCCAGCTGCCGGATGCCAATATCAACGCCGTGCTGGGGGATCTCAAAGTAGCGCAGGTTACTGGTCTACGGGCGGACTCGAAACTTTCCAGGGACGAATGGAGAAATAGAGCTATCGATATTGCGCGTGGTGTCGCCGCTGCACAGGTCGAGGTTGATTCGTATGTGGATGTTTGTCGTACACTTGCGGATAAGAAGCAGTTTCAGAATCGGGCTATGGGGGAGAGACCGGTAAGTGTGATTCGCTGTAATAGCGCTAGGGATTATGAACGAATTTATGAGAAGGGTGTTGAGGTGGGTAATGGGACGCCACTGCAGCAACGAGGGTTCAGGGATCTACTGGATCGATGGGAGGCGATAGACAAGGAGCTGAAGGAGGAGCAGCTACGGCTTTCTTCGACTACGCATTTGGTGCATCTGCCAGATTGTGGACATAATGTGCATTTGATACGGCCGGATATAGTTGCTGATGAGATTCGATGGGTGTTGGATCAGCTGCGGAATCCGCGGGGCGATGCGCTGAAACTTTGATGGTATCATAGTCCAGCCGTTGCTTGTATATGATTCGACGTTGTTCGAAGGCAATCCTGTTTGGAGATCTGATTTGATACCAATATGTTTTCTGTCATGCTCTTAGATTTGTCTGTATCGTTGTAGCCTGCAATGACCAAGAACCTTTGATGCTTCACTGCCACTGCCATGGATATTCTGGAGGTTCGTCTAATGCAGATTGACTATGAATAAGGTGCTTCGCCTGAAGATTCGCAAGCATTCTGCATGTCGATCAATATCCATACTATCTTTAGATAGTCAAAGTCCACGAGGGAGAAGCTCTGGATATTCGGCAGCCTAAAGATGCAGGAGCCAGTCAAGAGTCTTCCCGAAGCAGCACAGCCTCTTGCATTACGTTGATTACATCATCAATTCCACGTGATCTTCCGGCGATCGGTAAGTCCCGTGACCCGTCACCCTGCAGGGCATCACCGCCACAGCAATCCTTTAGTAGTACAGTAGTACATGCACTCCTTCATCCTGTAGGAGACGCCGTAGGTAACTCCGAAGGGGACTCCGTAGGGCTCCATTTTAAAATGAAGATTTGTAAGGCACCCATCGTGGCGATCTTTCTGGGCCGAAGTGCAGAAGCAGGCTTCTCAGGCCTTCGCAGGCTTTCAGTCTCCCACCGGAATGGCTGCCTGACTGGATTTCGTTGGCAATGGGAACCCAAGACTGGGTCGATCAAGCGAACAAGGCGAGTCTTATTGGTACCCCCGCTAAGACCGCTCTGGCGGTGATCGGAAGTGGACATCTTTCGATCGAATGAGTCATTGTTGACAACAGAGCTCGGTAGAGTCAGGGTGGCGGTCACAGCTCCATCTAGGCAGGGCTGGGTGGGGAGAGAAGGCCCAAGGCAAGAAAAGCATTAAAAGGCCAACGCACCCCTAGGCTGGCGCCTGCATACATGCAGTAGTATATGTATAGATCTCCGGTCCAGTGAAGAATTTGCCCTGCTGAACAATAAAAAACCAAAGAAGATCCTCTTTTTTCAGCTTATCGGGAACTCCGGGACTATCGTGGACGAAAGAAAATCCGAGAAAGACAGAAGCGCGGCAAACTACTGCGCCACAAGTGGCGGATTTGACGCAAGCGGGCGGCCCTTTAAAAGGGGAGGGGGATGCCTGGTTGAGACCTGAAAATTTGGGCACTTCCTCTTTTCCTATTCATCTACTGTACCAACCCCAACACCTTCGCGATCATCGTCTTTCCTCTTGACTTCGGTCAATTTATTTGATTTGTCACTTTTCCTGATCCTCAGGAATTGTTTCTGCTCTCCTCTTCATAACCCTCCCCCTCTGAATCGACTCCTGTTGTGGTCGTGAGTGATCGGTGGACGCGTCTTGCCGGTATCTCTATTCTACCACAAATCCCCTCATTTGGTGTGGGGTCAACACGATACTATGGGCGACGGATCTGACTATCCTAGTCCGCGAAGTGAAGCTCCGCACGTGGTTACTGTTGCCTCTGCCCTCGCCTCGGCCACAGAATCTCTCTCTTCAATTGCCAGAATGAACGAACAAGCCGCTGCCCTCGGCTATGGTGCCATGGAGAGCGCGCGCCCGCGCCTCTCCGTCCGACGCAACCGCGATCCCCCAAAGAACGCCGAAGGTCAAATCTATTGCGACCACACCGACTGTCAGGCTGCGCCGCCTACTTTTCGTCGTCCTTGTGAATGGAAGTAAGTATTCTCATCTCCCTTCCCACGCGACCGTCACTTCTGGGTACTCTATACTAACTCGTCGCTCCTAGTAAACATATGGATAAACACGATCGTCCATACAAATGCTACGAACCTGGTTGTGATAAGATTCAAGGCTTCACCTACTCGGGTGGTCTCTTGCGCCACCAGCGCGAAGTTCATAAGAAGAACAATGACGCGAAGAAGCCTTTGATGTGTCCTTATGCCGACTGCAACCGCAGCACCGGCAACGGGTTCACGCGCCAGGAGAATCTTCGAGAGCACTTGCGCCGTCGTCACATGCACACTGATGAGGGCCCGACAGCTTCCATCCTTGTTGATTTGCCATGGGAACGCGCCAGCGAGCTGGAGGGCGTTCGCGCCAACTCCCTCCCGGCCACTGGTGGTCTCAAGCGCAGACACGAGGATTCGCCCAACGGGGACCTCCAGGATCCCGATGAGAATGGCGATGACCTCCACAACGAAGTCAAGCGACTGCGTCGCGAGGTTCAGGAGAAGGATCGCCGCCTGGAGCAGCTGGAGCGCATCGTTGCCGATCTCCAGCAAGCCCTTCCTCAGCCGCCTGTGCCCGAACACGACCCTCAGCTTACGCAGGCGATGCCACCTCCTCCACCCCAGGCTGCTGCTCCTCAGCTTTAGAGCCCCCTTTCCGTCTCTACTCCACCACTTAATCATCTGGGATGGCTTTTCGTGTGATGTTACTCTTGCATTCCGTGGGCGTTTCTCCTCTCAATCCGAGGTCTTGAATTATTTGTTTTTTTTTTTCTATTATTCGTCGTTTCTCCTCCCCAAGTTCTCACCATGTCTACTGCATCTGGGTTCATTGTCGATGGCCGGGGGTCGATGGCCGTCAAGCTAGCTATTAGGGTACTAAGGCGTTTTGCTTGACATTGGCTTTCAATGGGTCAGGCGGTTTTCTTTCCAACAGGTGTATCTTCGCCTCATATACCCTGGTGTACCATTGTCTTTTTTTTCTTTATTTCTATTCCCAAGCTTATTATTTGCCCGAACCGCTATCCTTTGCCATCTCAATCTACTCGATTCTCACATAATATCCTAGTCGCAGCTGCGGCTGTAAGCCTCTTCCATCATAATCTTCTCGTATTAATTCTTAATGAAACTCCGAGTTTTCGATCGAATACTTTCTCATCTCGTATTCCCTGCCTAGCCCTAAACTATATACCTCGTACCTCGCAGCCTCGCAAACAAGGCATCCGTAGATCCGTCGATCCCTGGAAAATGGGGCCAAAACACTGACACCCTGATCCCCAGGCTCCCCAGATGCCCCAGCCACACCCGTCACCAGCGTCAGGCAACCACTAACACCTGAGGCCTCCCAAACCAGGCCTTCCATCCATTTCAATCTAGCTCAGTAGCTTTCAGGCCCTGCCTAGCGTAACTTTCCTTTCCCGCCGACAACCCCACCTTGTACAGTAATCCCGCCTAGCGGCGCTTGAGCCTCATGGTGGATTTGATTTCCCGTCCGCGGGCACCCGATTCATACGAGCCCGTCGTCGGGGTCTGACGGGATACGAATGAGTCATGTTGGATGGTGGATTCGTCATGGGCGTGAGAGTGGGTATGAGAGTGGTGCTTGTGCTTGCGCTTACTGGTGGCTTTCGTGTCATGGGTTGGGGGCAGGGCTCGGAGTTAGTAGGTCGGAGGTCCGGTGGATGACTGTGGATGGTTGTGGACTAATGTAGGTAATTTTGGGAAGGTTGCGGTGGGTGTATTTGTAATCGTGATGCTGGATTTGGGTTTGATGGGGGCGTTGCTAGTCATGGGGATAGGCTAGATGTCAGCATGGGTCGTCCGAGATAGTACTAACGAGTCGGGGATACTGTTTTGTCTTGTGGGTTCGACGGAGGTATTGTCAGCCATGGGGGATAGGCTGGTTGCCAGCATGGACGGTCCAGGATGCTGTCACAGTGGGTGCTATGGAGCCGGGGGAAGTGCTTTGGCATGCGGATCGGACGCGGGCGTGGCGAGTCATGCCGGATAGGCTAGATGTCAGCATGGACGGTCCTAGATGTTGTCACCCTGAGTGGCTATAGACCTGCGGATGCCTAGGACTGTTCCGTGTACGCAGGAAATCGATGGCTGCGACTGGTGTATGGCTACGCCGCTCGTCCGGCATAATGCACACCCCAAGGTCATCGGTTATTTGGATGAGCCGCAGAGCAGCGTCTCTTGGTGTTGTCTCGGGTCAATCAGGGATGGCACGAAGAGTATATCGGACTCAACACGACTAGAAGCCGGGTGGATTTGAAAATGCCCATCCCAACCTCACCAACCAGACTGATGGGGGTATTTTGCTGCGGAAAAAACAGAAGTTACCGTAGACTGTCCAAATAGTTGTTAAGATGAGTACCGTATAGCCTCAGATGCTCAAGATTCCCCTCCGGATACTCTGAGGTGTATAATATCGATGACATGGTGGTCCAAGGCTCGGCTGAATAACATGAATTCCCCATACCATACCGTCAGGGTCAGAATTTATGCTTTGGAATAGGCGTTTTGGTCGACAGGAGCCAAGGACGAAATGAGCTGCTCCGTTGACGATCCGCTCTGCGCTATGAAGCGCACTGTACTACCGGGTTGGTCATGTGGATGTTGAACAGGACAGGGGTATAATCCGTCATCTTGTAATGCTGTTTCCATGTGCAAGTAATAAGGATGCCGGCTTGGATATCAACATGGTTGATGGTAGTGGTCTCCATCCAATATCAAAATCCACCGCATGGGGTGCAAGCCTCCAGATCAGGATCAACAAACCATGTTTGGCCCTTGAGTGGTCTGAAAAAGACCCATATCAATAGTGGGGATCCGGGGGAAAGAGTGGGGGGAGCTAACGCGGTTTGTTTGCCTTGAGGGGCTATATACTGGTTTAAGGGTCCCATTTTCAACAAGGCCACTGAGGTGGCCTAGTTGGTAAAACAGCTAGGTCATCGCACTCCTCCGGCGGGTGGGAGGGGTTCGAAACCGGGTGGGGTCGATCACTCGCATAATCGGCAACGCTCTCTCCATGATCGTCTTGTTACCCAGTACCGGATGGCCAGTGGGGCGGAGTAACGGCCTCGGAAACCATTCTGGGCGGCTCGGGTTCGGTCTTCTTCTCTTTTTTTCATATTTCTACCATAAGGTATGGTTGGAGAAATGGAGCTTGATGTGGATGTCCTGTTGTGGTCGAGATGTTGACTCTCTCCGCATGCGGCTCCACCAGCAACGTGTCTTACATAATCTCGCGGCAGCTTCCCCAGGTAGGTTAATTCAACCTCACCTCAAGGCCGGATGGTGGGGTCATCTTACAACATTTGGTACACCGATCAGCAAATCTCAGGAACCCACAAGGTGTGCGAATATTCTCCTGGAAAATTTTTCAGTCAAGAAATTGAAGCCATTCCGTGACGGCCATGCGCCGGTGAAGGCAGGCTTTCTCCAACAGCACTTGGGGCATGGTGTTCCACTTTCCACCAATTTCCGAGCTGCTCTGCTGAGTGGAAGTTTCTCGATCTTGCTTCTTCTTCTCGTTCAGTGCTGCTCGGGTGGTAACCTCGACATCGATCTCTCTCAACAATCACACGCGTCAGACATCACAGGCCTTGCCAGACATCATGTCTAAATCCTTTCCATCGGGTGAAGTGCCCATGTCCCACGATACGCAATCACATTATGTCCGCACACAGGATTACACCCCCGGCCCCAAATACCCTCCCAATGCCGGTATGAATCCAGCATTAGGCTACTTCGGCCTTGGTCAGTTTGAAGATGACAACGACACGGTTGTGGTTGACAACAAGATCTTCAGCCGAGCAACACACCAATTTGCAGACGGCGATTTTATCTGCCCTGAATTCTTCAACCTCGCCTCTCTCGATGGGTTCACTCGTCGCTTCAAACATTCGCAGTGGAGCTATGAGATGCGCCGGGCGCCTCAGCCCATCCTTCCCTTCTTATCACTGGGGCCGTATTCAAGTCTACGGGACCTGGAGCTACTCCGCAGCCAGGGCTTCACACTTCTTCTGGCAATCCGCAATCGTCAATCCGCTCAAGCACGGCTCGTTTCCGGTGACAAGGCCGCCAGTCAACTCGGCATACAGGCTGATACGATCGACGTTCTTGATAATCAAGAGTTGATTTCCGCGTTCCCTCGAGCAATCCGCCGAATCAATGATCATCTCGCGGGGGTGGACGATAGCAGCCACTCTAACTTGGGCTCTCCGATAGCTGACCACTCGCTACCCAAGAGAAAGGTCCTTGTCTTCTGTGAATCAGGAAATGAACGTTCGGCTGCTGTGGCCATTGCATATATCATGGTCATGCTTAACCTGGATGCCGTCCGCGCCACCCATGCAGTCCAGCAGCACCGATTCTGTGTCTCCATTGAAGATCCCATGAAACGCATTCTCGCTTCCTTCGAGTCCATTCTGATGGCCAAACGTGACGTCGAAAGTGCTAAGCATGCCAACATGCAAAGTGGAGCAGCAACTCTTGCGCCTCCTCCTGTCCCGCCTGTGCTACTGGCAAAGAAACGTAGCTTTGCTGATCGACAGGAACACGGTACCGACATGGCTGATTCTGACATGGACATCGATGACGAGGGCCATTCATCCATGGATCGAATGCCTCGTGCACCGTTCCAAGATCGAGTCGCTTAGATCGAACTCCCAAATGCCATATGCTTGCTGAACATAGCTTGAGTACGACATTTGCACACATCGGCAGTGGATATTCGTCTCAGCTCTCGCTATGGCCAACAGAACTCAAGAAGGTAGAAGAAGATCGATGGGTCTAGATCGTGGTTTGCAATGTGGGTTGTCTGTATTGCTGTGGTTATATGGTGGCTTTGTCATTCTTATGGCTGTTTTTTAGAGAGCGAGTGTCTTTTTATCCGTGGTTCTAGTCGTCTTCGACGGAAATACCCATCTGATGTTGCATATCTATTGCTACTTGATATTCAAATATCTCTCCGAGTTCGTCGGCCCCGTTCTGTGGTGCCTAAATTATTCCATTGGCAGTAATCAGTAGAATGAGTTGCCATGGTTGTCGAAGATTGTGGGGAAGGCGCATGTAAAGCTCTGAGGAAGGCTCGCGTGAGCCCATCAACAACCACAACAACAACCTCTTCCTCTCCTTTTCTCTTTTTCCTCTTCCCCCCGTCTTCCTTCATCATCTTCCTTACCATCTTCCTTCACCATCCCATCCCTACTTCATCCTGCATCGTTACCATCCTTATCTTTCTTCGCCAGACTGAGTATTATCGTGAAGCCTCATATCTTGTGTCTTCAGTTCGACACATCTCTCACTTGCGGGGCAACCTGGGGCACCAGCCTCTTGCTTTCTCTCTGGGAGAAAGTATCGACTGCTCGACATCACGTTCCCTGCTCTACTACACTTTCGCCTGTATTTTTCATGCGTCACCTTGTGAGAAAGAAGCCCTGCTGTTGATACTTTCGTTCGACCGTCTCACTGGTCCTGTGAAAAACCAACGAAACCGAAACCAACCCTCACGCGTCTGACGTGAGGCAATTCAAAATGGGCAACAAGAAGACAGCCAAAAAGAAAAGCCACAAGAAAAAGTTGCGCACCCCCGCGCGCCCCTCCCCTCCCCCCTCTGACCATGTAGAGGAGCCTCCTGAAGCCGACGAAGAAATTCTGACACACGAAGAATTTATGGAGCGCATTCGAAGCATTCGAAAGGCTCGCGCCGAAGCGGCTGGCTTGGAGTACCACACCCCCACCCCCTCAGCCCAAGATAAAGGGCCCTGTGATCCCCCCATTCGATCCTAACCTTCCTCCCGCGGCATTTCCAAGCCTGCCGCCCATTGGACAGCCGATCCCTACCGGTACCAGAGAGGGACACTTGCGTCGAGTCAAAGAAGACCGTGAGAGACGCGTTCAAGGTCTTGAGCCTCTGCCTCGCGAATCCTATCACCCAGGCCCGGTCTTCAGAATCAGTGGCCAGGATGATGCACCCAAAGTCGACAAGCCAGCAAGCCAGGAGTCTGCTAAGGTCTCTGCATCTAATGTCGAACATGAAGCCCCTGGCAGAGCCAATGCGAACCTCGAAGCCAGTGACACCCTCCTGAACCCGGTCCACAGCAGCAACATGGCGGACATGGTAGGTGAAGCACAAAAGGACTCAACGGATGCCAACAAATCGGACCTTGCATATCGATCCAACCTTGACTTCTCGGACACCGACAGTGAGGTCATTGCCGAGTCAACTGTTCCTGTTCCTGAATGGGATGACCTTCTCCCGTCACTCAAAGCGGAGATCGCAGACAATCTTCTGGAGAATGATGAATGGAAGGATGCCGCACAAAAGCTCGGCCTCACTCAGAAGCAGCGGAGAACGGCTAAAATGTGGGCAAAAAGATACCAGCAAACTCTTGTGCGAGAGGATAGAGAAATGGAAACAATGAGAGACAAGCAGCGCAACTATCTGCTGAGCGTGGATCACAGCCAGATCGAAGATGATCAGGCCGAGCGCGTCCTAGCCGAAATTGCTTCCAAATCGCAGCAGAAAATCCTCGAGCACCCAGATCGAAACCTTAAAAAGTGCAAGACCAGCGATCTGTGCAAAGCCTGGCGTTTCCTGAAGGAGCATGGGCTACCCCTGGAGTTGGCCGGGGACTGGAGTAACGGCGTTGAAGAGATTCGTCCTTTTGAAAATCCTCGGACCAAGCGTGTGAGATGGACCGATCGTCTGACTACTACCGAGGAGCTTCCGCCCATGCCAATGGAGGCCGGCCCAGCAACACAGCCATCGTTGACCGAGAAGACAGTCTCTCTCGACAGTTTCAGTCAGGGAGGTTCAATCGCTCCGCCTGCTCCGGTGCGGCATCCGATTGAGAACATGGAGGGGCATTGGGATGAGTGGGAGCGGCTATTCACTCAACCCGATGAGAACCGGGCTCACCTTGCCCGTGAGAGAAGATTGCGGCTTGCCCACGGCGCAGAAGGCGCGGCCGATATCATGGCCAACGAGAATGGGCCCGCGCTACCAGAGCCTCTGGTTGCCCAATTCCGCTATAACCAGCGGATTGAGCTGGCCAAGCGCGAGGCCGAGGAGCTTGCTGCGGCCGCAGACATTCTTCCCCCCACGGGCCAGGACATCGCGGAGGGAACGTGGGAGGAAAAGATGGAGGCTCGCTATCAAAAGCTGGCCAACGACTGCGAAAAGCTTTTCCTCAGCCACGATTCCCGTCCGGATGTCGAGTATGAGGAGAATTCAGAGCTTGATGAGGAGGCTCTGGATAAGTTGCTGGAGGAGGCTAGCCGGTTCAACGAGGAGTACCGGGGCGTCGCGAAGTCCGGGTCTTCCTCACGGCCTAAGGGCTTCGATGTGAACATGGAGTGATCTTCTGCCTGCCACTAATCAGCGGCAAGGAAAGCAGAAGTGAGCGGCCATGAAGTGTAACGTTTGATTCTGAATGTGCAAGGTGGAGGCAACATGAGTGATGAGATGACTTCCGACTGTCTACTCGTTGTTGATTTACGGACTGAATTTTCGGGATCTATCAACTTCCCGTATGAGACCCTTTGTTAGACTCGTTGCCTTGGACCCTTGTGGACTTCGGAGGAAGTTTTTGGGAACCTGTGAGTTTGGTATGTGAATCGGAAATAGGTGGCATTGGGAGGGAGATCTGTTTCTGATCTATTGCAATGTTGGCCATCACATCTTTTCGTATCTACTCACAAGTCTTTGATAATAAATCTACTCCGTACTTTGTTTGATTAAAACTTGGTCCGTGCACCCGACGCGAAAATCCGCGTCAGACACGCGTAGACTACTAGCCTCCGATTTCAAGCACTTTTCAAGAATACCGTTGGTTTCCATTGAAGTTCACGATATTGTAGGATATTGTGAAAACCTTGTTGTGGGCACTATTTGGAGAGTAGTCGTTCTTTCCACTTTTCGAGGAATCTGGTTTATGACAAATTCTCACCCCTGGGAATGACGTCTGGCCTGTCCTGGATCGAGATCTAACCCACACTCCTTAACACCCTCTTTCTTGCTTTCTCTCCGGATCACTCATTCAATCTCGCTGAAAGACTTCTCCCTACTCGCAATGTCTGCGGTAGACTCGCCCATTACGCCTACCGATTCTCGGTCTGGGACTACTCAGCCCGAGTCGACCGTGCCCTCGTCTCCGATGACCGAGCCTACCGATCAAGGCCAGAAAGAATACTCGGAGAAGGAACTAGATACGAACAATCGTGAATATGGAGAAAAAGACACAGACGCACCGAATGGCGACTCGGCAGGGGCGACAGAAGCGGCGGAAGATACAGAAGGCATGGATGTCAAGGCAAAGGCCTTGATGCATCTCCTTAAGACGAGCTCGGTAAGCCGCAGCTACTGTGTGACCGACTTTCTACGGCCGACGGCTAATTCTGGTGTGCCAATAGGTCTTCGTTGCTATCATGTCAGAGAAGATGAAGAAACAACAGGAAGAAGCTAGACAACGGGCCGCCCACCAGAAACGAGATACCACCGAGCCAAAGGCGAACCCCAAGTCCGCAGCTAGCGCTCGACGCGAGACCCGCAATAAAGTCAAGGACGAACCCGCGGCTGAGGAAACATTGAACGAACCAGCCGCAGGGAGGAGAAGGGGCCGTCCTCGCAAGAGCGGCGCCAACGGGAGCACAATCTCCAGCTACTTTCAGAAAGCCGATGTCAAGGTCGACGAGGACAATCCCACCGTTCAAGAGGCCCTTGAACAGGCTGCGGAAGATTATGAGGCCAATCCGACTGCTCTTGGTGGGCAGGAGCTGGTCGCCACTCAGCAGCCATCTCTGGTAACCGGCGGCAGGATGCGCACCTACCAACTGGAGGGTCTGGAGTGGATGAAGACGCTGTGGATGAATGGACTTTGCGGTATTCTTGCAGACGAGATGGGTCTAGGAAAGACCGTGCAGGCTATCTCAATGCTTGCTTTCCTGAAAGAGAACAATGTCTCGGGTCCTTACCTTATTGCAGCGCCGCTTAGTACCTTGAGCAACTGGATCGATGAGTTCAAGAGATGGACTCCCGACATCGAGACTGTTCTATATCACGGTACTAAGGAGGAGCGTGCGGCCATTAGGAATAAGTGTATGAAAACACGTGATCAGGGAAAGATGAATTTTCCTATCATTTGTACATCTTACGACATTTGTATCAACGATTCAAAGTTCCTTGGACAATACCAGTGGAGGTATATTGTTGTGGTATGTTCTGGAATACTTCTGCTAACACGAGCAACGCTAATCGAGTCTCCAGGACGAGGGTCATCGCCTCAAGAACATGAATTGCAAGCTCATAAAAGAGTTAATGACATACAATTCGGCCAACCGGTTACTTATCACGGGTACGCCATTGCAAAACAACATCTCTGAGCTATGGTCGCTGTTGCATTTCCTGCTTCCGGAGGTTTTCAATGATTTGAAGAGTTTCGAGGGCTGGTTCGACTTTTCGTCTGTTTTGGATGATTCAGGCAAAGCCGAAGTTATTGAACGACGGAAGCGCAACTTGGTGACCACCATGCATTCTATTCTCAAGCCGTTCCTTCTGCGGCGTGTCAAGACCGACGTGGAGCACTCTCTTCCCAAGAAGCGCGAGTACATTCTATATGCTCCGCTTACTCCCGAACAGAAAGAGCTTTACAGAGAAATCCTGAGTGGCACTGGACGTCAATATCTTGAAGGAAAAGCCTTGGAGCGTCTGACAGCTAAAAGTTATACTACTACTCGCTCTCGTAGCTTGAAGCGTCGTCGCAGCAGCGATGAGCCAGAGACGCCCAACAAGAGCCAGCGCACAGCCCGAGACAGCATGCCCGCCAGTGGCACGGCTTCAGCCCGGCGACGCCGAGGTCCTCAGAGCTACAAGGATATCAGCGATCGAGAATTCAATTCCAAGTTGCGCAAGCTTGAACAAGGAGTCGAAGAGGATGAAGAAGAGATAGACGAACCTATTGACACTGAACTAGAGGAGATTGAACGGGCAAACAATCTCAAACTTGCTAGTACGTTCGCGACAGCCATTCTGGATGCATTATACTCGGCTGACAATTTTCACAGAGAAGGAGATCAGTCAAAAGAAAATGATGAATCCCATCATGCAAGCCCGTCTGGCCTGCAACTCTCCCCACAACTTTTACTGGCCATGGATGGACGAGAACTCCACAGTGGACGAAACTCTCGTGTCTGCATCTGGCAAGATGCTTCTCCTTGACCGTCTAGTGCCCTATCTCTTCAAAAAGGGGCATAAGATCCTCATCTTCTCCCAATTTAAGACGCAGCTCGACATTCTCCAGGATTGGGCTACACAACTGCGAAACTGGCCTTGCTGCAGAATCGATGGTGCAATTGCCCAGGCCGACCGCCAGGCGCAAATCAAGGCCTTCAACACGGACAAGACTCACAAGATCTTCCTGCTCAGTACTCGTGCCGGTGGACAGGGCATTAACCTCGTCGCTGCGGATACCGTCATTCTCTTCGACTCCGACTGGAACCCTCAGCAAGATCTCCAAGCCCAGGACCGAGCACACCGCATCGGACAAACCAAGCCTGTGATCATCTACAGACTCGCAACGAAGGGCACCGTCGAGCAAACCCTTCTCGAGAAAGCAGATTCCAAACGTCGCCTTGAGCGTCTGGTCATTCAGAAGGGCAAGTTCCGGTCTCTCCTTGACACGGGCAGTGCCCATGACGTGGAGGAGCTGAGGAAGGTACTCGGTGAAGATGAATTCGAGCGCTTCGAAACTGGCGCCGATCCTGCGTCCATTCTTTCAGATGAAGATCTCAAGATCCTCACGGATCGTAGTGAGGAGGCCTATGCCCGTGCTGAAAAGGGTCTCGAAAAGAGTGGGCCGGCATTTGTTTCTGTCGAGACTAAGCGTGATGCTGGCGAGTCTTTGATGTCTTAAAGATGTATACTTTTGTTGGCTTTTCTTTTGCTTTGTGTTCATGTTCATCCCGAGCCTGGCTGGTGGTTTGGTAATGTTCTGCGGCTCTACAGGTGTTTTGTATTGGTGTGTGGTCTTAGAGGGACTCGGTCTTTCGTCTTATTTCACCATGGGTGGCTTATTGTGGAGTCTTTGCCGTTGGCTCTGTCCTCCTCCCTGCTGGTATCTACAGCAGGTGAAGAGTTGCATCATTGTACAATACGTGACGTTAGATTTCTAGAGATGCATAGCTAACTCTTGTGTTCAATGACAATAAAAAAATCCATTAAGCGCCTGGAGCTCCTCGCCAGAACTATGGCTGTACATGAAGATTAACGGTCAGAAGGGTAAGATGTATGAATGAAGTAGGCCAACCCTCGCCACGAGCCACGATTTCAACGCTCAGCGTCGAGACCTCTCCTCCTCAATCTCATGGCGCAAGTCAGCAAGAACCCCCTGCCGCTGAGCAAGATGGCTCTTCAAACTCTCAACCTGTTCACCCACAGTCTTAACATCCTCCCTCGCCCGTTCCAAATCCTGCCCATCCTTCGACCGACCAACACCCTCCCGCAGCTCCCGAAGCTCCCGCTCCTTATACTCCAAAAGCTGCAGCGCCTCCTTCTTGATCAACACCCAATTGGGCCGGCCGTCATTACGCGGCCGATCCCGTCGAGTCTCGGATGCCTCGCGGGCGAATTGCAACTTCGTCTCCATATCGGCAAGTTCCCGGCGCAGCCGCACCTTCTCCCACTCCTCGTCCTGGATCGTTTCGCTAAAGTCCGTGCCCTTGGGTTGATACGAGCCCTTGCCGCCAACGCCCAGTCGGCTCAGGTAGGTATCGCCGAATTTGGCCTTGCGGCCGGTTCTTGTCTCCTGGTCGCCGTCGGCGCCCCAGCGTTGGGCGGGGCGGGCATTGTTGTCGATTTGGTAGTCGATTTGGTTGCTTTCGAAGGAGGAGCGGAGGGATGCGGGGATTGTGCGTGGGATACGGAAGCCCTCGTGGCGGTAGTTGAGGATGTGGAGGAAGGCGAGGGTGGCGTCTTTGTTGATGGCTTGGGAGGCGGAGGGGTTGACGAGGTTCCATGCGGAGCGGATGTCGGTGTCTGGGACATCGAGGGACTCGTAGAGGGGTTGTAGGGATTCAACTGGAGGGGCATAGTTAGCGCTTTGCTCTGAACGCGCAAGGAGGGAGGCTGGGAGATCTCACAGGTAATATCGCCGCGTTGGGTTCGGCTGGAGTTGTAGATCTCCTCGTACTTCGACCTGTCGGCGGGCTTCATGTACCAGTCAAAGCCATCTTTCAGGCCGAGAGAGTCATCCTCTTCCTCTATCCGCTCAAACTGTTCCGGACGATGCAATGCCCGCGTGGCAGCGACGAGATGTGATTTGGATTCGGGGACGAGCCAGTCTGGCAGCACGGGCGGGACTTCTTGGAGCTCCTATAATTAGGCACGTTCACGTTAGCTTCCTCTTGTCTCACGAGCAGCATTTCCAAGGCTGTACATACGCCATTGACCAGGTCGAACACTAAGCGCATTGCGACGCAGAATTCCTCAAAGTCCAGCTCTCCGTCACCATCCACATCCGCAATATCCCAGACCTTCTCCAGCTGGTCATCGCGGAGTCCACTGTTGCGCAGCACCGAAGCGGCCTGTGAACTGTTTAGGTGTGTCTGACCATTTGAGAGCGATGAGAAGATCTCCCAATATCGCTCAATCTCCCATTGCTCGATCTTCTTATTCGACATGGTGCGGGTGTTAATTGGTGTGGAGGTTGGATGATCGGGGCGGGAGTTTGGGGGGTAAAGATGGATTGGCCCGCTGTCCGCCTTCAGGGGATCTGAGGTCATTGTTGTACGGAGGTCCATCCAAAAAGTATTGCGCAGCGCACGTACCACCATTATATTACCACTAGCGTTATACCAAGCGAATACACACAATCCCCCTGAATAGAATAGTCTTCATCTTCTGTCTACTACCTATCTACTACTACTGCTGCCTACATCTACCATTATGCCAAAACAATCAACCCTTGCTGATCGTGTGACTGTCGTCGCATTAAGGGCGTATACGACGAAAACGTCTGCTGAGATCGCGAAGATAGTAGATCTATCAATTGCTACTGTTAATCGTATCTACGCGCGCGCGATAGAGCGCGGTTTTGACCCAATCCATACAAAGATCACCGACGAATACGTTCAAGACGGTGCTCGCTCTGGTCGGCCAACTAAGCAAGATCCTCAGACGGTTAACACTATTCTGTCGAAGGTGCGCCTTGATCGATTTGGTCGAGAGAAAACATGCGCTGATCTTGCTGGAGAACTTAGCCAGGAAGGGATCGAAATTTCATCCTCTACTGTCTGGACTATCCTCAGGAAGGCCGGTTTACGCAAGACGAAACCGACGAGGAAGCCTGGACTGACGAAGAAGATGCGCGCTGAACGATTAGCTTGGTGCTTAGCTCACGAGCACTGGACTCTTGACGATTGGAAGAATGTGATCTTCTCTGATGAAACCTCGGTTATTCTTCTACATCGCCGTGGTGGTTATCGTGTTTGGCGTTCTAAGGATGAAGCTTTTCTACGCTCGTGTATTCGTGAGCGTTGGAAAGGCTCTTCTGAGTTTATGTTTTGGGGCTGTTTTACCTACGATAAAAAAGGCCCTTGTCACTGTTGGTGCCCTGAAACTGCTATACAAAAACGTGAAGCAGAGCAAGAGATTGAAGCTCTTAATCAAGAGATCGAACTAATTCTACGCGAACAGTGGGAGCTAGAGACTGGCGTACGGCGTATTAATCTTCGTCGACAGCCTGCTGGTAAAAAGCCTACCTGGAGATTCAATAAGCAGAATGGAAAGCTTTCACGAGGATCTAAGGGTGGAATTGATTGGTATCGCTATCAAAAGATGATTCTTCTACTAAAGCTTATTCCTTTTGCTAAGGAATGCGCTACAACGCGGCCAAAAACGATCGTACAGGAAGATAAAGCTCCAGCGCATAATCATTATATTCAACAGCGAGTATTTGATGCAGCTCAGGTGCAGCGATTAGTGTGGTGCCCAAATTCGCCTGATCTCAATGCTATTGAGCCTGCGTGGCCTTGGATGAAACGAAAGACTACTAGAAAGGGAGCGCCTAAGTCTAGACAGGAAGCTATTGCTATATGGAATAAAACCTGGCAAGAGCTACCGCAGGAAAAGATTCAGGCTTGGATTGAGCGTATACCCACGCATATCAAGAAGATCATTGAATTAGAAGGGGGGAACGAATATAAGGAAGGCCGGTAAATTATACTATGTAGTACGTTAATGTAATTTAATGGTGGTACGTGCGCTGCGCAATACTTTTTGGATGGACCTCCGTACACCGTGCGCTAATATTCATGACTGTATTACTTTACTGTAGACTATGTAATAAGTTGTTCATTTATGTTCGAGAAATCCTTTTAGAAACCTGATTTAGTGCATTGATTGGCTTTCTTAGGTGACTGTCACTTATGTATGCTTCCATCTGTGAGCGTGACCTATCATATATGCAACTATGCTGTAACCAACTGGTGACATTTCAATTTCCAGCTCACGTGTAGTCCACAAATCAAAAAATCTACCGTCCACATATTGAAGCTGGTAAGATGGCCGAGTTGGTCTAAGGCGTCAGGTTAAGGTCCACCTTAGCACAAATTCCTGATCTCGTTTACGGGGCGTGAGTTCGAATCTCACTCTTATCACTCATTTTTCTTTTTGTCTGATTACCATTGTGGCAATCTTTTTGTCACTGTAATCTTGGGAATGGCCATGGTTCCTTTTTTTTTTTTTTTTCCCTTCTTAGAAGCTGTGGATTGGCTGGCCGCTTTGTATATAAAATGCGCCACCATCGTGTCGTAATCGGGGTTTTGCAAATATGTAGTTAGGTCGTGAAGCCCCACTGGTCGGAAATATATAAGCAAATGGACATTCATACATGATATGTATTCTGGATTCGTTTTACTTGAGTGGAGGATTCAGACCGAGTGTATAGGAAACATGGATTCTCCTCTCTAAAAAGGTAGAATTCCAATACGGACTAGTTATACCAGCAATATTCAGGACTACGAGGGGACTGCCAACTGACGGTGTTCCACAACCATCACCGAGACACTTGCCCCCATACCTAGGAATCTTTCGATTTGCGACTCGACGTCAAAGCATCACGAATCAACTCCTGAAACCAGGACGGAAAGCCACGGATGCCACAAATAAAAGTGAATCGACAGGGTAATATGAGTTGGGCGCCTTCTCCAGCATAAAGCTGGTCAACGATAGCATCCGAAACAGTCTCCGGCTCCAGACAAAAGTTCTGTGACTGTTTATCCCTGGTGATATGATCCACAAGAGGTGTACGAGTAAGGGTAGGGTGGATAATCCTAGATCAGAGTTAACACACGAACCAAGCCGGATTTCAGTGTACCACATTAGTAGCACTAGGACATACGTACGTTGTGCGAACCTTCGGAGCATTGTAACGGTGTTTAAGCTCCTGCGCAAGCCCTTCGTGGAAGGACAAAGCGGCTGCCTTCGTGCACGCGTAGCTCACGTTCTTCCCTTGAGTAACGAAGGATGCCATGCTCGCCACAGTCAAGATATGGCCGTGGTTCTGCTTGACCATGGCAGGAAGGAACTCCCTCACGAGATGAAAGTGGGAAAGAATGTTGATATTGAAGATCCTTTCTGTTTCTTTGGTAGGCTGGTCTATGATTAGCACGCTGTTTCCAGTGCCGGCATTGTTGATCAAGACTGTTGGATCGCCGTGTTGTCGGCGAATATCCTCTGCGACTTGCTTGATCGCGGCTGCAGATGATATATCTGTTTGGTAGAAGATGACATTTTCCGCTATGACGTGTAAGCAAATTTCCATTTTAGTGAAGTTTAAAGGGTAGACACTTGATATTCTTCAATGGAGTTTGTATATCCAGGATTATGACCTTAGTCCCATCTTTTGTCAAACGAGATGTCACCGCAGCTCCAATTCCACTAGATCCTCCAGTGATGACCACGAATTCCTTCGTCGAGTCCCATTTGAGTATCGTACGAGCTATTATTAGCAATCCGAAGGTCTTGCTACTGGATAAGGCTACTTCAGCTCTCGATGCTCAGGCTAAGCGGCTGGTATGATGCTGCTAGAAAAGGTAGGAAAACGATCACAATCAGTCATCGGTATATGTTCTTCGTTCAATCCTAGCGACACGCGCTAATCATTATTCAGGCTATCTACGATTATAGTGGCAGAAAACATAGTTGTGATGTCTTACGGCCCTGTTGTTGAGCAAGGAACCCACAAAGAGCTAATTAAGAAGCGATCAGTGGATTACGAATTGGTAGAGAAGCAGCGTATGTCGACGGAAGGGGATATCGGCCCAAGTGAAGAAAGTCCACGTTCGACGCAGATATGGAATTCCTATTTGAAACATAAAGGCAATAAGTCCAACATTCAAGCGTACCAGATTAAGGAGGCAAATTCCGATAGGAAGGCTTACGACCACAGACACTCTTTATGGGAGTTAACGAAGTTCGTCGCCAACTTCAATAAACAAGAAACATTCACGGTGCTTTGGGGTCTGTTCTTTTCGGTTATCACAGGCGCGGGAAATCCCACGTAAGTTTTTCTCCTCGTACGATGTGCAGAGTATTGACCCAGACCATTCCTCTAGGCAGGCTGTGTTCTACGGTAAGACCATCTCGGCATTATCGCTACCTCCCAATATGTATGGGAAACTCCTCCATGATGTCAATTTCTGGAGTCTGATGTATGTCATGCTGGGAGGCACTGCATTTCTGGGTTGGGGAGCATCTGGTCGTCAGGGTATTCCTTGAAACAAAGATACAAAGGCATGCAGAGTTTCTATTGGAGAGCTATTGGCCCTGTGTATATGGGCTATGGTACATCAACTATTAAGACAAGTATCTGAAGTGGGGTTTTCTCTATCCGATGCCTTTCCCTTTTCCCAAACATAAAGTAGATTGCTGATTGTCAGATCATGATTTCTTCTTCTCATCAGATTGAGCCTCTTTTTCTTTCCGTTTCTGGGCCTCTAGCTGCTCAGTCACCTGGATAATGGCCCGCTCAGCCTCCAGAGCCAGCTCCGGAGCATCCAAGATCGAGGCCAATTTCTTAGCATCGGACATCTTTAGTAGCACACGGTCGTCACTTTGCTCAATATCCTCGACCAATTCAGATGATGGTTTATCGACCGGGGTACCATCTAGTACGCGCGATGCACGCTTGGCGTATAGCTGTTCTAGCTCGGGTAGGGAAACAGGATTCAGTAGGTTCTTCTCCACAAGGTATTCCAGGTGTCGCGAGCCATTCAGCGCTGGTGGACACTATAGTTAGCAATTTTGATCAGACAGCAGAAAAATTCGGGATGCACCAACCGCGCCAATGGGACCAGCCTCGGTATGCCATGTAGAAGAACGGAATATTCGGGATCCTGCAGGAGGGAAGAGCTTCGTCAGAAAGAAATTCGCCAAGGTGACCGATCAAGCAACATACACTGGGACCAGCGCAAACGGCGCTGTTAAGGGAGCAATGCCAAAGCTCCACAACATTTTCTTCCTATGAAACTCCTGCCGCTCTGTCGCGATCTTGCGCAGAATGGTGGGGATCTTCTCCAAGCGCACCGAGTTTCCAGGATAAAGCACATCGATCTGCTTGCTGCCGTAATTCTCATCTATGCGCTGTTGTGCTTTGAGTGACGGGATGCTCTTCAGGCCCCATTCTTCGAAGGGGATGCGCTGTTGAACCTTATTGCCCCAGGTGACCAGGTGTTTCTTCCAGCCGGACTCGGCGTCCTCCCATTTCGCCCATGTCTCAGCTGCTTTGCTTGTGGTTCGATCGAGTAGTGAAAGCTCCTTTGAGGCGTCGCGTCGTAGTGGTCGGGCATAGATCAATGCTCGCCGCGTCGAGATGGGGATCAGGAAGAGGCGCATTGCGGCGGCGGGGGATGTGGATGTTTGAGGACGGGGTAACGGGGTGTCGCCGGAGGTTGTATTAAAGGAAAGGAGAGGCGACCGGCAGCATGTCCTTATTATCTGCACGTCTGGTAAAAGATGTCGTGAAAAGACGCGATATTCACTTTTTTTTTTCAACTCGAAGCGAAGGAAAGGAAAGGAAAGGACCACGGGAAGAGAAGAGGCCCGAGAGACTAAAAGAGACTAAGAGTAAGCAGGGGGAAGCGGAGACGTCATTCCGCGGCTGAGAGAATCTCGTTTGGTGGAAGATAAACTTGGACCTGCACTAACTTAACTAATCGACTTGGACCTGGATCCAGTCTCCATCCCGGAGCTTACATCGTGATCCATTCTTCCCTCTTTCAGTGGGCATTGGATTTGCCCAATTCTCCGATCTTCGTCTGCAATACCCCGAAGAGGCATGCGGAGCTTGAATTGACTCCATCCGCCAGCTCCGATCCTTTCTACACCTACGCTTTCATGGAGACTATGCACAGCTCAAAGCCCGACCACGCTTCGGGGCGTATCTTGAATGAAAAGCTGTCGGACAAAGTCCCTACCGGATCTTGTTCGCCAAATACGCAGACAACGCATCTAAGCATCGATACTCTGTCCGCGGTGCACAACGGATCTGCCTCCCCAGCCACGGCAACACGAACACCCGAGGGTCTGACGCTGGAGGAGATCACACGATCTCAACATTTTACATTGCGCACGCTACCAGGTATACCATCATGCTATTTATGAATAAATACGCGTTCTACACCATATCGCTGACGCTGAATTCCCTCTAGCTTGGATCCGATCGGTAGAAGAAGTCGAGGATGACGCCGAGGGAGCCGCAGCAACCGACCGACTACTACCCTCCCAGCCCCGTGATGCGCAGGTCGCTCATCATAACCACACTCCTTATAATATCTCCAGCCATGACTTTGCACAAGTGCATGATCCCGGTTTCTCCGAAGAGGACATGCCGAGTCGGGAATCACGTTGGGCGACGTTTTCGCGTATGATTCAGTACCCCCGAGAGTACATTGACGAATCCAAAGAGGTCACATCGGATTGGCTAAATGAGAACCATACGAATTACTCGGGCCCATGGCGCGGCAAGCTCCTGGACGGAGACAGCCCCGAACACCCCTTGCACATCAATGCGCGCAGGCGGGAAATCTGGACGAAGCGCTTCCAAAACTCGCTGTTGAGAAGTCCAATGGTGCCGCTGATATTACGACTGACGGTCTGGTGCTTCTCCTTGTCTGCATTGGCTTTGGGTGGATCTATACAGCACATGTCGGATAAGGGTCATACCGACCAGGGCCCGTCAGCACTCATGGCAATCATTGTTGACGCGGTGGCACTGGTTTACCTTGTGTATATCACCTTTGATGAATACACGTCGAAACCTCTGGGCTTGCGCTCGCCTTCAGCCAAGGCGCGGCTCATTCTTCTTGATCTATTTTTTATCGTCTTCGATTCTGCCAATTTGAGCTTGGCATTCAACTCCCTGTCCGAGGTGACAGGTTCCTGCACAGAAGCAGAGGTGAATCAAATATTTGACCCGCGGAATGACAGTATCTGTGTGCGGCAGAAGGCACTTGCATCCGTTTTATTGGTTGCCCTACTCGCTTGGCTCTTGACCTTTTGCCTCAGCGTTCTCAGGTAATCACGTGTCCCCAGTGTACAACATACGCAATATACTGACTTTGCGACAGGCTCGTTGAAAGAGTGAAACACTGAGAGTGACTCCCAACTCCGGCATGGATATCGGGACCATGTTATTTTTGGATAATACACGAATTCGGATTGGATCATATACATACATTGCTCTATACATGCAGAACAGGGCCATCATCCCCGTATAAAGGATCGTGGTGAAACCATGCCAGATCTTGGATTTTCTTGGCTTTCTCCTCTTCGCCTGCCTCGCCATAGCACATATCCCACTGTTTCCCAGGGGGATATGATCCCACCATCTTGAATGGTTTATCGCCCTGATCCTCCAACAGGCGATGCCCAACTCCTGCGGGCACGATAATCAGATCACCGCGATGGACTATCGGCTCAAATCGCCCAGGGTTCCCCTCACCACCAAAGCAGAGTCGAGCCTGCCCTGCCACGACACCGAGCACTTCATGAGTGGTAGAATGAAAGTGGTCCGTGCTGTACATGGTATATACCCATTGGGGCACCACTTCACCTACTGCTTCCAGGCGACTCTCAAGCTCGGCGGGTGTGGCGTCAAAGGCGCCATGGTATATCATGAGTGGTTTTAATTGGATCGAGGTATTGGGAATACCCTGCCACGCAGGTATCTGGCGAGAGGTCACTTTGATATCTGATGGTGGGTGGAAAGACATGATTGTATTTGGGGAGATGGGGGATTTGAAGCTCTCAGGCCTCTTTGGGATTCGGTCTTCAACCGTGGCAATGACGTCATTTGCAGACTGTACCATTCCCCGCTGGTGATCAAAGACCGCCCATGAACGATCAGAAGAAACCGCAGAGATGGCATGTTTTTGAGCTATGAGAGCCACCATACCATGGTAGTCTTCTATTGACGCTCTACTTCTAATAATGAAAGAATGAGGGGGTGTTGGGGTAGATATTGTCGATCTGCCGCAGTATATGATGGAAACTACGGAGTACCTGCTGCTGTTGTTTGAGGTTGCATTTTGGCTGTTCTATAGAACTCGAAGAAAATAGACACTATCATTCACAATAGATGAAAGAATGATACCAAACAAAGAGATCCGTTTGTAATTAGTACAGAAAGGGCATAGTAACTCTCGTTTGTGGAGGTACATCACAGCCGACACCCATACAAAAGACGAAGCTTCCATTCCGATCGAGACCCGCACTCACCGCCTTCTACAAAAGAGCCCATTCCCCACGCTCGTCGCCCTTCTCTCTCAGCCTCATCCACTACTGCCCGCCACACCTTCTGCCTAATCTCTTCATCTTTCCTCACTTTCGCTTTCCTTCCCCGAGGTGATCTACTCATTCACTTTTCTCGCTCGGTTGCTATCTCGTCGGGGCTGGGACCCTATCTACGCCCAGTAACGCGCCTTCCGTCACCGCGACTATCTGACGGCGTGACTCGTGGCGCTACACTTATCTCCGGTCTTGGAGAGTGTCGGTAGCGTATGTTCCACCCGGATAACAGTTCAGCATCCCATGTGGAAAGTAGTTTCTTTGTCAATCATTGCTAACCCACCATCTCGGTTCCTAGATTCCAAGGCATTCTCTCTTCCTTGCCTAACTCCGCCCCTTGACACCATGCCTCCCGCCATGCCTCAAACCCCGCACAAGGATGACCTCGAAGAAACGTGAGTTGGAAATCAATAAACATGGCGTGTCGGTATTCGTTCATGTGGACCAATCCCCTGACTATGACACAGGTGGTCGTTCTTGGAGGCGGGGATCAACAGTGTGATGTTGAAGCTGGAGGAAGGCGTTGACATGAAGACTGTAAGTGACGGGAATATTGCTGAGAATGGAAGGTTTTCTTCATTTCTGGAGCTAACTTCTGTCTTTCCTGATCTAGTATATGGCTCTCTACACGTGCGTATTCCGAACTCTCGACGATGCGGTACTCGCTCCTCGCTGACAAACCAACTTAGGGCCGTACACAACTTTTGCACTTCCCAGAAAGCTGTTGCCAACAATCAAGGCCTACAGGCGCATAGGGGAGGTTCGTCACCCATCCCAAGCCCACCCGGGGTTCAGAATTTGAGGACCGATCAGCTAACGCAGACTCCCATTCGGCTAGCACACCTTTTGGGCGAGGAGCTATACAAGCTTCTTGGAGAATACCTTTCCCGCCACCTGGCTGTAGTTCTGAACGAATCCAAAGGACATGCCGAAGAAGCTCTTTTGGGGTTCTACATTCGCGAGTGGACCCGCTTCACGACAGCTGCCAAATACGTTAACCACCTCTTCAGTTACCTGAATCGTCACTGGGTTAAGCGCGAGATTGACGAGGGAAAGAAGAACGTTTATGACGTGTACACTCTACACCTGGTCAAGTGGAAGGATGATTTCTTCGAGAATGTTCACGCCAAGGTGATGGACGCCGTGCTTAACTTGATTGAGAAACAGCGAAACGGAGAAACCATTGAGCAGTCGCAGATCAAGAGCATTGTCGACTCCTTCGTCTCGCTGGGCCTGGATGAGAATGACAGCAAGAAGTCCACTCTGGAGGTCTACCGCCAATACTTCCAGCGACCCTTCATAGATGCCACCCGGACATACTACGAGAACGAATCACGGCAATTCGTCGCAGAGAACAGCGTGGTGGAATACATGAAGAAGGCAGAGGCTCGGTTGGACGAGGAGAAAGCCCGGGTTGGCCTGTATCTCCACCAGGATGTCGCCAAGACCCTAACAGAGACATGTTTGGACGTCCTGGTGACTGCCCACTCTACCTTGCTTCGTGACGAGTTCCAGATCCTGCTGGACAACGAGCGCCAGGAGGATCTGGCTAGGATGTACCGGCTGCTCTCGCGCATCAAGGAGGGCCTGGATCCCCTGCGTTCTACCTTTGAGAACCATGTGAGGCGGGCCGGTCTGGCTGCCGTGGAGAAGGTTGCTTCAGAGGGTGACAGCTTTGAGCCCAAGTTGTACGTGGATGCTCTGCTCCAAGTGCATACCCGGTACCAGAACTTGGTTGATGACGCCTTCAATGGCGAATCTGAGTTTGTCCGCTCCCTGGACAACGCCTGCCGTGAGTTTGTTAATCGCAATCGCATCTGCAAGACCGCCACGACCAAATCTCCAGAACTTCTGGCGCGGTACACCGACTCGCTGCTCAAGAAGGGATCCAAGGCTGCGGAGGAGTCTGAGCTTGAGGAGATGTTGGTCCAGATCATGACCGTCTTCAAGTACATTGAGGATAAGGATGTCTTCCAAAAGTTCTACTCCAAGATGTTGGCGAAGCGTCTGGTCCATGTCAGCTCTGTATCTGATGATGCCGAAACTAGCATGATCAGTAAGCTGAAGGAAGCTTGTGGTTTCGAATATACCAACAAGTTGCAGCGTATGTTCCAGGATATTCAGATTTCCAAGGATCTCAACGCCAGCTACAAGGATTGGCAAGATAAGGTTCTTGATGACGATGACCGCAAGCGCATGGTCGATGCCCACTACCAAGTCTTGGGTACCGGCTTCTGGCCTCTCCAGCCCCCGACCTCCGACTTTACCGCTCCCATTGAGATTAACAGAACTGCCGAGCGCTTCCAGAAGTTCTACTTTGATAAGCACAATGGCCGCAAGCTCACCTGGCTGTGGCAACTGTGCAAGGGCGAAGTCAAGGCTAACTACATTAAGAACGCCAAGGTGCCATACACCTTCCAGGTGTCTACCTACCAGATGGGAATCCTGCTGCTTTTCAACGAGGCAGACACCTTTTCCTACTCTGACATTCAAAAGGCCACCAATCTGGTCCCTGAAATTCTTGATCCCAACCTGAGCATTTTCCTGAAGGCCAAGGTGTTGACCTCCAGCCCCGAGGGAGCTAAGCCTGAGCCTTCTACCACCTTTTCCCTGAACTACAACTTCAAAAACAAGAAGATCAAGGTCAACCTCAACATCCAGATCAAGTCCGAGCAAAAGGTGGAAACCGAGGACACACACAAGACCATTGAGGAGGATCGGAAGCTGCTGCTCCAGGTAAGTTATACTGTCTTCCATGGCTGTAAATTTGATGTGTACATGATTCTAATTGTTTCTCTCTAGTCTGCCATCGTCCGTATCATGAAATCTCGCAAGAAGATGAAGCACGTGCAGCTGGTGAACGAAGTCATCCAGCAGGTCAAGTCCCGCTTCCCGCCCAAGGTCCAGGATATCAAGAAGAACATCGAAGCATTGATGGAGAAAGATTACATCGAGCGTCTAGACGGGGACGAGATCTCTTACATTGCTTAATATCCCTTCGCCTTCTGCCCATTTCTCCTCACCTCTCCATCCCATCACCTTCGCGCAACTCATCGCATCTACACTACCCCCTTGCTTCTCATCGATTCTCTCTTTTTTCTTTTTCTCATTCGCCTTCTTAATACAGTTCTAATCAAGCTTCTTTCTCTTCGCATATGCGTCTCGGCAATGGGCGTGAAGAATTTGAGCCTGATCGGACTGGTAAAAGGGGCTTTGGCTTGGGTTGGGTTGATAAGGAGCTACGGAGCAAGAACCACTACATTGTCTGTTTATTTTATGGTCCATCTTTCATCATAGCGTTGAGACGACAGATCAATGATAACCCGGAATTTTCGTTCGTCGTCGGATACTTGATTCGGCTTGTCTTGTTTCTTTTTGTGTGGAGGCTAGTAGATTGGATTAGTACGACTTTCTAGATCTTGCAGAGCTTCGGTAAATGCGAGGCATTTTCCGTTAAAGGTACGTCTTTAGCAATGCAGATTAATTAGGCATTACATGAAGGCAGTTAGCAAGTGTTTGAGCCAGGAGAGCCTGATATCATGGTCAATGTTTATCATTTCATATTCAGAAGCTGTATACTTTATCAAGACAGAAACAGATAGAGAAAAGGGGTAAGTATAAACAAGAACAAGGTTGAATAGAACGAAGTTTATAATTTCAAAATGAACATGGGGTATGGGGTAATGCAATGATACAATGCCATGACTGAAAAAAAGCAGAAACAAAAACAAGAACAGAGGGGTGATTAATGCACAGAACGCAAGGGGATGCAATGCTCTACGTATATTATACTATAGTCACTGAGTGCTGACGGACTCCTTGACCGAGTCCTCAGTTGATTCGGATGGGTGCTGCTCTTCATGTTTAACGGGGAGCACCGTTGCCGCATCGTGCACAGATTTGTTCTTCTCAGGGTTCAGATCCACACGCAGTCCTTCTGAGGGTGTGAGGGACACAGAAGTAAATCCATCGTCATCAGTACGGGGCTCAGGAAGAGGCTTATCCTGCGCAGTAAGGTCATGCTTCTTCTTCTCAGCTTCGGTGCCATATTCCGTGAAACCCTGGGATAAAGGGGACTTTGGGAATGGCATGTCCGCAGCATCCGACTCTTCACGCTTGAACTCGCCGCTTTCACGACGGAGAATGATATTACTCCATCGCTTGCGACGGCTCAGACTGCGCGATAAACCTTCACCGTCTTCGCTGTGTCGGTGCATCGAGCGGCGGCGACCACGGTCTGAATCGAAGACTGTCTCGCTGACGGTTGGTAGGACGGGCGTTGATGGTGAGGCGGTCATACCGGGATTGGGAGTAGGAGCGGGCGAGGACGTGCGTTTGTCTTGCCACTCGCGACGCTTGTCGCTTGCCCATGAGCCCCATGAACTGAAATAGGCGCCAGCTTTTTGGCTGGCGGCGGATACAGAGGCTTGGGCTTGAGTTACGTCGATGGATGGTCTTTGGCGTGGGCTGAACCATGATCCAGATGTTTCGGACGGAGAGTCTGGTGCTGGTTGCGGAGGAGGCGAGCCGGGACCTTGACCTTCTTTGTCGAGGGATGTACGCTGTGATTGCGAGGCTTTCTCTTCGTTGCGTTTCCTTTGGGCTTCGCGCATGGACTCGATGTCAGACCAGAAGCTGTTGAAAGCGGCGCTTACTTTCTTCTGGCCCGTTGATAGGTGGCGGTTGAGTGCTTCTCGGCCTTCGCGGACGCGCTCGTCCAGATGGAGATCGGCGACTTGCTGGGATAGACGGCGCTGGACGTCTTCCATCGTCAGGCCGCCGGCACTTGGGTGTCGGGGTTCGGTGATTGAGAAGAGGAGCGCATCGGAGGTTAGCTTTGAGAAAAGGGCGTAGTTGGAGGTCTTCTGCCACTGTGTGAGGAACTCTACGTTGAAATCAAGGGCGGGATCGCCTTCGATATTGAAAGTTTGTAACTGCGCTCTACCTCGGTGCGGTGAGTCGCCGGAGGTATACGAGTTGAGTTCTTCGTGGTACTTCATGCACGATAGGAGGGCAAGTAGGTACTCTTCGAATTGGAGTCGGATGAACTCTTCCGAGCCCATGAAGCCGAGGGTCTTGGGCCGTGATGGGTGAGCTTCATCCCATGTGTCGTTGACGATCTGAGTGAGAAGATCGATCCAGCGTCTATCAGCCACGGAGAGTGTGAGAGCAGTGCGGAGGGGCAGAGATGAGATGTTGATGCTGTCTTCGTCAAGCTGTAAAGTGGAAGAACCTGGTTAGAGCGTTAGTCCAAAACTGATGCGAGAAAAGTACACACGTTGATTAAAATGTCGCTATAGCGGTCCTTTTGTTGCAATAGCAGGGAATTCGTTGATCCCACCACGTAGGACTTGGTCCCATCATCAGCTAGCAGATCCAGCTGCTGTAAAGGGGTATAAGGTCCGAACATGCTTCCCTGCAAACAGTGTTAGATTAATTTATCTATTATAATGGACTTAGACCGCAACGCTTACCTTGCCGAAGATTTGCAATGGCAGACCCATATATGCCAGCACTAATGAGAACGATTAGCGAGCCCATTATAAGACGAGGCCATCACCGAGATGCGGCTTACGGGAGCTTCGATCACTCGTCTTAAGCGAAGTCGGTTTCTCAACGGTCTCCGCGTAGCTGTCAAACGAAGGATCCGCACAGTCTTGAAGGGAATTGATGAGACCGGGTATTAGAGAAATAAGAGAGAATTGAATCATGCATAGACGCTCGCAACGAGTGCCGAAAAAGAGCATCTGTAAAGTTAGTACGGAGACTATCTCGGAGTAGCGCGTTTACATACCTTAGGCTGTAGCAGCAATCCTTTGAATAGAACCAGCGTCTGATATTTGAACTCGTGAATCATTTCACGGAGAGAAAGACCTTTGAATCCAGTCAGTCAATTGGTATGCCAAGAGAGAACGTCTCGATACTTACCTAGATTCTGATCTTTCGATTCATCATTCGACAAGCTGATCACCAGACCCTCGCGGAATTTCTGTCACAAATCAGCATATTGATCGCAGATCCAACCACGGGGTAAATCTTACCCTCAGAATATCAATATCAGAGAAATCCCTATTTGTAAATCCCGCCGTCAGCCAATTATCACCACCAAACCATTGCCACCTTCAACCCATATAAAGCGTCCACCAACTGGACACAACCACCAAGTCCATGCACCGAAGAAACACCCAACATACCGTTGAGCAAACCAAGCCGAGGTAACAACAGACAATTTCTCGCGCAATAGACCCACCCTCTGCGGGCTATCCGTAACCACCACCACAGCCTTTTGTACAGTAGACCGAGTCACTTCCGGCGGGCGATTGATCAAAAGGCTCGAGTCGAGCTGGCGGGAGCAAGCAATGCCGAAAAGCGAGGTAGCAGGTACAGTAGATGTTTCCTTACGGCGTAATGTGAAATACGAGAATTCTTCGGTCGAACTAGAGTCAAACAAGAACAGGTCAGCGCAATCGATACTGCGGTATAGAGATGACATCGCGGGGTGTGGTGTGGGCATGGGAGTCAAGTAGATTTGCTCTGGAAACATAGCACGTCTTGACTCGAGCTCGGGAGGAATTGGATTGCTTACAGGTGTGCGCCATCCGATAATGCCATGAAAGGCAATAGGGACCAGTCATTATCCGTAGCCGGGCTCGTTCCCTCGTCACCAATGCAAAGCTCGATCTCCGGACCCCTGCAGCACACGTTAGCCAATATTCTAGACCAAATCGCCTCCTACATAATGCGCTAGCACAATCCCAGGACTCTGCCGTCCTCGCGAAAGAAGCACACTCACCGCGCATGGTGAAAGTCGATCACCAGCACAATCGGGTTTTGTTTAGGTTGGACGGCCATTGGGTGTGTGCGGGGTTTTGATCGGCTTGGTAGAAGAGGGCGTTGATGCGCGAACGCAAGAGTTTAAGGGGGGAGGTTCTCCACAGCCAGGACAGCCAAAGGGGCTTAATTGTGTTTAGATCGCCATGAAATGTAGTGCGCTGGGAGAAGATCGTATAGGAAGATCGCATAGTTTAGGGGATTTCGATAGGCTTATCGCTCACGTGTTGATCGTGGGCGGTGTGAGAGGTTCCCCCGCGGTGATTCGAGATTATATGGATGTACTGTTCTGGGTTTCTGGTTCTCTTAGTGTTGGTTGTTGTTTTGTATTCTAATTTATTTCGTACTCCCATGTGGAAATTAGCTGTGTAGAGCACCATCGACACTAGGTACTGGTACTGTAGATTAAAGGGAGACAGTACACAACATGTACGTCACAACGCGACAACGCTCGAGACCACGGAATTTCCCCTCACCAACCGATTCTTGACGACAACGCCGGAAGAGCTATGGACAATGACTTCAACAGAAGAGAGGAAGTGGAAAAGAAAGAAAAACGAAAAGAAGTTAAAAGTCATCAGATAGGAGACCGAGAAATAACAACATTTACGCCAACTTGAAAAGGCATACCCCCAACACTCATAAGCTGATTTGGGCTTTCATGTGCAGTGAAAACCGACAGAGAGAAACAATGTAAAAACAAGGAAGACTAGCATGGCTGCAGATTATCACCTATACGTAGGTTTGAGGAGCCATGCCATCTTGCGCTGCACCCGCGACTAACGCCTGGCCAGCCTCGTTGGCTTGATCGATGTTGTGGAAGTCGAGGATTTCCGAGTACCTGTTCCGCAATTGTTAGCACGAGGCCGAAATAACAATCCAACGTCTGTATGTCCAAAACCTACATCATGATTTTCCAAGTATCGACAGGCAAATCGGCATCGTTGAAGGACCAGTCGAACTTCTCTTGGGCAACGGGCTCATCGGTAGGATCGTGGTAGGGTGCCAGGTATGGGTGAGCCAAGGCCTCGTCGGCGCGAATGCGCTTCTTTGGGTCGAACACGAGCATGCGCTCGAGCAGATCGACGGCTGGAAAAGAGGACGGTTAGTGAACTTGTGAAAATCGGAGGAACCCGGGAGTATTGCGGAGATCGGAAGTATCGCATACCATCGGCATCAGCGTTGTGGAACTTATTAGCCAGGTTTTGGCGCTCGCGCTTAGGAAGAGACTTGACGAATCGCAGAGTCTATAAATGAATCGAAAATTAGCATATCCAGTGGGTTCATCGCCAACGTAGAAAAACCAGGAATGAAAGACTCACGTTCTCACTGCAGATGGTCTGAATCACATCATCTGGGGGCGTACCCAGCAGCTCAGTAATGATGGAGAACTGGTTAACGTGGTCCTTTCCAGGGAAAAGCGGCTTTCCCTCAAGCATCTCGGCGAAGATGCAGCCCGCGCTCCAAATGTCGACCTCCACGTCGTACTTTTGCCAGGTGAGCATGATTTCGGGGGCGCGGTAATATCTTGTGGACACATAGCCGGTCATCTGCGGGTCCTGAATTCGGGCCAGACCGAAATCGCAGATCTTCAAGTCGCAGTTTTCATTGATGAGGATGTTGCTGGGCTTCAGATCACGGTGGACCACACCGGCGGAGTGGACATATTTCAATCCACGCTATAATAAGAAGTTCAGTATTGATGCGAGGAACGGGTCGAATTATCGGCTGCGAGACTTACGAGGATCTGGTAGAGGAAGTACTGGATGAATTGCTTCTCCAGTGGGCGAGAGGTCAAGAGGCGGTGGAGATCAGTTCCGAGGAGCTCAGTGACGAAGTAGCTGTAGTTATATTAGTCCCTGTGTCGGTGCGTCGCAAACACCTGTGAATTGCTAGACGTACATGTCTTCGAGGGGGGAGATAAAGATGTCGCTCAAGCTGATAATCTGCAAGGGTGGTCAGTTACGTTGCTGATGCGCACCCGCGGGGTCTGGACCGAGGGGGTGAGGGGTAAAACCCACGTTCTCGTGTCGGAGATGCTTGAGCAGCTTCAGCTCGCGGTAGGTACGTTTAGAGAGGACCGGAGTGCTGAAGGGCTTCATGATCTTCTTGACGGCGACCGGCTGGCCGGTCAATTGGTCTCGCGCCGAGCTATAGGGGTGACATTCAGGTCAGCTGGGGGATATCTCTCGCGCGCGAGCAGGACTAGAATTCAGGACATACCAGACCAGGCCGAAGGCACCCATGCCTACCGGCTGCAAGTCCGTATACCTAGAAGTGCGAATGTCAGCCATCGAGGTTTTCGGAGTCCAAACATTGAGGATTGAGGTGATGCGAACCGGCTTGTGATCTCAAAGGTCGTGCCGAAGATCTGGGATCGTACGAATTCCGCCATGATGGAGAATTAGATGTTAAAGAGAGACAGGGCGCGTGGAGTAAAGAGAAAGAAACTTTTTGGAGAGAGGGAAGGGGTACGGAGTGTAGTGGCGGGCAGAGGACCGGAGGACCAGAACACAAAGAGGCAGGAAGAGTGATCAGAATGGACCGAGAGACTGATGATGTGGGGAAAGGCCCTTTCGGTGAAAAGCGAAGAAAACAAGGACGATGACGTTTGCGACCGGTGGGAGGCAGGTTTCCAAATATCGGTGGCTGACTAACCGCTCCGTGGGTTCTGGGCTTGCACTCCTTGTTTTGGAGTTTATCTCTTCTACAATTCCGGTGTTCCTGAATGATTAGCCTTTAAGAACCTATAGGAGGCTTAATCCTCATTGCTACTCTCTTTGATAAACAGTCCGTGTGTGTTTGTGTGTTTGTGTGTGCCCTGGTGTACCACATTCTCTACTACTAAAAACTCCCTCGAGCCTCCCCCACTCTACCCACGCGGCGCCCTTGGCCCAGACTGGCCAGACCGAAGTCGATGGTACCCGGAAGAGTTTCCCAGCCTACGAACCGGATTCCTCTCGTTTTCCGCTCCCGATTCCTGGCGATCAATTCATGAGCCACCACACGAGAGGCATGTCTAGTATACGGAAGAGAGATATCACTAACCATTATGCACTGGCACATCGGCAGATGTTGTGCAATCTCGACCCCGTGACCAAACTATATAAGGCGCGGTACCACCCTAGTCCTCGATAAGCAGACAAAATCTTGGAACTTCTCTCTTCTTTAAACCTGCCTCTTTTAACCGCGCTTAGCCCGCTCGCCCAACACACACACACTTGCTGTGTTGTGCGGCTGTCATTCGTGGCGCCTTTTGCCCCGTTGATACTTGCGCCTCCGAAACTCTCCTCGCGATTCCCCCTCATTCCTGTTTCGGCAAGATAATCAGTCTCATACTAATGATACTATATTGCCTATCATTGTACTTGACTTGATTTGGGTGTGTGCTGTTCGTAGATAACCTCGTGGCTGCCCATATCTGCCTAGTCTGAACTGAGTATATCTCTGTCCCTCATACCTGGCGGATGGTCGTATCTACTGCATCCACACTAAGATACCTGTTTCGTTAGAGGCGGGGTGACGTGTTAATTGACTGTTTCTTGACATACGATTTTGTATAGAACACATTCTCATACTATATCAAAGTAGACCAAGCCCCTCCGCCAATTATTCATTCTCATCCAATCTTTAGTCGATTCCAAGTGGTAGTTACATATGTCGGGCACCATCGACTAAGACATGTGAAACCAAAAGCAAGCCACGCTACTGCATGAAATGAACACAAACGCCGAAAAACAAAGCCCTTTTCTGATCAAGGATAGAATTGAAAGGACAGGGCTGCATCATGATTTAAACTCTACTCAGACTGAATGGAAGCGGAGACTGGAGGGTTTCTTCCTGAGCTAGTCCTAGAAAAACTATACAATAAGTCGGTTAACCATGCGCTACGGTTGGAGGGGGAGATCTCGGATATATTACTATACTGGCTCCTGTACTCCGTACATTCACCTCTCCACCGAATTTTCAAGGTCGGATACTCTACACCGCACCTTGCGGCTCGAAAGTCTTTGCGTATACTATGGGTGAGGAGATGCGGTGTACATACCGTTTCCTGGTCTAAAACTTCAGTCATGATTTATATACCTGAGATGGTATCAGCCTGAAGGTCCAGCGCTGTATCATTATGTAAATATTAGGCAGTCTGTAGTAATATATCTGTTCTATTCCTGTCTTTCTTTGTTTCTGTTGACTTGCAGAACGTGGGGAGACACGAGTCCAGAAATCCAAAGAATGTACATGGTCTTTCCGGCCTTGCGGCCTGAGGCCATTAAACCCCCATGTGCGTCATGACTCTCCACTTTGTAAAGCTCCGGGGTTTGGGCTGGGACGCCATGGGCTATTCACTACTCTTTCCTTTCGAGGGACGAGAGTACCCCTCACCACTAGGGATCATGACTCTATAATTGTCTTATTGATACCCGTAATACAATATTTCCAAACCCAGGTCACATCGTTAGAACCATTCACACCCCTAAGGATACGCTTCATAAAGAGAATCAGGCAGTGAGGCGAACAGGGCACGCACTGTCTCCCCAGCTAGGCAACTTTAGGAGAGCCGCCGCCGTAGTCAAGTCCAGTGGCAGTTACATAACTTAACTAACTAGTTCAGTCTGTCAGAAAAGGAACCATGATCGGGGGCACACTTGTGGCGCCCCAACCCTTACCCGGACGAGGATCCTTGCACCCAATGCCCTTGTCACCCTTTCGAGTCCTCTTCAATTAGCCCCCAAAGCCCTTTGTCACTTGGTAAAGGCCTCAAATGCCTTCCACAGGCTTGACCCCCTTCACGGCCCCCGACGGCCGTGGCTGTGATATGATAAATGATCATTTTCTTTAGGTCCAAGGCCAACCCCCTAATAATAACCCACCCCGTACCGCGGAGACTATAAAGTATGTATGGTTGGGTATTAAAATTTGTGCCGAAATTTACCTTGGCCCCCAAGGCCGACTACAAATAGTAAGCCCAAGTGTCTGGGCGAAAGTTTGGAGCAACAGGAAAACACGAAAAGGTCACGGTGAGGGAAAAGGCAGGCCAAAAATGGAGGATATACGGCGTAAATTGTAGGATGTAGGTTTAAATTTGGTATACGGAGTACAGGATATGTTACCGATATACGGAGAATTGTGTATACAGCGTATATTGAGAGTGTAGACTCAACGGGCACTCCCTAAACGTTGGTCAAGTCAGTATAGCCGGAAAGTGCGGGCAATACAGGCAATACAGGCAAATACGGGGGGATCAGTGCCCCCAGGGTAAAGGAAAAGTCGGATTCGCACTGAGTTTCCCACGCAAAAAAACGGTCTCGCTGGCCTGTCACTCAGACGAAAGCACCTGGTAATTACGGGCCCGATGTAAGCTCACCCATACCCGTTTCTTACCCCCGTAATATCCCTCCTGACATCTCCACTCCCCCCAGCATGACGATGGTCGCACTGACTGGAACGACTCCTCTTGACACTTCTTTGATCCTTCACCGTCGATTCCGATCACTATCATCGTCTTTCCCTTCGCTCTAACCGATTATCCGGACTCGAGGTCTGCCGGGCAATCCGTTCCGTCCATCGCGAGCCCCCTCTCCGACGCCCTTAACGACACACTCTCTCATCCTCCTCTCTCTCGCTCTCCGATCGTTGCCCCCCTCCCCGCCTTTTAACACTCACCGAAAACTAATCCTTGCGATTCCTTACCTGTCGCAAGCTTCAAAGATACTCTCCGACCTTTTGTTGCCGCCGATTCTGATCCCCAGCGTTGTGGGTGGCCGCCTTCCCCAACCAAGCGAAGGCTGCGGCCATCCCGACGGGCTGACACCGATCGCTTCCGCGCACGGTACCCGGGACTCGGTTCCTGTTGGTTTGGCGATTCGAACGACACCGCAAGGAACTCGAGCATATACCACAATTCACCATGGGCTCGTGTTTTAGCTCCGAGTCGACGGGGGATGCGGAACAGAAGAAGAGAAGTCAGATGATCGACCGGAGGCTCGAGGAAGATCAGCGACGGCTGCGTAGGGAATGCAAGATCCTTCTGCTGGGTATGTGGCCATCGCCGCGCAGTCTATTGCGCATATGACCGGCTTAAGTTTACTCACAATTGCAGGATCCGGCGAGAGTGGCAAGTCTACGATCGTTAAGCAGATGAAGATCATCCATCAAAATGGCTACACCGTGGAGGAGCTGGCTCTGTACCGGTTGACCGTGTACAAGAACCTCCTCGACTGTGCTAAGGCCCTCATTGACGCATATCACCATTTCAACCTTGAACCGTCCAGCCAAAAGGTCAAGGACTACATCGCACTGCTGGAAGAGTACCATGTGGATCCGGACCCCAATACTCCGCTTGATGGGAAGCTCGGCGACGCAGTCACTTACCTGTGGAACGACCCATGCACATCAACGGTCTTGGAACGGCAAAATGAGTTCTATTTGATGGATTCTGCGCCCTAGTAAGCTTTTGCAACATCCGCGCCGTTCCAAGATTTGTCGCTGACAGGTGATTAGTTTCTTCGAGGAAGCCAAGCGAATAACAGCGCCAGATTACATCCCCAATGTGTCCGATGTTCTCCGAGCACGTACCAAAACTACTGGTATCTATGAGACGAGATTCACGATGGGTCAATTGAGCATACAGTATGCGCTCGGAAATCCCCCAAGCCTCCTATATTGTGGGTCGCTAACTAGATATTGTAGCATGTTCGACGTCGGTGGCCAGCGCAGCGAGCGGAAGAAATGGATCCATTGCTTCGAAAATGTGACCTCCATCATTTTCTGTGTCGCATTGAGTGAATACGATCAGACACTGCTGGAAGAGAGTAATCAGGTAAGACTAACTACTAGCCCCACCGCTATCCACTCCGAAAGCTTACAATTATCTAGAATCGTATGATGGAGAGCTTGGTTCTCTTCGACTCCGTGGTTAACTCTCGATGGTTCATCCGCACGAGTATCATTCTCTTCCTGAACAAGGTCGATTTGTTCCGCCAAAAGCTACCGCGCTCTCCGTTGAGCAACTATTTCCCCGACTACTCGGGCGGCAACGATGTGAACCGCGCCGCCAAGTATCTTCTTTGGCGGTTTAACCAGGTGAACCGAGCTCATCTGAATTTATATCCCCAGTAAGTGTTCCGAGACGTGTTTGCGCCCCATGTCGAAGAGGCTCCCTCTGATCGTTTCGTTTTCTGTAGCCTCACCCAAGCAACCGACACCACCAACATCCGACTGGTCTTTGCAGCGGTCAAGGAAACCATTTTGCAAAACGCATTGAAGGATTCTGGTATTCTATGAGCTGCTGGACACTCCGAAAACCATCCCGAAACTCGTCTCCTATATCCTCTCACCTATCTATCTCCCTATCCTCCTCACGATACCATCCGAACACCGTCATATACCTATCCAATTCATCAAACCCGTCTTCGAAATACCTGAATCTTAAGCAGTCTTTTTTGGCCACTTCAGTTCACCTCTTACGATCATCCCAACCTTTCCCGACTATCCCATTTACTCTCGATTCTTATTCCTGGACTAGCTGCTGGCGTTTACGGCGCTTTTCTTGTCCCTCTTTTTTGAATTATTTCCCAGGCGCTTTTAGGTGATACCCCGCCCTTTTCGGTATCTGCAAGGAGGTATTTGGTTTTCTCCCCTTGTCACCGTGGCTCCTCAATCGCGCCCTGGAATTTCAGGTAGTACCGTGAACAGACTACCTGGTGCCTGTATATGGGTTTTCTTTTCTTCATTGCTGTCCCTTCAGCACATAGCGCCAGTTTCAACCCAGGATGAGGAGTTTCTTTCAACCTCAAAATTCGCCGGGAGCCTCCCACCCCTACCTGCTCTCGGCGACGATCCCACGCCAACTCTTGATCTTACGCTTGTTGTGATAGTGGGCTACCAGCTTTTCCATATGCTATGAATGGGTTTCGACAGTTGTTTATTACCAGCTTTCTTGTCTGATGCATATCACGGCGGATTTACCTTGTGTGATTTGATCTTGGATCTATATCTCCCGGCCATACTTGTTGTCTTGGATGCTTCTACTACTATTTTCCTTTTATTTTTGTGATATCTGCCCTTTGTTTCTATTTTGGACTCGCGACCTCAGCGCTTTGATGCATGTGATGCTTTCTTATTACACTATCTATCATCCTCCCCCCTTGTATTCTTCGAGAGTCTCTTCAGCGGCAGGTTGATACAACTTCTTAATGGTCCTATGATATTTTCATCTGTTTCTAGCATAGACCCACCATGTGGAGGAGAGGAGGTCTCTTGATGAACTCTGGCGTCGAGCCTGGGATGTTCAGAGAATGAACAGTGTCATTCCCGATGCTCGTTTAGTTAGTTTTGCTTCGAGGCTATTGAATGAGATCTACTGCCATGCCACTTTCTTCCCCTCTTGTTCAGATCGTTATAGGGTTTTCACGCACAGACATTTCCCCCATTTTACCAAGGTCCACACTAGTCCAGAGCCCCAGCATGGCACCTGACTTCCGCCAGAACTGGAGAGCCAAGTAAGCAGTACTTTTTTGATTTCTGTACCTCTCTATCAAGGCACCCGTTACTTTGTTTCTCAGGTCCAGGTGAGGGGGAAGGAGGAAGGGCATTGTGTTTATTGCGATTGTTGTCGTCAGTGGCTGGCTCCTGCAGCTGGTCTCCCCGCGCCCCGAAGAGCGGGCCGCCAGCGACCTCGGGCTGAAGTAAAACAAGTGGGCATTTTGGTTTGAGTGGGAGCGCGTGACTGATTTACTAAGTAGCTGCTGACTCATTAGAGAAGGTTGTTCTGGTAGGCTTGTCCGAGAAGGTGTTGCGGTGTGGGTTAGGTTACTAGTGGGAGTATATGGTGGAGTAAAAGCTGGATGCGGTGGCATGATTCGATTGCGGAGACGGAGGTTGGGGATTGATGTAGGGCAGGAGAATGGGCGAAGATAACTCTGGGGTTGTATACGCGTAGGAAGTACATAGATAGTGCATGATGCATAATTAAGGCACGTCGTGGGATAGCTTTTTATTCGTTGATAGGAGGGGTTATACTGGTTGGTTCAATCGCCCTGTGCCTTGAACATTATGTTATGTCGGTGGGTTCGAGTGGATCGTCGTACAGATCGAAGCGTCATATACCCGACCGGAACTGCCTGTTATGTTACTCAGTGTAGATAAAGTCTGTGCTAGGTGCAACACTGTTATCGAGAGTATAATAGTTTGATATTTGATATTTGATATTGGATATTTTATTTGGGTTATACTAGACACAAGTCAATACTTGTTGGGTTGCTACAGTTGTAAAGAGAAAAGCAGGAAAGTCGAGTGCAACGAGCCAATCAGAGAGGAGAATGGCGAAGGTTGGCCAAGAGTGCACGGACGCCGTTGGCTTGGACAAGAATAGGATCTTACAGTAGGTACATTTAATAGTATGTAGATTGTATGTATATTAGGAGTGGAGTGAGTAGCTTACTAGGTGATTCACATTCTGAGGGTTGAGTTACCCCACCAGAGCTCCCGAGAGCTCTGGTCTGACCCATCATCATCCAAACCTCTGATCCCGAGTCAATTAGTTCACGAGTCTGAATCCATGAGCATTCTCACGTAGGAAAGTGAGCTAGGATATCGAGATAATGAAAGTATAGTGTATACTTTATAGTACCTTTTGTGTGGAAAACCATATAATGGTAAAACCATCGTATCTCATACTATCATACCATATCTCCACCTAAAGCTCGATGAACACACCACTCATCATCCCCCCCCAATCCGGCGATGGAGTCTGGTCGCTCGGACAATGTCTCGACGGCTGCTGCACTTCTCCAGCTGATGGCCGTTGCAGCATGCATGCATTAGGCGCTCGTGCTCCGCTGTGATCAGATTGTTGCTGGTTACTTCATTACGCGTTACTCGTTACTTGTTGCTCATTGCTCAGTATTTGACTGCCGGCCCGTGGCCTTTCCCTTTCCCTTTTTCCCTGCTCTTTCCCTCCCCTCTTCCTTTTCCCCTCTTTACCTGGTGTCACCACTCAAAACCCCCTCTCTTTCCTCCCCATCCTCTTTTCTCTTCATTGTATAGGATTGCTCTTGTCTGCCAGCTTCCAGTCCCTGTTCACAACTGATCGTGGATCATTGACCACCATTCATCGACCATGGCGTCATCGGAGCCAACTGAGCCCCGGCGTGAGCGCAAACCCTCCGTCGGAGCTCCCATTGCGGATCTCCAGGGCCCTGTCGGCCCGGGATTTAGTCGTCCCAAGCATAAGCGCACTTTCACCGGCTTCGGCCCGTCCGAGATCAAGAGCGTGGAAGCGAGTATTCCGGAGCCGCTGCGTGAGGCGTGAGTTTGGGGTTTTCCTTTTTGTCTTTGTCTAACTGGGGTGCTGGATGAGCTGACCAGGTGTGAATATGATGGCGTGACAGATGGCGGAAGCATGTACGTTGTGCCTCACACCCATCGATGGGAATTGGATTGACTCTGAATGCTTATTTAAAATTGTACAGTCTGCTTCCGAGTTTACTTCCAAGGATGAGTTTGAGGTTAGTGTTGATGTCCTGAGATGAAGCCGCTGGATGAGCTAATGGCGTTTCGCAGAGAGAATTCGTTCGCCATATCGAGACCACCCTCGCCCGCTCTCTGTACAATTGCGATGAGCTGTACGTACACTGAGATTCCATACAGACGACCCAATCCAATTGGCTGATAACGAGCATGCAGGGCGGCTTACTCGGGTACTGCACTGGCGTTCCGAGACCGATTGATCATCGAGTGGAATCGGACTCAGCAGCGTCAGACATTTACCGACCAGAAGCGTGTCTACTGTAGGTCTGTGACGGATTTTTGGATGACTTTTGTCTGATACAATGTTTCCAGATCTCTCGCTGGAGTTTTTGATGGGTCGTGCCTTGGACAATGCGATGCTGAATGTGGGCATGAAAGACATCGCCAGAGGTGGGTTATCTCCGAAGGTCAAAATCAGCTATCATGGAAGCTTGTTGACAGCTTTGTAGATGGTTTGGCCGATCTTGGCTTCCGAATTGAGGACGCCATCAGCCAGGAGCATGATGCGGCACTTGGAAATGGTGGTCTTGGTCGTCTAGCGGCCTGCTTCTTGGACAGCATGGCAACGCTGAACTATCCTGCCTGGGGATATGGACTGCGGTACCGCTACGGAATCTTCAAGCAGGAGATTGTGAATGGATACCAGATGGAAATCCCGGACTATTGGTTGGATAATAATCCATGGGAATTCCCTCGACACGATATCACGGTGGACATCCAGTTCTATGGCCATGTGAACAAGTCCTATGATGAGGACGGTAAGGTTGTTTACTCCTGGGAGGCGGGAGAGACGGTTCAGGCTGTAGCATACGATGTTCCCATTCCCGGATACCGCACGAAGACTACCAATAACCTTCGGTTGTGGTCCAGCAAGGCCAGCAGTGGCGAGTTTGACTTCCAGAAGTTCAACGCGGGCGATTATGAGAGTGCGGTCGCGGATCAGCAGACTGCTGAGACCATCTCTGCAGTGCTGTATCCAAATGACAACTTGGAGCGAGGTAAGGAGCTTCGTCTGAAGCAGCAGTACTTCTGGTGCGCTGCCTCCTTGTATGACATTGTGCGACGTTTCAAGAAGACCAAGCGGGCGTGGAGTGAATTCCCCGACCAAATCGCAATCCAACTGAACGACACCCATCCCACACTTGCCATTGTCGAGCTCCAGCGTATCCTGATTGACGTCGAGGGCTTGGAGTGGGATGAGGCATGGCGTATTGTTACTGGAACTTTTGGCTATACCAACCATACTGTCCTCCCCGAGGCCTTGGAGAAGTGGTCGGTTCCATTGATGCAGAACCTACTTCCCCGCCACTTGCAAATCATCTACGATATCAACTTGTTCTTCTTGCAGTCCGTGGAGAAGCGGTTCCCCAATGACCGGGACATGCTCTCGCGAGTTTCCATCATCGAAGAATCGCACCCCAAGATGGTGCGCATGGCATACATTGCCATCATTGGGTCTCACAAGGTCAATGGTGTCGCCGAGCTGCATTCGGACCTCATCAAGACGACTATTTTCAAGGACTTTGTGACCATCTACGGACCTGACCGCTTCACCAATGTCACTAACGGAATCACGCCCCGACGTTGGCTACACCAGGCCAACCCGGAGCTCTCTGCCCTGATTGCAGACAAGCTCGGTGGGTATGACTTCTTGACCGATCTGACCCTGCTGGATAAGCTAGAGGCTTTCGTGGATGATAAGAAGTTCCGCCAGGAATGGTCAGACATCAAGGCTAGGAATAAGCTGCGGCTAGCCAAGCTCATTAAGGATGTGACTGGCTACTCCGTGAATCCGAATTCGTTGTTCGATGTCCAGGTCAAGCGAATCCACGAGTACAAGCGTCAGCAACTGAATATCTTTGGAGTGATCCATCGATACCTTAGCCTCAAGGCTATGACACCTGAAGAACGGAAGAAGGTGGTGCCTCGTGTGTCGATCTTCGGTGGTAAAGCTGCTCCTGGCTACTGGATGGCCAAGTCTATCATTTATCTCATCAACAGCGTCGCAGCCGTGGTGAACAAGGATGAAGATATTGGTGATCTCTTGAAGGTCATCTTCATCGAAGACTACAACGTCAGTAAGGCGGAGATTATTTGCCCTGCCTCTGATATCAGCGAGCACATCTCTACCGCTGGAACCGAGGCCAGTGGCACAAGTAACATGAAATTCGTGCTGAACGGAGGCCTGATCATTGGTACTTGTGACGGAGCCAACGTAAGTTTTGCAGTGCTTCATAGAATATTGAAACAGTCAGACTAATATTTCCACAGATTGAGATTACTCGCGAGATTGGCGAGCAAAACATCTTCCTCTTTGGTAATCTCGCGGAAGATGTGGACGATCTCCGCCACCGACACTTCTATGGTGGCTTCCAACTGGATCCGCAACTGAAGCGTGTATTTGAAGCCATCAAGGAAGGCACTTTTGGCGATCCCTCGTCGTTCACGTCGCTAATTTCTTCTATTGAAGAGCATGGTGACTATTATCTCGTCTCGGATGATTTCAACTCCTATATCGCCACTCATGACATGGTCGACAAGGAGTTCCAGAACCAGGAAGAGTGGTTGGCTAAGTCTATCACCAGCGTTGCGCGGATGGGTTTCTTTTCCATGGATCGGGTGACCAACGAGTATGCTGATAGTATCTGGAATGTTGAGCCTCTGGACATCGAGGATGAGGCCTGATGTTACTCTTCAGTTGTGATTTCAGTTGCACCTTCTTTTGAGGCTAATTCATTTTCTTGTCTATTCAGTGCTGTTATTTTGCATCCAAGTCCGATGGCATAATTCTTATGCTTTATACTCCATCAATGTCGTTTGCACGTAGAAGGAAGCATGCGCTATTTGTGTGTATTTCATTTGGTAAAACCACGTCTATATGCACCCTGCAACCGTACCTCTAGAACTATTTTCATCGACGAAAGTATCGCAATCACCGGAATGATATGTCCAAAAAGGAAAGATAAACAGCACATGAAACACACGAATGGAGACATCCCAAATCGACACCAAGTCCCACGCCTGCATTAGAAAGTAACACTATGAAGGATAGAAAGAAAAAAGATGAAACCGTCGGTATCGTCAGATCAAAAGGTTCATCACGCATCAGAGAAAGGGAAAGAAAGAAAATGGCCCCGCTCGACATGCTAAGCAACGGCCGTCTCATCGCGCTCCTGAATCGTCGCCTCAACTTGGGGCTTATAATCGGAGAAAGTCTCCGGCCAAAGGAACATCTTCTCTTCCTTGGAGGGAGTAGCAGTCGCCATCAAAGTCGGCACCTATAAACAAACAACCAAATTAGCATCAACCTCACAACACGATAATTCCAAGAAAAGTCAAGATACATACCGCCTCCTTCGAAGAAATCCTCCTCCACATATTAGCCCGCGGGTTATACCGCACAGGCTTACCCACACCACCAGTCTTACTCGAATCCTCACGACTAATATTCTCAATCTCCCGCTTAATATCGGCAAAAGTATCAAACGGCGTGTAAGCAATCTTATGCTCGATACAATACTCCTCGAGACGCAGGCCTCGTCGGGCAAAGAGAACGTCTGCTTCACGGGCCGCGGCTAGATCGGAGACTCCGTCGCCGATGAAGATGATGAGTGGCATTTCGTCCGGTAGACATTCGGATTGCGCTTTTGCGCGCGCTTCGTTTACCGAGAGCGCTTTGTCGTGGCCTAGTTCGGTGTCGTGGCGCCAGATTGGTTTCCAGGAGGAACCGTCAGGTTTGATTATGGCGTCGTTGGCGACGATGTCGATTGCGGCGGCCTTAGTAGTAGATTAATATTAGTATATAAAGTTTTTCTTTTGAGTAGAGGCGGGAGTTGGGGTTGCGAAATACCTCCTTCTCGCCCAGGAACGTATCCAAAACCCTCCGCAAAACAGGCTTCAAACCCGCGCTGATCACGTTAAAGGGGAAGCCATTGTCAATGCAGTATTGGTGGAATTCACGGAATCCGGGGTCAATTTCGAGTGTCTTTTCCATGACGACGAAACCGTCGTCGAAGGGGACGTGGAGGGATCCCCACATTTCCTCTGAGACATCACGGAAGGATCGCTCGCCGGACTTGATTTGTTCGTCGAGTTTGTTGCGGGCTTCTTCGCCGCAGCCGTAGTTGTCGAAGAGGATGTGGCCGGTGTCTTGCATGAAGATTGTGCCGTCGAAGTCTATGTATGGAGGGGGGTTTGTTAGTTAGGGATCAATAGGATAGATATTCGATTGGAGGGTTGGGATTCAAGGGACCAGGGGGCGAAAGTCTAGCGCAATTGGGTACAATGAATTGTGCGGGGCAGGGTTAGGTTGAATTGGGGTGCATACCAGAGAAGATGATAATCTTTCTCTTCTGCGAGACAGGTGGAAGTGTAGAGGGCTTCATGTTGGAGTTGCTCATGTTCAATTTGGGTGGTGAAAGGCTTGTCTACCGCAGAAAGAAAAGAATTGCAACACGAAAGAAAAAAGTAGGTACACCGGAAATATAAGAACCAGGAAAAATTACATTCGGCTAGATGGAAAAACGACACTCTCGTGAACTACGGTCGAAACCTGGGAATCGTGGCAATGCCCAGAACAGGATAAGCCAGCGCGATGACGTAGGGACATAATACGATATCATAGTGGGTCGGTGCGGGAAGACAATCGAACATGTATGGAGTAGGCCGCAACGAGAAAAGAAAAGAAAAGAAAAAAAGAAAAAGAAAGGGTGCTTCGGAAAAAGGGTCAATCGGTGCCACTGCCGAGGATGAGGACGGTGATTGGTAGAGAGACGGCGTTAGTCAGAGATTTAAGCCCGGCCAGCCGAGAGGCAGTTGGGAAAGTCCGTCAAAATTGGATCCCGAAGCCGAGGGGGACTCGGGATTGGTTGTGCTTGATGCGAGAGTGGGGAATGCTCGTCATTTTGGCTGAGGTGCATCATGTATGGCACAGTGGCACTTTGGGGTGGGGAACAATGGCTTCGTTTAAGTTGGATATACGGAGTATACATAGTGGTACACAATGGAATCCCCTCCTAGATTGCTGTCAACTCCTCAACTCGTCGTTGCAATTCAGGAACAGCCCGCAGTTGCAGTTCAAGTTCATCCTTCTCACTGTAGAATTGGGTTAGCATAGAGTCATTGTAGATAGACGCGGGGTGAGGGGGTATGTCATACTCTTCCAACTTCATCCGCCGTTCCCAATCGAGCCCGGTGAAGACATAACCACCTTGACCGTCAAATTGCAGGATCTTCTTATGATACTTCCACAGACTGCGGCGATGTGACACCGTCATCAGAGTGGTTCCCAGTTTCTTGGCTGTCTCATACATGACCTTTTCAATCTCGAGTGTCACCGAGGAGGTACACTCGTCGAGAATAGCAAACTTGGGACGGTGGTAGAACAAACGGGCCATAGCAATGCGCTGCTGCAGGCCGCCGGACAAGACATCGCGCCATTCCTCCTCAGCGTCCCAGCCACCAGGCCGGTCGACGACAGATGCGATTTCAACCACAGACAAGATTTCATGGAGATCGGCATCGGTAACCCCCTTGGCGCGCATCTCACGTACTCCATCAGGGTAAATAACCTGCTGTCGCAATGTACCACGAGACAGATAGGGTCGTTGGGGAATGTAAAAGATGTCCTCAAAACGGGGTTTCTTGACCGTACCTCCGTACACTGGCCAGAGGCCGCCCAAAATGCGGAAGAGGGACGACTTGCCGCATCCGTTCGGTCCGACGATGAGAAGATGATCGCCGGGATGAACGGTGAACGACAGCTTGCGCACGAGGACATCGCCGTTCGGAGAGACGATTGGAACATCGGTGAACTCGATGGAACTGCTCTCCATGACCTCGCCACGACCAGAGAGAACGGCTGCGTTCTCTTCGGTCGATGCTGAAGATACCAGCTTCTTCTCGAAACGACCAGCAACCAGGTCATCCATGACTTCGAGGAGGGATGAGACGCGGGAAGTGTAACCAGCTAGCTCAGAGATCTCCTTGTAGGAGAACATGAGACGGCCAAAGGCATCTGATGAGGACAACAGCATCCGCCGGTTTGTCACGAAGCCTAACTCATGTTAGCAGGTGAGGTAGTAGCACAAAAGAACAAGCAACTCACTTTCGGTCCGATCTCCCATGGTCTGAGTAACTTGACCGGGAATCTTGAAGAAGACAGGCAAACTGCAAAGACCCAAGCCAAGTGCACCCCAGAAATACTTGATCACAAAGTCTTCCATGAAACCATGATACAAACGCCGGCGCAGAATGCGATTCACATGCTTGATTAATGTGAAATAACCCTTATCCAGGGTGTCTTTCTCGGCCTCATGGCCGTGATACAGAGCGACTTCTTCGCTATAATCGATCAATCTTGAGTGGAGGAACCGGAATTCTCCTTCAAGTCGAGCCTCGTCTGCGACGTATTTTCCAAATGGCGGTGTCAGCATGCGCATCACATTTGCTGACAGCTGTACTAGCAAGCTCATAATGAACAATCCTTCTCCTCCGACATTCTTGGACAAGGAGTAGTTGTATATACACATGTCGAGAATCGGTTTGGCGAGGTTCGAGTAGAGTTCCGCCAGGCTATCGGAGAAGCGCGACACATCGACCGTGACTAGTTGATCGGGGTTCTTGATCCGGTCGTCCAGGGCGGAGATGGCGTAGAATGTCATGTTTGATAGGTACTTGTCGTGAATATAGTCTGTCAATCGTTTCCGGTAGCTGAGGGCGAGCTTGCATTGGTGGTAGGATAGCTAGACAAGGGAACAACCAAGTCAACATGAATTCCCACGGTCGCATGTCTCGATACCAGCCAACGAGAGAAAATGAACATCCTAAACCACTTACCATAGAGTTTGTGAATGTCGCTGGCACAGCGACAATCATCCACCATACCAGTCCTAGCAAGAAGTCCTTGCCCTTTCCCCGCACCAGGCTGCTGACCAGTCGGCCATCCAACTCGGCCACATACAAACTCAGCATAGTCCGCAGCACGAGGAAGACGCTGTGGCTCACAAGAAGCCGCAGCTCCTTACTCCGCCATCCGGGAATGACAATCTTCAAGAGGCGAAGCAGGTTTTTGAAGAACTCTCGGTTGATCTCCACTCGTTTCTTTCGGGGTTGTTCTTCATCACCGAGCGAGCTGGTGCCGGGACGGCGGCGTAGCTCCACGTGCTGCGAGGCAGCTTTCTGTTCGGAGATCGCATTGTGAATCCGCTTGGCGAGTGCTGCGAAAAGGGCGAGATAGACCGTGCGGGAGATGCCTGTTCGATGTCGAAGGTAGAGGGAGGTAAGGCTGGAGAGGATCTGCTTGACGGAGCGGTCGGGCGGCAGCAGTTTCGACTGTACAGCCATGGCGACGCGATCGACTTGTCAATCAGCCAGAGTCGCGGCTGAACATGACCACTTGGATCGTGAGAGGGAGGAATTGTAGTGGTCTAGTTTGTCGGAGGAAAGGAAGACGAGGAGGTGGTCGCAGGACTTGGAATGACGGAATGGGGTTGACATGTGATACCCCAGGTTCCTGGGGAAGTTCAGCCGAGGAACAGGGAGGATCCTTGGCCTGATCCACCACTGTGATGTCTACACTTTGGCACTCTCTTACCTCCACAACAGTTTTTATATGCTGCTAGACTAAGAATTCAGGTTGATTTCAGTCTAGGGCTACATTCAGGCTATGGTTCCGATGAAATAGCCTCAGGTTCATCGCCTTCACGGCCGCATTTCTGCCGCGACATATACTTCTCTAACCTGGACAGGACATTGACACCGTTCCATAATTCTTCATTGCCCTGAACACTCAGCTGTGGCATTCCAACCTGTTCAAGCGCAAAAGATGCACCGACCGAGCCGTAGCAAGCGGCCTTGATGACGCTTCCTGTCTCCAGATAGCCCACAGCATACGACCCTAGAAATGCATTTCCCGCTCCAGTGGGATCAACAGTCTTCGCATTTGGGGTCTCTCCTGGCATAGTGGCATAGAATGGATCCAACCAAGCGGCCGGATTATTCCTGTTGCTGATGAAACACCCATTTTCGCCAGCACGCACGATCAAGGTTCCATTACCATCTGGACCAACTCCACGATCCAAACACTTTGATGCCAAATCCTCGATCTTGTCCTTGTCAATAACATCCGGTTGCGGCTCTGAGAAAAGTCTGGCCAGCTCTAGATGATTCGGGGAAAGAATATCCACCGAAGCTGCAGATTCCATGCATGCCTCGAGGTTCTCTGGCCCGCATGAAAGTGGAGACGGTTCCCAGATTATCAGAGGGCGTTCTTCGATACCTGCTTCGGCTCTGAGAGCAAGAAGCTTGGATACTCGTGCTTTGAGGTCCTCGGGCCCTGCTAGATAGTGAAATGCTTTTGAATCTAGAAGCGATGTGTGCTTCAAGTTATCCTCTTGGACTGCGAGAATGGGTGTCGTGTATTTGAAGCCCTTGGCTGGGTGGTTAATTAGCATGACGAGTATTAAGGACGAGAAACACTACATACGCCCGAATGTAGTATCTCTGTACTCCAGTAAGCCTCTAGTTGATGGCCTGTTCACTTCTTCTCTGATGTATAATGTTGCTCCCCAGCTTTCTAACTGTTCTTTCACTGGGGTTGGGAAGTCGTTTCCCACATTGATCATCCATCCTAAGGTGGGACTAGATGGAGAAGGAAGAAATAGTCGGGCACCAAGTGTTGCTATAGCCGTAGTCAGTGGACTGCATTTATTGCCAGCTCAACTAGGACACGGGAAAATTCACCGTAAGTGCCAGATCCCCCGAGTATATCAGTCAACGGTCCCCAATCAGGACATCGGATCTCGTCAAGGACCACCAGGCCTAGGCTGGTGAAGGAAATATTAGATGCTTGCATGGTGGGGACTTCTGTCATATTGACATCGTGATCAACAGCCAAATGGCATTAATGCGTGTGAATATTTATGCTTTAGGCAAGCAGAAAACATTGAATTCAATTCGAGTGCATTTCCTTGATGAACATGTTGCCTTTCTGCCTACTCACCGCCTTCACGCTATTGGGCGGCTACATCTCTCACCCCTTTGTCGTCTCAGCTAAAGTTCTCCTATTCTTGTTAGCGACGAACTTTGCTCTCGTGTTCCTCTCAAATGGATCCATTGCCAGCCATAAGCGCCTATATTGCGGTTATCCAGACGCTATATAACCTTACCCGCTCAGCAAAGCTTATTACCCTGCTTGGGGAGTTCTCTCTTTGCGTCGTCTCCGCAAGAACTACAGTAACCTCAAACAGAAATTCGGTACACTGAAGGCATTGGTGCTTATAATTATATTCCCTGACACTAAGCAAATTGTGGATCGAGTTGAAAAACAAGTGCTCGGCGCTGAAACAGACGAGGCGATAACACTACGAAACTTAACGTCGGAAGATTGCACAATGTTGGCTGTTGCTGTATATCCAGTCCACCTAATCATGGCCGAAGACTCTTCTTAGAAATTTGCAGGCAGCTATCGTGGCATAAATTGCCATTACAGCCCTGTCACTTGAAGATCTTGACAAGTTCATTGGACTGCAGAAGCAGCATTTGTGATCAGCTTGACAACTGGAGGTCTCTCGGTTTTTTATGCTTGTCTGGTTCAACAACGGATGAGTAACCTTTTCACCACCGACGACGTCAAAAACTTCTTCAGCAAACCTAGCAGCCCAGAAGAATTTCGAGTACTCGAACAAAATCTAGATAATTTGGCATCATATATGAGGAAGAGAAGCTCCAGTGATGAAACGACTGCAAGAAATCATGGAATAGCGACAGAGCTGGAATCGCTGATTAAGCAGTTTAAGAGCAAAAACAAGTGGAAATGCGCTTCCTTTCATTCTATTCTTGTGGTCAAGGCACCGACTCTTCTTTTGAAATATGCACTGGCATCTTTCGTCATTGGACTGGGCATTTACTTTGGCTGTCTCGCGTTCAGCGACGTGGATTCTCAGAAGCCTCGAGGATGATATCGCACAATATTTATTGTTTATATTGTGACTTGCTTCCTCGGCCTTCTGATCTATTATGTTCCGTCTATATTGAAGGGACTGGAATTGTCGCCACGTCGCTACGCACAAATCATGACCGATGAGCTTCCCAAACAACAACGCCATGAAGAGACGGAGATTTTCCAGAACATCAGTGCCCTATTGAATGCAGAAGAGCAGGAAGTAGATGGGGAAAATTTATCTGACGATGCTGCATCTTGGCCAGGAAGACTTGAGGACATGACTAGATCCCAGCACAGTCCCGCGCCTCATATTCAGATCCAACAGTCTGACAAGAGCGATCAAGAGGCTACAAAAGAAGCCATGAAGTCTTGATGTGTGAACTTACATTGGATTTTTCTCAATGACATTCAAGAGTCATTGCGTGTAGTATTTGGGTGGAGAATACATGTCAAGCCAGATCGCCCACCGATATCGTCCATCCAGCTACAAGTCACGATTAGTATGAACAAAGATATATGTAGAAGAGAATTGAATTGAATCAGAGTAGTTGGATATTTAGTTTCAATATTGCAGCAAAAAGGCTCATCACGGTGAACTTGGCCTTGAAAGTCCATAACAACCTCTTTCCCTTCTTTTCACTCAGAAACAATAGCAACTTAGTTCAGTGTGCAAACCTAAAGTTCAACCTGCTGCTTCCTTGATGCTCAGTGTTTTTGATATAATCGTTCCGTTCATCTTCAGACATCGCATTCCAGATCTTGTCCCGCCTCCGATTCTGGAACACATAGTATGCTTTTGCTGCAAGGAATAGGAAGATTGCCAGGACATTAATGGCGATCAGACTGGTGTTTCCTCTTCTATATTTGGGCTTGTCGTCTTCTCTGTATATGAAGTATGCAGCGACATCTCCTGCTTGCACGGACATCTGTATAACCAGTTAACATTTGATCGTAATGTGTTCTCGCTGCCACTTACGTTGTAGAGTGCAGCTGCTACCGAGCGATTTCCGACATTATTTGCGTTTCTGGACACCCATGCAACCACGATGGCTAGTGAAATCGTCAGTATTTATTTTTCTTCACCGATCGGACAGCTTGAACGTACCATGACAGTAGGGGTAGCTCAGCAGAACGGTCACTACTGCATACGTTCCCCAGGCATTAGAAATCACATCAGGCCAGACTCGCAGCGCAATTAAGCATGGAAGCGTCCAGAGACCCTGGAACATGGCAATCAGTGACCACTGATTCAACCGGCTGGAAACCCAGGTGATCAGAAGTAGATTGGCGATATGGAACACGCTCGCTGGGATCGTGAGTAGATTAGTGTTGAATTTGTCGAACCCGAGTGAACGGAGAGTGAGGGTAATGTAGGAGGTTGGTGGTGATTGTGGGATATAAACAACCAGTCCGATAAAGTAAAGGGGCCACATGTTATAGTCCTTGATGGCGTTCCAGAGTCTTCGAGGAGTCACGGCTTGACGGTTATGCATGTCGCCCTTGGAAGGATCATCGCGGAGGACGCGATTAGCCACGATCGCAACTTCGCGATCGGTGAACCATCCTTTGGGTCTGAACCAGGTTTTGGTTTGAACTACCGATGCTGGCATCATGAAGAATGAGGCTAGACCGATGGAGAGGGTGATCAGTCCTTCGATGAGGAAGAGCCACCGCCAGCCAGCCCAGCCATGAACGCCACTAAGGTGGAAGACTGCGAAAGCAAGCAGCGATGTAACAATTGACGTCACAGAGAGTGAAGTCCAGAAAAAGCTAAAGAGGCGTTAGTAGAGGCCAAGCCCTGGCGTGATTTGATCATACCTCAGACGGATTGGAAGCTCGCGGGAAGTATAGAAATACGAGAGCCACAACACGATATCTGGAATGAATCCACCCTGGGCAGGGATTAGTAAACGGGTAATAATTGCTGAGTTCAACAGTCGACTTACCTCTAGTATACCCAACAAGCTGCGTGTGATCAGGAATGTCCTCCGATCTGTCAGGGCGCATTGTGAGATGGCAACCACCGACCACAGCACGATCTGAATAGGAATCCAACGATCCGGTCCGATTTTCTTTGATACTAGCTGCGACGGTAATTCTGCACAAAGGAATGAGACTCGGAAGACGATGTTTCCGTAATTATAATCTGGGAATTGTCAGTACTGGCCAGCAAACCCAGTTAACGACGATTGTTGAATAACTTTATCTTACCATTTGTGTTGAGCTTTAGATCTTTTAAGAAAGTGTCGGACACTGCCTGGACAAGGTTCCCTCGATCGACCTGAAGTGCGAAGAACATGACGCACTGTAAATAGAATAGTTAGTGATAAGCAATTGGATTGATTAACGGTTGGGTTGTTGACATACAGCCCATAAGCAAATTCTCCAATCAAGCTTGCGAACCAACTGCCTTTCCTCCTCCTCCGTCCATGTCAAGGAAGGGTCGAAAACCTCCCGACATTCATATTGTGCCTTGTCGTAGACCCCTCGCCAGTATTCTGCGACATCGGGGTCTAGAAAAGGGTTGTTCTTTTCAGTAGTTTCACCACTTGGTTCTAGAGTGCCATAGTTCTTCGGGCGCTCTTTTGGGTAGTTCTCGCTCAAAGTGACCACCGAAGTGGACTTCCCGTTCTGTTGAACCATGGTTTTCTGACCTCACGAAGATCACCCGGTGGCTATTCTTTATGGGGTTCCTATGGTTGACGCTTGTGAAGGATTCTTGGAGATGCATGGTCATGGGTGATGTTTGCCATTTATAGCTTTCTGCCGACGAAGACAACACCGCGGGGTGACATTTGTCAATATGGCGATAGATTAATGGCCTAAGATGTGCTAACTTTATCATTGAGGATATAGTGTTATTGTTTTCCAATAAGGGTCCAGCATTGCGTGCTCCGAGGCTAAATCAACAAATGCATCACCCCGCACGGCTGACAGGTGAATTGGCGTATGATGAATCTTAAGATCGTCAACATATCGCTGGTTCTTCTGGGGTCTTCAAAATTTAGCTTCTTTCTTGCAAGGTCGAGGTAGTTCATGTCAGGAACAGACCTCATGTTGATGATCGTAGCGATGGACAGGGAATCTAAGCAATACAGGGTAGAGACATTCACGGAGATAAGCGAAGACGCAAAAACACAGATAATGAGATGTAAAGTATAATCTTGCAAGCTTTCTCAGCGGAAGTCTTGGCTGATAGGCAATTCAATGCCAAGTATGATGAGATGGACAGCACAAATTGAAGTGTGGGATGACGCCATACAAACCTTTTCTGCGCATGCATGGCGAGGTTGAGATTTCAAGTGCCGATATCTTTTCAACCACCGATTCGCATAGGTTGTGGCCAACCAGGTCTTGTCTGAATGTCATATATGAGCTAGAGGCACAACATATGGAACCCCAGTATATAAAAGGATGCATATTTGTGATGTACTTGAGCCGACCAATGAGGAGGAGTTGGCCTCAGGTAGCCAAATAAAACCCTCTTAAAAAATCCATCTCGTCTGGCTATGATCAGGGAGAAATTAAAATTCTATTTATCACTCAGACAAGATGTTCTATCCTGTGCAGTACGAGATGGGTTCGTCCGTCACTGGCCCGTTGTGACTAACAGTCCGGCCGAACAGTCGGACAAAAACAAGCCGGACGGACGAAACGAAGGCTTTCGTTGCAATAGCCATTCAATATTTTACCCTATATAAAGGCATTAAATCGACTAGAAGAGAATCAAGCAATCGCCTTCGTTTAATTTAATTGATCATGGTCTCTAAAATCGCAAATAAAAATGTCCTGCTTATTGGTGGTACATCTGGCATCGGTTTCGCGGTCGCCAAACAAGCTGTCGCGGACGGCGCAACAGTGACCGTCACATCCTCGTCCGAAGAAAGAGTATCCAAAGCTGCCGATAGCCTTCGTAATAGCAACCCGACCAGAGCCTCAGCAGTACGCAGCTATGTGGCCGACCTCTCCATCAAAGACGAACTGGACACAACCATCGAAAAGCTACTCAAATACGCCGCGGAAACCGCGCCAATTGACCATATTGTCTTCACTGCTGGCAATGTACCTCCAATGGTACCACTTGCAGAGGCTTCTTTCAGTGATCTCGACGCGTATCTCACTGTTCGTTTGTTTGGCGCGATGGCAGTGGGGAAATATGCGCCCAAGTACATGGTTTCCAGCAAGAGCTCGTCCATTACCTTGACTACTGGGACTCAAAGCAAGAAGCCATCAATTTGGCTGGCGCCTGCTGTGGCAGGATCAGTGGAAGGTCTGATGAAGGGTCTGGCTATTACGCTAGGACCTATCCGCGTCAACGCCGTTTCGCCTGGTTTTATTCTGACGGAGCTGACGGATCGACTCCCCAAGGAGATGAAGGAGGGCGCGATTGAGAAGTATACTCGACAGTCGCTCACAAAGGATATTGGCTATCCTGAAGACGCAGCTGAGGCCTACCTGTACCTGATGAAGGACTATTTTGTGACGGGGTCAACTGTGGCAACTAATGGAGGGGCTTGGTTGGTTTGAAGTGTATTTGGAGGGTTCAGTTCTAGAAAATATATGAAAGGAAACATATGTACATACCTACACTTCAATGGCCTTCAAGAACGCTGAGCTTTCATGACCTTCAACCACCTTGGCAATCGGAGTAAGGTATGCTTCGGAACTTTCTTGGCTTTCTTGAAGTTGACGCACGTAATATTGGGCAACCTTGAGCCAGTGCGCCTTTTCGTGTTCGCTAGCACCAAGACCCTGCCAGACCCAAAGTCTGTTGCCAACGTCATATAAGAAGACGTCGTTGCCGTCAAAGTCCGACCGGTTGATCCGACCGCCGTCTTTGACAAGATCAAAGGACAATTGTCCAGAGGAATCACTGAGACGGAACAGCTTGCGCGGGTGAGTTGTATCATGTGCCTCAATGGATCGCTTGGCGAATGACCCGGGTCGAGACGCTTGGAATGTCTGTTGTTGCACCTCCTTGCCTCCCAGCAGATCGACAATAATCTTTGACCGGGATTCAAGTTGCGACAGAACTTCCACGTCAACGTGCTTTGCTAGAGTCATGTCATTCACCACCTGCGCTGCCTTAGCCTTCTCCATTGGGCTGCAGCTCTTGCCCTGCCAGACCCAGATCTTTTCACCCTTATCCAAAACAAAGACATCCTTCTCGTCAAGGCTCTGCCATGTAGGTTCCACCTCGTGTACAATAATCGCACGGCCACCACCGGGGTCCTTGAAGATGCGGAGGAGGGTAAGGATTTCCTTTTGCTCTTTCGGCTCGACATGGGTGAAGCCGGAGCGCACACCGCCAGACCGGATCTGGTAGTGACGGAATAGGGAGAGGAATTCGTCGGAGGGCTGCGCTTGTGTCTCGCGATGCTGAGTCGCAGCGCCGTGCAAGAACTCATCCAGCTCGACTGTCTTGTAGGCGGCAGTCCCGGCTTCATCCTGCGTAGTCTTACTCCCCAACCAGAAGAAAACATCATGCGCTAGCTTCTCCTCGCCTTGTTGCTTCCCGACCTTGTATGAATGCAGCACAATGAAGCTATCCCCGTCGTAAAATTCGCCATATCGCTCTTTGGGCCAAGGGATGACCTCGAAGTTTTCGATTCGCCAGATGAAAAATCCAGCTTCTTGGCCAATCCGTCCGTTATTCCAAGCTGGTTCGGTCGCGGCGGAATTGTACTTGACACGGTGGTCGATATCGGATCCAATCAGCTCCACATTGCTGTCCTTGACGTCGTACTCTTTCAGGTGAACTAATCCTTCGTGGGGTGCCATGTTGATATCGAATGGGCCAAAGCTCTTTTCGCAGGGAGGATCAGGAAGTGATGAGGGAGTGAAGAGATTGAGGATGTTAATCGGAGGTCGGTGCTATGAGCAGGGCTGAAGGTGGTGTAGCTACGTTGGTGGGGGCAGAAGGAGCGTGGCTGAGAGGGCGGGGCCAACTGACATAGTCATTAGTCAATGTGGTGGGTCAGGACTCAAGTGTCTATCCTTACTTACACCACTTTATTAATACTGTAGCTTTTGTCCTGATCAGACTGGTTTCTAATGGGCTAATTGTTATAGGAAGCCTGGTTTATGCCAATTGTGTAGGGTGAGCTAGAAAGGAACGTTCACTCGGAAGATATGAAAGCTGTTGTAAGGGCCAAGTACATTGGATTTTAGGATAAGTGAAAGATTTAATATAAGAAAGAATATCGGAGGATTATGCAACAATGATAGATATAAACAACCAGATACGATTGCTCTGCTGTTAAATAGAATATTAGTGTTTAATAACCCATGCAACAGTCAAAAAGGGACTCATAATCATGTCCAACAAGAAAAGCAAGTACTAGGGCAGAAAACAGAATAGAACTAACGAGAAACCCCTTCACTAAGGACATAGAGACTCGTTAGGAGCCTGAAATATAGCAGTCGTCACAGATCAGATATGTCGAACTTCTGTCGCTTTTTGAAGTAGACGCAAATGGCCGTAAGAAATGATGGAATGTATCTTAGGTATACTAACTCTATGAGCTATGAGGAAGTCGGTGAAATTGAATTCGGATTCCTCTCATTTTAGTATGCACCTGGATCAATCAGCTAATCAATCTAGGATCAAAACTACTTACCCTCTAAGGTTAGATCAGCTTATGATGCGTCGGTGCATAAGAACACTGTATATACACCCACTTGCCTAGCTAGGTTTAGCGCCGTAACAACTGCTTGTTTAAGCAATAGTTGTGACAGAACTTGATCCTTATTGCGATTTGACATAGACTCCGAGGACAGCTGTCTGACAAGATCCGGTAAGTTTTTTAAAGCGAGGCTGAGATCCTTGTCACTTTGTTTGCTTGTCCGGGGGGTGCTGCATTCCTCGGTTTTTGTTTCACTGCTGCCTGGTGTCAATTTCGGCTTATATGCACATGGATGCACATTTCTAGTACTACTTTCCCTGGAAGTATTTGATGATTTTCAACATAGCCACCACCACACATACCAGGCATTCTTGATTTGCTGTTTCAGCGTCCATATTCTCACTCAGAATACGTACGACTGACGTCTCGTTAGAAATGGGCTTGCATAGCCCCTTCTGGGGCTCACCGAGCTCCAAAGCTAAGTCAGTATAGTACTGCGCTGCCCAATCTAGATAAACCATATGCTGACACGTCAAAAGCTTCTGTGAAGAAGTACGAGACAAATCTCTCAGACAGTATTCAAATTTAGCTAGCTGGGTCTAACTAGTCTTTCCTCTTGTTAGGATTACTTAGTGACAAAGTATATTGCTGAATTTGTCAATACATTGACCAATCTTGCCTATGGTACATATCCGATAGCACTGATTCTGATTATCCAGTATTTCAGATTCTCTATCTAACCTATCAGTTCTTTATGCAATCTATGGACTCCGTCAACTGCGACGAAAATCAAATGTTGATTTCTTCAGGGCTCTGCCCTATTGGGGTTTGATGGCCGTTGGAATATGCTCTGGCATTTTCCATACTAGTCTTCATTACCACACGCAGATGAGTCAGGCTTTCTATCCAGTTGCATTTCGGCGATAGAAAACTGCTAACTCTGGGACTAGTGGATGATCTATCTATGCTCTTTACGACAACTCCAGTTCTCCATCGAGTACTCACAGTCAATTCAGATCGAAGAAACTCAAGCCTCACTGCGATTATTTTAGCCTCGGCTCTGGCAATTGTTGTTGCTTATCATATGGCAACTGATGAGCTACTTCTACACTCCGTGACTTTTGTTGCGTCCATTTTCATCATTGGGGTTCGCACTATTCAATTGATCAATACTCGAGTTCCGGGTAATTCAGTGACACGAACACAAATTTGGGGTATGGTGCGATTCGGAGCTGGTAAGATATTCCTGCCTCAAACGTTATGTTTTCACATTAGCTAAGAATCTTTGAAAATAGTCATTTTCCATCTCGGGTATGCAGTCTGGATTCTTGATGGATGGGTCTGCGGCTTCTTGAGAAGCTCCCGGAGAGCTATAGGGTTGCCTTGGGCTTTTCTACTCGAGCTACATGGATGGTAAGGATCAAATTGCGCCAAAGGAATCATTCCACCTTTAAGGAAAGCATAAGCTGATTGCTGAAATGCATCAGGTGGCATATTTTCACTGGCATTGGAGCCTACATTTTCATCGCGGTCATAGATTACCTCGTATCTGACGACGAGCACCTGGATGTTGAAGGATCTTTTGCCTGGCCAGCTGCATGGGCTTCTCAGTCAATATTCGCTGGAATGGGCTCATCTTCGCGAGGGGAAGCTGCAAAGAAGCAGGAATGATGTAGATGGATTTACTGACAACAATCTCCGTCGACTTTCGCTCAATTTCTGAGTTTAGCGTTGTCACTGAGTGATATATTCTACGAGCCATCTATAGGTATTCTGTCAACCCGAATGGGTTGGTACTCGTATCTCAACATACAGTCTGCAGTGTGACAACTACCTGCATGCATGAGATAACGACAAAGTGTGTCTGCCCAACACAAATTCGTTGCTATTAGGCATCCCGAATTTGTAACATCCGAGGATCCTCGTTATACTGTAAGCTCATGTGTATTTCAACCCCTATAAGCGCCCTCATATCATGTTTCTTTTCAATCAATCAATTCAATATCAATCCTTCCCCCTTTCTTTTGATTCCGTTGCCCCAATTGGCCAATTTCCAAGTACTCCGTAGCTATCACATTGTTGATATATTCTAATTGCAGTGACGAAAGTGGCTCCAAGCCTCGTACAATCTCTGCAGAGCCTCCCTTGTAACTAAGTGGTTAGACATCCCATGACAAATGAACAGGCCTAGACAATTCCATCACTAAGTTCCGAATACAGCATCCGCCATCTTCGGTCTGGAGACACGTAGAAGCCGCTCAGTCATCCGCAGACCAGTTCCTAGACGACTGATGGAGAGACTGCCTAGACCGGTCTAGACTGAGAAGTCAGTTGAACATTCGAGACCACAGCCATGAAAAGCCAACCTTCACAGGATGAGTTTTTACGGGGAGTACCTGATTGGGGTTGATAGGCGATCTAGATCCCGGATGCTAGATCGATATATGGGGTCGCAATTAAACTGTTCCAAACTTTCGATGCTGAGTGCGGTGATATTCCAACGGTACCTGGGTTGTCGTCATGCAACCATATTTTCAACGCCCGTCGAGGCCCTCAAGTCGACTCAGTCAAGGGTCTTGAGGGTCTTTGTAAAAGCCGGGCGATCAGGGACGTGGCGGGACTTGTAGGAGTCGTCGTCACATAACCAGACAATGGACAAAGAGTTAAACTAATCTGGGATGCTCTGGACCGTAGCTCAACATTTGGACGGCGTGCGCAAGATGCGTTTCAGTGTAGCCGTGGAATGCTGCCAGAATCAGTCCATCTTTCCTTCACCGGTTCGCAGACTTGTTGATCCTTGGTAGAGAAAATTATTCTCAATAGTGCGCAAAGCACAAAGTAAAGTTCGTTTACCTGCCCGCCATTTTTCGTATACACGGACGGAAACTTGACTATTGGAAAGTGGAGGGACAGAATGCCGAAGCCCTATGAGGGACCCACCACGTACCAGCTGAAGATTTCGATCAAGCCGAGCTTCGGCGCCGGTTTGGGAAGGAGACCTCCGCACTCCGACCAATGATCGCGTTCTTCGTAAAGTCACGAGTGTTCTGGAAGGAATGGAGATGAATCGAAAGCCCGGCTTGAATCTTCAAGATCGCTAAGCGCCTGTTAGAGTATTAATGATCGCCTCAATTATTGATGCCGAACTGGCGCCACAGTGCATCATGCGTGGCAGGTCTATTTTTACGTGGATGACCACTGCAAAGATGATGCTGTACCGACGTATGGTGGAACACGGAGCAGGAAGGACATGTGGCATCGAGGCGCAGACAGAAACCTTCTGACACAGCCTCAGATTCGCACGATGTCGTTCAAAGACAAAATGCCAGTGAAATTCGCATGGCATGTCTCAGCCCTAGGTGATCTTTGCTGAAAAAGGGGCCAACCCCGGCCGGTCTCGTTCATCTGCGAACAAAGCTCTCTCGGTCCGTGATCCACTCGTTGAGTCCAGACAGAGGCGGTTATGATTTATCCCGTACCACTCAACGAGTAGGGCGAGATGTTGAAAGCGAAGGCCCTGCGCCGCAGATGTCGAATTCGAACCCTCGAAAAAGAGCAATTAAGTTTGCCCTTGCCACCACTAACTCACCGGATCGCCTGTATTGAGGATAGAATATGGAGAAGTGAGATTCAATAATCGGCGAGGTGTTGGTGGTAAACCCGAGGAAATGAAGAAAGAAGACTCGGCTTTGAATTAAACTCGGCCGAGCTAACCAAATCCAGAATAGGCTTACATCACGTGCAGCGGAAGTAAGCCGGCGCCAAAAAAAGATCATCGCAAATTTGAGCAAAGCCTTTTCGGGCTGAGATGAATTTAAATAATTCCGATGAATCGATAGTCTTGAGCCAGAAAAACCTTATTGCTAGTCTCGACTCTTTGCCCTGTGATCATGTCCACCTTGCTGAGACGACGGGTTCGGTACTCCGAAATGATCATCTTCCGTGGTTTTGCCTACCATAGAATTCTAGGCCTCCCGGCGTTGGAGGCTTGACGCCCAGCGCCTCAGCCTCGTTCCATATTTCATGGATAAATGTTTCGTTTTGCTAGGTCTTGATCGGCACATCTAATCCGATAATGATGAGCTTTGTTCACTTGCTTCAGGATTCAATGGAGAATAGAACCCAAGGCTGGCGTGGTCAGCCAGGAATTCAAGGTTATGCACAAGGCTGACAGGCATAACCTCGTTCATCCCAAGCTTTTCTTCACCACTAATTCCAGTATTAGCGGCCTATCATCCTTGTCGATAGAGCTAAGTGGGCTACTTCGATTGGTGGCCACCATTCAAAGCGCTGGATGCAGCCCCCGTTGGTCTCTAGTGCCGAGATAGCCCAGTTTGGCGTTGAGATTGGCTCATTAGAGCGGCTGGTGATCTTTGAAAACAACTCCTGTATGTACTGTACTCTGTATAGTACGTCTCGTAGCGCCCCTAGGTTCAATCGTCTTGATAGTCGCAATTGTACCTCGTGAGTTATGCATTCCTCTACCAAACCCCTGCTGTCAACGAGGAATGCGACTTGGCCGAATGCGGTAATCCAGAGCTGATGGGCGATAAACAGGCACAGCCACTGGCGTCATGCAGTGACCTCGGTGAAATCTACTCAGTAGAGTCGGTACAGTAAGTCTGGAACGAACCATAGACTAATAATAAAAATGCATGATAATCTTGGAAATTCATTACTTCAGAAGCCAATCAGAGCCAGTTGTTCCTGCACTGATGAGCCCCACTTACCAAGTATAGTTAGAGATTCGGTCACAGCCATACAGTACTTCAGTATTGTAGTTGTACATTTTTTTCAGGCAGATGTCAATAGTTCAACGACAAACAGTTGACGAGAGACTTCAGTAGAACGAAAACGGAAATTTACTCGTAAATCAAGCTCTAAAGTATACTACTGAACATACTATAGCCCTCGACAGAGTAGATGTGTTCAATAGTGTCGTCGACAGACCAAAGGGAGAGATGCCGGGGTAAACAGCAACCGTTTCAGCGCGGGTGGCAACCGAACCAATCACTGGTTCGGGGCAGCCAGCCCCGCTGAGTCAGCCCAGAGGACGCGCAATCCTCGCTGGCCTGTTGGGCCCTTTGGGGCCTTTGGGGCCTTTGGAGAGGGGGGCCCTTTATGGCTCTGGCTGTTCGCTCTCCTGATTTCCACTTTTATCACATCCCCTCTCCCCTTCTCCATCCTAGACCCAGACATCCAAACTTTTTGATCGATTTGATCCCCCTCTAGAACCACACTCGCTCCTTCTCTCGCTTCTCTCAACCCACCCCCCTATCCTTATATAACCTGCCCCCTCCCAAAATCCCATTATTGAAAGGGGTAAGGTACCAAACACCTACACACCATGGCAACTCTCGCAGAACATCCTATGCACGCCACGGCCTCGCCGATGCCGATGAACACTTCTTACGACCAAGACCTCGACTCCTTTATCAACTTCGACCAACTCGCCTACACTTCCGCCGACGCCGCCCGTCCCAAGGTTGCGCTCACCAGCCAGCCGTCCGTCGCCGGCACTGAATACAGCGCCAGTGATGTCCGCAGCACCAGCTTCGCTTCCAGTGGACAATCCCCTCTCGCCTTTCCCGCCCCTAGCCATCACTACGAAGAGCACCGCCAGCAGACCGGTCTGCCACCTGGTGCCTTGTCCATGACCTACAACCAGGTTCCCCAGATGAACTTCACCAACGGTGGCCAGGGCTACCCGATGAACGGAGAGGTCTTCGCTGGACAGATGAAGCGTGAGGATACCACCTTCGACTTTAACACTGCCCCGGTTCGCAACCCATCCGAGATGGACATCGAGTCGGATGGTTTGAACAACGCCCCGTATTTCTTCCAGGCTGGCCCTGGCAAGAACCAATATGTCGACCCCAACGCGCTCGGCGGCCATGAGCTGGCTCAGGCTGGTCCGTCCACCCAAGTCGGCCGCATGTACCCTGGCATGCATCAACAGCAGGCTGCGATGGCCAAGGCCCAGCAACAAAAGCACAACGATATGCTCCGTCAACAACAGATGCAACAGCGTCGCGTGGAGGAGGCTCCCAATGGCGCCGCCGTGCGTGGTTCTCGTCAGCCCGATCCCGTTGTTGAGGAGCGTATCTCCCGCCTGCTTCAGCAGATGCGTGCCAATGCCGTTGCTGCCGGCGAGGCTTCGCCCTCTCCCTCGGTTCTTCCTCACATGGCCAAAGCCAAGAAGGACGAGGCTGATATGGACGAGGATGAGCGTCTTCTGGCTAGTGAGGAGGGTAAGAAGCTCAGCAGCAAGGAGCGTCGCCAGCTACGGAATAAGGTGTCTGCTCGTGCTTTCCGCTCCCGTCGCAAGGGTATGTATGAGTCGACTTAAAATTGAATGCGACTTCAGTAGCTAATAACCATTTTCCTGCAGAGTACATTGGTCAGCTTGAGAGCGAGATTGCGACCCGCACCAACGAGGCTCACGAGCTGCGTCTTCAAAACCGCGCCCTCTATGAGGAGAATGCCCGCCTCAACGACCTGGCCCGCATGCTCTTGGGCTCTCCCCAATTCGCCAGCTTCCTGAACGACATGCCCGACACCCTCCCATCCCAGATGGCCGCCCCTCAGCAGCCTCAGCAGCAGATCCAGCACCAGCAGGCCGCCCCTCAGCCCACCATGCCGGCCACCATCCCCAAGGAGGCCAGCGCTCCTCGTCCCCAGGAGTTCCAGATGCAGCAAAACCCCCAGGTTACGATGGCTATGGTCCCCAACCAGGGCATGGACGCTTCCATGATGACCAGCAACGGTTGGAACTCGGGTATTGACATGAACTACGGCAATGCTTCCGTCTTCGCAGTCCTTGATGTTCCCGCAGGCCCCGAGCTCGACATCGAGGCTCTGTGTGGCAAGTCATCCTCGCACCTGTCTAGCGACAAGAACGAGGCCCCAGTCCTTGACCTGCCTGAGATCCCCGACCTGGATTCCCTGACTCAGAAGTCTGATGTCAGCTTCCCTGCTGGCTCCGAGCCGGATCTCTTCGCTGACTCACCTGCTACTTCTACTCTTGCTGATGACGAGCTTGTCTTTGACGGTATCCCGACTGAGAAGTTCTCCCCTAGCTACGAGCTTGTGGTGGGTTCCCCCTACGAGGTCACTGACGCCGACAAGAACCGTTTGAGATCGCTCTGCCAGAGTATGCATGCCGCCTTTGAGCGGGTGTCATTAGCCACTTCCCACCTCCAGTGATTCCCCATTTAGCGTCCTACCTTTCTGGTACCATTTTCTTTGTATATCTGTCTATTTATGTACTAGCATCGCCCTGTCTCCTTTCTCATTTTGCGTTTTTTTTTTTTTTTTTCTCTCATGCCTGGTGAATCACACACCTACGCCGAATTGTCTAGCTACATCTTGCGAGTGATCGGGGCTGGAGTTTCTCAGATGGCCCCTCGGGAGTTTTATGGCGCTCATTAGTTTTTCATCGTGTGTATCTCCCGGGCTGGGCTATGGGCTTTTGGGTGGAAATTTTTGTAGCGATTACTCGGCGCATACTATGACACAGCCAAATAAGAGCTGAAAATTGATATAACTACTCTATGAATATGGATTTCCAAATACTTGTAACACATCGTAACATATCCTTTCTTTAAGCCAATTAAATGTGATGAATGATCTAATTGGTAGTTGAGCAACTTTGGTGAAGGTTGACTCAGGCGGGCGTGACGCAGAGGGATCTCCACCCAAAAAAGTTCGGTTCCGCAGCTTCGCTCCGCATCAAATTATCATCCTTCCCCCGTCTCTCGTACGGCCAATCTATGCTGATTTCTACCTCATTTTCTCTCTCCTCCAGCCAAATTGGCTTCCTTCAGTGCCCGCGGTAACCTCTTTGCCGCGGTTTCTCGCGCTGTCGCCCCGCGCGTGTTTCCTCGAACGTCAGTCTCAACAACCGTTCTTCTTACAGCAGGATTTCGCAACACTACAGTTCGACAACCCTTTCAACACCAGCGAAAACCTCAAGTCACGACTGTCAAACGTCCCCAGCTCCGCGTTCGAAAGAAACCAGCTCAACCCTTAGACCCACACATCGCCGCAGACACCTGCATCATTCCTTATACTGCGCAATCCGTCCCTCCTGTACAGAGATACGTGATTTGTGAACCGGAGTCCCTCGAAAATCCAGATATCAAGGACATTCGTATAGACTCGAAAGGCGTACACCCAATGAAGGCCTGGTTCGAGGTTATCACGACGCCGACGGCCGACACCCCCGGGACGGTTGTCGGCCTCCATTTCCCCGACAAGCGTTACTTGTTCGGTCAACTTGCAGAGGGCACACAACGCGCGTGTACGGAAAGATCTCACAAGTTGGCTTCGATTGGCGACATCTTCATAACAGGTCGGACAGAATGGGCTAATATGGGAGGCATGATTGGTGTCATTTTGACCCAGGCGGATGCGCTGAAGTCCTCGAATGATGCATTGGAGGAAGGGAACAAGAAAAAGGCGGAGCGCAAGGCTGCTGGTACGCAGGCTAAAAACAAGGCCAAGCAGTCCTCTAGCGCGGAAGAGCCGAGGAAAATTAACGTGACTGTCCATGGAGCTACGAATCTGATGCACACAATGGCTACGGCGAGGCGTTTTGTTTTCCGCACGGGTATGCCCATATACATGAAGGAGTATGACTCGGCAAGCATTTCAAAGCAGATTCGTACGGACAAGGAGGATCCCTTTGAGGTACCCACTTTCATTGATACGAACATCAAGGTCTGGGCTCTGCCTCTTAAGCCGACTGGTGCTTCGCAAGTGGTGCGCTCGCACAGCCCGCGGAAGCGCAGCCTGGATGAGTTCCAGGAGACCGACGAACAGTTGGACCAGAATGCGCAGAATCAGATGCTGAGACAGTCTATTGTCTCGGACATGTTCGATTCAGACTGGAAGATGGATGCGCTCATTGAGACCCCCTTGGCGGAGGTGAAAATGCCGGCGGCTCTCTTTGTGCGCAATGTGGATACTAAGGACATTGAGCCGTATAAGGGTCCTATCCCTGGTGACGAGAAGGAGTTGCCTGACATCAAGGTCCTTGTTCGAAAGCCTTGGCCTGGCGCCACAATTACTTCTCTGCCACCAACCACTCCCTCGAAAGAGGCGGTCTCTTACGTGATTCGGAGTCACGATATTAGAGGAAAGTTTGATGCCAAAAAGGCCAAGGACCTGGGTGTCAGCGAAGGTCCGGACTTTGCTCGACTGGCGCGGGGAGAGGCCGTCCAGGCGTCAGACGGCAGCACGGTTACCCCGAATATGGTTCTGGGTGCAGTTCGACGTGGCAAAGGCCTTGCGGTCATTGACTTGCCATCACCAGAGTATGTCGAGGATCTGGTCAACCGCCCCGAGTGGAATTCGCCTTCTGTAACAACCGAGCTCAAAGTCTTCATCTGGATTCTGGGACCGGGAGTGGGTGACCACCCCAAGCTTCGGGAATTCGTTGCACGATTCCCCGATGCTAAGCACACCGTTTCTGGTGTGGATTATTGCCCCAACTACCTGGCATTCAACAGTGCTGCTGGGGCTGCTGTCCGACTTGCTCGTCTGAGGGGAGATAACTACCCAATTCCTGTCCATGACAATGTGACAGTCCCACAAGCCCAGACTGGCTCCCAACCAGGGAGCATTTCGCTGGAGGAGTCTCCATTCGAAGCTCTCCAGCCTGGGCTTGTTATCGACATGGAGCCGCAATTTGGCTTCAACAAGAGCGATGCCATAACTCCTTTGAATACTGCCAAGACTCTTTTCCAGATTCCACGGTCTGTTGAAAAGCGAATGGAAGTCATTCGCACCCGGGTCAAGAAGCCATATTTCCAACACCAACTAGCTGAGATGCGCAAGGGCCTTCCTGGCGCTGATGTTGAGATTACTGCCCTGGGAACAGGATCATCTTCCCCTTCCAAGTACCGCAACGTGTCTGCGACACTACTCCACGTTCCTGGATATGGTTATTATCTTTTGGACTGCGGTGAGAACACACTTGGACAGATCAACCGTGTTTTCGGTTATGAAAAGACCCGCGAGATTTTGCAGAACCTGCGCATGATCTGGATTAGCCACCTTCACGCCGACCATCATCTCGGCACAGCATCCTTGATTAGGGCCTGGTACCAGGAGAATTATGGGTCAGATTCTAAGCCGATCGAGCCAGAGAGTGACATTACGAAAATCCTCCAGGAAAAGCGCCTGGCTGTGGTGTCCGATGAGATGATGATTGCCTGGCTGGAAGAGTATGCCGCAGTGGAGGATTTCGGCTTTGACAAGTTGATCCCCCTGTGTGCGCACCCCGACCCCGCAGGACCTTCCATCATTACCCGGTTCAGCCTCCGCCAAAGTCGCAACGGCAACTCTCCTTATGGGATGGCATCTGGTGGAAGAACCGTACTCAACTTCAAGGATGATTCCTCGCCTCTGACTCCGCTGCTGAAGTCTGCTCTCGGTGTGGATGATATCCTTACCACTCGTGTGAAGCACTGCAAGGGCGCCCTCGCCGTCTCTATCGTCTTCCCCGATGGATTCAAGGTCTCCTATTCTGGTGACTGCCGACCTTCGGACAAGTTTGCCTCCATTGGCCAGGGATCAACCCTTCTCATCCACGAAGCCACCTTCCAGAATGACATGATCGGCTCAGCACTTGCAAAGCGTCACTCCACCGCAGCCGAGGCCCTTGAAGTCGCCCGCCGCATGGGTGCTCGCTCAATCTTCCTCACGCATTTCAGTCAGCGGTATCAGAAGATCGCCGCCATTGACCAGAATGCCGGAACAAACAGGCACAATGACGTTGATATGTGCGATATTGCCGCCAAGGAAACCACCGACCCTGACATCCCCCTTGACGAGCCCGAAGAGCAGCCGTCAACCCTTAAATCCGCCGCACACCTACTCGATGACATCCACTTCCCATTGCCAGATCGCCCAGGCCTGCCGCGCAGCGACTATATCCCAGGCATAAACGCCCCTTTTTCCGCGGCCATGGACTACATGCGCGTCAAGGTTGGCGACCTCGCTCTGGCACAGGCTTACGCTCCCGCAGTTGAGAAGCTGGTCGAACTTCTGGAGAGAGACGCCTACGTGCAATCGGAGATTACCAAGAAGGCTATCCGTGAAGCGGAGGAAGTGCGCAAAGCGAAGAAGAATAAGAAGTTCGCGGGTAAGAAGGGGGTTGCTGCTGTTGGCGCTGCCGCTGCGGCTGCAGTCGCTGCAGAGGTTGAGGAAGTGGAGGAGAAGAAGAAAAAGCCTGAGTTTGAACTACCGGAGCACTCGGTGTGGAGTGCTAGTGAGAGTGAGGCTGGGTGGGAGACGAGTGACTTTGAGGAGTAAAATGTCCGCACTATTGTATATAGAGTATGTATGCCTCGTTGTGCAAACACTACAGAATACCAGATATCCTTTGCATCTGATCTGAAATGCTACTCTGCTCTAATAGCAATGTATCTGTTCTTCAAATTGTTAGCGGGTTGTCTATGACTTCGGGACCTCGGCACAAAGTTATCCATGCTAAGTAGAGCTGCTTGCCAGACGAAAAGCAAAGTGCATTTTCTCCTATGCCATTGACAAAAATTGCTAGAAAATACTGAAATAGTAGTGTCACAAAAGTATTCCATATCTACTGTTAGATAGTACAATCAAGGATCTATCTATGCACTCCATCCTGTAAATCCCCGATTCTAGATGCAGCTCCACGGTGAACCCCCCACGCCAACCAGCGCCCCCTCACCGCCCCCGGCCCACCAGGCGTGTCATCGCCAACATCGCCAGGAACTCCGATCATCTCTCCACCTCCCTGACGTATCCACGGACGGCAATGACGACCCTTATCCCCCGCGAGGCGTACTCCCCCGAGGAGCTACAGCGCCTCTATCCCAAGGAGCTGAAGCTGCAATTGGTGCAAGTGGTGAGTTTGAGCGATCTATACTCCCAGTCCGAGGGCGCGGATTGAGTTGGGGTAGCTTAACTAACGTTGCTCTAACCCCCCGGCAGTTCTTGCGTCATGGTATGCGTTTGACCTAAGCCAATTTGTTTTAGACGTTGTCTTTGGATGGCTTTTGGGGATTGGATAGAGGCTGATTTCTTGGTGTAGGCGAGCGTACGCCTGTTTCGTCGCGGTTTCAAAATGTATGTTCTGTTCCCTTTCGTCATAGACTGAGTTAGTTGTATGGACTGGGTGGTTGCTAATGCGCTGTGAAGACAGGCCTGAGTCCATGTTTGTCCTCCCTTTTATCTGATGTTCTATTCAGCCGATCTTATAATACAACAATTGACTGATTCACCGGGTATAGACTGGCCTTATTGTGGTGTCGCAAGACGCATGGTTCAGATGGCTGCCGGCAACCAGGATCTCTCCTCGTGGAATGGTTTCCAATGGCGGCGGAAGATGGAGGCTTTTGGTGATAACGATGAGGCGATTGTTGCGACCGGGGCTGGAGGTGAAATTGAGGCTATGTGGTTAGTAGTTTCTACTTGTCTTGAGACAGATAGGATTAGACGAGCTAATTACCCTATAGTACTCACGGTGAACTCACCGACAAGGGTCGCGAGACAACCTATGCGCTTGGCACGCGTCTGCGCCACCTATACGTCGACCAACTCGGCTTCATGCCTAACATCAAGTCCGATACAGAGGATATGTACCTTCGCGCCACGCCTATTCCTCGCGCTCTCGAGTCCCTGCAGCAGGCCTTTTGGGGCTTGTATCCGACCAGTGCACGCACTCAAGATTTCCCCCCACCTGTGATCGTCGCTCGCTCTGTGACTGAGGAGACGCTTTTCCCTAATGAGGGTAACTGTCGCCGGTTCCGACAGCTTGCTCGCCTCTTTGCCGATCGTGCTGCGGCTCGATGTAAGTTGATCAATTTGAATATGGTGGTCACTTCTGACTGAAATATTGTATAGGGAATGACTCTGAGCAGATGGATTATCTGAACAAACTCTGGTCAAAGTACATGCCCGAGACCTCGCCAAAGGTGGCTGTGGATGCTCACCCACGTCTGTCGGGTATCATGGACACTATCAATGCTACTGACGCACATGGCCCGGCTACTAAGCTCCCTTCGGAATTCTATGACAAGAAGGGCCGCGCGATTTTGGATCGCATTGCAGTCGAAGAATGGTTTGCGGGTTATAATGAGAGCAGCGAGTACCGCAAGCTCGGTATTGGTGCTTTGATGGGCGATGTTGTCGACCGTATGGTCAGCACCGCTGTCGATGGTGGATGGCGCAGTGAAAGCTCTGCATCTGGATCTGGTATTCCCGAAGCTGGCAAGTCTATCAAGTTTGCCATGAGCGGATGCCACGATACCACCCTTGCCGCTATCTTGTCCAGTGTTGGTGGTTTCCAGAATGAAAACTGGCCGCCTTTCACCTCCTCGATTGCCATTGAGCTTTTCTCTCAGGCTTCTAGCAACAAAGCTGATGCTGGTAACTTGCTTGAAGAGGTTTCCAACCCACCTGTTGCCGCTAAGAAGACTGGTGTCTTCTCGTCGCTCCTGGGTGGTGGCAAGTCGGTATCTACGCAACCATCCCCTTCCGAGACTGCCCGTGCCCCGGTGTCATCTTTCCCCGAGGAGACCCGTGATACCCTGCGCAAGCACTACGTCCGTATTCGCTACAACGACCGCCCCGTGCGCATCCCTGGCTGTGCTGCCAAGGCTGAGAACCACCTCCCTGGTGATGAGACTTTCTGCACATTGGACGCCTTCAAGGAGATTGTCGACAAGTTCACGCCCAAGAACTGGCAAAGCGAGTGCGCCGCCAACTTGGGTGCTGGTCTGCATGGCCCTAACGACGAGGCACGCTCTACTGCTGGTTTCTAGACTATTGTGACTGTATACCTGTGCTTTTCTGCTGTTTCTCAGTCTCGTGTTTATTCTACTTGCCCGTACAGATATATGGGAGATTAATGGTTTGTTGGGATTGTGTAAATCTGCGAAAGACCGCTTCTAGAATACAAATGCAAATATTGCCCTTTTTCAAGACTTGTCTCACTGCCTCTTGAATGCCTTCTCCTCTCCTCTCTTCTTTATAGCCATCATCCTTCCGATCGTGGCATGCATCAATACCCACCGTGGCATAACCTCGAACGAGAGACCCTGCAACCAATGCCAAAAATACGCCCACACAATAACCTTGCCACATCCCACCCGATCCAATGCCGCTTTCGCCAACGTTCGCGCCAAAGGAACAAATAGGGTACTCTCAACATCATACCCAGCAGACTTCACCTCCCCAACCCGCAATCCCATCACTTCCACACCACACCTTTCCGCAGAACATTCCGCCTCCAGCGCCTTTGTAAAAGAGTCCACAAATCCCTTCGTCGCGGAATAAATACAGATATACGGCAATCCGTATTGCGAGAGCGATGAAACATTCAAGATAAGTCCAGACCGACCTTGACCCTCTGATAAAAGCGGGAGAAGAACACGCGTAATCTGCGCCATAAACCGCGCATTCTTGTCAATCGTCGCGTCCACGTCCGCATACTTTAATGTCCCCAGTGTGACAGACGGTCTCTTCTCGCCGCCGACATTATTAACCAGCACACTTAATCTGCCCTGCCCCTGGCCTTCGTTACCGATGATATCGCGCACTTGCTCCGCTATATCATCAACACCATCATTCATACCCACAGCATCAAGAACCACAATCCCGGTCTTTCGCTCCGGAAACGCAGTGTTAAGTTCTGTCGCGCGCTGGACGAGTTTCTCGCGATTACGCCCGTGCAGAATAACGTTGAAACCACGGGAGCACAGCTCTTGACAGAAACCGAAACCTATTCCATCTGTGGCGCCTGTCACGAGGGCCCAGTTTTTGTTGGAGGTGTTGTACCGTTGTAGTTTGCTGGGGAGGAGGTAGATGCTTGCTTGGCGGGTGAGTTTGTAGCTTAGGTAGGAGAGGGTTGCGAGGCCGATTGTGCTTAAGGTTGTGGTCCAATTTGAGATGTCCATTGTTGTTGGATGGAGTGCAGTGGTTGATGGTATGGATTGAGGGATGTTAAGGATGGATGTGAATGTGACGTTGTGGGGAAGAGATCGATCGGTGATCGGGAGGTTGATTGTTGATCAACAGTGCAATTGGCTGAATTTAGGCTCGGTAGCTCCGTTGGGAGTTTTTTTTTCGTATTCGAAATCGTTCTGGAGAGTATATATTGAGCAGGATAACTACAAAGCATGTACTGAAGTAGCTCTTTTATACTTGGTTATACTTCTTTCATGCATCGGTGGATTTGGGGCTCATCGGTCCGTGGGTGAAACCGAATGCCGACCTGGGGGCCGACCGCGAGAATTGTCAATTATCATTCAGATATTCTTCTGATTGGATGAGGAGGGTCAATGGTGGATACTAACAATGTGAATATCTAATTATTCGTATTTGTTTACTCAAGTTGCAAGGCTGTACATATAATTCTCCCGATTGGCTATCTAGATCAACCCCTGCCAAGCCTGCCGGTGCCTTAGCTTGACTACGAATGCGCAGGCATAGGAGTGAGTCGTGATTTGATGGGATTCGGGCAGCTTCTGATGCATATGAACTAGTTCATTGGTAGATTGAACTGTAATCATCATCCATTTTCGCCCTTTCCCCATAGTCATGAACTTCTCCAGCCCATTCTCTACTAATTCAATCAGAATACTCTCTATGAACTTGCTCTCCAATCATCTTTATTATGACAGGTACCAACACTGTCTGCCCGATTCAATCAGCCTGAGAATTGATCTTGAAGACTTTGAAAAATTCTAATTTGCTCCTCAAATCAACTACAGTCATGAAATCTTATCCGGGAACTTTTTTCCTTGACTTAAGTGGTGCCTTTCGTCTGAATTCCGTTTTATGCATGATGCCCACTCTAACTCGGATAGCTCGAGCTAGCTTAGAAGTCGGTGCTCGTTGTTGATTGTGGCCGGAGAACGCGGACACCTCGCCGCAAGCTGCTAATTCCTCCTCCAACGTAAGCTTTGAAAGTCCAGGGCCTATTTTGGTTTATTTCCAGACCATTTCTCCATGTTTGAGGATTTTCTCGTGTAGTATTAGGGATGATTTTTTTAAAGCGGATATCGTAAGTAGTGTCCTAGATGATCTTGTGTTGTTAATGGTTTAATGGGTGTTCAATGTACCTTACTAGAGCAAAGCAATGGCTGTATGAGATATGTATAGAAATCAATTGCTCATTTATGCAAATTGCTTCATTGTATCATCCATGGTGGCAAACAGGGGTAGCGGAGCGTACATGTCCATTGTTTTTCGCGGGTCGATCAGGATGGCCTTAGCCTCGTGGGTATAATGGGATTAGCCCGTTCTTTATCTCGAGCTTCCGGCATTGTAATTATTGCATTGAGACTCTATAGTCAGATTCAGTCATTTTATTTCATCAAGTTTGTGTCACACGCTTCATAAGTCGTTCAAGTCCAACTTACGGTGGACCCACAGAACATACTACGACGTACTACGACACACGACTTTTCAAAGCTCAATACTCCTTGGGTGACCTGAAAGCACAGCATCCACCATCTTAGCCAATAATATCTCTTCTGAATCAGAATTACCGATGCATCCCTGTCAAATGAGGACCGTGAAGGTCAACAGCGCTACCCAGGTACCTTGGGGACCAGCACCACCATCCACTCAGAACACACCATTTATCAGCTAAAAGGTCCGCTCGAGAATTACTGGCTTGATCAAGGCTCCACTACTTACATAGTAGTCAGCAAATGCCTGTATGAGTATACATGTAGCTCAAGAACCGCTACCACTGACGCGCGATAGTGAGGAACTTGGAGACGATGGACTGGGATAGATAAATGGTGTTGCCCGCAAGGTGCTTCGTAGTTAGGAATCTAACTTGACATTTCTCGGGGGTTCCTTCTTTTCTTTTGCAAGTTCAATCATATTCTGAAAGCCACAATGGTTATCGATTCTGGCCGGGAGTCCGTGGCGTATCATGTCCCAACGCCTGCAGAGGACAAGCCTACAACGAAGCAGCTACCGGTGACCTTGCTCTCGGGTTTTCTAGTAAGACACTCGATAGTCGCCGAGGAAATCGACAACGCAAAGCTGACTTCCGTTTAGGGAAGTGGAAAGACCACTCTATTGAAACACATCCTCAAGTCACCCGATCATGGCTTACGCATCGCTGTCATTGTGAATGACATGAGTCAGTAAGTAATTCAAGGCTAAAGGCGTGATGAAACCATACTAATCCCGCTTCCAATACTAGGCTCAACATCGATGCTGCCCTCATCAAAAACCACAAGGTCTCTCAAACTACAGAGAAACTCATTCAGCTACAGAATGGCTGTATCTGCTGTACCCTCCGTGGAGACCTTCTCTCCGAATTAGCACGTCTCACAAAACAAAATGAGATCCAATATGTTATCATTGAAAGCACGGGCATTAGTGAGCCAATGCAGGTCGCCGAGACATTTACCGCAGAGTTCAGTGCTGCCATGCTGGAGGCTGAGGACCAGATCGCAGACACAGATGAGGACACAAAGAAGGTCCTGAAAGAAATGTGAGAGTGCTTTGACTTCGCGTTCCTGGTCTTCATTCTAACTGTCCACAGCGTTGAGATGGGTGGTCTACACACAATGGCTCGTCTCGATACCACAGTAACAGTCATCGATGCCTTTAACCTCCTCTCAAACTTTGACACCACAGAGTTTCTATCTGATCGCTATGGACGAGATGAGATTGTTCTCGAGGATGAACGTACAATCTCCGACCTCATGGTGGACCAGATCGAGTTTGCCGATGTACTCATCATCAACAAGATTGAAACCGTCGATCAGGCAACCCGTGACAAGATCTCACAATTGATCAAGCTACTCAACCCGGACGCCAAGGTTCTCATGTCCACCTACTCACAGGTCGATGTGCGTGAGATTGTTGCGACAAACAGATTCGACTTTGTGCGGGCCGCCTCTGGTGCAGGGTGGCTTCGTAGCTTGCATGAGATGACAATCCGTCAGACTGGCAATGGGGAACGCATGGCTCCTAAGCCAGAGACCCTGGAGTATGGGTTTTTTCCACTCTCCGGCAGATTTATCAAAAGCTAACGGCATCACAGGTACGGAATAAACAACTTTGTATACTCCGCTCGGCGGCCTTTCCATCCACGTCGTCTCTTTTCTCTCCTCCACGATAAGTTCATTATTCTTCAGAATAACGAAGAGGAGGACGAGGAAGACGAGAACGATGATGATGAGCAAGAGGATGAGATGGACACCGACTCCGACTCCGTGGAGGACTTCGGCCAACCAGATCCCGAGGACATCTTAAAAAACAAGCGTCAACACCCTGCCTTTGGGCCTGTCTTGCGCTCGAAGGGCTTCTTCTGGCTACCAACTCGGCCATTCCAATTTGGCGAGTGGAACCAAGCAGGCGGTATGTTGACCGTTGGCTGCGGAGGCCCTTGGTTTGCCGAGGTACCTGATGAGGCCTGGCCCGAAGATGAAGATGTCATCAAGTCAATTCAAAACGACTTCCAGGGCCCCTGGGGAGATCGGCGCCAAGAGCTTGTGTTCATTGGAGAGGGCATTGATCAAGCTGCGATTTCGGCCATTCTGGACGAGTGTCTGCTGAGTGACCACGATATGAAGCAGTGGGAGAAGGTCATGAAGAACAAAAAGCTTAGCCGAGAGGCCAAAACTAAAAAGCTGGCCAGTATTTGGGAAGATGGTTGGGAGGAATGGCCTGCTTTTGAGATTGAAGATGAGGAGGAGCTGGGGAAGCACCGCATCAGCGAGTATTTAGGTCATCAGCATGGCTCTAAGACGGGCCATAAGCATAGCCATCACTAGGGTTGAGAATTTTTGTCGAGTTGATAGAATGAATCAAAAGTTGTTCTTGTTTCAATAATGGGTATTTCCATGTTCTTCATCATTGTACGGAGTAGTGGATGTCGATTCTGATGATCGTTTTATCGTCTTATCGGACTTTAATCTCGTGCTTATCATAATCGATAACGATAAGCCGATAACGCGGATCCCCCAGCACTTGAGCAGCTCTCCGCCTTTCCTGACTTCCCCTCTGCAGTGCAACATCCTCAACTCCCTTGTCAACTGAGATACTGGACCAATTTCGTCTTCTCAAACCTGTGCAACTGCGATATCCGCTCAGCTCCTATCTTCTTCACTGATCTTACATGCCCCGCGCAGGGAGGATGCCTCAGGTCTAACTGCCGCCATCCGTTACCCCGTACCACCATATCCTGGCTCCGGTCTAGCTATCCTCGGATGAGCGCATTCCACTGTTTGACACTGGCTACTTTCTTTACTGTCTCTTCTCGGTGACTGTGGCTCTCTGTCACTCTTGTATGTTTTACCTGGCTCAATCTGACTTACATTGGCTGACATACTCCCAGAACCTTCGAAGGCCTGGTCATTGACCAACTATCTGCCCATGGAGGTAAGAAATATATTCTTTTCTGTTGATTTATGCCATGTCTATAAATCCCTCTTCCTGTTTGAATCTTTTCTTTTGCCCTTGTGTGGCTGAGTTGTCTCTGATGGCTCTCGGTTGATTACTGCTGCGTCTGGTTTTTACCCTTGGTGAGACAAGGAACGCCTGGCTCCGAGTACCATTTTACTATCGGTGAGAAAAGAAGAATGGAGATTGCTCTCATGCATGTCATGCTTTCTTATTTGTGGATTGCCTAGCTGGAGACATGCAAGCTTATCATTATCAAGATGTGATGGTGAGAGAAAGGTCTTCGGGGAGTATGATGTGTTCGCGTTGGTGGTGGGGATTCAATTCCCTTTGGGGTCGCTTAGTCGTCGACGTTGATGGTCATGGTGGTCACTGCTGTCGCCGTCTCCCCATCTCACCATGCTGCTGCTGTGCTCGTCTCCTTCTCATGTTTTTGTTTCCTCCCTGCTCGTATCCCCAGTCTTCACTCTCCCTTCGGACCATGCACCTCCCTGTCTGTCCAACATGGCCTTCCCGCATGTTCACAGAACCCGGTCCATGGATCTCACCAAGAAAGGCCGGCTCTCAAACCCTTGTCTCGTGCATCGTATTGAATCAAGCAAGAGCGTTGCCCAGCTAAGTCTCGAGGATATCTTACAGGGAACCACCAATACTGCCGTCTCGGCCCAATCCAGAGCGATTCTGGAGCCCAGTGTCAAACCTCGAGATGCGAAACCGCGTCTCCTCCTGATGGGACTTCGCCGGTAAGTTCGATTCCGAAGCTGGCCTGACTTGGACCCACTTGGGATACGCAAGATATTGACGTGATTCCAGGAGTGGCAAGTCATCCATCGCCAGCGTGGTCTTCCACAAAATGCCACCCAATGAAACTCTATTCCTCGAATCTACTACCCGCATTCAAAAAGACTCCATTCAGTAAGTAGTCGATCACACTCAGTCAACAAACGCATGACTAACGATTTTTCAGCTCCTTCATGGATTTTCAAGTATGGGACTTCCCTGGGCAGCTTGAATACCTTGAACCATCGTTTGATCTCGAAGACATCTTTGGAAGCCTGGGTGCCCTAGTATGGGTCATCGATGCCCAGGATGATTACCTGGACTCGGTAGCTCGTCTGAACCGCACAATCTTGACCGTCCAGCAGTACTACCCCGGCATCAACGTCGAGGTATTCATCCACAAGGTGGATGGACTGTCAGAGGAGTACCGGCACGACTCATACCAAGATATCGTCCAGCGCATCACCGATGAACTGAACGATGCCGGATACGAGAACGCCCCTGTACACTTCTACCTCACATCTATCTACGATTACTCCGTATTTGAAGCTTTCAGTAAAGTCATTCAAAAACTGATCCCCAACCTCTCGACGCTCGAGAACCTCATCACCACTCTGGGGAACAACTGTGGTTTCGAAAAGACCTACCTGTTCGACGTTCTCAGCAAAATCTACATTGCTTCCGATACACGGCCTGTCGATATGGCCGCCTATGAGATGTGCTCAGATTACATCGATGTGATTGTGGACATCTCCGAACTGTACTCCTGGGACCACCCGCTTCGCAAGCACAAGGGAGATCAAATGCAGGAGGCCGAGAGTCATGTGGTCCTGCACGACGAGACTATGCTTCACCTCATGGAGATGAACAAGTAAGGTCTTTCTTCCAATGTTTCTTTGTTTCACGCTGACAGTTTTCTTTCTAGATATCTCTGTCTCGTCTCGGTGATTCGTAACCCGGAGGCCCGGGAGAAAAAGGGCCTGATTGACATGAACTGTCGGACATTCCAGGAAGCATTGAATGATGTGTTCTCCCGAAGCTGGGAGCGCGAGGAAGACCATGCCGCGGAGTAAATACCATTGCTTGGTTCATGGCTCGATGTGAAATAGCTAGGAGAAGGTGGACATGGAATGAGACGCATTGGACGACTCTAAAGAAAAGACATGAATGAAGAAGATATTCCAAATTTCAAAATCATTTACTTTCAAGAACATAGCTTTTATCAACTAAATCATATGTGGTTGGTTGCATGGCTGTATTGTAGATCTTTCGCTCAGCGTGGCTTCCCCGAGATTCCATCCATTGCTCATCCGCTCTGCCACCTCTTCGATCGAATGGGAGAACTTCCACCGTCCAAACCTCCCCACTCACCACCCATCAAGGACTCGACAATGTCGGAACTTCGCCAGCGACAGCCTGCCACGTCCGCAGGATCCAGTCAAAATGCAGAGTCCGCCCCGCAACGCAGACAAGAGCGCCGTGCCGACGCAGAAGAAAGCCACGGCATCAGCACCCTCGACATCATCCGCATCATAGCTACTTTGATCCTCGCATCATGCGGTCTCTCCTACTACATCACCAATTCCGAATCCCTACTATGGGGCTACCGGCCCTGGTTCACTCGCTGGCCCGTCGTGAAAACCTACCTGGTATCTCTCTCTCTCCTTGTCAAGACTGATCGCGGGCGCACATCCCCCGATCTCAAAAGGAACATCACCTCATACACAAGGCAACTACTAACGCTACGATCTCTCCCAGACCGGCCCAGTTAACCTCACCCCCGCCGAACTCTCCCTCTATAACGGCTCCGACCCATCCCTCCCGATCTACCTCGTCGTCAACGGGTCTATCTTCGATGTCTCCGCGAACCCAGCTATCTACGGACCCGGCGGGAGCTACAATTTCTTCACAGGCCGCGATGCAACCCGCGCCTTCGTGACGGGTTGTTTCAAGGAGGATTTGAATGGGGATTTGATCGGGGTGGAGGAAATGTTCGTTCCTGTTGAGGATGTCGAGGATGAGGGTCTTACGAGTGCGGAAAGGAAGATTCGTCGTGAGCGGGAGGTTCGTCTTGCTCGGACTGCGGTTGAGAAGACGGTGGATCGGTGGGAGGCGTTCTTTAGGGATCATAAGAAGTATTTCCAGGTTGGGAGGGTGGTGAATGATGGGGTTGTTGATGCTGAGAAGGGGAAGAGGGAGTTGTGTGAGAGTGCAAGGAAGCAGAGGCCAAAGAGGAGCGAGATGAAGGAGAAGTCGTAAGGGTGGTGGTGGTTATGCGGGGGAACATAAGATAGTACCCCTGTGATTGTGATGGGGGAGTTGATAATTTATAGCATCATGCATAGCGTTCGGACAGCCTGTACTGTGTACCGACAGGCGTAGTTCTACGAGAAGACACAAATTTGGAAGTTTTGTAACTTTTTTATTTGCATTCGTTCTACCTGAGACGAGTCCAGGAGGTGCGAATGGTCCACACTTCCGAGAAGGGTAACACACCCAGCCGATTTTCCATCTGACATGATATCATCCGTAGCAAAAGGAAATAAAGAGAACCGCGAGAAAAGACGAGAGGAACGGAGACGTTTACTCGGCGGCGACGGCGCGGGCTGAAAAGAAGAAAGAGAAGTTAGTTTATGGTTTCCTCATGTCGATGGATTTTAATAGAAAACGCACTGTAGATGTTCAGCTTGGAGTGGCTGACAACCTTCTTGATCTGACCCTGCTCCTCGAGGTCGGCAAGGGCCTTGCGGGCAAGGGAGCCGTTGATCTTCAGGCGATCGACGAGGGTAGCAACGGTGATCAGGCGGTAGGTCTGAACATCCTTGTTGAGCTTCTCAAGGGTGGTCTTCTCGAAGACAACGGCGTGCTGAGCCTTGTCCTTGACTAGAGACGGGAAAATAAGTTAGTTATCATTTCTTGATTCTTGGCGTATCTCGATGCGCATCATTTTTCGGGGAGAGGTCGTGATCGATCCAACGATTCCATTTCCGTTCGGTTCAGTTTCTTGCGGAGGGCGTTCCCGGCGAAAGTTGGAAATCGTTTTCACGGTCGGATGGATGGTGCTGGTGATGCAGGATCTGGTGATGTAGTTGGAGATGGCGATGATATCGTACCCTTGCCCTTGGACCACTTCTTCTTTTGCTTCTTGCCACCGGTTGCAGAGGGCGCCTGTCACGAATACATATTAGTTCTTCTGTCGCGCCGGATGGACGATCGTGGGATTTGCGCTCACCATTTTGTCTGTTGGTGTGGATGGTTCGAAGAGAAGAGGAGGTGGCGGTCGGTTGAGGAGATACGAAAATGGCCGTGGGGCGTGACTAAGCAGACTAACCCTAAGCCCCAGTTGTCTCGTTGTGGTCTCGGTTAGTGCGGATCACATGATTTGATCGCGGTGATGGCATGGTGGGGTCACGTGGTCATGTACCTATGACAGATCTACAGTACTGTTGAACATATGTATGATGTGATGATATTATTGGATGGAAAAGGTCATTTTGGATGATACCATTTGGAAAATAGCTACACGTGCAATGTTCCTCTACCTTGTGGGTTAACCGTCACGCCGTACGAGGAAGGCCATCATTACTCCCTTCCCTATCTGCTCATCATACTTCCAGCATGTCCACCATACCCTTGACTTGTCACCGAATTCAACACCTCAAATTTCACTGAGTCATCTTCAGCAGACAAATAGCCTACCACATATTCCTCCGTAGACGCAAACCAAAACGCTGAGTCGGGTTCTGATTCCGCGAGCCATTTCACTTCATACTTGCCACTTTCGCTCCTTTGGGTGGGAACGCGAGCTATCACGGGGTGAGTATTTGGTGACCACCATCGTATAGAAGGAAGTGTATTGGTGATGGTATTGATGAGCAGCTGTGGTGTTGAAGAGTGCCAGGTCAACTGTCGAACGGGTTGCTCATGTACCAAAGCAGAAGCCAACCTGGGAGTGCCATCTAGAGCCCATATCCAAACAACGTTGGATCGCGTGGAGTCCACGGTTGCCAGAAGATTACCGTCAGAACTGAAAGTCAACATTGTGACGCCTCGTAGTGGCCCTGACGACTCAGGGCTCATGTTGGATGCAGAGGAGCTTATGGTTTCGACGTAGTCGCCGTCACCGAGAGCACTGGTAAAACGCTCTCGCCAGATAGTTGGTGCAATTTGATCGGCTGGGAAAACATGTGACAGGGTAATTGAAGATGAGAACTGTTACTGTTAGAGAAGAAGAAGCCTTGGTAATGAACGGGTATAGCGTACCGTGCGAGTTCGTAGCAGATCAATAGTACCGTTTACTTTGCCCACAGCGAGAACCTCAGAAGGTCCGTTGGGACCAGCTGCGGGACTCCACTCAATCTGCTTCACCCCCAAGTCAAAAGCCTCGTCTGAGACTGCCGGCCCCGTATATGTCCTGAAAAGCTGTCCGTCCGCAGTGAAAATCAAGACTTTCGTGCCCCCACTAGCCACGTCCCAGACAGCAATCCATTTCTCGTCGGGACTCCATTTCAATCCTTGGGCATCGATAGTAGGTAGAACAGCGCGGCCTACTAGCTCGTAGGTCTGAGGCGCGTGTATTGTCAAAAGATCGGAGGCGTCAGGCTTCAGCAAAATGGCAAACTGTCTGGTATGTGGGCGATATCCAAAGCCCAGTGGGTGGGCAGCCTTTGGCGTTTTGATCACAGAGCTCCGGCTAGTATGAAGGAAATGAATCGTCAATTTTGTGTTCCAAGCATGAAACACGAGGATCTCGTTGCCATCGCTCCCAAAGTCGATGCTCAGTGCCCCGGGCTCGAGATTCTCGATTTCGGCGAAGATTTGCAATGGCTCCAGCTGCCAGACTGTGATTCGAGAGTCATTGGCACTGAGAAGCCTTCGTTGTGTATTCTCATTGGGTCCTCTGGATGATGCCGGAATAGGACAGAATTTCAGATATTTGACGCCACTTTCTTTGATCCTGGCGATCTGAGCCTCCTTATTTTCTGAGGCAGGGTTGGTGTAGACAACCAGGTCCTTTCCATCCACGTGGGCAGCACAAAATCCATCGTCGGAGAGGGTTAATGTCAGCGCGGCTATGATGATATTAGCATTTGACCATTTCACTAGCATTTGACCATTTCACTCGCTCCAAGTAGATTTACCTCCAATCCCCGTAGACGCATCCATGGCCAACGCGGCCCTCAATGAGGCTGATGTATTTGGACAGCTGTATAGTTTGGTATTGCGGTGTTGTTCCACCCCCGTAATATTTTTTGCAGATTAGGTCAGATATTCAGCCCACTAAGCAGTACCGGTGTGGCGTGTTCCATTTCAGACAAGAAAGTGGCCTTGATAGGACGCGATCATGGGCGGTTCGACGTGTTTGTTATCTGGCCTGGATATTCAGGCATCAGTTCTTAATTTCCCAAGTTGAAATCTTTGGAATACCACTCACGGGCCATTGACCATGAGGATTATGGGATTCCTGTCAAGCCTACGCATGCCACATGATTATTGGAGATCAGAATGAGGCAATTCAGGGACTACAGTATGTTCCATTTAACATGTGGCCAACCCCTTTCAAGGCTTATGACATCAATGTTTGAGGCTAAATGACCTGATTGAGTCAACTGCCATTATACTGTTATTTGAGAGTAAATCATGCTATCCCAATAAGTAAGTTTTGATGTCTAATTTGCACATATCCCACGATTAGAGGTCCAAATTGTATCAGTCCCAACTATGTACTTCTTTTGAGACAAAGAATGCGGGACATGGACATGCCGATAAGATAAAGCGTAACATAGTTATTCCGCTCCGCGATAAGACCGGCGCAAAAAATGTCCAGACTCCGCGGTACTTGTCTGTTGCCATTACAGATCTTCAAGCAGTCAAAATAGGTTCCGTGAAGCTATTCACCCGGTGGCTGGGGCACTCTCTCCATTTTAAGCCCAAAATTTTCCTCAGAATGGCGTCAGACAGCGCCCCGCAGAACGGAGCCGCGGAGGTCTCCGTGGCTACCCCCAACAAGAAGCTCCAAGGACGGCAGTTCTACGAGAGCATTGGGAGCCCAAAGTACATCGTGGCTCCCATGGTTGATCGGTCTGAATTTGTGAGACTTTTCCATTTTTAGACTTCTTCTGCTCGAGGCTAACACTGTCTATCCTTACTAGGCATGGCGCATGCTCACTCGATCATTCATGCCCGCGGACGAGCCGAAACCTCTCCTCGCATACTCGCCCATGTACCATGCACGTCTGTTTGGCGAACAACCGAAAATGCGCACACAGCACTTTCAGCCCACTCGCGAGGCGAACGGCGACATGAAGCGAAAGGACGAGTTGTTCCTTGACGGAAACCCCAAATTCGACCGTCCCCTCTTTGTCCAGTTCTGCGCAAACGATCCGACGGAATTCCTGGAAGCTGCGCGACATGTGGCTCCGTACTGCGATGCCGTTGACCTGAATCTGGGTTGTCCACAAGGAATCGCAAGAAAGGGCCATTATGGTGCTTTCCTCCAGGAAGACTGGGACCTCATTTATAAACTTATTAATCGACTACATACGGAACTTTCAATCCCGATCACCGCAAAGTTCCGCATCCAAGAAACCAAAGAGAAGACTTTGGAGTATGCCAAGATGATCCTGTCTGCTGGCGCAAACATTATCACCGTGCATGGCCGCCGGCGAGAGCAGAAGGGACACGAGACAGGAGTGGCAGACTGGAGCTACATCCGGTATCTGCGCGATAACTTGCCTCCGGAGACTGTCATTTTCGCCAATGGCAATATTTTGAACCATGAAGATATTGAGCGCTGTCTGGAAGCCACTGGTGCGGACGGTGTGATGAGCGCAGAGGGAAACCTTTCCGATCCCACGATATTCAGCAAAGCTCCACCACCTGGCAGTGAAGGGCGGGAATACTGGCGTGGACGAGACGGCAAGGGTGGTTACCGAATTGATGCAATCCTCCGAAGATATCTCGACATTATTTACGAATACGTCCTCGAGCAGCCTATTCCAGAGCGAAAGCCACTTTACCTCCCCTCCGACCCCATCGACGAGGCAGAGAAGGCCAAGGAGGAAGAACAAGATGAGGAAGCGGACGGCCCACCCAGAAAGAAACAAAAGCGCGAGAAGCTCAAGCGGACCAATTCTCCCAGCCTGGGTGTCATGCAGGGCCATCTATTCCAGGTGCTGCGACCGATGATTTCTAGCCACACAAATGTTCGTGATGCGCTCGCTCGGGCAAGGCCCGGGGATATGGCTGCCTTTGAGAATGTCCTCTCTCTCGTGGAAAAGGCTGTCAAGACAGGACTTCAAGAGTATGAGGTCTCGCCCGAAAAGTTCGAGAAACAGCCCGATGTAACCTTGACTGGGTCGAAGGCTACAATTGCCGAGTACGGCCGACCTTTCTGGGTTTGCCAACCGCATGTTCGTCCTCTGCCTGAAGAAGCTTTGGTGAATGGCGCTCTCACTGCAAAGGGGAAGAACACTGTTCCGAAAGACAGTGCAGAGAAGAAAGATAAAGAGGCGACAGGGACCGAAGCCGTGGCTGTGGAAGGTGTTAGCTCTGCTACGAATGGCGATGCTACGAATGGCGATGCTACGAATGGCGATGCCAAAAACGGTGGCACTACAAGCGGTGATGCTACACCTGGGGATGTTGTAACTGGCACAGCAACCACACCTGATAACCTTGTGAGCGGATGATAAGAGGTAGTCAATGATTATCATTCTTCATCTTGTACACTATCATGAATGGATATACCCAAGCCTCGTCATTCTTAGAGATAGACTATCATTTTTATATAGCGCAGTCAATTTCCATATCAGCAAATCGCATTCATTTTCATTAATCCACTTAACTAGATAGTTTACCTAGCTAACTTCAGTTATGAGATTTCTTGACTGGGCTGGCCATAGGTAGTATAGTTCTAAGCTCCCACCTGATTGGCCCGCGCACGACAGGTGTATTCTTACCCTAGAATTCAACCTAATGAATTGCTATATGGTCCATCATTCCAAAATACCTAATTGAATAAACAAAGTGATCTCCTGAGCCAGACGAGAAGACTTCCAAGTTGTTCGAGAATGCAAGCTCCCGACCGCAGCAAGCTCTAAGCCCAGGGGTGGGGGCCTGAATGTGTCAGTGAGTCAGACGTGAGGCTCCGCCACGTTGACTCATATCCAACTCGGAGTCATCGGTCGTATTGCATTCTACCATTGATCTAATGTCCTGATGTTCTGATGTTCTGAGACAGTGTAGCTTGGGGCTGAGGGCACATTTGCTACGATTGTCATGGATGGGATGAAAAGGGTCTGCTGGAGAATCTGGGGTGCAGTTATCCGAATGGATATATATAAGGGGCCACCAATACCGGAAGTAGGAGATTTCTTTATATCAACACAATTCAAAAGCTTTTCATCTTTCGGAAAATAGCAGTTATGGCGTCAAATATGGTGACTTCACACGAGTCAAGCCAGCCCGTTGAATTACAAGGGGCTGGAGAGAAATCAACGTCAAGATCACCTAGTCCACCTCGTCGGAGTGAATCTAGAAGTCCACCAAGAGTTCCTTCGCCCCCTCAATCTGGTGAGAACAGGCTAAGACCAGCTGGAGGTACTCAATACATTCACTATCGATTTGAACATATCCAAGAGCAATGAATTGACAAGCATTGGCGTGACAGATATCCTCAATCGTATCAACTGGGACTCCAAGTTCAGCCGTGACGACTACATCATTGGGTTTGTAGATCGATTCGAGGGACAATTGGAAGTCAGCATGAACTCGTGGAAGAAGGAGACTACCGACGAAGAGTTCATTCCGCAACACCGTGTGTTGTACATTCGACACGTCAGTGGGGAGATTGTTTGGGATCGTCGGCGTCGCATCGACAAGATTTTCAATAGCGGCAATTCGGCATTTAGCGAGCTGGCGTTTTTGAATTGAAGACAGCTTAATATATGGGAGAGTGATGCGGAGAATATGCCATGACTGAAGGGGGTATGGTGAATGGTGTGGATAATAAGCAGTTTTAACTGGTCGACTCTTTATACTTGAGTCGTTCCTTCCTTTCGTGATACCCAAATTGCATTTTGACGCATTATCCCAACAACCGTCGTTCTTTCTCTTCCCTGCCTATATGTTACTTCTTCTGTAGACTCGTCGCTTCCTATTTGCGAAGCAATTATGACGTACTACGCCATGAGATGGATTGACGGCTCAAATGCCTCCTGGGAGGCCCAGGATTTTCTTCCGTTGACAACCTCGTTCATCAGCTTCATCTCCTCTGATCATCCGATTCCAATAAAAATCCGATGAAAATGGATGGTCGCAAGAAGAACAAGCCTTCGCTGTCTCGTCTGGCTACACGACTCACGAACGACGACCGTGAGCAGACAGGGCTTGCGGACCGCTCCATCCCCCTCTGCAGACAGGACTCACGAACCGCTCCATCGTACCTGAGATCCAAGCCAAATACTACACAGACCGCGACTCCACCATGGCAACCGAGATCCCAGCCGAAATCAACATCCATCAGCTCTCCAAGTCTGAGAAACAGGCCATCGCACCTTTCCTGTTTCCGGAGGACGACAAGGATGATGAGAATGTGGCCCCGATCAAGCATGATGTGCAGGAGTCCAAGCCGGCCTATGTGTCATACAAGACTTTCGATGAAGAATCCCCAACCACCACTAAAAGGAAGACCATGTACTATGAAGATGCCTTTGCTGTTCGTGGCTCCCACAACTCGCCCAAGGAGCGTGTTGCCCGTGACTCGGTCGTGGTTGTGGAGCTGACCACCAACCTCAAGGCATGTTGTCCCATCCAGACTCATCTATTCGTGTCTCTAACTTCGATCACAGGTGGTGAAACAGACGGAGGAGGCAACATACGAAGAAGTGAAGAAGGCCAGTGATCTTGCAAGCTGCCTCCGTCAGTTCTACCAGCGTCCAGAGTGGGCCGTACAGGTGGTGGTGCAGCACGATGCCGATATCCTCTTCGATGGTCCAGGTCCCTCATACCTGTTGAAGATTCACGCACTTCCGTCGGCCTTCGCACCAGTCACCAACATGCGCAACACTGGTCTCATTCAGAAGACCATTCACGAACTTTATGGGATTGATCCGAAGGACGGCGTTGTTCTCTTCCTGCCGGTCCCCGAAGAAAATTTGGCGACAAATGGATCCACTGCCCAAGGCGCGATCGCTCGACTGGAGAGCTCCGAGATGGACAGCCCTGGACTGATCAAGTCCATTTCTCGCAGCATGAGCCGGCGTCTCAAGTCCAACAGTGGCACTAGTGCCCCCATGTCACTGCCATCGACAGTGGTCTCTCCTACGTTGTCGACCCCGACCGACCCTATCCACTCTCCAATTGGAGATGCTGCACTTAGCGAGGAGGAAGAAGCCGGACCGAGCCTCAAGAAGAGAGAGTCACTGCGCACCATTATTCATCGCCACATGCGCCCCAAGAAGGGGAGTGGGATGAAGGAGGCGAAGGAGTAGACGGAGGAAACAATGAAGAGAAGGGGCGTTTGTCTGATTATGGATGTTGAAGTACCTTGTTACAGATTCAGATAATATAGATTATCGAATGAAGATTCTATGTATTATTCTCAACCATTTTGATTTTTTCCAACAATCTTCAATAGTCACTAACTTGCAGAAAGAAAACTCATCATTGGACACTGCAGATTGAAGCTTTAGATATAGAGCCAGTGCCAACTGACTCTCAGCCAAACACAACCTTTGTGTACTCCGTCAATTAGAATGGCTATTCAAAGCAGTGGGAGGTTCCATTTCCTTAGACTAATAATCTATTAGAATGTTTCTGCGCCAAGACTTAGCTATAGATAGTTCCCGCTTGCTGGCGATTCATCCTTCAAGTCAACCCACCATCGTATTCCGTCAGTTCCTCACTGACTCATTAGATCCGCCATAGATTCATCAATTATGCACGTCTTGATCTAGAATTATATTCTTTGAATATGTAAAGAGTGAGTGATTTCCTACCTTCCAGAGAGGTCTCTAGCTATCACTATCTTTTCTCGTCGTGTGTGATACCTCACAGTCTCGTATTCCAAGAGCTCTGTTTGCTAACCGGTATCTACGCCCAAGCTCTGGAAGTTTTCTCTTGGCTTCATATTCATAGTTCTGGGTTCTGCCTTAAATATTTGACCACTTTAGCTATTCTAGCGTTTTCTTTGTGACTGTTCTGATGCCTTTATCAACTACCCCGAACGCGTCGAACCGCGACCCTCTCACCGATTCACAACAACACCTCCCTCCAGAAGTCTTCACCCCATCTTCTCTTCCAAAATCATCAGAATATCAAGATCCCACCAAAGTCACCATGGAGGGCGAGGCACACACCACTTACCATGCGGGTGGTACCACCTTCATGGTCCCCGCATCACCTCACAGCCTGATCAGAGAGGTGACTGGCGACCTCTTCGACGCTCCGGAGGGGTCGGGATTGATCCGTAAGTCAGATCATTCAGTGTCACTTTACCCTTTCAGATGAAATATAAGAAAGCTAACCTGACTAGATGCATGCAATACCGAGGGGAGTTGGGGAGCGGGCATAGCACAAGCCTTCAAAGAACGGGTATGTGAGCACTGATCCTGCATGAAATGAAGTGAGAAATCATCAAATCGCTAACACAGAGCTCTCTATAAACTAGTACCCGGCTGCATATCGCATCTATCAAAGCCACTGCCGGGGCTATGCCCGCTCAAAGGAACCCGTTGAGATTGTCAGCGCCTTCCCGGTTCCCCACGGGGCACAAACGGTCTTCTACTTGCCCCTCGGTACAGCGCTGGTCATCCCACCCCAGCCAGAAGACTACAATTTGGGCAGCAAGAAGCACTGGATCATCTGCCTGTTCACTTCTCGCGGGTTTGGTCGCCGAGTTGACCTACCCAACACGATCCTCAACAGCACCCGGGTCGCACTGCGAGATTTGAAGGATAAGCTTCTTGACCTTCTCATTGATGGAACTGAGCCATCACCGACCGCTTTGTACTCTTGCCAGTTTAACTCTGGCTTGTTTCGTGTGCCTTGGCTGCGTACTCAGCGGCTTGTGGAGTCTGTCGGCTTGCGTGTAACTGTTGTGATTCCGCCGACGGAGACTTAGAGGCGAAGTAGTCCGTCTTTGTGGATTGGGGACTTTCACTGTTGAAGTCTGAGATAATTGTGTTGGCTTGAGGATTGGGAACCAGCTCAGTTTTGACTGGTCATGATCGTTCTGTTGATGGTGATGGTGATGACGATGGACATAATGACGTGCTGACATATTATTGATTATTGTATGTAGCCCTTTAATTCTTCTAATCTGGGTTCCGTCATAACTGAGATAATCAATTCCGCCATTCAATATTTTGAGAGTGTACAATGTATGACATTGGTCCATGTTGTGTTGAGCATTGACTCTAGATTTGAGAAAGGCACTGCTTGGCTTAGACCCCAGAATGACTATGTGGTGGCTGATGATCATTCAGCCATGTCGACCAATCAATACTATCATCATTCCCAGTTCCTCTCATCAAAGTGTCGAAAAAAGCTGTATCAATGTTTTGCAGCGCCCAATTCTCCCCAACAGAGAGCATTGGCTCTTCATTCCCTCGCTCAGTGGGACCGGGTAAAGGCTGTACTGTGTCAAGGTTGATGTCCCCATTTCTTGGCCCCTGAGATGATGTATCAAGCGGTGCACGATTTCGTTCTTTGTTTTCAACTGCAATTTCACCGACAGAGGATTCACCCGAGTCATTGGATATAATGCCCCCCGGTCAATCTCAATGACGCCGAAAGACGGAATAGATACACGGATGGAACCATTAGTACTCGATGATTGCGGTGTGTGTATGGTGGAAGAGGCTTGCATGTTGATTTCGTGTGTAACCTCGCTGGCTGCTTCAGCCTCGATAGCCATCAGCCGCTGTAGCAGGCCCGAGGCTTGTATGCTCATAGAATCCCCATCTAGCCGGCTCACTTCTTCCATGGTTTCATGCACTTGCTCTATTAATGCGCGGTCCGAAGGTCGCTGGTGCACCAAGATATTGTTCGACCTCAAGACTTGGTTACATGGCAGTTGGTCAGAGGTGGACAGAGGCAAACGCCGATGACCATCGAGATGCGCGATCAAAAGTGTCATCGCTGCCATTAACCCAAAATAGTCCACGGTTCGACAACTAAAAGCGATACGATTGAAGCTGTGAAACATGATATAACGGGAGAGAATTTCACGCGCCGCAGTAATGCAAGTCATTCGCGAATAGTCGTACTTGTGTCCGGTCGTGGCGGAGCGGAGCATAAATGGTAGATGGAGTTGTATAAGGAGGTTGTAGTGAGACAAGTGGTGGAAAAGACATCGCATATTCCAGAAAAGAGCTTCTGGCTGAGTAGCCACTGTGGCCAGGTTTGGGGTAAGCCACCATTTTGAAGGGAAATCTCTAGATGCTTTCTGTAGCACTTGGTCTATTTCTTCCGTTAAGACAAAATCGCTAATGCTGGGCGCGGTGTGATTGCGCTCTAGGATTCGAGACATGACCACGCAATGTATACGGTCAAGACGGCCTATTGCTGTATCTTCTCCGAGTAACGTTTCACAAGCCATGTTCCGGTCAAAGGATGCTTGGGGGGTACCCAACATCATGCAGAGATAGCGCTCGAGAGAAATGATTCGAAACCATATGTACTCGGGGTATATCTGCGTTTCCTTGTCGACGGTTTTGCACTGTGCTTTTCCATGGCGGTGGAAGCCCATAAGCTGAGCAATAGTCATTGCCCTGCGAATGGTGATCAACGCCTTTCGTGGGTTCCCTCCATTGGCATGGTACCAAGTCTCTGTCATCATGCAATCCAAACCTTCAATACAGCTCATGAGATCATCATTCGTAGTGACAAGGCTTGTAGCTATGTCGGCTAGCCTCTTCATAATCTCACGGGGTGGCTCTGACAGCCCATTCATCTCCCGAAATGAAGATGGGTGAAGGTGCTGCAAAGCAGTGGCCAGGTGAAGCATGTATCTTGCTATCAGAACCGGATGCGCATTGAAGTTTGGCCTCTTGAATAACGTCTCAAGAGACTTGGCTTTGTCGAGGTGTTTATATGGCACACTCTGCATCTGATAGAATAAAGGAGATGTGTTGCCGCATGGTTTTGTTATCATTGCAATATCCTCTTGTGATGGTAATGACGTATGTAGGGTCTGTGAAAGCTTCTCATGTTGGGCTGAACCAAGAGAAGAAGCCTTTTCACAGCCAACATTTGAAGACCTGGTACCATCATTGATAAAATCAAAACCAGAAGCCTGGAACTTCCCAACGGAAATGTAAGCAATTTGCATAATCACGTGGGCTGTCAAATCGAATACTTACCTCCAATGGCTTGAGTAAAGTAACATCTTCTACTTGGTCAGATGCGCCTGTAGAAGAGTTGGAGGCGCTTTTATTACTCCTCTCATCTTTCCTCGGCAAGTAGAGGTCATCAAAATCATCGTCCCTGGGAGCTTTTTGAAGAAGCTGCTCGACTAATGTTTCGACTCTGGCCATGCGATCCCCCATTTGGAGGTTTCGGTCTAAAGCACTTGTGAGTTCCTCAGGATACTCTTGGCTCACACATTTGATACCGCGTCGGTGACAACGGATGCATGTATCGTCCGTGGGTAAGCTGAATGTGCACTTCATCTTGCGCTGCCTGCATTCCCAGCAACTGTGAGTTCCCTTTCGAATCTTTCTCCGTTTAGCGTTGGAAGCAGACAGGTTATCATTTTCTTGAACATGGCTATTTTTTGAAGGAGACATTGTATCTGATGGCTGGGTTAGCAAGTCTGGGATCAGTGTGGGGCTCGGTGATCACTTGTGACACATACCACATACAAGTCCTATCTGAGGCTATTCGGATGGATGGGACGAAGCCACAAGACAAGGAAGCGAATGAACTGCATAAGGTAGGTAATGAGAAAGGAGATTCTCTGAACTGGAGAAATTCCCAAAAGTTCGTCCGAGGTAGCGGACGGGAAGAATGCAAGTTAGGCTGAGGTTACACATTCAGCCGGAAATTCGGCGGACGAAACTGAAGCTTCGGCCCCACACATATGCTAAACGTCATTGTTATTGGGGGGTTTATTGCGCTACTGCAATCTATGTAAGAAACGGGAAATCTACAGATCTATTACTCCATTCTTTGAGCTTTTATATTGTTAAGGAGGGTTCATCCTGAACTTCGGAGGACGAGCGCTAATATGGTCACTGCACCTGGCCTTATAAATGAAGCCATTGTACCATTTCATTTAGGAATATCAATACTCGACTCAATCCAATCAGTCTTTATCCCTCAGCACAGCTACTTGGTTTTTTACCATGGCCAGTAAACTCGACATCCCTCCTGGCAATGTTCGGACACCGATTGAGTCCTTTACTCTTCATGCTCCCGAAGGAGAGTTGGAAAGATTCAAACACCTGCTTGAATTGTCGAACATTGGACCTCCTACATGGTGGAACCAACAAGATGACTCTCATTTTGGCGTCTCTCGTGACTGGCTGATCAAGGCGAAAGAGACTTGGCTTTCTACCTTTGATTGGCGCAAACATGAGTCATATATCAACGATTTCCCAAATTTCAAAGTCACCATCAAGGAGCCTGATTCCTGTCAAATCGATGTTCATTTCGCTGCCTTGTTTTCGAAAAGGGAAGATGCTATCCCTATCATCTTTCTTCATGGCTTTCCTTCTTCCTTCATGGATTTTCTTCCCATGATGGACCTACTGAGGAACAAATATACACCAGAGAATTTACCTTACCATATCATCGCGCCCTCTCTTCCTGACTATGGACTGTCTGGAAGCTTGAGTCAGAACATGGAAATGACTCTAGTGCGAGCTGCGAGCATCATGAATGGCTTGATGATTGCGCTTGGATTTAAGAAAGGATATGTCGCCCAAGGCGGGGACCTTGGTAGTATGATTGCACGCCTCATGGCCGTCAACCACAAGGAATGCAAGGCTTTTCACGGTATGTATTTAGACAGCGCTGTTCCATGTGTTCCATGCCGGCTTGAAATATCTGCTAAGGAATATAGTCAACATGCTCACACTTGAACCCGGAAGTGCGCCCCTTTCCACCAACTGCCTAGCCCCAGAGGATCTCCGTATCCTAGAAAGGACTAAAGAATGGCAACAGGATGGGTTGGCATATGCTCTCGAACATGGCACTCGTCCTGCTACTGTTGGCTTGGCCATCTCGTCTAGCCCAATTTCCCTGCTTGCTTGGTATTGTACCCGTATCACTTGACTCAGCTTTTGCTAACGATTGATTAGGCTTGGGGAGAAGCTTCTTGAATGGACAGACCCTCGAGAGCAGCTCCCTCTTGATACCATTCTTGGGCTAATAAGCTTCTATTGGTTTACGCAGACCTTCCCCCGGGGTCTGTATCATGCAAACCTCGTGAAAAGTTACTCTGCGGGTATTCCGCATCCGATTTCGACTGAGAAGCCTCTGGGGTATTCAATGTTTGCATACGATCTTGCTGTGCTACCCAAACCTTGGGCTCAAGAGATATACCCTAATCTAGCGTTCTTCAACGCCCATTCAAAGGTGAGTTGACGCTGGAAATGCTGTAGCATGATACGTGAAAATACTTATTCGATATTCAGGGAGGCCATTTTGCTAGTCTAGAGCGACCGAGTGAATTTCTAGATGACATTGAACGGTTTTTGCAGGCAGTCGGCGGATTATTTGAAGTGGAATAGAGGAGCGCCTGCAGAATTTGGGTGATTTTTATCGGGTACATTGGTTTCCGTCGAATAATTTGATTCATTTGAAAATAGTGGCAGTGAGCTATGAACAGCCGACTATATACCTGTATTCAAGATTTCTCAAACTTTTGTAGAGTAAATCAGTTCACGGCCATAAATCCAACAGTAGTAAGACGTCATGGCGATCACCTGATACCGCGTCTCGAGAGCGCGACCCGCGTCGACGTGCCAAGCATCGTCTGGAAGAACATCATCTATTCAATCCTCGACTCTCAATAACACTCAGCAAAGTGACATTCAGACGACTCAAGAAAAAGCCTGATCATAATAATGGCCGAGGGACCCGCACAGAAGAAGCGCCAGCTGCCCTTCAAACCACCAAGTCGGGCATCAAGCAGTGCAGGCCAATCCTCCGCCGCCGCACCAAAAGTGAAAAGCAAAGCCAAACAAACCACCACCAAATCAACGACAACCAAATCATCCTCTGCAGCCTCCACTTCCAAATCCACAAACCGCAAATCCTTATCCTCCGCCAAACGCCAGCGCGTCGAATCCCCACTCGCGTCAGAAACAGTCGACGGATCAGACGATGGCTCCGACGCATCCATCCACAGCCGCGAGCGCTCCCTCTCACAAGAACCGGACTATATTCTCGCGGAGATCATCACACACCATGAATCTGAGGACGTGACCTCGAGTGACCCCAAGATCCCGGCAAAGCTGCTCACGCGCCTCCTGCATCATCATTTCCAGAATGACAAGACCAAAGTGGCCAAGGATGCTAATTCGGTGGTCGCAAAGTACGTGGATGTCTTTGTGAGGGAAGCTATTGCGCGTGCGGCATTTGAGAGGGCGGAGGCAGATAGTGCGGGTGGTGGGAGGGGCGCTAATGATGGGTTTTTGGAGGTTTGTTGCTATACCTTTGAGACATGGACGGCGAGATGCTAACTTGGTGCTCCTACAGGTGGAAGATCTTGAGAAGATGGCGCCGCAGCTTACGATGGATTTCTAGCGGATACAATGATTGGAGCGAGCATGGCGTTGGATGGACTGATGATTGTTTCGATTTTGTCGTTATTCTTTTGCTTCGAGATACCAGATACCCTTGCACGGCGAGCATGACAACAAATCACCGAGCCACTTGATGGCAATCCCATAATCTTCTAGATATACGTGACTCGCAACATTGAGATATCCCGGGGACTGTGATACGCGGGCGGCGTCCCAAGAGTATGATCTTCCTTGAACGGCGGAACATAACCGAATCCATTCGCGTTATGCAACATCGCGACATCATGGTTGACTTGTTGAGATACCCATGAATTGGCTGGGTACGCCGCCTTCTTCTTGCTGAAATGGGCCAAGACCACGGGGAGCTGGTTGTGTTTAGGAAGACGGCCGAGTTTTGCATCGTATGCTTCATTGGCGATGTCGAAGACGAGGAATGCGCGGCTTCGCAATTTTTGAACTGCGAGGAGTTTCGTTGGTGTGGAATGGTCTGTTGCTTTCCACATATTTCGCTTCTTGAGGAGGCGCATGGCTAGTGGAACGATTTCCTCCGGGGCAGTTTTAGTTTTGGCGTATAGGGAGCTTCGCTGTGAGACGATCACTAGCACTGGAAGAGGCCCTGAATGTGCCATTGTGATCTGTCAACGTCAGATACTTTGTTCTGTTAATACGTTCGACATGAATACCTACATCTAGATGTAAGAATCACAGTAGAGCAGAAGAAGTCTTTTCGATTTCAGCACACGGGAATAGCTCCGGTTACATAGGACCTGGACGACGGCCAAGCCTTATCTTTGTGGGAAGAGACTCCGGATCTGCAGGCTTCAACATGGTACCGTATAGTCTGAATCAAAACTTTCGAATCGTCTAGCATGAGCGTTGGCATAGCGTCCGATCCGGCGCTGATTCATGCTCAGGGCAAGTGGATGTGATAGTCAGTCTCCGAATCTTGTGCAACAATCAAGCACACATGCCGATTTGCAGGGAAAAATCATGATATCAAAGCAAACGCATAAGCAGGCAATTCAAAATCCGACTCGACAAGTGCCTAAATGTCTGGTCGGTCTTGTAAGTTCATGTAAAAAAACCGGTCTTTGCCTCGTCCAAGAATGTTGTCAAATGGAGCCCAGCCGATGCTGGGTGGTTGTTGAGACGATTAGCCAAGGCGGTCTGTTGTCCCCCCGCTCCCGGCGCGTCTTTTCTTCTTCAGCGCGCCTCTCAAGTCGAGCCTCGCACTGACGAGAGCCCTCCAGTTTCGCAATGAATGATGCGACGACTTCCCTGCTCACAGAGCACTTCAGCTATACCCCCTTGGTCAGTTTGTCTCCGTCCCAGAGCGAGTTGGGCACCCCCTCGCTGCATCCAGCGCCCGCGCATGTGCGCGACATTCGGAGACCCACCCCTTGAGAAACCAGCTTGCTGACCCTGTTTTTTTTGTTTCAGTCGCTTATCGATGACATTATCAATTCGATCAACAATCTGATTTACCAGGCGATTTCAAGTCTGGAGTCGGGGTTGCTTGCGACACCGCCTGAGCGCTTGGGATTTGGACATGCGAGTAACGGCTCCACGATTCCGGATACAGACGAGGATGGCAATGTTGTTTACCCAGAGGCAAAATTGGAAATCGAGAATGGGCTGCATCAGCTGGAGACCTTGCTCGAGGCCAATGTCGATAAGGCGTTCGACAAGTTTGAGATCTACGTGTTGAGAAATATTCTCACCGTGCCGGAGGATCTGCTGTTCTGGGTCCGGCTTAAACATTATGAGGTTGGTGGTAGTCTGCGATTTTCTTACCCAGTATGAACGTCTACTCTAATACGTTTCTTTGCAGGGCCTCTCTTTTGAAAGCTTCCCGGACACCCCCACGCCTGAGACCATCCACGCGCAGCGCAAGCAGCTCCTCGAGACTCGAAAGCTCAACCGCTCATTGAAAGACGAATGCGCTCGGAACGAAGCCGTCATCTTTCAGCTGAAATCTATTCTATCTACAGTGGAAACTGCCAAGTCAGACGGCCCTGCTGACAAATCCAAGACCACTCCAAAGAAGCCTCTGGACCTGTCTTTCTTGACATCCAGCCCAGCTGCACGCCAGCTCCGCGTCGGTGTGGATGCCGGCACCAATTCCAAACACGCCCCGCTGACGACAAATACAACCTTCATCCTCTCGCAGCTCCCGGCCTTACAAGCGACACTTGAGCAGCTGCGGCCAAAGTTGGCCAGCTTGTCGGCTGCCACTAAGGAGATGGAGACCAAATCTAAGCGGGACGAACGGAAGGAATACATTGAGAGCCGGATCAGACTACACCTCGAACGAGCTGGGCAGCTGGCGATGGGAGATGATGGCAATCCGGTCGTTGCTGGACGCCGAATCGATATCTCCGAGGCTCATGCTTTGGAGAACGTGGCCAACATGCTTACACAGGAACACAAGTCGACCTAACCCGAGATGCTGCGCAAAGTGAGATGGTTCTATATGGACTTAAAAAATTTTTATTCTATCTGAGGGTTGAGGCCAAGCTTGGGTCTTTACGACCAAGTCACAGTCCATGTGTCCTGGGTCTTGCGGAAGGGAACCACGTCGGTATGATCAGACTTCAGAATCTCCGCGATCTTCTCACCCTTCTTCTCAAGGGTGATGAACTCCTTCTGCTCCTCGCCGATGCCATAGAAGGCCCGACCGAACTTGCTCATGAATCCCTCCACAATCTCCGGCGTGATATCCTCATCCTTGAGGACACCGTTCTCAATGGCCTGCTCGAACGAATCGAGGACGACCTGTGTGGTATAGGGCTGGGTGAAGACACCGGCGGCAATCTTCTCACCACCACGCTTGGAGGCTGACGGGTGAGGAGCACTATCGGAGCCAAAGAAGAACTTGGGGTTACCAGATGCGGCCGCGCGGAGGAGGGCGTCACGGTCGGCGGGGGTCTTGGCCACGGGCTTGCAGAAGCAGAATGGGTCACCGGCCCACGAGTCAATGATAATAGACAAGTGGTGGGCAGTGATAGTACCAGCTACGGTGGGTCCACACTTCTTGACAGCCTCGATAGCTGCCGCGGTGGTGCAGTGCTCCAGAATGATGCGGAGCTTGGGGAACTTGGCGTGCAGCTCAGCAAGAATGGGCAGGAACCGCTCCTCCGCCGACAGAACCGTGATATCGCCCTTGGAGGGAGCCTCACCGTGGAGGTTCAGGATCAGACCCTGACGCTCCATCTCGGCGAAGACCGGATAGAAGGAGGTGTAGTCGACAACGCCGGAGCTCGAGTTGGTCGTCACACCGGCGGGGTAGCTCTTGACACCGGTGATGCCGCGCTGCTTAGCCTCGATGATGGTCTCGGGGGTGATCGACTCGTGCAGGTAAAGGGACATGAGGTAGTTGACATTGGGCTCAATAGCCTGCAGGCGCTTCTTGTAGTCGAGGGCATGGTCGACGGTCGTGATGGGTGGGACTAGGTTGGGCTATGGGGTGAAGTGTGTTATATAGCTGCACCAATTCACAATTCATTTGTTGTCATCCTCTCTTACCATGACAAAGACTGTGTTCACACCACCCTGGCGGATGGTAGGAGTCACCAGCTCCATCATCGGGCCATCACGCAGGTGGACTGTGTTTGTCAGTTGTGCCGCCACTTTTCAAGCTTCAAGAACTACTCGGGCGACTTTCTCCTCCAATGGCCCACTGCACATACCGTGGAAATCGGCCGACGCTGGGAGCTTAACTCCCTGCAGGTGGGACAAGGGCATTGTGTGTATGTGAAGATGTTTCTTGAGTTGAAGCTGCGCACGTTGTGGCAATCGAAAGGAACTCTTGACTCAATTGCCCCGCCATATTTTCTTTTCTGCCGGGCGGTGGGAATCTCCCCGGCCGACTTTCCCCGCGCTACAATTTCTACTGAGGTTAGAACTTAAGAGTATACAAACAGAGTAATAACATAAGTGTGGCTATGCTTGTGTGGCGAGAATTTCAATTACACACAGATAGGCTTACTCTTGCAGAACGCAATGTTGGGGCGGATTATTTCGCCGCAAGTGTGTGTCTCTATGCAACGTTGTAAATATGGGCCCTAGCTGGCAGCTCATTGTTACTCCGCGCTCCGCGGAAGACAAGGAAGGCCAAGACCATTTGTACTCTTGATCGCTGGTCGACATATGCATGGTGCTGACAGAATGAAGCAAGAAACACTCTATTTACGTAACAAAATTTGCTACCTAGGTAGTAGTAAAATGGATGTCCTACGCTTCTGCCTGTGTGTCTTTTTGTTCAGGATTAGGGGTTCATTGTACAAAGCTGAATATCTGTTGTGCCTGAGAGGCTGCGGCCTATTATTGATTCGGAAAGAAATACTGTAATGATTAAAATGTAGTGCATGAGATGCAATTAATTACTATTGCATTATACAAATCAGAACAAGTCTCAGATTTAGTTTCGATAGTCCCGGAGCTACCCTACGAATGGAGCAGAGTGTATAACGTCAGTTCAAAAAAGCATACATAGGGACTTGTACCTAGGGACTGGGAAGCGATTGAATCATTGAGCAGCAGGGGGTTAAAATTGTTACGTATTGTGCCCAGTTTTCTCAACCCTTCTCGAAGGAAACAGAGGAAAAGACTACTCCGATCCTGGTCCAGTAATACGGAGTTCTCGGGCCTTGACATGGGTCAACAAATAGTTCTTCCACTGCCGGAATTCGATCATATTAATCCTGGATCAATCCCCTGCTAAACGTGGTAGATATCCGAGCTACAGGATCCACTAGAAAGACAGGAACCGAGATGTAGATATCTTGAATGTCTCTGTGACTGGCTGACGCATCGGAAGTGATGGCACTACGGTCTTTTTAGAGTATGAACCGTAGGAAAGGTCATCAAGGGGTGGAGACCCATGAACTGAGTGGCTTTGATGGTGGCTTTAGTGGAAAGCATCGGAGTGCAACATTGATAACAGCAAATCAGCATGGTTCGGTTGTTCAACTCGCTGGAATCCTCCTTTCGCCCCACTAGGCCAACAAGAAGATGAGAGAAAACCGGAGATTTAATGCAAGGTCCACATGGATTGAGAAGACTATTGAACGGTTTGATGCAGTCTCACCCAAAAAGGAACATTCCACCCTAGTTCTCTTGCTAGATCAGGCTATAGTCTTCGTTAAACTTCCATAAGCGAGAAGAACGATGTGAGTGGAGATACTGGATCTCTTAGCGCCACGTGTGTGTGCCGAATATCCTATTTATACACCCGGATATCGATTTGTTATCGGAAGGGAAATCTATACCGACCATGCCGATCCTTTCCAGAATTTCTAGTGATATCTTCCAGGGGAATAGTAAGTGTCAGACGTCAGCAGCACCGGTAATATCCGTTCTAATAGTTTGTCGCTGAGCGACCAAGTTAGGAAATATCTGCGTGTGTGAGCTTTTGTTTGGTTAACTTTTAGCACGAAGAGCGGGGCTGCCGCAGGAACTATTGAGACGCCGTCTGTGAACGGAGGGCCGTCCGTGCGGTTTTTAAATTATCGGAACTTGCCCCAGACCCCCACTGGATCTTTTCTTGGTGCATTGTCTCTGAGCTTGGACCAATCATGTCTATTTGGTGGCAGACCAGTGAAGTAAATGCTTTGGCTGATGTAGGGTCTTCGGTCGTGAAATTTCATGGGCTGATGACTACTCTACTACAAAGGAGAATCCTCGACCTCCTTTTGCGTCGCCATTGAGTCTGAAATGATAATTTCCAGTCGTGTGTCGGTCACAATGAACAATCCTCGAATTCGTCTCGATCTTCTGCATTCCGATATTCTCTCGCGGATTGTGAGATTTCTCCAGCCTGGGGATATTGAAGAATTATCCTGCGTCAACAAGCGGCTCAGGGACGCGTCAATACCTGTGCTCTTTCGCGCTGTCAGATTTGAGTTTTCAAAATCCAGCTTAAATGGACTGAAGCGACTTTCAGATTCTAATATACGGCAACATGTCGTGTCATTGACATACGTTGCTCCAGAAATCTTGAAACCTGGTAAGACAAACATCTCTCTGTCCGCTGGAAAATAGAGCTAATACGCCTTTAGAGATTCTAGATTCAGAGTGTTACAGTTCTGAGCTTTTAACGCCTGGTGATTACGAGGACTGGATATACGAGGGCCGTGGCTTTTTGCCTGACGATTGCCCATCATACATGCTAGTACACGATGTTTTGCGCGACATCTGTGAAGAGCAGAAAGATATCATAAATGACGACCTCGACAGGACTGCCCTATTCTCCGTGTTTACAAGATTGCCAAAATTGGAAACTATGGCTCTGTGTTTCTGTCCGACGATAGAAGAGGAAGAATGGGTAGGGTCTGTCTTGGCCCGGGGCTTGACAATGGAGGAATCCTGTGAATATCATTCAAAAGTGATTCGCAATGCTATCCAGGTCGCGCGGGAGGCTACATCTACTGAGAGTACGGTTCAAGTTCGTCTCATGGAACAGCCTGCTTAGAGTCTTGTGAATAAGGGGATCTTACAAAGGGACAGATCAGTCCCCGAGATTCCGGCATACCTACCCACCACCTACCTGAACAGTTCCTGCTGCATGCCACTTGAAATAGAGATCTCACTTCGATAAGGCGTGAAAAATTGGCTACAGTCTGGCACCAAGGTGTACGGACAAACACGATCAGCCCAGGGGCTACAATCGAAGAAAACAAACCCGCTCAGAAATTCTATACGTGGGAAAGGCAGTCGGAGGTAATGGAAAGGGTTATTAGCACCGTTCTATGACCAATCGTTGGCTCGGCAGGATTAATCCATCAGGGCTGTAAGATAGAGAGAAAGCTAGCTCCACAGTTCAATATAACCTGACGGTTGCGGAAGGGATATGCTCCGCGGTGCTCTGTTGAGGCTTCATGTCCTCCTCAGGTGCTTCTCCGTACCCACACAACCACTTATAATTCCTAGTCGATGCAAATAGATCCCGATGTCGACCAATGAAAGTAATAAATATCAGCAAGACTTTGCTGAATGAACACCATTCCCCACAGAACGAATAGTTTTTGCCGGGATATCCAACGCTGACACCCACATAGCTGTAAGCGGAGACAACTTCGAAAATAATATTAAAAGTGGAGAACGCCAAAGGTTCGGAGCTGTAACGATCCGACTCAGCGACACAGATGAGAAGGACGGCAAAACTAAGCCACCATACATCGTGGCCTAATTGGAAGCGGAGTTGCTGGTAATAGACTTGACTGCGGGCGAGAATCGAGTGGTTTGAGACGCCGAATGAAGATTGGTAGAAAGGATCTCCAGCCTCGGCGCATGGAATCTTCTTAGGCCTCCTCTGGTGTGAATTTGTGCCTCTAATAGACGTTAGAAAAGATCGTTGAGCTTAGAGTCTGGAAGCAGTCCTACCTGAAGACGGCTGAAAATGGAAAAGATGGGAGATACTATGCAGGAACATGTTAGATCTTCCTCGTGTCATATTCGCAGCTAGAAACTCTCACCATCATAAAGACTAGCGAGATTTTGGTTAGTGAACTGCTCTGTGAGAAGGTATGGTGTCTGGATCATACGTACGATAGACAGTAAGCAATCCCTGTGGTAGATTGACGAATGTCACAATAGAGAACCCACAACCACGTACAGCTGTATACACCTCAATTTTAGCTTTGCTTGAGCAATCGTACTTTTCATGTACGTACCAGAAGACTGGAAAATCCCATCGAGAACACGGTACTTGAAAGGGAGGGCCGCAATTTCGCTGTTGCGGAAAGAGGCAAGCTCAAATGCTCCCCACATAATGCCATTAAAAACCAGGACTGTAGCGAACAAGAACCAGGTATGCAAAGCCGGGTAGAGAAAAGTACACACCTGTAAAATTCATCATTTTATTAGTTCCGTAGGAAGTCTAGTGGGGATGGACTTACACTTTGAGGTTGGGTAAGAACAAAGTCGAAAGTTTGGCGCCACAATCGCCACCTTGGTCTATCTGGTATCATTTTTCGAATGGCCCAGATCACAAATCTTAATATGCATGGGAACAGCGTATTTCCAGAGAGAACCAGGATGCCGCAAATGAGAAGAGGAGTAGGCCTATCCGGGCAAGATTAGTAAACTGTGTCATTATCAGCCGAATGAAAGGACAGGGCACATACTCCAGCTGAAATGGTGCCATATTAGCATCGATAAGAGACATTCCATTGTTGACAAGTGCGGATGTAGCAAGGAAAGTACCCGCCCAGACAGGGGAGATTCCATCTGCTTGTGGGATATCTGGGCGGTAAAGTTTCAACCAAAGCCCGATACTCAAAATGCCGATGAAAAGGAACAAGATGGTGTAGATCATTGTAAACCCTGATATCAGTATGAGTGCCTTGTACTCTACCCAACCGGGTTCCTCGGGGTCGATTGACCCGCTCGAGCGTTGAAGGTTGGTCTTCAATCTACTCAGAATCCATGAAAAGCTTAAGTTCATGTCAGCGAAGGGAGATTTGTGACCATTTCCTGTTGTTAAATGGAAATGTCGGCTCTGGCAGGGATCTGATGGGTTGGCAATGATGATGAAGTGACGAGCGTTCTGAGGCACATCTGGAGATGGCAGGTCTGCATAGATCTCCCTCCCTGTGATGTGTGTTTTCAATGGGCTCGGAATTTTGGCAGAAATAGCACTATCATCGTTCTCTTGGCCCTCCTTCTCTTGTACGTGCAGGATTTGTTTGTGAATTGTGGCCTGGCACCGTCTTTTCCTGTCTGAATTAACTTTCAGGACAGAGCGGAGGGTCAGAGCCCGGAGGAAAGCAATGACTGCGTGGATAGGGATAGCATGACCCAAGATCAAAAGTGTCCAGAGAGTGCCCTGTTGTAGAGTGTTTAAAGTAGAGAGATCAAGCTATGTCAAATATTAGCAATTCACTCCTGATCATGATCTCAGGGCAAAACGAACCACGCTGAGCCCAGTTCCTGTCATGGCACTGAAGCTCATGAAAAACGCGTCCACATATTGTAGATCATTGATCTGCGTCGCTTTAGTGTATAGTATGACACTGCCGATCATGGAAATAAAGATGAAATATGTGCAGTGTAATAGAAGGAGATTTGACTCTAAAAGATGAGCCATGATCGGCAGGTCCTATGTATGTTCGTCGTAAGCATCCTATGCAAGACAAAACTAGGAGTCCCAAACAGATTTAAAGACATTCAAAGACAGGACTGATCAAAAGAGCATTGCTGCCTATCAGTACAATACTGACTAGATCATACACTGAATACGACATGAGAACCCTTTCTGCATGGAATGTTGGCCAGGTAATTGCTCTACGTCTCCCTTCCAGCTGCTAAATACAAGTCCTCGGTGACCAGCATCTAGACGTATTATCAATTGGTCTAGGCACGATAGATGATAGTAATCTAATTAAACATACCCTGGTACGGTTGACTGCACATTCCAAGGGACGACCCGCTGGATTCTTCAGATGTAAGGCTGAAATATGTGGGTTTTGGGATATTCGGAACTTCCCGGTTTTGTGAAGAAATTACTCCCGAGCGTGGAATAACACTCCCTTCCTATTTGCTGAATGCTGGGTACGTTAGATCCGAGACGTCAAATCGGCTTGATATACTATGCCAGCAGATTGCATTGCCCGTCTGAGTTTTCGAACGTAGTCTCGACTCAATCCAGTCATCAGCGCAAGTTTCATACTACCTGAATACTCGATTATGAAGGGACAATGGTTGTCATCTCCGGTATTGCCAGCAGGTACTATGGTGAAGCTTAGACATCGGCCTATCAGGGATGATGCAACCGACAGCAACCGGCCCCGGCAAGGCCGAAGTCAAGTACCTTTGGCCATGAATGTAATCATGGGATTCACATCGGCAGCCTGGACCAATTTGACTAGGAATGGGGTAGTCTGATGGTCCTCTATGATAACAGCTATCCGAGTCTACCTCTTCTAGCCCCTCCAGGCCAACATAGACGCCCGCCTCTTAACTTTGATCCTTAATCTTCTCCTCTGTTGTTACCTGGCCGGCACCTTCTAATTCATTTCACCATCTTCTGTGCGGTCTCGATCTTCTTTGGAATCGAGTTGTAGAACACGATTATGTCATAGACGCTCACAATGCGTATAATGATCTATCAGTATCATTGAAATCCACCCAACATCCATCGCTTTGTGCCCTGCAATGACAAATATGGGCGCAATGTAATTCTCCACGAGGAGCGAAAACAACTAGCAGGGAGTTGAAAATGCCATTCTTTTTGAAAGTCCACGGGACAGAGAAGACCTGCGTATGGCGTACCTGGAAATGCGAATTTAGAGAGAAATAAAAACATGGGCATTTGAAAGTAAGAAGAGAGATCACGCAAACAAAGTAACGATAGAAAGGAAGCAAATCTCACAATAAATGGCCTTTTGCCTGAATCCCCATCCTTAAACTAGCTCAGCTTAGTCCCCCTCGTTGATATCATCTACTCTCGACAACTACTCAAGCCACGAGTTTCTGGGGTTTGTTATCGCTTTGTCCAGACTCTGCAAGACTCCAGGATTTGAGAAGAACACCCTGCAGGAACCAAATCTCGAGCCTCTGATTTGAGAACCCAAGACCACCTTAACCGCTGGTGGGCTTGTGTCGCAATCCCCGGCGCTTCGCGTCGACCAATTACCATCGCCGATCATCCACACATCACGAACCCTTTGCTGCAGGGGCGCGAATAGGAGGCCACAAGTCAAACCTCTAGTGATAGATCATCTGCCCTGGACTCTAAATATAGCTCCACCTCTTGTCTTATGCACTCTTGCGAAGTGAAGTCCTTCCTCTCCCACTCTGCCAAGCCTGCACGCTGGCGCCCATCCGGATGCTAAGACCCTCCATAAGCAAAACAATTCTGCAAGCCAACTGCTTGCAGTGATGCTCGCGCAGTCCTGAAAATTAAATTTGAGGTCTCATCGAATCAGAGCCGACGATATGCTCGATAATATGTGCGCTAAGGGGGAACTGTCTGTGCTTGAGGATACCCCGTTCAATCTATTCGAGTTGGGTAAGCGCCTACGGCAAAGGGCCCTTTGTGATAGTAAGACGCTGGCTTGAAACTGTCCGTGATGACAAAATACGATCGGCAAGGGCTCTGTGCTACAGTAAGTACATATTCAGAGGCTTTCACCACGGGCGCTTGGTTGGCTCTTGAGGTCTTTCTTGCATCTACTTTCCCTCGAGCCGTTCTCTTGTTTTACGGGACTGCCTTTCTTTCTTTCTTCTTCCCTCAGTGAGGTTCTCTCTTTCCACTCACTATTCTTTATACTCCTCAATTATCCCCTTGAGAACCCTTGCTGGCAAGGTTACGTGCTCTAGTACATACTCTCGTGATCCCCCTCGGTATTGTGTCCATTGTTATTATCCTACTCTTTTGTCTACCACCTTCACGATGAGCTCCAACGCATCTACAGCCGGCTCTATGGACGAGTCCAAATTTCTCAAGCGAAACCGTGCTCTCCACTGGGCTCGATTGGGTCTGTCTCTGGCGATCACTACTGGAGCTGTTGCTGTCATCGCCTGTGAGGCGGTACCATTGCACCACTACAAGACCACCGCACAATGGGCCACCGAGGGTCTTGCTCTCTGGCCATTGAACCTTGACATGCGACCGACAATTGCAGCTCTAGCCTGTGGCTGTGTGATTGCCATCTTGAACTTGGTATATGTGGTTGTTGCTATGCTCCCATCTGTTAGTATACCAGTCCCAGTACTTCTGTGTCAACTGTTAACAACCTTCCAGCCACATTCCCGTATCAAGCTCCTAAACTCCTATGCTTCCGCATCGGCCTTCTCTGGATTCATCACAGCCCTCATTGGCATCATCTTCACCATCTATCGGCCCTCCGCATCTTATCCGAGCGGCTTCAGCGATGGAGAGACCTTGCACAGCTGGACATGCAAATGGGATTCCTCGAGCGGGAGTACATCAAGCCCGGTCCACTTTTCTCGTGACTGCCATGAAACGCGTGCTGGGTTCGCGATGCTGTGTGTTCTCCTTGGACTGGAGATTCTGATGGGTATTGCTGCCGCTGCTGGCACATGGTCCCAGCGGGATGTATCTCGTCGTCGCGAACAACAAGTCCAGTTGGAAAAATTGGAGATTGCGACGAAGCAGGCCTATCGCCCGTGAGAGGGCCGCGCGATCTTTGCTGGGCTTCTCTCAAGGTCGTAAGTCAACCTAGGACTGAGAAAGGATTGTTTAGAGATGGGCTACCCTAGGCGCTTTTAGTATGTGAATAGTAAAGTTGTTGCGTGGGCTGAAATGACGTCATCATGTATAGCAGGCTATTTATTGGGGGGATTCATGCAGGTCATAGTTTGGAGTATGAAGGTGTGGCCAGGGCCACTTCGTTGGATTGAGCCGCACGTCTACCGAGAAAGAAGTAATTAAGGAATATTAAGCAAGGAGTTTGTCCCGTGTCCCGTTAATGAGCGATGTATCCAATGAATTTGAATAAGAATACCTGAGATCAAAGTGAGCTGGACACCGTCCATATAAATTCTCAGGGGTATGGTATGGTAAGATCTGGAAGGTATCCGTTGATAATTTGTCAGGGTGAATGAGTATTGGATATGTTGCGAAGAAGCCACCCTCTTCATTTAAGGCAGTGTGAAAGAATTTGACAACGATATACTCATAACATCCTAGGCACGGAATGCTTCCAGAATACAGCATTGATGTTGACCTTACCTGTTGAAGATGTTGGTGTTGATAGTGACCACTTTGGGAATCTTCGGAACGGATTAATGATTTACCATGACATATGAAGAATTACATAATTCTTATCAATACCGCCCTCGGCAGAATCACGGAGGCGCGTTTCTTGAATCGCCTTTCTTCTTCTCCAAGCAAACAGCTCTCGATTACAAAATGTCCGTAGACCCGAATGCCCCGTCGGCTCTCAACCTAGACGATGAGCCCTACGAGTCCGCCGAAGACGAAGATTTCCAACTCGACCCAGCCCAAGATGAGTCCGAGCTATCCTCATCCGAGGACGAAGCTGCCGAACCCGAGAAGAAGAAGCGCAAGACCGATAAGAAAGCCAAGATCGTCACAGAGGAGCTAGACTCTGGCGATGAGGCAACGATACGGAAAGCGCGGGATAAGCGGAACAAATTGAAGAAGAAAAAGGGCAAGGGCAAGAATGCGGTCGACGAGGAGGATCTTGACTTTGACGAGGATGAAGGGGGAGCTGGAGGGTTTGTACGGACACGCGCGATGAAGAAGCATATGTAAGATTGCTATTCTAATATTTGCGTTTCTAAGCTCTGGTTCTGGATTCTGACTACTGGAATAGACAAGAGGAGGAAGAGCGGAAACCGTTGGCTCGAATCGATGGCGCGACGGTGGATGTCGATGCCCTGTGGGCGCAGATGAATGCTCCCGAGAGTCAAATGAGCCTGCAGGCATCCCAGATCGAGAACAAGCATGAACCGGCGCCAGACGAAACCGACGGTATTGTCGATGCGAACGCGCCAAACCAGGGCGCCCCAGAACCGGAAGACAATGCGCATCATGGCCAGCACAAGGAACAAATGGTGAAGATCAAGCGCACATACAAGTTTGCGGGCGAGATGATCACCGAGGAGAAAGTTGTTCCGAAGGACTCTGCCGAGGCTAAGGCGTTCCTGTCTAGCGGCGAGGCTGTGAAATTCACAGAGGTCGATGATGCCAATGGTGTGGCGGGGATTCGCAACCTGCGCTGTCCTCTCCGCAAGATCTCGCGGTTTGATCCCAACCCGACCGGCTTGATCAAGAAGAGCTGGGAGAGACAGGCTACCACGGAGTCTGCGACTGACGCAACTGGGCCCAAGATCAACACTGTCGAGAAATCCAGACTCGACTGGGCACAGTACGTGGATCAGGCCGGGATCAAGGACGAACTGCGGACAGCCAGCAAAGCCAAGGAAGGTTATATGGGCCGTATGGACTTTTTGGGACGTATGGAATCCAAGAGAGACGAGGAAGCTCGACAGGCTCGTCTCAAAGGCATTTGAGGTTGCTATTGTCTGTCTATGGTCTGTCCTGCCTTTATCTACCTACGTGGGCAGCAGATTCCTACCACACACAAGCCATACCCCAGCACTGTCTGCCTGAAAATCAAAGACCCTTGCTGCAGAACACATGCCGCCCAAAGTCGCATTCTGAAAACCTCGTGTCCAGAGGTCTTGAGTTTAGACGCAGATCGAGGTCAAACGTGAGGAGCGGCCACCCCCTTCAAACAACTGTCCAGTCGATCCCGATCAGAAAGGGAATCCGTCGAATGCTCATATCCACTGATAAGCGAGTGGGTGGGCTCGTTAGGTAGCCCGCGGCTGCCACTTAATTTGCAGGGCTGGTCATCCGCCGCTGATCGCCGGCGGTAATGCGGGCTCTTATCATATTCATTTGCTGGTGCGGGCCGCTCCAGGAAGAGGCGGAGGGAAGCTTGATTGCTGTTTCCTTCACTATTCGTGGAGAATTTGTACTTTTAACGAAAGACTACTCAATTGTGGCTCCATTAACGGGAATACATTCCTGTGTTGCGCTATGTACTCTACTCTCCAAGATACCAACCCATTCATCCTCACATCATTGCATCATAGAACCCGTAGTAATTCGTATAGATCACTCATATCCAAGACACAGACTACGCCCGTACATCATTCTATTTAGGAGCTTTACTTGGGCACGTACTTGATACCGCTGCTGGGGCAGTTCGACTTGGTAACTGTGTAAAACAAATTAGCCCTCGGAATTTCCATAAGATTGTGGGATTGCTCTATAACGGCGAGCAACTTACGAGTGTCAACAGCCTGGTACTGGCCATCAATAGCATTGCCAGCCACATTGAAGAAGTACCAAACTTGGTTCAGCGAGCCGCTGGAGCAGCCGAGGTAGACCGACGCGCCGTCGTGCAGGCTGGTCAGGGCAGCCTGGATTTCACTCAGAGTGTAGGTCTTGGAGCTACTGGGGGTAATGCCAGCAGCGGAGAGGGCCTTAACAAGTATCAGATCAGACATCATGTATCTTGAAGCAGCACCGTGGCGAGAATACATACCTGGTACGTATCGAGACCCTTGAACAGGTCAACAACCTTTTGGAAGAAGTCGCCGACTTCCTCCTGCGAGGAGTAGTTGGTGTAGCAGCTGGGATCGATGGTGTTGATGCAAGTGCCGTGCTTGCCCCACTCGTGAGCCCAGAAGCTCTCGTCGTCGCCGTTGATGTCGACCCAGTAGTTTTGCATGTAGGATAGGAGATCGGTGCGACCCTGGGCTGTCAGGATGTCTGAGATGTTGGTGTAGGCACGAGCGGAGTCGCAGCTGGACTCGTAGGTGCCGTCACAGTTGTCGGGCCTATATTGGAGTCAATATCTTGTTTTGCTCAGGCTTCTTGGAGAAACATAGTTGCTGATGGGTTATAAATAGAGATGAACGATACGTACCACAGACCGTGGATAGTCCAGGAGTCAGTGGGGCCAGTGGATGGGTTGGTATCCCAGAACTGAGTCTGCAAGAGGGCACCGCCGGGGTAATTGAAGCAGCAGGTCGGATTCGTGGACGAGCTCTGGCAACTGAAGGTGTTGGTGTTGCTGCATGTCTCCAGTTGGGCAGAGGCCCCAGACACCAACGAGGTAACCGCCAGGGCTAGCATAGAAGAGCGAGAGAAAGCCATAGTTTAACAAAGATAGAAATAGTACTCAATGTAGATCTTCAATGTAAAGAAAACTGATAAACTAGATCATCTGCCAGGGGCATCATGCCGAACATAAATAGTGCAGACACACACTGACCAGTCACTAACTGACTATCGACGAGGTCCTCCGAGGAATGAAGCGTCCTGCAAAGACAAAAACGGGTGCATCACCAGTCGATCGCAACTGATAGCAGCACATGCGCCGATAAGACGACGCTGATTCGCGATTGAAAGATCGGATATCGCCGTTCAACTGATGAGCTAAACGAATCGTCGTTCCAAGGCCCTTTAGCGACCTGCTTGGCGGACTTAGTGACCGAGTTGGTCCTGTTAGCCTGACGAAAAGTGGTCGATCCCGACCGAGCGGGGAACAGGACTTAAATGAAGCCACCAATAGAGATGTCGAATCAGCCTTCAACTCGGCCATGCGTGGGCAAGGTCTCCGTCGGAAGTCCTGGGGATTCAATCTGGACGAATTGCAGCTAGTGTTTTGGGATTGTCCGGGGAGGGGATAGGGCGTAATTGAGGTTGCATTGTCTGTGGTGGATCTCCGAACTGGGTGCCCCTCGAGATTAAAAATGTTGATGATCGGCCGTGTTCTGGCCAACCAACGTTGACGGAAGGAACCTGGAAGACTTTGATTGTTCTTTCACGTTTCGCCTCTTCAGGAATGGTGCAAAGAGAAATTTGTGTCACCTGGGGGCGCCTTGTTGCTTGCTTCTACATGGCCATTTCCCCCGATCTAATTGGAAGCGATACGAAGTAAAAAGGAAAAACAAAGGAAAGTCGATTTTCAGGTTTTAGGCACCTCGTATAGAATCCAAAGACAAAGGAATGGTCTATCATGATATCAAAGGCTCTTCTTCCTCATTTTCGTCTTGCGCGTCTCGAGGAACTTGAATGCACCAGATGGCAATCGTGGCGATCACATAGAGGAGACCAGCCTGCAAGAAGGGCAGTCCCATCCAAACACCGCCGAAATGTAAGCCGATTCGGAAAAGATAGGCAAACAATGGGCCAGATATTAGAATACCGAGGGATTGAGAGATCGCTATAGCCGAGTAGAGCGTGCCGACTTGATCTGGAGGCACAAAAGCAGTCGCCAGACTGCGCGCAGTGACGAGGAACGCAGATCCTGTGGAAAGAATCACCAAGCCGCATATCAGCAGAGCTGGGACCGGGGCGAGGCCAATGGTAAGGAAGCCGATAATCGAGACCAATCCGCTTCCCTGGCTCAGGCGATAGTCGCGACGTTTTCCATGAAGTTTGAGATACTTGGCAGCGACAAAGGTCAATGCCGGTATGATGACGAGATAATTTGCGAGATTGAATATCCCACGTAGGGAGATCAAAAGGCTGGCCTGGAGGAACGTTAGCAGACCCTAGATTCGATGTAGACAAGGAATACATACCTTGGCGATGCTCCAATTGAATTTCTTCGATGCAAACTGAAGGAGAATAGCGGAAGACTGCCGACTGATGACTGAGACCAACAAGCAAAAGATTACTACGCAGACATTGTAGTTCCGCCAAATAAATTGCGTTGAGTCTTTGAATTCGCGAGCCCGGAAAATAATTTCTTGCAGCGCTGATTGTTTGCCAGCTGGCTCAACCTGCCCATTGGAGCGTCTGGGGGGTTCCGAGGCTTCTTGACCAGCTTCACGGCGGTATTGTGCCTTGTTAGCCTTGGCTTCTTCCAGAGTCTCTGGGAGAAACAAGACCGGGGTGCACCCTGCAATAATGACGATTGTGCCTAGAATGTATGGGAGCCAGTTGCCATATTGCATCAGCCACGCGCTGATAGGAGTACCCAGAACTTCGGCCAAAATAACACATGATTGAAGCCCGAAGAGCGCCGTGGATCTATCTTGCTGTCAGAAAGGGGAATCAAATTAAACTGTGAGATTGGTGTACCGTTCTTCTTCAGAGAAGATGTCCGCAACCATCACCAATGCAATCGAAACGAGTGCCTGGTCTCCACCCCCAATGATCCTGAACAATCCGGTCATCCAGACAAGTCGCAAGGGTAACACATTCGAAAATAGCGCTATAATGTAGGTCAGGTAACGGCGATCAGTATCCCATTATTAAGTCTTAGACCAGGACAGTCAAAGCTCCCTAACTTACCTACTAGACGGACCCATAGCTCCCCCAGCAGCAATCCCGTAATGCCCAAGTAGATGACGGGCTTGCGGCCCCAATGATCCGATAGCACACCGTATGGCAAGGACAAAAAGATACTCGGGAGCACCTCAAACATACTCTTGTACCCGAGGACCAGCGCCAGTTCACCCTGCACGGCTTCCGATTTGCATGGATCGCTACCGTCAACGGGTAGAGTAGCGGTCGGCGGAGATTCTCCGCCACTCGATAGAAGTCCCTGGTTGCGACAGATGATCTGCTCGAAGATCGCAGTCTCTGGGGCGAGGCCAATGTCATTGCCGAAATCCACAGCCAGCACGAAGATAGAGCACATTAGCAAGATCATGAGTTTCTTGGACTTCGAGCGACCAGGAGTCGCGCCTGTCGACGCGTTGGCGAGCAGGGGCTGCGTTTCATCGGCGGCGGTTTCGGCAACCATTTTGGCAGTGTGAAAGGGACGCTGAAGACTTCAGTCCTCTGGTAGCTAAGCAAACGCCCCAAATTGAACATTTAAGATCTCAGACGCTTTAGTGCTGAGGGCCGTTATTTAGCTGCCTCAGCCTCGGAGTTCGGCATAAGTGGCAGCTTATCGCGTTGGGCCAGGGTCGCAACGCCAACAAAGCCGCAATCCTCAGGGAGACTTCTCATTCGTTAGGCACTTTAGAGCTGACAGGAAATCCAAGTTTCCCCGCGCTGATAACACGAATTAGAGGCTAAAAGGACCATGGGCGAGCAATCAGGACACACCCCGTTTTGCTTAGTCGTGGCGTTGGGTGTTCGAGAACAATGCCTAGCCTTCATTCATCAATGTTGATTCAAGGCTGAACTCCGAATAGCAGTGGGAACACCGGGCAAGGCTCCGGTTAGAATTGATGCGGTAATTGGAGCTGATATGTCACCATTTCCAAGTCTAATCCTAGCTCTTTTTCCTCCTCTTGACAGCAAATCAATTGCTTTCGATGTGGCGCTGATTTGATGTGTTCCATTCAGGCAGTTTTCTCCGTCGTCAGGCCTCCCGACCGTAGCAGAAATGCGGTCACTGTATGTGACCTTTATCCACACGCGACCTCAGACCTGAACAGACGTATGAAATGTCCAATGCCTCTTCCCATGTATCCGCTTGCGTCCCCGTTTCCGGGAGATGAATACAGATGGAGAGTGTCGATCGAGTTAACAGTCATGCGACTCACAGCCTCAAATCCGACCCATCACACTCTCCTCTTCTCTCCACATGATCTCCGTTGTGGTCTCCACAACCTGATCTATGTGACCCGTTCTACGATCCGTAAATCATCCGTACATAGACCAGGGGTCCCTCGGATGCAATGCGAGTAGACATGGCCGCAGTCAAAGCTGCATGGCAGCAGTCGTGGTCCTCTCGGTCGTACAACAACACTGCCACGACCCGAACCCCGGTCGATGCTCGGCTAACCTTCATTCAAATACATTATTAGGACCGTTGTAAGCGGCCATCCAGTCTGCACACGAGGCCAAAAGAAGCAAAACATCGGAATTTCATCCTCAACTCGGGGCTTAGGAATCTGCAACTGCACGTTGCTTGTCCGCGCCTGTCAGGCCACGGCAAGCCGCAGGGAGAAGCGTTTTCAGTGTGCGTTCTGCATCGCAGATTGTGAATTCGACCAGTTGGTTTGCAAACCATCCAGTCGGCTCGCCAATGCGGCCCGGAGAAGACCATCTCGGAGGATTCTTGTCATGCCCTTCACTTTTGTCCGCGGGTTATCACACAAGTCGTGGGCCACGCCGTGTCGGGACGGTGCATTCGGAACTTGTCACCTCTGTCAGATATGAATTGATTCTCTATTTGGCTGGCTGGCTTGCTCGGAGTTGCTCGGGCGGTTCTGATCCGTTATTGCTCCGACGGCTACCTGCAGGTAGAGATGCTTTCTTCGTTGGTAGATATGTTGGAGTCGATAATTTGACTGTTTATGACAATCCAAAGAACTTGGCTTTCAATGGTGAGACTGGATTGATGTTTGTGTGGGCGAATTATTTGGAGTAGTTGGCTGGGATTGATTCGGGCGGGCGGAGGCTTTACATCCTGGGTCGATGGAGTTCACGATACTTAACTAGCGAATATGGTTGTCAGCTAAACGAAGAATATCAATGTTGATGGGAATAAAGGATGAGTATACTTCTGTTTTTCGTCGGTGTGATTGAATGTCGTGTTTTGTGTTTGCGCGTTCCATGGATGTAAGTTGGTACCTAGGTCTGGGCGTTGGTACTCCCGGAGTTCGAACTCTCTAGCATATAGATCCAATATCTAAAGCTGAGAACATCTTATACCTAATCGGAAGAAATCTAAGAATTGATCGGTCGGTCTTTCCAATAAATGCTCTTTTGTTGTGCTATCTCCAGTTCGCAAAGTTCGGTGCTCAGATTAGGGGGCGGCCCGGCAGATGCAGGATATATATCCACAACAGAAGCTGACCATCAATACCTAGAAAGCTCTAAACATCATATATTTTCTAGCAATACTCAAGTCTATTTTGTAAAATAGCCTTCAATAAGGCGGGTTCAATAGACTGATAGAGTTAAATAGGATTTGAAGTATTTTGGAATCCCATTGTGTGTATATTAGCTGGGAAGAAAGATCCTTCCACCTTATGCCAATACCCCCTCGGGTGAGTATATCCCCCCAACAACCTGCATATACCCCAAGCAACAGCACAAATACAAGGAATTGAACTCACTCCAGATCGCTAAAACACTACCGCTACAATTTGTGAGCTCGTCACCAAGTGGCTACCCAACAGTCAGTAAACTTCTATTCTATCGCCATAGCCAACCTAATCGCATTTACTGAGCATCAAGTGACCAGAACCGAACTTACCATTCACCAGTCCTCTGAAAGCAATTGCGCACAGAGACCTGCCAAGAATGACACTCTGGCTCAAACGTACATGGATCTAGACACACAGATTTCTGATCACCTACAGCTTCAGTCCTATAGCACTGTCTCGACCCGATATCCATCGCCCCCATCCCTCTCTCTACAATCCTACTCCACTCTGTTCCACGACAACGTACAATATATTGAACACGACCCATATACTCGCAGCCCAAAAACCTAGAACAAGCGCTATATCGATCCCCTTTTATGAAAGTGCACCAAGTAGCGCAATGCGTGTCGACCAAACAGGCACGCGCGATTATCTCGCCTGAGGCAAGGGCATATATCGATGATGTCACCAAGATTCTCCTTGAGCAACAGACAGTAGTGAACGGACCAGATAGAGGTCCAACCTCAACACCTCCCCGCTGCTAGCCCAAGACATATTGGTGCGTGCCGTACATTTGGGTAGTGGGGTGGGGAGGCGTTTGGACCACCAATCTACTGGACACTTGGGACCCTGGGAATGTTAAGCGTGCGGGATGTGATGTGCAGGGTCGATCAATGCTGTTGATCGGGCCGCCAGTCGGCGAGACCGGGTGAGTACTGCGGAGGTGCTATTGAGTCGTGTTGCATATCCAGCTTGTTTTGCTTGCGCTATTGAGTTGACTGGCATGCGCATTGAAGTACGGAGTAAGTAGCACTGGCTAACGCTATGACTGTGACTTTTCTCGGCGATTGCGTATGATTTCATGTCTGAATATAGAACGTTTACTTCGATCTTTCAACTTTGGCCTTCATAGATTCCCCCAAGGAGCTACAATACTCCAGGGTCGTCCCTGATCTACAACTGCCAACCGCGTTCTCCCCTTTCATCGCGACCCTGTTCAAAGCCGGGGTAACACGAGGGACGAATTCAGGGACGACGAAATCCTGAAAACCCTCAATAAGAGTATCCACAAACGCGATCCCCGATCTCCTTAACTAGGACCGCGCTCTAGGAGAAACCGATCGTAGGGCAGTGCCGAATAACATAACCTTTTGCCACTGGGTGTCGTATCCAGGAATCCGGGACTTGACAACGCAAGGTGACGCGGGCTTCCTGAATGCGCGTCAACATGATAGGATGGAGCAAAAAGTACCAAGCACAAAGTGAAAAAGTAAATATTGCCGTTCAACAGCTTTCAATCAAATACTCTGTCTATTTTAGATTGTTTTGAGGCTCATTCGTAGGGAAAAGAGGATAGCGCTGCAAGGGGGTGGGGACGTTGAAAAGAAAGGGTTAAAGTCTAAGTTGCTTTGGTCCAGGAACCACCAGGTACCACGCCTAAATTGTCCAAGTTACGGAGCATCTTCAGGTTTCCTACATTATTCACTGACAATAATACTGTACCATCGGCTTTGTTAGCCGGTATTCGAGGTATTTGCTACCTTTTGTAATGTTCTACAGGATGGCCACAAACCCCGGACCTGAGGATGGTCCCTTTATTGATCCACCGCCGATGTGATTTTAGATACAATGGCCTGACAAAGCCATAGTTGGCAGATTGTCAAATGGTTCTCCTTTCTGCCAACTTTTGATTATTTCATCAAGTATTCCAAACTTGAAAAGAGTCGTCCATCTCAGATTTCTCTGTAGAGTTAATATACACTCCCCTATTTCAGCGATTTACTAATCTCCCCTTAAATCCCAAGTATGCACTGACCATAGCGGGATCAAAGAACGCGCACAGTCTATACGGTAAACTCAAACTTGGACCTGCTCCTAACTCTATGGATAAAATATGAGTTTGAATAGTGTTATCATTTCAGTCAAAGTCCTGTCCTCATATGCTCTGGCATTCAATGGCGACAACGTTATCAGACCAGATCCCGGGGCATTGGGCGAAACGCACCTGCAGAACGCCTCACCCAGCACTGTGATCTTCTTCGCGGATCATGCTGAGTGCTCTTCCGAGGAATGCTCAGCCAGAGACCGATGTGAAATAGTACTGTAGTACACGGTATGCTGGGAGATGCTTTATTGGCCCGACTGCATAAGCTGGACCACTATGGATCTTCCCCCGCAAAATGATCGACCATCAGGCTTGCTGAACTTTGGTGTCATGGCGCTGTGAGGCTTGCATGTCATGTGGGTCCGGGAGTGGGAATTTGTTTTTGTCTCTTTGGGGATTGTTATGATTACATTTGCGAGTTTAATTTTCTGGCAAGCCACGGAGGTGTTCGGCGTGGAGGATGGAGGATACAGGATGAACAGGGGTCTGAGAAAGATCTAAAATCGATAGTCTTCTTCTTGATGCTCCGTGTACTTGGGTTAGAATTGCAGTAATCGTGCTAATGCATGTACTGTCCTTGTTGGATCGTTAAGGTTTATGTGTATGGGGGTTGTCCGAGGTACCCCTGACGCTATTCTGAGCTGAGAATCTGATGGTCGAATTGTCGAGGGTGGTACCTGACTATTGAATATGAGATATGAGATGTGATGATGGCTATCGAGCTATCGTTATTGTCAGGCAGAGATGAGTTTGGGAGTTTGTCACTCATTCTAGCTGATCGTTAGATTGAGCCTTGAGAAAAGTATTTTCCTCGAATGGGTTCATCACACGAGCAATTTGAATGCGAATAATCTGGTCCAAGTGAGTGTAAATCGCGCAAGATCGATCGGTGGCGAGTTAACCATCTAAAGTAAACGTTCCCCATACAATGCGAGCAGCGAGGCCGAAGAAGCACAGACAGCCAAGAGGTATGTACGCAATGGATACCCCGAGCATCCGAACAAGCCACATAAGTCGCCACTTCGCCTGGTGGCGGTCCAAATCATGCAATGGCTTGGTGATAAGGCTACTTCAGATGGCATGACTCAATGCAACAGAAGAGATCAGATTTCCGAACGAACCATTCAAACTTTCTCCTACGACCTGCCACATCCCAATCACCGGGTCCAGTGCTCGGGGCTCTAGACCCACCTCATCTGGTCTCAGGCCATTTTGCCGTTATTCCTTGCGAACCATGGCCAGCTAGAGGATTGCCAAGCATGAATAAGATGAACCTAAGCATAGTCTTGGCAGCTTGAGATGATTAGCCAACACAAAGAAGATCCAAGTCGGTCATCCCTTTGAACGCAGGGGTCTTGGAGGTTTCTGAGGGGACTCTAGCCCTTGCGGCCAAACTAGGCCTGTGCTTCTGGATGTCTGGGTAAAAGGCCGAGGCTCTAAGAGCTCTTCAGTTTATCTAGATTCAATGGAAACAGTGATGTATGGAGATTCTTCTTGTATCAGAATCAAAGAGCATCGTAAACAAAAAGCATGAATGTTGAAGCGGTTTGGATTCTCGAGCGGAACTCATTAAGGAACCAAACAAGCACAAAAGTAGAGTTTGGCGTCGATTGAGTCTTGGCAGTCCCATGGAACCAGAGCTTCAACAAAGTACAATAGTGGCGTCGAGGATTGCAGCCCAACTGACACATCTTGGGGTAGAATTATTGAATAGTATTGCTTTGCAAGAGACCAGAAACCTGATTCCAACCCCAACATGCATGAAACATTGCGACAATCTTCCTCGTGGTGACCCTGTCGGATCACTGAACACGGCAGATAATTATGAGATATAAGATATGGAATATGGAATACATATTGATATGGAAGATGGAATGGGGAATAGGACACCTGGTGGGTCGTGTAATTCGGCTGGCTAAACCCACTAACTTGGTTGAGACTGGATCGTCTGGATCTGACGGTCGCGAGGATCGCCACGGAACGGCATGAGAGACCGAAAGAGGAGAAATGATCTACAGGCATCGTCCGAGCTCCATAATGTAGGTCCGATAATCCACTAGTCCAAAAGTCCACTAAACCCCTAATCTCATAGGCCCCATTTCCGGAAGAGCTGAAGCCCATTGATGAACTCCTAAGCACGGGCTTTCATCTCCGAACACTAGGTCCTTTGTCCCGAAAAAACAAACCAATAGCCCCCACTTCATGAGTACCCCAACGCTAATATGCGGCTGCATACGTAGATGGCGTGGATCTCGGCTTGCTACTGTGGCTCAGTCGTGACCGAGAATAGAGTTTAACTAATTGACCAAACGCCCCGAATCAGAGCCCCAAAGAGCCCTATGAACTCTATGAACCCAGTGAGAGCTGTCAGAACTCTCGGCTGTCTGCCTTGGAAGTCCATGGGAGCAAGCGCTCGTCTATTGGAGGCTAAAAAATCTAGTAGGTACGTGGTTTAGGGCACACGACAGAAACAAGATGGAGAAGGAGGCCGATTCTCTGTTTCATCCTGACCCGTCGTGTCTACTGTCTATCGGTCGGTAATGTGATATACACATCAAGAAGGCATTTTCCGGTCGGAGGCGAAATTTTGGGGAAATGGAATCCATTCTGACAATCCTCATCTTCTTGTCTGTTCCAGGTGCACGCCTGGCACGGGGACGGAAGCAAAACACGGTAGGTACAATATAGTACTTTCGTGCGTTGGAATGAGGGAAAGAAGACTCGAGGAGGCTGTACTTGTGTTTCGCATGACGAGGATCCAAATGCCGTTTTTCTTTTGCCACTAAATAGCGTGGCTTGGGAAGAGGATCGAGGAGCTCGCTCGAGGTCTTCAAGAATGCACGCAAATCCCGGACCGGTAATAGCTACGCAGTAGTTCCAAGATACTGGGATTGAACCAGGAGAAGCCTTACCAAGCTAAGGCCATTGTCATCGAAACTGTCCGCCCATCTGCTCCAACCAGAGCAGGTTCCCTGAATTCGGGTCTCGACTGACGGGTGATGGATCATAAACTTCCCCTGGAGTCAGATGCAGGTCCATTACTAGCTTCCTGGATAGTTTGAACTCTAGGTCCCTGAGCGATGCGGTCTTTCGCTCGGCAGCTCCGGAGCGAAAGGTAGAGAAGAGAGGGGACTAGGTCTCCGAAAGTACAGAGTAAGTAGATGGAGAGAGAGTTCTCGACCATACCCCGCGCCCGCTCAGTCCCAGTTGTCTGTCTACCGATGGAGGACAAAGTCCTTTCAGGGTCCAGATTGTCTGCAGCTTTTGCACGCTCTGCACATTCCATGATGACGACGGTGGGCGACCGGGGCCTTTTGGCCGAATTGGCTTATTTGTCATGGGGGAGAAGGGTGACCATATTGATTGTAGGAAATTATAGATACGCAGTGAGTACTACTGTACTCCGTAGGGGTCTCGACTCTGGGGAAGGAACTGCCAGGTACAATAATAGCAACGGTCATCGCAATCTTTCACCCAACCAATCATAACCAGAGTTATGATAAACATATTGATCATAACGGCAATCGGAATGGTCGTCAGTAGTAGTAGCTGAGTCGAGTATGTACATAATTTGGATCGATAGCCTTATGGGATGACGATCCATAACCCGGAGCCCGCGAGTAACTTTCTCTTGGGACGATGGGAACTATGTGAATGAGGTACGAGAGGCTCGAGAGAAAGAGGCCCAAGAGTTGAACAGACTCAACAGAGAGGGTCGCGGATTGGTCCAAGCACGCGGAGAATAGCCGACAGATGTACTGGAATTTACAATGCTACGCTCCCCACGACCGGCATATGGCCAGTTTGCTTTTATTTGAAGATCCCCGGGGAGGGAAATTATTAGACTAGGCCCGACTGGGACAGACCAGCATAGACTCGAGCCCAGTAGGCTCGATAGGTCAGACGTTGTACGGAGGGTACTTGTTGTACTTGCAGGACCTGGGCTGAACCGCGCCCGGATGAGATCGATCAAGGCCCCCCCCCCACTTGGGGATCCGCCACTAACGTCTGAGCTCAGATTGGCTGACTGGAGATCCTTTGGAGAGTGGAGGAGATAGCTATATGCGGTTTGCCACTAGAGATAGAGAACTCCATAGCACTAAAGGTCATGATTGTGTCTGTTTCTGTCTGTCTCAAGAGGACTTTGCCCGAGACAATTCCTTCTTGTGTGGGTATGTTCGTCTGCTAGAGGTTCGAACGGGGAGAGTGGGGCGATGGTCGATCTGGTGCAGGTCCAGCGAAGGTACGAAGTAAGTACGAGTATCATGATTATCACCATATTGGATTAGGGTACCGGGGAGGATCGACGCCTCAATCGGTGCAGCAAAAAGAAAAAAAGACCAAAAAGTAAACCTAAAGCATGAGTAAGATGCACGTCCTCAAGTTGGCCATGACAAAATAGTAAAATAGTCCCAAATAATCCAGTCTAGGCAGAAAAGGACAGAATAAATCCCGATTCAGTAGGACAATCATACTCAAGGAGAAAAGTCTGGGGCACCAGAGACCCAACGCCCCCCCCAGGCTGCATGTCAAACCGCGAAAATAGACTCTACTCACATTGCGCGGGACGCAAGAGGCACAGCCGGACATTCCAGTGGCGGTGGTTTCCAACTGGCTGGCACTTTGTCGAGGCCCATAATATGATCATAGCTATGGAGACCGGCCGTGGGTAATTATGGGGACTTTATGGGTCCTCTGATTGTGTACCTGTGAGATCGGATATGAAGAAAGATGCCGGCCGATTGAAGTTGGTTTCATAATAATAAAAACAAAATAAAACAGAATAAATTATGCGGTCTGATCATCATGATTCGCATGATCAATGATGATAATGATCCTCATTTTATAAAAAGAATATTAGATTTTTCGTCCAGCATATTAAACCATAAAAAATACAATTTCCAAAATAATCCAAAAGTTAGGGATGAGGCAATCGATCCTGTCGATCTCGAGTTCTTCTTCCCATCTTGTTCAACTTGTTCCTGTTCTTCTCCAGGAACAAGCTTCCACGCCCTGGCTGGGGAACTATAAACCCGCCCCTTCTCGTCTGTCCTCCCACAGTCTCCAATCCTCCTTGCCGGTGTCTCTGAACAATTTAATACCCTTGAGACTCTTTTCTTATACCACATCCCAGCCCTGCTACCACTGCTGAATCTCCATCCCTAGCAACATCCGGTCAATTAATCTGAGACCCAACCTCCCCTCCTCCTCTTGTCTCTATCTCCCCACACGTCCAACCACCGCGTCTCAGGGTCGTTCTCCAGGGAAACCATCACGATCCTATCCAAGGTACCTGAAACCAGTGTACCTTTGGGGGCTCCAGCCACGAGTCTCTAGAGTTGACTCGACACTCTATTCGTTGGACTGCCCATTGTGCGATTTGCCAAACGCGAAACCGGTGCCACGAACCCGGCTATCTGAACCCCTCCACCAACCAGCCCTCCTTTGCCGCGGTAACAGAGGCGAGGCTATTGTTCTGCATTCCTGGCCTTGCGTGAAGCGTTCCTCCGGCACGCGACGCGGGCGTCTTTGGATCTCATCCGAGTCATGGCGTATAGCTGTAAGTCCGATCTCCACCCGGCCGGTTCTATGCTGGCCCAATTTTGTTTATTTCTGCTCGTTTGTCCCCTCCATTCCCTTCCTTCTTTCTCTTCTCTTCTCCAAGGCCCTTGACATTCCCTTCTTTCTTTCCCTATCCTGTCCCTGTGGTCACTGTGCCAGGCATCACTCCCTCGTGCCTGAGCTATCTCTTTTGTCTCATCCTCGTTCTTTATTCTCTGCCAACCCTCGTTGCCGTCCCTTGTCATTCCAGTCCATCGTTCCTATCCTGCTGCCAATTGCACTCCATCTTTCGAATACTTCCCTACCTAATCCGACTATCAACCGTCATTCCCTTCAATCGCTATACACTCCACTAGTACAGTGGACTAAACCCAATCCTTAATACAGGTGATACTATTGTCGACCCTGTCGCCCAACGAGACCTCAAGGTTGAAGACCTCGACGAAATGAGACCCCACGGCCAACAGATCTCCGACCGCTTGACTGTTGAGGTTGACTGCCACTCTTTGGGACCCAGTGAATGTCCCTCGATGACTTCGAGTTTCTCGCCTCTAGAGTCTCCGACTCCCACTCCCACTAGTCTTTATAGCCAGGGTTCCCTGGCATCCCCAGGCTGGCACGAAGCCGGCCATTACCACAGCCTTCCCATGGAGCGACGAACGTCCGCCACGCCTCTCCGAAGTGCCTTCAGAATGACGGATTTCCCTTCGGGTGAGAGCATGAGCATGCCCGTGAGCAACATGGATCGCCAGGACCAGCTCCCAATCTCTGCTGAGTATCTCTCTGGCTACGAAGAGAACGTGGATCAATTCTGGATTCCCCAGGATTCAATCCCCAAGACATTTGAACAACCCACATTTCCTTATCAAGCGCCCATGCCTCAATATCATCACACTATGGGTCGCAACCACTACTACCGCCCGCAAGCTCAGGCGGCGTACTTGCCCGAGTCTGCATCCAATCCTTGCCTTTCCCGTCCCATGTTCAACCACCCTGAGCGTCTCCCCAACTCCGCATCTATGTCCAATATGTTGTCCTGGGTGACTGCGAACGATACTCTGGTTCCCCAGACTATCACTCCCCAACAGGTTGTGCACTCGCCTGTCACTCCCCCCTCTTCCAGTTACTCTGAGTTCCCTGCAAGTCTCCAGACCTTCAAGCCCCACACCCCTTCAACACCTGTCCGATCAATGTCCTTGGGAACGCCAGGCAGTGACACTCCCAACAGCCGCATGTCGGGCCACAATGAGTATCACGAGGACTTCCCAGTTTCCCCAGTCTACCGAGATGGCCAAATGATCCGCACACACCGTCAGCCTACTCGCAAGCCATCCAAAAAGCAGCTCCTGCGATCCAACTTGAGCCTGGAGAACTTGCCCCACATCATCAAGCAGGTGCAGTTCAAGTGCAAGGAGCCCGGCTGCAAGGGCCGTTTCAAGCGCCAGGAGCACTTGAAGCGTCACATGAAGAGCCACTCGAAGGAGAAGCCCCATGTATGCTGGGTACCTGGCTGCCATCGTGCTTTCTCTCGCAGCGACAACCTCAACGCCCACTACACCAAGACCCACAGCAAGCGCGGTGGTCGCAACCGCTATGTGGCTACCCTCGACGAGACCAGTCCTGATTACAATCCTGAGTTCCGTGGCCAGCTGTACCCGGACGGGCGTCCGATTTACGGCTCCAAGCTAGAGGACATCCCTGATTGTGACCTCAGCGCCGACGGGTGGGAGGATTAAATACGAAAACAGCCACCACAAAAAGCAAAAGTGTCGGTCTTTCGGGGAGGACGAGAAAAAAAACAAATCAAAACACCAACCATCTAACCACGCGAACCCCACCAAAGCAATGCAAACAATCTCATCCGACCACGCAATCCGGAAGAAACCACAGAAGAAAAAAGAAAAAAAAAGGTACCAAACTACACAACTAAAAAAAATTCACCGACATCACGACCTTATCTCGAGGTCAGACATTGATACCCTTGGAGGAAGGAGAATGGGGACTGCCACCCCATACATGGCATCGGCATTTAACCCGGTCAATCATCACCCTTGGCTACGGCGTTGTATATGGTCTTCCGGTCTGGCGAAGACCATTCCGTGTGATTATGATTCCTTATCATCATTTTTATTTTTATTTTTCCCTTTTCTATTTCTTTTCTTGCATAATTTGTCGGGGCGAAAAGGGCCTTGGGGTGGGAATCTGTTGCTTTTTGGTTTCTTGAGTTGGGTTGAATGGCGTTTGCATATTATACTGTTGCTTATGATCGTCTGGGGGATAATCACTTGGAAGGAATCGGCGATCTTGTACAATCAGCTACAACGTGTTCTTTCTTTTTTGTTGACTTCATCTCTGTCGCATGTATTACTATCGCTACTTACCTTGTGGCATAATATAAAAAAAGACATGAGATGTTTTCTACCATTCTGTTTTCCGCTTCTACACCTTTAATAACCGTTTCAACGTCATAAAAAACCTATTAATAGTTAGCCGATGACCTCTGGAATTGTTTTTATCTGGTCTTTCTTGATAGTTCATTAGCCTTGAGATCTCGCACAAGACAAGTCAAACCACCATCGCAAGGCCCCCCACTACGCGCACTCACCCAACTGACTCCACCGACAACTTCCAACATCCACACACCAACTCTCAACCAGAGGCTCCAACGCTCCAAATGGTTCGAACACCTCCAAAAATCCGATAATTCGGGTCCTATCCCCATCCAATCTGACACCCTATTCTTGGCCCATCATTGCATACAGTCCATTGAATCTTACTAGCCCCCCGTTCCACGGTTCCTGGCGCCTCCGAGCGCAAATGTTACACATCACAACCCGTTCTTCCGCCTGTCCGACCTGATTGATTCATGTTCCCACTTGCGATACTTGTACCCTTTTTTTTTTCTCCGTTCGCCATGCGATCTATCTGGTTTCCTTTAGTAGTGCTAAGTATCTGGGAGTGGGGTTTTGTTTGTTATAGTGGCAGGATGTACATGGAGTACATCGATCCGACTTATTTCTTGTTCTGTGTCTTGTCGCTGATTTGGGTTATGGAGAGATCTGGGAGACTGTTCTCGGGCCTTGATCAAATTCAGGAGTGCTTGTACTTGGACTTGGACTTGGACTTGGACTTGTTCTTACTAGTACTGTACTGCTAGAAGTATGCATCATCTCGTTGGCTGCGTCTCCTGATCCCGCCACTTCGATCATCCCCTTTCTTCGCCTTTCCATGCGTCTTCTACAAACCATTCCCGGGGGTTTGGCTTCTAGGTACTCAATTCCCCTGTTTCAGATGCTCATAGCATCATCACTATTACAACGCTCTGATCTTGGCTACTTTTGTCCTCCCCTCGTTCTCGTAGAGGGAGTCAGGTCTGGGTCGTGGGCTCCGCCATCCACGCATACCGGGCTGATGGGAAGAATCACATCGGCCTGGTTTGCGCCACGGAACTTTGTAAAGGGGTTATTGTTTGCTATGGGATTTCCCTGGTGTCATGTGGAGTAAAAACTTGGATACTTCTTGATCCGCTTCCCTCTATTTCCATTTCTGGAACTGGGACTGGAACTAGTACATAGGTCTTCTGCCAGGTACATGGCATGGTGCTCGGACTTGCTAAATTTTTGGGTCACTTTGACAATGACTTAAGAGTTTGGACACCGTTGGGCCTCTCTGCGAATGCGTTCCTAGCAACCAGATCGGGTCTCTTGCATACCATCATTCTCCGGGGCTTGCGGCCATGGCTTGGACCTTGGTGTTCATCGGATGAACTGGTTCATCTGTGGCAAAGATCCGGTCTAGAACAGAGATGACTTCTTGCTTAGCTTCTCCTGATTATCTGTGCATATCCTATTCGCCAAGTCTGGGGGTGCAGCCTGAAAGTCGCGCGGTTGAGCATGCTGTACTTCCCACCAGTTGGAAGTCTAGCCCATGACTATTGTGCTTAGAAGTAATCTCACAATTGTTGAATTGCTATTGGTCCATCTATTCCTAACTCAGGGATTTTATTTCCAAGAAATATTTACCATAATTTGAAATTATGTACTCCACTCTGCGTTGCAACTTCTTTTGCCTGGACCCTGAGCTCGCGGTTACATCGCGCCAACGACCCTGATTCCTGCTTTTATTTTCTTGAAGCGATGGAAAGTAGCTATCCCGTACTTTTTACTTGTATTCTCCGAACTCTGGATAGACACATTATAGATTATACACGCGGTGCGTAGATCTATTGTCGTTGCTTTTTTTTCCTCTTTGTCGCCGCCTGGTTCGGAAACAGGGCCCGACTACGCTATTGAGGGACCTTTCTTTTGCTTTTGCGCGGGATCTGCATAATGTCTTTGTTTTCTTTTTTCTTCGATAATCTGTTAGTTTGAAGTCGATGTAAGGTCGTATCTTTTGGGACCATATAATTAGTACAGTCTCACGGAGTAGTAAGTATAGATTCCGGAAAAAGACTCCGCAGTCATCGAATCCACGCCGCGTACGCTACAAGCTCACCGCGATTATTAGCGCATCTGCAAAACGTCTTATACAGTAATTCTATTCATAATGCTCCATCCTCAACATTCCTAAGTAATGCCCGACCAGTTAGATCCCTGCCGCGTGTTGGGTTGGCATGTCTGTGCGTAATGTCGCCGGCTTCTTGGGGAAAGGAAATAGTCAAAAGACCGTACTGTACTTTCTGCACATTCGTGATCATGCACAGCCTGCAGAATCTGGCTTCCGTTGGGAATTTCTCTACTTTCTACCTTATTTCCTAGATGGGGAGGAATTCGGACTGTGCAGGATCCTACAAAACAAATTTTTTTCTTTTCTTGTTGATGCAACCTTTGAATGAGGAATGCCTGCTGCAGCCTCGGCCTCAGTGCATGGCTTTGCAGTGCATTGTGCGGCGTGCATTGGAATGTGAGATTCGAGTGTTGGGATACCATGTTATTCTTCGAGTCGGTCTGGACTTGTGAGTGAATAAGATTTTGGCTATGGAGGGTGAAGTGATGAACATGCATGGAGTGTCTGGAGATTATTGGGAAAGATGTTCGTTTTTTACGCAATATCATAGATTTGTTGCTTTCGTGCATACTATCGTGGGGTACGCGTGCTGTGATCGCTATCCCTCGCTCCGGGATGGGCGTGACAGTGCATGAAGGGTGATCTGATAGTGTTTAAAATTTGACAATGAATTAATTGTGTCTCTAATTATGATGTTCTCTCCCTGAGGATATTATACGTGGTTTTTTATGTTCAAAAAGGGAAATTAGTGCATATCAATGCAGCTGATGTCGGTGTAGTTCCTGTCCTATAGACGCCTGAGTTTCCAGCGGTGAATGAGCTGATTCTCTGGATCATGCTGTATTTCTCTATTTATTTCTTTTATTCACTTTCATGGGTGATAATATGTAGCAACTTATAACCTGATACTCGATGTGCCCCGTTTTTGATTAAAATTAGACTACAGCATCCTCCAATCCACTAATCTACACCTAGAAATGGTTATGTCAGCACTGCATGTAGATGGATCGAAGAATCCGATGGAGAATTGTATGCACAGCCACCATTTGAGGACTGCCATCGATCGAAACCTGAGGATATTCTACAAGGTTATTCGAGGACGTGAAGGGTATCTCTAGCGCAAGTCATAAACAATAACACGAGACAAATGTCGTTTGCTCTTGATCATCTTACAGATGGTAATTTCTATTGGATATACGAGTCTTCTGGACGCTGTAATATGAACCAAGCTCGGTGCTCCGGATGAATGGTGTGGCAGTTCTTTATAACAATGCAACTCCAATTGTAAACCCCCGTGTACCGGACACGGTAGCCAAAGTACCCATACTACTACTCATCATCAAGCTTCCGCAGCTCTTGGGGCAGACAGCACTGGTATGTACGGAATCCCCGAGTGCTGACCTTCTCATTGAACATCTCATCCAAATCTTCAAAGGACCGTCCCTTGGTCTCCGGTACCTCAAAGTGGATGATAGCCAGGGTAACAAGACCCAAGAAAGAGAAGATCCATCCGATCTTGCCGCCTAGATGGGCCTCATCTGGGTTGTACAAGTACGGCATAACCACGTTCCAGACGGTAGAGAAAAAGTAGTTGAATGTGAATCCTACAGCCATGGACTTTGCGCGGAGACGCACTGCGGAGACTTCTCCGGCTATCGACATGGCTGGGCCGATGGCTGGACCGTAGACCCACCAGGTCAGTTCGAGGAAGACACCGATAACCCTAGTTAATTGTCAGAATGTGCTCATATCCCTTGATATTCGGGCCTGTTCAGAAGCCGGAGGAAAGCGATATCAATGAGACTTACCATAACGCGGTGGTTGAATTTGGGAAGCATCCGGCAATTCCCATCACAGTGTAAAACACGGTCGAAAGAGACAGACCGAACATGATTAGTCTTCGACGTCCACATTTCGCCATGAGATAGGCAGTCAAAATGGAACTGGCAAGACCAAAGCCAATACCAATCTCAGTCATCATACCAATCTTAGCCGAGGACATACCTGCCGAGACAAGGAAATAAGGACCGTTGGACATGAAACTAGCACCGACGACCTGCGAGAGACCGTTGCAAATAAGGATAATTCGGGTACGACGCCAGTTAATACCGCGGAAGCATTCGAGGAAACTGGCTCCCTCGGCGGCAGCACTTCGGGCCTTTTCCTCTTCGTTGACTCGGACGATTTGATCTAGGAGGGGCGTGACCTGCGAAGGATTGTTTCCAAGTCGTGCGAGGGATTTTTGAGCTTTGTCAAGTTCATCTCTCATGACGAGGAAGTAGGGAGACTCGGGAATGAAAGGAAGCAAGAGAATGATGACGCCTGGCCAGACCCAAGCGGCGGCAAATAGCACCTTGAGAGTGTAAAGTCAGTACTTGATGCTTTCCAGTGTCCCAAGGGTCCATATGTAGATCTGAAGTTGTGTTAAGGGACGTACCTTGTATGCAGCCGGTGTTACCATCGACATACGGGGTAGCGCAACGGAAGCAGCAATCATGTATCCAAGGTTCTATACATCGTTAGTGTCAAGAATTCATGGAAGATAGGCCATCGCCACCAGGATGACGTTCTTACCATGCAGAAAGTAAAGGCAGACAGGGCAATGCCACGAATCTGCATTGGAGACACTTCGGAAATGTACGTCTGTCCACTCGTCAAGCAGATACCCAGAGACAGGCCATTGACAATCTTTCCCGCGAGGAAAACTCCCGGAGTTGATGCTGTATACACGACGGCTACACCTGCAACGGAGAATATCGCACCTAGCAGGAAAGAAGCACGACGACCGAAACGATCCTGCACCGGTCCAGCGGTGGTAGCTCCCAACATGGTGGCAACCTGGGACATGGCACTCCACAGAGATTGCCAATACGCTGGAATAACATAGGATCCATTGCTAAGCTCGCCAAATTGAATCCTGGTATCTTATCAGCACGATCATGAACAAAAAGACCATGGAAGGGCAATGCTCACTCAAATCCAGGCATGGAGAGTGCCAGCGACAACACCAGGTTATCGAACCCATACATCAACGCGCCAAGATTGCCATAGAGACAGAACAGAATCACCACGGGATTCTCAGCTATACATTTCCACGGCGATGAAACACACACTGTCAACTTGTCTGGCAGGTTTGCCACATTTTCCAAATGCGCAGAGTCGGATTTTGTCGTCTCACGAGTGTCCATCTTGGTGCTTGGTTTCTGGTGCAACTTTCAGGATCTACGGACGAAACCTGTAGGGTTTTTGGAGAAATCCAGAGGCCAGCATATGAAGGAACCTCCCCAGTCTTTCCCAGTTGTGGGGGAGCATCGTCGTCCTGACCCACTTGTGAAGCGAAATTCGGGGGACGATAAACCGACTTGTGCTCGGCTATTCCGGGGAACGGGATATGTCCACTGTCCACTGTCCACTGTCCACTGTCCACTTTGTTGAATTTTCACTTTCCCCACTGCTTTAGAGGGGTTATCAGGGATAACCCGATCGGTATTGACTCATTGAGTCATTTAGGCGAGGATGATAACAAAAAAGTTACAATATTTTGTAAGATGGGGCCGAAAATGTAAGTTGTTAGCTTTTGATATGCTGCATTCTTCGGCTTCATCGGCTTCGGCTTTGGATGGCCAGTGGGGCCGATAAGTGCTTATGTAGTACGGTCAACTAGTATACCAAGACAGTGTGTACTACCGTCAGGTTGGGGTTTCCATATCCTCTTTTAACCCTCGGTGAACTAGCCTTCCCTCGGGAGTTCCGATATTCTACCATAGCAACTTTCAGAGGCAAATTCGATTAGTACCCGTGCATCTATCATAAAGATCATCAAAGCTGGGAACATAAAAACAGTACCTTACTACTTAGGGCCATAATCTGAGACCTCATACATTTGCAGTCATTAAGCTATGCTAGACAGCTCTATAATTGCGCATATTTAAGAAGACCCAGTCATAACTCTGCCACGGGATTATACATAGTTCCAACATGAAACTTCCTTCCGGGAGAAAGCAACCGCCTTGCCTTTTTCGAGCTTTTGAAACAATGAAACCCCATCAAGTACAACTTCCACGTCCACATCCGCAGTTGCTTTCACCTCTAGCCCTCCCTCCTTTGTCCAGGATACAGAGACATCGGCCGCCGATGTAAAGAATGTTCCACTAGCGCTGTCCAGAAGCTCCATCCGAGGAGCAATGCGAATCTTTTTGAACCCCGGTAGCGCAGGCGAGACACCGAAGACCTGGGTCACGATTTCGTGCACGGGACTCGCGCTCCAACCGTGACAATCACTGCGGGCATTCTCCTCAAACTCAGCCCATGTAGTCAGGTTATCTGCGATCATACGTCTCCACGGCTCGATCATATTGGAGAAAGATTGTGTGTATAGTCCAACTTTCTCGACGGCACGGAAGAGGTAGAACTTCATTGAATAGGAGCACTTTGCCAGAGATGTGTCTTCCAGCGTTCGGGACATGAGCTCCTTGGCTGCAGTCCCTGTAATGCTCTCGGAGAGAATGGCAAAGACCTGGCTGTGCTGGCTGAATTCCTTGGCCGAGGGCCCATCCAGATAAAGTCCGTCTTTGTAACAGTGGCGGTTAACAGCACTCCGCAGGGCATCTGCACGAGCAGTATACTCTCGCGCAGTATCATTTCTCCCAACGAAAGTACAGACTTCAGCTGCTTGCATCAGTGCCACGATGTATAGTAGACTGTTAAATGTGGCAGCTCCGGTGTTGGTATATGCCCGCGGCATGCAGGACTCGAATATCTTTCCAGGGACAGACCATTCCGGTACCCAGTCAATGAATGGCCAAGTATCGCGATCGAAACGACCAACAAGACCAAACTCATTGAGCCGCTCATTGAAATGGTTCAGGATGCCATCAATAGTGCTCAAGTACTTCCGCACAATAGCAGCGTCGGCGAAATAATGCATATGATCATACACCATCGCCACAAAGTACAAAGAGAATTGAGGAATCTGGGTACTGCGGAACCCAGCAGGGAATTGAGCTTTGATCAACCCATCGGGACCCTGGCTTGCGTGGAACTCCTGCAAAGTCTTGCGGGCGAGTCGATCATCGGAGGAAAGTTGGTAAGTGAAGAGCATCTGCAGGCGCGAGTCCGATACGAATTGATTCTGCTCGTAGAAGGGACAGTCCTCATATGTTTCATGTCGGCAGTTTTGCAAGGTTCTTAGACTGATGTTCCAGATATTGTCCAATTCTGCACCGGCTTGAATTTCAGTCGTGATTTCGAGTGGATAGTTATTCTCGCGCAGTGTGAAGCTTCGAAGAGTCAATGGCTGCCCCCCACCCGTGATCTTGAGTTGGATGTATCGGAATGTCCTAAACCAGAACGGCTCAAACGTGTGCTCTGACTGGCCGTCAACTACGTTATAGAAATCCTTGATTCCGTACAGCCGGCCGCTGGAGTCGGCTCGATTAGATTTAGATCGAGGCTTGGGGAACGGGGCAACTTCCACCCCAAGATCCTTCTCGTAACACTCGGCGTAATGAATAATGACCTCCGAGCCTTTACCACCGCTGCACTGAAGGGTAATAAAGCCTGTCGTCAAAGAGCTCACTTCAATGTCGACGGTAACTGTCTCGCCGGGGGCAATAACAACGGGACCATCCCTTTCAATGAAGCTCTTCCACTGATCCTGCGCGATCGAGCTATCACATTTGACCACTCTATCAAATCTCCCGGGGACTTCAGGCAGTGCAGGAATGGGGCGAGGAGCCAATCTCCAAGGGCTCGTCATTGGAAGCATCTTAGCTGGGCGGAATGGGAAAATCGCGTTCTCCCAATTGGAATCGTCAAACCCGGATAGCTCCCATCCAGTGAGTTCCGGTGCCTCTGCCGTCCTCTCGTGGTTAGAGAGGAACGGAGGGCCGAGTATGAAGTTCCACTCGGAGTAAGGAACGATCTGTCGGCTGGTTTCCTCCACACATCTCCATGTTTCGTCGGTAGCTACTGAAAGTCCCTGGTACGCTTGTCATTAGAATTTGGTAGATCCAGAAAATTCCTTTGCAGGTACTCACCTCAATCTCGCCATACACCATCAATCCCGGCAACTCTATGCGAATGATCGACGATGACCCAGGTTTGAGGAACGAATACCGCAGCACGCGAGCGCTGATCACGTTCTCCCCTTCCTTCAAGTACGGGAGGATATCGACTGTCTCATAGTGCCACTGCTCTGCGTAACCCTTGCACGGGCCAAAGCTCGCACGTTGGCCATTCACATACAGTCGATAACGACTATCTGCAGAGACATGAACAGGAAACTCACTCACTCCTGCCAGAGCAGTCCATTGGAAGGTCTTGCGGAAGAGAAAGTATCGACCAACATGAGTGTCCTCTTCACGATAGTTGGGCGCCCAGATCCATTGCGCTGATTTCGTCCAGGAAGACACCATTTTGCAAGATAAATCCACAAGAGGTCAGACGCGTGTGTGAAGCATATTGGAACCCCGCGACAGCAAATAAGTCAAGATTGGGGAGTGCCTAGCGTGGGTGTGGAGGACTCGACTCGGATATCCCGATCGGCGTATTTTACCCCGACATGGCTGTGGGCTTTACCCCAGGCAGCCGTACCCGACGTGGAGAGAGTACAGGAGTGGAGGACGCTTGCCGGGGATATTACAACATAGCGAATACTCGGGTTATGAAAGAATAATGCTCAAGGGATAACGGAAGTGGGTATATGAAAATTGAATTGGCTTGACAACCTATGGGACATAAACTGGTGTCGTATTGCATTTTGGGCCAATTCGCCCTCCGCCGAACGAAAGAAAAAAGAACAGACAACCAAACCCTCTTCCTGATTGGAAGAAATGAACTCCTGTGCAGAATGGTATCAAATCCTGAACCCATTGGAACCCCCGCCAAACAAAAGCAGCAAAAAAAAAGGAAAGAAAAGGAACAGCCAGTTCCCAAAAAATAGTACAATCAAGAAGGGAAAAGTAAAAACATGCGGGAAGCTTCCATGGCAAAATATTGCCGTAACACCGGCCTTTGAACCTCCGTGCTGCCTGAGCCCTGTACAATTCGAATGAAAAAAAGAAATGTGAAAGTTACCAAAAAAAACAAATGGGGGCAAAAAAATCATGAAGAAACGAAACCAAATGCAGATGATACCAGAAAGGGAATTTCTGGCTCTTCAACACGCAAACCTTTGCCGAATTCCTACCTGGAAAATACTAGTCCCCGTCAAATGTCATGTATGATGTCGTAGATCCATAAGAGCACACATCAAGCTTGGGGTGAGTAAAGGCAAGTATCGATTCTAAGCCCTGTCCTGTGCAATCAATTCCCCATTCCATTGTGCATCATATTTTGCTGCTGCTGCTGCTGCTGCTGCTGCTGCATCTGCTGGGCGTGCATGGCACTCGCTCGCTGCTGCTGGGCGGCTTCGCGGTCACGTCGCATCAAGTCTTGAACCCAGGCCTTGGCGTTCTTCTCCAAGCCAGCACCGTATTGCTGAGCAATCTGGGGTGGATATTGGGTAGGTGGTCCATATTGAGTCATATATCGCTGGGACATCTCATGTCGTAGCTGGAGAAGACGTTGCTGGTAAATTCGGTTGTATCGCTGAGCAATATTGGCACCTTGGATATTTGGCATCTGACCCCCGTTCGCCTGCGCGGCCGCCATCAGCATCTGCTGCTGTTGCTGCTGCTGAGCTGTCATTTGGGGGCTGCCCTGATGTAATTGTTGCTGCTGCTGTTGGTTCGGTTGACCCTGCTGGATCTGACCTCCAGCCTGCTTCACCATCTGCATCTGTGCGAATTGAGCACGCATGAGCTGTGCCTGATATGCTTGCTGGCTGTGCTGGGGAATGTTTTGCATATTAGGCTGCTGCTGCTGTTGATGCTGAGCTTGCTGGGCCTGCTGAGCTTGCAACATCTGCTGTTGTTGATGCGATTTGATGTTCTGAGCAGCGTGCGCATTGGCTTGCAACTGAGCAAGCTGCTGTGGAGTGAATTGGGTCGCACCACCCATTTGGCCACCCTGTTGAGCAAGCAGCTGTTGTCTCTGCTGTAGCAACATTTGCTGTTGCGGCGTGAGACCCATACCAGCACCATTCATTTGCGGGGTTTGGGCCATAGGCTGGTTCATCATCGGGGTTTGAGCCATGGTGTGGGTAGGGCTGCCTTGGTTCATCCGCTGCGTGGGTGTGACATTGCGCATGATAGGCGTGGCTTGTGACATTGCCGGAGTAGCCTGAGTCATCTGTGGAGTTCCATGTCGGCTAGGTCCTTGTTGGCTTCTTGAAGGAGCCATAGGATGGCCCATCATGTTTGGATGACCATGCTGCATAGAGGATGGAGGTCGTGGAGGGCTTCCCGATTGCTGGGATGCGCTGATACTCATTGGAACGGCCTGGTGTGCGATGGCGTTACCAACAAGCGGCGACGAAGTGCTGTGAGGGGTCTGGTGGCGTACAATGGGAGAGGACTGCTGTCCTTGAGTGACACCATTCGGCTGGGCCATAACGTGGCGGTTTTGAGCCGCCAGTTGAGCTTGCGCCTGCTGGGCTGCGAGTTGCTGTCTACGCGCCTCTTCCTTGGCATGCTGTTCTGCCTGCTGCTGTTCCAAGGCACGTCGTCGTTCTTTCTCCTGTTCTTGCTGCTGTCTCTTGGCAAGCTCTTGTTTGAGCTTCATCTCGTGCTCACGCTTCGCCTTTTCCTCGTGCTGCATCCGAATCGTCTCCAAGGTTTTGAAGCGAGAGAAACGAGGCTCGAACGGTGCTACACCGGCGGTGTCATCCACAGCAGCGGTCTTGGAGCTACCAGCGGCTCCCGAAGCGGTAGGCTGAAGACGCTCATCCATAATGAGCATGAATCGCTCTTCTTCGGCTGCAAGGGCCTCATCTGCAGCAAGTTCGGCCACAGTTCTCTTGCGACGCTTGGGCGATGGTGGCGGGTTACTGTGTAGCGGACTCTTCAGGAACTCCAGCAGGACTTGCGCTTCTTCAAAGCTGTCCACGGGATCGAGATAGAGAGGTGGAGCCAAACAATTCACAAGAAGCGACTCGCATTGGGGAAGGTCTTGTGGTTCTACGAGCGTCTTCTGTCGCTTTGCGGGGTGGCTCCGGTCCGGTTGTGTGGTGGCAGGGGATTGAGGAATAACTGATGAGGACTGTGTACGAGAGTGGTGTGCAAGAGCGGCTCTTGGATCCGGGGTGGTCACGAGGAGAGTCAATTCCGCCTGCAATGCGCGCGGCGTAGGGTGAAGAACAGTAGTGAAGACGCGAGGTTTCGGTGTAGCAGGCTTCTGCTCTGATCCATTGACTTGGCTCTGAACTTCGGCACTCTCGCCACTCGCTGGATTCTCGGTCTGGGTTTGGCCAGGAGCTGGGGTCTCCGGTGCCTTGATGCTTTGTACATCGGTGGTGAGCTGATTCTGCTTCGGGTAAGGGACGAATGCCGAGGGGGTGACGTGCTCATTGTAGTTGTGGAGAGAGAAGGGTGTGTTGTTCTCATTGCTTGTTGAAACGGAAGTCTTTTGCGTTTGTGCGGACAGGGACTTATGGTCCACCACGCGCACGATGAGGCAACCTTGAGAGGATTGTTATCGGTATGGATTCTTTAAAACATGTCATATCATAAGCAGACGCTGATAAATACCTTCATAAAACCTCACGCCCCCACGCAATAGCTCCTCGAGAATCTCGTGCGGAACCGTCCCGGCGCGTAGGTGTTCAATGATTACTTTCATCTCCGAATTGTATGGGAAGCTTCCGTCTTGTTGCTCGAATCGAAAGTGGGTGGGATGGAGATGCAAAATGAGAGAGGGGGGACATTTCGCATATTTCTTGAGGATGTAGGATGTTGTTTTGACTGTAGCGGTCAGACTGAGTCAGTAATCGCAGAAACAACAATAACACGGCGTTGGCCAATTGTGCGCAGATCCAGGTCTCACCATATGGCTCAGGATTCATCTTCGCAGTCCGGTGGTCGTTCCCGGCAAGTGAATTTCGTGTCACTGGCCGGGTCTGTCGCGAAGCTCCGTCGCTGGGCCGTTGCGACTGGGTTTTGATTCGGTTTGAGGCGCCTCTGAAATTATTTGACAAATTGGCCACGCCATTGGCCAGACTGGAGCTCGATCCAGCTGAGATATTACCGAGAGGATGTTGGGAGGTGGCGGTTGGAGAGGATGATGATTGCTGAGCCTTGACTCCGTTCACCCCAGTCTGGGGGAAAGGCGGGGGCGGCCGCTTCATCTTCGGAGGATGAGAGCTTGGCTTCGAGACCGCGGTCGCCATGATTATCGGCGCACAGAGCGCGACACGGAATCTCCCAAGAGGTGAGCGTAGACTTTATCGGGAGACCGATTCGAGGATGTTGGTTGAAAGCCGGGGTCCAAGAAAGAATGGGATGACCGAGGCGCGAGACATGTGGGGATCGGTCGGTCGGCCCTGGTCACCAACGCGGCGAGTTCAGAGTGAGAAATTGGATCGAGTCGCCAGAGATGACTTGTTAAAGAGAGCGGAGGCGTCCATCAATCGATGTCGCTTGGGAGAAGGGTCCGAAGAGGCGCTGGTCGACGGAAGCCTTGCAGAGTGAGGTGATGATGCCAAGCCGCGGGCGAGACGTGACGCTGTCACGTGAGCTTCCGCTCCGGGATTAGCGTGTTTCTGCCATTGTATTTATCACCAAGAAGCAGTCCTATGGTTCTTGAATGTCTTTGTCCCGATTTCAACGATCGAGTCGATTTCTCAATAGTCAGATGTTTGATGAAGCTAAGCTCGGTCAAGGTTTCAGAAGATTGAAAAAGACACGATCATGTGACTAGTATCCATATAGCAAACACTAGAAAGCAAAGGCAGCTACATATTTGTTCAGAGCAAGGTGAGTATATTTCAGTGGAACTATCTAGATACTGTATAGGCAGCATGCCAGCGTTTTGAGCGTCAAGAACTGACGTTTCTGGATTATAACTAAGCCGCGCATAACCAAACATAAAGCAAAAAGAAGACACAGGGGAATCGAAGGCACACAATCATCAAAGGGGGAAGCTGAGAGCAAATATAGACATGCAGGTAAAAGAGTATCAACATTAACATCATGGGGCTTTGGCAGATCATATTTGAGGAGGTTGCTTAGTCCAACCCACGCACTCGGCGGCGCCAGTCATCTCCTACACGAAGCGCGTCGACGACATCAATGCGCTTGCCGATACCAATGGTGCCCTCCTTCTGCCACCATTTCTCTCCCTTGTCAGCAAGAGCAGATTCATCATCACTGTCAATGAGGCCGCCGCGGCCACCTTCATCGCCAACGACAACAATGACCTGGCGAACCCAGCCTGCAATGTGCTGGACAGCGTCACCCTCATTGCCGGTAAGGGATTCCTGGACATAAACCAGGTCGGGCGAAAGATGGCGCACGAGGTGGACATAGCCGCTGGCAGTGTTGAATGGCATGATCATGGTCTCTTTTTCAACAATTGCCTGGCCCTGAGTGAACAAAGTCTTGAAGAGCGGGCTTGTGCCATCAATATCATCTTCATGGCGGGGCTCCACGGTTGGCAATTCGCCAACCAATTCAGCGGATGAATTAGCCTCCTCCGTTGCAATATTGGAGTAGGAGGACGCAATGGAGGTGGTCTGGTGGGATGCACTGCCTTGTCCAATCGCATGCTTGAGATCCGGGGCATAGATCAAAACGAAGATTCGAGAAGTATCAAGATCAACATGTTCGGGGAGATGAGACAGAATAGACTATGATTGTCAGTATAAATCAAGCAGGTCAAGGCAGCGAGTATAGAGGAGGCTTACAGCGTGTTCCGAAGCGAATTCATCGGAGCCAGGAGGAGAAAGGGATGAGACAACAATAGCAACTGTCTTCTTCTTCTTGTCAGGAGCATTCTGACCAGCAGCTGGTGCACGGCTTGGTAGCGCTCCGCTCATAGTCGGTGCGGCAGCAGTTTGTTGATCTCTTTGAGTAGCCCGGGCCTGCGCCTCCTCGGACCACCTCGTGTGATCTTCAAAATCACCGCGGTTTTCTTCCCGAATTGAAGTAAGTGCACCGCCAACATAGGCACCGGCCGCAGTCACACCAGCCATAACTCGTCGGCTTGCCCCGTCGAAGAGCTGTTGTGGACTAGGGGTTCGGCGCAAAGCACCTTGCATACGACCCATGAAGCTGGGATCATAAGGGTTATCGCCAGGTGCTCCATCCGTTCCCGTACCTCTCGCATAGTCACCCGTCTCATATAAAGGAGGAGGAAGGTCACTACCGACGGTACCGGGAGGAGGAGGGGGATAGTGACCATTGTGGGGGCGGTCATCTTCGTCGTCCTCGTCACGTTCGCTCCATATCCAGGCCGCAATGCTCAGTGTCGCAACTCCCACTGTGAGAGCCAGGGGAATCCAATAGCCCATGGCGGTTCGTCGGCCTGTCGAGCTGAAACCGGTGCCGGCTCCACCGCGACGGCGACGGGAATCCTGGGGAAAAGACATTGCGATCGCGGGGATGCTGTTTAGAGATAGCGCATTTAGAGGTATTCAATCGCGGTCGCAATGACTTGCCAGTCACATTTCACGCTTCCTCGACAATGGACTAGACGTGGCGAAGGCGCAGGAAGTGCAGGAGATGCAGGAGGGAAGATGAGACCTCGACCTCGGGGCACGGAAACATGTGGCTGGAGAGCCCCCATGGTAACCGCGGTGTTTACGGGCTGGCTGACCTCTGTTTGCACTGTTTGGTTACAATTAAATCTGGAGGCGGGTCAGGAGCTGACTCATCGCTATCATCACGTGACAATATCAAAAAATGGCGTCCCGCTTGATGCGTCAAAGCAACAGTCATTGTCTGGAGGGGTCGCGGCCAATTTCAGAGCTTTGAACGCAAGTCACCGTCATAGCAGACTTGGAGAAGCTCTTGCGAAGCTTTTGTCCTAACTACATCTCCCGAGCCACGTCCAGCCCAGCAATTGTCCATCCCACTTTTGCCGCGGGGCTCACTCGTTCGACCAAACCTACACTCGACCAGAGAGTCAGCATAATGCCGCCCCCTTCGGCAGTCGTTCCTGGGGTAGGCATTCAGGCCTTGATTCTGTGCGGACCTGGAGTTTCCCTCAACACGTTCACCACAAATGAGGAATACCCTAAGGCACTGATTCCCTTGGCCAATCGGCCATTGATCTATTACCAGCTATCATGGCTGAAGAAATCAGGCATTACTGGTATGAATTTGTGTCATTCCAAATTGCTTTCTACGATCAAGAGCTAATGAACGAGCTGCAGACATTACATTGATTACACCTCCCTCGACCGCCGCTCCTCTTCAGGCCGCACTTCAACAAAACCCCCACCTTACCTCTCTACCGTCGCCATCGCCCTCAGTCCTTGCACCAAAAGGTCTCGATCTCAACATGGGAACCGCAGAGCTGCTCCGTTTGCCTGAAGTGCAAGCCTGCATCAAGACGGACTTCCTTCTCCTTCCTTGCGACTTGGTGTGCGAAATCCCCGGCGAGTCGCTTCTGGAAGCTTGGATGGTATCTCAAAGTGCTTTGGGAGGCTCCTCTACCGTCTCCGAAGGACGGAATGCTCACGGCCCAGCCTCTTCTGGACCTGGCGGCGAGAAGGAGAGGTCGTCGCGGTGGTCTGACTGTATTCTATCAAACGCAAAACCGTGAAGAATCAGTTAAGGGCGAAGGTACCGACTTTTTGGCTATCGCACCTCTCGACGATGACGAGGCGCCGGCAGTATCGCATGCTGTTGACGGTCCTGCCGCGCTGAGACACAATTTGTCCAAGGTTGTACTGTCTATGCCTATGGCAACCGTGAAGGAGAAGATGGAACAGGACAAGGGTCTGCTTCTTCGCCATTCGCTCACAAAGAAGCACCCTCGTGTGAAGATGCTTAGCACCTTCAGAGATGCCCACCTTTACATCTTCCCATACTGGGTTAAGGAATTGGCCCTTCGACAAGAAACCTTCCAGTCAGTCAGCGAGGACCTGGTTGGGTTCTGGGCTAAGGCTGAATGGCAGCGGGGACTCGGCGAGAAGTTGGGAATGGACGAGATCTTCCATCGAGAAAATGGTGCTCATGCCGAAAATGGAAGCTTCGATGGTGAATCAATAGAAGAGGAGATCGATCTTCTCGCCATGTCCACCACTAGCTCAAGGCCAAACATCAACGTGGCTCGACCCCCTCCAACCTCGTCCTTTGCATCCCGAGTGTCCAATGTCTCGAGTGACGCCGAGAAACCAGAGTTGAAGATTCCTCCACTCCTGGCTTACGTGCAGCGCGGATCTGCACCATTCGTCCGCCGTGTTGATAGCAGTGCGATCCTGCTCTCTACGGCTCTCCGTCTGGCTAAGCTCGAGTCTATCGAGGAAGCCGGTGCGGCCGCTTCACCCTTCGCCCTCCCTCAAAAGATCGCACACCCTGAGGGTATCGCTCAGCGAACCACGATCACCAAGTCCGACTGCCTGGTTGGTCAGAATACCACGGTCGAGTCAAAGTGTGTGATCAAGGAAAGTGTGATAGGTGCGAATGTGAAGATCTGTTCCGGCGCTCGCTTGCAAAGGTGTCTGATCATGGATGGCGCCGTCGTGAATAGCTCTTGCACACTTACCGGCTGTATCGTCGGCCGCAGAGCGGTTATTGGCAAGGACTCAGTTCTCAAGGACAGCGAGGTTGGCGATGGATACCTTGTTGAGGAAGAGACCGACGCCAAGAATGAAAAGTTCATGATCTTTGAGGGTCTGGAGGATGATGAGGAGATGGGTAGCGCTGGGGAGTTTGATGGAGAGGACGAGCTGGGATTCTAAGCAAGGATCTGTTCACTTTATGTGTTTGTTTTATACCTCTATTATGTCTTGACGAGATACAGATAGACTTTATGACCCGACATCAAAACAAAATATCATTCCAATTAAAATGAACCACCGGCACATAGACGATCGATTTATAGTTGATCTTGCCTTAGATTTTGAAGTACTCTCTCTATTGAGGTCTTCCTTGAGTTCTATTGACTAGTTATCATTTGCGAAGAACCTTAGTAGTATCGTCAACTCACAAACCCCATCATCAGCCCTGCAACCCCACGGTCTAGATCACAATCCTCTCACAAAAACCGAAGATGCAGTGCATATCTCCCCAGATCATGGGATCTACCAGCAGGATTAACAACAATATGGCTAGATCCGGTCAGCCCGCATCGAGGTTATGATTTTCACCTGTACCAGGGTATCGTGTGCTCGTTGCACTGTCATCAAATGCCGTGGGACTGGAATTGCCTTACAGGGAGAGACAATGTAATCTAAATCTGTGTAGCCTCAGCTCTGATCTATCCCCTTTGATCTGTGCTTAATCGTGCTAGGAACATACACACTAAACAGGCTCAAGGGTGGTCTCTGAGATAAGCATTGATCAGGGATGACTTGAAATTGAGATGACTTGGCGTGATCTTTACATCACTCTTTTCTTGTTTGATAACCGTGATGAGCTAGCAGGAATCATATGGAAGATATTGTCAGCTGGTCGCATGCTCCAGTCGAGGTGCTCTAGTCTATGGACCACTGTCGTGCCACAAAGAAGCGTAATCCACATTGTTGTGTAGAATATTGAGTCATAAATTTCTAGCAAATATGCATGGTAAGTGTAGCCAACACCTGGAGTCCGGCGATGTCAATTCCGTGTTCGTTCGCATGAGACACTTGTCACTTGCATATACTACACATTATACTTTGCACATGCATAACCATGTCGCCCGAATCATTCCGTTCCTCTCTTTTCTGCAAGCCCCGCGGTCATTTCCTCTTGTAGGCAAAGTTCTTTCTAGCCATGACGATAGCACTGTGGAGTCTCGTGCGTTAGTGGGTCTAACTCGCTCAGCCAACGGTCGTACGATAATCGGCCGATGCTCAATAATAAATTTCCAGAGAAGCAGAAGTAGAAGCAGAAATGGAAAAACGAGAATCGAAACCTTACAAGCAGTGAGATAATGAGATTGCAAGGGTAGGCGGTGATCGGGTTCCCCAGTGTTTTAAATGAATTAAAGAGGACCAGGTTCAAGATTAGGGGTTGGTCAGTGATAGGGTCTGAGCGAGACACAATACTGTAAGGGTTCTTAGTCTGCGAACGACTCGATTACTTTTCATCAATGTCAAACAGCGCTCATCTGCATGGTATCAATTAAGATTGCCATTAAGATTGCCCGATGGTTATATCCTAATAATGACGAGGATGCAAGTTGGGTGTGATTTGTCGGGGTTCGGAAAGAGTGCGAATGCGAAGAAGCAGACCGCGGGATTTGATTTCAAGTGTTTTTGACCTGCGCCTCCGTACATAAGTACCATACTATCTGATAGTGGAGTAGTATCATGAAAATATCTCCATACTCCATCCCATTCGATGAATTGGTTGTTGACATGACAAAAGTCGCAGCGCGCCCGGTCTCGGGTCTGCGACCGGAAGAAAAAAGAAGAGGAAGAGGCGCACAACGGCCCTGGGATCATCGCGCAAGACCTCCACATCTGTGCTTCCCCAGACGTCGCTTGCTCGCGTAAAGTTTGTTAGTCAAAGAGTGGGGATAGTTAAGTTAGTTATGGCCCTGTAAAACAAAGTTGAAAGTTTGGATGATTGTATGGGGGAAATTGAAGAGACAAGGATTAGTATGGAGTCTGGGGGAGGGAATGATCAATAACTGGGATTTGATTCCTTCGGCTTCGGGGCGGAATCATCACCGTGAGGGTCGGTGAGGTACTAAGCTAAGATTGATCTTGCAGGGGGTACAGTCTCACTAGTCTACCATAGATGCTCCGTGGAAAGAACAGAGGGGCTAACTGCCTGACTCGCATTACTGCACCTAGCACTACGCCCTAGGATAGTGAGCATTAGCTAGATTCCAATATTCAATATTCATTCATGAAGTGGTTCTCTTCCCACGAGTCGATACTGCGACATGCAGATGCTGGTAGCTGGCGCGATACCCTTTGCGGTAACTACGAGCGGTATGGCTGGAGCGAATCCGAGGGATTATCGAGAACCACATTCCTACGGTACATTCCTAGTACTTTGCACACGAGGTTGACGCATTCCTGTCTGGTGTGCCCCTCATGCGGAGCATAACCCCCACCATTGATGAGAGAGTCGATGTGAGCAACAGGCAAGAAATAGTACTGTAGATGAATACATAAAACCACAAACAGTACGGAGAACGGAACACTGAATCATGCCCCGACAAGCACGGGGCGGGATGGGAAGGTAAATCTCGACGAAAGATGCCCCATGATTTGCGGGTTCAGACGCCCCTCCCTGTCTCTCAGCCGCGCTAAATTCCTCGGCAGGGTAAACTGATCGGTGCCAATCCGGATGAAGCAGGAGTTGGTTAACTAATACGGAGGGCAGAGGCCAAATCGTGAACAGTAATATGATGAAGGAAACAAAAAGGAGAGAGAACGTGGGTTGATAAGCCAGTGAAGCTGCACGAGGGAAGATTTCCATGCGTAATGTTCAATGTTTAATCTTCAATGCTATTGTTGCGCGGCAGATAATATAAGAAGAGTTACACTAAGCTGCATATGGAGTATGTACGGAGTCTTTGTATGGAGTAATATGGGTCCGCAGTTGTAACTTGCCAGCCATCATGCCCCGTGCTTGTGGGATGGGTTTTCGGGGCATGTCGATCACGCGGGAAGTCATCAGTGAGGTTTTGGTGTGTTTGGTGGTTGGCGTTAGGGGAGGGGGGGGGGGCTCTTTTTAGGGAGCGCTAAGGGATGCGGATCGACGAAATCAGTGGTTTGCTCTTGGGAGTGACTCCAGTGAGTGGAGAATGATAATGTGGGAGGGACGGGAGAATTATAGAGAGATTGTGATTCTTACAGTAGTTGTTGCAGAGTGATAACGACGAGAAGTACAGCTAAATATTGTCGAACCACGTATATAGTCTGATTTGGATGGTAAATCTTTGCTATGGTGCCAAGTCCTATACATACTCGCTACTGTAGGGGAGGATACGGACAGTGTACGGGCTCCCCTTTCGCAGAATGGGCTGGCTGGGAGACCGGAATAGGTACTCCAATTACTACTCCGTACAGTAACCTACAACAAAATTGTCGACAAACGAGGGCAAGGCTCGGCTCCTGGCCCCTCCTCTCCTGATAAGCCCATTTGCTGGTGCCCAGTAGCACTGGAGGGTGGCGCTCTTACGAACACCCCCGCCAGGACTGGCGCGATCTTTGCTTTTTCTTAATCTTGTCTGTTGCTCTCCTGGGTAGGGAGAGGATACGTCATCAGATTACCCTTTGGCTTCACGATAGAATCGTAATTTACACTGTCTACTATGGCTGGCGATTGTTTGTCTATTATGTAAGGGAGTCATCTACGGGCGGAGCAGATGGATCTAGCACCACGACGAGATCAAACGCGCCAATGATGGGAGTTATGAAGAAGGGAATGATAATCCACCACTTCCAAACCCCCTCAAATCTCGAGTCCCGCCAGGTTCCAAACTTCCCTTCCCTTCCCGATAACCGTCGTGAACCATGATTACGCTATCTGGTTCGGTTCACCTTGCACAGCACGGTGAAGCGGGCGATTGGTCAATCCTGGATCCAGCCTGATACGTGATCCGCGAGAGCGCATCATTGATAATTGCTCGTCACCCACAAACCCGGTGTGGTTATTGTCTTCTCGGTAGGTGGATCGATCGATAATCCGATGTGAGCTGCGATGGCTCCAGTCGCAACTGAAACTGGGTTCCTGCCTCTACAGTATGATTGCCGTCCAGTCTGACGGCTGCAGTTTCACCGGGCGGGTACCTGGGTTGCAGTCTGCGACAAAGTTGACGGGTTGACGGGTCCCTGGAGATAGGAGAAAGATTGGGATCGCACTGGGATCGATTGAGTTGGGGAGCTCCAGCTATCCATATGGATCCATGGAACGAGAGTCGCCCGCTCGCTGGAAATTCCCGGAGTGTGTGTTTCGGTGTGGGGAGAAATTGTTGCAAAGCAAGGGAGGAGGAAATGGTGAGAATCTATGGATATTGGTGGTTAATGATAGCGACCGATGGAAGGACAATATATGTATGTATGGGATTGTGGGAAGAAGAATAGAATTGTAAGAGTATATGGGGGAGCCAGCTTTATTAATCTGATAAAATACGAGGTATGTATCTTTGATCTTTTCAACATATTAAATGATCAAAGCTCAATAGTTCATTGAAATAAATATGGAGTATGGAATCCTGAACTTAATTCCCTTAAAAATGCTAAGACATACTACGCACTCCAACTATACATAGCCATACATGTACACAAATGTCAACTTCACTTAGCACGTGTGGTGCACGGAGCCGCCATCTGTTTCGCCGAACGCTTGTGGATTCGCTGTGGACGTGGAGAAAAAAACGCCGTAGAGGGATGGCGTTGCACCGGTCTTAGTGCCCCATCGCCAATCGCGGGACGCTTGGGTCCCTTAGTGCCAGAGAGGTTTTTTTTTCCTTGTCTCTCTTTTTGAGGGGCGAAATTAATTACTATCAGTCCGAAGTGCAGGTTTATAAGTTTGTTATACGGGGTATAAAAGCAAAAAACTTTCGAGTCATGCGAGAGGGGCAAAGTACAAAAAATCCAGCCCCAGGCATTCACAAAAAGACATAAATAGGGGGCCTCTGCTCCCCAGCTCGAGCCCCAAGGTCAGGTACAGCCGCGGCGTGCATACTTCCAGCACAACATATCCCGGATATACTGCCAGAATTATACTCCTGTACCGTACTTTTCCTGTCCAAAGTACAGTATTGATTTCGTCTTCTCCTCTCCTATCGAGGTGTTTATCCCGCCCTATCCGGTGTGGAACTGGGATGGTTCTCAGTGTCTCCCCAAGCTCAGGCCAGTCGTGCCCCTAAAATCAGCCTGGGTAGTGAGCTAGGGGGGCTCCGCAATTGCTGATTGGAGATCGAGTGCGGCCCTCCAGCAGTCTTCAGTACGGAGGCGTCATTCTCGTAAGAGTGACTAACTGGTAAATCCTCCACATTGATGACTCTTTAGAATCATCCTTAAATATTTAGATGGAGGAGTCCACTATGAATATAAGAGAGAGCAAGAGTGAAGCTACTTCCAGGTCTAGAGTCATTATCAAAGTGTTCGTCCTCTTCGGAGTATGTATGCATGCACCTAACTGTATGATACTCCATAGTAATTCGTACCCACTCCCATAATTAGTACATCAGTCAAGAGACTCCGAACTGAGGACACCTTCACTGGCGGATAGTGTCCCTAGTCATTCATAATAATACATAATCTTTGGCCACCCGGGTTTCTTTAATTTCTTAAAAACTTCAAGATTGTCCACCACAGCTGTCAACAACACCGAATTTGTTGTAAACAATCCTGTTGGCTGCAAGAGTATTATACTTTTCTAGTCGCCTTTGCTTTTCCTTAGCTCTCTTCTGTCAAAAGTTCTTTGCACGATCCAATCTTTTCCCCCCTTTTAAAAGTTGACAATCTGGGGAATCAGAGAAACTCTTTCACCTTTTTAATACTTTATTGACCATTTTCTTGGAGAGTCTTACTTGATTGTTGATTATTATACTGCCACCACCCCGTCGGGAGAATCAACCGCCAAACTTCCACTCTGCCGCCCCCCTTCCTCCCTTTCCCTCCTCTCTTTTTCTTCCCCTTCCCACTCTCTCTCTCTCCTCCCCTCTTTCATTCATTCAACATCCTCCCCCCTCCCCCCCCCCCCCCAGTCCTCACGAGCGGCACTTTTCGACTGTGCCCTTCTTGGATCTGGTTCTTCTTATTCTTTAGGTTTTTTCTTTTTCCTTCTTTTTCGCTTCTTGTACATGCCTCTCTAAACCTCCCTCCCCTTCCTTCCCCGTCCATCTCCCGACACGACTTGTCATCTCTGGGGTTCCCTATCCGACCACTTTTCGTTTCTCCCACTCGCCTGGTTTCGAGTTCTGCATTTTTTTTTTCTTATCGGCATCAAGCGTCCTTGGTCTCTTTCTTTTAATTGCTGTACAACTATACGTCCCTTTTTTTCTCTCTACTTTCACGCTTCTTAGAACAGGTATGGTCCCTCTTGCCCCTGGCTGACGCGTTGCCATTCGATCCCTCCGCCCTACAAATCTGTCCACCCAAGAACACAAAAACTTGACGACAATTCAACTTTCTCCCCCCTTTTCTATCGATCCTTCTCTCCCTCCATACCCCGATGACGCTTCCACAACGATGATCATCTTGGTCAGGGCTCCACGCTGACATTTCTTCCTCCGGGTTCTTATCAGCACTCCGTCTCGTTCCTCGACCTCATCTGTCCTGACAACGACCGTCTTGAGCCGTTCTATCAATTTTCCGCGAGTTGCCTTGTCGATATCTGAAACCGACCCGGACACTCGTGAATAACTCTCGTCAATATCGGCGGAAAGCAACAATTATGGCTGCGCTGGTTCAAACGATCCCCCAACACAGTAGCACAGTACCGGTGCTCCAGACGCGTCCTTCCTCCTCCTCGGGCACCTTCGTCTCCTCAACAGCCCAGAATCCAGGCTCTCAATACCAGAATATGTCCTGGGGCTCCTTCAATACCGGCAATTCCGGGAGCTATCGCGCAGGCCACCCGGTTGTGGCTCCCTATGCCTACGCTCCCAATCTGGGTCCTGCGGCTTCCTCTCCCACAGCACAGCATCGCCAGTCGTGGTCGCCCCATCTTCGTACGGAGCATCGCACCTTTTCCGCTCCTGCGATCCATCAGGGTTCCATGAATCCGTCCTTCACGGGCAACTCGCGTGTCAACAATCCTGCAGCTGGTTCTGTATCGACTTCCTCTTCGTCCAACTCTTCTTTTCGTTCCCATATTTCCAAGGACGACAGTGCCCTTCCTTCCCGGCAGTTGAGAACGGAGCAACCGCTCCGTCCTCTGTCGACTGCCAACCTCCCTCCTCCCAACGTCATGAATATCTCCTCTCCCGCTGGCTCCGCAAAGCCCTCTCCTAATCGTTACCGTCGTGCGAATCAACAACGGACAGACAGTGCTCGATCTCAGTCACCCGTCCCTGCGTCCACGCCTCCTGCTATTGATGATAAGACGACCGTCGGCCCTCCCCCCGTTTTCCGGTCAAATGGCCATAACCGTGTTTCCAGCGTAGACGACTCGTCTCACCTAGAAAGGCCACAGCCGGAACTCGCTAAGCGGTACCGTCGCCGGAGTCTGGGGAATATGGATCCAGCTGCGTACCCAAACTTGGAGCTGCAAATTCCCGTCTCCTCATCTCCTCAGTCAGGCCCCTACGACTTCATCGCATTTGACACGAACCAAAGGCCTCGCTCGGCACACTCTCACCGGGATAGTTCGGGGAGCGTCCACTCGGCACACTCATCAACCTCTTCGGTAAGGCTGCCCTTGGACATGGCGTGCAATCTTCGCAGAAGTGATAAAACTGACATTCCATTTTGATAGGTTCGAGTACCGTCTCCCGATGCAAGTTCTATCACCAGTAAGACCGGTAGGCCGGAGGAGAAGCGAGCAAGCAAACCCTCGCCCCTCTCACAACCGTCGACTTCAGCCGAATCCCCAAAGACTGGACCGACTACAGCGTCGTCACCCCCGTCGGAATCGCCGGCAGCCAAACGTCTGGCTGAGCTGAAGAATGATCACAAGCGCCCGGGAAAATCACGCTTACGACGTGCCTTCTCTTTCGGCAGTGCTTCTGAGTTGTTGAAGGCATCCTCCGCACAAAATGCCGCTGCCAAGCGAGAGGCCGCGGCTGCCGAGCAGGCTCGCCGGGAGGCTCTTCGTGAGGAGCTGGGAGAAGAACAAGCCGCCATTGCTGAGCAACAAGAAGCCAGTGGCCTGGGTGAGAGTATCTACTCCCATCAAGGTAGCTTCTTCCGTGGCTCCACCGATGCTCTGTCCGTTTCATCAACCGCTTCCTCGGCATCGATGATGCTCCGCAAGATGGGCAAGGGGATGAAGCGAGGCGGTCGATCCCTCGTCGGCTTGTTTCGTCCTAAGTCAATTGCGAGCATCAACTCGATTGAAGGTGGAGTCGGAGCACCGGAACAGCCCATGGCTGCTCCCAAGATCTCAGTGGTGAATGTTGAAGGCGAGCGAGCGGACCTGGAGAGCGTAACAGTGAATCCCGATCTGCAAGACGTGCCCCGTGGAGGCACAGTATTCCCCAAAGCCGAAGGAGGCTCGGAGCCTCGCCGATCTACTTCTATCCGCGATCGCCCGCAGCAACGCAGTGTCTCGGATAACACCGCTGACACGCGCAAGAGCATCCTTGGAGGTGAGCGTGAACGAGCGGAGGTCTTGGCGAATATTCGGCAGACCAGGGGTATCTTGAAGAAGACCAACTCGGATCTCGGTGTGTCTCAGGTTCGTGCACAGAATGGCAGTGAATCGCCACATTCCAGTGCGCCAACGACCCCTGATGAAGGCAGCCGGGCTGCTCGCCCGGCCGATCATGTCAAGATCGCTGGTGAAGACTACTTCATGTCGGAAGGTGGACGCTTTTCCGGTGGTGACGCTAAGAGCGCCCCCATCACTCCTCAGCCGAGTTCACGAAACATCATGTTCAGCCCTCGCATTCAATTCCACGACACCTGGCCCAGTGGCGAGTATGACCGTCGTGGAGACATTGCGACTTGCAACCGTTTGACGCCTCTGCTTGCTCAACAGATCCGCGAGGAGATAAATAACTTCAAGATGGTAAGAATCGTCAATAACCGCACGCGCGCCCTGTTTTGGTCGATTTGTGTATGCTAACTCAGCCTCTAGGAGATGGAAGTCCATGAGAACTCCAAGATCTACACCCACTTCATTTGATTTTACTGGTCGGAATTGCTTTGCGTGGTTCTTACCTCCTGCATCCAGGTCCATAGATCTGCATTTAATTCGGCGATTGGGGGCGTTTGATGACCTTTTTTTGCCCCTTTTCTTTTCTCGACCTCTCGTCTGGGTGCGATCATGGAGATACTAGGAGTTGTTCTTGCCTAGGATTATGTGACTTCGTGTCTCGACTGCCCAGCCACTGTGCTAATTCTCCTTCCCGGTTGTTATTCTTTGTGTGGCTCTTCTTAACTGCAAGAGTTAGTACGCTGAACAAAATGGTGTGGCTTGTCTCAAAACTTACTCTTGGTCATGCCGCCGACGCTTGAGCATTTCTCCCGTTGTGTTTTCTATGCCTTGGGCGTTGATCCGTCAATCTAATGAACGTTGCCTCCCATGCCTTTTACCACTTACCAGGCGTGGCGGTCTAGTCTCTCGTCAACCTCGTTTTTTTCCTTCTTTCCACGGCACCTCACTTTGCACCACTTCTATCCTTCTGTCTTTCCCACATGCATTTGAACCGAAACATTGTCATTGTCATTGAGTATTGGGAGCGTCGGCAAACTGGGCTTGGTTTTTCTTTCTTTCTTTTTTTCCCCTGTGGTTGTTCTTCTCCATGTCTTTCATTCTTTTGTTTTTCTAGCACATCATTCTGCCATGGTCACGTCGGGACCCCCTCCTTTTTCTAAGTTAACTCCTCTATCATCATCTCATCAGCTCCTCTGAACGCAATCCGAGCCTCTGCATTTTCGCCTACGCTTTTTTCTGCTTTGTTGCTAAATTACTATGCTGTGTATCTTTTCGTTGTATCTTGAAGTTCTGCTAGTTGTAGAGATGCTGAGTAGGCAGTCGTGTATGTCGAAGTTTTCGTCATCTCCTGTCATTAGTTTAGGGACATGCATTCAAATGCGAAGTTATTTCAATGTTGGTTTCGTGCACCACAATATAGACTGTCACGTAGTACATCAAAGTACATATGGATCCAGCAGTACAAAACTTGGCTCAACCTTAGTACCTGCATTGGATCTGCCATTCATGTAGGTCATTTGCCATGATGGGCAAAGTCAATTCCTGACGAGGCGTGCAATGACCGTCGAGTCATTGGCTCGGATGTCGGAACTGAGCTTAACCTTGGAAGATGTACAGCTGCGGGTAGTGATGATGTGGCTGCAGCAGCCCTGGAGGGGCCTGTGGTTAAGCCTTCGAAATTAGGTTGCCATTTGTCAGGACTAGATCAAAGATTCCGACTGCTTGTGTACCTGCTATATATATTTTTCCGAGGCTCATACCCATGGTTTGACTTAAGACTGCGGGATGGGCCCGCCCGCCTATCCTAGGACCTGGAGCCATGGTACTAGCTAAGAGGTGTTCCGCTTTATTGATAGTATGGACTCTGAGTGTTTCATATGTTGTGGAACTTTGATCGGAATGAAAATTATGAATGAATGTTCATGTATACTACGGTTTATCTTACGAACCGGTTATCTAGCAGTCCATAAGAACTGTGGTAAAAGGTACGCTTTCTACGAAGTTACTGCTGAGTTTCTGTCCATGAGATGTTTCACAGCTCTGTCTGAGTTGAGCATGTATTGCTCGACTGGGCCGACTCGCACCCGGTACACCTCGCCGTACTGTTTCGCCCAATATTGCATCAAAAGATGCAGCTTCTTTGCCGAACCAGCTTTGATGAGATCGGGCATGTTGCCGAGTAGAGGCCATCCTGCCGGTGCTGGGGGTAGAGCTCCTGAGGAAGTTGACTTTGACCTCCAAATCACAGAAGCAACTAAGAAAGACAGTAATGTGAGACCGCCATAGATGAGAAAGGCCTGGTGCCAATCCGTGAACAAGTTTGTCAACAGCATATTTGAAGGGAGGCACTTGAACGGCACGATTGGAAGATAGGCTATTATTCTTGTTTAAATTATATTATATACCCCGGATTCGGTTCAATATAAGCAGTCAGAAGGTCTCTCCACTCACCGAATCACCACTCGCTTTGCACATGTCTATCACTTTCTCGAATCTTTTACCCCGTCGTCTTCCCCACCCCCGGGTATTACCCAGTCGTCGAGGCTTTAGCCCCGGGGAAATTATGGTGGAAGGTGTGATGAAACGAACAACGTATTTTAAGATCCCAGCAATGGTAATATAAGTCTTCATATTACTGAGACTAGTGCTTCAGGAATCTCCTATTCCCCGGATTTTTGTCTAGCGGGGTTGCCGACGGGGAATGTGGAGATCTTTCAATGCCGGGGCTGTAGAGCGAGGAATACTAGCGAAGAAGCGTGTGATGATCGTAATAAGAAATTGTAACAGGCCAGAATCTTGCAGATATACCATACGTATAGCCATGCTCTTTTAGTCTCACTGTTGAGCTGGCTGTTCAATTTCACCCAATTTCACCCAATTTCATCCATTTTCATCCATTTTCATCCGTTTGCTTTCTATCTTCCTATACGTTTGGTGAGAAATAAAGGCAACAAGGGATTTACGAGGAGTTCCTAATCTAATCTAGTCTTTCCAGTCTAACTACGTAATAGGTCACGTGGAAGCGTACTTAGATAGCAGTCTTAGGTTGCTTAGCTTTCTGGTACTCGGCCGTTGACAACCCAGACTTCCTCCATAACCTCTACGTCTTTACCCCATCCACACACCGGAGTATGTACCTCACAGCATCAAAAATCGTGGCATCAACACCGATATTTGAGCGATCAATGATACATCACTTACGACAACGCAAAGAATTACCCATGTCGACCTGCAGAGATTGTCCCAGGCCAGGAACATAGGCGGCGCTGACTGCCTTGGCTACCCCCATGCAATGCAACCCCCCTGCCCTAATGGAAACCTCCACGAGGCTTAGCGCAAGTGAGCAAGCACATTTTATGACTCGAAATCAATCCAGTCAGACCCAAGCTCGCCAATGTGGAACGAGACTCCCCGAAGTCTACCACAAGCAGCTCTGTGCAACCCCCACGCCCTGAACTAGACCCGCTCCCATCGAAACGACAACCGAGGTGGAAGCGCTTCTTGGCGACCAAAGTTCACCAGAAAACCAAACAGGACCAACAGATTTATCTCTGACTCGGGGGAGCCCGTGTTGTCCCACAATTGCAAGTCTGGAGCAAGTTCAACCCCCATGTTTCGCTTCTCCATTCCTTCCCCGGACCCCTCTTTCCCCCACGCTTGCGGACCCTATGAGCATCCGTGATTGGCTACTGTCGCCTGGCCCTGCCGTTTTCACTCTGGTCAAGCTGACCATGCAGGACGGACTCGACGGAGTTGACCTTCTCGGCACGCCCCCATGGGGTTGAACCATCCCGTATGACGGTATGCCCGGCTCTGGTTGGGAGTCCTACTGTCCCATCGGACCCATCCTATCCACTCAAGCATGTTCCCCGTGTCTGTTCCCCTCCTAATGTACATGTCTTATGGACCGGGATTGTTCATCTCGGGAGTCGTTTGATACGCCACAACTCGCCCGGCTTCCCTGAAAAAGTTAATATCATCCCGGACCCTGGAAAGTTTCTTTTTCTCTACTTTGACCGGCTGGCCCGATGATTCTGTTGCTGAGGTCTTGGGAGTATCTCTTATTTCAAGTCGCTCATCCTACCTTCCCCGGGAATGTCACCTCTATTATTTTTTCTTTCCCCCTTGCTTCTTGTGGCATTCTCTTAATCTTGCGTGATCGGGCTACTTGCTGTCTTTGGCGTGATAGCTAGCTCTTGTCGTTTCATTTATACTACCCTATCTATCCCCCAAGCTAGAGTTGTGAAAGCTTCAACATGTCCCGTCAATCGCAAGATATCGAGGTGGCTGATGTCGACAAGTCCTACGTGGACAACATCGAGCACGTCGCCAATGCCAACAAGCCCAACCCCAGAAAGGAGGCGCCGGCCTATGTTGCTGGTCTATCGCCTGAAGAGCGTGCCGCGGCTGAAAAGGCCCTCGTTCGCAAGATTGATATTCGTCTGCTGCCCATGATCATTATCATGTACATTCTCAATTATCTAGACAGAAACAATATTGTCAGTTCTCGATTATTTGTCTTGCAGATGACACGGCTAACAGGTTTTTTTCCAGGCTGCTGCTCGTCTGGCTGGGTTGGAGAAGGATTTGGGTCTCGTTGGTAACCAGTACTTGGTAAGCTAAGCTCGAAATGCCCCGATATTGAATGCCTTACTGACCTTGCCACAGACCTGTGTTAGTATCTTGTTCGTTGGTTACCTGTTGATGCAAAGTGAGTATTCGTTCATGAACTACCACTCTCCCACCCCCCTAACGATGACCAGTTCCCTCCAATTTGCTCCTCAACAAATTCGGCAAGCCTGCTATCTACCTTCCCACTGCTATGGTCCTTTGGGGTATCATCTCGACTGCCACTGCCGCTGCCCACAACTTTGCCGGTCTCGTTGTGATTCGGTTCTTCCTCGGTTTTGTTGAGGCTGCCTACTTCGTATGTTTCCCCGTGTCTATATGGAAAGATGTACCATGGCTGATTATTGTATAGCCTGGATGCTTGTACTTCTTGAGTGCGTGGTATACCCGCAAGGAACTGGGCTTCCGCACTGCCGCCCTGTACTCTGGCTCCCTCCTGTCGGGTGCTTTCTCTGGTCTCATTGCTGCAGGTATTACCAGCGGCATGGACAACAAGCTGGGTCTGCGTGCCTGGTAAGATCAATATCCCGGTTCTTTGTGGGCGCTCCTTCTAACCTTTCCAGGCGCTGGCTCTTCATCATTGAAGGTGCTATCACCATCGTCGTTGCTGTGATTGCTGTCTTCGTCCTGCCCAACTTCCCCCGTACCACTTCCTGGCTTACCGAAGAGGAGAAGGCACTGGCTGCCTGGCGTCTGGAAGAGGATATCGGTGAGGACGACTGGGTCGACAGCGAGGATCAGTCCTTCCTGCACGGTGCAAAGCTTGCCTTTACCGACATAAAGACATATATTCTGGTAAGGGATCCATACCACTCCCACATGCTTCACCAGCTGACACTTCCTCTTTATGTAGATGCTCATGATCCTGTGCATCGTTTCCTCCGCCTCGGTCACCAACTTCTTCCCCACCGTCGTCAAAACCCTCAAGTACCCCAACATCGAGACCCTCCTCCTCACTGCGCCTCCATACTGTCTCGCCGTCGTCTGCGCATTCGCTAATGCCTGGCATGCCGATCGCACCGGCGAGCGTTACTTCCACGTCACTATCCCGTTGTACGTCTCCGTTGCAGCTTTCATCATCGCTGCCGCTACAACCAGCACCGCCCCTCGCTACCTCTCCATGATGCTCATGCCTGCGTCGTTCTACTCTGGTTACGTTGTCGCTCTGGGTTGGATCTCAAACACCCTGCCTCGTCCGGCGTCTAAGCGCGCTGCAGCCCTCGCTGCTATTAACTGCGTTAGTAATGCTAGCAGTATCTATGCTAGTTATATGTACCCCTCTAGCGATGGCCCGCGATTCGGTAAGTACTATCATGAAATTGTTGGGCTTCTTGTTGAGCATGGCTAATGATTGTATAGTTCCTGCCATGTCTGTGAACTGCGCTACTGCGTTCATTGCTATTCTCGCTGCGACTGCCTTGCGATTCACCCTCGTCCGTCTGAACAAGAAGCTTGATCGTGGTGAGCACGTTGAGGGATCTGTTCCCGGACACGCTAGTAGCCGTGGCTTCCGCTTCCTGGTTTAGATTTTGGTCAGCAGTAGTCAATTTGCTCTCTATCAGATCTTCACGTTGGACTTTGCACTTTGAACGTGGATCATGACCATGATTACCCTGTTAGAATTTTCACGGACTTTCATAGCAAGCTTAGATGATATCTAGAAACTGGACTTTCCGGTTGAATTGAGTAATGAATATACCTCTTACTGGAATCTTGTCATTCAGAAGCATCGAGGGTGAACACCGCTCTCAAATTGAAATTTAGTCCTCGTTCAAAGCCCTCAACAGACCCTGAGTCAAAATCTACTCACGTCATACACCATCCCATAATATGAATCAAGCAAACTTCTTCCGCTCCTCAGTCCACTTTGTCCTCAAACCCTCCGCCTTCTCACTAACACTCACAACATCCAACGAACTATCAGCCACATAATTAACCCGCCAATCCACCTCAATACTAGCACCAGCCTCCGTCTGCGCCCAAACCGCAACAACAACCGTATTCTCCCCATTATAATTTAAAATACCCGCCGGAACAGGATACACAACCTGGTTCCCAATGTAAGGATTATACCGACCATACTGGTACCCATTCACAAAGATCTGAGCCCGATAAGCAGTCGTTTTACCCGCCGGCGTAGATAGCACGAAAGAAACCGATACGTCCGTGTTAGATGGGAATTTCAGTGGGACGGTCGTGCGGAAAAACTTCACCGTTGCGCCTGTGAAGCTTAGAGCCGAGGATTTGGACCAGGTCGAGTCGTCGAAGCCGGGCAGATGCCAGCCTACACGTTCACCGTAGAGGCCATCTTCGTTGAAGACGCCGCGAACGGGGTCGAGATTGGACTCGCCGCCTGCTGTACCTGCGAGACGCCAGTGGCTGAAGCCGGCTGATGAGCCGATGAGTTTTGCGTCGAGGATTCCGCGTGGGTTTAGGGCGCCGCTTGTTTCGTCATGACCTGTGTCGTCGTGGACGATTAGGAGGATGTTGGGTTTGGAGGTGTTTAGGGTTGCATTGGCGAATGAGAGTGTTAGGTTGCCGGTTTCGAGGGTCGCGGAGCCGAGGTAGGAGCCGAGGAATTGGCCGTTGAGCCAGGCAGACCAGCCGCTGTATTGTATTAGTGGTTGAGCGTAGATGGGGGTAGGTTGGGTTTGCTTACAAGGCATATCCGCCTTGGATATTGAGGTAGGCGCCTGTTGCAGAGCCGTTGAAGTATCCACGCCAGAGGCGGACACCGTTATGGAAGCCTGAACAGTGAGTTAGACTAGTGGATTCAAATGCGATTAAGAGGAGCGAACTTACCGTATTCATCTGCATACATGACTGGCAGGGTTGTAGGGGTGCGAGGGTTCAGTGTGGACTGATGGTTTGCGTCTAGAAAAGACGTTAGGATACCAGCTTATAAGATGCGCTTGGTGAGGAAAATTATTAGTACTTACCAACCCATGCCGCTCCCGAGTCATTATAGGTAGTCAAGCGCTCAGGCAGACTGTCCTTCGACTTCCAAGATCCAAAGGAAGGAAGAGTAACACTCTTGGGTGCCGCAATAGATCCCTTGAGACTACCATACTCTGTACTCTGAGTGTGAAGAGCCTTTCCATTCCAAGTAATCGACTTGACTACCTTGGGGGCAAAGACTTCCAGTGTAGTCGCGTTGATAATATCACCAGTCACAGCAAGCTTCGAGCCTGATAAAGTAGCGCCGCGAACGAGGTACGGTCCCTGGATAAGCACTGCGAAGATCGGTTAGATTTAGTCTACAAAAGCGACATAGAAGGTCGGAACATACCAGTCTCTGTCTCTGGCACAAGCGGGTCATTCGTAAGAGCAGGGGCCCAGAATTTGTATGCGGCAGTCCTGTCGAGCAGGATCACGTTGAAATCGTCAATTTCCAGCACGCTCATGCCGGCAGACTGGGTAAAGGTCACAGTTAGACCACCGCTCTCTTTGATGAACTTGACACCAGAGCAACCCTGGCATTTCTTGATCGAACCCTTCTTTGCGCCCTTGACATTGAACTCGCCCGATTCGCCGGTAGGTACCCAGAGAACCAATGTGGGAGTCTTGTCAAAGACGGCATATGTCAAAACCTCGGCGGTGGAATACAGCAATTTCTTCGAGCCAAAGGTGAAATCGGTGACCAGGATCTTGGACTGGTATCCATTCAACCGGACCACACCGCCATGCTGGGGGACAGTGAAAACACCAGCAGAGGTGTTCACCTTGACATGGAAAGCCTCGTTTGTTGAAACGGAGGTATTAAGGTGGAAAGTCGCGTAGAAACCAGCATTGGTCTCGGGGTTGCGTAGCTCATAGGCGCGGACGATTGCATTATCGGTATACTGAGTACCGTTCCCGATCAGATTTGTCATTGTCAAGTCCTTCGCGCAGCGCGTAAACAAAGCCAGCAGCTTGGTTTCATAGTACTTGTCTCCAATAGATCGATCCTCCGAGATAGGCGCCGAGTAATCATAACTGCTACCAGTGACGGGGGCGGCAATGGCACCCCAGTTGGTACCTCCGAAGAGCATGTACAGACTCATTGCGGTGACGCGCTGGCCGATGTTCCACCGGTAGAACAGGTTCGCAAAGTCTTGGTTCGAGTTCTCGGCGCAGCCACCTTCGGGACCACCCCAGGGGTTGTACGAACCACCTTGGAACTCGGGCATGAATTCGGGCATGGTGGGCTGGGACTCTTGGAAGTAATCGTAGTAGTCCATGACTGCGTATGGGATGTATTCGCCATTGGTGGAGGTGCATTGACTGAGGTCACAGGTCCAGCACTATTTACATTCACCTTTATGTCAGCCTTTCAGAGTCCCATCTTTCGTTCAAACGAGTATAGACGAACTTACCGAGGGGTACGAGTCTACACCGGCAACGTCCACATTACCACCCTCATTCGACCAATCACTTCCCCACGAGTGGGAGTTCATATTCGGATCATTCGCAGTCAACGGCACAGTAATACCGTTAGCACGAGCATTCGCCTCGAGAAGCTCCATATAAGTAATGGCGCTTTCATTAGGCACACGCTCCGACGCTGAACCAGTCCATTGCTCTCCATACTCGTTCTCAATCTGATAGACGAGCGCATTCTCTCCATCAGTCACCTGGTACTTGCTAGTGATTTGGGACATTTTCGTGAAATACGGCGTCCACGCCTTCGTATAACGAGTATCATTGTTGCGAAGTGTACCGTATTCACCGGTGGTCAGCCACAGCGGGAATCCACCAGCGCTGGCTTCCGCATTGACGTACGGTCCTGGGCGGACGATAATGTACAGCCCAAGCTCCTTGGCCAACTCGAATAGCGGAGTGAAATCATGCGCGCCGGTGGTGAAATCGAGCGTGCTGTTGTTGGGTGCATGGTACGCCCAGCTCGAGTAGAAGGCGAACGCCGTGAAACCAGCCGCTTTGATCTTCTCGAGGATATCGCGCCAGAGACCTGGCACGGGGATACGCCAGTAGTGGAATTCACCAGAGAAGATGAAGATACGCTGGCTATTGACCTGGAAACTAAAGTGATCCCATTGCACGACTTGGTTCAGACCATCGTCGTGCAGTGGCCACTCGGTAGTTGTTTGATTCTCCGCGGCGATCGTAGCGCCGAGCAGAGAAGCAATCGTTCCCAAGCCGTAGAAGAGACGAGTTGCTCGCGTCATCTTGAAACCAACTCGGACTGCGGCCGAGAATCAGCCGAGAATCAAGCTGCCGATCGATGGATTCGAGCTCGCGACAGCGGCACTTCGGACCAGGGGGCGGCATTTTATGTTGCATTGGATTCATGATGTGTGATTGCAAGAGCTTGTTTCTCTCGGAGAAAAATGTGGGGTGAAATAGAATGCTGATATGGCTAATCAGCATTAGTCTGCGTCAAGGGCCATTAAACAGGGATTGAAGCGAAGAGTCGGTGGAGATGGAGCTTTCCCGCGCGGACTATGGCGGGATGTCTTTTTTCCTCCATTCAGCTGGCCTGCAGATGTGGAGATGATGGAAATTAGTGCTAAGTTGTACTTGGGTAAATGAGGCATTTGAAGTGAAAATCCGCACTTTTGGAATTTCAATGATAATATACATCCCGGTCGTGTCTTTACTTTAATCTAGAATAAGCCGAGCCACCCCGAACTAGACAACAGCGATGTCCCTGGAGGAAATATCCGGAATCGCCGCCATTCCCAAGCCGGATGACCGGTAAACAAGGTCCGCTGGAAGCTAATAGTAATCGCAAAGCAATGAGTTCTCGGTATCCCCAAGCTAGCTGGCTCTTAACAGGAAGCCAGTTTCCCCGCTATGGCAGGGGATCTTTGGACGAGAAACGTCAAAAGTACCAGCTACCCGAAGGCCTGCCTGCATATAGCCCACCGGGAGGAAGAGATGGCAAATCAGGGCAGAGCATGTCATGCCACGTTCGCCTCAGATAAAGGAAGTGAATATTGCGCTGAACTCCAAGACTCCAAATGTTTATGCCGCAAATCAATGTCACACACACCCCTCAAACTCAAGCATTGTTCTCAAGAACGCCGAACGGGTTCTGTCCCTTGGTCTCTGGAACATCCGCGGTGGACTCAATCTCGCTCTTGGTCTGCTTCTTAGCACCCTTCTTAGCAGGGACAGTGGAGAAACCTTCATCCGAGGCTGACTCATTTGTGGCGGCGGCACCAGCAGCCTTGGCCTTCTGGGCAGCAGACGAGCGTGTCCTGACAGGCGAGTCCTGGGGGACAGCCTGTCCGGTGATCTTCTGCACATGCGCCTTGACAACCTCCTCATCGGTGTTCTCACTGTTCTCACCCTCAATGGCGGCCCTCCGGATCTCACGGCTGAGACCCTTAAGAGCATCCATGCCGGCCTTCTCAGCGGCCTCCATGTGGGTGGGCTGCTTGGTGTCCTTGCGGTTCAGGTAGGATCGCACGAAGAAGCGGGCGAACAACCAGGTGAGAGGAAGCAGGTAGGAGACGTTGAGCATGATGGCAAAGGCCTGGCCGGAAGTGTCCACACAGGTCATCATCTCCTGGGTGAAGCCAGTAGCAGGAGCAGGAGCAGCCACAGCCCCGCCGACATTCTCAGCGATGCCCTCAGCACCAGCGGCGCGCAGAGCAAGCTTCTTCAACCAGGGGATGGAACCAGCCTCAGCAACGGCAGTCGCAACAGCGGGAGCAGCCTTGGACAGGTGCTGCAGGGCGGCGCTTCCAACAGGGTAGGGGATGGTATAGTGAACAAAGAGGTAGGCGGCGGCCATGTTGGTACCGAAGACGAACTGGGTAATCTGCATGGTGGTCAAGCTACGCTTGATCGCGTTGGGGACACGGATGCGCAGAGCGGTGAGGGTGTAGTAGGTGTACTAAAAGAAATCGAGTTAGCTATGAAAGCTCCAGAGCACATCGCTGCTTTGAGAAAGACATACCATCATCGCATGAATGGCCGAGTTGACCAGGGTAAAGATCCAAATGGGAGCAGCCATATAGCGAATACCAGCCCACATGCACATCATGGCACCGGCGTGGTGGTAGGTCTGTAGGGTCGAGCTCTTCTTGCCCTTGGCCAGAATGATGGCTGTATCAACAACCTCGTAGAACTTGGAGAGGTAGAAGATCCAGCCGAAGTAGGCCAGGCCACCGTTCCACAGACGGCCGACATCAGACGAATCGGGCAGCCCAGCAGTTAGCTTGAATTCGGGGTTGGGAATCGACCACTGCTTGGTGATAGGGCTATAGGTAGCAGCATTGCCATAGCCGCGGGGTCCATTGATCTTGCAAAGCGAGTCCACAACTCCGACGAGACCATTGGGCTGGTTACGGTCCGCCCAGGCGCTGCCAAAGGCCTGGAACATACCGATAAAGGTCCATGCAGAGTAAACAGCGAGGAAGACGTTGTGCAAGACGACAAACAGCTTGAACAGGGGAGTGTGGCTGAAACCATAGGGCTTGTAGCCACGGCTCTTGTTGATGCGGTTGATTAGGACGACGGTGACCGCATAGACACTGGCGATGGTGATTGGAACGCGCACGTCCAACAGCTGAGTATAGAGGTCATCAGGGATGTTGAAGGGCTGCTTCCATGTTGCCTCTGCGACGTGCGGCGCGGGGATCGCCGCGGGGAGGTTGGCGGGAGGGAAGCTAAACAAGGAGGCCGGCGGCAGAGCAATGCGAATGGCGCCCGAGCCGAACTGGGTGGGCACGTTGATGTCGAACATGATTGAATTCCCACCACCAAAGAAGATCTCAAAGAGGATCAACCGGCTTTTTCTTGGATACGAGAGAGTAAAATGCGGAGAGAGCTGTCGACAAGGAGGAAGAAAAAAAGAACAGGAAAAAAAGCCCAGTTCTTTTTACCAGAAAGAGTCTTGACACGGAAGGACCAGACGGGGCTCCACCGGGCTGATAAAAAGAAGACCCAGCGAGTCTAAATGGACTTATCAGCTGGCTCAACTGGGCTCAACTGGGCTCAACTGGCAGAGGTGGAGCCCGCGTTTGTTGGGAATTGGGGGAACAAAGTGCCGAGGTTGATTGCGTAGTCCCCCAAAAAACCGATGCGGTCACTATGATCCGCAGTGGCAATTTTGGGAGGTTATCTTTTCCACTGATCCAATTGATCCCATTGACTCCCATGGGGAAACTGGGTGTATGATGGACTGGGACCAATCCATGGTGATCATGTTGTAATTGATGTTCTTGAGAATTAGTTCATCGCTTCCAGTGGATCAGATCATTATTGGTGAGAAAAGAGAGACACGCGACCGCCACACGCGACTCGTTGAAAGTGCAAATGCTGCAAATGCTGCAAAACATACAAACATGTGGCCAACCCCCGGGCTTCCAGAAGAAACGTGAGAACCTTGTTGCCTTAACCGGACTCAGGCAAAGATAGACCCGCTGAATCAGCTGAACTTGATGCCTGATTCAGGCCAAATTGAGGCCATTTTTCAGGCAGGAACCGGGCCAGCCCTCATTTGGGCCTCCACTTTGCATGTGGTAGTCGCCATACCTCGCCTCGACAAAAAGATCAATATAAAGAGAGATTCATGCGTAAAACCTCATGCCGAGAATCATATACGGTTGGGACCAATCACTGACTCCATACGGAACACTGCCTGCATGTCTTTCCCAACATCTCGGAGTTTCTTGTCAATCAGATGAAATCGCCGGCCAACCAGAGTCTTCACATGCGGCCGAGGCCTTGGCGCATTAGAAAGGCTGCAGGGAACGTTCAAGGGAAATTCTTGCAATTGCGATCGATCTCGATCAAGCTATGTAGTACAAAGAGGAATCGCACGCACGATTCGCTGTTTCCAAAAGACAATTCGCGCCAGTCGTTGAACAAAGTGGAAACTATCGTGGTACAAGATACGGGACCCTCGCTCAGCGGGGTTTGGTGTTGAGAGGGACGGGAGGTGGTGTAGGCGGTGCAGATGAAGTCGGTGAAGAATTTGCAGGAGCAGCACGCATGTCGGCCCTCTTAGGAGGCGGGGGAGGAGGTGCTTTCTTGCGTTGGGCTTGAGCTTCCAGGGTACTGTTCGCGGTTGATTGAGTTGGCATCTCAGTCACGGTTGGAGTGCGATTTATTGCGGCGCTGCTAGTGCTGGGAGCATTGGGACCAGGAGGACGAGGGATCCTCTTGTTCGCGTTGGCCGAAAACTTGCGATCTTCCACAAAGGTATTGAATCGCGACGTCACCCCACCCCATTTTTCTTTGCCCATATCAATCTTATCTGCGTGACGTTCGCGGAAGCTTAGAGGGGGAGGAAGAGCGTCCTCTCGATTTCCGCTGGGGATAGGTGTTCGTGCCGGGGGCTGAGGCGCTGTAGACGGCGAGCCCAAATTGGACCGCATCTGTGAGAACCGAGACTGTAGTTCGTTGAGATTCGCACCCTGGGCACCCGAAGAAGCCGGGGAGGAAGCATTCGCCTCGCCGATCCCGAGTCCCGGGACCGAAACGCCTGCGTTGGCAAGGCGGGATGTCGCTTCTTGATTGATGTATCCTTGGGATGCAGGAGGCGGCGTAGCGTTGTATGCCGGCGGCGGAGAAGGAGTATGTGAAGCGGCTGTAGGATTTCGCGGAGGAACTCGAGGTGGAAGCTGCGGTCTAAGCTTCGCACTCGCCGGTGCGGGAGCCGAAGCCGAAGCAGAGGAAGCCGAACTCGGTGAATCGAGGCGCCGTACGGGAGGCGGTGGGAGATTGTTCGTAGTCAGCCCGGTCGTGTTCACTCGATAAGGGATTGGCGGAGCTGGAGGCTTTTGAGCAGCCTCCTCTTCTTCCTCCATCGCTTGTTGATGGTATGCATTCTGCTCAGCGATCTGGGTCGGCGACAACGGAGCTCCAAGTCCTCGGCGATCGGGGGTAGTCTCATTCGGTAGAGCTGCGGCGCCGTGATAATGGATGTGCTTGGGTGGTGGACCAAAAGACGACGGATCTTTCAGCGACGACAATGGTTGGGATATGTGGTCGGAAGCCTCGGAGCTTGAGTCTTTCCCTTTACCCATCCATCCAGCCTGTCATATTGGTTAGCGCAGGAGCCTTACATCTGGCCAGTAGTGGTAGGGATAGGGACTCACCACTTGGTTGATTCCCTTGAAGTCGCCACGCCAACTTTCTTTCTTTCCCTCTTTGCCCTTCGGATGCCAGCCATCCTTCATCACATTCTTAAAACCACTCATGATAATCGGTGAAGTGAGTGAGCTGTCACGGAGACTCGGGGACAACGGATACCTGACCCCGCTTACTCCGCAGTCACGTGGAGGCGGTTCCCAAATGGGCGATGTGGCTCCGATGAACGTTGTGTGAAGGACTATTCAAGTCAACGCAAGGGGTGATGACTCGATGATTTGTGCTGGTATCTTTCTTCGCCGGTGGAAAGAGTGCTTGTAATGGAACACTGTTAGCCTGCTTGTCAATCAAAGTTCCAAAAAGCAGGTTGTGGTTTTTTTGCTGGGAGCCGTCGGCATACCGTATGGACAAGCCGCATATCACGGTATCCTGAAAGATATATACCAGCACCGCAGGTTGCTCAGCCTATATGCAGGAGACTGTTCTACCGGGCACCCTTGAAAGACGTGGGAACGATATCTCTTACAATTACTAGGCTCATTGGGCCTCAGATCGAATTATATTCTCTTAGACACTTCTCAACTATTGATTATCGACACTGTGCCGTGAGCTTACCCAGACCTGTTGAATTATTACTTGACCATATCAGAGCCACAGTTTCACCCCTGTTCCCTTCGTAACCCACTCAAATCAAGTCTCTTCAAGCCCCATCTTGCCCTCCAATATTTACTCGACACCAGTGTCTCGGGACATCCTTGAATCACCCAATACCACTTTTGCACAAAAAACTCAGACATTTCCCAGCTCTGAGGAAGCCAAGGGTCACCCCAAACCAGCATACCGATGTCTCCATTTGCAGGATCCATAAGATCAGTGCAGAGCTCGAAATCATTAAAGAATTACACGACGGTAAGAAGATTATCTCGCATCCGTGGAAAGGGGAAGCAATCTAACCAGGGATGGTGTTGGATGGAGCGTTGTGTAGTCGTGGGACAGAGACTGCCAGGGAGAGCCTGAGACTTGGTTTTTTGAACAGTCGGAGAGGGCAAATTGAATCGTGAAACCACATCATCCTCCATGTCCTGCATGGTCAATCCAAGGACTTTCATATTATCCACAAAGGCGCGAAGACGGTTGAATTTTGATAAGGTTAGTAATTGGTCCAGACAAGGGTTGGCTGTATAGTATCTGGTATAGGCAGTTGCGTTGAATCGAGTCATCATGGATATCGCTTCTGAGAGAGTTTTCGGCTGCCGGAACTTGTCTGCTTCTTGTTCATGGCTGAGATGTGGGAGAGTAAAGGTGTCTCTGCGATTGCTCTTGGACTGCGAGAGCAGTTTCTTTTGCTGCTCGCGGAGAAGACTTCTTTTTGCTCCTAGATAAGATTCAGCCACATTAGAAAACATTACATGCATAGAGCATCAATTGGGAGGAATGTTATCAAAAGCTTACTTTTAGCGCGATGATTCAACTTGTTCTGCAATTTGTTCCGTAGTACGGGACCAGCGATCCCTCTCCAGTCTTCCCCGGCCCGGGATGCTCGGGTATACGACGGCCGAGGACGAGATACAACTGCCTGTGCATCATCTCACTTTGTACTTGAAAGGAGCGTATCCACGTCGTATCAGAGAGGAAACGATTGGTTGAAAGGAGACTCAACGGAGTTGTAACTTGGGAACATCACGCACGGTGAGCCTAAATTACGCTTGGTGCCTGAATGCCTTAGTGTCTCGAAGCCTAAATCTAATTGGGCGCGTTGGCTGACAGCTGTAAAGAAAGTGCAGCTTGTCATATAACCACCTTCATGTAAAATACATATACTTGAGTAAGTGAATGATCATCTCGAGTCCGCGGCACATACGTAAAACTTAAACGGGTTTAGGGCGGGCGATCCATCGTGTTCGCCCCCAAGGAATGCGTGGCAGAAGTAAATTTAGAACACTGCCCAAATCGTCAGACCACCAAGAACTTCAAAAAGACCACATAAAGCAGCGCAGAATAGAACAGCATTCCTTGTTCAAAGATCATCTGTTGCTTCCAAATTGTCTATAAACCTGTCATGATCTATCATAACGTCTCAGTTAGATTTGAATTGAATGGATGGCCAGGGAATTCTTTGTACGTCCGTACAGTAATTACGAAGCGCTTCGGCCCCAATCAGGGCTGTGCCGCCCCCAAGCTGACCCTCACCTCCCCCACCTGCGCGCGAACCGCCGTCGCAGATGAGCGGCTTGTTGCTGTTGATGAGTGGTGAGTGGTGATCGAGGAATGGGAAGAATAGGGTAAAACCAGGAGTTATGAGAGGCTGTGAACTGCAAAGACTTTTTTTGTGGGCGCTTTTGCCAACTTCACTTCTTCCTCGATCGTGTACACTTCTTTTCTACTTCGTACTTCTCGATATCTTTCGACGATAACCTTCACCCTAGAAACTCACAAAATCAGAAACTATCCACACAGTCTAAAAGGAATACGGGGTCATGAAAGCCACCCGTACTCGTCAACGCCCCATTCAAAAGTGCCCGTTTCCCAACCTTGGCCCCCAGTCGTCCTTTGTGTCTTTGCGTGATCCGGTTTCCTTTGTTTGAGTCCGCCACGAGGGGAGTTCATCTTCAGACTTTCTAGGACTTCAACTCCTTCCAGATTGTGCAATATACCGGCTGTGATCTTGGATATAGCTCACATTCTCTGAATCCATCATGGACGATTCCATGAATCTGGATTATCTCAAGCGAGATCCCAGATGGTCGCCGTCGGAGGAAGACGCATCGATCATTAGTTCAGAACCAACCGTGACGTGGGGGACAGATGCGATCGCGACACCAGTGACGGCAGAGGCTTCACATATGGCAGCAGGTGGAACTTGGGCAGCAGAAGCTGCTTCATCGCAGGAAGGATTGCTTGAAAGTCTGGGTGGGAGTCCGAGTGCATCGATTACGCCTGCATGGTCAACGACTACCACCGAGAGGACATCGACCATACCCATCTCAACTAGCAGTTCATCTGCGGTATCTGAATCAACTACTACCCCAACGACGCCAACATCCACATTGTCGACTACATCGCCAGAGACAGCCATGACTCTCACCGGCACGGTTGTCAGTACCACCAGTGCAGTCGTCGAAACAACAGCCCCCGGCGCTTACTCCGGTGGAGGCGACTCAATCAAAAACAAACTCGCCATCGCCATCCCCATCGCTGTAGTCGGTCTCCTCATCATCCTAGCTTTACTATTCTTCTTCATCCGTCGCCGAAGGCGTCGCACCGCCCATCCGCCATACGAAATGTCCGGCACCGAAACACCTGGCGTCTCAACCGCCGCTCTAATGGCTACCACGCCTAGAATCATAGCTCCCCCGGAGCCTGCAGCGACAAATCTCCATCAACTACCGGTAATCGGCGTCACGGGTAGTTCAACCCATGAAATCACGCCTGGTTCCGCATCTGCACGCTCCGACGATGATGCACGCACGGAACTTGGAATTGCCATGGCTGTACCGATGGATCAACGGCTCAGTGCGACAGAACATGATCTACGTGAATTTAGTCGGCCGGTTTCGTCGGTTAGTCACCGTGTTAGTGCGGGACCGCCTAGTGCGGGCCTGGCGAGTGTACGGATGCCGTTTGAGACTCAGAGTAGCGATGAGAATGATGCGGTGTCGATTATATCGGGGGAACGTGGCCGGACGGATCATGACCGTGATTTTGATGATATGTCTTCTGTGTCATCGTTTGATGATGATCATTCGCCGGTTGAGGCTCCTGGTCAGAATTTTCGATGATTGGATGGGCTGAGGTTAGGGAGAGGCTTTCGTTTTCTGACCATGTTCGATTTGTTCCACGAGGTTTAAGCACTGGAGCACTTGGAGTTGCGGTGGACTTTTGTTTTGTAATTTGTGGGCTTATCAATATCCAACTTGCCATATATGATCTGTATTCATTTTCAAAGATCCAGCCTTGAATGACATCAGATGGCCGAGTAAGGCAGTAAGAGGTAGAAAGAATACCTCATAGTAAAAAGGGTTGACACTCGAGGTCTCTTCATTGGCGTATGTTCTTGGCGTTTTTTGTTCCACTTTTAGAAATAACAGGCTATGTACAAGGAATGTGGAAAGCCACGCAATATCCATCATATCCTCCCAATCATTGGCTTACCGACCACCACCAAGATCAGGCTTGTACTCACGAACCTTACCCTTGGTCAGTTCGCGGAGCGCCATGGTGGCGTACTGGCTAGAGCCCAACTGGAACTTCAACACGACGGCCAACTTATCTCCAGTCTGGGCCGCTGCACTGCCACCCTCGTTGCTACCCTTGAGCTTCTCCATGTCCGTTTGCACGAACTGCTCGTTATCTTCAGAGTACAGCTTAACCTCATGCGAGAAGTCGGATCCCATCCGACTAAAGAGCTTGCGGTAACCACCACTCAGACTGGTGTCCTTGTTCTTGCGGCGCATGTTGAACGGGTCAAGGCCGCCGCCTTGCTCGCTGGCCATGAACTTTTTATAGAACTCGGTCATTTGATTGGCTGGGTACAGCACGTCAAAGCCGGGCTGGGGAAGCACCACGTCGAAAATGCTGTACTTTCCACTGGCGGCCTCGTCGGCGGTCAAAGCCCGAGCCCGAGTGAATGCGTCTTCGGCGGCATATGAACTGTTCTCGCCCTGGGGGAGAACGACAACCTCGCCGTCTTCGTCCACGCCGCTATTGGCGTCAGCACCATCGGTCTCTTCCTTGTCCCGGTGCTCGCTAACAATAACCAGATCGCCCTCGACAACCTTGTCACCGTAGAGTCGCCAGCGCTCGCTGGCGGCAAAGTTCCAAACAAGGGACTGGTATGCGTGCACGTAGATCAGTCGCAAATTGCGGGGAATGGACATGATGGCACCCAGGTAGTCGTTCTTAACTCGACCCAGGTGGCGGATGATGTTGGCCTCGGCAGAGAACTTCCGGGGCAGCTTAGCGAGAGCATCGTTGACATTGTTTGTGCTTTGGAAGATATAGATAGCTTCAGCGCGGGCCTTGTCGTCGGTGCTAATCAGTGCTGTGGATGATTCGCCCTCCTGCGCAGCAGCGAGGACATGGGGACTGTAGTGAAGAATAGCCTCGGCGGCTCCCTTGAAGTCATCCTGCAGCATCTTGACACCGATGGTGTCAGTGCGGGTCAAGAAGGTACCGAATCGCTGAAGACCGTAGTAGTTGAAGTAACCGCGATCGTGCAGTTTCTTCAAAGAGGTGCCAACAATCTCGGAGGCCTTGCTGACCGCAGCTTGAGGATCCGTCATGTCCACACCAGGGAACTCACAGTCGCGGAGCGTGATCACGAACTCGTTGCCGCCGAGATCACCAAGCTCGAGCCCATGCTTGCGGTACTCAAAGTCACCCAGGGAAGCATTCCGCAGGGACTTGTTCATGTTCGCAAGTCGCTCTGCTTGAACACGAAGGACGCAAGCACGCTGAGAGGTCACACCACGCCTATCCTTGGTACCGGCAAACTGGAAGGCCTTCGGGTTCATCTTCATCGTGCGTGCCAGGTAAGAGATGACCTCCATAGTATCCTTGTTCTCCTTGTAGATGGTGAAATGGAGATACGCGCCACCCAGCTCGTCCCAGCTCACGCGGCCGCCGCCGCCACTTCCCCGACCAGTGTTTCCACGGTGGCCTTGGGCTTTGCGCTTGAAGCGATTGCTAGCAGCTGTGATGGCAAGGTTTCCCTCGCCATCGGCGCTCGACTCTAACTGCGAGTTGAAAATGCGGCGGATGGCTTGGTGAATCTTGGTGCGGAGATCACGGTCGGAGACCACAACCGTGACCTTGCCCAATTCACTAGGCCGAGCTTTGGGCGAGTTCATCGCTGTCTCGTGCAGAGTGACAATTGCGGCCGCATTTTCAGCGCCAAAGTACTCTGCGAGCAAAGCGTTGTCCTCTTCCGACACTTTGAACTCGGCGGGTGTCGCAGCTTCGGGGGTCTCGGTAGCGTCTTCCTTCTGCGCGGGCTGCTCCGTTGCCTGCGCCGGCTGTTGCGCTTCAGTCTTAGCGGTAACCTCGTTGCTCGAAGAGAAGGGCGCGCGGGTGTTTCGGAGGTGAACAACTTCGCCGGAGGGTGTGATCTCATTGACCAAGAAGTCGGTATATCTATAGCGGGATAGTTAGTCCAGTTCTCACGAAACCACTCAAAGCTCCAATTCATACCTCTTCTTCAAAATTCCCGAGAAACCCTCGCTATCAGCGGTCACAAGCTCCGTAATGCCAACATCGTATTCCTTGGTAGTCTGGGTGTCTGGTGTCACAACACTGCCATCTCCTGGAAGCACCTCAACCGTGACATCGGTCGAAGGGACATCCTCGGTCTTTTGCCGCTTCCGCGGAGACTCCACAAGCTCTGGTCGTTCCATTGTGATTAGACTTGGTTGGGGAAGCAAGTTGGATCTCCGTAACAATCTCAGCGGAGCAGGAACTTTTGATGACGCATTGAGACTAGCGTGATGCGGCGGGATGAGGGTTAGCCCTATTACTAGATTGGGAAGACAGTAGAAGTACAGCAGGTGCAGCTTAATGCTTCATATCCGTGCTCTGTAATTGAGTAAACTTTAAGTAAATGTAGGTAGCAATATCTGGGCTTTAATATGCTGTAAGATAATTTCTCTCTTTTCCGGGCAGCCAATTCTCATCATGGTTTCCTAGGCCTGGTACAATCCCAGCGTTGAACCGAACATGGCTAAAACATAGGGTGACATGCTAATTGATTGTCATGCCTTTATTCTGCCTTGGTGAACTTGTAGAAGGTCTACTTTAACGCAATTGATGATAATTGGTACAAATAAAGTCGGAATGTTATCATGAATAATCACATAACATAATACAATCATACAGATGAGCCCCCCCAGTCATGGCGCCATAATGCGTATATGTACAATGGAAACAGTAGTCATGTACAAAACAGTTGAATCCAACATGGAACCTTCGTAATCGCTCACCCAAAGAGATACTTCTTCCAGCTCTGCTTCCACGGCTTCCAGGTCCCACCAAACCGATGGTTGATGCAGGCATGGGAGCTACCAAAGTCTTCTGACCCGCTATGTCTTTGTCCATTACCCCAGGCATTCACAGGTAAAACACATAATCCACCCAGTTGGGATCCTGGCTTAGACTCAGAGCCCTCGACACACAGTGGTGCCTTCAGTCGGTAGAAAGGTGCCCATGTCACCCGCTCTTGGGGAGTGGTTGAGTACTCCGCTACAAGGTCGCCCAGACCTTCGTCGGCCTTAATTGACTCTGAGATCAAGGAGTGATTTGACGGTAATGTATCGGAGAGCACATCTAGAATGGCATCGGTGAAGACGCCCGGTCCGGTGATTTCGAGGGTAGTGAGTTCATTGTACCGCGCCCCGAGGAAGATATTACTTTCGTCTTTGTGGCGCTTCGTATGCGATAGGACTCGCACGATCACTTCTCTCAAAAGTGGACTGAATCGACGCGGCGCATACATCGTGTACTGGATGAAGCCGTAGCTGCGGACCCAGTGCCAGTCACGCATTTTCTGAGAAGAAGCGAATGGCTCGTCGATTTCGATGCCCACGACGAGGGAAATGTCGGGGTTGTCGGTTTTGAACACTGAATTCCGGAGCGATGGGCATTGCTTGATTGATGTCGCGGGGAAAATATCCGTATCGGCATAATAGCCACCAAAGTACCACAGAATCAGATAGCGCAGTAAATCCGCTCGGAGAACATGATGCGGGTATGAATGGTATAGACTGGCGAGACCTGGAATGGAGGCAAGAGTGATAGACACAAATTCGTCGGCCCATTCGGTTGTCACAAGCTAGTAATTGGAGACAATCGGTTAGCGACGAGTGCCGAATTGGGTGAATTGCGCAATGCGCAAAGGTCAAATTCTAGCGAACTTACCGAGTACTTCCATTCGGAGTTCTTCTTTTCAAACTTGAGCGAATCATCACTGCGCATTTCTGCGCTGGGATTCTGGCCCAGCATGATCTGCCATAAGGTATGCGCCTTGTCCTCGTGGCTATTGAGCGCCAATTGCTGGCGCTCAATTTCCTGCAGCGCATTTCTCAGCTTCTCTTCATATATCCGATCGGGGTTTCTGCGAAATGTAGAGTGGTAGAAGTATCGCGGCCGGTCCTCGGAAAGCGCAACGTCTCCGCGGCTGTTCAAGTCACTCTTCAGCGCTGGCAAACTCCTGACTAGCAAGAACAAGGCTAGCAGGGCGATAAGCACGACGACGCGACGCCGGCTGGACCATCCCCGGACGGGCATGTATCGCCTCAACATGGTGCGCGGACAGGGACCATGATGAAGGGAAATTTGGAGTCGAACAGGATCGAATACGGGGGAGGGGAAGAGCCGGCGCAACAAGATTCTCCATTCGGCTGACGGGGGTTTGGAGGCGAGTGGACTGAGACCCTTGGGCGTGGAGTGGGGGCCGAGATCCACTGCCCAGCGCTGATTGATGCTTAACTGCGGGTGCCCCTGAGTGGCGCCTTCCCAAATGGGGTTAATGGTGATGAGGAGATGATTTGCTAAGAGAGTTGGTTTCGCTTGTCATAAAAACTGAAAGTACGAGTTGATACAGGGCAGAAGTAATCCAGAGAAGAACCCAAGCCGAGTAAAGTTAACTATAAAGAGCTCCTATACACACCATAGCAAATATCATGTGACACATGCTAAGTGAACTGCGTGAGGACCGTGTGGTCATAACGATGTAAGTTTGTAGGAAAGAGGTTTGGGAAGAGGTTTGGGGAGAGGTTTGGGAAGAGGTTTGGGGAAAGGTTTGGGAAGAGGGTTAGAAAGCGGGTTAGAAACAGACTTAGAAAGACGTTAAAAAGACGTTTGGGAAGAGATTTAAAAAAAGATTTAAAAAGAGATGTTTAGATCAATTACCTACCGTAGGGGTATACTAGATTAAGAAGACTAACAGGAGTGATTGGCAGAGAACAGGGTACCTAGTGCGGTATGGGGGGTGTTACAGGGCAGCAAACCTTAGTGAATGAACAAGAGATACATTATCACCGTGAAGAAAGAAGTCAAGATGGATTCTCACGCGGGATCCTCGGGCTTTGTCTTCCTCCCACCGCAGAACCAGATTCTCTCTGCTTCTGCTGCCTCCTTGGCGATTCTACGGTCCTAGCCCGTAATGCGAGATAAGAAGGCCAGAATATCGTTAGTGCGAAAAGCGAGAGTGATGAAGAACAATGCAAAGGGGATGGTAAACACAGCTATAGATGTTCATCGAGTGGCTCACTGTTAGCATCCAGCGTGGGGACCAAAAGGAAATCGAATACATAACGTTGTGTGAGTGACTGCAACATATTGATCCAAGTGACGACATAGGTAGATTTCATCTTCTCTTCGCCTTCCCCGTTGCATTGAAACTGGGTGACAAGCAATGCGAAGATGGAAGTCATGAAGGAGGCGGGTAAGAAGAGAATAGTCACAACAGTGAAGACCATAATCGTGTTCCCCTGGAGTCGGGTGGACCGCCACTCCCAAAGCGTAGCGTGGCGTTGCTGAAGGTCCATAAGCGCATTGAGCTGCTCGCAAGGTCACGGTGAGCGTCATCCAGAGCTAGAAAGTCCCTCTAGGGGAGATATGGGCATTACCAACCTGTTGAGGGGTTCTTTCCGCTTCGTCCTGCATGGCATTCACCTTGTCTAGGGCACGACTAACTGACAGATGTTTGAATATGGGGTCTCGCAGCGCCAAGGCAAACAATTTACCAATTACTTCGAGTTGGTCCACTAGAATCGCCTTTATCATCCGCAGTTCATCCTGGATATCTTTGATTTCCTGAGGCAGATATGATTCGGTGGCGATGACAAGTCGATACTGCTGTCCCGGTTGTCCCAGCTTATTGACGAAGCGTTCATAGCAAGCTGCCTCGCCATCCGCCTACCGGCCAAGCCCTTGGTAAATATAAAAAGCAATCATGCTATGCAGAGAGGGCGGGGAGCGTAAACTCACGATCCTGCTGATGGAAATGTTAAACATGTCCAAAAACCTAAACTCTTGCCCCAGCTTCTTTTCCACGTCCATCCAGGTACTAATGCACTCTTTGATAATGCCCTTCATGAGATTCACCTCACCGATGACACAGGAATATTTGATTTCCCCTGAACGAGTCTTCCAGATGACGCTCTCACGCACGCCAGTCGTATCAAATGGGTCTGGATCGTCTGTTGAGCAAGCTTGTCGTTGAGGAAAGGCCGTTACCATGACGTCTGCGAATCGAATAAGTATCACACTCTGGGGATCTTTCAGCACAATGCTTCGAGACAGACAGACTTACTTTCCTCCTGCCACGTCCATAGCTGGTCGGCCATCATCATTGCGGGCTCTTTCCACTTTTGCTCTTGGCCAAACCGGGTTATAACTTGACCCTTGCTTCGCGCCGCCGTGCTATCGAGCATATAATAGAAAGACTGGTCGAGCGTTCGTCTAATGTGAAGGGGATGTTGTGATCTACTGTTCGTGGCGTACTGGTCAATGAGCTGCAGGTCATGGTTGTTTCAGAGTGCTCGTTCTGTGTATGACTTCAAGTCCGTCTTGAGGATTTTCCTTGAGGCCCCTCTGTCGGAGGTGGGATTCCTCAACATCTTTAGGAAGTTCAGCAACGCGGAAGATAGGTATGTGTAGCTTCTATCAACCGGAGATAGGTTCGTACGGCGGAAGAGTGAGTGGATATCGACGAGATCATCGTTTTCGGCCCAAAGCGATTCCACCAATGAAGGCAACGTGTCTAGATCAGCTTCAAGAAGGAATTTACATATAGAATATAGGGACCTGTGATATCGACGCCGAAAATGACAACCTCTGGCGCCAGAAACGGCCGCCTTTCCACCCGACACTTTGGACGGCGAGCCGCCGCACGACCGCCCGCTGCCCTATAGAAAGGCCAAAGTAGCGTCAGGTACATTGTGAGAGCGCTTCCGCCACTGGAATATGCGTAATTCCGACGCCCGCGACCGTACGGAGTTGTCAACCCCAATGGGTTGCTACTCGTACCAAAACAAGGATGAACATCACGTCAATTGATTTCTAGATGGTGCAACACTTTTATATGGCGAATCTCAGTCATTTATGTTGTCATTAGGCACCAGGATATTCAACCTCCGTGGACCTCCGTTATACTGTAAGTTCATGGGTATTTGAACCCCCATGAGCACCCTCATTTCATGTTTCTTAATCAATCAATCATATACTCAATTGCTCCCCAATTGATTCCGTTGCCCTGATTGGCCTATCTCCAAGTACTCCGTAGCTGTCACATTGTTGATAGGAGTACTCATGCTTAATTTGAGCCTGGTCGAATTATTCCCCAGGCGTAAATGAACCGATACCCCGGGGATAGAGTCTTATTACTTAATAGTGAATAATTAGCCGCCGCCTACGGCATGAGCCCGCATGTGCAATCAGTATCCTTCTCAGTTTGATCATTGCTGGGCTCCCTAGCTCTCTGTGATGTTGATTTACTATAGTGTTCACATGCCAGCCAACTCTACTGTAGTGCAAAATTTACATACAAACGCAAAGAGCAACCAATGAGAAAGTGTTTTGAGTCTCGATTTCTGTCAATAATACGCCTTCTGTTCATTTGTCCTGCTCAGCGACCATCTGAAGGACTTTCCATCTTATGTCAAGATGTACATGAAAGTAGCATCCCTATTTAATACCAGCAAACCATGCGGCAATGTTTCCCACATTGCGATCAACACAGTCCGGCTGGTCGTAGTGCTGAAAGTGGGAAACCTCGTTGTCCCAGATCAACTTTTTCTGATCCGTAGGAATGGACTCGTAGTGACGCTTAGCAGCAGCTGCATTCATGCAGTTGTCACCGTGGATCAACAGCGCGGGCTTTTGCAGCTTCGCCACGCCCGGGACTGTGGTATAGTCAAAGTGGTCCAGATCACTCATCACCGCATATCGGTTTTCGAATCCTTTCAATGTCCAAGAGCCATACCAGGACCAAACAACTGGTCCGGGAAGACCAGCCAATGAACCGGTATTAGGATCAGCAGCCTTCGGATCAACCAACGGTTGATACACCACTTCCCCGGTCTTTTCGTATAGTTCACGAGCCTGTTTGGCTCGCTCAAGACGCGCATGATATAGGGCTTCTCCCTGTTGAGCAGTGGGCATCTTCAACTCTCCGATATCCATGCCAGGCTCCCAGGCAACACACCCAGCACAAATCATGTAGATGTCGGTTTCGTGGTCGCGGTAGTATCCCGAGACCGAGGCCACACCTGCAACCCGGGTATCATAAGATGCCACGTCCAGGGACTCGGGGCCGCCCTGGCAGATTCCGACTAGGAAGAGCCGAGACACATCGATATCGCCACGTGCAGAGAGGTAGGTAAGTCCTGCGACTATATCCTCATTTTTCATTTTGGGGTTTTCTAATCTTCTGGGTTGGCCTGTGCTTTCTCCGACGGTGCGAGGGTCGAATATCAAAGCTGCATAGCCTTCGTCTGCAAGGCGAGTTGCATACTGAAGAGGTGCTTGCTCTTTCATGAAGGAGTACGGGCCGGTGACAACAACACCTGGTGGGTTCTTGACATTGGTAGGACGGTAGAGGATTCCACCAATAGTCTCACCATGTGAAGGATACTGGACCTTCTCGGTGGTGTATTGGCCATGGAAAGGCATCTTGGAAGGATGGGACAAAAGTGTATAAAGAGAGATTTAGTAGAAGAGGAGTGGTTTAAATTCCGAGATCCTGCTCAAACGACTTCACGTGCAGGGGTTATATAGTGTTTTTGCACACAGCGCATCGGTGATCTTTCGGATTTACAAGAAAAGGACTTCATCTCTGGAATTCTATTTAACAAACAAGTGCGGCATATCTCCAATCATAATATATTTCTTGCTCGTGGTCTCCGCTTTCGAGGAAAGCATTTAAGCTATCGCCGATACAGGTGGGTCAGGTCAAGCTCTTATCGCCGATGGACCAATGACAGAGCGCTTGCGAGAATTCTAATCCGCTGTCCCTCGCCCAATTACAAATGGCCAATGTTCGTCAGAGCGGGGAGGCGCGGCGCTGCAAAAGCTGCAAACGGCAAAAAGTGAAAAGCTTCGGCAGACGATTACGTTCTCGAACACACGTCTCCATGACATCCACCTTTAGACCTTTTTATTGAGTCAAAGTCAACAAGACTTTAGCTACTGCTGGAATGGTTGGAGGGCAAAGCAGGCCTCAAAAGAGAAGAAGGGCTGTTATATCTTGCACTGAATGCCACAGGCGAAAGCAGAAAGTAAGACTCGTTCTTGGGTCCATTTGTAGTTGTCATCTAACACAATGGTCAGTGCAACCGCCAATGTCCGTGTTGTAATTGTATCAAACGGGGATATCAGGTACCGATACTTGATGTGTCTACTATGGATGGTAGGCTGATCCAGGGAAGTAGGAACTCTGCCATTATGATTACGAGCGGGATAAGTACCATCAGTCGCCATGCACTCATCCTATCGACTCTGGTCCTTCGGCGAGCAGCAGCAGCACCAACACGGTGCTCCCGACCCCACAAACTAGCCTGGTGTCCGAATGGGCCAGCAAGGACCAGAGCAAAATTTCCAACTTTGGATACTCCAGTCAGAGCAGTCACCATACCCTGGCATTATTGAGGGTCACGGAGCAATATACAGATCACAAGCACACGTCAACTGGCTCATATGGTACAAATTATGACACTTCACGGGGAATCTTCCAGAGCGACGCCGACAGAAAATATAAAGAGCTAGTCCGCCATTTGCCTTCACAACCGTGCATCGATGTTCTTATCCAGACATTTTTCTATGGCGTCAACTGGCAGTACGATCTAATTGACGAGGAGCATTTCCGAGAGCAGCTGGATGCATGGGGCAAAGTGTCGTATTCCGCTCTTCAAGCGGGGTGTGAAAAGTTGGCCCCCGAAATGCGTGTGTTCCCAGCTCTGCTCTTTCAAGTCCTTGCCCAGGCTCTATTGTTTCATCCTCCTCAAGATGAGAGAATTAAGAGCTTGTTGACCATGGCTGAAATGACATTCTACGATCTCGGTGTGGAATTCAGTGACGTAGGTGCCGAAATCCTAACGCTTTTGGGTAAAAGAGGCATCACAATAGGCACGGTGCAAGCAGGCTTACTACGTGCCTCATTTTTGAAAAGCAGTGGCAAAGTGATTGAAGCTTGGCATACGCTCGGTGCAACAATCCGCGATGCGCAAGAAATCGGTCTCCACACTGGACGACTTATGTCAGAGCAGTCGTCGGATTTATCGGAAAATGGCGTAATTAATGCTCGGGAGTCTTACATTGGGCACAAGATTTGGGTAGTTTTGCACATCTGGGACATTCATATGGCCGTCGTTCTCGGCCGACCAATTGTCACTGATCTTAACCTGGACAATTTCACCCGCACCGTGACGAACGATGAGAAACGACGAGAATTATTCTCACATTGGCAAAAGGATACTGATCCCCCTCGGGCGTTTGATGTCATCCTCGCCGGCTATAATGTGGCTTATCGATATTTCCCACAGATTCATCGTCTAGGGCAAAATGGAGCTAGGGCTCAAGACTACACTGTGGTTGAAAGTATTCATACTGCATTGAAGAAGAATCTGGAGCTTCTGCCATCTTGGTGCCAGTTAGAGGACCCGGATACAACGTTTGATCAAATGCCTGGTTGTCACTGGCTACCTCTCGCACGCGAAGGATTGTCTTCGCTCATTCACCTCGTGTTTCTCACCCTCCATCGGCCTTACATATTTGCAACAGCCAAGAGTCGCACAGAGGCTCTCAAAGCTGGAATTGCCATTCTTCGTGCCCAAGAACGATTGTTTCAGCGCCCGGAGCTACAGTCATGCAAGATATTCAACCCTGTCTATGCTTCTTTCGATGCACTTGTTCTCATTGCTGCCATTTGCATTGCCTTTTGCAACCAGGGTTTAGAACAGTTAACAAAATGTATTCAGGTCCTTGAAAGGGGCGTGAAAAGGTTAGAAGCCATCGGCCAGTTCAATCCCATGGCTAGATCAGCCCATGCAGTGGCCTGGAACCTCTATCGCCAGCTTCAACGCCGCCTCACTACCTTTGGGACCGCAGGAAGCTCCAGAGACCAATTTAGCAACACAGACATGGCTTCTCTCAATGGCCATACTGATTACCTTATGGGAATGTCGTCAGAGTTGTCTTTCAACAACGTTTCACCATCCAACCCCATCCAGGATCTATTTTATGACCATCTATCTATCTCACAAATCACGAGACCTGATGCGCCGAACAATCTTCCGTTCGACCCTCTTACTGTGGATCGTACAGATGGGTGGGACTTTGAAGGAACATTCGCGGATACAAGCTTCTGGAGTTTGATGAATGAATTCAACCTTTCATATTAAGATGGGGACTCTGCTGACCGCAAGGACTCACGACTGTTTGCAGTGTTTTCTTGTCTAGTCTATTCGCATTGTTTTCTATTCCCCTCATTCTGATCTTGGCGATTTTTGTACATTCTTTAGGCGTGCCGGTTATAACCCTTCTGGTCTTATCTTTCTTCATTGATTTAGGCAATCGCTTAATCTCTAGCTGCTGCCGCTCTCTTAATTGGATCTCTGCTCTACTCTTATCTCGCGCCTCAACCCGCCTATGCTGGTGGGATAACCTTCAACACCCATCCATTGATATGTAAATTAAGTTTAGAAAGAGCAGAAAAGCGGACACAATTTTGCAATGCTCGTCTAGAATAGGTAGGGGGGAGGAGAAAGAAAGGGCATAGTATCTCCTCTTACGTGCATTAGAGCAAGCTAAAACAGCATGGAATGGTATAGATGCGTTTTAGGGATGTTTGACCAAGGGAAATCGATTTGATTGATCGATTGAAGAAGATATCGTTTGAAGTGGAAAATAGTAGGCCTGATAAAATCCCATCTGTCTCTTCCGACTGCTGTAAGGTTGAAGCGTGGTGTTGTAATACAAGGAATAACCTGGTAAAAGTTGCTTTATGCGCCAAAGTTTACAAGCGCGCCTCTTGATATCTTTCTTTCTCCATGTTCCCTCCTAATTGACATGCTAGTATTTACATGGTATCTGTCCAATCGTAAGATTATAATATTTTCACAGCTCACTGTTGACGCGGCTTCCAATCAACGCATCATTACCTGACGAATGAAGGAAACAAGTCTGTGAGTGAGCACAACGCTGAATGCTGCAACAATTCTGAAAGTATACTCAAGCATGGCGGCGAGCCAAAACCAGATGACGCTACCGGCCTATGCCTGCTATCCCTGGATGGCGGCGGCGTGCAAGGCCTCTCATCGCTCTACATCCTGAAGAGCATCACGGACGCCCTTGGTGGTGAAGTATAAGATCCAAGTGCGCTTTCGACCATAGAGTGTGTGGATGGTGAATGGTAGGGACAATTCCCGTCCTTTGAGATCTCGAGGCAAGTGCCTTACACTTTTTCCCACATCCCTCTTTTCCAAGTAGATGTATGTTAAAATGCAGTGGTTGGTTGGCCGCATGATGCAGCATCGGCCAAGGTCAAGGGCGTGTGCGGTATTTTCACTATTGACGCCACATCACTGGGCTGGGCTTTCGAAGATTCATCGACTGGGTGTAGAGGAACCGGAGAGACCGAAGATACACAACAACTGGGCACCATGGTACCCGAGACAAGGCAACCGCGACCCTTTCTGGGACGCCGGGGCTGTGTGATGTAACCTCGGATGGTGCGGACGGAGCGAGGCATGCGGCATCGAAGGTATACTGGCACATTGCAGATACGAAGGAAGGCAGCGAGCTCAGAGACGAGCAAGGCGCACTATAGATGGCTTCGTAGCATGATGGACAGTCACGCTCTTTGAGAAGTAGGAGTCTCGACATGGGAAATCACACAAATGTGGCTGCGGGCTGGATCATCCCAGTGATTCTGCTCCTGGGAGACTGCTCCATTCCAAGGGGGAGAACGAGCTGAGAGTCGGATCGAGCGGCATTTCCGGTAAAATGAAAGGGGCAGTACGTCGGGCTGAAAGCCAAGGCGTAGTGGTTTGTGGGGGCGGATAGGAGAGAAAAGGGGCGGCGGCGAGTGCAAGATAGAGGAGTTGAAGGGAGGAAAAGAAGGAGAAAAGTGGTCGAAAGAGCGAGGTCGGGTCTTTTATGTCAAGGCTATGGTGGAAGAGGTGACAAAACAGTGTATTAGGGAGCTAAGCAGGGAACGACAAAACTAACCGCATATAGTAATTCACAGGTCCCTATATTACAAAGGAGAAATGTTTATTGAGCAAGCGCCACTCCCTGCGTTTCTCAATGGATATACGGCATCTAGACAAAGTCTGGTTCATGCTTCCCGGTTATCTGTACCTACTAGAGATTTATTACTCACGTAGAGAACCTTGGATCCACCTTTGCTCTTCGAGCCAATGTCGCAGCCAGGCTATATAAAGGAGATATAGGACTGAGCAGACCCCCAGGTCTGACGATTTGACCAAAGTTCCCGCCGAAGAATCTTGTCTCTTCCATCAGTCGCAACATTAGAATCTAGATACAAGTCAGATACTCGCTATTGCTTTTTTATTACTCAAATGGTCAGTACCTCGACCCATTGCATCTAGGCTCATCTGGTTAACATTGCACAAACCGGGTTCATCACGTTGTCAGGGGTACCGGGAATTGACTCACATTATTCGCCGAGAGGTGTATCCAAGTGATTTTATCATCTCCGTCCAAGATTTTATGGTTTTGTAAAAGTTCCGATACGGGCAACTGCTTCCAACTCACCCTAGTGTCATCACCAACCTGAACCTTAGTGGCCGTGAAGACTTGATCCACCGGGGTCGCTGGGGATGTAAGGTTGTTGGCATAGCCGGAGCTCTCAAATGCCGCATTTTTAAGCTCCCGTACTATTGCCTTGGTAGTCGGAGATACTATTTTGGCGCCGAGTGACAGCGCGAGCTTGACAGGGTCAGTATACTGATGGTCGGTTCCTGGGACTTCTGGCTCCAGATAGCCTTCTTCGTGAATCCTAGCAATCGATCCCCAGTTGAGCCCGTGATCAATTAATGCTCGTACAACCTCTATATGCCCACGGCTGATCGCAGCGCTGAGCGCGGAACCAGCGTCATATTCGGCGTCCACAACGAATCCCGTTTTGAAGTGCATATGATTCCCTTTTCCGATAAGCTGTAGACTTTGGTTGATTCGACCCTGGGCCAGATTCACCTGTGGAGTGTCTTTGGCAGCGCAGCCCTTATTTCACCATGGTATGAAAAGAGCCGTGCAGCTATCTCAGCGTACCCCTTAATCGCCGCTAATTCCAGAGGGCTGATGCCACGCAGATCGGGTGGTCTATAAGCGACAACAGCTTCATGTCTTTCTGGGTGAGGGCAGAACGGGCTCGGGTTTCCACTTCGCCTATGGCCTCCTTTTGACAAATGATTTTTACGCTCTCCTTGTTCTCGTAGAACACCGCCCAGTGTAGGATCGATTCGTCGTTTGCGGTCTTCACCAGGTAATCTTTGCCACTTGCGATCGCCCAAGCCAACCACTCAGTCATGTTGTGCTCTGCCACGATATGTAGAAAGGTTACTGAAGGTCCATACACCTGCATGCCTCGCAGGCAGTCGTGCAAATGCGCCCACATGGAGAACAATGCCATACGGCCTAATGGGACGAAAATCATTTCGCTTGGTCTGATGAACGACAGATATGACATTTGGTATGTGGCGGTGTAAGTCAGGCCGGCGTAACTCTCCAGCACCGGAACCGTGCCAAGCTGTCTCGATTCAGGATCACCCGGGTCTAATGATAAGACTTGCTCGGTGAACTTCGGCAACTTTGGCCCCAGTCATCTCGATATGACGGCCAGTAAGTTTCCAGGCATTGAAGTCCGGCGGTAACCAACCGTTCATGACCGCGTTGGAGGAATGCGCGATACTCCATACCAAGATGCTCTGTAAAGAGCGATTCACATGCGTCTGACTTGAGATACTGCTCAAGTGAAGGTTGAATCAAAGATACGATTCTGTCTCGTATATCAGGCTTCCCATTGAACGGATGGTATGCGAGGCTCGCAAGAGAGCCTGTGCGGTCTAGTACCATCGACCTCATCATGGCGATATTGTCCGACAATCGCTCATCGCAAAGCCAACAAAACTCTCCCAGTGTCAGAGATCTAGGAATAGTCCCAATGAATATTTTTCGTTTTTAGCGCTACTTCTGTATTATAAATCAATTACAATAATGCGTAGGATTCTTTGGTACACAAGGCCTTTCTCGCAGCTGTACAGTATATGACATTGTGAGATAAATAAAGATAAAAACCCACTGTTTGTTTGTTCGGCTGAAGTACGTCTCCGTTCTTTCACCTTTGCTAGCTCCACATAATAGTCCCCCCCCCCCCCCCCCCCCCCCGGCCCCACACCGTTTATGTTTCTTCAACAGCTCGTAGCTGATGTCTACCTAGGATTAAAATAACAAACATGTAGGTTCTCTGTCTCGCATGCGATAAGCTAGCTCTAGAGAAATTTGAGTCTTCGGTCCTCCCTTCTCCTGTAACTCCTCCCAATCCGGCAATTTGAAGTTTGGTCCGTCTGAGAAAGATATTAAATCTTCCATTTCCACTCCTAAACTGGACTTAGCTAAACTTCGTGACTTACAGGCATCTAGTAACCCAAGGTATAATTTACCACAGAGCCTCCCATATCACAGGTTCGGCCATGGATGGGCAGTTCCTAGACTCCTTGTCGAGGCCATAACTGTGAAGCGGAATTTATATAGGCTTCCTAAGCCGGTGCTAGGGTCAGTGTGGATTTCACAACATGCGCCTCTCACGTATACCTTAGGATTAGCAGTCAAAGTAGCATACAATAAGCCATCCGGCCAGGGGTATACCTAGGCTGTTAGTTACCCGTCCTACTCCCACCCATGCAATGTCTTGAACGCAATGCGCATGTCCGGAGCTAGACAGAGAGACTGGTGTCGGGATATCCTCCGTTAGGTGCCCTTCTCCATCCCACCAGCATCAACATCGCGTATCTGCCTAAGCCAGATAGAAAAGCACACTCGGCCCCCTGCCCGATTCTCTCCAATACAGAGACGGTCTTCATCCATCCCGGCTCTAAGCCCTAGGCACAACATGGCCGACCAAATCGTGCATGATCTCCACGAACATGGCCGTCGTGCCTGGGGCTTCGTTATTTACCGATGTACCTACCAAAGTAACACAGTTTGGGCCGAATTTATGGGTCGGCTCCTCGCTAATACTGAGCATAAGCTGGAAAACAATCAGGGCCTTGATTTACTTGATAATTTAGCCCTGACTGTGATTGAAGACTTGGAGAATTTGGACCGGGCGACTATGGCTGTGATTCGGGATCATGTTCGGCAGTGGGTGGTGACCGCTGTGCAAGAAGAACCGGACATTACTAGCCCAGTGGTGCTATTATCGCAGCGATATACGTTCTTACTGAAGAAAGGGATGGGAGGGGGTTGCGTGACTGATTAGAGGGGCTGGGAGGTGTATGACTCGTACGATCATGGGGAGAGGATTAAGGACGTGGAAGAGGCGATTGAAGGGTGTACCTTAGAAGACGTGGGATGGACAAAGGTCCCTTTCGATGGTGTGATGGTCGTTCCTTAGTACGTTTCACTCAGGTGGAGCGGGTTGGGAGAAAAAGTATCGCCGTCCGCCAGAGATTTCTTGTTCCTAGTAGTCTTGTCTTTTTCATCACACATCATTTCGTATGCCCGGCGAAGATCCAAAAGTATGGTCAATCTCGCTGATCAATTTGCTATCTGATCCCCGACCACATTGAATCACACAGGGAGTCCATTGATAGGCATACGCCTAAGGAGCTAGATGAATCATGCCCTGATAGGTCCCATTGTAGTTCCAAATATCAATCAGAATCGTAAGAGTCATTCCCAACATGCCAGGCCAGCCTATCCAAACCCAAACTCCTTTGCTATGCAGTATCATTAAACAGACCGGCCGATCATCCCAAACGCAATGTCAAACACTCATCTTTCTTCGATCCAGTGCCCTCCCAAGCCTGGCGAATGGTCTGGACGGTGTCCCAGACTTTCTTGCGTGCCAGGAAACGATTCATGCCATTTTCAAGCATCGTCTCGTAGAGGGTGTATCTGTGTCGAACATGGGCCTCGACAGCCAGCTGGGCTTTATGACTGTCGGTAAGGGTGCCAGTGCGGCCCACGCGACCTGAACCCTTTTGAAAGGCGTGCTCCAGAATGACATCGAGAGTGTCCTCTGGCATCAATGGGAATTGCTCTCGTAGGAGCTCTCGTCCATGGTCGAGAAATTTGGTGTCACGGGCTTTGGTGGCAGAGGCACGAGACTTTTCGGTCTCTTTGGACATGGCTTCAACCTCATTGTAGATGTCAGAGGGCACGCGAATTCCGAGGGAACGCTTGCCCGTTTTGTCCTAAGAATTAATGAGACGACATGTTGAGGATGGAAACATAGTGTTAGAGGTGGTTGCGCACTCACGTAGACTTTGTACACAACTTGGTCAGAATCCTTGGTCATAAGCCGGCACTTTCGAGTAATGTAGACATCGCCTTTCGGAACGAAAGTGTAGCCCTTGGGCATCAGCGCACGCTCATACACGTTCTATGCAGCATTAAATACTGTTGCGACGAGTAACCAACCACGAGGGACATTCGACTTACATCTTCCAATGGATCTTCGGACTCGGGCATTCTGGGCATAGATTTGCGCTTTGCCTTGCGAGGTGCTTCATCTCCATCCGGACCTTGCTTGCCATCCTTGATCAAGGACCGGGCTTTTGACTTGCGCACGCCGCCCTTTCGACGGTGCACCACCTTTCTACGGTGGCGGACCTTGCGTGGCGATGGGTTTCGAGGCATTTTGCTGCTGATTGATGTTTGAGATTTTGAAAATGAAGACAAAAACGTTGGAGAATTTGGGATCACAAAGAGCGTTAATTGTGATGGTAAACGTGAGTCAACAAAAGACCAGAGGGATGGAAAGAAAGAGAGAAAGGCGAGGAGGACAAAGAAAGGATCAATGAGGATGACCCCGCTCAGTTTGGGTCACTGAGGCGGGTCAGTTTTGAATTGTTGATGGTCACGTTTTCATTCTTTCTTGATGCTGGTTGAGATGGATGTGGTGTGGTGGATGTAAACGGCCTAGTAGTCGATCGATTGGGAAGGCGCAGAATGTGGCGGACACCTGTGGCTGTGTTGTGGAAGTGTGGCGCACCAGGGGAGGGACATGGTGCCTGGCAGCCTGACTGCCTGATAGTTTAGGCCAACTCTCGCGGGGCGCAGGTCCAATTGTCAAGTTGTTCGCTAGCCAAGGTTGATTTAAGAATAAGTTTTACTTTTAGGTGCAGAAAAAAAATAATTGTAACAGTTCTCCCAGTGGCATAGAAAAAACAATACAGCCAATGGAGTCGCAAATTGCGGCTCGCAATTGATGGTTTGAGCCTACCAGAAATCAATGTCAACATGTCCCCAGTGTCGATTCTATACATACAGTAGTCTAGAAAACTAACACGTGCTTTGTCCAATTGTTCAATGTGATGGGTCAATTTATTATGCAGCTAGCGAGATCGAGGTGACATCTGTGTGCCACTGTGCACGCAATCTAGTTGACTCTAAATATATGGACTGTCCAATAACGTGGGACGGGCGGCATGTAGAGGTAGGTGCTTGTGGGAATGAGGGAAACAGGCCAGGCCGAGGCTGAGGTGATGTGATTGACTCAAGTATATGCTCTACGTTGAACAATAATTTACACCGGCTACAATACTTCAACATACAGCGGTAGTATGTATGTACATCCAGTTTGTCCAGTGTAGTCCACACTGGCTGGTGGGGCCAGGATTGCAGATCAAGCTTCCAATTGTGATCCTATTGCCACGTCGAGTGTGCCCGCCCTTGCAGCCCAAGATGCAGGTACAATGCAAAATCTGAGCTCAAGTCTTACCCTAGTACCCTCAGCGATCATTGTTCACGAGGGGAGGGCAGAACGACGATCTGTCTTGAAATTGGGAGACAGAGTTAGGAACTCCACTCGGATCAGGTTAAAGTGTCCTAGAGGCGGCTCAGATCAGATGAGGGAAAAGTCAATCCGGTTCAAAGAGTATATTCATTGTGGGTAGGCTTATTCTGTAGGTCCGTAAGGTGACCGAGATTATGATCAACCCAGATCTCGTGTGAGATTTAGCGTGGGGAGCTCCAGTGGGTTAGCTTGTGGGTTCAAGGTTAGGAGTGGGCAGGGCTGGACCTCGTTCATGTCGCATGTATCGGAGATTGGACAACTGGATAAGTGGATGGCTGGGCCCGTTGCTCGGACGAGAGGGACAACAGTCAGATCCGATGGCTGATGAGCATCCGAATTCTCTCTGGAAGTACAAAGTACATAAAGAAAAAAATACTTGAGTACTTGCTAGAGATACTACCGGGCTGTGCAAGATGTTCAGCCAGCAAAAGTCCGGTTCTGACCAGACCAGGAATCAAATGAGGAGCAAATGAGGAGTAAGGGGAAGCGACCCGCCAAACAAGACGGGGGATGAATCAGCGGAGAGACACAAATTCAAGGTGGTGGTGCCAAGAAGATGGGCTGGTCGTATATGCCAGGGGCCGTGAATTTTAGCGGCTAGGGATTGACAAGTGACAATGAGTTGAGGGGGGAAACTTGAAGGATCTATACTACAGTATGTATAGGCACACCTAGTGTGTTTGCTCGAGAACTACATACAGAATGCGTGTACCAAGTAAGTATACTCCGTATCTATGGTAGAACGGCAAAGCAATTTTGCCGATTAGCCCGAGGGGTTCGTTTAACTACGTGGTGGAATAGGTGGAAAAGGGAACAAGACATGGCAGTTGGTGACTTGACTGGTTTAGAGACCCCCCCCTTTAACGGACCGGGGATGACCTTCAGCTCGCCCGAGTGCCGAATCCCTAACTGTTTAGGGCCTACGGGCTTATGGATTAGCATCATGGCGAGCTGAACCCCCTCTACCCGCGGAAGATACGTACTGGATCAGGTCCGGTCAGCAATTCTTCTACATGCTGCCCAAGATACGGAGTCCGGAGTACTCCCGCTACGAGATATACATACTGTTAGTTTACTTACAGAAAGGCTCAGTTTCCAAGTCAGTCAGTTCCGTAGTTCTCACCCGTCCAGCCGCTTTTCTCCAGGCTCTTCAATGGGTTGATTCCTAGGCGGCTCCACTTTCATCTCGCCAGGCATGGCCACATGTCGTCATCGGTCAGATTGGGTCCCGGGGGAGTTGAGCAAGTCGAGTTTAGTGTGTACTCCATCGTAGTGACTAGTAGCTATATCCTTAGCCTTCGAGTTTGACTGGTCCTACAAAAGACGAACAAAGCGGGAGTGACCCCGCGCTCTTTAGTGACTGGCTGGTGCAATCGCTACCGGCTGCCCCGAAGCTCTGGCGGTACAATACACAATACTAGGGTACGGTAGTAGGACTAAAGAGATGAGACGACCAAGGAACTTCAAGAGCTAGAGAACTTAGGAAACGAGGCTCGATCGTGTCCGCCCCAATAGGGTCTGGATCGGCGGGGGAGTTTAGACCCAATTTAGACCCCCAAGGAGGCCTAGGAGGCGCTCTGTTGTTCTTTGTTCAGCTGGTGCTGACCTGTCGGACCGAGGGAGCTCTCAAAAAGAGTGTTTGCGTGCGACCGAGTCGATAGGAAGGATATAATGATACAATGAATAAATGTGAGGATAGAGTATAGCTATAGCTATAGCTATTGTAGGTTTTAGTAACATAGTTCCCTTTAAACCATGGCTTTTATCGTATCCGATGATACTTCGATATACTCCGTGTTCCTTAGTAGTACTCCGCATGAACTAGAACTTCTCAACTCTACTCCATGTACAAGATTCTAAGCTCAGTCCCCATTTGATCCCTACTACTCACATCTATTCATTCAAACCATCTCGCCAGTTGAATAACGGAACATCGGAAGTTTGATAGTGGATTCGGTGGAGGCCGACCAAGTGAATCAAACCAAAAAGGACCCAAGAAAAAAAAGGTGGAAATCCCCACGGAAAAAAGAAGAAACCAACTTGGACCAACTGAGAAAAAGAAAAACACCCCTCCGTCTACTCTCCGTCTTCTACTCCGTCTTCTCCTCCTCCCTGCAGACGATCCTTCCGAACCATCCCAACTGGTCCAGCTTCGAGTTATTCCACCTTATCGGCATTCTCGGTTCTTGCTGGTCTCCCTGTGGACTGAACCTGCCAGATCCTCCAACGGGCCCCAAACTATACCCAGACGCTCATTGATCGAGGAAACTACGAAGTCCCGAACCGGCTTACTTCCACCACCACCACGCCGACCAACTCCTTCCTTCCTGCAGAGCCGCTTAGCCTCGACTCCCCCTCGAAACCAATTTTGGGACCGATTATAGCTACTTCAAAAGCTACAGTTTATTCATTCCAATCTACACTCACTACCACCCACAAGTTATACTGCAGCATCCAACTTCGATCAATGCTGTAATCTCCCGCAAACCTTCTCGCCCACCCTCCCTGCCGAGCATTCCTCCCCTCTCCCCCCTTCGACTCGTCTCCTCCAATCTTCTTCATATCTCCCTCCGTTAAGGTTGCCTGGCAGCTCGACCGTCGATGGTTGCTAGGCTCGTGTTGCTGACATGAGTTGGGATCACCCTGTCCACAGGTATGCTGAAGCCCTCTACTCCTTCTGCTACCACTAACACGACCACCTTTCCTCCAATCCCCCCCCCCCCTCCCCTCCCTCCTTTCCTCCCTTCCGAGTGGGGTGTCTTACTCGAGATACTCTATGCTTGGTTGTCCCGATATTCTATGCTATTCCGCATTTCGGTCGCAATCTTGTTCTGCATTGCCCGCCGGTCTTGACCCCGAAAAATGATGCTAATGTACCCGGCCATGTTCAGCTTCAGCTATCCCAACGGCGAACCGCAGACCCCGACAAGGACTCCGACGACGGCCGCCTTTGACTCCTTCACAACGCCAAAGCTCGAGTCGAGTTTTTTTGACCCTCGAGTCACCTGGGATACGGCAGACCCTTATGCCTCCAGTCCTGAGTTCCTTCGCTCCCCACACAAGTTCGGCATCAATACCCCGTCCAATGCTTTGAGAGCAGAGGCATCGACAGATATCAGAGATGGAAGGGGCTCAGAAAACACCGATACCGCCAGGAGGATTCGTCCCATGAGGCCGATGCCCACCGTGGGTGAAGATGGTCCGAGGACGGTGGATTCGGCCAAATCCGCAGCATCCATGCAAACCCCACCGCCGACCAGTGCGTCTAGACGAAAGATTCCTGATTTTGAGTCCTTGGGCAGTGTCGGGAGAGGGACAACACCGCGGGTGGCCAATCATTTAGAGACCCCGAGTCGTCTTCTGGGGGTATCCCCTCGACTGTTCGGGAATTTGCAGTCTTCTCCGGACCTCTTCCAACTAGCTTCGTTAGATCCCACGGGGTCTCCTTTCTTCCCACAGCAGCGGCTGTTCTGGGATCACGAGCAGGAGCAGCCAGTACATGGACTCCCGTCACTCGACTCCGGTAGGGGCCATGTTCATGCCGGACGACCATCTGCCCATGCCTCTCTCAGCGCAAATATCCCACAACTACCCGCCATCGATGGCTCCATGGATTTGCCTGAGTTCACCAACGGTGGGTTTGGAATCTCCTCGGCTCCTCCCACCGATGCAGCTCTCTTTCCTGCTCCCTTTTCGACTTCTCCACGTATCCCCGTCACCAAGGCCGAGGACCCAGCGATGTTTTTGAGCTCCCCTGCCCGACGGTTTGGTGGGCCTCAGCTCACACCCGAAAGGCGGCCTGGAATGAGACAGCCTTATCACCACCAAATCGAGGAATCAAAGCGAGAGGAACTTCGTCGAGCCCATGGTTTCGAAGGATATCGTCCGGCCTCGTTCTCGAGCTTCTCGGGCGATGACGAAGAGGACGATTTCACCCCGCGTGGCCGGCCAGGACTCACTCGAAGTGTCACACATACGGCGATCACGAGCTCTTCCCATCGTCCACTCAGTCGATCCAGCGGTATCATGGCCACGACGAGTGGAATTCGTAAGAGTCCTTCCAAGGGGCGAGTCTCTCCCGTTAAGACCATGAGACCGGCGCCGTTGGGTCGGTCCAATTCAGTCGCCTCGGGCATGCCCACTCGTTCGCAGTCGGTGGTGTTGAAAATTGGCAAAGATGGTCGGGCCAAGGCAGAAATGCAGCCTCTCGACGAGGGTCCCACGGGGTTGACTGATCCCTTGACTGGGATGGATCTGGATGGTTCTGCCACCGAGAGCGAGGCCGACCCTGCGGAATATTCTGAATATCCCGTTCTGTCTCGTCCGCAGTCTTCTTCGTTCGGTCTCTTCGACGGTGGTCGACCCTCCCTGTCTTGTAGTGACTCTGGCTCTCGCCCTCCCTCCAAAGGATCCTATGCGTCTACAGTTGGCTCATCCCACTCTGGACGGATGTCTCCCTGGGCGGGCTCCTCCCGAGCTGTCTCTAGCCGATCCACCTACCGGGGTTCTCCCGAGGCTATCAAGCGGACGCCAAGCAAGCGACATTCATCCCTACTCCATTCGGATGCTACGTATACCCGGGGCAGCGTCGCCTCTCAGACGCTACCTGGCGAAGAGGATGACAGTGGTGATGCCACCCACGCCCTTCGACAGGTTCTTAAAGAGCGTGGACGGGGAGGCAGACCTTCCACCGGGGGCTACGGTGCTCGTCTTCCCCGAGCTGCTACATTTGCTCACATACGCTCTTCCCCTCCTCGACTCCATAGTGATTTCGATATCCACCCATCTCATCACTCGAGCCACTCTCCCACCACCTTGACCGACCCTGACCTAGCCACCCCCAGCACCGACCGCCATAGTAATCCCAGTAATGGGACGCGCTGTGTTTGCAATTCGATGGATAATGGTGGCCATCTCATGATTCAATGGTAAGCTTTGTTTCTCTATCGTCGTTTTTTGGTCCAAGTGCACTCACCACTTTGTTTCCAGTGAATCTTGTACCCACTGGCTCCATACGAAATGTGTCGGTCTGGAGCGGTCCAACCTGCCATCCTTTTATGTCTGCATGTTCTGTTCCCAAACCCCCTCCCGTGTCCGGTCGGGATATGCACCGGGCGGGGGTCCTCCTTCACCTTTGGCGCATAAATCCTTTCGATTCCGGTAAACCTGCCGGGGGCCCGAGTGACCCTGTCCTATGAGGATGTGTCTTAACGACCTTGTTTTTCCTTTGTTATATCATTTCCCCCCGAGCGCCGGGGTTTTTTTCTTATTGTCAACCTTGCATCGGGACACTTCCCGCCGTTCTTGTGTTTCTTCCTTTTAATTACCCCCTCTTTGTCTTTCATGATGATACCTCTGTACTCTTTTCTATCTGTACTATTGCCATTATACTCTTTCCCCCGATCCAATAGAAGTTTTCCTTTTTTTACTTTTTGACTCGCGCATAGAATCGGCAGCCCGCCCGATATTCCTGGAAGGCTCTTGTCCTTCTTCTCCTTCTGATTGGTTCATAACCCACTTATCGCTCTCACCGCCTTTTATTATCGTGAAAAAGTAAATCGGCTCCCCGCAAATTCCAAAATCGAGTCATTTCTTCTTGCCTCCCCCGGGTCTTTCACTCTTTCTTAGACCACACACTCTCTCTTTTGCTAGTTTGGCCATGTCTGCTTCACTCCCTGGTCCTCGCGACCTGCCTGTCTCTCAATATGACTTGAAGTCCTACTGGGGCCGTGTCCGCCATGCTGCTGATATCTCCGATCCTCGGTAAGCAGCCCCGAGGGTACTGTCTTGCGACGCGATTGTATACTAATTCATTGATCAGGACGCTGCTCGTCTCGCCCGCGGGCCTGGAGCAAGCCAAGAGCTTGATTGCTTCCTACAAGCAGAACAAGATCCCTGTTATGACTCCGGAATTGTGGAAGGCGAAGAAGGTGGTGGACTCGACGCTGCACCCTGGTATGGATTCGATGGTATACTTTGGGAAAGGAGTCAATCGCTAATATTGTGTGTGCCGTAGATACCGGCGAACCGGTCATACTTCCTTTCCGCATGTCTGCTTACGTCCTGACGAATCTGGTCGTTACGGCAGGCATGCTCACCCCGGGTCTTAGTGTGAGTAATTAACAAGTCTCCAAATTGGCACGCGACAACCCTAACCTGTTCCCCTCTAGACGGCCGGCACTCTTCTCTGGCAAATCGGCAACCAGTCGCTCAACGTCGCCATCAACAATGCCAACGCCAACAAGTCCACCCCCCTCTCCACCTCCCAAATCGCCAAATCCTACCTCATGGCCGTGTCCGCCTCTTGCTCGGTCGCCCTGGGTCTGAACGCCCTCGTGCCGCGCCTCAAGAGCATCTCCCCCAACACTCGCCTGATTCTCTCTCGTCTCGTCCCCTTCGCCGCTGTCGCCAGTGCCTCAGCCCTGAACGTCTTCCTCATGCGTGGCGAGGAGATCCGCCGCGGCATCGACGTGTACCCCGTCCTCTCGGACGCAGACCGCGCTAAGCGTGAAGCCCTCGGCGACGACGCCGAGCCCCTCCAGAGCCTGGGCAAGAGTAAGAAGGCCGCAACCCTCGCTGTCGGCGAAACCGCCATCTCGCGTGTCCTGAACGCAACCCCGATCATGGTCCTGCCCCCTCTGATCCTGGTCCGTCTCGAGAAAACCGCCTGGTTGCGTGCGAACCCGCGTCTGACCCTCCCCGTGAACTTGGGTCTCGTTTTGACTACTTCCCTGTTCGCTTTGCCGTTGGCCTTGGCGGCTTTCCCGCAGCGTCAGGCTATTAGTGCTGCTTCTTTGGAGGAGGAGTTCCATGGTCGGGGTGGTGCTGAGGGGATGGTTGAGTTTAATCGGGGTATGTAATTGGGATTCGATTTTTTTCGGTTTTGTCTTTTGGGCGTTTGATTATAGCGTGTGCATTTTGCATTTGCATGTGCATGAATGAATAGAATTTTTGGGCTTTTACTGCGTGATGATTCTCGGGTTTGTTGTATAGGATTTGAATATATGATCTTGTCTATGTACATGGATTTGCGTAGCCTGTAGGTGGAATCTTTCTTTTCTCTCTTTCGAGTGGGAATCACAAAGAAAGAACCCCCGCATCTCTAAATTGGAGGGACACTTTAGTTGGAGAACATCGCATTAGTTACTCCAACGCTACCCCAACATCTGTACACAACCCCATCCTTCCCTATCCTTCATCTTATAGTCCGACCAATCTTCCACCTCACACTCTCGGACCCAATCAACTCAAAAACCTAAGACTCACCATTATCGTCTCATCACCTTCATCATGGGCTCAACATCCCCACCCCTCTCCCTCGACATACAAACCCTCACAATCCCAACCTTCCACGCCGCCCTCTCCAGCAAAACAACAACCTGCACCGACCTAATCCAAACCTACCTCACCCGCATAACCAAATATAATCCAATGCTCAACTCCCTAATCAACATAAACCCACAAGCCCTATCCCTCGCCAAAGAAAAGGATCTGGAAACTCAATCCCTTCTCTCCGAAAATAAACCCCTCCCGCCCCTCCACGGTGTACCAATCATCGTGAAAGATAATATCTCAACGAAAGATATACCCACCACCGCAGGCGTATCCGCTCTTCGCGGGCTAGTCACGAAAACAGATAGTGATGTCGTTTCTCGTCTGAAAGATGCTGGTGCTATCATCTTAGCGAAAGCCAATTTACACGAATTCGCCCTACAGGGCACGAGCACATCTTCGGCAGGCGGACAGTGTTTGAATCCGTTTGATCCCAGCCGGACACCGGGTGGATCATCGGGTGGAACGGCTGTTGCTATTGCGAGTGGGTTGGGTCTTGTTGGGCTTGGTAGTGATACGGTTAATTCGTTGAGGTCGCCTGCGTCGGCGTGTGGGATTGTCGGGTTTAGACCTTCATGGGGGAGGGTGAGTACACAGGGTGTTGTGCCTGTTTCGGGTGTGCAGGATGTGGTTGGGCCTATGGGTGGATCAGCGGTGGATGTTAGGGTTGTTTTTGATGTTTTGAAGGTTGATAAGAGGGAGGTGAGTGGTGAGTGTGAGGGTTCAAGAAGAAGGACAATCCGGATTGGTATTCTAGATGCTTATTTCGGACTCGATGATCCCAACACTGATCTATCAACGAACCTCATCCACGAAAACGAGATTGTTCAGGACATCATCAATGATGCTATATCATCTATCAGTGGATCCAAGTCTGGATCAGATATCGAATTCATCCATATCAATCCCACCACCCATCCAGACTGGCGTTTCACAACTCTCTACTCCACGGCTGATACACAAATCTACGAGTTCCAGGAACGATTAAATACATTTCTCCAATCACCAGAAGTCATATCACCGTATCACTCGTTAAAAGAGATTGCGGAAAGTGGGGACTATGACAAAAATGCAGTGACGGAGGTATTCACTGCACCGTTGAAAGATCCGGAGACATTCTCACTATCGAGTCCCGGGTATCAAACTCGTTTAAAGAATATTTCGATCTTGAAAGATTCTATGAACGAATGTTTTGAGAAAAATGATATCGACGCATTGGTCTATCCGCATCAACGACAGTTAGTCGTTGAAATTGGGACGACTTTACAACCGAGGCGGAATGGAATACTTGCTGCGTTGACGGGAAGGCCTGCTATTTGTATTCCTGGTGAGTTTCTTACATCTCAACATACCAACTAGTAGATTCTAATCTAGAGTAATGCTGATTCTGTATACATAGCTGGGTTTAGTCCTCCGACTTCTACAGCTGTTCAGGGTGTGCCGGTGGGATTGGAGTTGATGGGGAGAGTTGATTGTGATGAGGAGTTGTTGGGTCTTGCGGAGAGGATTGAGGGTATTCTTCAGAGGAGGGTGCCGAATATGGAGCGGATTGAATAGTTATTCTGGGGAGTGCGGAAGTGTCTGTTTTGGTTAGGTGATAGGTAACCTTGATATGCTGTAAATCAGAACAATGATCTACGTTTCTGGCTCGCCCTTATCTGTTTGGAGACAATGGGCTGGGCTGTATAGATGGGATGAATGGACGACTATATGGTTTAAAGTGGGAGACTATATCTTTGAATCAAGGTAGTGATTGATATACATCTACCAGCCAGACATCTACACCAGTTTCTGGCAAGAGGGCTAGAATCTCCAATTTCAAGAGACCCCAAACAGCAAAACAGTCAAAGGATCAATGGAGTCGGGTCATAGGACCGGCCAATGCCTATGTACATCCCCTATACTCCCACATGGACGCCTATAATACCCCGACCTCATGGTATAAGAATCACAATCACAATCACAATCACAGCCTAAAAGTCCAACAACCCCCATGAATATACTCAAAAGATAAAAAAAAAACCAGAAGAAAAGAAACATCGCGCAGCAGATGCAACAGCGCAGAAGCCTTTAGAATATAAACCAATCACCAGCGCCGAAAGGAATGGCAAGAAGAATAACTAAAAGATAAAACCCATAAGATATCACGATCCATTCCGCATCGTGTGAGATGCCGCCATCGGGGAAACATGCGAGGAGAGACACATTGCGGAGATCCTGTCGCTCCAGCTGGTGCGGGGCCTCGGTGGCTTTCGTTGCTCGGGTCATGGTCCTCCCGGGGATACAGAGATTCATAATCGTCATGCCAGCCAGAAAAAGATCGCAGTGAAGTCACCGGAGACATGCCAGGCCGAGAAAGACGCAGGAGACAGATAGAAGAAACCCAGTACACATCATTATCATCATTTTGCCAGTCAATGTGAACGAAAACACCAATCCATCCCATCCATGTGTTGATAATAATTACCCCTTGAAAAGACAACCGTCTATCCACAAACCCAGTGACGCCATATACGGGGGGAGATGAGAGTTAAAGAGACACCCATGAGAAAAAATAATGAGTGGCCGCTTTACCTGGCCCCAGCCTGGCGATGAAGGCCCATGCCGATGCGGTAAGCCTCAGTGCCGTCGTCGATAAGACTTTCCTTGAACCAGGGATGCTTCAAGGCTTGCTTGGCAGTGATTCGCTGCTTGGGATCGTAGACGAAGATCTTTTGTAGGAGATCCAGGAACGAACGGTTGAAGGGGGTATTGGTTGGGATGAACTCCTGCATAAGAATAAACCAGTCAGATCGTCTTCACAAAAAAGATAGGTATTTGATTTGACCTGTGACTTACAGTAAGCGCCTTCATGAGACGAACATACTTGCGTGACGCCCGGGTAGTTTCGTTGTTGGGATAGTCCAGCTTGTTCCTGTTAAAGTACCTGATAACGGGTTAATCCTGATTCAGAGTCACAAAGAGGGATAACTTACTTGGCGGCTGAATTGTGATTACCAGCACGGCCCTGCACCACCTGACGAACAAGACGTGAATCAATGCGAGTACCAATGACTGCCTCCATCATTGCCAAATGCTCGAGATTGTCGTGAGTCTGGAAGAGAGCATCACCGGTAAAGAACTCAACCAGGATACACCCAATACTCCATATATCACAGGGGAAACTCCAGCCGAGATTCAATATGATCTCGGGTGCCCGATAGTGGCGGGTGGACACGACAGAAGAGTGATATTCATCATCAAATGTGGCAGAACCAAAGTCAATAAGACGAATCTCGCTGTCGAGAAGCACCCGTCGCTGGCGTGCATTGCGGGGGTTTGCGTGAGAGGAGGAGGGGATGGTGCGGTTATAGGTAAAGGTCTGGTAGTTGCTGCTGACAAGGAGAATGTTTTCGGGTTTGAGGTCGGTATGGATGAGGTTTAGGTCGTGGAGGACTGGAATGAGATCAGTATAGATCCTCACTCGGGAATGAAAGAAGGGGGGAATGCTAGGTAATCAACTTACAGGCCACACTCGTAAACAGTTGTCGCGCAAAGTTCTGGATTTGACTGCTGGGAAAAGGCACAAACCCGTTACCCTTCAGGAAATCAAACACGCTCTGCCCTAGCAAATCGGTCACGATGCAGATGTGGTTCCGGAAATCGAAACAATCCCGAAGGTGGATGCACTTGTTGCGGTTGGCCTTGTCGTTCGAGGCCAGGGTAGACAAGACGCGTAACTCAATGCGCGATGCATCTCGGTACTTTTGAATGGATCGAATGATCTTGACGGCGCAGCGAGCCTTTCGCTGCTTATCAAATGCTTCCACAACCTTGCCAAAAGTGCCCTGACCGAGAAGTTTGATGATGGAGTCTAGCAAAGAAGAAGGGTCAGCCGAGTCCAAGTTTCCAGATACTGTAAACAGGTCTACCTACATCGTTCTGTCAGAGGCGTGTCGGGAGTCACAATGTAGTGGCCATCATCATCGTCGAACTTTTCATGGCGACCACTCGTGAACTGTAGGAGACAATCTAGTTAGTTTCCACTGCCGTGTCGCTGAAGACTCGAATCGAGGGAGGACGTACATCGCGAATCACAGGCACAGGAACATCCTTGGCCTTGATGATGGGCTTCGAGGGAGGAACATAGCTGGGAAACGCCTCTGGCGCGTTCTCCAGCTCTCGACGTTTCTGTTCATCGCGAGTCGATTTCCGGGTGGTCCGCTTGCGCTTTTGGCCCACCGTGGCGTCTTCATAGTATACACCGTTGCTGGCTCCCGAACTCCCTTGCGACCCGAGGGAGGTCGGAGCCGTGGTGTGCAGAGACGTCGTCCGGTCAGTGGACAAGGAGTGCGCGGAGGATTCCTCGCCGTATTGTTGGGGATTGATGGAAAAGGACGGTCGGTCGTAGTATCCCAGGTCGTACGCGGTCTCGATTCCCGTGCGGCGCCTTTTACCCGCTGGTTGTGCCACTGGAGGTTGGCCAGTGGAGGAAGCGACACCATGCGGCGGTGGAGGAGGTGCTGCCGTCTTGGGAGCCTCTGGGGCCGGACTATCATCAATCACAATGACCTCCTTGGGGATGCCATTCTTGTAGAATTCTCCCCAGTCCGGCTTCTTTCTCCGACCACCTTGTGATGGGGCCGCACTGGAGCCGCTCGGATGCGACGCCATGACCGAAGGGGTCGATGTCGTTGGAGCGACTCGCGAGGGTTGTGCGTAGGGAAGAGTGGTTGTTGTCGGCGAAGGAATGGAATAGGTGTAGGGGTTTGCGAGGCGAGCCCCTGCGGCGGTCGTCGGGGTTGGGTACGTGGTCGTGGCTTGGTATGAGGAATGGGGATAGCCGTAGTGCTGGTGAGTAGTAGGATGGGTTGCAGTGGCCGTGGAAGGCGTGGACATTGTGGACGGAGGATTCCTGTCCGTCACACGAACAGTACTAGACGTGGAGAAGAGGAGAAAGTGTAATCACGACCGATTGTCGGCGGGAAATGCGAAGAAGGACTTGGCGAGCAAGCAGAAGGGGTAGTCTCGAGGCCTGACAGGACCTGCCTGACAGGATCAGGCTGACCGTTACAGGACGATAGCACGAACGAAGACTCCTAGGGGGGTCGCTTGGGGGTGGGAGGAGAGAAGGGCTTTTTAGGAGGGGAGGGAGAATGAGACGTGACAATGACGAGGCGGTCGGAGGCAGTGGATCAAGCGAGGCACAGAGGTCCTCGAGGCGATAACTCAGCTTCACGAGGAAGGGGGCTGAAACGAAGATAGCATTGGTGGAGGAGTAATCGACATTTGCGAGAAGGGCAGACCGAGTAAAGGAGGAAGAAGAAGGGGAGGAGAAGAGCTGGAAAGGCAAAGTGGTGATGATGGGGAAGAGGCGGACGGGGAGAATGGGGAGCCGGCGTGTTGCGAGTTCACGCCGATCCAATTTTGAGTCTGGGACGTTTTCAAGACTTGACTGGTCGAGTTAATCTGATTTGATTTGAGATTACAAGATATAAGACTAAATACGATAAATGAATAGAGGAAGTCTCGTCTCCTTAGACTAAGATATTAACTACTTTGTCGATGACCACTTCTACGGAGGAGACTCGCGCGCTTGTTGACTTGCCCGAGGGCGAGGACCCGAAGAAAATACCAACAGGCAAAAGACATTCCAATTGCGAAAGTGTATTAATAAATTCATAGATAATATAAGCAATACCGTCAGTTCTGGCCCTGGCAAACAATCCAATCTGATCCCTCTGTACTCCGTAGTCTCTGGTGGCCTAGTTGGGATCTGGTTGGTCTGGTGGCCCGCCACCGGCAGCGATGGAGCATCGCGTCCAAGCCCTGGCTTAGCGACCCCCGTCGCGAGAGCCCACATCGGGGCAAAATGGAGAGATGAAGTGGAGTGAAGTCGAGAACACAGTCTATCAACTAGGTAGAAAACTTTTAACGATAACTCATCTAAAGAAATAGACCAAGTCCGTATAATCATCTCAGCTTCTTCTCTTTTTCGCTGCAAAGACCCCGGCCGATCACCTGACAAGGCAGATGACTCAGCGTGGCAGTGAAGAGGCCAAAATGACACTGAAAACACTAAAAAGATTAAAAAGACTCAAGGTTTCAAAGTCAAAAGACTAAATTTCCCGTGGTTCGGATGAAAAGATGTGAAAAGTCGCGAGGACTAGATCATCAAGAGATGATGAGAGATGGCTAGGTGGGCGTTACAGACAAGAGAAGAACTCACCGTCGAGTAAGAGCCAAGTCATTAAAGGAGCCAACACCACTCAGACGGAGAATTATGCTCGAAGCCCAGAGAAGACGGTCAACGCCGCTTCATGGAATGTGCAATGTATGGTCATTGTATCTCCTATGTAGAGCTCCCATCCGTGCCTATGCTATTTAAATATATACAGCACTTCCAGTACTTCCGTATATGCAAGGGAGTCCGCCTCGAGTGACGTGGGAAGAATTACCCCCCGCTCCTCTTTGCGCCATAGCGTGAAGGAAGAGGAGAAGTCTTCCATTTTGCTTTTTTGGTGGCGAAAACGGGAGTATCACGGAACATCAATATCTACCCTCTGGGTTGGTTCCAGATTGATGATTCTAGAATGGTCCAATGTAAGTGTCCGAGAGTTCCAAGCACTGTAGGAACGCCTCCATGCCCATGGATCTGGCAGGTAGGACACCCGGAGGCCCGATTAAATACCTCCTTAGTAGGTAATCATGGACGATCAATCCTAGTACCTGTAGAAATAGCATGTACATTCTAAAGTAATCCCCCGATTTGGGGATGCAAAGCGATCCTCGATGATAGGTCCTGGCTTGCGCCCGATGCCATCGAGGGGCCAACTATGTGGCTGAAGATTAGAGCTGTGTGGAATATGACCGGAGAAAACCGAAATTCTATACTGCGTAGTATTCCAATATGCTAGTGGTATTTAAGCCCGATCCTTCCAACCTTTTTATCCCTGGATCTGATCGAACAAGTAGACCAGAGGGCCTCGGGCAGAGGTGGAAATATATACTTCTCCTCAGCACCCTCCAGAAATAGGCATAGTACATCTACCCGGTGACACCAACAATTCTATATATATTTGGCTGATATCCGTGTATCTTCGGCCTTTGAAACAATATGTTCCCCAAGCACGACCTGCAAGCCTCTAATCTCATCCACCACTCCTGCTCCGCCGCGTCCGCACGAGTGTTAATCTGCGGGGTCCCCGGTGTCCGGAGAACGGGTGGCCGCCCTAGAGACTCTAGACCAATCATCCCCAGTGCCCGGGCTTGGCGTAATAATATTCACATTGGAAGGGAACAATGCAGATTGTTATGGACGAGCCAATCCTAGTATCGTGTTACTCACCCGATTTGAAATTTCCAAAAAAAAAAAAAAAAAAAGGCGAGCCTCCTAGTATATAAATCCAGAGGAACACAGGCGACGGACTGATCCGTGCAATTCGATGTATTGAGGAAGGCAGGTCGATCAGATAGTCTCTCTCTGGCAACAAACAAATGTCGATTTCGAGGGAAGAACTTCAAATTTTTTTTACAAACTACGGGCGAGATATGCGAGCCATATGAGGTTAATGACCACCATCACGGTGGCATTCTGACCCATGTCACAGGTCACCGCCCTTTCGACGAGATTTGGAGAGGTTCAGCAATATATAGCCGAGCCTTGACATGAACCTTGGAAGAAGTTCATAACGACAGCGCCGATATCAATTCTTGGAACGTGGTGGTAGCCTCATAAGAGTCATCATATATCCAGCATCGTCAATGATGGGAAGACTTGGATCTGTTGCCGTTACCTTCTGGATTGATCCACTGATGTGTAGCTAGTTAGTTGCGCATACGACTTGATCAGAGGATACTCGATTGTAGGCCGGGCAAGCTGGTGGGATGGGCTTGCTCCAAGCTGATTCAATCTCCCAATAGAGAAAGAAAGCTAGAATGCCGGGACTGCTCCTTAATAAAGGGCATTAGCCCGTATGCCCCTTTATTCAGGCCCAAGTCCATCCATGCGCGAATCTTTGGCCCGATATAGACATTCAAATATGTGTTGGAAGATGAGCGGGTACCGAAATACTTTGCACGCTGTGTATTCCCTTGGGTCTGGACTGACACTCTTGACATCTGCCAGTGACTCACAGGTGCTTTATAGAGGAACCTGATTCTGGAGGGCTAGTGATATCTTTATCGTGTGCTTATGAAGTTCAATGCGTTGGACTGAAATTGATGCGCATTCTCGCTAGAATACACAGAGTGGTTAAAGGCGTAGTCAGTGGCCGTGTCAGATATTTGGAAGAGAAGGGAAATTATACTCTCTTGACCAGCTGTTCTTCCGTACAAGATTTCCTAGCAATGTTGATTGCATTCTGGGGTTCTTGTGCGAAGTGTCTGTACTTTTTCTCTGTTGCATTCATCAAAGCGACGACTATAAATGGGCCTCTGAAGCTCCAAAACGACATAAGTAGTTCTCTCATCAATCTAGGCGACTGTCGTTCTCGATCCGAATGGTGTAAATTGTTTACAAGCAGAGCTAGTCAAGTAGGCAATTTCCCTGATGAGTCGACGCCAACCTAGGAAAATTACCATGATCGAGAGATGCCTGGCATTCTTGAAGGTAAGTTGATTTTGTACAGTAGGACTTCACGTTATGAATGGTTGGTTGTGAGCTGGATCAGTAGAGCGTTGGAATGTAAAATTGTTTATGGGCGTTGCTAGATTGCGTGATTCCTTTCAATAAACAGCGCAACATGCGTGATCTTGACAACTTCTGGTCTCTCGACGAACAGAAAGGGTAACCACGACGAACACGAGAAACGGCCCCAGTCGTAGTGGGGGCCGATCATACTTAGCCACGGAAGAGTGGAGACGGCGAGATGGACACTCAATTGAGCCAATATAACCCAATCGAGTTTAGTCCAGTTCGAACTGGTCACCAAATCGGGTTTAGCCGTGTCAATCTTTGGTGTGGCTGCACGCCTGAACGGTTTGGACCCCTGTGAACCAGCGATGCTTGGCCTTGCTTGTTCCTCAACTCGGCCTAGGTTCTCGCACTCCCTTCCATGGAGGTAACCATGCACCACAGCCCTATCTGACATGGTTTTGGCTTTTAAACACTCCGTAAAACCCTGTGAGACGATGCAACCATGTTCTGCGAGGTGTTTAGCTCGTCCCCAATTCAGTATTGTGTGCGAAGGGTGATGGACCATCGTGTTATAAAGATCTCCAGTTTCCCACGATTGGCTCACAATTCTCGACCGTAACTCATCAATCTTATTCTTTTACTGTCAAGTACCGCCATTAATTTCTTTAGTTCTGCTCTGATTTTGAAATCATGGCATCAGGACTCGGTCGGAAAGCCGTCCAAGGCATTGCTGCAGGCATCGGGCTTGTCTCTGAAGCACGATCGGCCCGCAAGACAAAAAAGCAGAATCAACAGCAAGAACAATCACGCGAATTACCAGCCCCCGAAATTGAAAGGGGACTACCCCAACATCATGAGCAGTACGAAGCTCCCCCTTCATATGAACCAGAGGGTGAAGGAGTGACCCCCCTTGAGAAAGCACCCTCTGGGTCTCTCGAAGCGCAATGGGCTCTGGATGAGGCACAACAAGAGCTTCAGCATATGACGCCGGGACATGTAAATAATCACGAGAAGGAAGGATCTCCGGAACGCCTTGATGAAGAGGGTCTCGCCCATAGATTTGCGTCTTCATATCCTGCCCCACCGCCTTATCCAGCCATACAAGAAGGAAGTGCAACAGCACGACCACAATTGTCGGCACCGGTCGTACTGCCCCAGCGCAGGCCAAAGAACAGCGAACGCGGCTTCATTCGTGCGTATGCGCCGGCATTGAACGAGTGTGGTATCGACCAGGATATGTTCATCGACTTCCTTAATACGGCGGAAAAGGCCTGTCAAGGATCTCCATGGCTGAATGCAATCAACTTGGCCTCGATTGGAACAATGTGGATGCCCACTGTCACGGGAATGGCCGTTTCAATTGCTATTCAGCTCGCCACTGATGTTGCTATTGCGGTGGACGGTCGTCGCAAGTGAGTTGTGAACATAAATGACCTTAAGGGGACATATCATTGACCGTCTTGTAGAACCAATATCTTTTTCAACAAGATGAACAAGGAATTCTTCCAACCTCGAGGCCTGTACTGTCTGCTCATGACTTGGGATCCCGAATTGCCAGATGCTCCTTCTACCACGATCGACCTTAATTCGTTCATCTCCAAAGCTGTCGGTGGCGGAGGCTCTGACACGCTGGGTCGCCTTCGTCATAAATTCAAGTCGTCAGATGGCAAGGCCTACGGTAATATCTTCCCAGAGGTTGCACCCCTGGTCTTCCCTCAGATCGATCAACTAGCATCCGACAAAGACGCGCAAAAGAAGTTTGCCAACCTGAAGAGGAAAAAGGAGTTTGTTGGTGGCTATCTGGACAAGAGGGCTCAGGCCAAATTTGTAAGCTCCTATTCCATGCATGCATACTGGACTGCTATGGACACCAACTAATCCTTTTATTTTGTTAGGCTGCCGAAAACCCCGACAGTCATTTGAGCCAAGGCCCCAAGCCGACCTTTTCTTCGCGATATGCCGATCCCAACCATGCAGCCAGTAGCGGCGATCCCCTGGCTCTGATCACTGCTGGCCGTTTCACCATGGAAAAGCTGAATGATATGAGAGGCCGGGGTGCAGGGAGATCAGTAGACCAATACCAATACCAAGATCAATACCAAGAACGCCGGGATTATGGTTCAAATCCACCAGCTCCCCACGGCAAACCATTTGGACTGTTCGATGCCATCAACACCATTCGAGATCTACGCAGTCCCCAAAACGGTGCCTCTCGTCAAGATGGTGCTTCTCACGGCGGTCCTGCTGTCGGTGTACCTGTTGGCAGGGGACTAGACCGATCTGCTGGGGGTCCAGAAGGGACTTCTAATCCAATCGCCAAGTTGCTGAAGAAGGTACGTAAACGGACTCACGTCCCTGGCTGTGATTTGCGCAATTTACTAATCTTCTATTATAGAAAGTTTTATATTTGGCGATTGTGAATATGCCGTCGGAGGATGAGATGAGTCGGGCCCGTGAGGCATTGCGGCAGGCTGCATGAGGAGAGTAGGAGTAGGATATGGAGTGTAGCGAATACCCTTAAGATAGACCAAACATAGAACGCATTCCTTTTTGAACAAGTAAACTACAGTGTACGGACGCGTGTAGCTTGCCATAATTGTTTCATTTGAGCAGTACGCTGTATAAATTAAGATTACAAAAGCCGAGGCTAGGTCAAGCTGCACGATCCTCTTTTGGGTCTCTTGAGTAGCCCTTTTGAACGTGTTTGCTAGCTCGACCGTCGGCCTCGACAGCAAACAAGATATCCCGAACCTGAATGCCTCGCCCCTTCTCCTGATCCTCTCGCCACGTTCCAATTCGTCGCTTGGGCTGACCAGCAGGGGTTTCACCCGCCCGACTGGGTTTCTCTGGCCCGGTCGTTGGAGTCGAAGGAGCAGCTCGGGTTGGTGTCGAGAATCCACTGGAAGAGCCTCCGGGCTTCAGCCATGAATATGACTTTTTGGCTCCGAACATCCGACCAGACAACATCGAGTTCGTCGCTAGTCGTGCAGTCTCCACGGATTGCTGGTGCTGCTGCGCCTCGTTGGCCTTGCTGTCCATCAATTTCTTCTGCTCCTTCTTTGTCATCGACTTTTTCATGTCGAAACTGGGTGCCCTTTCTCCCAATGGAGTAGATGGAGCCGAGCCCATGATGTCTGCAGTATCGGCCCGGGCGCCCGTGCTTTCGCCAACAATGGCACTTGCACTTCTCTTCGTCCGTTTCGCTGCACGTTTGTTCTCCTGGCTATTCTCTCTCGCAACAAGTCCTCTGTATCTCTCTGCCACGGGTTTCTTGGAAGCCTCTTCGGCATCTGGGTTGGGCCCTATAAATCGAGTTAGTATAAATTAGGTAACAACGTGCTTAGATAGCGTGGTTGTGCTCACGTTTTGACGGAGTCACCGTGTTCCCGGCAATCGGACCCAGAGGCTGCGCAATATCGACCCACGCATCAGGAACCACACCATGTGAATGGGCTCTGCGACTACGTGCCAGTGTAGCAGAATAGTCAACCACCCCTCTCAGGCGTTCTTCGCACGAGAGGGAAATGAGATTCAGAATGTCCACCAACGGTGCACCCTCCTGATTGAGGATGGTCTGACCCGTCCGCACAATCGACGATCCATCCGGACCAGTGACTTCGATCGGGGCCTGTCGGCCAGGTACAGGATGAAATAGACCTTCCGAGGGAATGCGTACTCCAAGTTCAAAACCACGCTTCTGGATCTTCTGCTCTACAAGCTTAGCAAAGAGGAACGGCTCCTGAAGGTGATGTTGTGCTCTTCGTGCCGCCTCCGTATCTGCACGACTCGGTGGATTGCTGATGGATGTGGCTTGCGAGGTTGGATCAGTGGAAAATGAACTTGTCGGAATCGTCGGCTTCGTGTGGGGCAGCTCGCCGAAACTGCTAGAGGCAGATAGTGTCCCCGTAGTAGACGTCTGCGAGACGAAAGAACTGTTCATTTGGGGTTGCTGTTGTGGAAGCTGAGCTCTATTGGGCGGCTGCGCCTGCGCATTGGGCCCAGAGAAGCTGCGCGTGAGGAACGCCTCTTCCTCCCGAACATCGATACCGGATGATGCCAATACATCCGTCAACTCGGCTGCATCGGTTGTTTTGTCGACCGGACGCGAGGGGGGTCCCATCGTTCCCGGGGCGGGTGCTGCACTTGTAGGTGTAGATGGCGTGAAGCTCGCGCTTACGCCATTCATCGGCGGTTGTGTAGGAGGAAGTTGCATTGCGCCAAAGCTGGGAGAGGCGTAGGGCGACTGTGTTTGTGATGGAGGAAGTGGCGACAAGCGAGGCTTCTTCTGGGGAGGAGGCGCCACGGCTCCGTTGACGGGAGATGATGCGGAGTGAGGTGAGGGTGAGGAGACTGGAGGAGAGAAGGGATGGGTAGCGAACTGAGGCGGAGGCTGCTGCTGCTGCTGCTGCTGCCCCTGCTGTTGTGGAAGTCGGGTTTGAGCCATGATGGAAGAATCTTCGGCGCGCGGGATCAAAGGCGAGATGATAGGTTGCTACTGCGCAAGCCCAGCGGCTTGACAGCTGGTCCACGCGAGGGTATTGAAGTGAGCGACTTGCTCGCACCACCAGAAGCCACCAGCTCTGACCATTTCACAATACAGTTAAAACATGAAATCGACACGGGCTGACGAGTGGGAGCGATGTACGAGACGAGGGTGACAGCGGGGTTGGTGAAGGAGATGCTGGACGAGTGGATGGGAAGGGAGCTTCTGGCGTGTCTCGAGGTTTTGCTCCGCGGATCGCGCCAGTCACGTGACACAGCTTAGTTAATGCCGCGTCTTTGGGAAGTTGCTCGTCTTTCGTTCCTTCCCTCGTCATTCTTCGCTTTCTCTACTCTTTGCGCTTGTCACAACCTCTTTGTCGCCTCGGGTATGGCAGTGCTCGAATCTCTGATTTGAGTGGTAGCCCCTTTCGACGGTGCGATCTGGGCAGCGGTGCCCTTGGATCTGAGCGACCCTGACCTCAAATTAACCCCGACACCAGCTCCTCCAAAATCCTCCTTTGGCGCAATTGCAAGCGCGCAGTGCTCACGCCACCATGGCGACTAAGCGCAAAGCCTCGGCAATGGGCGCAGGCGCCGAAGATGAACCAGCAGACCCCTCGGATGAGCTGGCATTCTACTGTCTGGGTGGAGGCAATGAGGTCGGACGATCATGTCATATTATCCAATACAAGGGCAAGACAGTCATGGTATGCGAATTGAATATCTTTTATCTCTGGCTGTTCGCTAATATACTCCTAATGTAGCTTGATGCTGGTATGCACCCGGCCAAAGAAGGCTTCTCTGCCCTCCCTTTCTTTGACGAATTCGATTTGAGCACGGTCGATATCCTCCTGATCAGCCAGTACGTGGAATTCCCTTGTCCCTCCCATATCCTTCAAGCGACAAGGTCCGAGGCGAAGTGGGAGCTTTGCCTCCACATGTATATGATGAAAAGCTCAATGCAGTCCAATTTGATGCACCTTTTTTCTTTCTCAATTCCATGGCTCCCTCCTTTGAACCCTCTAGACAATCTACCAATTCATTTGTTTCTTCTTGTACACTCTCTACCCCCGAGATGTTGAGCTAATGTCCCATGTCTCTAGTTTCCACGTTGATCATTCCTCCGCACTCCCATATGTCCTCAGCAAGACGAACTTCAAGGGTCGCGTCTTCATGACCCATGCGACAAAGGCCATTTATAAATGGCTGATTCAAGACAACGTGCGAGTCAGCAACACGTCGTCTTCCTCCGACCAACGCACCTCATTATATACGGAGCGTGACCACCTTTCAACTCTTCCGCTCATCGAGACGATCGACTTCAACACAACACACACGATCAATAGTATTAGGATCACCCCATTCCCAGCTGGACATGTGTTGGGAGCTGCTATGTTCTTGGTATCGATTGCGGGATTGAATATCTTGTTCACGGGTGACTATTCTCGCGAAGAAGATCGGCATTTGATACCCGCAGAGGTCCCCCGGGGCATCAAGATCGATGTCCTAATCACCGAGTCCACATTCGGCATCTCGTCCAACCCACCACGTCTGGAACGTGAAGCCGCACTTATGAAATCCGTCACGGGAATCTTAAATCGCGGAGGACGAGTTCTGATGCCCGTGTTCGCTCTCGGTCGAGCACAGGAGCTGCTTCTCATTCTCGAAGAGTACTGGGAGCGACACCCCGAGTTGCAAAAGGTTCCCATCTACTACATTGGTAATATGGCCAGACGATGCATGGTCGTTTACCAGACATATATTGGTGCCATGAATGACAATATTAAACGGCTGTTCCGGCAACGTATGGCTGAGGCTGAGGCGAGTGGAGATAAGAGTGTGACCGCTGGCCCATGGGACTTCCGTTTCGTCCGAAGCTTGCGCAGTCTGGAGCGCTTTGATGATGTGGGAGGCTGTGTGATGATTGCCTCTCCAGGTATGCTGCAGACCGGCACGAGTCGCGAACTACTTGAGAGATGGGCGCCCAGCGACCGTAACGGTGTTGTAATGACCGGCTACAGTGTGGAAGGGACCATGGCCAAGCAACTGCTTAATGAGCCGGAGTCTATTCCCGCCATCATGTCAAAAGTCTCAGCTGTGCAAGGCCGCGGTCGTGTACCGGGAGGGAACGATGAAGACCAAAAAGTCATGATCCCACGTCGCTGTACTATTGATGAAATCAGCTTTGCCGCACACGTTGACGGCGTGGAGAACCGTAACTTCATTGAGGAGGTGGCTGCACCGGTTGTGGTATGTACCTTGTTTGCCTTCCTTCCTTCCTTTCTCGCATGGCGTACTGACAATTTGAGTAGATTCTTGTGCATGGTGAAAAGCATCAGATGATGCGACTCAAGTCAAAGCTTCTTTCTCTCAACGCCCAGAAGACAATCGCCACCAAAGTCTTCACACCTGCCAACTGCTCCGAACTGCGCATTCCGTTCAGAAAAGACAAGTTCGCCAAGGTTGTTGGCAAGCTCGCGGATATGGCTCCCCCCTCTGGCCAAGACGACGGGCAGCTGATGGCTGGCGTCCTGGTTCAGAATGGGTTTGATTTGTCTCTCATGGCGCCAGATGACCTTCGTGAATATGCTGGTCTGACGACAACTACCATTACCTGCAAGCAACACCTTACTCTGAGTTCCGCAAGCATGGATCTCATTCGATGGGCGCTTGAAGGTACTTTCGGCGCTATCGAGGAAGTTGGATCAAAGATGAAGGAGCTAAACGGTAAAGCTGTTGCATCCAGCTCTGAACAAGAGGCTGCGGATGAGGAGATTCTCATGGAGGAAAAACAAACATACCTGGTCATGGGCTGTGTTACCCTCCATTATCACCCACGAACTCGTGAGATTGAGCTCGAATGGGAGGGGAATATGATGAACGACGGTGTTGCTGATGCTGTCATGGCCGTGCTTCTCACTGTCGAGAGTAGCCCGGCCTCGGTGAAACGTAAGAAATTCCCAGCTTATCTAGTGGCCACCCGCAAATGCTAACAATCATAGAATCCGCGAAAAACAAGCACCATCACCACCACCATCATCACGATGACGAGGAGGACCTTCCCGCGCTCCAGAACCCCCATGCCTACGTTGGCCCGGAAGACCGACTGGCACGCCTTCTGATGATGCTGGAAGCGCAATTTGGCTCTGACATTGGCCCCATCGAGCGCCCGCGCGTCCCAGCGGACCTTGTCAACGGAACTGATGGGACCACAGAGGATATCAAAGAAGAACGTATCGCGGACATTGAATCCGCAGAGTTGGATCGCCTTCACGCGCTCGGCATTCCTGTGCCTGGTCTTGAAATCAAGGTGGATAAGCATGTTGCTCGTGTCTGGCTTGAGAACTTGGAGGTGGAGTGCGCCAATGCCGTACTGCGTGATCGCGTGCGTGTTGTCGTCGAACGGGCCGTCGAGACTGTCGCTGGCCTGTGGGCTCCAAGCTCCATGCCGAAAGAGGTGGTTGTCTCCAATGGATCTGCCAAAGCGCACATGGAGATTGACGCAGCTGCGAAGAAGGCGGCTGCTATTGAAGCTCAGGGTTGATACATCACTCATTCTGAGTTGTACGTGTAACATAATAACAGGATATTTCTACAATATGAATGAATCATGCTCATTGATCACAAAACACTATTTGCTTCTTGATTTTTGGTTTCCACACAAATTGTACCTATTTTAGTCATTTGGTCAAGTAGAATCAAGCATCATCGTTACTTTACTTCTCCAACTCCACGAGGACGTCTGCCAAAACTCTGGCCAACACATCTACCAGAGTATCGATTTCCTCCTTGGTCACAATGTAAGGTGGTGCTAACACCACATGGTCTCCGCGAATGCCATCCACTGTACCCGTACATCCGTAGAGTGAAACGGCGTAGTCTGGTTGTAGGCCCTTTTCCTGAATGTGAAATGAAAGACGAGTTTTAGGATCGAAGGGCTCTTTGGTAGTTCTATCCTTGACGAACTCAAGCTGTAAATACGAGTCAGCAAAGTGATCTTCCAACGATCCACATCTCAGATTTCAAGACTTACACCCCAGAACAATCCCTTTCCTCGAATATCTCCAACATGAGGGTGATCCTGGAACTGCTGGCGAAGCCGCTCCTCAAGGTAAGCACCCATCTTTCGCACATTCTCGAGAAGAGACTGTTCCTTGATAGTCCGTTGAACAGCCAGTGCTGCCGCACACGAGATTGGATGGCCTTGGTAAGTCTGCCCATGTCGGAATTGACCCGTGCCTTTGTCCATCGTCTGCACAATCGAGTCGTGAATCAAGATACCCGAGACAGGGGCATAGCCACCGCCGAGACCCTTTCCGATGGTTTGGATATCGGGAACGACGTCTTCCTGCTCCCATGCGTGCAGAGTTCCACATCGGCCCATGCCACTCATGATCTCGTCGAGAATGAAAAGGGCGCCGTATTTCTCGCAGACGGCTTTCATGGCCGGGAAGTAGCCCGGTACGGCAGGGACACAGCCGAGTGCCTATACGAATGACGGTTAGTAGATAACTCGATTATTCACGGGTTTATTCTACGTACCGCTCCAACGACTGGCTCAGCGATGAAAGCACACACATTGCCAGGCCCAACACGCTGGAACTCTGCATCGAGCTCGGCTGCAAGACGAACCACATAATCGGCGTCCGACTCATTCTCTTTCTTCCCACGATAAGCGTAACAAGGCGAAACGTGAGATGTGTTCTTGGCCAGGAGAGGCTCAAACGGTTGTCTTCGAAGTACATGTCCACCAACACCCAGTGCACCGAGGGTAGTACCGTGATAAGAGGGTAGACGAGCGATGAATCTGGTACGTTCCGGCTGTGGTGTGGGCAGCTCTAGGAAATACTGGCGAGCCAGCTTCAACGCTGCCTCGACAGCCTCAGATCCTAGATTCATTGGTCAGTAATACTCTGATGAAGAAAGTGAAGGGCGTCATACCTGAGCTGACCACAAATAATTTCGACAATTTTTTGCCAGTGGACTCTGTTAGAAATGTTGCCAGGTCTTCCGTCACTTGAGTGCCGAAGAATGCAGAATGACAATATGAGATCTGATCCATCTGGTCCTTGATGGCCTGGTTGATCTGATCATGACCGTGGCCTAAGCATGACACTGCGGCGCCGCCCGTAGAGTCGAGAAACTTGGTGCCATCTTCAAGGAAGATGTAGCATCCTTTGCCACCAACAGCCTTTTGGGGGATGAAGTGAGTATCCCGATGCAAGACAGCGCTGGTCATCTTGGAGTGGGTATCTGGGGATGTGTTAGATAGGGGTGATAATTCCACGCGTCTAGTGACTTACCACTCGCAGTCATGATGTGTCAATAGAGGGTGTCCTTCCAGAGAAGTAACAAGAAGATTGAATAAAGAAGAAAGTCTACAAGGGTTCGCAGCTTATCCTTTATACTCCTGCAACCTGGTCCTTTCACCCGAGGCTATTGCTTGATTGCGGGGCATAGTGGGTTCGGCATGCCGAGCTTGGGGGAAGCCGAGTGGCCCATTGGCTTCTATACCGACTGCCACTTCTCAGGGATATCGCTGGAATATGATTGATGCATGGGGTATGATTTATTGATTGGACTGCGGGCTGAAGTAGGTATTGTTCTCTGTGGACATGCCTATCTGGGCTGGTGAGGCGCTTAGGGCGCTGCGGTACGCCGGGGAACCTCCATCGGCATTGCCGTCGATGACTCAATTGACTAGATATGTAGACTAGAAAGATAACGGGAATATGAATGTGTACAAAAATCAAAATGAATATATCAACTGCGTAAAAGCTGAACACAGTCTTCCTTGCCTAACTTAAGGCCCGGAGTCATGTTTTCCCATCTTAAGGCAACTGTCAAGGAGCTTGTCTCGGACTTGGATGAATATAATGGAGAAGTATTTAATTGAAAATTAAGAATTCCTACCAATCTTGATTTTCGAATAATCAAACTAACCACATCGTGGCGTTAATGTAGCTCTTTCTATAGTGTACCCCGGATTCGATGTCGGCAGCGGCAACTGGCCAGTTGGGACTCCGCCCGCACAGAAGTTCAGAAAGCGCAAAGACCACCTCCCGCTCCCGCACTTTCTTCCTCCCCCCCCCCCCCACTCCACCATCAACTCACCCACACACACCATGTCGCACCACGCCCGTATCGAGGAGGTTTCAGACTCCGACCCCGATGAGGTCGCCCCCGCCGACCTGATGGACGAGGATTCCATCATCGAGAGGGCATCAATTCCTATTCGGTCCAACCAAGCTCCCGCCGCGCCGACACCAATGGCTCCTTCAATGGCTCAACAGATGCCAGAGCCCCAGCGCGAGATCCCCAGACACTTCCAATGCATTTACCCAATTTATTTCGACAAGACCCGCTCGCGCGCGGAGGGTCGCAAGGTCGGCTCCGAGCTTGCTGTTGAGAACCCGCTGGCTAGAGATATCATGGATGCGGTGCAGATGGTGGGCTTGCAAGCTGGCTTGGAACCGGAGAAGCTTCATCCTAAGGACTGGGCGAACCCTGGTCGAGTGAGGGTGCATCTGAAGAATGAAGATGGTCGGTTGTTGAACCCAAAGGTCAAAAATAGTGAGTTCCTGAATTTATTAGAGGATCGAAGCGATCTACGTATCGCCGTCGGATGCGACCAGCTCGTGTTCCATTGCATGACTAACTTGCGCTTTTCACAGAGCACCACCTCTACATCCTCGTCGCCCAATATCTGAAAGCCCACCCGACCAACGAGCAATCGCCATATCGCTTGCGAATCCGCGGACTGCCCATGCCCGAGAAGCTTCCTGCCGCCCCGCCTGCCCCACGTGGCTGGAAGATTGGCAAGATCCTGCCTATTCACTCCCCTGCATACAGCGGCGGCGGTGTCAGCGACAACCCGTTCAAGGAGGCTATGGCCGAAATGCAGAGCATGCAGGGAATGCCCGGTATGCCGTCAATCCCCGGAATGGATGGACTGGCTGGCATGATGTCGGGGATGGGGGGTGAGCCTTCGGGCGCCGGTGCCGTGGAGAAGAAAAAGAAGGACAAGAAGAAGGGTAAGGCCTGATTGGGCTGATATCCGGGCATTTTCATGGATCTTCTACTTGCATTGCACGGCGACAGGCGTTTTTCTTTCTTTGCTTCAGGAACGATAGAGTCACGCGCCAGACGGCAGTGTAATTTATTGGAAATACTGTTATAGTAAGGTCAACAGCCTCCACCATCATGATTATTTCTCATTATCTTGAGAGGAATGTTTATCTCAGACCAGTCGTCTGCGTCAACTGATTCCTGCCTTGCTAGGCAAGCTCGTAGTGAATCAAGAGCGTCTTTGCTTTGACGGAATTGGCGGCTGAAAGCGAAATTGGCCATCGTTAGACGCGTGTTGGGACTGTCCTTAATCATCTGCTTTTTCCTTCCAGTCCATAACGACTGTACATGTCTAGACTCTGGACTTGGGCAACTCTTGTCCTTCCTCTTCGGCTCTAGTGCTTACCCTCTCATTGCTTTTACTGATTGGGCAGAGTCCAGTAATCCACGGGACGCCGTGAAGTTACTGGGAGCCAGTCCTGAACATTTTGATTTGCTTACTGATGCTAACCAGGTCTTCAGTTCATTAGGGGTTGAATTCTGGTGGGGCCGACTTGTGCTGCGTTTAACTTCGTCTATTCAGCCGCAGCACTGACAGTCTGACCCGATATAAGCGAGGTCAAGCCCGCATCTGCGTCCGCGTCCGCACACTAGACGCGAATCCAGTCTATTTGCGCAGTGAATTACCAAACGCTCGAAACATACCACTTCCAAGGATCCGCTTTTGGTATGAGTGACCTCCAGAGAAGGAGCTCTCCCCCCAGAAATGCGTGTGTAACATGCAAGACGAAGAAAAGATTATGTGATAGGAGCTGGCCTGCGTGCTCGAGGTGTCAAAGGTACGTTCCACTTGTTCGATCCTAATGTAGATAATGCATTTCCTCATTGATGAATAGACTTTCCCGAACATGTCAATATCACGATAACCGAGATCAGAGCTTTCAGAAGTTTCCGCTTGATGGCGGCTATGCAAGGAATGCTACAGCTTGCCTGAGATGCAAAACAAGCAAAAGAAAATGTAGTCGAGATCTACCGATGTGCTCGCGCTGTTTACGGTATGTGTGTCAATGATGGTTAGTTGCGAGAGAAACTGAATTTTCCAATCAGAATGGGCGTCTTGTGCCAGTACAATGAAAAAGAAGGCTTGAGCCCGCTATCCACTCAAACCGAATTAGTGGGCAATGATGGAAGACCGGCTCAGATCCCGGCTTCTCCGAGTACTACCACCCGCTACCCAGTCCCGGCAAAGGCACATTTTTCGACTTTGATGTCTCATAGTACGTGCTTCCTACTACTTAGTGGTAGTGATGACTACCATCCGCACAGCAAAGATTCCTGCTGATACTGATATAACCTGTAGGAAAATCGACGGTTGTCAACCTGGCGTACCTGTACCCTAAGACAATGGCCTACCGGCTTCAAACTTCATGGCTGGACACGGCGATCGTTGATCCTTGTTTATTTCACGCGGTATTTTTCGGCACTTCGTCATATATTGACATTACCCAGGGCGCGCCTGCAAGCTCAATCACCCTCTATCATAAAACTCAGGTCATTCGACAGGTCCAACGAGCTATAACGGAGTGCAACGACAAAGATATTCCTACCAGTGCCGTTGCGGCAACATTGTATTTGTTTTACCATACGGTATGTCCTGTCCAAATCACATTCATCAATAACAGCCTCCGCTTGATGTTTCAGGTCAAAATTGACTAACCATTTGTAGAAATTGAATGGAGAGCTCACCGAGGCAAGAGCTCATGAAAGAGGGATGGATGCAATTCTGCGCCACTATCAATATGAAAAACCAGACCCGAATACTTTCTTCGGCTATCTTCTCATAGCGTGAGTCTTCTAACACAGACGTAGACCTAGCGCAAAATGAATTCCACTAACTTACGTAGACGACATATATGGAATGCTCTGTTTGTCAGGCAGAAGACAGTGTACACTCAACCCCACGCAGGCCCAGCTGGCTATATTGGAAATTACACCAACCTGCTCTCTATCGCTATTCAGAAGCAGATGGAAAGACCAATACGCTCCAGACTACCGAGTCCGATCCTATCATTCATTTGTATCATTGAAAAAGCTTTCATGACGGACCCATCACGAATTGAACAGAGCATTGAAACCTCTCAGACTACGTTTTTAGCCCCCGGAACTCCACCATCGGGATTGCTCAGAAATGCTGCATGCTCGCTGCAGATATACATTGGAAAGCCATAATAAATACACAAATCTCTTGTCGCACTAGGAGCAACCAAGAAACGCAGGGAGATGTATTGCGTTTAAAAAATGCAGTCACGAGTTCCGACGAAGAGTTTTGGTTTATGCAAGGGCCTGAAGTATTTCGTTGGATCCTTTTGATTGGCGCGGCGGCTGCTAGCTCCTCCTCACTCAGAGCGTGGTTTATCGTTCGTTCGTTTAATTTCTGTGCTGTGGTTGAGCCGCAAGAGGTGGATGCCTTTGTGGCTGCGACTGATCATCTCGTCTCGCTATTCAATCGTACACGCTGTCATTGAGATATGCTCAGATATGTCAGTTGTGAATCTTGAAATGAGTTCTTCTAAACCCCTGCGCCAATGATTTTTGTTAAACTGCTCTTACGTATCCTGCCCCGCGAAACGCTGATTGAATCCTCCTGCTCTTACTGTAGAAAAGTAAGGAGGTATTGCGTACTTTTTCCTTCGCGGGGCGTGCTCCTAGCTGTACCTGGTGCCTAAATTCTGTCTCCTGAATGAAAATTTTAGGTCTCCTCCGGAATCTCAGCCTCTATCTAAGTTTCTACATGAAATAGTGCATGGAATAGCACCGCACACCCATCCGCACGCACGCTAGTCCGCACGTACACTAGTCCACTAGTCCGCACCCGTCGCACGCTAGCCCGCTTGAACGGAGCCAATAATATCACGTTTCATATCGGGATTATGTTGCTTGCGCCGGTTTCCCCGATGTCGCTTACTCGTCTTCACTTCTTATATAGATTCCCCTTTTGAGGTCGAAAACGTATATATCCAAGATATCTCCCATCAGTTTGGCAAGAACAGTTCGAAGAACGAGAACACTCTATTCATATCGGATTTCCTTTCATTTGCGATCATGGCAAACAGTCATCTTCCCAACTGTCACCCGGACATCACGCCGGACTGGCAGGACCTTGGTTACCCTCGGACTAGTTTTGAACAAGCAATTGCTCTTGAGCCTGTTCAAGAAGAACAAGGGTGTTATGCTGGCTTTGCTCCGAAGGATTGGTGTACTCCACGTATGCGTCTTCTCATTGCCTATTCCTAACCGTCGAATTCAGACTCATACGTTATAGATGGTCGCGACCTCTTCCTCCATGGCGGATATATAGCTGGATTGCTCATCCGGGCGAGTCGGTCATACTTTCACGATTCCCACGGCAAACTCAACCAGCCAGATCCGATTCACATGAATCTGCATTTTCTGCAGCTAATTCCCCCGGGTGCATTCCATATCCAGCTCCAAGCCATTAAACTGGGTCGGAGACATTCAACCATCCAAGCGAAAATCGTATCACCAGACACCAGAAACCCAGTCCTATACAGCCTGGCTGTTCTGACCATGGGTAATCTCAAAATCAAGTCTGGCGTCAATCTGAATCTACCTCCAATTCCGATTCCAGACAGAGAGCGTGAGTGCGCCCGTTGGACGAACGCAGCACTTTATAAATTTCACCCATGTACTTCGAGCATTCGATACTATAACCCTAAAGGTGGTGAAAGCCTTCTATGGAGCCCTAAGAGAGGCCGAAACTGGCGCGATCAGTGGGGAAAGTTGGATTCTGGCGAGAATTTTCGCTTGGAGCATCTTGGCGTGATGGCAGATCTTGTACGTGGTCGATACACAGCCCCATGCACTTTTAAGACTCTTTACTTACATGGCCAGATTCCCCCTATCCACATGAACTATCTGAAGAACGAACTGGCCGCTGTACTCGATTATGAGTATAGAACTATGAGTATGGACTTTGACTTCCGTGCAGACCCTGCTGCTAAGATGGAATGGATTTTGAATCGCGCAACGACGTACAAACTGGAGGGCGGACGGTTCGACATGCATATTCAGATGGTGGACGAGAATGGGAACCTGGTAGCGACGGTGCACCAGTCTAACTTGATATTTGAGAATGGGCGGAGAAAGGCCCCAAAATCCAAATCCTCTCTCTGATTTGGACGGAGCTATCTCAACATGAAAGATTTTTGATCTACGCAGCTCTGAGATAGAATAATATGATCTCTTTCTGTAAATTACTCATGATGAATCGATGTACATTTCTCTCAGAAAATTAAGATAAGATATTGACACAATAGTATGATCCGAAGTAAAGGGACCGATCTCACGATTGATCTCTTGTCATCACCTATGTTTCCATAATGCTCTAGATTGAGGTGAAATTATGTATCATGCGAGCCGCGCGGGTTGGCTTGAACTACATAGAAGAATTTTATAAACTACGAACGTATTGTTGGCTAATGGGAAAAAATGCTTTGCACTTGATATTCCTAATTATTGTCGCATAACGGAGATGAGAAATCAAATAAATACCTCAATGCCCTAATAGACATGCAGTAAGATCACCTTGGGCTTGGCGGAGCCGAGGGATATGGGTTGGGCCGAGGCGAAGAAGGAGGAGTTGGATAGGGGTGCCAGCTTGAGCTTGGGCAGCTGCCAGAGCATAGACCATAAGAAACCGTGATTGATGTTGTTGGCCAGAAACGGGCAGAGGATTGTAGCGAGATTGCGAGGGTTTGTATACTCAGCTTGGTAATTGTGATGAAGGTTTGCTTTTGCTTGTTGGCTTGATATTTGCCTGGAAGGTGACGGTTTAGTCGAGAAAGGATAAGATCGAGAATTTAAAGTCGAAGGCCTGCTTCGTGCTGAATTTGGATGAATGGTGAAAATAGTAGTATAACATTGTTCGAACAATGCGGGACGGATCTCGATACACAAAGAAAGTTTCCCTCAGGGCTTTGTTCGAGTATAAAGGGAAAACCATGAAGAGGTCGAGGCCATTTGTAGGTATGATAACCAACAAAGACGTCTGTCAGGGTCATTGAGAAATCTTTGGAGGCATTGTATGTCTATTTTTGTGTGGTTATTATTCTGACTTACGGGCAAGAAATGAACAAAGTATTTTCTAAGATCATGAATGGTTTTGTGTTTCTATTGTATGAGCGACCCTTTCTTACGTCGTCTTCTGTCTCTCGGGTGACCCGCCATTCCTGTATTGCCATAATCGGCTGAAGTCTTTGACACGTAGAATCTGGTGGTCAGTCTCGTCGATGGCCACTCTGCGCTCGGATTTTACCATGGGGGTCAGAGTGTCCTCCGAAGGCTCGCAAAAGCTGCCTTGAACTCCCGAGGCCGCTCCCCTACTCTGGATCTTCAGGTCCGGTTTCACCTCAACCGTCATATCCATGAATGGGTTGGATTCAAGTACCTTTCGATCCGATCCAAGAGTGAATATGGTATCTAGATAGTGTTGATTCATTAAATGGCCTGATCCAGGCCGAATGAACAAGCGACCAAGGTATCGATTTGGAATGTTAACGAATCGTAGAACGCCCAGCGACGAGACTGGATCTTCACGGTTGGCATAATGCTCGATATAGCCAACAGAGCGCCTCTTTGACGGGTCACGGTTGGAAGACTCGATTTCGACTGACGATCGACAGCTGCAAATGGGGTTGTTGAAATGATTGGCCGCATTTCCGAATGTATAGACCTCCAGCTGGTGAAGAAGATCTTGGGGTAGCTCATCTAACAGCCAGTCGATTATCAGGCCCCCTTCAATACCACCTTGACTGTGGAGCACGAGTACGACCTTTTCCACGGAAGGATCGAGAAGTGCCTCTTTGATGAGTACATAGGCGCTTCGCACGTCGCCGGTAGCGTAGGCAAAGCAACGCTGAATAAGGCATTCTGCCAGATCGAAAAGGACACCGGAACTAAGAGCGGTTAGCTAAATGTTTAGCGTGCATGGGAAGGTCTTGACATACGTCCGATTATGTATACCAGTGATCTTGCGACCGAATGTGTAGGAAAGTTGGTCGATGTTGGCTTGTACCCAGTAATGACTGGTTTCATTAGCGCAAATGTCAGACTTAAAGAATATGAGAGCCTTACCCATTAGCTATTCCATTAATATATAACCAACGCTCTTTCTCATGGCCAGGCTGTTCGACTACCGGGACCTTGGATACCAACACTCGCCGAAACCCGTTGAGAACGAACATGCAGATGACATAGTTCAGGGCGAGCGCAGCCGCGACGTACACAAGTATCCAGAGAGCCGGGACGAAGCATATAATCATCAAAGGTAAAGAAAGGAGAAACAGAAGCTGATAGACCGTGAGAAAGGCCTGCGTTACCAGAGATAGCGCCCCTTGGAAGGATAGATATAGCTCATCGAGGGAGCTCGTTCGACCCAGACGAAGAGGGAAAAAGATTGCTGGAAGTGCCCAGGCATCTCGAAGGACAAGGCACAAATCGCTCCAAAACAAACGAAGCGGGGACGCGGTGTACGGCAGCGGAGTGGCGTTTGACGTCCGCGGGAAAACACGAACCTGGGGAGCCATGGTTGTCGTCGTGTAAAAGGTACAGCGTATAGTAGTACAAGTACGACGCGTCGTGCGAACCTGTGGGGTTATCGCGATTTGCAGCTTTCGCCTGTCATCGACTTGCGGTGGGTTTGAAATTGTTTCGATCGCAGTGATCAAGTGAAGCGAAGAAACATTTTCGCCTACGAATGAAATTCGCAACGCGACCGCAGCAGGCACCGAGGGCAGCTGCGACTGTCATGTGATGATGTGATGGGTGGTGGTTGGGAATGGCTTCGTCCACCTGACAATTCCAAGGTGACGAGTTCGTAAGTCTTGAACTTTTTCTCTGCTTTCCAATCGATCATCCGCCCGGTCTTCCATCTTGACCGCAATCATGAACAAACTATGCAGTGCTGGTGATTGGTTGCTTACAGTCACTGCTTACTTAGAGACTGATTATTAGTTAAGTTAGCGGTATCTACGGAGCACATATTGAACACTCAGTCCAGTCAATGCTCAGTCTAGACCTAAACGGGCAGCCCACCCCACAATAATACAGCAGTATGTACTTTTTGATGGCCTAGTCAGCTTCACGTTCTTAAGATGACTATACTATGGTCTAAACTTATCTTACCTAATACACATGATCGAGCGAAATGACGCTAATACAGAAAGCACATACTTTATCTATCATACAGTGATACACTGACACTACAACGAAGTATACAATATGGACTCAGAAAGTACCCGAAGGTATGCATCGTGAGCATGATTTTTTGCCTCGTGACTCTCGGAACGGTGGGAAATCCTGTCACTAAAACACATTCGTCACTGTCCAGAAACCATTTGGACACTCTAAGCGCAAAATAACAGGGCCGTGGGGAGAAGAAAAGAAGAAGGGAAAGAAGTCTTTCTGTTAGAGTGAAATATACAAGTGAAATTCATATGTGCCTCCCGTTTAGGTCTAGCAGGGAAACTAGTTATCTAGCTTTGGCCGTTTCGTATGATCGTCGTAGACTCACCTTCTTTTCTCTAGTGTATAAGTCGCTAAATCATAGATTTACTCTTCCTAAGAATGACTCGAAACCCCATGTCAGGATTGTGTCTGGACTCATCACGCTGACTCATAAGGGCCCAGTGAGGCTGATTTCCAGATTCACTTCTGTATCTTAGTGAACCCTGGATAGCTTTCTCATGGTTGACTTCGAGTCATACCATAGAGGTACGTATTGTGACCCGTGAGTAATCACAACTACGATGGCCATAAACTCTATCCGCACTGCACGAGCCACGTGAGTGGGAGAAGCTAGTGGAAGTACGGAGTATGTACGGACTAAATATGGGTGACGGTGATAAGGCCACGATTGTGTGGCTTTTGGAGGGAGAATCGTTGTCTTTTCACCTGACGCACTCGACACTTCTGCGGTAGCCAAGTTAGGCCTAGCGTAACTTCCTATAGTACATGTACCTACACAAGTACAGTGCTAGCGCGTAAATCATACGGCAAAGGTATAAATGAGCCTTGAATCATCTTATAACTAATATCCTCAAGCCTTTTTTTTCTCTGGGAGCGATACTATTGAGCCTATACTTGACGAAAATTTGATCTCCCACAATGCCAAAGAAAACTAGAGTTAAGCGCACTGAGACCATCTGGAACTTATTCGTTCAGCAGCCAGACACGCAAGTCAATAGCGATCATGCCGGTACAACAGAGCTCTATTTAAAACACATGGATCGCAATTTCCGAAGATTGGTTGATCCACTTCTCTTAAATCTTTCCAGGTCACTTATAGTTAAATAATGCTAGGTTTACGTAAGAACTGGTCCTAGTTGTTAACGTAATCCCCGGCCGTCCTGGCCACCCAACTCCATTAGCAAATTTCAAAATCAATTATCTCCATCAAAACGCATTGAATTCTCTACTGCTGGCGACTTTTACATCGATTAATCTTATGGCCAATCTCCTAATACCCACTGTATCTAGGTGGGGCCCTAGTACGTGGTGGATCTGCCTGAATAGGTAATTCGCCCTGCTCATGCGATCCTACCCTATCACCTTCTACTGGCTGATTTAGCTGTTTAACTAGCTATAGGCCCTCTTCGACGGTCAAACCCTCTTCGCAGGGTATCTGCCTAGCTGACCGACCGCGTTTCTTAACGATCCTCTTATTCGCTATGCGTAGATTCGAGACCTCCTGCGCTAGTAATGCAGTGTTATGTAGCGCTTCGCTATGGCCCTTGATCATCCGATCTAATATAGCCTCTGCTTGGCTTTGAGGGCTATTTGACCGCCGGTGTATTAGATCCTTAAGTATTAAAGATTGCTTATGTAGCTGAACGATAGTTCTGGGCGTTTTTAGTGTGAATTGGGTAGAGCTGGTGCTTAGCCGGCTACCTAGTGGTGTAGGTATTCGTAGAGATATTAAGCCTTGAGAGCACTCTTTCTGTATCGACTGGTACTAGGCCACTAGCTACGAAGCTATTCTGAATAGTAGATAGCTTTTAGAAGGCCTCTAGTCGCGCGTATTAGTAGTTCTCTAAGAAATCGTACTTATCGATATAGTTATATCCCCGATTCGTAGTTCGATTCACCTTTAAGCTTAGTGACCGAGTCTGTGATTTTGTCCGACATCGCGAAGGACGACAGGTGTAAGGAGCGCGACGAGGGCGACGGAAGCCCAAGAAGGGGCAATGGGAGCCCAGAACGCGCGGAGGCGTGAAGAAAGGTCGAATAACAGGAAAAATTGCTGCACTCCCGGGCAGCAGAAGGTAGCAAGCGGCAGGTGGGGAGAGCTTAAATAAGGTAGGGCATGTGACCGGAGGTCAGGGCCAAACAAAGATTAACTTGCTAGGCTGGAAATATTTCTAAGTTAGTTGATCAGTCACTAGCCGAGCTGCAGATGTGATCAACGCAACGAGCCATAGCACTATTAATGACTACGGATCTTGTGAAAATGGACGCGGTTTCACTCTTGAAAATCCAGTATCTAGTCGTGGTTTTACGTTGTTTAGCAGTTTTTTATGAGTATAAGAGCAAAAGAAGAAAACATGAACTCTAATCACTTGCTACACGCGGAAATCCAAGAAAGAAACCAGCCCAGATGCGAGCCCAAGAGCTACTAAACCGCCATAGGATGTGGAGCAGATCGGTCGAAATTCAGGAGGGAGCCATAGAATCTTCTTACCGTCCCACTTGATCCACGGCTCCGGTCCATCACAGATTTGCAGATTGTTCGAAGCCAACTGAGCGGTACGGTCCTCACCAACCGATCGACCGTTCAAACCGTCACTTGATGAAGCAGGTGGTTTTCGAGGTAGTGAATATAGGTAAACCTTTCCGAGCAAATTCAATGTGGATAATGAACCTTTCCACATTGTACATCCGCTGCAGAGTGCCCGTGATTGGGTCCCAGACCCCCACAGTTCCATCAACAGAGGCTGAAGCTAGCAGCCGACCTCCAGGAGAGAAAGCCAAATACTGAACCTCGTTAGGGTGGCCCGTGTCCCTCTTCTGCATGATTCCCTTCACAGAGTCCCAGATCCGCACAATGTTGTCCTCAGACGCAGATGCCAATAGCCGACCATTAGGTGAGAATGCCACTGCCTCAACCTGTCCCCGGTGGCCTCGAAGGGTATTTTGTAAATGTCCCTTAGTCAAGTCCCAGAGCAACAACCCCCCACCAGAGCCAGACACTAGTCGCTGACTATTAGGCGAGAAAGCCAATGAGCTAACGGAACCGGAATGGCTGTCCAATTGTCGCTGGTCGCCTTGAACTAGATCCCACACCCATACCACATTATCCCCAGAGGTAGAAGCTAACAGCCTGCCATTCGGCGAGAAAGCCACACAGACAACTGATCCTGAATGGGCCTCAAGTGCCTGCAGAAGCCTCCGCTCCCGCGCCCCCGTGGCGGGATTCCAGAGCTGCACAGTTCCATCGCCTGAGACAGATACCAAGTGTGCGCCGTCGGGTGAGAACGCGATGAATTCGATCCAACCCAAGTGGCCCTCAAGTTTCCACATCTGTTTCCCTGTGGTCAGACTCCAGAGTCTCACAGTATTGTCCACGAAGGCAGAAGCACGCAGTGGCCATGAGCCGAAATGGCTACCTGCTCTACCACACCTGAGTGGCCCTCGAGCGGCTGATCTAGTGTACCTGTGACTGGATTCCAGATCCGTACAGTCTTGTCCTCAGATGCAGAGACTAACAGCTGGCCACCAGGCAAAAAGGCCACCGAAGTCACTCTGCCTGAATGACCTTTGAGATCTTGCATAAGTACACCCGTCACGGGGCTCCATAGCCGTACGGTATTATCACGGGAGCCGAGTGCCAATAGCTGACTGTCGTCCGAGAAGGCTATCGGTCGAGCCTGTCCCGAATAGCTCGTGAATTCCTGTAGCAGTATACCTGTCTTGGAGACCCAGACCCGTATGGTATTGTCACAAGAGCTGGAAGCCAGAAGCCGACTATCTGGAGAGAAAATGATCGAATTAACTAGAGCCGAATGACCTTCCAGAGCCTGTTATTCCGCGCTCCATTTCTTGTCAAGCTGGGGGCGGAGGCAACTGGCATATCCGAGTGGGAAGTTCTGCCTTGAAGGGTGTGTATATTATTGACGTTCGAGGTGCAAAGACCAGCCCAGCACAATAAATCTGAAGTGGAACTTTACCAGCTATCTGGCAATTTTTTAGAGCAAAACGCTTAGCATCATATAGGAAGTCAGCCATTGCAGAATCGCGGTCGATCTAAATTTCATTAGCATTGGCTCAAATGGCTGCCTACTGTATAATTGACCGATATAGAGAGGAGATCAAGCATACTGATCACCTCCGATATAAGACCCAGAAGACTTATTGCCTCCACCTAGTGCAGAAATTGCTTCTGGAGGAATAGCAGCACGTCTTCTGTTTGGAAAAGTACGGCCTGGCTCCTTTCGATATGATATGTCCAGTAGCGACAAGAGTATTGTAACTCAGGTGGTAGATGTTGGCGGATAAGTTTAACGTCGATGTCCACCGTACGTGTTCCAGGGCTATCTAAATTGCAGATATCTTTGTGTAGATGGCGATCTATAGTACGCAGACAGAACTTCACAATCTCCTTGTGCATCCTCGGCCTATCCACATGAAACTTAGTCCCCGGCTGAACAAGAAAATCCCAGAATGAGGAATGCAGACTCCTGACAGGCTTATCGCGGTTATCGGAAATGCGCAAAACCGATCGGAAAAATCTCAGGCGATAGCTGATTTGGTCCACCCGTATGCTAAGAAAAGCGGATAGCGCATTTATAGAAAGTGGATTAGTAAGTAGAATAATGACACCGACTATACTCTGAAACTCTTGTAGGATCTGCTGTAGCTCTAACTCATCGTTTTCTTGCTCGTTAAGTAGTTGTGTGAGAATTGGCAGATATGTCTTTTCCATCCTCGAAGCATATTTGCGTTGGTCCTTAAGGAGTTCCGCCAGGCGTAATCTAGGTTCCTATGATGAATTCTCGATATAACGGCACACAGTGGCAGCTGCGATAAATAGAGGGACAGATATTGTGAGCAAATCCTGGATGACGTTATCCCCTGGCCAGTCGTCAGAAATATCTTTGTCGTGTTTGATTTTTGCGAATCGATTATGCAAAAATAAGTGTATATCACGCTCTATCACTTCTTCAGGTATCTCGTGAAGAGCTAAGTCCTGATATGCATGATTGGTAATGTCCGAAAAGCCGAGGTTGATCGGAAGTTCGGCCCTGCTAGTCACGAAGATCCGAAAGCGATACGCTCTTGCCTTCTGTAGAAGTGGCAGCAATCGAATTATGTTTCGGACGTCTTTGTCATGCTCACATTCGTCCAAAGCGTCGATCACTATCACAACCGGTTGAGATTGTTGGCTGAGTTGGTCAAGATTAAGCAGTGGTTGAAAGAGCAGTTTCTCGAACTGGTCTCGAACTGTCTCTGACCGTCTTTGACGCAACGTCAGGCTCATGATCAAGTGCCTTTTGCACTGGTCTCAGCCCAGAAATTCTGTGCATCAGTTGCCATGTTATTGTCGGAAAACATTTCTTCGCGTTACCTCGATCCCCTTCGCCCCTCTTGAAGAAAAAGCTGGCACTGAGATAGTTGTTGTCCTTGAGCGACCTGGCCACAGTCCGAGATATTGTAGATTTTCCTGTCCCGGCCATTCCTTTTAACCATAAGATACACTTTCCGAGTGGTGACGCAGCCCATTCCCTAATGTCGTTGAGTATTTCAGTTATAGTGCCGAGAAGACACTCATCATCGTGCTGATCCTCTAATGAGTCAAATGCAGCCCCATGCACTATAGGCAGCTTGCCATAGGGATCCATATGAAGGTCAGTACGATCTATCCAGAACAAAAACTCTCGTAACTTACTTGGAAGACGAAACTCAGCGGTGATCGGAGCGTGATTAGTTCTATCTGTAATCCAGAATTCTGGTGACCAAATAAAACCGTCCAGTCTGCCATCTTCAACCCCGTCCGATCTGGCATAGTCTCTATTCCATACGTCTAGCTGCTGAGGCGAGGAATTAATGTCGGCCTCTCCAGGTCTGGTTGATTAGTAACCTAAGTACCGAGTTTAGTGGACGTGAAATCTTCCGGCCAAGGTGTAATAAGAAACTAGTGTCGCGACCGAATGGCTCTCTCATAGGCATTGTTCAAAGAAGGGGTTGTTCATAATTAGATAGCGCATTAGAGTCGCCCTGATGCTCTCATGCATACCGAGTCTAAATTGTGACGCGGTAATATGAATACATGAATAAATGGTGATTATGGGGTGGGAAGAACTACTCGATACTCGATTCCCTTCTAGGATGCATCCTCGTGCGTTGGATCATTAGTCAACAGAATAAGATAACTAGTTAGTTAATTATTTAACTAACTAATATGGACTGAATTGATTGATCGAAGAGAAGAAGATCTATCGCCGCGAGGACACTTTGGGGTGTCTCCCTTATGGAAGCATGATTACGGCGTGAGAAAAATATGTAACAGAAACTAATATAGCGGCGGGTATCACCTTCCATGGCGAATCATATGAGAAGCTTTTTCGACTCTAAATAGTTAGTGATCCGAGGTGCCGATTAATGCCACTGAGCCCATAAAGTAATATATGACCATGGTAGCCATGGTGTATCGACAACCAGGACTTGCGTTTGCTTACTTTCCAGTAAGGGTGAGTACCCGACCTGGAGTGGTGGGGATTGATCACCATATGAGATGGTTACACAGAGCATTGCATGTATTCAGTGCCTGGCCAAACAATATCTGGTAGCCCCACAGTGCATAAGCATTGCATTGCAATATTGAAAATTTTGAAAATTTACGGTACTTAACAGAGGTTTTACTATGCATCATAGAGAGATAAGATTGGTGTTGTAACTGAGATACATTTGGCACTATTGGACGCCGCCAGGGTGAGATATTGCAAGGGATTTATTTCCCCAGTGAGTGTACAATAGAGAAGACATTACATATTTTTTTTTATATTTTGCAAAGTTCACCAGTAATTAAGCGGTCTCTTTTCCTCCGCTCAATTAGGCATGTTCCAACTCCGTTGACTCTGTTCTGTCAAATCAACTCCTCTCACCTACATCCCTAACTAAAATACCCGTCATCCATTATATCGCTCGTCCGATATGAGGTTCCTCGTCATTATCTCGGCTCTTTCCCTTGCCAGTTTAGGTCTTACCAGCCCAGTTAAGCAACAAGAGCAAGCTACATGTGCGACCTGCAGCCAGGGATGCCTTCGAACTGACAACGGTGATTGTTATCCCAACTGGCCTGAATCTGTTTGCTCAACTTATAGCGGTGTAAGTAATCCCTTTCCATCTTGATCCTGATGATCTTAGACTCTAAATTGAAATCATAGCAAGGGTGGCAATGGTGTGCATAGAGAAGAGACCGGGCCCGGGCTTTTATGCGATACGTTGCGAATTTCGGTCGATCAAGCGACACTCAACGAGCACCCAATAGCGACTGGGGAAAGTCTATAGTATTACCGAAAATGCATGCCCTGGCGGATCTTAGTTGACAGAAAGCTCACTATACGTACTTCGCTCCGGTGCTGCCTCGGCCATGAAAGGCATTGCCATGGTCATTTTCCTTCTTCAGCCATAAAATGAGCCAGGATTGACCTCATAGTGTCAAAGTTTGCTTCTTTAGTTATATATATATACGTCAATAAGCTTGAAATTGGGCCTTGTTGAACTTGATCTATATTATAATCATAAGATTCAATAGTAGTAGGTGATAGTAGGAGGAGGTAATGAGAAACAGGAGGAAGAGTTATCTCCAGAAAGAAATTGTAGTTACACCCAGCAATGCTATCTCCGCCAATGTAGGGAAGGTAGTCACTGGTACGGATACTGATTACTGAAGATTTTCAACAATCCACGTGGAATCATATACAACAGCAGATTGGTCACGACTCAGAGATTCTTGGTAACCTACCACTCCATTTTCGCACAGTTGATAGTCAGAAAGGTTAAGTCTAAAAGTTGATGCAGACTTTTCCAATATGCTGACCGCTGGCCATGTCATCAAAAGCATCAATTACCCCATCACGAGTGAATTTGGAAGTTCGCTCGACGGGGAGTGCCAGATTGTGGCTGCTAATGAAGCGAACCACGTCTTCCAGTATTTCATTGGAGCCGATTATGACGCCGCGAACGTTAGCCCCCTTGCTCAATGCAAGAATGCCAACATCAAGCATCTCCTCTCGAGAGGTGACAGACAGAAATCCAATAACAGCGATGATTCCACCATACGCGATTGCGTCAAGGGATTGTTTGATAGTGCCGGAGCCGCCATTTTCGAAAATGAAGCAGTCTATTAGTCAGTATCATGGGTAGGTAACTATAGTTGGCGAAAAGTCCCACGGTGTGGGCTACGATAGTTTTCACCCAAATAGTGGAGATTCTACCCCAACGATGACGGACCTTCCATTGGGTCCTATTCCTAAAATCCATGACATGGATGTCCTTTTTCCTACTCGGGAATTGCATCTATAGACCCCAGAAGCCGACATTTCTGACGCGGTTGTGTTCAGCACAGAAAGTCAAGAAAACAATTTAGAGGAGGTACAGCGAGAGACTCGGCGTTCAAGATCTCGACCTCCGTGACTCACATTATGAAAAGCTTGGGAGGTCCCGGAGAACAGTAGCCAGCTCAAATCGTATCATTTCGATCATCAATCCGGACTCGAACTACATTATAGCGAGCAGCGGTGAATGCTTCTGAGCTACCAATTCTCCTGGGCAATGGTCAACGGGCAATGGAAGACTAGAGACCAATGGCTCGAGACTAGGTAGCTTTATTGTGTTGTCCATGGCATGTTCCCGTGCTCCACCGGATCTGGTATTCGCAAAGTCTTGGGCCACTTTCGAAGCAAACCTCCAGGCTTGAACTGGAAGATGAGTCAGTGAGACACAGTGCTCTTTTCTGTGCGGTTTTAATTTTGGAAAATGAGAATAGTATCTGCTTGGAAGACGGCTCTTTGGCCATGTTTACTACGAAGCTAACTGATGTGCTCCATACATTGCTCTTCATGCCGTTGGTTCAATTCAAGCACCGCAGTAGAAGACTTGCTGGTCAATTAAGCAACCGATAATCTATACGTACTATGCATCACTTCGTCATATCCAGTATCGACCGAGACCAAAATTTACTAAATCATAGGAAGTAGAACATCTTGCCTTCGATAGACGGGTACCTAGTTCACCAGGAGACAGCTTGAGTAGATAGCGCGTTGCCGTGTGTCGTGTCTTCGAGCTGCTCGCTTAGGAGGGACGGAAGACCAGCAAGTTAGAAGACTCCCAGAGTTTCTGGCAATTAAATTTGAGATTATAGCGTTGTCCTATCTATATCAAGAATGTAGCGGAAGCTGTCGTCTTTCTGGTCCGCAGGTCGACAGCTTGTCTGCGCAATCGTCTCTACAGTGCGCGCTTTGCTGAAGGCAACTGGCAGCAACATCTTCCACGACCTGAATAACGTATGTGACCTCGTTCATTGTGGTATTCGGGTTGATTGTGCACATTCGCAAACATACTTTGCCGTCAAGTATAGTCGTGAACATGACAGCAACGTTACGGGCGATCATCTCTTTGGAAATGGTCTCATTCAACCTGTCAAACATAATTTCGTCCAAATGGGGAGGCGCGTAGCGGAAAGTGAGTATGGCCAAACTTGCAGGAGAGGTAATTTCCCAGTGATCCAATGATCGAAGTTTATCTTCGGCGTGCATGGCAAGCTCAATTCCCCAGTTGATCATGTTCTCAATGGCTTCCGTTCCCAGCACTTGTAAAGTGAACCAAAGCTTCATATGGCGAGCGGGCCGGGTAAGTTCAATTCCGTAATTGGAGGGATCTCGCACCACGCTCACGTCTCGGACATACTCGCCCCCAGCGGCGAAGCTTTTGAGTGGATGAGTCCCGTCGCGAAAGAGGACGAGCCCGCACCCATGCGTCTGGAACATCCATTTGTGGGCATCCCATGCAATACTGTCTACCTGTCCAAGACCTTCAATCTTGTAACGATGCTTCGTGGAGAAGGCCACAGCGCCTCCGTATGCGGCATCGACGTGAAACCACAAATTGTGCGACTTTGCAATGTCGATGATCGGCAAGAGGGGGTCAATGGTACCCGTATTGGTCGTTCCAAACGTTGCCACAATCAGAAACGGACGTAGGCCCTCATCTAGGTCTGAGGTGATTGCTTGCTGTAGTATGCGAACGTCCATGCGAAAGTTTGAATCGACTGGAATGCTCTGGATCTGCCTGTCTGAAAATCCAATGATGCGGAGTGCTTTCCGCACACAAAAGTGGGCCTGCTCTGATATATATACGACCCCTTGCGAGCGAGTGTGTTCCGCGAGCTTATGATCCCGGGCAACAGTCATGGCAGTCATGTTGGCGATTGAAGCGCCCGAGACGAATTGCCCTCCGGCAGTAGGTGGAAGCGCAAATTGATTTGCGATCCACTTAACCAGCGCCCTTTCAATGGCACAGATTCCTGGACCGGCCGATAGATTGCCAGCAAAGGGGTTGAAGGCATTTGTCAAGGCCTCTCCAAACCAAGAAACTGGAGAGGCGGGAGAGGGTATACATGAGAAGAATCGAGTATGGCCGAGGGCGATACGGTATGAGAGAATCTCTCGGGTGTGTGCGATGACTTTTTCCAGGTCTTGAGGTGTTCCCGGTATGGCCATCTCTTCAAGTCGGGCCATCTCCTCAGTCGTGGGACGGCGCACCAGCTGTTCATCAGCATCGCGAATGTGATGTTGCTCAAGGAGTTTGTGACCCAGAAAAGTGTCCAGTGGATGGTCTTCGCTTGTCACGGTCATGGTATCCAGTCAGGGTGAGTGTTTTTGAACTGTCCGATTAATGACGACGACTTGTTGCGAAATCAGCAGAGATAGATCCGAATCGGAGGACCATCTCTGTATCTCTACAGCCAATATATGAACAACGTAGCGTGAAGCTGACTGCTTATCTGCAATGCGACCAGCCAGCCCCCTGAAAGGTATCCATATCTGCAATGAAGAATGATAAATCGAGGGATCCACGGCAGCTTGCCGAGATCCAGGTTTTCCGTACATAGCAACAAGATCGCTGCGGGTCTGCCAAAACAGTTTTTGCCTTCGCGCGGACCCCTTACGTTTCTAGCTATGTACTGCAATGTAGCTTTCGAGTGTCACCGATTCACAATTACGGACCCATTCTCTATATGCGCCTAGCGTTCTTCGGCGACCCTTACATTTTGTAGACGTTACACAAGCTTGCCGTGGGGCTTGGACTGAGCTGAAGAATGTGTGCCTGTGTCTTTTGCATCTGATATGCTTTACTCACGATCTTGGTTGAGTGCATCAGGGCCAGTCTGAGATAGGACCAAACACGTTGCCCCCCATATCACCAGAAACAAGTCACTTTAGCAACGCGCACTACTGACGACTCCCAGGCGTAGTCGCTCTTTACGCTTGAGACTGTCCCTCAGTGCCCGTGTTCAAAGTCAGCATCGTGGAAGGCCATGATAAATCTACTAGCTGTTACGTTTCTTGTGTGGGTTGGGGTCAAGTTTATATATCGCCTCCACTGGCATCCCCTGTGCCACATACCTGGACCAAAATGCGCCGCAATCAGTCATCTTTATGAATTCTATTACGATGTCGTCAAAGGCGGAACTTACCTGTTTGAGGTTCAGAAGATGCATCGGAAATATGGTGAGCCATCACGGTGTTTTAGACCTGAAATCATCACCCAAGCTAATGTCGGTCGCTTTATGACAGGCCCTATAGTGCGTATCAACCCACGAGAAGTTCATATCGCGGATCCAGATTTCTATGACGATATATACTCGTCGGCAGCGAGAACAAGATGGAAAGACCCGAAGCAGGTCCCCATGATCGGCGCGCCATTTTCCATGGGTGCAACATGGCATCACGACCATCATAAATTTCGCCGTGGCCTTATCAAGAATCACTTTTCACGCCAGTCCATCAACAGGATTTCCCCGAAAATCCGTCAGAAAGTGGATAAATTTTGTGATCGTCTCGAAGAAGCCTCGAAAAGTGCTCGTCCGGTCAACATGAGCGACGCCTTTGCCGCTTTGACCTCCGATATCATCGCTGGATATGCGTTCGACCTAGAGCTCGAATTCCTTAGTGATCCTCAGTTCAAGAACGATATCTACCGATCTGCACTGGAACTAGACATGCTGTGCCATGTTCTCAAGTTCTTTCCATTCATTTTGAAGCCTGTACGATGGCTTCCCTCCCAGCTGACTATCTTCTTGGGGCTACAAAACAAGTCTTTGCGCTCGCTCCAAGACATAATCGATAAGCAGATAATTTTGAAATCTTTTCAAGCTGATCTTTGTGAGAAAGACGAGAACCGCACGACTGAGAACATTTTTACCTCACTCTGCAATCCAAGAGTCCCAGCAGAGGAGCGCACGCTTGACAGGCTGCGAGATGAAAGTTTGGTGCTTCTCATTGCTGGCGCTGAAGCCACCGCTCGAGCTCTGGCTGTCTTCGCTTATTATGCAGCAAGTGGTTCTATCTGCCTCAATAGGCTCCGGAAAGAGCTCCGAGAAGTCTTACCAGATGCAAAATCGCATGCATCCTGGCCCCAGCTGGAGCATCTCCCCTATCTGGTATGTTGGCCGCTGATCTCCCTCTTCTGGGGCTGAAGGCATGGCCTCGATTGACATTTGAATAGAAAGGGGTCGTGAACGAATCACTTCGACTCTCTTTCGGTGCCGTGGGTAGACTATCTCGCATGGCGCCAACGGAAGACCTGAATTACAAAGGCATCAAAATTCCGAAGAAGGTAACCGATAATAAAACTCTGCATCATCATCTTGATTAATTTTTGGGCTAATCTGACATTCTATCAGACTCCAATGAGTTCGTCTGCATATTTGATTCATATGAACCCCGACGTGTTCCCAGAACCAGAGCGATTTTCACCCGACCGATGGCTCAAAGCTGCCGCGAGTGGGATCAATTTAGAACGCTACTTGGTGGCCTTCTCTCGAGGAACCAGGCAATGTATCGGAATCAAGTAAGCATCCGGGGTCTGCCCGAGCATTATCTTGTTGAGAAATACAGGTTGACGTCTAATGACACCATGGTAGCTTAGCTCAATGCCAGCTTCATTTCACCATTGCGGCAGTCGCACAGCGATTTGATTTCGATCTTTTTGACACCAAGTTGGAAGATATCCAAGTGACCAGAGATTATATCACTGCCTTCCCTCAGGATGGCCTCTTTGATGTGAAGTGTACGATTCGAAGCAGTACAGTGGAATATGTGCGAGAGGTATATTGACAACGTACTTTCGACTCCTAAACCTGCACTGCTATGAGTACGCAAGTTTGATTTTACGTCTATTCCAGTATAATTTACTCAGCCACGACCGGGCTATTGGTACTGTACATGTGTCTTTGCACTGGAGAATTGCTTTGGGCTGTGGTTTTATGGTATTGGGAATATCAGCTTCGGGTGAATCTGGGTTATTAGAATGTGTTTTAGTAAACATCCTATTTGGGAAACAGAATAGTGCTACCGAATTCTAAAGAAGAGTAAGGGTTCACGTAGAGCAGATGGTGACCCGATCAGGAGAGGTGATGAGCTCGACCAAGCTTCGGGGAATCGGTCTGAGGGGACTGGCGAAAAGAGCGACGAGGGGCATCCATGGAGGGATGGCGGGTAGTAAGCGTCCAAGAATGAAAGCTGCTTTCTGCAATCAATGCTACGAACATGTCTTATCTCAGCCATCGTCCAGCAAAGCTTTTGTGGGTGCATCTTGAGGCAGTATTAAAGTTGGGTATGGGAATGAACCACAGGGAATTTCGTTTGGTTTTTTCAGGTCAGGCGATAGACTTCACTGCAGCATGCACTACTTGAAATCGAGGAGGGCTTTATTCGTACCTTTGAAATCTTCGCAGAGAGTCGAGGCGAGACCTCGAGCGGCTGCAGCTGCATCTGTACGCCCAGTAGTGTAACATAGTTTCAAGTGAGCTTGAATCATTCCACCGCTTGTTGATCTCTTCCTATGTCACTTCAGAGTTGCGGTGAGGCCCTCACTCAACTAAATTCCGATGTTGAGATCACTCGCGTGTTGAGAATCCCCTCACCCAAAATGTTTCTGTCAGCCCATAGTGGACCCGGCACCATAGCGGACCCGGCACCATAGCAATAGGCGTATAACTGGGTACCGTAGATCATTCTCAGCTGACGAGCGTATTTAGCGCGAATCTCACTCGCATTTTGAGTATCTTCTATCGAAAGATTTTCATTCCAGCTGTTCTTCAGAAGAGACAAATCCTTGTCATAGCCCTAAAAGGACTCTGATACCGAATATGGGATCCGTCAGCAAAGCATACATTGTCACTGGGGGAAGCTCAGGAATCGGCCTCGCTGTTGTCCAGGCCCTTCTCGCCAAAGATGCTGTTGTTCATGTTATCGATATAGCTCCAAATATTCCCAAACCTCTTCTGGAAGCCGAGCAGAGCGGTAGAGTCTACGTTCACCAAGGCATCGACGTTAGCTCGCGCGCACAAGTTGACAAGACTTTCAAAGCAATCCTCGATCGCTCCCCCCGGATTCACGGCCTCGTGAACAGCGCTGGAATTATTTCAGAGAGCCTCGACGGTTTGAATCTCCCGGAATCTGATGAATCGTTTCGGCGCGTGATGGAGGTCAATCTTTTCGGAACCTGGATTGCAGGGACCGCGTATCTGAACCACATCTTGGATTGCAATCCAAGCCTGCGCAGTTCACCCGACGAAATGGAAGTGAGAGAAGGACTTGGGAGCATCGTGAATCTGGCTTCTGAATCGATCCTCAGAACAGATCCAGGAATGGCTTCGTATAATACGAGCAAACACGCCGTGGTCGGCTTGACGAAGTCGTGGGCGAAAGACTTTGTCAGGCGCGGAGTGCGTGTCAATTGTGTTGCTCCTGGGATGACAGACACTCCAATGATTCAAAATGAGAGTATTCCTCCGGAGATGGTGGAAGAGTTCATCAATACGGTGCCCTTGAAGCGGCCTGCTAGGCCGGAAGAGGTTGCTCAGCTCATCGTCTTTCTGCTGGAGCCGACGTCGTCTTACATGACCGGACAGACTATCCCAATCGAGGGTGGTATTACCATTTAGATAAATACCTGGAAGGTGCCTCTTGAGGATCTGAGAAGTGACTCATCTATATAGACTATTAGCAGGCCAAATGCATTCACATCAATACAAACAGTGGCACTGTCACGTCCGGCATAGCTGTCCGTTCCAGCTACTCCTTAACCTACAAGACACCTGTGAAATTACCTGGCTCAAAACAACAGTTAAAGTATTCCAGGTAGCTACATGATGCCTCAGACTTGTAATAAAACTCTCTGGAATACGGTCTTCGCGGCCAAAAAAGGTATTAACTAGGAAACATGTACAGGTGAAAAGTTCGTGTCACACATTCCTCCTATAAATGAATTTGTTCTTGTCTGAATACATTGAGCGACTAGCCCGTACGATTCCCTCAAGTGTTCGATTCACGGATTGCCCGCCCTCAGTATCAGTAGGAAAATGTTGCAAAGAGCAGTATTCTCCAGATTCAGAGCCTTTGACGGAGTAAGTAGGTTTTAAACCCCCCCCCCCCCCACCACCATCTCATTCCCCTGCTTCCTTCCTTCACGCCGGCGTGGTCACACCATCATTTTCACTCCACAATTTCGTTCTCTTGTCACTCAGAATTATAGATCCAAGACACGAGGCTCAGTGCGCTACCTTCGGGATAGTGAGCACCCTCAAACTGCAGCCGCGGATCACATCCCTCAACAAGGTTCCTCAGCTGTTCGAGTGTGCGTTCGGTGCTAGAAAAAATGGAAAACATCGAGACATCATAGATGCGGAGTAGCTTCTCCGTATGCGGTGAAATAGATCCACTTTGGGGAAGGACGATATCCGCGACGAGTAAGCGAGTTCCAGTTTCAAAGGCTGGCAATAAATTCTTCACAATACGCTGAGCATCTTCATTCGGCCAGTCATGGAGTATTTGCCTCAAGAGATAGGCAGGCGCTCTGGTCTGCTGGATTGTAAAGAAATCATGCGGCTCGAAGGTGATCTGACTGACCCATGGTGCAGATGGTAGCGAAGCTTTCGCTTGCTTGATGACGTCGGGAAGGTCCTGCACAATGATGGTGATGTTGGGGTTTTTCTCCACGATTGCAAGGGCGATCTGACCCAATGAACCGCCAACCTGTGCACGTATCAGCTGATATATATAGAGAATTCCAGTGAGGACGAGGAAGTAAATGACTGATTGGAGGTGGATTCATAACGTACGTCGACCACGGTGGGGAACTGACTCCAGTCCATGGCACCTACGATATGCTTGAGAGAGTGAGAAGGAGAAGCAAGTAAAGCAGTCATGCTCGAATGAAATCGAGCACTCTGTACCGGGTCATTCTCCAGCACTTCCCAGATTGTTCGTCGCGTCTCGTTATTATAGTCTCTAGCATGCAATGCTAATGCTGCTGGACCTTGCGATGCTGTCTTGCCGCTTGAGTCAAGCCGAATCGAGTCATAGAAATAGGTCCCCGCGCGCATGTCAATGTCGCACATGAAATGCGTCATGTCTGCAACGTCTCGATCTAGATGGAACACAGCGGACATGGCAGTGTGTCGAACTTTGCCTGTCGCATCCTCTAAAAGGAACCCACCCATCGCGGCTAGGCGAACGAGTCGTTGCAGCAAGTCGGGTGCAATTTGCGCCGGACCAGCGAGCTCCTTGTATGTAACAGAGCCATCGAGAGGCACCTTCTGCGGGATACCCATTTGAATCAAGGCTTGGAGAGTCCCATGCTCGACACTCTGATTTCAACTTGTCAGTTCCGTTGGCAACTGCTGGTCATTCAATTGGGCGTACCTTTTCAGATAACACCGCAAGAGCTTCCTGTGGGCCTTTGGCCAGTCTGATAATGGTCTCCGCGGCAGTGATTATCTCTCCACGAGAGGCGAGGCCCCGAGAACTAAGAAAGGACAGATCATAAGGGGAATTGTCTGGTGCGAAGCTGTAGTCGCTGTAACCAGCCTGATCTAGTTCCGCGGCGAACACATGGACTGCGCGAGTCAAATGCTTCAGACTTTCACGCAGTGTTCGCACGGGGGTTTCTCGCACACCTCTCATCTTCACAAAGGGATGTGTTTCGAAGGCTTTCCGGCACGTAAAGTATATCTCTGCGGGGTTTTTTTTCTCATAAAGAAATGATAACCGCTTTTCTAGCAAAGGAACGGAAGATCTAGACACACTCGTCCATCCATCAACTGCTGGACAAGTGGTTACACAGCCTTATGCAGCAAGCAAGGTGTGCATAGGGTGACCGTAAAGGTCGGGTTCGCTCTTCGATTGTGAATCTTGGTCTTGACCTGAAGCAGTACATAAGTATATACAGTTTGATAGAAAGGCAAGTGATACAGTTGGCCGTACAAGCGGTCAAGCTATGGCATTCCTGCACGACTGTTCATTTCTCTGTGACATACAGGAATCATGGCGGGCTATCGGGGGTAGATTTCGCATTACAAACGCCGAGACTTGAGCTTCTTACCGCTCCAAATGTTTCATTGAGTTCAATCTCGTCCTGTCAGTCTGTGGGTAATCCAACCTTTTGACCAAAATTGAGTCTGTCGGCGACTCTCGTTTTCCACTGCCCCCATTCGCGATGCAAAATCTTAAATATGGAGGCGGAGCGACCGCAAGTCGAATTTCACAGGAATCGTACGTCATTCTGCGAGGAATGATTTAATTAAAGAAGAAATTTGGGCACCTGCGGTGTGCCATGTCGAGTGCAATGGATGTCTGCTCCGTAGAAAGTACGCAGGATTACAGAAATATCGATCGGAGTTTATTCTAAATTGAAACATGACATTGAGGACCATTCTTCGCTTTCCATCTCTTAGCTTGTATTCACAATTAGATCACTGCTGCAACTACAACAGTCGAGAACCTTCCCAGGGGTATCGCCCCGATGAAAAGTAATAGGCCGACATGTACGGCCCTTTTTCCTCTGTGTAGGCAAAAGAAAGGGAGGTGATAAGACGAGTGGAAATGTTCATGTCAACATGAGAGCTGAAACGGATGGTTGGTCAGTACCTTGTCAGTTCCGAATTCAAGAGTGAGTACACGTACAAGACATTTGCCAGCTTGGACGGGTAGCTATCAAGATCTGTCCAGCCAAGGTCCGAGGTGAACTGAGCCAGGCTTCTGACTACAGCCATATCATTTTCCCCAACGAGTGGAATATAGATCTTTGGCTCGGGTTCCAGGCTTCCGGGTCGCAATTCGTAGGAAAAGGTCAATCCACTTCGACCATCCTCTTGCTCGGGCTGGCCGAGTTCAGTAGTGGACCGCACTCCTTCCGGTATACCTAAATAATCCCATAACCTTGAAAGCAGTTCCCACCCTTTGTTAATGGTAGAACTGTTGAGCCGTCCTCCGAGGGTCCATAGATGGTGAACATTTGCTTTAGTCACATTCGGCTCGGCAAGATATATCTTCACCCGGCCCTCGTCGGGCACACAATCCCATCCAAGTATGCACACATTGGAAAGAAGCCCCATTTCTCCCAGGGAAGTCTCTACCAAGTTGAATGCTGGAGAGATGAATCGTCCACCATCTGCCCCGCGAACAGCGTTTAATACAAGTTGACCAGAAGGAGCCCTGACTGCGTCTGCCTTCACCAGCGGAAAGAAGTACATCTTCAAATCATTGAAGCAGCTCTTCAAGTCCCAAGAAAGAATAGATTGCGTACTCAAATGCATGGTCGGACACTTCTGGAGGGCCGAAAGATCCTTCTTTGTCACAGCGAGCGCATTGATGAAATGATTGTACAGCCTGGTGTCGATCTCGCGGCCATCATTCGACAGCTCTGCCAGTAATTTGTTGACCGTTGGCCAGGGGCAATATTGATCATGGCTTCGACCAGTCTGTCCAATTGCAGTCGTTGGCGCAAAGTCGAATCGAACAACAGTCTTGCCTTGCTGGAAGTTGACACTGAGCTCATATGGGCAGCCGCCTGGGACAATGCTGTCTGATTTTGCTTTCGGATACGGTCCGAGCGCTGCAAGAACATAACGATAGTGAAAGATCAAATGCAGGTATTGCAAATGAACGTCATATCCGGTGGCCGAAAGCAGTCTCTCAAGCAAAGGAGCAGTGTCTTTCCACCAGAGTGCTTGGTCTTCGTTTGGGAAGTCAAGACTCAGAGAGAGCGTGTCAAAGGTAGTTGCCACTCGCTTTGGCACCGCAATCGCTTGATTTCCGATCGCCATTTCCAGGAGGTGCCACAGTGAAGATGCTTGGGAAAGAAGTTGGGCTTGTTAGGACCAGGTTGTCGATTTGTGATACTCAGTGCACTAGCGAAGAAATGTTGGGAAGTCTTCGACACACGAATGTGTTTTAAAGCCCATGCCGGTTCTATTCATCATAACAGGTCTAAGAATTCTTGATCTGGCTATGGTTTCCCCTCAGGTATGCACTCTATACACCGCTCTTTACCACAACATCTATGCGTTGGATGATAGCTCGCATGTGCATTTTCATCAAGATGGATGGATATAGCGATATGTCATAACGCTAGCCAAGGTTGCATATACCAGCTTTTCATCTGCATGATACAGGGAATGGAAAGAGAAAGAAAAAATGGGGGTCTGAGCGTAACGTAACTTCAAGGCTGATCTCACGAAAAGAGGAAACTCGAACCTAATTAGACGCAGCGTAGTGGAAATGGAGTGGAGATTAGGAGCGAAGGAAAAACATCGGCACCAATGTCGAGTGTGGTGTATGGTTCGACCGAGATATAGAATCAAGCAAGGCACTCACGATCGAGGACATGAACTGCGTTCTAGAAATGACTGAATGCCCTGAAGCCTTTTGTCTCTTCATAAAGTATACATTATAGAAGACAATGGTAATAATGACGCATCCGACTTCGGAAATGTGTAAGATAGTGTTCCTGTTTCTACTACTGCTCGTGAAGGCAGACACTATTTTTCATCACCAGGAAGGGATGGAATGGCAATGATTTGAGTTCAATAATCTGTCACAAGGGCAGTAATGCGGAATAGGGAAGGTCTGTCTTCCGGATCTTGTAATCTAATTGAATGTCTTCCAAATAATAATATCCTACTGTTCCACCACTGGACCTACGACTGGGCCACGAATTCCTCACTAAAAGGGTAATCAATATACCCTGCCTTGGAGCACGGGGTGTAGAAAGTGTCCCTGTCGTATTTGCTGAATTCAAGTCCTTTCTTTGCACGGAATGGAAGGTCCGGTGTCGAGATGAAGAAACGACCAAAGGCAATCAGTATCTGATATTCAGCAAACTGCTCGTCTACAGCCAGACGGGCCGAGTTTTGAGTGTAACCGCCACAGAGAATCACAGGTCTCGACTTTCCCCAGGCCCGAACAAAGATGCCGTTGTATTCTTTATCGTCTGCAAGATCTCCCTGTTCCCATCGTGGATTGGACAAGGTCAGATACGCCAATTGCAATCCCGCAAGAGCTTTGATGAGAAACTCAAATTGCGGTATTATATCACGCGTCATCTTCATGCCAAACTCCTCGGCCCAGGGACTGAGTTTAATTCCAACTCGGTCTGCGCCGACAGCGTCCACAACGGCTTTGGTCACCTCAAGGGCAAAGCGGGATCTGTTTTCGATGCTCCCACCCCATTGATCCGTTCGCTTGTTACAGATCTCCTGAGTGAATTGATCGATCAGGAAGCCGTGTGCGCCGTGAATTTCCACGCCATCAAACCCTGCGGTAATGGCATTCCTGGCTGCGGTTGCAAAGTCGGTAATGTAGTCTTGAATCTCTCCCTCAGTAAGCGGATGAGGGCATCGCTGATAAGGGTCAACAGCAGTCGCACTGCTTGACACGAATCGAATCCCGTCCTTGTCAAGAGCCTCCTGTTCGGCAGCACGGCCACATGCCCACAGCTGTAAAAAGATATAGGAGCCTTTTTGGTGGACGCATTCGGTCACCTCTGTCCATGCATGTATTTGATCCGTACTCCAGATACCCGGAGTGTTCGAAAACCCGACAGCCTGGGGACTGATCGCGGTTGCCTCTGCGATGAGCAAGGTCCCGGGTACCGAGGCACGCTGCCCATAGTAGTCCTTGACAAACGGGAGCTGGATGTAAAGATCATCGGCACGAAGCCGGGTGAGCGGTGCCATCACCACCCGGTGGTGGAGGTTGCAAGGCCCCAAGCGAATACTTTTGAAAAGCTTCGAATCCTTCGTCATGTTTGGCAATTCTTTCTTGAGAAAAATGCGGCCAGAGGCTCCTCGGATTCGTAGAAGGATGGAGGATGACAGACTGAAGAATGGACGCCGTTGGGAACACCCCCGTGGCCGCCTCGATGAGCGGTCATGATCCGATCGAATAAGGCCCAAGAGGCGGCCACGGTCTAGTCGCTGTCGCTGCTGCTGAATGTGTACTGCAGCTGGAAGATCCTTGCGTGTCTATCATGCTGTACACGGTGTACAGTACTGCACGAAAATACCTCATCCCATCTGTGCTGATGTGGAGTTTCACCGGAGACCATCTTGCAGACGAAGAATGTGCATTGAACGTACTGTACTGTCGGTCCTGTTGTTACCCGCCCCGCTGTTCATTGGAACTTGATCGTGAAGATTCCACAGCGGCGGGTGGCGGGCGGGAGAATGATGTGTTCGACGGGTCCGAGAATGGCATAATCGAAGGCTGCCAAGAGTCACTCACCCGCACGCCCGCTCGGTACCTTCGGACAAATCATTATGTCCTCTAGCATCATATACCTCTCTCCACAAAAGCCACGGAATGGTATTTCACCGCCAGATTGAGTAGATCAGCGTCCGCGGGACGGGGCGATCCAGCCGGGCCGGGCCTATATAGGGTCTCTGGCTGCCCTCCCTTGCGTCGGAAGTCCCGACCTGGCCATCGGTTCCGATTGAAGGCTGTGGGCATTCCTGCTCATCGATAGCAGTATGCATAGATCGATGGTCAACTTTGCTCATCCTGCAGATCACCACTGAGCCGGTTTCTGATGAATCACCCCGTCCCGCCAATCCGCCCTACCAGAATGGTGTGTTCTTCTCTTCCCTCGATGTTCATCCACCCTTGCCGGTCGACCTTCTCTCAATCTTAAACCACAACTGGGTAGTCGCTATTAGAATGGTAGCGTCTATTCGTTCCGAGTCGCCCATCTGGCAAAATCAGGTAGATGCTGCGAGATGGACATGGGTATTGCCGTTATTGGCCACCAGTCTCAGTCTCTTGTGGATTTTAGTACAACGATACTACCGTGCCGGACTGTCCAAATTCCCAGGACCGGCATTGGCCGCTGTGAGTGGCTTCTACAAGACTTATGTTGAGGTCTTCCAACAGGGTTGCTTTGTTCACAAATTGGAAGAGCTACATGCCAAGTATGGTAAGATCATGCTCCGCAGCCAATCGTTGTTCCTGGCAGCACACTAAGTCGCAAGCCGATATTAGGAGATGTTGTGCGCACTGGGCCAAATGAGGTTCGTTTACCATGGCCCTGAAGAGATCACCACTGCTACAACGGTCCCCTGATAACCTGATAGTTACATTTCCGAAATCCCTCGGCGTATGCAGACATCTACAACATGAAGAATCGCTGGGATAAAGACCCCAAGCTTTATGAAGCATTCGGTGAATCCGACTCTTCCTTTGGCAGGCTGTCTTATCGCGCGGCCAAGGAGCGCAAGAACGTCTTGCAGTCGTTGTTCTCCAAAAAAGCTGCCGTCCAAACCCACGAGCTGATCGAAGCCAAGGTACATTCAATGATAGCCCGGAGCGACTGGCTGCCAGTATGTGCTCACCACCAAGCTGCTTCGTAGGTAGTTGAGCTGTGTAACGCATTCGAGAAATCATCAGGTGCTCCGGTCGATCTCCTCGGGGCCTTCAGATGCTTGTCAATTGAGACTATTGCATGTATACCTTCCCCGCCGCATCTACAGCACGCTGGGATAACCTGACACAGACGATTCGTGACTCTAGATATCTTCTGCGGTCAGTCCGTGGGTACTTTGCAATCACTCGATTTTGATCCACCTCTTTTGCAAGCAATGGACGAGTCTGTCAACTATATCATGCTTATGAAGCACTTTCCGATCCTCCAAACTCTTATGCAACGTTGCCCCCCGTGGCTAGCTAAAATTCTGAGCCCGAAGGCAAGCGGAATGGTTGACTTCCGGGAGGTAGAGTCCCTTGGTTCTCCTCGGTTGGTCGATAATGTATGACAATTTCAAGCGCTGACTTGGAGTGTCTTGTCTTTCATTCCAGTTTTTGGATCAGCAAGTCAGCACCCTTATGGCAGACAGAAAAAAGCTCGACAATCTTCCGCATTCTTCCACCATCTACCATCTTCTACTAGGCCCGGAGGTCTCTGCACCACCGTCACACCTTAGTATTCTTGAAGAAACACAGACCCAGGTTTTTGCTGGAGAATCTTCGGGGCTAACGCTGATGCATGGATCGTTTCATATTGTTCAGACACCGCGAGTATATCAAAAGCTCAAAGAGGAGCTCATTGCTACGTGGCCGAATCTTGATCAGCCACCAAGTCTTGCGACGCTGGAGCGATTGCCCTACCTCGTAAGTCTTTCGATGTGACATGTGACTGCTCAGTCAACTTAACATTCTTCAGAATGCTGTCGTTAAGGAGTCTTTACGAATGGGTGGAGGAGCAACTTCTCCTCTCCTCCGTGTTGTTCCCGAAACTGGCGCCATCATCGATGGTGTACTTATTGCTCCGGGAGTAAGTCCGTCCCCTTGTCTTTTCCGCGAATATACGGACACTTTGACAATCTTACAACGTCAGACTGTTGTTGGCTCGAGCAGTCACTTTGTCCATCGAAACGGGGATATCTTCCATGACCCCGATGAATACATTCCGGAAAGATGGATGGATGGGCGCGGAGATGAGCTTGAGCAACATCTAGTTGCATTCGGACGAGGTCCACGACGCTGTATTGGAGAAAAGTTAGTATTCCGTCTATTTTAATCTGTTGCCTGATAGCACAGCGTCTTGAAGCTAAAGGTGACGACAGTTTTGCTTGGGTCATTCTCTTAACATGTATCGCCCACTTTTATCGCAAGTTCAACGTTGAGCTTGATCCCTCCAGGTAATGCACCATTTCGCGTAAATATTCTTGGGTGGTAGATCTTGAGCGTATTTGCTGACAATAATCTCTATCTAGTCCCACAAAGTTGGACTGGAAGGATAGATTTGTTCCAGTGTATTCCACACCGCACCTCACTGTGAGAGTGAGCAAAGTGATCCTATAGATCTTTCAACAATCCATTCGTTGCCTTCAACTTTGAAGTAACTACAGAGAACGTGAATCTGTTTATTTTGATACAGTGAGCTTCAAGGTCCAGTAGCATAGTGATCCTTGTACCTGTAATAATGTTCTATATGGTCTGCTAGTGGTCAGTGCTTTATTGAAGGCGGCCTTTGACGAAAGTTGGCTTTAGCTGTCCCAGTTGTTAATCATGTCTTATGTACATCCTGTACCGCCATGATTCCAGAGATCAAGAACTCTTGGCCAAATTCCAGATAGCAATGGCTTAAGTTAGTCGAGACAATGGAGACAATGCTACAACTTACGATGCAGCAATTCACTACGCTCCTGGGTGACTACTTCGGTTGTCCTGGCAGGATCCGGATCTAGGCTTTTATCACACCGCTCCTGTCCTCTTCTTATGACTGGCGACTCAAGGTCTCTAATATTGTTCTCACTTGGCTTGTCTAGAACTTGCAAACATGTGGATATGATCATTTTTCATGCACACCGACACTGCTAGCGCTATCCCAGCTCAAAATCGCACGGTACCGGATTTGGCCGTTTCGTAGTCGTTCTATCGCGTCTTGAATACCCTTCAATGTCATAGGATAGTGCTCCACAGTACATGCTATGGCGTGGCGTGCAGCAAAGTCGAGCATTTTGGTCCTGCAAGGGATTAAATCTTGGCTCACCGGAAGGGTATAGGTCATTAACATACTGCATGTAGCGGCTGCACATGCAGCTGCCGGCAATACTCATTCCAGAGAGAAGAGTTGGCATGTAAGGAGCAGAAAGATCGCCATCTCCGACTGATAGCAACACGACAACTGCATTGCGGTGAAGCGTGGAATAGAACAATCCTAAATCAGCTTTCGAGGAGGATGTTATGAGAAGACGGTCGATCGAACCATCGCCGCATAGCGACACGCGCTCAGCGCCGGTACTGCTACAAAAGAACTGATGAGCGCCTAGGCAACGTGCTTCTTCCTCCTTTTCCGGCGTCGTAGAGAAAACAGAGACATGGCATCCGATTTTAGCGGCAAATTGTATCGCTAGATGGCCGAGTCCCCCAATGCCAACGATTCCCACCCTATGGAAGGGACGGCAATGCTCCATCAAGGCGGCCCAGACTGTCCCGCCTCCACCTACGTCGAGCGAGAATCAGCATTCATCAAACAAATCTCAGCTCCAAGGAGCAGCCTGAAAGAAACTGACACATCAAAGGTGCTGCATCAATAGACGACAGGGCCGAGGGAATGCGAAAGAGCCATTGTTCCTTGCGTAATGCATGGCTACACAGTGACCCAGAAAGACGATAGGAGTCAAAGCCATAGAGCTTTATATCCTCGCAGTAATTGTCTCTGCCGTTGCAGCAGAACTCGCAGGTCCCGCAGGTAGCATTGATTGGACCCCAGCCAACTCGGTCCCCAACCTGTACGCGTATACAGCCTGGTCCCACTGCTTCGACTATTCCGATGCCTGTTTCCTCATAGTCAGTACTCTCACAAAAGCAAGCCTTGGAAATTGGGTCAATCCACTCGCCCTCGTGTCCAAGTACAAGTGGCCGGCTCAACATATGAAGCTCGCTGCCGCAAATTCCGCTATGGGTGACTCGAATGAGCACCTCATTACCTTGCGGGGCTGGTAGATCAAAATTGCTCTGTACTATTTGCTGCGACGGAGAGCCACAGAATTGTATGGCTTTGAGCATCTTGCTTGTTCTTAGCAGCACTGGTGCGATGTAGGCGGGTGTTAGTGTTGTTCGGAAAATTGAAATGCAGTGATGCTTTGCTCTGGCGTTTGGGCAGCCGAGTTAAATACATCTCAATTTTCTAGCCCGGTCGAGGCATAATCTTGTCCAAAGCACTTACCCATGCACAACTCCACCTAACAGGCATGATCAACTCTCAATCTACACCGACAAAACTCGAGGATCTCTTGGTACCGTAGCCCTGTTGCATCCTCGATGTTTCTGATCTCGCGGGAGATACTGGCAATGCCTAAGACCTTTCTACTGAGTAAAAAAACCGATAAACATTGAATTCGTAACTAAAATACAGTTCCTGAATCAGGTATCCATTACCGCCAAGTGTACTTAGTTGGTTATCTAAAAGTTTTCTTCAACGGGCAATTAATGCTAGTCGCAAACAAGATGAACGCGTGGTAGGCCAAGTCGCGGCTACTGCTTTAGTTGCAGTGTGAAGTAGGTCTCCTCAGTTCCCTCCATCAAGTCCGTGATTTCAAACCCGAAATGAGTGGCCATTTTGGTGAAGCCTTCTCGACTCCAAAGTCTGAACATACTGGAGACATGGTTTCGCTCAATAACTTTCTCTTGCCCGTCATCCTTTCGCATGACATCAATGATCCGCTTCTCGGTCAAGATGTTACCGTCTGTCTCGTTGGACAATATTCTATTCTCGTAGATCACTCCCGGGAATATTTTGCTCTCAATCTGCTTTGGTCCATCGATCTGAGGTAAAGCAAACTCCTTCCCAGTCTCGGTTACCATGAAGGATTTTGCGATGGAGATGCAAGCCATTCCGGTCCGGGGTTCAATCACTTTTGCGACTTGCGAAAAAAATTGCTCTGGCTGACCTTTCTCGTAGAGGTGGCTGAACGCACCAGCAGAGAAGAGTATGAAGCCAACTTTTTGTGCGCCATTGCACAGTGGTGGAAGTTTTTCAAGCTCTTGGGCGGACCCCTTAATCCATTGCACTGTTGGGCTTTTCGGAGGGATTGAGGTAACGGTTTTTGCTCGTTCCAACATGTGTTGCGAGATATCGACTCCGAGGAAAGTCCAATTTGAGATGTCCAGCTTCTCGCGTTTGGCCTCTGCTATCAAGCCACTTATAATCCGACCAGTGCCGGTACCAATGTCCAGGAGGATCGGATTGGGCTGGGTGCATTTCTTCAATAGCTGCCAGTATACAGGCACATCAAGCAGCTTCGTTTTGAAGTAATCCGCGAGCAGAAGATCATAATGCTCGCTAAGGAATGGAGTGTCAAAAAGATCGGTGTTCTTTTCGACAGAAGCGGTAGGATGACTCTCGATAGTCATGGTGGCTGTTTTCCCGTTGAGAAGATTAGAGTTGAATCATGGAAAGAGCAGTCAAACCCACACTTCGGAATGGTGAAAGGAAATATCAGTCTCTAAAATCCGAAAAAATAGTAGACTACCTAAATGCCTCATATATTAAATCAAACTACAGGAAATGCGGTATTGCATGACGCATGCATAACCTCCTCATTCAGATGAGTCTTACTGCGAGATTCCTGGAAACTGGTCTCTGCGTCTTCAGCACTGTGCATTACATAGCTTCATGCTATTGCTCAAAATTTTCGGGTTATGTCTTCAGGGGAGTCATGGTGGGAGAATGTTGTTGATTATTGTTCAGCAATCACGCGACATCTGCTACATTGCGCATGAACGTGGATACTTCCCTAACCTATACTCGGCATGATTCGTGACTTTCAAAATGGACCAGAGCGGAACAGCCAATCGTGAAGATTAGTAATTCAATGGTGCATTCGACGAAAAGGAGAAGATCTATCTACGCGTGCATTCGATGCCCTCCATCGTCACCCTTTCCGTTAATTCGCAGGATGCAGATCCAAAAAACCGAAGTTAAATCCGTAGAGAGGGAATCAACCAAAAACGGCCTATGAGGGCTGATGTGTTTCAATATCCTGCAGGAAAGATACTCCCAGACACGAAGGTGAATGCCATCAGATCTAGGGTAGAAGGCTAAACTGACCACTAGGTAAGAGCTAGACAAATATGTTTGTTTCCATTTCACCACGTTTCGTCGAAACATGATGATTCACTGGCCTACTACTCCTCAATAACCTTCGCCACCTTCGCATATACTTGGAGATCTCCTCGTCGGGTGTACCCGACCATCATATCACGAGTAATTCGAACGTCATCGTCACTTGTGTTACAGATCTCGAAAGTGAACTGCCGAACCAGGTGGGATATCAGAAGATAGAGTTCGCTGTATGCCAGGCTGTGGCTCTGTTATCAGTACAGAGCAATTGCTTCAATGGTTGATTGATGTGACTCACTTAATCCCCAAGCACATTCTGCTCCCTCGAGTAAATGAGACAAGATATTTCATAAGCTTGTTATCGACTTGACCGTCGGTGATCCACCGCTCCGGGTCAAATCTATCCGGATCAGGAAACATGTCTGGGTTACGTTGGACGAGCATAGTACACGTGCTCATCGGTGTCTGTGGGCGAACTATCGTATCAGATTCTGTGGGTAACAGAGTATGCTTCGTCCATTAATCCTCCACGAGAAATTGTACTCACCCCAGCTGGAATGTGGTACTTCCCGTACTGCAAGACCTCGTTTGGAGCCACGCGAGGAAGACGGCAAGTAATACCCATTCCAAGGCGTAAGGATTCACGAACGACAGCTGTCTGAAATTTTAAGTTAATGTCGTTGATGGCGAAAAGAAAGAAATGTGAACAGGAACAAGATTTGACGTACCAAATAGGGAAGTTGCTCGAGCTGCACCCAGGTTACGGAAGCGGTCGGCGAAGGGAGGACTGTCTTGAGCTCTGCGCGTAGCTTGCGAAGGATCGACTGATCCTTGCTCAAATAATATATGGCAACTGTCAAGATGCGCCCAGTTGTCTCTGTTCCAGCCGCGAGGACGAGCGAGCTCTCATCTTGAATACGACCGAGTGTCCTCTCTTCGCAGGGAACGGCTTCGTTGATCAGCCTGTCGTACATTGTGTCTTGGTCAGTTCCAACCTTCCTTTCTCCGCGCAGAGCTTGAACAGCATTTGCCGCCAAAGAACGTTGAAAGTTAATTATAGCTATCTTCCCCGGCATGAACTTCCGCATGAGGGTCTCTGGAATCTGCTGCAGGAGGGGCGGAAGGAAAGGGAAAAACCGGACCAAGTGGCAAATGGCAGTGGCATCGATCACCGAAGCCCGAATGTCGCTTCGGAAGCCTGGGTTGTCTAAGAAGTTACCTGACTCGCCATAGCAGTAGGCAGAGATAATGTCAGAAGTGAGTGCGACAAACGCGGCATCAAGTTGTACCACCTCCTGTGTGCTGTGGAGATTCTTCAGGCGATGAGACAATTTTGCAATTTGTCTCTCAATCAGCGGTCCGATTTCCAGTACTGACTTCTTTGAGAAGAAGCTCGATAGCAGTGAACGTCGAACTCGATGCTGTCTATGCCCGACTGTGCTCAACATGGACTGTGACAGACCAAAAGTTGGCACCCATTTTGCGTCCTTGTCTCGTATACGGCTACTTGGAGCATAGATCTCATCATAGAATGAAGCGTCCGCAATATGGATCTCGCGAGGGCTGATCCTTATGATCGGACCTAGTCTTTATTAGCTTTCAGTACACGAACGCTGGATGACAATCCCAAACCGTATTTTGCGTGAAGCTTTTGTATTTGCCAGATATACCGGCCACGGCAGATCACGTCAAAGTAGAATTCGTAGAGATGCGTGACAGCCGCAAGTTTCGGACCTGGAATATGCCGTAGAGGATGGAAACTGAGTCTGTAAATTGACCGCAAGCCCAAAAATAATACCCATATCACGAGAGCAAAGGGTAATCGAGCGATAATCGATTCGGCCCACATTGTGATCAGCGTACCAGAAAGGGCCGTGTGAGAAAGGCAATCTTAGTACTGCAAAAGAGCGCTGAGCTCAGTAAGAGGGGTTTTTGGGGGACAACCCGAGAGTTTTAAAAAAGGCACGAGTCATCCATATCTTCGGGATGAGTGTTGCACGAGATTCCTACACCCTTCGTTTACTGCAAAGCGATGAGAACATATCGCTGCGTCGCTTGTTGTCTAGCGCGTTATGGAATTTATGGCTTTATCCTATCCCTTGCTCCCAGACATGCTGATCATCGGCACTAACCTTGATTTGCCGCTGCTAACCAAGCAAGACGACAGTAGTGGAACCGATCATGCCTGGACCATGTTCCCCTTGCAGACGACCTTCAGCCCCAGACCTTGATAAGTTGTATCGTAATCAGGAGCGTCGGTTATAGCGCCCAATCTTAGCTACAGGCCGAGTCTCGTTGTATCCCAAGACATTGGTCTGATACGGTGAGCTCTAAGCCTGGCAATTATAATGCTGTAGGAGATCTGCCAGAATTGAAAGTTGGTCCACCAACTTACTCGATCCCCATAAAAGCAACCCAAGATCCAGAATGCAAGCTAGCAAGACTGTCATCCTCGCCGAGCGCGTTTCAGACTGTGGGCGCCCTAAACCTCTAGTCGAGTCGCTTTCATTTCTGTCGACTGGTAGCAATAAACAGATTTCATCTGCGAAGAATATGAACCGACTTACAGTGGATGCCATTCTTGAACCATCCTCGCAAACGGTTCTCCTTCAACTTTGCTGGGCCGCTGTATTAGCCAGATATGCGGAAACTCCCGATATTCAATATGCATACGTTCTGGAGGACTCGGAGGAAGTCAGGTTATTTCACTCACAGATCTCTTCCGGTCAAGACGTGTATGACGCGCTGGAATCGGCTGCGTATGTCACGTCTCCTTTGGGGCTCATTGGCGATTCTCTTTCCCAGGAAGCAATCAGCAGCCAGACTGGAAATCTCGCCTTCGGCACCATCCTACTGGTCAAAGGCAAAAATAGCCCTTCTAGGATATCTCTCACCAAAGAACTCTTCACTGGGACCGCTTTATTACTGGAATGCGCTGTTGCGGCCCAACATGTGCAAGTTGAATGGACATGCAGAAAACCTCTCGCGCCCGAGTATGTGTACATGATCATGACACAATTCGCCCATGCTCTGCGGGTCAGCACGAAGAGTAGAAAAGAGAATATTCGTTACCGCGATCTCCAAGAAATTAGCCCCGAGGGATTCAGTCAAATCATCGAGTGGAATGGCGGACGCGAATACGTCACGCGGGAAACCTTTGCGCATCACCTGTTTGAGAAGATGGTCATAAAACAGCCCCATGCGCCTGCGATTTGTGCTTGGGATGGTGACATGACCTACGGCGAGCTCGACTCATACGCCGAATTTGTGGCATCGCAAATCATGGCATCATGTCAAATCGAACATGAAGGCGTCTTGGGTCTTTTTTTTGCAAAGTCGAAGTGGACAGCTGTGGCCATGCTAGGAGCGCTCAAGGCTGGTAGGGGGTTCATCATGTTTCATACCTCTCAGCCGCCCACACGCCTGCGAACAATCTGTGAGCGCCTAGGAGTCCTTGCCGTCCTTTCGCTGCCGGGATTCAAAACCGCCCTGGATGAGTTGGACGTCCCCAAGATCATCCTCTCTACTGACAAAGATGAGGGTTTCCTACCGAACACCGCCAGCCAAAAGCCCGCCCCTTTACCTTCTGAATCAAATAGCATTCTCTATGCTGGATTCACGTCGGGTTCTACTGGTGAGCCCAAGATATTCGATGTTCGCCATTCTGCATTCTGCAGCGGTATCTCTGCCTGGGGCGTGGCAATGAACGTTAACGAGCGGTCCCGGGTCTTTCAAAGTGCGTCATATAACTTTACGGTCAGCGTGATAGAGCAATTAGCCCCCTTGTGTCTCGGTGGGTGTGTGTGCGTCCCTTCCGAGGAAGCGCTGCAAAACGACATCCCCGGAGCCATTCGTGATCTCGGTGCCAATTGGGCTGAATTTACCCCGAGTTTGGCGCGATTGTTGGATCCCAGCACTTTGTCTGGAGTGAAAACGCTGGTTCTGACCGGCGAAGCTTTGGCCAGAGCAGATGTCGAGAAATGGCACTGTCATCTTGATTTGCGGGTGTATTATGGACAATCTGAGCATTCCCTGGGTGCCACGGTTGGGAACACCGCAGACCTCGTCGCGGACCACCGCAACATCGGCCGCACCTTTTCGGCCAGGGAATGGATCGTTGACCCAGAAGACCATAACCGGCTCGCTCCACTTGGAGCTGAAGGCGAGCTCTTGTTAGAAGGGCCCTGTGTCGGAGTGGGTTATCTCAATAACCCAAAGGAGACAGATGCCATCTTCGTACGGAACCCTGCGTGGTTCCTATCTCAGCGATTGACTCCAGTGACTGACGGGCGATTTCTCAAGACCGGTGATCTTGTCTGCTACGATATGCACCGAGGTTGCCTTCAGTATCGTGGTCGCAGAGGAACCCAGGTCAAGATCCGCGGTCAACGTGTCGACCTCGGTGAGGTTGAGTATCATGCAGGCAAGCATTTGTCTTCGGCACAAGGTAAGCCGGTAGCGGAGGTAATTTGCCCCAAAGTATATGCCCAAAAGTCAGATCCTGTGATGGTCGTTTTTCTTGTGACAGATACGCCAGTGGAAATGGCAGTGACATCCTACGAAGATTTTGATTCTCCCATCATCTTCCCCCCAAACGACAAACTCAGGGCACAGGCGAAAGCTGCATTGGCTCGAATGAAAGATGTTTTGCCAGACTATATGATGCCAAGCGCCGTTATTCCAATCTCGCATCTTCCACGGACGCCTTCTGGCAAGCTCTTTCGACGCAGGCTCCGCGACATCGGCTCACAGCTTGCTCTAGACGAAATTGTGGCCTATGTGAATCTTCGAAAACCACACCAAGCTCCAGAAACTGCCAACGAAGAGAAGTTGCAGCAGATATCTGCAAGTATTCTTGGCTGCTCCGCGAGTCAGATCGGCATGAACGACACCTTCCTAGAGCTGGGAGGCGACTCGTTGAAAGTCAGGCACTTGGTGCAAGCCGCGCGTACTGAAGGCGTGACACTGTCTGTCGGTGACATTTTCAAAAACTTGACCCTGGCAGATCTCGCTCGAATTGCTCAGGAAGGTCCCATGTCTGTACCTGCTCATGAGAAACAACCAGAGGAGCCGGTCGTAAAGAGCTTCCTTCAGAGCAAGCCCGAATTCGCAATTGGATCGCGCATCGAGAGTGTCTCGCGCACACACGATATAGTCAAAGCCACCGGTAACGAGAACGCTGTGGAGTATTTCCTCTTCAGCCTGTATGGCCCTCTAGACGTCGAGCGGCTCGATGTCGCCTGTCAAGCCCTTGTGGCTTGTCATGCAGTTTTGCGGTCCGTGTTCATCCCGTACGAGGAGGAGATCATGCAAGTCACATTTCGCTCATTGAAAGCCTCGTTTGAAGTTATCGAGGCGTCTCCAGGTGTTGATCCAAAAGTACTCACCGACCGACTTTGCCATGAGGATAAGATGCAGTCACCCTTCGGACCGACCCCAGTGATGGCATTTACCGTCGTTAGATCAAGTCCCGACAATCACATCCTTGTTTTGCGACTGTCTGAAGCTCAATGTGATGCCCATAGCTTGAAGAGACTGATCTCAAACCTGATGCTGCTCTACGATGAAACGTCAATCCATGTCCAACTCGACTACCGTGACTATCTGGCTATCTGTGCATCACAAAGGACTCCAGAAGCGTTTGCCTATTGGAGGACACTTCTGAAAGGTGCCACTCCTCTCCATCTTGACAGCATACGACTCAATACCCAATCATCTTGGATGTGTCATGGGCAGCTCACTGGGAAAACCTACCACCACGATTCTCCTCCCAGTCTCACGTTCTCTCGTACAATACCTCCCGTCACCGCTCGCCGAGGTATTACCCTCGCCACCACGATCAAGGCTGCCTGGTCGTACGTACTGTACAAGAAATTGCATTGCAATGACATTCTTTTCGGTCAGCTCGGAAGCTGCCGCACCATGAATGTACCTGGTATCGAGGATACCATTGGCCCATGTACTAACGTGACGCCAGTCCGCGTAAAATATGTGCCCCAGTGGGATCCCAGCGAGATCCTGCAGACGATTCAAGAACAGCACGCACAGTCCCTTCCCTACCAGACAATAGGCTGGCGGGATATTGTTAACCATTGCACCACGTGGCCCGATGGTGCTTCCCTCCAGACAGTGGTGTTGCACCAGGGCGAGCAAGAGGACACAGAGATCCAAACTCGGGGTGGACTGAAATGCCGTGCCCTTGACTGGAGCGCATCAAGTATTCTTGGTCGTCTGTATTTGATGACTGAGAGTACCTCATCAGGGTTGAACATTGAACTCTGTGTGCCTCGTGGCGCTATTGACAACTCGGAAGCAGAAGGGCTCTTCGATCTCTTCTGCAGCGCAATAGGCACCTTCTGCAGCTGGAAAAACCGCGACAGCCATGCTACAAGCCGAATCATCTGATGGCGTCGTGGTCGCCACTGAGCAAAGGAAGCAGGAAAAAGAGAGGGGAAAATCGGTCTTGGTCAATCTCGCGATCTCCAACGAAGCAGAACAGCAAAGGGGAAGCAGAGGCCTCTTGTAGGCCGACAGATCTAGGCGCAGGGCCTGGACAAATAAGGAATCTGCCGCCGATGGGAGGAATCTCCATCATCATCGCTTTCAAGAGAAGGACCTGTCGAGGTTTAGCCAAGAGAGACATCGGACCGGCTCAAATTTGATCTCACTTACGGGTATGCTCATGCCGGCGCAGATGTTCTTGCCGCTTGAACTGTTTTTGACAGAACCTGCATGGTGGGACAAGAGAGCGTAGGCCTGCGCTGGGTTAATGTCGTGTTCAGATTCCCAGGGATCAATTTAGTAATACAATGCTCTGTTTGCACTATTTGCACCGTTACTTGGCAGCCTTATCACGCTTACTCACGGGAGACCAGGTGTGAGACTGTTGGATGGTACTTTACCCATGTACATATTTCTTAGTGAGCACTAGATAGCCTCGTCGGAGTTCGGCAGACTCCGTTTGGTCAAGGCCACAACTTTTTGAACAGTTGATAAGTCCTCAACTTCCAACTCCCCATTCTGATTTAGTCCATGAAGCGAATATTGTGCCCCTTCACACAGTCTCGATCAGCCATTAAGGTTAGGGCAATGAACTGTATCATCTCTGAGCTGGAAGAACCATGGGAGCGGGATGAGCTAGTCGAAGTACGTACCGGCAAAGCAAAACCAGTCTTTGGTCTACCCGTCCAGTCCGCCATCTTCAAGTCCGTCCGATATGGCGCAGTCCCAGTCGACGCGCTCGGCTGCTGGGGCGATGAGCATGTTTATGAATTTCACGGCGGCACAGATAAAGCGCTCCTCCAGTATTGCTCTAGACATTATGGTGTATGGAGCGAGGAGTTGCCCGATAGCGCACACCTCTTTCGCGTTGGAGGATTCGGCGAGAATTTGGTAGCTCGCCGCGCAAATGAGCGCAATACTTGCATTGGAGATATTATTCGAATCGGTCCCGATGTGATTGCGCAAGTGAGTCTACCGCGGCAGCCGTGCTACAAGCTGAATCATCGGTTTCAGGAGAAAAACCTTTCGAGGTTTAGCCAGGAGAAATCTCGGACGGGTTGGTATTATCGGATCATCAAGGGAGGGTCGATCCAAGCGGGCGATGAACTCGTCCGACTCGAGCGTCCAAATCCCGATTGGACTGTTGCTCGAGTCCAGCATTACCTGTACATGGAAAAAGACAACTTTGATATGATGAAGGAGTTGGCGGTTCTCGATGCATTGGGGAGCGAGATCAGAAATATCTTCAAAAATCGACTGAACAAAAAGTTTGAGAACCAGGAGCAACGTCTCGTGGGTGACAGTGCCATGGCTGTCGACATGTGGTCGGAATACCGGCTCGTCAAGAAGGCCCAAGAAACTCCAACTGTCACTTCTTTCGTGTTCATGGCGGTCCAGCCCAAGCAGTCGCCAGAGCCGGTTCCCCCAGGCACCCACGTGCGCTTGAAACTAGGAGGTCGATTGATTCGAGCCTACTCCGTGGTTCATGGAAATCGAAAACAACTCACCTTGGGTGTGGCTTTAGATCGAGAATCTACTCGTGGCGGCTCTTTATATCTGCACGAAAACCTCCAAGAAGGCGACATTATCACAATTAGTAACTTTGCGGCGACATTCCCTTTGGCTGAGAAGGCCGATCGGCATATCCTCATCGCTGGTGGTATTGGTATCACTGGTCTGCTTGCCTCTGCTCGAAAGCTGCAGGCAATGAACCAAGACTTTCACCTTCACTATGTGGTCCGATCGCTAGATGAGCTGGCATTCGAGCCCTTAATCAAACCGTTGGGATCCAATGTTTCGATTCATTGCAAGGAAGAGGGGACTCCCTTCGATGTATCAAACGTTCTCCAAAAAGTTGACAGTAACTCCCATATCTACTGTTGCTCTGGGGAACGGCTGATCAAGGCTGTATCTGACACTGCAGCGGAGCTTGGTTTACCAAAGGAAAATATACACTTTGAATCATTCCAGGCTAATAGCACGGGTGATCCGTTCACCGCGGAACTAGTCGAGTCCAAAAAGAAATTGGAGGTGGCAGCTCAAGATAGTCTGTTAGATACCCTTCGGTCTGCAGGATTCGATATTCCGTCTACTTGCGAGGCCGGTAATTGTGGAACCTGTCGGGTGGGGGTCCGCAGTGGGCGCGTGGAGCATCGGGGTACAGGCTTGCTGGAGAATGAGAAAGATACCGCGATGCTGAGTTGCGTGTCACGGGGGATTGGCCGAATTCAACTTGATCTATAGTGAAGTACATAGAGCTTACTAGTTTACTCTACCTGAATATCTTGATGTAGAAAATCGAATATTCTAGGGTTGTTACCAATTCCAATAGTTACTTAGTCTTAGTGAATGTATAGCATTTTAATGACCAGGATGAGAAAATATGGAAATATGATTAGGATACAAATAGGATAAGAAGAGAAAGAATGGCAGCGTGCAGAGCTAGGGAGAGACGAGGGCTCATGTTAACAAAATGCCCTATCAGTACCTCAATAGTATCCAAGCAGAGGTCAATAAGGCACATACTAAGACGTAGAGAGCCTATAGTGACATCCATGCAACATAGCCCGGCAACAACCAGGACAGCCATAATAATCCGGATTAGGCGGCAAGATATGCTAACCACACCTGTGATTAGTAGCCGAACAGTGTCAAAAACGCTATCCGAGATGATATGAAGTGGAACACTGACCACGAGCTCGAAAGCATCATGGACCAAGCTAGTGAGGGCTTCCATGAAGATTTCTCTTCAAAGACCTGCGAGGAAGCGTTCAATGCTAAAGATAAGGATAAATCCACAGCGATATGCAATATTCACCCTCCCAATCAGTGACACGTAGCGATACATAAGGGGGTTTAAATAGGACGAGTCAAAAACTCGACCAAAGTAACTGCATGAAGCTCCTCCATGAATGACAAGATAAAGGTATTGTGCACCTGCTTCTAAGTAGAGCTTAGAAACCTGAAAGACGGAGAGCATCCATTAAAAGGACTCATGAGTTATCTATGGAAGCCATTTTCCAAAGAATCCCGTGTTATTTCATACCATAACCTAATACCTTGAAGACCTCTAAGGGCGAACAAAGAGAGTCCATGACAGTCCCCAAATTAGTAACATAGACCAACCCGGACAATTTAGACAAAGCGCGGGGCACAGTATCCACTATTACCAAAGACTCGAAACAATGTACCCTTGACGGTTTGTGCAAAAATAACAACTGATTCAATGGTTGTCTTTAGGAAAACATGAAACATGGTCAGAAAGCAGTGAATGAAAGCCATGTGTCTAGTAGAGCATATAATAGAGTGGCGCTGCCATTATTCCTCGCTGTCAACACATCTTGGATTACCATCTCATCCACTACTCTCAGTTACGATCTTGCAACTATTTCCAATCTACAACCCGATATTCAACTCTTGACGATCATGTGGTGGCTATTTGGCAACAATGAATCCAAAAAGGCCAAGGCTCATCGATCCTCTCGTGCCGGGCACTTCTTTTCGACCCGTGAGACTTACCCTCAACGAAGCCGTGAGCTAACCAGACCCGAAATGAAAATGCTAACAACAGTTCTCCACTTAGACAATACAGCCTGTGGTGGGTCATCTCTCGAATACCAGATTCAGGAAATGACCCAAGGTCTCCCCAGAGACCTTAAGAAGAAGAAAACCGGCTCTCATGGAGGGGAAAGTTCTTCCCTTTGTGACCTCCACTGGTCGTTGAACTATTACCTGGTTGACGATATTCTCCGTCTCGTCAAGCGTGAGGTCACATCCCATTTCCGGCAGCTTGATGCATACCCAGATCTGATCGAGCCAGTAGAGGCCGATATTCTTCATCGTCTTCGCGCTTTGAAGGGCCTATGGACCAAACCAAACCCCGATGGCCCCGTAGCTCCAAACGCATGGCCATACCAAATCAACGGGTGCGCAGCTTGTATCCTAGCCCGTATCGCCTCAGACAAAGACGCCCTCCGCAACCTACGCGTCGTCATTCAAAGTCGCACTCGAACACGCAAAAACCACCGTCCGCGAGAATTGAATATCTTCGTCGACCATTGCATTGATAGGTTTGATCCTGTTGATGCGGAAGAGTTGCACACTATTGCTAGCCAGCTTGCTTTTGGGATGAAGCGCGCGAGGAAGGCTTGTGTTAAGGCTTATATGCATGATCGAGAAGATGATCCTGAAAGGGAGATGAGGCGAAAGCACCGTCATCATTCCAGGAGACAAGGTAGTTCGATCTCATACCGATCGTGTTGATGGCACCGAGAGAGGCAGTGAACTGACCATTGCAGATCATGCGAAAAGACGTCGAGCCCCGAGTATCCCCTTTACGACTGCTTCGGCGGAGAATCTTGTCATAACGCCGAGCCTGATAGCATATCCCCTCGATATTCATCATATTCAAGACATCGATTCCAGTGATATGTGCGACAATCCCCGCCGTAGAAGATCAGACGCTCCAAGCCCCGAATCTCCTTGTTTCAAGCGAACCAACCGGGGCAGCCAAGTGATCTTTTCAGAAGTCGAATGGGGCAATCTCGCAAAACAACGTGAAAATGCTACCATGTACCGGAATATCGCAGGGGACAACCCTTATTCCAGAGCCACACCTGTGCTAGAGGTGATGGTTGATCCTCTGGGGGCTCAGAAGGCTAGACGGTATTCTGAGTCTAGTTTGGCGTTGTTTCGGCCGCCAGTATGTGCCTTGGATGGTGATTCTGCCAAGATAAAGAACGGCATTGCATCTGGTTCTGTCAGCGAATGGACGGATGACGAGTGCGAAGACTTGGATTGCAATTTTTCAACACGCAGGGGTGCGATTTCGAGGGACACGACGTGGAGTCTGGTCTGTGAACCTCACAAACTCATTTGAAGTAGGTAGGAGGAGAGTGTATTTGAATTGTTCGATAGTTCATTAAACCTTTGTTATCCTGTTTACTAAAGAAGAGAAGCAACATCATGAATCTGATTAGTTTATACTATGTGACCTTATAAGCGTAAAAGTGTAGCAAAAGAAAGATAGACATTATCGACAGTAAGTTGCGAGAAGCCGTAGAGAGAAAGAAACCATGTACAGAAAAATGACAGGCGCATTCTCAAATTATTAATACACGGGATCCAAAATCCCATTTACATGAAGCAATAGTAAGAAGCCCCCCAACAGCCCCGGGAGATGGCCCGCAACTCCAGAGGCTGACGAGGAAATGCAATGCAAAGACAGTTGGCACGTATTCAAAGACCCATCACAGAGGCGCCTCAGTTGTGAAGCACACTGCCGGGAACACCGTGACTTGGGCCTTTGAGGCTGTCGACGGTCTTTCGTCGGAGGCGGGTCCGGGTTGCTGGACCCTCAGGGGAGACCACCACTCTCTCATGTTCACGCTCTTCAATGATAGGCACAGCCGGCGCCGCAGCCTTGGCTTGGGCAGCATCCATGTCCACCTGCTTTTGAGCACTCTCTCGGGCCCGCTCGTAGCGAAGCTTAACCTCGCCCTTCCACTGTGTGTTCAGTAGTCGGTCCCAGAAGATGAAGAAGGGCTGGGAGAAGTTGGTCTTGATGCCCCAGCTTTGATGATGAATGTCGTGGTAGGCAGCATTGTTGGAGGTGAAATGCTGCAGCGGATCCCAGGGGAAGGCGTATCCACAGTGGTCGTCAACAGTTTTGATGGTCGAGCAAGTGAAGAACCACATTGCTTGCCGGTTGGTCATACCGGAAACCAAGAAGCCGATTCCGGTACCCGCAGTGTCCAAAAGGAAGCCCTCGACGGGGTGATTGTAGAGAGCACCGAACGCGTAGGGTACATAGAGGCGGTGATGACGAGAGTGGAACGTCACTGGTGGTGTGTTAGAGATATCATTTGACCAAGAATCGAGTAGGTTTCATGAGCTTACCATAGAGCCAGCGGTTCAAGTGCATAGCCCGGTGCAAGAAGTATTGCCAGGTGTCAACGATGGAAATAGCGAGTAGGAACTGAAGGGCCGGAACAAAGTACCAGTACATGAAGCTCGCCACTGCCAGCTCCCAGCCGGCAAAGGCCGGCGCAACGACCTCTGCTCCACTGTCTAGGATCAGAGACTGGACCACATCAGGGTAGGAACCGCCAGCCAGCGCCCCGGCGAGCATCGTCCCGTTCTGGGACACGGACTTGGCCAGGCCTACGGCGTCGACACCAACGAGAGCCAACGTTGGGGGAATGGCTTTCTGGAGAAGTCGAAGACGCGTAGCCCACACGGCCACATCGTACTCCTCACGGCCTACCGTCTCCACCGCATCAAAATATGACATTCCATATCCGGCAATCGTCTGGATCACCTGTTGCAAGATCACGTCGCGTACAACTTCCCACCGGGTGACTTTGTTTCGCTTCAGGACTTCGGCAGGGGTATGGAGGCGATATTTCTCAAAGTAACCGTTGACATCGATGAAGTGATAGATCATTGACATGCCCCAATAGGCGATGATGGGCAGAATCAGCGCGAGGACGTTATCGGGAATGGGCGGAAGTAGCGGTTCCCGCACGGAGAGGGTGTATGTCGGCAGCGGAGGTAGGTCGAAGGCGACCGAGGCGTTGACGGCCATGATGGGTGAATAAGAAGAGGTGGGTGCCACTGCTGGGCGGATTTGAATGGAATGAAGCCAGTACAAAGGAGATGTCGATTGACTAGGGTGGGCCGGTCGCGAGGCAGCTGGATTTCAGGGACGAAGGACGACAATAGAGAAATCAACAGCTGAAGAGGGCGAAGACAGCAAGCGCGATCAGGTTTGCAGAAAGAGAATCTGGTAAAGAGACAAGTGACAAAGGAAGGTATGCGATAAGAATAAATTGAAGGAGGGGAAGGGAAGTCTAGTTCGATTCCAAGGAAAAGATAAAAAAGATCCACGCGGATCAGGAGGCGAACGGGCGCAGGGCGACCGACTAGAGAGACTAAAGAGACTAGAGAAAGGCCGACTGGGCCGAAATGCAAAGGTGGCGCCAGTTCGGATGCGGCCTGGTAACAAATATGGTATTATAGTTACGGTTACTTTGGGCGCTGATAGAGGTGTTGTGTGATATGTAGTGGGGAGTTCAGCCATTTGACAGTTTCTGTACCGTATGGCCTCGTATTGGGCGCCTTTAATATGGTACATAAAGGAACATAAAATCCACAAATTATTGTACTATGGAGATGTACCCACAGGTTCCATCAACCGCTTACTGTGCATCACATTCTCAATCTATACCGAGTCACTAAATGTACTTTGATAGATTCCAAATAGCCAGGGCATATTCAGTTGATCCCATGTAGAGCGTCATAATCAACTATACATGTCAGCATTCCATACTATGGTACTAATCAGGAAATAGGCAAACCCTGCACCCCTAGTGGTCTGACTTATTTAGAAATGGGGAGATCATTGCATTGAGTTGCACCACTCTTGATTCCTGAACTCAAAGTGGTGATCCGTCAATCTCATATGATCTGCATATCCTCGAGGTTCAATATCCTGATATACATGTCGGACTTGCTGGCAAAGAACATCATCTCCAACTTGGAGTGAGGTTATGTTGCTACACTGTATTCTTTGTATACAAAGAACTCGATTGCTTCGAGATAACAATTGATTGGAAGCTCATTAGGTTGAATTGCAGCTCCAATTGAAACTGAATGCAATTCCTTGTCTTCAATATATAATGAAGAGAATTGCCTCGAGGATGTATCTTGTTCTCTGTTCTCTCAAAGGCATCCCATCCTAATCATGACATCGTCGAGTATGTCTAGGAAAATCGACCCATCTTGGCCGCAACCAGAACGATGTAAGAATAATATAAACAAAAAAACCGGATCTATGTATGTAGTACAAGATCGAGCCACTAATCTGAAACAACGAGGTGTAAATAGTAGCTAGTCGCACCTCGAGTAACCCGAGTGACAGGTGGGGGGTAAAATCCCGTGACTTGGAGAAACAAACCAAGCAAACTCCCCCACCAACGAGGCGCCACTAAAAAAAACTTCATTTCCCCTCCTTTTTTGTTTTTCCCACCCCCTCCCCTTCAAGCCCATCAATTACCTTTGTGATCCATCACTCCTTAACTGCCACCATGATCATCTACGAGGTATGCAACTCTTCAACCTTTGCTGACATTTTCGCAAGGAAATTCGCAAATTGAGCTGGGAAATAAAGTGGGAGAATACTAACGGCGATCGCAGGACATCATCTCCGGTGACGAGATTCTCTCCGACACCTTCAAGATCACTCCCTCCAAGGACTGCCCCATCCTTTGGGAGACCGACTGCCGCAAGTACCTCAAGAAGAAGAACGAGGACTTCGAGCTCGCTGGTGCCAACCCCTCCGCTGAGGAGGCCGGTGAGGACGGTGGTGATGATGAGGCCGTCATGGTCCACGATATCGAGGACCAGTTCCGCCTCGTCTGGCTCAAGACCGAGGAGGGCCTCAAGCCTTCCAAGGAGGCCTTCAAGTCTCACCTGAAGGGTATGTTGCACGGAGCAATGCTATGCCCCGCTATTCCTATCGTCTGACACCCCTTTCCATTTAGGCTACCTCAAGAAGCTCCTCAAGAAGCTCGAGGAGACCGGTGCCAGCGCTGAGACCATTGATGAGTTCAAGAAGAACGCCCCCGCTGCTATGAAGAAGATCATTGCCAACTACGACAACTACGATGTCCTCATGGGCTCCTCCATGGACGGTGATGCCATGTGAGTATACCTCGAAATACTGCTGTTATGTGATTTCCCACTGATACTAATTTTCTTTCTCCCCTTTTAGGCACGTCCTGATTGACTTCCGCGAGGACGGTGTCACCCCCTTCGCTACCGTCTGGAAGCACGGTTTCCGCGAGGTCAAGGTCTAAACGTCTTAATCCCAACGGGCGACCACAAAATGCACTTGACATGAAGAAAGAGAAACCACCGAAGAATGCGAACTCTCTGCATCCGTTCCTAGATTTTGGTCGCGGGGATCGCTTATTCCCTTCCGCCAGGCCCTCTGTCTGTTCTGGCTGGGCTTTACACATCGCATCTTCGTATCCTAATTGACTGATCGATCTGATCGTCAAGAGTTACGCCTCATGAATCAATAAACTGTTACGTTTCTATCTGCAAAATACATACCACTGTCTTCAAATGTTGCATCTTTCAAAAGTGCGTCTCTATAATCACCGTTACCTGAATCGTGGTATTATTAGCACCCGTAGACCCTCAACGCTCGAGTTGTAAATGAACTTCTTGGTGGATGTGCACTATTACATATACTAAAAACCGGAGTAATTAATCTATTTTCATTTGGTCAATCAATGATATGTGACTAATCTATTTGCATTATACCTATTGCCTTCAACACTTCAGCAATACCCCGTCCAGTCACTAGACGGAACCCTAGGGTTCCCCGAGCAAGTATCGGCCCAAGCCGGTGGCAGATTCCCATTACTAGAGGACAATGAATCGGGAAGATCATTGAACCGCACACCAGCATCATTATTAGCAGCAGGAAACCCAAGATTGGCAAAATCCAGCCCAGAAACGGGGTCCAATTCCATCAATTCATCGGCAACGGGAAGATGTTGTCCAAAGACAGCGTCCCATTGATCCCAATCGAAGTTTAGATTGGGGTCGACCATGGAAGGTGGCGTGGGAACGCCAATTGGGGGCGGGTTGGAAGAGATTGGATCCATGAATGGCATGGCTGGAGAGGTCGTGATGTTGGGGAGGGATTGTTCTGGTCGAGAGATTGGAGCTGTGGAAGGGGGTGCCCGGGAGTGAGGGGAGGGAGGTGAGCCAAGTGATTGGGTCATTTGGGGAGAAGTTGCTATAGGAGCGGGTGCAGGTAGAATGTCGGTAGGAGGCAGGGTGACAGCTGCTGGTGTGGGGTTGTACTGTGGAGTCGGCAGGGGGGCGGAGGTTCGGTTTGGTGGGGGCAGTTCATATGAGTATCGTAATGGACTAGGCTTCACAGACGCGGAAGATACCGCAGGGCTAGGAAGCATGTGAGAACGAGTCATGTTGTAGAACATGCGGTTGAAGTCGGTAAGTTGGCGATCAGGAGCGGCGGGTTGACGTGATGGCATGGTAGTTGACATCCCAGGTGACCCAGGCACAGAGGATGTTCCTGAATAGAACGGAACACGAGAGCCACGAACTTCTCCTGCCGGTGATGCTATGCCCGCTTGTATTTGATCCTGTTCAGTCCAGAGCATCTGTGGGTTAAGACCAGCCTTTTGCCATGCTTTTTGGCGCAGACGACGGATCATGTCCCATGCTTCGCGGCCGCCGTCTTTCAGCGGCCGTTGTGTTGAAATGCCATCTTCACCACCGACCACACCGCCATCGGGTCCTGATAGAGCCAAGATTCGGTCAATGAAAGCACGTGAGCGTGAAGCCTCGGGGCTATAAGGTCGCTCGTATAGGTCAATGAGCATGATCCTAGTAGATGTTAGCCAGGCAGAACACGAGGAGCCCTAACAGAACGGTAGAACAGGAAAGTATAATGCGAGTTTTTGGAAGGGTATGGCTTACATCGTTGCATGCATAGGTTGATGGTTTCTAGATATAGGTCAGTTGTCACTTTCTGTCTGCATGCGAATGCGACATGACGTACCCAGGCCAGCTCCATTGGAAAGGTTGAAAGTCGGGGTCAGTTGCAAGCTGTATAAACTTCTCCATGAAACCGTGACAGTGGCGAAGCGCACTGCGATGGTCAGACATGTTTGATCCATAAATAAAGCGAAATTCTTACCTTTGCCGTGCCGCCGGCCAAATGCGACTGCGAGCATTCTTGAGGAAGGGTTGATATGCAACACAAAATGCCTATAAGCACTAGATTAGCTAAGAACAAGAAGTGGTGAAAATCAATATTACCAACCTTGTCAATGTAAAGAGAGAGAATAATGCGTGCCCACTTGTGGAATGAAACCAGAACTGGCGTGTGGTATTGTTCTGGACAGCCATTAGGACCTTCACCAGGAAGCTCTGTTTCCGTGGCTCGCGCTTCGACAGGAGATTTTGACATGGATAACGCCCGCCCCGTTGATACAGGAGGACTACCAGTTGGCAAGCCCTCCGGGATCCTATTCACTATTGAGTTCAGTTTCAGCTGTAGGCCGAGAAGGATCGTTCGTAGTTCCTCCATATCGCTACGGGTGACAGGTTTGGTGCCGAGCTGGATCTTCAGAATTTGCCGGACAGCGCCTATTATTGTTGTCAGTGGGTAATGTAACTGTTTTTTCTTTCTCGGAGACACTTACGGGCCATGGTATATTTCCCTCTGGCAGTCAAGTAAAAGACATTCACCATTGACGGACCACCACAGACGGACGGGTCGTCAGGATTGTCGGGTAACCTTTGCTTGGCAGCAAGTAATTGTTCGTATTGTACCGCGGTCTGGGTGCCTAGCAATGTGTCTTTGATCTCGCTGGTCTCTCGCACGTCCCAGTAATTTTCGTCGCTAACGAGTGGAGGGAGACCACTCGACATCGCAACCACACCATCCATGTGCATGATATGCCACCAGAGTCGTCGTCGATACTCTGCCTCGCGCGGCTCAATGCCAAAATTGGCTGGATCCCGATGTAAACCCATCGTTTGAGCCACCCGCATGGCGAGGCTCACGAACAGACTACTTGTCAAGGGCTCTTCCTCTTTTGACAAGATAGTCTGCACTATGAGATAGGCGGCTAGTCCCTGGAGAGAGGGACTGCGAGGAAATGAGATTTTTGTCAACCATCGAGTCACTTCCTCACTGTACATTGTAGACAGTGAAACACGCGATGACGCATTGAACTCGGCTTTGATGGTTCTGATGGAGATGGTCACAGAGCCACCGTACCAGATCGCATACAGCAATGGTATGAATGAAGGGTTCGGACAAGGTTCTCCAGAATAGCTAGTGTAGTCATACCAATCCCAGAAGGCATTGTAGAGCTTTAAGATAGTTGGAGGATGAAGGACAGGACTTATGGCGTGGACGCCTGACATGAACCCCTTGTATAGTAGATGGCTTTGACGCCGTGTAGGAACATGCTCAAGCATCTCGGGCTCGACAGTCTTCTCATTGACTGACGGAGAATCACCAGATGGAAAGATGATGGATTGCTGGAAGGATCCGACTCGTGATCTAGAAGTTGTTGAATTTGCAGAGCTATCAATCGATTCTTTCCACGGTCTGCGAGAGCCTGTAACAGGGTTGCTGGAATCCTCGTTCGCATTCTCCGATGACACATCATGGGATCGATTTTGGTCTCTCAGCAATTGATTGAGGTCATTGATCTAATAATTGAATTAGAATATGCTCCAGAATATAGAGCTGGGGTGGGGTAATTTTCAGCATACCTCGTGAGAAATATAGGCCCAGTATGTCGTTCCCACATATCTAATGCTGTTAGACACGGCTTTTGCCAGAAATTCGACTCTTCTACTCACCTGGATCTTCCGCCATCCTCCAAGCTCAAATGCCCCAAATTAAGGCTACCAACTGGATCCACGAGGTCGGTTGCTTGACCGGACGGAATGGGAAATTCGTCGCCACTCGACTCTGCGGCAGTGCGGCGGGGACTGGATCGCCGAGATGAGGCCGACTGTCCATTTTGAGTGCGACTGCTCTGCCGCAATTGTTCTAGAAGGGCAGTCTCCATACCACCCGTTGGAGCCACACCCTGCCTCTCCGCTTCCTCGAGTGCATGCGGATTACCACCGAGTCGTTCAATCATTGACATGAGCTTGTCGAGTCGAGCTTCAATGGCGCGTGGGTTCCCTTTCTGGTCCCCTGGAGAATCCTCCTCTCTCAGCTGACCATAAATCGATTGCAATTCGTCCACATCCTCCTCCAGCGTCCGAGGCGTTTCCCTCCTACGTTTCACACCATATCCAGGCCTCGCGGACCCTTCCCGGGCACTCTCGGTCCTTTGCGACGAGGGCGCTGCATCGTATATGCACTCGGCGCCGGACTTTGCGCAGTTGCTGCATATTGGGTGGACCTAAACAAAAGAATACAATCAGTCAAACCATGCGCCAGGTCTGGGATAGCTCGGTTGAAATTACCTTATCACATTTGACTTTGCGCCGTCGACAAGTGTGGCAACTGTAACTCGCACGATTTCGAGTGATCTGACGGCCTCCGGCGAGGGGTCCTCGTGCCGATGACGGAGCGCGTCCGGAGGATGATACGCTCGGCAGCGTCTGGGCGTTGGGCGGACTGAAGTCCATAGTCCCTAGCACACTACCCCAGTAGATTGAGGAGAGTGAAGAAGCGCACTGGGAACTTTTAATCGCACTGATTGAACTGCGGCACTTCAGATTGCGGAATGCGGCCAGTGAACTGCGAATTGCGGGGAACGAACTGGCCGACCGACTCGCGGGCCAATGACCGCATCGACATTAACTTTTGTTGCCTTGGTATTCAGGCATCCATTTGAGATGATTACCGCCGAGTAGACGACATCTCATTGTAATCTCCTTTGTTTACCATCTAGCAGCAATCGACCTTTTCCCATCTGCTCTACAATCTAGAGCCCTTATCTACAGCTACGAGGCATCTAAACTATGGTGGCTCCACTGCCCAGCACAAACTCCCGTCTGGCAAGCCTATTGAACCGCATCTACACATTTGCAAGCAATTTCCCGTCATAGGCTACGCTCTGTGAGATATTTTTCTGAAGAAATATCTATGACTGACTCCTGTTTTTGATTGACCACCTTGGTCCGTCAAATTATAAGACTCAAAATAGCAATCGATGACCTCCACGAGGCTTGCCAAGTGCGTCAATGAGTCGGCATTGCAGGATGTCCTGGGTCATCCACGATTATCATTTGCTCGGAGACAGTTCTTCAATGCTGGGCAGTCTCTTGGTCTACGGACTTGGCATAGACGCGGCCAGCGGGGCTAGCGCTAAACATACGCGTCCGGAGCATCCGCCACTCCTTGCCAAGCCCAGGCCAAGGCGAAGCTCTTCGCATTTCCTCGCTTCAACAGGCACCAAGGTATAACTCTGGGCTCGTTTCAGGGGGGCATATCCGTTTGAATAGTGTCTCGGCAGTGGCTATGGGAGCCAGTAGCCAACCAGAATGCTGAGTTTCCTCAAAGACATCTGGTGCTTGGCATGGAACCGCCAAAACTCGTGCTCTGTCTTTCCTTTCATCGGTGCCAAGATGCGTGATGGATCTTGGAATAGGTCTCGTTGTGCTAGATGTGGGCACTTCAAGAAATTGGCGAGACCAAGTTGCAGTTTTTATTACTATGGACATCCCCCTGTAAACCCGGAACTCGAATGGAAATCGTCTATACCTTAAAACTCTCCTTCTTAATCTCATTATCAAGACATTCGTTTAAAATTCAGTATCTTTGACTCCACTGAGACTTCAGACTCCAAATTCGGAACCATACTTTTGTTCTAGACCTTTCATTCTTATCAGTGATCCCCCGCCATACGACACCCATGACCCGCCAATGGCTACGCGCAAGACAATGGCTTTTGCTACTATTAGGGCTTTCAAATCTTGCATCCCATGCCATAGCAGCAGGCATATCCCTTGATCTGGGTAGCTCCGGTCAGTATGTTGCAAGGTGGGATACAAGGGGATTGCTGCCGTTCACTGCTAAAGCGTGAGGATAGATTCCATAAAATCCGCAGCGAGCACCGTGGCATATGACCTAGTCACCTTCTATACCGGCAACAATACTGGAGATGTTCCCGGAAACCTTCCAGATCCATATTACTGGTGGGAAGCGGGAGCTTTCTTCGGAGCCTTGATCAATTACTGGGCTTTTACCGGAGATTCCACCTACAATACGATCACCGTCCAAGCGATGGAACATCAGGCGGGAACAAAAGGCGATTTCATGCCGCTCAATCAGACATACACCGAGGGTAATGACGATCAATCTTTCTGGGCCATGTCAGCTATGATGGCTACTGAGCGAAACTTCACAAATCCAACAAATTCCCCGGGGTGGTTAGCAATGGTGCAAGCGGTCTTTAATGAGCAGGCTCATCGATGGGATAAAGAAAGCTGTGACGGTGGATTACGCTGGCAGATTTACACTTGGAATGCCGGGTACGGTTACAAAAACACCATTTCAAACGGATGCTTCTTCGACATTGCTGCTCGACTGGCTCGATATACAGGCAATGCGACATATGCGGAGTGGGCCAACAAGGTCTGGAATTGGTCCAAGGTGAACGGTTTGATCACTGCAGACTATCAGATCTATGATGGTACCACTGTTGACTCAAATTGCTCTTCATATGACCGGACTCGATGGTCTTATACTGCTGGCATCTACCTTCATGGAGCTGCCGTGATGTACAACTACGTAAGTGGGTTGCTGCGCACAATGAAAAGAGCCACAAGTCTAATTCATATTTCATAGACTTCATCTCTCTCCTCAAACTCATCTTCCAACTCATCCACAGTGTGGAAGAACCGAGTCGATGGGCTCCTCACCGCCACTAACCATTTCTACTCCACTGCCAACTCCAGTGCCAATGTCATGGAGGAGCCCCCTTGTGAGTCGACGGGTAGCTGCGATACGGATCAGTTATCATTCAAAGCATACTTGTCTCGCTGGTTAGCCGATGTGATGCAGCTCGCGCCCTATACCTACGACACAATTATAGCCAAAGTTCGTGCTACCGCAACCGCTGCTGTTAGCCAGTGCCAGGGGGGATCTTCGGGTACCTATTGCGGGCATAAATGGTCCAGTGGAAGCTATGATGGTACCACTGGAGTGGGCCAGCAGATGGGCGTTCTTGAGGTTCTCCATGGACTTCTCGCCACAGAAATCACTGGGCCCGTCACAGCGAACACGGGTGGAACGAGTGAGGGTAATGCTGCGGCTGGGACCGAGTCTGATGAAACGGAGGATGAAATCCTATTCTCCACCATCACGACGGCCGATAAAGCGGGCGCGGCGGTTCTCACGGCGGTAGTCGTTGGATTGATTTTTTCTGCTGTTTATGTGATGCTTGTTTGAATTTTAGCCTTGTGGGAACACAAAAAACACCAGCAATGTGTGAAAGTCCTAGATACTCTATATCCGCCCGGGGAAGATCGGTGATCATGTTTTCGTCCGTCGTCCCGTGAGAATATGTTATCGCAAACCCCGAGATTAGTCTAGTATTCTGCACTATACTATCAGCTTCGGACTTGAATTTCAGTAGTGTCCAAGGTTTTGAATTAGAACCCGGTTCAATATGTGACTTTATTTCAGTACCTATGACGAATGCACAATTTGGCTGGGCTAGTTGCTTTTCCCGGCCGAGACCGCCGCTGCTGAAGCCAAAAGTATAGCAAACTGGAATACGCAACGGCAAATGTCCCGATCTGAAATACCCGTAAATTGAGTTCACTCACTAAAAGCTTGTCGGAAAAATGCCCTTCATAAAATTCATCATCTGATTAGCCTAACTGCCCGGTGTCTCAACAAGTGCTCTTGGAGGCGAGCCTCCGTGGGGCAACACCAAGACTCAGGCCTCGGGAGGCCCGGGAGAGGCGTTTCTGCAAGTTCAGCCTGAATGGGCTCACTAGTCAATGCGACTGTCTTGAGTTTGATTTGTTGGTTTATTTTGTATGACGACTATGCAAAGGGCATGCAAGGTCTTTGAAAGTGCAACCTCGCTGGATCTTCGGCCGATATTTTTCCGTGTGGAAAGTATCACAACAGCATGCAGATCGTCGTCATCGTGCCTTTTCTTCAGGCTAAATGGCTTCACTTTTGACAAATATCATCCCCCCACGCCGGACGACCCCCGCAAGTTGACCGGCAAAGCATCGGGATCGACTGTGGGACTTACCGGGTTAGGAACAATGTGGAGAAGAAGGTGGTTTATATTCCATTTTCAAGCTTCCACAGCCGAGACGCGTCTGCAGTAAAGGGCGATGAGCGAGGTACGAGGGGGTCAACCGGACAGGAATTGGAGAATCTGCTACAGTATAAAAAGGTAGTGACAGTAAGAGAATTGAGAGAGAGACTACCTTCTCGTGGCTGCAAAGAGCCTCTTGATTTACCATGCCTGCTACGACTGCACTACTCGCTGCACTGGCGGCGCTGGTGCCAACTGCACTGGCCCAGGCTAATACCAGTTATATCGACTACAATACGGAGCCCCAGCCAAGTCTTGATAGCCAGACCTTGGGAAAAGTCCACACTGGATTCCCCGATTGCACCACGGGTCCCTTGAGCAACACCTTGGTATGCAACTCCTCCGCTCGCCCTCATGATCGAGCTGCCGCTCTAGTGTCGCTGTTCACATTCGAAGAACTGGTAAACAGCACCGGAAATAATATCCCTGCCATCCCACGTCTTGGACTTCCACCCTACCAAGTATGGAGCGAGGCTCTACACGGATTGGATCGTGGAAACTTCTCCAAATCGGGAGACTATAGCTGGGCAACATCTTTTCCGTCTCCAATTCTCACCATGGCGGCCCTCAACCGGACGCTGATCAATCAGATTGGTGAGATTATCTCAACACAAGGAAGAGCGTTCAACAACGCTGGGCGATATGGTCTCGATGTTTATGCTCCCAACATCAACTCATTCCGTCACCCGGTCTGGGGCCGTGGCCAAGAGACCCCGGGTGAAGATGCTTACTGCCTTTGCTCAGTGTACGCATATGAGTATATCACCGGCATTCAGGGTGGCGTGGATCCCGAGCATCTCAAATTGGTGGCTACCGCGAAGCACTATGCTGGTTATGACATCGAGAACTGGGACGGCCATTCTCGGCTTGGAAATGATATGAATATCACTCAGCAGGATCTCGCAGAGTATTTCACCCCTCAATTCCTGACTGCGGTTCGGGATGCTCGAGTACATAGTGTGATGTCCTCGTATAATGCTGTCAACGGCGTTCCCAGCTCTGCCAATTCCTTCTTCCTCCAAACATTGCTGCGTGATACCTGGGATTTTGTCGAGGATGGATATGTCTCGTCTGACTGTGATGCTGTTTACAATGTTTTCAATCCACACGAATATGCGGCAAATATTTCTAGCGCCGCGGCTGATTCCATGCGAGCTGGCACAGATATTGATTGTGGAACGTCCTACCAGTATCACTTGAATGAGTCCTTCTTCCAGGGCGAGATTTCACGCAGTGAGATTGAGCGTGGTGTCATCAGACTTTACTCCAACCTCGCTAGTCTCGGGTACTTTGATGGAAAGGACAGCCAATACCGCAACCTTACTTGGTCCGATGTCCGGGCCACCGATGCATGGAATATCTCGTATGAGGCTGCGGTTGAGGGCATTGTCCTCCTGAAGAATGACGGCACTCTGCCTCTGTCTAAGAAGACTCGGAGTGTCGCCTTGATCGGCCCTTGGGCTAATGCCACCACACAGATGCAGGGCAACTACTTCGGAACTGCTCCGTATCTCACCAGCCCATTAAATGCACTCAAAGCCTCGAACCTGGATGTTACCTATGCCCTTGGTACGAACATCTCCTCCACCACGACCGGCGGGTTTGCCGATGCGGTGTCTGCAGCCAAGAAATCCGACGTGATCATTTTCGCTGGTGGAATTGACAATACGATCGAGGCGGAGGGCATGGACCGACAAAACATCACCTGGCCAGGAAATCAACTCCAGCTCATCAAGGAGCTGAGTGGTTTGGGAAAGCCGTTGGTGGTGCTTCAAATGGGTGGTGGTCAAGTTGACTCTTCCTCGCTGAAGACCAACAAGAACGTTAACGCACTCATTTGGGGTGGATATCCTGGCCAGTCTGGTGGTCAAGCGCTTTTGGATATCATCACTGGAAAGCGTGCTCCTGCTGGTCGTTTGACAACAACGCAATACCCAGCCGAGTATGCGCTGCAGTTCCCGGCTACGGATATGAGCATGCGCCCTGCTGGCAACAACCCCGGCCAGACGTATATGTGGTACACTGGAACACCAGTCTATGAATTTGGTCACGGATTGTTCTATACAACATTCAAGACGTCTCTCTCAAAGGGAAGTGACACCAAGACTTCCTTTGACATTGTCAATCTTCTGTCCCGGTCCCACGATGGCTACAACGTCATCGAGCAGCTTCCATTCCTCAACTTCACTGTCAGCGTCACCAATACTGGAGGTGTTCTCTCAGACTACACAGCAATGCTGTTCGCCAATACAACTGCTGGCCCTCAGCCATACCCCAACAAGTGGCTGGTTGGTTTCGATCGCCTCGGGTCTATCAAGCCACATGCCTCCATGGAGATGACAATTCCCGTCTCTCTTGACAACGTTGCGCGTACAGATTCGCTAGGAAACCGTGTCATCTATCCGGGCAAGTATGAGCTGGCTTTGAACAACGAGCGATCCGTCATTCTTTCTTTCACCCTGACAGGCGACGCGACTACTATCTCGAAGTGGCCGCTGGATAAGCAGCAAATCCCCCATGCATGATTGAACCAATACGAAGCTTGTGGGAATTGTCGATTTTTCAACGGATAGCGTCGATTGTATCCTCAAAAGTAGTATTACTTTACCCTAGAAATCAATAGGATTTCTTTCCAGAAGGAGCCCAAAACAATTACCGGATTCTGAACATAACACTTGCATCCAACCAATTAGTGTCCCTACCTGAATTAAAATTTTACAAGCTTTCAAAAGCGCGTTACTTAGCATATTCTTCTTTAGCTTACTTATGTGCATGTCTCATTGAATAAAGAAAGATAAATGATTGTGATAGCCTTATGAAATGGCCTTCCAGCTTCCCCTTGTCCTTGTGCACGAGCACTTACATCAATATGGAATCTTGAACACCCAAGCGTATTGATCCCCTGCTGCAACTTCTTTGCTCACCGAGATTTCGATAGAACCATTGTTCAATTTCCGCACTGGCAAAACAGTGCCATCCATCTTCCCTCCGATAACCGTAACTTTATCGCCTTTCACCCATGGAATTGGACTTGATAAAGTCAAAGTACTGTTTGGCTTTGCAAGAGAGTGGATGTAAAAGGCATCCTGCGAGATGGTAAATCGAATATTATCACCTTCCGCCGGCGTCACAAACCAGTAAGTCGTATTGAAAATAGCCTCTGCATGGCTCTTGATCCAAGCACCAGCTTGACGAAGATGCTGTTGCTCAATATCTATTATCGTTCCGTTGGCGGTCGGTCCAATATCTAGCAAGAAGTTCCCGTTCTTGCTGACAATATCAATCAGGCTGGTGACAATGCCACTGGCATTCATGTAGCTGGCCAGAGGCGTGGCTCGATTATAGCCGTAGCTAAAAGGATCCATTCCCAGGTTACTCTCCCACTTGCGAACCTGGACACCGTTGTAGCGGGCATACTCAGGTGTGTCGAAATCGCCCGGCAGGCCACAGCGGGCATTCATTACCACTTGTTGATTTTGCTCTGCCGCTCGATTGAACCATGCACTTGCGAATTCAGTTGTGCGGTTTGGACCTCCAATGTCACACCACATAATCTCCGTACCCATCTCGGCGAGAGTGTTCATCTCTGGTAGGACTTTATCGGTGATGTAGTCATTGAGAGGGACGTAGCCAGTGTAAGTCAGAGTCTCGTTGGTGAATGGATTGGTCGCATTTCCTTCGGCCATTGTAAGTATAGTTTTCAATTGAAGAGAAAGAGCCTCGATCATACCTCCGGGCCATGACGAAAAGCCGTATTTCTTATAATCAGGATGGAACCATTCTGGGAGGGAGTAGTAAACGGCGCGATGAAGGTGTGGCTGATATTTCTTCGAGGCATCGAATAATTCCTGAGCAGAGCATTCGGTTAATTACTTGATGCAATGAAATGATAGAAAGGCCAGACTTACCTTGACGAGATTGCGATGTGGAGACAACGCCACAGAAGTTCTCCTCGTCACATTTTCTGGGAGATCAAACAGAGCATATCCTTCATGGTGCTTGCTAACCTGAACAAAATAGTTGGCGCCAGCATCTGCAAATAAATCCACCCACTCCTTTGGATCCCATGCGCTGGCAGTGAAGCTCGGGATAAAGTCATCGTAGACAAAATCCTTGCCATATTTCTCGAGATGATAGTCATATATGTCTGTTGGGTTGCTTGTTCCCTCATTCAGCCCCCACCAATACCTAAGGCTTCCGTCAGTAGCATGCTTTTATTAGATCCGGTAAAAGGTATATCATACCATTCAGCATAACCCTCTTTGGAGCCCACGTTGCCCCATCCAGGTACCGAGTATACACCCCAGTGAATGAAAATGCCATACTTGGCGTTGTTGTACCAGTTCGGCGCTTCATGACTGTAGATAGACTCGTATGTAGCTTCATATTGACTGATCCCATAGGCCGCAGTGAATGTGTATTTTGAGGATGAGACATGCTGGCCTTTGATCACCACCGTTGCTGGGCCAGAATCTCCTGATTTCACTCCTTCGCGATTTCGGACGCCAATCTCCACGATTGCCTGATCGCCAGGTCCAAGTCGTTTTATAACTCCCGGGGTGACTGTTTCCAGACCTGCGGACTCAATAAGCACTTGAACGTTGTTATTGCGAACAACAAATTCGGAGCCGACATTGTTGATGATGGTTTCAATGATTTGAACCTTGTCTGATCCTTCAATCCATTTCTGCGTGGAACGAGCATACTGTATCTCTAATCTTCGGGAACCTGGTTGGACTTTGGCTACTGGCAGCATTGAAAGAGCAAAGACGTGTAGCTTTGTGTCAACGGATGCTCCCCCAGGTGATGTCGATGACCCAGCTGAGCTGTTGGGGAATGTCAGTGAAACAAGCTCCTTGGATGAATCTAGCCAGTTGATGGTTTGGAAAATGTTGGATCTATTGAAATTCGTCTCGTTCTCGGTCAGGTAGCAAGAGAATACTAGATCACCACCAGCTGGGTATGGCCAACTCCACCAAGCGGGAACTAGAAGTGGCCCGCTTGTGGAACTGTTATCAGCGTAGGTGGCTGTTACTGAGCCAGACGCCATTCCAGACTCAGACGCAGCAAGGAACTGATAACTGAAGTACTTGGCGCGAGGTACGTCAACGGTTTGTCCTTTGACGAGAACATTGTCAAAGCCGGTGGCATTGTATGATGAGAATTGATAGTTGAATCCACCATATACGAACTCCTTGGGCGGGATCTGTGCCGCTGGATATGAATCTATAAGGTAGCAGCTCTTGTCAGTTCTTGAACCTATGCGAACCCAGAATAACAAAATAATGAGGACTTACTTCCATTTCCATCAAAGCTTGACTCATTTGGCTTCAATCCAAACGCTCGATTATTGAACCATGGCTGCAAATCAATAGGGAAAGACGGATTCTCTGCCGACAACGCTTTGTATTCATTCTGTGGCTTGAAGATAACTGCAGTGGTTGTGACAAAGTACACTGCAAGCGCAGTAATTGTACGCTTGAATCTAGCCATATTGGCAAAAGGATGATGTGATAGTTTAGTTGGCTTGGAGAAAGCTTAGCGTCAGCGTCATGGCTTCACTATAAGAGTTCTCAGCTGTTGAGGATGAAGGTGCCGTTTCCCCGCATATGTGGACCCTTGCATAAATGTAACCTTTCAGAATGTATCTTTCTTACCGGATATTTTTTCAAAATTCATGGGCAAATTGCCCATCGCCGGGTAAATTGAGGAAGATCGGCGCTCGCTGCGGAGATGCAGATTGTTTCACCGAGACATCCCCGATTAACACCACATTGTCAGGGTCCATGTCCTCCAGTAGCTGGTGCATTTGTTTCACTGGCAGCATGTCATTTGAATCATTGATGATACGGTACTGGCAAGGCTGAGCTACAAGTCGAGGCTCGATGATAATGAAGACATCAATGGAGGGTTGTCTCCGGTTATGTATTCCGAGGTTCTTAGGATAGTGTACAAAAGGGATACAATAAGATATAGAGGACGCTATGCATGGGTAATATCAAATAAGGCATTCGTGTCAAGAAGTTTCTAGCACAGATCATGCCTGCTTGGCAGGACGTGCCCTGCCAGCTTTCACCTCCTTCTCGAGCTCGTCCAAAGCTGCCGCGTACTTGGACTGGAGTGACTTCAGAGTATCCAGCTTCACGCGGACCCGATCAATACTGGCAGTGCGTGTAATATGACCTTCGACGCTGGCGGCAATTTCGTTGGCGAACCATCTACCCTCACGATGGGCAATCAAAGACCACGCGGAGCCCTCGCGGCCGGCACGAGCAGTACGACCGACACGATGCACGTAGGTGGTCACACTGGGTGGGATGTCGTAGTTGATGACGTGAGTCAAGGACTGCAGATCCAGACCACGGGAGGCACGATCAGTTGCCACAATGACCGAGATACGTCCGCGGCGGTACGCAGCCAGGGTCTTTCGGGAGGCAGACGACTTGTTTGATTTGATGATAGTTCCCACGCGGTTGGCAAGCGGCGGGTGAAGGAGAGAGATAAGTCGAGATAGTCGTGACGCGGCCTCAGAGGACTTGGTGAAGATGAGCACAGTTGTGCGAGGGGATTTGGCTTGGGGCGCGATGTTGATGACTTCGTCCTCAGAATCGGAGGATTCCTCTGATGATGAATCACTAGATGAGTCGCTAGATGAATCAGAATCAGAGCCCGACGAAGAATCGGAATCAGAGTCCGAGTCAGAGCCAGATGAAGAAGTCTCGTCGTCAGAAGATTCGTCAGATGACTCGTCAGAGCTAGTATCATCAGAGCTGGTACTGTCAGCGTCGGACTCAGTAGAAGCAGTGACTTGCTTCTTTGCGGCATTTTCCTCGCCGCCAATTTTGATATGAGAGAGAAGAAGGCGAAGGAGGTAAAGCGGCTTCTGAGAAGCATCATCCACGGCGATGATATGCTCCTGCAAGGTTGGTGGCAGTGTGAAATGAGCGTCGGGATGGGGGACAGACAAATCCTCCGCGTCTGTGGTGCTCTCAGCACCAATGATGACCATCTTCGGATTATCCAGACGCAAGGAGTTCAGTTTGGTGATGTCCCGAGTCATTGTCGCACTCAGAATCACCTTCCGGGGAGCATGGATATCGATCGAAAGTCCAAGATCAGACAGAAGTTGACCACCAGGTCCAAAGGTCTCTGGCGCTTGACGTGAGTTGAGCGAACCGTTGACCACATCAACCCATTCTTGGAAACTCTCATTCAGCAAACGATCAGCCTCGTCGATGACCAGCCACTCGAGGTGTTTGAGAGTAAATCCTTTGGTGTATCGAATGTGGTCAACAAGTCGACCGGGTGTGCAAATCAAAATATCCACATTTGGCTCAGCCCGTTGGATGTAGCCAGGCAAGAATCCGTTTGAGTCCATAGCTTCACTGACACAATCTTCAAGACTGAAGTCCATCCAGTCATTGCCCCGCAACCCGGACTTCTGTCGTTGTGCGACAGTTGCGGGGTTGTAAACTTGATCGACTCGCATCAGAAGCTTCTGCTCATCTTTGATTGCCACATTACCAACGGCACTTCCGATATGAAGACGTGAACCAGATGCACAAAGCTCGCAGGCCTCACGTGCCTGCTTGACCAATTCTCTTGTCGGAACAACAATAAGTCCTCGTAGTCTCGATGCAGGTCTGGCAGTAAGAGATGTGACAAGGGGGAGAACATATGACAGAGTTTTTCCCGAGCCTGTCGCGGCACTGATACAAAGATCGCCTGGGTGGTTGTTCTCACCATCCAGAAGCAGAGGGATGACTGTTGACTGCACGGCGAATGCTTCCTTGTAGTTGTTCTGTTCAAGGATTCGTAGGAGGTCGGGCTTGATTCCCAGGTCTGAAAACTTAGCCCGCTCGTTTGCCGACGTTCGCAGAGGATTCGCGAGCCATGGAGGCAAGGAGGAGTACGTTGGCGCCTCAATCACTTCGGGCGGGTTCTCAGGCTGGGGCAATGGTTCGAGACCTTTGGCAATGACAGGCTCAACATTCATTTCGGCTGGTGTAACGGCCTCCTTGGTCTCTTTCTTTGCCTTTTTCGCCTTCGCGCTTGCTGCCGTTTTGGTGCGCTCAAACTTAGACAGGATGCCAGCATGTTTATCATTGGATGACTTGCGGCGCTTGCCCTCGTCCTCGGAGGACTCCTCTGCTTCGTTCTCATCCCCAGACTCGGAGCTCACAGGTGCAGGCTCGGAATCTTCCTGGCTATCCTTCCCAGAACTCTTTCCCTTGCCGTCCTTGGATTTCTTCCCTGATTCACCAACACGGTCCTTCTTGCGCTTTTCTTGAGAAGTAGCGCTGGCCTTCCGGGTCTCTTTCTCAGTGTCGCTACCCTGGAGGGCATCCTTGAGTCGTCTCCGCTTCGTAGCGCTTCCGTTATTGGCAGGTGACGCAGCAGAGGGCAGGCTCTCGCGCTTCTTGTGTTTCTTCGTTGGGGTTGGGGTGGTCGCATTGGAGGTTTCGACATCCCTCTTTCGCTTGTGAGACTTTGCGGATTTTGGAGTTGATTCCATATTTGAGGAACTAGGCACAGCCTTGGAGCCGGCCAATTTTTTACGAGTTGGTTGGGTTCCTGGTTGTTGGAGCTGGAGAGCTTCAAGTGAGGAGCAGATTGGTTTTTTTATGTTGTGCCGGCAGTAATCCTTAGAAGCTCACCGCCCCCATTCTGACCGCCCGTGATTATCGGGCAGCTTCACGTTGGCTGTCATCGATCGCAATCGCAATTCCAGTCGTGGCTCGCATGTTGAAGACAGCCGATTGAGGTGGTCACCATGGACAGGGTCAAATGCACCGGAGATAGCTTTTTGTTGTCTCAGACCCATTCGCCTCGGCTTCAAAGACACCATGCCGTATAACATTGCGTGAGTGTTGATACAACCCAGGGGAACTGCATCTAGATAGATGAACTGATCGCTGATACTGAACTCGATGGCGACAGTATGGTCAGTGACTTCTTTTTCCCTCAATCGGGTAAGTAAATGATACCCTCTCTTTAATCCTGAGCACCATACTGACTGTCTTTCAGGGGGGATTGAAAGTCACATTTACCAGTTGTCATCCGTATGCACCCCGGCAGTCCTACTATCGCGCTCTCGTTCCTCTATTCATTCCTGACAACTTTCTAGAAACTCATCGACCGCGGACACAAAGTCATCATAATCACGCATGCGTACAAAGGTCGAACAGGAGTCCGCTACCTCACCAATGGCTTGAAAATCTACCACGTCCCTTTCTTCGTTATCTACCGGGAAACCACCTTCCCTACCGTCTTTTCTTTCTTTCCCATATTCCGCAACATTGTCATTCGGGAGCAGATTGAGATTGTCCACGGTCATGCCAGTCTCAGTAGCTTCTGTGGAGAAGCCATCCTCCACGCACGAACAATGGGACTGCGGACCGTCTTTACCGACCATTCTCTTTTTGGATTCGCCGATGCCGCCTCCATTTTGACCAACAAGCTCCTCAAGTTTACATTGAGTGACGTGGACCATGCGATCTGTGTCAGCCATACTTGGTATGTGGATGATGGCGCTCATCCTTTGACCATTGGCTAACAATTCATAGTAAGGAAAATACTGTCCTTCGAGCGTCATTGGACCCCTTAATGGTGTCAGTCATTCCGAACGCCGTTGTGGCAGAGAATTTCCGTCCGCTCTCATACAGCTCTCGTGCGATAGATCAGATTCCGACTTCTCCTGCCGACCAACAAGGACCTCCTACATCCATTGGTCCCGATGATACGATTACGATTGTCGTTATTTCCCGCCTCTTCTACAACAAAGGCACTGATCTCCTGATCGCAGCCATTCCCCGGATTTTGGCTCTGAATCCAAAAACACGCTTCATTATTGCTGGCTCTGGACCAAAGGCTATTGACCTGGAACAAATGTTGGAACGAAATGTGCTTCAAGATAAGGTTGAGATGCTTGGCTCAGTTCGACACGAAGAGGTGCGAGATGTCATGGTACGAGGCCATATCTACCTGCATCCGAGTTTGACAGAAGCATTCGGTACGGTCATTGTTGAGGCTGCCAGTTGTGGTTTGTACGTCGTTTGTACTCGAGTTGGTGGTATCCCCGAGGTGTTGCCACAGCATATGACAACTTTTGCGAAGCCAGAAGAAGACGATCTTGTTGTCGCAACCAGCAAGGCAATTGCCGCCTTGCGCTCGAATAAAGTCCGGACGGACCGCTTCCACGACCAAGTGAAGATGATGTATTCCTGGCGGGATGTAGCCGAACGCACAGAAAGGGTCTACCAAGGCATTACGGGTGATATCAGCCCTGAGGAATTCTATGGCTACTATCCTGGTCAAGGATGGGAGGCTAGTGGAGATCGCGTACGCAGTTTCGCCCTCATAGACCGCCTAAAACGATACTACGGCTGTGGTGTCTGGGCCGGCAAGCTTTTCTGCCTTTGCGTTGTCATTGACTTCTTGATCTATGTGTTCCTCGAAATGTGGTTTCCACGAGCAAACATTGATATTGCTCGAAGCTGGCCGAAGAAACCGCCAGCAGAGAAACCTCGAACGTCGAATGCTGCGCGCAGCAGTCGGTGAAAGCTTGAGGTAAAAGACCTCGAGCATCTTGTCTCTCTCCGCAATGGAGATAAGACCTGTACATACTATTCTACGGCTTCAGGCCATGTAATAATCTTGACGAATTTAACTCATATGCTCAATATATGCGTTTTTCCAGATGATTGTTTTTAAGTACCTGAACACTGCGAACCCAAACGCGCGCTCTTCTATAAAGTTGACCCAGATAACAGACCCCTCCTCCATTTCATTGCTTCATCAATTGATTTGATTACCGCTTAGTGCCAGGCTCATACTTCCACTCCGCATCCAAAGTCTCAGCAGGCTCTGGCCGCATATCCGCCGCAGACCGATCTTCCTTGCTCCCCCGAAGACCGGCCAAGTGATGTTCTCTCTCATAGCCGCGCTTATCGGGGTACTTGCGCTCACCACTCTTGTCTTCGATAGATGTACCAACACCTTCCAGACCTCCACGTTGCTTCTTCCGGCCGTGGGCCCCGTCGTGCGCAAGTTCAACGCTGGTTTCGCCCACGAGAGGCTTGCCGAACCCGGTGTGTACATCGGCGGAAGTGGCACTCCTCAAAGTATTGGCGGCAGGTGTGTGAACGGCCTCTTTGCCGTGTGCGCGAAGAACATCAGGGTTGTTGGCTTGGCTGCCAGTTTTGTCCACGGTGTTGGCTGAGTAGGAGTTGCTGGCGGGTGCTTTGCCGGGAGGGTGGCGCTCTAGGTGGAATTCGCCGCGCTGGTCAGCCTCATTGACCTTGCGGCCTGGTTGATGCTGATCATGGTGTTAATTTGCTGCATTGGGATAAAGAGGTATGAAGTATATGCTTACGCCTTTGTCTGTCATAGGCCCTGCGGGTGCCACCGAGGGCTTGACGGTACCCTGCTTGTGGTTGATTGAATCGGGGTTGCTCAGTGCACTCATGGTGATTGTTAACGTTGATAGAATTGAGTTTTAAAGCTAGCGTATCATTCAAAGAAGCATGGACTTTGGTTCTATATAGCAGCTCAAATAAGTACCATTTTATAGCACATGCTGGCCTATAAGAGCAGTAACAATGTGACGTCACATTCACCACAACTGACTTCATTGCTGCGCAAAGATTCTTCGACCGAGTCTATGGATTGTATAGCTATTGGCATGCGCATTCTAGACAAGTCCTGACCTTCACCCGGCCGATGTATGGTGTGTCATCCGAAAGCAGGTCGGCTGGGGTGATCGGAGCTTATCCGTGGGTCGTGACATCAAACTATAAGAGTCCAAATTGGGATGATTTCAGAAATGCGGAGCTATCGATGTCAAATTAAGAATACTTCCCTAATTTTTTGACCAGGCTATGCATGGATCTGATTACATCTGATTGTTGTTCATGTGTCTTGTTACTCTATTGGAGGAATCGTGGGCCGGGGCTAGCGGTGGGTCCTAATCTAGATCTGCTGTGTGGTATGCGCATGCAGTCCAGGTTAATGATAAACCTGATACTTAGCAATAATAATGTAATTTTTAGAGGGAACCCGATAGTAGTAGTATTCTAAACACCTTGTAGGCGTGGCTGAGGATTACCTAGTACTGCCATATACATTCGAGCTTATTAGTTTAGAACTTAGACTGGGCAATCTACTTCAAAGTACGCAGTTGCCTCATTCAATGTTGAGGTCGTAGCCATTCTTGATAAGTGCAAGGTATGTGTATTGACAGACTGTTACGCAATGGTCAACAGACAGAATTCATTGGTATATCTATGAAAATAAAGGTAGATGGGAATATCATTAAGTAACGCCATGATGCAATCGAGTGTGTTCCTATACAGGTCGTATCGTCCAGTGGCAGGTGTAGACCACCACCTCCTCCATTATTACTCTACTGTATCACCGCATCACCGGTGGGCGACCCTCCTTATTCCATCGAACGCGACTCTGCACCCACTCGACGGCAGCCTGCACGCCAGACCCAAGCAACGCGCTGACCGGCAGCACGCGACTGTCTCGAACGCCGCTTCCCGTTTCACCCTCGAAGACTTTCCGCACAAGGCCCTCTTTAATGCGAACGACTTCGACACAGTCCTCACGATCCTGCTTATTGGCCAGAACGAGGATGGGAACCCCTGCCACGTCGGCGTTTTGCAGGACCGACTCTAGGACTTGTCGGCACTCGTCTAGGCGCCCGAAATCACTTCCTGGCGCATTAATGCCGACATTATGTTCCGAGAACAGATCGCTCGCACTGACACTCCCTCGCGCGGGACCTGATACAGTGCTGGGCCGTCGACTGGAAGCGGAGGGAAGCCGGGTGATATCTGGATCTTGGCCTACGTCGGCGCTGTCAACCACGAAGATGATCGCATGACAGCTTGAGTAGTAGCTTTGCCAGAGACCGCGCATGGAGATTTGACCGCCCACGTCCCAGATTTTCAGGTTCATATCCGATAAGGAGATGGTCGCGACATTCTGGCCGACGGTGGGGACGGTTTTGCCGGGGTTTGGCGCGGGGGTGCCATCTGGGCGGGGTTGATAGAGGGCTTTGATCTGGGAGAGGAGAGTGGTCTTGCCGGCGTTATCTAGGCCGAGGAGGAGGACGGAGTACTCTGCGGATGAGATGGGTCAGTGAGGAGGTCCCGGGGAGGAATACATGGCTTGCGCGGCGGCAGTTTACCTTCTTTGCTGGTCGCGTAGGTATACAGCGACTTGGCCAGGTGATACATGATCGCAAGATCAAGACCGATGCGACCGAGATAGTTGATCTGAGGCAATCATGGAAGAAAAAGAATGGTCGAGCTCCGGAGGTTCTAGAGGCTCCGCGCTGTCGGAGTCGGAGTTGCGATCTGCGATGCAATCCCCAGCCTCATTGCCGCATTGGGAAAGTAGGGCTTAGGGCTGGGTGAGGGGCATGAGGCAAGTATACCGATATTGCCAGTTAGCAGTAGTAGTCCTACAACAGTATAGACAGAGTATCTTGTAGTAGATTTGTATGTGATTAAGGCGCTTATTTAAGAACTATCTGGGGAATTAATTAAAGGGTAGTAGTATAGTTCATGTCTGAGATACTCCTGAATTGCAGATGAATCAGCCCGTCATCTCAGCCTCTGGTAATTCCGCAAGATCCTAGAGAAAAGCAGCCATTCTGTCGAAGTATATACAAAATCTCACATTATTCAATGCAAAATATCCTATCATGAGCCAGGTATTCATTGTGTTTGATCTAATTGAGGTGAGATTTCGAGATGGATTACGCCAATAGGTTACCCAAGTATACACCCCCTGGTCCATACCGTAGTCCCTCCGACGGGATCACTGACAAATCAATGTTTCATAGGTCAGGATCCGATTAGATTTAAAGCTTGACAGTTCCGTCATTTGATTATTGTATGATTCTATCGTTCTTATTTCCTAATGTTCAACTACAATTGGCCCCCGGGCAGTGGAGGCTCCGCTCCGACGGACACTTGCATAGAAGAACTGTAGTATATTTGAACTTGTCATTTTCATCACTTTCTCCATAACATTCCAACGTCATCGTGAGCTATTCAAATGAATGGAAAAAAAGCAAGTTCGAATCCTGGCAGATGTACCGCTAAGAGCTTCCAGTCTCGTATCCAAGTTCCCCACTCTGGGAGAGTTTGTCAGCATGATTATTGATCCGATCCAATTCCCCGGAATCTCTGGCAGACCTCCGAAATTTGGGCGCCCGCCGAATCCGTGATGAACTAAGAACGACCACTCTCTCTTCCTCCTTCATGGCCGTTCCTGGCTCTGCTGGTTCTGGCTCCCCATTCACAACTGATCTCCCTTCGAGGAGTCCTGTTTTCACTCCCATCGGATGAGCCTGTCTGGATTGTGATTTTCTCTTTTTTCCTCCATTGCATGACTTCAGAATGCCCCGCGCGGGTTGATGCAGCTTTGGAGGCCCCGCCGTCCTCAATGGAGACCAACACTGTCATCGTCGGTAAGTCTACTCTCCCAGCTGATCAATTCACTTCCGAGCATTCAAATCGATCATTCAATATACTCTCCGGTCGAGGATTAGACTGACATTCCTCTTTTATCTCGGAAAATAGGCAATGGGCCGTCGGCCATGATCCTGTCATACATTCTACATGGCCACATTCCGTTTTACTCGCGGAACCCTCCGCATCCAGATTCTCTGCTCGATTCCAAGTTGAAAGACATTCCTGATCTGCTGAACGCCAACGTGGACGCGCTTACCGCGCATTTTGCGGCTTCTCGGTTGTCCTACTCCACCCAGGCTCTACCAGTGAATGTCCTGTTGGACACTCTGGTGCGACCGAGTGTCGATGTGGATGAATCAGGCAACACGACAAATATTGAGTGGCGCCATGTGCCTGAAAAGGCCATCTCCCACCTCGTATTCGGCGATGCGCCTCGGCCGGGGGTCAATGGTCAGAGGATCCCCACGGGGCGAGCTGGGACATTCAGACTTTGAGTTATGCAGCCATGCTTTCCTTGCCGGGCTATTCCTTTGCCGATCACCATCGACAGACAACTGGCCAGGACCTTCCGTCATTTACCCGACCGACCAGACGGGAGATTGCCGATTACTTCCAGACTTATCCTGCAGCTGTCAACGTCGATGACGTTTTCCGATGTGGAGAACAGCTGAGTGGTATCTCCCGCACTTCAGACGGGTTCTTTATTCGATCTCATAACCTGAAATGCAAACGATTGGTGCTTGCAAGTGGTATTTTCTCGGAGATCCTTCCGCCTCCGCCAGTACTACAACCACTACTTCAAACACAGCTAACACCGACGGTACCTCTGCTTGTAATCGGGTCTGGCTTTTCTGCAGCAGACGCTATCATATCTGCATCAACCGACCAGAAGATCTTACATGTCTTCAAATGGTCTCCCGAGGATCGCCCCTCGCCACTTCGGGGTTGCCATCAACAGGCATATCCGGAATACGCGGGCGTATATCGATTAATGAAGAGGGCTGCTCTCGCAGCCGCATCAGGAGGCAAAAACCAGCGGCCAAAATATCGCCGCGGCACATCGTTGGGCTTTTTGGAAAGTCGACATTGGGATGAATTGTATGAGGGAATCTCGAACGTTGAAATTATTGCCGTGGAGACGAAAGAGGATCTGTCCGAGGTCACTTTCCGTCGACAGGACGGGTCTACCTTTTCGCGGGTTGCCCGGGGTCTGGTATATGCAGCCGGTCGACGAGGTACTCTAGGCTATCTCGACTCGTCACTACGCACAGAAGTGATAGGCCATGATGAGGCAGACGACATGGCCATCTCGGGTCAGACTCTTCGAGCAAAAGCACTTGAAGATTTGGAAGTCGCCCCGGATGTCTATATTATCGGCAGTCTGACTGGTGATTCACTGGTCCGCTTTGCATATGGAGGCTGTGTTGCAACTGCTGGGCACCTCCTGGGCAGCAAAGAGGGTGAGCGGGAGTCGCGCAGCATGTGTAGCAGCGTCGCTTCAACAAGGCCGCAGTCCTCATCACTACAGGTGATGAATGGAATGGATGGTCATCATATTTTCCCTGTGAACGGGTCAGCCTTGACTCGGGAGGATACTGCATTGAGCAAAGTATCCACGACCCCCGCAACGACGACTGTGCAGAGTTGGTGGGAAACAGTGGTGCACTTGTGGAGGGACTTGACACAATAGCATGTCATGTCATATGTGAATATCATCGCTCGCATTTTGTATGTGTATCTAATGTCATTTTTTTGGGCTTCTTACTGTATACGCATCTTATCTTCCAAAATCTCACATTTTCTTCCCTTATGGGGCAAACAAAGTCTCTCCCCAGTCACTACATTTCCCTAGTATCGCAGAGCCGATTCCTAGAGAAGCTTGCTCGACTACCTTCAGCTACACCATCCCTGATTGTTGGGTGACTTGGCCTTTTCTTCCCCATCAATATCCATATTTGACGCCCACGTTAATTTACTATAACCTCCTCCAATTGATTCTTATATTATTTGATTTGTCAAGTCGAGAGTGAAGGGAGGTGGTGCATAACTTTGACCCCTATAAAGTTGAATCCGATCTCCTCTCCTTGATCAACTCAGACAGCGTAACAACACGATATCCCCGACGTCGTAACTCCGGCAAGACCATTCCCAACATGGGCACAGTCCACTCTCTCCGATCATGACAAACAATGATACTCCCGGGTCTAACCATACTAAAGATATGCTTCGCATTAAGCTTTGCAAAAGGCACCTGCGGATCATGCGGATAAACATCCCCCAAGGCAAGTCGATAACCCAACCCCTTAACTAGCCTGCGCATACGTGAACTGAAAAATCCCGAGCCTGGCCGGAAAAACCAATTCTCAGGGCCGTCTTGACCAGCTTGACGGTAGGCAGAACGGATCATGCTCTCCACGGCGGAGATCTGCTCTGCTAGTGTCGCGTCGCTTAGCGCGCGTGATGGTTCGTCGTGCATGGCGTGATTGGCTAATTCGTTGCCGTGACGGATGAGATCGATTAGATCAGTCTCGTGGCCAGTAACCTGTGATCCGATGACGAAAAAGGTTGCTGTTGCGTTGTGTGACTGCAAGAGCTTGAGGATGGCTGGGGTATGTGTCGACGGGGCATCGTCGATGGTCAGAGCGATGACTTTTTGGTCTGTGGGGTGGTGGAATAACACATCGGGCCAGCGACGTTGGAGATATTGGATGATTGTGTGGGGTGGTTTATAGATTAAATATAGCGGACATAAGAGACAGCATGTGTACAAAATGCTGGTGATCATGGCGAGGCGAGGGGGAGGTGGAAATGTAGATTCAATTGTTCGGATGTTTAAAGGCCTCCCGTCACCAGCCCCACTTAACAAGACGCGATAGCAGTCACGACTTGAATGATAGAACAGATAGATAGTACTTGAGCCATGAAGAAAGACCATTGAAAAGAGTTCTGGAATAATCAACGATAACTTAAGGAAAAGGAAGTGGAAGCATATCTAGTTGGACCGTTTCTTTGGTCTCTCTTCATTCATACCACCTACTGAAATTACAACACGGCACATGAAGTATGAAATATCTCTTTCTCAGACGTAGCTCTGGATGTATGACTCTAAAAGCTAGTTTCTCAGTCTCCTGGTATCTTCTATTATTGTCCTCTAAAATTCTATTGTTAAGCGAGTATTTTTATTAAGTTTGCGTCTAAGTCATCCCTTCTCTTAGCCGTCTGCCAACTTAATAACACTAGCAATTTTTTCATGGCCGTACTTCATCGCCATATCCCATGGGGATAACCCCTCTCGATTTCGTACTGATGGATCTGCCCTTGCACGGAGTAGAAGCTTGGCTGCTTCCAAACGACCATATTGCGCGGCGCAATGGAGAGGTGTTCCTCCACAAAAGGCTTCGGCGGATACATCAGCACCAGCCTCGAGTAAGAGGGTAATAGATGAAGGGCAAGAGCTTCGTGCTGCAGCATGTAACGCACTATGACCCTCTGCCCCTTGGAATGAAACGGACGCTCCTGATTCTATCAGATACTTCATCACATCCTGATGTCGCTTCGTCGTAGCAATGTACAGTGCAGTATATCCATGGTCGCCATCAACCACCCTCGAACGAACCATGTGATTTTCACGAGAGATATCTGCTCCGGCCTGCACAAGCAATTTCACAATGTCAATGAAGCCCCCTTTTGCTGCTCTGTAAAGAGCAGAATGGTCGAAATTTCCGTAGCGATATACCTCGGGGGAGACACCGGCATCCAGCAGGAGCTGCACCATCTCAGTTTCTCCAATTTCGACAGCCTTCAACAGAGAATTCAGTAGTTTCTTTTGATCAGAGTAATCGGTTGACGAGGTATCAATCTTGGAGCTCAAAAGTTCCCGAACAAGGCTGATCTGCCTGTTGCACACTGCAGGGTACAGGAACAATATAGGAGCTACCGAGCCGGGAAACAGTTTCAAGACTTCGAGGTGGCCGGCATCTGAGGCAGTATGAATAGCAGATTCTTCTTTTTTCAGACCTAATTTAAACCCGTGATCCAGGAGAAACTTCACCACGGCGGAGTGTCCGCAAAAAGTGGCTTCAAATAGTGCCCTTGTGCCCATTTCAGGTGTCATCCACCCCAAGCTGGCGAGGTATTCGACCATTGCGATGTTGCCAGTAATAGCAGCATTGTGCACTATACTCCATTGTCTGACTTCGTCGAAGTTGTTTCCCACCAGAAGAAGGGCCTGTAATATTTTGATGCTCCCGGTTTGACATAGTGATCTGTTGATAGCATCCTTGTGATAGCCAATGCCCTGCCCATGCTCGATCAACACTTTTACAGTTGACAGATATCCCTCCCTAATTGCTCGGAGCAATGCTTGCTCGAGGAAGCCCTCGCGAAACTGCTTCCTATGGGCAAGGACAAGTTTCACTGTTTTGCCTTGTCCTGACCCCCGGCTTGTTGGATGACCCTATCAGATATTACAAAATTGGCGTCAATAAGGAGCTTAACAACGGCCGTACGGCCCTTTTTAGCGGCTATCTCCAAGGCTGATTCCCAAGTTGCCGGTATTTCATCTAAGTTCTTCAGACGAGTAAGAAGCAATGCCACAGTTGAGACGTGTCCACTCTTGCAAGCCCAGTGCAGTGCAGTTGTACCGGGATAGTTCGCTTTCATAAAGGGATCAGCACCGGCGTCAAGAAGGATCCGGACGATATCATCTGCTCCATGATAGGCGGCATTGTGCAAGGGAGTCAATTGTCGCTTATCTTGCGAGTCGATTGTTGCTCCGATCGAGATGAGAAACTCGACAAGCGACCGATGGCCACGTCGGGCAGCTGCAGCTAACGGGGTCACACCATGAAGATTCTTGATGTTAACATCCAGTCCTCTGGAATGGAGACTTTTGATGAGTCGGAGGTCTCCTCTTTGGGCTGCCAAATGGATGGTCGTGTTCCCGCATCGTGTGGCTTGCCTCCTGAAGTCTTTTGCGGGAAGGATTTCATCGAGGCCATGGATGGCTTGAATCAATGAATAACATGCCTCGGGCTCGAGATGCCCTACGATGAGAATGTATATGTCGCTCGGAAGGAGTGTTGTGGTCATGTTTTCTGTTGAGACGGATTCAAGTTGAGTCATGGTTGTAAAGTGTAAGAGAGAAGAGCGCCACTTCCCGAAGAGGCAAACACTAAAGGTCGTCACATTTGGCATGTTTGCATACAAGCTATTGCCATGCTCAGTAGATTGACAATTTCAGTACTACGCAGGAATTAAATGACTTAATGGCATACTATTTGTGTGCCAATCCACGGTTACTATGCTCTCGAGAGACAGCATCCACGCGTTGCCATCAAGGCACAGCTTCTTCAGAATAAACGCGTGTTTCTGATGCCATTTTGATATGAAATGCTGCCCATGTAATGCCATATGCAACGATAGTCTGAGACTACATCCATTAATTTGAAGACTAAAAAGCCTAGGGTATATACCATAATTTTCAGAAAGACGAGCCTAGCCCATAATCTGCAGCTGATCCTCGGGGGGCCAGCGCACCTGCGCAAAGCTCAGACACCGTTTGATACTCTGCAAGTATTTCCGCGTAGCTTCATCACTGAGGATATGGGCTTGCTGATCGCTTTGGTGTAGTTTCTCGCGAGCGGATCGTTCGTGAATACCAACCATGGTCACACCAATAGGCCAGGCACTACAAATATATTAGCACTCCGGTCATAAGCTAATGAACGGGGGAATCAACTTACGCTTTTCCAATGCTCACTCGAAGATATGCGTCATTGGCATCGACGTATCTCCGCTGCTGGGCCTTGTGCACGATTTCCACAATCGGTTCCAAGAGCCCATCTTCAAGATCTCCCCTCTCGAATCGGCGGAAGAGCGGCTTCATATTCTCTCGAGACTGGACCATGGCATTAAGTGCCTGCCTTCCTTGAAAGCTCTCTCGTACGCTCACGTCACGCTTGGCCAATGCCAGCTCCCACTCGGACAGGACCATATTGAAGTATGACGCCAGTTGTCGGAACAGGAACTGTCGGCCATCCTGATCCTTCGGGGGTTTGGCTTCGATAATCATTTGACCACCGGGGACGGGCTCCAGGATTGTAGGAATGGGGCCATCCGACAGCTTCTGCAAAGTCGCAGCTCGCTTCACCAGACGACGGTAACGCCGGAGTCGAGCACGATGATTCTCGCCAAACAATCGAGCAGGCTCCTCAAGCTCCCGTAGCTTCTTCGTAAGCTCCTCCTCGTCGATATCCTCCTCTGCATCTTCGCTAGCAGGCGTCTCGCCACGGGCTGGCAATTCGGGCAGACCGAGTTTCCGTCGCCTCTCGCGTTCCTTTTTATCTTCTTCCTCTTCCCGTCGCTTCTTAGATTCCTCTGCAAGTTTTCGTTTCTTCTCCTCTCGGTCGCGCTTTCGCTCTGCTTCTTCCTCCTCGAGCTTGCGTTTCGTACTGAGTCGCTCTTCACGTTCTCGCTGTAATCGCTCTTGCTCCTCGGTATATGCAGCAACACGCGCGGCCTCGAGTTCTCCACGGCGGAGGTATTTCTTCGTTGGCTCAGTGGGCGCTTCTTTTTCTTTTGCTTTGGAGGCAGCAGGGCCTTTAGCCTTGGAGATCTCTTTGGACATGAGCGCGGCGAAATCCATGATGGCGATAGCTGCAGAGCGCAGGCTTCTTTGATTTGAGGGGTGAAATCCGGGTGTTGTCAATCGAGCGAGAAGATATTGACAGGTAGTTGACAGGTGTAGATCGGTCGGGGCGGGAGAGCGTGGATAAGGTGAAGTTGGTAAAGCGGAAAAGAATGTTCGGGCGAAGCCAAAGGAACAACCGCCAACAAGCTTCGACGCCCGCATTTGGGGTTTTCTCCATTCACCTCCAAACTCTCCAAGCTCCCCACCCTTCTTCCTCCAACCAACTCTCTACTCACATCCTCTGAAGGTCAACCTCAACCATTGTGTCGCAACATCTCAACCTCACCACCCTTGACTTTCGCGACAATCAATCCTCTACCATTACCTTCTGCCTGAAGCAGACACGCGACTGCGCCGCCTTACCAGCATGGCCAACACCTCTCGAGAAGGCACCAAGCCTCAAATCAATCGCCAAACGACGACACCTTTCCATTTGAAGCTCTTCTATCGTGTGAATTCTTACCACCCCATATCCGACTACAGTATCCCAGCTCCTTCGCGCCGCAGCGGCCCTGTCAGCGGTCCCAATGCCATTCGCGCGCCCTCTCCTCTGCCAGCTGCTGCACCTCTTCCTCCACACCTTGAGATCTACACATGGCAATCATGCACACTACGCGAACTCTCACAGCTTCTCACTTCTGCACTTCCTACATTACTGCCCGACCCGCCCGTGGGTACCCGCCTCTGCTTCCGTCTGATCTATCCTGACGCGAAAAGCGCAGCGATGATTGGACCTGATGCGCGTGGTCGATACATGAGCCGGGACTTGGGGAGTGTGATTGTTGGACCGAGAGATAGTCCATACCGTGGGGAGGAAGAGGCCGATGATCGCGCGGAGGCACGCCCTCGCGCAGGACCTATGCGCTTCCAGGGCTCCGATGCAGACAAGGCCTTGCAAGATGCCCGCTTTATCATTGGTGATTACATTGAATGTGCTATTTTACCGCCGCTGGAGGATGGGTCAGTTGCGCCAGTTCTTCGTAGTACTCCCGGTCCGCCGCCGCCTGTGGGAGGTGGCATGCGCGCATTCCGAGACAATGGATATGGAGGACGGGGCGGCCGAGGTGGTCCCCGGGGAGGTGATCGTGGGCCTCCTGCTCTTCCTGCAGGCGACTGGAAACGAGGAGAAAGGCTACCAGATGGAGGTCCTCGGGGTGGAGGTCCTCGGGGTGGAGGTCGTCGGAATTGGGCGCCGTATTGAGTGAATTGAGGCATCGTCCGGATGACATTCGAGGAGCGAATCACAAGGAAGTGATGCCATACCCGGTTCTCAGCAATAATGTACGATTAGTCGGCCTTTAAATACATAAGACATGATCAAATCATCATATGCTTCCCAATATCACTACAACATACCAGATTATTAGGATGTAGTGCCTTTACACAAGTACGCAGCAGGATAAAAACAGAAGAAAATCAATGCGGTATATGCTCGTAGTAAGGTACATAGCCCAAGAGCGAGGGGCGCCAGTAAAAAAGTAAAACTGTGGTTTTCACTTCCATCCTCTCACGACTCCGAATAGTGGTCAGCCCAGAGGGTATTGAATAGCCACTCATGTATCGCCACTATCTCGGAAAATCGTTTTCAATCAAATCAATTCATCAACCACTTGCTCTCTACCACTCGGAGATGGTGTCACCCTTTCGCTTGCCACGAAGCTCGTACTTGCCCTGCAAACTGTCAGAGCCGTTCTCATCTTCCGGGGGTGCTTTCGTCATGACAAACGCCATGGGATCAAGCTACATACCTCGGTCTTGTAGGCGAGCCAAGTCAGAGCACCGGGAATGGCAACCATGTAGATAATGGACGTCCAGGCATGGCGCGGGGTCCAGCGGAAGTACTTGTAGCGGTTGGCGTTGAGTTCTGTCGGGTCTGTCAGTCATTGTCCATTGGAGTGCGCTTTGTAACCGAGAAGCACAGAGGCAAGTCCCTCTCTCCACAGAGAGCCTCGTATATATGCCGCACAGGAATTGCGTCGTGGTGCGTCGGGCTTGTAGCGCAAGAATTCGAGGTGGTGGGTTGGGGAGGGATCATGTACCGTAGTATTTCTGGAGGGCCGGGTCAAGGACCAGGGCTGGTAAATTGGTTAATGACTGGTATGTCTCTTGCATAGCAGGTCATTGGAACGTGGGGACTTACACTTGCTGGGGCCAGCCATGATTGCGATGGAACTCGAAGCGTAGACACAGCGCCGTTCCTGTCTTGAGGCGGAAGATGAAGTGAGGTGGAGTGTCATGTGACACACGAGCACCATTGAGTCACGTGCTTTTCCCGGAGAAGCAGCAGCGCAATTGCCAAACTACGCAGCGATTCAGATTTCGTCTTATTCTCTACTAAGCTCTATAGCAATAGTCGAATTATTTCGATTTGACCCTCAAGCCACAATCTCTGTACGTTGCAACGGTTTTGTGTGGCCGCCGTTCTCAGTGGCCCAGAGATCCCTCCGCCAATCAGCGGGAAAGAATTACCAGGATGGTGATAGCTTTAGAGAGCCGCGCATCGAAAGAAAAACAGGAGAATTACTTCAAATCATAGCTAACATATCCATCAAATAATGCCGTCGGAAATTAGTCTTATATATTACATCGAGGCTGAGAAATGTCCCTCGATCTGCTCAATCTTTGCAACAGCCTTCTTGTAACCCTCAGCTCCCTCCAAGCGCTGAGCATAAGCCGCCAGCAGAGGGTACTTATCCTTCTGCTTCTGATCCTTCAGAATCCGGCCACTGGCCGCAATGATTGGGAAACTCATCAGGATATCCGCTGCGGTCAACTCCTTTCCGCAAAGGTAAGGACCACCCTCAGGGGCTGTCTGCAGCTGCTGCTCCAGGAAAGAGAGATTACCCTCGATGTTGTGAGTCAGGAAGGCCGATTCAACCTGCGAAGCCACGATGCTCGTAATCGGGCGAACGAAGAAGGGAGGCGAGTTGCGGATGGCTTTGATACGAACGTCAGCATGGGATCTGGGTTTCGTTGAGGCGCAAGAATACGAGGCATGAATACGAGGCAAGAATACGAATCGCGTCGAGCCAAGAGATGTTACTTACTGTCATTGACAAGAGTCATCACCAGGAATGGCATCAGGCTGCCTTCAACATAGTGCATGAAGTAGCGATACCGCATCCACTCCTCGCGCTCGCCACCGACTTGGCCCTCGCGGCCTGCCTGGTAACGCTCCGGTACTAGCGTCGGTCGCGCGCTACCAAAGTGGTCGCAGAGGTATTCCACAATCGCGCCAGATTCGGCCAGCACCAGAGGCTTCTCGGATCCGGGGGCCTCGATCGTGATGACGGGGGATTTGCCCAGGGCGTGGACGTCCTTGAGCTCGCGGGGGGCCAGCTTGTCGGCGCGACGCTTGAAAGTCTTCAACTCATATTTCAACTGGAGTTCTTCCAGAAGCCAGAGGATGCGATGACTCCGGGATTGCTCGAGCCTGTGAGGTGTTAGTTTCTGGATGAAGTTGTTTAGGGACTATTGGCAACAGACCAATAGAGCGTGATCTTGCAGCCTTTGTTGTTATCGGTCATTCTGTTTGTGTTGACGAGGGGTCGGGTATGCAAAGAGTCGTCGGACAACGAACAAGATGGGGGATGGTAGACTCTTTATTAATGCTGGTCCATTATTTAGTTGCCCTTTTCTGTGGTTCGTCCGTTCCTTAGTGTTCAAGCCCAGTGGGCTGTGTGGTTCGTGCTGGATGATGTCAATGGCCCGAGGCTCGATTGATAAGGATAAAGCCCCGAGATCTGCGGATCCTCCTCGTTCCATGTGAATCGCTCTCGCATTCGTTCAACCGTTCAACGTTGGGGATTTTCCAGCCCATTTTCGAGACTCCCAATGGTTGGTTCCCTTAAAGTACCAATGAATTGAATGATCCACTCTCGATTTGTCAGGAACCAGGGCACTAGTCGAGTCTGGGGTATGATCTGGTGCAATAGTTGATGTTCTAGGCCAAACTGTATATAGCTTTGTTGTCCCGAGGCCCAGTTCTTTGGTGCCCCTACGTCCCTATGTGGTTTGCAAACTGCATCCCTAATTCAGCGACGTACCTTGCTAAGCCTCATGAGTGACTTGCACCTTATACACAGTAAGCTACTCTCTAAATTATGATTATCCGACAAACACACTCCAATGCGATCACATCCAGTCAATTTCGCTTGTCTTCCAAGGCTGCCAGGATATCTTGTGTGCTGGTAGTAGCGCGATGTTTCGGAATTTCAATCATTATAGGCTTCCTGGATATGCTTTTTGGTATTCTCAGACGGTTCAAGTGCATTTTGGTAAGAGATCTGCAGCCTCATAGTAATCTGAATGGTAGGTCGTTCGTGAAAGATAGTACCTATTGCTCTAGTGAAATGGTGATATATATCGAGATTTAGCCCTCGTAGTGTCATTCAGGCATGGCAGCCTAGACTATTGGCACAACCTCAAATAGCCTCCAAAATGAAAAACCCCATCACATCTCATCAAATGGATAATGACTGAGTTTGTGACATCCACAAGGATAAATTCGAGAAAGAAGTTTGGGCGTGCGTTTCAGGCGATCTGAGAGGACCACGTCACATATTCTCCGAAGAGCGTCTTGTGGCTTTTGTCGAAGAGGCCTCTGCTCTTGCGAGAGAAATATTCTGTAGGGTTAAGAAAAGGCGGCAGTGATGCAGAGATTTTTTAAAGATCTATTGCAGCAAAAATTTGTTGCTAACAAATTTTTTTGAGTCTAGACAAAATGCTAGATCTATAGATCGGCAATCACAACGATGAGAGGCAAAGGTATAATCAAGGGTCTTTCATCTTCACTCATGCGTCCTCGCATATCTTCGACATGCTAATATAGGTTGCATGAATTCTTTGAGGTCGATTCTTTAAACTGTTATTAAGTAGCTCTAGGTGCTGTTGTTCATCACCCCCGCTTCAGGTACCCGGATGATCGCCCGCTCGGGACCGAGGTACCGCCCACGATGCACGCCTCGTGCTGGCAAAGCCGACAATCCATCCACTGAAGACCATAGTATGTATAAGACAACTGAACTTTCCTAGAAATAGGAAAAAAAACTCTAAAATTACAAGAATCAACATCTCAAAATGCCACTCACCTCAGCAGCCATTGACATTCCCACGTCCTACGAGACCCTAGATCTCACTCACATCAAGATCTCCCACCACCCACCCGGATCCCCATCGGCAACTCCAGTCGTGGTTATTACACTTAACAGACCGGAGAAACATAATGCTTTCACACCGGATATGGCAGATAGTCTCACGCAGGCTTACCAAATGTTTCATATAGACCCTCGTGTCAAGGTCGTTGTGTTGACTGGGGCTGGGAAGATGTTCTGTGCTGGAATGGATCTTGATATTGGATTTGGAGATGGAGAGGGGAGGGCTGGTGATTTCCGTGATATGTAAGTTATCTCACCATAAATGGAATGATACGGGCTGATGATTTGCAGTGGTGGCCGGGTCACTTTGGCGATGCATCGATGCCATAAACCTACTATCGTCGCTCTTCAGGGCTCTGCGGTGGGTGTGGGGATGACAATGACTCTGCCGGCGGCAGTGAGGTATCTTCACAGACCACCAAGAAGAGCTATGCTGTCTACTAATTTCAATTCAGAATCTGCCATGAAAAAAGCAAATACGGCTTCGTCTTCACCCGACGTGGACTCACTATCGAATCCTGCGCTTCATACTTCCTCCCTCGCCTAATTGGATTCTCACGCGCAATGCATCTGATCTCCACCGGTGGAGTGTTCCAACCTTTGCCCAAACACTTCGGCGATCTATTCACAGAAGTACTTCCAGACTCGGCGCTAGTGCTACCCAGAGCGCTGGAAACAGCCCAAGATATGGCGGAGAATACTAGTCCGCTGGCATCCTCGATGAGTCGGGCTTTGATGTGGGAGGGCCCGACTTCTCCCGAGGAGGCTCATTTGCTTGAGTCGCGAGTGTTCCATCATATGATTGGTCAGAAGTAAGTTATTCTGTGGTGATTCGGGATTGAATGTTGAGGAGGAAGAATCAGTGGCTAACTGTTTGTAGGGACTACAAGGAGGGTGTCAACTCGTTCTTTGAGAAGCGCAAGCCCCAGTTTGAGACCGATCCAAGAGAAAGTAGTGCGCCGAATTATCCATGGTGGCCCGAGGCAAATATCGCCCTGGAGCCGAGTGTCTCGAAGGGGTCTAAACTGTAGATGGATGGGCTTGACGGATGCATATAGGACTAAGGATAATGGCCAGCATGTTCTTGATTCCAACAGACGTGTATATCGGTCAGAAATCCTACGATTGACACAGAAAGTAAGTGTTTTCTAGTGAAATAGAAGAAAAGAAATACAATCATATTCACAATGCAGTCTATTCATCATTCAAGGTCTTTCGCCCTCGCCATGAACAAAACATTCCCAGACATCAAATCATGTTAACATAAGAAAAAACAGTTGGATTAGTCAAAAATCCATATCTCGTGTATTCTAATTAGCAAACGAGCATGGAAGTAAAAGATTCATATAGAAAAATAACAATCAAATGATAAGGGTATCGCTTTACTTATGCCACCATATCCCGCGTGCGCCGGCCCACCGTGTCGACTCGCACCCCGAGCCGTTCCAACTCCGCCGCATCCAACAATCCCCGCCCGTCAAACACCCACTTGGGCTCAACCATGTTGTACGCAATACGCGTCCACTCGATCGCCTCGGTGGCTGTGGGTCGGGTTGCAGCAGATCGGCAATCGCCGCACTCTGCAGTGCAGGCCTCTTGGGGTCGCAGTTGATAGGACACACCCGCATGAGTCCAGGTTTCGTCGTCTTGACGGGCACAGGCCCGCTTGGAGTTCTCCTCACCCATTCCATCTGTGGTGGAGCGAGCCAGTTCTTTCTGAACTGGAGGGTAAATAGTCTGCTGGTATACTTTGCGTGATGGGTTATTCCGGAACTGGTCACAGTCGGTCACCACGAGCACTGCATGTGCCTGGGAGCAGGCCAGATACGGGTCAGGATGAACCTTGACAATCTGACCCAAAGCCGAACTCGGGCAGACGGCTTCCAGCTCGCGCAAAATATCTTCCTGGCGACAGTACGGATCGAAAATGGCAATTTCAGCCGGTCGCTCTTCCAGCAAGGCACGAACGACTTCCACCGCCAAAGACTCGCGCGTGTCGCCGGTGTTCTTCTTGAAGGCGAATCCGAGCATCGCCAGCTTGCGTCCGACCAGGTTACCCTCGAAGCGATCGATGATCTTGCGGGAGAATCGATCGCGCTGTCGCTCGTTCATCACATTCACCTGTCGCCAATAGTGTGCCACGTCGTCCAAACCCAGGGATTCCGCTAGGTACGCCAGACTGGCAATGTCCTTGCGGAAGCAGGACCCGCCAAAGCCCAGTCCTGCCTTGAGGAATTGCCGTCCGATACGCACATCCATGCCAATAGCTTTGGCCACTTGATCCACCTCCGCTCCGGTTCTCTCGCAGATCGCACTGATCGAGTTGATGCTGCTGATGCGCTGGGCAAGCATGGCATTCGCCACGAGCTTGGCCAGTTCCGAGGACCATGCATTGGTCTGGATGATGCGCGACGGGGGCACCCAGGCTGCATAGAGGTTGGCCAGGGTCTGGGCTGCCAGGCGTCCGCTAGGAGTGGCCGCAGATCCGATCAAAACGCGGTCTGGGGCTGTAAGGTTCTTGACGGCTGTACCCTCGGCAAGGAACTCGGGGTTGGAAAGCACCTCAAAGGAGACACCAGGTCGATGGGTTGCCAGCTAAATGAGAAAAATAGGTCAGCGAACACACAGTCTATACTCGAGAGCAATTTCGGGTGAATACCATTTTGCGAACGCGCTCCGCCGTGCCTCCTGGTACAGTGCTCTTTTCCACAATAATGGCACCTGGCTTTGCGTGGGCGGCAACATCCCGCATGGCCCCATCAAACGCGGTCATGTTGGTGGCACACCCAGCGCCCACGCCAAACATCTTGGTTGGTGTATTGACTGCCATGAGAATGATGTCTGCCCGTGAGATAGCCCGAGTAGAGTTACACGTGAAGAACAGGTTCTGTGGGCGTCTGGATGCAGAGGAAGCGGGCTGAATGCCCTCATTGCTGATCTCGGCACCATCGCGGACAATGCGCACCACAGTGTCCAAGCCCGGCTCATGAACAGGCAGATGCTGAGACTGCCATCGTTGAATGCGGTTTGGATCTCTGTCCAGCACCTCGACCGAGATCGATGGGTGATACAGAGCTAGGACTGCTGCGGTGGGACCACCTGTAGCGATTGAGGTCAACTCGAGCTCCACCGAAGCGCTTTATCCTGGGACTCGCGCTTTGCGAAAAAGCACCTACCGACATATCCTGCGCCAACCACGCAGACATTCTTCACCGCAAATCTGGGCAATTCGGTCTCGCTGAGCACGCGCGACTGGGGTAACCCGGCCAGTTTGAGATCATCATATTCCGAAGGACGAAACAATGGACTAGCGCTCGGGGTAGTAGGACCTGTAGAGCAGGACAGACTGCCCTCAGAGGGGGAGGAAGACGAAAAGACGTCCATGGGGATCTCGTCGCCAGACATGGTTGCCAGTGTTCAAGGCAGTTGCGAGGAAGAGGAGGGAAGAACACGCGGAAACGACACGAGAGAGATAAGGACCAAGCAGTCCGATCACTTGACTATGGTCTGTACTTTCTCGTCTTTGATTGCGGATGACTGAGTTGTTGGTCACTTGTTCGAGGTGGTCATAGATCATGAAGCAGTCGCGACCTGATTGAAGTATGAAGTATGAACTTCCAAAGATAAGAGAGGAAAGAAAAAGGGAATAAAGGAGAGTATATCCGCCCTCGGACGATACCTCGTGCATCCTCATGACCATTTACACGCTCCGACCTTTTTTTTGCCCCCTCCGTGAGCCACTATGGGATTATCATGAGTATCGGGTTGATCCTCAAGTTATCGTGAGTCCGGGTTAAAGCCCAGTTCCCTTAACAGCGCATCGTTGGGGCACGCGGGGAATGGCGCGTTCCCACTGGCCGCCAAGGGATCATCCACCCACCCGTTAAGCACCTAAAAAGTAACCATCAACCACATCCATGATCCCCCCCGTCCCTGAGATCCTCCCTACATTCTGAGGCAGTCACCTCATTCGGGTTCTTTTAATCAGTTCATTCGAGGCTTGTCAGCGGGCGGATGCGGCACGTGCAGTGCTTCTCTCAACTTAAACCACCCACCAGTCGCCATGACCACTCAAGGGACTCAACCTCGTTCAAAGCTCCCGCCAATCGACTGCCCTTGTGCTCGAATCGTGGTTCATTCGGCTTCCATTTTTGTCCAAATGGCTGAGAAGAAAAAAAATCGAATGCAAAGCCGGGACCTGCACCGGACCACCTGAACCACTCTAAAGCCTAAGTTGGAATCGGCACGATCAGCCCCACGCCTTCCTTCAAGACTATCTATGAAACCCCCTCCCCCGCCTCGAGACGACTTTCTTGCCATGACTCTGTCGCTATCGGCATCATGGCCGAGTCTTCGCCTTTGCTAGCCTCCTTTCAGGAGAACCGTGATGAATTCCCCAGCATTCTTCATGGCAAAAAGGTCTTGCTGGCCACTGAGTCATGGGGTCCGGTCAACGGTGTGAGTCGCACAACGCGCAGCCTGGTCGAGTACCTGCGCGATCACGGCGTGGAACTCATTTTGGTCGCACCTCACTTCAAAGGGGATACCTCAAAACAAAAGGTGGACTGGGAGCATCGTCTTCCCGGGTGCGCCTTGCCCTACAACCCAGATTTGACCGTCGTCTACCCTTTCCAAATCAATGAGGTCTACCAGCAGACCTTTCAACCAGATATCATCTACTTGGCGAGCCCAGCCTCACTTGGCTTTCAGATGCTCTTGCAAATTCGCCAGCTGCGGTCACCCCCACCAGTGCTGCTCAACTTCCAGACTGATCTGTCCGCCTACTCGGAGATCATGCTCCCAACTCCCTTGGATCAATTCGGGGTCTGGCTGTTGGCCACGGTTCAAGGGTTCTTGTTCCGGACGCGTGCCGTGCACACCATCTTTTACCCCTGCTCGGCCATTCGAGGGTACCTAGAACGCGCCGGTGCGCCAATCGATCGATTGGTCCAGCTGGGTCGCGGCGTCGATACCGTCTTGTTTACACCCACGCATCGAGACGAGGCATATCGCCGCGAGATCGCCCCGAATGGAGAGATCATTCTCATCTGTGTCTGCCGAATCGCCCCGGAGAAAGGATTCGAGTTTCTCGCGCAGGTCGCGACGCGCTTGGCCGCGGAGAAAGTGCCTTTCAAGCTGCTGATCGTGGGAGGCAACCGCAATCCCGTGGTTGAGAACAAGGTCAAGCGGTTGTTTGACGGGGTCCGGAATCAAGTCGTCTTCACCGGGTTCCTCACCGGAGTTGCCCTAGCTCGTGCCTATGCCTCGGCCGATCTGTTCTTGCACTGCTCCATTACCGAGACCTTTGGACTGGTCGTCCTCGAAGCCATGGCCAGTGGCATTCCGGTGATTGCGCGCGATCAGGGTGGTCCTTCTGACATTATCCGTCATGATCAGACCGGGTATCTGGTTGCACCGCACGATCTCGACCGATTCACGGATTTGACGCGCGAGGTGGCCCAAGACTCCGCCCGACTGGAAAGACTTGCGACGGCTGCCCGTCAATATGCGGATGATACCACCTGGGAGAAGATCAACCGTCGAGCGGCGTGGCAGATTGCCGATGCCTTGACGCATACCGATCAGGAATCGCATGGGCCACGGACACCACTTCGACCGGGGATCATTGGCTCGACCATGGAGCACGTTCGCCTGGCGTTTGCAGTGGGCATCGTCTATGTGATGTGGTTGATCGCGGTGGTCCCGTTGATCGTCCATGGACATCGCTTTATCCCTCGGGCGTGGCAGGCGCTGCGAAATCAGTTCCAATATACTCGACCACTCCGCAGTTGAATTTGACCTGGTCTGGAGTTTTCCTTCCGTTCATACGGCGTTCTCTCATACTCTTTTATCCCAGTCTGTTCCTCTCTTTCTTTCCGTGACCACACGAAACGGTTGATTTGATCCATCATGAATGCCATTTGCTATTATGATTCCCATGAGTTTGATACGATCTTTTCAATGCGAACATACTTGAAGTCTTTCCATAATTACATTACTATGATCACAAATTATCAACATGACACATTACAGATGCCATCTTCTTCCCTATTTACAACCGCACAGGTGCCGTATCCGTCCGGACCAGTACATGTCCCTCGGCAACAAGAGAACGAGGACACGACCGCCCATCCGCAAAATCAGAAAGATTCGACAACGTCACACCCGCAATCTCCGTCAGCGCCTCACTCGTAAAGAACCCCTGATGCCCACAAATCAACACATTAGGAAACGTCATCAACCGCATCAAAACATCATCATCAATGATCTCCCCAGAATGATCATTATAAAACAACTCCCCCTCCGCCTCATACACATCCAACGCCAGCCCACCCAAATGCCTCGTCTTCAGCGCCTCAATCACAGCCGCACTATCAATCAATCCTCCACGCGAGGTATTCACCAGCATAGCACCGGGTTTCATCCGCGCCAGCGTTTCCCCATTAATCAAATGTCTCGTGCCATCTGTCAACGGACAATGCAAACTGACAATATTACTCTCCTGCAGCAGCGTATCCAGTTTCACCAACGTCCCGAACTGCTTGAACTCCTCTCCAGCAAACGGATCATACGCTAACAACCGACATCCAAACCCGAGAAAGATCCTCGCAGCAGCAAGTCCAATCCGTCCTACCCCTACAATCCCCACCGTCTTCCCATGAAGCGTCGTGCCCAGTAAACCCTCGATATTAAAATTCCCTCCCCGCACCCGATTATACGCCCGATGCGTCTTCCGATTCAGCGTCTGGATAAGCGTGACTGCAAACTCGGCGACGGCCTCGGGGGAATATGCTGGAACGTTCGCGACGAAGAGGCCTAGTTCTTCGGCCGTGCTGAGATCGACGTGGTTGAAGCCTGCGCAGCGGAGGAGGATTGCACGGACGCCGCCGGCGTGTAGGGCTCGGAGGACGGGTGCGTCGAGCGTGTCGTTCACGAAGACGCTTACTGCGTTGCTGGATAGGGCGAGCGGAGCGGTTTCTTCGGTTAGGGCGAAGGCGTGGTATTCGATTGTGCAGAGGGTGGGGAAGCGTGTTGTGAGGACTTCGTCGAGGTAGGTGCGGTCGTAGGATTTGGTGCTGAAGACGGAGAGTTTCATGGTTGGAGGGGGGGGGGGGGGGTGAGTGAGGGGAAAGGGTTTAGGTTGATGATGGAGAGTTTAGTGATGGCGATAATAGCTTTGGGGATTATGGATTGTGGCTCCGGGGAGATGGGAGGAGAGTTAGAGTCAAGTGCTCGAGCCCGTGTGGTATGCATGGATGCATGGTGTGCGGCGTGCACCAAGTCATGACGCCATGTCTGGGAGTAGAGAGGGGAAGAAGATACATGGGGTACAGTACAGCTGCAAGCGGATGCGGGACAGCTTTTCGACTGCGCCTGGATTCTTCAACTTGCGGGGATGAATTCCGAGGACGGAATGGAATGTAAGGATCAGAGATCGGACAGCGTCCCTTGGGATCCAGGAGATCGTGGAGATTCATCCAGATCTCATGGATCCGATGGGGTTGGATCTGGAGGATATTCTTGGGTCGATGTTGAACGTGGCTGGACAGTAGTCTATACTTAGATGGTCTTGTAAGTAGTGATTGAGTAGATCTGCATTCTGTATGGTTGATTGGGAGTACAATAAGGTTATCGCAAGGTTATCGATAGTCTGTGCTTTTTCCATCCCCCGCGTCTGGCCGTGGGAAAGCCTGTCCTGCAAGGTATCCCACGGATGAGGGGTTGATTTTTGGGGAGAATTATAGTTTCATGGCCAGGTCTAGAGTCTCGGAGCTCCAGGGTCCTAGCTCTTAACTATATAGATGTAGCTTGGGGCATGAATAGCAAGACAATAGCAAGAGCCTCGTTATCGTTATCACTATCACTATCGTCTGATATCAAATCCTATCTGATATCACATCCAGGTAAGTTAAGCTATGCACCTCATGATTCATGGATCTATCTTGTCGACCATGTAAACTAGTAGGATCGAATGAGTCTCTAAGAATACACACAGTCGCATCAAATGTCTATGTATTTCTCAGCCAATAATTTTGATTCATCGTTCAGTGTCTCCTCCCTCCATATGCAGCCATTCCCATGCCAAATGCGGAGAGCTTCCGTGCGGCGTGCAACCATCTCGACCCGCCGCGGTCGCCACCCAGCGTGATTATTACTACAGTATGTAGAAGAGTTACTTCTTGATGCTGCGTAGCTCACGTACAAAACCATCCGAGCGTAGTATACGAGTACTATACGAGTCAACCCCATACAATAATTGTCAATAGAGTTAGTTTGTGTCTCAGCCAGGACTCGGATAATTCCCCATATACTCCAACTGCCACGAGGTACATGGACGTCACCATTATCATCATGACCAAAGGCCAAAGGGATACTAGTGAATCCTTTTTTAATGATCTGCAAGACTGCAACATCGTTGGATCATCATCATCATCATTATGAGACTTGATCTACGCCAAGTCGAGACTACCCCAATTCTAGTACCGTATAGACAGGGGCGATCCTCTTGTCTGGAGGTCACAAGGGAAGAAAGGGTTCGAGTTCGGATATCCATTGTACGGAGTACCGGAGACTGGAATAATGGACTGTCATGCCTAGAGTTGTGTAAAGTGTGACTGCTTCATCCTACTCCGAGTCCAGCTCGGGCGGATACCGAGGGAATTGGAAACATTCCAGATGATTGCCGAATAAGGAAGAGCAAAGTTCGACCGGAACCTGCGGATTGGTGGATTGACCCCAAAATTGAGGTGGCGGACTGGCGGGCAAAGTGCTGATCCGCGACGGGCAAGTGGGTGGTTAGACAAGTTGTATGTTTCTTTTCTTTTTCGCGCCAATCAGATTGATCTCGAGTGTCGCTGCTAAATGTATGGTCAGTTAGCTTTTCTTAGCGTAGGTTTCTTAGCCGCTGTCGAAAGGATCGTCCAGAACTTTTTTTTCTCGTGGAAGTGTGTTCTTTCTAAAGTTATGCCCGAACAGTGTTCAAAGTTCACCCAAGACTTTTCGAGGGCTGGGCGAAGAGGCAAGACTTTCCAAAGTTGACCCCCCCAAAAGCGACGGACCCGAGGTATCGGTAACCAATCAATCATCTCTGATAAGCCAGAAACGCCACCGGCTGCCTGGATGGTGGGAATAGGAGATGATTGGGTGGCGAGGAGCTGTGAAGAGCGGTGCTGGGCCGTGCTTGGCACTGGGAGGGAGGCGCTAGTAAACCTACAGAAGTCTTAGGGAAGGACTGATTGGTGTATTCAATTCGCCTGTGGATCCTACTGGGATCCGGTTGATTGTCGACCTTTCAACTGTTTGACTCTCGGGGGGAACCCGCTTGAGGCATCCGCATCCGCAGAGTTGAGGCACTCGAGAGAGAGTTTCCTTCCATGCTCTCAGATGGCTGGAAGTTGAAAACATAACATCATAGCATCATAGGTACCAGAGGATCCAGAGCATCATAACATCATACCCTTCTTTGTTCTCCCCCCAAGGAGAAGCTTATCAACTACATGTACTCCTTCTACTTCTAGACTCCAAGTATCGGTACTTTCACGGGTGTATTACTCCGTGAAGATGAGGCGGACGACTTGGCCACCGTTTAGGGTCGAATATCCCGATCGAGAGGAGGGCACGAGCTTCCTACCGCGGAGGATGGCGGAGCCGGCGGGGCAAGCGGAGCAGTTCTGCAAGTAACGAAGGACAGGCAGCGTAGCGATGGATCTTGCCCTCATCTTAATCAATCAATACAGTAACTAATGATTAATTATGCGACCGAAGGAGAGTTTCAGTGGTATGCAAGTATGCAACAGAATAATGGATATGTACAGTCTGCTCTGGTGCATATTATATGTGGAGTGCCGACTTCAAGTTTCAACGGGTCAACCCATCATATGCTTGGATGGATACTTGGAGATAGACAAGACATCTGCACCTGCAAGGGATTGAATCCAGTTGCTGACAAGTAGAACAGAATATAGATCCTAGTCCAACACATGTAATAGTGTTCTGTGATAACCCCTCCATCTTCATTCCTTCTTATCCATCCCGTAAAGAGCGGTCAGCCCAAGGAGGCCTGGTTCAGAAACAATCGGTGTGTCTAAAGTACTCCGTGTTTCTCCAGACAAGGGTTTGGGGAATGTACCGACTACAAATCAGCCTGGGGGGATAAATACGGGGGGAGAACTACTCCGTACTAACTGGTTAGTGTACTCCGTAGTTCCTTCGCGTAGAGATGGATATAACAGCAGGCTGTACGGAGTATTCTCAATAGTTCTCGTATAGCCGGGGAAGGCAGGAGTATCATTACCCTTAGGCGGGTTTATTCCCGTCCCTCCGGCAAGAGAGTCGGATGTCGACGCCGCCCGCGGCCAAGAGACGGGGCCGTGTCGTACCGGGTTGGAGATCAAGTTACAGAGTCAATTATTATTGAAGGGGACACGGAGATAGAGAGAATAATAGACCGTAGTAAGGTCATGGCCAGTTGATACATCGAGTATGCAGTATAGAATGTAGGTGATCCGAGTCTCCATGTACCAGTACATTATGATTACTGTATATCGCATATCTCATCTCTCATCTCTCTGTTCTTAGCCCGGAATCCCCCTTTCTTGGTTCATCGGTTCATCTTGATAGAATAAAATTAATTTCAATAAATTCGAATATTGTAAGAGTATCTTATTTGAACACCTTCGACTCCCCCCGGGTTCATTCTTCAGTTCGCTTCCCCTTGAGGAATCCTCTCTAGAAATTCTGGTTCCTCTACTCTACCTTCTCTCCCTCGGTATTCTCCGTTGTTATTTGCCTCCCGGTCTATGATCCTCTTCCTCTTCTTCTCTTCCATCATCTCCACTTCCCAAAATTAACTCCACTTGCCTCTTCTCCAACGCTCCTTCGCCCCGATCCTCATCTTTTTACTCCACCCGCCCCTCCTCCTGGGCCATTCACCGTCCACCCGTTTGCCTCTCGAGTCTCTTCTCCACGGCTGAACGGTCTCTTCTTGTCGTGTGCGTCCTGTCCCCGAACAGGACAGTAACCGCCCTGCGTCCTGAACCTCCGAACCGGCCTCTGCCAATAATCTGCGACGCCGGAAATCCCCATTATTCTTACCCACTTGACTGACCTTCGACCGACCGATCACTGGTCCAAGGTCCCGACATCATCGTGTCTTTCTTCCGTCCATTGCCTCCCATTATTTCCCCTTAATTATTATTGCTATCGCCGGCGGATTCTGGAACTCGGTGCTCTCTTCAACTTTCACCTTCACTCTCTCAACTCTCTCAACTCTTTCCTCCTCTGCTTTTCTTCTCCCCCTTCCCCCCTTCTCTCTGCCTTCTCTCCAGAATAGAAACTCTCCCCTCTTCACATTCTCATCATCTTTCCGAAATGGCCACCACTACGACTACCGCCCCCGCCCCCAGCGGCACGGCCGCACCCGGCAACCAAGGCAATCAAATCTCCGTCTACGGTCACCCTTCACCCACCAACTCTTCCACTACCACTCCCGCCAACAACTCACCCACCTCTCCCCGTCTCACTACGGCCGCCCTTCATCAGTTGCCCCTCCAGTCACGCCAGTTGCGTCCGCTCAAGGGCCCTCTATATGTCCCCGCGGCTCTACGGCCCACCGAACGTCCTCAGAAGTCCTCCCCGATCACCCCACCGCGCAGTGTGCACGGTTCTCTCGACAGTCTCAACGAAGACACCGAACCCATCAGTCGGCGTTTCACCATGGAGAGCAAGTCTAGCGGTATCAGCAAGGTCGCTGAACATGAGTGGATGAAGACCGAGCACTTGGGCGTGGTCACGGGGATGCCCACCCGCGACCACTGGAAAGTGAGTAACACTGCCTCCTTTGCGAATTGTTTCTTTTTCTCGTCCTTTCTTTCCCTGTCATTACACCCCCTTTATATATATGACTGGGACTGGCAAGGATGGCGCCATTCGCAGTCGACCTCGCGCGCTCGTCATTGGAATGGCGTGCTCGCGTGTCGATTGCATGGGGCATCTCGCCAACACCTCGCATGATGATCGAATCATATCTGCATCTACCATTCTTAACGTTCCTTTGCTAATCCACCTCTCCCTTACAGGCTGACGCTGCGTCTTCGAGCTGTGATTCGCCTACTTGCCGCTCTTCCTTTGGCATCTTCACCCGCCGTCATCACTGCCGCCACTGCGGTCATGTCTTCTGCTACAATCACACCCCTCATCTCGTGCCTCTGGACCAGGATGCCCGCTTCCACCCGGAAGGTGTCCTCTCCCGTGCCTGTGATCTCTGCTGGAGTGCCTACCAGCGCTGGGAGGAGACTCGCACCGACCGCCTGAACAAGATCCAGAACACGATCGACGCCAAGAACGATGAGACTACTCAGTCGGCCGAGGAAGATCTCGATTCCAGTGAGAACTCGGGCCGAGCGGCTCTCAAGGCCAATCTGGGTCAGACTGCCGAGGTGGCTGCTAGTGTTCCCCGTGACTGGAACTGGAGCACCTTTTAATTGATCGAGCGAGAATCCTTTTCTCTGCAGATTGATCACTTCCATCTCGGGTCTCGCATACTGGTCAGCGGGTCTGGCAACGGCATACTCCGACATATTTCACTTCTGATCTCCGCCTTTTCCATCTTGTCTTTTTTCATGGCCTTATTATTTTTCTGATTTGCGACCATCGGTACGGAGTTTCTATCGGCGTCCCGGGCGTTGAGCAACGTGTGTGCTCTTTTCATTTCCTGCTCTGTCTCGCTATTGTTTTTTCCCAAGGCACTGGTTCTTCACAGTGACCTTGCTTGATGCTTTGCATGATACTTTTTAGACGGGGTCTCACGGTCTCTGGTTCTCTTTGCGCGCAAACTGCTTCGATCCAGCGATCAACAGTCGTCCCGCATCCTCTTTTTTTTGTCTTAGCAGTGGGCTTTGCGCGTGCTTCGTTTTTTTCGTCTTTGATCAGGATACCCCGCCACTTCTCTCGAGCGGCAATCTCGTTTATGCTTTTTTTTTCTCTCTTCATTTGCACTGGTGCCTGATCCTGAACTGCAACGCTAGACGGATATGGCTTGGGGCTGGGCTTGCATCTCAATGTCACCCCCGAAATGAAATCCATTCTTCATCATGAACTAGTCCAGAAATTACTTTTTTCTCCAATTTGCTTTTTCCTTCCCTTTTTATCTCCCCATAAGCTTGTACCACTATCTGTATGAAATTAATCTGTAGATCATGTCGATCTTATCTGATATCCACGCCTTCCTGCATGACACGATATATAGTTTGCCTGCTGCACTCGACATCCCACCTATTGAAGACTTGGAGTATATCCAGACTCCATATCCGTTTACTCTATAGGTTGGATAATGGATACTTCTAGTAATATAGTAATCCTCGAACTCACCGCACTTCCACCCTCCTAAACATCCCCACATGCTCAATCCCCTCTTCATCCCACCGTCCCAACCCCTCATCCCGCACAAATCCAAGTCCACTATACATCCGCTCCACATCCACCTGTGCATGCACCAGCACTAAACCCCGCCACGCCTCTAAACCCCCCTCCGAGTTCTGACCCTCGTCTTTGTCCTGTAGCTTCTGCGAGGAGAGCTGACGAGCTAATTCCCCCGCCGCAGCATCAATTTCCCCTGCGTGTTCTGTAGCCCATTCCAACGCTGTCTCGACAAGACGTCTACCGAGTCCGAAACCGCGGTATTCGGGTAACACGGCCACGCGAGTGAGTTTTATGCAGGGTTCGTGTGACCAGTCGTAGGCGGGGAGGGTTGTGTTTGTATTTGTCGGGTGTGTGAGGAGTTCGTGGGGTGGCTGTGGTGGGGGGACGAGACGGATCACTGCCACGGGGGTAGATGTTGCTGTGGATGTGGATGTAGTAGTGTTTTCTGAGGGAGACGAGGCGTATATCACCCATTGCCAACTTCGGGCATCGTCTGCGTCAATCTCCGCGTCTGCGGAGCAGTGTTGTTCGTCGACGAAGACGCGGACGCGCACTTTCATTGCATCGTTGAAGATTGGGGGGTGGGTCAGGGATGCGGACGGGTCATTTGGGAGGACCAGGTTGCTTGTTGGGCCTGGAGGGGGTTGGATTGAGGTTGTGAAGGTGATGCCCGTAGGTTTTTGGGTTGCCATTGTGGATGTTCGGGGGTTTAGGTAGTTCAGGTTGATGTAGATGTAATGTGTTCCGTGGATGGGAGAGACTTTGTCGGTTTCAAGAGGGAAGGTTCCAATTGTTTGGGTGTAGAGCAGGTGGATGAGGTAGATGGGGAGTTGTGTGTTCAGGCGTATCGGGGGGTATATATCTGCGCCGAGGCATGGATGGGAGCATGGATGGGAGCATGGATGGGAGCATGGATGGGATGAGGAACCAAGTTATCTATCCAGACTTAAAGTTGTCATAAATTGGTCATTTTACCTTTGAAGCTAGAAACTCTCAATATTGAGCTGATCTAAGTCTTTCAAAATTCGAACTCTATATCCTTCCCGGTCTACCTAGATCATCCAATGTTGATTCATGTTGATACCTTAGGCTGAGCCTCCGCGGACAAAAGCAGACCCACGCGAGTGCAAACAAGTCAAACAGGATCTCCAACATTTTATCATTTTATCAATTTGTCTCTTCTACATCTCAGGATTTTAGCTTCCAGCTTTCGCTAGCTGCATCCCCACCATGTCCCTCTACTTCGATGCAGCCGCAATCCTAACCGCCCCCTCAGCAGGAGGCTCCTTCAAATCTCGCATCTACAGCGCCCGCAATCTCCGTGCCTCACCCGCGCAAATCTATGCCCTGATCACCGAGGCTTCTAAATGGGACCGCGTTCTGGCTGATGTCATTGAAAAGGCTGATATTCTCAGTGTGGAGCGCAAGGTGAGTCTATGCATTCCCCTGGGATCTACGTGTCATACCTACTGACTGACAAAGTACCCATGATATTTTTTTATTCTAGTTAACTCCGCTTCTCGCTCTCCTCTTGGTGTATGACCACCTCCTCTCAAAAAAAGGCATTGCCGCGCCTGCTGCACACCCCTCCGCCAAGCGGTGGAACGGCATAAAGTTCGGCTCAAGGCTGAATTTACAAAGGCGCGTGTGCGGAGGGGTTGTGCCACAGTGGAACAGTTCAAAACCGCCGTGCTGCGAGAGAAGCGCGAGGCCGATGGCACTGCCCATTTCGTTTATCCGCGCTGGGTGCGCGTGAATAATATACGGAGTTCTCTTGAGAAACAGCTGTCGACTACCTTTGCGGATTACCAGCGTGTGGATACCCTGGCGGCCCTGGCCCCGGCCGAGGATGAACGTACCAAGCTGAAGTTGTTGTATTTGGATCCGAATATTCCGGACCTTGTGGCGGTGCCGTTTGGTGCGGATTTTACGTCGTCTCCTGCGTACAAGAATGGGGAGATTATTCTACAGGATAAAGCATCGTGCTTCCCTGCGTATCTCTTGTTAGGGGATCGCGGGTTCAAGGATGCCTGGCAGGGTGATCTGGTGGATGGTTGCGCTGCTCCGGGAAACAAAACTACACACATGGCCTCGTTACTTGCCAAGCAGCAAAAGCAGAAGAAACCTCGGAAACAGATCTTCTCTATGGATTCGTCTAAAGTGCGTTCTAAAACGCTGCAGAAGATGGTCTCGCTAGCTGGGGCGGACCCAATGGTTACTGTGCTGCAGGGCCAGGATTTCCTGGCGCTGGACCCGATGGATTCGCAGTTTGAGGATGTATCTGGTCTTCTACTTGATCCAAGTTGTTCGGGTAGTGGTATCGTGGGTCGAGACGACGTCCCCCAGCTGACACTACCCCAGCCCAAAGTGGTCAAGTCTTCCAAGCCTAATGGGAAGAAGAGGAAACGTGGGGCGGAGGACCATGACGAACCGGAAGAATCGTCATCAAATGTGACAATGGGACAGCCGAGTGCCGCACCCTCTGATGAGAATGATATTCCAAGCGGTACAATTGACAACGATCGACTCACCAAGCTGTCGAATCTGCAGGCGCGCATCGTCGAGCATGCATTGAGTTTCCCCAACGCAACTCACGTTACATACAGCACCTGCTCCATTCATCTGATCGAGAACGAGGCTGTGGTGGCTCGCCTCTTGGCCTCGGATGTCGCCAAAGAGCGTGGTTGGCGGCTGTTGCGACGGGATGAGCAACCCGAGGGCCTGCGCAAGTGGAAGCACCGTGGTGTCCGGCGTGACCGAGACATGGAGACGGGTGTGGAATCCGAGGAAAGTGAATCAGTTGCCGCACTCTCCGAGGTTGACCTCGAGGCTTGTCTGCGCTGTTGGTCTGGCGATGCAGAGGGGTTGGGAGGTTTCTTTGTTGCCGGGTTTGTACGCGACTCGGAGGGTGCTGTTACAGAACCCGCCAAGATGAAGATCAAATCCGATCATGACAATGGCAATGCCGAAGGCGATGTCACTGATGAAAGCAATGAGGATGAAGAGTGGGATGGCTTTTCCGATTAGATCCAACGTCGATTGCAAGGTCGGAAGCCTTGACCTGTATATTACCAATTGCATAGCTGTCAATCTCTTCAAATCAACATGTCCCCCGCTAGATATCTTCTTCAGAGAAATTGCTGTTGCTGGTTCCGTGCTCGCGCATCGAGCCATGTGTCCAGCTTGACCGCAACCAAGACTGCCTCGTATGCACCGTTATTGTCCGGTTCCACCTGTAGTCGCCATTGCCCCGTCCGAACCACGCAGGGTTCGCTGTAAGAAATCTGGGGTGTATCTGTACGGTGACGTTTGGCTGGCGGCAAATCATCATCCGTCTCCAAGTCTGGCGCAAAGTTCGCCGGGCAGGAGGGGTTTGATACACCGTCAATCATGATATCCGAGGCCTGTCCCCAGCGGACCCTAATAGGGATTGCACCCAGCTGCGAATCCGAAAGATTCATCTTCTTGGCTACCACTTGGAGCAAACTCGCCATGCGAGACTTGGTCAATCCAACAAAGTCAGCCCGGCGGGCAGTTCTGTTGACCAGCGTGGAGGCGTCTGCAATCTCCAGAATCAAGTCGGCCGGGTTCTCGTCTACAAACGGACGAGCGTACAGTACCGAGCCGACGCCAGTTCGAGAAGTCGTATCGGGAGCAAAATGAACACCCGACGGTCGTACATCTTCCAAGCGAATGATAATCTCCGAGCGTTGCCGGAACGGGTTATAACTGATGTGATGGGGGATCAACTTCTGCTCCAGCCCTCGCAGGTGGAAATAGCGACAATCCCGGAGTAGCTCTGCACGATGGTCGGCATTTCGAATATGCAATGGGTATCCGCGTAGCAGGTGAAGCAGCTCTGCAAACACGTCTGCAGACCGATTGGGAACACTCGGGGGCACGATCGCGGGGGGTCGAAGGAGGCCGACGCGATCGAGACCGGGGAAGACCTCAGAGGGCGAGGCGAAAAAGGCACCAAATCCCAGGGAAAAGAAGTTTGGAGAATCACCAGGGCCGGAGAAGATGTCACGGGGGATCTGAAAATGGCGGTCGCCGATTTGGATGAAGATCTCCGACTCGAATAATTGGGACATCAACCGGGGCACTGTCGTTGGTCAGCAGGGAGCTTGGAGGAGTCGGTTGCAAAATTGGGGGCCATTGGCGGGGAGATCTGACAGGTGTAGAATTGCGCGTCGGCGAATAGCTTCACGAATTGGGCGCCATCTCGGGGTCGAACATGATAGCCTGTGGATTATTTATTATTAGCTGTTGAACGAATATTGGGTTGCAGGTGCTAGTGTGTATGCGCGCGTAGTCTGCATACTCGTGTCTGGTCTGGATGTACCTTGGAGATGGCGGGCAATGTCCTGAAAGGTGGCTGGGTCGCGATCAATGTAGAGCGTTCGCACATTGGAGGCATCGGTCAGGCGCAATTGCTCTTCGAAGAAACGGGAGAAGTAGGAGGGAGCTGAATGAGGAGTGGCATGTTAACTTTTTGTGATCGTCGTGGAGAAGATGAGAAGAGGGATGGGATCTCCGACCGTCCGAGGCAATGGAGGCTCCGGAGAGGCGAAACAGCTCGGAGCCAATCTGAATGGCGAAGACCTTGTCGGAAGGAAGGGTACAGGCTGGGGATTTGCCGGCACTAGCGGGGGTGGACGCATTGGAGTCTCCTGCCATGGTGGAGGTGTGATGGAGAGAGGAGAAGAAAGTATGATGATGGTCCGATGGAGGTTGGCGGTGATGAAGCTAAGCTACCTACAGTAGTTAGGACCAGCTACCAGCTGACTACGACCGAATGTCAGTGCACCACCATTCCTGAGTCAATTAGTCTCCGATTATGATCAACCAGTTCCTGAGTTCACCTGTCTACTGAGTCACTATATCTGCCTAACTTGGTACTAACTAACTTAATTAGTTCTTAAGATTGACAGGTAAGTGACTATATCCAGCATGTTTCGCACCTGCTCAGTTCGGATGGAAGACTCCGGTCCTGCAGGTCAAACTATCGAACGGTGGGGATCTCATCGGTTGACATGGATGGACAAATTTGGTACCTATTCAGGGAATCGATGATGATATTTACTTCGATCTCGGGCTCTTCGTTCCCTTTTAATCTGTTCTTAGGATCATCCTTTTCGCACTTTTCTCTCTTTCTCTCTTTGATCTACTATCTATTGCTTATACTTTCTCCTGGGTATGCGTTTCCATGGAAAGATTATTGCCTCTCACCGGTTGATGCTTTTGCTAACAAGACCCAGGGATGTGGAGTAGAGCAAGTACAGCTATACTGTAGCTGTAAGTTATACCTCTAGTAACTCAACAAACCCGCCGGCCAACACACAACATCCACTCTGCTTCGATCATGTTATACAGCAGATGGACCCAATCTATCGGGACAACGGTACGGAGTACTGTACTATGATGTACTGACCGTAGTACTTCCTACCATCGAGACTAGTAGAATAAATAAGAAGAAGAATGGAACGTCGGATACATACTTCTCTTCTTAGTTAGAAGGCGATCAACCTAAAATTCATGACCTGATCCCTTCCTGTTTCGAATTCCTCCCTGCCTGTCCTCATCCAATCGACTCACATGGCTGTGAATCTCGGCTGATTCAAGGACCCTCTTTTTTGAAGTGAACAGTCCGGCAGTCCGCACGAGCTTCTCCGAGAACCTGACGATCGCCGCCAATCGGAGCAACTTGACTGGTTCAACTACTATGATCAGACCCACTTGAAAGGAAAAAACTGGATCCAAGACGCAAAAGCTTGGGGTTCCATGACACTTTTCTAACCGAGGCCCCTCCTCTCCACTCCAGTCCCAATGAGAATCTTCAACCCTTTACGATTCCCGTTGGGAAACATGGCCTGGTTGGATTCTCGATCGGCCCATTCCTCCGCTCTGATTCCTAGGCTTTTACTCAGCCTCGAGCCTCTAACTAGTTAGTAGCCTCTAGGACTTCGGATACGGACCAACACAGCACCGACCGGGCTTGCGAACAGACTGTGGGGTTCGGAAACGAGCCGTTGTCTAGAATTTCCGGGGTGGTTATATCTGTTGACTCTCCACTGCCTGTCATTATTTCTACCGTTTCCCCTCTCGTCCAGTCCAGGTAACTCGCCAATCTTCTGGACGTATACGGTATATCATCTGTTAGACCCTGCATAGCGTGGCTGTTCTAGTTTCGGGTTGAACCTCCATCGTCACTATGACCGATCTTGTTACGTCTGCATCTGCGTATACTCCGCTGGAGGTTCCCCTGCCTGCAGCTCCGGATACCTCCTTCTTTTCCGAGGCGCAATGGAGGACCCTATTTGCTTTGGCAGATGCTATAATCCCGTCCATTCGAACAGCTGCCACCGTCAAGTCATCAACTGATAAGGTTATTTCAACGGCGGAATGGGACTCGGCCGTGACCAAGCTGTCCTCGTTGATCCCCAGCCCCGATGCTGCAAAGATTGCGGCTGTCTATTTGGAAGAAGATGTCTCGTCGAATCCCCTCTTCTGTGCATATGTGGAGCGAATTATGGGCCACTATGTTCATGAGGAAGGAAAGAGTGGCTTTGGAATGATTATGAATGCACTTAAGTATGATTCACCCGGGATTCTATTAAGTGAGATCCGGTAATAACCTCGAATATAGCACGCGAGCGGGCTCATTGATCCTAACTGGATCTACAACACCAATTCATCAACAGCCGGTGGCCTTCCGTGAAAAGGTCTTCAAAGGATGGGACTCTTCCCGACTACCACCCCTCCGTGCAGTTTATCGTGGTCTCACCGCAATTGTCAAGAAGTCATGGGTAATGGCGAGCCCGACGATGAACCAGGTCCTCGGATTCCCTCGCGTTCCAGTCCATGGCAAGCCCACCGATGGATTCCCCTATGAATTCCTGCATTTCCCTGCGGGAGACCAACCCGAGACGCTTGAAACCGATGTGGTCATTGTCGGAAGTGGCTGCGGTGGTGCTGTGACTGCAAAGAATCTGGCCGAGGCGGGTCTTCAAGTGCTTGTGGTTGAAAAGTCATACTCCTACTCCAGCAAGTCGTTCCCCATGACGCCAAACGAGGCATACGTCAACATGTTCGAAAATGCTGGCGCGACTATCAGCGAAGACGGAACGATGGCAGTCCTGGCAGGTTCAACCTGGGGAGGTGGTGGTACGGTCAATTGGTCTGCTGCCCTCCAGACTCAGGCTTATGTTCGTCAAGAGTGGGCCGATACTGGCTTGCCCTTCTTCACGTCACTCGAGTTTCAGCGAAGCTTAGACCGTGTCTGTGACCGTATGGGAGTCAACACCGAGCATATCGTGCATAACCGCCAGAATAATGTCATCTTGGAAGGTGCACGCAAGCTCGGCTATGCTGCCAAGGCAGTGCCACAAAACACTGGTAATAGCGAGCATTACTGCGGTTACTGCACACTGGGTTGCCATTCCACCGGCAAGAAGGGTCCCACGGAATCTTTCCTAGCGGATGCCGCCAAGGCCGGAGCAATCTTCATCGAAGGATTCAAAGCGGATAAGGTAACGTTCGACAAGAAGACGAATAATGGCAAGCGGGTTGCGGTCGGCGTGGAAGGTACTTGGACCTCGCGCGATTCGTACCTCGGCCTCAGCGGCGATGGCGCTGTGAAACGCAAATTGATTATCAAGGCGAAGAAGGTGGTTGTTTCATCGGGTACCTTGAACAGCCCTCTTTTGCTACTCCGGAGTGGCCTCAAGAATTCACAGATTGGAAAGAATTTGCATCTGCATCCAGGTAAAAGCCCTCACTCATCCTTCATTTTCTGGTGCAGCTCTGATACTAACGGGTGTGAACAGTCATGGGTGCCGGCGCCGTATTTGACGAGTCAGTTCGCCCTTGGGAAGGCGGAGCTTTGACGACCGTTGTCAACGAATTCGAGGATCTGGATGGACATGGTCACGGAGTGAAGATTGAAGCCGTGGCAATGATGCCATCCGTGTATATTCCAGTCTTCCCCTGGCGGGACGGGCTGGACTACAAGATGTGGGCCGCGAGCATGAGTCGCAGCACCAGCTTCATCACGCTGACCAAGGATCGTGATGGTGGACGAGTCTTCCCTGACCCTGTTGATGGCCGACCTCGAATTGACTACACTGTCTCTCCGTTCGATCGCCGTCACATCGTGGAGGGCATCATCGCCGCTGCAAAGATTGCATACATCACCGGCGCTAAGGAGTTCCACACGACTTATCGCGATATCGCGCCTTTCATCCGCCCTGATGCGTCCAACCCGGATGCGCCGGAGGGAACCAATGATGTGGCTTTGCAGAATTGGATCGCCGAGCTTCGTCGCAAGTCCCCCCTGAATCCTGAACGGGGTTTGTTTGCTAGCGCGCATCAAATGGGAACCTGCCGAATGGGCAAGAACCCCAAGTCTAGTGTGGTGGATCCCGACTGTCAGGTTTGGGGTACCGATGGTCTATATGTGGTCGACGCATCGGTCTTCCCCAGTGCCAGTGGTGTCAATCCCATGGTCACTAACATGGCTATTGCCGACTGGGCCAGCCGGAATGTCGCTCGGGTGTTGGGAAAGCCCCGAAGTGAGCGGAATGGCATGGCTCGCCTGTGAGAGCAGGCTGTATATACTCATGTGTTGATTTATGTCTATAATTTTATACCCATCTCTCTCATGTTGATGTTGAAAGATTCTCTGTACAAAGTTACCGCTGACAGGTTCGGCCTCTCTGTTGCTCTGATGTCCTAACCAGTGTCGTCTAATCCCGTACATACTTGATATTATGGTATACTTTTTTTTCCCTTTCAACGTAATAAGCATAGTGTGATTATCATTGTGCACGGCCATGATCAGTGTATTGTCATTCATCATTATTTGGTACTTTTGGAATGTTTAACATCATATCTTAAATCCTCAGAGAAAAGTCCGAATTTAACCCTGGTAGGGCTGGCGCTTCTCAACAAAGTTCTTCTCACCAAAGGCCTCCTTCACACCATCGACCTGGATGAGGCGCTCATACCAGCCGATGACGAGAGGAAACTTCTCGCGCATCTCAGCATCGATGACCATAGAGAAACCCCAGACCAGGGCGGAGGCAACGGTAATATCAGCCATGCTGACCTTGTCCTCGCTGGCGAACCAGGTACGGCCCTTGAGGTGAGTCTCGAGACAGCGCAGCGAACGCTCCAGGCGCTGCAGGTTGTTGGTCTCGGTGGCCTCATCGTAGGGGCGGATCTTCAGGCGCCACAAGGCGAGCTGAGTGACGGGGTCCAAAATCTCACCCTGGGCAAAGCAGATCCATTGGCGGATAGCCGCGCGCTCAGCAGGGGTGCCACCGATCAATTGCGTAGCGGCGGGGCCGCTCTCACAAATGTATTGGGCAATAGCGTCGGACTCGAACAGGGTGGTGCCGTCGGCAGCCTCGAAGGCGGGGACCTTGCCGAGAGGGAACTTGGACAGGAAGTCCTCGGTCTTGTTGGTCTTGCCCATGGCGAACTCGGGGTAGATGGCCAGCTCGAGGCCGTTGATGTTGGCCGCAGCCTGGGCCTGTCATATCGAGAGAGATGTTAGCAAGTCTCGCCGGGTATAAGCTTCTCGAAGCAACGGAGATAAGATGGAGGGAGATAACAAAAGGTACCTTCATGACCCGAGGGCTGGGCATGTAAGAGTAAATTGTGCCGAATGGTGCCATTGTGGATGAAGATGAGGTGCGAAGGTTAGTAGAAAGGTAAAAAAGGTAATTGTAAGCCACACTGGCCGGGGGGCAAATCTGATTTAAAGATCCCGTTTCCCCCGCCATCCGCACCCCTGAGTTCAGACCAACTTCAGGTTTGTCGTCGATTAATAATGATGATCATATTCAACACGTTTCACAGCTGGTCACTGGCAGTGGGGTGGAAACAGGTGGAAACCGATTGCTAATCGACAGGGAAAGAATTCCATGGCAAGTGGGGTTAGGGGACATGGCGGTGACACGAGAGAATGGGAGAGAGAGGGAGAAAGTCAATTGGAGCAGAGGGGGATACGAGGCTGTAGAAGGATCGAAATGAACAAAGTAGCCATGGATGAAGGGGATCATAGACACAATGAGGTACCTCTCTATGCTATGTACCTGTCAGATGCATCATGCCAGTATCAAAACCATAGCCTTGTCTTGGTGGGGTTGGACCATGGTCAAGCTGGTCAGGCTGGTCAGCACAGAACCAATGACACCTGACAGGAAATGGTGAGAATAGGGAGGGATCGGCTAGGAGACAGCTATCTTATACTTTGTAGAGATTTCTAATCATCTCTACTGAAATACTAACTAAATAATAACTCGAAGCAATTGTCAGCGGTTCTCTAGTTTTGGTTGATACATGGACTAACAGTATTGTATCGATTATCGCTACACGACATGGCTGCGCATCACCAACTTGTCGTATGGTATGGTATCAATGGTATTATTACCCCAACTCCCCGTGACTTCCCCATTATCTTCAGCCTCACACCTTCTTCCACTTCCCATTTACCACTCACTCCTCACCACTTGACTCGAGGTTCTGAGAATAACAACATGAACCCCCCTTCCATAATCTCAATCAATGCCTCCATTCTTCCGGCTCCCACCTGAACTGCATGTCTTAATCACCTCCTTTCTCCCGATCGAGGACCAGCTCCAGTTCAGGCTGACCTGTGCCTACATCTACGATGTGATTCCTCCACTGTCGCACGAGGAGCTGCTGCTAGCCGAATCCACCAACTGGGCCCGTCGGAAAGATGTCTATGCCTGCCGTTATTGCCTCCGGCTGCGCCCTGCAAGTCAATTTGCAGAGAGCATGCTACGGCGACGTCGCAGCCGAGAAGGCCGGGATAGCAGCAAGCGGTTCTGTGTTGACTGTGGTTTGAAACCGCGCAATGGTACAGCGAGATACGGTCCCGGTGCTCATGTCATTGTCCATGGCCGGTTTTATGTAGTGTGTCTCTATTGCGGAACCTTTCAGCCTGGTGCGACCGACTTCCTCGGCCGGCATACCTCCTACTGCGTGAAATGCTCGAGTTGAACGGCTACAACATTACGGGGCTATCTGTTGAAAGGAATTTGATTGCAAAACTCAATCATACCGGTTTCAATTTCAAATCAGATCAGTGCAACGCCAATGTACAAGTGATTCGCCCGCCAAGGTGGCACGGCCTGTTGGCTATATAACATTCCCAATAAACGTTGAACTCTCAGGAGCACGCTACACCACAGAGCGCAGAACTCCAAACTCCTATCAATTACGACACAAAGCAAGAGCTGATTTTTCTGAATAACTGCAAATTCGGACAGATGAAGCTCACGCCTGGCATGCCTCTGACAATTTCAGATAATTCCTGCAGTCTGAGATGCAGGTTAGCATTCGTCGGGTTCCAGGAGAATCTCACAGCTGAAACTTGAGCCAATAAACTTACTGCTATTGCCCATATCTTCTCCGAACAAGCTAGCCAAGAGCTCCTCGCCATGCTTTGTGCCCTCATCCGGCGTGTAGGACACAGCCTTCGTTCCAAGGGCCAATCCAATCACGGCTGGGAAGGGGTTAAGGGTCTTCAGCGTGGGCTTGCCACCGCTGCACTCGGCCATCATCTGTTGATGAATGTTCATGGCCGCGTAATGACCCATGTGCATTGCACCTCCGCAGCGCTTGATGCCAGGCCAGGCCGCAAGATCTCCGACGGCATAGTGATGCTCGGCGTTGGGAATGTCCGCCGAAAATTGTAATCTTCTGACGTGTGAGAGAATGATCTCGGGATAGGGGACGTTGGGAAGCGACTTACGAAGGCTGGACCTTCACATAACCGTCCTCATTCAGAGTTTGCGGTGGTAAATAGGTGGATGTGGGGATGCATCGTGAGATGGCACTCAACACGTGCCCAGTTGTGATCTGCCGTCCATCACCTAGCGTCAAGCGCCACATGCGCTGGTCACCTTCGACGTCCACTGCGGTGGTGTCCATCACACGCTGGCCCAGTATCACTGCCACACCTCCCTGCTGTAGGATGGAGTACGCCCGCTCTGCAAAGTCATCGGGTAGTGGCTCGGAGGAGAGTAGCCGGTCTCGGGAATGAATCAGAGTGACTTTTTGTTGGGGCTCGAGCATCTTCAACTCGGCGGCCATCTCCACTCCAACTGCACCTGCAATTCCACGATTCAAGTGTTAGATTGGCCAGACAGAAAACGAACGCAACACTGAGCAGAACCGTGAAAAGGGATACATACCACCACCAATGACCACAACACCTCGGGCATTTCGAACATTCTCCGTATGTTTCCTGGCCTCCTCGAGGTAGTCGTCCCGTCGCAGAGATCTAGGAACGGTGGGGTACCCTCGTCGCAGCCCAGAAGCTACGATGAGATAGTCATAAGACTCGGTGATGGTCGAATTGGTCGCCGTATCTAGAATGTGCGCGACTTTGGTGGCACAGTCTACACTGCTGACACTGCCTTGGATGATTTTGAAATCTGGAGATTTGAGTGCCGGGATGTCTTGGAATCGAGTCCAAGACTCTGCGGCTAGTTTCTCGCAAGCCAACGATTTGGGAGTCCCGATGAGATGATCTAGACCGAGCGTGTTAGCTGGAGATTCATATTTTCTTTCGCTTTTTCACTTGAATGCGTACAATAGCCGTCGCGTTCATCCACGATGGTGGTTTGTATGGGAATCCGGTGTGCTGGGGCTGGGCCATCGTAGGCATAGTTGAAGCGCGGTAAACGACCTCGGGAGAGATCCCAGAGGTTCAGAGCGGCAGAGAGACCTCCATAGGAACCACCAATGACGAGGACTCGAAAGGAGCGGGCAACAGCCAGCAGACCGTCGTTGGAGGGCATATTGAGGGGGATAAACAAGATATAGGAGGGAAAGGGAGGAAGGAAAGGAGAGAAAAAGAAAAAGAAACGGAAGGAAGTGTGATAGAACCCGGCAATGCGCAGTATAATATACTCTGCTATGAACCTGACCTGCCAAGGGAACCAAAGGGGGAAACTAAGGAATGATGTCTGACTCGGAATCCGCACAGCCCGAGTACAATAGATTTTGATCTTATCAGATGCGACATCGGTGATGGTCCACAGTTCCGGTCCACACTAGACATTAGACAGGATGTGTGACCACCGACACCTCGTTACCGAATTCTGCGAATCCAGTCTCTTGGCGCGCTTGTGAAACTTATCAGATCCGATCCGATCCTAGCCAGGGTGACATGAGCGATCATGTTCAACTTCCTACTCTAGTAAAGGTGACCGGCTGCTTGGGCTCGTTGGGTGGAGAGTGGGGGGCTACAGACTGTGATACTGTACTTGAATTACTTCTACTATGAGGAGTCAGTCGGGTAATATTGTCCAAATTACGTACTACTGTCTCATTGAGCCATGGGTACTCCGTAGAATTCATATCGTGGCACTGATTTGTCCAATCATATCGAGACTTCCGATCAGACAAGATCCCCATCTAATCTGATTTGCCCCAAATAGGCCACGGAACCCGACTTAGCAAAAAACAAAAGTGAAACCTCGAGGCCTGCCAAGTCGCTAAGGAAATCGCGCAATTTGCCCAGCTTTCGTCAGTGTTACGAGTGGATTGTCACTGGTGTTTTGTTTTGGAAATTCAAAGATACATACCAATTAGTGTATGCCATCTGATAAGATTTGCCCCGCGGAAATCAGTAAAGAATTCTAAATTTTATTCGCTCTGCCTTCTACCGTATGCGACAAGAACTAGGTGTAGTCAAAAAAAAAGAGATAAACAGAAAACAACACATACAGGGGGTATAAGCAAGCCAGACACTTTCTAAAAGCTGCCAACAGGGCCAGGGCACTCCGTTACGCCTGGGCTCCTTGTTGCGCAAGTGCGGCCGTCGCCATCTGCCGCAACTCCACCTTTCGAACTTTTCCGCTCCCCGTCACTGGTACCGTACTAGAGATGCCCTCCTCGCCAAACACAAACACATGTTGTGGCGCCTTGTGACGACCAAGGGTCTCGCGCGTCCAGGCACGCAGTTCCTCATCCGTCGGTCTATTCTGGCCGGGCGCGAGCTGAATGAACGCGCCAACAACCTCGCCATACTTGGAGTCGGGAATGCCGACAACGGAGGCCAGTTCAATGTGTGGATGCGCGGCCAGACGCTCCTCAATCTCGAGGGGATAGATGTTCTCGCCGCCCCGAATGATGATATCCTTGAACCGACCGGTGATACTGCAGTAGCCCTGCTCGTTGAATGAAGCCTCGTCGCCCGTCTTCAGCCAGGTTACTCCGTCAGCGTCGGTGACGAGAGCCTCGGCTGTCTTCTCCGGGTTGTGCCAGTAGCCCTTGGTGAGTTGGTATCCGGCGATGCAGAGTTCGCCCCGCTGGCCAATGGGGACGATATTTCCCTTTTCATCGATAATCTTTGCGCGGGCGTGGGGTAGGATCTTGCCGACCGTGGTCAATCGGGTGTGAATGCTATCGGTGGTGAAAGCATTAAAGCAGGTAGGTGACGCTTCAGTGAGACCTATTATGGTAATAAATGGTGTCAGCATGCGAAACGATGACATAAAGAGAGCGAACGAAGCAAACGGAGTGTTGGTGCATTTCATACCGTAGCTACTCGTATATTCTGTCATGTTCAATTCTTCGAGAAGTCGCTTCATCAATGGCCGTGGAACTGGAGCTCCCGCGATAATTCCCGTGCGCAGATTCGAAGTATCAAACCCGGCTGGCTTGGGGATGCTAAGGATGGCTTCGAACATGGTGGGAACACCATGCAGGGCCGTACACTTCTCGTCGGAAATGGCATGTAGCACGGCCTTGGGATCAAAAGTCTCGCTGGGGAAGACGATCTTGGAGCCGTGGGTCACTACTGCTAGCATACCCAGAACGAGACCGAAACAGTGGAAAAGTGGAGGTGGGCAGCAGAGAATGTCAAAGGAGGAGAGGTTCATGCGGTCGCCGATGAATCGCGAGTTGTTCACGAGGTTACTTTCGAGGAATTGATAAGCATTGATCTTTGTATTTTCTTTTCAACTTCCACAAAATACGTACTGGTGGGTCAACATGGCTGCTTTAGGATTGCCAGTCGAGCCGCTGGTGAATTGCAAGTTACAGACGTCGTCGGGTCGCAATGCGGCCTCGCGATCCTGTAGTACATGAGTCGCTTGTGACTGGCCCCGGTGAATGACTTGCTCGTAGGTGGTGAAGTCCTGGTAGCTGCCACGAAGAATGACAATCTCGTCCACGCATTTGGAAGTCTTGTTCTGCTTGGGCTTGGGGCCAAGTTCTGTCAAGACCTCTTCGAGGTTGTGACGGCCGATATGAGGAGTCATGAATAGCAAGCGACAGTCTGAATCAGGATATTTGGTTAGTCTTGAGCCTTTCACGGCAACTGTCGAGGCCAATGGTAAAATTACCGGTATGATTTAGAGCATAGTAGAGCTCTGAAGGTGTATACGTGTTGTTCAACACTACCAGAATCGCGCCCACTCGTGCGGCCGCAAAGAAGACGGAAATATACTGTTCGCAATTACCTGCCATAATGCCAACACGATCACCCTTTTGAATACCCATGGCGAGCATGCCCCGCGCAAGACGATCGGACTCGTCCTTTAGATCGGCATAAGTCCATCGCGCTCCCGTCCACGGGAATACCAAGCACTCATAGTCTCCATACTGTAGGGCTTGTAGTGTCAGCAGCTCACCCAAGGTAATATCCAGTAGCTTAGGCTGAGTTGGCCCTGCTACAATTGACCATTGGAGGGGTGCTGGCGATGGCTGGACATGAGACAGCGTCTGTTGCAGACGATGAACACTCCGGGAGACAGCCATGACTGATATGAAGCTGGACACTTGAGAAGCGAGGAGGGTAGATTGGCAGAAAGTGTGCGAGGTCGGGAAAAGATGGAGGACATTCGTGGGCTTATAGCAGCAGCCGATGATACCGCGGCAATAATTTTGTGATTTTTCGTTTTTTTTTTCCTTTCTCCGTATCAGATCAGATAGCCATCGATCAATCAGATAGGCGGGCGCGGTGGAGCGGCGTATTAATGCAGAGTGGATTCTCACGGAGCAAGAAGGATGGACAGCTGGCTGGCGGTATCACCCGTCAAATTGTACAAACTGTACACAGTAGGATACTCCGAGTGATCATATAGCCAGTGCTACCAGTCCAACGTAAAGAGGACAGTGATTCTGGAACTTCTTGGCGCGTCAGATGGTCCACTGCACGTCGGGGACGCACGGAAGCGAAGGTGAATACCCTACGAAAGTGGTTAATTGATCGATACGTCGCAGTGAATCTCCATAGACGATAGAGTAGAAGGATGACAGTGCTTCCTTTCATTTCGACAGCTTGTAGTGGTCTGAGCCGGAACGCGCCTCGAAAGTCTGTCTCAGTCTCAGGAACCGGGCTCGTCTGTGGAGATTGCTCGAATTCTGCTCGGAGAATGGCGATCGACTGAAGAAGTTTCCTAGAGTGGATATTCGCTTCGGACATTTTCGTCAGAATCATTAATCTAAGGCCATGGTTTTGTTAGTGTACGTGGGTACAGTAATACACCTGTTCAAGCTGCATCCATACCGGAAAATACCTGATGCTGGTGATCCACTTTGGGATTCGGTTGGCGGGCCTCGTGGCGCCCCGCTCGGATCAGATAATTTTTCGAGAGTTTTTGCACGGCATGACGAACCATCACAATCGTGAAAGGACGGAATATTGACACTTCAAGTCAAGTTTTTTGAATGAATCAGGGACGCGAAGTCGTCTAAGTCATTCTTCTGACTACACATACGGTGGCTTTGTTTTGCCTGCTTTCCATCAAAGGTTGGTGAATGCAGGAAAGAGAGGACACTGCAGAGTACAACCAGCTTCGACTGATGTGGACCGTCAGGGCCGGTTCATCCGAATGAGTCGTACAGGGCTGCATGAGCCCTGCCTTACTTCATTGACAAAAGTGTGCGTAATGTTGAATTGCTGTCTGTCTGGTGAAAAGTTGTCAGTGGAAGCCTATCGATCTAATCAATCAGCCCGATATCGGCGTATCACCCGTATCTCCACAAAACTCTGCTCCTTCACGCATACTAGCATGCTTGACAGCTGCAGGGTCCAATGACAATATTTCCAAACTCTTGAGCAATCTACCAAGGTGAATTGCTAAATGAGTCAGTCCTCTGAGATGATTGGAGACCCTTTGGTCCCTCAACTCCATAGAGTCGAGTGAAAGAAGTAAATGGTGCCAGAGATCTTTAAGGCAAGTTATAGGCAAGTTAGGCTAACGTGGTGGCCTGGGAACGCGGTCGCTGCCAGAATGAAGCAGGCCAGCCTTTGAGAGACCATTGAAATTGCCGGAAGAGAAAACAGAATGTAGCAAGGACCTTTTATTAAATATGTTTTAATTACATTAATTGTAACGTCCCAGCAAAGACGACAAACGAGAATAGAACGAACGACATGGCACACGAGAGAGACACAGATACCAGGGCACGGGGAATCTGCTGACCTCCATACACCGGAACAAAAGGCCCTTGCCCGGGCTTTCATGTACATATATGTACGTGACTGCATTGTGTACTCCTTCCCACGTAGGCCCGAGTCATTGAACAAGGTAGGCCTCACAGAATTATCTGCTTCGGGGACGGCGGCATGAGCGTTATGATCTAGATAAGGCTGCCGAGGGCAACGCAAGGCAGAGCAACGCCAACGAGGTCACCGTTCTGATGTTGATTAGCTGAGTTTCTTCCAATGCATTCAGGTTCAAAGGAGATTGACATACCGCCTCGGAGCGAGTGTTCTGGCAGCAAGCAATGCTCTGCTGGCACTTCTTGTTGACCAGGTCCTGGGCGTTGACGGGAACCAGGTTCAGAACGGGGACTATTCACCAGTTAGGCATTGATACAGTTATTTGAGGGCTTTCACAGAGTTTCTTACCGTTGAGGTTCAGGTCATTGCAGCCGTTGAAGAGACCCAGGCCGTCACCACCGGGGCCACCACCGAGCGCATTTGTGAGAACACCGTTCAGAACGCCGACATTCTCAACGGAGGAGTCGCCAGCAGCGACCTGCTTGTTGCAGCAGGAGACGACAGCGTCGTTGCCACACTTGGCGTTGGCCTGCTCGAAGGTGAAATCCCGGGGGACGGGCTTGACGTCCTTGCAAGTAGCGCAGTCGCTGGAGGGAAGGGCCAGAGCAGTGGCAGCGAAGAGGAGAGCAGTGGCGAGGAACTTCATATTGATGGATTGGAGGTTGATAAACACGGGAAGTGAGTATTTGGAGGAGTGACTGAAAGTCTTTTTTGAGATGGAGGGATGATTGGAATAGTGGATGAGCTTGAGGATGAAGATTCATTTCAGAGCAGGAATTCTGATGGGTTTTATATTCCTCGTCCCACCATACCCAAGGTCAACAACCCCTTTCGAGATCTCTCGAGCCATGCAGAGGATTCCGTACTTTGGTATCCATGCAGATGTGCTTTTACTCAGCTGGATGCCCTGGGTACCACAGGGCGGGCTAACAAAGTCAATAGTCTTGGCGACCCTGCTTGTGGCAAGTGTAGATACTTGCTCGATGCGGAACTGTAAACAGGCTTTCTGGGCAGCATCCTCTTGCTTGGTCAAGCTGACTAGCGACGACAGAGTCGGACATGTTCGACCTAGAGAAATGCGGCTGCAGGAACCAGGCCCTAGGGTCCCTGCAGATCCCTAAAAATCTGGGATAGCTAGCTGCACGGTGTACGGAGTATATGGAGGATTACCCAAGATGACTGGTAGTTGCCATAGGCAAACATTGCTGAGGTCCACATCCTAGCATAAAAGTGGGTGCGAGGCTGCCTTAACACGAAGTGTTGGGAGGTGATATGGCTGGGCGCTATTGGCGAGGGCTTTTCCATGTTGAGATTAAGATCAGCTCTCGGGACGCAATAATTTTTGCTTTTTTGCTGCTGAGCGGCGGCAATTGTGATTCCTTTAGAGATCGGCGATGTGATCTATCAAGCACTTGACTTGTCAAGTAGTCAATCCGGGGGCGGGCGATCGGCCGCTAATGATTACAGTAGGGGCTGGAACACACGTCAAAAAACGACTGCAGAGGCGACGGTCGCGACCGGCTATCGGCTATTTTGACCGTTACAGTGGGCTATCGCTGTCACTGATATCAAAGGTGGTGTTAGTTGATACCTTTTTTCTCTCTCGACAAATGGACAGCTGTAGTTTCAAATGCCGGCATTCAGACCAACTTGATTGGTGGCAACCCTTGACTGGGGGAAATAATTGAAATCAATAAACCCATGCAGGGACGTGCAGGAACAACCTCCTGCGTCACGCATAGCAAAGCTTCCCCAGTACTGTGCGTATCGTCGGAACGTTTATCCCTTCTCTACGAGGCTCTGATGAAGCCGATCTCCCAACAACTTACAATGACAATTGAGTAATTCGGAGGTACTCGGCGAATTACGATGAAGCAATAACTCACGGGCTCAACCAACATTTCTTTTTCTAGTAGTCTTGCTGATGCCCGAGCTCCATGATTCATTATCTCATGACGTGGGAACCTTTCAGCATATCCTTCACCGTAAGGTCAAGATAGGGCGAAGATCATGTTGGTACATCACACGTCACACGAAGTGACCCTTGTTTTCCATCACCAGGTGAAAGACTCCTGTACATACTTGATATCTTGGTAGCCTTGTTTCATTGACAGATGAGTTGCCGCACGCGCCTCGTCGGCCATCCCAGCTGGACCACAAACTAGAATCGCAAGCTTCATCCCAGCTGCAGAGGCCTTAGAGGCACGGCTTAAAATGAGCGACTGTAGATCCGGTCGACCCATCTGGACAGTATATCCAAGATCATTGAAATCTTGGCGGAATCTATCAGAGGACCCCGTGGCGTAAAAAGACGCACGGAAGTCTTCCCGGCTGAGCATCGGGTGGAGTTCACGATCGGCAAGGTCACGAAGGAAGGCTGACCGTCTAGTAGTCCAGACCAGTTCGACATCCCGGGTTCGTGACTTTTCTTCCGACGTGCTGGACCAGTGATTGGCAGATCTCTGGAGATGATCCTGAAGATAGGGCACCGCAGCCGCAATCCCAGTCCCTCCTACAATCATCAACACGGATTCGTATCTCCACAGCGGATAGCTATGTCCGTATGGGCCCTCCAGAAGAATTGTGGTATGCACAGCCTGGTTTGGCGCACGCAAACATTGCCGGCGAAGCCGTCGTGTCCAGCCATCATAGGGACGGATCCAGAAGATCAGTCTTGGGGTTGAAGATCCTTGGATTTGCGCTTTTCTTGCGTCCCAGCTTTCCCGATCAGGGTAGCTCTCAGATAGAAGTGGTAGCTGAGTATTATCTAAAGAGTTCCGAGGCTTGCCAGAACTGTTCAGCGACATTCCCAGTGGATCCACGTCGTAGCTCCAGGCTCCAACAGTAAATGGATGGTTCTCCCAACCGGTGAAGCGAAATGGCTGGTACAGGAAATAGTAATCTCCCGGCCTAACTTGTAAACCTGGTATTCCTGGAGTGATCTCCAATCGAATGACATCGGCGGCTTCGTCATAGGTCATGCGACTCTCCGTGACAGTTATCAAGTTTCGCTTGGACAGCCTGATATGGACGTTGCAATAAACTAGCCGAGCGGCCCGCAGGAAACGATCAATTGCCCACACTATCGCGGATGGCCACAGATACTTCCAATACCCGTGTCCCTCGAATACAATGGTGTGACTGTCGGGTGTCAGCAGAGATTGCGCAGCTCAGCGTGAGTTGGGGTAGACCCACTAGAAACAACCAATTAGGGTAACCACAGAGAAGACAATGTGTGCTACCATAAATATCTCGTAGGATGTCGTGCGCATCCGATCCAAAGAGGTGATCAACACCAGAATCATGAGAACGAAAGCCTGTGAATCTTTTAGTTTCTAGGGAGCTAGTAGTCAATTTATGTTGTGAGATTGAATCAGCCTCACCAAAATTCCCCAAAGAACATAGGCCTTGGAAATTTCTTTCCAGATTTTGTTGGTAGCTGGATCACAATAATTAGAAATACCCATGGATGTCTTGTGCTCCTGCGTAGGAGCCGCAACATTTGTCACTCACTTGCAATATATATAACCAAGTACAGAACCGAATGTGCCACTGCTTGCAATGTAGCGATCCGCGCCACATGACGATGAAAGACATTAAAGGTCGTAAAACTCCAACCAGTGGCCCAGATCAATATGTTATTTCGTCCACCGAAGAGGAAAAGTAAAGGGAAGTTCGCAAATGACATGATGCCGGTCCGATCTGCTGAATAGCGTAAAACTTGACTTGTGACGTCGGGCCAGCTGCGGAACATTAACCAAATGATCCTGTCGGCACGGTCGCGAAGGAACATACTAAATGTTGCCTGGGAAAGTCCGGTAGCCAACAACACTAAGTATCATGCTCAGTATCCAGAACCCTGCTACAACGAGTGCCTCTACTCGTGAGGTGAATCCACAGCTGAAAATATGCCGCCGTCGACCAGCAAGCGGAGCCGGGATGATCAGGTGTGTTTGAACCCAATGGATGGCATTTCCGAGCAACGGCAACTCATGCCAGGTGCCAATCGGCGGGCGTGTGTTAAATTCTTCGAATTCACGTTGCTGGCTGCGGGTTGGGGAGCTGCATAGGCGGTACAGGATTCCTAACAGCAGTATCACAGCCCAATAGGCGTAACCAACATAGCTAGTCCAGAAAATATCAGCTTGTATTCGATCACGCTTAAAGCCTGTAGAAGTTTGGTCTCATACCTAAATGCATGGTGAGACCAGGTTTCAAACTGCCAAGAATCCTATGTGTGCTGAGAGTTAGCCGACACATATCATGCCACGGTATTTGTTCATACGTACTAATGTGTTGAACATGCGATGGAAATATGCCGAGGAGAGAAGGACGGGGGTATCCTGGAAATCTGCCCGCGACAGCTCTTGATAATCCGCAACTCTCATATTGCGGATAGCCTTCTCTGTTAAATTCTCGGCAACAGCATCTCTTGGTAGCAGCTCGCCGTTGCCGACCTCCCGGCAAAGTTTTGCCAGCTGTGCCAGCCCGACTACACGCTCTTCGTCGCGGCAGTAGATCTCCGAAGATGCGTAGATTGAGGTGACTTTGTATGGGTTCCGACAGCGAGTATCCCACATTCCCTTTGTGGGGTCTCCCTGGAAGGAGATATAATTATATGCCGAGAAGATCACAGTCACGCAGAGCTCATCTTTGGCAAGGGACTCGCCTTGAACGCCTCGAGCGCTAAGGAAGAGGCCTAGCCATGCGAGGAATCGCATGATTGTGGGCAGGCTCTGCATTAGTCCCGATTGAGAAACCCGCTGTGAACGTAGATGCGGATGAGAATGAGGAGGGGAAAAGCGGAACGCTGGTGATCGCACTGATGGGCCTGGACCCACCTGGTAAGTAGGAAAGAGAGATTCCCCCCGAACCTGGATGCCCGCGATGAAAGAATTTCAGGGAAGAGGAACAAGATACAGACGAGAGCCGAGACTGGCTGTTCTCGAACAACCCCTCCCCAAGCGAGAAAAGGTGCCGGCGAGCGGAATTCATTGTGGTGGGGGCGCAATGATCAAATCTTATCTGATTGATAATCGCCACGTGACAGGGGCAATGCACAACGGGCCGAGCGAGTCCGAGCATCCGAGAATTCATCCGAGGACTAGGGTCGTATGTACATAGTATGTGTTTGGAAAGGTGTCACTATTCTTAGACCTTAAGTTTCCTAAATCCAGCCATCTTGTCAAAGTCTTTTACTGGGGGCGCTGGTATACAGAGGATTCCTCATGTTTAGCAATGAGACTAAGATAAGATTGGATTGACAGCCTCGAAAGATTTCAGTATAGCCTGGTGAAACCCTGTTTCATTTCTTAAATAATATACCGCGGTCCTACCGTATGTCTAGGCACATTAATCTTGACCAGTTTCAACGACTGTAGACTTCGGCTTCGGAGGGCATCATTCACGCACCAAATTTCACTCCCTTCGGCACCGAAAGATATGGACATCCCTTCCAATCACAGGTGTTCTGGAAAAAAGTGAATAAAGTGCCCCTAGCCTCAAAATATGGTTTAATATACATACCTGGTAGACATCTGTCCCCCACCAGCTAAAGCGTTCGCTCGCTCCAGTGAAGTAAATAGTCAAGAAGATGAATACGCCCGCGATTCCTACCGAAGGGTCCAAGGCAGAGCTGAGTACAAAGTTGTACTTGCTCCACCAGCCATGAACTCGCTTTCAGATAAGCCAACCAAAGGTTAGACCCACAATTGCCCAACCACCATAGTTCATTCCAGTCGCAGGAGGTAGATAGTTCAAACCACCAAGGAACAATGGAATATGGACTCGCTTCCAGAGGGAGTTGGGGTACCGGCGACTCAGGTAGTAGACAGGAATAGGGAAGGATAGCACCGATGATGAAAAAGTATAGGAGGGCATGGTAACCGATGTGGTTTGAGAAATAGCGGCGTGGACCAACCGCGCCCCAGATGAGAGAGGTGTTGAAGGGAGTACTGGAGAATGGGCAGCGGAATCCATTCACAGCTGCACTTGTGCAGACCCCACTGATGTGATTGAGAGCCCAGTTGAGGACACCGAGAGAGGAGAGAGTTCCAACGCATTGGACGAGGAAGAGTTTCCGTTGAGGAATCTAGTAGTCAAGTCAAAGTGTTAGTTGCAGCTGCCAACTCTCAAAGTCTGCCTAGGATCTGGAATATCTCACTTTGCAATAATAGGCAAGCTTCATATCATGTGCGAAATACAACCCTTTGATGGTGGTGATGTACCCGATATCAAAGAACCAGATGTTGGCCAGAACTTTACCCTCGAAGACAGAACCTGAGACAATTCTGCAGAAGATATCAATGTTTATCTTGAGATTCGACGTTGCGTAAGCAATTGCCAGCTAAGATAGAAAATGAACATTGTGAGCAAAACAGATCCATTCCAAGAAATTTGATCAGGGTCACACACTCGAGGGTAGAAACAAGTGCGACAGCACAAGCTAGCAGAACACCGTACCAGCGAAGCTCAGCATCCCAGTACTCAACCGCAAATATAGACATGAACAAGGCAAGTGCACAGCCAACCAGATACCACCAAATTGGCACATCGGGCGCACCGGTCTCGTGATAACCTTGAGGCTTGGAACGACCAGGGAGAGATTCCATCAACATTTGAGGAACCCTTCTAGCGGCGTCAAGCATGGATTGACGATGTTCCAGGGTGACCCAAACGAGAAGGGTGCTCAGTGTGGCGAAGGATAACCCAAACATGTTCAAGGCATACGTGATTGGCATGTAGACCTAGATTCCTTCTAGTTAGTTTGAGAAAATGACATGGCTGTCTAAATTAGGGAATCGACGAACAGGCGAACACGCAAGGTATTTCTGGAGATCCAATGTATACCCAGAAGCCTTGTTAACAATCTTGGATACTTTGTAAATACCCCTAGTATTGTCGTAGACTGTCATGAAGCATCAGGCACAGGCTCGTTATGAAAGTACTGCTGGTGGTTGCTCACTTACCTTTGGAGCTTTGGAACGGGAGGTAGCCCGTGTTCCACACGTTCGTATAATAACAAGCGACGGCCACGATCCAAATCCAAAACACCAGAGATACGGAAACATTGAGGATAGCCCAAGATGGAATCAACAGTGGTGACCCAACATGAGACATTTGGCTCCCTGTTGTTTGTTAGATTATCGTACCTCCCATGTTGATGAAATGCATACAATCAAACGTGATCGGGATAAGCCCCATCCCAGATTTCATGCCAAATAGCGGATTAACCACAGAACTGGTCGGATTAATCCAGCATGGGAAGTTGAAATAACTCAGAGCTGGAAAGATAAAGTCTGGAAACCAGTACCAGCAAAAGGAGATGCAGCAGGTGATGGTGAAGAATGCGTACCGCGAGATCTTCCAAGTGTTGTAGCTAGGAGTAGAGTTGTTAACAACCTCAATCGGAGAATTTAGAAGGATAAACCGAGGAAAGCTGACCTAGATTGAACCTTTCTTTGATCGATATTGTGTAGAGTGGTTGTGAGAGCAGTGACACTCAAGGACACCAGGCAAGATGAGTTCTTTCGGCACTACCACAATTGAGCGAAACAGGCCTGCAAGAAAATGTGGCAAAGGTAATCAGCACCTAGAAGCCCTATCCGGCTTTGTAACCATAGAACATTTGCTGTTCGGTCAAGACATCAGCCCCAAGGCGAACATAAATACTGAGATTGGCATGACGTAGATGAGAACATGTTCCTGTCAATACTCTTGTTAAGCTAATGGGAGACAAGAACTTCTGTATCGCTCACTCAATGACTAACCTTGGTATTGAAGGGGCCTGGGTTAAGGTTGAAAGAGGAATTTCCTAGGGGAAAGTTCCAACTGGGCACAAGCTTTTCCCAAAGCTTTCCCACTGGATAGGCCAACAGATGCACGACCGAGGCTGAGATGGTGAGAGAGGGCGTTCGCAGGGTATAGAGTGTATTCAGACCACTGGCTACGATTGAAGCCAATTCCAAGCACCCACATCCGCAGAGTGAGGCTTGGCTCGGTTGGGTCATCATCAGCAATACCAATGCCGGCCGCTCGAAGGATATCGACTTGGGAGTCTGTACGGACTGTTAGAGCATGGACTTGAGTCAAAGCTTAAAGGCTTGGAGCAGGGATCTAAAATGAGAAAGTTTTGCCACCATACCAGTATCCGACTGTTGGGCTTCCTGAAGCATGCTTTTCATGGACATCAATCTCTTTGGCGTCTGCCATGACAGCGTGTGGCTCTGAGGGCGTAGGGAGATAGTGTTGGAGAAGATCCGGCACGGATCAGATAATTATGTAGCATCAGATAATATCGTTTCAGATGATTGAGACTTCTAACTTCTAATCATGATCCCGGGTGCCGACTTGACCGTCCAGCAATGGTTTTTCCACGAGTCGCATTCGGGTTCAGCCCTACCGGGCTGAAGGGTGAGAGCACCAAAGCTTCAAAATCGGGTCCACTTCGTGACAATCCATCGGCGGCCTTTTCACGTCTGCCTAGCTAGTGAAACGGTTTCTGGATTTGCTTCCTGTGATGTTGAAGTATTTGCTGTGTTCATGGGTATACCTCTATCTCTGGAACTCATAAAAATAGGGCGTGAATCGTGATATTCTGTTATTGGCGAAGAATGAGCGCGTTCCGTTCGTCAAGTGACCCAGGGTCCTTGAAAGAAAAGCAACTTCGTCAACTCGATGCATAGGGAAGGATCATGTCCATTAAGTGGGCCCCGACACGGCATTCTTTCCGAAAGTACATACCCGTAGATCCTTGGAAAGAGTAAGAATCTTGAATTCGGTCCTATGTTTTGCCTATTTCAGGTCGATGCCATTGCTATGAACCGTGATTATCCGCATAACCAATCCGATGTAGATAGGAGTCCAAAATGATGCCAAAATGAAAGGGGCAAGGGGAAAAAGAAAGATGGGAAAAAGAGGAACGCCCATAAACAATGCTCCATAGAATCATCACAGTAGTTGTCGTAACTCGGAAGACTATGTGACCAGTAAATCCTCTTCTTCCACAGACACCTGAATTTTGACCCCCCAACCATCCCTCCCCCCGATCCAGTTCTTGCGTTTCCCTACCTTCTCAAGCTTCCGCAAATCTCGCTCCAGTTCCTCTTTCAAATGAGTCGGATCATATGCCACCTTTTGAATGGAAATCTTCAAATTGATCCCATCCTTCTTCCCTTTCTTTCCTAGTCCCGTCACCCACTCCGCAGAAGGAACGATCCGGGGCTTAGAAGTATCAATTGCACCAGTTAGGTACAATTGGCCGAGAACAAGGCCAAACTTGCCAAGGTACCGAGTCCACCAGACTTCCTCGGGAGTGAGAAGCCCTTGCAAATGGGATTTGAGGTCCACATCGCGCGGTGGGAGTTCTCCACCGTAGCGCTCCTGGAGCATCAGGGCTAAAAGCGCCCGGTGAGAATGAGGAATTCCATGTGTCGAGGCGAGAATGCCAGTGCTCGTACTATACAAAGCTGCACTGGAAGAGAGCTCTTTGGCCATCGATGCATGTACATAGAGGGCATTGGCAAATGCCTGGACCACATGGACGCTGATTGTGGATGGAACCGAGCGCGAACCTGTTGGTCGAGGCAGAGCAGCCAGCATCAATGCAGCGATCGCCTGGGCTGACGAGGGCGCGTAACGAGCGGTCGCAACCTCTAGAGGGTCTTGTTGACGGACCACCGGTAGCATTTGGCGGAACAAGACACCCTCTCGTACGCCCCCTTGGCAGAAATGTGCCTCCTTGATCCCATGCGGCAATGATTCGGCAAGCACGTTGACCAGGAAAGCGACCGAAGGCACCTGTTTGCGGCGCCGATCGGACACACGGAAGATCTCGTCTGCCGTGCGAGCCACCTCCTTCAGGGCATCGGTGTTCTCGAAATCCTCCTTGGGCGCAGTGTACCCGTTGATGATGGAAATGGGATAATTTTGGCCACGGGTTTGATGCAAGTAAAGCAGGAGATAACCCCAGCCGCGGAACCCACCGCCAGACAAGTACAAAGGAAATCCACCCTGCTCGCGTGCTTTCTTCACAAGACTGTCGGGGACTTCGAGGCGTTCGAAGGCAGTGCGGAAGTTGTTCGCCATCTCGCGGCGGAATTCTTCTTTTGCCTTTTCAGCCTCGTCGTCGCTCTTGCCTCGCTTCAAGTCGGCTAATTTCTGGGTTAATGCGGCCGCTCCGTAAGGGAAGCTCACCGCACCCTGGGGACTGATGCGCACGTTGCCTGCATGCGAGATGATCCAGGTCATTTGCATACTGCCACCCCCAAGATCTAGCGCCAGTCCTTCCACGTCAGAAAAGCTACTGGCAATCCCCCACGCGCCGATGATCCCCTCATCTTCCTTCCGCAGAAGCTCCACTTCGATGCCCGTTTTCTTATAGATTGCGCCCGTGAACGCTGCCGAGTTGATCGCCGTGCGGGTTGCCTCGGTCGCGATAATGCGTATGTTGTACGCTGGCACACCAAGCTCGACACATATGATTTGAAACCGAACAATCGCACTAACCACTCGGTCGATCACATGTTGGGCAATGGGTATGCGAGTGCCAGTCTTGGGATCGATTTGGGCCTCGTAGAGGGAGATATTGACGCGATGGAAGTGGACCGTAGGGATGATACGAGTAGTGGGCGAAGTGAGATCGGAAATCGAGCACCGGATACCATTACTATTGCCGGAGAAAGAGGATGTCAACGACGGGATTGCGGATGGGGTTCACGCTCTTGAATCGGCGTACCTGCCCATATCGACCACCGCGTGGAGATGGTCGTTCTGACCTGGTACCGAAGACGTAACCTTCTCATGAGAACCTCCATCGGAAGGAAACTGGTTACCACCCCCCATTCTGGATGCTGGAGGTCGGTCGGTCTGGTTTGATTTTGGTGGTGGTCGAAGGTTTGGCCACCAGGTGAGTAGAGAGTAAAGAGTAGTAGAGTAGTGGTTGACGAAGATGTGAAGATGTGACATCATCCCCGACTGAATCCACTTCACCGCCTTGAAGTGTGGATAGCTTGTACGGTGACACTACTGTCGCGGTCTCGGTACATAGTAATCTCCTACGATCATCCTCATAATCATCGTCACCATCCGTGATAACAACCTAAAAAGAAGGATTTTATGACCCAGACGTTTCATTTCCGAGTCATGGCATACTTCCTTTTCACAATGAACCTAGCCTGAATCACGACTAGGTACTGTAGGTACCCTGAAAAGATCTGATGATTGATGTTGATAAGCTGTTCATTTTGTACGAGATACATAGAACCTTCTCCAACTTTCTCGAACCGCTCAGATGACCGAACTTCAGTTGAGCCGTGCCCATCGTGGGCGGTTTGGCTGATCCATCATATGCTGAAGCCAAGGTTAAGTCAACCGCGGATCACTGTTGGATCACAGCTGAACTGGACCGACAGCAGTGTTGAAGAAGTCGGTTATGACTCTGGAGCGAAGGCCAGGCGAAAAATAGTCATATCCAACAACAACACCGCAAAAGTCGACAAAAATGGTGACCGGAAGGGATGAGTACATGAGATTCCACTTGAGTGTATTAGCGTTTATTGCATCAGAAGAGGTGGCCTGAAACTGACAGATGCGACATGTTTGTCCAACAAGTCTCTCTTCACAAGTCCACCAAACACAGCTCCACCCTGAATTAACAAGTCTTCTGTAAACAGTGGATAATTGGAATTGACATAGCCAGTCCACACGGTAGGCTGGGTACTATTACCTTCATAAGAGGTGAGGGTGTTCAGGACCAAGCCATCCTTGGTAGTGTGCGAATAGTCGAAGACCGAGGACGCCAGACCTCCGTCGTAGGCTTCGTCTGCGCGGACAAGGTTTTGTGAGGGGGAGAAGTAAATATAGCCCGAAGTAATATGGGACAAGTTATTGTTCCTTGATTATGACCGTTAGTGGACATTCATCCCAGTATCGAGGTTGAATTGTGTACCACTTGTGCTGTATGAAGCTGGTTTTGAACTCAGGCTTCACCAACGGAGGCTCTGGTTGCTGAAAGCTGCTAGAGAATTCGAGCATTGACACAGGGAAGACATTGCAAAGCGGATCATTTGGGTTGGCAGAGGTCGCCAGGGCCACCAGAGAGAAACTAAGAGTATAGAGGAGGTTCATAGTAGAACGAATGACAGCGGTAGATGAAATTCCAAGATATGATGAATGTGTGAAACTTTTTGAATTCCAAGACGAGAACTCAAACATCGCCTTCATTTATATCCCTGATGCTATACCTCTCACACTAGCCTTGTTGAATGTCATTCCAGTCTGTGCATACATTTTACTAAGGGTCCAATCGCAGATGCCTAAATGTGGGGCATTGTCTCGTTCGATTATAACCAAATTGGGAAACGCCGCTTGGCAGGATGCGGGAAGTTTTCTACTCCCTTGTCTCCGGCAGAGAGTCTAATCTGGCTTTCCAATCCCAAAGTTGATGAAGATCAACCTTGATTCTGCTTGCAACAAGGAACCCACGTTTGAAAATACTGTCCAGCAGACCCAGAACCCTGGCTTTCTGGACACGACTCTCTGCGCGTGTCCCAGCGACTCTTAGCGGGAAAATCAACAGTAGCCCAGATCCACCTAGCATGTTGAGTATGAGTTCAGCTTGTTGGAAGATCTGGTCAACGTGGTGACTTATCTCACACGTTGATAGGTGTGGAGAATGGTCCAGGTGCCAGCAATGGTAATAATCGAACGTGTTGAAAAGGAAAATTAACGTAGCGTGGCAGTATGCCAGTCCTTGGTGTGTTTTCAAGTTTTGAGATTTTCCAAGGCCCCTATTTGTAACTTCGCCATGCAATTCGAGTATATTGCGTTGTATCTCAGCGGCCTCGATTCCAAATTGCCTCAAAATTGGATCTGGCTCGTTGAAACTTGTAACGGTTGGAATATATCCATAAAACCTGAGGTGGTGCATCAGTGAGGCAAAATATCATCTGAATCTCCAGAGCCCATACCGAATATTGAAAGCCGATATCTGGACCATAAGGGATGAGATTTGTCCCATAGTGTCCCATTCATCCGCGGGTCTATGGTCGTCCATTTGATACATCGTGGCCCAGTCAAGGCTAGCTAAAATGGTGCCTTCTCCATAGAGATTTACTCGATTGGCCTCAAAAATCCTGAAAATATCAAGGAAAGCCTTGCGAGACCGAGACAATGTCTGCTTGGGACTGGTAGTCTGCAGCAGTCGAGATGTTCCATATAACATATGTTTTGCCCATCCATCTCCAGATGTATCGGCCATCAACTATGTCCCCAAGTTAGTCTATCTGCCGAGTCACTGTTATAACTGAAGTGAAATACCTCGAATAATCCAAGAAAAAATGTAGCCCAAAGAACATCATCTCGTTGAGACACCTCCGAGTCTAGCAATGCAACTTTTAATGCTTCAATGGAATGGGAATAAGACTTGTACGCCAAAGACTGAGGAAGTTCGGCTTTGGCGTAAGCGCCGCAAGAGCCATGCCGTGAAGCATCCAAAGCCCCTATAGCACGCACTACGGAGCTCAAGAGGGCGGATTCGGTGACTAAGGGCAAGAGAACCTCGACTAAAACATCTTTCGGATGGACAAGGTGATTGCGACCCAGGAAGGCGAAAAAGTAATTGAGATGAATAGTCTCCATATTTGTATGAACCTGAGCAGAGATCAATGGTTCATCGGTCTCCTTGTAAAAGACGAATATTGCCTTCGAGCATCCGCTGCTCCTTTTTTGGCAAATTCTACCCGTGCGAACACAGGGTTCACAGGGATTTCCACCCACACACTGCTCTGCTCTATTAGCAATGGCAAATGTTGCGCGAGGTAGCTAGGACACGAACCCTTATCTTCCTGGTAGCGCAAGCTTCACAGCGTACGACCTTCTTGCGCGGGTCGAGAGGACCCAGTTCGTGCTTTTCCCGTGGCATTTTCACACACGAGTTTAAGGTCAGGGGTTCAATGGCTTGAGAGCCGTCTCCTCTGGAGATGGACAAATCGCCGAGTCAGGTCTCTGTGGGAATCCAAAAATTCCAGTGCCATTTGGACCGAATATCTCTTTCACTGTCCATAAGCCAATCGCGCGATGCTGAATGATTTGCTTAGGTCGGTGGTCCTAGGCAGCCGACTTCTCAAAATTTAGCGCTAGGCCGATTTAGGAAGTAATCAAGCGAGGGCGTGACCACGATTCACGGTTTACTATCAGAGCACGCTAAACAATTAGTAAATCTAAAAATTAATCCGAACAAACGGAAGACTCGAACAGTGCCAAGAAGGGCTGAATCGATGCTCATTCGGGGGGAAAATGCAAGGTGGGTGCTGTAGTGTTCATAGTATGGTTTCGTTTCTTTTACGATATGAGCCCGAAATAGCAACAGAATTTTCAGGGTAGCATTGAACATGGACGCTGAAGTCTGTCGCCTGAAGTGAAGTTGCTACCGTTGTTAGAGGGTAGTTGGTAAGTGACACGCACTTTTTCGTCAAGGGCTAGATTATAAAAGCTCGCCGAGCCCAATATATGGAAATATTCCCTAGCTGCGCCTTGTTTATCTCTTAAGTTTCTTTGGGAGCGTCGACTTTGATCCCTCGTGATCATGTCTAACGACACACAAGCGTATGTCCCATGCACGTTACAAACTTGCCCACTTTCCGACGCTCCTATTCCTTATCAACCAAATCTGGGCGCAAATGCTTTCTTCTTGGGTGTGTTCGCCGTGGCGTTGGCCGCCCAGCTAGTTCTGGGCAGTCGCTATAGAACCTGGAGCTATATGATCGGCATGGGAGGAGGTCTTGTTCTCGAGATAGCGGGCTACGTGGGCCGAATCCAGCTACATGCTAATCCATTTGAATTTGGCTGTTTTGTACAGTGAGTCCTACCAGTATATTATGAACGATTGGTTCATGGCTAGATCAGACGTGAGATTGTACTGACATCATGCAGATACCTGGTCTGTCTGACCATTGCTCCAGCTTTCATCAGTGCTGTGATATACCTTTGCTTCTACCGCATCATTATCATCTACGATCGCTCTCTCTCAAGAATCAAGCCAAAGGCATTTGCTGTGATTTTTATGACCAGTGATTTTCTCTGCCTGGTTCTTCAGGCTGCTGGTGGAGCGATTACTGCAACTACCGGCGGTGCAAGCAAGGAAGCAGCGGCCATGCACAATACCGGTATCAATATGATGATTTCTGGCCTGGCTCTTCAAGTTGTCTCGCTTCTCATTTTCATTGGCTGGGCACTTGACTATGCGTGGTTTCTCAGTCGAAAGGGTTTTGTCCCGGCTTTGACTACTAAACAAAGTAGGCGTTGGAAAGGGCTATTGATTGGTGAGTGTTCTGTGAACTGAGATTTACAGACATTACTAATATCTGTATCGTGACAGCTCTAGGAAATGCTACAATTGCAATCTTGATTCGCTCCGTATTCCGAGTTGCGGAGCTTCGAGACGGCTTTCAAAGCAAGCTAGCTGGCAATGAAGTTGCTTTCATGATTCTTGAAGGAGGGATGACCCTGGTCGCGACAGGTTTTTTGACTATTTTCCACCCAGGCCACTGTCTTGGTGTTTCATGGAAAGTGACACCTGATCACCTATAGATTGACTCTGGGTTCTAGTTGGAAGTAATACCCTACCGGGTAGACATGTTGATACTGGAAGTTGCCTTCCAGTATTCGCTGTATCTTCATCCGTATATGATTTTCAAATTGCAGGGCTCAAATTTACAGGTGCTACTGGTTGTCGCTTGACTATCTGCTTGCCATTTGATGTTTGTATGCATGTGTTATATGATAGATCCACTCGATGGTTGCCGCATAAAAGAAGAGTGTTTCCACGATGCCGAAGTTTCATGAGGTTGTAGAAGTATTCTGTTGAATATAAAGTGACAGTTCATTATTCTACTAGGCGTCACAATGAAAGTCATATTTCGGTTACATGACCATTCGAGTACCCGAAATTTGTCATGAACGAGTAGGAGAGACGATCGGCTTCTTATTCAATGGCCTTGTTATCAACCATGGGTGGCCCATCCTGGATACCCCACTCAATGTTCGTATATCCGTTGGCTGTTAGGTAGTCCTTCCAATCCTGGTCGCCATGATCCAGGAACCGATCACTATCCTCGAGCACAAACCATGCAAGAAGAGACCCCAAAACGGCAAATCCAGATCCAACCAGGAACACTGTCTGGGTACCGTGGAGCTCATCATCCCCCCAGCTGGCTAGAATAGGCTTGAATACCTGCGTCCCAATAGCAGCACTGGCTTTGCTCCAAGCGGCTGCCAGACCAACTCCGTGGCCACGCAGAGCCGTGGGGAAGCTCTCGCTGGCTGTAAGGACAATGGTAGCACCAGGGCCATAGCACCAGGGCCAACCTCACCAAGAGTAAGACAGATTCCATCCAGGACAATGAATAGAGGCAGCTTGGTTTGAATTGGCCCCAGGGCGCCACCCAGAATGAAACCAAGAATGGCTTGCAGGGAGAAGCCAAGTGCCATGGTGCGCCTACGACCAATGCGATCGGACAACAGACCGCCAATAAATGCTCCCGGGATATAGATGCAATTGATCAATGTCCCCCACGCCATAGTGAGGGCAAGAGACGATGAAGGGTTCACTCTGCCCACAATAGTTGAAGAAAAGAGCCCAAAGGGATAGGAGATGTAGTTGTAGCTAATGGGCCAATTTTGATCAGCCCGAGATATCTGCCTTGATGATGAACCGCACACTCCGAGCAATGACCTCCAGTATTTTTTGACGGCGAGCAAATACGGTATTGGCTGCTTCTTCATTGAGCTCTTTCGATATGCAGAGCTCACGACCATCTGGTAGCGAAACCAAAAGATTGAAAGAGGCGCGATCGCACCCATTGCGAGGGAGACCCGCCACACGGCCTCATAGTGTCTCCCTTGTTGGTGAAAGCACAGTAGTAGGATCAATGGCACAAGTGCGCCAAAAGCAAATACCAGAGATGCTGAAAGATCCCCAATCATAGCAAAAATGAAGCCTCTACGCTTGCGAACAGCCGGAGCTTCGTCAGTTGCTTCTGCAGCCCCAGCGCCAGCGACTAGATACTCTCTAAACAGATGTCAGATGAAAGTAATTATGATGTTGAGGTTTTGGTAGAAGCTAGCTTACCCTCCTGAACCGACGCCTGCAATGCCTCTAGCAATGATCAACATCCAAAACATGCCGTCGTCAGTGAGGCCACTGGCGCCTGCACTGAGAGCGATGCCGAGGACCAGAATCGTGGTGGTAAGCACAGCGCCTGTTTTGCGACCTAGCTTGTCCCAGATGTAGCCAAATGACAGCAGGCCAATGATCATGCCGACCATGAAGGCATTTGAGAGGCGAGCGGCAACTGCTGTCGTCAGAGCTTGCGGATAGATGACTTCCATCAATAATTCTATGTTGCCAATAATCGACGCATTGAAGCCGTCTGAGCCTATCGCCAGACCGCTGAAGACGACCATCATCACCATTCACCATTGATACTCGGGAGTAACCCCGATCGAATTCTTGCACTGTCGCATTCGGGTGAGTAGCATTGGGACTTTGTGCATCTGGGATCTTTGCGTACGGGGAGTCTGGTTTCTTCGATAAGGTCGGCTTGGGCTCAGCTATATCTGTAATAGCGGATTTCTGTTCTTGCGAATTACGCACTTCAATTACCGGAGGCTCGCTCATCTTGCTGCTGTTGAGTAGGGCTTCTTTCCTGATCTGCATTTATCAGAGAAGGCGCACAGGAGTTGATCAGCACTTTATACTAAGTAATATCATCGGCACACTTCGCGTGGACTGTACTTGTCGGATATGGGATCTGGATTTGGTCAAGATTGCCCATGGCTATCGAACCAATCAGTCGGCGTGCGGGGTTGAGACGTGCTGGACGTCTCCAATTGCTGTGGATACTTGATGGGCGAGGCGTAGGACGGGCTGAGACTTGAAGCTAACCAGCCCCACAGACTCACTAACAAGCCACTAATGACGCCTGATGGCTAATGACGCCTGATGGCTATGGACGGGACCAGCGGGGAAGGTGAGAACGAGATAGCACTTTGTAGGCGCTGATTTCCGAACTCACAACCTATCACAACCCAGTTCCCTGATACTAACAGAAATTCGAAGGACAGGATTGACGCGCCGGGCTGTTGAAACTTTCCTCTTCTCACCAAAGACTTTTTCATTCTCAAACACAGGACACCATGTCGAAGAGCCTGCTGAACACTCACAGGGATTTGGGGGCTTCCATGCATGGCTCAAGGCACCCGAGGAATAGTCGGTTTACTCCCCGAACTCTGGGGCAGTTAGTAGTCACAGTCGGTCTGTTGGCTGCTGGGTACCGATATCTTTGGCGCCAATACTCGCATTCACTTGACCGTTCTTTTGCATATTCGGATAGTGATGTTATCACCAATGAGAACCGACAGGAATTTCAACAGTACGCCATCAGGAACCTTCTCGATACTGGCCTGCCTTTCTTGGAAAATGCATCCCCAATCACCGTCCAGGATTTTCAGGAACGGCGAGATCGACTCGCAGAAGCGCTAGTGGCTGAGGATACCGATGATTTTGTGGTAGAGCCTGGCTACACGTTCAAATACTACGGCAATGTGAGCCAGCCAGAATGGGAGGCTCGGGAGGTCAGTAAACACGCTCAAAAGTGAAACCACCCAGAAAGGTAAAAAAATGCTGATGAAACCTAGCCAGAAGAGCGTCCATTCCTAATGGTTGTCCATCCTGTTTTGGACCGGACCACAGGTCAAGTAAAGGCAAACACAACATTCCTTTGACCATCATTTGAAGCCGAGAGAGCCCTTTTGTTAGGGATGCCATTCACTGAAGAGCTCCAGATTGTCCCCAGGGAGGAGCACTGGGACCCTTACAGTACTCATCAGCAGTCGGACGTGTTTCTTGGCGTCAATCGGGTGCCATGCCTGATGGTCGATGAGGAGATGCGAGACTTCATTCAACGGGGCCTCAGTTCGGCAGGGTTTTATGTCATTGGTTTGCGCGGTCGAGTTGGAGAGGCTCGTCAGATCAAAACTGCTCGTGAGGTTGGGATTCTGCGCGCAGTCAACACGGGCACCATGGAAGCTGTGAGGCAGATGAGAAAATGTGAGTCGAGGGTCCGCGTAGACACAGTCTGAGAGAATCTATTTCTGACAAAATCATCAGGTCTGTATCCTGGATTGACGGAAAACGAGATAGCCACCGTACTTGACAATGCATTGCGAGCAGCCGGCATGGAGCCATTCCTCGACATCGTGCTATTTGGTTCATAATCTCGCATTTCACGATATATCGGCGGAGTTTACTGACGAGGGATAGATGAGGATGCATCAAACCCCCATGGTGGAACAGATGGAGAAAAGGTCCTTGAGCCGGAAACATTTGTTTTGATCGATGTCGGGTTCGTGCTCCCCAGAATGCAGTCTTTACGCATGTTCGATGTCTGACCACATGACAGCGGTCATTTATACGGGTATTCTTCGGACATCTGCCGTACTTTCCTCCCCCCTTTCCTCGAGAAGCCGTTGAAGGATGCCTCTTTGTCGCCAAACTTGGAGGAGAAACTCAAGGTACGTCATACCCACCCGGAAAGGCAATGAATTCTAAACTGAGAACTCGCTAGGTGTGGGACATTGTGTTTGAGGCACAAACACAATCAATCCATCGCATGAAAGAAAACTTGACAGCCGCAAGTGTCGATATTGCTGCCCGCAACGTCATTACCGAGGCCGGTTACGGCGAAACCTTCACCCATCGGGTTGGTCATGGAATCGGAATTAAAGGTATGAATCTCTATAGGATTCACGAATTTATTCACAAGTCTTCTAACTTGGCGGACAGCTCACGAAAGTCCATATCTCAGCAAAGGCAACACTAATACTCTGCTCAAAACAGGCATGACATTCACCTCCGAGCCTGGTATCTACTTGGTGAATAAATTTGGGGTGCGACATGAGGATATACTGCTTGTCCAGGGCAATGAAGAGCCGCAACTCTTGACGGGTCGCAGAGCTCTGGGGCCTTGGGACCCTTGAACAACACGATTCAAAATCAAAAATCGAGCTATCCGATGATCATGGATGTGCTGCATGAACCGGGGGGCGTGAGATTAGCTACCGTCTAGTTAATGTGCTTGTAGAGGCCGTTTGAGAGAACTGAGATTTATTGATGACTACAGCCACGAAGCCGCCCTGTAAGTCTGGGATGATAGATAGACAATGTATCAAATATCACTTGACTTCCAACCGCAGCGCATCATATTGCACATATACAGTCCCAGGCAGGATAGCAGTTTCGGTATCGGTCGCGTTGTAGGGGAGATGAAGTCGCAGCAGGTTGTCTCCCTCATGGAGCCAACTGGCAGGGAATGACATCCGGGAGCTGACCTGATAGCAGCTTACGGCAGACCGAACAATGCAGCTGCTGGACTGGTTGAACCCAATTACCAAGGTGAGAGGATTGGAGTGTTCGTTGATATAACTCTCAAGAGACAGGTTGTTGTACGTTTCCTAGCACATGTCATATCAGTATGCACGCTCGGCACGGTATAGTGTGAGACCACCTAGACGATGGCTGTTCATGACTCACCTTCGGGTTCCAGACATCAGTATTTCCTGCTGCAGTCTTTGCACCAGCCAGTTGCACAGTCAGAGTTGCTGTCTTGCGCTGGCGTAGTTGCTTTGCGTCCAGTTTGAAGTGGATGTTCCAGTCGTGTGTGGTATTGTACTCCACATGTGCGTTTGACGGAGTCGGACCGAAAACTGACCAGTGAACTGTGTTCAAGTCCACAGCCGGATCACTTTTACCGATCGTGTAGTTAATGCCATCGGGGAAGTCTTTAGTCCAATCATAGGCACCCCAGTAGATTAGATACTCTGGAGGTTGAAGAGGATGGGTGGTATCTTTCGCATGGCCGTGGCGGAATTCGCCAGAAGATTTGTCAGGAATTCCAAGTCGCCAGACCTCTGTTCCTGCTGATTCTTCTTCCCAGGAATCGCGGACTGTGGTCGACTTTCCTCCACGTACGACGATTCCGTCCCGAACATAATCACCGAAAATGCCCTCCGCGTAGATAGTAAGACGATACTCTCCTTCCTTGACACGATCCAGAGTGAAGCTTCCATCGGATTCGATATCAACCCAGTATTGGTAAGCGTCTGGAACGGCGCTATTGTCCTGGTGATACACGCCATTAGCAGTGAGAATCGCGATGGGCCGGATAGCGCCCCTGGGAAGTTTGACTGTTCCCCGAACGCGTCCTCGTTGACCCGATGGGACATATCCCACAACATGCTTGGCAATTGAGTCATAGAATGCAGCGTTCCATGATGGATTTGCGAGCTCGAGAGCTTCGGCTCGTAGCTCATTCAGTGACGACTTGGACCCCTTGCCGCCGTTGAAAAGGTAGAACTGAGGTCCGAAAGTTCGGTCGAATCCATTCGTAATGTTCGGTGTGCCTTCACCATGATGATTTGAGACAAGGTAGTTGTAGACGATACCATCCACGGTCAAATCCGAGTGGATTGGGCCCTAATGCGTGTGAAATTAAAAACTGACATGATGGAGAGAATGTGAGACCTACACCATAGTACGTATCCTAATCGCGACAATGTCAGTCAAGCGCGATGTCTCTTAACGCGGAATTACTTACCTTCGTGTTCATGACAAGCCATGCTCCGTAGGTAGTTCCAGATGAATTAGAGCCATCGGCGTATAACCCGTGAACGCTGTTGTTCCTCCAGGCTAACGAAATGTCAGTACAAGGCCCAAAGTTATAGAGACTCAATAGGCAAATAGAATACTTACGGTTAGAGAAGGTGTATTTTGTGAAATAATCAGAGAACTGTGTATAGTAGGCATCGGTTGGGGTGTTGTTGAAGGTCCAGGTTGCATCCTGGACGACAACTTCGTGGCTGACAGCGTTCTTGCTTGGCAAAGGGGCGGTTTGCACCTCACTTGAAGTCAAATGGGTCCATAAGGCCGTGTTTGGACGGAAAAGGGTTCGCAACTCTTGCAAATTGCGAAGGAATGGAGTAGTCTCGTTGTGATAAGACAGCCGGCTAAACATATGGAGACCGGTCTCTCCATCGCGCAAGAACCAGTATTGCTGGAATTGCTGGCCAGTCGGCGTATAAGTGTCGGTCAGAATCACACCAGCGTACTTGGTCCCTGTGGAGTCCACTCCTTGTACAACTTCTGTTGACGGGGTGGTGGCTCCCGCGGTGTAGAAACCAGAAGGAATACAGTAGCAATCCAAGTACGGGCCTATGCCGGTTGACCCTGACTGGGGGCCTAGCAGGTCCTGGCCATCGAGAGAAAGGTCAACGATCTGACCTGCACTTCGACGCAGAACAGCCGTGAGGCGATCGTTGGCAACGGTGATCGTAGTGTCGTTTTGCGACACTTGGAGTGCGGCTGATACAAGACTGACTCCGGTGACGAGAAAAGTGAGGAATGCCGCCATGATTCCCGAGCGTTTTATTCCTCGTTCCAGGAGATTTCTTCTTCTATTGCCCACGCAGACTGATTGAAGGAGAGTCTCACATTGCGAAGAAGCGAGGTATGTTTTATGTCTACAATAATATGCGTCCGGGCCTTGATACGCCGAATGGCTTGAGTCGAGAGAGTCAAGGCGTTCGATCGGGGGCTGGCATCAAGAATTCATTTGTTTAAATCCACCAATCATTGGTCGTCAATCGTTGACCGTGAATGAAAAACATGGGGGTGTTCTGGGGTGGACGAGTCTTGGCAATGCGGGGGTCATCGTTTAAGGAGTTATGGAGATGCTCAGCAGCCTCCGGAGAGGATGTGGATGAAGTATGAGGGTTCGGCAAGAAGAGAGCCGCGGCGGGTAATTGAGGTGTTCGGTCATTGTTGACCCGATTTGTGGAGAAGTTGTGAATCTCTTGACTTCCAACCCGCGGAGGATACGTGAACGCGAAGGGGGCGTGTCTAGCGAGAACGTCGTGCTGGACTTAGATGTTTATGTGCGAGGACCAGGCGCGGATCCTGAGCAATTAATGACTGGGTAACTGAGTAAATTGACTTGGTATTTCGCTTTAAAAAGAACCCTGGCGGTAAAGAACAAGAACAAGGCTCGCGTATGTGTTGGATGCAGTAGTCTGGGTCATCTTGTTCGATTCTGGACGGGGCAATGTTGGTGCCCCAGGCATCAAGAGCCCAGGCAACCAGAAAACAGCCGCGAGCATCAACATACACCCTCAGGCATTCACCCTATCCAAGGAGGCTTGTACATACTACTAACAAGGACAGACAGACAAGTGCTTCTCCACCGCACCCCCACCCCACAAGAAGGACAACGGCTGTTGTATTCGGGACATCTCCAAGTTAACCACTACTGAAATCTTGTACTTGTTCTTTTGAAAAGACACTGATTCATCAATATACAGGGGACAAAAGAAACGGCGTCGGTTTTCTCGCGCGTGTGACTTTCTGCTGGAAGCCGAATCTCCAGTGGCGTCGTCAAGACTTGCCAGCAAACTTTACAAGCCGCCGCCCGCACGCTTGTTCATTAAAACCCATATCTGATATACCGACACAAAATACCACTGCCACTATACATAGCCCGCTTGACCGCGGTCGGGCCGCGACCAGTCGGGGTTAACGTTGATACGAAGGGGTCGTTTCGGAATGCATCCCGTAGTATGCCGTACATCGGCCGGCTTCGGTTCCGAATCTCCATCTGTTCATGAGAGCGGCATTCAAAACTCAGGTCACAGCGAATCAGAAACGTGAATCGTGGTGATGATGGCAGAGACTGATAGTGGGACCGCGGAATTTGCAATCAATAGCTCTGCGGGATAGGGGCGTCTACGGGGAGGATCCAATCAGAGACGAACAAGGACAATGGACACCCACACCCCATCTTCACCCCGTGAAGTAGTCCAACATAAATGCCCCATGGGGTACGGGGCTCAAAGGGGTCCACCAGAGAGGTCTCTCTACGATTTTAAAATCCTGGTCAAGGCCCTCTTTCCCTGGCTCTCAACGGCCGAAAACATCCTCTTTCAACAGCACCGTTCTACAGAACTCCTCATACCTGCCTCATTCGCCTCTGAACCCTGCTCTCGCCTTTTCCAGAGCTTGATATTCGTTGAGATACTGGGCACGGAAAACAAGCCAACTATTTCCTTCGACTGGTGCTGCTACTGAATCTGAAATCATGGCGGAACCTATTTCGGATCACAACCTTAAGGCCACGGATTCTGAGGCGTCGATCCATCTTGAGGACGTGTGTCCAAGCCCACCGATTCCACTGTCAGAGGATGGCCATCCATCCAATCACTCCCATCAGGATCCCGGAAATTGGCCTCAATGGAAGAAGAACGCCCAGATTCTTATGGTTGCGTTCCATTCATGTGTGTCAACCTTCATGGCGGCGGGAATCATTCCAGCCTACGACCTCTTTGCAGAGGAATATGGGGTCACGGTGCCCGATGCAAGCTACCTCACTTCTTTCCAAGTATGCGACCCTATCTGCTATCGCAACACGCAAGAAATGTTCTAACTAGTACGGACGATGAATAGATTCTCCTCCTAGGCCTTTCGCCCCTTCTTTGGAACCCGGTAACTGCTGTCTATGGCCGCTACCATATCAGCATGTTCTCGGTTCTAGGTAGCATGGTGTGTAATATTGGCGGCGCTAGATGCACTACATATGGTGCTCAAATGGCCACTCGGGTTTTGACCGCGTTCTTGATTTCACCCCCTATCGGAAACGGTAGTGGTGTCGTCACTGATCTATGTGAACCTGAGAAACGCGCTCAGAAGCTGGGATGGTGGACTTTGATGACTACGATTGGTACACCATTGGGTCCTTTCCTTATGGGATTCGTGACCAAGCATCTTGGAATTCAATGGATCTTTTGGGTTTTCGCTATCATCAACTTCTGCCAGTTCCTTTTATATATCGCCATTGGTGATGAAACAATCTATAATCCTAAGAATGAGCGCAAACAGTCTGGGTTTTTTGGGAAGCTTATCCCCCGCAAGATAACTTCGCACTCATTGAGCCCACGAGACTTTGTGGCACCATTCTCCCTGGCAATGACCCCACGTGTCTTGATTGCGGCATGCGCTCATGCAATCGCATTTTGCTATGGAAATATTGCCATGATCGTGGAGATGCCTATTGCATTCGGGCAGAAATTTCATTTCGATGCCCAGCAAATCGGCCTGCAGTTCATCGCAATTATTATTGGGTGTGTTCTTGGCGAACAAGTTAGTGGCCCGATGTGTGATTGGTTTTTGAAGCGTGTTCGTCAATCCCGAGGCTACTCATGCCCAGCCGATCGCCTTTGGCTGTCTTACATCGCTTTTAGCACCATATTCGCAGGCTTGTTGGTCTGGGGATTCCAACTGCAGCATGCTACGACATGGAATGTAACGCCCTGTGTTGGTGCGGCCATTGCTAGCTTTGGCAACCAAATGCAGACCACAATTTTGACAACCTTTGCCGTGGAAAGCAAAAAGGAGCGTTCCGCTGAAGTTGGTGTGTTTGTCAACGTTTGCCGACAGATTTATGGTTTTGTAAGTTGCAATTCGCACTAGCCTGGACATACTTTGACATTTTGCTTACAATTTGTGATCAGATTGGACCGTTCTATCTTCCACACATGTTTACAGCGTTAGGATTTGGTGGTGCTTCTGGTGTCATGGTGGCCATTGTTGGTGGATGTGCGATGGTTCCGATCATCGCTGTTCAATTCGTGGCCACTAAATCTGCAAAGCACTAGGAACCTGCCCTGATTTGTCCAAGGTCAAGTAACATTCGCCGCTAGAGGAAGTTCAATGGCTCATAGCGTTATCTAAATCGCGTCCGCAATAGATATTGGATGAAAGATTTAAAAATTTCAGATGGTGTTCAGTCACTGTGGTGCTGGAACTAGCAGTCTTTGATTCGTAGTATTACTAGAACAGATTGCTCGGAACACTATTCAACCAGGACATATCTTGGAAGTCTGGGAACTCAAATCCATCCATCATAGCTGCATGTATTCCTTCACCGAAGGGTATATCATTCAAGGTATTGGTAATGTTGGAGGCGAGGTCATGGGAGCTGGTGTCGGTTGGAGGCTGTCCCTCAGAGACAACCTGCTCATACAAAATTTCAAGCGCGGCCACACAGCGCCTAGCAGACGTGCTGTGACTTTGGTATTTGCGAAGTATTTCCAAAGCACAATTCCATGAACGAGTGATCGATGGTTCTGAAATCTCGGTGAGGATTGCGGGAGATAGCCGACCAGCGATCAAAACAGTGGCGGCGGTGTAGATATCTACATGATCAGAGACATTAGTTAATGCTACCCTTCAAGGTCAGCGCAAGGGCTAGTACTGACATAATATGTTATACCACCATGCAGGGAGGGGCCCGCCGGTGCCGTCAGAGGGTACATGTGTATAAATGAGCTCAATGGATTCCTGCGCTACCTTAACGCAGATAACAGAGCATTGCAAGGCAACTCTGCGAGGGAACGAGTCACTGATTGGAATCATCGAGTGGGTTGTGGCATTATCCCGTGCGGCACAATACTTTGCACTATCAAGCAGGTAAGCCAGGAGTAATGATGTCAAGTATTGCTAAGTATGGACTCCTCACAGTGTTGGCCGGAATAGCAACATCCTCACGTGTAAAAACCTGTTGATTATCTCCCATCAGTGGTTTTCGCGGTTATATATGGATGGGATCGGGTCCTCGAACCTCGCGTGTAAGACTATTCCCTGGCGAAAGAATATGGAGTTCTCTTGTGCGCTGACTGAAGAGTCTCCACGAAGATGTGGGGGAAGGCATCTCGTCCACCGGGTAAGGGAGCGATCTAACTCGAATATTGTTCTCTCTCCTTCCCCAGCAGAATTGTTGAAGTAGAAATCGTGTATGTCTTCCGCACTTTCGTCTGGGGCCGGCTTGTATAGACTGAGAAGGACGTCGTTCATTATCTCGTATAATTCTAGGGTCTGTGCGTAAAATGCCATCATGGATGGCCGTTCTGCCGGTTGAGTCGGCTCATCGGCACTCGCAGCGGAGATGAACTCATCATCCACCGTGATTGGTAGCGGAACGGCTCCACTGGAAGCTTTTGATATCATAGCTGGTCGCCCAAAGGTCATGGATATAACGCTGATGAACACTATCAGATTAGGTCTACGAAGAAGATCATAGCAACATACCGGTCCATGAGCACACACCCGTGCCAGATCTTCCGAGCCAGTTGTCGCTCACTAGGAGTGCGAATATTGGCGATTGTCTGAGGTAGATGAATGCCTAAACTCTGGGCATTGCGAATCGAAAGCCCTGTGCAGATCCAACATTGATGTGAATAATCAGTGCTCTGTAGGTACTGGGCCATCAGCAGAAGGCATTGAATCAATCCGGCGGACCCTGTATCCCAGAGATTAAACTGCAGGAGTTCTTTTGCCCGAGAGAAATAGGCGTCGGCGGATGTCTCTCTCTCTTCAGGTGCGATGAAATCCGCCAATTTACTGGCTAATGCAAATATCACGTTGAATGTGCACATCACCATATTCTCGTCGTAATGCAAGGGTTCCCCCTGCCAAATTTTTGTGTATTCCATTTTCATGTGAACACTGTCGATGAATGGGTACAGCGGGAACACATAGTCCCAGTATACCTCCATCAGTTTATCAGCCATTCTCCGAGGGGGCAGAACATAGTTTGGCGCCGATGACGGAATTCGTTCGTTGCGTTGTCCTGCCAAGAGACTGGAATGAAGAGCAATGTTAGGAGCTGAAGGTCGTTTGTCAGGCGATGTAACTCTTCTATCGACTGCAGTCTTGATTTGACGCATGAAGCCAGCGGCACTGGAGCTGCCGAAAAAGCCTTGGCTGGCACGGCCTTCTTCAACTGCACCCATCATGGCATTGACGCCATCTCTCATACCACCACCGTTATTGGTCCGCCCGGTGATCTCCCGAGTTGGACCACCCCGAGAGCGATGAACGAACGGATCCTGGCATTGCGATGATCGTGAAGATTCAATGGGCGTCGCAGAATGTGTGGTAGTTGGTGAGATAGAGGATAGGGCTCCATGCTCCTGGGTCATAAGCTGAGTGTCAAAAAGTTTGTGTGAGAAGATTGACGCACAATAGTCTGACTTGACCCAAACGCTCTTTCAGGGGTCTGGGGGCTTTCTAACTGCTTGATACGATCTTGCAAGGTAGAGATGTATCTATAAGAAAAGTCAGCTCAGCCAATCACAACCTGTCTTTTAGAGTGATTGCTTATGTACGTTTGGGTTGCGCGCCTCTTCTCCAATTCTCCTGTGTAGACACAATGACTTCCTCGTTCCGGCCTCCTGCTGCAAGGTCCACATACTGTGTCGCATTAATGCGTTAGTGCGGGTTGAATCCCGGATGGGGTTGGGGTTGTGATCCGGCCAAAACGACACCTACCGGGCTGTACCCCGTCACATCTTATCTTCCTCCCTCGACACTTATCGCAAGCGACCGAGATTTTTCGGCGTTTGACTCTTTCATTCGACTCGGCTGCCTGGCTCTTCATCGTTCAGCACCGTGCGGGGAGTTTTGAGTTGGATGTTGGGAAGACTCCCGGGGTGAAGCACGGCTTCCGGTTGGGGCCGGGATGAGATCCGATCAGTTCTTCCATTATTCGTTCGGGTGCAACTCGCGGGAATTGTTGCGGGACGAGATGGCAATTGGACCTGTTCATTGGCTACAGGCAGTCTGGTACGCGGAGCATTTCCGCCAAGTTCATTCGGTGACGTTTTGAGTTGAAGTGTCAATTCCCTTCTGAGCCTTTCAAAAATTATTAGTTCTGCCAACTCGATTAGGTGGATTGATTAATCGCTTCTAGATGGAGGCAGGGGGACGTTCTTCGATATGTACCTTGGATGTTCAGAACTCACAACTTGGAGCCGTCGGAACAAAAAGAAAAAAACACACAAACCTGTGCTCTAACACATGAATTATATCGATTGTGATCTCCAGCTACGATGCGGCCTTAATGAAAATAAATACAGTCGTTTTGCATTGAGCAGATGAGGTGTATTTTCGGCAACCGCCTCTAAGAATAGGAAGTTTTCAGTTCGCATCAATATCCATTATATCTCAGCCGCCCAGATACATATACTAAGCTATCTCATTCAAAGACCAGAGTCCCTAGGTACTTATAACTCATCTCACACGGACTCGAGGCTCTTTCAAGAATGATCAAAATAGTCAACTAGTTAGTTAGTTATGATACGGACTGACTAACCACGGCATCGAGCGATAACTAACTAACGGTTAGAATGGGTTTCCACAGATCCTACCATAATCCCCTTACAGACTTCATTAAGAGTGGATTATTCGTTACGGATGATATTGCGAAAGATGCAATCCAAATGGTGATCGTACCAGAGTCGTATGAATTCCGGGAGAGTTGCTGCCTGAAAAGGACTCCGTCGGGGCTTAAAACTCCACATCGGAGAACACTCAATTTTGAAACTATTACGCCATCCTCTGCATGTCACCTTCCTAGTCTTTCTTGGCGACGTTGCAGTCAGATAATTCTCCTGAGATACCCCGCCTACAGTACCCAATCGTGCGATGGCAGCGGATAGCAACGCCAGGGTCCGAGGAGGCAGATCTGTTTGTTAGTGACTATGCATCCTTGTTCATCTCCGAGAGAAAGGCCGTAGCGAGTATATTGTTCTAAAAGGCAACGAAAGAAAATGGATATAAGTCCCACGCAATGGCGTGGTTGTGGCTTTCAGTTCAAACCAACGCCAAGCCTCGGCTGTGATCTTGAAGATGCTTATCTTGGCCCCTTTCATTCTGTTTCTGGCGACGGCCGCGGCCTTGCAGAGCCCTCATCGAAAGGCCCCTTCGATCAAACACCCAGCTAAATCATTTCACAAGAGAAGCAATTCGGTCGCTAAGTCGGGGCACCACTATTTAAACCACAATACGCAGAGTGAGTGTGAACTTATTGCCCAACTCATTGAGATAAATTGAAAAATTCTAAGTCCACTTCAGAATACCTTGTCGATGGGGCACATTTCCCTCAAGTCCCATTCGATATTGGCGAGAGTTACGCTGGCCTCTTATCCAATGCCCCCCACGGGGAGTCCAGCCTGTTCTTCTGGTTCTTCCCATCTACCAATCCAAAAGCAGATAAAGAGGTCAGTACTCATCAATCTGGCACGATCAACCCATCTGATACGTTGTTATAGATAACGATCTGGCTTAACGGAGGCCCCGGTTGCAGTTCTTTGGATGGGTTGCTTCAAGAGAACGGGCCGTTCCTTTGGCAGTCTGGGACATATGCGCCCGTCCGAAACCCCTTCTCATGGTCCAATTTGACCAACATCGTCTACATCGACCAACCAGCCGGTACTGGACTATCACCGGGGCCGGCTACCGTTCAGAACGAGATCGATGTCTCAAACCAATTTAATGGTTTCTGGAAGAGATTCATCCAAACATTTAGTATGCAGGGATACAAGATTTACATCACTGGCGAAAGCTATGCTGGGCAATATATTCCGTATTTAGCCTCTGGGATGCTGGATCAAAACGATACGACTCATTTCAACCTCAAAGGCATACAAATCAATGATCCATCCATCAACGAGGACAATGTCATGATATATGGTTCGTTGTGCAACAACAAAATGTCCCGCTTGAGCTAATTGAACTTGATTTGCAGCCCCTGCGGTCCCTGCTCTGAATTACTTCTCCACGGTCTTTTCCCTCAATGACACATTCATGACTGAAATCAACAAGCGTGCAGATGAGTGTGGCTACAACCAGTTTCTCGACAAGGCTCTGACCTTTCCCCCGCCTAAACATTTCCCAACCGCGCCAGATCCCAGTCGACGTGGTTGCGACGTTTGGGACCAGATCATCAAGGCAGCTACCTACATTAACCCATGCTTCAACATATATCATCTCACAGACTTCTGCCCGTTTTTGTGGGATGAAATGGGCTTCCCGTCGCTAGCTGGCGGACCAAATAACTATTTCAACCAATCCGCTGTACAAAAGGCCTTACACATTTCACCTACCAACTACGCTGTCTGTGGTGGAAACATTTTCCCCAACGGTGATGGATCAGCACCCAGTGCTCTCGGACCACTTCCTAGTGTGATTGAGCGCACTAATAATGTCCTCATTGGACATGGTTGGTATGATTACCTCCTATTCATGAATGGAACCTTGGCAACCATCCAGAACATGACATGGAATGGGCTCCAGGGCTTCCAGAAGCCCCCGGTTGAGCCATTGCTAGTGCCATATACAGATTCCCTGAACGCGATCGCAAATGGCAATGGGCAGGTCCCTTTTACTGCTGATGCGGGGGCTGGAATTCTGGGGACGGCTCATACTGAACGTGGCTTGACATTTAGTACTGTATATGGATCTGGACACGGTAAGGACAATCTATTCCAACGCGTCTTTTGCTTCTCAGTAATCAGAAGTTCTTGCTGCTGACTTAGCCATACAGAGATCCCACAGTATACCCCCGGTGCCGCCTACAGGCAGCTCGAGTTCTTACTTGGTCGGATTAAAAGCCTCCAGGACACGGGTCCCTTCACAACTCATTAGGAAATTTGCGTTGGTTGGCCCATGCAGTAGCTGGATACTGGTGAGAGTGTTGTCAATATGCTGCGAAGAGCGAACTCCAGTCCTGCTCAATCAAACAAGGTCTTGCAAATACCTGGCTGAAATCTGCACCTCATTTATCCATTGAATAGGCAAACATGAATGATGAAATCAAATCATCGTCTCTAGTGTCATAAAGTTCTATTCTACCGCATAGCGTCATTGTCGGTGATAATGGATTTGGAAATTTCGCTTCATGTAGATAAGAATTCGAGGGGAAAAGATAAGTCTTATACTTAATGGCTTTCTGGGTGTCCTACAATCCTCTGTGTATTTTCCACGGTGCTTTGGGATTGATTTTCGTGTTGAACGTGCTGTCAACCGAACGGATGGAAAATGCGGGCTCCAAAATTGGCCTAGCGGGGATGCCAACTAAATTCCGCAGCCCAATCAATCACAGCCGAGCGGATATTTGCAACTTCGTCCCTTTCGGCTAATTAACCCAAGGCAACATATCACTTCACCAGATCGCGAATAGCGAGGGTGTGTTGCTGTATGTTGGACGCATCAAGTCTGACGCTGAAAATGGAGCTTCCCTCTCAACCAATCTATGTGATGATTCCATCACCCAATGAATCAATTGAGAGCGACCGTCTCCTCCTTCGACCAATCTGTGACACCGATGCGGTCGCACTTTTAGCTATTCGTTCCCGACCGGAAGTGGCGAAGACCAAGTAAGTAACCAATACCCTGGCCGTCCATGAAACAGGCACTGAATTCAAGTAATAAAACTAGCTACCCCAAGGAGCCTTTCAAGTCCGTCGAACAGACACGCGAATGGATGTCGAGTAAAGTCTTTCTCGAGGGCCCAGCAGACATCATCGGGCGTTCCTTTAATTTTGCCATCCTGGATAAGTCGATCCCGGAATCACAGGAGCAGCTCATCGGCTATGTCAGCGTGAACACCCTTGATCCATGCCCTGAAATCGGATACTCTCTTCTCCCCGAGTCATGGGGCAAAGGCTATGCCACGGAAGCGGTAGGAATGATGCTAAAAAAGTGGTGGGATCTCCCAAGAAGGAATATGGTTGAATTCAATGAAAGTGAGGAGAAGATCTACGCTATCTGTGAAAAGGGTAATATTGGGAGCTCAACCGTCCTCCGCAAATGCGGTTTCCAGGTCTTGTCGGATTTTTGCTTCGGGTCAGATGAGCTATTCATATGGGCTTTGAAGAAGCCATAGTTTCTCTCGTATTGATGGATAATCTAAGCCCCTCGTAACGCATGGCCTGTCGTTCCAGTGTATATAATTAATGTTGGTCCAGTACTATCTTCCAACAAGTGACGGATCTCTCAGTTCAACAATGCTCCACAATTGTGGCCCGCACTGAAAATGACATCGTCAATCCAGACATTACCGGTAACCGAAGAATCCTCGGAGTCACAGCTAGCAATGATGTTTAGGGTCTCTTCTGACCTTCGTGGCGAATACGTTCCAGTCACCGACGTCCACTCGCCGAACGTAAACAGTTGCGAGGATGCAATCTGGCCGGTAGTCGCATTACGTCCCATGTATACGTACACAGAACAATACTCAAAACCAGACGGTGATGAAGCTTGGACGCTTGCGCTGAATGTATATTTCGTGCGTGGTTCGAGATGCTGCAAAGACTGGGAGATGGTGTTACCCCGATTTCCTACGGCAGTCTGAATATCACTATTTGCGCATCAGCTAAATTTCTTGAAGAAGAAGAGAAGAAAGAGAAAATGGAACAGACAGGTAGTAATTTCCGTCATATGCGCTCGTGCCATTGCTGACTTTTGCAACATTGACTGTAGATGGGACCCATGGGTATAAAAACCCTGACTCAAATGATGGGTTCACCACGGCATTGGTACAACCAGCAAGCTCCATTTGGGGAGTTGAATTGAGGACTTGGAAGGTAATGCTGGTTGGAGTGACAGATGTTGCAGAGTATTTTTCGCCAGTCGAATTTAATGGGAAACGAGAAGTCTTAAAGATACCAAGATGAGATTACGAATTCTAACAGCTTGACGGGTGTGAGCTGAGACACGGAAGATAGGGGTTGCGGGATCTGTCCACACAGAATGTCTTTTGACCTATAAGCCCCGGCATGGCTTAACCACATTTGCTTGTTTTTCGTGCTTTGGCGCATAAACCAAGGCTTGACGTATTGGTTGCGCGATCCACGGAGAATTGGAGGTAAGGCGTTCCACAATTGGTATAGAAAAAGCGCGGAGCTCAGGCAAACGGAGCTAACTCAATTGCACCCATGTTTCAGAGACCTTCAATTACGAAAAGCAGACCTAGCTTGGTAATCAGAGGAAAACGTGCCTGGAACCTGAGATCTATACTCCTTGGAGTCGGTCCAATTATAGGTTTTGAATCGTCGACATTATTTGTTCAAAGGACAACGAACGACAAGTAAGATTGTGCGGTTGTGATGGTGCCGGTGATGCTAAAAATAGAGCCCGCGGATGCCCTCATTCACCCAGGTTACCATCACGGGCATGCTGAGACTTTGATCACTATAGTAATGTATAGATAATGACTGTCATTCAAATTCTTGGACCTTATTTTTTGCCTTTGTTCCAGCAATAGTGGTAGACCGGGTATTTTTGGCTATGTGGGCTATGGATGTAGACATGAGAGTCACGTGGATGGCGGTGTCGAGAGGGACAATTGGATCTCTCGTCTTCTTCTTGGGTGGTCATCGTGACAAGAATCACGATGAAGTGATCAACCATGCTGGATGGATGAGCATTGATCGGAAATCCTGTCCTGTAAAAGGATCGACCTTGCCCCCCCACGGCGAGGATCATCCTATCCTTTACGCTTATCGCGGAGGCGACCGAGGGCATCTGATTCGGAGTGTTGTTGGGACACGGATCACGATCAAAGATCACGATCATACAATTCAATCGCTGGACCTTGGGAGACTGATACGAAGTGCTTTCTAAGGATCTGTGAAAATAATGTAGCTGTGGATTACTACCTATGATCCTTTTAGTTCGATTGCAACGAGATTCAACTGTGAAGTGAGAGGCTGAAGTCTGCAGGGTAAGGGACAGATAATACCCCATTGGGAAAAAGATCGACTGGCTGTGAGTCTTGACAGTGTCATTTTGCCTGTTCTCCTGATCTCTTGGTTCTTGACTGATCAGCCACTCCCAAATTAATAACCAATTTAACCAATTAACCAAATCCCAGCACCCTGGATATACCAGATAGTGAAACTCGCACCCGTTCTCAATTTTGTGGGGGACCCACCGCATGTGTTTTTCCGTTGGTCGGCCAGCGACCGAGGGCCCGAGGTTTTTCCTAAAAAGGCACCAAGAGTCCACGACAACTGCGAATCACGGCACTTGATGGGTGAAATCCGGGGAACAAGTGGGAACCGAGTGGACACGGCCAGTTGATCATCACCCATGATCCTGTCTGGATCGCCCATGATGAAGCCATCAGGAGGGGCGCATGGGCCCTTTGTTCCCCAACATCTGGGAGATTTGGTGGATTTTGCGTGATCTGGGAGAACCGAGGCAGGGACTTGTGGGCTCGACGAGGGGCACAAAGGGAGGGGTTTCATGTGGATTCGTGATGATCTCGAGGGGCAATGGAGGAGGTTAACGAGACCTATATTATCCAGCCATGCCAACCCAGCAATCCTCATCCTTACTGTCCTCGAATCCTCCCTTAGTGCACTAAGATCGTCTTCTTCAACACCCTCGGTCCCCTATTTCTCGTCTACCTGTTCAGTCACATCGCCATCACTACACCAGCCAAACAATGGCTGCGGACGGACCGAAGCCTGGCTTCTTGGGAAACATCAACCCGGACCAGGAAGCAAAGCTGCAGAAACTATGGTCAGTGCTGCTGAAGGCGGCTGAGTCGCCGTCGGGCGACGAGCAATCCAATGTCTCTGCCGAAGAGCCAACTAGCCCAGCCCAGCCTCAACGCCGACACTCTCTACTCAGTCGTACGCAGAGCAATATCTCCGAGAAAACCACTGCCAGTGGGACGAGGGCTCCATATCAGCAGAAGGTTATGGCGTATCTCAGAGAGATCGGCATCGGCGCACAGGAGACCAAAATGGTCCAGAAGGCCCTCTCGGAGATAGCCCCGCTCGAGCTGCGTAACGGTGTCCTCAACTTGCTGAAGCATGACAATCCTGACGCGATGATGCTCCGATTCCTGCGTGCCCGCAAGTGGGATGTTCCAAAGGCCTTTGCCATGATGATGGAAGCTATCGTCTGGCGGGTTAAGGAAATGCATGTGGATGATGACGTGATGGCCAAGGGCGAGCTGCATGCGCTGCAGCAAGAGCGAAACAACGCCAACGTGGTCGATAAGAAGGCCGGGAAGGACTTTTTGGCCCAGATGCGTATGGGCAAAGCCTACGTTCATGGAACAGACAAGCTCGGTCGACCGATCGTGGTGATCAAGGTTCGCTTGCACAAACCGGGTGCACAAAGTGAAGAGACCCTGGAGAGATACATTGTGCATGTCATCGAGTCTGTTAGACTGCTACTCTCCCCTCCTGTGGAAACGGCCGTAAGATTCAGCTCCTCCCCTGCGACGCCTTGAGTTTCTCGCTGACCCACATTCCGCACTCATAGGCTGTGGTATTTGACATGACAGGGTTCGGGCTCTCTAACATGGTACGCGTGCAAATGAATTTCGAGTGACACAAGTTCATTTCTTTTGAAATTCAAGGAAAACTAACATCGTCTGATCTCTGCAGGAATATCCACCCGTCAAGTTTATCCTCAAGTGCTTTGAAGCCAACTACCCAGAGTCACTGGGTGTTCTGCTCATCCACAATGCCCCTTGGGTGTTTTCAGGTTTGTCCACCCTTTTGCACATAGAACCAATCAGACCGGCCTTTGCGTCCTCTCAGAGGCATGTGCTGACCTTTGTTCGATGGAAAAAATTTAGGAATCTGGAGAATCATCCGAGGCTGGATGGACCCTGATATCGCAGCCAAAGTGAATTTCACAAACAACACAAACGATCTTACCAAATTCATCGCCCGTGATCAACTCGTCGCGGAGCTCGGTGGTACCGAAAAGTGGAAGTACGAGTATGTCGAGCCCGAGGAGCATGAGAACCAGAAGATGGAGGATACCACCACCCGGGACGCACTTATCCGGGAGCGTCAACAAATCGGTGAAGAGTTTTTGGAAGCAACCTCAGATTGGATTGAAGCAGCAAAGTCAAAAGACAAGACTCAGGTACAAGCTGCAGAGAGCCAGCGAACATACTTGGCAGAGCGATTAAGAGTTAATCACTGGAAGCTTGACCCATATACTCGGGCTCGCCTGTGTCTCGACAGAGAACGAGTCATCCAAGACGGCGGAAAGATTGACTTCTATCCCAAGGCAGAGGAGTTTGTGGAAACAAAACCCGTGGAGCTGAGAAAGACCTCGGAGGTGGAGCATCTAGAGAGTGTGAATGGTAGCACGGCCCAGGCGACGGTTGCGTAGAGTCTGGTCATATACCCAATCGATTGCTATGTCATGTGCTAGATAGTCTGGATTTTTTTGTTCAAATTCTTCTGAATATTCCGTTATCGCCACTTATCTATGTCTTCATAGGAGGGATCGAAGTTCAGATTTTTAGTCAGCATATATGAAGAGGTCAGACCTTAAGAGGCTTATTATTCCGCATATCTGGTCGGGCAGAAAGCGTTCGGTCATTTCTTAGGAGTGACGACTCCCATTCTTGTCACATCCCAACATTAGCGTGAGAGTGAAGCTAATATCACACGGAAAACTAATAATCATTTAGTTTTTGGGACTCAAGCGTCATGAGAAAAAATAAAATCATTGTATAGTCATAAAGCATAATTCACCATTTAACATCAACACCTCGACCAAATTATGGTCATCCCTGTCCCTGAAGTGCAGGGAGACCAGTGGAGTGACTTTTAGATGCAAGCCCCTCGAGTCCATTCATCGCACCATTTCTGAACACCCTTTCCTTTGAACCCGAAGCACCGTCCGATGACTTCTGACCGTTAATCGAGTGTTCAGCATTGACAGTGTACCCAGTGTCACTCGCATCAACATAAGTCTCAATACCAGCACCATTCCGCGGATACTCTTTCATCAACATCTTATGGCGATGCAAAGCAGCAGCCATTTCTTCATCAGTTATATCATTCAAAAACTTGCAACTTCCGAGAGGACTCGGCACTGCAGCGCGAAGTAATCCGTCTCGAGTTTTCAAGATGGCTGCTGTGGCCTTTGTGAGAATTTCTTCATTGAACAACTCATGATCTATAGACAGACGGGCTCGAGAGAACAACCTGAGAAGCCGTCGGTGCTGTTAATCACTCAGCAGGCCACGGGTATTGGCCAAGGTGGCAGAGTAGGCCATGTCAATAGAGATGGCGTGCCCATGCCGAAGAGGGGTTGCTGGCGTGAGCTGTAACAGTGTGAGAATGAAGTCGCTGTTGAAGTTTGAAACACTGTACTCACCTCGTGAAGAGGAGACCAGGTGTGTCCGTACGCAATGACTCGGTCAAGACCAATCTCATGCAGGTTAGGCGTCTCCAATTTGAGCATCTCAAAGATCCCACTGCGGTTGACCTCATCTGCAGCTTGCTTGATTTTATTATTCTGGCCATGGGAGCGACCGAACTTTGTCGAAATCAATCGCTCACAGAACTCGTCTAAAAGGTTAAATGTCGGCAAGTGAGCACAGCTTGAGATCTTGATCAGCTCAGCGAACCCATTCCGAACTTGAGCTTCGGGCAAGGTTCGAAGAAATGGGTATGCATAGGTGCGTGGTAGGCACCGAGTCGATTCTTGTAGTTGCCGTAGTTGACAGCGACTTTGATACTGACGCTGGCGTCGATGAGCCCGATTACAGTCGTTGGGATACGAATGTAGTTGGTGTTGCGCCGATAGGCCGCACAGGAAAACCTAGCAATTCGTATTAATCAACCTGTTTATGCAGTAAACAAGAACAGAAGCGAGAGGCTTACCCGGCGACGTCGGTAACCAAGCCTCCACCCTAAATAAATGTTAATTTATGTGGGCCTATTGAGAGAAACAGAACATACCACGACCAAAACGGGGTCCTTCCGAATGATTCCAAATTCGGTCATCGAGTCAACAATCTGGGTGAAAGTCTTCAATGATTTGGCCTTCTCTCAAATCATGGTCTGATGGATCTTCAATTCCAGATTGTGGTGCTTGAAGTACTCCTGCATTTGATGACCGTATAGATCAAATATGTTCTTGTCCATGATGGCCAAGCAACGACCCCATCGTTCATAGAGACTGGCCAACTGAAAGTTTTGAAGCTCAAAAACGCCATCCAGGAACGTGAAGTCATATTCAATTTTCTCATAACCCTCAACGTGAAAGCCATTTGTCGTCTCAACGACACTAGCCTTAAGGTCGGACATGATGGATATGGAAGAGAGAAACAAAGTATAGAAATGCTTTGTCAAATGCAGTTAAATTTGGATTACACATACATAGCACGGGGCTGTGTCTCTTATATATGGCGTATTTATGATCAAAATCCTCAAATAGGTCCCGGAATCAAGCGAGGCATGCTGGAAGATCGAAACTGAAAGGATTGATGCATCAAGAGCACGTCACCAAATAGGTGGTCATTTTCTGCAACTTCAAGGGAAATCGTGATACAAGCTACCCTCGCCTTACTACGCTACGCAAAAGCTGTTCTCGGCAGATTTGAGATCGATCCGTGGCTGTGAAATCAAGGAATAGAAGCCGGAAACGGAAACGGCAGGATCCCATATTAGACGGGCGTGGTAGGCGTTACAACCTGCAGATAGTAGAACGTTAAGATTCCAATCTGATATATAGAGCAAATCTGGTATAGTCAACAATGATAGGGGATAAGATGCGGTGAGTTCGGGATTTTCGTGTTTCATCTATGCAAGATGCAAAATAAAAGTTGGAGTTTGCATCTGATGAGGTCATGCAGGGACCCGTTACCCGATCGTTTACATACATACCAGTCTATTTGGACCACTAACGATCGAGATCGATCTGAGAGCATTGACTTCGGATACAAGGACAGTCGCACAGCAGCTCACAGACCCAGAACTTGATAAAATCTACATTAACATGTCGGAATCAAGTTTCTTCAAGGGGTCGAGCCCTGCACAATCACGATATCATCGATCTGGCCCGATCGAGCGCCCACGTAGAGAATGTCCCGCCCCAATCAACGCATTCCACAGGGGCTAGATAGAGTGTAACTAGTGTTGATGACGAACTTTACCCGGGAATCCCCTGCTCCGGTCATTTAGGTGCATGAAAAATCGTGTTTGAAAGGGCGTAAGCCTTGAGATTGATGCAAGCAGCGTTGAGGTTTCGTAGCCGATCGAATCTACCGAGCGTTATTATGTCGTCGTTACCCATTCTATTTTGAAATCGACGGGAAACGGGCTGGAAACGCAGCGTGACAGTGCCAATCGCTCATGATTTTTACCCACCACGGTTCTGTAAGGGCTTCAAGATAGGCTCAGAGAGCTCGAGGAGATTTTGGAAAATGAACCTTGGGAGGTGGTCTGAGGATCATTCAGAGAGTCTATATAAAGGGATGAGAGATCGAGGGCTTTGCTATCTTCTCAGATATCTCATTTCAATCCTCTCAGCCTCAATTCCCGATTTTCAGTCTTCAAATTCAGTTTCCAATTTCAATCTCCCGCTGCAACGTTGTTGAAGTCTCTGCCCAGAATGTTTTTCAGCACCAAGACTCTTTTGTTTGCGCTTGCCCTACCTTTCTGAAGTCTGGCCTCTCCCATCCAGGAGACCGACGCGCCTCAGCCACTACCGCGAGACCGGTCAAAAAGGGGGCATTCTTGTTTACTTCGGTCCCCAAAGCGGCGTTCAAGAACGATCCGAGACCGTCGATCTTGAGCAACGCAGCTGCGGAAACGTATGGACACAGCCAAAGTGTGATACTAAAAATGCCGCACGTAACGGCAACTGTGACGCTCTTGTGAGTGAGCTTTACAATGACGGCGATGTTGCGATTCCCGGATCACCTCGCCAGATTTGCTACCAAGGCGACTCCGACAAGAACGCATTTTGCTGTGTCTCATGGCGCAATGCAGTTAAAAACCTCCGGAAACGAGACCTGGCCCCCTATGCCAGTGCGAGTAAGTCAATGTTCTGTTTATGACACAAGCCCAGACAGCACTAATAATGACAGTCCTCAATCAATGCACCCAAAATGGCATTTCCGGCAAGACTACGAACATCCCGCTCCGCAGCGTGTGTACCAGTGTCTGCTTGTCAAACCGTGGAACTCATTGCTAAAGAGCTATAAGTCGAGTTTGGAATCAAGAGAAGCACACAATACCTAGGTGAATCATACTTCTCGCGCGATGACACAGACTCGATATGACTCGCGTCTGAATGCGGTCGACTTCTATTTATTGTCTTTTCTTTGTGCGCCGACTTCTAGCTATCTGTCTTCTTCTTTGTGCCTTCACAGTACACCGCAACTTATATACTACGTATCCTGAAACGCAAGTTGTTTATAGGATTGAGACCTCAAATGCCGGATAGCCACTGACTCTCAAAGGACCCTCTTTCGGCATTGGAGATGGAATGGCTATTTGGATACGAATTGCTGCTATGAGGGCCGTTTAACATTTCAACCATTACCCGCGGCATCGTATAGATACGATGAGAATAAAGGAATGAGACTTACGTAGTGCTCGATATAGGTTTCCAAGCGATAGGGTTCGCGCTTCATGATCCTTGCTATGGAAGTAAGACCAAGCTCTGCTATCGCATGGTATAGGACTGGGAACCTTCCAATTGAAATTTCCCCTAGAGCTTTACGTTACCCTAGTTGTCACTTTATAGATGATGCTGTTCATCTCCTGCAGCTATTCACTTGGTTTTTCTCGCTACGGATCGCTTCTTATATGCCGCGAGGAAGAGCAGCCAGAAGCTTTTGTCCAATATTCCAGATCCCGATGCACTGTTTGGTGTATTCAAATTTGCAAACTTCCACTAAGTTATATTCTTGCGCTTCGCTTAGTACTATAAATGAGAGGGGCGTATTATATTATACGCGATGCAAATATAGCAGGTAAGTAAATACAGAGAAATAAGCGGGATATTTGAGGAGGCAAAGTGATCAGTACAATTTACATTTACCTACTTAACCGACATATTCTCAAGACCTGGATAACGAAGAGAAAGGGCAGGGGAGCCGGATAGACGTAATACAGGAGGCAAGTCATATTGAGCTTCTTAAGAGGACAAACACAGAATGATAGGTTGCAATGTTCACTTCTTCGTCCTTCGAGGGATCAGAATAGAGGGTCACCGAGTGGGGTTAGACCTCCTCAATCAATCAATCAATCAACACTCTATTAACCTGTTGCAGCCTAACTAGTGGCGTAATGGCTATGCAGGCGCTCCCTCCGGCGGAAGCAAGAGTGATCCGAACGCCAGACCCGCGCATGAAACAGTAGATACATAGGAAAACGGCGTATTGCCATAGAAATCAGCCCAAAAATCAGTCCAAAACCGTATCAAAACGCCCTCCAGGCCCTCAGTCCCACGATATATCCCTCAAATCGCCCTCGGATTGGCCTGCTGCTTCCTCTGCACCCCCATCCCTGCTATCCCTCTCTGGTATCCACATCCTCCTGCTTCGTTCTCGATTGGTGGCGTTCGTGGTTGTTGGATGTAGTCTTCCTCGACCTCTCGGTTGGCCGTGGGTTTGGCGTTCCTCCTACCCAGCGTCTTCACCCCCTGTGCCGTTACCAGATCATCCTGGTAGATCGTTTTCATTGCCTTCATTCGGCGGCTCTGGCTCGATTTCGACGTGCCGGAACTGCCCCAGTAGGCCTGTTTGAAGCATAAATTCGGCCACGTAGCGGGTGGCCTGCGAGTGCGATATAATCGCGTCGTAATCGGTCGAATCCCAAGATCGGTCATCCGGATCTTGTCAAGGAAGGTCTGCCTCAGATCAGCGTACAACGGGTACTGCATTAAGATGTGTCTCGGGGTTTGAGACCCTTCTCCACAGTAGCAATCATCTGATTCGACCGCCTTGATTTTGTACAGGAAATGCTTTAGTGCAATGCGCGTTGATCGCATTTGAATCAGAATCGAAGTGTAAGGCTTCGACAGGGAATCGAATAGCCGAAGCACCTTCTTGTCTGGAACTTTGACTAACCGCTGGTTCGGTTTGCCAGTTCGCTCTTTTGCTTACTCTTGTGCCTATCTCTCTTTAATGCGCCGCCGCACTCGACGCTTCGCGGTCGTTCCTAGAAGGACTCGACCCGCGGACCCCTCGGGGTGGGGTTGTTCCGCTCCGTTCTCCACTCTCCCCTCCGTTACTGCTAACTTTGCTTCAACGTCAGCAGTTTTATTGCCAGGAACGCCTACGTATACAGGGATCTAACGGATCTCGATAGGAATCTGATCGAACGTAGGCGTTTGCTATAGCGATCGAAGGGTCCGAACGTGGTTGTAAATAGAAGATAGCACGAAGTGGCCCGACGATCGCTTTGGATTTTGCACCGCCTGAATAGCGGCCTAGCAGTCGGAGAAAATAATAAGCCTTGTAGGCCTAGTGTGATTCTGGTGTTGGTTGACGAACTTGGCCACCGCTATTTCAATACCGTTAAGCTCGGCAACGTACACTGTGGATTCGTCGGTGGTTCCTAGGTACTGCTATTCGAAGATACCCTTACGCAGGGCAACGGCCGAGGCACCTACTATACCCTTATACCCACTTCTATCTGTAAAGAACAAGACCGTCAGGGTTCGGTCTAGTACGGCTTGCTAGAACAGAGATTCTATCTTAATCTTGTTATACGAGGCTCGCGCAGCCTCTGCATTCTGGTCGATAACGTATAGGATCCGTGCCTCCTATAGCGCTAGAACGAACGCTTTGCGTGATTCGCACACGCTTCCTTTAGGGTCCAAAATACTATCTCTCTTCTACCTAAGGGCCTCGAGAGGGCTCTATCCACCTTTCTTGAGTTCCTGTGAGGATCGGGGGGCATAGCGAAGGGAGTCTGGCTAGGCCTACGCAGCACCTGTCTGGATTCGGATTGCCGTTTCCTAAATAATTTAGTCTATAAGGAGGTAAATTAGTGTAATAAACAACTCAACGTTGAGGGCTGCCGCACTAGTAGATTTGAAGGCACCGCTGATAAGAATCGCTGCACGCCGTTGAATTTTAGTGAATTCGTTGACTGTGCGTTTTATCTCCCACGCGGGCATAGATTTTGCAGCAGGGCAGTACCACGCAGATATCCCGTAGAGCATCTATAGAACTACCACCGCTTGATAGACCTTCTGTATCGCCGTGAGTAAGGCACCCTACACCGACCATGTTATCGCCCGAAGGGCTTCGAGGCTGCCGTTGGCCTTCGTGAGGAGCTTTTGACGGTAGGTAGTGAAATCGAGGTGTTTATCGAGCCAAATACCTAGATATTTCGCGCCTTCTTTTGGTTGTATTAGTAATTCGTCGTTAATTCTAACGGGCATCTAGTCGCTGCCCTGAGGGTATACGCTGTCGTAGTCGTATATATCGACAGTGTTGTCATTCCCCTGGTTACTTTCTCGGTTGTCGTGTTGATTAGTGATGTTGTCTTGTTAAGGGTTGTTGAAATGAATAAGTTCGAATTTATTAGGTGCGAACTTTGCTGTATGTTGCCTAGCCTATTGATCTGCTTTCTTAAGCACCCGTTCTATCGCCTGGATATTCGTGTAGTATGATTCCGATTCCACTAGGATTGCCACGTTGTCTACCTACCCAATACCGCAGGATTTAGCCTCTCCTATCCTCCTGTCGGTGCTGTATACGGATAGCAGTGGCGAGTTAAATAACAGGAATAGGATAGGCGAGATTGGTAAGCCCTGTGGGATACTAGTGAGTGTAGGGAAGCTGTCTGAGAGATATCCTGGGAGCTTAATGCGGGTACTCATGTGGCTAAGAAGTGAAGCAATCTAAGGCACGAATTGACCTAGCCGGAGACGTTTAATGTTGCTTAATAGCTGTTTATATGAGACGTTATTATAGGCACCCGCTACGTCGAGTAGCAGCATCGATACCTTCTTGCCTCGCCCCTAAACACAGTGTACCCTGTCAAGGATGAGTTCGATCGTATAATCCACTAAGATCCCCTTTCGGCCACTAAGGTGAGTTTTCGGCAGTAAGTCGTGCTCTTCGACCGCCTACGCTATACGCGTAGCGACAATCGATTCTAGGATCTTGCCGAGGGTGTTCAACAGGGTAACTAGCCTGTATAATTTAGGCTAACGGAAATCGCGCGGGCCGCCTTTGCGAAGCGTTACCGTGATAGACGCCTAGAAGTGACGAGGATTGTAGCCCGTTCGCATACACGCGTCGAAGATAGCCGTCAGAATAGCCACGAAGTGGTTATTATCTGCTAGTATCTTCCACACACGGTTCGGGATACTATCCTCACTAGGCGCTTTATTAGGTAGAGCTCGTTTAATCGCATCGATAACCTCTTGCTGAGAGATCGCTGGGAAGGTGAGTTGGTTCGGATATAGGGTTACATTCGGGCTGATATCAGAGAGGTCGGCAGCTGTCGGCAGAGGAAAGAAGACCTACCGAAGGAGATCAACCTTTTGCTAGTTAGTTTCTGCTAGGCCTATCTGCGAGTGTAAGGCGGGGATATTGCTGCTAGTTGACTAATCTCTTATACGGGCCTATTTCGACACTTTCTATAGGCCGCGAGGGCCCTTATCGATTGTGTCTCGCACCTACTAGCGGAATCCTTGTTTTAGCGCCTTTTTAATCACTCCTCACTATCGTGAACTCCTTCTAGTCCTCCTCGCTATAAGTGCGAATATACTACCGAAAGTGCCTACGTGGCGCCTCAATTGCCTCCGTGCATTCAGGTATCTAGCCCTGGCGGGCCCACGATGATAGCTTCGCCCAAGGTGTTAATACCTAGGCTGCCTGCTGCACAATATCCAGGAGATAATTAACGGCGTAGTCAATTTCACGCGGCGTAGGCTCTTCCGGTAATCGCATTACACTAAGGTTAGCGGAAGCGAAGGTAAGGAACTTCTCCACGTCTATAGCTTTCCAGTTTCGTCGTTTGATAGTATCTACGGCCTCTAGCACGTTGATCTCGAGCAGGGTAAGTATCGGAAGGTAATCGGATTCAGCGTGCACGCTATCATCGACCTCGTACGCTATTATCTGTTCTCGCAGCGAGTATAACGCAAGAGCGAGATCTATCGTAGACTGCGAGCCAGCCTGATCGCGTGTAACAGTGCCGGGTGTTAACCAGTTGTCCAGCCCAGCCGTTTCCATCAGATCTAGAAGATCTTCCGCCTTCGCATCACGTAGGGCATCATCACCGCCCCAGACTAGGTGATACAGGGTAAATCCCCTATCACTAGGTAGGAAGCCCCCTTCTGCTCACAGGTAGGCAGTAGCTTCTCCTGTAGCAGACGGAGAGCTGCTCCTTGCTGCTAGTCGTTGTACACATTAACAATTCGAAGCTCCCCTAATCCGGTTTTGACACGAATCTCCTGACAGTCGCGAGAGTGTGCTAAGTAGGTATGTTCTACCCTTTTCGAAACAAACATACATACCCTCGCCCTGTCTCCTATTTCGCTAGCCGCCGGATAGAGCAGGTCATACGTCTGCTTCAACGGGTGGTGAGTATTGTCTTAGAAGGGATTCTCCCATAGCTCCTGTATTGCAATAATATCGGCGCTAACGACCTCTTCCTTACGCAGGAACTATACTATCACTATATCCTTCGATCTATACACGTTGTACTAGTATATTTTGAGGTCCTTTAGTGTATGTTGTTGTCGGTTGTGACGATTCATTAGTGGCGAGATATAGAAGATTTCCTGCTATAGAACCTGCGTCTCCCAGCTAAGCGAATATTGAGAGAGATATCTTCGCTATAAGGCTATTTCCTCTTCAATCTTTCTAGCGAAGGTTGGTATTCTTTATCCCCGTTCTCTTCGTGTCCATCGAGAGATAAGGTAAGGTCTTTGCTAAGCTGTTATTCTAGGTCTCTTATATTAACCTTATCTAGCTCGGAGCTAAGTTCTGATTCGAGCTGTTCCTGATTCGCCTCCTCCGCTAGCTCTGTTATACGTGCTGACTTCCTTATACTATCGGTGTTATTACTAGTCTTTCTTTCAGCAGCCTTCCTTGCCCTAGCCTCGCGTGCCTTCGCGGTGCAGGCCCTAGCCTTTTCCGCCCTCGACTAGGTGCTAGTCGTCTGCGAGCTAGACCCTTCTAGTTAAAAGTTAATCGTATCGACTAGTAGTAAGGCGAAGGTGCTTCCTGCAGAGAATGAAAACGCGCTCGGTTCGGTCGAAAATTGGAATATTAGTTAGTCGAGGACGATCGGTTGCTCCTAAGAGCGGCCCTCTGCCGGTAAGGTTTTATCCGTGCCCGTCTCTATTAGTTACGGCCTGTCTTAGGTCTTTCGTGGTCTCCCTTGCCCTCTGCTAGATAACGCTGTTATCATCGTTTTAGCTCCCTTCTTTAGTGCATACTAACTAGCTTACAGGCTATTTCCCGTTCGACTTATAGTTATAGGGCCGATGGCCCTTACCCCTGTTATTAGGGCGTACAGCCGGCGTAAGACCGCTACTCTCGACGCCGCTAGTAAGCTCTTCGCTCGATAATAAGTCCTTTCGTGTTCCCCACGAGCTAGCGGAGGAAGGATAGAAGGATACTAGCAGCTAGTTAATGCTATACAGTACCGGGACGTAGTAGTATCTTCCACAGTATCTCGACAGCTCCGCAATACGCTTAATCTCCCGCTAGCAGGCCTCACACTCCTTACTCTACGCAGCGTGTATACCCTCGCAGTTAGCACACTTCGGTATACTTCCTTGTGCGTCCTTCGAAGGGCAATCCCGAGACTAATAGCCCTCCGTACAGTATACGCACTTAGCGGTGTTAGCACAGGTGGTTCCTATATATCTGTATTGTTAACAGTTAAAGCACTGCCGCACACGAGCTGATCTATTATAGACTTCAGCCGCTAGGTTATTACAGTCCCAGAGGACCCCCTTATCAATCGCTACGTTAGCCGGCACTAGAGAGGTAAATTCGACGACTAACAAGCCGCTTTTCCTAGCTAGGATCCGAAGCCAGCTAATCTTAGTGATATCTGTTCCCTCGCCTTAATTATACACATTGCTCGCTAACAGGTCCTTGACCACCTTAGCTTAGACGCCTTAGAGATCGTCTGAGGCCTTATTAATACCAAGGGAGCGTACGTTAACGTCGTGTACGATATTTCCCCACGTTAGCATATAGACGAACGCTGTTTTGTAGAGGCCCTTCGCCTACTTTTGTCGGTAAACCCTTATAACCTCGGCCTCTCTCGCATCGCGTATAGTGAAGCGGAGATCACCCGATTTCAGCTAACGCAACGCGAGGATCATCACTAACGCTAGGGCTAGCGTATCTGTCGTTTTGGCTGCCTTCGCTCGGGCCTGGTTGGCACGTTTCGTGAGCTCTGCGCTCGTCAGACAGCGGAAAGCGCTAACCTATGAGCAGTCACCAAGGCAGACTACCACTTCGCGGTCACGTACCACCTCCGCTGGGCGCGTTGGTGAGCTCGATGAGCTGCTAGAGGAGAGGTAGTGCGCAGGCGCTGGCGCCCTAGCAGCTACTTCGGCAAAGGATCTAACAGTCTGCCTTACAGGAGGCTCTACAGCCGCCTTGACGGCCTAGATCTCCTGTTTGAGGTCTTTGCGTAGGGCCTCGAGTTCGTGCTGCCAGTCGGTCAGGGGCGTTGATAGGAGGTCCTTCGTCAGCTCCTCCACCTGTCGGAGGAAATTGACGACCTTAGGGGCTGGCTTAGCATTCTGACTCCTTCCCAGCTCTTTGAGAAGGTCGTGTGCGCCGTGGTTAACGTTCAGTACGCGCTCTCTGTTCGATAGCAGATTTTTCAATGGGCCGCCGGAAGCCCCTGGGGCCGGCCCAACACCCTTTGACGCGCGCAACATCGCAATACTGGTCGAGGATGCTCGAGACCGGTGTCAAATTGTAGCGCAGGAAGTTAGATTGAATTTGCCGTTTACGAGAAGTTGCCAACTGGCGTGGTACCTGAGATATTTCAAAAATTCAATTTGGCGCTGAAGTTGTTGTTTTCTCGGTTAGACCTCCTCGTCCGCCAAAAACTTGTCCACTTTCTTCATTTCAAAGACGCCAGCCTCATTCGTGAATTTTTCTGGGTAGCCGAAGAATAATGGGCAGGCTACATCTGGTTCGGCAAATAAGAGACTACCTTGGAGTTGTTGCGAATCGGTATGGTGCACTCGGAAATCGTACCACGTCTGGTTCTTTGGCGGAAGAGGCCCGCTATGTTCGTCAACTTCGACAGGAAACACGTCCGGGGGACAGTCAAAATAGTGGCTCATGAGAAGAGTCCCATCCTGAGCAGTTCTTGTATCTGCGATGGCAATAATTTCCTGTTCGATGAAATTGTATTTGGCAGGCTGGCGCCACTTGTCCAGCGCCCAGTTCTGGCATTCCTCTTTCGAGGCGTTGATGAAGTCGGACTCGAACGATTCCCCATCTTGTAAACCCGATTTGAAATGTTCTGGCGAATCGGGGCAGACTCTCAATTCAACAAGATAGTAGCAACAAGGAGAGTCCTGTGGCTCTGGACTAAATTCGCGCAAGGCCTTCGCTACGAACTAGTGATTTTAGCGGTCAGCCTCGAACAGACTGTCATCCATCACATTTCCGACTTACAGGCTTCGCGTCTTCAGAGATACAGAAGAACAAAGTGCGCGTCATCGTAGGATCTTGATGCTATCCACGAAATGATGTATGTTCAAGGGCATAGGACAACAGAACTGATTTGCCAACAGTACGAGACTCGTAATTTATACAGATTCCCGGGGGCGGAGGAACAATGACGTCATCCTACCTCTACCAGGTCTACCAGATAGGGGCTCAGAAGGACGAATAAGGAGGCGGGATCCCCTGCAAATTGACTACAAAGTGTTGGGTAAGCCAGTAAATCGGGTTGGTAGATTGGCAAAATGGCCCCAGGGGCCGGTCCAGCCCATAGGCTTCCGCCCCTCCTTGCTAGCTCAAGGCTGAGTGTAGATCCATGCAAGTGTGTAGTCTTCAACGCAATGTGCATATGTATCTGTCATGTTCTAAGAGATAACGATGAATCTCTAGACGGAACAGACCCCGGACCGAGGCAGGTTGAAGAGGGGCAGATGAAGGGCTTCTTCCATTGGGACTGAGACAGGGCGATAAAGGATCGATCATCATCTATATGTACGTTATGTACGGAGTAGGTTAGCACCCATGAGCCACAAATACAGACATAGCTCGACCAATACAGTAAACTCCCGTTTTCGGCACTCCAAGTTAAGGCACACATTTCATTAGGCAACAAAATCTGTCGGATGGACCCACTTTTTTGGGTTTTCTCATATATAAGAACGCCATCTGGCACAACTTAAGCGAGGCCTATCTCGCTATAATAATCTTGATTAGTTAGCAGTCGAAAAATTTCTAAACCTATTCAACCTGATTTTCACTAAGGCCCGGGTGCAGTCACGTGACGGGGATACCCTCACCTAGTAGAAGGGCCCTTCACCTACCTAGGATTTCTTCCCCGGATAAAATATCATACCGAGAAGGCTAGATATTACGTAGGCTAGCTAGCAACTGGCGAATCGGTGCCTATCCGGCCCGATTGCTAAGGCCACGATCTAGGCTTAGCAACCCCAGCAATCTGGCGGGCCGAATCGGGTATAGCCTACCCGCCGGCCTTTGGCTTGGCATCCCCCATCAAAACAATCCAGGCTTACCCCAACCCAGTAGGGTAAGGCCCTTCACTTGATAATCCTAGAATATTATTTAATATTTAGATACATCCAGCGATTAGATGAAAAGATCCAAAAGATCCGATCAAAAAATATCAATATGTCGAGTACTTGGGGGGGGGGGAAGCGTATCCACTCAACCCCCCCCCCGGGGGTGGGTCGGAATATATTTAGGGTAGTTCCGTCGGACCGTTGGCGGCCCCGCATGCGGACGCTCCCGAGCTCCATCAGCGGGAACAAGGTAAGAAAGGCAACTTCCTATGCGTTGGAAAGCAACGAAACAACGACCGCGTGTGCCCCGATCCAGAAGGTAGGCCCGCTTTAGCGCTAACCCCACCACCACGTAGGGGCCGCCACGAATACAGATCCGTAGGATTTTGAGGTTGTTGAGATAAAATCATAGACGCTATTCGGGACTGTTGCGCGGGGCCCCTTGCGTCGGGCTCACGATAATCCGCTCTGGACATCGCACACAAATATCGCCTGACTTTCTTTCCCCTTTCTCGAAAATAATATCACCATTTCAAGGGCGAGCCAGGCACTCCCTGCGACACTTCCTGTCAAAAGTCCCTCTTGTAATGACACGACCTAGCTCTGAGCTCGAGTCTATAACGACGAGATCCACTGGACGGGGTCTAACTGCGACCGCTCGCAAGATTGTCTTTGTGACGAAGTCACTCGAAGATGCTATGACAACCAGAAGCCCGCCTTTGACCCCGGACCAGCGACATTTGCCTGCTGCGATCCCCATCAGCGACTTCGCGGTGGCGTCGAGACCGAGTGTCACTGCTGCGGAGAGGGGGAAGATGTCATGGGCTCAGATCGTGTCGGCTATCAATGCTGCCCTATTGGTCAAACATTCAATGGCTGGTCTTGTGAGAAGGTCTGCAAGAATAGCAGACTTCTGGTTGATGGCGAGTGCGCATGTTCACCTGGTACGGTCGAATCATTCGACGGGACTTGCGACACACGGGCCAGGCCTGATTTTTAATCTGGTTTAACAACAGGTAAGCAGCCCTTGTAGACTCAGCTATTTCCTGCAGTCATAAAGGTAAGCAAGATAAAAACTACGTATTTAAAGCTGAGAATGGCAATCAACTTGCCCACCACAACGACGGCAAGTACTATGCCGATGAAGCGTCGCACCAGCAGCATGGAAAGTTCCTCTGGAGGACTAAAAGACCCACTCATCTGGCGCATATGGATCAAATAGAAACACCCACTCCATGTCCATTCCCACAGCACATCGTCAACCTCTAGAACGCAGTGCTGCCGTGCCCAATTGACAGGAGGTGGAGAAATATCTACTCCCCAAATAGTGGCTGCGGTGTGTTAGTCGTATGGTTTCAAAACAACGAGGAAGGGAGCTTGCCAGACGGGAATTTACCACCGTCATCTTTGAATCTAGTTAGAGAGAATATTTAGGTTTTACTGTCGGAATTTGGATCTTACTGACATGGCTCACGTGCCATTACCGGCTTCGATGTGCAGGATATGCTTTGCGCACTTGGTCAGAGAGGCCGCATATGATATAGTCTATGACCAATGGATATTTATGGGGTATCATACCATCGGCGAGCCGCGGATCGGCGAAAAAAAAACCGCGGATTTAGTTTATCTGGGTGGATACCAAGAGCAACTTGGTACCTAGAACCAGTTACCAGTGAAGAATGTGGGTGAAGGGGAGGTGCCCAGACATACCCGGCTTCGTAACTTTCAACTGTTCTCCATCAGAGGGAATACTGCCAGACAATCCGTATTGGCAGACGCTTCTTAAGCCAATCACGCCGCTACACGACCCGCCAAAACTCGTTGTCTAGCCGGATTCACCCTAGCGCAATTGGAGTGGGGCGTCGAGAAAGAAAGCTTGTGTGTCTAGGGGTCTAGACACTGTGCCAACCCAATTTTTACTAGTTAACCTGCTTCTGGGGTGGCCAGACCCTCCGCGGCGGAAGAATGCCAGGAAGGTAGATTGTTGGGGGGACCGAAGGCGACGGCGGCTATCTTGCGGTTCTTATCAACAACATGGCAGTCCTACCCTGGTAACACCACCAGTCGCTGGCAGAGAGAGCCCAACGGGATGATTAATGGGGATTGGTGGACTTGGAAGCTGAGCGGACGGGGGATGGATAGCAGGAAGGGTAGCCTAGGCACTCAGCTGATGAGACATCCAAATCGCTTGAGACACGGAGGATCGCAAGCAGGGCTCAAATTCCCTGCTTAAACAAGCGAATCGGGGCGATGAAAAGGACCTGGCATTATTTAAAAGGGGCTCATGCCGAGAAATTCATAAGATCAGAGGTCTGAGAGCCGGTTATCAAAGCGGCACCAGACCTTGCCTCAGACTTGCGGTCTGTCATAGCTTTAGGACTCGATGCGGACAATCAACTTGATTTTATTATTATAATAATAATAATAAAGGGCGTAACTGTCGTGCCTCAGAATACATGCAAATTAGAAAGTTCTGCACCCGAAATTGTGCTCCGAGAGATCTGCATTCTCGATCACCTGCAGTAGAAGCAAGACAGACTGGCAACGAGAGTACGAATCTATATCGGTCCCATTCTCGACCTGCACCATCGTAACCCTAATCACCCTACATTATCATCATGAGATCATGCATGTGGGGAAATGGACTCTTTTCCTCCCTCACTCACACCAAACCGTGACATAACCCAAAAATCCACACATCATAGACCTTCTAGCCACGTCAAGGACATCATAGCTAAACCATCTCGTATCATTACGTCTGTAGATCTCAGAACACTCCTTACACATATGGAAGTCCCTAATATAGCCCATGTCTGTCAAGTGGAGATATATTCTGTTTGGGGATGATACACCCGCGGATTCCGCAATTTACGATGTAACTCATCCTACCGCGTCGTTTAATGCGGTCGACATGCAGAAAGTTTGCAGGAAGAACGGTATTATCACGGTTTAGAGTATATAGTATGTATATTTGGTGTATGATGCGTACATACGGTGGATATCGTTCCATCAATTTAGACCTTGGAGACCAAGGCCGAGGAAGGCAGTTGGCTCAGCGTGGCCGAAATCTATAAATATGGGTAGATGGAGCACCGACATCAGACCGACCATTAAGCCTCTGTGAGATTCAGGTTTCGTACGATCTAGTAAAGTCATTGAACAAGCTGTGAATCAGATATCCGAACTAGCTCTCTCTTACCTTTCCTTGAGACATGATTCTTTCCGCATCTGTTATCCTGCTCGTCGGGCTCACAGTCGAGCTCGCAGCTGCAGCTCCACCCATCAGCCAGGAAGACTGCGACAAGCTGTGCCAGGATAAACTCAACAATCTCCACGCCGTCGGTCAGCTCTACGACATCCATAATGGCATGGGCTCGTGTGACGACTGCATTATCTGCATCGGCGAGGGCGGCAAGTACACAGACCCCAATACTGGCCGCCGACGCTGCTGCGACACGAAGAATCAGGTCTTCATGAATGGGCCTGCCGGCAGTAAACTAGGCAAGTGCTGCGACGCCAGTCAGGCCTATCTGGTCGACACCAGAGCACAAAAAGGCGACTGCTGTCCCGCCACCAACCACGTCTACCTGTGGGATGCCAAGTCGCAATCGGGATCCTGTTGCCCCAGCGGGACGGCCTATTTCGATGGTCACAAGTGCCAGCCCGAAATAGAGCCAGAGCCAAAGCCACATACCATCAGCTGCTCTCCCCACGGTGTCTGTGCGTCGTCCTCCAAGACTACCGGCTTGAAGCAGGGCCACTGCTACCAGCTGATGGACACCAAGGGCCGCACCCTATCCCTTCACCGTGGCGGGACCGACTATATACTGCAGAACGAGTACGACGACCTCTACCACTTCAAGGTCTGTGCTAGCACGACCGACTGCAGCCCCAGCGACAAGGAAATGACTGTGAACGACAAGTTCTTCCTCCAGGATGAGTTCGGAACGTGGAACGTGAACGGCGCTGGCTGGATCGACAACAGGTGCTCCGACCATCTATATTTCACGCAGGATGCTAAAAGCGCCGGTGCGTTCCAGGCGGCACCGTGGTGCGTGGACGGGAAATGCGGGATTTGTCTCAAGAGTGCAGTTGATGCCTGTCGGGGACTAGAGATCGTTTGCCCAGCAACCAACCCTGGGATCGGTCGGTATGTCAACTCCAACTATTGCTTGCCCATGTTTGTGAAAGAGGTGCCCTGTATGAGTGAGGTGTTTGGTGGGGAGGGTTTCAAGACCGAATTGTAAGGGGATTTTTGATCTAGCTGTCTTGAGGGGGTTCCAGCAGGCGTGCTCTGAGGCCATTTTCAGCCTCTGTGTGCTTGGGGTCGCTCTCTATTAGCATGATTATTGGCTTAGGTGCAGTTGTTGACTCTGCGAAGGCCAGTGCTTTTGGAGGAAAATGTAATGCCAAGGCATAGAGATAGCTCGTGTATTCTGCTTGAGGTCTACAAATTCAACTACTTCGTCCGATTGACCTCAAGCACTCGGGAAGATCTCTAATATACCATCTCAGCCTATGAAGATGAGGACTATCAGGTAGGCACAGCAGACGCGAGCTGCGCCCAGCTGTTCTCTCCTGCACTCTATCAATGGGAGAACATGCCCAAGAGCGGGAGTAGATATGGGAGTATCAGTTTTCCAGTCGCCAATCACTGCTTCATTTACCTCTATATCTCCTTTGTTATCCAATCGGAACATAGCGAGTATGAAAGCAGATCAAATATTCGAATTTCAATACAGCTAGCGTTCGAATATACAGAGCAATAAGGATAGTTCAACAATTTCTCAGTCAGCCTCGCAACCTTGGAGAAAGCCCCTCCTTGCATTCTCAGAGGATGAATGCAGTAAATATTTCTCCTAACAGCCCTACAAAAAAGAGGGTCAAACGGCATTCTCGATTGAGTAGCTCTCACTCCATAGCGCGCAAACCTTTTTCCCAATCTCATCATCGAGTACAGTCAGAGCACGGTGACTCAGCAAGAGAGGGAGTGGCTGATCAGGTAGAGATACGGTGAACAGAAGGAACTAAGATAGGAGAGAATGCAACAGAGTCCGATTGTCTTATGAAAGCGCAAGTCTGAATCTTGAGGGTCCAGACTACAGAGTTACGACTGTAGCTTTTATCCTTTGCCTGAAAGGCCCTGAACCCGATCCGAGTCCGCTTCATAGAGGTCAAGACGCTTGCGAACTCATCACCTTCTTCCAAGAGCACAATCTACAAACCTGCTTGCCTCGATGCACAGCGACCTTCTGGCCTCTCAACGACCCAGGAAAAAGCACTACTATTAATCTGACCGTAACGGACCAACCGGTCCTACTCGTCAAATGTCACCTTTACCACGAAAATTACGGGCCGGACCACCGGGCGATATACTCGGAATAGAGCTTTAAACACTACCACAAGCCTACCGCTAAGACGAGGAAAGCCTACGAACGAGCAGATTAGAACAAGATCGGAGCCGAAGTGCTCCAACGGATGGGCCTATAGAAAGAGATCAGAACGAGGCCGGCTCTAGAGGAGGCAGTGGAACGGCTCATGGAAATCACGGCATACCGAGAACCACACCCCAAACCAACGCCCATCTCCCTACTCCAAACGCTGGTTCACGCTAGATCCTAAAGTCCAACAGACTAAGGTCAACCGCCTACGTCGGAAATAGCAAGAGAGTTATACAGAACACAGGCGAGATTATACACGCTCAGTGACCCTCTTCCAAGAGACACAGCAAAAGCGTCGATTTTGGACACGGACAATTAAAAAGGTCAAAAAGTCACACTAGAGATAGTTCCTAGACGGCGCTAGGGAAGGAATGCTATAGAAATCTGCTACCTATATGAAACCGCGGGAGGCCTAGGGTTGCATCCCCGCCTTGCATATCGAGTCCAACGAACTAGTGGAGAACGAGGACAAAGCACGAGCGGTTTAAACACTTTCTTCCCTAAGATAGACCAGCCGAACGAAGACCCACCGGTCCACGCCCCGTTAGAGCTACCCTAGCCCCCAATCACAGAGCTAGAAATCCAACGATCTCTCAAAGCAGCAAAAAGCTCTACGGCACCGGGCGAGGACAGCCTACCGATACTTACACAGAAACACCTATAGAAAAATCTAGGAAACATCATCACCGGAATTTTCATAGCATCAATCGAACTAGGACACCCCCCGAAACGATAGCGGAGAGCAGAGATCGTGGTATTACGGAAACCTAAGAAACCGAACTACTCGATCCCTAAGGCCTATCGCCCGATGTTATGATATACCTCAAC